ATTGTTTTCTCTTATTTCTCGTAAGAATAGAACATTCTTACCGAGACTAAAACAGCCCGAGCGAGAAGCACTAACTCTCCTACCGATCGACTTTTCTTGCGAAAAAGCGGTTGCTTATAAAGGTTAGTAATATAATACCCCACGAGAGTCATAGCTACTCATTACCTCTTTCAAAGATTCAATAGACTTTATTGTCAAGATAGCGAGAAGAAACCCAAACGAATCAGAATCAATAGGCTAGCGTATCACATTATCTATTCTCACCATTCTATTATCTTTCACATATTTTTGCATAATTTCTATTGTAATAGACCCAAGTTTTTTAATATATATATTTTGTGCCTTATACGGTGGATATTCTACGTATATCTCTAAGTTAGCTTAAAGGGGTTAGAAAAACCTTGAAAAAGTAGGTAATGACAACCTACTAATTTTAATAACGCTATCTAGACTAAGAAGAATATTCTAGTACGTTAAAGCCTGATGTCTTAATCCTATATCTTTGAGATAGCATAGACCACACAAAATCTACATTGTTATGAGGCTATAGACTTAGATAGCTAAAGTATCAAAAGTCATATACCTGCTAAATCATCGAAGCAAGTTCCGTCTCGGTAGGATAGAGAGACCGGCACCCTATAAATTGTTCTAATATCAGTAGGAGGTTATCAATAAGTACATATATATATTCCTCGTGAATAAAGCATTCTCGGGCTGTTAGTATGTTATCGTGGTTAAGAATATTATATAGTCTTCGCATTTTAGCCACGTCTTCTTTAGCATACTCCCGAATAGCTACCGCTTGGAATAGACAGGAACGTCGAGCTGCAATATACACATTGCCTGCCAGGGTATATCTGAGTCTCCGACGATAAGTATCCCAAGAGGATTTATGCCTCACGATTAATCGGGAAGATATACTCTCCTCGTATATCTAAGGTAAGCTAAGGCTCTTGGTGCTTCCCCTCACAACTTTTCGTATACTTTCTCTATAGGGAGGTATATCTCTTTCTTCCGAGTTTGAATTACTGTTCAATTGTAGGGGTATATAAAGTACCGTCTATATACTCGAGGCTGCCTCTCGTGATAGACTATTCGTTAGCAGTTCTTAGCAGCCCGTGAAGTCAATCCTTGTATAGTGTTTATCTTGTTTCGATATATTCGTAGATATTTTAGAGGTTTAGAAAGGAAAAAAAAAGGGTAGAATGATAGGTATTTAGAGACGAAGAGGGCACTTTATATTGCTATTGTATTAACAAAATGATTTCTGTTTAAATAAATTGGTTACTAGGACGCTCGAGTTAGCAGAAAATAAGTAGGTCCTTACTTCCGTGAGCTACGACCTGTTGGATATACATAAACCTCGCATTTTCCGAGAAATCCTAATTATGCTTTATACTCTTGTTACTATTAATAGCAACCGGAGAAGCTGCAGATTACTAACTTACTAGTATACCGATAGCTTAGTACGTGGAGAGAAGTAGCTGGCTATACACTCATCACTAGCGAACCATCGTGAGGCTTATAGTAAGATTGAATTAATTATAGCATGAAGACACAGCTGTAGATTCTAGGAATTAAGAGAGAATAATTTGCGAAGAAAATAATAGTACGTGCCTCTGCTAACACGTGCATAGCACAGCTATAGAAGAATTTATGTATATAGATCCCGAGCTGCGAACCCTAAACGAAAGGTATCGGAAATACCAAGGAACAGCCAAGATAAATATTAGTTAGATCACTATCCCTCTATCTATCTCACAATATATAAATAAGAAGAATATAGAAAGGCTCTGTGGAATTTTTGAAAAAGAGGGTTGTCGGAGACTCGATAGCGATAACTATATAAGCGCTATTATGTCAATTCAGCATCTCTATAAGGCTCTTCAAGTAGCAGGAGCAACTACCGCTGACCTGCTGACCGATTAACCAAGTTGCTTTCCTTATCTCTATTTCCCTACTAGTTCTATAGAATGCCTTTATAGCTAACATCGATTAAAGGCCGGAGAACAGTTTTTACCATCGATCGACTAGTGGTAGGCCGTTGACCTGTATTTAGATAGTAAGCCAGAGATCTGTCGCATCCTCTTCTATACCCGACTCCTATTGACAGCCCAAAGATATTAGTCCAGATCTTCAAGCTAGCCTCGTTGACGAATATTACAATAAGAGGGTTCTAAGAGATGGTGAAATTTACGTTAAAGTCCGCCAGTATCGAAATCAAGTAAATGCACACTTCGAGAATCGATGGTTGTCGCGGCTGTCAGACAACAAAGCAAGACGGCTTCGCGGACTAGAGTCTTATCCGACCGTTCGAGCTGCTTTTGATTCGTTACTCCCCTTGCCCTCGTTGCTGATACACGGAATACAAATTGGGTTACTTCCTAAGCTCTTGCAATCGGCTGCGACGAGGTAGGATCATCCGACTCTCAAGACAAATGAGATGCTGATTCTAGCTATAGGAGATAGTTTATGTACTAACTCGGCTGCTACAATTCTGGTCTTCACTTGTGGGGCATGATCGTGCTAAAATGCTTAGAATTGACACGCATACCGTTGAAACACTTCAACTTCTAGCACCTGGAGTCTCCTCGAAGGATAGAACCGCTGTGAAAGGCTTCGTACATAGCGGCGAAGTCTTTTCAAATTTCACAGAATCAGAAAGATCATCAATTTGGAAACGATTGAAGAGGACAGATGGCATTATTCCCATCTCTTCGTACTTTCTTTAAAGATCTCCGGTACCTAGAATCATGCGCGAACTGCATCAAACGACTCGTCACACCTTCTAGATCTTTCCCAACGATCAGAAGTGCTATGAGCTCATCAAGGATATCAACATCAGTAGCCTGATCATTATCTCAGGGGTCAATGAAAGGGGGTAGTAACCTACTTTTACTGAAACATAGAAAGTTCAGGTTCTACCATGGTCAGTCGTTCATTAAAACTCATTTGAACGACTATACATAATTTGACTTTCCTTTATTTTCACCTTTCTCCCCGCCATTTCCATCGCAAACGATTTCTTACTTGGGCAAACCCCGGCTGGGCAGTCCCTCGATCTCGCCGGACGCGGAACGTCTAAGCTAGAGATTTATCTTCCGGGAGGTCGCATTTAGGAGGTCAATATACCAAGCACCGTGCTTTGCGTCTACTTCCTCATGGTCTCCTGTGGTGTTTGTTATTTCCGATAAATATTCTCCGCATGGTTTAAGTTCCAGCGGAAACTGGTCCTGTTTCAAATTAAAGCTTAATGCATGAGGTATATATCTGGAGCCGGCAGTTTGCCGATCGAAATCCTTGCCTCCCGGCGGCAACAGCGGCTCCTTTTCGACCCCTGTGCGACTCTGCAGCTCGTTCTGACTGTGATTGTCATGCTTGAATTAGCAGTTGCACTGCGGGGAAAAGGGTGTCATGTGACGAGGAAGTATGCATCAAGCCCATTCACAGCCATCGAAACTGTATTCCCAGCCCGCTTGAACTTAAATTGGCCGGTAGTCGGTATCGCGCATATCTAGTGCGGGCAGATCTACGTAGAACTTGGGACTACAGGTGACGCCATCAACTGGCTTTGAGCACATGGCGCGGAACAATTGCCAACAACCAGTGGATCTTGAGTTTCGAATACGACCGCTTCCCGGCATGCATGATGACCTCAGACTGCACCGGACGAGTCAGCTGAAAGACTCAAAGGGTAAATCATCTGAACAGCATAAGACAGCTCAAAGCCCGACAGTCTAGCCCGGTGAGACCATACAACAAAGACATCGCATGGCCGTGGCGTCGCGAAGCAGCTCCCAGATTCGAGTGCGTGCCAACGGGAATCCGGGGATGGCATACTCTGGTTTGGCCTCGTTTCAGGAATGGGCCGAATGCAGGCAACATGCGCCCCGCTTGAGCTCCTCGTGCGGGCAGTGCTGGAGGGAGTTTTAGTAGCTGAGTCGTAGCCGAGTAGATCCTGGGGCATTGGGAATGTGCGATCGGCTCTTATCTTGCGCCTGTTTGTGCCAGCAACAGCGATCGCCGCGTGAACGCCTTCTCGTGACTGGGCCAGTAAGACACCCACCGACGCCATTGTGCTTGGAGGAGGCAGGGCCGACCGAAAACGGGCACTCCTCGGACTCCGAGAGTGTGGATCGGTGGAGATAACGCCCAGTCACAACCATGTATGGGAGTACTTGAGGAGCCATGGCTTGATGGAGAGAGGTGAGGAAATAGGAGGGAGTCAACTCCTCCCCATTGCGAGGACAAGCATGATATGGGAAGATAGTGAAAAAAAGGAACTTGCATAGAAATCACAAAACTGCAGAACGGCAGGGATCCTCGCGACCGTTGGAGAAATGGAGAATTGGAGAGGAGAAAAGGAGTGGACTGAGTGGGTTGCGACGCTCACCGCTTATTGGATCCCCGCAGCCACATGGGGCGATCCCGTTGACTTTCCTTTTCGGACTCGACGTAACGACGTGCGGTCCTAAACGTCCTCCCGTCCTTATTTGCTTGACGCCCCTCCTTTCGAACTCATATATATGAAGGCCTTGTGGCTGTCTCCCCCTTTCTTTCCCTGAACTCTTCATCTACGATCAAGGTATGCCTGGGACAGGTGTCAGTCAGTTGCCGTTGCTCGGGTTCTACCGCAAGCGCTGATTTGCCCCCCCCCCCGGACATAACCCTGCCCCTTATCTGATCAGCTTATTGAAGAATCCGAGATCCCCGAGATCACGGGCCTGGATTCGAATCTGGGCGACATTGCTTTTTATCCTGTCCCTTTCGGAGCTTATCGAGGCTGTACCTGTGTCGGTTTGGATCCTTGCATTAGCTGGCGTTGACTGGGGATAGATGTGAGTTGCTTCCTTATATGAGCTTCTGGCTCTTCATGTCACAGCTTGGTTCAGCATGCTGGAATCGAGGACGAGCCGAGACTAATCATGTTCTTTTCACAGTTACGCACGTACTTTCATCGCTCCATACATCGCATACACTGGTTCTGGGGTTCGGCGGAAATGGAATCCTCGGAGGAATCGACGCCTTCTACAATGGCCGAACACAAAGAGAGGAAGCCGACCCCTCAGCAAAGCGTCCCCCGATGGAGACAGCTTTTTGGCAGAAGGTCGAAGGAGGATGATGAGACCGAGGAAGAGACCTACCGAGCCAGATCGACTCTGGGAATCCTGAGTGATAAACAGACAGATGAAGTACCTGGTGAGACTCGACATTTATTGATGGGGAAACAAATTCTATTGCAAAGGGTCCCTGCTGAACCTCAACCTTTCACTGTGCTACAGGAACGATCCTTCTGCTGTCCTCCAATCGCAATGAGCCTCTCGGAATGAGGCACCAGCCCCGCCGAACATCAACCTCATCAATCCATTCCTCCGCTCCTCCTTCCCGATCTTCCTCTCGATCTGCTGCTCCTCAGAAGAAACGAACTGCGGATGGGCAGATCGTTCTCGAACCACAACCGGACGACTCCGTGAACGACCCCCTCAATTGGCCAGTTTGGCAGCGAGACGCGGCACTGTTCTCCTTAGGATTCTACTGTTTGATGGGAGGAGGAATGACTACAATCCTGGCCGCTGGGTTTGATGATGTTGCTAAATCCTACGATGTGACAAAGCAGAAGGTGGCCTACACCACTGGATTGTACATGATGGGTCTTGGACTTGGATCCGTTATCATGTCTCCCACGGCCATTCTGTTCGGAAAGCGTCCCGTCTACCTTCTGGGTGCGGTGCTTTTCATTGTGTCTGGCGTCTGGTGTGCCCTTTCGCCGAACTATCCAAGTTTGGTCGTCGCTCGTATTTTCCAGGGAATCGCCGTGAGCCCGGTCGAGTGTCTTCCGTCTGCCACGATTGCAGAGATCTATTTCCTGCACGAGCGCGCGTACCGCGTCGGTATCTACACCCTCTTGCTACTCGGAGGGAAGAACTTGGTCCCACTGGCTAGCGCTGCTGTGATCGGCAGTTTAGGTTGGCGCTGGGTGTTTTGGATCGTCTCGACGATTGTCGGTGCTTGCTTCTTCTTGCTGTTTTTCTTCGTTCCAGAGACGTTCTGGGATCGCAACCCTCGGCCACGCAAGCACCACAAGCGCCCTCACATGGGCAGAACTGTGTCTGACCTTGTCTCTCATGGTTTCCGCGGTCGTCGCCCACATCTTGACCTCCCCCATGAGTCTACCGAGGCCAAAGGGGAAGCTGCAACGGATATGCCGGCGACCCCAAGAAAGGAGAAGCATGCGCATTTCACTTTTCCGGACGAAGGGGGTAACGAGACGCAGGCTCCTGAGATAGCAGAAGACCCTCAAACACCCGGCAACGCCGCGAGTCCCGTTGCCGATGACCAGATTGTCACGGATCCGTCTACCCCGGCCGTCGAGCGTAGCAATGGTTTTCTGCAGCCACCTGCCCCGGCTGTAGTGTCACCCCAGTCTCCAAGCGAGTTGGAGGCTGCATGGAGACCGGCGCCATCGCCTTCACGCAGCGAATCGCACTCGCCGGGAATGCACCTTCCCGCCACCCTGCAGTATACGAACAGACTTCGCGATCGCCCTAAGATTCCTTATTCTCAATTGCTGCAAGTGTGGAATGGTCGCATTGCCCACGACAAATGGACCAAAGTTGCTATGCGACCTTTCATCCTATTCGCTTATCCGGCCGTCCTCTGGTCGGCCGTGGTCTATGCCCTGTCGGTCGGCTGGTTGATTGTGCTTTCCGAATCCGTTGCAGTGATCTACGAAAGCTCCGACCACTACGGCTTTACCCCACTTCAGACCGGTTTGATCTATATTTCGCCATTTTTGGGTGGCCTGCTCGGCACGGCTGTCGCGGGAAAGGTATCTGATATCATTGTGCGCTTTATGACGCGCCGCAACGGTGGTATCTATGAGCCCGAGTTCCGTCTGGTCATGACAATTCCTATTGCGCTCTCTACGACCATCGGATTGATGGGCTTTGGCTGGAGCGCCCAGGCAATGGATGCATGGATCGTGCCTACGATCTTCTTTGGTCTCATTTCGTTTGGATGCTGTCTTGGCAGTACCACTGCCATCACATTCTGTGTCGACAGCTACCGCCAGTATGCTGGAGAGGCTCTCGTTACCCTGAACTTTAGTAAGAGTATGTCTTATCCCCCATTCTGCTGCTCAGTACAAATCCTAACATACAATTTAGATGTCCTCCACGGCCTTATCTTCTCTCTCTTCATTGTCAGTTGGCTCCAGTCTGATGGCTCCCGGACCGTATACCTAGCCATTGGTGGCATCCAGCTATTCTGTCTCCTGATGACGATTCCAATGTACATCTACGGCAAGCGGGCGCGCATGTGGACTGTGCGCAAGCGATTAATGGAGCGATTCTGATTTACATTGCTGATTTACTCAAGAGTTTGGCAAGAATTGCATTAATACAACGCATGTAGTATGACAAATGATTGAGATTTTTTTCACCAACTTGAGCACCCGTAATCCTGCCTGTAAGGAAATAAAGTGGATGCACTTTTGGAAAGGTTCAAAATCCCTCGGTGCTGTTTCATTTGACTCACATCCTCGTCGCTATCAGATCGGATGCTCATCATACCGAGCACCTTGTTCTCTCTGCGGAGCCGGCATTGCCATGTGGCACTACGCAACCAAATCCACTGGCTGGTCAATTTTCGGACCTCGTTACCATTCTAGGAATCAGCCGAGCCCAAGATAATTCCATAATATTCGATCAAGCCCGCCATCTTACTGGGATAAAGTTCTTGGCACGGATTCCAGAATTCTCCGACATTGCGCCGGCCTCCAAAAACTAAACCCAAACCTGCCATTCTACCACAGATTAGGTTAATGCGCCGGCCCAACCATCTAATCAGATCAAAACTCAGCCACGCCAAGACCCTGTGAGATGTGTGCGTTGGAGGTCTTACGTTTCTCATTGGAGGTGGTGAGTCTCTTCTCCAATTAAGGTTGTCGGACGATGGCCGTTATCTGATCTTACGATCCACTTGAGCAATTTTCTTCCCTTCTGGAGTTTTGCTCAGCGTGCGTTGGGTTCTGAATTTCCGTCGGCCAATCTCCCGTATAAGTAGCCATGACAGGCCGATTACTTCCGTACCCGAACCCTCTTTGCTCCCCCTTTTCCTTCCCCGTCCTGGAATAATCCATTCACAGCTTGACGTGATGGCAGGTAAAGAGACGGTTTCAAAGTCCATGCTGGATGTGGTGTCGACTCCTGCAGAGGAGGACCAGGACCGCAATGCACCGGTCGCCTTGGACTCAGAGTCAGCCAGTGAGTCCGATGACGGCAAGAAAGCACCGCCGCTACTGGCGAAGCTGTTCGCTGTACTGTTGATTTCCTGCATCAGCTTTGGGTCGCATTGGAGCTCGGGCGTGACGGGTGCTATGAAGAGCACGATTAAGAAGGAGATGCATATTAACAATGTGCAGTTCTCGCTCTTGGAAGCGAGCGAGGATTTTATGGCGACAGTTCTGCTTATTCCCAGTGGTTTGGTGACTGATAGGGTTGGAGGCGCTGGTGAGCTTCACCTGCATAACTTGTTTGCCGAAGAGGTTATCAGGGCTAACGCTGTGAGATTGAAGAAATGATCGTGTACGGAAACATTGTTTATACCATCGGGTCGATCCTGGTTGCTGCTGCTACCACTGTACGTTCCTTTAACTTCATGATCGGCGGAAGAGTCATCCTGGCGCTGGGGGATATCGCCACGCAGATCGCGCAATATAAGATGTTTTCTTCCTGGTTCGCTCCCAGTAATGGGTTTGCGTCGACGCTTGGGTTTGAATTGGCAATTGGGAAGGTATGGAGGAGCTTTGGTGACCTTGAATGAAGTACTTCTCGGCTGATATTTAGCTAGATTGGCGGGTTTGTTGGTACATCCACGGCCAACGTAATTGCAAAGGTCGGTTGATAGGCTTGCATTTGCAAACAGGCCCTCTCAAAGGTCGAGGCTAATGTTTGATAGAAAACTGGCAACTTCGCCTGGGTCTTCTGGACAGCCGTGTTCATGAATATTTTCACCAATGCAGCCACAGCCGTGTTCTGGTTGTTCAGTCGGTATTGCAGCCAGAATTACAACGGACGTCGCGATACTGCGACCAACGAAGAATTAACCGAGCGAAACAAGAAATTCGAGCTCCAGAAGGTCTTCCAGCTGCCGTGGATGTTCTGGGCTGTGTTGGCCTTCTCGTTGTTCCAGACGAGCACGGCTATAACTTTCACCCAGAATGCGACGGAGCTGGCGGAGCAGCGATTTGATGTCGACTCGATCAAGGCTGGATGGTACAGTTCCTTGTCGCAATATGCAGGTATGACAATGTGAAAAAAATGATTGTATTCTTGGCTACGGTTAATTGGAGTTTCAGGTTTCTTCCTCGTTCCTTGCATAGGTGTCTTCATTGATGTTCTCGGCCAACGTGCCTCTGTCTGTAAGTCGAAGATACAATCTCTCCGCCTTCTATTATGACCAGCAAAACTGACCGCTGTTAGTATTCACCTGCGGGTTGGGTATGTTGTTGAGTATGGTGCTTCTCAATTTCACACCGTCCCGAGCAGGCACCGGAGCATCCTTTGGCATATATGCGATCGCCCTGTCGATGGGCCCAGCGTCCATTATCGACAGTATCCGTACCACTCTCTGGCACCAATCTGTCTTTGGTTCTGCCTACTCGCTCAAAGTCACCATGAACAATGCGCAAGTCGCGTCCTGACGCCTGGCACAGTGAGAGATATCATCACTGACATGTCGCATAGCATGAACATCATCATTCGGATCATCACCGGTGCGCTGCAAGATGCAGATGATAACTCATACCGACGGGTGGTCCAGGTCTATCTCTTCCTCGCCGCTGCCTCCCTTGTTGTCGGCTCTGCAATCTTGCTGGGTTCTTTCTTGACGGACTATCTCGGCCTCTTACAATGGACGCGACACAAACGCCTAAGGTCGGGTGCTGTGATCATCAAGGGTCTCAAAGAGCACAGCCTTGTGGTGCATGCCCAGCGCACTCGGCGCGTGTCCATCGGATGCTTCACAGCCCTGCTGCTCCTGATAGTTGGAGGATGGGTGGCGTATATCTGGGGTGCCGTGACCGGCCACAACTCGTAGTTCACTGTGTGACAAGTGAGCGATGATTGTCTCTGTATACCACAGTCATCTGCCGGCCCTACCGTCATTTGAGTTATTTCGATGACGAACCACCATGGGAAATCGGAATATTACATGTCCTTATGAGTCCTTTGCACGTACCGTTACCCACAAGTAGGGAGGATGTTCCCCGTAGCTTCGGTACCAGTTCCGATGTATCGGTGTACTCCTCAAGTCCAGTAATTAGACGGACAGATCTTGCCACCGCCACCGCGTCACGGCTGGCATGCGCCACAGGCGCAGCCCTGCGAATGAAGATGGGCGTTGGAGCTGTAGGATGAAGCATCCTAACCTCTCAATGACGCCGATGGCTTGCGAAGTGGACGGTGGAATCAGACATGAACCGACTTGATCAATTTCGAGGCAGGTAAAAGTACATAGAGGGGTCCCCAAAAAAATCAACATATACACAAGCCCCCCTTTTTTCTGCCAGATTTTATATTACTAATAGACCACCTGATTAACTAACTAACTAACTACAGTAGGCGATCGATTTCCCCCATCTTCTCTATTATTCTATGACGTCTTTGTTTATATGACGTCATCTAAATCGTGTAGGGTAGGCGGAAGGGCAGATGGCAAGATTTGGCTGACCGCCCGATGTACAGGGTAGGCTTCAAGCCTTCATCAAGGGCAGATGTCAGCCACTGCGCCCACGTCGTTCAAGACTGGATGCACCATTTGAAGTGGAGTCCATCGTGCTCCACTTCCACTGGCAAAGTGGAAAAAGGAGCCTGAGGCCATTATCTCCAATCTGATTCGCATGGATCTCGTCGCCACTCCACGCCATCATGCCTCCCCTGCTCACCCTCCCACAGCATCCCATCCACTAACCAGCCCACTATCCATAATCCACTGCCATTCCACTACTGCCCCTTCACAGCTTCCACGCTCGGACTGTTGATCGCATCCTTCCCCTCCAATGGCGCCGCGCGGCCAGGGTCCAACTCTGTTGCTTCCACAATGCCCTATCGGGATAAGAGAGGCCCCGCTTCCAGGGCAGGGAGCCTCTAACTGATGGGAGCGGTGGGGAAAGGATGCACAACCGATCGAGTCACATTATTGCAAAGAGGTCCCTCATAAATCATCTTCTCTGGACTCATTCTCCCCTGGCTGGTCGCTGCCATGGTCAGTCCTGTCCCCACCTCACACTTGAGATCCCGTCGCCGCGTGCTTCAGCCCGAAACAACTCCCTTCTCTGGAATTTCCTTGGTTCCAGTCCCAGCGCTGCCCGCTGCTATTTTCTGATTCTCATGTTAGTCGGTGGGGTATACTTCGTCTGGGTTTGCCCACAAAATTCTTTTCCCACTTACACGATACACTGTCTTCTAAGCAGCCGATCTTCATTGCCCATCGCTCAAGGACTAGCCCACTCGTGTTGGCGCAAGTTGTCGGCTAACAACCTTTTTACAGTAGCCCACGACTTGCCTCTCTTTCCCTCTTGCCTTCAACTCAACTCCTTGTTGTCGTTGCAATTTTCGATCTCGGGCGCATACGAACGCCAATAATCGGGATCGTGATAGCCCCGCTCCTGTCTGATACCCAGGGACCCCGGGTCCAAGGATGTACAATCGTATCCTGACTTCTCCGGGGTTAGCGGTACACCATGGAGCCCTCTAGGACACATCGGAGTGTTGAGCACAAAGCGGATCGCAGGGTGAGAGAACTTTACCGCTACTACCAGCCTGCTGGCCCCTCTGGCCTGATTGCTTCTTGGCTGTCTAAAGGTGAAGATTTACCGTCCTCTGGCTCTGCAGGGACCCCAGGCACCCCAGCTGCTAGCGATGGCTCGACACACGGCAGCAGTAGTGCCACCACGCGTCCATCCACTGCGATAGGCCCAGAAGCACTCGTGCTGGGTTCGACAAACAATACATTGACCTCGTTTGCGCAACTTGCCGCGCTGCGCTTAAATGCGGAGCGTGCTTTCATTTGCGTCCTCGATCGAGATCGACAGTTTATTCTTGCGGAAGCTACCAAATCGGTCAATTTAAACGATAAATCTGTTCATGACCACAAGGATGACCTTTGGATTGGATCGACTGGCAGTTGTAGAGCATGGAGCTTGTGCCAGGTGAGTATCTGAGATTTGGTGATGCGCTGATATTTCTAGAGCGCTCTCTTTCCTTCAGAACCCCGTCTATACCAACCAGCAGTATTTTAACAACACGATATTATAGGAAACTGTCGCTTTACCTCCGTCCGATCGCGAGACGCCCCATTACGAATATATTGTAGTCAACGACTTGACTGAAAACGAGCGGTATAGCCAGCTACCATTCGTGGCGAATGAACCCAATTTTTGTTTTTACGCTGGGACGCCCTTGACGACGGACAATAATATCAACTTGGGATGCTTTTTTGTATTGGACAAATCTCCACGAAATGGCTTGACATCGTTGGAGAAGGATACCCTCGGATCGTTGTCCACATTGGTGATGGATTATATGAAAGTCTGTCGACAAGCGTCGGAGGGTCAACGAGCCGCACGCCTGTCAAAGGGGCTGAGCTTCTTTGTCGAAGGAAGCTCAAGCTTCATCGACAGTGTTGATCCGTCCCGCACAGACAGTTGTCCTCCGCACTCCGTAACGCCAGCGTCCACAAATAATCGTATTAGCATGTCCGGGGGTTCTCGTGGGAGTCACCACTCCGATCCTGCGTCCCATGAGGTATCGCACAGCCCACTAAACGACCGATCGCTGAGCAGCGATACTCGGTCCACGAGCTCCGGTGTTTCGGGTGCCTCATTCTCGAAAGAAAACACGGGCACCTCGGGCGCGGCTAGCTCACTCCCGGAATGGCTCACCAGCAGTAGCCGCAATCGACTCCCGCCTGACGATTCGCATGGTAACTCATGGTGTTTCCGTCGCGCAGCAAATCTGCTTCGCGAAAGTCTTGCTTTGGACAACGATGGTGGCGTTGTCTTCTACGAGGCAACCAATAACACGTTTATGGATGCCGATGGTGGAAGCGACTGTTCTGGTAGCGATACCGGTGGTCCTGCAACGATTTTGTCCATGTCAACCAACGAAGATCCGTTTTCCCCTCGAGCCGGATCTGTCGTCACATCTCCAGCAGCCAATCTGGATCGCTCGTTCCTGAGCCTGCTACTCCGGCGATACCCAAGAGGCAAATTGTGGTCTTTCCATCGTGATGGGATAATCTCCACCTCTGACGACGATGATCAAATGCCTCGCGACGGGGGAACGCCATCCATCAATCGCTCGCCTCGTGGGGCTCCGGCCATCGATATCACAAATCCAATTGGCAAAAAGAAGAAAGCTGTCGAGAATTCTTGGCTCAACCAGTACTTCCCCGGCGCAACACAGATCCTCTTTGTGCCATTGTGGAACGCAGTAAGCTCTCAGTGGTTTGGGGGTTGTTTCTGCTACACGACTATCGAAACTCAAGTGTTCTCATCTTCTGTTGAGCTGAGCTCCGTCCTTGGGTTCGGCTCGTCTGTTATGGCCGAGTATAGTCGTGTGGAATCTCTGATTGCCGATCGACAAAAGGGTGACTTTATCGGCAGTATATCGTACGTTGACTTCTTTGTAGCATCTCTGTTGTTGAACCTTGACTGACTTTGTGATTTAGTCACGAGCTTCGAAGTCCGCTTCACGGTATCCTGGCGGCAGCGGAATTTTTGAACGGCACCCATCTCAACGAATTCCAGGATTCCTTGCTTGAGACAGTCAATGCTTGTGGCCGAACACTGCTTGATACGATGAACCAAGTTCTGGATTTCAGCAAGGTAGTTTCTTTGGAACGAACCTGGCGCTCCCTGAAACGGAGGAAGGAATCGCCGCTGGATTTTAAGGGGAACGATAAGCTCGCATCTCATCTGGACTCATATGTCGACACAGATCTTGCCATCCTTGCCGAAGAAGTTGTGGAAGGGATCTGTCTCGGCCATGCTTATGGCCAGAGTTCAACCGCTTCTGCCGACCTTCCGGTTCTACAGTCTCACAACAACGCAAAGTATGCGGGTGCTCGCAATAATGTTGATGTATCAATTGATGTTCAACATCAGGACTGGGTTTACCGAACTCAACCGGGTGCTTTGCGTCGAATCATCATGAACATCTTCGGAAACGCAATGAAGTATACCGAAGAAGGCCGAGTCTCTCTGAGCCTGGAGGCTGTCAGCCATTCCGAGGGTCGCTCCCGCCGGCAGGGTCTGGAAGACATTGTTACCTTAACAGTGTCGGATACCGGAAGAGGTATCTCTGAGGAGTTCCTCCGAGGCAAGTTGTATACGCCATTTGCCCAGGAAGATTCTCTTGCGGTCGGCACGGGGTTGGGTCTTTCCATCGTACGTAGCCTTGTGAAAGCGCTGAATGGTCATATTCGTGTTCGCAGTCGCATCGGTGAAGGTACAATTGTTCGTGTGATTTTACCTTTGGCGAGACCTGTTGGCGAAGAAAGTCCACCGGTTGAGCCGCATACATACAACGTCCAGCAGCGTGAAATCTTGACCCAAACACTTATGCTGCGCGAAGGCTATCCTGGGAAACGGGCTGCCATTTGGGGAACTGACCCTAAGAGCATGGCCCAGAATGAAACCTGGGGTGGGATTGCCAAGTATCTTACCGATTGGTTTGGCATTGAAGTTGTTGCATGGCCTTGCGCGCTGCCTTTGGATATCTTGCTCATTAGAGAGGTTGATCTGCAAGATTTACGAAAGGTTGAGCTTTCAGCGACCCTTCCTTCCCTTTTGATCCTCTGCTCCAAACCGGTGGACTATAGCTTGGCGCAGTCTGAGTGGTTACCTCTTGCTTCGTCTGTGGACATCATCAGACGACCATGCGGCCCACACAAGCTGGCTCGGAGTGTGCTGAAGGGCTTGCAAAACTCTGGATCAGCCGTAGTCACGCCTGCGTCTGTGGTGAAAGATCCCATGGAATCTACGGATCTCGTTATTCGGGCTCCGCCGATGTCGTCTGCTCTCCCCTCTCCCACCACTCCCTGCCCGATTGACGAAACTCTTCCGAATTTCGACTCTGAAAAGACTGTCGGTACTGGCCCAACATCTCTGGGTGAGCTCCCTCCCGACGCTTCCTCTGTCATTTCCGCCCCACCAGAATCCATTGCTGCAGCTCCCCTTCCCCGACCATTGGTCCAAGGGGCCATCGAGGCCACGCGGCCCACACAGGTCCTTGTGGTCGATGACAATCGTATAAATCTCAACCTCATGATGACCTTCATGAAGAAGCGTCGTCTATCAGAATTGGTCTCGGCAGAGAATGGCAAGCTGGCCGTTGAGGCCGTTGAGCGGATGTCGACTGGCTTTGACATCATCTTCATGGATATTTCGATGCCCGTGATGAACGGTTTCGAAGCGACCCGAGCTATTCGCGCACTGGAGCGAGAGAGCGATGGCCGTAGACCGGCTATTATTATCGCGCTGACTGGACTGAGCAGCTCGCGGGATGAGTCCGAAGCTTTGGCTTCTGGTGTGGATTTCTTCCTGACCAAACCAGTATCTTTCCGGGAAGTGTCTCGCCTTCTGGATGAATGGGAAAGGGATGGGTTGCAAAAGGAACGGAAGAATGAAACATGAGACATTCGTTGCTTGATGGGCTGGGCTTGTTTACTCGTTCCGAGGCTAGTGTGTCTCTCTCATCGTCTCTCGCTTACTAGCACGTGGTTTCAATTTCTGGACGTCACGCCCGGGTATCTCTTCCTTCTTATCTACCTTGGGATCAGTTCCATGGGTTCACCCCTTCTCTCATTTCGGAGCCTCTTTTCTACGAGATTCTGCACCGGCATTGCTCTTCTTCGGCGATCAGCTTTGATCATGTTACCATAACGTTGTCAAATAGTCGCCGCAGACAATGCTACGGACTGTCTTATCTTTGACTCTCCCATCGCCTGATATATTGTCTCACATTTTCATGTCATATTTGATGTTTTGAAGCGTACGATACACGACTGGGCACATTGCATTGAGGTCGTCAGCTGGGTATACGGAAAGCTACGATCGGCGTTATCTTTGATTTCACAATTTCTCTTTCCGCTGGGTTATCGGTTGCGATATGGCGCTTGTACGTTACGGTCTTGTTGCCCCCTAAGGCTGTCCAGATGGACGTTCTCTCTTTTCTTTGGGGGCCTGACGTGATTCGGACTACACTCTGCTGAGTCTTCCATGTGTATACGATGAAATGGAATCAATGTGAATGGCTTATCCATGACGATTAACTGGTTAAAATATATACATAATGCACATATTGCTTTTGATGATTGTGAAATTGCTAAGGATAGTTTGGTAAAGACATTGACACGCAGAAAGATCCAACAGCAAAGAAGTTGAAACACATCTAGATCCGTTTTCGGTTCCTATCAGACTATCTCTCTCTTTACTGTGCTCTGTAGTATCTCCTCGACCACGTTAGAGTTTCTTTGGGTGGTCAGGCAACTAATCATGCAGTAGAACCACTGAGGCCGTCCACAGATCGCCAAATACAAAGGCACGACCCATCAGCTCAGCTCTTGCACTCAAAAGTCGCCTCCACGTCCACCTTGTCTTCCGCCCCCCTCTCTTTTTATATCGATCTTTTGTTTTCGAACGCGTCTTGATCTATTACAGCTCACTCATCATCCTCATCAATATCGACCCTCTTCACCCCATACCGGCCTTGTTCAGGCTGTGAATACCCTCTTACTACTACTACCTGGTAACAGCTCCAGTCGCTCATTCACGCAGCAAAATCTCTACGATGGCTTCACCAGAAACTGTGTCCACAATCCTTGCGCGAGCCTTGCCTGATCTGAAAGCCGACGGTGATCCCACTGACAGCAGCACGCTGCCTAGTGTCGATTTTGTTGCTGGCCTGAAGCCGTGGTCTGCCTTCAAATCCGACATTATCTCCGATTTTCAACTGCAGCAATGGAGTCAGACCGTACTGGGTTACTATAGCCAGGGGCCATTTTCTCTTGAAACAGAATCAGTGTTTGTTGCGACCGAGCGTGGGGTACGTGGACGCTCCAACCAAAGGATCGGTCATATGCTGGGCAGCGTCTTCAAAGAGCAGCAGATCGACCTTAGATTTGCGGATTTTAAGTACCAGCCACATGTGATGCCAGATGTCCGGGCACCAAACTCGATCATTATAACTCGCTCCGCCGAATTAGGAGTTGTGGGAGAAGTGAGAATGCCCTGGGTTGCGCAGTATGACCTAAAGGTCATGGTGGATCTTATGGATGCGGGAGATGACACGAAATTTCGGCATGGAATTGGTGAGTCTATCTCTTGCTCTTTCAAAAATGTTTCAAATTGGCTAAAGTTTCCATTCCAGGGCAGCTTGCACATTCCATGAAGGAACTGGACATCAAGTACGGCTTTCTTACCAACTACAATCAGACGGTATTTGTACGCCAAGTATTGTTGTCGGATGGGATGGGCCTCGAATAATCACCCGTCATTTATCACAATGAGACATATGATGCCTCCGGGGGCAAGATCAGCATAAGACAGGCATTCTTTTATGTTGCCACGTTAGTCGCGAATGACTGGCGTTTTGCTCTAGCATCCAAGCTGCCACCTCGCCAAGAGCAGCAGGCTTGGACCGAAATCAGGCGTGATGTTGATTAGGGATGGATGTGGGTTCAGTCCGTTGCCACTTCAGCTTCCATGATGCCTATCTACTAAAATAACTTTATCATGCCTAGAGAACTCTTCCTTTCAGCGATTCATTTACTTAAAAACGCTATCGAGTACTATTAGAAGTCCTGATTGTGTGTATGATGGAATGAAGTCAAAATGAACGACTGCTTCATGACGATACATTACTGAAAGTGTATACATAAGACATGCATTGCTTCCTGTCGGCCATTGGAGAGATTAGTGGGGATATTCCTGCATGAGAGTAGTACCAGTCATCGGCTCAGCAAAATCAAGGTGAGAGAAAATAGTACTCCAAGTGTGATCAAGGTCCACATTATTGCAATCCCCGAAGATGCTTTGAATTATTAGTATATCTATAGTGTCCAATGTTTATAGAAACTTCCTAGCACTCACCGATCATGAAAACCATTGACAGCCTCAGCGGTTAGCAAAGACGCATCGAAGTCTTGCAGGGAGTCCAAAGGATCAGCACAATCTGGGAATAAACCCCACTCGGTAAGCTCAAATAGCACCTCAGAGATCATTGTCTCCCCAAAACCCGTGGTAGAGAGGGATTGGAGGATCTTCAAACATTTGCATATATTATCAAATTGCTGCTGAGATTTTGTGAGCGCGAAAACGCAGATGAAAATCTGTAAGATATCCAACGCGTAATAAAAGTCCAGCGCAATTATGCTGGATTGAAGGTCATTGGCGACCATTATATGCATAATCTCCAGCATTTTCTCCGCAGAGTCGGTGCAGATATCTGTGAAATGGCTCACAGATAGGTGAAAATCAGTCTCTCGTTGCTTCTTCCAGCACAAGAGCTTGTATAGTAGGAACGGTCTGCCGACTAGAAGCCGCATGCTATGATATCTTAGATGGAGGACCGAGATCGCCCGCTGGAGGAGGAGTGCGTTTGGAGTCGAGATGTTCAGATGCAAGGGAAGTGAGCCGAGCCAGTCCTGCAGGGAATTGAGTATCCCTTTCATTACTCTCATCTTCGGACGATGATCTGGTAACAGAGGCTCTCTGTACATCTGTGCCCGGATGCCTTTTCCCAGTTGTCCGAGAGTGCTGCATGCGGCGAGATAACCAGGCGGACTATATGAACCAGAAGGTAGTATCTAGATGACCTGGTTAAGAGGATGCGAGGATCAATGTAGAACAAGAAAACATGAACGTACGGTTTCGGATGGCAGAGGAGGAGACTGCCAAGCGGATTCTGTTGCAGATGGCTTGCCGATTCTTAGTGATAAGTCTTGATCGAATACTACGAGGGACCACCAAACTCGTCGAGAGTGTTCTCTCTCGACGTTACCATGCGTGGAGGAATATTTATCGCAGTGTATCCCAAGTGAGCATGCGATCTGAATAGCGATACTGCTGTAGATATATGCAGGGTTCGAGAAGCCCTGAGATTGCATAGCTGTTGCCTGTTCGCGGCCACTCAGAGAGCTGATTGTGAATGTTTGGGCGAATAGCTTGAACTCACCAATAGAACCATCGATCGAACGCTCTCAAGACTACCTTCATCGCAAGCCTCAGGCACAAAAGATTTCGCATTCTTAAGATAGTCCTTTGCAGTTACGCTATCCTCGGGACTGGCCAATCCGAATTTTGCGATTGCCAGAATGGAGCAAAGAGAGCATCGCCATGAGGCGGTTAGCATCTCTTGCGAGACATGATATGTCTCCTCTAGTTGAGCGTGAAACCTTTCCGACGAATAGAGCCAGTAGAGACAGTGGACGTCTTCAAAGTATTTTGTGACAAGTTTCAGACAAGTCTCCCATGGTGGAAGGACCATGGGCTTTACCAGTGGGCGTGATATCGGTAGCGGCATTGTCACCGTCACCATTGCAGGAATTACATCAGGGCTCAACGGTGTTTGAAGACCGTTTCTCTTGAAGCAACGAATGGCCGTGTTAAACGGTAGACCTGATTCAGCCCCCATATAGCCTATGAATAATTAAGTAAAGCACATATCGACTAATAGCAGGAAGCTCACGGTATTCTCCCTGAGAATCTTCAAGAAGACATCCTAATTTGTGGTATAGCGAGAGCACCTGTTGCAGTAGATGGTCTTCTGCCTCCTCCTCGCTGCTCGGCGTAGCAATGATACTATCAAAGCACCCGTCCTGCAGCTCCGTTTCCCCTTCTTCATTAAGAATGGCGGTCATTGCAGGCGATAATGCGTTAGTCGCGTTTGGCTGGTCGGCAAATGTTCCCTTGGCTGTTTGGCAACTCCGAGCCAGGGATCGAAGGTTGTCCGGAGTCAGTTCGGTATCGGGTACGTAGTGCTTGAGAATGATCTGCATATTCCTGAACTCTTCTTCGGATACAAAATAATAGGGTCTCTGGCGTCGCTTGTCCGGGTCAATACGGCACTCGGCATTAATACTGCGACAGTAGTCACAGGGACCAGGAACTATGAAAATCAAATTAAATTAGTTGTTCTGGTTGAATACTCCCCACTCCTAAAACTCGAATTGTATAGGGAAGAGAAGTACCTGGATTCTTGCACTGTAGTCCTCGCCAATTGGTTAGAATGAAACGTGGTGGAGAATTGGGTCACGTACTTTCGTCTTTCGACCCCTGCAACGCTCGCAGCTCATCGCAGTCCGGCTTAGTCGAGTGTCTTTACGGTGACGGGCCATGATGAATGGTAGTAATGCGTTCAGGAGAACTAACTGGAGATCAACTTAAGCAGGGTTGTGGGGCTACTCGTCGAAATCTGGGAAAGGATGCGGGGTTTGCGGGGAACCAGGCTCTAGTGTTGTTGCTCGGATTGTGGGCAATGATACTCTGGCATTATGACGTGGCCTGTGACGCATACTTGTTGAGAGGCTTTCTTTGTTGAATAGCTTCTCCCCAACATTGGGACTACTGTACTTGAACATAAGAGGCTAGCTACATATAGAAACATGGGTTGGAATGAAAATCTTTATGTGTAGAACTAGCGGGATACGAGCTATGGTCTCACAAAGGACTACCACAATCTTTCATTTGTTCGAAATTAGTATGCCTGCCCAGAGGATGCACACGTCTCAAACTCCCCAGTCAGTAATAGTTCGCGCAGGTGGGGCACTGCTGGCTCCCTCGAGCCATTTTGGTGCTTGCATATCCTCTTCGGCTACTTCTTGTTCCGTGACAGGGTGCCTATAATGGAATGGAACCACACGAGTGTCAGGCCACAACGAGAAATCCTCAAGGAGCTCATCGGGGCCAAGTGGGTCTGCCGGGAACTGTTCCTTGAACAGGGGAACGAAGTTCTTTGCTTGTTTCCAACCCAATTCAAAAGATCCATGCCAGAAAGGATAATAACGAAGTCTGAGAATCTTCCACACACCATCCTGCAGAATGTATTCATTTTCATATACTCCACCTTCCCACCATTGGCGATATCCACCCGGGAAATCAGCTGAAATGGACTCGTGAGTACCTGCACTCATGAGGGCGCGAATCCGAGCCTTTGCCCTCCCGACCTTTGGATCAAAGTCAATTATATCTTGCGCCATGAGATGGTCAAGGAGCCATCCGTCGATTGGACCATTTCGACCACCGACGAATCTCTTCGCGAATCTCTCGATGTACAAGCGGTCGACGCCTTTCTTTCCGTTGAAGCGTCCGTTCAAGAATTGGACATATGTATCGGGATGGTCAGCGAAAAGCTGAGAAACCTGGGTTATATTACTCGTCAGTTTGAAATAATTCACAGTAAAATCCTCAGGACTGACCTCCTTGTATAAACACTTGTCAAGGTAGTAGCCATACTTGTGATGAAGTTTGCGTACGTCCGACTCCCCTAGTCGAGTTAGTACAGCGCGCAAACGAGGAGTATCTAATAGATATTACCAGTAAGTTTGACTAGCGCATTTGACAGCTTCTCAACCTGAGCTGCTAGTGTTGAGACATCGGACGCTTGGCAGTCGCTTGACATTGTAAATGTTGTATATCAGAGAATGGAAGATGTTCCGGAAACAAAACTCAATTGATGATAATGAAACAGCTAAGGGATGCCGAAATTGATTTATAGACAATTAATGCCTGGTTCAGAGATCCAGTAAAAGATACTGGCCATCGTCGATGGTTCCGATGCACCACTTCCGTCGGATGATTGGAGCCGATGTTATTCCCTCGCTATGTAGCCACAAAGCCACATGCAATGAGGATTACGAGTCTCCACGACATTCGGGGCTTCTCCTATCTGACCAGATACTATTTCTATCAGTAACAGCGCCCTTCTTGTGGGGCACCCACACTACCCTTCGCAAGCCTCGGCAAACTATGAGTTCATTGTCAATGTCGCGACCCACAAGCCCCGATGATGTTGGAGACATCTTTTCTCTGATCAGAGGCGAAAGAAGGATTATACTAATATCCATTTTTGTTGCTTTGGCTCAATTTCAGTATGGTTACGATTCTGCTGCGGTTTCTGGATTCCAAAGTATGGCTGGTTTTCTCGCCGTGTTTGGATATGTGGACGTAAGTACTACACCGTGACAAGAGTCAGAGCTCAACTAAGCATGTCTGAAGCCTACGAACGCTCTAGGATATGGTATTCGCACATCTGTACAAACTCTTATTCAGAGCCTTCTCCAGCTAGGCGGGCTCATCGCCTCCGTTTTCATTTTCAAATTTGGAACTCGCATCAGCAATAGAAGAGGACTGTGGATTGGGTGTGGTTTCTCCATTATTGCGATTATACTCCAAATGAGTAGCGTTCAATTCGCTACCCTGTATGCGGGAAGACTTCTTCTTGGAATATCAAATGGTTTCTATCTGACGTATTCGGCTACATATCTGGGAGAGATCGCGCCTACCCATCTACGTGGCTCTGCCGTGGGACTTGTTACATTTCAAACCTCATTCGGTGCCTTGATAGGTGTCCTGGTCGACAACTATACGACGAAGTATCAATCCCGTACTTCATATTTGATTCCATTAGGAGTCATGTTCTTCGTTCCGGTATTTTTATCGATCGGCCTGATATTTCTCCCAGAGAGTCCACGACACTATATACGCCTTGGATCAGATGTGAAGGCTGAACATGCACTACGAACCCTTCGAGGGATCAAAGATCATAGTCAGCTCATGGCTGAAGTTGCTGCCATACGTGAAGCGTGGATGTTGGAGAATGCGCACAGTGAGAACATTCGGCTTGTGGACGCATTCAGAGGGACCAACCTCAAGAGAACATTGCTTAGTCTCTGTTGCAGCATCGGCCAAACAGCAAGCGGTGTCATATTCTTTTCCTCCTTTTCTATCTACTTCTACGCTGAAGCAGGTGTCAAAAACGAGTTTGTATGGGTCATGATGAGTTTAGCAATCGCTCTGACGGGCAACATGGGCGCCTTTTTTGTCATGAGACTCATTGAGCGGCGTGTCCTCTTGAGTATATGCTCCATCGTTAACGCCTTAATCATGTTCGCTATTGCTGGCGTATATACGCGGCTGAGCACCGGATCCTACACAGCTGCGCAGGTCCTCGTCGCAATGGGAACATTGTTCACATGGGTCTATGGAATAGGGCAGGGTCCTGTGCTTTGGGCACTGACGGTAGAGTTGCCATCCCAGCGATTACGATCAAAAACCGTTGGTCTTGCAACAGGCTGCAACTACATATTTGCGTGGGTTGCAACATACTGCTCACCCTATTTCATCAACCCAACCGCGATGAATTGGGGGCCAAAATATTGCTATATCTGGGGGGCGAGCAATCTGGTCTTAGGAATGTGGGCCCTCCGAGTGATACCAGATGTCAAGGGCAAAAGTCTGGAGCAAATAACAGGCTCGATGATAGGTCAGCCTGAGAAGAATGCTGATGACACAGTGGCGGCCTCAGGATAGCGTCAAACATCTGGCATATGCCAGAGCCTTAGTCCGGTCTGTATGTAGCTTTTAATAGCCTCAGTGCAGCCACCGAGAGGTGATTAAAGCTCGAAAGTGGACACGTGAAGTTTGGCAACATGCTCAAAGACAGGAAATCAAGAGAAACAAATCACCGAACACTGGAATTCCTACACAGTAGAACTGGGCTGTTTTCCCCCATTTTGAACTTTCCAATCTCGCGCGAGTCTACAATTTGAAATAAGCCTGATTTGGTGCATAGAATATATGGAACACTAAAGCTAATTATGGCAACTCCGCCAGCTGGAAGTACTTTCTTCATACCTCCAATGGAAGTTGGAACAGCTTGATAGCGTTCTCTCTACCTATCATCTCTTTTGTCCCGGGCTCTATGTCGACACTTCTCCACCATGTCTGGGCCTCTTCAATTCTGTCATAGGGCGTATCTACTTAAAGGTCAACAAATTTCCCCATTGCCAAGAAGCGCTGAAGAGTCCTACCGATTGAATATAGGCACCGGTCTGCTCCGATCTCTTCAATGCAGAATTTCAGACCAGGAGTAGAAAAGTTTCCGGAAGTTGTGATGAAAACATTGTGCTGGAAATAGTATTTATAGTCATGCTGTGATGGGCGAGCTATCTTCTTGGTAGGCTTGTTGTACCAATGGGATGCTCTCCACAGATTGAATGGAATACTGTCAATGGGTCAGTAATTTGTCAATTTTTCTTTTGGTTATTCATAGGTCTGACTTCTCTCCCAGGTGGCCCACTACGATCTTGAGTCCAGGGAACCGATCGAAAACGCCTTTGCAGAATTGTTAGCGAAAATCCTTCGTAGGTACGGGCTAGCAGGAAGCGATACCAGATGAGCACATTGCATAGATATGAAAAGAAAGATCCAAGTGAAACTGAACCCCGGCTCCCAGTAAATGCATGCGAGAACTGTAAACAGAGCTCTTGCTTTGAAGCTCCTTCTCGGACGGGTAGCGAGGATGAAAATATACAGGCACATCAAGCTCCTGAACCTTTGTCCAGAATGGATCGTAGAAAGGGGTGTCATAATATCTTCTTTCCCTGCCATCTGTCCCAGTGAGTTGGTAATCATTCACGATCCCACCATAGAAACCCAACTCCTTCACTGCCCTTTCCAACTCAGATGCCGCTTGGTATGGGTCGTGCATGGAAATTGCCGCGAGTCCTCCGAAGCGGCTACGATTTTTTGACACCTCGCTTGCCAGCCAGTCATTGAATTCGGTGGCTGTTTTCTCAGCCAGTTTCTGACCAGGGATGCCTTGACATCCTGGTGATGTAAGGGATAGTAACATGTACTCGACCCCCTCGGCGTTCATCGAATCGAGTCGTGACCCATGAATATCCATTAGTCGCGCTTTATGGGTCTCGATGGCCTGTTTTCCTGTATCACCGGGTGTCAAAATTTGTTGAGACTCCTGGAGCAGCCATGCGGTATCAGGACTGATGACAGCTTCCTCAACTGCAATGGTTCCTTTGAAAGTCATCGTGCTCTTGGAGGTTAAACGGACAAATATTCACGATGGAAGTATGCGTATGATCACTATGGAACCTAGATTAAGCCTCCATGTACATAAATATTTAAGATGGGGAACAAGCTATTAAATTTCGGCATTTACATGGCTTGACGTTCCCGATTCTTGGTCGAATCTCGGGAACATTACGCCGACAGCCCAGTGAGGAGCAATCACGAAGCGTGGCTAACATCGGCGTCAAAAACCCGAGGAATCGTCAAATTTCTCGGATAAAAGGAAAATCTGTTAGATTTCAGAACCATCTAGTATGGAAGGGTAATTTGTGCTACTGTTCACAAGATGGCTCACATCTACGAGGTTGCTAACTTGGTTGAATACCCCTATGTCGACGGTCGGAAGAAGGGAGACCAAGTCAAGTTTCCCGACACTCCAGTTTTCCAAACTTTCAATGCACCCTCCCGACTTGAGGGCGACATCTTTGATCTTGAGATTGACGGAACTATTCCACCAGAAATCAATGGCACCTTCTATCGGATCCAGCCTGATCACAGATTTCCTCCCTTGTTTGAAGAAGATATTCATTTCAGTGGGGATGGCAGCATTACGGCAATTCGAATCCAAAACGGCCATGCGGACTTCAAACAGCGCTATGTAAAGACCGATAGATTTAGAGCAGAGACCGCTGCCAGAAAGAGTCTATTTGGCAAATACCGCAACCCGTACACTGATTCTGAGTCTGTGAAAGGTGTTATCCGAACAGTCGCCAATACCAACATTACTTTTTGGCGAGGGATGCTTTTAGCATCGAAGGAAGATGGCCCTCCATATGCGATGGACCCGACCACTTTGGAAACTATTGGTAGATACGATTTTGAGGGCCAAGTGCAGTCTCCTACCTTTACCGCCCATCCCAAATTTGACCCAGATACGGGTGAAATGATTTGCTTTGCCTATGAAGCGGGTGGGAATGGAAATGATGGGTCTTGCGATATTGTGGTCTACACCATTGACGCCAACGGAAAGAAGACAGAGGAGGCCTGGTACAAGTCTCCATTTTGTGGAATGATCCATGACTGTGGAATCTCGAAGAACTATGTAGTTCTTCCGTTGACACCTCTGAAATGTTCTATTGATCGACTGAAAAAAGGAGGCAATCACTGGGCATGGGACCCCAATGAAAGCCAATGGTATGGGATCGTGCCTAGAAGAGGAGGAAAACCGGAGGACATAGTCTGGCTACAATCCGATAACGGTGAGGATTTTTCCTCTGGGATGTGAAAAACTGGAGCTAATAATCTATGCAGGATTTCATGGACATGTCGCTGGCTGCTACGAAAACGAGGAAGGACAGGTGGTCTTCGACTTGACGGTTGCGGATGGGAACGTTTTCTTCTTCTTCCCGCCTGATGGACAAGATGCGAGTACATTGAACGCAAGAAACCGTCTACAGAGCATTACCCATCGTTGGGTGTTTGATCCCAAAGGCAAAACGGGATCTCATGTCAAGCCTGAAATCCGCTGGGACACCAGTGGTGAATTCTCCCGTATTGATGATCGATTCGTTACCAAAAAGTACAATCATTTTTGGCAGGCCAGGATTGATCCAACTCGAGAATATGACGCGGCTAAGTGTGGCTCGCCAGCTGGAGGCCTCTTCAATTGCCTGGGCCACTACACGTGGGATGAGAAGAGTGAAGATGTACTCTGGGCCGGGCCACGAGCGACATTTCAGGAACCAACATTTATTCCTAAAGATGGCGGCGGAGAGGGCGAAGGATGGATCATCGCCCTTGTTAACCGCTTAGACATTCTTCGAAATGATATAGTGATAGTGGATGCCAAGAACTTGAAAGGAGGACCGCTGGCAATTATACATCTTCCTCTGAAGTTACGGCTCGGTCTACACGGCAACTTTGTTGACCAGCGAGAGATTGAAGGCTGGCAGCGTCGTCGAGAACCCAATGGTGAGGTTGGCCCGGCTTGTCCAGCCCAGAAACCTCTTGCGTGGCAGTTGAATGATTTTGCCTAAACTGGATGGAGTGTTTTCATAAAGATGTCATTGATATAGATGATTAACGAGGGAGTGCGCGATGGCAGTCTGGGCGGAACAGACAGGTCGAGACACGAAAGAAGTGGGCGATTAGGAGGAGATTCGGGTGGTGAAAAGCCCCCTCGGCATGGCCGAAGAAGATGCACAGAAGGCCAAATCAAATAAGAGGTCAGGTTTTTGTGAAAGGGTCAATCGGATATCAAGAAATCAGTGTTCGAAGATGATGAGAAAGATTGAATAGAATTGATTCTCCAATGATGCGTATAAAGGAATGTGTATCAATCTATATATCCAAAGCGTATCCTCCTAAAGGGTTCTTCTTCCCATCTCATATGAGGCCATTCGCCGAAGTCCTCTGCATCAACAAGTCAAAGCAATCAAACGATGTAAACAAATCAAACAAGAGAACGACGCGATCAAATCACCAAAGCAAGTTCCGCCTAAGAAATCGGGCTACCAAGCACCCGTCATCAGTTCCCCCACTACAATAAGTACCTAAGCGTTGCTGTGGTATATCCTTTCCCTAGCCTAATTTGGAATAATGTTACGTACCATCTTAGAAGTAATATGATTCACTTCGCTATTTCGTTATGATCATTTGTTGGAAATATTTTCCTCTCGTTGGGGGCTATGGGATTGGCCAGAGTAGTTCAACTATTAGCGAGCGGGGTTCTGCTGTACTTTGGCTCCAATTTAGGTGGGGTCGGACTCATCGAACCGATGGAACGGGAGACCCCGAAGTTGGAATTGCCGTGTCTGGTGTGAAGATCCCTCGAAGTCACTTAGCACTCTCTTTTAAACCCCTCATCTTCGCGCTTGCCTTTGCTCCTACCAAGTGACTACATTCCCAGGGAGCAAGCACCACCCATGGGGACAAAGCAGGACCCGAGAGTCAAGTCTTTCGAGACACGACTATTCATTAATGGAAAGGTTTGTTTACAGCACTGTATTCGTCGGTCCTTTGATAGCAGCATCGATCCTAACCCTTGTCAAAGTTTGTAGAGTCTTCCGATGGGGGCAAGTTTGACCTGATATCCCCAACTACAAATGAGAAATTCACGGAGGGTGAGTTTGGTCTTGAACACACCCTTCCATGCATGACAGTGATATTTAATATGATTCATTACAGTCTCCGAAGCAACCGTGGAAGACGCGAATGCGGCTGTGGCCGCAGCGAAGGCAGCTTTCCCTGCCTGGTCCGCTCTCTCACCCACCGAACGCGGCGTCTACTTTAAGAAGCTTGCTGCTTTGATCATTGAATCTCACGATGAATTAGCTGAGCTTGAAGCTCTGTCCATGGGTCGCCCAGTCTCTCTTTATTTCGAGTCCCATGCAGCAGCGCAGTCACTAAATCATTACGCCGAATCTGGTTACCAGGCTCTCGGAACATCAAGCTTAAATACGCCTGGTTTTTTGAACATGACTTTGCGCCAGCCATATGGTGTCGTGGGTGCCATAATTCCTTGGAACGTACCGGTGCTTTTCTTGATAAACAAGTCTGCCCCTGCATTATTGGCAGGAAACACGGTAGTGGTGAAGAGCAGTGAGAAAGCCCCGCTTACAGTGAGTCTTGTGATGGTTTGAGAATAATGAGCGACTGCAGAAATGCTAAATACGTTTTCAGTCTGCCAAGATTGCGACTCTCGTGGAGAAGGCTGGCTTCCCCCCGGGCGTTTTCAACATCATTTCAGGCCATGGCCACATCTCAGGCAACGTACTATCGCATCATATGGATATACGCGTTATCAGCTTTACCGGTTCGGGTAGAACTGGCCGTCTCATTCAACAAGCAGCCGCTAAGTCTAACTTGAAGAACGTGATTTTGGAACTGGGAGGAAAGTCTCCAGCGATCATATTTCCAGATGCCAACCTTGAAAGAGCTGTGAGGGAAACCAAACACAGTATTCAGTGGAATTCTGGTCAGGTCTGCATGGCTAACTCACGCATTTATGTTCACGAGTCAATCGCTCCCAAGTTCATTGAGCTATTCCAGGAAAGCTTTGCCAGGATCAAAAGTGGGAACCCACTGCTACCAGAAACAGATCACGGCCCACAGGCCGATGGCATCCAGTACAAGCAGGTGCAGTCTTATATCGATGAAGGTAAGAAAGTCGGCAAGATGATATTGGGGTCAGAGCCGTCCGAGAACCAGGTTGGATTCTTCGTTCAGCCTACTATCTTCCTCGAGACACCGGAAGACTCAAAGATCATGAGAGAAGAAATCTTTGGACCAGTCGTGAACATCAATACATTCAAGGATGAAGACGAGGTTGTGGCCAAGGCGAATGACACTGAATACGGTCTCTATGCTGCGGTGTACACGAATGACGTCAACCGCGCTCTCCGCATGGCAAGAAAGCTTGATTCTGGCAGTGTTGGCGTGAATTGCACAAGTCCTACCGGTGCTCGTGACATGCCTTTTGGAGGCTACAAAGCGAGTGGCGTTGGCCGCGAGGGATGGACTGTCAGCATTGACAACTATTTGGAGGTCAAAAGTGTGCTTATCAGAGTTGATGAGGAATGAGCTTCTCGGATTGGAAGTGCAGCATTGTTACCTTAGCACCGTTATGTTACCTCTCAAATTTGCCCATCTTGGCGAGTCATCACCAGTTTGGGGGCCAGAAGAAAGTCTCGCCTTTTGTAACAATTCCGCTTCTCTCTACATTCACTCAAATGAATATTTCGGGCTCTCATACCTATACTTCTACCAGAATTCAATAGCCTCCATAATACGTCGCATTCTCTAGCTAAACTTTCGTTTTCGATCTGATCGATCAGACCTATATTATATCCTCCATATATATCTTCGTACAAACAAATAATTAAAGCTCGCCCGCGACCTGCGTCAAGATTGTTCACGTATTCTCAACAAATTCCCACTCGATAGGTTTCCCACTCGATAGGTACGTGCAGGATGGATTTGTTACAGCCTAGGCCGTCAAGATGATGACTTCACAACTGGTATCTCATATCCAGATGGATAGAGGTTGGAGAAATCATAGTACAGCTCGTAGACACCGGTCACATTGGTTTCCTTGGCGCGGAAAGAGTCCGACAACGAGCCATCATCATACTCCCACATCAAGTATGTGCCGTAGAAGATGAAATTCGTGGACACAGCATCGGAAGGCGTAACGACACCATTTCCAGTGAAACCAACCGGTAGGACCTCATCCGCGGTGGGACGAATGTAAAACAGTGTGTCGGAGTCCAGAGTCACACCGGAAGTAGTTGCAGTTGTGATCATTTCTGCGTCCTGAATGACGACTGAGGACCGAGTTAGCAAGTTATTATTGCGAATTGTGTGATAAAATTACTCATTGCGAGGAGGCGTAGAACAACTTACAGGTGACATCAGTGGTAACAGATCCATAGGTCCACTTCGATGAATCGCCAGCATAAGCGATCCCTAGAAAATCGTGATTAGATAACGGAGCTCATCCCAGACGTAAAATACACACCGTCCGAATAGAAAATATCAATCGCACTAGACTCGAGGCTATATGCCACGAGGCTGAAGGAACCACTTGGGTTGCGCTTCAGAAGCGGCTTGACGGTGCCTGGGGCAGCTAGCGTACAAGAGGCAAGAGCCAAAACTGAAGAGAAGGTGCCGAGCTTCATGATCGTGCAATACTATATTGTGATCTTGTTGTTGAAAATTGCTGGATAGTTCCCTTTGTTGAGTACTTATATACTCTTTCTTCAAGCTGATAACCTTATGTTCGGCAATACCCTAGTTTATGGACCCACCGAAGGATGACGTGGCCACAGGATTGTAAAATTGGCAGGAAGCTGGCATTGGTGCCGCTTGAGGTAGTAAGCACCCTGAAAACAATGATTATTGTTTTACAGAGCGAATAAACTCAAACTTCGTGCCTTTTCATTGATTGAATCGAGCCTCGATTGTTGCATCGCTACGAGACGATCGTCGGTATGTTTATATATGAGCTCACAGGAGATGCAGTTCTGATCTACCATAGATAAGATCTGAAAATACTGGAATTAAGTATAAGCTGCAACGCAAGAGGCCACAGGGACCGCACGTATGTTCGCAGGTTATCCGACCACGGGATCATCGTACCTACACTCGACGATCCAAGGATGAGTATTTCCAAGCGATTGGCCATGAACCAATTTTGTGTCAATTTGAAGCTCAAGGCGAGCTGGGTTGCAATGCTAAAACACTTGGCGAGCGGCTATAACCCGAATTGTGGACCACATCGGAAGTACCAACTACAACTAACGGACAGGGTATAGTGGCAGTTGTGAATGGGTAGACTGACCCTACGGTGCTGGTCGAAGTGGACAAGCTAGCTATATGAAGAAAAGAGGGAATTAGTCAATGATTACGGAGCTCCCAATACCCTTGGGCATCTCCAAATTTCGCTTCCTAGCCAAAAGGGAGCCTCCTTGACAATCAGTCGCAAGTGAGGGGGTTTCCGGCTTCCAGTGACTACCTGGATAGTGAGATCGAAATTGTCTTCTCGATGAGTATGAAACCAGCCTTTCTGGAGATTATGTATGTTATTGAGGCTTAAAGCATGGGAGAACGAGGGAGGAGATAAATTGTGGCCACTATGTCCGAAATTTAATAGCGTTCCAGCAGCCATAACCGACGCTCCTCGTCAACCATGCCCTGTATGCGCTTCGATTCCGCACGTTTGACACTAAGGTAATTCTGCACGAGTTCCTTGCCCAAAACGCTTTGCAGCTTTTCGTTCTCAGAAAGAGCAGTCATACTCTGGGCCAGAGACTGAGGAAGTGGGGTCGTAATCCCAAGCCTAGATCGCTGAGCAGAAGTTAAGTCCGAAGCATCCACTGTGAAGAATATTATTAACCAATCGTAAAAGATGCCTTCGAAGGTGGCTTGTGTGGTGCAAATCTTACCGGTACATTCCTTCATAGCCAGGGACAAATTCTCTTCCAGGCCAATCAACCCACCAGCAAGTAACGCAGCCACAGCAAGGTAGGGATTAGCAACGCCGTCAACAGACTTGAACTCCCAGTGACCGGGGCCAATTTTACGCACGGGCGCCTCGCGGTTCTGGAATCCCCATGCAACCCACTCGGATCCAGACCAGATACCCGAGCGCACGCGCTCGTAACTTGCGTCCTGGGACAATGTGAAGGCAACGATGGAAGGATAGTGTTTCAAAACACCGGCTAGGAATGCATCTTCGCGTGCGGCCGGAGTTATGGAAACGTGAGCGTGCGCAGCACTCCCTGCTCCGTTCGGGAAGGGACGTGGGTGCAGAGTCGCGCGAAGGCCGTGCCGCTCGGCCACGGCCGTGATGACTTGCCGGGTGGCGATGAGTGTATCGATAGCAGCGAGGGGGTTTACGGGTGGGAGAATGAATTCGAATTGTCCGGGCGCGGACTCAGCGTGGAATTGTTGTAAGTGAATATCCACGGACGCCAGCACCCGGTTAATTTCATCCAAAATTGGGATCATTTTCCGTATGTCAGCGGTCATTTGAGACCAGGAATGGTTTTTCGTTGCGGGCGCATAGCCTGTTACTTTGCCAGTTTGTTGGCTTATGATTGGCTTGAGGAACACGACCTCAATCTCGAAGCCGCAGAGAATGTCGATACTGTGCTGTCTGTGTAGTGTCCCAACAATCTTTTGAAGACTAGTCCGAGGACAGCCATCGAGGGGCTTACCCTCTTCTGATTGCCAGAAGCTCATAACAGTCGCGCTAGGAGCGGCTGAAGCTGCCAGGCTTCCATTACGGTAGAGGCTGGAAAGATCTGGCTCCATGTAGAATTGCCCAGTTGTAGTTCCTTCGGGAGTAAGAGTGTCATCTTGCAGCATCCACTGTACTGCTAGCGTGATGCCAATGCGCCGGTCCTTTCTGGCAATGCGAATAAATTCCCGAAGCGGGAGTATACGGACCCGGGTCGTGGCTGTATAGTCGATCCACTGCATCCAGATATACTCAATGTCGGGGTTGGTCTGAAGAAACGCATCTAGTGGATCTGACACCCGGGAAACTTGGGTGGCGCTGAGTTGGGATAACACCTGAACAGTCCCAGGGGTATACTGTGCTGTCTGTTTTAAGCCATACAACTTGTTCGAATTTTGAAAGAGAATGTCGGCAGCGACCGTCTTGGCCTGTGTAATGTTATAGTCGCCGTTTTGGACATAGTCAACAAGAACCTGTGCGGGGATCTGGTCAGCATAACTTGGAATAATTCACCACGCATTCATCACATACAATCTCCAAGGCCTGCCGAAACTGCTTATTGGCCAACCAAAATGTCTCTGGGAAGAAATGCCCATCCGTACTCCAAAGTAGACGGTTGGTCGGCGTGATCTCCAAGCTCTCACGCAATATCTTCTCTTCGGCCTCACGGCTCACCATCGGAAATACCTCACCGAGATCAAGATAGACATTAGGATAGACACAGGCGAGATATCCTGCATCTCTTGTATACGGATAGGCAGAGTGCAGCAGCACAATCGGCGCATCGGGGTATTGAATGATGAGCGGCTGCAGGTAAGCCGGGTTGGCTTTGACAAGATTGATATCATTATCACCCAACCCAGTATGAAATTGGAGCGGCTTCACCACGCCGGCTCGCTTCCGAAACGTGATGAGCTTAAGAGTCTGCTGAACAAGCCAGTCATTCAGCGGCTTTTCCTCGACTCGGTACCCCGACTTTCTCGTCCCTGAATCAAGGGTACGGTGAAGCGAGGCTGTCAGCAGATCTTCATCCGGCGAATACGGATCAACGTCTAGCCCGGTGCGGTAGCAGATCACGGATTTGAATCCAACGACGGCTGGATCCTCCATAGCGTGGTCAAGCGCGTCAAGGAACTTGGCGCGGAATGTGCTCCACACGCTCTCGCCAGGTTTGCGCTCGGCACTCATGATTTCGCGCAACAGGGAGGCGGCGACGGCCTCGATGCGAACGATGCGCTTTGTCGGCGAGGATGTGAACTGATCGTGCCATTCGTATGACTCGACATCCTCATCTGACAATAGATCGTCTAGTAGGAGGGTGTGCGTGCCTTGGAGACTGCGACGGATCAGCCCGTCGTAGTCCTCCTGGACCCAGCGCGTATGCGCCGCGAGCACGTCATCCCAGTTGGCGCAGGAAGTACCATAGAGCTCACCAAGCTGGTTCACAGCACGCAGTAATGGCAGGGCGGTACGAGCATTCTCCAGGGCGCGACCGTGGGCCTCGGAGGTGATCGACTCGAGCGGGTAGTTATCGTAGTCAGCTGCCACGTCGCACCTCAACAGATTGTGTGCGTGGTTGTCGATCAGCGGGTGATTTTGTATCAGATGGCGGAGGGAGTCGAGGGATTCCATGGTGGCACAGTGTAGAGGAGTGGAGTGGAAGAGATTCTATCTCATCGCAACCCTGAGAGGAGAGATAAGACGTGATCGGTCAGCCCGACGCGGCCTGGAAGACCCTAGTAGGCAGCGTGCGGCCAGCTGGGATTCCCCTGCACAGTCCAAGTCTTTCCCCACGGCCCGTTACTGTCTGGTCTTGCTCCCTTTTGTTGTTTATTGAATTTCTCGTCCCATTCTTTCATTCCTATTTCAGTCCCTGTTGTGTCTAACAAATCCGCGAATCTTGTAGCTGAATTAGCAGCCCGCCCAGATCACGCGTATAGTAGGCTCCACTCACTTTCATCGCCTCCTTCAAATAGGCGGGAATATACCTAACTCCACGATGTTTTTTTTACAAAATAGGGACTAGAAGAAGTAACTGAAAAATAAGTATTCTTGAACTGACCGTGTTTAATTTCGACATGTCTGGGCCAATACCCCCGATGCGTGATATTCATGCGTAACACTGCTCATTCCATTAAAGAACGTTCAATCCAACTGCCAGATATCATTACTTCAAACTCATCGTGCATACACCTATGAGTAACCGGAATTTGGTGGAGATTTGCCCTTTTCGGTATGCAGTGGACAGTGGACAAGTCCCGAGCGACCCCGCGGGGGAATTGCCCCTTCCCCACACTTAAGCTCTTCCCACTTGGCGTGATCAGACCATTTGGTCATAGAACAGGAGTAGATTAGATTAGATTGCTTCCTTTCTCTCATTTCTGCTAAAGGTCATTCCAATTCTTGGAAAACAGCAAGCCACCTCGTTGTAGGAGGACGTGATCATGGTCAAAATCCACACCGAGCTTCCTCTTTGATCCAGGTCGGCTAAACTAACAAATCCCTTACGCGGTCGCTAAGAACGAATCTGATTATAGCTCCCTCCTTGAGCCAGCGGAGCCGGAAGGCAAGTATCAGTACTTCCCTCAGTCGGACTGGACTGAGGGTGTTTATACCGATTACCGGGCTTTCGATAAGGAAGGAATTGAGCCTCAGTATGCATTCGGATACGGTCTTTCCTACACCATGTTCGACTTCTCCAACTTGAATGTCTCAAAGAAGTCCGCCTCGCCTTCTACCTACCCAGCCAAGGCAGCGATTCTTCCAGGTGGTAACCCTCGTCTCTTCGATGAGCTCGTTACGGTGACTGCTACCGTCAAGCACACTGGAAGCGTTGAGGGCAAGGAAGTGGCCCAACTTTATGTTGGCATTCCCAACGGTACCGGTTCGCCAGCTTCGTGGCTTTAACAAGGTTTTAATCAAATCTGGAAAGTCGACCACTGTTACCTTCAGCTTGACTCGTCGTGACTTGAGTACTTGGGATGTTGAGGCGCAGGAGTGGCTTCTCCAGCGGGGAACTTACAAGATCTATGTTGGGCGTAATAGCAGGGACTTGCCGCTTGAGGCCACGTTAACCTTCTAAATTGAGGGATATGGACTGGTTGTTTGGGAGTTGTATCCAATGTATTAGACTGAGCCACTGAATTTAATTCATTCAATCTCGATCACTTTCCATTGCTTTGGGCATAATTGATGTAGCGTTCGCGGACTTTTCAGAGACAGAACTACCAATATACAGTAGGGATTCATAAGTTTGAATCCCACAGAAAAAAAGTTCAAACTCATCTCATCAGTCATACGTAAAAGGTAAATTTAAGAATTATCTAGAAGACCATTCAATGGAAAGGCATTCGGAAAGACCTTTAAAGAAAGTTGGAGCGTATTTAGATGGATCTTTTTCTTTGTCTCTAGATTCAGACTTTTGAGCTACCAGATGCCTCCAGCTAGACCATTATTCGAGGTTCGGTCTAGACCCTTCCAGACAGTTGATCAATTTGAGAGCGTATTTAATAATGGAATGAACCAACCCCAGCGAGCGCCGACTGTGTCCCTGTCGCTACGAGCAGTAGTAGTGTAGAAGTCTGAACTAGGAGATTATTTTGAACCTTGTCTTTAAACAAGGCTTTGTCAATGTACGTTGATCGTCCTCTCTTACTAGTTTAGTATGTTCTCAGGGTTTATCCGTCAACTCATGCCAAAGCTACGTTCGAGGTTTTATTTAACTTCCAAACATATGGGACCCCACTGGGCTACTTCACGACCACTTATGTTTTATGACATACCATGTTGGATATGTAAATACCCTTCTTGCACCTATCCGTGTAAAAGAAATAGCCATACAGCAAGAAAATCCCCAGAAGCCTCCCTGAATGGCTGATTAAACACTTTGCCGATAATTGCTTAACTCGAGGGCTCACCAGGTTTGTCGGGCAATCTAGATTCACGAAGAAAATTAATGATCATACAAAACAATCACAGCGCACCATGGCTCGCCATGGCTCGCCAAGAATAATGACTTTGGAAACCCCCTGATGTTTGGTTTGAGAAGGGACTTGCCAAATCAGGCAATAAATCAACCCGCTTATGTCAGTGAGGAAGTGGATCCGAAAGGTCAGAAGCCGAAAAACTTTACCAGCTGGGCCCGAAGATAGATATTCCGAAACCTTATTCGACTGTTAGCCCGAATCGATCCCGGTTCGAATTCAACTTGTTTTCCGCGCCTTGACCCCTATGTAGGACACAAGTTATCTGCCTCGTGCGCCAATTTGAGACAAATATCAGAGAAAATCTCCGCGGGACACTAATTAAAGCTCGTGAACTGCGGGATCGATATCCAGTTTGACCGTGTGTAATGAAGTAAAGCTAAGTAATACGAAACAATGCGACCAGCGTAAAAGGAAGAGGTCACACAGACGTAGACGTAAAGCACATCTCTAGGAAACAAGCCAATGAAGTTCTCATGCTCGAGATTACTCAATGAGTGCATATACTATAATAATGTCAGTCGGAGGAGACCTGACAAATTTGTAGTCCCCCTGAATCCCAAAGGCTGGTCTGTACTACAAATCATAACAGAAAGAATTGTGCGAGAACGCTAAGCAGCGATCTAGCATTGACTAAACGAACAAAGCTGGTGCCTACAAGTGCAAGCCAGTCACAGAGCTAGACAGAAATACACAGTTCCAATTTATTAGTCCAGTGCGAGCTTATTTGAACTATACCACGGACTATATACCCGGTCGGGTCTAGTTAATCAACGGCAATGAGACCACGAGTCAGCATAGTTTGACCTCGGTAGTACTCAATATTGGCCCTCAATAGTCAAGGTTCCCGTTTTAGTCACCAGATACTCGTTCACGGCGACATCCTTTCCACTCTCCTTACCATAACCTGACTCCTTGATACCACCGAAGGGTGACTCGGCGGCAGATTGGTTTCCTAAATTTTTGTTAGCCGAGATCAAAGCATTTCCCCATGGACCTCGCAAGAATAGTAGAGTGAGTCATTTACCTGTGTTCATTCCAATCATACCAGCCTCCAAGTTCTCTAGCAAACGCCACATACGATCAATGTTCTTGGTGAATGCATAGCTAGCCAGGCCCATGCTAGTCGCGTTAGCCAACTTGACCGCCTCCTCCTCGCTCTCAAAGCGGTACAGTGCGGCGATGGGTGCGAATGACTCCTCGTGTGAGATTTGCATATCCTGCGTCATGCCGGACAAGATGGTTGGCTCGAAGAAGTAGCCCTTCTGCGAGGTCACCGGCTTACCGCCCAGAATGACCTGCGCGCCATGCTTGCGAGCATCCTCAACCTGGCTGATGGCCTTGTCGATGCTACGGGGCGTAGTCAATGGTCCCATAGTAGTATCAGCCGCAGCACCGTGGCCCACCTTCAGAGCACTCGTACGCTCCTTCAGCAACGAGGCAAAGCGATCGTAGATACCAGCTTGCACGTAGATGCGGTTAGCCGTAATGCAAGCCTGACCAGCATGGCGCCACTTAAGAGCCATAAGCTGGTCAAGGGCCTGGTCAAGATTGGCATCATCGAAAACGATGAAGGGGCAGTTACCACCCAGCTCGAGAGTGACCTTCTTCAAGCCCTGGGCACAATGTCCAGCGACCAGCTTGCCCACTCGAGTCGAGCCAGTGAAGGTCACCTTCTTGACGAGCGGGTGCTTGCATAGAGCCTCGCTCAGCGGCGGGGTATTCTCCAGATCCGTAGTCAACACGTTGAAGACACCAGCCGGGATACCAGCGCGCTGTGCCAGCTCCGCGAGCACCAACGCAGAAATCGGGGTCTCAGGACTAGGTTTCACTACCATTGTACATCCAGCTGCCATCGCAGCACCGACCTTTCGTAGCACCATAGCCACGGGGAAGTTCCACGGCACCAGCGCAGCGGCCACACCGATCGGCTGTTTAATCGTAAACAGACGGCGGTTAGGTGCCGCGGGGACCGACACGGTACCCTGAATACGCTCCGCCTCGCCTGCAAACCACCACAGGAACCCGAGGGAGTAATCGAGCTCGCCATATGCTTCTGCCAGCGGCTTTCCGGTCTCATGGGTGACAATTTGAGCCAGATCGTCCCGTGCCTGGGTGGTCAAGTCATACCACTTGAGTAGCCACTTGGCGCGCTGGCGCGGGCTCACTTTGCGAAACTCCTCAAAGGCAGCGTGGGAATTCTGGACCGCTGCGTCGACATCTTCGGCGCTGTTGTTGGGGCAGCTTGCCCATGCCTGATCGGTGCCGGGGTCTACAATCAGGCGAGTGTGTTAGTCAGGTATAGGCGCCGATATATATCTCAGGGAGGCGTGTACGATACCGAGTACTTCAAATCGCTTTCCACTTTTCGCAGTCACCCACTTGTTGCCGACAAACGAGTCGAATTGCAACAGACTTGGGTCATTGAGCTATATCGCATCAAAAACTCGTTAGCCCAGCTGTGATAATGTTCCTTCGCTATATCAAAGTTTCCTGTGCCACTCTGCCAAAACACCTCGGACATCTAGCCGAAAGCCCCACCACGTCCCGCCATTCCAGAAAAAGGCAGCGCAGAGAACAGGGTCTTGGAAGGCGAAGAGAAGGAAGTCATACCTTGAATGGTAGTTGATATTGCTGTGCCATGGTGGGCGATATACTCAGAAACAATTGAAGAAGAGAGAGGAAAGAAAGAGTAATGTTCGGCGGGCAAGTTCTTATGAGGGGAAGCTCAACACCGAGGTAGGACCCCTCATCGCGCGGCAACACTCCGTGGACCCAAACTCTACCGCGTCCTCACCGATTTATAAGGTTCAGGATTCGGCTGCATGGAGTGGAATCCCAGTGAAGTCCGAAGAAGGCATTATGCGTCATCTACCCATTACTAATTAATTTTGTACAGTGTTCAACCCTCCAATTCCCAGACCCCAAACCCGGAGGTGGAAACACCCTCGCACTACACAGCAGGCACGTCTACACCAGACTGTCCATGCTGGCATGCTTTCCATCTCGTGACCGTCCATCATCCGGCGTCACCTCACCCACGGTATACTTGACCGAGACATCGGTCGTCTTGACAATACCCGCAACCCCATCTTCACTGCCGGAGCTGATACTCGGACTATCCCCGCCACGGCGGTACTTGCGCATATCGAAGCGGCCAGTCCTGTCGTGGCCGATATCGACAGTATGCCCACCATTGGGATCAGCCATCTCGTATCCATCGTCTGCATTGGAGTGTAGCTGCGACTTGTTGGTCGCGAACAGCTTCGATCCGGGGAATCGTCCACGCGAGCCGCTGGTGCTGGCGCCGTAGCCATATTTTTCGCCGCGGGAGGTACCGAGGAGACGGGGGAGGTATCGGCTGGCAATGGCTTTCATAGAGGGGCCACAGGCGGTGACTACAGCGACGTTTACTTCGATGGCGGAACTGCAGAAGCCGATAGAGTAGGTTGGGTCCGGGTTGTAGGTGTGGGTGAGGAAAGCCTGGGCGAGGATGACGATACGCCAGACACCGATGGCGGTTGCACTGTGGTGAGAGGGTTAGAATTTGCGATTGATGGTGAGATGGACTAGGTCTCGAGGTGTGAGACACGTAGAGAACTTACATTCCACCGAGGCAGAGGATGAAGCACACGGCGATCTTTCGTCGTAGGGGCATCTGCAGGCTCCAAGTGATGATGATAGGGATTGACAGCACCACCATGTCCGTGAACAGATTGAGCGCGGCAGTCGACACGTAGAAGCCACCTTGGTCAATGCACTTGCCCCCTGGGATCGACATGTCGTAGACATAGGCGACGGGTCGACATTGGAAGATATCAACAAACAGCACGGCGACAAAGAGTCCGATGACGAAGGCCATGGCGCCCCAGATGAGGCCATTGACGATGCGCGACTGGGACTCCAGTCTACGCAGGAATACCAAGATAGATAGCTTGATGACGGTCAAGGTGGGATTGTAGAGAAGCTGGTTGGCATAGTTCCACTGGTCATAGTTGTTTGAGTCAGTTGGAGCATGGATGGGACACAGTCGCAAGAATACTGACGATTAACCCCTTCTTGACATCATAGTCTTTTGGAATATCCGCGTAATGAAAACCGACATAGTTGGTTTTGATATCTGATAGCGGTGGCCATTCATGTTAGTGAAATTCTGCGAGTCTCCTTTTCTTTTGCCTCTCTTTTCTGTCGGGGATACCCACAATACCAAGAGGTGACGGATTGGCCGATGGCAAGAACCTATGCCAGCAACGTTAGTATCCCCCATTCAACCCATCAAAGAAAGGAACGGCCCCATACATATCCTGCTATGATCAAGTAGTCATCTAAGTAGACTCGTCAGTAGTCTGTCGATCACTGGGGGTGCAGGATCCATACATACCACTGGAGAGTGCCGATCGCGATAACTGACGACTCCAGAGCCTCAAGAGGACCGCAATTCCACCCAGAATGGGGAACGCGATCACAATCCCCAGCGCAATATTCTGTTGGTGAGTATCAACCATCTTCCAGCATTTCCCAAAGGCCAACACAAGAAGAGGGGGGAAAGGGAGCGAGAGAGAAAAGGGTTCAGGCCAGCGTCTCGGGATTATAACTTTTGATGCACGAAAAACCACCCGCCGCAGGCAAAAGATTTCCAGTTACAGAACTACTTCCATTATCGTGTAGGAGAGTCCTTTTTTTTTTTTTTTCCCCCTCGTGCTTACCAGAATTTACCGGGGAATTGCCCAACTCGCACCAGAAGGCGCCAGTAGTCCGGGCCCCAATTGGCTGTCCATGGGCCTGGAAATTCCGACGACTAAACTGTGGATAGCGACGAGGCTACGAGAGTCTCCACGAAGGGCCATTGATGATTTGATATGAAAGAGGACGAAGAGCCCGTTCAGGGCTTGGAGGTCGTACTCCGGAAGAACTACGGGAGGTAGTCCTTGTGCACGGAGAAACCCCCAAACTCTATCGCTTACCAACCCAAGAAGAGGGGGGTCAAATTGCCCCAAAAAGCAGTTTCGAGTCTCGATCCATAAAATCCAGGTATCTGCATTGTAAGAAATGTCCCACCTTGGAACAAACTTCAGGTCTTTTTGCTGAATAAACACTCTTGTTTCTTCAGCGCAAGCCTTGCAGGAATTGAGCAGAAGAGGCGTACCTGGGGCCAAAGAAGAAGAAAGAAAAAAAAAAACATTTCCGGCTTCTTCTACGCCATCGCGTGAGATTAGTTAGTTAGTTAGTTGATACTTGGCACTAAGTAAGTGCCTTTCGCAGGCTAACCACAGCCGTACTGGCGTCGCTACATCTGAGACGGTCAATCTCGCTTTTTGGTGCTCACGACCGAATACGGCCACCCCACCTCCCCAGACCCAAAACTGCATAGCCATGCATGCGTCCTTGTACAATTTCAGACGCAGGCTATCTATGTTACTCTGTTAGCCTGTTAGCGAGGGGAGTGCATTTTCCCCTCGTCATATGTACCAATCAGAGACCTGCAAAATAAGATTTCGCCTTTCAAAGGATTCGTCTAGTACTCAACAACAAAGGCAATTGCTGGTGGAAAAGAAGGGACAGCCAAATATGGGGCATACCGTTGATTCTAGAATTTTTGGTAAGTTAACTACGGCCGAGTGGAGAAGATTCTGACATGGATCCGATGGAAAAAAGATGAGAGTAGACAATAGACCAGGATGGTGTCGGCCTAGGACTCGATTAGTATGTTTTGTTTTCTGAACGGTATGCACAAAATAATGAGAACAAATAGTCAAGCAAGTCTTCCAAAGTGCACGATCTGTCCAAGCGTCCTCTGATCTTTGTCAATCCGGCCGATTCGGAGAATTCCCCTTGTGGAGCAGGAATGTTTTTGGAAAGTGGGGGCCATTCAGAGCCGAAGGAGAAAGGGCACAGTACGGGGGTACTGTAACGGTAGTGACGTACAAGTCCCGGGGGCCAATCTTATGCGTACAACTCTGTCGTTATGTCAGTATGTCGTATTTTGTTGTGTTGGCTTTAGGCATTGTTCCATTCTCTCTTTAGCCGGGATACTGCGGAGTAGGTACGGAGTATGTACACATTCTCCGGAACTAATTTTACCAGCAGTATAATCGCTCAACGGTGCGTTCTCGAGGAAGCCTGGCCACGTTGCCAGTAACTCCTAAAAGGTGTAATAATATGAATGCCTTTCGGCAAAAATAAGTTCCAAAGTCCCAAGCGTGAGGATAGTGCCCATTTGTGGCGGTTTCGTTTCATTTCAATCGTTCCTCCAGGTTCCGAAGTCACCTCGCTGGTCTAACCTAACACCATACGTAGTGAGTTGGCCGTCCTCTGTAAGCGAGGACCGTATCTCCGCCCGAAATCATTGCACATTAGAAAACAATGATGCCGGACCCCCGCAGGGACCAAGTCGATGGACTCCATTTATGACTATAGTGTATACAGTAACACCGTTGGGAGTGGGGCTCCCTATCGGAAGATAAACAGAAGCGCGCCTCCACCGTTGCGGTAACAAGTCCGGGCCCAGCAGACGGTTGGACACTGGCCTAGAGCACTTGTCTGCACGTTGTGGCGTGTTCTGCTCATCTTGTTTGCGCGTAAGCGTCTGGATAGCGCTGCACTACGAGGGATTAGTCAATTCTGCAATGAGGGGGCAGCTCATAAAGGAGAGCCATTTTCGGTGTCTTGGACAAAGCAGTGGTTGGCGTGGGCAGCCCGACCTATGGAGATTGGTCGAATAGCCAGCTCCAGTGGAGCTTCATGAGGGCTTCGTAGAGGAGACTCCGAGTGGGCGGACAGTCTCCATTGGATTGTTCTTTTCCCCTTGCAGTGTCTTGCCCGATAAGGCATAGCCAACGCTCGCAAGCTCGCAAGCTCGCAAGCTCGCAGCCCACCTCGTGGCTCGTTGAGCTTGGCCACGTCCGGTATCTCCAAGTGCCGACCCGTTTGGCTGGGCTCCTTTCGCATCTTCGAACCGCTTTAAAGCACTTCGTTCCCACCCCTGGTTCGTTTTGGAAAACCTCCATCTCGTCGATCGTGAGAAGGATTGAACGATTGGAAGTGTTGGTCCTTGGTCTCTGGTCGACTCCATTGACACTCTATCTACCTTTGTTAATACCTTCGCCATGGCGCCCCGTTCCATGATTGCGGGTGCCTTCCTGGGTGCCCTCGCCCTCACAGCCCCGGTCACAGCTCAAGTGGTGGAACAGGTCTCGTCGGATTCACAAGCTGGTGTACCACTCTTCACGAGTGAGACCCTTCAATTGACCGCAGATGCTCTGGCGACCTTGAGCCAGAACCAGTCCACTCTGTTCCAGTTTGGAAACTCCTCCACCTTGTCTGCCCGCACTGTCGGCGGATGCAAGGTCTTCCCCGGTGACTTCTGGTGGCCCTCTTCATTGGTGTGGACGCTCTTTGACAAGGTCCTTGGTGGTGCGCTCATCAAGACTGTCCCTCTGGCGGCCTCTTGCTATTCCTCCTGGCCCGAGTATGATGCCGATACTTGCGCAACCATCACCGATGACTGGACCAACTCCAACCTCCAGTGAGTTTCAGAACGCAAACCCCTTTAAACTATCTTCAATGCACAGTTATCTAATTCATTTTTAACAGTGCCGCCGATTCTGCCTCGGTGATGTGGCCCCTCTTCGAGGGCAGAACTTGTCTGCCCACGACTAATGCCTCTGCAGCCTGCACGGTCGGTGGCTACAGCAGCTATGCTGTCAATGTCACCAATGTGGCTCAGATCCAGCTGGCTGTCAACTTTGCTCGTAATGCTGGTCTCCGTCTGGTCGTCAAGAACACCGGCCACGACTTCAGTGGCAAGTCCACCGGTGCTGGTGCTCTGGGTATCTGGACCCACCACCTTAAGGAGATTGACTACATTGCGAACTACAAGACTTCCAGCTACCAGGGCCCTGCTGTCAAGATGGGTGCTGGTGTGCAGGCTTTCGAGATCTACGAGAAGGCCAACGAGCTTGGCTTCAGTGTTGTTGGTGGCGAGGGCAAGGTAAGTCATGAATATTCAAATTTTTATTGCCATTCAGTCAGCTAATTGGCTTGTGTTTAGACTGTCGGTGTTGCTGGTGGTTACGTCCTCGGCGGTGGTCACTCGCCCCTGTCCAGTATCTATGGTCTGGCCGCTGATCAGGTCCTCGCCATGGAGGTTGTCCTTGCCAACGGTCGCTTCGTGACTGTGACTGAGGAGAGCGATCCCGATCTCTTCTGGGCCATCCGTGGTGGCGGTGGTGGTAAGTTTGATTCCTCATCAGATAAATTGGTCACTCCTGATCTAACAATTCACCTCAGGTACCTTCGGTATTGTCACCTCTGTCATTTCCCGCGTCCACCCCAAGGTTGGCGTGACTGTCTCTACCTTCAGCTTCTCCACTGGCGCCGACGTCTCTGCCGATACCTTCTGGGCCGGTGTCCGCGCCTACATGGAGCGCTTCCCCGCCCATGCCGACGCCGGTACCTACGCCTACTTCTGGATCCTGAACACCGGCACTGACTCGTTCGTGTTCCTGATGAACCCCTTCTTCGCCGTTAACCACACTCTGGCCGAGTACAACGCCCTCGTTCAGCCCTGGTATGACGAGCTCTCCGACCTGGGCATCTCCATCACTCCCAACTCGAACTACTACGACAACTTCTACGATGGCTGGAGCGCCGGTTTCCCCCTCGAGACCGTCGCCGCCTCCGTCATGCTGACCGGCTCGCGTCTCTTCCCCCGCGAGAACTTCGTCAACGAGACCCTATTCAACACTACCTTCGACACCCTCCGCTCCACCATCTCCGACGGCTACGCCATCCTCGCCTTCAACCTGAAGGCCGAGCTGGTCGACGGATACCCGGACAACGCCGCTAACCCGGCCTTCCGCAACACCCTCATGCACGCCATCACCTCCACCAGCTGGGACTCCGATGCCACCAACGCCGAGATCCTGGATACGATGGATTACTTCACCAACACCATCCTGGGCAAGTGGCGTGCTACCTGCCCCGACTCTGGCGCGTACATGTCCGAGTCGGATATCCAGGAGCCCAACTTCCAGCAGGCCTTCTACGGATCCAACTATGCTCGTCTGTATAAGTTGAAGCAGCTGTATGATCCTTCTTCGCTGTTCTATGCCCCTACCGCTGTTGGCAGTGAGAACTGGGTCGTGAACAGCCAGGATGGTCTTCCTGACCAGAATGGTCGTCTGTGCCGTGCTTAAGTGTCTGGTTGGTGGGGAGTTTGCATATTGACATCTTGAAAATGGGTGTATATATTGTACAGTAGTGGTGCTGGGATTTGCATTACGTTCATTACTTATAGACTTAATTGGACATTTCATTTTTCTTTTCTCGAGTTGACTTTCTAGAGTTGAACTGCTCTCTACGGCGGTTTCAGATGGACTAGATTTCTTATTCCGTCGGAGTTATTTCCCGCACGAGGTGACACTCTCAGTTACCAAACCTTCCTGAAACGAGCCTGCGTGTCCATGAGCCGTAATTGCCTCGTTCATATAGATGCAGCCTACCTACCAGCTTGGGATGAAATGGACCGAAGGATGAATCAAATTCGACGAAGATTTACTGCGGGGAGCGCAGCATAGATGGAGTTGGATTCTGTAAATGCCATACCCCGAATCATTAGCTTGCCTATATACCCCCTAGAGTGAAATCATTCCTCCTTGGGTTATTGATCCCAGACAGTTGTGATCTCTCCCGTCATAGGAATACAGATATAGCTTACAATTAAAGTTCTTGCAGCATTTGGGCGGTTCCTACACTCTGAAGGTGAAATAGACATCTATCCTTTATCTCTAGATCCATGATGCCGAAATGGCTAACAAACTAATACCATTCAGTGGTGCGTATACCACATGAATATCGGATATTCTAACCATTGTGTCTACGCATGATGAGTTCGGTAGTAGTAGGCTATTCCCACCAATCCTAATCCGGACGGAACATTTCAGCATGACTGTGATTGCGGTAATTCCATGGGCCTATGGAGGACTGGGCTTTTGAAAGGCTTACTTCATTAAGTATGCCGACCACTGAGGGAATAAAGAGTTGGCCACTGATCGGGCAATCACGGAGGGTCAGGTAGGGTTGGTCACTCATAATATGACTCTTCTTACGAGGTACTGAGCGCCCTCGTAAAAGCGGCGGCAGCCGAGACCCTCCCAGCTGGTACTAGCATGTCTATGTAGTACAGTAGGTGCTTACCTACGGCAGTCAGCCTTTCCGTGCATGTGAATATGTAGAAATGAGTGGCTGTAGAAAATAGGTAACTGAGGATAAATGCCGCAGCGTCTTGAGGAATCCCGAAAGAATCAAACAAGGTTTGGGTTGAAAGGAGACGTCTGTCAAATCGGAGGACTTTTACAAGAGCGACTGCTTTGTCCGTTAATACATTCATGGACCAATGGGACAACACTTGAATACATTGTAAAAGTTTGTCAGTCGTCAACCAATACCGGACAAGAATTCTCCTTGTCGGAAAAGTGTAATCTGCATTTGCCTTCCATCTATTCCACACTTCTCGTTCTCGCTCACTAATGAAATGGATTTGTACTCGCAGCAGGCGTGGCGTCTAACCAATAATTCCCTCGGATCTTCATTCTCCTTCCCCTTGGGGCTTTGCCTAGGGACCCTGGCCGTTCAACGGCGCCAGCATCGGCAGTTGTATCCGCTACGCCACATCGCATCCACGTGGTGATGGCCAATAAAAGAGCATACAGGGACAATGGACTTAAGCAGTGGCGTGGCTCCCCCTCTCTTCCCCAAACCTTCCAGAAGATTTTTATTAGCGAACCGTGGGACTGTCTTGTTTGAAGGTTTGGTTCACCAATACCGACTTTCGGGTGTTCGGAACGCCGGAATTGGCAATAAGTGGGGATTTTTTGCCATCCTCAGGGACAATGATACTAAAGTTTTCGCTACGACCAGGAACCAGGCACGAAACTATCGCCCCTGGCTTTAACCGTGTTTCTTGTGCTTCGGAGTTCGGAAAATGATGTAGCCACCAGGGGTTCAGGGGTTGAGAATGGATGTCATATGTAGGGAGTGCGCTTGAGGGTACAGTAGAGTAGAGTATCCACGACGAACACAAAAGAGTTTACTTCATTATTTAATTCACGAATTGAGAGCAGCCAGCATATACAAAATACAGTTGAGCTAGCTAGGCACCGCTCGAAACTGTCAACCGACGGTCTAGACCTACTCCCTCGAGGCAAGATGTCGATCCGAAGAACTGTAAAGACCGAAGAACTGTAAAGACGGTGGGGACTGAATGAAAGGCTTAGAAAATTGAACTTCGGAACACCAGACATGATAGGACCACAGTATGGGGAGGAGGTGGAAATGGTGGTGGGGAAGAGGAAATCTTCTACACCTACGTAGCGATTTCCCATTTTCGAAGTTTTTGTGGCCACGTTCAAACCACGGAACTCATCTCTTTGCTTAAGTCAGGAAGATAGCAATGTTGGGTATAAGTATCGATCACAGTTCCCCTCAAGTTCCTTTCTTCAGTCTCTATCCAAAGTCCACATTCCTTTCTTGGGCCATTCTATTCAGTCGTTCTCTTGACCAGTCATTCTTTCTGGCCTTTTTGACACTCATTGACATCAAGTCACTTTCTCTTCTCTACTATCTTTAAACATCATGATGTTCCAATCCACTGTCGCAGCGGGTCTGCTCTTCGCCCTCGGCGCCTCTGCCCAGTCCGTCATTTCCAGCGGCGAAGGCTTCGGCACATACTACTACGACATCGAGCAGGTCGATGCCTGCGGTACCACCTTCGAGTACCAGAACATGGGTGGAGTCATGTGCAGCTCCGAGACCCTGCTCTCTCTTAACCAGATGAACACCAACAACATCGTCGCCATGAACAACACCCAGCTGGGCGCCAACCCATCCCAGTACTGCGGCAAGAAGGTTGTCGTCTCTGTCAACGGACAGCAGTCAGACCTGGAGCTCTTCATCGGCGACGGCTGCCAGCGCTGCGGCACCGGCTCCTCATCCAGTGATACCTGGAACTCAGAGGGTGCTCCGGGCCTGGACTTCAGCTACTCAGTCCTGGACCAGCTGTCCGGAGGCAGCGCCTGTAACGACGGCCACATCGCCATCTCATGGGAGATCCTTGACGAGTCTGTTTACGATTTCGATGGCAGCTCTTCCGGCTTTGTCTCCGGTGCTCAGTCTGCGACTCCAACCACGATGGTGACTAGTGCATCCAACGCCCAATCTACTTCTTCGTAGATGCCTGGACCCCCCGTGTTACCTGCTCTCCTGGTGCGAGCTGCCAGGGCGGTTCCAACCCGTGCTGCCACTGAAGAACATGGTTTATTTTCTGGACCCTTGATGGGACACCAATCTGGATTGGTGGGAGTTTTTTGTTCATATCTTTTTTAGGAGAAGCTTCTTAGTTGCTTGAGGCGACTGGAGCGAGTCCCTGTCACTATTGGTCGTTTTCTTTTTCAGATTCTATCCCCGTTGTGGTGATAAAATTGAAATATAGATAGTTTGTGCTCAATCGTCTATTCTTCGTTCTTCCAAAAATATTCAAGATAAGATCTTTCGTAAGCATATCTCAGTATCTATGGGGACGTCGCATCGTTGAAAATGAGATATTCAACTGTGATTTTATGATGATCAGACTCCAGTAGCGCAAAGCCTGCTTTACTGCGTCGTGCTGAACTCGAGTATCTAACTGTAGAAGTCCGAAGTACAGCTCGCTGATTGGACAATTCTGGTGAGTAAGCAATCAGGTGACTGAGTGCGCATCACGGAGCGATACTGAGCAATCACATGACTCCAGTCTACACCGATCGGAGTATGAGCCCGTCTGTATACTATACTACTGTACGTGGACTTGGGGACCTCAATCTGAATAATCCGATCGCCCTTCATATCGAGATACATAGAATAAGAATAGCAGGAGGGTGCACATGGCACGAGCATCCCCACCGGGTGCTGCTTGGAAGATCATTGATTCGTTGGCTTAGAACGCACAGTGTGGTCATGAATCAAGCTTACAAGCCAAGCTATTGATGCCAATGCCGATCGCGGACTTGTCTTTTGAATTGAACTCTAATGGCCGAGTCGGATTAAGTTGCTTTGGATGAGGATACGAGCAGGCAACTGCCAATCCAAAGTGGTTGACTCGCGCCATCCACCAATCAGGGCCCGCCGATGACCACATGCCCGCGCTGCTGGCAACCAGCCCATCGAAAGGGCTTCGCAGGATCCAAAAGAGCCAAAGAAGTCCTGAACATGGCCAACTTTCTTCGACGCCTTGGCCTTTTAAACCTCAAGGGTCCTTCTCGCATGGCCTCAAATTCTCTGCGCTGACTCAGTCCTGTCAGGGGGAACACCTCCGATCACGATGAAGGTTGCTCGTCATGCGCTCCTGGCCGGACTGCTCTACGCTGCTCTGAGCGTCGCATTACCCTTCCAGCTCGTCTTGACCAGCGATACCCCGACAATTCGCTTCAAGGATAACGGGCTCCCCCGGAAGCGTCTTCCCGAGCCAATCCACGAGAATAAACCATCGTTCAAGCAGTACATCGACCAGGCTCGCGAAGACTCACAGCTACTTGCTGCTGCTGCTGCTACCCCGGACACCGAGTCCAGTGTATCCGAGAACAAACCAGAGCCCGTGGAGTCCCAGTCAGAGTCCGAGAACGATCGCGACCGCGCATTCCGAGACCACTACGGCACCGTCCTCGGTAAATTGGGCAAATTCATCTCCAACGAGGACATTGCGGACGCGCAGCCAGCCAAGCAGACGGAAAAGCAGCAACCCAAACATATCACCTCCACCTCTCGGATCATCACATACCTCAAACCCATCGATCTACTCGACATCATCGACCGACATGGCCCCGAGTGCGTCGCACTAGCCATCTTCGTCCTAGTCCCCATCGCCTACTTCCTCCTCGAACTGCTCGAACTCGCCATCGGATATTGTGTCCACGAGCGATATCCGCGTCGCGGACGGGATCGCGTGCGCCTCTTGGGCCCGGAGAGGCAATTGCGGGCGTGGAGTAATAAGCAGCGTGAACAATTCCTGGAGAGTGAGAAGCATTGGTGGCAGGTGCAGAGGACGCGCTATTAAAGTGGTTCTACGGAGCTTGGTGGATACTATCATCTCTCTTCTTTTTCTTTCTTTCTCTTTGATATCCTTTTTGGCTTACGATCATTCCTTTATTGATACCCATTATTCTAGCCCATCTTTCCAATGACATTTGATTTTCGTCATCGTAGTTCAGATTCCCAGATCAAGCATCTCATTCGCCCGGAGTAATCCCCGCCAAGACTGTCGGACAACCTTCAGGCGGCTAAACACAATGGTCTCAGCGCCGTAGCCTGAACCGTTCACCTCCCGTCGCCTTTTCCTGCTATCAAACAACAAAAACATACTCGATGACAGATAATACCACCCACGATGCGTAACGTATTCGCCAAGCTACCAAATGAGATTCTAAACCTCATACTCAACCACCTCGACCAAAAACATGATTGGCTGATGCTGACACTGTCCTGCCGCCTCCTCTATACCCGAATTAACCCCAAACTCTACGAATTTATCGAAACGCCCTGCTACTGCGTCGGCATCCACAAAACCCTAGTCTACACTTTCCTCGGTCACCCAGAACTATCAAGCTCAGTCCGCGGCCTGAAAATCGGACGACTGCCTTACGGAGCAAACCCAAAAGCGTACTCCAATCATCAACACGATCACCATGATAGACTAAACTCCAAACAAGGACTCTTTCAAGTCTTCGGAATCCACGGTCCAAAGACCTGGAAGCGCAGGCTTAACGACGTCATTGAGATCCTAGCAGACAGGAACTGGGAACGAACGCAATGGATGGAAGACCTCCAAAGCGGTACCCATCGCGACCCCTGGCTCGCCATATTGCTCTACCTCCTACCCAACCTCGAAACTATCGAACTCTTCTGGGGCGGCACCGGCACACGATATTCCTCATGGGTACTCTCCCGAATACCCCAGCGATACGCACCATTCGACCACCGCGCCCACTGGGCAAATCTCCATGCGGCAATAATCAAAATCCCCGAAGACGAAGGCGCAGACACCAATATCCACCGTATAATGCCGTTCTTTGTCATCCCCAGTATGCGCACCTTCAGGGGCCAATTATTAACAGACAAGTACCTGGAACCAACCCTCAACATCAAAACGTCACCAATCACCCACCTCGAATTCATCCAGTGTAGCAGTGTCCTAGGATTTAGCTACTTGATCAAACTGTGTCCCAACCTACAATCATTCAAATACACACAACAAGAAGACGATTGTATCCACCGATCACCGGGGTACAACAACATCTACTTCGACACGCTCCGCCCAACCGCCTTCAAAGACATCCTCTCCACAAAAAGACACACTCTGCAATCCGTCACCATAGACGTTTCCCGCCGCTGCTCGGATTACGGCGGTTTCTACTCTGACGATTGGATCGGGTGTATGGCTGATTTTAGCGAGTTGGGGTATTTGCAGATTCGCGCGAGCAATTTTATTGGGAGGGGGGAGGGGGGCGAGGTTGGATGTTGATCCTGAGCCCAGGGTTGCGTTGGTGGAGTTTCTTCCGGCGTCGATTGAGGAGCTTTGGATTTCGGGGATTGGGAAACGGGCTATGGGGACTGTGATGCGGGAGTTGGTGGGGCTGGTCTCCGTATCGAGGGAGCGATTTGTGGGGTTGAGGAAGATTGATGTTGAGGGGAGGAAATGGTTGGAGGAGAAGATGGAGGGGGAGGAGCAGACATGGAGGAAAATGTATCCGGATTATGGGGTGTTGCTGCAGGAGGATGTTTTGGTGGCGACGGAGGAGGTGAGGCGGGTCTGTTTGGAGACAGGGGTTGAGTTTCATGTTAGAGATACGAGTGTTGAGGCGACGTTTGAGGAGTATGATGATGTTTTTTTGTTTGCGAGGGATGAGGAGGAGGATGATTAGATCTTGATACTGGGGCTGCTATGGTGATGAATGACTCTATGAGTTCGATAGAACTCGTCATTCTGATATTTATCCAGGGAAATTCTCTGTGATTAGATGAATGATGATTTTGGAAGTAGATAAATCGGAATTATAGATATGGGGGTCAAAATGGAAAAGAAAAATCCACAACCAAATACATTCCCCTACAACAGTCTCACAACCCTCCCGAGAATAAAATTCACTCATCAGCGCTCTGTTGAGTAGTCTGCTGGACGCCATTCTGCATAGCATCCAGGTGAGCAAACTGGTAGGTATCCTCGCCCAGTGACCAGGCCATAACACCACCCAAATTCTTAGCCTGCATGATATCCGAGAATTTGCGAGCGATGAGGTCGGGTGTATCCCAAGTCCAGAAGAGGTTGGTCTCCTCGTCCCAGTAGTACTGACCGCCCTGCTGATCATCGGTCTGACCGTCCTGGGAAGCGCGGCGCCAAGAGTCGGTGATGGAGATGCCCTTGCAAGTACCGTAGTCGGATTGGCAGCCCGCCATGCAGAAGTCGTCGCCAGATCCGCTAGGAGAAGTTAGTACGTAGATTAAAGTGACATATCGTCGATGATAGTTCAAGGACTTACCAGTTACCGTAGGCGCTGCAGCATGACCCGCTTGGGCACTTGGTACCCTCGGAGTAGCCACACCTGCCGTTGTACGAAGTGGTCAAGTTGGCAGGAGGAGGATCCATATTGCCCTTCTCAAAGGTGAAAGCCCCAGACTTGCCATTATCACTACCATCATCGTTCTCGAGCTTGACCACCTGGCAACCAATCGGCTGCTCCTTGCAGTCAGAGTTAGGATCAGTGGTGAACCACTTCGCATAGTAAGCAAAGCCAAGGTTGACTTTCTCGGGCTCGAGACCCAAATCAAGATAAGCCTGGACAGTATCCAGAGATCCCTCGACACTAGTGTGGTGAGCGGTAACGTTGTCGCGGCGGTTCATCAGATCGTAGGTCATCACGTTGACCATGTCGACCGACTTGAAGATCTCAGGGCTTTGCTCTTCGGTAAAAGCAATCATGTCCTGTTTGCGGCCGGGGACGGCGATGGAAAGGGTCTTGTTGCCGATAGCCTCGCGGACAGCTGCGAGGAACTTGGGGTAGGTCTGGATCTCGTCGACCTTGTCCGAGTTGGGGACTTGCTTGTAGTCCTGGCCGTTACCGCCGGGGTACTCCCAGTCAATATCTATAAAACGGGTTAGAATCAAGAATTATTCAGGTACAAAATTTGGTACTCTGATTCTATCTTACCGACTCCATCGAAGTTGTTAGCGTCAAGCATGGCAGCGACGTTCTTCGCGAAGCGCTTGCGGCTGGTGTCATCCTTGGCTCCATCAGAGAAGCCTGCAGTGTCACCCCAGCCACCAATGGCAATCATAACCTTGGTGTCAGGGCCGAAGCGCTTGCGCATAGTGTCCACAGGCTCGAATGGCGTGAACGAAGGAGTGGAGTCAGAGTTGAACAGCTTTGTTGGCGCAAATGCCATGATCGCGTGATCAATTTGGCCGGTTTGGTCGCTTCCAGGGAGATCGACGGTGTGATATCTGGACCAAGTTAGACTCGGGTTGTAGTTCATCGCTCTTTGTAGAGTACATACTCATCAATGTACATAGCGAACCGCGCCGCAGCGGCGCTCTGGGCAGCCAGCAGGCCGAGAGCAATATTTTTCAACATGGTGAGTCCGTGTCACGCGACTGCTGATAGTAGGTAATATAAAATGGAATAAGAAACAGAGGTTAAATAAAAAAAAAAAACCCGGAGGAGTTACCCAGCTCACGGAAGGAAGAACGGACAGCACGAAGCTGCAAAAGCAAACACAGCAGACAGGATAAAAGAGAAGAAATGCAGGATACACTGGAATTAAGGCCTAATAAACTCCAGCAACCAGCATAACATACTGTAGCAAAATATGCCCAGAATGATCATCGGGTCCCAGAGTTTGGTCCACATCACGGCCGAAGAGGACAATGCCCTCAATATCCAGAAACGCACTCCACCAGCCAGTAAAATGTTGTACATGGGGTCATTTCACAACGAACATGTATTCCATCCCCGCGGCAACGTGGATCTCTACTGCTGCAGGCAACGGATCATCATCCCCAACAGTATGGGGAACGAGAGCTGAAGCTACCGCAAGAAAGACAGGGCGCTGGAATGTCCGGCACACCGGGTGGCGCCAGGCCTGATTACCTGGAAATCAGGTTGACTGGCCAGCAGGTCGCTTGGATTCATCTGCATGGCAAGTTAGTGAGATCTTAAAAAGTATAATTTGCTGAAGTGTAGCGCGGGAATCGAGGTCGTTGTGCTGCGGGAGGCTTGTCATAGATCGCGGTTTGGTGATGGCATGCCAGACCGGGAGTGCATTCATTCCCCTTCCAGTCGCATTCCGTTGGCGTCACGAAGTATTTAACACTGGGGGTAGACACGGATCATTTGTAGGGGCGGTAATTTGAGAGATTAAGCTACTGCAATAACTTTCAAGGCATTGGTCTGGCCAATTCCTTATGCTAGTACTCCTGGCATTGAATTGCTGCACTACATTGTCTTACTTCTCACGGCAGCATCATATAAAGGAAGATGAGAACACGGTGGTGAAGTCACTTTGAAGTACAATAATCTAGGGGTATAAGATGAAGGCTTTGAAACGCCCGGTCTATATGACAGTAGCGAAAATTATCGGCGGAGAAAGAAGAAAATGACAAAAAAGCTGATTAGCTTCAGTTCCAATGTCGTCGAATGATAGGACGTGCCGGATCCCAAGGACCAATGACCACATTCTTGTACTTCTGCAGACTGATCAACCACCAGCTGCACCCACCCATCGAAAGGGCAGTCAGAAGGCTCCCAAGGAAAGACCCGATAACGGCAGAAGCCCAGCCCCCACCGAGTGTCGTGCCAACAGCTCCTCCTGCAATGATAACCAGAGCAAGTGTCAGCAAGATATGGCCCGTCCAGGATTTCTGTCGGAGCTGGCGACGGAAAATCGGGAACAGGCCGAATACTTCCATAGAGAACAGCATTAGGCTGAACACGTGTGTAGTCGAAGGCAACCGGGAAGCAAGCACTGTAGATGCCATCACCGCGGCATTAGTGGAAAGAGAAGCCGGAAACTTGGTCGTGGCGCCAGCGCCCTCTCCGCTTCCGTAGTCGAAGGAGAATATGTTCATGATTAGAAGCCAGCAACTCATCGCCCAAATTGAGTCACTGGCGGTAGATTTGGTGAGCGATTTCAAGATGGGACTCAGCCCGAGCAAGGAAAAGTAGATCAGAAATGCCGACTTGACGGTCGATAAGCGCTGGCGATTCCGTGATGAAAATAGGGATGCCCGCTCATTATCTTGTACATCCGTACTGCCGAGGGCAACACTGGGCGTCGAAGAGGGAGCGCCAAGGCGCAACGCCGGATCTCCAAAGCCTTCAAGACTGCCATTTAACTCCGCAGTCAATTGTGACATTTGCTCTTTTGACCCATTCACAGACATTGTCAGGCCGAGACCGTGAATTGGACTTCCTTTCGTGCCATTCGGCCGCTGGTCATTGCCGGATGGATTCACCGCGCTGGCCAAGGAGCTTGAACTGGACCCGTCATATCCACCACTCGCAGCATTGAGGCTTTGCGCAAGCTCCGCTTGCTCTCGCCAAATCCAATTGTCCCATAGAAACCAGCCCATCGCGGTGCCGACACTGCCCCAGCAGACAATAGAAACGGGACTCACCCGGTCCTGAACGATGCCGACGAAACAGCAAACGAAGATGACGACAGAACAGACATGTTGAACAATGACAGTAGAGTCAGATACAAGAGGCCAGAAGTCGTAAGGTCGTACTCGAGGGTTTCGTTGTAGATGGTCTAGGAAGGTTTCGGTATCGGTATAGTTGTCCGGATCTATCATAACCCCGTTAGTCGCTTTGTCAAATTCGCTCACAAAAGCCGAGTTCCAAAGACATACAAGACTGTTTCACCCATAGCAGCTTCTTCCAGGCACCCTTCCGCCTCCGACGTGGCCCAGCAGCACCCAATTTCCTCCCGTCTTTGCGGGTCAAATCGGCGCCAAGCGTCCCCTGAGGCGGCCGCAACGTCGCAACACCCGAGGCATCACCAGTCAATGAGCGCAAGCTTTCCTCATAGTTCGCGGGGGCCGAGCGCACTCGGGACAGAGATGGCGCAAAATAAGCGTCCTCCGGCGCCAGGCGATCGGGGTCAGGGATGTGGTCTTGCTCAAGATGTTTGGGTCCTGAGGCCCGGTTTGGGTGCGTGTCGACAGGAATGGGCGGCGGAATTGGCGACAGCGATGAGGATGGTGGAGTCATCGAGCTGGGGTGGCTAGCATGGATACATGGCTGTTTGTGAAAGAAGAGTGACGGGGGTAGTGTCAAATGGCCGACGTCGTAGCTCGAAGAACGCGCAATCCCACGTGTCTGCGGCCTATGGTCATGTGACCACACCGAGCCCTGAGCTCGTTCTATATCATACTCTACAATTTACACATGAAAGGAGACATCATTGAGCTGTCGGACTTGGGATTTCGTTTGTGGTAAATAAAGATATATCAAATTTCTTTTTTGTCTTTGAGGACTAACGGCTGGAGTATTCACTCTTCAATCATGACTCAGGACCAGCATCGTATCCTTTCTCTCCTAAAGTGAACCAACTCGGGTCACTTCAATCACCAAATTTCGCCGATCACGAAGATCTAACTTCTCAATCTCTTCACAGATGAGTTCAAACTCTTTATTGCGCCCCTCTCTTATGCATCTCTCCTGTGGAATGCCTGGGATCTTCAGGAGAAGCACCACTCCACCAGCCGCTTCTGCTATATGATAAAATTCCCTTGCCTTCTAGACGAGGGTCTTCCCATTGCATCTAGCAATTAGAAAAACTCTTGTGACGCCAGTATTGCAGGTAAGCAGCTTGAACCGAGCTTTGGTCTCCATAGACAGCAGAGCATGGCCACCCGAAGAGGCAACGGGCGCGTGAGAGAAGTTGTCTTGCGTTTTGGTGTCTTTGCCACTGGGTTCTCCGTCCCGTGCAGATATGGCCCTGATGGGTTCAGCGAGTGCGTTACAAACGGGGGAGGACAATAAATATTCTTCTCGTGGAGAGCAGTCTCTACAAATGCCGGATCAAATTTCAAGCTCGGTGGTGCTCTGAATTGTACGGCACAGACTCCAGACTCAGAGTTATCCACTCCGAGCCAAGTGACGAAGTAATAGAAGTCCGAAACCGTCGACTCGTTTAATTTTGAATAAAAAGGCTTATGTACAAGTCGAATGCGCTAAGCCAACCGTGGCGGTACTTTCTCGGAGAAAGGAACGGCCACGTAACATACCTGGTTCATTGCATACGCGTCACACCCTCTGTAATTATCCACGACGGCATAGAATGAAACTTGCAATTCTCTCTCCATCCTTGCTAAAGATATGGTCCATCAGCGTCGTCGAAGATACCCAGCAAGGCGCAGTATCAAGAAACGTGATGTTAAAGAAAGGAGGAAGGAGACCTCGATGGATCTGCTCCCATTCCTGAATCATCCTCGCAAGATGATCCGGAAACGGGCGAATGGGGCCATGAATGAGTGAGAAAGACCAAGATGGTCCACGAGCGGAAGAAATTTCAAACAGCGCTTTCTGCGGGTCATTTTCAGCAAGCTGCACCTCTGTTAGGTAGCTAGATTCAACTGGAGAATTTGCAGCCGCATACGTGGGTGTCGATTTTTGAGCTACCCCTACTTGAGATGGGGGGAATGCATCCTCATCTTCGGTGTCAATATTGATCGCTTCAGGTATGGCTTTAGGTGGCTTGGGCTGTCTCGTAGGAGCCTTGGACTTCCGCCTAGGGGCCTTCGGCTGACGCGTATCAACTCCGCGTCTTGAATTTTGGCCCTTGCTAAGTCCCTTGGCCCGGGGAACAGTAGATTCACGCTTCCTCCTTAATCCTGCTGATGTGGGTTTGTGTTGCGGCAAAGTGGACTCGACATCGCACTGTTTCAGTAGCTAATGGAGAACGTCCTTGCTCCTTGACAGATTCAGAGCGTGGAAAAGACTCCTCTTTAACCTCTTCATCAGCCTCTTGACCCGGTGGCGATGTTTCTGTACAAGACCGTTCAAGTGAATCTATCTTAGTCTCGGACTTGATTGTCTTGAAACCATTTGACAGAGATTCCTCAGGTGATATTTGGTCGATGGAAAGTTCTTCGATGGGCTCAAGCTTCACAATCGCAGGCCTAGCAGAGGGCGATGGATAGTGAACGGACTCGGCATGTGGAGACTCGACCGTAGGTCTTGGTCTGGGGTTGTCATGAAGCCGAGTTGGTGTGAGAGACTCGTCTACAGACCGGGTGACTCCAGGTTTGGTGGAAAAGGTGGGTCGGCCATTTCGCCCTCATTCTGCATGTCTATGATACGTATGTAGCCATGTGCTAAGTTTCTGATGTCAATTGAAATGGAATGGGTGCAGAGACGATGGGGTATTATGCACAAACCTAGAAATCGATGATCAGAGAGGATTGTGAAGAAGAGTTGTGGTGTAGCGATGGGCTAACTCTGTACAAAGAAACGACCACCGCAGGTATTCCAGCTAGGTAACTCCATATTGAAGGAATAGCAAAGCACTGGTCAACCAAACACTCATACAGGATTGCTGTGGACAGGAAAGTAGAAGTGGTTTTAAAAAACGGTTTGAAAGAAAGTCCGTGTGGCAATTGCATGTGCAAGATTTCCCAAAAGAGTACTAATTAATACACTAACAGGCTGCCGGGATAAACCTCGCGTCCTGTTATCATTCTATCTGATGAATAGCTCCTCTAAAATGACATGTCGGGGCATGTCGGAGATCTCCAAAGGGTATATGATTGGAGGAAGACTTTTTTCCTGTGGTTCAATATGCGGTGTGTCCTTCTGTAAACTGGAGCAGAAGGGACATGTGATTATCGTGGATGGAAGAGCAGAGCTAGTCGAAGCTTATACTGCCAAGCCAAATTGCCATAGGAAGGTGTAGAACAGTCCCAGATTAGGCTTCAGGCAGTGGTTGCAGCAAGCTCGACTAGTCAAGTGAAGTGTACATTCCACGGGGTATCGGTTGTTCCTCCAGATTTGGAGGTGATGATTGAGAAGATGGTACTCTGACCATTTCTTATGACGACGTGGGAGAACCATTCTGTTCAGCATTCACAGAATTCTTGACGATATTTCGGACCGCCTGCGGTGCCACCACCTCGTCAATGCTGTTCCTGCGCCCCCAGTTCTGCGGCTGACGTCGGATGAAAGCACCGACAGCACCCAGGTAGCCCTCGTGGCGCAGGAAGTAGGCCTGTTTCTCGCCCTTTGACCAGAAGCGAATGGCGTAGGAGAGAGTGTTCATAGTCTGACGGTGGCCCCGTATGAACGATCCTCCAAAGTAAATATGTTTGACTTGATGCTTTTCTGACTGCAGGTAGGCAATTTGGCCGATATTGTTGCTGATTGGGAGATGAGTAGATATTTTTGCAAGACACGAATAACCAAGACATACCTGATAGCATATAGAAGACTCCGACTCATATCTTCATGTCGGAAGTTGACGCCTCCGTTGCTGCGCTCGAATTCCTCATCGTGGATTAAACCCTCGCCGTCCTCGGCACCGCGCTCAGCAGCATTCTTCAGCCGGAATACCTTGCCAAAGGTACTCGCGATGGCCGTGCTTTTGAGTCCAATCTTGGTGTAATCCATGCCGTATATATCCCCCACCAACATATCCACCCCGGCATTGTCCCCACGGTCCGCCATGGCCAGCATGTCGTCAAAGGTGCGGGCGCCGGTGAGCAGGGACATGATCCCCCAGAATGTACCTCCTCCAAGATGGGTTCCCCCTACACGTTCAAACTGTCTGGGGCCGGAGACCTTGATCATGGACACACCGGACCCTATATTGACCAGGAGGTAGGGGTAAACGTCCGGTCGGGCCTCGGCAAATTGCATCGGTTCGGAATCGGCATCGCTGTAAGTGAATACCTCGTTGGGAATTTCTGTGATAAAGAAATCGAGACCTGGTTGCAGGAAGAGAAAATGCGATTAGTGTGAATTCCCTCGAATTTTTGTCCATTTCCGGTCGTCCGAGCCACCTACCGATGATCAGGCATTCCATCTCCTCCTCTCGCAGAATATTGACGTCCAGCGCCTCCTTCAGCTTATCGTAGAACTTGAATGCACCGCCTCCAGTAGCTACGACGCACAAGTCATCAGGTACGGAGCCATTGCGCTTTTCGTGTTCCTCCTTGAGTTGCCGGATAAAGTTGATGCAGATGTCGATCCGGTGGGTTTCAAAGTTGATGAAATTGAGGCGACCGCCATTGTCAGCAGCGTCCAGTTCGCGTGTAAAGTAGACGAGTTTCGCCAATGAACCTCCGATCTAAAATCTCATCCATTTCGCAGTCAGTCTCATGTTATTCAGGGGACTGCTCGTGCTCAGTTGCCTCCCCGTCGGCGGGATTGCGGGGGACGGTCGCGGGTGCGGGGCAATAAGCAGCGACGAGCAAAAAAAAAAAAGAAAAGAAAAGCACTCCAGGAATGAAGACAACTCACATCGACGGCGACATGGCTCACGACCCCAGTGTGATGTGGCAGACGAATATCCTTGGTCTCGTAGTGAACGCCCTCGGCCTCGACGGGGCTGCGCGACCGAGGCTCGTCGTCGACGATAAAAGCGCCCTTGACGTTGATCTTAACGGCGCCGGGATTGGAAATGGCCTCCTCGATCCGTGGACCCTTGCGACGGACATCCGTCGTGGTATCTGAGGGAGCCATGGCGATTGCGGAGGGCAGCGGCAGGGGCAGTAGTGGGAGGGTGCAGGAGGTGAAGCACTTGAAGCTCTCTCGGTGGTTGATCCCGTGCCCACGGTTACGGCGTATATTTCCTTCTACCCGCACTGGGAAGTTGGAACACACTGGAACGGGGTTCCACTCGTCGCTTTTCCATGCTCCCAGTGGACCGCGTTGCATTTAAACCGATTTCCGGAGTATAGACGGGGGTACTACAGTACTACTGTAACTTATTTTTTTTACAAGACTTACAGTGGGTTGGCGTGGAAAGGGCCGAGGATCATTGCTTCCGAGGTTCAATGAGGATGGGAATCTTCCCGACCGATTGTCCGTTAAAAGCCGAGGACCTAACCAGGCCCGAACTGGGGACATTTGCATCAATTGAGGAATCAGGTGGACGTCGGTAGATACAGTAATAGTAGCTTTCCAATTCTCACAATTTCCACCTTAACCGTGCTCAATTAGACCCTCGTTCGGCTAGTGTCGGTGGAATGGAAGAGATATATATCTCAAGTGGACACTGCATCCTCCGTAGGAGGCACCCACTACCTCGACATCAATACATTCAAATTTCCAAATAAGGGCCATTGGAATCTTTTTAATAAGTTTATCTGTTCAACAAAATCATGTACGGGAGTACTCGGCCAATCTTGGATTATATGTGAGCCGTGGTCATATTTTGTCTGGTAGATATAGCTACCAGGCACCTCACAACTAGATGATAGGCATACCGGCTTGAATCCAGTTCAACTAACTGCCTCATGGCAAATAGGCAGTTCCAATAAAGACACTATGCTGAGGATTCTTGCTCAAGTTGTCCGAGTAGGTAGGTATTATTTGATTTTCCATACTAGATACCTACAATTGACGGTGGACCTTTGCCCCGGACTGCCTGGGAGCTTTCACTCGATGCCTCTTCCACGAACCCCCAGCAAACACCCAAATGCTGGAAAGCCCCTTTAGCGACATTTCCCAGTACTTGTCTTTGGGATCAACCAAACTCCGCCAGAGGAAACTGCCAAAAATGCAGCCCGCAAAGGAAGGCACGACTGCACCAGGCCTCTTTGTTTACCTTTCTCCTCTTCTCCCCTCCAGATCGCTTTTCTTTCCCTTCTCCTCTTCACCTCCAATCGTCTACCATCTTCGAGAATCCATCGAATCATCGATTCTGAGCATCATCCTCGTCTTGCATTCAATCATCATGGACTCTTACGACGAGATCCATGATGCCCTCCAGGATGTCACCAACAACCCTGATGAGATCGTCGCCGACGACGATGACGCCCAGTTTCCTGCCCAGGACAAGAAGCCAGCGTTTTTGAACCCCCAGGAGGCTGGCTGGTCGGAACCCGTTCCATTTACTTATGACCGCTTCGCTATCAAGGACTTCACTGACTGGGCTGGAATCGCGCCTCGGTACGAATGGAAGGAAGAATACGGTGAAGTAGGCCCTCGCAACGTGGAGCTGGAAAGGCAACTGTTCAACGCCGAGTTCGTTCCTAGAGCAGGCGAACGTTTCAATGAGTGGGTCTTGCAGGTTTCATTAACTATATTCCTTTGACATGGTGACTAATTTTGTACCCAAACCAGGCTGCAGCAAGCTGGCGAGCAGGCCCCGTACTCGGTCAATGTCGAGAGTGAATTAACTCTCGAGCCCATCACCACCGTAAGCCCTAACAAATCCTCCATTCCCAGCTGACTACTGACCATTCCTAGTTCGAAGAAGCTGGAATCCACCCGGCTATGATCGAAAATCTCCAACTTTGCAATTACGAATGGCCTACTGCCATTCAATGCTACACGATCCCTGCAATTCGGGAGGGCCGGGACGTGATTGGAATCGCTCAAACTGGTAAGCAATTCTCATTGGAGACTGTGCAGATCTCGATTTACTCACATACTTAGGTTCCGGAAAAACTGGTGCCTTCTTGATCCCCATCCTCTCCAAGCTCATGGGAAAGGCCAAGAAATTGGCAGCACCTCGACCCATCATTACGGAGGACTGGGATTCGAAGCGGCATGGAGTCCTTGCAGAGCCCCTGGTCTTGATCGTTTGTCCTACTCGAGAACTTGCCAACCAAATCTTTGATGAGGCACGCAGACTTTGCTATCGATCTATGCTTCGTCCCTGTGTGGCCTACGGTGGTGCTCCGCATAAATCCCAGCGCGAGGAGCTTCAAAAAGGTTGTGATATCCTCGTCGGTACTCCCGGACGTATCCTTGATTTCATGCGTCAGCCCAACACCTTGACGACCAAACGTGTTCGGTACGTGTACATCTTTAATATTCTAACATTTCTTATTCAGACTAACCATTCTCAAGATACACGGTGATTGATGAGGCCGACGAGCTCCTGCAAGCTGACTGGGAGATGGATTTCAAATACTTGATGTCTGGTGGAGGTACGCGGTGGCTTGGGCCCAATTCCCAATAGCAAAAATATATTGTTTATGATACTGATTCATATCCTCCAGACCAGAACGAAGATGCTGATCATCGTTATCTCATGTTTTCGGCTTCTTTCAATAAAGAGTGCCGAAAGCTGGCAGAGAATTATCTGAGCAAGGATCACGTTCGAATCCGAATCTCTCGCCCAGGGAGTGTTGTAAAGCATATCCGGCAAAACGTAATTGAAATGACTCTATTGCTTGATGCTTGATTCAAATTACTGACGTTTTGCTTACCACCTAGATTCACTGGATTCACAAGTCCGATAAGAAACAGGCTCTGTACGATCTTGTCCTGAGCTTGGCACCCACCCGCACCCTGATCTTCGTAAACAGCAAGTTGGAAGTGGACTATGTCGACGACTACCTGTATAACCACGGGCTTCCCACGACTTCCCTGCATGGAGATCGCACTCAGCCGGAGCGAGAGGATGCAATGTAAGGCCGCCCCCCTCCTCACTTCTATTATGACTTGTGTCGATCACGAACTAATATTTCTAGCCGTTCGTTCCGCACTGCCAAATGCCCAATAATGGTGACCACTGGGGTGTCCGCTCGTGGCCTGGACATCGTTAACGTCATGCATGTGATCAACTACGACCTTCCCCGTGCTTCTCAGGGTGGCATCACCGAGTATATGCACCGTATCGGTGGGTTTGATAGTTCTTGGTTGACAATTATTTTGTTTCTTGATGAAGCTTCCAGCTGATGAATTTGCACTGATCTTAGGTCGAACTGCTCGTATTGGTAACGTGGGACTGGCAACCTCGTTCTACAACGACAATGATGAAGACTTGGCCGCAGACCTCGTTAAACTGCTTATGGAGAATGATCAGGAGATCCCACCCTTTCTGGAACCCTACAAACCATCTGATGCGAATTTAACCTTTGGGGATGACTCCACCGATAGTGAGGCTGAGAAGGGACGAGGCGAAACTGGTGCCTGGGCGGCCGGTAGCGACGACGCCGAGGAGGAGAACGAGGGAGATGACAAGGGAGAAGACGGAGATTCTGCATGGGGCCAGGATGCTGAGGCTGCCGAGTCGACTCATGAGGAGCCTGTTGATGAGCAGCCAGCTGCGAAGCACACGAAGGGGAGAATGCCTGCCCCCGCTCGCCAGAACATAAACAAGGACGATGTTCTGTGGTGAGGAGAAGGTCTCAACGCTGACCACTTTTCAGCCCCTTTCGACTGTTGACGACTGTCCACAGTGTCGCATGGGGCGATGAGAGATTTCCTGTGCGATGAAAATGACTTGGTAACCCTTTGACAGTTCTTTGCTTCAAATCAACTCCAGCGTCTCCCATCATTCAAGGACTGACGGAATGTCTTGACGGCAATTTCTATCCGACCTGGAACTCATGGTGTCTGCTTCCTGGGCTTCTTGTTTTTGCAATTTCTTTGCGAAGATCTCGAGGTCCTATGGGCATGCTGTGAGGTGGGTCAAGAAAAAGCTATTGGATGTTCGCTGTCTTCTCTACGAATGGTGGTTGATTTTTGGATCGAAAATGCTGAATGCTTTTTAATTCGCCAGTTCGTTCAATTTGTAAAACGTAGGAAGTCTGTAAAGAACAGCAGCAGTGTGGAAAAGAAGCACTCACTGCATCGCACTTTCCAAGTCGGACTCCACTCCCATAACCCAACCCGACCTAAGTACGGCCATTTCAAATTCACAGGCAACATCACATTCTCTAATCATTTCTGCATACCGACCCATTATTCACTCTTTGATGCAGGTACACCATGCGATACTCCCTCCCTTTGATCACGCCAGCATTGGCCTTGACCTCAATTCTCCCGACGGCGACAAGTCTAGTCATTGGGCCCTTCGAGCAGCGTCCCTACGAGCAGCAACACTGGTTTGAAACTCGACAACAGAAGAGTCAACGTCCAGATACTTCAAGATTAGCAGCCTCGCTCGTTATCGACACCTTTCAAACTCCTCTACACAATGATCTTGGGTTCTGGCATGGCACCGGCGAGAACTTGACTTTCCAGCACGAGCCTGGGTCCATGCGCTTGTTTCCTACAGACCCGGACCAGAATTTCCACACGCAGTTCAACTCACATACGTGCTTCAGCTTGTCTCCCTGGAGGGACCAGTATCTGCATGTGGTGTTCGAGGGCAACGAGGACTTTACGGTGTCGTTGAATGAACACAATGCGGAGTGCAATCCGGCTCGAGCGCCTTTTCCTGGTGTGCCGGACAGCGTTCAGGCCTCGCGATACGTTATGAGAACTCGGTCGTGGGACCCGGATGATGGAAGTAACGACTGGGATGATGATTGGAAGCTGGGGAAGCAAAGACGGCCTCTCAAGCATCGACTCAAGAATGACACTAGGAATGGTGGCCGCCAGCGTCCTGCATGGTCGAAGAGGAGCGAGCTGTTCATTCCGTTGTCCCATTTCCGCGTCAACCACGAGCGGCTTGTCTCTGTCTCTTTCACTGGATTCTACACTGATGAGCCCCTTACTCTTTATCGGGTCGAGATCGTGCCGGATGTTCCTGGCCCATCCTCGTGGAATAATTACTTCCACGTTCCGAAGAAGCTTCCAACAGGACAATTGATCCTGCGGTGCAGTCGACCCAATTCATTCGCCTTTGGTATTGACGATGGTCAACCTGAATATGCGCAGGAGGTCATGCGAATTCTGGATGAGGAGAATGTGCGGGTGACGTTTTTTGCTGTTGCTACCGGACTCAGAGATAGAACGACCAATTTTACCAGGTTTTATCGGGAGATGCTGAGGAAGGGTCACCAGGTTGCTCTGCATTCGAACACTCATCCTAAGTGAGTCCTGTCAGACTGTGGTCTAATCACTCAAGGATCCATGACTGACAGTTTTCAAGGATGGAAGCACTGCCGACCTTGCGCGAAATTGATGAAGAGATCATCCAGTCCATACGAACCTTGCAGGATCAACTTGACATTCACTGTACTCATACCCCTTCAGTTCCTACGCTGAGAAACACACTAACATATCTTTGACAGCGAGATACTTCCGCCCACCCTTCGGTACCGTCGGAGTACGCCTGCGTCAGCAGCTGGCTCAGTACATCGACGACCCATACGTCGTGAACTGGAGTGTCGATGTCGAGGACTGGCTCTGGGAGAATTCCACCACGCCAGAACGACAGCTCGACGCATTCTACCGCGATGTCGCTAGAGGGGGTAACCTTGCGGTGATGCACTACCTGAATCCGATAACGGTTGGATACCTTCGGCATTTCATTCGGCATGTGAAAAGTCTTGGGCTCAACATTATGCGAGTCGATCAGTGTCTGGAGGATCCAAACAGCCCGGCGTTGTGAGAAGCTGAGGTCGATGCATTTTGTATAGACTTTGTGGCGCAACGTATTCTTCCTGTGTACTATATTCTTAGTGTGTAACTAGTTTATACTTTTTTTTTTGTTTTGCTCTTCAAGAGACGTGATAATCTTTTGATGTGAATTATTTTGATCTGTAGGACTCGGTAGGAAGCTTTCGCGTAGCATTTGATCTGTGCGGTTCTCAACGCCCCCACGCCCGGACGCCAGAATCGTACAGAAAAATCAATTGAGAAACAAGGCCAGTGACGTTCACTTGAACACAGTGTCGAACATTTCAGGCAGTAAGCAAGAGACACCAAGTAAACGTGATAAAACCAGGAGAAAGGAGAAACCCCGATGCTGATGCCATGCAGACAGACAGACAGACGCCCCTGCCAAGACCAACCCATTGCAAATGCACCAAAATAGTAAAAGAGCTTCATAACAAGGCCGTAGTCTAAAACCAGCAAGAATAAATAAACCAGACCTACAGCAAAAGGAGCACACAACACATTCGGTGTTTTTAACTCTATCCCTCCCCAAACTCGGGCGCCTTGCATATTCCACTCTTATCCATCTTCTTGCGGATACGATCCACCAGCCAACCCGACGAGGCATTAGCACTCGCCGAACCCAGCCGTGGATTCGAGCTTGTGAAGCAGGTATCATCGCGGAAGGAGAATTGTACACATTCTTTTTGTGATTCGCAGATATCGCGGCAGTCGTCGACAGACGACGCGTTAGGCTGGTCCTCGGCAGCCGCGTTGTCCCAATCCGTCCTTGAGGGCTGTGACGCGATTTCGGGGTAGAGGTATTCACGGAAGACGTCGCTGTGGAGGAGGATGCGCTTATTTTTCTGTTTGGGGGCGAGGGGCGTCAGTAATGGGGATCGTATTCGACTAGTCCATGAGGAGGCCCGAAGGCAGACAGGAGAGGGGGTAACTCACATCGCGCCAGCGCTTTTGCTCGAATTTCCAGAGGTCTTCGATATGGCGTGCGCTCAGGTGGTGGAATGCCACGGCAATAAAGCACCATGGCTGTCGGTACAATTCTGTCGTAAATTGGTCTAGCTCGCCCATGTTGGAGTTTTGTAGGATCGGCCAGGAGAAGTGTAGGTCGACGCCGGCGTCAGCCAAGACCTTGCCCAAGACACAGTCACCTGCCCAGTGTTCATTCGTATAATGGTGAAGCTCGGTGCGACGAGCGGCGTATTCGGCCGAGGCGAGTTGCAGGGCTGGGTTGGAGAGGATAAAGCCCGAACCGCCGTGCGCGAAGATGACGTCTGCGATTTGGGTCTCCGTGCCCAGATACCACGGCTTCTTGGCGTCGAAGTGTTTGAGCCAGGCCAGGAGAGTCGGCCAGGATACGTAAGTGTCGGCCTCCATGAAGACGAACCACTTGGCGTTGGGCTTGTGGCGCAATGCCTCTTGCACCATGGGCAAGAACTTCCATTTATCCAGTTTCCAGCCAGGGTTGTTTGGCTTGCCAATGGCGGAATTCGCCTCGTCCGCAAAGTCATCCTGCTCCAGACCCTTGCGCCCGAGCTTCTTAAGGCGACTGTAGATGTCAAAGTCGGGGATTTGCTCGATCACCTCAGAGTCCATACTGCGGAGCACATCATGGATCTTAACCCCGTCGATCTCCTCCTCGAAATCGGAGTAGATGACATAGTCCGGGATACAGCGCAACGTGCTCTGGAAATGAACCGGGACCTTCTCCTTGGCTTCGGTCACGCCCGTCTTCATCACAACCAGGACATCTTGGATCCCGGGGAGCGGGGGACACACTGGGGCGGGCTCGCTGGTATTCTCGGGGTCGGCGCGACCAGCGCTGCTCGGGATGGTTTGATGTCGGAGTTGGAAATCGGAGTGGAGGGTGAAGATGTGGTACAGGAACAGGAGGGCGAGGATGGAAGCCAGCGCAGCGAACCGGCGGCTGAAGCGGCGGCGGGGGGCCATCCTGGGGTCACAAGTGGAAAGCTGTCAATCGCCCGATGCGAGTGTTGAGAGCATCGTAGAGAAAGACAGGTCGCCTGCAGCTGGCAGCGGGCAGCGGGCAGCGGACAGCGGACAGCGAGGGAGGGCACGGGAGGGCACTAAAGGTCCCGATCGACGGCAGGCCCACGTTTTCCTGGTTTCCTGGCGGCTGACACAGCAGGACGCGTAGGCCTGTGCGCAGCCAGACTTGGCTGAGTTACAAGGGGCTGGGCTGGGCTCCAGGGCTTTATGGACTGAATATAACAATACTTGGCTGAGGAAATCTATATTGATATTAGGTCGTCCGAAATTCAGGCGAGAGAATTCGTGTTTATTGGACCAAGGCCAATACATGCGCCTGTCCAATAGTCAAAGAGTACAGTAAAGGAAGGGGTTCGAAAGATGTTGGAATAGTCATCAAGGGAGTTCTGTATAGTAGGCTAAGCGTTATGATGATGCTAATTGATCCAATTTACTTTGCCTAGTATGTAGGTTAGTACTAGTATGAAGAGGTAAATGTGAAGCTCGCCAGGTTACCAGGAGAAGAATCATTCGAATGGTATGAAAAGAGGAATTTAGAGATAAACTCTACCCCCCTACGGGAGCTAAGTGTTAGTCTTGCGACCCTAACATTACTGTCTGTGCGATACATAGTACTATCCCCTAGGGGATTCAGGCGTCTCGAAACTAGTGCACCCTCCTACATACTTCGAGAGATTCTCTAGCCCCACCGCCAAGATACACCAGTCTGGGTTAGGAATAGCCCCGTAATATCATTATTCCAGTATCAATCTCAATACCATACTGTAATCTGGTAAGTGGGTCATACTGGTGGACCAATAGTATATCAATGGGTCTGAATTGCTATCATGCCCCTAGCTTGCAATTGATCTCTCCGCTGTACGTGTGGGAAGAGGGAAAAGCCTGTGATGAGAACCCGCCAACCTGTACTGTATCCAATGCCTTATTGAGTGGCGTGTTAAACTCAACAACCAGGTTTATAGTGGATTCTGATTGCCTCCAACCATTAGCCAGCCAAGCCCACTACTAACCTTCACCTCAAACCGCTAACAATAGACCAAAAGAGAAATTCTACCCGAAGACATGCTAATTTTACAATATTTGATGAGAAATAGCTAAGCCGAGTGTAAAGAAGACCGGTATGTCAATTTTGCTGATGCTTCGCTGGGTTTTAGAGCACGTCCCCATTACAACTGCTTGCCAGGATTTGGGATATTCCCCAGTACTTTAATCAACACCCGAAGTATAGGATTCGCCTCCCCCAAGACAGCCTCTAGGCGACCTATTTCCTCCTCAACTTTATTCTTCAATTGAATGATCAAACTCCATGTCTCATGTATTGCTCCGGCCTTTTTCATGACCTCTAATATCAGTAGTTTGCTCTCGACCGACAGATTCGTGACTTCTGGTGTGTCTCTTCGGTGCAAGAGCCCGATCACGATGTCTTTGCGTACTGGATCTGTGCAGCATCGGACAATCGGATACGAAAACTTCCCCTCATCGAGGTCTTCACAGAAGCCTTTCCTCTTGGTATAACTTGCTTCCTGGAGGTTCAAATAATCGTCGCGTACTTGATACCATCGACCCAGAAGCTGCGCCAGGACGGCAAACTCCGTGTTTTGACTCAGGCATCCATCATCCTGCACAAGACTGAGCATCAGCCGAAGAAGCATGTGGAACATAGCGCCAGTTTTGTGGTCGACCATCTCCAAATATTCTTCTTCAGTGGGACACTGAACGGTGAACCTCCACTTTAGCTCCCAGCTTTGACCTAGGAAAAGTCTTTCCAGCTCCTCGAGCAGAACTGTCAACAGGGCAGGATTGGAAAGTGCATGGACCTTTCTTGCTACTCGGACAAACATGTATGTAGCACTATTGATGGACTGGGCTTCGCCAAAAATAGTATGCGTGGCTGCACTTCCGCGACGGAGCGATGATCCATCCTGGATATCATCGAGGATGAGGGACGAATTATGAAGATCATTCACAATCTCCTTGATTGTATTCAGCGCTAGATTTGGGAGGCCCAGCCATAGGTTGAATGCATCGATCAGTTGCAACCGCACGTTCTTTGAATCCAACGATTGAATATAGCGGATAGGGCCCTCCAACGCATTTCGGCCTAGCTTTGGTGCTGCAATGCTTGATAGGTTTCCGCTGTTCGTTTCGCTCGAACGCAGTTGCTCAGCTATGTGTAGCGTTGATGAATGTGTCAAAGTTGAACTTTTATCACACCCGCTTTCTAGACTTGTATTGTTGGATTTTGCATATGCAGACGGGTCCTGTAAACAATTATACCGGGGGCATAGGCAGCACCAGTAGTGGTAGCCACCGATTAAAGGTGAGAGGATATTCACCATCAGTTTCAGATGGGAGGAAGCTCGGGATGTGCCTGGCAGAAGCTTTCACGCATTTTCAAAAAAATGGATTCCTTCTCTAGGATATCCTGCTTCAATTGTACCACTGCTTCTTGTTCCGCCATCCCGGTATTCATGTAGAACAAGACAGCATTTGTAACCCTGGCATGAGGCTGGGCGCTCTCCTTTCTCCAGCTGTAAAAGTCATTTGTCAGTAAGGTTGGCCTAACGGTTGCTTTGAAGAGAGTCTCCATCATGTTGTAGTCGCTCTCGCTTAGGCGGATGCCCGCGCCGAAGGCAATCTGCCAGAAGGCCACACTATGACTAGTCAGTTAGTGTTTTCTGGTCAAAGATAGAACGTCTCTTACAGGGTGCCTGAATCTTTAATTCGATGTTCGAGATATTCGTCGAGGGTGGTAAATTGCGGTATCGGATGTGCGTCAACAACCTTTAGCCATTGATCTGAGAAGCTTTTCATCATATCTAGGCCAGATTGTAGATCAATATCAAGGCACTCGAGGATGACAGCCGAGTAGATCTTCTTCATAAGAAGAGACTTTATTGAACCATCCGGAGACCCGGTTCTAGAAGGATCCACGGCGTAATCAAGGCGCTCATGCACAGGAGCCAATGATGTGATATTTTCCGGCTCTGTGTAATCTTTAAATCGTTAGACAGGGCAAATACTTCTTGAAGATATTCTCTCTTACCATCATGTACAAATCCTAGCTCCGTTGTATAGGCGGTCAACTCCATCCGCTCGGGGAGAACTTCGGGGTACGCCAAGCTGGCCATGTGGCCGCCAGGGGAAACGAGGCAGGGGGCATAATTATGTCTCTGAAGATCAAACGCTCTCGAATAGTCATTAACCGCTCGTTTACTTCCAGCATTTGCAAATTCATCCCCAATATTGAGCCGTGCTTGAAAGGTCGTAAAGCAACCAGCTTCTCTCATAGCTTTCTGGCTCACGGCCAGCGAAGAAGTAAACGGCACCTCTGTGAATGGAATGTCTTGGTCATCCATCATTAAAAATGGGATTCAAAGGGAGAATAACGACGGCTTGAAAGTAATAGGCAAGTAAGTTCTTTTCGGGGATATGTCAGACTAGTTTATAAGTGACAGTTATCGTAAATATACTCCCTCCCTCTTTAAAGAGAAATCCTCCACTTTTCGAATCGTCATCTTACTGTTAGTTTTAGCATAAGGTGCAATCCGAAAGGCCGCATCGGTGTGATTCATGCATCTTGGACAAAATTTCTAAACGATCTAACCTTACGCAGTCGGGCTGAAAGAGCTAAAGAACTTAAACACGTAAAATTATAAAACTAAATATAATATCCAATCAGAACTCGCACACAGGATGTATTTTCCAGGAATCAAGTCCAAACAGCGTGAGGTCAAACTGAGTTCGAAAACTACGGTATTTTGCATAAAAGATTTGAGAGACTTCTAAAAGCGCGCCTCATTCCTACGACATTAACTAACATAGCTAGCCCTAACACACATTCGTAACGCCTGAAGGAAGGCCTCAAAATGTTACAGCCTATGTCTACTTTGCCCGCCTGAGCTATCAGGCTATTTCCCGCTGGAGATCACCGCTCCTACTAGTTATTTATCTGGTCATATGACCATTCCATCATCCGATCGGCCATCATCGCACTATGCCACCCTATATCGCATATACGAGGCTCTGTGTAACCCTCATTCATGATGATTATCCGAATCGCAACATTCAGGTACCCCTCTGTTATGGCTTTCCCTGCATGAAGCTATCCCCATGTTGCCTCAGGCTCATTGGCCTAAGGCCTCGGCGTCCCTTTTGGGATCGGCGGGCTTCCGGCGGTGAACCACCGCCCTTTCTGGCGCCTAACCCAGAGGAAGCCTTCTGCATATTCTTGTTACACCATCTCGTGTTGCCTTCTGATCTTCCTCGTCAAAGTATCCTCTACCTCTTCCTGTTTTACGAGAGAGATCAGTTATAAATATAGCTAGCGGAAGCAGCTTAGGAAGGGCAAGAAACAGTCTCTGTTCCCATCAGACTTAGTGCTTCATTCTCCTACCTAGTTGACAGGCTTACTACCCTGCAAGTAGTTAACATCATAACACGTAGGTAGTGTTTTTTGACTAGCCTTTAGACGTAAGGGCTCGGCTAATACTCGATTTCGTGGCGAGAAGAGCGAATTCGTCCTATAGAAAAACCGCTATCTACTTAAGGTATAAGGTAGGTTTCCAAGTAGGTAATCGTATAAAGCCTCGAGTATAACTAGAGTAATACTACGGGGTCGTCTACCTTTATTAGGCGGTGCTGTGATGCTGCTAAATATCCTTATATTAGAAGAGATTCTTTAGATAGTACTCCTGTTATAGCTAGTAGCCTCTACTATCTCCGATATAGATAGTTCTCTACTGAGGATTATATTATAGATAAGCTTATGCTTAGAAGGAGCTAGGTTTGGAGCTATCTTTAATTCGACTACTTATAATTAATTGTTAAGATGCGCCTCCCGAGGAAGGCTATTTTAGAGGAGGGGCACGGAGGTAGCAGATGAATTGAATTGAATAGCGAATATATGCTTGTAATTATGTGTAATCTATATAAGCAGCAATATACGTACACGTTGACAGGGGTACTCCGGAAAACTCCTAAAATAGATTAGTGTATCTTGGCGGTGGGTCTAGAGTATCTCTCGAAGAGTGTAGAAGGGTGCACCAGTTTCGAGACGCACTGTATCGGTCCTGGTCGTGCCAAAAAATAGCGTTCTGACATACTTGGTCTTTTGGTTTCAATTAGTGGGTCTGGGCGTATGTCGTAACACTGAGTGGGGTCGGAAATTAGGGAGCTACTGGTCCCTTCTAAGTTTAGGGTTGTCCCCCCTGAGCCGTAACTCGGACTGGTTGGAATGTAAGTATGCTATGTTTCGTTTAGAAAAGGACAGGCAAAACCTTCTAGAAAGAGTGTTATTCGAAGCGATTCATATATTATGTGCTTAAGCTGCCATTCCTCTGCATGGCTATAGATAGAGTAGACAGGGATTTCAGCAGAATATCTACTTCATGCAAACCTGTCTTTTCGGCCCCTTGAGCATAGCTGCCGATCCCACGGTCAATACCTTTCGAACCCCTGAAAACCTGGATGCGCACTTCAAAAAGCATGGAACTATGTGGGCGACGAGATAATTGTGGCTTTACCTGACTACCCAACCTTGAACCGTGCAATGCACCAAATGGAAGAAACGAGCTTCTTTATTTAGTTCACCTAAGAACGTGTCGAGTCTGGACAATACTTCCATATTATAAGTAGACACGTTCTGTACCTTGCAGGATTATTCTCCAGGCCATGCACCTGGAATCGACCGACTGGGCCCTTCCACCAGATCCCAAAACTCAGTAAAAGACTGATTCCATTCGTATATCCATACCAACCAGTCCTCGGGAGATGGACCATATGGAACCCGACCAATGTCCAATTCCGGCCATCCCAATCTCGCGACCATCCCCTCTGCATCAATAGCCATTCAATTCGGTCACTATCCCAAGCCTCTCTTTCTTTTCGGCCTAATTCGAGCAAGTCTATTCCTAGATCTTTGAGATCTCTCATCCATGACTGAATAACTGGGTTCCAATCTCTCGTCTCACTCCTATTAACCCACCAATGGATATACCCAATAAGAAATCAAACAAATGGTGTTGGATCGTCAAGGTTGATATCGGTGTTCACATCAGTGTCCAGCAGATCGTATAATAGCCGGTTCCAGTATTTATCAATTTCTAGTAATTCCAGAAGTGACTGCTCAATTGTGGAATTTCCTCAATCAAGAAATTATGTCGTTGGATCGCAGCCCGGCAGTTGCTTATTCGGGTCGCGACAGAATTCAATAAAGAGGTTCGAGCATCTGAACCCTTTAAGTCGGGAGTCGTTATTTCTCTAATATCCCCACCGAGCACGGTACGAATTGTCTGGGGTACGTAGATAGCATTATCACCTGCAACAATGGCGATATTCGCAGCCACTTCCATTCGAACCCAAGTGGGCAAGTCAAAGAACGAGGGACAAAACTGCTGTTGCAAAAGTAGAAAATCTTCTGATGTTCCACCGAAAAGTCTGAAAACACCCCCAGTCGCCACCCCCTCGGGGTCGTATAGTGAGTCGTCGGCCCTTGGCAGTAAGGCTCTCAATAATGGTTGCTCAAATAGACTCAAACTCACATCTAAAAGGCCACCGTATTGGAGGGCAGTCATTGTGAGGGCGGTTCCTACGATCAAGGGTCCCAACGTGGGATCACATCCTTGCTCTATGAGAATTCGATGACCTCCTGGCCAGACGACCTTGCAGAAGCATACTGAAAATGTTCCAACGTCAGCTACATTCAAAAGGCAAAGGAACCGATGAAACCTACGTGGAGTAATGTCATTTCACCCTGCAGATATCTGTCGTAGTGCAAATCACCAAGAAAGTTACTGACAGGTATACGATCCAATGGCGAGGCTTGTTTCGATGCGAAAATTTCTCGCAGCCCTACAATTTCATTTTTGATCACTATATCAACCACCTTTGATTGTCTTGGAATCAAGTTGTAGACTCGAATGTACCAGTTCCAGCCAGCAGGGACTCTTATCCCTGCTAAATCTAATGCTTTGGACGACATCCAAGAAGGAAGGGTCAAGCGCCATAGGTAACCTTTTTGCCGACGTTGAGGCTGCGTAGTGTTTTTTGAAACTGGGGTGTCATCGTATTGACATTTTGGTGAGTTTCTATTGATGGTCAGCGTGTTCAGTCTGAATTATTGAACAGACAGGTTGGTGTGGGTACCGCATGCTGGTTTCACAGGATGTGTTGGTGTTAATCGTGCAGCAATTAAATCAGGCTGAATCTGCAGTACTGCTCTGAAACACACGAGTCAAAATAACGTCTGAGACCAACGGATTGGAAAGCAACCTGGTATAACACTGTTGAGATAATTGTAGTAGTTGACCTGCGGTCTGGAGTCTCTGCTTGAGTCTTTCAATTTTGCCTCTCTGCAGAACAATTTTCACAGATGCATAAGACCTCTTCATACGACCAGGTGACGAGAATTCTGGAGCTAATTCCATTGTAATAGACTCTTAATCTTCAGCGGCCTGTTTGCAAAACCCGAGGCTCTTCGTGACATGTTTGTTTTTCGCCAAAGCGCATGCGACTTCTTCTTTGGCAAGGTCCTCCTCGATATCAGTAAGTATGAACCCGAACAATTCAAGTTCGTTCAAAAGGATTCGGAGATCGTGCGGTGCATCTTTTATTTGGCTGCAATAACTGTTGATGGTGATGATAGACTTGGTGAATTGAGCTACCACTATTGCGAAGGTGATAGCCCCCGATGCTATCCCGATGACTTCAGCCATGATGTTTTAAGTATCTTCCGGATTGTTCTTCAGTCAGACAGTGCAAAGCGAGCGGAGAAGAGGACCGGATATCGATGCTAAGAAGTAGGGACTTCATCTCCGTCTCCATGCGGCTGAGGCTTAGCGCCCTCTTCTGAGCCCCCCGCGGCTGTACGAATGCCATCATCTTATTGGAACAAAATCAATAAAATCAGAGTTAGCACTCGAAGCTGAGTGGCTCAAGGCGCGGGCCCAGATGTTAGATCCCCCTGTTCGTCCTCCGCACCCACTGTGTGTCCCGATGCCGTTGGCTGCCCAAGGTCGACTGATAGTCTGGCCGCTTACGCTGGGCGATAGGAAGAAAGATGCCCAACTTACAGCCACAGAGCGAGATTTGTCTGAATTCTTTCCGGTAAAATACAATTCTTAATCACGCATCAATTGAATGAAACTTCGCTTTTATTAAATTTTCATAGCTGAAACATGCACCTCGCCGGCAGACCATCCAGCACTGCTTCCATATAACGCATGTCCTTATGACGCATTTGTCTTCTTCTTGATCATATTTTCATGCAACTTGACCAATTCTGGGATGATGATAGTCTCAATTTCAATTTTATTGCCAGAGTGTTCTGACGGTGGCTGTTCTGCCTCCGCACTTGTCGCAGAACCACCCTTCTTGATCTCGGCAAGTCCAACTTGATCCTCCACGCCAGAAATACTCTTGCTGCGCCGAGCTTTGGGGACGCGAATCCATCGCTCATATGGCGGGTCTGGCGTAATGAAAACAACCTCCCACTTCCTCGTTGACAGCAGATTACCGATGACCAGGTGATGTGAGTACCGCTGGAGTGCGGTCTTGGCCTTATACACAAGCAGCGAAGGGTCTGTCTCCAGCTTGAATGATACGACCATGCTTCCCTCGGGGGCCCAGCCGTCGACAAGGCGGTGCAAGAACTTGGGGACAGGGTCGAGGTTGACGACCAGCTTCTTGCCGCTCTTGGGTGGTTCAGGTTCGTTCTCGCCGGTGTAGATATCGTCCGACGCAACGGCCTCGTCCGACGCAACGGCACTTTCATCTGAGAAGTTGGCTGGAATCTCAGAAGATTGGATTTTGTGCTCGGCCATGCGATGACGCGGAATGAAGAAATCACTAACTGCCGCCGCGAGGTAGAAGAGTGCATTGGGGCCAAGCGGCCGCATCAGCTTTGCTAATGACCGCAGCTCAAACATATATTCCGAAACGGTGGTGAAAGGCAACAAGAGGAGCAAGTTATTCTGCTTCGCATAACGATACTTGCGGAGCACATCGCGCATCTCATCCTGGTATTCGCTGCGGACAACGATACGGCCATGGTCGGGGTTTTCAGATTCGGAGGTAGGAGGAGCCTCGTCCATGAAATCCAAGAAACAATTCGTGGAGTGGCTGTAATGCCGCGAGTACGGCAGGAGACTGTACTGGCGGTGCAGGAAGATGACCGCATATCCTTGCTCGAGGAAGTACTCTGCGGAGGTAGCACCACGGGTACCGGCGGAGAAGTTGTCGATAAATCGCACTGTTTGCGCCTCCAGAGGTACCGTTGTTCCACCAGATGTCACCAGGACCACTCGCCGGTTAGCTTCGACATGGCGCTCGATAAAGGCGCGGGCCAGTGCTTCCAGATTGGGGAGGGTCTTGGGAGGTGGGTATTCATTGAAGTACGCGGACTCTGCCTCCGCGGGCTCCATGTCGCCGATTGAAGAGGTCATGCTGGATGTGTAGGTGACACAGAATGTCGCAGGTTTGAGATTGGGAGCTCGGTCACAAAGCACCGGCGTCGCAAGTTAGAAGCCGAGGGTGCCGCCGCAAATGGAGGGGTATAGGAAGGATGCGACCGCCGACCGGTGATGTCGTCGAGGAGAGCAGCGTCGCGCGATAGCCAATTAATCGTTCACATGTGACGCACGAGTCTGCGACTGTCACGAAGTTGTCACAACGCTGGTATTGATAGCTTTATAGCACCGCGTACCGCCTTGGGAATTTGTTGAAGCTTCCAGCAATCACGTTGAAGACCCCGCCAACAATTTGAAGGCGGCGAAGATCGGAGGTGCTATTTTGGTGCTAGCGTTGCCGCTGGTCCGATCCAAGACGGCGGGAGGATTTGGAGACCAGTTGAGAAGTCGGTTGAATCAACAGGCAAGCATAGCTGGTCGACTGGTGCGGTGACTGGTGGGCGGCGCCGATGCCGAGGCTCCTGCATCCGGCGGGGTCACGTGGGCTTCACCGTGGGAGGTCAAATACCGAGTACATCGCAGCACTCTTTCGGGCCTACGGATGTGAATGATACGAAAGGCAAGGTGTAAATTTTCAACTGTATTGATCCAAGGTGGGCATAGTGACAATTTATGTGTGTTGATGAAAATGCCGGAAAGGGTGCTGGTCAAATATGGCATTTTAGACTGGGATGAGGAGATATATTACCGCATTCGGAAATGCAAGTCGGAACTTTCATGATGCCAGCAACCAAGCCATTTAATTATCCTCGGAGGCGAGCTACCGCGGGGACACACGGAACGTAGATAAGATGAACTTGAGGGACTTATATACAAGAAAAGTGACCCTCATGATATTTCATTGCAAGTAGCGACTACGCAAAGCTTGGCTGATCGTACTCATACGACTAGCCATACCCCCATGCTGCATATTGCTCAGCAGGGCCTCTTCCAACGCAGACTGTGTAACGCTGGCGTCTAATGATGCTTCAATCAGCAACGAGAGCGCAAAAATTGTCAAGAATAGAAAACTCACCGTCCAGGTCGCTGAAGCTACTCCCCATGCTGGGGGTGCCATCGCTTGCGTCTCTTCCGGATGTAGTAGACTTGCGAGGGCTTTGGCGGGGAGCTTCCCCGGCGCGATGGGGACTTAGTGCAGAAGCAGGTTGACCGAGGCGTCGACTATCGCTGTTTGTCAAGCTCACTGGGGCACCGGAGCTCATGGAGCTGGTGGATGATTCAGTAGCTACGGGATGTCTATGGCCAGCTCTGTCGGCCATACGTCGCCGGGCTGCTGCAGCGCGCTCTGCGTCTAGGCGGAGAGTTGCGCTGAGCTCTTCACCGGGTCGATCTCGCGGCGTCTGGTCATTCTCTCGAGACAGAGGGAGGAACGCGGGAGTATCGTCTTCATCATCGTCTGCGTCGTCTTGCAGGCCAATGCGTTGGGTGGAAAATTTGCCGAACTTTCTGAACCGTGGCACTCTCCGTGTCTCTTCTACCTCGGAGTCGGACTCTGTGGAGCTGGAGCTGAGGTCCTCTTCTTCGAGGGTCGGCGACCGCATGAAAGAGGTAGTCTGTGGTTGCTCTCGTCTGGTTACCGATGGTCGTCGGACAAAGTTCTCCCATCGTTGTTCCTTGCCTTCTGTCGGGGTCTCGTTGCGAGAAGAGTCTCGAGAGTGGCGAGCTTGGTTGATGGTAGTCGTGGACGTAGAGCTCGTGCGACGGCCGCTGGGTGCTAAAGAGACTGTTAGCTTGCCTGGATAGCATTTTATGATGAGCCAAGATTTACCTCGCTGAGGAACATCCTTCTGTTGAGATACTGGCCGGGAAGGACCCCGGGGTCCTACGTATACACGATGAGCCAAGCAACAGACTAAGGATGGTGGGATGACATACCGGTTGGGGCAAGACCTTTTGGTGCATTCGCACTTAAAGCTGTACTCCCAGAGACCGATCCGGGTGCTGGCGAGGGCGAGCTCGACTGGACTGGAGGTACCCGGCGCATCTGCGCGCGTACCTGGGACAGCTGTCTGTCATATAGCCATGCCGCTTGCTGGAGCAAGAACTGTAGAGTGACATCAAAATGGTCTGCCCTATAGAAGACGTATTAGCCCCATCTGTTATGTGGACGCGGATTGTCAGGCCAAGGTATAGATACAGGGCTTTCCCTATTACGCTGTTAGCTATCAGGAACGTAGAAAGAACAAAGAGTATCGCCTCTTTAGGATGTTCGGGGGATACGTCGACATACAGTCTATACCATCTCCCTTCGACGGGCGGGAAAGAATGTCCCATAATGCCTGGTCTTTCGCCGCATTCCATTCCACCTGACGAGGTCAGTACATGAGGCAAGAGGTCGATGGTTTGCGCGGGTTTGGCCACATACGGGCGGAGGGTCAACAAAGTCTCCCCTAGGAAATGGCAGACGAATGAATACTGTGAAGTTGGTGTGGCTCGGATCCGTCTTGGTCGCCATGGCGGCTGCGGGTGCTGGTCGCCTGTGAAGCGGAGTCAATCCACGGACAGCTGGTGAGATTATGGAACTGCTGTCACTAAGTCAAGAACAGCTCCCAAAAGTATTCCCCTCCGAGACCGAGATATCGCTTTCTTCGGGTTACCGTTGAAGTCGTCCTTAATTTGAGATCTAGGGAAGAGCGACCATGAAAGGATGAGGTGCGAGCAGGTGATGAGGGAGAGTGACGACAGAGACTGCGGAGTCTGATTGGTGGGTGAGGTGCGTGTCTGCATCGTGGCTTTAAAGATAAGCTTTCCTTGAGGCCCGGGATATTAGACAGCAGGACTAATTCCACGACATCTGCATAATATTGACGCACCACTGGGAACACGACATGAAAGTAGATGATGTTGAAGTAGAAAGTAGGGACTGCAAAAGAAAGGCGAAAAGGGAACTTCCATTATTTTATCTATTTGAAGGAAAGAGGAATTCTCATGTGTCTGGCAGCCGAAAGAAAGACAAGCTGGGTAATTCCATTATCAGGCATCTCTAACACATACATTCTTATATCTTTTAGGTGGTACAGAGTTGGAGCTCATGTTCGTATACGATCAAGTGGGCCGCCGTTTCTTCCCTAGTATGCAAAGGAGCAATAGTCATATCTATGAAGTATAGCTAACCATACTGACAATGTATAGAGAGAATAGCTAGTTCTTCCACAAACATCCCCCCTTGGCAGGATCTGACCAGCTTCCAAGGATCCCACAACTATTATTGAATGTCCTTCTTCTTACTACACGCTCAACAATAGCCTCTTTGATTCAAGTTCTAGACAACATAATGCATTACGTGTTGCACGGGTGGGCTATCGTCGGTCAGGTTAGGCTTAATACCCCAGCGGCACTGGCCGCTGCAGAAGATCGGCATCCCGCACCCGGTCCTATTCTCAATGGGTCTGCCTCGGCTCAGTCCATTTGGTTAGAGGCAGCCATTCTTGGGTCCTTCGAGGCTCGAGCAGACCCCCTCTCTCCTCTTCACTCTCCAGTATCAACATGTTTTCTATCCTAACATATTGCTACCTCAAAACTCTCGCCATCCTACTACGGTCCATCACAGCACTGGGCAGCCGCATCGCAGGCCGTCCTGTACCCCGACCAGATGAAGTTCGGCGCATTGGATCGCGCGACCCATGGAGGACGATCACGATCCATGTGTATCGCGCGGCCAAACCCACCAAAGGGCCAAAGCCGGTACTGGTGAACTTCCACGGTAGCGGGTTCCTACTCCTTTGCACGGTAGCGATGTGGAATTCTGTCAAACGATCAGCCAAAACACCGAATACACTGTCTTGGATGTGCCGTATCGGCTGGCACCAGAGAACCCGTTCCCAGCAGCGCTAAATGATGTCGAAGATGCCATCAAATACGCCATGAGTCGGACTGAAGAGTTCGACTTGTCGCGAATCTCTCTCTCCGGATTCAGCGCCGGGGCAAACCTCGTGCTGGCAGCGTCAGCCACGCTCTTCCCTCCCAACACCTTCCGCTCGCTGATCGCGTTCTATCCTCCGGTAGATCTGGCCCCTGACGCGGCGACCAAGGTCGCTCCAGACCCTAGTGGACGCGTGATTCCCATCCCTGTCGCGCGTCTGTTCACACGCTGTTACGTACCTCCCGGCATGGACAAGCGGGACCCCCGGATCTCGCCCAAGTACGCTGATCTGCATCGATTCCCGCACCGATTGCTGGTGATTACCTGCGACGGTGACTCGCTGGCCCTTGAGGGAGAAGAGCTGGCGCAGAAACTCGAGAAACTGCCAGGGCGACATGTGGTCAGCGAGCGCATGGCTGGGTGCAACCACGCGTGGGACAAGCGCACGCGGGCGGGAACCCCGCAGCGAGAGGCTCGGGATCGGGCATATGCTCTGGCAGTGGACATGTTGAACGAGGCTTAACTGGGAATTTGCCTTTTTGTTGTTTCTTTTTTTTGACTCTGTGGCGGTGTATATTTTCCGATCCTGATGGTATATATCGGTTCTTATGCTTTGTACGGTAGTTCACATATGTCCATCCTTGCATCTTTATCTCTCCATGATTCAATTCCTGTCCCTGTCCCTGATCCGTTAGGCTCCTTCCATGGCTCTGGCTGGGGACCACTTGGAGCCTTGGAACTGGGAACTGGAGACCGCGGCTCCAGCCTCTGCAACCCTAAGTCCTGTCCATGTATTTTTTACGCACGGCATGTAGAAGGATGGCCCTATGCAATCTTATCTGAGTTGATCAGTGCAATTGCATGTATCTAGGGTCTTATTGTCAGTTGTATACTGCTTATGAATATTCATCTTATCCTGTAGAAAGCGCATCTCATGGGCTTTGTCTGTCACCGCGCTTATAGCGGCCCGGTGTCTCAACCCATTCGGCCCTGCCAACCCGCATCCAGTCGGCTTAGTAGTGGGGAGGTCAGCCCGCTGATGGCTAATATTTTGAGGATCCACCTGAAGCATGAGACATGGCAGGAAATCTTCAGGATTGCCCCGTGGGTCCGGTTTCATTAAACCGTAAAAACCACATGGCAGCGGAAAAAAAAAAAAAAAAAAAGGAGGAACCGAACGGTGGATCGGCGGCATCATGAGGACAGCTTGTTTCCTTGCTTTTTTATTTTCCCTCTTTCTCTCTCTTCTCCTAGATTCCTTGTTCATCGATCTTCTGTCCTTACCGTTGTCGACCGATCCACTGGCTGGAAATTTCAAGGTATTGACCACCCGTCGCCAGCCGGAGTTATCGTCCCCGTCATCCCACCTTTTACACTTACTCTTACCCTTTACGTTTTGCTGTCCCCCCACCCCCGTCATAACCACCAACCCCCCTGCATTGCGCTCGCTCCCTACAGCAAGAACCTTCTTCATCTTAATCGCATATATCCCCCCTTCCCCCCAAATCAGCTCGACAGTGGATGCTGTCATTGTGCGCCTCCTCGTCCACCGTTCCTGTGGTGCTGTGGACGAGTCCATTCGTTTCGCCCTCTGGTGAATCCCGTACCCACTTATTCTGTCCCTCTCCGCCGTCCGATCCAGTCCATGCGCGCCCGCTGGCCCGGCGCTCATCGCCAATATCGGTCCGGTATATAGAATCATGGACTCAACGACGACCGGGAGTCCTGTCCTCCTTGACCAAGACAAATACCGCGAAGAGGTCCTCGGCCTCTCTACAGAAGCTGAAAATGCGCGGGCGCAACAGCTTTTGGATGATGCGCGGGCGTTGGGTCTGAAGGTTCCGGAGATCGAAGCCTCGGCACCACTGGCCGCCTCGATCACCTCTGGAATGCTGGATCTCTCTTCGCCCGTGCTTTCATCCGGATCGTCAACCGATCGGAATTCCATCTGCGACGGGTCGATCACCCCATCTCACGAGCCCCTGTCTCCCTCCGGGCTCGACGAGGTCGTCTCGTCTTTATCGGAGATCACAATTGCCTCGGAGCGCATCAAGCTGGGAAGTACGAGATCGCTGGCGTCTCTATCCACACGGCCGACATCATACTGCTCTAGCGAGAGTCGAGCTGCGTTGGGCAGCTATGGAAACAATTATGGAGCGCTTTCGCCCACGCACCGAAACTCTGTATTAAGCGTTGCCTCGGCGGACAAGAAAGAGAAGCGCCGCCACAGTTTGAAAAATGCCATTGGACGGATATACTTTCGCAAGAAGCGCACACCGTCAAGCGTCGTGTTGCCTCCCAATGCGCAGATCACGGTCTCCAAGGGTGAGGGAGGAGTGGTGGATCATGTCTATTTGGAATCTCGGCGAGACCGGCCGCCAACCAGCCACGATGGAGATACAGTCTCGAGCACCACGGCAGAGTCTCTTCCGAGATTGGAAATTCCCATCTTTGATAAAGAAGCCGTTCAGCGGAGCTTGGATGATCCCGAATTGACCGAACTGCTGGAGCGGCATCGAATGGAGAGGAATAGGCACGTTGCGTTCCAAGAGGCGGCACTGAGCATCCTCCGGCAGCGACACCAGACGGCTGTTTTCGGGCAGCACTCTGATAATGAGCGCTTGGAGGATGAGAAGCGCGAGAAGGTATGTCTAAGCCGTTTCGCATCAGTACTGGTCGTGTTTCTCTAACATGACGATACAACAGAACATCGAGGACGCCATTCGTATGGAAGAGCGCCAGCTCGCCGTGGAAATGGAACAGCAGCGTGAATTCGACCGCGCAAAGCAGAACTCGCGCACGCGCATCAAGCATATGGAGGGATACTTCCGCAACGCCAGTCCCCCGCCTTCACCTGCACCAGCAGCGCAGCGCTCCTCTGATTCCTTCTCCGGGTCCGAGTCTACCACTCCGCCTGTGCGCCGTTTCACGCGACAGCAAAAGGAGCAGCTTGAACAACAGTACCACGACCACGAAACGATGGATGCCCTCCACAAGTCCCGGATCAAGGTCCTTCGGGATCGCCAGGAGCTCAGGCTGCAGGAAGCCATTGCACGCATGGAGCGCGAGCTGAACGATATGTGCGCTCAGCATAGCAAGAACGTCACTTCGTTGCAGGCTGAGCACCGCCTCGAGGAGACCTCTTTGATCCAAGCTTTGGACAATAAGAAACTTGAGCTGCGGCATCGCTGGGACCTGGAAGAAGCTATCTTGCGCAAACAACTTGAGGACCGCCATGGCCATCCGTACGGTCCATTGCCGCCTATTTCTTTCAGCGGCGTTAATAATGAGACTGTCGATTCGGCCGCCAGTCTGCCTGAACCTGCCTCGCTCTCTCCCCTTGAACCCCAGACCCCGCAGTGAAACCATACCAGCCGCATGGGTGTGGCTGGTTACCTGCATAATGTCTTATATACACGACTTTAATACTTGCATTGCGAGTCTCGCTTCCGACGATCGACCGATATCTGCCTAGTCCGAACATTCAAAGCGACTCTCGTCTTCTTTTACACCACCTGATGCCCACTACCCTTCTTGTAATCACCATTTTTTGCGCGTGGATATTTAAATGTTCATCATTGTCATTTTTTACCCTGTCTATACATTACGCATGGCGGCTTTTTGGTTTCCACCTGTGCATAGCATTCGATCTTGGGATACTACGACTCTGCGAAATAGATACCTTAAATTACTGCATTTATACTGAGATTCATTCCTCGGGTTATTAACTTGATCATTTCATTGAATTCATTGAGCAGGGGGGTATCACATATATCATCCTGCCATCCTAGCAAATATTAATCCAAAACACTCCATGACGATGCTCTGTCTATGCTGCGACGGCACCGCGCTCTTTCAATCGCTCGAGAAGAGTCTCCACCCTCCCTCCGCCGCCAGTCATCTCATCCTCAATCTGCTTATCTCGTCCATCGTCACCGATAACCACGGCTCTCTCCACGATACCTGCATTCGACAACTTGAACCGTCCAACCCGCCCATCCTCCCATTCCAACCGCACATACCGCGCCTCCACCGCAGTAGGCGCCAACGCCACAATCCCCCCTCTAGCCTCAGGCGACAACCGCTCCGAAGGATCAATCTGACCCTCCTCACTCAACCCCAGTTTCTCACGCAAAAGCTCCACAGCATCACCACGTAAATGCCACGCCATCAACTCACGACGCAATTCACGCACAAATCCACGTAGATCTTGTTTCCTCCCTTTCCTCCCACCTTTCCGCGCCTCACCCCCTCTTCCCCCTCCACATCAGAATCACCATCCAGATCACCACCCTTCCCAGCCCCAGGAAACGGCAGATAAACCCCCTCCACCCTCGCCATATCAATAAACGCCGGAACTGTATGCCGATGAACCCTCAGCCTCAGCTCCTTCTCCCCACGCATCCGCACCCGCCTCAGCAGTACATAATACGGCTTCGCAAATCGCCCACCCCGCACGCAGACGTCGATCCGCACGCCGAGGAGACTCTCGGCTGGCGCGGTGGGCGAGGGATCTTTGAATGGGAAGGCGGTTGTGCCGAAGGCGATGCGGTGGTGGTTTGAGTCGGAGTGTTTGCCTGCTGCGCGGACGAGGGGGGAGACTTCGTCGGTGATGGAAGAGAGCGTTGGCGTGGGCTTGCGGATGAGTTTTTGGATGGAGTCGGAGGAGAGGAGGCTGGAGGCGAGGAAGCGTTTGCGGCGTTGGAGGGTGCGGACTTGAAAATGTTAGTTTTCTTTTTGGGTTGCTTGATGATGTTGTGAGGGTGGGGAGGACGTACTCTCTGCGCGGATGGATTGGATGTCTGTGTCTAGTTGTTGCTCGTGCGGGTCTGGGGATGCGGAGGCACCGCGTGTGGGGAAGACCATTCTTGGGGGCAAAATGTGGATTGGCAATTGGGATCGTGGGGTTTGTGTATTTAATTTGGTGTCTGTGATAGTTTGGGGCTCGTGATTCCAATTGTCTTGTGGTTATTCGCAGTTGTGGCGATGCGCGGGGATTTGCTGTGTTTTTGTTTACATTGTCTGGCACGTGACCCTACATCACCGAGGGAGGATTCTTCCTATAGTTCCTTCACTTTCACGAGCCGAATATCATATTCTGATTGGATTCACTTAGTCCTGACTTTGCAATGCTCATTTTCAGACTCTAAACTAGCCTTCGAATCAGATAATGCTTCAGCGAGTTTAGTCACTTACTAACTAACCAAGGGCAAGATGTTAACCAAGACCCTTTACAACCCGAGTCGTATAGCTATCCTTGTCCATCAGCAGCCTGGTTGACAAGTTCTAAGACTGGCTTGGATATTTTAGTTGAATCACGAGACAATATCAGAATAAAGGAGTGACTTTTTAATACGAACTGATAAGAGAAATAGAGGTATAGGGACTTGCGACAACAGGAGAGACAATAAGAGAGCAAAAGACGTTTAAACCCTCGGTAAATTGAGAATCGCTGTCGTATAGGCGAGCATAAAAGGAACCCCCCACATGATGGAACCGATACATCGCGTCAATCAAGATCAGCAAACAGTTGGGTTTAGACACGCGGTATTCTCTGCCCAGCGTCAACCGTCCTTTACTATCATCATGGCCTGACTTAGTCCAGCGGTCACTAGGTACCACGGAAGCTTATAGCCATGGCCTATCAGGTAATCAACGTTTTGAGATGCATAACGGTCTATCTAAATACTCACCAAACTTTCTCTTGATTAATACGGTCTTTCTGGATATCTTTTTGAATTATCTTTTTAGATAGCCTGGACAATATCCAGTAATTTATCTTTCAAGTATGACTGATGAGATGGCGCTTGTCTGGGGGTCTTCAACTTCTTTAACCCTACTATTTCTATATACACAATATGGCCTTCCAAGTCATTCCAGAGCAGACATGCCCTACTGAAGACAGTTGCAAGTGGCCGTATACAGGACTCACAGACTCACAGACTAACGGTAGTTCGTCAGGACCCCACAGTCGGAGAAGTACCCGCAAAGGCCAGCTTGCCTCTCCGCGCCTGATCCGATCCGCGGGCGCGTCCCCAAATCTGGCCCAATCCCAAACTTTTTGGATTCTTCCATGCCTCTCGCGTCTGAAGGACCTGTCTCCCCCCCTCCTTCCCAGCCAATCTCCAGGCCTCCATGCATCGGTCACTCGTTTATATCTTCCCACGTATCACCGAAGTTGCCGTGGTAATTTCAAGCTACCCAAGCCACCTCTACCCAGTCTTCGTATCCTGATCTGGACACCTTCCCTTTGATCCCCTCCAGCACCTTACTTTCTCTCCTTCCGACTCTGTGACTTGGCCCAATTCCTCTTACGACACACCTCTGGCGGATTCTTTTCTACAATACACAACTACATCTCCCATCTACTGCGACTACACCTCCAGCACACACCTTCCCTCGCCATCTCCGCCACCCTGGCTCCCCTCTGTGACCGACTTCAATGACACGCAAGAACGCCACCCTCTCCAAACGCCGCTCAAAACCGAGCCTCAAAGTAGCAACCGGCCAAAACGGCTATGCGAATGGAAACGGGACCGGCAAAATGAACACCAATATCGAAATGCGCAAGCGCGACACCTCGACCGAGTCTTCCGCCGAGCGTACCTCACGCGTCCTTCAAAACCCCCACTTCTCCCTCGACAATGAACCTGCCGTCGTGCCTCAAACCCCCGTCCTCGCGACGACCAGCTTTCACAATCTCCCGCGCAATGATAAGCGGAACTTCCTCCTGCTATGCGTGTTATACTTTTTGCAAGGTGTGCCGATGGGTTTAGCGACAGGCTCCGTGCCCTTCCTGCTGAAGCCCTATCTGTCCTATGGGCAGATTGGCGTGTTCTCGCTAGCCTCGTACCCATACTCGCTCAAGTTGTTCTGGAGTCCCATCGTGGACGCTGTGTGGAGCCCGCGGTTCGGCCGCCGCAAGAGTTGGATCACCCCCCGTGCAGGTGATTGCGGGCCTGGCGATGATTTACTTGGGTAGTCATATTGGTGAGATGATGGAGCAGGCTGGTGCCAATGGCGGTGCGGGCGTCTGGAACTTTACCTATTGGTGGTTCCTGCTGGTGTTTTTCTGTGCCACGCAAGACATTGCTGTGGACGGGTGGGCGATTACACTCATGTCGCCGCCAAACATCTCCTACGCTTCCACCGCTCAGACAGTCGGTCTGACAGCTGGCCATTTCCTTTCGTATACCGTGTTCTTGGCATTCAATTCCAAGGACTTTGCCAATCGGTGGTTCCGCGCGGTTCCCGCTGAAGGTGGCTTGATGTCCCTGGGCGGGTACTTGACCTTCTGGGGGTGGACATATCTCATTGTAACATTGTGCTTGGCACTGCTCAAGAAGGAAGACCGCACCAAGGAGCGTGACAGCATCTTGGATGTGTACAAGAGCATGTGGAGTGTTCTCAAATTGAAGAACATCCAAACTATCATCTTGATTCACCTGATCGCCAAGATCGGCTTCCAGGCCAATGACGGCGTGACCAGCTTGAAATTGCTGGACAAGGGCTTTGGCCAAGATAACATGGCATTGGTCGTGTTGATCGATTTTCCCTTTGAGATCATGCTCGGCTATTACGCGGGCAAATGGTCCACCGAGTATACTCCGATGCGGCTTTGGGGCTGGGCCTTTGTCGGCCGCTTGGCAGCCGCGGTCTTGGCCCAATTCACCGTGATGATCTATCCCAGCGGCACAGATGTACCGTTCTGGTATCTGTTGACCGTTATTGTCGAGCATGTGGTCTCGACTTTTATGAACACAGTGATGTTCGTGGCCATCTCAGCGTTCCACGCTCGCATTGCCGATCCTGCCATTGGCGGCACTTACATGACTCTTCTCGCAACGTGAGTAACCCTCCTCCTATCTATATCAGATTCTAGCCTCTATTCCTCGAATACGAGCTAACTTTTTGTATTTAGCGTCTCTAACCTAGGCGGCACCTTCCCACGCTACTTCATCCTTAAGCTGGTCGACCTCTTCACCGAGGCCACCTGCATTCCACCCACCGTCGCCCCACCTGCCGACACTCTCAAAGATGCTCTCGTCACCACAGCCTTCTCCTGCGCCCTCGAGCCGGAGAAGAATCGCTGCATTAACGGTGGCGGCGTGTGCGAGGTCGGCCGCGACGGCTATTATATCACCAACATGCTGTGTGTGCTCATCGGCACAGTCACTTTCTTCATGTTCATCAAGCCTGCTGCCAAGAAGCTGCAGAGTCTGCCGCTACGAGCGTGGCGGCTGGGCAATGGCTCGGGTGGCCGCGAGTAATGGGTCCGAGGGCACCGTTGCTTGTGATGATCATTAACTCATGCTGGTTGCCTTGGACTTAGGTACTGTATTTGGCAAATGTATACTTGGTTGGGACAGCAATAGAGTGGTATTGAATAGAATAAAGATAATTGCATTGTTCAGTATGGTTCTTCGTTCATCTCTCCACCTTAATCCTCTCTCAGTCCTTCTATTTTTTTTATCGTTTTGCTATCGGCGAGCCGCTTTGCGTGTTTGTAACCACTAGCAGGAACTTGAAGCCCAATAGCGAATTTTCGCCTTCTTTGCTTCCATTATTGGTTTGGGCTGACTACGATAGAGGTTCTATTGCTTAAATGGTTCAGGTAGACCTACAGAATTCAGCAGAAGTTCGATATTGCAGAGGATGAAATCTTGAAGGCTTTAGAAGACACCATCCTGAGCCCTACTTGAGGATCACAAATCTATCTCTTGGAGGGGTGGTACGCTTTATAAACTTGAAGGGCGCCTTCCACCGATTGGATCGTACCAAAGAAGACAGTGAGTATCAATACTAAAGCAGCAATCCAGAATGTTGCCCACTGGACACGCCGCCTTCTGTCTGACCACCACTGAGTAACTGTTTTAGGCTCCGAGGCATCATATACGTTTTTCAATATTGCTAACCTTTCCCCCCAGTAGCGGAAGTGGGTAGTTGACCGCTGTGATAATTCCAAGGGCTTACAATTGGCTGCCTGGGGATCCACGGAATAGTCCATCAGTTGCAACTGGACCTTGAACCACGTCGCAGTCGCCGGATCATATTTGGGCAACAGCAGGGCGAGGGTTTGTAGAGTCTCTTCCACTAAACCATCAGGAAAATCTCGGACTTTCGATGATACTCCAGGAGCCTCACGTGGTGGAAAATTAGGAGCTGGTATGGGTGGTTGTCATCCGACGGGTCGTACAATCGCAGATGGTCGGGCAGATTGGAAGTCCAGATCACTCGGATCCCTCCAAAGCGCTCTAAATTACGAGCCTTGAAGGATTTCTCCAACTGTATCTGTTCTTCATGTGTATCCGTAGTGCTTCTGTGAAAATGGCTTTCCAATGCATGGGAAAGAGTCGAGTTGTCAGGCCAAGGGACAGAAATCTGTCCCTGCCGTGGCTCGCCCGGGAAATCACCAATTCGACACATCAGCCACACGCGAACGATGAATGTAAGAAGCGTGTTCACAGCCTCCTCCTTGCGTTCACTTCCATCAGGAACGCTGTAGAGGAGATCGGCAGTAATCTCACATCGGGTCTTTGTTTGGATTTGCCGAATAAGATCACTGATAATGTATGGGGTCAACTGGCTTCGAATATATGCACTGAACTCGGTGTTCTCGGCAAGACTCCTCGCAAGAAGGTAGTTGAAATAGAGGTGCCGAGAAGACTGGCATGTTGGATTACCAGTATCATTGAAGGTGCCGAAGAATGCATTGATGATGCTATACCCGACAGAAATGTCTGGCTCCATCGCGGTTAAACTTTAAAATTGTATAGGAGCCACTTTTGGATAAGCATCTATAAAGTTCCCCTTTGATCCACGATTTCGGCGACTTCATTTCCATTTGCCTGCGGGGTAGTTTCCCCACGTAACGACCATAGATTCGTATAAGAAGGGAACTTCGCTGGATTGTTGATTGCTCGTTCAGCAGTGACATCAACACTGGCATTATGTCCGACTACCCTTATCCTGGTCAGGACACCTCTTACCCTGGGTATTATGCTAGTCTTTACCCCATGAGGCAGCCAGCCTCGACCTTCCAACAGCCCCCTTATATTCCCCCTGTTAGACAACCAGGATATCCTATTCGGCCCCATCCCGCCTCACCACCCAGCCGAGTTCACCCATTCTCGCCAGATGTATCCCATGCTACATACCCCGAGACTCCTGATCTTCCATTTCCACTGCGCTGGTAGGAATGTCTGTCGTTGCCATTTGTCCAAAACTAAGATGCAATGATAGGCAAGCATTAAATCCCTCCAATGACGCGGCTGTTCAATTATACCACTCCGATGCCTCACCGGAGAACGAGAACAGGAGGTTTCGTCCTCGCATAAGAAATCTATTGCCCTGGAATCAGAAGGATGGCAACTTTACCAATGGCTACAAGCTATCCGCAGGAGAACGGTGTCCCAACAAAGTGGATGGCCGCTCATGCTGGGAGCCTTATTGGCAGCAACGTGGAAGCAACATTGAGAAAGACCTTTGCGCGCGCCTGTCAGACTTGCTTGAGCATTCGCGAGAAAGGTTGTTGAAAAAGCGCCAGTGTCTTCCAATCATGAGCTGTGGCATCTTTATGATCGGTTTCGATGAAGAGCAAGCACAAGCGCGATTTGTGATCAGCTGTAATGATCGTGAGATTTGCAAAGAGCTAAAAAAGATTTTCAAGACGCAGTCACTGGAAGTGGACTACATGGGCTTCAAGCCACTCATCAGCACAAATTTTCCTCGGAGCCAGATTCCCCTGCAGAGGTTGTCCGAACGGAGCTCCTCCTTTGCTGAGTCAAGCTCAAGCTCTGGTGTTGATGAATCATTTCCCTTTGTTGAACTGTCATCATTGGGCAAGTACAAGGTGTTCCTAAGGGAGCCTCTCCTACCGAATCAGGCGTTGGTCCTACCGGCATCGATTTCCATTGGATCTGTGGCTTCCTCGCATCAAGCGGTAATAAGTGGCTTGGTCACACTGCAGTCTCAGAATCGGACATTTGCCTTAACTATAGCTCATGCTATTACTCCTTCGGAAACAACCACTGTGGCAAAAACGGGAAGCTTTGATCTATCCACTTCAGATGGATCGAAAATAGGCTCAGTCATAAGATCATCTCAAGGCATGAGAGCTGGCCTAGACTGGGCATTGATTGAATTGGAGCACGACCTGGAGGTCTACACCCTAGCGCCATATCCAACTAGACTTGCCGACCCCACTGTCTCGGATAATATTGATGAGTATCGAGAAGTATATGTCAAAACCCCCAGGTCTTTGCTATCTGGTGTTCTACTTCCCAGTCTATACTACATACGACCAGAAGGTGAAGATAGGTTTATGGAAGTCTGGACGTTAGAGCTTAATGATCATATACGTAAGTTGATCCTTGCCCATATTTGGCCTATGTCTGGTACTGTTGTTGCTGATCAGTTCAAAGGGAATGGGGACTGTGGAGCCTGGGTAGTTGGAGCTGAAAACCAGGAGCTCTATGGCTATGTTGCCTTCGGTCATCCCGGCGACAAATATGCATACGTTATATCAGCGCGCTCGATCTTCCGACAAATCAGTGCTGAAGTCTCAGATTATGTCGCCATCTGCGCATCCGGACCGACTTTCAAGTTTCCTTTTGCTGCCAGGAATCACAGACAAAATCAGACACACCAAGGCCGCTGGAGCAGACAAAGGGATCCTCAGGAAAACTTTCACCACGGCTATGCTTCACCGCAAATGCCACCTTACGGTAATCCCTGGGGCTACCCAGGAGTCTATCCTCAAACATTCCAGCCATATACCGAACCCCCTACCGCGAGGGACAATCCTGGAGAACGCATATCTACATCGCCATCACCGGCACCAAATGCGGGAACAACCGCGGAAGAAGCAATTGCGCGTCTAGAGAAATTAATTTTAGACGATCGGCTTGAACGAGAAGCCAAAGAAGCTGCAAGAAATGCCGCCATTGAAAGTGAGGCCGCCGAAAAAGCAGCACGCGAAGTGCAGTTAGCACATGATCGGAAAATCGCCCAAGAAGCAGCGGCGATCGCTCGGGCTGATGCGGAAGTTCGAGCGGCTCAAGATGCAGCACTTGCCAAGGAGAAGGCAGAAGCAGCGGCCCAAGCCGCAGCAGCCGAGTCACAAGCTCGGATAGCTCGCTTAGAAGCAGTGAAGGAGGCTGAATTAAGATCAGCTTCGGGCAGGCTAAAGAAGAGATCCAATTGTGTTCTGCAGTGAGCTGAACATAGTATTGAGGGCCCTTATATGGTATTCCATGGCCATTCAGGGGTTCCCCTGTTTAAATGTATCATTCTGGGTTTCCAAGGAGGTGGGAAATTATTAATCTGTCGGGGGACCAGCTGTACTATGAGACGGCCAGTTACCGACCCTCACAAGTCATGTTAGAGCTATCAAGTTAAAACGCAGGTCGTCCATTCCAGGCTGGTTCACAACCGTTACGATCACACCGAGACATTTGTGGCTGGTGCCTTGGTGATATACTGTGTTTGAGTCAAATTGTTATAGAAATCGTGCACTGTAGCTCTCAACAATATAGGGACATGGCTGCCTGTTAAAGTAAGCTTCATTCGACTTTGCATTTTAATAAGATACGAAGCCGTTTCTAAGCATTCGATGTTTTCTAATATAGAATAAAACGCAGCTCGGCCTTATGTCATAATCAGACTAAAGCTCCCAGGCCTAATACAATATGTTATGGAAACAAAAAACTGTATTTGACGGATCTCACGACCCTATCTACATTGGATGGCACCTTAGGGATTCATGGGAATGCACTGATTCTCTCAGGTACTATTGCTTGGGCCTATATGGACAGCAAGTCCAACGTTCTCGTTTGCATTCACTTAATTTGGCAGATTGGCATGAGGTCGATCGAAACTTTTCAAATGCATCAATCGCACCACTCCACCCCAATCCCGTCTGAAGTTTCAACTCGTCTCAACTCGTGTCTGCAGAACCAATCCCCACACCAAGCACCCAACTCGAACTCCCATTCGCCAAGTTCCTGGCCGAAAGCAAATCGCATCCAATCGACCCCCTGGTCCCGGCCCATCTGACTCGTCGCCACGAAAAAGGGTCTCGCAACGAAGCCACACATCAGGGGCCCGGTCTCGAAGGGCCAATCGCGGGACTTGCTGTGGTGTTTGGATGGGGAAAGCCAAGAGCGTTTTATGCAGAACCCCCTCTTGTGGAAGAAGCATCTGGATGGAGAGTTGCATTGTCTGTTCTTGTTCATGGCTTAGGACTGGTCTGGAACGTTTTCTTGTGGTGGGCTGGGTTCGATTTCACGATCGGAGTGGACTCGATCGCGGCGGAGCCGCCGAGTGTGCCCAATTTCCTGCATTTACAGATGCATGGGCGTGTCAGAGCTGAGCTGAACAGGTGCAGATTTGGGCTATAAAGAGGGCTTGCCCTGGCATTGTAGTTTATTGTTTTCTGTTTCGTTTTGTCGGGCGTGCCATTCGTTTTTATTACTCTGTACATAGCCAGCCCGTCGTAATATTCTCTTTCAACCTCATATTCCAACTCGATCTACATCCAAAATGAGATTCCTCAGTGCCCCACTTGTCGGCGCCTTCGCGATGGCTGTGGCCGCCGTGCCGCATGTTCCCCGCGAGGTCCTCGCGTATAGGAGTGTAAGTTTACTCTATACAAGCTTCACCCTTTTAACTATATCCCAAAGACAATAGAAATCTAATTGACAACTGCCTGTGTATAGTGGGACTTGCGCCTCCTCAACACCGCTATCCCAACCTGCAACCCGAAGGACTCCAACCTCGACGCAAGCATTTACCATCGCTATGGCCGATATGATTCGACCTGCGAAACACTGGAGGCTGACTATAATGCCACAAATGTGAAGAGTGTGTCGTGGAAGAGTCCCAGTGAGGATGATTGGCACGACCTATGTATGTTTAGTACGGCGGATTGCTCTGGTGGCGAGAGTACGTTCTTGGGATCCATTACGGATGGTTGGGAGGTGTGCTATCCGTATAATGGGTTCCGGGGGTGGTCTGTTGTGTCGCATGGAACGGCTTGCGTTTAAGTTGTAATGGGGGGGAGGCTGTGATATTGGCAGTTCATTATGGGGAGTGGATGTGGGATGGTATACCGAGTAGTGATAGGGAAATGTAATAGGTATGGAGTTGGGATTGAGGTATACGATACATATGTATAAACTGGCATGGAACAGATGATCATGGGAAACTTCCAAACATCTTCAAGACAATCCTCGGTTCCCCTTCTCGTACTCATCCACCACTTCCCGAACTGCTAAATCAAGCAGCAACCGCGCATAACCCGCATGCAACCGCATCACCCAAGCGGGAATAATCTTCTGTCTCACGCCCTCCTCCTCGACAATCTCATAGTCATGTGCCCCCGCAAACCTCACATCCACGAACACACCCAGACCAGGGACATCATACGGCTTCGAGACACTCATCTCATGTCGACCCCCAGTCATTAAACGCCACGGATACCCCCAACGAGCAATCTTCTCGAAGAATAGCCGTGGTTCGTCAGCCATGTACCAAGCAATCAATAACCCTTGGCTATCAGCATCGGCTCCAGGGGTACGTTGTGTATAAAGTACCCCGTTAAGTAATTCCTGTGGCTTGCCGTCGTCGCTGGTCTTAAAGCCATGCTCGCCTATATCCCCGGGACTAAATGTCCGTCGAGTGAAGAGACCAACAATAGACCCTTCCGCTCGAAGCAACCAACTTCCAAGCATAGATCGAGCCCATGCTTCTTCGAGGGCGATGTGGTCTCGTTTGCTGGAGGGTTGAGTGCGCGTCTCGAGCGCTGATAGGGGGTACCCGCGCCGCGAAGATGTCAGTATACGCGCAACGCTGAGTCTGAGGGGTTGCAGGTATCAAGAGCGCTTTGCTTGCATTTCCTGAAGCTTGAAGGTTGGGGTATTTTTGTTCTAGGTGGGAGAGGCCGCGGTGGATACCGTACGATGTTGCGCCGATGGGGGCGGCGATGTAGAGCAGGCGGGTGATGGAGCGTTTCATGATTGGTGTCAGCAGTAGTGCGAAGAAGATATTGTGCTTTGATGGCTTTTGTCCAGTCTACCGACTGCCTATGAGACGGTTTGGATTTGATCTTGAGGAAGCTGTATGACAGGAGAGTGAGATTCCCGGCGGTCCAGTTTGGATTCTACCGTTCGAAGATGGGGGCCAAAATTAGCAGGTCCGAATATACGTGGGAAACCATGGAGGGTTGGACTCCGTCTAGAGCTGGAGTCAGCATAAGCGTAACCGCAAAGCTAAAGTGCCTCCTTTGTTTTCTGTCGTGATGTCCTTCAATTGTTGGGTTCTCAAGTCAAATGCACTCATAATAGCGGTGAGCGAGGAATCATAGGCTGATTCTGGTGCAGGCCCATAGCGTCCTTCGGGTAAAAAAAAACTCCTCTATTTTCCTACGATTAAAAACACTCGAATTGCGATAGATAGAGCGACGAAATGCCGTCCATGACCAAACAGGAATGTCTACAATAAGGTTTCCCTTTTTGCCGCATTCTCCAACATTTTGCGGGGCTGGCAATCGGCCCAACTCCGAAGGATATTCAAAAAGCCTGGCAGCGGGTAAGTTGACTCCAATCAATCCCTTTAGGACAGTGGAGAAGCGGCAGGGCACATCATCTTCATTGGAAGCAGGACAAGTTCCGACATCATCATCGGCGTGGGCAAGCTACCGTGAAGGTTTGTGGTTCCCCCACGCCTCCTCCACGCCTCCCCCGCTCGTGGAAGCACCTTAAATACCAAGCTTTTTTCCTGAAATTCGAGGTCGTCTCTCTAGAGGTCCATACAATATTACCCCTGATTCTACGCGTCCATTGCCTGAGCATTGGAACAAACCTGCAGTCTGTCCTACTTGCTAGAAACAAGACATCACTTGCTCGGAATGACCGCTGCATCCGTTCTAGTGGCTGCTCTAGCCCTTCTAGGGCCATCGCTCCTGTCTCAGGCCGATGGTAGCAGCCTCCCTGCACAAGCTCAAGTGATTGACCAAAAGTCATTCAATGTCCTCAATACAACTCAACCGCCAAGTGAATTCAACGCGGACAATGTGCGCGATCAAACATTCAAACATTCCTGGTTCCTGGATATGACTGACGCTCTCAACAGATTTTCGTGTCTCCGGGACACACGGAAGAAAGCCTTACCAAGCGTCCATTCCATGTGTACGACAAGGAGTTCCTGAACATCATCGGGAAAAATCCCACTCTGACGCGAATTGCGCACTCGCCAAAGGACCCTCTGTACCACGAGGCAGTTGTCTGGTACGCGATCCAAGCTTGATTATAGAAGGTATCTGAGTACTGACCTCCGACGCCTTTATTAGGTCCAAAGAGACGGAGGAAGTCTTCTTCGTCCAGAATGCAGGTGCTAAAAATTCCAGCACGGGGCTGCACAAGTCGGCCATCATTGAGAAGATCTCTCTGGCAGACGCAGCGGCCGTCTCCAACAAGAGTGATGCGGCCGGCCTCGTCAAGGTCACCGCAGTTCCCTCGTCGCCGATGGTGGTTAACCCGAATGGTGTGTCACAGCCCTCCCCTAGAGCATGCCCATAGTTCAATACTTACTCCCAACAACCAATAGGCGCAACCAATTATCGAGGACAGATCATCCTGACTGGTGAAGGTCAAGGCAACAACACCCCTCCTGCCTTGTGGGTCATGAATCCGCAAAAGCCATATAACACGACAGGTGCGTAGCCAAAAGGTTATGAGCACTATGAAGCACAGATTGCTGACGAGGTCTATCTAGTTCTCTTGAACAACTACTTCGGTCGTCAATTCAACTCTTTGAATGATGTATCCATTCACCCTAAGAACAAAGATGTCTACTTCACAGACACTATCTATGGCTACGTGCAAGATTTCCGCCCTGCTCCAGGTCTACAGGACCAAGTCTACCGGCTTAACCCGGACACCGGCGCTGTGACCGTCGTCGCGGATAGATTTGATCATCCCAACGGTATGTCCTTCAAGGAAGACTGCTGGGTTGTTAGCACGATGTTGACTTTCATTGCAAGGTTTTACATTCTCACCCGATGGAAAATACGCATATGTCACCGATACTGGCATCAATTATGGATTCTACGGAATGAACTTTACTCGCGCCGCTTCCATGTACGTTGATACAACAGATCTCTTTCTTAATGTAGCCCCGTGAAGAACAGACAATGCTAATGATGGTCTGGCAGCTATCGGTTCGACGTCAAGGAGGATGGTACCCTTGATAACCGCAAGGTTTTCGCCTTTGTTAGCCCCGGCGCGCCTGATGGTAAGCCAAGCCTTTCCCACTACTAAACATGCACCTAATTGAATTTGATATGCTAATCAATCCTGACGGCGAACAGGCATTCACTGTGATTCCGAGGGCAACGTGTACGCCGGATGTGGCGATGGTATCCAGGTATGGAATCCCTCTGGCAAGCTCCTTGGCAAGATTTACGTGGGATCTACCTCGGCAAATTTCAACTTTGCTGGGAAAGGGCGGATGGTTATTTGTGCAGAGACGGATCTTTACTATGTTACTGTGGCTGCCGAGGGGAACTTTGTTGAAAGTGAGATGTAGGATGTCTACCTTTTGTAACGGACTACCCCGGCTGGGAAAGTATCTAGCTGGTTGACTGGACACTATATAACTGGTTGTCATAACCCTGTCAAAGCTATGCAAATTCATAGTTCTGTTGGATGGATTTCATCTTCTCTAGCCTCCCGCTGGGGGCCAACAAGTACCTAAGTAGTTCTGGCAGATATATATTGACCTCAGAAATGTTCTTTACGTATTTCCAACGATATGTAATTATAGAATCCAAATCTTTCCTGATATCTAGACTATTAGAAAACTATTCTCAATTCAAACCCCCTGGTATGTAATCCCCTGATTACGATTCACTCCCTAAAAAATGTAGGGTCGGATGAGTGTTGGAGTGTCCGTAACAGGTCGGGCCATTTTATATCAGACTATGGCCTATCCATGTGAAGCTAGAACATATGCCAATCGTTGTCGAGTAAGAGATCCTAGAAGAAATTTACTAGAGATTAATAACTCCTGTAATTGAAGGCTCCTGAGATTTGCCTTTGGTCGTAGACTTCGATCCGATTCAGGGCCCGATTGTGGAGCCGCGATTCGCCTCTCGACTTTTTTTCTTGTCGCACCTCCCACCCATCAGCGTCATTCCAACATCACCTCTGGGTCGACCAAACTCCCCGGTAAAGGCGTTACCTTGATCAACCACTCAGGCGATGTCAAACTCACCCAAAACTGATTCCAGCTCTGCCCTTTCTGCTACACCATCACCCGCCACAACCATGAGCTCTACACACAGTGCTGCATACCCCGCAGTCGACAATTCGCTAGACGACATCTTTGGCTCTTCACCACCACCAGAGACCCAAGAGATGCCGTCCGATCTGCAAAATGACCGTACTTCTACGACTGAACCTTCCGATCTGCCTTCTCTACGTCGCCAACACGTTACCGCGGGGTACCGCGACGGAGTCTCGACATCGAAAGGCGAACACGTCCAACGCGGCTTCGATGCGGGATTCCCCGTCGGAGCGCAATTGGGTATGAGGGCTGGAACTATACTGGGTATTCTGGAGGGAATTACGAGAGGACTTGAGGACCGATCTGTTTCGGGCGTGGTTAAGAAACCCGTCGTGCGGGGAGTGTCCGGGCCATCGGCGCAGCGGTCGGACGAGGCGCGTTCGGCAGAGGCGGCAGAGTCGCGACGCCTGCTAAGAGAGAAGACTCTTAAGATATATTTGGAGGCCTCCAAAGCACTGGATGTGCAGGCAGTCTTCGCTGGCTCCAACGTAGAGGCTGGCTCGGGGTCCTCGGCGCAAAATGCAACGGATCGGCACGCAGGGGAACCTGCGGAAGCTCAACTTGGACGAAAGGGCGAGGCAGTGATCTCGAAGTGGGAGGATAAGGTGGCAGTACCGCAATGGGAGAAGAACATGGAGGCTCTTGAGATGAAAGAGAGCCAGGGAGACAACGAAGGGGACAAAGCTGCAATGGCCGAGCAGAGAAGGTTGAACTAACAGGACCAGTCAACCTGAATCTTCTACCCAGCCACAATGGGTGGACTTTTCCCCTCTGCACAAGCTATTTACCCAAAGAGGAGCTTTGCTTGCTGCATTCCTCGGGATGGACCTTCGCTGCTGCACACTGCAACCAGGCGGGGTACGCTGTACTGTATGTATGCGTCAGGCCCGCTGTCCGTCCCGAGACACTACACGATCGCCCTTCATCGACTTGAGTCCCAAGAGGGTTTCCTGCAGAAGCTGCAAGGAGGATATACTATATGTACTATAGCCTTGCGCAAGGCCGTTCCGGCGGGTGTTGTGTCTTAGAAAACGGCGTTTCATTCTCCGAGACACATGGTGGGGCACACGACTCCTTTCTTGTGCAGGGGAGACGTCGCTGTTGGCTTCAAAAAAGTATTTCAAACCATCAGAGTGGTTATAGAAAGGCAATCGAGTTATGTGGGATGGTGGATGGGCTCTGAATTGATGTATCATTTCGATCTCGACACGCGGGTCCACTCTCTGAGCTACGGTGTTTGCCCACTCTTCAAACCCGTGAAGGCAAACACACAACCCTGCTACTCGGATAACCGCGGCATTTTAACCGCCATGCGGGAATTGGGATACCTGCAGGGAACTTGGGTCCAGCAAACGCCGATAGATCTGAAACTACCCGCTCTTTGGGCCTACGGGAAGTTGTCCTGCAGCCGGGTTCATGGCGCCTTGCGTTTGCGGGCCGACAAGTCCGGCAAAGGGAGTTGGAACTTTTGGACTGCCGATTTGGCTCTGACACATGAAGATCAAAGGTTGGAGTTTAGTCATCGATTTGTCAGTTGAGGCATTTAAGTTAACTACAAAAAGGCACTTAACAACGAGGAATTGAAACTTGGAAATCTGATATCAAATCTATCTAATCGTCGTACATCACTAGGCTTATGAAAAATACATACCGTCTGCCACCCCCATTAAAAGCTGTTTCAAGGCTTTAATGCCCCTGGTCCCTGAAAGGCTGAACTGATGTAATCCATACATTCAAAAGTACAGCATGGCACAGGTCTCGAAGTCGAGGATGATGCAAGGGGCTTCTTAGCCTAAACTCATATTTGTCCAAGAATGGCAAACTAAAAACACGAGATGACAATCAGCTTCTCACGCGTCGCGAACCAAAATTTGGCACATAACTAGGCTAGGCATCATCATTCAAACAGTCTATCCAAGGTTCTTGAGAAAGAGATTCTTAGGGAAAGAAACCTTCAACCTATAGGCTACTAGTGATGTGACTCAAGTCTTCAAGGTTGAGCTTACTCGCCAACATCTCGAATCTACAACGAGAAGAGATATCAAGCACCGTTTTCAAACCCTAGAGTATTTCAGCCGAAAAGGGGAACTCATATCTTGTCCTCTCTTCTTCCATCCACAGTTTCAATCATCTTAATTCTCTCTCACAGTTAGGAGCACTAGGGAATCAATTTATGTGTCGTTTACGCTAGCCATATTCCACAGTCATTTGAGGAGACATTGTGATTATCTAACCTCGATGCGAGTTTTCAATCTTAATATTCGTAGGTCCCTCGTCAAATAGATGGCAGCTTAGCTTGCTACATCCATTAGGCAGAGATGTCTATAAGTTCATCAGTTTCTCAGTGGCTGGCTTTATGAGAGCGATAACTAACATAATACTAATGATTAGTGTCACTTACTCTTTCTCCTAATGGTGCGAGCCAAGGTAATCCTTGAAAAGAGAAGACCATGATCAAAACTCAAAGACACAATCTGTCAATATCTCTCACCCCCGTCCAACCCACAAACTCAAATCAAGCACTAGACGCACAGGAACCAGGCCCTGTAAACACAAGTACGAACTATTTGTCCTCACCCACACCCACACCCACACCCACACCCACACCCACGAGATTTTGCTCCTCCTCCTCTCTCTCACCAGGTCTAGAACCCTCCTCCCTTTTACCTATGCAGCAATATGCCAGATCCGACACATCCGCCGTACTTCTTCACAAAACCCAGTACCAAGGGTCATACCCCTGCATCTACAGGGGATGCGACGATCCCGGACTAAACACCACTCTACGCATCACACGACAAAAGGACCACCCGGGTGAAGATGCAGCGTACTTTTTCCCGCCCGGCCGCGGGATGTAAGATGTCCGCTTCTGCAGAATCTTAGACATGCGCCTAATTAATGGGAACTTGTTGAATAGGTTCATGTAGAACAGTTCCACTGTGGACTCGGGCTTGGATAGTATTAAATGATATCGAACCCCGTGCATACCGAGGACTGGGAGAGGGATCCCGAGTGAAACAATAATAACAATCCACCCATACAATGTGAAATAATGGTCAAAGAAGATTCTTGGTGTATTGGTACTTCTGCGTCGCATCGATGAATACCTCTGAAGTAGTAGTGTGGCTGGCCGTCAGGTTTCCCCGTAGGGCGGGAGTCTGGCATTCCAGGATCATCAAGACAATCCCCCAGACGACTAGGTAGCGGGGTATGGAAGAGAAAAAATAGATGGAAGTCATGTTTCATTGTCTGCATTTTTGAGCAGTGATAGTATTCGTCATTGTAATGTGTGAAAGCGTATGCTTTTGATGCGCCAAACTGAAAACCATGGAAGAATGAGATGCAATCTTGAGTAGCCGTACACCGTGTCCGTTTTCTACCATTATTTTGATGTCAGACAGATAGGAAAGAGGTAGAAACCTGAGAAGGTTGGTAAGGAGACAAATAGAAAGGACGTAAGACAAGAAAACCGCCAGGTTCAGGAAAGGCCGTTCAACACATTGTGACAAGACTGAGGCATAGCGATAGAATACAGCACAGACAACTGCGCAGGGAGATAAAAAGGTAAGAGACAATACATGTGGATAAACCAGATCAAATAAAACGAGCCCAAAGAGCAAACAATAAGGAAATCATAGCCAGGAGAGTTTGCTGGCAGAGTGGATCGTCCGTGACATTCGTTTTTGTATAGTCGCCGAGAACATTGGTAACATTGCCATCCGAGGAAAAGCAGCCTCGGGCAATCATTAAGATCGTTTTTCAGTCGGGTTAATCAAGCAACCCGGAAGCATCAAAGCGTAAAGCGAGTGTGGGACGTGTTCATCATCATTGAACACATGAGAATCAAAGAAAAAAAAAAAAAAAAAGGAAAACTCGTTATGAAAATCGTCGAATGCAAAGGCCGTGGTGATAGTTCTTGAAAGCAAAACGCCGGGTCCCCCATGTCCACCGGAACGCCCCGTAGCCAGCCGTAAGGGTATCAATCAGATTGTAGTCGTCGTCTTTGAAGCTGTCTTGTGGCAGCTCAATGACCGAAGAGAATCGAGAACCCGCTTGAAGAAGGGCCGTTGGTCGATTGCGTCCTCGAACGATGCGGGGGAATGTTGCTCGTAGCACATGGAGGTGAGCTTCTCCGTTTCCTCTTTGATGTACTCTGGTGAGTCGGAGTATTGACGACGCCGTGAGCGAGCTCGGACGGCGGCTGCAGTTGAGCGGTCAATGTGGGAATCACGCCGGTTGCCGTTGCTGTTGTTACGAGACCGGGGTTTGAGAAGGGAGGTAGTAGAAGGCGCGACGAGGCGGAGGGTTTGGAGAGGATGGTTCAACCGCATACCGTCTCGGCTGTTGCTGGGTCGGTCAAGGCTGACACCACGGTATGATTCAGGGACGGGTTGGCCAACTACATCGTCTGGCATGCACGGGAATTTCTCCGGGGCTTCATCGTCAAGCATCGCCTGGTGAAGCCGAGGTTGGGACTTGGCAGCACGAAGTTTGGCACGGCTGCGAACCTTGCGCAAGGTATCGATGGGCTTGCGAGATAAGGACTTGTGGCCAATGGACTCATTGTCAGAGTCGGATTCCCAGACGGAATGCTCGCAGTAGGCATCCATAGTGGACGTTGATGGCCGCTCCATGGATGTTGCTGTCCATTGGCGAGAGATGGGTGGGGAGCTAGCTGATGGACTAGGGATAGGACTAGGGCAGTCATTGGCAGGGATGAACAGAGCCTGTTCAAAATGTGTGGCATGTGGTTCCATGGTCACCGGGTTGATCAAGCTCGGGGGCGAGATCATGGATGGATCCAATGGAGGCCTTGTCCCGGGGCTGGATTGTTTCCTGCGGGAGATATGGGAGCTGGGCCGACGCGAGAGGTTGGGCAAGGTAGGGTGAGGTTTCCTTCGGCGCGATGACGAAGACATACTGGATGTCTCGTACTTCATTGTGCCGGTTGTAGTGGTGTTGTAGCTATCTGCAACAGGAGTAGTGGGTCGAGTGTGTGCCTTGGGGAGCGCAGGCACGGGAGGAGGTGGAGGTAGTTGCTTTGGAGGAGTAGAGGCAGGAAGGTAAAAAGCGCGCCGAGGTTCAGATTGAGCGCGCTTTGCGTGGTGGTACAGTTTCTCAGTCGCCTTGATGACGGCGTCTGGGCATGCAGCAGCCGAATACGTCGATGAGAAGGAGCTGCTGGGGGTGAGATTGGGGGTACTGCTATCGGTGTGTACCGAGCTAAAAGACTCGTGGCTGCTGTGAAGAGGCCTAGACTCTTCCTCGGTCGATGATGTATAACGATGGAATCTCAAATTGTTCTCCAGTTCCAATTGTGCGATGGTAGACCGATCTGGACCAATTTGGCGAGACGACTTGCGAAGATCTGATGAACTCCTCTCGTGTGTCAAAGACAATGTATAGTATTCCCTATTGTCGGTACTAAATCTCTCATCGCGCATTGCCGGAGTAAACGAGTCCCAAGTTGATGGTGTGGCAGCTAGTGACTGCTCGAGGTAGAATGGATCGGTGTTGGACTCTTCCAGCACCTTGGGCCCTGCTTTTGGGAGATATGTCGATGCTCGCTTTAGCGGGGATGGTGATGGCAAGCAGATCGTAGTTTCTGATCTATTCCAATCTGCGTGTAACGCGTCCAACTCGCTTGGACAGTGCTTTTCTCCGCGATCCATGGACTATGATGCCAACGCAGGGTATAGGATGGCGAAGGGAACTCGGACGCGGGGGCCTCAGAGACAATCGATCATGGAACACGAGAAAGATGGAGAGAAAGAGGGGAGGGTTGAACCGAGTCAGGGGATGGTTGCTAGATAGGAGGAAGAATGGAAGCAGGGTGAAGGGGATATGTTTATAGACAATCCCAAAAATAGGGCTTGGCAGATCCGAGCAGAGGCCAGTGGCTTGTCCGTAGTCGCCATCCCAGTGGCCGGGAATAACAGAGGCATGCCAATGCAGGTAAACAAAAGCACTGGACTCTCCGAGGAGCACAGACGATCATGACCTATCCGACCTTACATGACGTCCCCTTTCCGCTGTGTAGGGATGGGGTTGCAGCAAGGACCAGCTGCTGGGCGGTCCCAGCAAGGGCGGCGGAACGGGGATCCGGAGGGACAAAAGGACACAGTCAAAGAGTTTGGTGCTTTTGGAGGAGACAGTTATTGATGGCTTTGTTGTTGTGGCCGTTAAGCCAGAGTTTTGGAATTACGGAACTATGTCCAGAAGGTTCCTTCGTGGTTGTGTGGGAGATCAGGTGGTGAACACTTGACAGCACCTGACAACACCTGACTCGGCGGACTTGACTGCGAGGTTTTTTATTTCTTACGCCTCGCCAGGCACGTCATACCTTTTTTGTCCTCGTACAACATCTCATCTCAGCACGCGTTCACGTACGACCCGGTTAGCAGCCTCGCATTGGATGTACAATGCATCCCCGGGGATCGAAAACAGACCTCCCAAAAGTACCCATCGAGCCCATTTCCAATCCCACGCAGCTTACCAGCGTCACCAAAAACCCATGCAGAGGCTGGGCTCACGGGAGAATGTGAGATATCAGCCTTGCCCGTCTACTGGGACCGACCAGTCTCGCGGAGGCCCTTCCGGATCAGCCACTATGCTCATCGCGCCCCACCGATCGCCCTGGTCTGTGTGTTTGCTCGGCTTGGCCGGAGCCGTACGACTGGCCAGTTTGTGGCCAAGGCGCTGCTCCTCCGGACAGCAACAGGTACTCCTGGGCCACCAAAGGGTCCCCCCCCTTTGGTGTCAACTGCCATTCCTTCATCCCATTCCTGGGAACCGCGCAACGGCGTTGGACTCGGAGCTTCAGATGGCGCTTGACATGGCTTTGCAACGTTTCATCTCTGGAATCGTTGGGCTTTCCCCGCACTAGGATCAAATCCTACTGTCGTCATCGCAATGCCAAACGCGATTTCTCATCCTCATTTCCATCCTTCGCGATTGCTCCCGTCTGCTTGCTTTTTGCCCAGTGGCTAGCTCAACTCCCACGTTTACTTTTTCCATAATCCTTCGCCCCCTCGCCCGTCCTACAGTAAATAACACCAGCCAATTTCGCCCCTAGACCTGTCCCACTGTCCCACTTTGCGTGGGATGGGGTTTCAGCTGTTATGTGCCTATCTGTTCTGGACCCCTTTACTGGTTGAGCTTGAACTCGAGACCCCGTCTGTGCAGAACTCCCCTCCGGACCCTCTGCCCTAAGTGATCTCTGCCCACAAGTCGCCGGATCGGAGTTCCTAACTTTCGTAGTGCATCAAGGGCCTTGAGTTTGCCGCCTAGGCTGGTCTCTGTCCTCTTTGTTAGGACAGTGCTCTATACCTATTCGGGCGACTCGTACAGTCGTGACAGTCGACAAATCACATTTTACCAGCCGCGGATAGGGAAAGCCGCGCTGGGCGCTCTTGTTGGTTCTTTTTTGGAGCTTGTGACCGACTGGACCAATCGCATGTGGCGACTTAGGAACAAAAGCGAGCTTTAGAATTCTAAGCTGTCATCAACTCTAAGATTGTAGTGTCGTTGGCTGGATCGCAGCGTAGAGATCGTAGCCGATGGGCAAACATGTATATATGATATCACTCTGCCTTTCACGATGGCCATTGCCCCCGTCAATCTGAAAGTTGATCCCGATCTCGCATACGAGATTGACTCGGACGATTCGTAGACTGTCAGGCGGCGTTCAACAGGCACAGAATCCTCTGTATGCACTGGACTAGCTTATGGTGCCCGTCCGACTTCTCTTCCTTACTCTGTTTACTCAGAGGACACTTCTTCACCCCCATAAAGCCTCGCCCCACATTCCAATGAAAAGTTTGACGCGCATCGCATCCCGTTATACAGCAGCCGGAGCAGCCCGTCGCCCAGCACCGCCCGCATCGATGCATCCTGACTCGCTGCAGACCAGACGCGCCAGTCAAATGGAACTACTGTTTATATGTATATACATCTCTGGCCAGCGACTAAACCCCTGATCGGCAAATACTACGGCTTTCTATAAGCTTAACATCCTCAATTGATGCACTGGGCTGGCGGTTTGCCGAGCCAACGCTTTACTGCATCACCCTCGCTTTATTTCGATCACATTCTTGTTCATGCTGGATATATAATTGGGGTCGTAGTGCAGTGGACTATTCCTGATTATTCACACCCTCTGCCATGTTTGGCGGGATTTGAGACTGGGATCCTAAATTGTTCACCGTGGATAATTGTTATTTTCCTCCGCGATGGATCCTCGCTGCGTAGCCCTCGACTAAAAGGATGGATCCCAGATCCCTCCTGAAATAAATGATTCTCAAGGCGTAGGCGAGTGCCTTAGGCTATACTCTGCTATATGATCAGAGTCTTGAATTCAATGAGGTTACGAGTTACAATGAAGTATCATTACAAACTCCACACTAATTAACTAACCCGAGCGGCTATATTGAAAATGAAATTCAGAAATCCTCTCTGTCTACTCTCTCCCTTCATGCACCTATTAGTTTTTCGACGGCGACTAGGTCTGCGGGGTATGCCTAAATACCTATATAGGCTTAGAATCTCGTGGTTCTAATCGACATGGTAGTCAAGTCCTTAGAGGTGAAATTGTCGGGTTTGAATTCTATATAGTTTGGCGAGGCGGCGGAATATATACAAAGCAATCAGAAGACTCCACCATTTCCATTCAAAACCCCCTTTAGCTACGCCACCAAATGAATGATGACTCAGTCCGTACCGGAAGAATCTTCTGACCCCGTAGGGGCCTTAAGGCATTGGTATTGAAATAGGCCTATGGCGAAGATATCATGGCAAAAATCATCATCATCATCAGAAAGTATAGGTACGGAAACCCGCTTTTAGCTGGAGAGTAGCGAGGACAGCAATTGATTCTGTTAAGAAAAAGTAAGGTACCAGTTATGTATTCCTTCGCAATCACCTTGCTACATCAGAATCTGCTGTAATAAGATGGGCGGAATCACAATATTCAGAAGCTTGAAATGGTGGATTGCATCACAATGAGACTTGACGACACTAGCATCCAGCAAATCTTCGACAATATTAGATCCGTGGCTATTACGCTCCAGTGCCACAGCTTCACTACCGGGCAATTCAAAATATGAGAATACATGGCACGGAAGAAGATTTTGAGATCGTTGATTGTTAATGAAGCTAAGTGTTGAGATTAGACTCTCTCGAAGACCCCTGCACTTGTACTAACTATCGCTTCCCAGCTGAATGACTAGTTAGTTAGTGGGGTCCTCGGCGATGAGTAAACCCCCTCGTCCACTCGTCCAAGACCACATACAGTCCTCCGACGTATGGTTAGTTAGCTATATACTGTAGTGGTAATGGATAAAGTACGGAGTACTATTTATCTCTTTGCTCTTCTACGAGATAACTAAGATAGTTAGAATTTAACTCCTCTCTCCCCTTCGATTTCCTAGTGTTACCCCGACCATCCATCTCCTCTACAGCCCGTAGAAGAGCAGCACCGTAGAGACAACCAAGAGAAAGCAAACTAATTATCCATTTCCTGTTCTAAACCATGTCTTAATATCTACACTCCCCTTCTTCTCCCTCATTGGCGCGGACTAGATCCTGCACCCCCGACCCGACCCAGCGGCCAGACACAACGCAAAACACCTGAAACACCCCCGGAGCCCCCGACGGATATCGTTCCGCCCCGATCTCGCGATGCCCTGCATCATTCTGCAAGGCATGCGTGAAACCTACCTAGACATTGGTACGAACGGGTCCGATTCACGCCGACTTGCACATCTATATCTGCTAGTACTCGCACCTATGCCCATGCGCCTGCGTCTCCTTCTGCACCGCACTGTAAGAAAACCCAGCTCAGATCAGATCACCCTTTGCGGGAAGGGGGTCGTTGAATCCGTTCCTTTGCGTCCGCGATGCATCGGGTGCGACTTCCCCGCGTCCGGTCCCCTAGCTCGAGGCTCCTGGGTGGTGGGTGTATCTCCCACAAATGTTCCGATGATTCCTTGCAGGGGCTTGGTCGGGAGAGGGTCTAGACTGGGGGGCGCTTGGAGTAGGGGAGGATTTAGTATGTAGTATATAGATTGAGAGGTAGGACGTGGTTTGTCGCGTGTTGTTTGTTTTTAGGGAGGTGCTGCATGGGGTGGAGGGGGGCAACGGGTTTCTGGAGAGGAAGAGGATGGTTGTTGCTGGCGTGAAGTGGTACTTGCCTTGCCCCTTGAGCGAGGTCAATTGATGGTATTACTATTCAAAGAGAGTCTTCGGAGGACCAGAGTTGGCTTGATTTGAGTTCATTGACGCTGGAGTTACCCCCCTGATCCAAGTGAGACGTCGATCCAGGGTTTGCGTTGTGGGGTGCGGAGAAGTAGTGGTTCATCATTATCCAAGATAGCTTTACGTTGGATTTCCAGTGAGGTATTATCTCACAGGGACTGCTTCATATATCATGAATTATAGATGCAGGCGTGGATCTCTTCTCTTATAGCTTCCATTAGAGCATCGGCAGTTTCCTCATCGTCCGTGTCCTCCTGCAGTGGGGGTGGTTAATCTCCAAAGTGGGGAAGAGCCGAGCAGTTCGTCCCATCGTTCGATCGTTCCTGAAAGGCAGACCCAATGGAACGACTGGGCCCGATCCCAGTGGTTTTCGTGTTTGGGGGAAGTAATTCTTGAGTCCGACTGTGTTCTCTCCGTTCGCACAGCCTGGATAATTCTGAAAACCGAAAGTTAGGATGACTTGCCACGGAATGATTCGAGTCTTAGAGAGACTAGAATAGACTAAGCGGCTAAGACTGTGGCTACGTCGTTAGTGCCGGATTGCCAGCGCATCAGTTGATGATGTATCCTCCGAACAGGCTGTCAGGGTCAACTAGCCGAAGGCATTGCTGGATCCGAGGCCCTACGTACCAGAGAGAGGTACCGCGTGTAAAGTATACCATCTGTATACTCTGTATCTCCAGTGGCACATCTCATCAGTCATATTGTAAGATAACTAACAGGACCTATATCTCCTGAGCCGTCTAGAAAGACCTTTTAAAAAGACATCTAGGGAGATCTCGAAAGAAAGCACCTTGATGCCGTTAGCTGGACCTCGATCTTGTTCGTTAGATTCCGATTTCGAAATGCCACTTGTACCATCGCAACTAGCTGTATCCTTCGTGGACGCCCAACCGTGGCACTGGCAATGGAGTCCGAGATCTGCACTTTTCAATGGCTTAAACAGGCTCTGTAAAAAATCGGTTGGGGGGAAGTGAGATCACTAAAGTATTCTCATATATTGTCCTCCTTCGATGGAGCTAGTGATCATTAGTTGGTCAGTCGGCGCGTTGAGATCGGCCTGAGGATGTCGGCCTGAGGATGCTGTTCCAACTGTCGCTTCACTCTTCAGTACCCTTCAACTTGACTACCTTTTACCAAGATACTAGACCGTATACTTGACGACCTTGGAATTCTCCTTCCTATGAACTCCGACCTGATTATTTCCTCTTCCCCTATGACGACTCTTCCTGCGCCCGTTCTTCCATTTCCCGACCGTCCGCTGTACGACCGAGTCAGTTCCGGTGCAGGCAATTCTTGAGCTCGTGCTTTGCTTGCCCAACTGATTGCGCGACAGAATTACTGTCACTCAAGCTTTGCGTACTGACTGACGGTCGCTAACCCTCATTTTCTCTCTGATTTCTGTGCTGGGGCTGTCCGGGCGAAAGTGACACTCCTCCGAGGACAAGAGGGCCGCAGCATTCCAGCTGCAATCATCGCGGGATCTCCCCCGGACTTCAATTCCAATCATTCCACAGCCTCAGTCTATCACCCGATTCCTCCTCATCTGATTCTCATCTCTTTTCCATTCACTCGATTGCATCTCGGACTGGCTGGTTCTGCACTGCAGCGTGGGCGCTGGATGGTCCGCGCGACACGTTTGGTGCGCTGCAGCTCGGCGACCCCCAGCCATCTCAATTAAATCCAGCCACCACGACCTCGCACCGAACCACCACCTCCCTCCCCCCATTCCCTCTCCCTCCAGTCTCTAGTTCTTTAGGAGAAAGATCAAGCACAGCTTTCTGTTCCCCATCCTTGTTGTCTCTCAATTGCGCCAGGGTTGACACCACCGTTGTCGACAGCCTCACAGGCTACTTCCCAACCTTGCCTGGAATTGATTGACACCGTCATTGCGATTCACCTCCGGAGCTTAGAAACCTCCAACTCCCAAATTCCAGTCGACTCTCACATTGTCGTCAATTCACCCATTCCTCCAACCCGCACCAGAGGTGTCTCACCACACTCGCCGAGCATCTCACGAAGTCTACGACCGTCACGACCCATCTACACTTACGACCTTTGCGCAACAGCGCCAGCAGCCATCTTCCCCCCGTCCATCTTCCTCCCATTCAGTCGATTACCGCCCACCCTCGGCGACAGATTCGCACCGTCCCCTACGTCGAGTGCGCCGCTCACCCGACGTTCGCCAATTGCCACACCGTCGCACCGTCTCGCACGACGTATCGAGCAGACAGCCGCCTCAACCCCAGCCACCACAGCCGATCCCAGTCGCCGTCTATCCTAGTCTAGACAGCGGCGTTGCAGGAGTACCACCGGCACTCTCCGAAGCACAGACTGACGAGCACGGGTCGACTATCGACGATCCGTACGAGCTTCTCAACTCCTCATATTGGCCCCGGAGAACCACTGGCGTCTCGTCCCGAACCGCCTCGGCCATTCTCTTTGCTCTCGAAGAGGCCATTCGTCGCCCGTTCACCTTGACCACAGACTGGGAAGAAGCGAATGCTTCTATGTCCGATATGGTAGGCGTTGCTGGTCCCGCCGTGCCTGTGGGCAATGGCCGTTCTTCAAATGCTGGCTCGCGGGTGCCTCCAGGTGCCCCGGCTTCACAACCGCCGAGTGGTGTTCGCACCCCGACAGACATCATGAGACAACGTCGAGATCGGGAGGCTCGCCGCAAAGCAGAGCAGGAGGCCCGTGAGAGAGAACAGGAAGAGCTAGAAAGACAACAATTGGAGCAGGAGCAACAGGAGCAAGCTCAGGCCCAAAAGTATGCTGCTGGCGCTGGCGCTGATCCGGCTTCCCAGCGTCGCGCGCAGCCTCAACGAGCTCCGAGAGGCGCTCAAGCTCAAGTACCCCCGGAAATGGTAGCTGTGACCTCTCCAGGATCTGCTCCTGGCTATCGTCCGACCACCAGTGCCGGGCCGACAGCTCCCAGACAGGACTACCAGGCTCCAGCTCCAGCTCCAGCCCCCGCTGCAGCTGGTCATGATTTGTCTGGACAACCGCAACAAGCACCTTCATCGAGCCAGCAGCGTCTGGGGCCATCTACCCGGCATGCTCGCTCACAGAGCGCAGCCGCGGCAACGGGACCTCAAACAGGGCCAACTGCTTTCTCCAAGTCTGCACCAGCTCCCGCGAGCAGCCAACCTGGCGGTGCTCCTCAGACACTCCAACAGCCACGAAAAGCCGGCTTTCCACATGCCTTTGAACGGTGGGAGACTCTTTCTTCTCATTGGGAGGGTCTCACCAGCTACTGGATCCGCAAACTCGAGCAGCATAATGAGGACTTGGAACGTGATCCCCTCAGCCAGCAACTTGCTCGCCAGATCACCGATTTGTCCGCCGCAGGCGCGAACCTGTTCCATGCCGTCGTCGAATTGCAGCGACTGCGTGCTTCTTCAGAGCGCAAGTTCCAGCGCTGGTTCTTTGACACCCGCGCTGAGCAAGAACGCTCCAAGGAGGTTCAAGGAGAATTGGAACGTCAATTGAAAGCCGAACGGCAAGGCCGCACCGATGCCTTCGCCGCTGCTCAAACGGCCGAGCAGGATAAGACCCGTGCGGAAGATCTTCTCCGCGAGATGCGGCGCGAACTGCAGATCTCCAAAGAGGAAGCACGGCGCGCATGGGAAGAACTGGGCCGCCGCGAACAAGAAGAGCGCGACAGAACCAACTCTCTCCGCAACGGCGAGCCCACCCTCGTCGGCGGAGTCCAAGTCGTGCCCATGGTCCAGGGCGTCCCCAGCCGTCACGCAACCCGCCCACCAACCCGCGAGGGTCCTTACCCCGGCGGCCCGACGGCAACATCAATGGGCAAACCGACAGATCGCACATACTACGATGAAAACACGCCCATGTCCCCAACCGGGTCCGACCCCTTCATCGAGCCCAGGAAGACCGACCCCCCTGCCTCTAAAGCACCCTACCCACCCACCAGCCAACTATACCCGCACGAGCCCACCGCCGCACCATACCCGGCCCCAACCTCCGAGCCCGACGCCCACTCGTACGTCGGCAGCAGCGAGGTCGAGGAGGAATACACCGGCTACGCGCGCGACGACACCCACCCATTCAGCTACCCGGCCGCACCCCCCTCTGAGGGCAGCGACGAGTACGACCACCACCCAGACGAGCGCCACTACACCACGGACGGCGCCTACACGGGCGCCAGTAGCTCAGCACCCATCCACGCACCTTACCCGCCGACCACCGCCGACTACAGCGGAACAGGCTGGGGCGCCGGCACAGGGTGGGAATCCGTCACGCCGCGGCACCGTCACCCGACGCGACTGAGCGACGTACTCGAGGAGGATGAGCCGAGTCGCACGAGTCCCAGTCGTGCTAGCCAGGCTAGTCGGAGTGTGCAGTAAAGGCTACCTGGGTTTGACTTCTGAATGGAGTTAGTCAGTCGGACTTGGCTGAGGAGGAAGGGGTCGTGTTACTTCATCAGTTCCTTGCTTTCTTTGCGTCTGCATCTGCGTCTGTGTTTTCGAAACCTGCATGCATGCATCAGATTGGATCTGGATCGGGATTGGGATTGTGTTGTGTTGCCTTGAGTTGCGTACATAGAAAATGGCGAGATGGCGGCGAGTCTGGCTGCGTTTTCTTTTTCTTTTCATTTTCTTTTCTTCCTCTTTTGTCTCTATCTCTTGAAGTTTTCATTTCTCCTAGGCTTCCTATATCACGAACGAGCGTTTCTTTTTCTCTTTGCTTTTTCAAATTTGCGATTTCTTAGAAACGTTCAGCGAAATTAACTGGTTTCTATTTTGTTCCGTGGTGTTTTGAATTGATTTGTTTATGGCAGTTTCTTTCTTTTGTTTCTTCTGGTGATTTGCCTGGTTCGTTTCAATGATTATAATACATAATTTCCAATCCTTGGGGCTTTACGTACAAAATGAGTTCGCGACACGATTGTCAAGTGAGCTGTGGCTTCGAGTGGACAGTTAGTTTCATTCTATTTTGTGTGACTCTTAGCTTGACTGCATAGGTGTCTTCGTACCCTATCTATATCTACCTAATCTTAACTGCGTCTGAGTAATTCATTGACCCAGATTAGGAATATATACACTCACCGACCCTATACCTAACATGATCTTTTGAGACATACACCTGTAGCGAGTCATCGAAGTGCGCCATCCCATAAGTAGGTCACTCCTCCCTGGCACTTCCAGACTCAAGACCCTCACCACCTTCATCCCCGGGAACAACAGCACTGCTATCCCCTTCATCCCCCTCCTCCGGCGAATGATAATCCCGACTAGCAGTCCTCAACTCCCTCTCCAAAACCTCCGTTAACGCATTCAACAACCACTCAACCTCACTCTTCTCCCCCAACAACGGATTCTTCTTATCAATCCAACTCCAATCCAGGAATTGCTTCTGCCGTTTCACATCTTCCTTAGCCTGCGCTGTACTAGACTCAAATGCAGGCTTGTGCTGTCCCGAGATAAGACCCAGATAGTATTCCCACTCAAGATAGTCGAACTCCTTCGACAGGTTTTTGGAAGCGAGTTCCATCATTTTGCGAATCTCTTGGAAAAGTAGATAGTGGTAGTGGTGCACGTTTTCGGCCGCGATGTCGCCGCGGCGCCGGGCGGATTCTTCTTTCTTGTGTTCCTCGGCTTCGACGGCGTGGCGGTGCGCGTGGAAATTATTTCGATCAGTGTGGTCGCCCGTGTCGCTAACGTCATCTTGAGAGGCGTTCTTCTCGCCCACGGTTTCTTGGACCCATTTTTCTCTCCAAGAAATATGGAACAAAGCTTTGATCCGATCGTGGAAGGGTTCATCGCCAGGTAGAATCGTGATTTCACCGATGAATAGAGTAATATCCTTGACAAAGCGGATGAGGGTGTCGCTGATGTTGGAGATGAGAATTGTGATGGTTGGGACCGCAAGCAGAGACCAAAAGACGAAGAATGCTTTGCCTAGACTGCTGACTGGGTAGAAGTCGCCGAAACCGATGGTAAGCAGTGTCGTGTAGGCGAAATAGAGAGCTTCAAAGTAAGTCCAATGACGATGATCCTCGGAACGCCAAAAAATGGCTGCACCAATAAGCCATAATGCCATCCACACCACCAGAGACGTGATCAGCGAGATCCACTTGTGCTGCACTGTTGCTAGTTGTCGAACGCGCCGCATGGTAATGAACTCGCGCTTCTGTCTCTCGCGATCACTAAGCTCGTTGGTCTCATGTCCGTCAACGCGTAGATTCGGCACAAGGCGATTGCTGTGTTTGGAAAACGCCTGCTTAACCAAGAATTTGTGGGTGTGTGCGGTCAAAAGGTCGGCGATCCTTTGTCGTCCATGCTCCAACATGAGCGTTCGGATGGAGGAGATGATGAGACCAAGAATCACAATGCCCCCAACTGCATAAGGAAAGAGCAGCCCACGTCCTAGATGGGTAATTGGAACAAAGTTCCCGACACCAATTGTGAGGAGAGTGTAATCAGCCCAATACACCGCGTCCATGAACTTCCAGCCTTCGATTCTGGCGTAGACTGCTGAACCTCCTAGAAGGTAGATGAACAGGATGATGGTTTGTAGCATCAAAGTTCGTTGGCTGGTGGTCAACTTGTACTCCCGACTGTAATGGCCCTTGTGAGCACCCCACGCAGTGACCACCAGCAAGGATGCGATAATGAAGTAGAGCCCAGCAGCAAATGTCCCGTAGAAGTACGCTTGCGTATACACGTGTCCAGCATTTTCCGGTAGGTACATGAGCACTCCCAAGCCAATCAAGATGCCCAGTAGCAGAAAGGATGATATGTACCATCCGATAATAATAATCGGCTGGGCGACGCCGAATCGGATGCGTCGTGCCATGTTCAACGAAAGAGCCAGGTTTGCAATGAGCGCAAACACTAGAGAGACTGCATTGAGGGCGGTCACCCTAAAGACTCGACATTAGTATTTGTGCAAGACACATTTTATAGCGTTGCCGTACCATTTTGGATCAGTAATATCTCGCTCTCCACCACCGGGAAGTATTTCCATGCGCCATGTTTGTGATAGCGAGCAGATACTGAAGGCGCTGGACATTGGCCCGAATGTTCCCTGAAGACACGTCAGAACCGGGCACTCATTTTTACAAGGGGCCACTATAGCATACGGCGGCCAATGGGTATGCTGTACTCGCAAGCCACCATCGCGCTGCGTGCGGATGATGAGCGTCCACCTCCCGAGTATCATTCTCTTCATCATAGGATGTAGTATGATCGAGGGCGTTGGCCTCATCAGCGATGGCATCGTCGAGGCCGGGGTCATTCATGCTGTGTAGTAGTCCCGGATGAGATGTCCATAGAGACGGCTCGTTGCGCCACTAGAGAGAGAACATCACGAAGCAAGATCTGGGATCAAGGGAGAATGCATTGTTTAATGAGTAGCCCTCCTACCGGAAGTGGGGCGACCGTGCCTATATGAGAAGTAGTGGCGCTTGCCAGAATCACAGAATCAAGCTTTTTGTCCGGGCAAGCGTGGCCGTCATGATCGGCGCCGAGCGAGGAAATCGCGATGGGCCAGACTAGGCGGGAGTACAATTGGGACTGACGTCATGTCACGTGGAGAGCAGAGCTACAGTAGGAACAGTGTTCCATGGGCCGATGAAGGGTCAAGCAAGGAAATCCGCCGAGATTATCATACGGTTGAATGGTGAATGGATGCAGGAAAATTTGAAGACGAAAAGGAAGGGTATATATGTAGACTCGGGCATGGTAGATGACATATTACCCAGTGAAGTAAGTTGGACCAGGGAAAGGGAATTTGAATGCAGAAATCGCACGAAGCGCTTTTCGTGTTGGAAGAAATAAAGAAACAAGAGTAATGTAGCCAGTATGATATCGGTCTCTGTACATCATGTAAACCAACGTCTGTATATGTCGAGTATCGCAACAAGGGCAGAGAACCACTAGTACCTGCCGTGCCAAAACTCGATCCCAAAGCGACATTTGTGTAGGGCCCAGGATTGGCGAGAGGCCCGAGGTTGCAATGGAAGAAGCAAAGCAAAGGGAAAGAAATGAAAAAGAAACAAGACGGGGCCCATCAAGTAGTAACCTTAGACACCAAAAACTCCGCTCTCCAAAATGACCCGCATAGCCATAATGTCAAGGAGAAAATCACTGAAAATCACCAGTCGTTCCAAGAGAAAAGGGGGGGGGGGGGGGGGTGTTGGGAGAGCATTAAAAGGGGTATCGCAGAAAAGGTATGTCAAGGTCGGTGAGATCATCGAGAGAGCCAGGTGAAATGACTCGAATCATCAGACTAATTAGATGTTAGCGAGGGAATATGACTGGTTGCCTGCTATCGAGACTTACAGTGACCGCCCCCGGGGGTGAGAGCAGAAGGAACCGACGAGTTAGGTTGTGGTGAAGGGCGACGGGCAAAGCGTGGCTCCACGTCTTCATAGTAGTTGGTGGAAGCTTGGCCGGCACCAGCGTGAACGGGTGATGGAGAAGGGCGCGGCGCGAGGTTACGGTCGGGTTCCTGGTTACCCCATCCAGCACGGGCAGGGACGTAGGAGCTACGACTGAATATGTTAGCTGGGTTATAGCAAGGAGAACTAAGTACATGGGAGGTACTTACTCGGTATGGCTGTAGAGACTCGTCGGGCTCTCGAGAGGTGCAAGGGCCCCGTCCACGGATAGCGCATGGGGGTGAGACACATTGCTCATCGACGGATCCGACTCATGTGTGTCATGTCGGCGCATCTGAGGCTGCATCTCAATCGCTTGGCCTACATTGTCTGCAGACACAGCCATGCCAATTGGTCCCGGGGAGGGCTCATGCATTGGACCGCCCATCGCCATTCCAGGTTGATCATACGCATCATCCATGGGGCGGCCATATGAGTCGAAACTGCGATTCGGACCCGCCGAATAACCGGGAGCACCGCGAGCTCCGCCACGACCCGGCATCATCCCCCCACGACCACGCGGTGGCATCGGACCTCCCACATAACCACCGCGGCCACCAGGAGGACCTCGAGGTGGTCCCATATAAGGGCCGCCTCGTCCGTAGCCACCGCGAGGAGGATACCCTCGGCCGCGTGGGCCAAATCCAGGCGGACCTCCACCGCGTCGAGAACCCATGCTACCATCGGAATACTGGGGACGTAGTCTAGGATCGGAGGGGTTGCGCATCATCTGGGGATTACCATACGGACCCGCAGGAGGCATACCAGCTTCTTCCTGAGAGCGATAAGGTGACCCGTGGCGATTGGGAAAATCGGCACTTGGCACTGGAGGAACATCGTGCATTCCATTGGGATTGCGAGAGTTGAGGGGGTCCGGTCATCATCGCTAGTACGTGTCTCGGTGCGGAACGTAGCGAACGTCGGGCCTGATTCCGAAGTAGGAGAACCAGAAACCATGGCTTCCTTGGTTTCCGTTATAACCGGCTCAGCAGCGATAGCAGCTGCCGCCGCATTCTGTCGGTTGTAGTAATTCTCGCCGCTCATTTCCGCGTTCTCAGCAATGCGACGCTTTCGTGCCTTGCGACTGACCAGGGTGCGGCGCATGGCGCAAGTCAACACCCCGCATGAGACGAGGATAATGGTAGACGCCAGCACGATCCATCCACCCCATCGCAAGTGTGGCACGAAGAGCAGGATATCAACCAGGAATGCGAGAAGAGTCACCAGAAGGGTGGGCAGGAGTAGAATGAGGAGTGCGAGCAGGAAACGCGGCGAATGCGATGGGCCATGGAAGTGCGCGGCGGCGGCCAGGCAGAGGCAGACGAGAGTGAGGAAGGCTGCGACCGGGTGGACGATCAAGATTGACGAAAGGGATTTCCGAGTGCTGGAGGGAAGATTGAAGTCGCCGCCGGTGCTATCTATATTGTCTACAATGGTTGTTAGCCACGAAATAGCAGGCAGAAGCGATATCGCGCCAACAACTTACTGCCGGTGTATCCCACATGGATGTTGGTACACTGATCGCCTTGGCAGTAGCCAAATACACCGTAGTCGACATTCTTGAATGTTGCGAGTGGGATGCCCTTGATGATAGGGGTGGAGAGGCACGACAATAAGAGAAGGGCGAATGCGACGAACAGCAAGATGGTGAGAGGTGTCGCGGGTTTGAGCAACATGATGAGGGGATAGCGGCAGCTTGGCCTCGGAGACCTCGTCTCTCTCAAGCTGGACTAAAAAACGAGCGAGTTCCAGACTTGCAAGCGCGCACTGTCGATTAAGCGGGAGGCGATTTAGCGTAGCATGAGGCTCATTTGGGGTCTCCTGAGACCGCACTGAGGGGGAGATGATTGATTGGGGGGCGGGAATAGGAGGAGGAGGATCGCAGAGAGAGGATGAAAGGAGTGGAAAGGCACGGCGGATGGGAAAAGTGAGGGGAAGCGAAGCAGGGTAAAGGTTCTGGGCTAAGGCCAGCCAAGGCTTAAGGCTAAAAAGAGGGCAATTAAAAGAAGGACAAGAAGCGATAAGCCGGCGCCATCGCGGAGGCGAAGGAGAAGGAAACCGTGGGAGACACGGACTTGTGGAGGGACTGGACATGGAGGCCTGAGGCAGACTTTGACCTGGTGATGGTCATTGGATCACCCAACCTGAGATTCATCCTCGACGCCAATACATACTTCAACATTTTGACGCCTTCGCCGATGACTACGCTTGATCCCTACACTACCTGAAATCGATTGCTTCTTTTCTTCTAGAATCTCACCCTCCGGCCGATCGCCATGGCTCTCTTCGCTACAGAGACTGCAGCAGCACTGATCCCCTCTCCCACAGCGGGCGCATCCAGGACCGGAGCTCTCATTCGCTGTACCCCCAGACACGTCCTCTCGGGGCAATGGGGCCATTCCCATGGACCAGCCGAGCCAAGCCTCGCAGACAGCCGTTGGAGGGTTGAACCCATTTCTCCCAAAGGATGGCGCGACCGCACGGACGGAGTCCCCGACAAATTTCCTGGCAGCCATCACCGAGTTCAAATCAACCCCCACATTCTTTCTTCTCTGTTCAATGGAACGGCGGGCTTCCGTCGGAAGGACTTCTGACCAAGCCAGCCATACGCATCATCGATCAAAAGGATTGAAAAGACTTCTCTCTGCTGGTTGAACCCCTCTGTCGTCCCAGGAGAAGATCTGTCACGAAAGACAATGTCTCGGCTCTGACACTACTGCTCCAAATTACCACATATAATTTACCAGTGACAGATTCATCATTGGTGAAACAAGATCTGCGCAGTGGAAATGTATCTAAATGGTGTTGAGGGTAGTTGTGAATCAGGGATTCGAAAGCTCAAAAGCAAGTTTTAGCTGCGCTTCCTGGGTGGCTTCAAGCCTCAATTGACTAGTGAATGTAGCGCGCTCAATTCTTGATGAATGGATGATCTTTGCTAGCTCTGCGATATCGAGCATAAGTCTGGACCGGGTTGCGGTCTATCACCATGTCGGGTCCGCTGCTACAAGTCTACGTTTAAGATGAAACAAGCCGCGCTCCACTTTCCAAAGCTAGGCTTATTGACCTTAGTGCCCCTTAACTACCCTTCCGGCTGGGCTAGATAAGGGTTATCGTGATGGAGAAGCAGTTGAGCAAAAGGCCAGGGTAGCTGTTGCAGGCATCTGAGATCATTGAGTCCTTTCATTCCCTCAAAAGCACACGACCTTATCTTCATGAGTTCGGTGGTCGAGCCTAATTAAGCTTATGTGGGGAGCCTACCCGCTGAACAATACTCCGTGCAGGTAAGATAGCCAGAGTTGGTGTTGCTCTTTGTGTCGCCAAGCCAGAGTTTAAATGCCTCTATCTGGTTGAAATCAAGGATAGCAAACTCTAGTGGCACACAGACCCGAGAGTCTGTGGGTTACACGAACATTGGGACCGTTGCAATCTCGATGGAGGAGTTGGCAGAAGATTGAATTGCATTAGGGACACCTACCTACCCACCCTAGGGGATAGTCTAAGGGCTGAATGCTTTGAAGAGGAGGATATTGTCACCACAGTCCGGGGGTGCAGAGCCACCCACCTAAGATGGAATGATCGTAGATGCATCCTATGATTACTGCGTAACCCAATGGGAACGGTCCTTAGGACTTAAGTATAGATTTATTCCCCTTGCACGCACGTAGTCGCCATCAAACTCAATAGGAACAGCAAATGCCGCCGATCCATTTAGAGCGGCTGGAATAAGGATTGATCGTCACCATTCTACAATAGAACCATCCTTAGAGCTACCACGGGCTATTAATATGCGTTGCTTGTACCGACTCTGGCCCTGGGCTAAGCGGAAGAAGCCTACCGATGAAGAGAATTATTCACTACTACAAGGAAGGACCACCCTCATACAGCCCTGGGAAATGACCAGCAGAAGCGAAGAATTGCGCCAAAGGCCACCGTCAAAAACACAAGAAAGATATGTGAGGTTTGGTATTGGCGGAGCGGGGAACATGCGCAAGTCCTGCTCCCTTCTCATAAGGTCTAATGGCGTTGAAATGAAATTATCTTCCAGAAGGCATTCTGACTGAGTGTTTGCGGCAGAGTTGTTTCGCACAACGGCAATGTTATTCAAACGACCACACGATGATATCCGAGGACTTGGGTACTGCTATGAGTTTGGGGAACAGCCGTCAGACTGGTAGTTATTGCAAAACTGAAGCAACACGCCTTTCATTGATGTTGGTTGTAACGGAACGGCTCATGGTTCTCAAATATCCATCTCGCTCAGAGCTTTCCCAATACACCATCACTCCCTACCCTTCTTCTTTGACCTACTTCGAATGTAGCTGCACAAATTTCGATCGATGCGGCTCTTCTTTTTCGTGTGTCTGCTCAACTGCGTATACCCAATGAGCCTAAAATGCAATGCTTATTGAGGGTACTACTAGAGGAAGGAGTCTGATCCTGATTACGAGTATACGGACATTCGATAAGGGGCCTGGCCAGGTAGCAATGATGGCAACCACTAAAGTCCTAGCACAACGATGCATTTTAGTATCCTTAATATGGATAGATGACTTCTTGAATCTCATTCCATATATCTTTTTCAATACATAAACTCTTTAGCTATAGAGAAAAGGGCCTCCGCTTCGCTCAACCGTATCTAAGGCCCTTTCCATACGTGTTTCATTCCCATGTTCCGTTTGAGTCTATAGCTAAGTGACCACATTGAGAATTATCAGGACCAACTTCCCAACGATGAGTCAAGGGAAACCCAAAGCTGGCTTCTCAGAATACGGGTTTGTAACTTTGATGCCCGACAAACCTCAAATCATCTTATCAATAACTGATTGTATGATAAAGTTAGCGATGATGCCTAAGCCATGCAATTAAGAGAGAATAAGTTGCGGGTCACTCATTGAACTCTTTCACTATGCCACTGTAACAATAGCGTCTGAGGACTGCAAGTCGGTCTGAAATTCAAGCAATTTGCAACTGAGATTTTCTATAAGATTTGAACACTTCGAATCAGATCAGCCGGCTCCAGCTATGGCCTCGACGGACTGGATGGAATACCACTTCTAGTTCTAAAAGCTCCCTCATCCTACTTGATCATATAAGTAGGCGACACACTTCCCAACTTCGGATGAGTCCTACAAATTCAGATGAATTCCGTGGAATTACGATGTAATATTACGGTATGAGTCCGCTTCTAACCCCACGGGGGAGGCCCGTGTGCCGTAATACTACACTGTCGTTCGATCATAAGTTCACGTGGTCGGTCGACCGAAGGTTTGCGACTTTGTGCCAAGACGCGCTGACTAGAATCACTGATAGCCAGCCCCCTCCGCCGTGAGCTACCTTCCAATCTCCCTGATCATGAAATATGATCTCACACTCCCAGATCCCTGGCGCAGGTAGTCACCGACGGCCACAGTACCGCCGGTCGCGCAACGGATGCCTGACTTGTAAGAGGCGCAAAGTAAGGTGCAACGAGGAGAGGCCACGATGCTATCACTGTGATCGGTTGAGTCTTGAGTGTGTGTGGAAAGGTTCCGGGCTCCAGCACCTCCCTCCTGCAGGGGCAAGAGCAGAGGAGCCTCATGAAGCCGATCAGGCCTCTTTGTCAGCCGACATCTTCGACTTTGCACAGTCCATTGTGGACGGCACTGCCGATCTGTCAACATTCCAGGACATGTATTTCCCGCCATTGAACGATCTTCCAGTCCCAGTGGATGTCTTTCAGGATCGGGGGTTGTCTCCCAACTCAGAGAGTATGGGGTCAACGCCTGCGCCGTCGGGTTCCCCGGTTTCCAACGTCCATGTAGATGACTCGCTAAAACCAAATCTACCCCCAATCCTAGATCCGATTGAGAGCGGACCTAGAAGCACCTCGGCTAAGGAGTTGTTCCATAGCCTAGCAACCTCGTCCCCGATGGTTCGGTATGCGATTGCCGCGTTCACAATGATCCAGTCCTCGTCTACAGAGGGAATGGTCGACTATAAGCTATACTACGACAAAGCAGCACGCGAATTATCGGAATCAATTCAGAACCCCAATGGGCAACGAATGTCCAGTGGTCAAAAGCTTCAACCTATTCTGGCTACCATATTCTTCCTTACATATATCGATGTTTGTCTGCCCTCTAGAGAGACTCGATCTCGGTGTTTACTAACGTTTATCAAGCTGTTGACGGGTCACCTAAATTTGGCATATTTAAATCTGGAGAAGGCTCACAATGTACTCAGAGCGGCAGGTATCGGCGGTTTGGGTCCTATAGGTTCGATAAACGCGCGTTTCCCCAGAATCACGGTAATTCATGCTGAAACTTAGCTTCTTAGAACAGAGAATTGTCTCTTGGATTCGACTGCTCGACGCCCGAGCGGCGTCGGCTGGTGGGGATGGTCTTCTGGTCGATGACACATCTGATATTATCTACCAGTTGACCCCAAGGTCCCCTGGGTCCTCGTCCCAGAGCACTGACCCCCCAACCAACTCCGGTCCACACGAGGTTATTTACGAAATGCTTTGCCAGCCAGGGATTGCTTTCTACCAAGAAGTTCAAACCATCACGGTCCGTATCACCAGGATCGCGCACGCCCATCGCAGCCGGGGAAGCGTCGAGGACGAAACGGAGGTAATGGCCATCGCGGCAGATATTCTTAAGGACCTAAAGTCCCTACATGATCGCCGGCCCGCTTTGATGGAATACGCCGTCTCCGGGAGTATTGGAGAGGATACGCTCGCAAAACCCCTTGCGTCGGCTATTGTACGGTCGTTCCAGACGTACTTGGTGAACTTCTACGCCTGCTACGTCCACCTTCATCGAGTTGCACACCGCCATCTCGCTCGTTCAAAGTCTGTGACGATGGCAATACAAAGAATCAGAGAGATACTACATCTCATGGCCAGCACGAATGAACACATCCCGGTCAACGTGCTGTGGCCGTTGTTCCTGTGGGGTACTGAAGAAGATGACCAGGAGGAATGTCAATGGATACTGGCAACTATTCGCAGCCTCCATGATATTGCCTCGAATGCAAACATGGCCGCAAATGTTGTACAGGAGATCCAAATGAGACAACGAGAAGCTGGGTCGCGGGTCGACATTCGTTCTGTATGCTTGGAATTGTTTAACACTACGTTTGCAATTGTTTGAATTCCTTGCCTATATTTAACATTGGAAGCAACAATCAAATTTAATTCATTTGAATTGCCTAAATTGAGACTAATTCCCCCGCCTCACTGTCTGGCTATCGTGAAGACCACGACCGGCGGCTCGAATTTACCTAACAGCACGTCATGGGGCTGGTTTATCAGCATGAAACCTCTAGCCAGTCAGCGTCAACTTGAAGGAATATCAATTGATTGTCAAGGCCTTCATAGAAGATTGCGAACTTATCGTCACCGAGAGCGGTGATGGTAGAATAGCTCGTTGCTCCCGGGCTAAACACCTTGCCAGAAGACCAGGTATTTCCGTCATCACACGAATAACGTGCGGTGCCGTTCACCCGGGAGGTTTGGCTGTTCGCGTTGGTGAAAAGCAAGATCTTGGCCAATTTTGACCCTTGTTCGGCATCAGGGTACATTCGTGTGATCGCTCCATTGCATGCCGGGTCCGGTAGCTGAGTCTCCGTTCTTGGAGCCGAATAGGTAACACCTCCATCGTTGGACAGTGCGATTTTGCGATGTCCACTGCCATCACTCGGTCGTGAATTGAGCATGACCGTGCCATTGGACAACTCGACCACTTTGTTCTCATCCATACCCGTGCCCACGGGTATGCCCATCTGCCACGTGCTGCCGCTGTCATCGCTGTAGACAGTGTATGCTTGATAGGCGGTCGATCCATCAGACTGGATGATTCGTCCGAGGAACTGTTGAAGGAGGCGTCCAGCATATTGTCCGTACTGGAGCTGTATACCTTCACCAGAAGCAGAGAATGTTCCCATCACCCCACCTACGTTATTTATCCCATTGATTGTATTACCGATTGGCTTGGTGGAGGTTGTAATCAGGGGCAGCGCTCCCTTTTCACTTGATGCCACAGGCGGCAGGTAAGGTTGGTTGACCGGGTCAGTCGTCCAGCTAAGTCCTCCATCGGTAGACACAGACACTTCGTTGCTCAAAACGGCCAAGTTCGTGTCATTATTCCCCAGCACGCTGCCAGCAAAACCTTGGTTCTTCGAGAACACATGGAAATTGAACAGTTTTCCTGCCGTGCGGTCGATTACATAGCTTGGGTCACTGAATCCGTACTTTTGAACTCCTGTAGAGCCAGGACGTCCTTGCGCGATATAGGTCAGGTTACCCCAGGTCAGGCCATTGTCTGTACTGCGGCGTTGGAGGATTGAATTTGGCGACGGAGCGTCCCCTCCATCTGGGCGCCCATCAAAAGAGGCCAACAAAACACCATTGCCGAGGCTTGCTAAAGCCACGATCCGGTAGAATGGGTATGGCCTGTTGCCATTCTCTGCGAGTGTCTGATTGATAATTGCTGCACGCGAATGGGTGATGATAGAGAGGATTAAACAAATGCTAAGAGACTGGAGGAATGGGACCTGGCGTGCGCCCTGGATTATGAATTGGAACATTCTGTTGAATAACTACCGAGCTGGTAGTTATATATTGTAAAGGGCCGTTGATAAGCAGATATTCTTCCAGAAACATGGGCGGTATTGACGCAGATATATCTCCTTGACTGTGCGATCGGACGCTATTGTCTGAGTTGCCTAAATAAGTAATCGTGCAGCAGTTCTGCTACACTGCAAAGCAAGATTTAACATTTCAAGTAAAAGCCACATACCATGTGCATCAGTTGTGAAGGCAATGATGGGCAAGTCAGCATATGGATGGAGCGTTGGGCCGCGGGCTCCATCGGGAAGGACCCTGCGAGGACATTGTGGGGAGTCGGGGACACAAGATCGGATGCCGAAGATAGAGACACAGTGGGAGCCGACCCAAGCGACGAGAGTAGATCTGGCAATTCATCGCTCATACAACTAGTCACCACGCTTGGAGCCCTCTAATCTCCAGGACGGAATGGACGCTCATTCGCGAGCATTCTCATTGGACGCTTTCCAAGGAACAAGCGCGGACCCGACGAAGTGAGCTAAAGTTCCGCCACCAGGTCGGAAAACGCCGCGAGCGAATCGCTGAACGTCGGTTAGTTCCCGAAGGCGGAACTTATCAGAGACACGACTCCAGATGAGCGGGGGAATGACTGGATGGACTGGATGGCGGGGTCGTCGTACCCATGAAGGTCGCTGAGATACCGCGTATTTCCGTACAACCGTATGTACCTTTACAGAGTGCCATTACTCGTTGAGGCAAGAGAGAGATACTCGATCTTCTTCCCCGGATTCCTGCTGACCACACATGCACAGTACCCACTTGTATTGAGGATAAGCCGAAGACGATTCGGGGCACCCACCTGCGCTATTTGCCGTTTTGGGATTCTCCAAGCACAAGGTCGTGTGTGTTGTGTGTTCTATGCCCAGCACTCCGTGCCAGCCAGTGGATAGACTACTGGAGTCGTGATAGCGGATATATAAACATTCGATCGCCCCGCCCCGCAAGCTTCTCGCTCAATCATTACGCCCCAGAGATATCCCACCAATTCGTGTGCACGAAAGTATCGACTGATCATGGGTACTTCTGACATTGAGGCGGCCAGTGAAGCGAAACCCGTTGGATCCCCAGAGACCCACCCCCACAGTCAGGAGACGGGAGTAATGATGGAGATTACATCGAGTCTCACCGACGAACAGGTATGTTACTCCTACCTGTGTTAGGTAGGTCTGCGTGAATACAACAGCCGTTGACCTCTGCATACAGAATGCTCGGATTCGAAGAAAGACCGATCGGACGATCCTTGTTATCCTGACCTGGATCTACTTCTTGCAGGTAAAGTGATATAGTGATAGGCTCAGCTCCTGGTGTCAAATACTGACTCAATTGCGGGTTAGGTATTCGACAAAGCAGTGCTTAGCACCAGTGCACTCTTCGGCCTCCAAGAGGACACTCACCTCACGGGAAACCAGTATTCCCTCGTCGGCTCAATCTCCGCCATAGCCCAGCTCGCATGGCAGCCCTTCTCGGCCTGGCTGATCGTTAAGGTCCCTCCCCGCATCTTGATGCCCGCAATGATCCTGGGGTGGGGCATCGCCGAGGCCAGCATTGCGGGCTGTCATAGCTTTCCAACTCTGCTCACGGCGCGCTTCTTCTTGGGTCTTTTTGAAGCAGGTTGCCTCCCATTGTTTACTTATCTTACTGGAATTTGGTATCGGCGTTCCGAGCAGCCTCTCCGCATTGCTATCTGGAACGGCATGAACGGTATCTCGACCATAGCAGCCGCTGCGATTTCTTATGGTCTGGGTCATATCGAGTCCGAACTCCTGAGGCCCTGGCAAATGTCAGCAGTCCCCCAATCTACGAACATGAGATGGATATCTGACTCTTATTTTGTAGCATCTTTCTTTTCGCCGGTTTACTCACTATAGTCAGTGCGCCGATCGTGTACTGGAAATTGGACAACGACATCTCAGTCGCCCGCTTCTTGACTGAAGAGGAGCAGCTTCTGGGCATCGAGCGCCTTCGTGTTAACCAGACTGGCGAGATCAGCCACGAATTCAAGTGGTCTCATGTGATCGAAGTTGCACTGGAGCCCAAGTCCTGGCTTTGGGTGGGAATGGTGATCCTGCCGAACATGGGCTCTGGCATGACGGGCGTCTTCGGCACATTGATCATAAAAGGGTTTGGGTTCGACAAGTTCCAGACATCGTTGTTGAACATTCCATTTGGCGCCATGCAGACCATTGTTATCCTCCTGAGCTGCTGGGCTGCCACGAAGGCGAAATTGAAGTCAGTGGTGTTGATCGCCTTCACTATTCCGGCTATTGTGGGCACGGCAATGCTATACGGACTCAACCGTAGTGCGGCTGACCGTCCGGCGCTCCTCGTCGCGTACTACCTGTGTGCCTGTCTGTTTGCAGGGAACCCTCTCATTCTCGCGTGGGCAATCGGTAACACGGCCGGGGCAACAAAAAAGTCCACAATGCTCTCTTTCATCCAGGCCGGAGTGTCGGCTGGGGCGTTGTCAGGGCCATTGCTTTTCACTAGCGAGCAGGCACCAAAGTATCTCCCAGGTATCCGGGCTGTGCTCGGAATCTTTATTGCATTGATTGGTGCGGCTGTCATTCAGCTGTTGAATCTGATGTTCCTGAATAAGCAGCAAAGGAAGAAGCGGATTGCCAATGGAAAGAGCGGGGACGTTGTTGACGAGTCCATGCAAACCTCGGTCAATACGACAAGCAAAGGACAAATGCAAGCTTTAGAAGAGGTGGTTGCCCTGGACTTGACAGATCGTGAGAACGACCAATTTGTCTATCTCTACTGAAGGAGGGGGTTTTTGCAGTCTTTCTAGTTGACATGCGTATCGACGGGAATGTTCATTTTTACGGGATGGAGAATTTCTTCATGGTCTGGTTATCCGTATAAATACGAAAATGAAATTCAATTCTATGCAAAATGCTCCTTCGCTCATCGGATTTGTCCATTTACGGCATGCACTAGGAAAATATCAAGTGAAGGTAATTGGTGCTTTCTTTGTAGAAGTGGTATTGTTGATTTTCTTTTTCTTTATTCGCGTTCATTCTATCATCTAGGACAAACGAAATTATGAATCTTAGAGTTCTCTTAACCAGACGGCAACTAACGCGGAATATCAAACCTTGCTTAACATTTTATTGGAGAGGGGCGAGGAGCGCTAGCGTAGGCCCCATCTAAGGTGTTTATGTCAGAACAATAAAATGACCGTATAGACTAGGAATGTTGCCTATAGTGCATTGATGGTCTTGCGGCATTTCGGCTCATATTTCTTTGACATTCTCGAACTGTATATACGACATGAGATTAGGCAGACATTTCATATGAACACATTGCCAGAGAACAAAATTCAAATAAAAACTATGATCTGCCTAGGTTCACACTTCAAAATAAAGCTACAACTAGAAATGACCTTCGACTTCAACGGGCCTGTACGCTTCCTCGATGTACCTCTCTTCTTCCGAAGTCAGCTCCTTTCCGCGAGCAGACAGCGCCTCGTCGATCCGTCTAACGCTGCTGAAGCCAATAATAGGGCTAGCCACGCGCTTCTGCATCCACGCTAAGGTAACCTGGGACATAGTCCACCCTTTGCGCCTCGAAATTTCCTCAACTCGGTTGATGATCTCCGTCGTCTCGGGCCGGAGGGACGAAGCAGTCTCGCCGCCAGAGCGCGCCGTAGTTCCATGCGCCGTCAAAGGACGTGCAAGCCGCCCTTCTGCAAGAGGTCCCCACTAAAGAATGATTATTAGTAAAATTAAGCGACTGAACGGAGGTTCAGATTAACTAACCGGGATAACAGCAACGCCTGTTACATTGCAGAACCTGATCATTTCACGTTCTTCTTCACGGTATAGGAGATTATAGCGATTCTGTCGAAGGGGTTAGCAACACCAGCAATTAAGGACAGGCCGAATACCTACCTGCATAGCAATGAACTTTGTCCATCCGTTCTTTTCCGCACAGAATTGCATCATGGCAAACTCGTATGTCCACATTGAGGAGGCACCGATATAACGAATCTTGCCTGACGTCACCAGGTCGTGAAGAGCCCGCATGGTCTCTTCAATTGGTGTATATGGATCAAAACGATGAATCCAGAAAAGATCGATATAGTCCGTTTCAAGTCGCTGAAGAGAGTCCTCCACGGCCTTGAATAAAGCTTTCCGCGAGAGGCCTGTTCGCCCTGTTTAGCGTTCTGTATATATCTTCTTTTGGCATGCTACTTACCGAACTGGTTGACGTAGTCTTTGCTTCGGCGTAGTTCATCTAAAATAGAGTATGCATTGAACTGCTGCTCGCCAACGCAGCTATAGGCCTTGGTCATGAGAACCAGTTTGTGTCGCGGAATGTCATATTCCTTGATTGCCTGTGCAATCACTCTCTCGGAGTCTCCATTGGAATAAATATTGGCTGTATCCCACTATACCATGAACTACCGTCAATATCCAATGTGATGAGATTTCAGAATATCTGGGGTCGGAACGCGTACCGTATTGACTCCACGATCGTATGCGGCCTTGAGGAGTGGAAGAGCCTTGTCAGGCCCGACGACCCAATCCGCCCACTCTGGATTCCCAATGCTCATGCAGCCAATGATTGGAACTGACACCCTGAGGCCACTATTTCCGACTCGCACATAGTCGACTCCTGTTTCATCTAAAGACTTTTTGACACCGACTGGAAGGGCGACCATTGTTAGTGATTGGAAAAAGTTCTGGGACCTTGGAGAGGAGACTGCAGGTTTCTGGAGCCTGTCTTAAATGCTTAACAAGACTTCATATAATTTCTTTGTTGATTATTTGAATTACTAAACTCATCCAACTGTCCTGAATGAATTGTGGTTTCTATCGCCATCGCCTAGCTTGCCGATAATCCGACCGGATTTGGTTGATACGCGAATCGAGGTTCCCCGCTCACCCTAGGTCGAGCCGACTCGGCAAACAATCGCAAGTTTGCTCCATCTACCAGGGTCAGCGATCGGCTTGAGAATAAAAGATTAGATACTATTGGCTACACAATTTATATGATGTAATGCCAACTCTAATGCGTGTTGTAAGGTCGAAAGTCACCGAGGCTCCTGTATGCGATTCTGTCTTTGGTGACAACGTTCCAGCTTTCCTAAATAGGAAATTGGAGATTGCCGAATGAGGAAACCGAAAAACGAGGCGGTTGATCGGAATGCAGATTTCCTTTCAGAGTAAGAAAATAAGGGACAAGTCATAGAAATATTTAATAAATGCTCAGCATTCTCGCACAGTACCGCATGCACCCAACTCAAAATCGTTATTTTGGATTGAACCAACGCTCTGCATCATGGCTACTATGCAAAAGGTCTTTGCTGCCTACCAGGCTAGGCAACTCAGCCTTGCAACCAGCACCCATCCTTTTGCTCAGGGTGTAGCCTGGGTTGATGGGGAGCTTTTCCCACTCCACGAAGCCCGCATTCCCATACTCGACCAAGGTTTTATGCATAGCGATCTCACATATGATGTCCCCTCCGTTTGGGATGGCCGGTTCTTCCGCCTGGATGACCACATTGCGCGATTAGAAGCGAGTTGTACGAAGCTTCGCCTCGTGCTACCTCTTCCCCGTGAAGAGGTAAAACGTATTCTTGTCGATATGGTCGCCCAGTCGGGTATTCGTGATGCCTTTGTCGAGATTATTGTCACTCGGGGCCTTAAGGGTGTCCGCGGCAGCGACCCAAGAGATATCGTTAACCGTCTCTACATGTTTATTCAGCCCTACGTATGGGTTATGGAGCCAGAGATCCAACCTGTCGGTGGGAGTGCTATCATCGCCCGATCAGTACGTCGCACCCCACCAGGCTCAATGGACCCCACCGTGAAGAATTTGCAATGGGGCGACCTGGTCCGGGGATTGTTCGAGGCATCCGATCGCGGTGCCACTTATCCATTTCTGACCGACGGCGACACGAATCTGACAGAAGGATCTGGCTTTAACGTTGTTTTGGTGAAGGACGGTACCCTCTACACTCCTTCGCGCGGAGTCCTCGAAGGTATCACACGAAAGAGTGTTATCGATGCTGCTAAGATCAACGGGTTCGAAATAAACGTGCAGATTGTCCCAGTTCAAATGACTTACGACGCGGACGAGATTTTCATGTGCACAACGGCTGGTGGGATTATGCCAATCACTAGTCTGGATGGCCAGTTGGTGAATGGGGGAAAACTCGGACCTATCACAAAGAAGATTTGGGATACCTACTGGGCGATGCACTATGAACCTGCTTATAGCTTCCAAATTGCCTATCCAGAGGATTCCGGGAAACTGACGAACGGATGCGATCATTAGAGTCTGGGACTGTGTTTAGCCAGTTACAATTCGAGTAATGGACGCTTCATAGGTCGTACTTGAATCGAAACCATAAACATGCAAAGATTTTATCTAAGTGTATTTTGAATCATTCTGTAGACGTCAATCAATAGTTTGGAATTAATTTCGTAAGATGCAGTACCTCAGAAGCATAGCTGAAAATGACGTAAATTTGGCTCAAAGGAAAGGCTTCTATCATGCTTAGAGAACTTCGTTCTCATCGGCCATATGTTCGAATACTTTTGGATAAAGTGTAAAAGAAAACGGTTTCTAGAGAACTTGGACGGAATTTTATAGATAGAGGTCATTTATACATAGCGTTGACAAGGACGAAAAACCAGAAGTTTGATCACCCAACACAGCCTCGTCCTCTCTTCACGAACTCTCTCAGCACGTTCTCCGTCATTTTAGCTACATTGTTTTTGTAATCGTCCCAAGCGAGGCTGGAATACCAGTTGATACTACCTACCGAGAACACCGCACCCCCTGCTGCGGTGTCATAGTAGACAAGGTCGCTTCTAACTAGATCACAGGTTGAGCCTAAGGTGTTCACCATGGGAAACATTGAGTCCTCATTGAACAGCCCAAAGCTGTCATCATGCTGCAGACTTCTTGCCAGCAAGATCGCATTCATTGGGGTCCCAAGCGCAAAATCAAGCCGGTCGATCTCGTCGCCGCTAGCTCCTCCGCCGAACCCATGTTCACCAATCAGTTCAGTTGGGTCTATCCCCTCGAACATCCAGGAAAACCGAGGATCGAGGGCATACTTTGCATTGGCCTTGTAGGGCTTCCCTGGTCCGGTACCGAAGGCAGATGCGCCAATTCCCCAAAGGTAGTTTGGAGCACGACCGCGACTCCGCCAGAGCCCTCCCTGTGCTCCGGTAAGACTGTGCATTCGCTCGCCCGCGGAAAATGTCACAGAGCGGCAGCCCTGATCCCCCTTGCGAACCTCGAGACGGTGAGGCCGTGTGATGTCCACATCGGCGACCCAATAGAACCCGTTGCCGCCAAGATACATCATATTCCCTCCCGATCGAGAAAAGGCGTTGAACGCATTCAGGCTCTGGAGAGAGTGATATTCAGGATGGCAGCCCGTAATAAGAGTAGTGTATCGAGAGGAGACTTTTTGATTTGGGTCGTTCAGACAGTGGTCTGTGATAACATCATAGGGAAGCCCAGAACGTTCCAGGAAGTTTATCATAAGCAGATCAGCGCTGAATTCTCGAGGCCGACCGAGTGCCCAGTGCACGTATCCGGGTCTGAGGTTAAGAATCGGTCGAAGAGCACTAGAAAACGCACAAGGGGAGCCGTCTCGATGAACATCATAGGCCGACAAGCCTAAGTCCGGTCTTCGATCTAAGTTCTTGAAATACTCGTTGTTGCTCCCAACGTTGACACCGTCCGGGGTTGTCATTGCGGACGATCTGCTCTGGTCAAACATCCGCTCATTGGCATATGCAAGGTATGTGAAAGTAGTCATCACTAACGCGATCCGAGACTCTGAGCTGGGATGAGGGCGGACGAAGAACGTGATCATATCGGTTGTGCTGTCTGAACATTTGACTTCAACGGCATATGCACCTGACCTGGCGGTGGAGGGAATTGTGACAGAGAAATTTGTTGCCCATTTAGCATCATCTAGGTCATCCTCATGAAAATGGATTGCTCCATAGCCGTATTATGCTTTAGTCCAGTCTGGCTGAGAGCCATCCCAGTTGTATCCCTTGACAGCTCGTGTTGGTGCGTTGATCAATATTCCATTTCGGGCATTGCCAGAAACGTCTTCAATGGTATCAGAAGATATGTTTTTAGAGAAGTCGTATTTTGCGACAACTCGTCGTGGGGATTGTGACATTGCAAAGCACAGGGAGTCCAGTCGACCATTATAGAAACACGAGGGTTCGGAGCTCTTTTGGCCGACAGTGTCGAACATGCCAGCACCGAAAAGTAACTCATTCGACCCAAGAACCATAGGTGCGGACAGATATTTGGTCATCACTTGTCCCTTCGGGGCTTGCTCCGAGAGACGGATGAGCTGGTGGATGCTCACGGTAACCATCTTGTTGATGATGCTCAAGGAAATTTGAAGCCATCGCCAGCGGTTTACGAGAAGATGACTCTGAATCACTTCTACGTTATGTCCGGTACCAATCAGAATTCTGAAAGTCGAGTCCTTCAAAATGACTGCGAACCCAGTTCGAGAATCCGTATCCAGACACGAGAGCAGGGTTTGGCAACCAGAGTCATTTTCCAGCAAGTAGGGCTGGGCATAGAATTCTATATTGATGCCTTCTTCATCCTTGTATTCCACGCTGGCCCAGGATGGAACGACTGCATAAGACCCTGGGCAAGCGCTTTGAAAGCAACCATCGTCACGGTGGCCTGCGGGGACCTCAGTGATCTCCTCCATCGCCACGGGTGGGCCATGAGGACCACGATAGCCCTGGAGAAGACGTACTAGACGATGCCGGTATTCTTTTTCGGTGCTCGAGATCTAAAAAGTCAGGCTTTGCCAGTGTATTCAATTGAAAAAACAACGTACTTTGATGTCCACCGACTGTCCAGGGGAAACAATCCATGGTTGAGCATAACCGATAATTTGTGTGTCGTTCGAGGCCATGGCAAGAGCATTAAAATGTTCAAAAAGGAGTCAAAAGGCTGAAGAGAAAAAAACGCTGCCCGTCCTCTGAGCTTTTATAAAACGTCTGATATACCTTTCAGCTTCAGTGAATATCTTGGTATAGGCATTTCCTTCTATTGATACCTCTGGCATATCAGGAGACATGTTTCTTTACCTCTTATGTCTGTACTCTATGTGTTACATGCCACCCAAATACAATCTACTGGATCACTCCCAAATGTAATTTGTGTCCACGATATTTTCCTTGACTGATGCCCATCCGATATCCGATCGGGTATCTGGCCTTCCAATTGGTTGGTCCTTAGTTACCGACCGCCTCGGGTTACCAGCTTCGGAAGGTGAGCCTAGGACATTTTCCAAAGAACACCTGTAGCATGAGCGAATGTTAGAACTCATCAGCTATATGTATTCAATCCGGTAGTTTTTCCAGCTCTATAGGGCCTAGAAGCAGAGAAGATGCACCTAAAGGCGCTTTGACCTCTTGAGGACACTGCGGTTTACGTTACACTGTCTGACACAATCTGGGCCTGTAATTATGTTCCACGGCTCAATTCCATGCCTGTGTAAGCTAGATCAGTTCAACATTCCCCAGAAATTGACTGGCAAGCAATTCTCCGATTTTTCATCTGGTCTTGTTGGGAAACTAGTGAATGAGACAAGAATCGCCGTTTACTACTAGAAAATAGTTCATAGGTTATCATCTAAATCGAATTGTATTTTCACACGAATAGACTCAACGGATTTACTCACAATCCTAGATATCGCCAAGTCGTGATTAGGAAAGTATCTATTTTTCATTCCCCCGACAGCCCTATGTTTGCTAAACTCACTTGCAAAAATAAAGCCGGCATAACCTATCATCTTGCCGTTATTTGTTCAATGTCTCCCAATCCCTAATCATGCTATGAATACCTAAAGATAGGCTTTCACTAGGTCTAAACTCACGCGTACGGCAAGTTCTTCTCTAATTTATCGCTATTGATTGTGGAACTTTAGAAGAATATGGTTGTTGTATTTGACATGAGCTGAGACGCGTTTCTACGTCCCCTTTCATTTCTATTTACACATTTGAACAACCTAGTTGCTCCTCGGTCACAAGGAGAGGTGTAACTAAGCGCATCGCACGGTCCCGCTTCTCCTGATCTTCGAACCTGGGGATAGGTCGCCGACAATGCACACTTGTCTCCGGATACCCACGCGTCTTTGCAGTGATCCATTTCATGCCGCTAACGTCCGACGTGGCGATTCCTAGTTCCGGCTGAACTAGCTTTTTCTGCAACTGAGTGGCTTCTGCAATCTTTCCAGATTTGAAAAGATTGTAAATTTCAACCATAACCTTTGAAGTATGTAAGCTATTGTGTCCCAATTTACAAAACGTAATAGGCACTTACTTTCGGGAATACATTTGCCACGCCAGAAATACAGCCAGCACTTCCTGCTGCAAGGGCAGCGACAAGCCAGTCACTCATTCCTGAGAGAGAGGTAAATTGGGTGGGATCAAACTGTGCCGCTACTCTGGTCGCCTTTCCAACACCCCCACAAGTCAATTTGACGGCGTAGATGTTGGGGTGAGCGCCGAGTTCTTCCAACATAAAGGCATCGACGTCAATGCCGGACACAACGTTAGGGAAGTTGTAAATAACAATAGGAAGCGGGGAGCGGTCTCCAACTTCCTTAAAAAAATTGACAACAGCTTTGGAAGTCATGGACCAGTGGAAGACAGCAGGCACCAGAACCAGCGCAAAATCAGCGCCGTTCTTATGGCCCTCTTGAATTTGCGCGAGTACGTCTCTGGTGCAGCCAGCCAGGATTCCCAGTGTAATAGGGAAATCAGGCTTTCCCAATGAGACTGCAATTTCCCGAGTCCTTTTGACGAGCTGTCCTTTCTCGGCTACGGAAAGAGTGGCTGATTCGCCACTAGAGCCGGCCAAGACAACTGCGATTGAATCAGCGTAATTCATACAATTGATGATTCTGCTCAAGGCACGTACTTCCATGCAAATTCGAGATCATGAATTCTAGATGTTTGTCTTGGGTTGGCCAGTCAATGGCCTGTTCTTCACTATCCTCAAAGAAGGTGACAGAAGGCCCATGAATGCCTGGGGGATAAAACTCGAAGCGGCTGGTGGAAGGCATAGCTGGGGATCAGGTATCTGAGATTCGCAAATGGTAGATAGAAAGAGCAGGCTTTTCCTTGAGCGATATCATACACCATTAAGTACGAATTACATCGTATATTCAAATGGAATCATACGCGCGGATGCTTAGTGATATCAGGCTGGAACCGATTTCATTGGATTGTTATCCGCGTCGCGATCGGCTCGGCAAATTATCCATGCGATCGCTAGCCTCCCATGTGGGAAGCACCTTTGAAATCGGATATCTCTCGAACCCTTAGTTTGCATAGTGCATAGTAACCATTCTCATCCCTCAATTAAGGTACTCATCGGAGTAAGCCCCGATCAGCCGTTCCACATTATTATGCGCAAAGCGCCTAGGTTGTCCGGATATCATCGGTCCACAATATACTCTACAGTTTGATCGCATTAAGCAAAGTAACGCGTTTGGTTAAGGTTATGTGCTTGAAGTATCTGCTCTCTGATATGGGGTAAAGTTGAAAGGCCGCATATTTGACGTCTATCCCGTAGCTTAGCCTAATTACCAAATAAGATACAATAGCTTTTATTCACCGCAGTAGCTGTCTCAAATAAAGGTGGAAACTGGCAAATACACGTAAGGCTTTTCATTCCTTGCTCTATCCAAGTAGTAACTGTGTGCGTTCGTGTTCCTGGTTGGAGCTAGGAGGGGTCTGACTATCAATCACGGCTCCCCACCATTCTCCGGAGGCCCATATTTCATCAAGGAGTATAGGAACAGAATTGAACATGTTATAGTGACTCCTCTCACCCCAGTACACACAGTATTCTATCGCAAATTCACGAGTCTCTTTATCCGAGGCCCCGCTTCCAGCCAGAAAGACTGGAATCAGGAGCTGTTTTTGTATCAGAGACTTGCGTCGACAACATCGAATATTATCGATGGTCTTGCGCACTAACTGATGAATGCGGATTGGGCGGGGGTTCCGAGTCCTCTTGAACACAGTTTCAATGTAGAGAAGTAATGCCTGTCGCCATGTCTCAGCGCAGTGGTAACGATCTTGCCGCTCATGCATATCCTTTATTGCTGCCTCCTTTGTTGAGTAAGAGTCTTCATTGAGTATTGGAGTGATAATGTCATTGGTCCATTGAATTAGTTCATGCTCTATTTTTGTGACTGGTGCCATGTTGAAAGTCAGCCATTTCATCCTGGATGCGAGTTCACTCTGATAAGCGAGTTCTGCAAGTTGTGATAGGTAGACTAGCAAGTCTCTTGGACATCCAGTGAGATCAAAGAAGGACCATTCATCTTCGCTCTCCCATTTAATTAGAAAGTCTAAGTAGGCTTTGTCCATGAGTGGACTTTGCCGGGAGATCAATGCGAGTGTCGCGTCCCACCTAACCCTCGTCAGCTCAACATTGGTCATGACAAGGCACAATGTATTACCATATTAGCATGCCAACTTGTGCCCGCATTCGCGGAGTTATCAACGACTTCGATCCTCCAAGGGTCTGAAGCATTTCATATGCTCGCATTATCATAGTTGACCAAGCTCCGGTAGCAGAGAGGGTACACTAGACCATACTTTAGAATGAAAGGGCGCTGCCTGGATTGGCATATCACTTACATCTAGAGTAAAAAGAATTAATATAGGATCCAAGAGATTGAGAACAGGTCTGCTTTTTAATGCGTGTTCGAGCAATTGGAAAGCTTTTCTGCGATGCTCAGCAGCTTCACCAGAGCTTCTTTCTACAGAGCTCCTCCTATGTTGACAGCATAGCGCCAAAATAGCATGTACAAGAAGGCCCGATAGTGGAGATGATTGGCGATCGCAGCGAAATGGATTCACGGCCCCGGGGATATCTCCCGTGAGCGGAAGCACGCAGTATTCTGAATCATCTGTGCAGACAGTGTGAGCACCCAAGATAGGTATAGGGAATAGGATTAAGGAGAACACTTACAGATATGAAGAAGCTGTTCTTCGTCCAAATATGTGGCATAGGACGTTCTGGAATCTGTCCGACGGTGGGATGAGAATGCTTCTTGGAAGTTTTGTGGATCCGAATCACCTGGAATTGCACTTTGAGGCATGGGGTCCATATTTGGGATCTCTTCAACGGCCGGATCCGTATAGCTGTCCGTTGTAGTGAGTGGTGTCATTTTGAGCATGTCGATGAACCCTGGCGTCAACGTAATTGGGGTCCCGGTATCATGTGCTGGTGCAGTGACAACATTGGGAAATAGAGACGCAAATAAAGCGAGATTATCGGATAAAAATGCCTCTTGGGAATCTTTAAATCAACGAGTGAGTATAGTCCCAGACAGGGGTTGGTGAGCTTACCAAAATCAGCGAAGTCATCGCAATTCTGATGATGCCCGGGGTTTTCCAGTTCTTGTCCTGTCGCCCTCAACGAAATGTCTCTCGTGGCCGCTGACGGGTCTTCCTGGTCAGTCGACCGAGTTTTGGCCTCCTTTCGACGCCTCTTCTGGCTAGTGGCACCCTTTACAAATCGGAATTGCTTTGACGAACTTGAACATGCAGCAGATGCTACAGGACCAGATGTGGAGGAGAGAGAATTGACCATACGCCTAGCATCCCAGGAGAGAGCGGTTGCAAAGCCACCACAACATCGTGATTGATCAAGACATGTTGAGCATTGTGGTCTACGCCGGTCGCACTTATCGCCGAGGGAGGAACAAGTATGACAATCCGACCGGGCAAATCCAAGGGAATTGGTTCTCTTTCCCTGATCAGAAGTCATTGTGGCAGGTCATTCTAGACAGTATCCCCTTTCGGTACGGGAATGAGAACTAATGGTAGGGACTTTCTCAACATTTGAATACTACTACACAAGGAAGCCGAGACCCCATATCGGCTATAGCCGACCCGATCGTATATGTACGGCGTCCCAGGTTTGCTGGCGCGACTACAGCATGAGGTAACTAATGCCTCATACGGTTAGCGCAAGGTGTTGCAGCTGGCCCACATAAGAGCCTTACCTAACACACCCCCGTAGAGGCTCCGACGACTTTATTTTCCAGAGTAGAAAGTGCAGACCTCAGTCCTCATAAAAGGAAGTATATGAAGGGTACTGGAAGACTTGGCTGAAAGCCGTCAAGTTTGTGTTAATTTTGATGTAGATCCTCCAAATAAGAGCGATAGATGAGGCGTAAGAGGCAAGTCCCATAATTTTTCATAAAGGAGAATTATAGGCATAGCAATCTTGATGAATAATTCTATTATCATCACGTTATTTCTCACTTTCGAAGGCTGAGCCTGAATTTCCTAGGTTTCCTTCACTTGGCAGTGTTGCTGGATGCACCAGCATTGTGTGCAAGCGGATTGTCGCACTAGACATCATTCCGGTTACATTGCGAACTAGCTTAGGTATCTACGGCTGGCGGAGCTGGAGTCGCATATATAAATGCTGTATAATACGAAATGAAGGTAAAATGTCCTGCACAGTAAGCAAATTTGAACAGAGGAAAGTTATGTTGATGCTGTTGCCCACAGGGGAAACCAGCGGACTATCTACAGGAATAAACTTCATTTATTCGCCAACTGAGAACAATGTATCTTCTCGGATCCTGAGCCACTAGTACCCGTTGATCTTTCGTGGCAGTCCGAAAGGTGTCTGTGTACACAGATTTATCTCTTCACAATGTGACATTCGACACCTCGAACGTCTGCACTGCTCCGGTAGGGAAGTATGACCAGAACTTCGTCCCGTTCATATAAGTGTCGCTATAACTGGCGTATTGGGAACCAGATCCGACTTGAGTAATCCACCGAGGGACCAGGGCCCCACTGACCCCAGGCTTGCTGAAGCTGGAGAGATCAAAGTTGAGATACTGGGCAGCACCCCAGTTTGCAGCAACAACGACCAGTTTCTGTGCCGAGGAGTCGTATGCGGCAACAGTGTAGTTGCTCCCGCCATCTAGGATGCGCATACCAGGCCGAATGTGACGAGCGAACTGCGCCAGCGCAAAGTATTTCTGGCTAACAGCTCCGAGAGACAAGTTATCGTTGTCCCCATCAATCAGGCCCCATCCGCCACCATCAATCGCCTGCCAGTATACCCAGGCCGTCGGGTGGAGCCAGCGGAAGTCGAGAAGCAGGTTGGTGACGAGGCTTTGGCCTGTCGCGTCGCTCTCGCCGTACTCACTGTTCCAGAGCCTCTTGCCGGCGCCGGAGGCCAAACTGTATAGCGTGTCTCGCCTTCCTCCGGTATATTGATACCCGTGGACATTAATGCGGCCAACGTTGCTTGTCGCCGTACTGCCGAGGCTGTTCCACGTGGAAACTGCCAAGTCATAGGTATTTTCATCCGAGGCTGCGATCAGGGTCGAGCTGAGGCCCCGGTTGTTTAATTCTGTGCGGAGGTTCCCAATCACCGTCGCCTGGGTGCTGACGTCGAAGTGGCAGCCTTCTTGAGTTCCAGTCTGGCCGTTCCACCAGTCCGAGACCGGCTCATTGAAGGCTTCCACGGACTGGAAGGAGACACCCCAGTTACTCGCGGCGTATTCAGCGATGGTGGCGAGATAAACTGCATGTTGGTCATAGTTCCACGACTGCAAGTTGTCGCTGGAGCCGTCATTGGACCCGGAAGGATTATGGTTGAGACACATCCACCACGTGGGGGAGTTAGAAAATAGCTCGAAGGTGGTGGCGCCACGTGCTTTGGCCATCGACAGCATGTTGCGCTGGTTGGCGTCGACACTCCAGCTCCAGCTCGACGACGACGGGGAAGAGCTGGCCCAATCAAGCCAGTAGCTATCCACCTGCCGTGAGGCGATCATGTCGGGAGACACAACCATCGTGGTACCATTGATCGAGTTCGTGCTGCTGGCACCTGCGTTGTACCGTGCAATGGTGAGGCCAATTCCGGGAACACTCTGCCCATTGTATGTTGTCGACTTGGTGGAGAAGAAAATATCCGCCAAGTCACTCCGCGTGCCAAACGCCTTGGCCCACCATGCAAGAGACACACCAAACCCTTCCCATGTGCCCCAATTAGTTGTGGGACTGATTGTTGTCGTCAAGTCCGCGGCGGCAGTTTGTATTGTGGCGGCAGTCAACACAAGCCCGAGGAGCCATTCTCCATTAATCGTTTGCTTCATTGTGATATGATTAAGAGCAGGAGTCTCAGAAAGAAGTCGGATCACAAGGAGACCACATTCATTGGGCTGTGGGAGTCACAACCACGATGGGCTTCAGGAGCTTTATCTCCTCGCGCATGGTCCCTGCACTATGATACCTGATTCGGGTAAGCCTTCTCGGGGGTGTCGGGACCGGGGTAAATGCGGAGATTCTGCAGGCTTCTGCAGAGTTGCTCGCTAGCATTTGGCCCGTTGCCAAGTTGTTCTAGTTTAAGGTACCTGTATTTCATGTCGCATTCGCGGGGCCCCGCGACCCCGCCGGAGGAGATGATTGATGGAAACGAGTGCGACGCGGGATTATAGACAACCTTGACGTGACTCCATGTGACTCTTCCCCGCGAATTTCTGTATTCACCATCCGATATCCCCGGATGGAACCTTCCACGGGCGAAATTTTCCGAGAACAGCTTGGAGCACTCTTTTGACATGCCCCTGTAGGAGGAGCGGGGATACAGATGAAAATTGAAACAGTTTCTGGGAGCGTGCATCTTTAGCTCACCGAATTTTTTACCTACAACTGAACTCGATATTACAAGCTCTCAAGTACGCGAAAAAAAGGCGTATCATCGATTTTTTTTGCGGTGAAGAAAGAGGAGACTCATTGAGCGGTTTGTAGGGGATTTTTACTCTCAACTTCCGTATTGATAAACATATCAACTACCCTAGCTATTCTTCGAGCCCACTCTCGTTCCAGGTTATCTTCAACAACGTCGAGGCATTCTCAATCAAACTGATACTTTCCATGACACTGGGCGACGTCCCACCTCCAGGGATATGCGCCCATTGAGCCAACAGGTCATTGAGATGCGGCCCGATATCCACAACGGTAGACGACATGAGTCGTCGCAAGACACGAACACGAGATGCCGCTAATGTGATGAGTATCACCGATGCCATACTATGGATGATCCGTAAATATAGTGCCCAGATTGCATCTGAGTAGCGGAGAAACTTACGAAAGGGAGCAAATCCACGTATCCACCATGATGGTGTGAGGCAAACTGCGCAAGTTCTGCGCATGCATCCAACACGCCTCAAGACACAGCTTGGACCCCTCATAGACAATTGGAGGACACCTTTCCACAGCATCACCGTTGGACAAGGCCCAAGTGAGATATGGGCGATAAATGACGCTTTTGCAAGTCAAATATCGCTGGCGAAGAAATGCACCTTCCTCTGTGCGTGTAGGGTCCAAATTCACAGAGAATTGGAAGGACAAGGGTAAGAGGTCTTTCCACTCGTCTAATTGATAGGCCAGCTCCGAAACGACAGATGGGAATTGGTGGTTGTCAAAACCGACACCGGCATCACGAGCGTAGAGAAGATCATGAACGCGGTTGAGAAGTCGTCGCATAGATATACAGGCGAGGAAATAAAGTGACGATTGCTCTTGATCTTTTTCAGACTCTTGCGTGCAGTAATCGCCTGGTAAAGGAATTGATGATTCGATTTCTGCGATTCCTGTTTGAGGAAGGCCGGCTAGTTCGGCAAGAAAATCGCTAAACCATGAGTGTCAGTATTTTCTGGAAGATTCACACGAGAAGGGGAGGGCAGGGGGAGCCGAGCTCGTACCTCTCAAGAATATAGCACGACCAAAAGATTCGACGAAGACATTCCAACTGTTGGGGGCTCTGGTCCGGGACGTCATAGGATAAAAGAAGTCGGCATTTGGTTGCAGCTGCATTTATGAATGACCAGGCTTGCAGTGGCCTTTGCAAAAATGAAAAATACAATCTATTGTTTCAAGTTAGGAAACGCATCCATTGTGGGCTGGGAGGTTACTTACCCGGTAAAAAATAAACATTGCACTGCATCCGCGGTGAATCCTGCCTGGGCCAAGTAAATCTTCTTGAAGGCACTGTCAAAGTATAACTCTCCCATCAGCCGTCCCTGCCGTTGGCTATCAACATCGCTTGCATTGGATGTTTCCCGATGCGCGAAAGACCCAACCAGCTGACAGGAACAGCCCAGAGCCATCATCAACAAGGAGAGACATGAAGATGTGGTCTCTTCAAAAGTACCCGACAGTATATGTGCTGTCAACTCCTCCGTCCTAGCTCTCGCCATAGTCGGATACCAGAAATTGATACCACGCTCAAAGCTCCGGACCGTGCTCTCCACTTCTTGCTTGGGCATATAAGGCTGTACCGTGGAATGCCGAGGAGCAAGAGGCACGCGCATACTTTCAAGCCGGAAAACTGAGAAGCCGCGCTCTTTGATCAAGTTTCCAAATTCGGCGAATTGCGGCCATGACAGGATTGACTCGGTAGTGGATGCATGAAAAGGAGATAGTGTAGCATTGGATATATGGTCAGGGCGGCCTTCGCCGCGATAAGCATTGCTCACCGTGCTTGGTGAAATCACTCCATGGGGTGATATCGCCGCGGGAATCTGACTTGGACTGCGGCGGGCAGCCTATGTAGAGGTAACAATGTTATTTAAGGAATCGAATCATGGCATTGACCTGGTTCCATGCGATAGTGACGAACCAGTTGTGTAAACAATTCTTGCAGTAAATTTTCGGACCGAATGGCAACATCGAGGATTAAGTCGCTCTTGCTCTTGCTGCATGCGTCGGGTTAGCATTAATAGGCGAATGAAAGAGCCGGACTCGATGAGACGAACTTGATAGTCTCGGACCCATAAACACAGTCCGTCCCTATTTGCGCACATGTTGTGCAGGGTCGACGACCGTCACATCTAGCTCATGTCAACTTGCAGGTCTCAATTGGAGAGGGAGCAACTGGTGGAGACTAACTTCACTTTTCGATTCCGACAAGGATCACACTGTGGATCAAGTGTTAGCACGATGCCGGGTGATTAGTGTGCTGAATACCTGTTGGATACCGCTAAAGAAGTTCGTTTCCGCTTATGGGTCTCGTGGTGGTGCCCTGGGGACATCATTGTGGTCGATCGTGAAGCAGGCCAAGGAGGGTGAAAGGCGAGTCGGATAATTCATTTCGGGACTTCGCGTGGGGCCCCGCATGCAGGACGGGGATAGTTTACCCGAAGCCCATCCCAAGCCAATCATAGTTCTAGTGAAGGGACCGAAACTTAAGATTCAAGGCTCCCCTAAATGCACAACGATTTCAATTCTTTCAAGTTGATTGTTCAAAAGAGGAAAAATGCGGGGTATAGATGCCGGTTGTTTCAAAAAGAAGTTGGTCATTATCTAGCTTACTATGGATATATATCTAGACCTACTAGAGGAGGCTACCTAGGACGCGCCGTGGATGGTGGATTGCTAGCCCTGTTAGGCACTGCCCGCCCAGGCACCGCGTCATCCATTCTCAACCCGGCCTTAGATACATACATACAGGACTCTCAACCCAACATACACAATTAGACGTCCGCACGGGTGGTCTCAACCTCCGTAACCTCCAGTGTCCTCAGCACGGTGGAAATATCGCGAGGCTCCAGACTCTTGGCCACCGGATTCGGGGCCGAAAAGACCTCTTCCAGCTCCTCGAGCGTCCGCTCTTTGGTCTCCGGGAACCAGAAGTAGATCACAACTATTTCAATCAGGTCCCACACAATGAACACAGCATAGAAGTAGTACTTCAGCTTCTCAAAAGCGGGCCCAGAGCTGTAAGAAATTACCGCACTGCTGATATTGGACAGCAAGTTGCCCAGGGCAGTGCCTTTGGCGCGGGTATTGGTCGATAGCGTTTCGGCAATGTACATGCTTTGCAGAGGCGTCCAGCCAAAGGAGAAGACGATGCCAAATAGGTAGATAAACGCAACGGAGGTATTGGCAGCGCTAGAGTTGCTGGGATCATCAACGGATAATTTGGAAGTTCCCAGGATGATGGCAAAGGCAACAGAGCAGAAGAGAAGCGAGTAGATCATGAGAGGTCGGCGGCCAATACGGTCTGTGAGTCCAGCGCCAGAGACGGATGTGATCAAACAAAGAACAGGGTAGATGGCGTTAAGCATCAATTGGGTCTTGGTAGATCCAATACCGGCATTCTGGACCATGACGGGGAGATAGTAGCTAGTAAGACTGTTGCCAGAGAGTTGACCAAAACAAGCCATGCCGGCCACACAAATGAAACGGCGACGGGCAGAGTGAGTGTTGAAAAGCTCACGGTAGTCCCACCAGTTCTTGCTGGAGTTGGCAACACTGACAGTGATCTGATGCTGCATCTCCTTGATCTGAAGTGTGACCATTGGGTGCGAGGCATCACCTTCTCCGTGATAACGTGCCAGGACTTCGATGGCCTCATCCGTGCGGTCCTGCGCCATGAGCCACCGAGGGGATTCAGGCAAGAACCAGGTTCCAATTGCAACAATCACGGACGAGAGAAGCTGGCACCAAATAGGGATTCGGAAGCCATACGAGTGAGTAATGTTTTCGCAGCCATAGACGATCCAACTGGCGACAATGGACCCGATGTACCAGGTGCAGTTATACAAACCGGTTAAGGTTCCACGCCACACGGGATGGGCCATTTCCGAGACATAACATGGCGCACTGACACAGCAAAAGCTGACTCCAAATCCGAGAATGAACCGACCAGCGAGGAACATTCCATGGCTTGTAGCGGGTGCCTGAATGCAGGTGCCAATAATGATGATGGCAGCTCCAGTGAACATGCCCTTGCGGCGCCCAAAAATATCGTTGACGGGACCAGAGAGAATCACTGCTGGGATAGAGCCGATGTTATAGATGGCAAATACCAAGCCGGTGCCTGAAGATGCGGTTTTCCTAGAAGTGGCCCTCCGGGTTAGAGAACGCAGCTTCTCTCGTTTGGGGTAGACTCACATATGGAAGAAATTCTTATAACTCGTCATATCATTCAGTCCTCCCATCAGCGAACCGTCATAACCATTGAGACATCCACACAGATATGCGATGGTCAGACAGCCGTATAGGCGAAACATGCTGGCGGTCCATGGGCTGCACTTTATGGATTCAACTGCCTCGGCCAGCTGAATGGCGTCGCTAGTTTCCTGAAGGTCTTTCTCTTTGCCCTCCACCCCATCCTTGCCCACCTCGAGCTGCTCGAGGGTCGGCTTGGACTCGGTCGTCATCTTGGAGGAGGAATCTTAAGAAGGCAAAATTGGGCTCAATTAAAAAAGTTGATCCCAGGCCGTAGGTTGGAATGCAGAGCTCGAACGGGGCAGCGATGATCAGCGGTGCATGCTGGTATTTATGATCCTCTGGCGACTGACTAGTTGGCCAACATCTCCACTGCACAATTTAGAGAACGTTCAGAATCCGGGGTCGCATGGAGTTTAGCTCTGGCGTCGGCTCCAAATTGAAGTATTTCCCGGTGGCACGGCCGTACGCGTGTTCGGATTGGGCCGCCGAGTAAGGCGAGTTGAATTTAGGTTAGCACTTTGGTGCCAAGTTCGGGCTAGATGCTGCTTTCCCGCTTTTCCAATGCCTTCCTTCGTGGCCTCGAAAAAATTAAGTAAGGTTACGGGAGCTTCTAGCTTTCCGCTGTGAGCTTGGACGTGGCCGTCTCGGTTCCGATACCCCCGAAGCGTGAAATTCGAGACAACCGACTGTAGCCCGAGGATGGTCTCACGCGATTTCGGCTGCTCTTACCTGATCGGGGCAGGAGAATTTATCCGGGCCGGCAATAATTCCGGGATGAGTTGCAAGGAACCCTAAAAGTGGTCTCAATCATGGTCCCTCGCTTCCAACAACTGCCGTCTCAGACATCTGGAGTTTTGACATTTGCTCCGGTAAGCCTTCGGCCATCGTGCGTGGTGTTCGTATTCTCAACTTTGAAAATCCAAAGATCACCTCGTCAATCGTGACTCCACCACACCAACCGAGCGCTCAGACCAGGCTCCCTCAGCGCTCGGCTCCGTTACCCCCGGACCCACACTCCTCCAGGGTTGCGTCTGTGGAGGTGCATCTGTGAAGCAGATCCGAGCAAACACGGATCAAGCCAAGAAGGGTAGCTGTATCGGGTTCTTGGACCTATGACCTCCAGCGGTTTGTGATCGTTTACTGGGTGGATAGAATTCTCGCCCAACCAGGTTCTTCATCTCGTGCCACGTCCATGACTCCACGCAAGTGGGCCGATTTGAGATCCGTGGCTGTCCTCGGGGATACCGGGCCCGAAAACTGGGGATTCGGGATCAGCACTAAGCGGGGAAGGCACATTTGGACGTCCAGAGCTGGTGTATGCTCGGTACGGCGGGTCTGCATCTGCCTATACGCAGTAGGCTTGATCAGTCGCCTCCACAACGCGTATATTTCCTATATTCGCATTGGCAAGTCGCGCATTGAGCATCTCGGCGCACTCCACCGTACAACGGAGGTCGAAGTTCCATGACGCAAAAGAATTTGTTGGAGAGGGGCAGGTACAAGGGGCGTCGCGATCCCCGCTTCGAGAATGATTTTCTTTTCATCCCGTTGAACAGTCCTGTGTGATTCTCGTGGAAGAAACTGATTTTCTGTGACTCTACCAGCATGGGTGACCACAGGGAGACGATCACTCTGCCCACCCTCGAAACCGGCGTCAATGACTGGGAAAATCCGGGTGTCGTTCACCGGAACAAGCTCGCTCCTCGTGCATTCTTTCTCCCAGACACATCGCTGTCCCTGAATGGCCGTTGGGACTTTCATTATGCTCTGTCTCCTCTTCTAGCTCCAACAATCACCGCTGAAGGGAGCAGCGATCCCACTACTGGTCCCAATGAGTGGACAAGCATCACTGTTCCGGGACATTGGCAACTCCAAGGTCACGGAGAGCCGAATTACACCAATACCATTTTCCCTTTCCCCTGCGACCCGCCGCGCGTGCCCAGCCAGAATCCTACCGGTACATATCGCAGATCCTTTACAGTTCCATCAGACTGGGATCGCTCTTCCCAACTCCGTCTCCGATTCGATGGTGTTGACAGTGCGTATCATGTCTGGGTGAATGGAAGAGAAGTGGGATACGCACAAGGCAGTCGTAATCCAGCGGAGTTCGATATCACCAAGTTCATTCACCATGGTATCAAGAACGATTTGGTCGTGCGCGTGTATCAATGGTCGGATGGGTCATATATTGAGGACCAGGACCAGTGGTGGTTGTCAGGTAAGAATGACTACCCACGCTACTATTTTCTGATCGTTACTAATCGTGGCCCCTTTAGGTATTTTCCGGGACGTCACACTGCTTGCCTTTCCATCGGTAGCTCGGATCGAAGACTTCTTTGCACAGACCGAGTTTGACCAAGCCTACACGGATGCTATCCTGAAAGCTACAGTGAACGTGGTTGCCACAGAGTCTGTACTATTGGAAGTGGCATTACGCGATATACGGAGCTCGCAAGACACACTCGGATACGATAAGGTATCTGTCGCCGAGAATGGAACAGTCACCTTGACTATTCCGGTGAAGAGTCCCAAGAAATGGACCGCGGAGACACCGAATCTTTATGATCTCCAGATCACCTTGAGTTCTTCATCTGCTGGTGGCAAAGTACTGCAAAAAATCCACCATCGAATTGGTTTCCGCCAGGTTGAGATAAAAAACGGAAACATCACAGTCAATGGGTCTCCGGTGCAATTCCGTGGTGTCAACCGCCATGATCACCATCCGCTATTCGGTCGGGCCGTACCTCTGTCCTTTCTCCGAGAAGATCTGCTCCTCATGAAACGTTACAATATCAATTCTGTACGATGTTGCCACTATCCATCGCACTCAAAGCTCTATGAACTCTGTGACGAGCTTGGTTTATGGGTTATGGATGAAGCAGACCTAGAATGCCACGGATTCTATGACGCAGTGGCGCGCCCTCTCGATATCCCAGAGTCGATGGACTATGAAAAACGTAAGAAATTCACCTTTGAAAAGGCTGCTCAGTTTACCAGCAACAACCCAGAGTGGAAGGATGCATACGTTGATCGTGCGATTCAAATGGTCCAGCGGGACAAGAATCATGCTTGCGTTGTGATTTGGTCCCTTGGTAACGAAGCATTCTATGGCCAGAACCACCAGGCTATGTATGACTACATCAAGGCCACCGATCTCAGCAGACCGGTTCACTACGAGGGAGATCCGGAAGCCAAGTCGGCTGACATGTTCTCCTACATGTACCCCTCGGTGGACAGGATCAATAAGTTGGCTGTTGCAGAAGGTGACAACTTTGAGAAGCCTATCGTGCTCTGTGAATATGCTCATGCAATGGGCAATGCCCCTGGTGGCCTAGAAGAGTACATGGAGGCATTCCGAAAACATCGACGCCTACAAGGCGGGTGGATTTGGGAGTGGGCAAACCATGGTCTGTGGGATGAGGAGCGCAAGCTTTACGCTTATGGTGGAGACTTTGGTGACTATCCCAACGACGGCACGTTTGTCATGGATGGTCTTTGCTTCAGCAACCATACACCAACTCCTGGGCTGGTTGAACTGCGCAAGATCTATTCACCTGTTCATGCGTGGTACGCTGATGATACGATCTTCATCGAGAACCGGTATGACTTCACCGGTATAGAGCATTTGCACGCAATCTACCGCGTAGAAGTACTGGGCTCTGAGTAAGTGATACGATTACCGGTATTATATGCACATACTAACAACATCAGGTCCACTATCATTGCCAGTGGCAGTCTTCAACTCCCTCCCATTGAGGCTGGCAAGACCGGCCAGTTGCAATTTAAGCAAGATCTCCCTGCCATTGCGGACGGGGAGATCTGGCTGACCGTCAGCTTCCGGAATAATCAGGATACTGCTTGGGCTACTGGCGGACACGAAGTCGCTTGGTTCCAACACCCGCTTAAGGCTCTCTCCGCGGGACTCTGTCGTTCTCCTAGTCTCCCCGTTCGGGTCGAGTCTAGCAAAGCTGTGCATACAATCACTGGCTCGGATTTCAGTCTTACATTCTCACGTTCCACTGGCGGCTTGACCGGCTGGGTGGTGAAAGGTCATCAACTTCTTGACCCGGATTCTAAAAAGGACATGGCCCTAGTTCCAGGCTTCTGGCGTCCTCCAACTGATAATGACATGTCCTGGGCCCTTGGTGAGCGCCGCCGGTACGGATTGGAAGACATGCGAGTCCAGCTGCGAAGCATGAACGTTGCGCACGTCAACGATAGTTGCCTCCAGATTACCACAGTGTCCTGGCTGGGCCCACCAGTTCTCGCATGGGGCTTCGTGGCTACCACGACCTACACTATCAGCGGGGACGGCCATCTAGTTGTCTCAGTGCACCTCAACCCCCAAGGCCCAATTCCTGCAGACCTTCCTCGTATTGGCCTGGATTTGCGCCTGGCTGACGCATTCGACAATGCCAAATGGCTGGGCCTTGGTCCTGGAGAGTCCTACCCAGACAAGAAGCGTTCCCAAAAGATGGGTATCTACAAGGCTACCACAGCTCAGCTCCACACTCCCTATGAAGTGCCTCAAGAAGGTGGAAACCGATCTGACACCCGCTGGCTACAACTCAGCGACAACCGTGGTTGGGGTATCAAAATCTCCCGGAAATCGGTGAAGACGGATAAAGACACTGGTACTCATTTGCAATGGGTCGCAAGCCGGTACAGTGCACAGCAAATTGAGAGCGCTAAACACCCCTGTGACCTTATTCCTGGCAAGACGGTCCTTGTCCGGATGGATGTTGAGTCCAGCGGGGTGGGAACCGGTGCTTGTGGGCCCACGACTTTAGAAAAGTACCTGGTGGCTTGTGAGGAACGGGAATTCCAGTTTGAATTTACTCCTACTTTCGAGGAGGGGTATTAGTGTTGGGGAGTCTTAATCTCATGAGGGTTGATGGAATGCGGCAAGGTTATCACAGGAGTCTTGCTCCGTGCACGATGATAGGCTGTTAGCGCGAGATGGGGCTGACGTACGCGCTGCAAACGAGAAGAATAGCCAGAATCCTACGAAATAGAACTGACAGCTATCACATGATGAAGTATTATTGCTCGATGAGAACATAGATTTTTCATTCTTTTCTGTGATCTAACAACCCAGTATCATCCACGGGTGTGTGGTTGTCAGAAGAAAAAGCAGGACAACCGTTAAGAGCACGACAAAAATGTGATTGTCTTCGCGCTAGGGTCCCCATATGCTGCCAGAACTACATAGGAGGATACTCCAGCTGCAGACTACGAAGCCATTCTGTTTCTTTCTAGGTAAAGATAACCCCTGGTTTTGACAAGCCTCCAATGATTCTCTAATTATTTGTTTTGATTAACTACTACTGGTAGCCCCGTGTTTTCATAATGGATCTAGGTGTCCTCCCTACAGAGATCACCCAGCCACGTTAGATACTAGCAAGGGGATGTTAGCAATACGAATTTTCTAACCCAGTTAATGATGAACGAGCGAGCTAGCAAGGCGATAAGCAAGAACCCCTTTATATATTAAATATCTAGGATCATAGTCATCGACCTTGTTCGTGGACCTAGTCCCCTCCCTCTAATGAGGGCCATTGTTTGCATGGTTACACCTACACCGCAGGTTGGAGGTCCGGTCGGGAATATGGGCCATGATGGCTACACCGCTAGCTTAGTATTCAACTCGAATCAAAAGCAATTTTTAAACAAACACCAATCATTGAGGATCTGCGATTTCTGTAAATTGTAAGAAAAGAAACAAACCGAAGCTTCGGCATATCCATGGAATGGTAGGGGATCGGGCCGCGACACGCTTCACCCAACTCAATCAGCTCCACCACGACGACGTCAGGCCGATCGTATACCCGCCCTCTCTGATTCGCCGTGACGAGTGTGATTTATCGACATAAAGCAAAAATAAAACTGTCTGACTCGACAACCTCTCTTGTCTCAATTCTCCCTATTGGCCTGATGGTTGGGAGCTGCGGCGTGGGAGGCTGGGGGAGGCTGGGAGGAGTCCACCAGCACGACGCCATCCAAACAAAAGCCTGCTGGGCTGCAACTCTCGTCCATTCCATATTCTTATTGACTAGCCAAGCTCCAGTGCCTCCGTGAGGAATGCTTCCAGAGTAAAACTCTTCGAGACAGTCGAAGATTTACCCACATTCCGCGGCCGTCATGTCTGACTCTCCCACACCTCGCAATTTTAGTCTACGAAACGTGAACAGTATGTACAATCAACCCTGCCTTTAAGTATAGCGTGCTGGTCCGGTTTGAAAACAGTCAAAGAGCTTCAGTGTGACTATTCACTGACTCTCCCTCAGCAAGCACACCCCAAGTCCACCGGACAGAGTCGCGGCAATCTGTCGCTGCATCAGACGACTATTATTCATTCTCGGACCGAGCAGCGTCATCCAGTCCAGAAAGTCGTGTTACAGCAATGCGTTTTGATACGCCGGACTCACACCAATCCTCTCACGCATCATCTCCTACATTGCCTAGGACACAACAACCCCAACACCACGCAATGTCCGATTCAAATCAACACTACCAACAACAGCAACCATCTGCGCCAGAAGACCTCGGCTCACCTCGCCCAGGTACTGCAAGTACTGTGCGATTCGGTGACGATAGGGTGGCCCGCATCAGTCCCAGATCAGACGACACCGTCAGACGACTTGCAAGTGACTATGCTGGACCAGCACCGACTCCGGGCCTAGACGACTCGCCCTATGTTCGCTTCGCTATAGACCAGCTTACCCGCGATGAAGAAGTCGGAGGTCCTCGAAGACAGGATTCGGTCTCCACCAACCAAGACTATCCGACAGATCGCCTAGTTTGGGATCAGAGTCTGGGCTATTTTACTCGTGCTCGCACGCCTGCTCGCACGCCCATTCAACACACAGAGACACCACAACGACCAAACTTCAAATCGCCATCCCCTCAAGCACTGCCTCAAAGGCCGGATTCGATCGATCCCGAATCGTTTGTTGCAGTAGATCCTCCAGAGCAGAGTCTTCTATACCCACCCTTGGACTATCTTCCCATGGTCTTGCGACCCTTGGCTCTGCTTGGTCTGATCTTCAGCTGCCTCCTCATGATCGCTGGCGTGGTATTCTGCACCATCTGGTCCCACCGCCATGAGGGTCTCTGGGATTATAAAGGCCAAAGAGGCTCTCGGTACTTTGTCATGCAATTTCTTCCTCAGATCCTGGCAGCTCCCGTTATGATCTGGAGCTTTGTTGTCCAAGCTGCTGTTTATCGAATCTCTCCATTTGCGATGATGGCAGCAGAGCGAAAACGGGGATCCATCTTGCAAGGCCTGCCCATCCTCCCCAAGAACTTTGTCTTCCCAGATTTTTCCCATTTCCGTTACGGCGAACCTTTGTTTGGATTTTCGCTTTTCACGATCTGGCTGTCCAATTTCTTTGCTATGCCCCTTCTCAGTTGCATCTTCCAAGCGAAGTACTACGTCATTGATGGGCAAGGTGTGTGGAGATGGACTTCCGTGCAAGCTGTGGGTTGGACTCTGGTGGCATCTTATGGCCTCATGACCATTGGTTTACTGCTGCTTGTGATCAGATTTATCAAGGGTTGCACTGGTCTAATGTGGGACCCAATTTGTCTGGCTGACTTGATCTCTCTCATCCAAAGATCGAACATCCTTCATGATTATGAGCACTCGGAGACTGTTCCCTCAGTGAAACAGTCCCTGGATCCTCGAGTTCTCAGGCTGGGATACTGGAAGCTATCCATGAAGCCTGAGATCTTTTACGGCATCGGCGAAGTGGATGCCCCCATTCGTACGCCCTCCCTGCACCAGACTGAGAAGAATCGCGAGAGGCAGCCCCATGGAATGGCCAAAGTACGATTTGATCTCGAGCACAATGGTGCTTTTGCCAACGACCCCTTCGATCACCACCTATACTCACCCTTTACCCGATATCGCTGGACGCCCTGGTTCATCCGTAAACCGTCTGTCGTCGTATGGACAATCATCGTTTTCGCCTTGTTCATTGCATTTGTTACGGTCAGCTTCGTAAACCATGCGATCGAGGGCGGATTCCCACCAAAGCTACCAACTCTACCATCTATCAGTGCATTCTCGTCCTCCAACTTCCTCTATAGCTTCATACCGGCGTTGATTGGGAATGTGCTGTTCCTCGTCTGGCAGCCGATTGACATGTACTTCCGCGCCCTCCAACCCTTCGTCGAACTCTCTGCCCCTACCGGTGCATCCGCAGATAAGAGCCTTCTCCTCGACTATCCATCGTCCCTCCCCATTCAAGTGACCATCCAGGCCATCATCAATGGACACTTCAAGGTAGTCTGGATCTCATTGATGAGCCTCATCTCCCTCGCACTTCCCATCTTGGCTGGTGGTGTATTCATCGCCCTCTGGTATCCAGATCACGACGACGTCCGCATTTCCTCCCTAATGCCCGCGTTCTATGCCCTGATCGCATTCTGTGGCCTTTATGCCGTCTCCTTCCTGGCAATTTGGCCTGGTCGCCGTCGCTACCTTCCACATGATATTGCCACTCTCGCCGATCTTATGAGCTACCTCTACCAGTCCCCCTCCTTGCGGACAAGCTTCTCCGCGAACCTCGCAGCAAAACTGATCTTGTCACCCGTCTGATTATTGCGCCTCCTTCTGAGCGTATGCTGCCCGTGTATGGGTTCGGAATTTATGTCGGTCGTGATGGAAAGGAACATCTTGGTATTGATCGTTTCCATCGACCTGGCCGCACTGATATGTTGATTACGACTGGAACGATGAAAACGTGAGCTCGCTGCATTTTGCATTTTGCATTGTGCGTTACGCGTTCTCCTTCTGACATGATATATATGATCCCTATTACTTCGTTATGAGCGCTACGTTGATTGCATTTGTCCTGCTTTGGTTTGTATCTGGCAGTTGATGATTTGTACGGCCAGAATATGTTGATGATATGTTTGTCGTGATTTTGTTTCCGGTTTTGCTTGACTCGTGGCATTTCCGGCGTTATTTTTCTGTTCCAGTTTGAGATTATGTTGTCTCCATTTCCTAGCGACCTATACACCAGTGATAGAATAATGACCAAGAGAGCGAAAGAATTGTTTTTACGATTAACTACTTTCAAATTGCACGTGTAACATAGACAGATGTCTTCGCACGGGTATCTTGCGTTGTAATTTAACCGCAGTGTCTAACGAGAAAAGTCATTCTAAACGAGCGTCTCGTTGATTGGAGACATGGATAGGGAAAAGTCCATAAAACGTCAGACAATCAAAGATGCATAGAGAGATATGCACTGACTGCAGCATGATGCAATCAAGTAAATGTAGCAATCATGAACATTGAGAGACTCGAAAGAATGTATGCTAGATAGATAGAAGTTCGCGGAGTAAGCTGTGTTACCAGATTCCGCGGACGATTGAAGGTCTCGATTCCAGTAAAGACCACGAAGACTTGTGTGGGCTTGGAAGCAATTTCTTTATCACAGTACACGATCCCAAGAAAACGAATTGCATCAAAGGTTTGCTTTGGGCTTTTTGCTATCCTGAAGCTGTTCCCGAAGGTACCTCCTCAGAATCTTCCCACTAGGACTCTTCGGAATCTCCTTAACAAAACGAATTCCTCCACGAAGTCGTTTGTAATTAGCAACTCGGGGGTTGATCCAGGAGTGCATCTCAGTCACGGTTCTCGAACTAGATTCCTGGCTCGCCAAATCTGGATTCTTCAGAACGACAAATGCAACTGGGAGTTCAGTCGCTCGATCATCTGCCCATTGACCAACAACAGCCGCGTCCGCAATATCGGGGTGCTCGAGTAACAGTGCCTCCAGTTCACTTGGGATAACCTGCTGACCGTTATACTTGATCATCTCCTTTATACGATCGAATAGAGTGATGAAGCCCTCATCGTCGATGGTCCCAATATCTCCCGTTCGGAACCAAATCGTACCATCGGCATCCCTGTAGAATGCGGCTTTTGTTGCCTCGGGATTTTTGAAATACCCTGGAGTGATGTTAGGTCCACGAAGCAGAATCTCTCCCATCTGTGGCGAGTCTACATCCTCCATTGTCTCGTGGTTGACGATACGCAACTGCATGTTGGGGGCGAGGCGGCCAACATGGAGCTTCCTTTTATCTCTGCGATCGTTTGGAGTCCCTGAAGCTAGTGGAGACGTCTCCGTGAGACCCCATGCTTGGTAGCAAAACACTTTAGTTCCGAAGAGCTTTTTGAACTTTACTTCCAGTGCAGAAGCCAGTTCTCCACCGAGTGGTGCCGCCGCAGACAAAATTAATCTCACGCTGCGAAGATTGTAGTCTGCGAGCCGATCATCCTTGACCATCATTAATGCCACTGGTGGGACTATTGCTAATTCATCGGGCCGGTACTTTTCCACGCAGCTCAGAAACAAGTCAAGCTCGAATTTCGGCATGACTATGGTCGTAGTTCCCCATTGGATGCTCTGACAGAGATAAAGGCTCAGTCCGTAAGCATGGCTGAAAGGAAGGAAGGCGAGGGCGACTTGTCGTTTCGGCCGTTGAGAGGGAAGGCCAGTGTCCACCAGTAAAGATCGCATTTGCTGGAGGTTTGCAACCATATTGCGATGGGTGATCGTCACTCCTTTGGCTGGTCCAGATGTGCCTGAAGAGAAGCAGATAAATGCAATTTTTGAGGCTAGTTCGCTAGCAGGAACGTTGACCAAGTCGTTTGGTGGGAACGAAGCAGCCATAGACTCGCATGTCGGCTGGCCATCACTCCCAGTAGGACCATCCAGGACAATAATCTTGATAGTAGTATTTTGAACTGCCTTTTGTGCAATTGAGAGCAGTGACGAGTGAACAATAATGAAACGGGCGCGGCCTGTCAACAGTTGAGCGTGTAGCTCAGCGTCCGTCAAGGATGCGCTGATTGGCGCGACGGTCGCTCCGGAGCCAATAATGGCATGGCAGACAATGGCATAGTCTATCGTGTTGGGGCTGAATAAGGCAACTATCTCACCACTTTGCAGCTGAAACTTTTGTTGCAGACCATTTGCAAGAGACTTTGTTCGTTGGGATACGTCCTTGTAGGTGTATTGTTTTCCCGAGATTGCATCTATATACAACGGATGATTGGGGGCCGTGGCGGCAGGGTTGGAAAAGATATGAGTCAACAAATCCACTGATTTGATATCCAAGTCTGGATAGAAGGATGAGTAGATCTTGGTACTAGACATAGTGGATTTCCGAGCGGGTTGCTTGGCAAGATGTAGCTTTGGTGTCCTGGGAGAACAAAATAATGAACCACGATGGAGGAGTGGACGGGTCATAGATATAGTTTTTTAAGCAAGCCAATCACGAGACTCTGGCAACTCACTCTGGCAACTCACAGTGTGGGAGCTTGTCAGCCGCGCGGTCTCAGCTGTTAAGCTTTACCGGAGTTACGCTTACCTATTCTTGTGGGGCAACTTGTAACGTAATTCACAAGCGAGTGGCCCACACAAGCGAGTGGCCCACCCTTCCCATTACAATATTTTGAAGGCGAATATATCAACAGAAATGCATTAATTAATATTAAACTAGCGATTTTTACATTGATTAATCTTATGCCCAATCGTTCCACATCCACTACACCTTGGCGGAGCCCTCCTGCGTGGCTGATCCTGCTGAGTAGGTAAATCGCCCTGCTCATGCGATACTACCTCATCAGCTTCTACTGGCTGAATTGGCTGCTGAGCCAGCTGTAGGCCCTCTTCGATCGATAGGCCCCCTTCGTGAGCGATCTGCCTAGTCGATCGAGTGCGCTTTTGACGTTTCTTTTCATTCGCTGCGCGTAGATCGGCGTTCTCCTTCACTACTAGTGAAGTGTTATGCAGCGCAATTTCATAGCCCTTAAGAATCTGATCAACCACTAATTTCAACGGGCTTGGTGGGCTTTTTGACCGCTGATCTATTAGATCTCTCATCATTTTAGCCTGCTTTTGTAGCTGAACTACCGTTCTAGGCGTTTTCGGTGTGAATTAGCTAGATCTGCTGCTTGGTCGGCTTGATGGTGGTGAAGGCGTTCGAAGGGATATATTAAGCTTAGAAAGCACTCTTTCGGCACATACTGGTACGATACCAGTAGCTGCGAAGCTGCTTTGAACGATATTCGGCTGGAAAGCTTCTAGTCTTGCGCGAGGATAGTCTGCAAGAAAATCAAGCTTATCGATATAATTATAGCTAGTCCGCGCTAGATCGCTTACGAAGCGACCGTACGCGCGTTTAAGCACAGCAAAACACCCAACATCAAGCGGTTGTAGTAGATGCGACGAATGCGAAGGTATATAGAGTGGTATAATATCGTTTTCAGCGCAGATTCGATCGAATTGAGGTGTTAGGTGGCTACTATGCCCGTTAAGGATCAATAGCCGAAATCGCCCTCGTACGCGCGAATTAGTGCATGGAATAAAGAGATTTTGTAGCCAGCGTAGGCCAATTTCATCAGTAGTCCAGCCGTTATTCGATACCTCAATGCGCGAATTCGTAGGAAGATTTAACGATTCAAACCAACCAGCGATATAGACCTGGCCTTTGAATATAATACACGGCGGCAGCGAATAGCTATTAGCACATATCGTTTCGATCGTAGTAACCTATTCGCGATTTCCTGGCTGTAGGATTGATCGCCGACCGTAGTATTCTGCTCGCGTAATAACCTTCTGCGCTGATATAAGGCCTATTGCGAATCCAGTTTCATCGAAGTTATAGATATCCTCTGGTTGAATCCCGTTCTCCTCGATTACGTGTTGCACCGTCAAAAACCACTCTTTTATAGCCTTTGGATCCTCGTTAAGAGCGCGCTGATAATCATATCGTCTAGAGAAACGTGTTCGAAGCTCATCACGTCGTTTAACAAAGTTTGATACCCAATTAACACCAACGGTCGGAGGAGGGGTTGTTCCACGCGCTGCAAGGAGGATATTGGCCATTTCTCGTACAGTAGCAGGCCTAGGCGCTGCTCCACGCGCATCCATAGAGAAGATCCACTGAATAAGCGAGTCCTCTTCTAGTTGGGTCAATTTATGCGAATTTGCGCGTGTATCGACGCGTGAGATTGTTCCATTCGCCCGCCGCGATAGCGTTCTGGGGGGGATATCGTATAGCTTCGCGGCTGCACGAATAGATGCGATACGGCCATTTTTAATATCATTAAGGGCTAACAAGATCTTGCCCTCCTGATTGGCCGGTTTTTGCGAAGATTCAGTGCGAATTGGTGGCATAGTAGGTGGTTGAATTAGGTAGGTAGGTAGGAATGAGCGATTTCAGGTGGGGTGGGCCACTCGCTTGTGAATTACGTTAACGGACTTCCCGGCCGAGCGAGACATCCCAAAACACATAGTAAATACGATAAATTAATACTTCCAGTAATCTTCCTATGCTTTGCCAATAGGTTAAAAATACTATCTAGATCATGTACCTTTAATATCTTATCATAAACGGATATGGTTGTTGAGATATGAAGTGGTAATTTATCGCATTTACTATGTTATGTGTTTTGGGATGTCTCGCTCGACCGGGTGTCTCGCTCGGCCGGGAAGTACGTTATCGCTCCAGACTATGTCACCAGCCGGTTCAAGTTCAGCCGCGAGGGATCAACGAGCAAGACTTGGCGAGGCTCTTGTCAAACGACCGTTCTCTATTGTTAGGCGTTAGGCCCCAACATCAGCCGCCCGCTCTCTTTTTCGAAAAGTGGCTGGATAGCTGAATGGTCCTTTCAGCCCGACAAGGATTACGAATACAGAATCTACACAATGGTCTAGCTATTTTTCGGTTACAAGCGAGCAATGGTCCTCGATGTCGCCTCGCTGGGTATCATAGTAGGTCGTAATTCCGGGACATTTCAACTACGAAGTTCTGGTTGCATTGAGCCCGTTTCTACTTTGAGAGCATTTTGTGAATGCATAACGGAGCACAAATGCTCCATTGACTTTTCAAAGGGTTTGAAATCGACGACTTTGCCTAGAGACCGCTATCTTTCCACGAGAACAGTAGGAAAAGCGCCACGAGGCACAAGACACGCCTACTAGGGGGATTCAAGCAAGCCAAGTACTAGCAATGAACAAACTAGACGACAAAGAAGGATGTGCTTGCAACGCGTAATGGGAACTGGCGTGGGGGTAGCTCCTTTGTGAGTGCTGATCAGACTGGCCGCGAGAGCAAGAATATTATTCTCGGTTGCTGATCAACTTCAGTCAAAATCTTGCTGAAAATCTGTCAGTGTTGAAACTTGCCGACAATCCAGGAGAAGGCGTTCGGCTAGGTCCAGATCCTCGTGCCTCGCATCACCCCAGTCCCATGTGCGCTTGAACCGAAGTCCCTCTTGCAGTCTCCTTTGGAAGCCTTCTTCAGTCTCGGGCTCGTCAGGGGGACCTCGAAGAATGTGACAACCCCGGAAACCTAAAAGGTCCTTTTCAACTCGAATTCGGCTGCCGTCACCGATCTGGCAGTGGATCCCGGCCATCATCCTTATGATCTATGGTCCCTTCTTCTGTGTTCTGAGAGACGTCGGTATTAACCTGGCTTGATAAAGCTGCTGCGATTTCCTCCAGGGCTAATGGGCAGGTAGGAGTAGGAGCGCGCCGACGCTCACAGACATCGTTCTCATCGTGTATGGTGAAAGGTTGCAGAACAAGTGGAGTGGAAACTTGGAAAGATTTGGAAACTTGAAGGAAGATAGTAGGCTGAGGGAACAATCAAGAGCAAGTCTCCTTCGGCACTGCCTGGTCAAACTTGCTTCATCTGCATTCCTCTTCTCGCCCCTTCTTTTTCCTCAAACCACAATCGTCCACAGTCCTTCTCCTATCCACTTCCTTCTCTCCTTCCCTTTTCTTCATCACCCATCTCTCTATTCTCCTAGATCCCTATATTTATTTTCTATTACTTGTCTCTTCTCTATCACTACTCTCTACTCTATGACTATTCTCTACTCTATCACCACACACTCTCTCTCTTCTTTCTATCCAAGCCCTTCGATTTCCTCGGGAATCGCTCCCATATCCTCGACATTACGATTCGGTCAAGATGGCGCCACCGTATCGAGTTGAATACCAGCATCTTGACATCACAACAAGCCGCATGGCAGAAATTCTTCGTGAGAATGGTTTTAAACACGTTTTCTGTGGCGGTTTCGCCGCCGGCCTCATCGGTGCCCAACGTGTCACTACTGTACTGCGTTCCGATAGACTCACCAGACGTCATATACATACTACCATACGTCCAGGGAGTCGATGTGGTCACCGAAAAGAAACCCCGAGTTCGCTTTAGTGTCAATTCCGGAGTTCATTAAGATCGGAGTCAACGGTTACCATTACAGCTCCTGCGGCTTGGGTGTACAGGTCTACAGTGGCAGTTCAAGAGTCTGAAACCAGGGACCAAGAAAACAGGCCATCAGAATATGCCTCGATTTTATGTTTTTAACGGATCTCTCTGAATGTCTTTTGAACACTCTTTCTAGATATTCCCGGCATCTGTGTTTCAACTTGTCTTTCAAAGTATAGCTGATGAGATGGGTTTGAACTTTTTCGGGTGTTGCAAACTTATGGAACACCACTGTATTTCATTGAACATTCATCTGGTTGGGCCCCTCCATCGCCAGCCCAGACTGCTTTAACGTTCACTGCTATCCCCAAAGACCTCCCCGATCGTTCCGGCCAGGTTCCTAGTAAGTTCTGAATGACTCTCAACCAGACTATTGCTTACGAGATTCCGTAGTAAAACTCATGTGCCTTGCTATTCTGGTCCTGAACAAGCTGGGCCCCTGGTATAATGCCATTCTGGCCGGCAAACCAGGAAGCAAAATACGGGCGCAGTCCCACCTCATCGACATCATGGCAGCCCTCCAATAGCTTCGGGCAAAACGACATCGTCAAGCGCGCTCCCAAGAGGCTAGCAGATAAAAGCTTCCCTTACCTAGCTAAGCTTTACCAGGAACATGAGGCGGCAAGACCTCTTTTGGCTGAGGTTCTCTCCCCTGCCGAGCTGAGACGAGTTTTGAGCTGGTGATGTTGCTGTGCTTCGGAGGAACCACAGCAAATTTGGGGCTCTTGATGAATTTGGGGTCGTGAGAATTCGTTTAAAGACAATCTCCCACCGGCATCTTTGATTTGGAATTTTGGATTTTTATCTTGCAGTTTCAAATTGCTTTTCACTCGGTATTTGCCATGGACTTCGATTTTCAATAAGGACAACGGCTTGCCATCCCTAGGCTATTCAGTATCTAAGAGAACTGTGCATGAAAAAGTTTAGGTGTAAAGCAAAGTCAAAAACGCCCATGTGGGGCGATTTGTTAATTCATGTAGTGGTAATTTAACGAAATGAATCTATTTTTGGAAGTAAATGACCAATATTCTCTCCATCTGCTCTTTGAGCCAGACCTGCTGGGCTCCAGGCAGATTAAGATCAGCGCTCTGAAGGTTTCTCAAATAACCGAACATGTGCCAAGCACCGATCAGAGGTGCCGACTGCTTGTGCGTGAGAGTGACCGGCCTTGTTTCAGCGTATGGGTACTCGACAAGACCATATTTCATGCGAATAGATTCGCTTTGACTACCGAGGAAGAATGGTACGGTTGCACATATGTCATCCGCAATACCGCGGATTGTATCCTGAATTGCAGTGACCCGTCTGCAGCCGGGATCTTGCAAGTAGAGTATGCGCAGGCAACTGAGCATGATGGTTTGTAGAACAAGGCGACAGTCACGGAATGTATTCCATGTCGCTGCAATACACATACTCGAGTAGCAGTCACATCGGTTGTGCCAGATTCCCGCATTTCGAACACACTGGGGAATTATGGTTGCAGCGACTGGCATCCAGTGCGGTGGGACCTGGTATGACCACGAAATGAGCTTTATATCAAGTTCATTGGCTTTGCCAAGGATTGTAGTGGCTTCTTCTTCCATAGCTGGCTGGCTCATCATCCGCTCCCATGCGGATCGTAGATTGACGAGTTCCGATGCGGCAGAGGAAAGTAGAGCACGCGGCGAGGGAGGCATGCTAGCAGTCTGAGACAATGGCCAGACCTGTGGTGTTGGAACCATTGGGTTATCCAGACCTCGAGTGGTCTTGATCTATAGCTTGTTTGATTAGAGTTCGATATATGGTTTCGAGTATAGCAGGAAGACTTACGATTTGTGATTCCACGGCATCGTAGATTGTTGAAGATTGAGAATCCATTCTTTTAGTCCTTTTCTCGTTTATTAGAGCTATTGCGCCCCTCAGGTGAGCTTTAAGAGGCATTTCCCAGTCTTTGATGGCCACGAATTCCTATCATAGTCAATCAACCTTTCCGTTCCAAACGACATGTAAGTTACGAAAGAGTCTTACCTCATATGTGGATAGTAAAAGAATAGATACCAGAATATTATCAAACTCCGAGTCGTCGTTCGTGCGCAGAGCATCTCGAATTTTCGGCAAGGCCTTGGTGAAGTACCGCTCTGAAGCGCGCAGTAACGGGGCTTGCCCGGTCCATGCAGCCACCGTAAAGAACGCAACAGCCAAAGTGCTGGTATGAAGATATGATCCGGGCTGGGTATTTGAAAACATTCCGGGCAGAATTTCCATGAACCCATCGCGAATGTGAGGGTCTTTCGGCAAGTACAGATAGGAATTGAATAACAAGGGAACAATCGTGTCTTCCATAGGCTGATAGAGGTCTACCGGTCCCAATGGGGGCGGCCAGGAAGACACTGCTTTTATCGGCCTCGCAGGGGAATGATGCCTTGAAAGAGAAAGCGCCATGGTCTCTTCTGACGTTGATTCGTCAGACTCATTGCTTGGTTTAGGCGATTTGTCACTAGAGGTAGGCGAGGATCTCGCAGTTTTTATGAACGACGATGTCTGGTCTCGCAGGATTACATCGAATGGATGCAAATATCCAGGACATGTACGCCCTGTCCGGGTACATGCCCGACAATGTGGACGGGTCTCATCGCACTTGAACTCGTTAGCCTCAGCCTTGCCGGTTCATGCCGGGTTAGTTCGATGTGTACCTTAATATGCCGCTGCCGACAATTCCGACATCCTGTACTTGGCTTTCCACTATAGACCATAGCGGGAGGCGCAAAATGGGTTGAGCTAGCTCACAGTTCTCGCACTGCTCGGGTTGCTTCCTGTCCAGCCTCCGATGCGCCTACTATACATTCGGGCATGTCCAATATCGTCCGCGGGCTTGAACTTTGCCAAGAGTGAACATCGGTATAAGTGTGAGAATTCCCGCTCATATACCTACTGGATCATTTGTTCAGTCGCCAAGGGAAATGAGAATATGTAAATGTCGGTTGTCCACTCGGTTTCGCAGCCTAGATGTTCACGTGACCTGGATGGATGGCTCCGCCTCCGCAGATCTGCCGCGCCGTCGACATCTCTGGTTGAGGAAGCAAAGTCACTCCTTGCATTGTCCAACCTGACAAACACATTCTCTTGGGTGCTTCAACTTTACAGTTCCGGAGTCACTCGATTGCCTCACGATCCCTCTCGCGCACCAAGTCAATCCTCCCACTTCTGAGGAATCTCATCTCCGCAAACTCAGACATCTGTCCTGCCATTGCCTGTCACAATGCTTTCCTACTTCGGCTGGGGCTCCAGCTCCAAATCCAACACCGATGCATCAAACAATCAATCAAAAGAAACACCAAGCCCTGATCAACAGGCCCCAACGCCGCCCTCACCCGCAAATCCACCCTCCCCACCACAACAAATAGTCCAACAATCCACACCCTCCGATCGAACCAACCTCAAACTCTTCTGCGGCGGCATGGCCTTCTTCGCCCTCTCCGTTTACATCACACGTCGTGCCAACATCAGGAAACGCCTCGCCTGCATCCCTCCCTACTACTCCAGCTCGATATACTTCCAACCAAATGTCAACGGGGGGATGGAGGCGTTCGAGGCGCTCAACCTGGCTACACTCAATGTGATTTCATTCAGTATGATGGCTACAGGTGGTGTGATGTGCGCTCTGAATGTCAATGGGCTTGAGGATATGCGGAGGCTCATGCGGGGTTCTTTGGAGGGAGTGGCGGCTGGAAAGTCTGATGAACAGCTTGAGAAAGACGTCGCCGAGTGGGTGTCCAGTGTCCTTGGTGACCGATTTGATAAACAGCTGGAGAAGGAGAAGGCGAAGAAACGGGCGGCGGGTCAAAGCGAGGAGACTAATTGAGTCAATTGGGGGGACTGGTTTGTTTGGATACACTCTGCTCATGGATTTTATACGATACTACCCTGTACATCAATTTGCATTCTGATATACTGGAGCATGACCATCAGGCGTTGGCTGCTATACTGCAATACCATCATGACTGACAAGAGGGACTTTTCGTCTGTAGTGCTTTCCTGTTTGAGCTCATATCTTCATCGATTTGAGGATATCGTTATAGTACAAAGTTTTCGATCGGAGGCCGGGCTACGCCGGTTGAAGATCACTGATTCATCTGATCATAGCGTTGGCGGGCTGTCTCCTTGGTCTTCTCCAAGAATTCATCATATCGTCCTCTAGTATTTCGGCCCGCCTCTTCCACGGCATCGCCCAGTTTGCCTCCTTGTGCGCCTAAACCAACACCCTGTGCATAAACTTCCGTGGCGATAGGAGCCGTCACGCCGGTGCCCTGTGCACCTAGACCGGAGCCTGCTGACCAGCCCATCTTGCTCAGGAGAGAAGCACCCTTCGAGGCTGTCTGCAGTGGCGGTGCCTCCTCTTCCTTGGGTGCTGCTGGCTTTTGTCGAGTTCCGGTCTTGGTACGACCAAATGCTTGGCGGCGTTCTTTTGCACGGTCACGATATTCGGAAGACTGCTGAACGATTCCATGCTTGACAAGCTTAGCCATTCCTCGCGCTTTCGCCTCCTCGCTCTGTAGATTATCTTGGTGGAGCTGGCTAAGTCGTTCGTGACGATTAACATTGGCAGAACTCTTGAATTGCCGCATGCAAAGATAGCAGCAATTCCGGTTGAGATCGGCATATGACTGTGTAGGCGGTGCGTTTGCGTCAGTGGACAACCCCCCTTTCTCTGATTCACCCTCCGCAGGATTTTCATCACCGTCTTTTGCAATGCCGTGAAGCTCGGCATGGCGGTTACTCCAAAATTGCAGGTGCGACGGCATGGCAAGCTTCTTTGCACTCGCGCTTGCGGCTGCATCAGCCTTCCTTTTCTTGGCTTTTTCGGCATCTCTGGTGCTCTTGGTTTCATTCTGTTCTCGCTGGCTCGAAGGTTTCGCACCCTTCGCTTGATCTTGGCCCATATCGTCTTCGGCTGATGTTAGCATCAGCTCAGTGACATATCCTTCGTCATCCCAGTACATGAGTTTCACAGAAGGATTAGATAGCGGGCTGAATGTGAAGTGAGCCGTGCTGGGCTTCGGATCCATAACTGGCACGAAAACGCCTGCATGGATATAGCTGACCATGACAGGCCTGGACGAGATCGTGAATTTGTCAAATGAGTTCAACCGTGTCATTGCCGCTTGCGCATCCTGTATGGGGTCAGGTCAGCGAATGCCAAAAAGTATGTGAACTGATATCTGCATACCAATACATTGGCGAACTCAGCGAACCCAAAGCGCCAGCTTTCGTTCGTCTTCCGGTCGCGAACTAGAAGTACACGCCGGATGGAGCCTTCTCGGGCTCCAAGGTTGGCGTCTCCAGTCGTCGACGCAACTTTAGCCCCTTTCTTTTGAGTACTTGATGGAGTGCCATCATTGTTTCCGCCGGCGGGTCGATACAGCTTGGCAACACCTTTAGCTAGAAGCTCCTCTGTCACTGAAGACTCCAGACCTCGGAAAAGAAGGAATTGAGACGGTTGGTTTTCCGGGGCAGCATCGTTGTCACCATTGTTCACGACCTTCGGGGCTGGAACACCAGGTGGGCCAGGGGCACAACCTCTGCCGCTGTTTTTGTTAGATTAGGAATTGCACTACTGGGAAAGATAGAACATACCTGGACGAGGAGCATTACAGCGGAAACACTTTGGTCGAGTCGCGAAGTTGACGACAGCACACTGAATCCCGTTGTCAGCTCTCAATCCAGGTGCTGTGCTCAAGACGTGGCAATCTTACCATGCGACAGGTCCAATCGCCTTCGGCTTTTCCTCGATTCCTGTCTTCTCTCTCACGACTGTATGCTATGCGAACTTTTGTGCTCCGATCGTTATCTCCCGCGGACGGCCCATACAGATAAATGAAGGGGTGATTCTGTTCTAGGAAAGCCCTGGAGTCGTTGACAGAGTGAAATCGCAGGAATCCCAGCTGCCGTGACACCTCTACACATAACTTTTGATCAACAAAATGGACTTTAATGCCAAATATTGCAATCTCTTCACTCACTCGTTTGTCGATCTCGAATCACTCGAATTTCTTCCAAGCCACTAATTTGGTACGCGTTCTGAAGCTCGTCTCCGATCTAATTTACCAACGATGGTCAGCACATACTCGAGGCTCCATTTGTTCAGTAGCCTGCTATGGATTGGACTCACATCGTCTTCTGTCATATCCACAGGGAAGCCTTCCATCATAATCTCCCGGCTCTCCAGCCCTAATCCAGACTGTCCTCGACGCGGGCTGCGACTGCGACTGTAACTCCCACCGTGGGTATAATCCGGCGATAGATATCCCTCGCGATCTCGATCTCGATACCCTTGTCTTCCTCGCCGCGGAGGCGATCGCTGACGATAGTCAGCCCGATCCCGGTCGTCATAGTGGGATCCAGCATCTCTGTCCCTGGAGTACTCGTGCCTGCGATCTGCTGTTCGTTGGGGAGGCGAGCGAGAATGGTCTTCATTCCCCAAGACCGATGGAAGAATATTAGCGACAACTCTAAAGATTCAAAGGGAGGACTCGGGCTTTCTCCGAGTCCACTGGCCATGGCTCAAGCACCATTTCCATGCGGGGAGGAGCGAATACCGCCAGGCGAGCGTGAGCGAGAGCGATCATCGTACATGCGGCCGTCCCGATCGTCTCGAGGGGGGTAGCCTCGGCGGGACGGGCCTGAGTATGGTCGGCTATCGTCTGGGTAAGGAGGCGCCATCCTTAACGGCCATCAAAGGTGTTTGTTCATTGAAGAGAGCTCAAGCTTGGCCGATGCACGATAGCTCCCGGCAGAATGCTGACCGCCTCCATATCATTTGTTTGGTGCAGCTTCTACCTATCCGAGACTTTTGGTCTCACAAATCGATGAGTCTGGTCAAAACAGAGCTTTTTGCCTCAAACTGCAATGCTTCTTGAAAATATAGACTTATTGGAGTATCTTCACACTTCGAGCCGTACGATGATCGGCGGAAATGTATAGGGACCTCCATTGATCCAATCGCGTGTCTTTCAACACAACTCACTCCAGCGGGAATATACATTTACATTTCTAGAGTGGCTACCCGGTACAGACCCGCCAGTAAATTTGTTCAAGCTGTATAAAAAGATAGATAATGAATGCTAAATCAAGTCGGGGTTCACTCCTTCAAAAATTGAAAAGCCCTGCTCGGATCATTGATCCGTATCTGAGGCCGCTCTTCCTTGGGTGTTGCATCATCTCCGAGGATGACGGGCCCCGGTGGTGGGGACGATCCACCACATTCCTGAGCTCAGGACATATCATTAGTTCAAGCCCACAGCTCATGTTGCAGTCAAAATGACGGATGTACCTGATAGGCACAACCAGACCCAACTGATCAGCGCCAGATATCATCTATTTAGAGGCGATTCTCCACAAAGCCCCGCGGTGGGATGCAATGTGTGAGCTCTGATATGGGCGATTGGCTGCTGCCCTCCAGTCCCTGATACCACGGCCCTCGATTTACCCAGAGAGCTAACAACTAACCCCTCAGTTCAAATTTCAATCTTTCAAACCACTCCCGTCGGCTTTGAGACTCATTGACCCGCTACCATTCCTTTAGCAACATACCCTGATGTCGCCATCTGCGAACCGAAACCACCGTGCGTGGTGGAAAGAGTGCTCGGTGTATCAGATCTGGCCGGCATCATTCAAGGACTCGAACGATGATGGAATCGGGGACATTCCTGGAATTATCTCTCAGCTCGACTACATCAAGGACATTGGGGTCGACATTGTCTGGCTGTGCCCTTCATACAAGTCCCCGCAGGTCGATATGGGCTATGACATTGCCGATTACTACAGCATTGCCGACGAGTACGGCACGGTCGCAGATGTTGAGAAGCTGATCCAAGGATGTCATCAGCGTGGAATGAAGCTTCTCATGGATCTGGTGGTTAACCACACTAGCGACCAGCATGAGTGGTTCAAACAGTCCCGAAGCTCGCGAGATAGCGAATACCGTCAATGGTACATTTGGAAGCCTGCAAAGTACGATGAGCAAGGCAACCGCCATCCTCCAAATAACTGGGTTTCTCATTTCCAAGGTATGGAACGCTAGTTAATACCATGGATGACCGAAATAGGTGCTGACTACGGCCTTTTAGGTAGTGCTTGGCAGTATGATGAACTCACGGACGAGTATTACCTTCATCTGTATGCCACCGAGCAGCCAGATCTTAACTGGGAGCACCCCCCAGTGCGCAAGGCGGTCCACGATATTATCCGTTTCTGGCTGGACAAGGGATGCGATGGCTTCCGAATGGACGTCATCAACTTCATCAGTAAAGATCAACGATTCCCTGATGCACCCGTGAAAGACCCACGAACCCCTTGGCAATGGGGAGACAAATACTATGCCAACGGGCCTCGTCTGCACGAGTATTTGCAAGAAATTGGCAAGATTCTCAAAGAATACGATGCTTTCAGCGTCGGTGAAATGCCTTTTGTCAAAGATGAGACAGAAGTGCTTCGAGCTGTGCAGTTCGATCGCAACGAGATCAACATGATCTTCAACTTCGAGCATGTGGACATTGACCACGGAGAGTTCGATAAATTCGAACCTGGTAGTTGGAAGTTGACTGATCTGAAGGACTTTTTCCAGCGATGGCAGACCTTCATGTATGAGAATGATGGTTGGAATGCTCTCTATTGGGAGAATCATGATCAGCCACGGTCGATTGATCGATACACCAATGCCGATGAGAAGCACCGTGTTATCGCGGGCAAGATGTTAGCAGTTGCATTGGCCCTGCAGTCTGGCACACCGTTTATCTACCAAGGTCAAGAGCTAGGAATGCGGAACGTCCCTGCTAGATGGAGCATCGAAGAGTACAAGGACATTGACTGTCTCAACCATTGGAATAGGTGAGTTTTTCGAGGACTTTCACTTCTGCTAATGGTAGCTAAGAAATACTCCATAGATTGATCAAGAACAAGCACTTCGACACGAACGCCCAGCAAATTGCCCTTCAAGAGTATCGGAAAAAGTCCCGCGACAATGCACGCACTCCTGTTCAGTGGACTGATGCACCCAATGGTGGCTTCACAAGTCCCAAAGTTAGGCCTTGGATGTCCGTGAACGATGACTACGTTCGAGTCAATGCCGCAGCAGCAGTCAAAGATCCCAACTCCATCTACCACTTCTGGGCATCTGTGCTGAACCTGCGCAAGAAGCACCTGGACCTTTTTGTTTACGGAGACTGGAAGATCGTGGACGCCCCAAGTCAGGAGGTCTTTGCATATACTCGCCAGTACGAGGACCAGAAGGCTCTGATTCTGTGCAACTGGACTGAGAACAATGCCACTTGGGATGCGCTGAGCAATGGAATTTGTGCCGTCAAGAGCGTTCTGTTGAATAACTACGAGCGATCGGCTGAGGCATCGAAGCGTTTCTCTGGAGGGAAATATGCCCTCCGACCTTATGAGACGTTTGTGCTCCTTGTGTAGATACGATGGGTCATCAGTGGTACCATAGCGATATTTGAGAATGAAGCAAGGCTATATACACTGTAGAATGTTTTCCTAGAATTTCTAACAGAATCCCGTTCCGCCCTTCGGTGGACTCCGTCATGGCCGCGGCCGCACTTATCCACCAGTTCCCCGCAATCGATAAGAGACACTACGAAAGTGGGCAACAAACCGGTGAACTCGACTTGAACCTTGATCTACACACTTTCCCCCTCCATACACATGCACACACAATGACAACCGAAGGAGCCTCTCTCCCAGCACACCTGGACCCGTCCACCTACCCACGCACCCAGCACGATGCCACGCAAAACATCCACCTCACACTAACCTACTCCCCACTCGATGCCAACACCTACCTCGCGCAAACATCCTCCCCCCGCCGCAGGAGCAAATACCCTCTTCCTCGGCACCACACGCGATACCTTCGAAGGCCGCTCCGTCTCCCAGCTGAGCTATACCACATACCCACCCCTCGTGCTGAAGACGTTAACGGCGATCGCGGAGGCCGCCGTCACCAAGCACCAACTCAAGGGTGTGAGTATTGCGCACCGTCTGGGGGTTGTGCCTATCGGAGAGGCTTCTATTGCGATTGCCGTGAGTGCGGGACATCGTGCTGCGGCTTGGAGGGCGGGTGAGGAGATTTTGGAGGCTTGTAAGGAGAGGGCGGAGATTTGGAAGAGGGAGGAGTTTGTTGATGGGGGCATGGAGTGGAGGGCTAATGCGGATCGGGATGCGGAGGGGAATTTGATTAGGAAAGATGGCTCTTAAGGGGGATAAAGATGGTTGACTGGGCGGAGGGCTTGGCGAACTGGGGTGTTTTGCTTTTCCATTTGGGGACCTTACCGTGGTGAGGAGGGCGCTGATTTACATTGCATACCTACATGGACTTGGTATACGTGGGTTTGGCGAAAGAACTTTATACCATGAAGCATTGGGTAACTGTCGGACGGAGTCTAGTGAGCAGGGTATTGGTATTGGAGAGTGATATAATACAGTTTTCATACACAGCTCGAGGACAATTACTCAAGCTTCAAGGGCTTGCCTTCTCTCTTCCAGTCGCTGATGTGCTCAAGGATGACCTTGGAGGCAGACTCGGGGGTATCCTGTCGGCCGATGCACTCGACAAAATCGTTATCGGGATCTAGAGCGAACGGTCAGCAAATGTCAAATACGAGTCCAAGGCGAGGTCTTACCCATCAGGTAGAAGTAGATGCTGTGGTCCACAAGGTAATCCTCGCCAGGCTTCGCATCTTTAGGCGTGCTGAAGTACACGCGGTACTGCTTGCAAACGTTCTTGACCTGCTCATAGGTACCAGTCAAGCCCACAATGCCCGGATGGAACTCCTTCAGGTACTCGCGCAAGACCTCGGGTGTGTCACGGGCTGGATCACAGGTAATGAAGACCGGGAGGAAAAGTTTGTCGTCCTTGGTGGCCTCCCTGACCTTGTCAAAGATCTCAGCCATCTTGTCCAGCTCGTCAGGGCAGATATCGGGGCAGTGGGTGAAGCCAAAGTAGACCTAGTTTCGCGAGAAGAGCTATATTAGCACCAATCATTCCAACAATAATGCATGATTCGATACGAAACTCACAAAGCTGTATTTGCCCTTCAGATCCTCCTCGGTGAACTCCTTTCCATCCAGGTCCTTCAGGACGAACGGACCGCCAACCTTCGGTCTCCCGACACCCTTGCTCATCTCTGCAATACGCTTCCGCTCCAGACGTGCCTTCTCAACACGGAAGTAGATCATCATACCCGCGCCTGTGAGCACGAACAAGAGTGCAGCCTTCCACGAGAAAGGGCCAGTCGAGTTGCGCTGGCGCAGCTGACCCATTGTCTTCGCGCGAGCTCGGAATGCACTCGTAGAGAAGTTATTGCGTGCAGCGAATGCGCATTGGACATTCTGGTTGTACCGGGGTCGATGTGGTTGTGTATAGGCGCGGCATTGTGGTTGACAGGTGTTGCGGAGGGCAGGGAGGATGCGATGGGACGGGGCAGATTCAATGGTGACCAGGCTGCGGGTTGCTCGGCCGAGGATTCCGGTGGCCATTCGCAGTGAGGATGGCATCTTGATTGACGCTGGGGTGTCTGGGTCGGCGGAGGGAGACGTTGATGCTGGATGATGGCACGAGAATCTCCAGATCGATACCTGATCGGGACTAGCGCTTTCAAGCCTCAGGCATTTAACTGCCCCAGTGACGAACTATAAATGGAAGTTGAGATCCCGATTTCAGGAGAGAGTCAGTCGCAATGGTTGTTAAATTTAGGAAACTTGTATTTGAAAATATGGCAAGGCGCTTATTAGTGGTAAATCTAGTTATATGAAGATCAAAAACTCGCACAAGTTACATCGCAAGAACAAAGACAGCATTCACAATATTCCAAACCAGACTCATCCTCCGCCAAGAGAAACGAGAACAGCGATCAGGTAGTAATCATGAGAATCTTGTTCTCATACTCTTTTGTCTTCTTCAGAATGAGATTCTCTGAGATCCATCGTCCCGAATCCTCCCTTGAGATGAAATATCCAATCTCGGTAGACTCCCGACCAGTCTTGGGATCTTCGATACCCACACGGACGGTCTTTCTCGTCTCGCCATCATTCAGAATACTGCCACGAAGAATGGTGAATGTCTCTCCACTAGCAATGAATCGATCTTCCATGATCTTCTTGTCCTCATGGGCAGCCTTGAGCAGCCAAACATAGATCGGGAACATGGCCAAGGGATAATCGCGGCCAAATCGGGACATTCCAGTGGTGCTGAATGGCACAATGTAGGGACGGCCGATCGCTCCTTGGCTTCGAAGTTGGGCAATTGCTTCCAGGAGGACAGACGCGCCTTTGCGGCAGCACTCGGGGTCTTCGATGGTCATCTTGTACCAGATTGGTCGACTGCCGATGGTGGTGATGATCATGTCGACGAGGTTGCCATCCTCTGTGCGGATGCATTCAGTGACCGTGGTAATATCATGGGCGTCGCCTTTAATGATCTTGAGATTGTGCGTGGACCCCGCTGGGAAAATGGCCTCGAGCTTTGATGGAGTCCGGCAGAGCGCGGTGCATTGCAGGCCTGCTGCCACGCTATGCTTGAGAGCTGCAAGACCTACGCCAGTGCTAGCACCGAAGAAGGCTACTGTCTTGGTGTTGGAAGTCATGTTGTAAAGGTTGTTTTGGTGGGTAATCGAGAAGATCCGAGGATGAAAGGCTGGTCTGTGAAGATAATCTTTGAATTGTGTCTGGTATGCTCTTGAAATTGGGCGGGCGTCTCATGCCCTTTTATCTACATCGTGGCCGCCGAGTCAATCTTCGATACGAGCCGAACGTTGGCCGAGTATGCGGCCTGTGCCCAGGGAACTATTGTGGCTTGCTTCAGAGTACGAGGAGGCACAAAGTTAAGCTCGCGTCTTTCTCGCTCTTTGACTATTGCTTATCTAATATCCACGCTTTGGGACCGCCTTTGGCTCTTTTTTTGGCTTCCGGCTAGCCTCGCGTATTTCTCGGAGTGCGAGAAGCGCAATATTCCCACCCGCGAGGCTCGCACTGCCTGCCTCCTTGCCCGGACGAGTTAACTAATTGTTCTTTGGCCAGGCTTTGGCTTGAATTACCTAGATCACGCAAGCAAAGAAACCTCAGTCTGTATCATTTCTCTTTCCAGCGTGTTCATATCAATCTAAGTTTGTAGCTACCGCTTTGCGGGAAATACCTATAGCCCTGCCCAAGATAGAGACTTCTCTGGGTGATGCTGTCTATTCGGTCTATTTAGATTCACGAGTACGCTTCCCTAGATAACGAGGACGTATCAGTCCAAAGTGTGGTAATCTAGCGACATGGCCGAAATCCTGATCAAGGGAACTGGCAAAAGGTGTCAATGGATAACCACTGAACCAGTGTATTGGTGATTGCCACTAACCCAAAGGGGACCAAGCCGCCTTTGGGGAGCAGCGATGACCCGATGCCAACAAGCAGTAGCGCAATCACAACAGCAGCCTTGTCAGGATGAGCGACTGGCTAGCCTGAGCGATAATTTCAAAGCCAGCAGTAGTTCCAGCAGCGAGGACCTCCCAGGGGCGCATGGAGACGACGTTTTCGTCGTCGAGCGCAACGGTCGCGGGCGCCTTGGCCTCAAGTGCCGAGAAAAACGCGAGGTCGCCCGCAGTAAAGAGCGAACCGCCAGCATCCACACCGGGGGCCGGGCGCACCTCTAAACCACGGAGTTGTGTCGTATGTCGAAGCCGAAAGGTCCGCTGCGACAAGCAGTCACCTTGCTCCAACTGTCGCCGGGCAAATATTGCCTGTGTTGTCCCCTCTAAAGATCGTCCTCCAAGATGGGCCCGTCGCATCACGCAGCCGGCCCCGGAAGATGTCATGGAGCGATTAAGAACGCTTGAGAATCTCGTGAGAGACTTGAGTGGTCAACTGGAAGAAGCGAATGCTAGGGCGAATTCTGCTGGCGTTTCCTCTGCAGCTCAGTCGCCTGGAAGCTCTACCCGCGACCCGACGGGCACATCCTCGACACATTCCGACAATGTACAGAAGCAATTTGGGAGGTTGGTCCTTCGAGATGCTAACCAAAGTCGCTATATTGGGAGCGGCTTTTGGTCCCGTGTCACGGATGAGGTACACCCGATCCGCTGCTATACAAGGTTCGCTTGCTGACCTGTACAATAGTTGGATGAACTGAAGATGAACGCCGAAGGATTGGCTCAAGATGATTTCGATACCTCCGATGAGGACGAATGGTCCTCTGGGAAAACTCCATCGACACAAGAACTCGGTCGTACGCCTGAAGATCGAAATGCATTCATATTCCGCCATAACTTGATGCCTTCCACCCCAGACCTACGAGACTTTCACCCACTTCCCTCCCAGATCCCCTTTCTGTTAGATGTCTTCTCAGAGAACGTCAACGCATTTCTCCAGAGTGTTCATGTGCCAAGTGTCACAAAAATGATTCGAGATTTGCGCGGCGATATGACTAATCTGACACCAGCGAACGAGGCCCTCATGTTCTCGATCTACTATGCAGCAGTGACGTCCATGGAGGAGGAAGACGTGATGACGAACTTCGGTTCTACTAAGGCAGAACTGAATTTGAAGTATCGTCTAGGTCTTGAGCACGCTCTCGCCAAGGCCGATTTTCTCAATGTACCTGATCTTGTTCTCATCCAAGCTCTTGTTAACTTCTTGGCTCTTGCCCGCCGCCATGATAGCCCCAGATTTGTGTGGATGATGGTTGGCATCGCAATCAGAATGGCGATCTCGCTGGGGCTTCATCGGGATGGCTCTAACTTTGCAAATCTCCCTCCCTTTGAGATTGAGATGCGACGGCGCGTCTGGTGGGCCTTGTGCCTGTTTGATGTCAGGGCGTCAGAGGATCAAGGGACCGAGTTCACTATTGCCGTGGACAGCTTCGACACAAAGTTGCCGCTGAATATAAACAATAGCGACATACAACCCGATTCAAAACAAATGCCATCCGAACGTGAGGGGTTGACTGACTTGTCCATCTCACGTGTGTCGATCAAAACGTGCGAACTCTCAAAGCGAATGATGGTCCGTGGACCGAATGCACCTAGTTTGGAAGAGCAAGACCATATGCTGCAGAAGATATACCAAGAATTGGACGACGGCTTCCTCCGCTACTCGACAGAGCCTAATATATCTTATTGGGTTATTGTCACTGTCTCTCGTCTCCTGGTCGCCAAGATGACGTTGTTCATCTACTTACCAGTGCTGTTCTCTTCTCCAAGTGAACAACTGTCCGAGCAACTCAGAACGAAACTGCTTGTCGCCGCAATTGAAGTCGCTGAATATAACCACGCTCTTAACGCTGAGCAGGCCTGCCGACAATGGCGCTGGATCTTCCAGACTTATACGCATTGGCATGCCATTATCTATATTTTGATCGAGATTCATCGCCGACCCTGGTCTCCCCTTGTCGAAAGAGCCTGGACCGCTCTCCACAGTGTTTGGCTTATTCCAAACCAGTCCAAAATGCGCAAAGACTTGCGAGTGTGGTTCCCGTTGCGGAAGTTGATAGCCAAAGGCACAAAACATCGAGAGACCGAACTGGACAGACTCAGAAATGATACGTCAGATGCGGAGAAATTACTGAATGAATATTCGAACGCACCGCTACCTTCGAGTACTGGACATTTTCTGGCCGGATCTAATGCCGCCGGAATTTTCCTCGAACAATGGAAACAATTGGTTGATTTTCCGACCCAAGATATTTCGTCACGAACACAAGGGGTTAGTTCATGTGTTGCAGAGCCGTCGACAACCAGCATTTCTGGTGCATCACTTGGAGAGCTTCCCGGTATGGGTTTGAGTTCCAACAGCACGTCGATACCAAGTACTCAGGCATGGAATTACACGGTTGGAGCTGCTCATAATCCAGAGGCATCATTTTCTACGAATCTTGGCTTGTCTCTAAACGCGAGTGGCTACGAAGCAGAGCCATTTGAGTCACCTATGCCACCAGCTCTCGAGCACACAACCCCCGCATTTCTAGATAATATGCTCTCTACTCAGCCTGTTGGAGATGGAGTTATGTCTTCGCTGTGGAACGATGACTTTTTCGAACATGTGGAATTGGGCACACGTGATAACAATATGGATTTGGACAGTGAGATAGATTGGTATAACTGGGTTGAGTCTGCCAAGGGAATGGAATGGGACGCGGATCCCAAGGGTGCCACACAATGATGCCACACAATGACAATGTGCGGTTCTTGAACCTTCTGCAAAGCCCCCATAACTTCGATAGTTGTTTGCTTATGACCAAGTGGATGGCCCGAAGATCTTTCCTTCCGCGACTGTCTTTCGAATCGCAGTATAGAGGGAGTCCTTGTGAAATGACATTAGCATGATGAGCTCACTATAGGAGGTATTTTCCAGGGCAGGATATTTACCATAGTCTCGAAGGGAGCAGTATTTCCCCACCAGTTTGGCGCAGAAACACCGGGGAATGTGATGGCGAAGAAGATGACGATTGTTGATAAGATCAAACCTGTGTCAAGTCCTGCGGCTGTAAGGTAGTTATAATTTCTCCACCAACCTCCCCAGCGACGGTGGATCCAGTAATTGAAGATGAGCCCGAACATAACCCAAGATGAATAGCTCAAAGGTGTGGCACTGCTCCTGTTAGTATGTCATGTCGTGTAGAATATTGGTAAAGGGCACCTACGGAGGTAGCCAGGACATAGCACCGAGCATCCTAGCAAAGAAATCAGCGAGTTTCTGCCAAGTAGTCTTCTCTACTCACACTGGCGCATTGAGGAATCGGGCCTTGGAGCGTGGGAAAAGCCGCATCAAGATGTAAAATGCCACAGGTAGGAGAGCTCCGAGCAACCAGAAATACTGGATTGGTTTATAAATGCCGTCGGGTCCGAACATGCGATTGGGGCCGATTACACCTTTCAACATATGTTAACGGCATATTGATAAGTCTTTGGGCCTGCATTCACTTACCCCACACAATGCTGGAAGAGAAGAATGCCTTTCCGTTGGGGCAAGTAAAGTGAGCAGTTTGGGTGCTGTATGCAATCAGCCAAAGATCTTGCACAAGAGTATGATTTGATTTACGCACGTCGTGCAAACATTCTCGATGTTGCCCAATGTCCAGTTCATAACTGCAATCTGGACGAAACAAGCCCAAACTATCGCAACAATTTGGCACATAAAGGTAACACGGGGTGGGATCTTCATATAATGGCCAATCTGAAAAGGGAAATGGATTAGTGATAGGATTACATGGCCGGATTACCCTAAGGCTGACCTTTAGATCCTGGCAGAAGTATTGACTAGTATTTCGGTTAGATCCAGTGGCTTTTGGAGGATAGGGTAACTGACGCTTGTCCCAATGTGATAGTACTAAAAACTTTGAAGACCATGACTCCAATTGGCTTTCCGGGGATCATGAAGCCAGCCAAGAAAGGTGACAGGACATTAAGGGCTATATCCGTAAGTAAGCTCTGACCAATACATAGGGCATGTAGCAAGACATACACAATTGGATGTTGGTAATTCCGAGAATCATGCAGGTAGGGATCTTTCGACAGAAGTCAGCGAGCTCGTTCAAAATCCGAGGGCCGCACCGCACTTACAATGAATACTGCAGCAACAATGACTGACACGAAGAATCCCCACCCTGCTTCATTGTCAGTGATGCCTTTGTGAGAATTTCGCACCAAGTCCATCACGTACATGGAAGTTGTGAATCATATGCGAGAATGCCAGCCAAGCCCAAGGCGACGGAAGCCAGGAAGAGGAGAGCGTACCACCACTCCGGCACCTCCTTATATTTCTTCATCAAAGTCAAGTGAATGTCCGGCTCTTGATTTTGAGCAGCTCTGAATCGATGCCAGATCTCCTTCCGATGAAACAGAATGATGTGGACAAGGGCGGCTGTCAAAGCCGCAAACGATAGTCCGTAATTTATGGCAAAGGTCGGAGCAAGAAACATAGGCGAGTAGGCCTTGTACGCTTCCTCATCAAATGTGAAGCCCGGGCCGAGTATCTTGCTCACATTATACGGATTCTGTGTGTTGTCATAGGTCGACGAAGTATTGATAGGGAGATACTCTGAGTAACTGGAACATGGTCAGCCCTGAGACAGTGTTATCAGCATGGAACTTACAAGGCTCCAGTATATGCAATGCCAATTGTTGTAATCAATACAAAAACGACCAGCCCAATGAATGTATTCATGATTGCATGCACAGGCGAGAGTAGAGGATCAAGCAGATAGGCGGAAACGTAGCTGGGTGTGATCAGTTTTTTGGTCCCGATTTATGGATGAGAATAGCACCTACGTCCAATCGAATGTGATAGGAATCAACGACAATCCGGTGAACCCTCCAAAGAGCTGGTTAAGGACGACATTGTTTGGTTTGATCCCTGCATAGAGGTCAGCTATATCAAGCAGACGCTCATCATTCTGAACTTACAGGTGATAAATGCGAAAACAGAAAGTCCTTGCCAGATGACACCAGGTATCCTATTATGTCGTTAGTCAACTCGGAGGACAATTGCGTTGACGAATTAGACTCTTACCAGTACCAAATAAACGCCCCAATCATGACATACATAAAGTATCGGTACCGGGAGATCGTCCAGCCATCCGTCGTCGAGGGATCAGATCCACTCTTATCGTGGAGAGCGTAGAAGAGTGTCGTGTTTGCGAATTGTCCGGGCCATATCATAGCAGCGGGCCTATTCCAATGTCAGCAGGTGCCGAAATCAGGTAATGGGACATGAATAAGTTTGGTGCTGAGAACTAACCACACGAGGAATCGACGGAAAATTCCAGCAAGGGAAACCCCGATAACCTGACTGCTTATAGCAAACAGAAGCTGAAAGCCCCAGCCAATGTCGAGATTATACAACGCTATAAACTATTGTTAAGCCAAGAGCGCCCGCTAATTTGCAACGTACGTACGTTTTGCCTTCAATGCAAGAAGTGCATCTGTGCAATATGCATAGCCAATTGACACACTGTTCACGTCTTAGCAATTCGAACAAACGCCGACTAGAATGGACATACTTTGCCATAATCTATACAGAGTTAGTCAGGCTATTAAGTGACACGCACGATTCTCAAGTCTTACTGTAACAACTGTGTGCTCCTTGATGTTGAAAGGGCCCGTATTCAAAGTCCACTCCACTCCAAAGGTGTTGAATGTTCTGGTAGGCATATACTTGGCCCATAAACAGCCTATCGGATAGACGAGCAATTGCACTACTATGGCAGGAAACGAGATCGCAGGGCTCCTGTGTTATCGTTAGATGATCCGGATATACGAGGACTGCAAAGATAGAGGGACATACCTCATACTCAAGAACATGTTCAATCCACTTCCAACAGTCGTGAAGAACATTCCAAGTATCCATGCGCGCACCGTATTGGCGGGCTCTTCACCATCAGTATTTCGAACCGCTGCTCGCACTGATTCATATTGAGAGTCTTGCACAAATGACTTGTCTATCTCGGCAGCTTTTTCGTGATCACCTGTCTTCACGGCCTCGTGGATTTCATCGAGCTTCTCCTGGGGTAAGTTCGGATCCCATTGGTGAGAAAGTTCAATATTATGTAGATCCTGTATTTCATCAATAGGGCGCTTATCACTGTTCGAGGACATATCTTCTAGATTGTGAGTCCTGAAAGTTTTGTTGGGAAGGTATTTTGCAGTAAAAGGGTCTCGGTTCTAGTGGAGCTATCCTAACCTGGCCACACAACTCGATATATACTCTCCGAGGGCCACCCCCTCCACCTGTGGTAGTTTGCCCCACACGAGCTAAAAGATAAGCCATGGTCAAAAGCGATGTAACCTTTTACTCTCCCGGCCCGGTTCATTATCTCTGCCACGAAGCGGCACGAGGAGTTGGCCACTAGGTTTGATCGGCGTTGGTGTAGTCGCCCGCATTCCGATAGCAATCCCCGTTTTGGGTTAGAATGCGGAGTAACGCGCTACGCTATTTTGTAAGCTCCAGCCGGGCCGCAGCTGTGGAAGTCTCACCGACATAGTTGTACCCATTCGGATGACTTTGCGACAACTTGCTTATTGTCGGTTGAGTGTCCCGACATAATATCCTACCATGGCGTTCTTCGCCTATCGCTACGGGCCTAGCTCATAGTATTTAGCCTGCCAAAGTCCTATCTTGACTACTTGACTATCAATGACGACGCGTGTTTTCGGCACTTCCGATCAAGTTTCAAGGCCACCAAAAAGATACTCTCAGCCGAGGACGAAAAGAAGCCCATTCATCCGCCTATCATGGTTCTCTACACGTCTCCTCGGGGTGTTGCTATTCGACGTGCCCAGGCAGAATCCATTCGCGACAGGATTGAGCGTCTTACGGCAGATCTGAAGGAACTGAAGGCGTTTCTTCCCATCGAATTTTCACCAGGACGAAAACAGAGACTCCGAGAATTCCTTACCTCAGAGCTCAATTCTTTGCATGACCTGCCGTTTGAGCTCTATGAACAAGACGCAAAGGTTGACTATCTGCTTGTCAAAAATTACCTCGAAAGAGAACTTCGCGGATTGGAGCTCGAAGCCCAGCAAGATGAAAAGTCGACTCCGCTGTTACCATTCGCTACGACATTGGTGGATCTTTGCGAGGCTCGCGCATTGGTGATACCGATGCATCCAAAGGAGACTGCACAGAAATTATTCGAGTCTCAAGCGGCAATGGTTTCGGTGATAGAGAAAGTGAAGGCAAAGTCCGACGATGTCGCTGTCTCAAAAACCGCCGCCTTTCGAGCAGCAAACCATATATCTTCCCTACGAGTCCACTTGAAGGAGTGGTTCAGATTCTACACTGGCTATGATCCAACATTCGACTGGTGGGTGGCGCATCCGTATGGAGTGATTGACCAGAGCCTGCAAGACCTCGCGGCTATAATCAAAGAAATTCTGGTCGAAATAAAACCGGGGAATGACGATGCCATAGTTGGGCAGCCCATAGGACGCCAAGGCCTGCTCTTGGAACTGAGAGCCGAGATGATCCCATACACGCCAGAGGAGATTATTTCTATTGGTGAAAGACAGTTTGTCTGGTGCATTAATGAGATGAAAAAGGCTTCGCGGAGCATGGGATACAAGGACGACTGGAAGAAGGCCTTGGAAGAAGTCAAGAATGATTTTGTTGAGCCTGGCCAACAAACGCGACTTGTTCGGGATCTCGTATATGAAGCCGTGTCATTTGTTGAAGATCACGACCTCGTCACGGTCCCTGATATTGCCAAGGACAGTTGGCAAATGTTCATGATGTCCCCCGAGAGACAAAAAGTAAACCCATTCTTCCTGGGCGGCGACTGCATCATTGTATCCTACCCCACTGATGCGATGGACCACGAGGCCAAGATGATGAGCCTGCGTGGGAACAATATTCATTTCTCGCGAGCGACGGTCTTCCACGAAATGATTCCTGGTCATCACCTACAAATGTATATGAACGCAAGGCACAAGCCATACCGTCGCGTTTTCGACACGCCATTCTGGATTGAAGGGTGGTCCCTATACTGGGAATTCCTTCTCTGGAATGACGAGCGATGGATCAAGACGCCTCAGAACCGCATCGGAATGCTGTGGTGGCGTCTGCATCGATGCGCCCGGATAATTTTCTCTGTCAATTTTCATCTCGGTCGAATGTCGCCCAAAGAGTGTATCGATCTTCTGGTGGAAGATGTTGGACACGAACGTGCCACCGCCGAAGGCGAGGTAAGGCGGTCATTGAACGGGGATTATTCGCCACTTTACCAGGCTGGCTACATGTTGGGCGCATTGCAGATATTTGCATTGCGTGGGGAGATGGTTGACGCGCAAGGTATGCCAGAAAAAGAGTTCCATGACCGATTTCTGAAGGGGAACCGAATGCCGATCGAGATGGTTCGGGCGCTCATGCAAGACCAGCCCCTGTCTCCGAAATTTGAGTCGTCCTGGAGATTCTATCCCCTTTGAATTCAATTCGGATGATGAGTACCGCAATCTGCCATGTACTGTTCAGATAATAGTTAGTTCAAATGAAGCAAGAACCACTTCTGCAGCTGTGCGATGAGATAAATCAATAGAATATTGAGATTTGGGGTTCTCGCTGACCACAATCTTTCTTATGCACAGCTCATGATTGCAAAATAAGAATCTTGTCAGCAATGCATCATCATAAAAGTGGAGCCGCTAAACCATTTGCGGACTCCAGCTACTCGTGGTGATGACTGGCGATCCCTAATGCTTCCATAATCCAACACGGACCTTCTACAGCCCTCTAGAGAACCTAATGCATGCTTAAATACTTCGCTCCCACCCACTCGAGACCAAAAATCCCAATTTTTATCTACAACCATCAACAGGAAGACCTAGAAACGCCCACTTTCCTATCACAGCCCACTCAATCAGCCATGTCCGGTACTCTCGCCCACGCCAAGATTGCTCTCCGTCGCTCTGGCGAGCGCGGATATGCCGAACACGGCGGCTGGTTGAAATCCTTCCACACATTCAGCTTCGCTAGCTACTACGACCACAAATTCCAAAATTTTGGAAGTTTGCGAGTCTTGAATGAAGACCGTGTCGCACCCAGAAATGGATTCGGAACGCATCCCCACCGCGATGCAGAGATCTTCAGCTATATTCTCAGCGGAGAGCTCACACACCGCGACAGCATGATTAAAAAGGGAGCAGAGGGCGAGCAAGGGAAGGACTTCTATCGCATGAAGCGAGGAGACGTGCAGTTTACTACTGGTGGAACTGGTGAGCCTTTTTGAACCCGTTGATTGATTGAGCTGCGAACTGACAAACATATAGGCATCGCTCATTCTGAACAAAACGAATCAAACAAGCCAGTGCATTTCCTCCAGATCTGGGCACTGCCATGGAAACACGGTCTGAAGCCACAATATCATACTATGACCTTCGGCGAAGATGCTAAGCGCAAGGACTTCGTCCCCATTCTATCGCCACTCGCCGCCGGTCCCGAGGCCAAGCCAGCGGATGAAGACGCCGCTATCCCCAAGATCCCGGGGACCATTCCCATTCACGCCGATTTCGTGATGGGTGCCGGAATCATTGCCCCTTCCTCCACCTTCACGTGGAACGTGGGTGCTGGCGAGGTTGTCAGTTCCAAGAAGAAGCGCAATGTTTACATCCATCTTCCCATGACGAAGCAGGGCAAGATGAAGATCAAGCTCAACGGAAACGAAGATGCCGTTCTTGAGGAGGGAGATGGCGCTTTCATCACACAAGTCAATGCCGGCGACTCGCTGCGCGTGGAGAGTATTGGTGATGTTGAAGCAGAGGTCATTGTACTGGACAGCAACTGAGAATGATTGAAACGACTGATTGAATTGACATGTATATAATTAAACGGAGTTAGTGTGGATACCGCTCGCAATGGGAGTTAGATTATTGAGAATGTTCCGTCTTCACCAAGTTCCGCACCTTAAACTCCCATAATAACGTCGAAAATAGGATATATTTTGATTTTAGTATGTCAAACTTAACCTAGGCGACGGTAAAACTGCCGCCTCAAGAAGTGATCGGCTTCTGGGGCACAGGGTAAGTTAGTAACGTCTCCGCCCTGAGCGAGAGGACCCCTACTCGGGACGGTGTTCCAGTGGGCAATTCTGGAGCTTCACACCTCTCATGAGCCACAAATCAAGCCCAAAGGATGATACCAAAATAGGTCTTCAGCAGAACTCAATTAGGATGAAGGACGTATGTTCTGATTAGAATTCGTGAGATAAAGTTGACATATGCATAAATGGTCGACTATGTGGGAAAAGAACATGCGCTCAGCATTGGAGAATTATCGGAAATTGGTTTACTAGATGTGACAATAATGCCCGGCTGCATAGAGAAGTGGATGTTCTGTACGAAGATTAGGGGAAACCGAAGGGGGCAGAGGGAATGTATTAGCAGGCACTGCCAGGCTATAAGTATCAAATATTTAAAACATCGCCGCTACAAATCATCGTGGCATATCCCTCATCCGACTCGAGAGAAGGACCTTGTGATTGACATCAACTCTGTGTATGGATTCACTGCTGTGCTTTATGTGGCAACAGCATGCGCCAGTGCATAGCAAGCCAAAGTGAGGAGCCTGACTTCTGCTCACTTGTCGAATCAACTGGAAGCCTTATATGCTGTATTGGGTTAAAAAGGGTTTCCCGTGATCGACTATTTTCTCCTACTGTAGGGATTCCGCGTGGCTGGAGCGTGGGTCTTAGGCTTGAGCCTCCGCAAATGTTCAAATGTGCTGGATCAGCCGAGCACTTGAGAGGGTATTTGCTACACTAAGAGAACCTATTGATTATTACGAGAGGACACCTGTGCTCTTATCAGTTAAAGTTACCCACTTACTGACCAAAAATAAGAAAAGTTCGCCGATGCCCTTGGCCTTGATTCTTGAATCGGCTCACCTATGTCGATCGGCCTGGCCAGTTGGATTTGTGTAGAGCCGAGAGACATCCTGAAATAGCAAGGTCAGTCGCTTCGAGGCGACATTCAGCAATAAGCCAGTCCACATTCGATAAGATGGGGATTATATAGCCTTGCCCCTTCTTGTTCTTTTCCTTTCTCGGTTTGCATGGAAACTCTCGTGTTTACCTTTTTTTCTCTCGCAGTACCACTGATTCGGTATGATCTTCTGGTACTTGGCATGCTTGCTACACGCCGCCGCTGCTGACCAAAGGTTTCAATTTCGCAACGACGACTACATTCAATATCGAACGGTGAGCTTCAAGTCTCTTAGTGCGATTCATAGTAATACATATAGACTAATTATGCTCCAGTTACCAAATCGTCGCATCATAAAATTGAACATCACTTACTACGACCGTGCGGCAGTAGCACCGGGATAATGCTTCACTGCCCCTTATTGGCCACATGACGATGACCGATGGACAGACCAACGGGTGCCTTACCAAATTGGACCTCATATCTTCGACCAAAACGAAGTGTGTGACAGAGACTTCGCTACAGACTTTCCAGGTATGCTGATCGCAGCGTTCAGATTCTCGTGTGGGCTGGATCTGCCGAAAGCGATAACAGAAATGTCTTTGACTTCCGAAAAGTAGACATCGAGGTCCCTGGGGACCTAGGAGAATCAGCACAAATAAGACTATATATGGTTTAGATGCTCTGGCATGAGCCCTACGCCACGGGGACTAATGGCTCCGTCGTCATATACGATGATCACTACATTTCTACAAGCATTATCTCCATTCCGCACTACGAGATAGACACTCATGAGTTCAACGTGAAAGGTTCCAAAGTTTTGATCGTTCGGCTGTGGCACACTGTCGTGAACATGGCCTAATATGGGCGACCTGACTTGTCACATCCCGTGGATTTTAGTGGTTTTGCCGAATTAGACCTCATCACCGGGAACCAGACGTTTGAGTGAATGAGTGACGGCAAAGTGGCCTTAGACGAGACCTTCACCATGGACCCGAGGGCCGAAAATCCGAACCCAGATTTCTTGCATGCTAACTCGGTTGATAAGAATGAGTTTGGCGATTACCTGGTATCAGCCCGCCATACTAATACAATTTATCTCATCTCGGTCAAGATGGGCATATCTTATGGCGCTTGGGAAGCAAGAGGAACAGCTTTACTAAGGATTTCGAATTTTCCGGCCAGCATGACGCCAAATTCATCTCGGTCAACGAGACACATTATGTGATCTCCTTCCTGGACAACGGGGCAATTGACTCAATTGTGAACGAGCCAGTCTCCTCAGCTCTCTATGTATCCCTTGACGTGGTGGCTATGAAAGCCAGTCTTCCGTCGTTATATGCGGCCCGATGGGGATAGCACGAACTCCGAGGGAATATGCACACACTCTCTAATCAGAATGTCCTTGTCACTTGGTCTTGGGACGGTTATATGAGCGAGTTCTCACACGACGGTCGGCTCCTTTTGGAAGCAAAGTTCGCCTCTGACAGACTTGATACGTACAGAGCATAAAAATTCCCCTGGGTCGGCCGCCCGTTATACCCGCCGACCCTTGTGTGCGAATGCTATGGTTTCAATGGGTCGGAGCTGACAACGGTCTTCCCCGTTAGTTGGATGGAGTCACTGATATTGCATATTGGCGCTTCTATGCACGGGCTAATTCAAAGAGCGTCAGAACCGAAATTGGACTTGTCTCCAAGAATGACCTTGAGACGCTGTTTATCGCTCGAGGCTACATGGACTGGGTCTCTGTTGAAGCACTTAGCTCCGAAATGAGTGCTCTCGGAACATCCCCCGAACCCAGAACTCCTCCTCCTGCATACTGGGCTCTTGGTGAGGCTTTGCCTGAGCCAGATGACCCAGAGGCCTTCTCAGCGGATATTGACTCCGCGAGTCCAACTAACGATATCTCACATGCGTTGTTGTTCATTGCGGCCATTCTCTCGGGTGTTCTGATATGCGCATTATTATGATAAACGAAAATACTGAAGCAATTTCTATTTCTGTGTTATATGACAGTCACCTCAATGAACTGTTCAAAGCTTTCATCAGGTGACTCGAGTTGGTTAGATCACTCGGAAGACGAGATTGCGGAGCTGATTACCGAAAGTCGAATGACTGGCCACCAGTAAATTCATGTTCCTATGTTCTGTTACAATTTAACGTTTAATATTGGATATTTCCATGCGATCGATGACTATGCCAGATGTATGCAGACAAAGCATTTTGTAATATCGGTGACGGTAAGGCTACCAGGTCGGGAATCGATCGGCTCTCGGAGCACACGACGGGTTAGTCATCCGGCCGCCCTTGGCCTCTGAGCAATCCGGAGCTGCTCCCTGACAGATCCTGAGCGACCTGGGACGATCCGGATTGCTCCCTGAGCAAACCCGTTGTTCTACCGCACTGCTCTATTATTATCATCCGACAATAACCACACTGTTGCCTCTCGGCGTTCCTAGGAGCAACATTGGAGATAAACCTAGCCCTACTTCTTCCTAGCTCTTCTCTCTGTGTATGTTTACTCCAATGACTAATTTTCTACGAATCCCGCATTGGTCAATTTGACCCTTTCCTAGAACCTCACATTGTTCTGTCTCTTCCACCTATTCATAGCCGCTTGTTTCGACCTTCCTTTGGTGATGCTTAACCAAACCAAACTCCCGAAAATCTGCTGCTCTCGCACACGTTACTCATTTTTTTCCCCCAAAAACCCTTTAATCCTAGGATCGATATATACGTTAGTAAAGCCTTTTATTGCCTACAAAGGCCGCGAACGTATCACTGCGTCACCTATCAAGTGAGACTGGTCTAAGTTACCAGATCTGGAAAACTTTTGCATCACCTATCCGCCATGCTCTAGGTGGATCAAAAGCACTCCTAGGAGCTTAGTCCATTCATGACCAACTAGTAATTGTGGTGTCTTGATTTGCTGGAGCGAGGAATAGAAGTGCTTAACTATAAGGTAATTCCGTAGCATTACTTGTTGTTCTTATCGACCAGCCTAGATTCCACGCCGATTATTTATCAGTGCTGCGCTCTTCTATCCGAGGAGAGAATTAGTAAATAGTCAACGAAACTTAAATACCTCGAATTCCTCTCTACTTCACCGTCACTTGAACTATTTCGATACTCGTGGATTCATTATAGCAACACTCAATCATTAGAGATTTTGGTAACTGGTGCTAGAAATTTCGGAGAAATATTATTTAGCTAGTGTGTTACAGCCAGTCAGCAAGAGAAGGATCAATCCGGTGCATTCAACGAAGCAACTAAATCTAGAGGGAAGAGAAGGAGAAGTTCTATCTATCAAGCAGAAGGCCCTTTTGTTTACCACTAGAAGGAACCTTCCGGTCAATTGGCAAACCTGCTCAGCAAACTGCTGGGATCTCCCCTTTCCTCGACCTCGAGCATCAGTCTTCGATTGTCACAGTGTGTTGGTCATTGGAGGCCAGATGGGCTTCTGTGACAGTACTCAATACTTCCATCCAATTCCAAATGAAATAAATACATAGCATTATGTATGGCTCGAGATGTAGATTTCCAATGAAATGTATCTCTCACCGAGGCGAAAACCCGGGTTCTTTCTTGCCAGACTGTCTTAGATCCGTCCAAAATGCAATTTCAATTGTTATACCCACAGATATTTTGTTATTGATACAAGCCTCCAACTCCAATGCGCACCTCAAACCGCACATCAACACTTTGGGCAGCCAATTATAAAAGAATGTTGTGATTTCCAAGGGCTAGGTAACATCGTACTGCTCTCCATCCTCCAGTTCCTGGTGAATCGACACGGATGGAGGTATTGTCGAGCAATCCAACAGCCCTGCAATTTTCTTTGATAAGTTATCTCTCAGATCAGAGCTCATAGTTTGTGTCTCAAAAATACGATCTATTAGTCCCTTTAAAACCGCCTTGGCGCCGATATCCCTACAGTACTTGTCTGCCGATGCATCACTAGCAGGGCTGCAGAGTATCGAGTCCGCCAGTGCAGCTGCAATCTCACACATTTTGGCCTCCATTCCCGGCCCGTGAGCCTCGAATGCCTGCTTGGGGAATTTTTGGATGCCACGGAGCGTGTCGACTGCAATTTCCAGTGGGTAAGTGATTGAAAGAGCGCCAGACGAGGTCGAATTGGGTGACACATAGCCACACAGAACCGACAGTTTCCATGCAAGTGACCTGAACCAATGCTGGCTGACCACAATGTCCACAAGCTGGATATGATTTTTCGGTAACGAAGCTCGGATGTTGGCATCCTTATTGCCGCCCAAACCACTGATAGGTTGAGAATCTATATGGCCAGCTGCAAGTGGAAGAGATGCTTGAATGGCGTGCTGGATGAGCAGAAGCTGGTCTCTGCTGATGCTCCGACCACCACTATTGTTCGTCCACATACCGAAGAACGATTTGCCGGGTGTGCAAAAGAGAGTCACCAGATTGAAGAATCCCTGGACCACTTCTGGATATTGTTCCTCTCCTTCGAGCACGTTGGGCAGGCTTATGCTGTCTAGGACGGTCGGTAGCCCTTGTTGTATGCATAGATATCGTTCTGTCATGAATAGTAAGAAGTAAAGTCGTCGCATAACAGCCTGCTCGCGAGTCGTCCGGGATGGGTAGGTGTAGGTAGATTCATTGTGCAATCCAAGGAGCTGGGCAAAGGTAATGGCTTCCCGGATGTAGAAGGCAGCCATTTGTGTCCGCAAGGCTTGTCGGCCGTAATGCATATGGAGGAAATAGCTGGTTAGAATAGTGTTGAGCCCGACTGGGTCCATGTAATCAAATGTGGCCCGCACCCTGCGACTCTCAGCGACGAACGTCTCAGCAACCAAGGACTCTGGAGCCATGTCGTAGATGTCATAGTCACCATTCAGGTAACTTAACGTAGCCCCACAGAGCGCGGTGGCTAAGGCATATAATTCGGGGTCACTACTCTCGGTCTCGAGGCGAAACAGCAGGTCATCGACTCGTACCAATGGCCATATACCGTAGAGTTTCTCGCTGTACAAAAACAATACAGCCCTAAGTACTGGAAGCTCAATGCGATGTATATCCCACGGAAGAGGAAGTGCGAGATTGGTGTAATATGACTGCCCATCAACAGGTAAGTCAAATGAGGTTGTTGGGGAACTGGACGATTGAGATTCTGTTGGCCAAATACTGCTGTCCCAGGAGTCAAGTGGAGAAAGTTGCGTAAGTCGATGTTGTGGCTGTTGTTGCTGCTGCTTCAAGATCTTCGCCTTAGACTGGCGCAAGCTGCGTGGTCCGGATTTCTTGTGCTGTCGCACCGCTGTACAAGTGAAGCCAGCACCGACACACCGAGCGCACGGGTTCCTTCGATCGCATTTTATTTTGCGGATGTTGCATAAGTCGCACGCACGCACGCCTTCGGAAGGCATGTTGGCGACTTCGATAAGCCCAAAAGATATCTTATTGGAAGGTGAGAACTATGGTGGGTTGAGGAATAATCGCTGGAGAGGGTAGTCTGTAGAGTAGGTCGTAGCCTGTCAGATGGTACTGGGGTTTTAGGGGTCATGAAAAGGTGGGGTTTTGCGGGGAAGCCAAATTGGCAAACGGGGGGACTACACTAAGCCTGGTGTACAAGACCAGATCTAATACAAGGCAAAACGTCGATGATAAAAAAGTATCGCTATGGCCATTTAAGAGATAGTTCAACTTAACACGCTGAACTTCACATATCTCAACAGATCTCAGCAATATTTATTTGATCTACTACCAACCATTCCTACCTACGGCTTCTTCCAAACACCTCGGCTGGTTGCAAATTAGCCTTTTAGCCTATTTCCCTCCAATCTCTTGACAAAGATTTTTGTATCCTCGAAAGTCACCAGATATAAAGAGTGCGCAGCGCTGGTTTGGTACTCAATCTATCTTGCACCCGTGAGGTCAAAAAGGGAGTTTTAACGTTCTTCCATAGCGATTTTTAGCGGATTAATTTGATCTCCTGCCACAATGAGGCTGGCAAATTGCTTCGATCAACATCAAATATGTGGGGTAACACCATGCAAAGTCTTCCCGATTCCAATTCTGGAAACTCTTTGCTGATAATCTGCAACAACTCGTCGTACCATATTCTATATCCCTTGCCGGTGAAGTGTACTCCATCCGTCAACAAAGGCGATAATGCACTGCAGATCGTACTGCCTTCGCCTGGGAGAGGAGCCCCCTTCGTCCAGCCGGCTGTGCTCATAAAGCTATGCCGTAGATCAAGAAAAGGCACTCTACATTTCTCAGCAACATCCCTGGCGGCCAAGGTGTATTCTAAATTTCTCGCCGCGGTTTTGTCCTTGGGATCTTCGAGCCGAGCCTCGTCGACTGGTCCAAGCCCGACAATAATCACACGTTCGACATCTGTGTTTCTGGATGTCTCTACCATCCATGTGAGGTTTTGCCTATATCGGCTGGCCGGGACATGCTGCATCTCGTTCATGGCGGCGTCATTGGTTCCCACTTCAATTACAAGGAGCTTGATGCTCTCACCAGCAGCAGTCTCGGCGCGGATGGTAGGTATCAGGACATGTCGCAAGTGATCGGAGCTATAGCCGCCATATCCTCGAGCTATGACAGCAAGTTTCCGAAAATAATGATGTTGTAGTGCAGGCGTGAGAGAAACGTGAGCGTGAGGATGTCGCTGCTAAGCTCCTCAGAGAGTCCCCAAACAAGAGAATCTTGTCGTATATCACACGGCGAATATCTAGAGGCGATGGTTCCGCAGTCCTGTTGGTGGCCATGGCCTTGATAGTAATCTTGAGCAGCCGGTTGCTACAGTGAGCCACAATGCGGCTAGATGTCCTAAAGGCGTGCGAATTGGAGCAATCAGATGGCCGTCTGTCAAGTTTGCGCCAAGGTTAAATATTTGTGTTTAAGTGGAGGAATATTATTATCACATTACGAATACGGAGTACCATAGCTCGGAAAGATTTTCGGCAAGATTCGTGGCCAGGTTGCGGGGGTCGCGGGGCGCAGAGCTATGATTATTCACCCGACCATGTGGCTGGAACATTAGAAGAGACGGGAGAAGAAGATTGATCATTTCTGCCGTCGGATAATTACGCCTGCGGGTAATTACTATGCTGCTGTTCCTACTCGACCACTTTGCAGCGCAGCGTAGAGAGATGATTGGGATGCCCATGTCATTCTCCATAGCTCAACTCTGTGCTTGGCCGATCTTACCGATCTCCACGGCGATCACATCATCTGAGATTCGGTACGCGACGAAAAGAGTGTGAGTGTCCCCGGAGCAAGTCAGCTTCGACTTCACCATTGACTTTAGAGGCGGGGATGGAGAAGAGGTCCGAAATACAATTTTGCTTAAAGTCAAAAAATCTATTCTAGCCTTGCTGAATTGACGTCCAACAGCCATACTATCTAGATCTAGAATCTCACCTGGACCGTGTAGAAGTCCTTTCCATCGACTGAATTTATCTCTGTCAAATCCACCGTCAATAAACTTGGGTCATCGCCATTACTCTCGAGCCCAACTCTTCTTTCAATGACAGAAACCAGTTCCCCGTCTACCATAACCCTGGGCCTTGAGTCTGTGCTGCTTGCATGCAAAAGAATTCCCAGCTCACCGGCCAAGCGCACTTCAGTAACCACGCCATCTTCTTCAGTCCAGGTATTCTTGATGGCACTCAATCCTGCATACTTATCAACAAGACCGAGAACCGCGATTTTCATATTTCCAATGCGCCATAGCGGGGCTACCGTAACAATCTCCATCGTAGCTGGCGGTAGGGATACCGATAGGACAGCATTCATTCTCTCCGTGTCAAGGGCCAACGTCTCTTTGATGCCTTGTTCCATTTGAAACGAGGCAGCCCGATTGGCATTGCTCAACCATAGCGCGTATTCATTGTTGGAGACATTTCCTGGGCCCTTCACTACCTCGCCTAGCGTATCGATGATATCTCCCTTGAAAAGAATATCGGCCGTGTTATCACGAGCCCCTGTCCTCGCATTCCACAGAATAATTGCAGCTCCGTGTTTGCCAAATGGAGATGCAGCCTTAATACTGGGGCCAGGGCCATGATCCAGTGTCTTTTCCCAGATGTTCCGTGGCAATGGCCTGGCTGTCCGGATTCCCCGAACGACGGTGCATTCGCCCTTGGTATCCGGTGCAATCAGCTTCTTCACAACCTCGACGTCCCACGTTCCAGGCAAATCGGCCAAGAGCACGGGACCATGAGAGAAGAATGCGCGGAGAACGGCATGGTATTGAGGCCATTGAGCGCTCGTCATGAACATGTCCGCATCTGGGATACAAGACAGTTGATCCAGAAGCAGGGCGTTGTACAAGTTATAGTGTATGTGGTCTCTGTGCACATCTGGGCGATCGAGGCCAAAATCATCTGAGTTGCGAATGACGATCTTCTGGTTGTTAGTCGCAGCCCCGAGACCAATATCGCCGCTGAATATGCGCTCATAGTGTGCCATGCAGTGAATCACTCGGTGATGTCCAAAGGTCTGGTTGGCAGCCGTAAACATAGCATCCCAAAGCGCAACAAACTCTTGCCCGCCTTGAACACCCTCAAGGAACGAGCCATAGGCCTGGTTATCTACCTTGACAAAGTCGACCCCTGCAGCAGCGCAGGTACCAAAATAGTCGCTCCAGAACTCGGCCGCCCGCTCTGGTGGAGGAAGCAAGTAGTAGCGACCTTCAGCATCGTTGATAGTTCCTGATTGTTGGTTGTCAAAGTCCGGGAGCGTCCAATCCTGCCCAGGGACATTGGACCGTGCAATATTGTATCGAACCATGCCGTATTTCGTCTCTAGAGGCGACCCCGGTGCCACGCTGTTCCAGTAGCCTGTCAATGTCATCCAGACACCAACCTCTTTGACCGAGGTCAGTTCAGTCTTGATCATAGCAACTAGGTCGGCGAGGCTGCATCCCATACCATCCCAGGTATCAAAGCTCCAGAGTCCTCTTGCATTGGGATGACCATTGAGACCATGTCGAATGTCCTGCCAGCCATCATCAATAATGAAACTGCCCACAGGCACGTATTTGGCATCCTTCTTCAATAGCTGGGTCAGCTCGGTCATGTTGGTCTTGTTAAGTGGCACATTTTCACCGATGCTGCTCCAAGTGCAGAAGCCCAGCCTGTCGAACGGGCTCTTTCCAGCTGTCACTTCAAATCGTGTTGGGGTAAGACCATAAAGACGCCGCGCGAGCTGTACGGCATCATGAATCGCAGTCTCTTCGCCCTTTCTGGCTTTCAAGCTCCCAGTGACGTGAACAGCAATATCTTTGCCAACTGCACCGACTCTTCGGACACGCGCATACACACCTGGAGCCTCGTTGTCTCGAGGACCAGTCAGAGTAACAAACGCGTCGTTGGAGCTCGCTGGAAACACAGCCAAGACTGTCTCAGGCGCCAACTGCTCACCCTGTTTCGTATCGGATGGTCGCAGCAACAGGCAGTGTGTAAGTTTGTCCGGCGCTAGGGTAGAGAGACAAGTCACAAATTGGGCTTCAATCCACGTCGGTCGCATACGCTGCCAAGCCCATCCTTGCCAGGCCATGTCGTTCAGCCAGTCCAAGACCATGCTTGTGGTATCTTCAGATGCCGAAAGAGTGATGCTGGTGCTGAATTCGCGGTCGCTAGAAATCGTTGGGACGTCAATTAACGTTAAAATGTCCTGGCCGGAGCCCAAGTCTGAGATTGATTTGCCGTCGGCATGGCGCAGTCTAATGCATGCAGGAACCCTGTTAGGCTTGGGGATCGTGACTTTGTATGTGAGCAATCCCCCTACAGCTGGGGTATCGGTTTGCTCCAGAGGTATTGTTGTTCCATCCCCGAACTCGGCAACAAGGTTGACAGATTTCGGGCTCGTAGCAAAGAGTGACAATGTTGCTCCACTCAATCTAGAGACTCGTAAGGTTGTCCCAAGAGGTGGTGTGAAAATGATGCCAGCCGGTGAAGTCATGGTGGAAGAAGAAGAAGAGGGATGACAGGAGATATGTAGATGCGAGGGAAAGCAGAAATGAATAGACTTCGCAACAACCAAAGAAAGAGATTTGTTGCTATATTTATTGTAGTTTTAGGTGGTTTTATGGGGTAAATAGATCCTGTTATGCCAGTGGGTCTCATTGACTTTTTCATGTGTACCTACTTCCAAGGACGGAAACGCCGACTTGGGTGTATAGCGCCGATAATCTTGCCGATGTGAAGCAATGGCTTTCAAATTTCGGCATTAATATATCTCGGCATCAAAATATTAATGTCCAGGTGCCCGGCGCCATGACTAACACTGATGGTATGATACTAGTAGGTACCTGGAAGGTTGATGTTTCTAATACTAAATAATTGGTATACTTATTTCATCAAGTGCAGATAATTTCTATCTGTAGGCGGGTGTACAGGGGTTAAAACAATTCATCATACAGGCCCTCACTGTCTTTTCAAAGTGGTTCTATTCAAGCGATTCTTGTATAGGCAATACTGACAGAATACATTTCACCAATCGAAGAACTTATATTCATATAGCAAGACGGGTCGAAAGCTAACATATCCTTCTGGAGAAACTATTTCTTCGCTCCAACCACTGATATCGAATTACGGTAAGACGGTCAAATTTCAGCATCATCAACTATTTCATCGTCCAACTTGTAGGTCTTGAATTTCCGTGCAGGAACACCTCGCTCAAACATTATGTCTAGTTCCTCATAGGTCCTGCCCTTTGTTTCTGGCTGTAGTAGGTGTTAGCTGGATTTTCTCAAATGGGGTTGCTGAGATTTTGGCTGGGGCCTACCATTCTGAAGAAGCACCATATGAAGGAGCAGACGGAAATACCGCCGTACAAAAGTTCTATTTTGGCTCCAACTCCAGCCGCACCAGGGTTGAGTAGATATGGCCCAATGACAGAGGTCACCAACCCCGTGAGAGCGTCGATCATTGTCGCGATAGCAATCGTCTTGGACCTCAACTTGGTCGAGGGGGGTCTCGCACACCACAACGTAAGTTAGCGGGCCAAGTGTCATCTGCCAGATGAATTGCAACACAATAAGTAGCGTGGCCTGAGCCCATCGGTAGCTATTATTAGTCTTGTAGTCATGTGCAAAGCTGAGCAGGGCCACCGTGAAGAGTGTAGCGACCATAAAGCCAAGGGCGCACAGGTAGGCAGTACGGCGACCAAAATATATCAGCGGAATCGCGGAGAGGAGGGTGCCCACAAAGCCAACCCCGTTTAGCCCGACGCCCATATCAAATGCTTGCACACTGTTGAGCCCAATCTGCTCAAAAAAGTACGTTGCAAAGCCAACGGGATTACCACTCCAGTTCTGAACAACGAAGAGCAGGATGCAAATCTCCATTCGTCGTCGGTTCGACCCCTTCCAGCAGTCGGAATACTTGGTCCCAACTTCCATATCACGCTCTAGCAGGTCTGTCTTTACCATCATGGCAAGTGTCTCCTTGGTGTTGATGCCGGACGTCCTTTGCACAAGCTTTTGCAAGGACTGCTCTGCCTGATCCATCTTGTTTTGTCGGATCAACCACCACGGCGACTCGGGCGCAAAGGGGAGTCCAATGAGAAGAATGACAGGCCAGAACCATTGCAGTGCAAAAGGGATTCGGTAGGCCCACTGGTCTAGCCGAGTGATGAAGCCGCGCGTCACGCCGGTCTGGATAAACTGCCCCATCACGTAGCAGAGATTGATGTAGCCCGTTAGGAAGCCACGGAGACTCAAGGGCAGGACCTCAGAGGCGTACGTTGTCGCAATGACACAATAGCTGCCCCAGACGATACCGCTCAGATACATGCTTGCCACCAATACGCCTAGTGAGCTTGCGAAGACTTGCATAAAGGTCAAGACGCCCGTCATGGCGAGTGAAGCAGCAAGCGTCTTCTTGCGACCGAACCTTTCCATGGGAAACGTCACCAAGTACGCCCCGATAATCTGACCGACCAAGCTGCCCATGCTCATGGCCACCTGCCACTTGGCGGGAATCTGATAGCCGCCGTGGTCTTTGCCGTAGTCAACGCCATAGGCTCTCTGGAAGGCGGGCAAGGCATAGAAATTGCCACTGATTTCAATGTCGTACGCACGCATGATGATGCTAAGAGAGATGAACATAGACCAGAAGACGCCCTTCCGGTACAGCTTGAAGGCCTCCCAGTATCCCAGGCGATGTTCTGTCGCAGTGCCGCGGCTGGCCATGGCGGCGCTGATTTGGGCCTGTTTGTCGGGATAGCCTTCTGCATTGCTTGGGGCATGCTCCAGCGTCATGCCGATATCCTTTTCTTGTTCCATTTTCAAGGGATCTGGCGATTTTCCAGTCTGCTGTGCCATTGAATGATCTCTTCCGGGATCCATTCTCTAAACAGCGCTGGGACCGCTGTACTTATCCTGTGGGCTTCAGCCAGCATCGCGGGCCAGGGCCAGAATCACGGGGCCCCGTGGGGAAACATGCTAGCATGTTAATAGATACACTCCCCATTCACCATTCGGGGTAATTCGCGGGGGGTTGTGTTCGGATGAATCCGACCCACCTCACAGCCAATCCAGGCTGGTCGGCGGGACTTTAGACTTTCTTATGAAGCCACCGGCCCCGAAAGCACCCCCGCCGGGAAGTTGGAGAGTTGGAGACTGCCCGAGAATCTTGCCGCTTCATCCAATGATCACGTTTTGTTGGCGCCGAAGAAGTTTGACGTGACAGGAAAATAAAAAAGATGTCCTTTTAATGCGAAGCAGCTATGCGCGACTTGAAGCCTCGCAGACTGTCAACAGCTTGCAACGGAGTCGCCTCCTCGGTTCCAGTGTAACCGGCTGTCATCATCATGGCTTCAGACCGCGGTCTGTACTACAAAACTCCCTCCACCAATTTTTCAACCAGTCTTCCCCTCGGCAATGGCCGCCTTGCTGCTTCTGTCATGTCTTCCCCCGACCGTGAGTCACTACTTTTGAACGAGGTGACTTTTTGGTCTGGGGCACCGCATACCGCTGGCTCGGGCCTCATCTCACGACCGGCCGACCCCAAAGCAGAACTACGAACAACGCAGCGCTGCTTGCTAGATGGGAATTTCAACCAGGCAAAAGCACGAGTACAAAAATATCTCGAGAGCAAGAAGAGAAACTTTGGAACTAATCTGGGTGTGGGTCGTCTCGATATTGTGGTCCACGGTCGCGAAGATGTCAGCGAGTTTGAGAGAGAGTTGAACCTAAATGAAGCTCTCACGGAAACACGGTATAAGAAAGGGGGTCATGATTTTCGGAGACGATGTTTTGTGAGCCATCCGCATCAAGTGCTGGTGGTGAATTTCGTGACTTCTGATCCGGATGGACTGGAACTTGCCGTTTGTATGCAAGGAGAGGGGGACGCCTTCACATCCTGGGTCCAAGACGGAAGGCTTCACTTCGTTACCCAAGCACTTGAGAATGTCCACAGCGATGGAACATGCGGCGTTAAAGGCCACGGTATTATCGCTGCGGTTGTAGAGGATGGGAAGATTGAAGAACGCGACGGCAAACTGATAATCTCGGGCCAAGGCGGCATCACAATCCTGCTGGCCTTCAACACCAACTACCACGAGAGTGAGAGCGAATGGAAGAACAAGACATCCATACATATTGATCATGCTTCAAAACTATCTATGTCTAATCTGCTTGCTGCACATCTGGCAGATTATCAACTACTCTACCAAAAAGCTAGCCTCACACTGGGGAGCGGTTCAGAGGAAACTGCGAGTCTGCCTACAGACGAACGTCGGAGGAACCTGCAGGCTTCTAAATATACCGGAGATCCGGGCATGTTTGCACTGTACTTCCACTTCGCACGCTATCTCACCATTGCTGGTACACGCGCTGACTCCCCTTTGCCGTTGCACCTCCAAGGCCTATGGAATGATGGCGAGGCGTGTCGGATGGGCTGGAGCTGTGACTATCATCTTGATATCAATACACAGATGAACTATTTCCATGTCCTACCCATGGGTATCACTGAAGCCATGCAGCCCATGGTCGCTTACCTGACCTCCTCGCCACGGCGGGCCAAGGTGCTGCACGTGCATGTTACGGGTGCAATGGCTGGGTTGCTCATGTCTTTAGCAACGCATGGGGATTTGCAGATCCCGGCTGGGAGATGACGTACGGATTGAATGTGACAGGTGGACTGTGGATGGCAAGCCATCTGATTGAGATATACGAATACACATTGGACGACCAGTTTTTGCGAGACACGGCGTACCCCCTCTTAAAAGGCGCCGCAGAATTCTTCCTTGACTATATGATTGAGGATCTTACGACAGGATGGCTTTTGACTGCACCATCTATCAGTCCAGAAAACAGCTTTTTGGTGGACATACCAGGAAAACACAGAGAGGAGCACTGTATCCACCTCTCACCCACTCTCGATATTGTTTTGTTGCGTGATCTCTTCAACTTTTGTTTGTATGCTTCAAAAGTCCTCGAAACAGACACCACCTTTGCAGAAAAGATCAAAGCTACTACAGTCAAACTACCAACGTTTCAAGTTGGAAAACATGGACAGCTTCAAGAATGGCTCCAAGACTTTGATGAGGCACAGCCATATCACCGCCACCTTTCTCATACCATGGCTCTCTGCCGGTCCGCACAGGTCTCTGTGAGACACACTCCAGATCTCGCTCAAGCTATAAAAGTCTCACTGGAAAGAAGACAGGATTGTAGTGACTTGGAAGATATCGAGTTCACAGCTGCATTGTTTGGTCTGAACTATGCGCGCCTGGATGATGGAGAGAAAGCGCTGAGTGAGATTGGCCACTTGGTTAGCGACCTGAGCTTTGACAATCTTCTCAGCTATAGTAAGCCAGGGGTAGCTGGAGCTGAAGAAAACATTTTCGTCGTGGACGGCAACTTTGGAGGTGCTGCAGCCATCATGGAGATGCTGGTCCGTTCCTCGATGCCAATTCTTGAGGGCCCAGTTGAAGTGGACCTGCTTCCAGCCTTGCCAAAGACATGGACACAAGGTAGAGCAAGGGGCTTCCGACTCAGGGGTGGCTTGGAGATAGATTTAGAATGGTCACAAGGGGTATTGACAAAAGCATCGTTCAGGGCAATGTCATCTGGGACTATTGCAGTGTACTACGGTGGTCACTGCTTCAAGTCAGGGTATCAAGTAAGCGATATCATCGAGTTGGGGTCAGAGCTAGTGGTTTGTAGATAGACTGATTCGACTTTAATTCAAATATCAACATTTATAAGCAGTTATCAGTAACTACAATTGCATTCACAAGATCCTGCCTGTCCCAAATCACAAACATGGCATTATTGGTTCTTCGTTTCTTAAGCTTTGCTCAAATGCAATAACTGAGAAGCACCTTCTGTCAGCCAAGCTGAGTACGACGTGGAGACCGTGGTGGAGTTGCCCGCCCAGATGTCTGTAAACTTCCACGCTGAGCTCGCAATACCCAAGTCCTCTAGCGATACGGTAACTTTTTGGCTGCCATACAACTGAGTTCCAAAGCCTCCCTGTCCTTGGTCAGGTCCGTAGTTGACAACGAGAACATATGCTTCATCATTGCTATCTGAGGGTCCGCCGATCCAAGCCTGCAGCTGCTCGGCGAGGTTGTTTCCAGTGCCGGGATTGCGTGGTTGCATGGGATATTTGGCAAAGAAGTCAGCCGCAGCAATTGACTGGCTACTTGTGATCAACTTGTGACCCAATTCGTCGATTTGTGTCAGATCTGACCCGAGGACAAGATTCGCTGCAGCACCCAGCCAGTGGTTCATGACGGTAGTTCGAATGCTGTCATTCACACCGGTCAGGTTCTCTGAATTTCCCGTGAACAGGTTATCCATGTCTGGATAAATGGTAACTTCAACATTGCGCTGGACCTGTAGACCAATGTACTGGCGATAGTTGTTGATGGCTCGCTGCCCAACCTGCCAGGCCATGAACGTGTTGGTGCCGTAATTATCCAGATCTTGGTCCGTCCTCATGGAGTCGGCCAGTCCGCTCCATACGGGCAGCCAGGTTTCATTCCGACACAGTTTCCACGAGATATCCAGTCTCATCTGTTTCCCGGTCTTTTCAATGGCATTTTGGTAGGCTCTCACGGCGTCAGAGCTGTCACAAGCAAGGTTTGCTCCATTGGACGGGCTCCCCGGAGTTACAAAGTCCAGCTTAATCATGTCCACTCCCCATGAAGCCCATAGCTTAACGACTGAGTCATGCCACGTTTGTACGGCAGCCTTGCTGAAATCCCAATCGCAGAAGATCTGGTTATTGTTGCCGTCCAAAACATCTCCGATTTTAGTATTCGTTCCCAGGATGGTCTTGTTAGCGGCGCTGCACGGAACGCCGGGAGTTACATAGACACCGAACTTCAAGCCGCGCTCATGGAGCCACGATCCTAGCTCTGGGAAGTTAAATCGAGTGTCATTATAAAGAATTCGTCCATACTCATCCACGGCGGAGGCCTGCCAGCCCGAATCCAGGCTGCACAGGTCATACCCGGCGGCTGTGAAGGCCGCTTGACTGAGAACTGCACATTGAGTCTGGACGAACTTTTGGTTGAAGTTGAGCCCAGCTTGTCCAGCAAACGATGGGATCACTTCCGAGCCATTCTTTAGGGCCTGGATTCCGTACGTGTTCCAGCCCCGGCCCGAGGACGTAAAGCCATTCCTGGTCTTGGCCGTCTTGACAACTTTGAGAGGCCCTGCCACGGCCGGCGCCGGCTCTGGGTAGCATTCTGGAAGACCTGAATCGCGATTTTGGATGCAGAATGGCGCTGGATGGGTTGGGACGACGTCCGTACGGGTAGCATCGTTGGTATAGCACCCATTACCTGCGGCAATCCAGTACCACTGGTTGTCGCTATAGCCCCAGGTGCCGGTCGTCTGCCCACTCAGAATGCACAGATCTCGAATATCCTGGAATGCAATGTCGGCATCGTTGTTCTGGCTGGACCCGGTCGCTTGGAGATTGGCCTTCTGCTGCATATACACGTTTCCCGTGCCATCGTTGCAGTCTACCTGGCTCGGGTTGGCCTCGAATTGTCCAGCGCAATTGGCGATGGCCTCGTAACAGGCGAGGGTAAAATTGACGGTGCCGGGGGTGTAGAGGCTGCCTCCACAGTTGGTTTGGGCGACTGCCTGGTGGAGCCAGACGGTGAGCACGACGAACGGGGAACTGATTCCCCGTAAAATCAACATCGGGAATGCGGATAGAACAAGGGATGATCTAGTGATATGTTGTCTTGGATTGATGACCCTTTGACTGGACCATAGCCTCACTTTTATTCTTCCATGGAGCTGTCCTTCTCATCGGAGCACCGACAACCTCTAAACCTCTTACAAGCCCCTGCGCCGGATGACGGCCAGATTCACGGTCAAATGAGTCGGCAATACCAACACCCCTTTCCACTCAGCCATCATTTTCATCAGAGTTCCACTCCGACCACCTTCCAGGGTTGGAAAATGGTTTCCGCTGAGGTTCCCCCGCATTGCGCCGGGCCGCGTTCGGGCGAAATCTCGCATGAATTCATTTTGGCTGACAGCTTGGCCGTTTCGCCGGCTTATCGTGGGACCTTGTCGCAGATAGTAGGTTCGAGGAAGCTCGTGGGTGTCCTCCAATAATTATCATTCCTCAGGTACGCCAGGCCAGGAGTCCGATGCTAGGTCTCGGCTTTCCACTTCTGGTTTATTACTCACTGAGCACCGCTGTTACCCTCTGATCCACTCCGTGAGACTGACATGAGCGCTCTAATTTGCTCCCTGGGCTCTGCTTATGTGCGTACCTAGCCGTCTGACTTCATAAGGCATCTTAATAGTCTAATGAAGAGATGGATTGGACTTCTTCAGTCTCGGTAAACCGTACCGAGCCGCGCACGAAACCCCCACGATCTAGGAGCGAATCCCCTAAGCAAGCGCGATGGGCTAGTCAGGACGAATTAGACAAACGACGGACCGAAGGAATGTGCTTACGATGTGGAAGATCCGAACACTTCATTGCGAAGTGCGCACTCCTACCAGCTCAGCCACCGGATGGTACCCGTATTCGTATTACTACTGGCTCGGGCAAGAAAGGCCGCGAGCGTACTACCAACGTGAAGCAGGCAAGGCCTATGAGTGATAGGGAATCAGTCGCTACGGTCTCTGATGACGAAGATGTGACTACAGAGGACGATTCGGGAAAAGAGTAGCCCCTGTTCTAAGCCACGAGCAGGAGCAAAAGGGGGTCGAAAAGCTACTGGAACATGAGACATTACCGTTTATAGTCGATGCTAGAGTGAATGGAATTCAATTTGCACAAGCTCTCGTCGATAGCGGTTGCCGCTGCTATGCAACGGTAAACGAATCTCTAGTTCATTGGCTCGATCGACCGCGCATTTCCATACGCCCACGAATCCTTGATGGAGTAGTGCCGAATCAATACCGAATCACCCACGTTACGCATTTTGATCTTGATATTCACGGCCACCAACAGAGCCGCGTATTCGCGTATATTATCGGACCACAAGACGATAGTATAATACTCGGGGACCCCTGGCTACGCGAAGTGAACGGACGATACTCAGCTAGGAAAGGATACCTAGACATCTTCACGAGGTCTGGGGAGCGGATGAGATGTTGGAACCGTGAAGATCGCACGATTAGGCCTATAGGAGTGAAAGCACTACGCGTCGTGCAGGCCGAGATTTCATCAATCCGGCAACTTATACGTAGCGTATCGAGCCGAGATCGCTTGCGAACGTTAGCCTATTTGGATTAACGGGCGCCCCGGCGACGTTCCAAAGGAATATCAATCAGACTCTACGAGAATTCTTAGACGACTTCGTGTCAGGTGGACGATATAATTATCTACTCTAATGGGTCGCTATCGGATCACCGGCGAAAGGTCGGCGAAGTGCTACAAAAACTAGTGGACGCGAGGCTACAATGCGATATTGCGGTCGGAGTTCGAACAGGATTCTGTGAAGTACCTCGGTTTTATTATCCAAGCCGGAAAGGGTATCCAAATCGATCCAAAGAAGGTAGAAGATATCAGAGTATGGGAGACGCCCAAATCTATACGGGAAGTGAAAGTTTGAATAATAGACATCGTTCTCAGCCAGGACAGTAATCGAAGTAAGAGATACAAGACCCCAAAATTTTAAAGAAAGGTGGTAGTAATGAATGAAAGGAAAGAGGATTGGAAGAATAATTAATGCACTCGGAATATTTGTCTTAGTCCTCAGTGGTATAGACAGACATAGACAGCACGACTAAAGCGGAGAGAGACTCTTTATATACGTTTTTTTCAGGGATATGGATATCTGGCGATCGTTGAAGGGCCTTCCATTTTTATAGTGAGCGGCTACAAACGGAAAAAAAAAGAAGATCACATTGTACGCCACACATCACTACCTCTCCTGAGCACCCTGAGTGCTCGTGGAGCGCTCTTGGAGCGCACCGGTCGTAGTCCAAGAGTACTCTGGGAGTGCTCTTGGGGCTTTTCCCGGAGTACTCCGGGAGCACGTTGAACCACCTGGGTAGATAAAATCACATGGACGGTTTATGACTAAGGCTCTGGTAAAAAAGACGCCTAAAATGGCGACAAAGCTAGACATTTTCGGCCTCGATTTTACTGTCACTTAGCGTTGGGGTGTAATCTGAACTACAGGTTTGTGCGAGTTCGATACAGACGGATCCTGATTACAGCTCCTAACGGAGTGATCGGTTCAGGAACCATATTGAAGCCACTGAGAGAGACTGAGAATGGTTTTAATGAAGTATAAGAAACTCCATTTATACATAGATTCGACATTCAATCAATTAAAGAAGAATACTCATTCCCCTTGGGAGGTGAGAAAATGATGCAGCTTGTTGCCTGCATGGAAAGTGAACGAAAGTAAGTGAAAGAGAATGAAAGTAAGTGAAAGCGAATCAAACTGAGTGTTATAGAGAAGCAGAGTTAACCCATGGCTCAGGGACTTGAATCTACCTCCGTCCCACAAAAGCCTTGGTGATTCTAAGTTGAAGGAATGGCACCCCTGATCCGCCTTAAACGGTTATCCATTTACCCATCCAGGTTCTTGTGATTTGCTTGGCTTCGTCGACAAGACCCATCTCTGTCATAAAGTTAGAAGCGAGCAATAGCAAGATGACGATGGAAGGTTACTGTACCTAGTAGAAGTTGAACAGTTCCACGAACGGCAGACTCAAGACCGGAAGCGACTATATCGTGTTAATTTCTAAGTATGAAAGACACCTTCGACGGATCAACTTACTCCATGAATGGGTGTATGAAGTATGCTCGCCGATGAAAATTGTCTGTCAGGCGTTAGTAAGTATATCATAAGGGTGAATTGAATTCGCGGGGAAAACCTACGTTCTTCTCGGTGTTGAAGTAGGAGGGAATGTATAACTTGTGCTGGTCAACACTGGGGAAAGCCCAAGAGCCTCCCGCATTAGATTCATCCTCCAACCAACACTGACGGTTGAACCTTCCGGTGTATTGCTCGTAGACAATGTCGCCGTGAAGTTTAGCGAAAGCGTCCAGCACATATTGCGCATGTTCTTTCTCTGGTGTAGATATCCAGCGGTAGCCATAATCATCTTGGTTGTAACTGCCAAGAATAACCGCAGGACCTGTACCGTTAACATTAAAGCCGGGATAGCAAACACTTCCGATTCCAGGAACGTCTGTCTTGGTGTTGCAACTGCCAAAGATAGGGCGTTCCAGGTGCTCCCAGAATCTTGTCTTGAATTCCAATGCGACCTAACACACTGAGTCAGCACTGTCTCATTCAAGAAGAGTAAGTTGGCAACTCACCTTGCAGGCCGACTGGTAGCCTAGGTCGGCAATGGCGTGCGAAAGTGTTGTAGATTAGTCTGTTCCTCGTGATCAGCACTGTATTCATACGCCTAATCGGGGAAAGTACCTGGAAGTTGCCATTTCCGGGTAACTGTGAATGCGACAGCGACGAGGGCGTAGTCGTAAGTGACGCTTTCGAATTCACGGTCGGTGAACTTGTTCTTCCAAGAGACTCGAACCTTCTTGTCACATTCATCATACTCAAGCTTCTCAATCTTCCGGTTATACTTGAGGTCATCTTTGACCAGTGGCTTGAAAGCATTGGGAAGTCGACTCATTCCTAGTAGCAGGGTTAGTTACGCCGGGCGATCAATATTTTAGTGCAATCTAACCTTTGTCAATCGTCCTCCACACTGCGGATGAGAAAAAGAGATTGTCGTATCTAGGAATATTTAGTATAAGTTGCCAGATCATTATGTAAACGGAGACTGTATACTTACAGGCTGACCCAGAAAGGAGTAGCAGCTGTTATACTTTTGTCTATTTTTTATATGTTTATGTGATTGATATCTTTAACTTGTTGCAGGCTTTTGCTAATTTTCGAAGATTTTTTTGGGTTTTAAGTTCAAGCGATTGGAAGCATAAGTCGGCAACCGGGGGCATTCGGAAGTCACACATATCAAGGTCGCCGTCGCTCCAGCAGTTGACGAAGTAAAGCATGGCCGTACACAGAACCCAAAACGCAAAGGCAAAATATTTCGACCGGAAGTAGCCGAGATTAGGCTTTGGTGTCTGAAGGTATCACAAACAGGATCACATAAGGGAACTTAAAGGCGAAGGATTCTGTACAGCAGGTTGTCCCACTAGGGTGGAAGCCCCTACACGGTAGTGATACCCAATTCCGCGAGTGACCACCGACCTCCATCGCCAGAATGAGAGCTTTTATCCGTAACAGGACTCGCAAACTCCACCAAGAATCGTACCATCCATTGATCCATGCAGAAACTTGTACCTGCCGACTCTCTGCACGCTTTGTGAAATGCCATAAGTCGATCCATGCAGACGTCCATGGTTGCCCATAGGGCGCAGAGTTCCGTCAGTATACAAAAGTTCTTCTCCAGCCTCGCTTTTGCAAGAGCGAGATTTGTATCATTTGATTCAAATAAAAGGCTGTGAATCTGGATTGTTGACGCGATGACGAGCACATGACCTACCATATTATATTTCACATCACAGTTAGGTACTGTCTCCGATGAGTAGACAATATCGCATAATCTACCAGCGTGGTCCTTGCACTTATTGGCATAGTGCCGGCTGCGCGGAGTGGTCGACTGTGAGTCTTCGTGAAGAAAGCGGTAGAAAAGCATTTGTCCGAAGTGATAGTATCCCAGGTAGATTGCCAAAAACACACGACCGAGCCCCAGGGCAGCAAACCGTTCCAAGTTCTCGCGAGTATCACGTATATGGTCCGGTAGCTCATCAAGCCATCGGTCAAGCTGGGAGGAAAGATATTCCAAGTCGGTGAAGATAGCAACGGAATTGAGCTGGGACTCAGCGACTCGAATGTTGAAATCGTTGATTTGTTGCAAAATATGATTCAGGCGGACCATCTCAGCAAGGAGGGACGACTTTCTAGCCGTTTGAATGGTATTGTTGAAGCCGTTCTCGCGGCTCATGCCTAGAAAGACAACTTCGTCCATAGGTAACGGGACACCATCCCTTGGGGCGAGTAGCCTGGGTACTCGCACGCCAGCTGACGACCAAACATCTATCATGCACAAACTCCACCACGCTACCCAATGTAGAAAGTTAGTACCCGGGAGAAACCAAAAAAAAAAAAAATACTCAGTGCTGACAGGAAACACACTTCGAATATTAACCTCTTGCTCGACTCGACTCTCAGTCTTGCAGTTTGGAAGGTCTAACAGCTGGGCCATTCGGCCGGCAAGGGCGTAGTATACATTTTCAGTGGCCGAATTCCCCTCCGTGATTGCAATTGCACCGAGCAAGACACATGCTTGAATTGTTGTCAAGGAGATTTGATTCCAATCGAGTAGGCTCGTGCACTCCTTTGCGTAGGCCTTCCCCCTTAGACGAGGATCCGTGTTGCGAAAAGCTGTGTTTTTGGAGAATCTAAGATAGACGGATCTCATGAGCACGATCGAGATGAGGAAATGGCTGCATTGTTCACCTTGCGGAAAGGGCCATCATGCCATATAGCAAAATTCGGGGTGCCTTCCCTCGAGCCATGTCTTTTTCGAAACTTGGCTGATGGAAGAGCGTGTGAAATTGATCATGCACATAGTTAAAGTAGAGCCGTACCAATTCTGCACACAGAGATTGGTCTGGGGACTGGATGCTCTGTATTCCTTCTTTGTGAGAAATGGATAGCCCGCTCGTGGGCCCATCAGAAGAGGGCGATAGTCCATGCTCCACATCATGGGCATTTCCCACGGAAGGTGCGATTGAACACCGAAGCCGTCGAGCAATGCAGAACGTGCAGGGAGACCCTGATGCACGGATCTCGCATCTCCTCCGGCGTTCACTAAGGGTCTACCGGTTAAAAGGCCGTGCTAAACAAGGTGGGCAATGCCGAGAAAGGGGAACGGCATCGTATGACTTACCGGCAAGCTGCGCATGCCTTGGCCTTCCTCATCCTGGCGTAGTTTCTGGAGGAAGGTCTCTGTACATGGCCCAGAAATGCGGCGGGGGTTGCTACTTCCCCGAGGTTCTTGGCAAAATCGACGTCGTGGCGGGATCGGCGAGACTCCGGCCAATCGCACCCCGGAAAACCCGCCGCTAACCAGCTCCGCTCAGTCAACGCGATGCTTTGTCCTTCGAACTTTCTCCGCAACGTCGAACTGCACCTGCAGACCCCGCCTCAGAGGAAATCCGAAATTATGACCTACACTCGAGCTGTGCAAAGTGCCAACATTTTGCCGATTTTGCCGGCATCGGGTTGGCACGACTCCACCGCATTCTCCGAGGGGGCAAACATAAAAGAGCATGGAGAGTCTTCACGAGTCCCTTCTTTGCTTTTTCTACAAACATCACACATTGCCCCTGTCTCCGGTCGTGGCGAGAATGAGTCACATCATGCAAAAAACGATCGCGACCGCGAGCTTGATAGCCCTGTTCGGCTCAACGTCGACAGTGGCAGCTCAAGGCTCTTCTTCAAATGGTCAGTTTGCTATCCTGAGTATTCTTGCCAAGAACCTCTACTCATATCCCTTCTCCAGCGGTTGTCGTGGATGGCACCACCTTTGCCCTCAATGGTGACAACTTTTCGTACCGTTTTCATGTTCATAACGAGACCGGTGATCTTTGGTCAGACCACTTCGGTGCCAGCGTGACAGGAGACATTCCCTTTGAGAATGTACCCGCGGTGAACGGCTGGGTTGGGATGCCTGGTCGAGTCCGTCGGGAGTTTCCTGACCAAGGTCGAGGCGACTTCCGTATTCCTGCCATTCGCATCCGGCAGTCTAAAGGCTATACGGTCTCTGACCTACAGTACCAATCGTACGATGTGATTCAGGGCAAGCCGGAACTGCCAGGACTACCTGCCACCTTCGGTACAGACAAAGATGTGACCACCTTGGTCGTTCATCTTTATGATAACTATAGTGCTGTGGCAGCGGATTTGTCGTATTCCGTATTCCCCAAGTACGACGCAATCGTCCGCAGTGTGAACGTCACAAATAAAGGCGAAGGAAATATTACGATCGAAGCGCTGGCCAGCATGAGTGTCGATTTCCCTTATCAAGATTTGGACATGATCAGCTTGAGGGGCGACTGGGCCTGGGAAGCCCACCGTGAACGGCGGAGAGTGGAGTACGGAATGCAAGGGTAAGTCCAGAATTCATCCGATATCCCTACCAGGAGGTATTCAGGGTTAACACACTCTTTGTACTGGTTTTAGCTTCGGTAGCTCTACAGGATACTCGTCGCACCTTCACAACCCTTTCCTTGCGCTCGTGGATCCAACTGCCACTGAATCCAGTGGCGAGGCCTGGGGGTTCTCGCTAGTGTATACCGGTTCGTTCTCAGTTGATGTGGAAAAAGGCTCCCAGGGATTCACCCGTGCTCTCCTTGGACTCAATCCGAATCAACTCTCATGGAACCTCGGGCCAGGCGAAACACTGACGACGCCAGAATGTGCCTCTGTCTATTCCAAGAATGGCGTGGGTGGCATGTCTCGTTTGTTCCACGGACTGTATCGAAACCATCTTATCAAGAGCAAATTCGCTATGAAAGATCGCCCCGTACTTCTCAACAGCTGGGAAGGTCTTGGTTTCAACTACAACGAAAGCACTATCTATAATCTTGCTCAAGAATCGGCGGACTTAGGGATCAAACTCTTTGTGCTGGATGATGGATGGTTCGGTGACAAGTATCCTCGTCTGTCTGATAATGCCGGTCTAGGAGACTGGGTACCTAATCCTGACCGGTTTCCCGACGGCCTGGATCAGGCAGTCACCAGCATCACGGCTTTGAAAGCTGCAAACGCCTCGACAAACTTGCGCTTTGGTCTTTGGTTTGAGCCCGAGATGGTCAATCCTAATTCCAGCCTCTATCGCGAGCACCCTGACTGGGCCCTTCATGCGGGAGCCTACCCTCGCACGGAACGACGCAATCAGCTAGTTTTGAATGTAGCCCTTCCCCAGGTGCAAGACTTTATCATCAAGTCAGTGTCGAACATTCTCAGCAGCGCTGATATAACCTATGTCAAGTGGGACAACAATCGAGGTATGCACGAAATGCCCTCGCCGTCCACCGACCACGAGTATATGCTGGGAGTGTATCGAGTATTCAACAACTTGACTACTCAATTCCCCGATGTCCTATGGGAAGGCTGCGCTTCTGGAGGTGGTCGCTTTGATCCTGGTGTACTTCAGTACTTCCCCCAGATTTGGACCTCTGATGATACCGATGCTGTTGAGCGCATCACCATTCAGATGGGAACATCACTCGTATATCCCCCAAGCGCGATGGGTGCTCACTTGTCTGCTGTCCCGAACCAACAGACTGGTAGGTCCTTACCTGTTGCGTTCCGCGGGCACGTCGCTATGATGGGAGGTTCATTCGGCTTGGAACTGGACCCTGCGGAAATCCCCGAAGACGACAAGGCTGCTCTCCCTGATCTCATCGTACTCGCTGAGAAGGTCAACCCTATCATCTTGACCGGAGATATGTACCGATTGAGTCTGCCGGAAGACTCAAACTGGCCCGCCGTTCAGTTCATCTCTCAGGATGCGTCACAGGCCGTGCTTTTCTACTTCCAGATTAATCCCAACATCAACCATGCGCTTCCCTGGATCAAGCTGCAAGGACTGGATGCCACTGCTATGTACAGCATCGACGGTAACGCTACCTATTCGGGGTCGGCTTTGATGAATGTTGGTTTGCAGTTTGTGTTTGACACAGATTATGGTAGTCAAGTGGTCTTCCTTGAGAAGCAGTGAAGTCAAGGTTGCATGGATTTACATTATTGTCGTGCTACATAGATCTGCTGAGGCAGCCAGGCTCATGAATTATAGATGATGTCAGTCAACCCTTATCTTGAAGAGAGTTCAAACATACAATTGGTACCAGTAGATATGGCTAGAATGATCAAGAGGATCTGTGAGCCCTTGTGCAATTCCCCTGACATGATTGCTAGCCTCTATCGAGATGATGGCCATCTGACCACTACCAGAAATTTCCATAGCAGACCTACGTTTTTCTCGTCGTTTGCTTGCTCTTTGTCCTGTGTCTACATAAAACCATCCTGCTTCTCCGCCGGATTTGTTTGTTTCTTCTCGCTCCCTATATCCAAGATGGCGTCGCTAACGCCTATACCCTCGAGACTTTTCCTTCTATTATATACTCCCTTACTCATTATTGCCCTCGGGCATCATTGATTGCAAACATATTCACAGGTCGGAGAATGGACTTGCTGCACAACTTGTGCCCAGTCTGCCAGAGCCCGCGGCCCGAATACAATAAGACTGAATCGCTGAAGTCAGAGATCCTGGCAGTCTCGAACCATATGGCATGTCCCTCAAACTAGATCAGGATTATAAGCCAGTCGTACCAGACCAAATACAAGACTGAATGATTGGAGAGAGTACCAAGAACCTTTTATCAGCGCTGACACAAGTGGACAACTAACGAACGGCGAGAGTCAACCCTCTTCTGAGTTTGCTTTTCTGACTCACGTGTGTCCGTCATTTTCTCACTCTTCTTCACATCCTGTGAGCTGAATATGCATGAAAGCCCAGTCCATCAACCCGCTTACCTGGCGGGGCTTATAGACACGGGATTGGAACATGAGGCACGCTTGGCTCAAAGTGATGAGGTACTGCTTCGCCGGGGTTTTGTTGGCGACGCCAAAGTCCACCCCACAGGTGAGCAACGAGAGAGAGATGATCATATGCCAAGGCAGCCTTGCGCCGATTACCAGATTCCTGTGGAAGAGTCCGCAGCAAACGACGGTCACCTCCTATCTTACCAACCCCCGATCTAAAGCTTGGAATGGAATGGCAACTCCCATGGTGACACACCATCTCACCACAAAGCCACCGAAGCCTCTTAAGGGATCATCCGACACTTTGGATAGCTGACCTTCTTCACATGTTGTATTTGAAGACACAGCCGGGAATAGAGGAACGCTTTGCTGCTTCTAGCCGTATTATATGCGAGAAAAGAACTTGAAGCAGATATTCCAGCCATTAGGCTGTCCCTTCTAGTACGTGGTGCGCCCGAATTCAAAAGGAAACCTCTTTCCAGAATCGGCGTGGGAAACAAGCAATCTAGCTACGGTTATACGTATAAAGAGGGCGATTCACATAAGGTCCGAAATTGGCCAAAAAGGATCCCAGTCTCACGGCACAGGCCCGCGCTCCTTACCTCACCTATTCGGAAAGTCAGGTTCCCATGGTTCAGAATTTGTGTGACGCAGCGACGGCTTTTGACCACACGAACTAGCTACAATAGGCCCGAGAACGAGCTGAAATTCACTATTTGGGACTTACCATACACATAGGGTACGGCTGCAGGAGAGGACAAGTAGATGGTAGTCCTTCTGCAGCACAACTGTGGCTTCTGGTGCAAGAAATCGCTGTTACCATTGGCTCACAAAGCCTTGGAGGCCTAGGCTTTATAGTGGATGTGGATCCGTGGTATTTTCCTGGTTGGGTGGCCTGCCAGAAACAGACACGTTCACATAGAATTTACGATAGGTTTCTCAAAGACAAGTGCTTGCCTAACTCTACGGATTCTCTCAGTTCCCCATTGAATCCTAATATGGCAGACACAGACAGGTCAAACGGAAAAGAAAGTACAACCAGACTGAATTTAAAGTAGTTTATGTATAATCAGACCTGGATTCCAGCCCTCAAAAACGAGTCGTGTCTAGCAGTGCGTAAATGTAACTCCTTGTAAGTCATTTCCTAAGTCAAAGAACACACCGCTTAGCCCAAGCCTCCTTTTGCTAAGGTCATAAGCAGCTCAGCTGCATAGCTCACAATATCTGGCTTGTTTCTCTAACTTAAGAATCTCCAGCCGCAGAGGACGGAGTAGGGAATGCTGATGAAGAGCTTCCACTGGTGATAGTGGAAAATCTGACTCCTCCCTGCCCACCAGGGAAGCGCATTCCAGAAGATGGTGTTGGCTGTCCAGAAGGAGTCGACCAAGCTGATGCACTAGGATTTCCACCGGGGACATAGATTGATGATTGTGTTGCGAGCCAAGATGAATAGACTACCAATTCTGCTGACCAGATATTATCTACGTCATCCTGAAGCTGTTCTTGAGATGCTCCATTCGCCATGTCATCGTAGAGCTTCTGCTGGGCTTGTCTGATGGAATCTGGCACATCGGAAGGTGCACCAGACCCAGAGTCGCCAATGGCACTAGGTGTTGGGATTGGTCGACGGCTAGGTTGGGGAGTCCAGACTGGAGTAAAGCTTGGTGTAAGGCTGGGTGCTGTGCCTGGTTCGGTGAGATCGATGGTCATTGTTGGAAGGTCTCTTTGCCGTTGACGGTTGGGAGCATTGTGTCGGCCTGGCAAGGCGAGTGCGCAACCCACAAGTCCCAAGGCAGCCAGAGCAGTGAATCGCATATTGGATAGATATTTTGAGGAACCAATAGCTAAAGAGTGTCCTCCTTTGATGTTGATTGAACAGCTTGTTCCGAGAGTTGCAAGTATTTCAGGCCGCGAAGGATGTTGATAAAAGGTTATGGTTCACACAGTTGACTTACAATACGTGCAGACCACTGGACATTATTATACTCAGAGAGTACAAAGGGGCCAATTGTTCAGGAATCATGGTGGTGGAGCCTATGATCTCAAGCCTTTAGCCAAGAAGGTATACAGCGCCGATCCCTCGGGCGGGCCGTCGTATAGTTGCAAGGATGCTGCTGGGGCGATAGCCCGGTCAAGCGTTAATCGAGCAAGTATCAACATCCAAGCTGAAATATTGGGGCCAATCTCTGTAAGCAGATAATTCAAGTCAGCAATTTGCGCTTCTTATTCGTCTTGCAGATACGTTGGGTGTACGCGTACAGGGTCGCAGTCAATCTTCGAGGCCCCCGGAGGGGCTGGCCCCCAACTAGCCGAGCCACGAATCGATGCAGCTATTTTTGTTATACGGGAATGCAATCGTACTCCCCCACGTTGAGGCTGTCTATGTGGAGTTTCTCAACCGAATTCGCAGGACAGGGAGTTATACGATTCAGAAGACAGATTTTTGTCTCTTTTCGTAAGCTCTCAGCGCTGCAGATATCATCGCATTCAGGATCAAGACCCTTGGACCCCCGCCACGGAAGTCTTGTTTTTGCTACTCGGCGCAATCCTGCACGGGGGCCAGCATCAGATAGAGCTACGTCAAATGGGTCCATTAATGCGAAGTTGTGACGTGCACATGTCATGCAGGATCTTCACCCTTTTGTGATTCTTACCATCGCCCAATCAACTTTGTAACTGCCCCAGAGGCTGTTAATCCAGATTTCTTGAGAATCATCTCATAGCACGACATGGAGAAATGATGCCTCCAGCATTGAGCTGGTCTAGCAAAAATATCGTAGGAAGACGTGGTCATGCTCGGTGGAGGCTTGCATGGAAGTATGCCCTCTACTGGCAACGATTTCCGTAATTCTATATTTACATATCCCTTGAAACCAAACAGAATGTGCCGGTTGGCTTGGTTGACGGCCGACTCGCGGTTTCCGAAGTTTAGGCTTTAATATCATTGGCTAAGCTCATTTTCAACCTCTACTCGTATTTGTGCGATTCGTATTTAAGAATAGTCCGTATTCAAGTGTGGGCTTCGTAATCTTCAGATTATGCAAGGGCAAGACGCATACGCTCGCATTTAACAATTAATAGAACGTTTCAGTTGACTCAGTCGATCTTCTTTCAACGATCCAATAGCAGTATTATATTATTCATGACTGACTTTGAAGCAATGGCAATACTGGATCCCCGAGACCTGAAAAGGATGATCCGCAGTAAGTGTCGGTTTGCACGCCAAATCGCACGCACTCAATGACCATCATCGGATGTTGCGTCCACAACGAAAATTGCGTAAGTCGAAAAGTGATCACAATACGAAGAAAGCCCAATAGACAATTGAAATCATTACGAGACGAGCAGCGGGCAGCATCCAGGCCTGCCTAATATACCAGCAATCAAGAAATTGTCGGGATCAGGATCCCAATTTATACGGCCGTTGCGCAATCGAATCATTATATAAGTGAAAGAGATGTAATTACATTGTACGGCCGAGTTTAGGCATAATGAGCTGGTGTCTGAGTGTCGCTCGATGGCTGAGAATTGACATCCTTTTGGCCGTGGTACGCCGGATTCGGATATGTAGGAGCAGTGGCATAAGGAGGAGCCTGAGAGGAATAATGAGGCGAGTACTGAGTCGAGTATTGATTTCCAGGCGGGGGAGCGTAGTATGCGCCGTACGGTTGTTGGTTGAGATCCATCGGAGGAATAGTGTGATAGGTGGAAGCAAACTGTTGCTGGTTGTACCGGCGGCGCTGGATGCAGTGCAGGATGAGAAGAGTCCAGGCAATGAGCTTGAAGATAACGGCGACAACAAAGCATGCAAGAGCGGCGTAGTAAGTGCTATTTTTTTTGAGGCGCAATCGTTATAGTCGCTCCAGCTCTCGTCCAGGTTGGAGAAATAACTGTTGGCGCAGTTCGAGGCGTGGGAGTACCATGATCCAAAGAGCGCGCCGCCAGTGATGAACAATGCAATTGCGCCAACAAAGAAGATCAGGTACCACCAACGGGGTATGACCGTGGGTTGTTTGCTTTGACTCATTCTCCGGACTGGTGATGTCGCTATTTTAGAAAGGAGTGAAAATGAAGGAAAGAGAAGAACTCGTCCGCGAAATAGGCGAGAGTCTCGATTTTGTAAAATCTAAGACCCCCGAACCAACGCCAAACGCTTTGTGGCAAGGGCCCATGTCAGAGAGTAGGCTAAATATTACTTCCGGCCTATCACGATGTAGCGAACCAGCCGCTATCCGGGAGACGTGGCTACACTTGACTCATGGGATGGGTTTTTTCGCCCCAAATGCTTCAAAAGAGACTAGTAAGGGGTGGGCTAGGCCGTAAAGGGGTTTAGCCAGGGCCCTCTTTGAGATGAGGCTCAATCTCCACAATGAGGGACCAGTGTCAAATGAGGAGACACAGCAGGTGTATCTCACAAATGGAGGAAAGTCGGTCTTCGGCTGTCAGGCAGGCATCCAAGTAGAGTGGCAGTTCAAAAGTCTGAAACCAGGGACCAAGAAAACAGGCCGTCAAAATATGCCTCGATTTTATGTTTTTAACAGATCTTTCTGAATGTCTTTTGAATTCTTTTTCTAGATATTCCCGGCATCTGTGTTTCAACTTGTCTTTCAAAGTATAGCTGATGAGATGGGTTTGAACTTTTTCGGGTGTTGCAAACTTATGGAACACCACTGTAGAAGTGCAGCAAAGCGATCGTTAGGACTTGTCGCAATCATGGGGAGTGGTCGGTAAGTCTTCTCTCGAGGGCGAACAGCAAAATCCGCGTTCTTACCTTATCGACTCAGTCTAGTGGCTCTTCAGGAACGCAATTGTTTCCTCTGTCTCGACATTTTTTCTCCCATTTCGCATTTTACAGGATTCTCAATGCTTGAGTTACTCCCCAACACAAAACTAGCTGGGGAACGAAACCCCAATCGGCATGCATGTCCCAATTCGATCCACCACTACCATTCTTGGCCAATAAGAGCAACGGCAACGCTCCCCGATCGGCAAATTTGGGGTCAAGGGAAAGGAATTTTCTGGAGCAAAGCCGGCGGCATCTACAACCTTGAAGGATTCGGAGCTCATATTGCAAAGTGATTAGATTGGCCGGTAAGCCTGCAATCTCGTGGACGAGCTTCCAAGACCGTGCTCATAATCAAGTGTCTTTCCATTGGCTCATTGTGGTTCTTCTTGCGACAAACAAGTCCCGATGGCGTGACAAGAAACTAACTTTACCTCTCTAGATAAACTGGACAACCTGGATAATCACAGTCCTACAGAGCTCGGCCGAAAAACACAGGTCCCAGTGAAAAGGAGCTAGGCTTCAACTTTAACTCGGCGTTCTACCTGCACATTTAGATCCCATCTACAGTCTATCGCAGCTATGCAGTTGATCAAGAGCGTGGCTGTCATCGGGGCTGGCCCGGCTGGCGCCATTGCAGTGGATGCGCTGATGCAAGAAAAGGCATTTGAGGTAATTCGTGTTTTCGAACGCCAGGAAAAAGCAGGAGGCTGCTGGTATGTTCAATCCAATCCTGTACCCATGACTGTGTAGTCATGCTTACTTCCACCAGGGTTTCGAGGGATGATGATCCACCACGGAAGTTTGACTTGGACGCTCTAGCCGCGCGCACAGCGGATGCACCTTTGGAGATTCCGGAGCAGCTGCCCTGTAGGACACCAGTCGTGACTCAGGATCGTTTCACAGATTCTCCCGTTTACCCAGGCCTGGAAACCAATGTGGGTGTAAGCGCGATGTGCTATTCTCAAGAGCCCATACCTACGGTCCGTTCGAAATGGTCTATCGAACGTCATGGAGAAGATACTCCTTTCCGCCATCATTCGGTCATCAGGCAATACATAGAGGATCTCTTTACTCGAAAGGGGCACGACCGCATCGTTGAGTACAACACCACTGTTGAAAGAGCCGTGAAGGATTCCACCAGTCAAAAGTGGACCGTTACTCTCCGTCGCACGGAAATTTACAACGGGAACCCATCGGACTACTGGTGGACTGAGCTGTTCGATGCCGTTGTCGTAGCCTCGGGTCACTATGCTGTTCCTTACATTCCTACAATCCCTGGCTTGAAGGAGTTTGCCGCGCGATATCCCGGAAGCGTGGAGCATACAAAGCATTATCGGGGTCCGGAAAAGTATCAAGATAAGGTATTTGTTTTCCCCTTTGATGCTCATACCTGTTTGGCTAACAGTATAGTAGAAAGTCCTAACAGTTGGGGCCTCGGTTTCGGCAGCAGATACCGCGGTCAACCTTATTGACAGTGCCCAAACCCCCATTCACGCCGTCGTTCGTGGTCGGTATAATGTTTACTTTGGCGATGATGCGTTCAAGCACCCAAAGATTTTGCGACGTGCGCCCATCTCTCATATTACGAGTGATGACCGAACTGTTCATTTTGAAGACGGCACTTCGGAGACCGGGGTGGATAACATTATTTTTGGAACCGGTTTCACTTGGACGTTACCATTCTTGCCTCAAGTTCAGACTCGAAATAATCGTGTTCCTGATTTGTATCAACATGTGTTCTATCGATATGACCCAACACTGACTTTTGTCGGAGCTGTAAGTTCTCTGAAAGCCCATGAACAACTATCAAGACGATACTAATTCAACATGCCCATGTAGGTTGGTGCTGGTCTCACCTTCAAGGTCTTCGAGTGGCAAGCTGTTGCCGCTGCACGCGTGCTCGCAGGTCGGACAACTCTTCCTTCCATCCAAGAGCAGGAGGCGTGGGAGACCGATCGGATTGCATTGAGAGGCGACGGTCCTGCATTCACTGTCATCAACCCCGAATTCAAGGCTTACTTTGAAGAGCTTCGGCAACTTGCAGGAAAACCTGAACATGGCACACCGGGACGGCCACTACCGCCATTTGACCAGAAGTGGGTGGATGACTTTAATGCCGGACACGAACGACGTAAACGGATGTGGAGACGGGCGAACAGCGCCGCTGCCGCTAAATTATAGAGATTCGTTCCAGCGTGCATATATAGACACTTTCAAACTTTAGATATCAACGGCTGAAGAGTATCTTCTATTGTGACTTAGGATATCCTTCCTTGCTACAAGTATCTTGCGCCTGAGACTAAATTTCCGCCGCGTATGAGAGCGATATTCCGATTCCCCTGGTCGTGGCTCACTCAAAATCCCATGGTCCATTTTGAACAAGAAAATCCTCCCATGTTGTCAATGTATCCGCCGGCTCCAGCTGTGAGATGGTCCAATCCAGGTCTTGGGGGCCACTGGGGCCAAAATACCCGTACTTGACGAACAGAGGACCAGGGCGTAATACCTCCCGTTGCATAGGGTGAGTAATGAACTGTTCGGCTTCATTGCCGGTGGCCAGTCGCATGTTCTTGCCGCTCGCTCTGGACCAGGTATCCACGATCTCCTGGGCAGAGTAATGGGCAGTCGCTGAGACGAGCCTGGCACCATCGTATTTTGCAGGGTCTCGCAGGGCAGGTGCGAGATACTTCCCCGTATCGCTGACGTCGATCAAAGGTAGTCGCAGGTCCGGTGGCCAGGCAAATGGAAACAACACTGTGTCCACAGAGATCTGGGTTGAGTTAGTAATTACACGAGGCAGATCGCAAGGTCGAGGCGTCCTTACCATCTTCGGCTTGGGAACAAACCCGTGCCACACGTTCTGCATAAACCAGCCCGGCAGGTAGAACACGCTGCTGGGAAAATTGAGGCTTCGAATGTAATCTTCTACCTCGGCCTTGCTATCGAAATGGTGGACTGTGGTGAGTTCACCATTCGACATCTGCGTGACATTCGGCAGAGAAGACCATATAATCAGTGAGACGCCAGCCGCTCGTGATGCATCTGCAATAGCTTTGCCTTGAGTGATCTCGGCTTCAGCACTTGCTTTGTCCCAATCTATACCGGAGGTCAGCTATATTCTGCTGCTGTTTCAGCTTCTGGACATACAGTTCGTCATAGCAAATACAGCATAAGCTCCATCGACAGCTGGCCTTAGTGATGGAGGATCATTCATATCGGCCTGCGAAATTACTAGTCAGATATTTCAGATACGAAAGTTCTCATCTTGATAGCGTACTTCTATTAACTGGACCCCACGCTCCTTGAGCTTCACTGCTTCGGCCTTTGAAGCGTCTCGGGTTACTCCTCGTAGACGGAATTCCTTTGAGAAGGTCTCATGTTGAAGAATGAAATTGATCAAAGCGCCGCCCTGCTGGCCGGTGGCTCCAAATACAGTGAATATCTTGCTCATTTCGTTATTCTTTTCTGATGAGGTCCACGGTTTCCAAGGTTGGTATTCGAATTGAGCTGGTCGTTTTAGACATGTAGTATGTCCATGATTGGATTGAGCATCGAATTTGTCTAGATATTTATACTTCACGATTGCATCTCCGAATTCAAATACCGGACATTTATTGAAGATTATCATAGACACAACCTGCTTGTGTTTAGTAATGCTGAGACGGAATACATATTCCTAGGGGATTAAAAGAGACCCTAAACCCAATCGCCGACGGGATTCGGGGCGATATCGCGGTGAAAAGCAGGTTGCTACCGGTGTTGCTTTTTCGAACCCACCCTATTCATCCTCATATCGTGGATGAAACAGATCCATCGCCTTGGAGACCGATCGACATGTCAGTCGAGTACATGGGATAATGGTGCCGAGGTATCTCAGGTCCTTGAACAATATTTTTCATGTCACCTCGCCGGAACCGCCGACTATTGACAATGCCCAAGACCGAAAACTCATTCTCGCTACCTATGAAGCAAACACCTCTTCTCATGATTAATCCCGGGGATCGGATGTCCGTGTTTGCGGGTAGCCATGGGCCATAGAGTAACTTACCCTCCCCGCATATGCCACTGGAACAGCTAACTGGTCCTGTGCGCAGTGTCACTACTCGATCGCAATGTAACCCTTCCCCTCGCAAAATTACCCGCTCATAATAAGGATAACTTTCAAAGATGGCAAATACCCGATTACTCTTCATACCTCAACACCATGGAACGACCTTGACGTGTGACAGACTCAGCAATGACTCGACACAACGTCGGTCTCACCCCGCAGATGGGTAGATCTTAACTGTTATAAAATACCAGTCAGCCCGCAGCAGAAACATAATTCCAGTATCTCTCTTTTTCCCTCCGTCTCCAGTACTACATTTATATACTAAATATCCCCATATCAACGCGCATCAATGGATACCTTCCAAAACAAAGTCTACGCAGTAACAGGCCTAGCCGGCATCGGCCTCGCAGTTGCAAAACAATTACACGCCCAAGGCGCACGCCTCTCCCTCGCCGACATATCCCCTTCAACACTCGAATCCGCCATCCACAGCATTACTGCCTCGACCTCAACCCCCTCCACAATCCTAACAACAGTCCTCGACATCAGCTCCTCCACAGCCGTCAACGACTGGATCACCGCCACAGTGAAACACTTCGGCCGCCTCGATGGCGCAGCCAACATGGCCGGGACGATCGGGTCTCAGCACGGGGTGGGCAAGTTCGTGGATCTGGCAGATGAGGAGTGGGATATGCTCGTGCGGGTGAATTTGTCAGGGATGATGTATTGTCTGAGGGCAGAGGTACGGGCGATTATGGAGAGTGCGCCCGGTGGCAAGGGGAGTATTGTGAATGCGAGTAGTATACAGGGACTTCGGGGATTTGCGTTGCATGCGGCTTATTCAACGACGAAGCATGGGGTTGTGGGGTTGACAAGGTCTATTGCGAAGGAGGTTGGGCCTGAGATCAGGGTTAATGCTGTTGCGCCGTGAGTTGAGACTCTCATGTTTCTATTGGGAGGACCGATTGCTCTGCAGTCTAAAGTTGATTCACACTAATGAGTTTGTGAGTGAATAGGGGATCGATTCAAACGCCGCTTCTGGAAAAGGCGACTGCTATTCAGGGGGTGTTCCTCCTGCCCCTACAGTGATTCCTCGGATTGGGACGCCCGAGGAGGTGGCACACACAGTGGTGTTTTTGCTGAGTGATGCTGCATCGTATACTACCGGACAGGTGTACAGTGTTGACGGGGGGTGGGACCCTTGATCGTAGGGAGGGAACTGTAGTGTAGCACAATGGGGGTAAGCGGATTGGAGATGTTATAATACTTGCGAAGTGAACGGAAACAATTGATCTTGAGAATCTCGAATTGAAACGCTCGGAGGCTATCGCTCAAGTTGGAATATTTGCGGCAGAAAGGACAAAATTGCCATGCAAGAGGTATAACATCATCGTCGACGCAATGCCATGATCATCAAAGTGCTCGCTGAAATAACGAAAAAAAAGAATGGTACGAAACGCCGCCATGAGGTCTATAAATGTAATCGCTTGCAAAAAAAAACAGACGGGGAATCATCAAATCCACAATGAGTTGGACGGAGTCCTCGAGGGCTAAGCAACTATAACAACATGTATAGCCATAAACCTGTGAAAATATCGAATCAGCAAGGAAGGTCCCCGATTACAATGAAACCGGGACAGCGGTTAGGGTCCACCTACCGGACAGAATCATTAGAGACCACCAACCAGGCGAGCGGGAGATGATCGCAGCGCTGCTCTTAATATCGATCCCGTCCAAGACCACAGGCCACCCATTATCATATTTCAAATAATTGTAGCCCAGTTGCGCTTGCTGCAAGAGACAGTCAATACTCCGAATCGAAAATCCATCACCATCCAACAAAAAGAAAAGTCATGCACGTACCTCGTCCGCAAAGCCGATCGAAGTGTTCAGATAATGATAATAAAGTATATCCGGCGTGGACGAATTCCCGGGCATCACGCCAAGCCCGCCAGGGGCATAGACCGCCCCGTGGTTGGAGGCATAAACGATTGTCCCACCTCCATCGAGCAGTAACTTTCCATCGCGATCCACAAACGGACCTCGCACGGCCCGCGACCGACCAACGCGAATATTATACTCGTCGCCGCGCGCTGGGAACCCCCGCACATCAAAGCTGCAGCACTTGCCATGGCTGAACCACACGTAGTAATACCCATCGTGGTAACTCATCCACGAACCCTCCTCGGGACGGAACGTCTCGTGCGGAATAAAGCTCAATTGCACCGCGTCGGGTTTCGCAGGAGTCTCGATCGATAACCAGTCATCTGACAGTGGTACTTGCCAGATGTCCTGCCAGTAACTGCCATAGTTGAGGTATGCCTTGCCGGTGGCATTGTCGCGAATGAACGAGGCATCGATCGCATTGCTTATCGTGAAGGGCCACACGTCCGAGCCATTGCCTTGCCCCGTGCGAATCAGCGCGCCGTGATCGGTCCAAGGCGACCCGTCGAGTTTGGAACTTGTGGCGACGCCGATAGCGCTGTTGCGCGAGCCGTGCGTGCTCAGCGTGTAGAAGCAATAAAACGTCCCATTGCGCTCGATCGTCGTAGGCGCCCACGGCCGCGACCGATTACCCTGGTGGATAACACTTTCAACATCGAAAACTGTACCGACTTGCGTCCAGGGCCCGCTCATATTCGAGGCCTTGTAATACGGAATATGCCACCCGCCTTTGAAGAGGTAGTAATGGTCATCCCAGTAGACCACGTTCGGGTCGTGCACTTGCAAGTTGCCGACATTGGGCAGCGGTATCTTGTCGGTTGTCTCATATACTTGCGGGGGCGTGGGGGTTAATGATTGCGAGGCTGGCCGGGCTCCTACTAGGGCGACCAGCGCGGTTATCAACAGGAGGAGTAGGCTGCTGCGATGCATGGCGAGGTATATACTCGGTCGTGAGGTTGGCACAATGGCTGCCAATGTACAATGCAATAAGCCCCGCGCGGCAGGATTTACCAGTGCCCAATAAGAGGGTGAAGAGCGGGTGAGAAGGAGGTGTGGCCTATACGGCCATCAGAGGGGTGAATTGAGAATCGTTGGCTATCATGTCGCGCAGCACATGTCTGTAGTGAGGATGGAGATTGTCAAGGACGGAGAGGCTAATAAAACAATGCAATAGAAAGAAAAAGATCCAGGAGATGATCAAATGGTTAAGTAGCGTAAGGATTGGACAGGAAATAGAAAAAGAAAGAACAATTGCAAAATAAGCTAAAAAGAAAAAAAAATTTTAAGCACAGCCGAGGAGCCTTGTGCAGGGTCCGTCGATCGACTCTAAAACCAAAGCCAAGTGTTTTAGGCGGCCATATTATTTGCAGAGGATTTGGAGGGGGCCGAAACACTGCAACGAAGGTGCTGACCAAAGAAACAGACACACATCTACTCAGTCTCGTACCCGAACGATACCGGGGTTATTGGCAGTGAATCCACTGTTTAATTCCCCCATAGTCAATGATAGCTGTGCAAATTGGGGGACAGCCAGATCCAAAACAATTCTAATTTCTGTACGGAGGATGTACTTCCCCTCTCTCCCGTCTCGCATCTCCAATATCCCGCCAAGCTATATCCACCAGCCTGTCAGAAGACGAGATGCGCTCACGCAGGGGCGGCAAGTCCGACCGGTGATTGGGTCCAACAGGGTCCGAACGGGGTGACAGTCGAGAAAGTGCAAACGAGCGATTGGGTTGGAGCTCGTCTGGTCGTTATCTGTCCTCTCACGGAAGTCTGGTTCTTTTTATTTTGCTCCGTTGGTCTCCACCAATTACATTGTAGCTTCACTTATACTTGTCGTGTGTGGGCGGATATTCTTTTCCCTATTTAAACTTTTGAACTTCGAGTTCGCTTGCAGTAAAGTATATCGGAAGACCTTTGAGCGCCCTCAACACCCCGCAAATTGTAAATCCATCTGGTCTTTACATAGGCACTTCAGTACTCCATGCATTATCGTCTGAGCACATACTACTCTGACCGCAGCAGCCCCATTGCTGGCAGGGGCTGAACCTTCAGCAACTACCAACAAAAAAAAATGACCACAATCAGCCCCATATTTAGCGCCCCCACACCCTCTTTCTCATGTTCTGTAACCAACTAGTCCCACTTTCCAAGGCTTGGTTCTCGCGACCCCAACGCTAGACGAGAAGAGACGAGAATGCTCGCGCTAATATACCCATTTCCAACCATCAATCGCCAGGCTCTGCCCAAAATAGTGCATGAAGATCAAACTAACGCCCATAGTTCGGCGAATCGGTGGGCTCTGATTTGAAAGTGGCTCAGCGTATCCTGGGCCCTGAAGCGCCTGATCTACATGGCCCTTGCAGGGAATGACGGGATCTTCGCTGGGGCCGTGATATCATTGTGCCATGCGCTGTGTGATCAGAAGATATCCCCTACTTAAAGTGATTACATCATGTAATAATTATTGATGCTAGATGTGGATCTTGAATTCACGCTTGGGAGTGGAATGGGAATATGGTGATGTCGCTTTATTTCAGAAGCTGCAGGTAGTTCAAACAGGTATCACAGTAGGAAGTGACTGCTTTCTTGGTGGCTCGATAGCTTCCTGCTAGGTCCAGAGCGATCACCATATACCCTTAATATATGTACAATATGCGCAATTCCCCACTGCTCGCTGCTCCGACCAAGCTGGTGTACACGTATCAAATGCAGGATCATCTCCTGATCTATCTAGTTGCCGAGGGCAATCCCCGTCAAATCTTCCCAGTCGAACACATCCAAGAAAGGATCAAAATCGCCAGGCGGCTATAACAGAGAGGAAAAGCATCAGTCATTGCACGGGTTCAGGGATCTCCACCGGGAAATGTTTGAGCTTGGCTTACCGTAACACCGAGATTTGGAGGTGGAAGCATTCCGTCAAAGTCCGAGGTAAGTGCCGGCGCCATACCAGGAGTTGCGATAAACGAAGCAACCTAGAAGAGCACAAGACCATATAAGTATCCATCCATATAGTAAATCAGTTCAGACAAACCTGATTATTTTGGAAACTGCCCATCCCCGGCTTTCCCAGGTGCTCGCAGTTCGCATGCCGAGAGAAAAGCGTCTGCGCGAATGACAGGATTCGCTCGACTACTTGCTGTTTGTACATAACTGCCTGAGTAGGCCAGAGCTTGGCCTTGACCAGGGCCACGATGGTGGATAGAAAGAAGTAATCTTTTGCTCCCTTCACCACTAGCAGGAAGCGGCCTTCGAGGCAGATCAGTGCTGTCTCGACGAGAGAGAGAAGTGAGTCTGGAAGGCCGGGTAGAGTGTGCAGGAGGAATATGGAGGATGAAGGGTGTGAGGAAGGAGCTGTGAATAGTCAATTAGCCCATGTCAATTAATTTCCTGGCGAGGAGACAGCGTACAATTTTGATGATCTGAGGTATGGAGCACTTGACAGATTGATACGTAAGCCTGCAGTGTCCATTCGCCGAGCATGCATAATGATAATGGCTTTGAGGTATCATGAAGCCGCTTCTGGGTCGAGAGGATCATGGCCGCGGCATCTAGACGAGACCGTGCCGAGGGTGAGAAGAGCGGCTCTCGTCGTGATTCAATGGCAAATGGGGTGTGGATAGAGAGAAGACTTTGCGCCAACTTCGTCTCAATAGCGGCTTTCCACAGCGTGGTCTTATGCTGGGTAACGATATCATTTGGATCCGTGGAACTCCACTGAGGGATCCGAGAAAGCTGCCGATTTAATTCCCAATCTAAGCGCTGAATCTCTTCATATCGACAACTGATCCGAGGCGAGTGCATCAAGTGGCAGGCTTTGAGTCTGAGAGCAAGAGATCGACCCAGTGCACTCTGAAAAGATGAATCTGTGATGTCGCTCAGTGGTCGGTCGGCTGGAGTCTCAGCGGATCCTTCATGAATCTCGTCGTCGTCAATGTTCAGAGGAGGCAATGTATCGTAATCTAAAGTCTGCACCGAAGGCGGCATGCCTCGGTCAATGGCCACTTGCAAATCCAATTCCACAATAGTCATCCAGATGCGCCGGCGCATCTCCTTATTAAAGATCGATATCCGGGCATACTTGTCAGGATCCCTGTGGTAGCCGGAGAGCATTGCTTGCTTGACCAAGATGCTTGTGGAAAGCCACGCCTTACTGCGTTTCATGCCGAAGCAATTTTGTGCCATGATCAGTAGGATATAGAGCCGCAGAGAAGTAACATCGAGCCGCTTGATATGCGCATTGTCGATCCACTTTTCTGCATGCAACACCCATTCCACTGCAGTATAGCATTTGAGCGGCGTAGCGCTCTTTTCTTGTAGACTAGCCACATCGGCCAGATTCCAAGCACACGCAAGCACCAAGAGCAGTTGCACGACAAATCCGGCCGAGATGGCGCTGAGATTGTCCTTCAAATTCCAGAACTCGTCCACTTCTTGGAGGAATGTCGGGACATGAAAGATGCGATATGTGGACTCGATGTACGTCAAGTAGAACCCGATCAGCTCATCGGCTACTGGGCGTGCTGGCAGGAGCGAGACAAGAGAAGCAATCGTGGGTTCAGGAAAGGGCTCATTGAGCGGCTTGCGCTTCCACAGTCCCCGTTTTACCCTCTCCAGATCGGGTCGCACCCGTGAGAGGATTGGATTGGCCAAGCGAATTTCTTCGGCAAAGGCTCTGATGTCAGGAAACTGGAGTCATGGTGAGCAGAGCGGTACGAGAGCCATCCAAAAGTCGAACTACATACCTGAGCAACCACATTAGCATAAATGCCCGACCCACTGAAGCGAGTCTTGGTCTCACGACCTCTCATCATCATGCGGGGTGAAAGGTCCAACTGGTGCGACGGAGACAGAACATCTTCGACTTCTCCATCACCACCATCTCCACGGTCCATCGGCGTTGAGTAAGGCAGGGACTCTTCCGGTGCGGGACGTTTCGGCCGCTGCAAGAGGCCGGTATTCACGTACGGCTCCTGATTGACAGCTGCCTTGGGAGCGCCCAGAACCGTCTCGAGAAACCCCCTCTCCTTCCCCGAATGCCGTCCCCTGTGGTGTGGACCACCTTCTGGACGAGCAGTTGGGCCCGAATCGGGGGCAATGGTCGAAACGAGAGCTTCCGACCGAGTCGACGCTGCTCCGAGCCCCGAATCTGGGGGAGTCTCAATATTAATAAACTCCGTCTGCTCGGTCCGGGGAGGCATGGAGATGATAGAATTCCCATTTCCTCGATCCGAAGCGAATGCCGCTGCGGTCACGGTGGTGGGCTGCTGCCACAAGAAGCCATCTTCGTAGGTGCATTTAGTCGGGGTTCGGCTCTTCAAGCAACGGGTGCATGTTGGAAACTCGCGATCACAGCGCAGTTTGCGACTGCGACATTGCGTGCAGGCCATCGTGCGACGGCGCCTTTTGCGCGGCCGATCGGGCTGCGGCGCATTGGTTGCACTCTCTACATCGGCCATGTCAGTGTGAAGGGAAAGACCTGACATGAATATACAATGAAGAGTATACTTTGATGATGATCTTGTTACCCCCGAGCTGACCTGCTTAGGGAGTGTTCGAGCTTACGTGGTGGTGGTCCACGTTGCCTGGGATGAATTGCCAAATGCGGCAACTCTGTCCGAGGGATCCGTCCAACCGGAGATGCGTCCTCACGGTGGTGTCTAGCGAATGTTTTCTCTAGTTCTTTCGTGCTCTCTATCACAACCTACAAGGTCACTTTCACGCCTGGCCAAAGCCTGCAGTATATTATCCTTGCTGCTTGGGTTCATATACCTGATCAGACGGGAGTAAAAATAAATTCACACTGCTAAGCCTCGGTGCCTCCGGAGACACGGCCCACTCCCAAAACTGGTCAGCTACGGCGTGTTGTGCCCTTTTAGGGACTCCTCGTTTCCGAGTGTGTCAAGTCAATCTGCATTTGGAGTTTTCCGTTATACATGCCAAGAGAAGTTTGCATTGCTGGCGCTTGGACTCTCTAGCTGTGGCCTGGTCATGATGTACTGCACACATTTGGAAGATTACTGACGGGCCGGTGGACAACAGCTAGCCAAGACATGGTGTTGACCTGGATGCTGCACAGCATTTTCAATGACCCTTCAAGATTGTACCATTATTGACAGTCTAAAATCTACGGCTCGCATTCATCTCATTGCAAGATTTACGTGGTCTGTTTGTCTCACAGGGCTGGCTAACTGCTAATTTATCTCAATACTGTAATGCGGAAACATGCAACACCATGATCCCTGCTAATCAACCAGAGCCCGCAGAGTCGAAGGGCCGGTGATCCTTGTACATGTGGAGCAATTGCACTAACCTAAGTTATTGACATGGTTTGCACATCGCCAGCCTGACAAGCATTCAGCCCCCAATACTCACCTCCTATTCCCCTCCCCGTCCACTACACGACTCACAAGCTGAAAGGCACAGAAATCAAAGCCATCGGGGTTGCTGCCCATCGATACATGTTCATTATTATTACTTGCCCGTAAGTGGTTGCAATTGCCTTGGCATTGACCCATGAACGCGGTCCTCAGGCATCTCGAGGCCCTCTTCATTGGCCAGCGTATCGTCTGCCATTTTCTGTAGTCACAGCCCGAATCTGACAACCACCTGATGAGTGCACAAAAGCAGAGAAAATACTGCTCTCATTCGTCACACCCAGAAGTAATAAATCAGACGATGTAGATTTTGGCATCCCCGCAAGATTCTCGGTCGGGGGAAAGAGTCCACACATCGCCCAGGGAGGCTGTGTTCAGCCCTAGCGCATGCTAAATGCTAAAAATACACTCTCTTTGTGCAGGGTCTTGCAATCTTCATAGCCATCAAGGCTGGCTGCGTCGGCTCCATCCGTTTCGGATCCAGCCTTACCGTTCCTCATCCACCTAATGGCAGCTGGTCTGCCCCTTCGGCAATGACGACAGGCGGAGTCGGCCTCGGCAGTTAGATTGGTTTCGAACTGACTGATTTCATGTTCGTGCTGAACAACGATGCAGCCGTCAAGAAGTTCACTCAATCTAGCTTCATCGTGTTGGGCCATAACATCTGCATTGCACTGGGTCCCTTTGGGCGTAGTGCAGAGGTAATCGGTGCCGTGGGATCGAAGCGTATGATGGCTATTTTTACATACTCAAGACTAGAGATGGCTTTGGTGGGAGGCCTTTTGAACTCGAAGCAGTCCAGGTCTCCATATTACAACCTTTGCTAGAGCATCAGACAGAGTCTACACAATTGCCGACCGTATGGACAGTATCTATGAATTCCAAAAATAAGAATGAACAAAGATTTTCATTTATTGCCAGCCCAATGTCTCATGTTTTGAAGGGTATTGTCCTAGATTTCTCAAGAATTGACCCTTCGATGCAGTCCGTTGGTCATCTAGATGATTCTTTTCATTTATAGATTCGAGAAACCTTCGTAGTGTAGAGCAAATGAACAGTTTGCCTATGCCCCCAATAGCGGCCAAGGTTGACGTCAACCATATCACCTCTAGATGGGCATTTGCAGATGGCAAGATTAACTAGGCACTGCGTTCAATACATCTCGTTAAGTTAAGAAAACATTCAGGGGGGCATTTTGACATTTACTATGAAAGATAGTCGTAGGTGATCAATCCTCAAGGGTAAAGGTTGAGCTGAAGTCAGTGAATCCTTGACTATTTTCTACCAGGCGTGCGTCATAGATATAGCCATATAGAGAGATAAAGATATCCCGACGTATTGGTCACTGCGGAGCTAGCAGATATATATGGCGTGGTGTTATGCAGCGGTAAACAGTGGCCAACATCAACTTAATGGATGCATCTCAGACTGTCGCGGGAATGCCAAGCGCAGTCAGTTACAATGACTGCAGATATTATCACTTTGATAGGAGCGGGGCAAATCTTAGTCTGATGCCAAATGGCAACTGTGCCTGACAGCGCTAATGCTGGCGGACCCTTTCCTACCAAATCCGCCAGGATCGGGGCCTGGTCGGCTTTAACAGCTCGGGGAAAAGCATCTCGGAGATATTTCACTCAACGCGACTATATCAACCCAGGCAGCCACAAAGTTAACCCTGATCAGCATTGAGATTATCAACAAGCAACCAACTTGAGTTCTGAGCATCTTGAGGTTGGGTTACGCCAGGAAAATACACCACTTCGCGGTTGTCAGCGACCATGTTGCGGTCGTTACTGTCCCTCGCTCGCGGCTCCGAGCCCGACTATGTTTTCCCCAAAGTGAATCAAGACGAGGACGGGCCAGACTGTCTGAAGGATTGCGCGGATTGCACGATACAGTTCCCAGCGAAGGTGAAAGTGGAAAGTTCCATGCCGCTATATGGTCACATCAAGGAATTTCACTCGCACGTCCTGGTCGCGACGGGTCGGTCTGACTGGAAGGAGAAGGTCGGACAAGAGAGGGGCAGTCTAATGGAGGCCTTTGAGGATTCTTCAGCCAAGTCAAAACGAGGTGTATGTTCATGTTTTATCTCCCAAAATCGGGTCTTATTCTTTGGCTAACTGTATTTTCCAGCGCTATATGGTGTCCGCATCAAATATTCAACCACCAGACAACCACGGCAAGGAAATTGACGCGAACCAACCAACGACCGTTCTCATCTTGCCCTCATTCATGTTTGTGGACTCCGTCTCCCAGGCAGACGTCCCCAATTTGGTTCATCAATTTATCGATAGCCCTGGCGATGAAAAGAGCGGTCCTAGCCAACGTTGCAAAGAAACAGGCATGGCTGCACGGCCATGTGAGCTTGATTACGTGATTCTCCTCTGCTCGCATAAGCGACGGGACGCGCGCTGCGGCATCACAGCTCCTCTGATCAAGCGCGAGCTCGAGCGACATCTCCGTCCATTAGGACTAGATCGCGATGCTGATGACTCGCGCCCCGGTGGTACCGGTATCTTCTTCGTCTCCCATGTTGGCGGGCACAAGTTCTCTGCCAATGTGCTCATTTATCGGAAGAAGGATCAGCAGATGATATGGTTGGCACGTGTGAGACCCGAGCATTGCGAGGGTATTATAAAGTACACGATACTACAAGGGAAGGTGGTGCATCCCGAAACGCAACTGCGTGGTGGATTTGACCTTGCACGGGGGTTGACGAGCTGGTGATAGAGATCCTAAAATACATATTATGGTGTTGTATCAGCGAAGCAAAGATGGTAATTCAGAACTTGGCTTCTAGGTAAATGCCCAATAAACAATAAGAGATTCCATGCATCAAGATTCGCTCCTTTCAAACCAGATCTTCTCCCCTTCCAAGGCAGGTTCCAGGGCCAACCCGATCTTCTTGACGACCCCCGAGGAATCGATATAGAACTCCACAGCCACGGGTTCCATCACGGCAAGATTACTAGACTTCATCTTTGCGACGAAGAATTCACCACTAGCATGCGTAAGAGTCAAGTAGCCGGAAATTGCTCCTTGAGCTGCATCAATGCCCAAATTCCCATCATCCCCTAGAACAACAGGAACCCAATTGCCAGTAGAATGCCTATACGTTCCGACATACTTCTCCAGTGGGAAAGTATGAGGAACAGGAGGGTCGGCCAACGAGGGGAATATCTTTCGCTTGATTTCATCCATATCCTCAGGATGGTACTTGAGAGTCCTCTTCTTGATCTTATCATGCAGAGCATAGAACTCTTTCATCTTCTCTTCATGCAGTGGGTCATCAATTGGACCAAGTAGCTTATCCATGAGATGCACTGCCAGCCTGACGAGGAGGTATCGGGCAGAATTGGAGCTACCCATCAGCACAAAGCCGAACTTCTTCTCTGGCAAGAATCCCACATACGTCGAATATCCGGGCCAACCACCCGAATGCGAATAAAGGTGCTGGCCGCGGTAGTGATCGACGAACCAACCCAACGCATATCCGCGATATGGCGCGGGAAGATTGATATCGCCGTCCTCGAAAAGAAGGGTCCGCGGTTTGGTCAAGGAGTCGTGGCCCTTTAATGGCCCCGTACGATGAATCAATTCGCGGACCCAGCGTGAATAATCCAAAACATTGCTGACGTTGGCCCCACCGCCGGTATTCGGTCTCCAATTTGCCTCGGGTTCTTCGAACCAGTGTCCGCCAGTTTCTTCGGGGATCCATGTATACCCCTTGACAATCTTGGCAGCGCTGGACGGAAGTTTCTTGGCTTCTTCGGTAGAGAAGTAGGTCTCGTTCATACCGAGAGGACCCCATATCTTCTCTTTCAAATAGGATCCGAGTGGTTTCCCTGTATGCTGCTCTAGCAGGTGTGTCATCACAACAAACATGTGATTGGTATACTGAAATTTAGTACGCGGAGGGGCCGATAGTGGCATGTGTCTGAGCGAGCGAACACTTTCGCGCACTGTCGCATCTTTGTCTCCATAATTCACTGGCCATAGATGACCCGGGAAGCCAGATCGATGCGAGAGGGCGTCTTCGAGCGTAGTGTGCTTGGTAGCATAGTCATCCGATAGAACAAAGTCTTCTGGAATGATGGATGAGATCGGAGTATCCCAGTCAATTGGTGATGCGGTTCCTTTGCTGTCTTCAATGGCTATCGACGTAGCCGCTGCAGTGAATGCCTTGGTTGTGCTAGCAGCTAAGAATAGCGCGTCCGTGGTCATCTTCTTGTCGGGGAACTCGGCGAACCCGTAGGCCTGCAATGTGGTCAGTAAATCAATGGCAACAGGGATCTTTCAAGTCTCATTACCTTCGAGAATGTATCTTCATTGTCTACTACTGCGACAGATAGACCAGGAATCTTCCATTCTTCTAGGCCACCTTCAACTAGGGCGTCGAACGCGGCATCCAATGGAGACTGTGCGGTAGACATGGCCTTTCAATGCAGATATGCGATTGTGACTTATTCGGTTCATTCCCTGGCACCACCAAGGCACCAGCCGGGTATTTATAATTCTCCCTTGAGGTCGAGAGTCATGGAACGGCATATTGTTCCCCGCGTCAAGCCAACGCCACGAGGCTAGTAGTACGAAACCTCATTGGCGTTCCAGTTAGGCCACCAACAATCGGGGTCTAAATCTGTCAGCCTAGTTAACACATCAAGTGTCAGTTAATAAAAGACCACAGAAATGTATTAGTTTAGGCTGAAGTCATTGGTTCAATCCCAATGTCAGCAAGAGTAACTGGTAGGCTTCTCCGAAGTCCGAGATCCGTCCCTTGGGTCTTGGGTCTTGGGTAGAGTTGCGGGCCGAGCACGCGACGTCACCGCGTTAATTGATTTTCGCGTTTCGCGTCCATCCTTCCTCCCTTCATATGCGCCCGGCCGCATCTCCTGCAGCAATGGCCGACCACGTCCTCAATTCAAGCGCCGATGTTGCGTCGAGGGCTCTTGATCTTCGTGCAGACTTAAAAGCCTGGGAGAAAGAGTTTGCGTCCACACATGACGGTCGCAAAGCCGGTCGCGAGGATATCAAGAAACATCCTCTCATCGGTAGGTGATGGGTCGTTTCCCTAGGACCCTCAGCATATCGGATGAATATGAAGTCGCTAATATCTATGGACTATGGTTTCAGCCGCAAAATATAAGGAATATGGACGACTCAAGGCACTAGAGTCCTCTTTGAACCGGCGCGAGAACCGACAGGAATCCGCCGACGCCCAGTCCAAAAAACGAAAACATGGTTCTCCCACTGGACCAGACGCTGCGCAACCGCTTACGACGCCACGGAAGTCGGCCAAGGGCATCTTTGCGACACCATCTAACAATCGCAGCAAGCAGGCTCACCATGTCGACGAATTCGTTTCCCCTTCGACATTCCGCAAGTTATTCAGCCCTAGCGCGCATCGACAGAGTGCTCCAGCCCCATCGCCTCTCAAGGCTGCAATTGGACCGACACCGCAGCGTGATGGGAAAGCCCTGGGCCTATTCGACATGCTCTCGGAGTCGGGAGGAAGCAGCGCGACACCGTCAGCAAAGAAACAAAGAGACTTCTTAGCGGCAGGGTTCCAAACACCTTCCAAAGCAAAGACATTCGAACCTATAGCAGAAGTTCCAGAAGAGGAAGAAGAGAGTACACGACTTTCTCGCACGCCTGCATCCTCGACTAAGCAATTCTACCTGGCCAATCTGTTCGCAACACCCACTACCATGCGCTACGCTGCTATGGTCGAGAATGACGACAAGAAAATAGGACAAGAAAATGCCCCTCCGATAATGGAGGCTGCATCGCCAGAACCTAATACCTCTGAGACACCATCTTTCCTACGGCGATCGAACTTTACTAGACTTCCACCTCCCACTTCCAATGATCAGGGCGTAGGACTCAGTCCTATCGCCTCCCGCAAACCACTGCAATTCGCAGGAAAGGGACTCTCGCATTTGGTACAAGGCCTACGAGCGATGGAGGAAGAGCGTGATGATGACGAGTGGGACATGCTTCGGGAAATCGAAGCAGAGCATGAGGCAGCAAACCTCCAGGTCCCCCAGAGTCAAGCTGTACCGGAGAATCACCGGCTATATAAAAAGAAAGGACAGAAGCGAACCACGCGAAGAGTCATTATGCGGCCAGTTGCGCCTCGGCCGAAACCTCGATCGAATCCCACGCTGGCGCCTGTCGAGGAAGGCGCAGAGAGTGATGACGAGCTTGTTGCGGTTCCTGAAACTCAGCTCCCAGCGGGCTCCGAAGTGATTGACGACACGTATGAGAAGGAGGGAGACGCCGCCGACGATGTGGCCTCTTTACATACCATCTCTGATCCCGAATCTGATCCAGAACCCGATGTTGAGTCAGACGATGACCCGGAGTATGGCGAGACATCCAAGCCTTTGGCTCGGGCGAAGAGCTTCTCCGAGCGCATCAAGGAGGCTGTTTCCATGACCAAGCCTCAACCAAAGGAAGAGCCGGTGAAGGCACCGCCAGCTCCGGAGAAAGAAGAGAAGGCGCCCAAACCGCGGATGATCAAGGCCAACTCCCAGACTCATACGAACTACCGGAGTCTGAAGATCCATCACCGAGGCGGGGGCCGTGGACGGTTCCGCAGGAGATAGAGGCATCTTTGGGGTTGCTATAATGTTCACGAAGAAACGATTGCATTCATAATTAGCATCAACAGGTACTGGTCGGTCACAGCAATTAGATTATGCGTTCAAAAATATTGCGAAGTGGTCATTTGATGTCGTCTGGTTACTATGAAAATTCCCGTATAGTGTACACGGCCAGCTAGTCTTATACTATACTCTACTGTAACCTTTGTTAGTCGGGAATGTATCGATCTAGAAGATGCCGATTTCGCTCCGGCCACGGGGCACGTCGACCTGAGCCCCGACTCCTAGATACTGCCCCTCGTCCTGGGCTTGACTGAGAACTCTGGGGCCTTGAGACCCGGTCAAACAAGCTTCGATCGCGCTCATTAGCCGGCGATGCACTACGGGCACGAGCTGAGTCCCGACGGGTGGAGCCACGGCGATGATAGCTCGCATCTCGACTCTCCCTATCGCGGGACGGAGGCCTCGAAGTCGGGTATTGCACATGACGATCCCAGTCTTCTAACGAAATATAAGGGCTTCGTAGCCACGCCAGCAATTCATGAAGGAACAAACGAGCATTTTCCCTCCCCAGAAAATCGCGAAGCAACTCTTCTGCTTGCCCAGCACTACCTTTGATATCCACCGTCCGTAGAATGGCAACAACGTACTCGAGCAAGAACTCGGCATTGTTTGCCCTCCGTTGCTCCAATCGCTGCTGTCCAGAGCGAGGAACGGGGTCCCGCCTTTCTTCCGGTGCGTCCTCTGCCTCTGGATGCAAAAGCTAAACACCTGCAGTTCACGGCGGATCCATTTCCGAGCGCGCGAAACCAGTGCTTCGTCTCGGTTGAAATGCTCCGGTGTCACCTCGGTGTATTGGGAGAGTCGGTTCGACCCGACCCGGAGGGAGTATAGCTGATTGCGATAGACATTGCGACGGACAGAGAGCGGGTCGCTGGGTGCAGGCTGTGGTTGGTGCAGACGAGTTCTTTGACGACGGCGTTGTTGTCCTCTTAACCGGGTTTCATGCGGTAAAGGCGCGCGGACTGTAGTTCCGCGGGCGTTGACGGGAGGGACAGTGTATGTCTTTGGGCCTCGAGGTCCCTTCACGTCATACTGTACTGCTGTGAGATTGGCCTTGCCTGTATCGTATTCACAATCAGTCTCTTTCCCTCAAGCACGATCAAAGCGCACGTACATAAAGGACAATTTGGCTGCTGCTCTAGCCAACTAAGCAGGCATAGATAATCGAAGTTGGCATGGTGGCAGGGTACTCCGACACATGGCTCTGTGATGGTATCCAGACAAATGACGCAGGGATCAGCACCCTCGGCCTCCTCGTCCGCTACCTCCTGTAGGGTCTTCTGGAGGATTCGTTGCTGCAAATCTCCATTCTCTGCCATGAAGGCCGGGAGTGGAGAAGCGGAGGACAGGAAGGAGCTGTTGGGGAACATCTCTTATCGTACTTTCTTATCGCCAAGTCACGTTAGAGGAGGGACCGCCCGCGGCAAAAACCCTCGATCGAAGCTTCCCAAGCTGTCCTGGGCCGAGTCACTTGCAAGCTTCTCCAGACAGGGCAGATCATTTCAATCGATCGCAATCTCGAGGTCTGCGCGATCTTCGTGATATGAACTAACCTGGTAGCGAAAGGACTGTTTCCGCCACGTCAAGACGAAGACGCGCAATTGAGTCAGAGACATCTTGAGATAACGACGTGAAAACTCTCGATGCGATCAGCCAAGGCAGTTATCTCGGAGAAACTTGTGCGCTTGGGTACTTCAACTGCAGCGATGTCTTACGGCACCGCGACCTCCCAGCGGGGTCCCTCACATACCCTGACCTCGCTTAAGCGCTGGTCAGTCGCGACCAAAGACCTCCCAGGTGAGAGGGCTGGATGTGCCAGCGAGACTGTGGCCTCTTCTGTGAACTTGGAACTAACAGTTGCCTGTGGCTTAGCTGTCTCACAAATCAAGACCATCCATGTCTACGACTTTGACAATACTCGTGAGAATCATCGATCGTCTCGTCATCCAAGACCGCAGATCTGACTGAACCTGCTTCCTAGTGTTCCTGAGCCCCCTCCCCAACCCACAACTATGGAATGGTTCGACCATTGGATTCCTGCAGGCCTGGGAAAGTTTCGCAAATGGCGGGTGGTGGCACGACCCCAACATTTTGTCTTCTACTGGCAAGGGTATGGAGATTGAGGAGCCAAGAGCATGGAATGGATGGTGGAACGAACAAATTGTGGGACCCCCGGTGTTTTCCTCTGACTTGCCAGGTTGATCATAAGCTGACACTGTTAAAGCTGCGCTTGGTGAGATTGAGCATGGATCAAAAGGATGCGCTGACCGTGCTCCTCACGGGTCGAGGTGAAGCCAACTTCGCACCGATCATAAAGCGCATGGCAGCAAGCCAGCAATTGGACTTTGACCTCATCGGGCTAAAGCCAGAAGTCGGACCAAACGGTCAGCAATTTGCATCAACAATGATGTTTAAGCAAAAATTCCTCGAGGACCTTGTTTATACATACGACCAGGCTGACGAGATTCGCATCTATGAAGACCGTGTGAAGCAGTACGTTTTCTTTCCTCTGGGGAGTTTGGTGTCATAATACTTACATCAGTCTGCAGTGTCAAGGGCTTCCGAGACTTCTTTGGCACATTGAACCGGAGTTTGCAAGCTGGACATGGCCCAGTGCCTCGAAAATCCCTCAATGCTGAAGTTATCCAGGTAACCGAGGGGTGTACATATCTCGACCCCGTCATTGAAACTGCGGAAGTACAGCGAATGATAAATTCTCACAACCTTGCCCGCCGCAACCCATCTCTGGAAAAGGTCAAGTCCCGAAACACTCGGCTACGTATCAAACGAACGGTGTACTACACGGGATACCTTGTCTCGCAACAGGATTCACAACGCATAATTGACGAGATTTTGAGTCCAATGTTCCAACAGCAAGGACTTGCTGAGTCGACTGAGGTGAAGTACATGGCTAACAGCATTCTGATCACACCACGTCCTGCCACTGCATCCATTCTGAGTAAGGTTGGAGGCATGGGAAAGAAAATGAGCTGGCAAGTGACTGGACTGGGAGTGTTCGAGAACAAGGTTTGGGCCGCTCAAGTGGTGCCTATTCCCTCCATTGAACCCGTGCACACGGAGAACCCCTCACCACTCATCGTTCTGGCTTGTCGCAGAGGATCTCGTCCAGCCGATGCAGGCAAGATTCACAACTGGCAGCCCATTCCAGCCGGGATGGCCATGAAGATTGACACTGTCGTTGGCGAGAAAGTTGTCTTGCGAGTTGAGGAAGACAACCCGTACGAGGGCGAGTGGGATAGCCAATTTGCCAACCGAAGCCACAAGAGGCGCCATCAACAGGAACGCGATGAAGACATTCTTTATCCTCACGGGAGCCATGGCAGTGGAGGCTATGAGGCTATGAACCAAGCACAGTCACAGGGTTATCACCCATACCATCGTCCCGGTGGCGACCGGCACTCGAATGATGAAGCCTCCCGGCGAGGTTCTCACCGAGGTCGCGGTCGTGGAACTGGCCGTGGTCGAGGCTCTGCCCGTGGGGGTCGTGGTCGTGGTCGTGGGGGTCGCGAAGCTGGGTCAAACCCGTACTACAAGTCCCTTGATGACCAGGGGGTTGGTGGATATGACGGACCTCACGACAAAGGTGGCAATGGAAGTGGAGGATTTCCAATGGACTACTAAGGTCCAGAGTGCCTGTATGTTTAGTTTATTTATCGATTGGGGTGGTGTTGCTCTTTCCTATCACGTTTTTACGGCTTCTGTTGCATCGGTTATGGCGCACATCGGCTATGGAGCTGGCAAATCCGCAGACATTGTTACATTGTTGTCACTTAGGGAGTCCGTCTATCTTTATGAACATACTATTATAGATAGTCCATAGCAAAACAGAACCATCAAGTTTTCCATTACCCCGCATTCCTTCAGCTCTTAGTCCTCGACCATATCTGCCCATTTCACAATGGGAAGCTCAGTGACCATCTCCGGGCCGAGTTTTGAAATATTGTTTAACCAAGACACCCTATGACTGAAGAACTTTGACTTGAAGCTGAAAGAGCGTATTGATTGGTTTAGGTTATTTGATTTCCATTCACTGAGATTTAACTATCTAATACGGCATTCGACCAAACGTTGTAGACCAAATTTTATGCAGTAAACAAAACTGATAGATCAACCAGCCGAGGCTAGATCAATTCGATAATTCAGCACGGAGAAACATTGGTTTATACATGGGTAAAAATGAAACGCCTCAAACCCACAAGCAAAATTGAAAGGCGATAAAAAATACGGCAACCAGAACACCGGCCGCAAGGCTGTACAAGAAACTTTCACATCTGACGGTTCATGATATTCAATCAAAATCAGCTCGGCATATCCTGACGGTGGAAAAAGATAGCCCGTAAAGACCCATTGCATGCAAATGTCATGTAATGGGAGGATCCCTGATCCTCTGATATGTTCGTAGATACCCAGATTGTCCAAGTCCAACCATTTCCTGTTCCCAGATGGGAGTTGTCCTCCCAGATTTCATGTTCCATAGATTCCATTCCGTGTGTTGCAAGCCATGGTCGTTGGCTCGTAGATTCGGTATTATTCGTGTCCCGTGCGTGTCATTCGGTTATAAGGCGTTGAGGTATGTGTAGCGTGTCGAGAGGTAACATGTGCAAAACGTAACAAATAAATGAACAAATGATAAAAGCAAAAATCAACAGTCAACAACCATCTAGTCATCGTCTGTCAATTTCCTGAGCATGCTTATGCTGAGGATCATTATGAGGAGGCCGATGGTGACGATGACCAACAACACAAAACCGAACCAACCCAACACCATGGCAGAGGTACCAACGCCGCTCTTGACGACGCTGTTACCCATATCTTGGGCTATCGTACTGGCGGCAACGGACGCTGTGTGTTGCCATAATACTGATACCAGCACAAAGACGGAGGACACGAAGATCAAGGCAAGAGCAGTCTGGGACACGGGTCTTGAGGGGAAAGGCTTGACTTCCACGGCAGAGCCGGACTCATCAGGTTCCTCGTGCCAGCCAGGGAAGGTTGCGAGGAGGATGAAGCAGAAGAAGGCGAGGATGACAGCGACGATACTGGATGGAATTAGCTTGACTCACTGACATGGTAACAAAGTAACAACTTACAGAAGGTATGGGAACACAACTGCGTCCTTGAATGTTGACGCAACCCAGATCAAGTTGAGTGGATCGGCGTCGACATTAACAATCTCGGCGAGGGCAGTGGCATTGGCGTTACAGATGAACGAGCCTCCATCGGGCTGAACACAGATGCCAAAGTATCCCACGCGGACTTCCAACTCGGCACTACGCACAATGTTGGACATGGCCGTTACCACACCAGGGTCGACTTGCGCGAGGTCTAGAACCGGCTTGTACTTCTCATAGTACATAGAGATAAGGAAGATATTGGGGATCTGCGGGGAGGATGAGGAGCATCCGGCCAATAACAGTGCTGTAGATGGTTAGTACACATTCCAGTCGGGGAAAACGTGGGATAATGTGAAAGCAATGCCAACCATGACGTACATAATAAGATAATCGCAACTGCGATGAGAATCATCAACACATGGTGGTATCCCACCATGGGAATGAATCCTGCAGATTAGCATTAGCAAGTTTGTCTAGTAAAGTAATGATAGGAATCTGGGGGTTTGACGTACGGGTAACGCCCTGTGCAAACGGAATTGCCATTGTGACGGGTTATGGCGCACAAGCAGCTACCTCTTTCTAGATCGTCAAATAGACTCACTTCTCGGGGCTCCGAGAAGGAGTTTGAGAAGCTGAGTGTAGAGTCAGAACCTCCACTCAAACGCCCGCGGCGCTGCTATGAAGCTCGACGAGGATAGACGGCCGTCACTTGGCTTCGAAGATAAGATCGTTGGTATGGAATGTGGAGGAGAACGAGGAGGAATGTGGGAGATAAGATGCGAGATAGGTCGAAGATCGAATTGATTTCTGGCCGTCGAACTCGAAGTCGAATGCACACCAGATGACAATTGAGTAGAATAAGGCGTGTCTTCGGATCTGGGTCGCACCTAGATAACAGACTTGATACTGGTCAGAAGCTTCGAAGCCTTTCACAAAGCAGGAGTAAATCGATTTGTGTTAAAGGATAGGAATGTGTAGAAGGAATGGAAAGGGGGAGGGAAGGAGAGAGAGCGTAGCTGCAGTCCAGGAAAACCACTTCAGACTCAAAATTGTCACGATGCAGCCCTTTGGAGGCTGGGGATGGAGACGGATGTATGGGAATCTGGGAGGCTGGGCCAACCGTCATTGTTTACCTTCCCGCTTCCCGGGAAACCAGGCCTGACCGCTTTCTGTTTCAGATGTTCTGTCAGGGACAACCGGGCGCCAGCTGGATCACGCTAGTCCCGAATGGGGCTAGCGCTGGTCATCTTAAAGTTGGCCCCACCGCGGGTCGCCCCCCAGCCTCCAGTTTATTTGCCCAACCAACACAGCAATACTTGGATGGACATTACGCTGGAGCCTACGGAGTACAGAGACTAGAGCATCAAGTTTCAATCATGGGAAGTGCGACACAACCAAATTATGTTATTAGGATAGTAGAAATGCTTCGCCTAATCAACACAACAAATAAAACATAAAACACCATCAACTCCATGCCCGAATTGCCAGAGAGGGATCCCGCGGCCAGGAAAATGCACGCCAACAAAGACTCCAATCCAGTCCAGTACTCCATATCCCGAATTCAAATGCATGATGCCTAGTTCACCGCAAACGAGAAACGCTTCAGATCCAATGGGGTGGTCTGTGCAGAAATGCTATGATCCTCTTCGTCTTCTTCATCGCTGTCAGGAATAATCAGGTCTTCACTACCCTGCATGCCAGTGCTGGAGGCTCTGGGTGCAAGCAGGGACTCTCCATCGCTTCGTGAGTCCATGGAGTCGGCCTGGCGAAGCTTAGTTGGAAAGTTGATAGATTGAGACCGAGTTAGTGCTGCCTGCCCCATGCGCTGCAACGGGGTTAATCGCTGACGCTGTTGGGCACGGTTCTGAGCAGCCACTGAGGGCGTCCGGGGCGACGCAAGTGGTGTGGGTTTGTTGCCGGATTGAAAGACAGGGATCCTGGTCATTGGGGATCGATTAGACGAAGCCTTTGATCCCGCGTCAAAGGTGTATTTCGAAAGAGTTGCCGAGTTCTGTCGCTGAACGTGATAGTCTAGGGCTTGATCAAACTCGCAACTTTCAGATGGTTCATCCGCAGTTCGGGTTTCATCTTTCGGCAGTGCATCGCTGTCTTCAGATTGTGGAATAGATGGACTACCTTTCTCGCTCTCGACATCTGCCTCCAGTGCACTTTGGATTTTAACTGGTGTTTCCATGGCATCTTGCACATCTTGCACATCTTGCACATCTTGCTTAAAGTCAGGGTCGAGAATCCCAGAGAAAATATCTTCAGCCACCTCATCGGAGAAAACGTCCAGGTTCGACTTGCGTTGTTTCTTGGTTCGAGAGACTTTCTGACCACTAGGGCTTGCTTTGTCGGCATTGGGGGTAAAGAAGCGGCTCCGAAGGTCTGGACACGCCGGGAGCTGATCATCATCGGTTTCAGAGCATAGTCTCTGTCGCTTGACAGGCTGGAGAGTAGATGCCTTCGCGGTTTGTGCGAGGAATGAATTGCGCTCAACACTCCGAACCATAGGGCTGCGGCCCTGATCAGGCATGGCCCGGAAAGAGGATGATCTATTCAGAGCCGAGCGATAGGGAGAAAAGTTTGCTTGCCAGGAGTTGTTCGCATTCCGTTCCAGAATCAGTTGCTGGCTCGGGGACGGGGTGAGACTGTTCGGATCCAGCTCGCCCAGCGGCATCCGCTTTGGGGTCCAGGTCGAACTGATCGGCTTGCTTGGTTTCAGCTCGGAAGATGACCCCAGAGTCTGACGGCGCATAATCCCCGGGTGGAATTTACCTCTAGCCAACGGTTTCAACTCAATCAGCTCCTTGGTGGTCGGGTCCAAGTCACCGCAGGCCACGCCAGCCGCAACCTCTGCTGCCACGTCCGCGCCAATAAATGGCAGCTCATCAAGATTGATCCCATCTTCTGGCGCTGTGAGAGTCACCAGCTTCTTGGCATGCGGGCAAAACACCCGCTGGTAGAGGAAAGTAAGCTCCGCCTGCTGGAATTTCGCGTGGTAGTCAGCTGGGACTTGGATATGGTTCTCGAACTGCAACATGCGCAAGGTCTTCTCCACTGTTCGATGCTTGCGAATACTGCGATAGGCAGTCTTCAATCCCATCTTGGGAATATTGGCCAGATAGTCACACCCACTTAGAATGCACATCCGACGGAAATCTGCATCACTCCAGCCAACTAGGCTAACCTCACGACAAGCGGTGAAGTCTGCCCGATTAATTTCGATGCAATCTCCATGTTGGTCCATTTTGGACAATAGTCTCTTCGCACCGAAAACCAACAAATCCGAGTCCTCGGAAATGATCCCATGAATGAGACCATGCTGCTCCAAATACACAAGCTGAGCATCTGCTTCATATGGTGCCACAACATATTGAACATTCATCTTCTTCAATTCTTCAATCAACTGGCGGGCCATGTATGGCGTTACATCAACGGCCTTCTGGAACTCCTGGTAGGCTTCTGCCATACGACCCTTGCGTTGGAGGTCCAGTCCTAGTGCCTTGCTCTCCTGACGTCGTCGATATCGCTCTTGCTCCGTGCCGGCTTTACTGGGGAGGTTATCGCCGTCGAAGACAAGGTATGGGGTGACGCCGAAGAAGAGGAGCATGCGGACACGATTGAGGACGAAATCGAGATGTCTGTGATCCGCATGTTAGACCGATGGTGCATACGGCTCAAACTGGCCATGTAGGGTTCTTACTTTCTGGTAGGCCTATCCAGGACCAATTCCACGGAGCAGGCCACTGTACCACGGTGGAGCCATCCATAGGCATCGACGCCCAGGGTCTGCCCGGTAAACTTCTTCACATGACAGGGATTTTGTATGGACTTGAGAAGCCCATGAAGTCCTGTGTCCTGTCAGCTTATCCAAGGTCTGCCTTGACCCGACCGAGGCGACATGACATACCCTTGATACCCATGGTGGGCACCGTTTAAAGGGCAAGCGGGTCCTCGTATGTACTGACGAAAGCAGACCATGTATGTTCAGAAACAACCGATGTTCAAAGGGTTGAAGAACAAAAAAGTATGAACAAGACCAGACGGATGCAGAATCACCGAAGAAATCACCCCATGGCTGGTTGCTGGAATGTTTGTTTCCTGGTTTGTTCCCCTCGACGCGCAGACGCGATGCCTCGCGCATTTGGGAAGGCGGTGATGTCGTCGCGACTTCCATTGACCGCCTAATTCTGCAAGCCGCTCGAAAATAATTATCGCTGCCCGCTCCACTAGTTAGTTCAATAGTTCAAGCAATTCAAGCAATTTTACAAGCAAACAGCCACCATGCCAAGTGTCTCCCTTTCCAAGGTGCATAAGCACATTTCCAAGAAGCGCGGCGCTATGAACTCGATGCACGAGAATAGCCGTGACGCCAAACGTCTGCGCCGTGCGGGCTCCCGAGAGGAACGAGTGTCCCACCATGCGGGAATGACCCTCAAAGCTCGCCAGCCATACAGTGAGTACAATGGCTGAAAACTTGAATGCCATTGTGCGATCTAACCTTCAACTAGTGGAGCGCATTAAGTATTTCCACGATGTCGTTCAAACTGTCGAGGAACCCTTGTCCGATGCCCAGCTCGCCGAGATGATCCAGAAGTATGTGCACTATCACGGATTCTCTCTTCGAGACTCGAGACTAACGTGCTACAGGTGCATCCACCGAGACCAAGAAGAAATCGTACAGCTCAAGTCCGAGCGCCGAAAAGGTCGGCCACCCACCAGACGAGAGGAGCTTTTGAGCCAACGGACAGAAACGGAGGAGAAGGAATTCAAGACTGGGTTCTGGCTGCCCGACATGGGAGATGCAGATGTACTGCACGCTTTGAAGCACTGGAACGGCATTTGGGCCGGACTCAGCTCAGTGAAGTTCATTCGAATCACACAAGAAGGAGCCAAGCAGGCCTCAACCTTCCCACCCAAAGGCATGTCATGATTTCGGGATGTTTTCTTGTTAAGTGGGACAATTGGCGCATACGGAGTACATGGCCCTATTTCTCTCGTCGTATATAAAATTCTTGCATCTGCATTCAATATTGCACTGTTCATAATCATATTCTATATTGTTCCGAATCGCAAATAATTGATCAATCCCTTGATGCTGTCAAAAAGAAAAGTATTCGGCAGATCTGCAGGCCAAACTTGGGCGGTCCCAAAAAAAAAAGCGTGGGTCTTGGCGCTAGCATCATCGGTTGAGCTCGGCCGCGTCTTTTTCTCCTTCGAAGCTCTCTCCGTCCAACACATCCCCGGATTCGATTCATATCATCCACCGCCACAATGCTGTCGCTCCGTGCCTTGACTCGATCTGTCCCGCGCTTCTCGCGCTCCATCGCCCGCACTTCTCTGCGCCCGACCACCCTGGCCAAGCCCGCCATCGCGCAGCCCTGGAAGCAGACCATCAAGCCCGCCTATGCTGCTTTCTCGACTGCCAGTGTCTTCCGGGAGCCCGCTGGTGAAGGTAAGTGGACAAATTCAGTCCTTATCCAGCATCTAGCTCAGGGATACAAATCCGATGCGGGCGTGCGCTTTTTTCTGTAAACTAACGTCCTTTATGGGTTTTTCAGGTGACATTGAGCTCATCGCCAAGCTTGAGGAGGAGCTGAAGCACGAGAAGGCTTCTGGCCAGGAGGATGCCAAGGAGCAGCAGGCCAGCATTGACTACACTCTGGAGGCTGGTCAGTGGCAGGCTAAGGATGTCGAGGGTGAGCAGGAAGTCGTCCTGACCAAGACCTTCGGTAACGAGACGTGAGTTTTTCACAATCTCAGCACTCGGCCCATCCATGACTGACCGGTATTCATTCCCTAGCATCCGTGTCACCTTCACCGTCGCCGACATCAACAACCTCGCCGAGGACCCGATGGATGATCTCGCCGACGATGCTCTCGCCGACGAGGGCGACTACCAGAACAAGCCCGCCGAGAGCGAGGACGAGATCCTCCCCCCGACCTTCCCCGCCCGCATCAACGTCACCATTGAGAAGCCCGACAGCGGTGCTCTCCTGGTTCAGGCCGTCATCCAGGACGGTGACCTCCAGATCGAGGAGATCTCCCACTTCAAGAACGCTGAGATCGCCAACGCCCAGACTGCTGAGAAGGACTGGTCCCGCCAGAGCTTCTATGCTGGACCCCCTGCTGAAAACCTTGACCCTGAGCTCCTTGCTTTCTGGGGCCGCTACCTTGAGGAGCGTGGCCTGAACCTCGAGTTCCAGAACATGGTCACCGATTACATTGCCTTCAAGGAGCAGAAGGAGTACGTTCGCTGGCTGGAAAGTGAGTTTACATGCGCTACTACTATAAGCGAAACATTTACTAACACTATTTCATAGACGTCCGCAAGTTCGTTGCTGCTTAAATGATTCTTGGAATCTCAACCTTTCCCTTACCACCTCACCTCATGGAATTGTCGTCAACTACGTGAATTTGCGTGGAGGAACGTTCCAATCTGCCCACCCCGTGTTACTCTCCCCTTTCTCTGTGATAGCTCGCCTAGTGAATCGGTCTTCCTTGGCGCTACCAGCTCATACAGTCCGAACATGTACCAATAATTTCTTATCATATATGCACAATCGACCCTTTGAAGTTATCTTTCGTGTCTCTTATTCCAGGACAGTGTTCCACCCTATATTGACAACGTTAGCTTCAAAAATCCATCATGATCTGATCGATACTCGGCTCAAGAACACCGGATTAAACCTGTTTGTTTGCTCTAGACAGGTCAAGAGTTAATTCCAGTCAAACCCCGTCAAGAAGGCCCCGCGGTAACCTCGTAGTAGCATCTCGCCACTAGTCCGTACATCTCTGGCGAGTGGAAGATGTTCTAAACCGCTTAGTTTCAATGCACTCGTCTACTTAATGAATGCCGCTCCCGTCTCCCTACCTATTGATGATCGAGTTTAATTACCAGGTGGCCAGTAGGGCGGAGTTACTGGCCCTGAAACCTGTCTAGGCGGTGCGGTTCTCGAGAGGTCTTCTTTTTTTCTAATTTTTCCATCCGAGACGTTAGAGACACTCTTTATTATTAGAATACTTTTTAGATTTCATGTTGGCTTAAGTTGTGTGGCCAAAGTGGTACGGTGCCATCAAGTTGAACCTCAACCTTCCACAAACCTGTAGCCAATAATCGCGTCGCTAGGTATATATTTCATCATAATTGATTTGTAATAAAACACAGCCGTTTACAAAGGGTGATTTAAATTATTTGCCCCAATTCTTGGAGCTCGTCGAGCTGTATGTTTTGCACGTCGTAGTCGGAGGTAAAGGCTTAAGGTTCCTGCGTGAAATATATATCGCATAACGCGAACGGAAATTATCCTCCGTTAAGGTCATCCAGCGACAACCGAAATTGAAAAAGAAGTGGATATATAGACTTGGAACAATCTCCACCTTTATGTCTAAACAACAGATCAAGGAAGGAGTCTATGAAGCCCCGACCGAGGCAAAATTATCTTGATAGCTCCTAGAATTGGCCATGGATACACTCACCATTCAACCAATCGCGCATCGGATACGACACACACTCGGTGCCTTGGGCATCGAGTCCCAGAGAGCTAAGCCTCTCCACTGCACCCTGCTCTGGGACGGCGGATTCAACCTTTATAATACATTCGAGTTGACTTTCTAACAGCATTGCTCGGCGCTGGGCCCACCAGCAACGGTCTGCTGGTAGGAGACGACGGACCGCGCGGAAGAAGTGCAACAGGAGGAACAGGGCTCGTCGGGCGTGGGTGGCTACAAGTGATCGGAACGTGTGGCAGAAGTGAATAGGATAGGAAAAGAGGTATCGAATGATATCCGAGATTCGGACAGCAGGCCCACGGTCATGATTAGTGCCATTAGAAATGACTGGCTCGTCCTGGATGGCGACGGAAGAGAACATCAGGGCCAATATAGGCGCCAGTCGACCGGCCGACTCTGAATACGCCGCGAGGGCAATCGGGTCGTCAACAACACGATCTGGAGTCACTTGTGGTTCGGAGCTATCCGTGCTCTCCACAATTGATGAGCCATGAGAGTCGTATCCTCCCAGAAGATATGATTCCATACGACCTAAAGAGTTGTGCGGCTGTTGCTGTCGTTGCACGGCCTCGACAATGCGGACCCGGGGCCTCTCAAGTGCATAGGTATGGAAAGGGCTCTCACTATCTGTAGCAAGAGCACCCGTCTTCCAAAACAAATAGCGTAGGCCGACGGACAGATTCATCAGTGGATCAGATGAGAGATCTAATTCGCTTGCGAGCTCGCGAGAAATGGCTGGCGACTCTGATAAGGTGAGGGGAACGGCCGCTTGATCTATGCTAGACCACGCATAGTGGTACAGCAACAGCGATACGGCAATGAGCGCATCTCCAGGAGTACTTGAGATGGGATTGGACAAGGCATCTTGATAACCATGCAACGTCTTGGCCAGATAGTTACGCGCTGCATTGTGATACTGGCCCCGTTGCCGGTCTGTGGATGTCGCGAGGACAGACCGATGCGTTGCAGCAATCAGAAGAATGGCATTGTGGAGGTAGTCAACCTAAAAACAAAAACGCTGTGAGCATAGACCAGCATTACTTTGAAAGAGATGATGTAACTGCCCTATACATACCTGAAGGGATAAACGCAGCAACGGCCCTCGCCAGAGCTCTGGAGTAAAGACCAAGGTAGTGGCCGTATGTGTGACGAAATGATGCATCAATTCTCTCTGGAAGTCACACTCCTCCACCAGACATAATGCCTCTAAGCTGGGCCTTGTCGGAGGTGAGATCTCTCTCCGCCGAGGGTGCTTTCCTTGCGTCACTGGTGGAGATGATGGAGACGCACTTGAGGCTCGAGATGATTCTGGGTTTGACCGAACGCAATTTCCTTCTCTCTTCATGCAGTTACCACACTTTGGGACTGCTTCGTCGCACTATATATAACAAGGATCAGCGTTCCACTCATCAATTTCAAAGCGAGAGAGCCGAACGAACACTCACCTTGATTCGGCGCTGCTTGCAGGCTATACAACCATTGCGAGACTTGGTATGTCGACGTCGCAGCCGTGGACCTTCACGCAAGTTATGCACAAGATCTACCCGCTTCTGGTGGAGAGTACTGTGGGAAATGTTCACGAATCGCTCATCAGAAGAGCGATTAGTGGTCTTCCAGAATGCTGTAGATGACATTGAGACGGTGGGATATCCTTGCAGGAGATAATTCAATCTCGCTGTCAGTTTGGGGTAGCATACCCGAGTAAAATCAAGTCAAGGGTACGATCATTAGGCATCCGCAAATCTTTTGAAGGTGTCCGTGAGATATATGCGCCTATAAACACAGGATTTTGCCCACCGGGTGGGGCTATCCTGTCTGGGCTGCCGCCGCTTTAATGAGGGCGCTCAGGCTCAGCCTCACTGAGTAGATATCAGCAGGGGCTCATGCTCAGTGATCTGGTCAGTGCAGTCATGGGATCGCTCAATGATCGCTCAGCCACTGCTTACTCACCAGCACTCATTGTCCAGTCAGCGAGCCGTACTTCTTTTCTTCTAGCCCAAGCAGACTACACCTAAAATGGACATGTGCCGCAGGGTCATCTATTCTGTGAAGACTAGTGCGTAATGGTGCGTAGGAGGTCCCCCCTAATCTAGAGGTCTCCGGCTAGTCAAAAACCTGCGCTGTTAACCCTAAACAAAAATAAAATTAAGGCGGCCTGTCCTGTTCAAGATTATGTTTAAAGTGGCCTTTGCACAATATCACATTATATAATCTAAAATATAAAAGGAGACTGGAATGGAAGTTTGGAGGCTGCCTTGTCTAACGGTGAGGACGAGGAGATTCCTTTGGCCCTAGCAGAATCCTAGGCTTCAGAACCGTCTTGGACCTTTATTCCCGCTGTCTTGGGGTGGAATCCTAGATGGCTACGGTCTGAGGACGGTGGCCCGCGATCAGGCCGGAATCGGGAAGTAGGATTTAAGGCCCCTCCTTTGAGCCCTTTGTCTGAATCTCTTCAAGATTCAAGTTTGTGTTATCTATACAATCAGAATTGACTCATACTGTTCTACCTCCGGTACGCTATCTTTGTGTTACCAAACTCCCTACCTGATCAACTAGTATTATTCTACTAGAGAGCCTTTACCCTTACAATTTCTGAATCTTCTTCTTCAGTCACTTAAGGAAGATGGTTAATACAAGGGCTATACGTTCTACTAAGCCTACTTCTGCTTTTGCGGAACGAGAGAATATCCTCTCTTCTCTATCCTCTGAGCGAATAGGCAGCGTGTCTCCTACTATTCAGCCCTGACCCAAGGCCTTCTACCCTGCAAGTACATAACCCCTTTAAACCTCCTATCAGTACCTTACTGTGAAGGAAAATATAGGGAGTCTCCTGACAAGATTACTTTCTCTTCGAAAGTATCTTTTAATAAGGCCCCGTGGGGGACTGCTGGGTATATGGGCACCACGGGCGATGAAGCTGGCCAGGTATGAGCTCATCTCGAAGGCCTTTATCAAGGATGTCATGCGAACCTTTCACCAAACCATTAGAGGGCTTTTCAGAAAGCTTCTGCTTGCCGATTGATCCAGTCAACTACGTCATGCATTTAGAGGATCTTGAGACGATCCTCAAAATTCAGTTGAAGTTTGAATGCACACTCTAGTTACCACCTTTTCACTATCTAAATAACCCCTTTTCTATACTCGTGACTCTGTAGCCATTTCCCTCTACCTGACCCTCAGGTCTCTTCTTAATTTCGATTTGATTGAGAAAGTCCTACCCCTTACATTTATTCCATTAGTCGGATTAGCGAAGGTCTTATCTGGAGGAAGTATAGCTAAATTAATAGCAACTAGATCACTTGACAAGACAATTAAACTCTAGTATATCTGTAGGACTTGCCTTATAACACTAGTTACGCATGTCAACCAGGTACGAGTAATTATGTTCTATCCTAGAAGCAAATACCTTCTTTCTATGTCAGACGACAAGATATTGCGTTACTAGAACTTAAGCCAAGAAGAAAAATGCGTTAAGACGCGTAGTGATGCATATAAATTGGGTTCATCCCTTGTGTAAAATGGGCTCCTGGAGTAGTTATAGACATATCCACGGAGGCTACTCGTGCCTCCAGGGGACATACATCAGAAGGCACTGAGATTTTGAAGGATAAGGTAGCAGAGAAATATGTCATGTCTGATGTGCAGATCCGGCGCATTATCGCTATAAGTGACCTGGACTAGAAATTACAAATATTCGCGGGCTAATGATGAGTTGATGATTGTCCATGAGGACTTGATCTCTGCTCTTCTCATCGAGAAGGAAAATAATAGTAAAATATTCTACTCTCCCGACCTAGTTGGCTCCATTGTCCGTCGCACACGCCGGCAACCACCAAAAAGCCTCTAAATCGTACCATAAAATCTAACTAGAAGTTGCAAAATCTCTCTCTCAAACCAGAAAAAGCTGATGCGCAACTACCTTGACCTCTTTTCAGATCCCTGGTTTCAGACCTTTGAACTGCCACTGTATAATATACAAAATGCGAAGATAGACCCTATGTCCTACGCGTCGAATGTAGTGGTTTAGAGTGCACATTCGGCCTTGATAACCTGTCTGACTTTCACCAACCCGAATCAGAATAGGCCTCATGCCCGCAAAATGTGTCACATTTTCTCAACCTGGATGCTGGTGGGTACAGTAACCGTGCTGGTCATAACGCCAAGCTTCTCTACGGAGAGTCTTGTGACAATACTACCTGCGATGGAATCGTTTATCCCAACGTTAAACATTTATAAATTCTAGCTTTGTCAGTGTAAGAGAGCTCTTAACTTGGACTCGGCCTTGGACTCACTATTCAGGAGCGCAAAGTATGTGTGCGAGCTGCGTTAACATGGTCTGTGTCGTAATAAACAGCTCTTGTGAGACTCTACATCATGTTCTCAATCCGGTCCCTCCGATTGACCATCGATACGTCCGAGTGATATGCTGGCAAAGCGTCACGTCGGCCGAGCTAGGCACCTTTCCCCACTTGACCCGGGCCAACGCAATATGCAGCAGTCGACGCATTTTACGCTAAAGCAATGAATTAGTCTTCAAGTTGCATTGTGTTAAGGGCCGGGCTTTTTGCAGATAGACACACCTGATGTTCCGCAGGGGTGACGGAGATGACAGACTCTAATGCGCGGACAAACGTCTCTCCAGCGGCGCCGAGGCTGGAGTCAAGGTCTTGGCTGGAGGGTGACAAGGTCATGTATGCAATCGCGGAGCCCAGAAATAGAAACACGTCACAATATAGAGGGCTGAAGCTGAACTCAGACTCTAGTAAAAAGACGTCGCGAAGTGCCTCTGACGCTTGCACGACAGACATTGAGATATTCCGGTGAGTGGCCGTGTTCAAAAGAGCATCCCTGTCGACTCCTTCGACTGCGTCAGTCATATCCCATGTCGCTGAATTCAGCAAAAATAAGATGCGGACCAAGAGCCGCGCGTACGCTGGAAAGATCTCGGTCTTATAGGAGCAAGCAGTGAACGAGAATCCCCCATCGGAATTGTTTTGAGCGTTCCCGCTTGGTGGAGTGTCGAAACCCTGCGCGAGACGTTCAAGTTGCACACGAAAGTCGTCACCTGCAGTAATGTCCGAGTTCAATGGCTGGTAACCCGTCCTCCCTGCAAGCCTCCGTCGCATGAGGGATTGACGGTGATCAAGTAACGTCTCGAGTGCAAGACTAAACGGCACGAAGAAGCCGAAAATATCAGAAGGGGTGTTTGAATCCAGTGACGACGGCGGGCGACCACCAAACTGCGGCTCGTTACTATGGTCGGTCGTCGGAACGCCTTGCCAGGCCAACTCGCATATTGGCATCGACACCTCCTGGCATTCGAGGTTGGTGATGGATACTGGGACGTTGTGAGACAACGCCAGCTGTTTGTCCCATATATACAGGCTCCACCAAACTCGGCGACTTTCCTCCAACTCTTCCCTGGTTGCAAAGACAAAGCGATAATCGGACCCATCAATGACCTTGTTATCTCTCACCCCAATAGAAGACTCTTCGGTATCATTAGGGTCGGGAGATTTGAACGGGGAGTCGGCATAAACGATGCTTCCTGTCGATGGGACTGAGGACGGTTCCCCGTTGGGCGACGGCCGCTCCTGCACCCGCTGCGATGGTCCATGGCCCATGACATCTGCGTTTAGTCTGTATTCCTTGGCCAACTGAAAGGCAGTGTACCACCACCTCGTCGCAAAAGAACCGACCTCTGTCGTCATGGAGACTAGTGCAAGATGCATATAGGTGACGACCTCATCTACAAAGCGGTGTCTGCCGCTTGACATGGCAACAGATGAATGAGGTTCATACCGATCGCCCGAGTCAGTATTTTTGGTTGCCATGTGATCGGAATAACCCTCTGTAGTTCGGGAAACCAGGTGTCGAGGGTCGTGCAGGAAGTGGAGTGTCAGTTTAAAAAGACTGCGCAAGAGTCGGGCACGAGCAGTAGGAGAAGCGCCGAAGAAGGGCGATTCTGTCGTGGCAGCCGCGACCAGAAGCATACTTGATAACAGCGCGAGGGAACTTGGTCTCCCTTGGGTGGGAGATGTGAAGGAGGAACGCCGAAAGATATGGCACAACAGTAGAGGGGAGGCTGGAATGCATAGCCCTTCAGATTTATCGGCAAAATAAGAGTCCAGGAGATCACAAGCTAACTCAGACGAGATATCTTGGTCGAGGTAAGGGTACAGCGGTTCCAATACGGCGTATCTCCGCTTGATGGGCAAGCTCGATGGTGGTCGTTCCGCACAGTGCCTCTGTTCACCTGGGCGCGCACCCGGTGAGAGAATAGACAACTGTGGAGGCGGCCGGTGAGCGAGGTCATCATGGTCTGGGGGTTCCTCGGGGATGGCGTGGGGCAGGCGAGGGTTACCAGGCTGGTCGAGTTGGCTGTCGACGATAATCCGACTTCCATTCCAAACATCCACTAGCTCGTCAGGAAAAAGAGAGCGCTGACCGGCTGTTGTGTCGTTGGCAAGCTCGGCTCCCAGGAGATGGGCATGCCGTTCCCCTGGTCTTCGTTGCTGATGTCCGCTTCGGGTTGAGCTTGATCCGAGTCAACATTGTGCGCATGGCCAAGGTGGGCAACATCCGGAGGGAGCAGATCTAGGTCCCCCTGCAATACCTCTGCACCGCTCACAGTCCGGTCGAGAAAGCTGTTGTTGGTCAATATGTTTGGCCTTGGGGATAGCATGTCAGCTGAGAACAAGCTCTTCCTTGGGAGGCGACCGCGACGGCGGCTGGCCCGGTTATAGGTGCAGAATGTGGACGCATTCGCGCATCGGCCACAGGGCTGGCCAGTGTCACACTTTACGCGGGAAACATGGCAGCGATCACAGGCCTTGCTTGCGCGCACTCGCCACCGCTGTGTTCCTCCGTCAGGATCTGGGATTGCGTTGGCTTGGTGAGCCAATCCTTCGCCTCCGTTGTAACACAGTGTTGATTGTGGGAGGGAGCGAGTCGTTTGCATGTTATGGAGAGGCGCGGGATATATCCGCCTGTGGAAGGTACACGAAGACGTAAGAAACGAGGCAATTGCGAGATGGAAGGATGGTTGACAGAATCAGAGACGGCGAGAGACCACAGCCATTGAAAGAATGGTGTGCTCTTCCTGGTATAGGGTGTCTTCCCGCCCCCCGACCACACCGGTAAGGATGTAGCAGGGTTAGCAGAACCGGGAAAGTTGTAGGTATGGCCCTTGGAGAGGAAGTACCATAGAGTTAACGGCCGAGGAAGGTCTGTGGTCTGTGGTTTGGCGCTTTCATCTGGGGAACCATGCGGATGCGGGGAATGTGGGGAAGCTGAAGTTGATCGAGAATAATCCTTTGGCCACTTCACCACGTGGCCTCTGGCCACATGACACTGTAAATCCCTTGTTCAGATCAGGGCACACAAATCTTAGGTCCATGTCTTAGTGTTGGAGCACCAGAAAGTTAAGCATATGCTTAGCACATTGTAGTCGCTGGGTACAATATTGTACGGAATCATTTGAGTGCATATGCCTAACACGTGCCAAGTATATGCTAACTTTCTATAGCTTATGGCTAGGCAGTTGAATCAGAAGCCTTGACCGGGTCAGTAAGACTCGTAGCTACCAGATGCTGCTTTAAAATTTCACACTATTTATATAGAGATATCTCTTTGGCATTTGCGCATGCATAACTGCCTGCCTAATCCAGTGAAACTTGGGCTCCAGTCTCACCTCACCTAAGTTTCCCCATCCGCTGGGCCTAGCGAAGCACCGGTCGCATCGCACCAAGTTCCCCCTAACATCGACTCACTGCCACAATTCTAGGATTTAGTGCGCCTATGCCGTCACCTGCAGAGAGTGCTCTTTGTGCTGAAACACAGCCTGGTCGAGCTTCTCCTCAGCAACATGTTCGTCGATGTGCACTGTGACAAAAGAGTCTCCGAACACCTCATTGATCTCCTCAAGCGACTTTCCTTTTGTTTCGGGTACAAAGAACCAGACACAGGCTGCGGTGACGACGTTCATGACGATGAAAAAGATGTAGTATCTCCATCCAACATTCGTCAGGGCTGTTGGTGACGCCTGGGCCAAGATGACCTGGATGATAAAGGACCAGAAGGTTGCGATAGCTCCACCTGTTGTTCGGATCTGTGTGGGGAAGATCTCAGTGCAGTAGACAGGGCAACCTGAGTTCCAGCTGATGGAGAAGATGATGTCGAAGAGGAGGAGGAAGAGGATGCCAAACCCGTTGGCCACCTTGTTGGGCCCGCCGCTGAAGACAGCCACGATGATCATGACGATGGCAATATCTATTCCCATTCCAATAGAGCCCCAGAAAAGAATGGTGCGGCGCTTCACTCGGTCGATAATGAACGCGAGGCACAGCAGATTAGAAAGCGGCCCGAGGATGCCCCAGACGCCCGCGAGCGCCAGCACCGTGGGACCCTTGATCCCGAGTGACTTGTACATGATGGTCTGATAGTAGTTGATGGCCGATATACCGCAGATCTGCTGACCTATCTGAATTCCGCAACCCAGGATCAGCCGCCTTCGGTATGAAGGCTTGCGCAGGATGCCAATGAGGGACGATTCCTCGTTCTCCTGTTCCCAAACAATCTGGTCTCGTATTTGGACAAATTCCTTTTTGGTCAGTGCCAAATGTTCCGGCTTGCGAAGCTTCTGCAGCAATTTATACGCCTCCTCGTACTTCCCTTTCTCGATAAGGTACCGAGGTGATTCCGGTAAGAAAAATGTGCCGATGAAGAGGACGAGCGCCCAGAAGACCTGTAGACCAACAGGGAAACGATACTACACCTGGTGTCAGCAGCCAGTGATGTCATTAGCGCGAGCAACATACGGTAAATTGGCCATTTGCATAGTAGACGGCAAAACCAATCCAATTCGACAGGGCGTAGCCAAGGCCGATGAATTGTGCATGGAGGCCCACAATGCTCCCGCTGCAGATGAACCCGGTTAGTGACGCTGTAGCAAAACAGTGATCGGAGCGAGGTCGCAACTTTACTCACCGGTGCTCTGGAGGTGCAAGTTCAGATTGGTACTGAGGAATGGCGAAGTAGATGATTCCAATAGCGAGACCTGCGATCAGACGTCCAGCGATGAGCATCCCCACATCTTGCGCAGCAGTCTGCAATACAGTTCCGATGATTGCGACCACGGAGCCGATCCTAAGTGTACCGCAGCGACCGCTCCTTCTGCCAATTGGCCAGGATAGAAGACAGCCTATGGCACCGCCGGCGGTATACTAGAGTCCCCAGGTTTCGAGATCAGCCTTCTGATGGAGTGGGCAGAAACAGGTCTAACTCCGCATCTTACAGTCGAGATGATGGCACCAAGGATGGCCGTCGAGGGGTGGAAGAAGGTCGAAAAGTATTCTTGCGCCTGTGCCGTGCCGAAAATGCCTTGAGGTGGGCTGGTCAGTATCATGGCCCCAGGCTGGAGGAAGGCATGAGAAGAAGACTTGACCAACCAGAGTCGTATCCCCAAAGGAGTGAACCTATGCTCACAAAAATTGCTGGAACAGGAGTTAATAGCTGCTGTAGTTTCAATTCCGATCCATGTGCACCAATGCTTACTACAGAAGTAACTATACCCAGTTGCATAGTCTGAGATGATGCGATGAGACGACATGATGCTGGAAGATGAAACGGAATGTCGACGTGCTCAACATGGATCTGGTTGTGCCAGCTTAGAGGAGGCACAAAGATATATACTTTGTCCACAAAAGAAACAGGAGCGGACGACTGCATATCGAGCATAGCCTCTTTTATCCCGCTGTACGGCTGCCTGGTATCAGCTTAACGTCCAAACTTAGATTCTAGAGTAGATGGAGGATCTCTTGTTAAGGTTGATCCAATCATCCTGGGGCGGAAGTGGCGCGCCCTCAGCTGGCCAATGGACAGGAAGTTTTGATAGGCGATCGGGCCGATCCGGCAAAGATCACGAGGATAATATGGGGAAATAGCCGACGCCAATCATTGCTCCCGCCCACGGAGATCGATCGTGGAACTTGTGGGGAGCCGATGCCCGCACATCTCCTGATCTCCTGGCCGAGCATGGGAAAGGGCCGATTTCATAGCCGACGCTACTGTAATTTCCAATTCTATCGATCATAAAGCAGAGACTGGATACAGCACAAGTCATCATGCACTTCAATCCCCTTCATCCAGAGCCATTACCAACAACCTGGTGCTTCCATTCCATTGCTGACACTCCTTGACGTTGCTCACATCCACAACCATGGGCTCCGTTTCCCACAGCCCTGGCGATATAGTTATCCAGTGGCAGCCTCCAGGTCTCAGCCTTCAGATCTCGCTCGACGACCAACTGGCACCATGTATCGATCATGTACTGCCGGCTGGCCACGAGCCGCCAATCAATGTGTCCCCCCACTTTGCGTCGTCGAAGCTCCCATTGAACGGTGTCCGTGTGGCCGGGCAGGGCCACACCACGAATAAAACCGCCAAAGCCATGGTAGGAGGTGTTCTCTCCAGTCGTCTTCGCTATCAGCATCATGTGGAACGACAGGACGGCACCACCTTCACCCTCGCCATTGTCTCCTGTGATAACATCCTCGGCATCGAGGTGACACATACCTTCGTGGTCTTTGCCGGCATCCCTGTCCTTCGAAGCTGGTCTACACTGCGGAACCTATCCTCTGCCTTCATGACCATCATGCAGGCCTTGTCCCTATCCATTGGTGGATTGACCAGCGGCACAAGGAGCTGGTCGGAGAGCTATTCGGTCTGGACAGCCCACAACACCTGGTTTCGGGAGGCACAGTGGCAGGAGAGTAGCCTTCCTGATGTGGGCATTGATGATGTAGGCCTGTTGGAGCTGAATGATGGCCATCGAGCGACCATGGCTCGTTTCTCTGTTTCGAACCAGGGATCTCTGTCTACCGAGACTCATCTCCCCATGGGAGCTGTGGCACGGAAGGACGGGCTAGACACGTGGCTCTGGCAAATCGAGCACAATGGCTCCTGGCGTTGGGAGATTGGTGACTGGCAAGATGGGTTGTACGTGGCTGCTGGCGGACCGACCCAAGCGGATCACGCCTGGGAGGCGGTACTTCGCCCGGGTGAAACCTTCATGTCCGTGCCGGTTGCCCTTTGTCGTGTGGCGGACTCCTTGGAGGAAGCCTTCGCCACATTGACCGACTATCGCCGATGTCTCCTCCGTCCTCACGTGGATTATGAGCGCTTGCCAATCGTATTCAACGACTACATGAATTGCCTGATGGGTGATCCGACAGAGGAGAAGATCCACGCTCTTCTAGAGCCCGTGAGGGGATGTGGAGCGGAATACTTCGTCATCGATGCTGGCTGGTATGCGGATGACAGCAAGTGGTGGGACGATGTTGGAGCATGGGAGCCGTCCCAGAAGCGCTTCCCATCTGGATTCAAGGCCTTGTTGGACGGCATCAGAGCCAAGGGCTTGATACCCGGTCTGTGGCTCGAGCCAGAGGTGGTTGGGACACGGAGCGTCGTTGCGAAGCAGCTACCAAACTCTGCATTCTTCCAGCAACGCGGACAACGTCTCGAGGAACGAGGAAGATATCAACTCGATTTCAGCCAACGCGTTGTGTGCGAGCATTTGGACAGAGTCGTGGACCGCCTGGTCCGCGATTTCGGCGTTGGATATTTCAAGTTCGACTACAACATCGACGTCATGACCGGCACTGATGCCGACGTAACAAGGGGTGTTAGCACCGGCGCGGCACATCTCGCGCATCATCGTGCGTACCTGCAATGGGTCAAGGACCTGATGAGTCGCCATGATGGCCTGGTGATTGAGAACTGTTCTAGTGGCGCACAACGTATGGATTACGCCATGCTATCGGTTCACACCCTACAATCTACCAGTGATCAGCAGAACCCGTTGTTCTACGCGGCAATTGCTGCGGCGTGCCCGACTGCCGTGGTGCCAGAGCAAGGCGCGTCGTGGGCATACCCGCAGCGCCGGTGGAGCGACGAGATCAACGTCGTGACCATGATTAACTCCCTCTTAGGCCGAGTTCATCTGAGTGGAAGACCTGACGACTTGGAGCCCGCGCAGTATGAGCTAGTGAGGCAAGCCATGCAAGTATATCGCGACGTGATTCGCAAGAAGCTGCGCACTGCTCGGCCGTTTTGGCCACTGGGAATCCCGCGTTGGCACGACGAGTGGATCGCGCTCGGCTTGGCTTCTGCAGAAGGAACTCTGCTGCTCGCCGTTTGGCGAAGGTCCGGGTCCACCAAGTGTTCTCTCCCTCTGCCTCAGCAGTATAGAAACTTGCGTACAGTCTCCTTACTGTACCCTGCCAAATTCGAGGCCCAGATCGAATTAGAAGAGGGCGGATTAAGCATCGAGTTACCAGCAGTTCCATGTGCTCGCCTCCTCCAGATTTCGCCACAGCTCAATCAAGCAGCTGTATACGAGGAGGTATAGCGAGGTTGAGAAACTGATGGAACCCAGTAGCCTGGGTGCGATAGGGCTACACCTCGTAGAATCACATTTAAACCGCTTAACCAATAGAATTGTGTGGATCATTGGTGCTTCTAAAGGAGCCTCTCTTACAGCCGACCACTTCTCCCTAGGTGGTGTTCAGACATAGTAACCCAGAAAGGCGTGTTCCAAAGCATTTTAAAGCCCTAGGGGCCTCGGTTAAGACTGACAGCGGCCCATCTGGGTCATTTTACCCCTTTTAACAAGAGAAACCATGTGGAAATTTGTAAAGACCCATCCAACGTTGTCATATGATTGAAGACTGGATCCACAGAGTTGATGCGCGCCAAATACAGCACACTCCAACGGTACCCTGCTTTAGTACAGTATCCCAAGAGGTACGCCAGAGAGAACCCTTAAGATGACTCGGACCTTACAATATCAGGAATAAGTAGATTGGAAACTGGCTAAGTGCCCTCACCTTTCACTTTCCCATAGTAAAGACTGGCTCTCGGTATATCAGGGGGTGTGCGGTACGGCAACAATGTGGCATAACGAGGAAGCGGTAGATAATCGTATTCTAACGTAGAAGTCCTCAGTGAATCTTTTTAGAACCCTAGACCCATTTGTTTGCAAGACTGTAAATGAGTCGGAATTTCTTTTGCTTCAAAATGATCTATTGGTGGCTATCTCGACCTATCGAACATGAATGGTACTCTTGAGTGCATATGCGTCCCACCAAGCCACGTTGTGCTACTCGCATCATTGGCTGCATCATTCAGAATAATTTTTATTTCTTTTGTTTAGAAAGGTCCCTGATCAATCGAGTACGGCCTCCGATTGCGTTGATCTGGTGGAATGCCCGCCAAATACACAACGCTCTTCTGCGTGGGCGACATGGTCCGGTACGAGGTCCATTCGGCAGAATTGACAACGGTATCGTTGTACTCGTTATGAGAGTCACTTGGGGCGAAATTCGAAGCACAGTTGGCTATGGTATTGTTGCCTGTCGTGTAAGTTGGTTGCTCATTTCGATTGAGCCAGTTCCAAGATGTATCCAGAACCGAGTTGTTTACATAGTAAAAGCTGGAGCCTTCGTCAAGGTAATACCCTATTTATAGAGTTAGATATACGCATCCGTTCCTCGGGGATTTCATGTGTATGTACCATATGCCTGGGGGGACTTGACCCAGTTGTCGCTGAGGGTCGTATTGGGACTCGCCGACAGCGTGTATATACCACCGTCGTCTGAATGGAGCGTCCCAACGCTGTAAAGGAGATTTGCACTAATTCTCCCACCTTGCATTGTGGTCGGTGTATTGTAGACGGGCTGGTAGTTGTAGAGGCCGCGTAGTTGGTACTGCGGACTGCCCCCCGCATCGTTAGAACCCCATCCATAACCGTAGCAAATGCCGCTATATGGGACGTTGACAATATCATTGTGCACAATGTACGTGTCTTTGGCATAGCTGGCAAAGATGGGAACAGCCGAGTCAATTGTGTAGCCCAGGTCCGTAAAGATATTCTCAAGGATTCTTGTGTTCTGGTTGAGCATACGCGGGTCTGATGGGTGGTGTGCGTTTGCTTGAATACCTCCGAGGGTAATAGCATTGGCTCCCGTCTGGTGGAGAAGCATGCCACTAATCTCGACATCGGATGCCCCGAGGCCGACGCCGGTTGTATGTGCATTTGGATCATTTCCTATCCCAAATCCACCCATCAGGGCAACGATGCTGCCATTTTGAAACAAGATGTTCTGAGCCGCGCTCACTTGAATTGAACCAGGCACTTGCCACCAGAACGGTCGAGATGCTTCAAAATTAGTATAAGACTTGTTTGTACCAATATAACCACCTGTCTGCTGGTCGACATAGCCTACGTCTGTTGACATGTAGTCTACCTCCGTCAGCTTGGCGTTTATATGAGAGGTAATTTGGGGACTTACTCCAGGTAGTGTGCATGTAGTTGAAGCCTCTGAAGGTGAGATCATGGACAGGCTGGTCATATGTGCCACCTATCAAGAGCAAAGTCTCCAACTTGGCCAGAACGAGATACATGTTACTGGGGTCCTGGCCAGAAGGTGGCATGTAGTAGATGATATGACTCTCTGGATCCAAGTACCATTCGTTTGGATCCGTAAGGAGAGACAATGCGTTCTCCACGTACAGACCATGGTCGACATCTGGTTTATTAAAAGAGTCATACCCAATGATATTATTATTCCAAGCCGGTTGCGCCATGAAAATGGTGTCATTCGATGCCCCTGTAACAGGGTTGTAGCGAGACGTGAAGGAGTTATGAGCATGGAATTCGGCATGTTCCAATCCGGGCATGGTCAATATGTACTTGGCTGAGTCATTTACGACTTTCAAGCCAGTGGCAGTCTGGTTGACCCATGAGCGTTGTACTTGTGCCCGAGCTCGCTGCGCGTGAGCCTGGTTCGCGTAGAAGTGACGCGTGGTGAAGGCTGGAGCTTGAGCTTCATAGATGCCTTTACCGGCACTGGAGGCCTTCCACTTGGTGATGCGCACCCTGCGGCCAGCTATTAGCAACGCCCAATTCTTATAACATTGGGTGAGGATTGTTCCTTACCCGCCAGAGATGTTCACCCCTTTGATCATGTCTTGGGCCTGCCAGATGACGCGATGGCCGTGCTGACCCGAGTCCTCGCTAGTGAACTTCAACGGCTCATTGAGATAGTAGGTACCTGGACCCACGTAAACGTAAATATCAGACCTCATGCCCTTTGTTGACCTCTGGACAGCCGCCTGAGCCCTTTCCAATGTACGAAAAGGGGCCGTGGCCGAGCCAGGTCCAAAGTCATTGCCATTTACGGCCACGTAGTAATGACTCCAAACAGGCACGAGCAGCAAGGCCTGAAGGAGTAAAGTAGTTAAAAACATGACTTTTCCAAGTATTTTGCCCAGAAATCTGAGTGCTCTAAGCTACCGCACGCGCTGGATTGGAGTGCAGCAAGATGTTTATCTCAGGTCTTTCCCCAGTATTTTATGCCTAGCATACCCAAGGGACATATTGTCATTTCCCCAGACTTGTTAGCCTAAAAGGCACATATTCGGTTATCAGACATCTCTAACCATTTATGTCAATTCTGCCTAAACGTAGCTGCCGCTCAGGTTTGGGGTAGTAAGTGATTGCCATGGACGATTGCAGCATCATGTGTTACAATGGCGATGTTCAGCAATAGGCAAGATGTGTCTTAGCACGCACTCTCAGAAGTGTCTGTAAGTCGCGCAGAATGATTATCTACTATCTATCTACGTAGTTCTAAGAAAATTAATGAATCAATAGACGGATAACCTGGTAAGTCAACTAGTTACGGTACAGTCCGCAACGAAGCTATTCCAGATACTCACATGATAAAGTCGGCACATATAATGGCAAATCCTGTACCTAGAGAGAAATGATAACAAAGGAATCATACAAGAACAGATCCAGTACTTTCACATTTGTGACTCACTACAGCACGATGACTTACAATATTGACAAGCTACGTAACGGATCCAACACCCAGCACGAATATGGCAACACGGGACCTAGAATTCCACTATACAACATAATAGGCAATCAAAAACTTAGTATTATTCGCCAGCGTGTGATTACCTCTATCAATGAGCGCCTGAAAGCGGCTGGAGGAGCTCCTGTAGTCACGCTATCGTGCCACCAAACCGAAGATCACCGCCGTGAACCGGGGAATGTGCAGGCACGAAGTTCGGTTAAATCCTGTTCGCGGGGAAGCGGGGAGAGCTGTCGAACAATAAATACCCGTACCAACTACTGAAGAAATGTAACCCATGGAGCATTTTTGGTCAAGCGGGTAAATTGCTGAAATTTTCGTTAAAGGGCTATCTGTAGAGTCGAATATTATTGAGAGATTCAAGGAGTAATTGAACACTGTAAAGTACGGATTTAGAGACTTAAACGGTAAGTTCATAGGTATTAAACTGCTCAAAATTTTCTATCTGAAGTACGATTAGTGATAGAAAGACAGATTTATTCATTGTGCACTTACTTGCGCTCGATTAAAAACGTCCCCTTATGCAGTATATTTAGTCAAGTTCTAAAGGGTATCGGTGTAGGCCGCTATTGTTTAGATATATATCTGCATCAGAGTAGGCAGCAATAGTATCATGCTATACTTAGATGTAAGTTCCCGGGAACCTAGCAGAATATTTTAGCTGGAAGGATTATTTTTATTAGCTTAACTACCCCGCACAGAAAATACCGCCCTAGGGTATTCCTAGGAGTACCTTGACGGTCTTAGGAATAGTTGATTAGGCATATACGGCTTGTAGATCTATGGTTCCTTTTTGTATCCGCTAAATACAGCGAATATACCATGACGTCGGAACCCAAGAAGATCCTTGGCTATAGTGACCGTAAAAGGGTATGAAAAATTTCGCAGAGAGACCTGCAAAGTAGCAAGTAGAAATGCTCAGAACTAGTAGTCCATCTAGGAAATACACACCGTCATCTTTGCTTCCGCCAATGAATCAGGGGAAACGAATAATGCTCCTAGGAGCGTCTAATCTAAGATAAGGCACATTGTCGAATTCATGATTACCACGCTAACTTTTGTTGTTATGGTGGAAAATGATGATTGAAAGGAAAAAATTATGTAGGGGTTGGGCTAGCGTGTCATATTTTGTTGACCTTGCTCGGGTTCCAGCTCACACGTACCCAAAAAAAGTTCACACGGACCCAAAAAATTTCTGACTAATTTTGGGTACCCATGAGGTACCCGACCTCACACGTACCCAAACTATTTTGGGTCCTGATGAGCTCTTATACTTACTTTTATGCATATGATTAATAATTATGTAGGGGTTCAACTTTAGTTGAACCCCTACCTCACTAAAATATACTATCACTCTATACATCTCTTTACAACTCTATATAGAAGATTATACTATACTCTTAAAGACTCTATCTATTTTTTATTCATAATAATATAAAAGAGGTAGTCTTTCTTCTAGTAAATTACACGTGTTGAAAGAAAAATATAGTTTGTTTGGGGTCATGAATCAAAAGTGTCAACAAAGAAATGAGAGATATATCTTCAACACAAACACAACACCATTTTCTTCTTCTTCTTCCCTCACCACCCACTTTGTTTACCAAAGGTCAGAACACCTGTTTACTCTACTCCCTGACGCGTTTCTCCATATGTTTTGCATATGCTGAACACTTCCAGCTCATCAACATGTCGAATCTTGGACTCTTCCCTGGCCTGGGTCCAACCCGGGCTGAATTTGACAACACCACAGTCTTAAACGCGACCAACCCCGACCCTCTCCTGGGATATGCACATGGTATGTTTCCCAGATGCATATGCTGTTGATATGTTGACCATATGTAGGGCCCATTCCAGACAACAATCGTGGCTGGAAGCCAGCTGCGTATACGGCAGCTCTAGCTGCAGGCGCACGCCACTACGACATCAAGGCAGCTGATATCGCGGCGACCCCGCCTCCAAATCCGGCCGAGGTTCTCAACAAAGAGAACATAGGAGTGTACGTGGTGTCTGAATATACTGAGGGCATGGTTATCGTATGCTGACACTGAGAGGAACAGCTGTGATATTGTCGTCAACCCTCCGTCCCAAATGTGCGGTCTAGTCTTCTCAGAGGGACCTGCTCTGCGTCGACACATCCGCAATGAACATTCCGGAGCTGGCAAGTGTCTATTCGTTGGATATGTTGAACATATGCTAACAATATGACTACGATATAGTCGTCAACCCCAGCCGGCGAGCAAAGACCCAGCTGGAGATTATTGCGGGCCAAAACGCCATCAAGCGTTGGGTCCTGCAGGGTGGCTGGCGGGATGCTAGCTACCTCCATGAGCCTGGACGCGGCCCTGACAATGGATGGATTGGACACTGGGCCTCCGCTCTGGAGCGAATTGCGTAAGTACTCTGGGTACTCTACGTTTTGCACAAGATTGATATACTTGTTACATATGACTCTCATATGTTTAGCGTATGCTAACAATCCGTATAGAGCTACCGATGCACAGTTTGCCGCACAATACGGCACTCGTTTCCACCGCTGGCAGGCCCCAGCAACCCCGAGTTCTGGTCATCGCAGCCGCCGGGTAAGTCCCCTTTTTTTAAGAAATGATATGTTAAGCATATGCTAATAGTATGTAGCGTGGACCTGGCGTCCCTGGGAATCCTATTCCCTTCGCGGGTTTTGGCCCCACTGCCGGTAATGGAGACAATAGTGATGGAGGAGGTGGCCCACCTGCTCCCCATATGCAAGACTCGGAGGAGGAGGAGGAGGTAGAGGAGGAGGAGGTAGAGGAGGAGGAGGTAGAGGAGGAGGAGGTAGAGGAGGAGGAGGTAGAGGAGGAGGAGGAGGAGGAGGAGGAGGAGGAGGAGGAGGAGGAGGAGGAGGAGGAGGAGGAGGAGGTAGAGGTAGAGGTAGAGGTAGAGGACTCATCCTCTGATGCTTTTGAGTCCCTTTAGTTAGGCGTAGGTCTCTTTGTATGAATTTTCTGTTATTTGTCTATACGGAACATATGTTAAACTTATGCTCAAAGTAAATTCAAGATATTCTTAACTTATACCAAAGATTCGCCTGACTCTATACTCCGTAATAATTCCTCCTTCTTCCTTCGAAGGGCTAAGATCCTTTGCTTTCTCTCAAGTTCCGCAACTTCTTGCTGTAGCCGTGCCTCTTCATCATCGAATCCCTGAGTATAGCCTAACTGCTGAGAAATACTATCATGCGGCGCTATTCTAGACGATCCGTCAAGAACTGAACTACCCTGAGGGGTAGATAGCGGTGCAGATATAGATTGACCATATACTGAGCTTATGTCAGTTATCTCTGAAGTAGATATCGAAACTATGTCCGAAATATCTGGAAGCCCAGGTGGTTGCATCGTCGGGTTAAGGTCATCGTAAGGATTGATCACGTTCCAGGGCTGGTATGGTTTATTGATACGACGGTTGGCAGATTTTTTGTAGCGCTTGTCTGATATAAGGTTAGTATATGTGTAACATATGTTGAACATATGGAACAAACCCTTCTTGCGAACTTGTTTGGCAATACGATACACAGGGTTTTGAGATCGCCAAGTTGGGAAGAGACCTAGCTCTTCTGCAAGTTTATTCTTTTGGATCATCTCTTGTACATGTTTTTTGCATCTGTAATAAAGAGATTAGTAATATGCTCTATACATGATAAATCGGGTAATATACCGGAGAATTGCTGTTAACAAAGCTTGCTTTCGGCCTACTGCCTCGTTATCGTGAAAGTGACTACTTTCACTAATTCCAGTATGATGTGATGCATTCGTCCACCATTCAATAGGAATCTTAGATGCCTCTGGGGTTATTCCAGCAAGAATCCAATCAACCTTCTTATTCTGAAACCATTTTTCGGTCTCTGGCCACTTTTCTGCAACTTCATCCATAATTCGAATAACCTCTGCCTTTGAATTTGCATTCCAGATCATATCAATAGACGTAGTAGCTTCGTGACCAGGAAACCTTTTCCGAAAGGCTCGCTTAACGTGCGTTTGGCATAGGATCAATATATTTTGCAGATGTTCTGACCATGTCCAACGAGGATCTAGGCCAGCAAGATAATCTCCAAGCCCTAAATGAAAATAGAAAGTGAGTATAATTCAGGCATATGTTAAGCATATGGGAAGCGTACCAGGTGCTTGCTTCTTACACATGTCAACAGTAACCGTCCGAATTCCCTCACAAGAATCATCCCTTCCAAGCTGATACGCCCATCTAATTGGTTTTCGTCCAACATCCCCAAGAATCTTGAAGATTTTCTCAAAAAGAACCCGATAAGCTACTCGAGTTTCGAGATTCATGAAAGCATAGACATAGGTATTTAACCCTGAGAGTCAGCATATGGTTAGCATATGTTTAGCATATATAGAACACCAGAAAATCTTACTCTTTACCTGTTCATTCCACCCTGAAATTGTGAAAAGCTTGGTTGCTCCCTGAACCATCTTGAAAGCAAGATCCATTTCCAGATGTCGTACACTCTGAAAAAGCTTAGCTTGTTCGTATGTGCAGCATATGATCAGATAATGCTCCCGATTCTCGTCAAAGAAATAGACTTCACGAATCCATTGATCATCCACGTGTTTAGTTAGATCAAACTGGTATTCACGCCATACCCCAGCAAGATTCGTCCCTTCTGGATAATATAGTAGTCTCTGCTTATGAATCAAAGCAGTTACTCTATCCTCAATGTGTAAGCTCTTGTGGATATATCGAAGCGCAGAATCACCATGTTGACGTATAATCTTCGCAAAAGTAGGTGAGACCATCAATTTACGTGCAGTTAATCCTAGGATATCCTGCGTGTTGATTGCGTCAATGATTTCTTGACCAATATCATGTGGTAGCTTTGTAGGCGGTGGCGGCGCATGTGAATGAGATCCTCGACAAACGAGAAGGAAAAAAGGAAAACGATCCCATACGCAGGGGATATAAAGGTCAATCTTCACAGAGCAAACACTATATATCAGCTGACCAACACCATCTGCATGAATTGAGTCTAGGACAGGGTTAGCATATGTTCAGCATATCCAGAGCATATCTAGTGTAAAACATACCACAGTGGCGACGTCTAGCTGAACGATGCTCCACGAAGTAACAGTTCTTGGTTCCATATCCAGTATCTCGTAAGCCATCCTTATCGCAAAGAAGCTTTAGAAACGCGGTGTCTATCCTTGCAGCACTTCGTGGAACGTGCTGACAGTAGTGCCAACGCTGGGATCCGACCTGCGCGTTCGGACACCCAATAAAGGTGAACTACTTATAGTTAACAAATATTTAGTACATGATAATAATATGCACTTACTCCATCTCGAAGCCACACTGTTGGCTTTTGACCTCTGCATGTCCGCTCACTAGGTGCATAAATACATGGCCCTTCTATATCCCACGTCTTGAGAAATCCGAAGTAAAATCTATCTTAAGCGTAAGCTTAATAGAGGTTAAAGCTAGGGAGGGATATATCTTACTCTCTAGTTCGCTCCTGGATTTCCTGCGCAATAGTGTGATACACAGGCTTTGCAGCAAGAGCCTGAAGTTCGCGGAAAAGTGTTGGTTTAACACGGTTATAGCTTTCAGACGGGGTAATAAGATCAGGATGAGCTTGGTGGCAATGTTGAATCCCTGTACATTGAAAGGATCGATGCCATGATCTTGATTCTTTGTCTTTAGAGTCTTTCTGGAGGAGTTTCGTGAAGATTTTCTTGGCCGATTTGAGTTGTTTAATCGAGAATTGAACCTAGGATAATTAGTTATCATATATGCTAAGCATATGCTAGACATATGCTAGGATTATATCGAACATACCGACGACATAAGCTGTGAAGTAGCTTGGTTGACAGCAGTAACGGTGTCTTCCACATTTTCAAGTGGATTTTTGGAGGCATGAATGATATGTAAAATACCATTCTTGTCTGTATCAGGATACTCTGGGAGGATAAGGTGCTCCTGAACTTCGTAGGCGATCACAGCATCTCTAGAGCTAATGCTTACTTGGGTCCCGTCTGTTTCTATACCTGTTTGGTTTCGTTCCGTAAAAGGTGTAGAACATAGAGAGCTAGTATTTTCCTCATTATCCTCACAAGAATCGACATCAGATAACTCATATGTATTAGTGCAATCTTGGTACACTGAAGTTTCAGAGGCCGATCGTTGTCGCTGATATAAAATATAAGATTTATGTATGCTCTTATTTATAAAACGATCACTCACAGATGGAAGATTATAAAGAATTTGATTAATCTCTAATGCAGTACTAGTAGTAGATTGCGTAGAGATAAATATGTCAGAATCGGAATCCTCGAATAGCGATGGCGAGAGTAAAGACGCCGACATCTTGTGGAATTCGATACTTGGTAACAATCTTGAAAAGGGGTAAAATAAGGTGTTTAAAAAATTTTCTGCATTAAAAAATATTATATAATCTAGAGGTTTGGGTACGTGCGAGGTCGGGTACCTCATGGGTACCCAAAATTAGTCAGAATTTTTTGGGTCCGTGTGAACTTTTTTTGGGTACGCGTGAGCTGGGTGCCCGACCTTGCTTACTCAGGTCACTCCTCTCTGGGCGGACTTAGTAAGCAAATGGGGATATTTCCATAAGTTAGTTAACTAGATCAGGCTCAGTGAGTAATCAGGTCGATTACATGACGATCACTGACGAGCCCTGGCCGATCAGGGGCGTGCCAGTTCTAATCAGTGAGCAAAAGTCGCGAGTGGGCGAGCACTTGAACGGAAAGGGACCGCCAAGCGTTGTCGGACAAAATTCGGTCTATATGCCTTTGGTATGGGCTGGGGCTGTCAGCTAGCAGAAGTCGAACGGCGATTTGCTCACGAAGGCCTAGATCTAAGAACGCGCCAATCAAACTGTAATATTTTCGCCAACGCTAAGCCTGTTAGGGAATACGAAAAGGCAGAGCACAGAGAGTTTCAAAAGTACGGACACTCCTCACCTTTTGGGAATACGAATGCTGGGGACGAGGAACTCAACTGTCATCCAATTTTTGTGCTTCCAAAATAAGAATAGTACTAATCAGAAGATGGAACCTGGGCCCGTGATAGCATATCCAAGACTCAGTCGTTTTCCCAAAGGGGAGTACGAAATGGCGATAGCTACCTTGCCTAGGAGACACTATATAAACGTTAACTGAAAGGGCATCAGAACACCAGCACGAAGCAAATACCCTCTTTCCAATCCTCTCTTCAACGATACATATATGCAAAGTCCTATTTTGAATAGGCGCAAGTGAAAAACGTATTCTGGACAGATTATGGCTGAAACAGAGATTGATAAAGCTGCGGAGTGGAAGGCATGCTCTGATGAGGAGCGACAACGCATCCAATGCCAGACCCGCATGGCCAGGGAGGCCAAGTACGGATACTGGTCCCTCTATCGGTATGCGAGCGCACTCGAGGTCGCTGCCATGGTTCTTTGCACATCTTGTGCAGTAGGCGCCGGCGTGGTGACGCCTCTCATGACGGTAGCTATGCCCGCCTTGCCCATTCAAAGATGCAGTATTCAATTGGATCCAATTACAGTGGCGCTGAACAAAAGCAGATTGTGTTCGGCAATCTCTCAAGTTCCTTTGTTGGAATCGAGACCCAGTCGGTTGAGACCATCGAATATCAACATCTCCTCCGTCGCTATACACTCTATTTTGTATACCTCGGTAAGTTGCAACCCACCTTTGGGCGCCCGCGGATATGGATCAAAATGACGAAACTTACACCCTGACTTTCTCACTCCACACTAGGCATTGGCTCTCTGGCAGCAGTCACAGGCAGTACCTTCGGATTTGGCTATATTGGCTTCCGACTGACCTGTAAAATCCGTCAGGCCTACTTCGCCAGTGTCCTGCGCCAGAACATCGCGTTTTATGATCACACAGGCGCTGGTGAAATCGCCGCACGCATGACTGTCAACATCAACGCTATCCAAGAAGGCTTATCCGAGAAAGTTGGACTCACCATAACGGGACTGGCCACATTCGTTACTGCGCTGATCATTGCCTTTGCGCGGTCCTGGCGACTCGCACTGATCTTGCTTTCCGTCGTTGCCGCCATCATTCTCACCATGGGTGGTGTTGGTAAAGTTATGAAACGCTTCCAAGCCCAGGCGCTGGAAACATCCTCAGCCGGCAGCACGATTGCGCAGGAAGCCATGTCTTCAATGCGTGTCATTAGCGCGCTGAGTGCCCAGTCCCATTTTGAGGAAAAGTTCACGGCCAGCATGGCTACCAGCGATGGGTATGAGCTGAAGTGGCGGGCAGCGCTGGGAGTATTGGTCGCCATGATGATGTTTATCATGGTAACTCAGTATGCGCTCGCATTCTGGAAGGGCTATCAGTTCCTGCAGAACGGTGAAATCACTATCTCCAGGCTTCTCACTACCATCATGGCTTCTATGATTGCTGGTATCTCGTTTGGGCATATTGCGCCACACTTGGGTAGTTTTGGTGCCGCTGCAGAGGCCAGTGACAAGGTCTTCGGCCTCATTGACCGTGAATCGCCTATTGACCCGGGATCGATGCAGGGTCGGCGGTTGTCCCACGTCAATGGGAGCATCACCTTCCAGGATGTCACGCACTGGTACCCTGCTAGCCAAGAGGGACACCCCGTATTGAACCGCTTCTCATTGCACATCCCGGCGGGCAAGACCACCGCGGTGGTTGGCCCATCTGGATCAGGCAAGTCCACATTGGTTGCACTCCTGATGCGATTCTACCTACCTGCCAAAGGGGATATTCTGATAGATGGACATGACATTGAGAAGTTGAATGTCCGATGGTGGCGGCAACAGGTTGCTCTAGTTAGCCAAGAGCCAGTGCTATTCAGCACCACTATCTTCGACAATATCGCGTATGGACTGAAGGGTGATGAACATGACAAGGTGCGCACAAAGCCCCGTTGTTCGCGAAATGGAGAATCGAATGCTAACATGCCATCTAGCTGGACCATGAGTCACGACAGCAACAGGTGACCGATGCAGCCATCGCAGCCAACGCCCACGAGTTTATCTGCAGTCTCCCCAAAGGGTACGACACGTTAGTGGGAGAGGGCGGCATGCTACTCTCTGGTGGACAGAAGCAGCGAATTGCAATTGCGCGCGCTCTCGTCTCCAACCCTCGGATTCTGCTCCTGGACGAGGCCACTGCAGCACTGGACAGTATTTCGGAGCTGTCAGTGCAGTCTGCACTGGATACCATGGTCCGTGGCCGGACGACTATCGTCATTGCGCATCGTCTGTCAACTATCCAGAAGGCGGACCATATCGTCGTGATGGCTGATGGGCAGATCGTAGAGCAAGGAACGCACGAGGAACTTTCCATCCAGCGTGGCATGTACTTCAGCATGATCCAGGCCCAGCAATTACAGGAAGCCCAGAGTCAAGAGCTGGCCGAATCTGATCGACTGTCCGTGTCGCTATCTGGCAAAGAGGAGAGCAAGAAGGCTGATGAATTCCGTTCGTCCTTTCTGGAGACGCGCCTCAGCAGTAGCGACGAGAAAGCTGTTCACGAGGCGGAGAAGAAGCAGCCGAAGACGTCTCGGGGCCTGCTGTCTTTCATTTGGAGCATGAGCATGCCAGAGCTCTACATCACCCTGGGTGGCTTCGTGAGCGCGGCGTTCGCAGGATGCGTCTATCCAATCCTCGGCATCCTTTTTGGAAACGTGGTTTTTGCACTGACCCCAAGCAGTCACGGCAGTAGTTCCCACACCGTAACCTTCTGGTCGGGCATGCTTTTCATGCTAGGCATGATGGCGCTCGTCTTCTACACCCTACAAGGTGTAGCGTTTGCCATCACAGCCGCACGACTGATTAGTCGCAGTCGCAGTCGCGCCTTCTCTGCGGTGCTGCGACAAGATATCTCGTTCTTTGACAGCAATGCAGAGACTTCGGGTGCATTAGTGTCATTCGTGACAACGGACATCCAGGCCATCGCAGGAATAAGCGGCGCGACGCAGGGCGCCGTGGTCAACTTTGTCTGGACGCTAATTGCGTCGATCGTCATTGCCTGCTCGTTCGGCGGGAAACTAGCTGTTGTCTGCATATCAACCATGCCGTTACTTCTCTTCTGTGGCTTTCTCCGAACGTGGATTCTGACCCGGCTGGAGCGTCGCACGCGTCAGGGGACCACCGCCTCAGCACTAGCCTGTGAGGCCATCAACGCGATTCGGACAGTAGCCGCACTAGCACGAGAACCGGCCTTGTCGCAGTCATATCGTGAAACACTCTTGACGCAGGAACCGAAATATCTCCGGGACATGATCCAGTCGGCTTTCCTGTATGCGCTCTCCCAGTCGCTTTCGCTGTTCGCTATGGGTCTGGCTTTCTGGTACGGCGGAACTTTGATCGCGCACGGGGTGTACACGGTGAAGCAATTCTTCATTTGTTTTGTATCCGTCATTTGGGGCTCGCAGGCAGCGGCCGGGATATTCTCATTCGCCAATGAAATTGGAAGTGCGCGGCAGGCTGCAGAGCGGCTGCAAGAGCTGCTGTCTGGAACGCCCGCTATTGACTCCTGGTCGCCGGTTGGGCTGCAGGACGAGATACAGGGCGATATTGAGCTGCGCGAGGTTCACTTCAGATACCCAGGACGCCCAGAACAGCCAGTCCTGCGTGGAGTGAGCTTGAAGGCGAAGCTCGGTGAGTTGGTGGCCGTGGTGGGTGCCAGCGGCAGTGGGAAGAGTTCGATATTTGCTCTTTTGGAGCGATTTTACGACTCAGACTCGGGAACTGTGGCAGTTGACGGTCGCCCGGTATCGCAGTACCATCTTCAGCACTATCGTCGCCAAATTGGTCTAGTTAGCCAGGAAACAGTGCTCTTTTCAGGGACCATTTGGGATAACATCGTGGCTGGGTTGGACCAGGTCAATCGAGACGAGGTGATTCAAGTTTGCAAGGATGCGAATATACATGATTTCATTGTCAGTCATTGATGAGTTTGTGCGTTGTCGCTGGACCTGGCCTGCTAACGATATCCGTAAATAGATTTCGCTCCCAGAAGACTTCTCGACATTCGTCGGCGCCAAGGGCTGTCTGCTTTCCGGGGGTCAAAGACAAAGACTCGCCATTGCTCGCGCATTGCTGCGACGACCGAAAATCCTGTATGACCCGCTATAAAATACAATGTTATGTTGCATTCTTGACTTACACAATTCGGGGCCAATAGACTGCTAGACGAAGCAACTTCCGCGTTAGACTCGGAAACGGAGCTTGCAGTGCAACAAGCGATCGACCGCGCCGCTCATGGACGTACGACGATTGCCATTGCACATCGTCTCAGTACGATCCAACATGCGAACTGGATCTACGTCTTGGACCGTGGACGAGTGGTTGAAGAAGGTACCCACACGGAACTCATGCGGGCTCGAGGGAGATATTGGAACTTAGCTCAGGCAACAGCCACGTCTTCGTAAGATAATAATCGAATTAGAATCAATTCAGGCTCATGCAGAGACACCAAACGCCCAGAAAGCTACCTATCCACCTAAAAAGTACACGTATGAGATGAGTCTCATTTGTTGACAGGGCATAAGTTCATTAATCTCGATGATCTATTATGCGAGAAGAGACACTCTTCAGAACTCCATCGGATCAGCCTTGACCGGCGGAGCGGTCTCTTCGCGCTCTCGTTTGACCGCACGCTCTTCTTTGAGCAAATTTGCGATAAATGACCGGAAGAACTCAATGTACGGCTTCAGGCTGGTCTTCTCATAGTCTTGAAGTTTGCGAGAGCCCTTGATATCTGAGCCATTCACTGCGCTGCCCTCAACGTCAGGCATTTCCGCATCTTGAGTGGCAGCAGGATGCTTTGCATCGTATGCGTCGATTTCCCCTAACAATTCCATCACAGTAGGAACCGAGAGGGGGTCGAATTCATCTGCTTTGCGGGGGTCGATGGGCACACAAATGCGCCCTGTCCCGGGGTGGATGACAAAAGGACTCTTCAACAGGTGAATCATCTTCTTACTGACTTCAGCATCAAGGCGTGGATAGGTATATTCTAGAACGATATCTTGCTTGGCATCTCGCAGAGTGGTCGTGTTCAAAGTACTGCTCTTGCCAGTCTTGGCGAGGGCATCGATATCGGCCCATTTGCTAGTGCTGGGCCGATCTGGCGACGAGTCCCACTTTCTCTTCAAAGACTCATTTAATGACTTGTCTGGGAGCAAGGCCAAGAGTTTTTCCGCTTGCTCAGAGCTGGCGAATGTGTCTTGGTCAACGAGCGTAGTCTGGGCGAAGTAGTTCTTCAGAATATCCAGACTACGGGTAACGTGGGGGTGAAGGGGTCGCTTGATATTCACTCGCTTGCCGCTTTGCGACCCACCACGCAGAATCTCGAGATACCCAGCAATCGCCCTTCTTCGGTCATCTGGCAAGTTGCGCGCACGCGGATCGCAGACCCACGCGTGGGCACCACGACGACCAGAGTAGACCCACAGAATATGCTCAAAGCCAAAGTCTTCCCGAAGGGCGCTATCGATGACCTTGATAGCCATTGTCACGAATGTCCAGCACTTGTGGCAGATGTTGGCTTTCTGACAGCAAGTTCGAATATCGTCGTAATCTGTCATATCAATATCGAAGACCAGCTCTTTCGAGACTGGTTTCATCTGGCCGCCTCGAAGCGTTTTGCGATCGCGGGGGTTGGTGCTATACACGGGCCCAATTTCGAATCGGGAGGGGTTCATCTTCAGGATGTCTTTTCGGAACCTGTAATGGTACACATTAGTCGAGATCAACTTTACTGCACGCAGCTGAGCCGGGGATCGACTCACAAGTCTGCGGTCGGGTAGGACTGGTATCGAAGATATGCGTCATTCTGCAGGGTCAACGCAAACTCCCGATTGCCAAAATCTTTCGTGGGTACGACTCCGTGATTGAGCCATTGGAACAAGTATCGGAATGGGAACAGGCGTTGATAGAAGGCGAGCATGACATCGGTGTCGACTCCGGAAGGACCTGGTGCAGGGGCGCTATCGTGCCGCACTTGATTAGCATCACGAAGATCCTACGTTCTTGCAGAGATTCTGTGAAGCATACGCCGCAGGCTCTGGGGCCGGAGAAGACTCCATCTTCACATCTTGGGCGCTGGGCGCTGGGAACTCCTCGTCGTCATCATCGTTGAACATATCCTCCAGCTTGACCCCGCCATTCTCGGTCGTACTCTCCACAGGAGCATCTGGGAGCTCTTCATCGTCGCGACTAAGCGAAGCAGCAGGCGACACTGAGTGCGGCATGGCGGGCGATGGATCTTTGGAAATCGCAATAATGCAATGAAGGAGGGCCCGAACGGGAAGGAAGGAACGCGTCTTCACGCGTCGCGCCCTAACCCTACAGTCGACGTCACGTGATCGATATCATCTTCCCCGATTCGGACGAGTCTCTCGCTGCCAACTAACTACCTTGAGGTTTACCGCAAAGGACCCTCCGAAGAGTTACGAACTTTGAATCACGAAAGCAGGGCATGAAAATTGTGCTTGAGGCTTCTCATCTGTCCAGCACCAAACCGTCTCCATGTTCCTGGGCTCACAGAGTTTTCCCTCGCCGTTCGCGGCCAGCCTCAGTCGCAGAGGTTCCTGTGCCCTGCTGGGATCCTTGGATGACAGCATGACTTACCACTCGAAGAAAAAGCTAACAGTCCAGGAACAATCCTACCCACCACTTTCTCTTGGAATGTCTTGATGTCCACCAACCCTGGTTGGTAACGGAGGACAGGCCTCCTGGAATCCTGACAACTCCACCTCGTCTTGCGTGGAGACGTTGTCTGATCCGGCAATTAAAGCTCAATCTTGCTGTCATGGATATCCAGCCAATAACTCCATGAACTGCATCAAGCACGGTCTCAACCAAGTGGAACAAACCCGGTCACTGTTCGATGAGCGGTGTTCATCGCTGGGGAAGCTACCGATCCATCCCGCCCACATTCCTTTCGTCGGCAGCTACCAATAGCGGCATTATCCGCACTCAACCGTTATGATCTACATTCCTCAGTGTTGGGAGAAGCGCTCTGATTAGCAGTTCGAGCTTCTGACTGTCCTTGATCGCCCGGTCGTACTTCTTGTCGCATGGCTTCTCAGCCTTGGGAACATATCCCCGAAGCTCCTCTCGCCATGATTGGCAGGCAATCCATGTTCACTTTCGCCTGCAGATGATCGTCTTCATCTGTGCGGGGCTTTGTGTCTAAAATATCTCAAGGTGACCGTTCTGACAGCTTTGAATCCGACTTCCGGATTCGTCACCGTGCCTTTTTTTGCCGGTGTTCCGTGAAGATGTGTTCAATCAGTCAAGAGCATTCGGCTAATTTGCCCAGTGGCTTCACAGCCATTCCTTCCTATCTCTGGAAGACTAATCTTCGCTTGCAAGAATATCTCCATTCGATCTGCTTGGTTTGACACTGATCTGCGAACTCAAGCAGTCTCGTGTGCAACGTGTCTTGCAAATCGCAGATCGGATGCCTGTCATCGTATCTCCTGAAGCTCATCGCCGCATTAGGACTCTGAAGTGGACCCCCTAATGGACATTTCGCAGCAATGGTACTACAAGATGTCACGTTTGCATCGTATACCACCTCATAGATTTATGATGTCCCATAATTTCCCTCGTCTGTGGGCCCACTGATTCTCTTCACACCCGAGGTTTCACTGTCGTAGTCCCTGCATTCAGGTAAAGACAGCGAGTGGTGGAGCCAGGTCAACCTTTGCATCTCCTGGACACTACCATGGCAGCGCCATGTCCGTCATCAGTTACATGATCTCGCTTCTTTTCGAAACAGCATATAAACTTCGATCTCGCTCTCTGCCTTCGCAATTCTTTTTTCATCTCTCTTCAGTATCTTCACTCGTTTGAATTTCCCAAGTTTCTTGTTATCCAGCACCAAAAAAAACTTTCAATTCCTCAAAATGGTCAACGCTCTGACTCTTCTGGCTCTTGCCAGCCCTGCCTTCGCCGGTGTCATGCAGGCTCGTGGTGCTGATTTCATCCGCCCTTACTCTTCCAGCGTTGGCGAATGGGACCACGATGGTCAGGGCCACTCTTCCAGCGTTGGCGAATGGGACTACGATGGTCAGGGCCACTCTTCGTGGTCTACCCCGTGCACCACTTCGACTACCACTCACTCGACTACCACTCGCTCGACTAGCACTCGCTCGACTAGCACCACGCCCACCACCACCCCGTCGACTACCACTCGCTCGACTACCACTCGCTCGACTACCACTCGCTCGACTACCACTCGCTCGACTAGCACCACTCCCACCACCACCCCGTCGACTACCACTCGCTCGACCAGCACCAGGACCACTCACACTCCCGTGAACCCTGGTACTACCAAGACTATCACCATTGTGACCACGACCTGCCCTGGTAAGCTTATGGAAAGTCCTATCTGTCAATTGATCATTCTTACTGACCTTACCCAGTCACCTCGTCGGTTGTCACTGAGGGAACCACCACCTTCACCATCCCGATTACCCAGACCAGCACCATCACTCTGACCCAGACCACTGTCGAGGAGAAGGCTGTTACCTTCCAAAACTCCACTGTTCCTATCACCCCGGCTACCACTCCTGCCGTTGTGCCTCCTGCTCAGTCCAGCGTCCCCGCGTCCCAGGCTGCCGCGTCCCAGGCTGCTGCGTCCCAGGCTGCTGCGTCCCAGGCTGCTGCGTCCCAGCCTGCCGCGTCCCAGGCTGCTGCGTCCCAGGCTGCTGCGTCCCAGGCTGCTGCGTCCCAGGCTGCCGCGTCCCAGCCTGCTGCGTCCCAGGCTGCTGCGTCCCAGGCTGCTGCGTCCCAGGCTGCTGCGTCCCAGGCTGCTGCGTCCCAGCCTGCCGAGTCCCAGGCTGCTGCGTCCCAGGCTGCTGCGTCCCATGCTGCCGAGTCCCAGGCTGCTGCGTCCCAGGCTGCTGCGTCGTCCCAGGCTGCTGCGTCCCAGGCCCCCAAGGCCAGCTCTTCCAGCGTGCCCTTCACTGGTGCTGCCTCCAGCGTCAAGCCCGCTGCTGGCCTCCTGGCTGGTATCGTCGGTTTGATGGCTCTTCTGTAAACCAACAGTTGGCCATTTATGGATGCTGCAATCACCATGAACTTTTCTGGTGAATAGCCCATCCGAACGATCCGTTTCTGAGTTCCTCCTTGATCTTCGTGGTGCGGATCAGGGGAACCACAGTCTCGGCAAATGGTTTTTTTTTTTTGGGCTTTTCTGGCCACGAGTGCAGTCGATTCTAGACCCACTTGCCTATCTCCTCGCTGGACAGGGCAGGGGTGATAAAAGAGTTGCTTGGTCATTTCGAGATTTTGTTCGTTTTTCACTTGTATTAGGCCTCTATCTATAGTTAATAATAGTAATACATAGCTTTTGCTTGGGATCTTTCTTCTTGTCATATCCTCTTAACCTTAGTGTATATGGAGTACTATCAGTCAATGTGCAGCTTTGGTGACTTAAGTGTATTTCTGTTGAAGATCTTTGAAACAAATCTCATTTCCATGAGTATGAAGACCACCAACAAGACAACTCGGTACGAGGCTTATCTTCAACACTGCAAATTAGCGACTTTTCTACCGTGAGAAATCTTCGAACGCTTTTCCATTTCCTATGCCCGACGGAAAAGCCATACAATCGGAATCCAGACGGACAGTCGACCAGTCATCATTCAATGAAGTTTTGATTGGGAGTACCAAACCGAACCAGACTTCCATTTTTACTGGTCATTCCCAGAATTCAAAAGCATGGAAGAAGATTTCTTTGTTCAATGGGGCGGTGGGTATACTAGGTCTGTCGATATTTTCTGCGGCGACGGGGCTTTCTTTGATGATATTCTTTGACTGCCCAATCCGGAAAGGGGCGTCCAATTTTTAACACGAAGCTGAGTTCAAAGAATCGTAAAGCACTGCTCGCAATACCAGATATTTCCTTGGGTTGGGAAATAAAAGAGCTACATTTTTCGTTCTTGATTCTCATCATCTTCATCATCATCTTCTTCTTCTTCTTCCTACGAGGACACTCCAAACACCCCCTTCCGTGGGCGTTTCCTTTCCAGCAGCAGCTTATCAGCATCGACCATGCCTCGTCGCAAAGCAAAACAGGCAGATGATGATTCTGTCACCGATTCCGTACTAGAGTCTCCTCCAAAGAAAGCCAAAGCGGCACCGGCCTTGCCGCCAAGGATGAGCCGGGGTCCTTATCAAGCAGCGCAGGAGGCAAATAAAAAGGCCGAGAAGAAGAAAGGCAAAGAGAAGAAGAAAGAAGAAGAGCAGGAACAGGAACAAGATGCACTCGTACCCAAAGCCGATCCTCCCACCACCACAACCTCAGTATCGACAGTACGGTCGTCCCCACTCCCATCTCTCGAAGACATCAATCGCGAATACGAAGAAAGGTACAGTCCCTCCTCACCCCCTCTATAGAAAAACTACAAAACAAACCAAATCTGACCACATCACTATACAGAAGAAAACAAAACCAACCCAAACCACCCCAAGCCCCCATCGACCCAACAATCCGCATGCCCTCCCTCATCGAAATAGACATCGACGCATACAACAACCTCGACAAAGACCGCCATATAACCAACGACTCCGGCACACGATTCTCCCCGACCCAACACCGCCAGAGCTGTCTGCGAGGCCTGTACTACACACTCGGCCGCACTAGCGACCCGTATGACGATCTGCCGAATATAGTTGCCTTGCTGCATGCATACAGGTGTAGAAGGATGGTGTACCAGGAGGGCAGAGTGACGTATTGGTATAAAGGGGTGTGTATCGGTGGGCCGGGGGAGTATGATGCGGAGGAACATAAGAGACTGGCGCAGGCGCAGGAGGAGCCGAGGAAGGTTTGGGTTGAGGGGTTGAGTGTTTCGTTTTATTTGTGTTTGCGGATGTAGATTTGCGAAGAGTGTTTGTGAGGACTAGATCGCTGATGCATGATTAAGTTGAGTTGAAATGGTATTGTTTCCTTTTTATATTGGAATGGCCTATTCACTCGTTATCAAACCATGAACATCATGAATATTGTCATTCGCATCTCCTCCACCGAGAGATAAACATGACTACCTATGTGAAAAAAGACGTTTTTCCTTTCGTCCACAATCATATAAAAGGCCAAAATGAGTCTATATCAACACGAGACCAAGTAAATAATGAATTAATCTAACGCAGACCCTCCAGCTCCTGCTCAACCTCAGCCTTAACAATCTCACGCACACCCTCCCAGCCGGCACCACGAGGAACAGCCGTGACACGGCGCTCGCGCTGCTCAAGACCAACAAACTCCTCCGGGAGCACCTCGCTGAAGCTGTAACCATCCTCATTGCTCAGAGCCAGGTCAACTGCGCTAGCAAACTTGGCAGGGTGGGCAGTGGACAGCGAGATGTGGCTAACGCCGGGGTTACGCTGGATAGAGCGGCGCGAGGCAGCGACACCAACAGCAGTGTGGGGGTCGAGAATGTAGCCGCCGGTCTTGGAGCTCTTGGGGCTGCCAGCGGGGAGATCGGTAGGGAAGCAGGTCTTGTAGGTTTCGCGGATAGTGGTGATGGTCTCTTCGTTGCTGACGCGCTCGCTCTCGAACTCCGCCTTGGCGGCCTCAATGACGGCGGCGGGCACCTGGAAGCCGCCCTCGGTCTTGAGCTTGTTCAACCAGCCGGTGACGCTCTCGCAGGCGTGTTTGCGGCGCTCCTCGGCCGTGCTGGCCTTGTCGGTCTGGAAGGCGAAGAACCAGAGGAGGCGCTCGAAGTTGCTACTGACTAGAATGTCCATAGCAGGGCTGTGGGTCTCCTTGACGCCCTTGTCCGTCTCTGTACCTAGAGGCTTCTTGGTGTAGTGACCGTCAGTGCGGAAGAAGCGATCAAGAATGCTGTTTGAACGGGTCAGTGAGTATTCAAAAACAATACGTGCGGGGTTAACTTACTCGTTCTCATTCGTGGCCACAACGAGCTTAGCAACCGGGAGACCCATCTGCTTGGCAAACCATCCGGCGAGGATATCTCCAAAGTTTCCGGAGGGTACGACCATGCGTACCTGAGAGCCCTTAACATAGTTAGGAGACTTGGTGAGGGAGAGATATGAGTAGAAGTAGTAGGTGATCTAGAACCATAAACAATCAGTATATTTAGGGTCAAACCGTGGGGGCTGCGATAAATCGCATTTCAAGACTTACCTGCGCCAAAATTCTAGCCCAGTTAATCGAGTTAATGGCGCCAATGTTGTGAGTCTTATTGATATCAGGATCGGCAAACAAAGCCTTGACAATATCCTGGCAGTCGTCAAAGGATCCTTCGACAGTGAGATTGTGCACATTGGCATCAAGCACACTAGTCATCTGCGCCTCCTGAATAGGGCTAACCTTGCCCTTGGGGAAAAGGATGAACACAGAGACATCCTTCTTGCCACGGAGACCATAGATAGCAGCCGAACCAGTATCACCGGAGGTTGCGCCGACGATGGTCAAGTGGTGACGGTCCTTGCCAGTCTTTCCCTGGTTCTTGCGCACGAGGAAGTATTCGAAGAAGTTACCCAGACTTTGGAGGGCGACGTCCTTGAAAGCGAACGTTGGGCCGTGGAAGAGCTCCAACAGGTACAGGTTCTCCTTGGGGTCCAATGCGGCGATGGGGGTGCGCTCGGGGTGACGGAATGTAGAGTAGGACTTGTCGATGATGGTCTTGAGGTCCTCGGAGGGGATTTCGGAGGGGGAGATATACCTGTAATAGTAATTTTATTAGGAATGGCTCTGATGGCTATGATAAGACGTGCTTGGTCAACTTACAGCGACATAATACGGTGCGCCAATTCGGCGAAGGACAAGTCCCGCCATTCGGACTCCCACGAAGAAGGCAGAGACGGGATCTCCTCAGGAATGAACAGGCCACCATCGGAGGCAAGGCCCTTCATCACAACATCCTCAAAAGAACGCTAGACACTCCAGTGTTAGCCATGTACATAAGTGGCGGAAAGTGTATGTAGTGAGACGGGTAGGATACATACTCCAGACTCGCTACCGCGAGTGCTGATATAACGCTGGGACATGATGGCGTCTGTGACCGAGTCAATTGACTGAATCAATTGCGGGAAAAGAGTTGGATGCGACGGGGAGCGGGAGAAAGAGATCGGTCGATGAATCACGGCGGGGCCCGTGAATCATTTCAACTTTTGATTATATTCGCCGCGGGGGGACGTGCGCTAGTCCTGATCAGGCATAGTACCTCCGAAAGCGGCCTCACGTGGGCGGCATCGATTGGCCCTTGAACTTGCATGCTTCAAGGTAGATCATCCTATCGCAGGAAGGAATATTGGCTGAACTTTTCGATTCTATTTCTATCTCTATTCCCGTGGTACTATTCTATACATGTATTTCATCAATCATCAACTCATCCTGGCCTCTGGGCTTTACTCGTTGACCAGCACGTAGCGGGAGCGCGCCTTGCCCTCCTCCATATTCACAATGGTCTTGTTAGGATCCTTCATGGGGATCTCCTCGATCCATGGTTGGATGTTCTTCTCAGCGACCAGCTGGAAGATCTCACGGCTCTCGTTGGGGCTGCCAACCAGCGAGCTCTCAATCTTCAGGCGACGCATGAGGGTACGAACGGGAGTGTAGAGAGTGCCGTCCTCGGGTAGGCCGACCTGGACCAGACTGCCATCTGTGCGCAAAAGGCCCAAGTAATCGTTCATGGGCATCTAGTAGCCAGATGTCAGTGAAGCCCTCCCTATAAACGTCTCTTCTTACCTTGGTAGAAGAAACAGTGCACACAATCAAATCCAAAGACCGGGCATGCTTAGTCGCCCAATCCGGCTCATCCTTGGTAGCAATGTACAGATCCGCGCCCATCTTGATCGCATCCTCGCTCTTAGCAGTCTTGCGAGAAATTGCAACAACCTTGTCAGCGCCCATAGACTTGGCAAACATCACGCCAAAGTGACCAAGGCCGCCAACACCAATGATACCAACACGCTTGCCAGGACCACACCCATTATGCTTCAACGGGCTGTACAGCGTCACACCACTGCACAGCATAGGCACAGCTGCAGCCGAGGAAATCCCATCAGGAATCTTGATGGCGAAATGTGCGAGGACACGGTTATACAACGCATAACCACCGTAGGACTTGTCGCCATTCTGGTGAGTGCTGTTGTAGGTACCAGTCAACTTCTTGGAGCAATACTTCTCCAAGCCCATGGCACATTCCTCACAATCACCCTAGCGCCCCTGTCAGGAATCACCCTGGGCGCCGACACCAACCCGATCACCGATTTTGATGCCGTTGGTCACCTTGGATCCCACACGAACTGCTGTGCCGACAACCTCGTGACCAACACAGCATGGGTAGAGAGTGGGTCTCTATGGTTGAAAAGGTTAGAAACGCCATGCAGAAAAAAAGCAAATAGAATCTGATTATGCATGCTCACCCAGCCACTGCGCAGCGTGTGCAGGTCCGAACCACAGATACCACAGTGACTGATCTTGATATCGATATCGGTTTCCTCCCAGGTTTTTGGGCTCGAATTCCTGCCAGACCATGTTGCCCTGGCTAGGCGCTGGTGTCCAGGCCCATCCAGCCCTCGAACTTGTAGTAGGTCTCGGCCATTGCGATGTGTATAGAAGAGGGATCTAGGTATTTCGGAAGGGGAGTACGGCGAAAGCACTCCTCCCCGTCGGGGCCACCCTCCATTTATATCATTTCTTTAGGGGATCCAGGAACGAGCAGCGGGAACAGGAACAGAGTTCGGCTCGTTTTGATTGTTCTGGTTGGAGACTCTGGAAAATGCGGCACGTTATAGAGAAAAATTGGTAACCAGTGCCGGGTTTCCAGTGTGGATCGGGAAGTTGTGCCAGTCATTCGGAAGCTTAAAAGTGATCGGCCTGCCTTGGATTGTAGTTTCTATTACGAACTGTTTAATCTCAATCCTATATCCGAGGCTTGATCCCTTTTGCATGGATGACAAGTATAGTACTATCCTTTCAAACAGTGGGTGACTGCTACAATTCAGAGATCCAGTTACCATCGGAATTTCTTCGGTTGTTCAATTTCTTGATTATCGTGCTGGCCCTCATGAGGTTATCTCCCGAAGGACACACACACTGCTGGAGTGCTGACACGCCTAACGCCGAAAAGCTCACGGCGGACCCACTGTCAGACGCTTGATAGCACTTCGCACCATTCGGACTGACCCCACAATGGAAACCTCTCTTTTTGGGGGGGGGGGGGGGGGGGCAAATCTACATGGTGAATGACAGATTGTAGTCGGGAATCAATGGTTGTTTAAAAACGGGGAAAAAGGATGTACATGCAAAGGCCTTTTGGAAATCCGGCAAGACGAGAAATGGAAGGCCAGGAAAGAGAAATTAAACACGTAAAAGAAAAAAAAATGAAGAATAAGGAAAACCTTTCTATCTCGTTCTGTTCAGATCCTCGCTAGCGAAACACCTGGTTATAATAAACAGCCAGCCTGGAGCAAGTGGCCGGGAACGTTATACCGTAACACAATGCTCAGCTTTAAAGGAGATCCATGATATCTTGGCTGGATTTCTGGGGCTGAGAGTGTGCAGCGTTTCCAGAAAGATCGAGACCGGAGAAGCCATTCATCAAATCAGCTGCACCACCACCATTGGCGCCGCTGGATGAGGGCTGCGAAGGCCCAGAGTCGCCAAAGACCCCCAACAGATCGTCGAGATTGTTGCTAGCCTGTGGTGCGGGGGCGCCAGCTGCCGGAGATTGAACGCGGACGGGAGTACCTGCCAGACCTTCCAAGCCGGACATCTCGCCAGAGGGCTCCGTGTGGGCGGAAGCCGGGGCACCACCGTCGAAATCGATGTCCAGCAGATTCTCGACGTTGCTTTGCGCCTGCGCAGATGCGGTGCCGCTGACAGCGGCCGCGGCCGCCAAGGGGTTCTCACGAGCGTTTTGGAGTTGTTCCCTGTAATATTCTCATTAGTTTCGGTGATCGTGATATTAATTGAAAGAGCGTGACGTACTCAATAGCGGCCCGTTGAACAGCATCAGCACCAAAGCGACCTTGTCCAACGAATTGCTCTGGGGGCTTGTGGTATACGGAAGAAAGGGTAGAAAGTTCCTGGAGGAGTTGCTCCAAGAGAGCAGGCGGTAATGAGCTGATGGTGGTGACGATAGGAGGCTTCTCCGAAAGGACAATGTTCTTTGTGGCGTTCTGGTCGCTTGTGTTGGAGAGCAAACGCCAGTAGATATAGGCTCGGTCGCGGACATCAGGGTTATCGTTCTCGGCGGTGGCGGCCTGAAGCACCCGCTGGACGAGACCCTGAGCCTTATCAGGCCGCTTGAGGAACAGCTTGACAACTGCAGTGAGAATCTGCAATTGAGTTTGCGAGAACTCCTCATTGAAGCCATCAACGAAGCTACCCAGAATGTCACCAGCATTGCTGATCTTCTCGGCATATTCACCCACGATCCAGATCAGAGCAGCACGGGCATTGGGCTCGTCCAACTCGTCAATGCACTGGCACAGAGTGGGAATGATACCTTCGTAACCAGGATATTTCCGGAAAATATCCTTGATCACAACGATGGCTTCCTGGACAACATAGTTCACTTTGGTGTTGATCAAATCCAACAAGGTGTTGACGCATTTCTCGCTAGCAGTCTCAATCTTAATGGCAACCTGGCCAATCGCTTTGACGGCGCGACGGACAAAGTCCATGTCAACCTCGAGAGCATACTCCTTCAGCTCGGCCAGGAGCTGATCCACGTTGCGATCATTTGCTATCCGAACCATAATTTCCAATTTCTGGAACTTGACGTAGGGCGGGTCGTTGTACTTGCAGAAGAACACACGGAGTTCTTTGTTCAGAATGTCAGGTTGCTTCTGCAGCAAAAGGTCGATGTTTCGCAAGGCCACATATTGCACTTCAGGTGCCGAAGATACCAAGGTCACTAATATTCTGTTTAGCAACTTGGGCCAGCTTTGACAGAGAAAAGAAGGTATGACTTACCTAGCGGCGGAGCCATCTTCTTGAGATAATTCTTGGCCAGCTCTGGGCCAACATACTTCATGTGCAAAAAGACGACCTTGACAGCCGCAAGAACCACACCGGCGTTGACATGCTGGAATTGAGGCGCGACACGTTCGCAAATATGCTCCGACTCCTTCACATCGACTGCCCGGTATTCTGCCAAGGTCGAAAGGATGGTTACCCGACCCCACTCTGTGCACTCGTTCAAAGCCATGAGCATCTTCCGTAGCGTGTTGGCAGTCACTTGCAAGGCCTGTGTCTCGGGAGCCGTGTGGTGAATTTCCGATAACGCAGTCACGGAGTTGGCCACCACCATCGGGTTGGGGTCACCAATCATCTCCTGCAGCATCTCCAAGAATCCGTTTTCGAGGCACATTGCCGGGTTCAGATCGAACAACTTGGCAACACAGATAGCAGCCGTCTTGCGCACGTAGGGTGATTCGTCGTGAAGGGTCTTGCGCAGGGGTTCCTCCATGTAATCCACCATTTTGTCCACACGAATGCAGCCCATGGTGCGAATGGCCAGAGCTCGGATTAGCGGGTTCGGGTCTTCCGAGTCTTGGACGAAGGTATTGACGGCGAGAATGCAGAGATCCGGGTGTGATTTGGCGTAGTTCCTAGACAGAATCCACACGATTAACCAATGCGCCTCTCACCTTAACTCCCCGGAATACTCACATAAGGTACAAGTAGACGAGTTTCTTCTGCTCCAGGTCCGAGGTAGCAATATTCTTCAGGACATCGGGGAAAAGAGCCGAAACATCCTTGCCAAGGGTCATGGCCATGATCGTCTTCTGAATTGACTCTTTCCTATTCCAATCGTCAGCATCGCCACGTTGCTCCTTACTCTCATCGCCTGCATTGATTATGAGCTCCGCGAGCACCGACGTACCTTTCGTAGGCATACTGAGACCTATTCTCACAGTCAGCATCGTCAATCCTTCGTCGTGGCAGAATGGCCATTTGTTTCCAAGTGCGGAGGGGGGACATACACCAGGCCAGCTCGCAGTTCAAACGTCTCTCCTTTTCGGGGCACCGCAAAGGCACCGCGGATCTTGTTCATCGCCATGCCCGGGAATTATGAGCTTCAGCAACGACCTAGTCGTGCCTCCGCCAATGACAGTCGGAGAAGGGAGTGGACGTAAGTCGACTCAGTCGGGAGACTGCGGGGGAATCGAGAGCTGTCACGGTCGCGCGAACGGGGTTTAGGAGTTGAGGCAATGATCGGAGTCGAGAGTTAGACCATTCCCTTTCTCTCTCGGCGAGTTAAACAGCAAGAACAGGGGACCGTTGGTCAGTGGAAGTCGAGAGGGTGCGGAGGATGGGGTGGTCGAGAAGGAAAAGGGTGTTAGGGCGATTCAAAAGTTGTCCACAAATGGCGGGCTCTGGACCCTCCTCCCGGTCCGCTTTATGCTTTGGACCAACGACGTGATCTCACTTCCACCCCCTAAACTTGTCTTCCTACGCAACGTACCTGCTCCGCGCGCATTTACAATGGTTTGTATACAATCTCCGAAACTAGCAAGAAATGCACGAGAATGCCAAGACTGACAGCATCTGCAGGCCAATCTCCCCAACTTGCGCCGCCTCTTTGTCGAGGCCCGAACGGAGGTCGAGGAGAATGAGTACTCCCGAACAGCGGTATGGTGCCCATCCGTGATATCACTGCTCAACGCGATGCCTGACCAGTGGCAGTTCTACAACCTCGTCCTTTTCATCTCATCAGTCGCTGTCTTCAGCCTTGCTGCTCAGCGCATGAGCGGTCACAAGGCCGCCCGATGAGCGGAGGACTTTCTACTTTCTACGCTCTAAGCTTGAGATCGACAAAGGGCATGGATAGGGATATATTGCCATTATAAGAGGATGGCGATACCGAAACTGCTACGGAGACCCTGCAGACCATCGACTAAAGCTCAATCGGCGCATCCAGACATCAATCAGTCTCTTCTCCATCGCTTTCCAAAAACGCCAGCGCTCGACCTCCCCGCGCGGCGCGACGTGAAGGAGCAGCCTCGTCACTATCTTCGTCTCCACTGCCTGTCCCCCATTTCTTCGCACCTTGCTGGATCTGCTCAAGATCTGCCTTGAGTTCCCGCTCATCACGGATCTGCCGAGCTTTGTCCACGGAATATCGTCCCTTCATGCCCGCGTCTTCCAGCATCTGTTTGAGATGCCTAATCTTCGCCTTGGAAGTCTCATATGGCTGTAACTCCCGCCACCACATCTTGCGAATTCCACACTTGACAAGCCACCCTTGCAGCCGCTTGATCTCTGCTTGATCCGGGTCCAGTTCCTCATCTTTGCCTTTAGCGGCGACCTTCCTTTCTTTCTTCGGGGCTGCTTTCTTCGGAGCTGCTTTCTTCGAGGGGCCCTCGCTGCTTTTACGCTTTCTCTTAGGCTTAGGCTCTTCATCCAGCACGACGGACATTTCGCTCTCAGAATCATCCTTGGTCGCTTCCGTGGTATTGTTGGCGGTGGCCGCTTCCTCCTCTTCATTGTCGGAAATCTCCATGGCCTCGGGAGCAGGCTCTTTGGGTTTCTTAGACTTTGTCACTTGTGTTGCGCGCTTCTTGGGTCTTGTGACTTCCTCTTCAAGCCCGTCATCAGATGCCTTCGCTAGCTCATCCTCTTCATCCGAAACTGGGCTTTGTGTCTTTTGTCGCTTTCTGGGTTTCTGTGTGCTTGTGGCCTTGTACCGCTTATTCGTCGGGTTCTGACTCGGTTCAGTATGGGGTAATGGGGATGATGCGACTGGCTCAGGCTCAGCCTCTATCTCCGGCACAGTCGTTCGTAGAATCTCCTTAGAATCGCATTCTCGAGTCAGTTGTCAATGTTCCAAGTCACCCATAATGAATGGCATGTAAAGCCTCACAAATTGATCCTTGATCACATCCTCGCTTTTGGCCTTCCAGCCGCCCGTATTTTTGAAGAATCCCTGCTCCAGACCCAGCTTCTCCTCGACGGCGTGGCGCACGCGCTTCACGGTGAGTTCCTCGAAATTTTTCGCCTTGTACTTCGCCGTAACTTCCTTGCGCAATGCCTTTTCCAATGCTTCATAAGAGGGACTACCCGCTTCCACTTCCGATTCAGAGTCCGACAGTCTATATTTGGGCGCCATGGTTATACTGTGGCGTCAGTCGGGCGGGTGGGTCGTGTTCTTTGAGCGCGTGAGTAGCTTGGTATGGGGGGCTTGGTGAACGGTAAACAATAGCAGGAACGCGTAAATAAGACGCAGGTCTTTGATAGAGACGATTTACGGAAAGGAAACGCTTCGGGTGTGTCATAAACGCGCTCTCTGGAGTTGGGGTTGAAGTTGGCGAAGCTCCAGGCATCTCAAGATGGATGCCCGAGGCAAAAGGCTGACAAAGCTTAAGTGACTGGGGATGGGCGTGCGACCAAATCCACCAAATCCACCAAACATCAGATCTGCAAGTTGCCCTTGCAGCCACTTTCAGCACTCTGATATGACTATATCATGCAGTTTAAATACCATGGCTTAGACTACATAGTGAACTTTTTAGCTTTAGCCAATATTGAAGCAATAAAATGGTATTTACACAACCAACTGATGGTACGATTGTCTATCTATGGTCAACAGTGTGTAATGCTAGGGCCGTATATCATAGAGTTCCAGTTCATTTGGATATGGGATTTTTTATTCTCAACAGAAGGGCTTAGCATCACCTCACTGGCATTGTTCAAGTATTTAATTAGTCAATTTTGTCCCTGACAGCCAGCACTATACCAGTCTCAGGTAGACAACCATCTGAAAAAATGTTAAGCAGGTAGATCTATACGAATGTGGGTACCAAAAGGCTTCTCCCCCAACTACCCCGCCCTATGGCATGGTTTCAGCCTTTCAGGTTGAGGACGATAGACACTCTCTCTTTCCCTTGGGCTTACATCCTTTTTACCACTGTGCTCGCCTGAGTTTCTCATCTGGGTGTGTCAGGCTGACTTTCAGCCGCCAAGTTCACCACCATGGATCCAATTTCTATAACAGGGTTGATCATAGAAGTCAGCAACGTGCTGTCCAGTGTGATCAATTATGCCAAGGCCGTTCAAGGCGCCAAATCCGACATGCGAAAGTTAAGTGAGGAGCTATTTGCACTCAAGGGCATTCTGGAGCATATTTCCAATGGCATAGGCGACAATACGCCTAAATCCGAAAGGGATTCCGAGTCCGACTCGGAGCCATCGGGCGTATTCGACCGAGATGTAATGGCAAGAGTGCTATTCACGGCGAACGAATTCCTCCAAACTCTCCTTCAAGAGCTAGAAGAGCCCGCGACGAAATTCAAAAAGTTGAAGCAGAAGCTGGAATGGCCATTCACTCAAGATCAAGTCAATGCTCATCTTGTTCGACTCGAAAGGGTCAAATCATGGTTGATCTTGGTTATCACAGCGGACACGGCTGCGGCGGAGAAAGATCTACATCAGGAGATTACTAGCCTGACGAGAAATCTGAAAGAAGACCTGCGCATCCGAGAGCAGGAAAGAGTCCAACGGGACAATGAGGCGCTGTTCAAGTGGATCGCACCGGTCAGTCCTGCCGATTCTCACATTCGAGCATCGAATGGACGACGCATTGGAACAGGGCGATGGTTCACCAAGTCGCATTTAAAATTATGGCTACGCGATCCATCGGATAATAAAAGGATTCTCTTCATTGTGGGTAAATGTATGATTTCTCTCGCTCGTTTGCTCGGAAATGGTTACTAGAACTAACATGATGGATATCAATAGCTGGAACTGGAAAGACGACGCTTTTGTCAGTTCATAGAGAACGTTTTCTATTTTTGTCTTGACTAATACTGGTCTAGTGCTCAAACCGTTGATGAGCTCACTGTTATGGCTTCCCACGATCCACGCTTATGCTTTGCCTATTTCTACTGCACAATTAGCAATACAGCCTCTCAGGTTGCTGCCAACATCTTAGGCTCCTTGGTGGCACAACTTGCAAGATCAAACCCGGCTATATTGGACAATATTCGATCGCTTTACGATAAAATCCCCAAGACTCAAACGCACAAACTGCCTATTGATACCTCGGCCCTCGAAGATGCTATCATCAAACACTCTACTGCAAAGTCCCAAATTGTTATTCTCGTCGACGCTCTGAATGAAAGCTCCGAAACGCAAAATATCGAGGGCTCTTTATTGAAACTGGCGAGCCTGTCGCCAAATATCCGCATCCTTGTTACAACAACATCCACGAGAGCTTCCTCTAAAGAAGCAACCTTTTTGAACGTCAATACTGGCGCTATGCGAGAGGATATAAAGACCTTTATTCGGTATCGCTTAGAGCACGATAACACCCTCCGGAACTTGACGACAAATCTGCAGGGTGAGATTGCAGAGACCCTGCTTAAGAATGCAGATGGATCGTCAGTGCAACAACCCCCAGTGCTCCAGTCTTCTTTCTGACATACTTCTAGCTTCCGATGGGTCCAACTTTCATTAGACAATCTTTGCGCCCAGCGAACCGCGAGGGCAATGCGAGCATCCCTGTCCAATCTTCCGGGAACCCTCAGGGAAATGTACGCAAACACACTGGAACACGTCGCCCCAGAAGATCAACCATTCGTTTACGAGGCTCTCTTCTGGGTTAGCTTTGCAAAACAGCCCTTAACGCTGAGGAGTCTGAACGAAATCGTGGTTCTCGACGAGACTTGTACGGTCTTAGATGATGACATGATGCTTGTTCCTCGGGACATTCTGCTCCAACTCTGCCAAGGGCTCATCTCCGTGGACCAGGCTGGACACGTCAATCTCGCACATTCATCCGTCAAAGACTTTTTAACTTCCGATTGGATTCAGACTTCTCGAGTCAGCCATTTCGCTTTGGACACTAGCACCGCCGACACGACGATCATGCGTAAGTGTCTGACATATCTGTGTCTCGAAAATTTCAAAGATGGGTATGGCGAGTTCAGGAAACGCACCAGAATCCGGGCATTCCTATACTACGCAGCGTACTTCTGGCCCACTCACGGCTCTTATGGTGAATTTGGGGAATCTGAGCGACAATTGGTCAATCGGTTCTTTGCTACAAGGAAGTTTCCGCGTCGAGGAAACTACGGCGTCTGGATGGAAGCGCTGATACCGGGCGTGAATCCTTCCATCATTGAAAATACGGAACCGCTTTACTATGCCGCCTCGTTTGGCATGACCTCCGTTGTTAAGGCTATCCTAGTATCTGATCCTGGGTTAGACATCAATGCTCCGGGCGGACGTGTTGGAGCTACACCTTTGTTTGCTGCGTGCTGGCGCCATAACTATGATGTGGCTGAGACTCTTCTCAAGGCTGGTGCTGACCCGAAGATTGCTGATCCCGGCACGGGTGTTAGTGTACTTGGGTTAGCCAGGATGAGTAATTTCTTGCCCGTTCGAGACCTTCTGCTTCGTTGCAATGTGGAGTTGAGCTCTTAAGAAGATTTTGTTGGAGACAAATGTACGTTTTTGGCTTCCAGCAATACTCTTGGAGTATTAATCTGAAGATTGTCATACTTTCATGTGTGCCCTTAGCTATCTCTATCATTCACTCTCCTCTCTATGCTGTGCTCAAGCCTTTTTTCCGAATTGTTTGACGTGGATTTTCCATGATTCAGGGATCCTGAATCTAGACCCTTGGAGTGCTTACTTTAGATCTCTCTGGTACTCAGGCTTGTCAGCTTGAGCGTTGTATATATTTTAGTTAAAATAATCACTTCCGGGTGGGCTTTCCGGGCCGAAAGGAGGTTTAGAAATAGATCTAAGATTGGAAACTTTCAGTCTAGACAGCGGTTGAGTCTCGGGAATGTTGGTAGCGACCAGCCTTATATATTGTCTGCGCCACCAGGCAGCCAGCTAGAGGAATGTCCACTCTGTACATCTATTCAGGTAGATAGCCCAATATCTAAGATGAGATATCGTGACTATGGCTTTATTCACATCGATAGGTGAAAATTGACATATCACTGCCTGAGTCCTCGAAAGATTTAAGCTCAGACTCCCGCGATTGATAGATCCAGGGCTTCGGGTTCCAGTTTAAGCCGCAGATCAGCGACCTCCGAAAGCTCCGCGTCCGCCGATAAAGTCTCCGCATTAGAAATCAACACCAAGAAACTCGGCGAACTTCTTCCACAGCCCTCTCTCCCAACTCTACCCTCCACCTCCCACCTTCGCCAGTTTAACTCTCTAGGTCATATTCTCTGAAATAATGGCCGAGGTTCCACCGAAGCAGCTGGATGCGCAATTCCACACGCAGCCGTACGCCTTCAACCAAGCGCCTCCAAAACCCGCCAAAGAATCGCAAGATGCCGACTCCAAGGCCCCATTGCCCAAGGGCGTAGTCCTCGACAAAGATGGCAAGCCGTAAGTATCCTCCCTATCCCACACAATAAAAACAAGCTACTCAGCACTAATAACTAACTCGTCCTTCTCAGCTGCCGCACCTGCACATCAATCGCCTCATGGCGCGCCCTAACAAAGCAACAATCGCAAACCTCCCTTTCCTCCTCTACCGCCTCTACTTCATCATCATCACCCTCAACAATCCCCACACCAGCAACAACCTCCCACTCCACGCCCCAACCGACCGAAATCCCCCCAGACTGCCCGCCCGACGTCGAAGAACTCGGCCGCTCAACCTGGACCCTCCTGCACAGCATGGCCGCCACATACCCCGAAAAGGCCACCACACAACACCAAGAAGACATGCAGGGCTTCCTGAGGTTCTTTTCCAAGCTGTACCCGTGCTGGGTGTGCGCGGACGATTTCAGGACGTGGATGGCGCACCCGAGTGGGCGAAATCAGCCGAAGTTGGGTGGGCGGAAGGAGTTTGGGTGGTGGATGTGTGAGGCGCATAATGAGGTTAACCGGAAGTTGGGGAAGAAGGAGTTTGATTGTCGGCTTTGGGAGGAGAGGTGGAGGACTGGGTGGAAGGATGGTCGGTGTGATTGAGGTGAAGGCGAAGGCGAAGGCGAAGGAAGGTGTATACATGCTGAGCTTTTGTTTCGTGTTGTACGATTATGGTTGATATAGAGCTTGGTTGGGATCGTTCCTTCTCCGCTCCCGATGTTATAGATTTCTCCCTTCTTGTAATACTACTGAACGATGGCATTCTTGATGAAGAACTGATAGGAAATACACTGATTTTGAACTAAGTCGAGGGGGGATGCAAACTATGTCTAAGTTTCTATAATTGGGACACTCCATTTTTGAACAAATTCACATACAAACTAAGACCGCTAAGCAATTAGAATCTCGGGTGCAAAAACATCTAGACATGGTGAAGAAGAGCCGGGAGTTTCCTTTCTCCCGAAAGAACAAGCGCCGCCAAACACACACGACTTCATCTCGTTGCAGGAGAAGACAGGAATGGAAGAGGGGAATGGAAAGAAAATGCCCCATTTTATAACTTCATGTCAAAAGGAAGGAAAAAAATGGATGGGAAGGAACCGTCAAACTTCGTCAGGGAGCAAAATTACCAACTCTAATGTTGAGCCGGAACGAAGAGGCGCAGGCCGCTGGCCGGGGCGCCGATTTCGGTCACCTCGGATATCCGGCAGACGCTGCCCTTGTATTGCTCGTGATACTTAGCACCAGTGAAGGGGTCGGTCACGCAAGGAGAGCCACTGAAGATCGGGGTGAAGGAGGCGGCGCAGATGTCGAACTCGGCGAATTGGTCAAACTCGATATCGATGGCATCCTGAGGGTTGCGCTCGCATTGAGCCTTGATCTTCTTAGCCTATAATATAATTTGTTAGCTAAAAGTTGATCAACGGGATGGGAAGGCGTGAGAAATATCTTACCTGATCCAAAAGCTTGGCAGAGCCTCCGTTGGCCAGCATCCGGTTGGCAAAGCCCAGGGCGGAGTTGTAGTTCTTGTTGGCAAAGGCAAGCTTCATGGCTGCCATCAAGGCCAATTGTCGGTGAGCGACCTCCAGCTTGGGGATGGTAAAGTATGCGGACAACTCCAGGCTGCGCTTGAGGCCCTCCGGAGTGTCGGTAGAGAGAGAGCGGCGTTCCAGCTCGATCGTCATGGCCAGAATGTACTCCCGAGCAGTCGTGATGATCGTCTTCGCTTGCTCGACCTCGCTCTCAGAAGAGACAGTGTTGACAAGCAGCGTGTGCAGGATGCGCTTGAAGACATTCACACCATCCTCTAGCTTGTTCGAGCGCATGGCAGCATAGCCTTCTTGGAGGTCGACGCTGGCGACAGTCTCGAGGTCACGCGGGATGATAGGGAGAACCTTGCGGCTGTCGGTCTCCTCGGTGGTTCTCCGCACATAGTTGACCAGAGGTGGCAGGCCAGTGGAGGCAGGGAGGTACGTCTTGGAGCCCTTGTAGATCTCAAGGAAACGCTCCTTGAGAGGAGCGAACTGGACAGCACCGACCTGGCGGTTCAGGAGCTGCATAGCAGTGTCGAAGGAGCCGGCAGCGACGTGATCAGCCGCCAACGGGGAGTTGCGAGCCCACAAGTCAGCCTCGGAGCTGCCTGCGCCAGCCTCGGTACTCTCGACGTTGACAAATTCAACATCCTCTTCCAGATTGAGGTCATCTCCCATGTCCCACCCAGCGGCATCTACCTCGTCATCCTCCAGGGTGTCCTTGGCGAGAACTGCCTCCGTCTCGTCTTCCTCAACCTCAAAGCCATCAGCAACCTCTTCGTCGCCAGCACCCACCTCACCGAGAAGGGCCTTCTCGAACGAAGAGTGACCTGCAGCCTTGGTGGGCCAGTTGGACTTGAAGGTAGGAACAATTGCGTGCGGGACTTTGAGGGATTCCTCAAGCGAGGGCAGGGCAATTTGGTCTTCGGTGAGACCACAAGCCTCCAAGATAGACTCGGCCTCCTCAGTCAAGCCGTGCGACTTGGCGGTCAGATAAGCCAGGGGATCTGTAAAGTATTAGTATGTCAGATAGGCAAAGTGCAAACAAAATAATCTAGAAACACATACACAAGTCGACCTCCTTGAACATCTGGATGCGATCCTCAACGTCGCCACGGTAGATGGCGTTCTGGAAACGAGAGGTAAAGTCTCCTCGGTGCTCAGCGATCTTGGCCATGCGAGACAGCTTCTCTTGATCACCGGTGGCGAGGTAGAGGAAAGAGAGCTTTTCAAAGTTCCGCTGCTTCTGGTAGGTCATCTCGACAGTCTGGTGGTTACCATGAGCCAATGCCTCGGCGCCTAGTCGGTTCCAGAAGTTGGGACGATCCAGCTCGCGAGCCATCTCGATAGCAACCTCGAGGTTACCGCACTCCAGGGCCAAGTCGAAACGGGTCTGGGGGTCTTGCACGAACTGCAGAGCAATCTCGGGATAGCCCTTCTTCTGGAGGTATGAAATGATGCTCTGACCCACCAAGCTCGAGGTCTTGATAATCTGAAGCATCTCATCGTAGTTCCGCTTGACAAGTGCCAACTTAAATCGGTACTCGGTGGGATCGATAGGAAGGATTTGAGGCTGGGCGTTGCGGTCGAGGCAATACACGTTGCGGCCCTTGACGCGGACGAGGTAGACGGTTTGGTCAAGGGTGCGAATAATGCCATTGTCACTGTAGAAACGAATAACAATGTCAGCATAGATGTCGGCGGAAGCTTATAAATGGAATAACGTACCCATTGAGCAGCGAATACTTGACGTGGTTAAGGGTAGAGTAGATAAGAACACCAGAATCATCCCAGGTCGCGCTCTTGATACGGATTGTCTCGTGCAAGGTGCTGACTTGCTCGAGGGTCTTGGTAACAATGGTTACATTGTGCTTGCTGAGAAGAGCACAGTAAAGACCATCGTTGGACCAGACCACATACTTCACGCCGCTGACCGCAAGCTCCGCCAACTGCTTCTTTTGTTGGATATCGAAGAGAGTTACGGTGGTGGGTGTGATGAAGAGCAGGCAACCGGTGCCACCAAAGTAGATATCCGTGGTACCGACTGGCGGCTTGATGGTCTTGGTTGTGGAGTTGCTGAGATCTTTGATATCGACCTGCTGGCTGGAGGGGTTGAAGACTGCGAAACGGTTACGGGCAACGAAGACCGCGGAGGTGGCTTGGCCGCGCTTGACATCAGTGGGTTCAACGGCACCCGTGGCGTCGCGAGGAAGGTGAATTAACTCGTAGGTTCCACTATCGGTGGGGGAGGTGACCAGGATGGCGCGCTCGGCGGGGTTGTAGGAAAGGGTTCGAGGAGGAACCCAGGGAGAGCCGAGCTTGCGCAGCGACAGCATGGGAGGAGACTCGACATTCTTGCCAAAGTCATATGACTTGACGTGCTTCTCCTTGGTGATGTAGAAGAGCTGGTTCTGGTAAACAGCAGAGGCGGGGCGCTCACGCTCTAGCTTGAAGACCATCACGCCAGTATCGTGACCAGCGGCGAACAGGTTCATCTCGGGGTGGGCAGCAATGACCCAGAAGCGGTCGAGATCACGCTTGAAGGACTGGACCGAGGTACGCTTGTTAAGATCCCACACACGGATTGTCTTATCTTCGCCGACGGAGAGGATGAGGTCTTGGTGGGGATGGAAAAGACAGGCGGAGGCATTCTGGAAGTGGCCGCGGCAGGTATCGACTTCCCATGCCTTGGTATCTATATATTCAAAGAGATTAGTATGATCGAGAACCAAGAGGTTAGAACGAGACCAACCACTCATGCGCCAGAGCTTGATCAGTCGGTCGTCACCAGCGGACACGATCAGTGGCAATGTTGGGTGGAACGACACCCAATTGACACCGCGGTCATGACCCTCCAGCACGAACTTGACAATGGCATCGGTGTTACCAAACATGTCGGCTTGGTTCGGGTTAGCGCGAGCCATCTGATCCTCGAATGACACCGAGGTTGGGGCGGAGTGCTTCTTCCGCAGGCCGGAGATATCCCAGATGCGGACGGACTGGTCCAAGGAGGCGGAGGCGATGAGATCCTCGGTAGGATGGAATTGAGCGCACATCACATAGTGATTGTGGCCGGTCATAGTACAGACTAGAGGCGCACCAGGCATTAGCAATTGCCAAGACCATTCATCTGGTTACCAGCACGAGGGCTCGACTTACTCAATGAGCGATTCTGCCAGTTCCAAATCCGAATGGTCTGGTCGTCGGACGCAGACAGAATCCATGGGAGCTCAGGGTGGAAGAATACTGTGCGCACGTAGTCCAAATGGCCATTCAATGTGAACAGACACCTCCGAGTCTGGTAGTTCCAGACCTTAATCTTGTAGTCGTCACCACCAGACACGAACAGGGGCTGAGTCGGGTGGAAATCGATTCCTCGAACGGGGCCATCGTGTTCTTCAAAGCGATCAATGAGAGTCCCCATGCGGTAATCCCAGAGCTGGATTGTGGAGGAGTGGAGGGAGACGAGAATCCATGGTCTGGTTATACTGAGGTCAGTGCCGATGCTCCAACGTGTTGTTATGTCCCCGCGGGACCGACGTACCGCTTCGGGTGGAATGCGATTCCCTTGGCTCTGGAGGATTTTGACTCAAACTATGTAATGGATGATTATTAGCAAGTCCAATTGAGGCAATGGTGTGCGATGCCAGCCTGGCCGAGATGGGAGCTACATGGCGGCGGTGATCGAGGGGCGTACCTTGGTGAGCATGTTTGGAGAGGACTGCATCTTGACAGAGTTGGCCGGAGCCGCACCAAACAGTAGCAAGCTCCGCACGCGAAAGAAGAGTAGTAGACAGAGGCAACCACTGCATCCACCAGGGATAAGAAAGGGTAGAGAAGAGCAAGGCGCAGTGGTCGTGGATGCCTGTGCTTGGAGAGCAGAGGAGGTAAACTAAACGTGGACTCAATTGTGGAAGCGAAAGGCGGTGGCCAATCAACCCGCGGGCGGTGAACAGGTCAGGGGTCTGCTACAAAGTACTGCTACTAACATTAGAACATCCATACAGAACTGCATTCTGTATAACCTGGCAGATCCTGAAAGATTAACTATGAAAGTCAATATGATAACCAGAGTGTGGAAGATTCAGATGTACAGCTCTAGGTTCTGTTAGTGGGGGTCTACAGTGGTGGTGGTTCGCCATAGTTCATTGGTGATCTGGGGAGCTTCTCTTTCCCCCGCTAGAAGCGTCTGGAATACTCCCATTATGTGATGCGCCAGCAACTCTTTTATTCTGTTCTTGATGATTATGGCCCCTTTTCTTCATAGATATGTTTTCTCGGCCTAATCTTTCTTCATGTTTACATTTTTCCATTTGCAGCATTTCCACAGTTCACATTTCCTTGTTGCATCTGGTGACGTGATGGACCCGACATCGAACACCCGAAGACTACATTGACTTGCTCTACTTGATACGCCAGGGGACAAGAGCTACACATGGAAGGAACAGCCTCCTCTGATCAGCCGAAGCCAGCAGACCCTCATTCATGTTCACCCTGCTCGCCAACCAATAATAAGGCAGACGTCGCCACAGATAGCAGCAGTCACAGTGTGAACGATTCAGGACCATCCACACCAACCCTTGAGAACCTACCAGAAACCATGTCTGGCACGGCCGGGGTCGAGGTCCTACGACCATACGAGATCGAGGAACCGGATGATGACCCGGCACCCCCAGTGCAGCGGAGACTTGGGTTGCCGTGTCTTCCAGACTATTTTGAGATATGGCAGCGCGAGCTGGCCGATCGCATCGATGATCTGGACAACCAGGTAGAGACAAGCCCAAGGGCTAAGCTTTCATCAATCCCGAAAGGAGGTCGGAAGCGAAAGCCAATTGGTGCAGCTGGCGCTGGTGACTATTCCCCAACGGATTCTCACAGATCCAAGTCCAAGGCCAAGCTAGACGACCCTGCATTGCCTGGCTGTGGCCTCAATCCGAAGAGACGCCGTAGACGCAGTAAGCTCACGGAGGAGATGGACAAAGGTCCTCATACTGTCTCTCTCCATGATTTCCGTGAGGCGGGAGCCAACGAGAGCTCGAGCTCGGACTTGCAGTCCAGTAGTAGTGTTGACGCTACTGACGACACTGCTCTGGCCGATGAGATGGACATTGACTGAAATTGGTCCTTGCAAACTCATTCATTGCCATTCCAAAATACTCTACAAACCCACGGAGCCGTATGTGGTGCTGGTAGCTAATGGCATGACGTCATATGTATCTCATGGCCACCTGGGAGCTTCCACTGGCTCCTCAACTTCGTCAAGCCGGCTACTTTCATTTCTACACATTCATGCCATTCTATGTCGTTGATTATCGACGTTGATTAACTTTCAGTTTCTCTGGGAACGCAACTGGGCCGATATCATGGCTCGCACTTCCACCCGCCAGGCCGCTCAGAAGGCCAAGGAGGCCATTTCCTCAACGAGTGAAACAGGTGGCAAAGCTGGCGCAGGTGAAAAACGCAAAGCTCTGGAGCACAAGGCACCTGCGCCTAAGAAGGAGAAGAAGGAAGAGAAGCCACAAGAACCAAAAGAGGTGACCAGAGAAGAACCGCCAGAGGAGCCGGAGGAGAAGAAAGAGGAGCAACCACCTGAGCCAGAGGCGGCAAGAGGGCCAGATACAGAAGCGGACGGTGTGCCTGTAAAAGCTCCCAAGGAGGAAGAGGCAGCGGAAGCTCCAACCACTCAGCAAGACACCAAACCCGAGACAAATGTCGAGTCTGGCATCCGCAAGTCCGAGGAGCGGGAAGACAAGGTCGCCTCCAATGTCCTAGAGAAAGGCATTATCTACTTCTTCTTCCGGCCGCGCGTCAACATCGAGGATCCCCAGGGAATGGAAGACGTCTCTCGCAGTTTCTTCGTGCTGCGTCCAACTCCACTAGGCGCTGAGCTCGACTCAGGACAAGGGCCAGTGGACAAAGATGCCCGATGTCGCCTGTTAATGCTCCCGAAGAAAAAGTTTCCCACCTCGGGTAGGGAACGAGATATGGGATTCGTGGAGAAGGCCAATCAGTCGATGAAAGATCTACAGGAGAAGTTCTTTGCTGGCTCCACATATCAGACCTCTACCCGTGGCGAGCGCCATATTGAAGAGGCTCGTCCGTATGCGGAGGGAGTCTATGCACTCACATCCACCCGCCGGGCAACTCATCTCGCCTACGTGTTGACTATTCCCTCCGAGGTTGGCGAGATCCAGGACAACTTTGGTCTGGATCAGCGTGGCAGCTTCATCGTCCAGTCTAAAAATCCAAAGTTCCCTGGTCCATCGTTTGCTAGGTTGCCCAAGGAGCCTGAATACCCTCAATCGTGAGTCTGGTTCTAGACAAGACGGGGGATTGATGTCCATAATTACTAACTTCGCACTGGCAGCGTTTTGGAAAGGTTTGATGACCTCCGATGGGTGCCTCTGCAACCCGAGTTCATCGAGTATCCGAATGCTCAATTTTTGATGATTGGCGAGGCACAAGATTCCTTAGGCAAAGCCGCCACAGCCGAGGGCAGAAAGCAGTCACACGAGACGGAGCCCGGCGAGGAGTTGGAGAAGATGGAGCATGAAAATGAGGATCGAATACACGCACTCGAGGGTAAGAACATGGATACCCCCAACACAAGCACATTACATCCATTGACTAAGAACTGCTGCTAGGCGATTCGACCATCTTCCGGGATCTTGGCTTGGATGCGAAGAAATATGCTGGTGTACCGACGACTTGGGGCGCTGAGGAGAGTGGCGCTTGAATCATAAAAGCCAGAGACATGCCGAGTTTCACCTCGGACGGGACGGTTCCAAGGATTTCTATCAGTCTTTCTCTTTTCTTCCGGGATATTTTCCTAACATAGGACTGCGAATATGAATGCGAACACTAATTGAGGACTAGGAAGGGGCCTAACCCGTTTCCAAAGCGACATTAGGGCACCCGACTTCGTGAAAATATTTCCGAACGTCTCTTCTTTGTTGATTGAATTCTGACGTTGTATTTAATTGATCAAGAGTAACACGAGCAACAAAACTTGAATTCAAATCGCTTATTACTTGAAGTCGGCTGGGAGTATAGTTCTTCGCGCAGGCAGGCTACACAGGCCGATGAAGGTAGGGATTGGCACTTTCCCCTGTAGACGTATCCTCGTCCTCTCCTCATCCACTGACCACCCGCACTAACCAAAAGCAGTACTTCCTTCTGCGGTTAACCATCTTGGAAGATTGATAACCGACGCTCCACGATACTTCTTGGCACGGCATGTAGCGATCGGCGAATGACGATCGTCACTCCTTGCACGTTGAGTGACCCATTCTCTAGTCCTGGCCTAGCGTCTGGCACGCCAAGCAGTACGCTGGGCATGCGACTTCGGAGTCGCATGGTGCTAGCAACTAGATAAAGGTGCGTCTTGCCTCCTTGATTGCAACAGTTTGAAGGAGAATAGCAGAGTAATTTGTTTAGACAATATGAAGTCAACTCTCGTCGTTGCCCTGCTGGCTGCGGTCGCAACGGCTGCGAATCATGTTGTTAACCAGACTACTTGTGCCGGCACTACCTACAAGTATACTGGGTTAGCCGGATACGGCTTTATTCCGTCCAATGCGCGGGACAAGTATGGTGATACCATTGGTGGCATTGGTAGTTCAATTGCTATCGATCAATCGTCGTGGCGCAAGTCGGACGATGATGTTTACTTAGGCACAATCTATACAATCCCGGATCGTGGATGGTGAGACTACTCTGTCTAGAATTCGAAAACGATAATTGAGGATAACTAACAATCGGCCCAGGAATACCAATGGAACCCTCAACTTCCAATCGCGTATTCACAAGTTTGCCTTGACCTTCAAGTTGGCTCCCCATGCTTCGGCCAAGAATCCCTCTGGCCCCAATCTTCACCTGAAGTATCTCGATACTGTCCTCTTGACCGGGCCTGATGGTAACCCTACCACTGGTCTGGATGCCGATGCTACTGGAAATGCTTCGTACCCCGGCTTCCCGCCCTTGCCAGCGGCGACCTATATTGGCGATGGCTTCGGCGGTCCTGGCAAGGGTGGCAAGAGGATCTCCATAGACGCAGAAGGTCTGGTTCTCGCACGGGACGGCGGCTACTGGGTCTCTGACGAGTATGGCCCTTATGTCTACAAGTTCAGTGCTTCCGGTCGCATGGAGCTTGCAATCCAGCCTCCGCAGGCCTACCTGCCTCGCCGGAACAACACTCTCAGCTTCAGTGCCGCCTCTCCGCCACTGTACGACCCGGCTGAGGTGCCTATCCCCGAAGGCACCGACTCCGGACGTGACAACAACCAAGGCTTTGAGGGTTTGACCGTCTCTCCCGATGGCAAGACCCTCTATACACTGATTCAGAGCTCGCTTGATCAGGAGGGTGGTCCGAAGAAGCAAAATCGGACACCGGCTCGCCTGCTGGCGTACGATATCTCTGGTAAGACCCCACGGTATATTCACGAGTGGGTTGTCATACTGCCAAAATACTTTGATTATACCTCGGACGACACGGACAAAGCGATCAAGGTCGCATCCCAGTCGGAGATCCACCAGCTTCCGACAGGTGACTTCCTAGTTCTGTCCCGAGACTCGGGCTTTGGCCATGGGCTAGACCAGTCGCTGTCCGTGTATAGACAAGCTGATATATTCTCCGTTTTGAAAAACCACTCTGTGACCGATTTCAAGGGACAAAGTGACTATGATACCGCAACTGGTGCTATTGCTTCGTCTAAGGGTGTACTCAAGGACGGCATTACTCCGGCTGAATACTGTTCATTTTTGGACTTCAATGTCAACTCGGAGTTGGCTAAGTTCCGTCTACACAATGGCGGGGCTCAGGATCAATACTTGCTAAACGAGAAGTGGGAAAGTCTGGCTCTTGTCCCTGTGAATCCCTCTAAAGATGGCCACCATCACAAGCGGGGTGAGCAGGAGTATTTCCTGTTCAGTCTTAGCGATAATGACTTTATCACTCAGGATGGTAAGTCATGTCATTCAATATTAGGTGTCTGTATGTTACTAACGCTTCCATAGGGCACATGAACTTTGGCAAGTTCTCATACAAAGACGCGTCAGGGTACAATCTAGATACACAGGCCCTGGTGTTCAAGGTTAAGTTCTAGATTACAATGAAGTGCACATATAGGCTTTATATTTCGTATAACAATGAAGACTGTACCAATTTGCTACTTGTACGTAGCCATTATTCAACAAGGAATCGTTCCGACAATATTCACAAATCATTAATCATTCCATGAAATCAGGACAGTCGTGAACCTTTACATGCCTAACGCCACTGCTCCAAGTACAACTCCAATAATGCTCATTAGACTTGGTACTCGGGCAGAAAATCCGTTACTTCCACTGACGCCTCGACTCTCACAATAATATCCCGTTGTGCTGGAATAAGATGCCTCTTCTTGTGGTAGTCGCCCAATCTTCTGCAAGTTGTCGAATGTCGAACAATCTAGATGTGATCTAGTTGTAGGAGTGATGCTGAAATAACTCAAACTGGAAGGAGTCTTTGTAGTATTCATCGAACCATTTTGCTGAGCCACGAATGTGTCACTGTATACCAGTTAGCAATGTTCAAGCTTTCTTTCCACACATGAGGCCAACAGGGACCCCGGTATGGACTAGACGTACAAGAATTCATTGGCAACGATAGCCTCGTAGATATCAATTGACGAGACATTGGTAGGCCAGTACCAAGTTTGAATCTGATTTCCCTGGTCATCCAACCCGTACATTGACGAAAGGTTGAGGCCGGGGCTCATATAGACACTAAGCGCAAATCCACCCGTCCAATTGGCGGCCTTGGCTGGAAGACGAAGCGTCACCACGTCAGAGTACATGCCTTCTCTAACTGAGAGTTGTCGAAGATCATCAAAGGGAATATCCATCTGCGACATGCTACTGGTAGGCACAGTATCAACACTATCCGCTGTGAGGACTTTCAAATTCGAGTTGCGCTGTAGTCCTGTCAATTTGTAAAACGTGACATTGCCCAGTGACATTTCTGTGCTTGATGAGCCACCCAAAATCACCGACAGATCGGAGATATCCAGCGAATTGGCCGAATGAAACCCAATTGTCACGTTCTTCACATTCGGTAGAGTGTCGATTTCTGCCCCGGTTGTAATATTCAGTGGATTGTTGAAGATACTGTCCACCGAGTCTAGGAGATTATCATAGATCCATAATCCTGTCGCATTGCTCAGTTTCGTATGGTGTAGCGTAGTGAGGCTTTTGCCTGCGATCTGGAGGTTCTGGACAAACTCTAGACTGGTGATGTCGAGATATGTCAAGTTGCTACACCAGAAACTCATGGTAAAGTCGCCAGAAACGGTTGTTAAACTTGGCATGGAGAAATTGAGCATGTTGCAAACGTCATCTCCAAAAAGCACAGTGCCTCCAACTTTTGTCAAGGTTGAACTGGAGACTGTGAACGGGGTCTCCTGGTAGGTGAAATCGTGACTGCCCAGGTCATGGTTGATGTTCCCTTTGACAGTCTCGATACCATCAAGGTTGATGTGTACTGTACTTGTATTCTGAACGAATGGGCCAATCGTCAAATCGCCAGTGATGACTTGACAACTCTGCCGTAGGGTTTTGGCGTCACTTTCCGATGTGACTGAGACTGTGCTGCAGTTCGTGGCCAGGGCGCCTATTGAATTGTTAGCATGGGATCAAGGTTATACTGGTCAACAATGTAAAGAGTCAAGGACTAGCTCACGCGATGTAAATAGCACAACCCCCAGTAGGAGCGTTTGATCAACCCTCCAGATCATATTTGTAGGTTTTTTTGGGCAGAGTTCTTGCCCACGAGCACTGCAAACACGGCTTCCTACCGGATTCATTCGCGACTTATAACAATCCACCAAACCACGGCCCCTGAGAAGTAAATTACCATTCTCGGCAATTCATCCCTGTTCAGCTGTTGAGCTGACGACGCACGAAGCGATAACTAGAGCGCTAAACTCGAATCGATTAGCCGTCACATCGTCTAGTGCTAAGCCTCCCACGCTGTTGGCTGATGGCCCCCGTTGTCGTATCCGCCCGATCGCCTAGGGGCCAGGGTAGGGCTGGGCGGGTCTTGTTGGTAGTCTTTGACCAGACATCATGACCAGATCTCTTCAAGAGATGGCCAGTCTTGCCGTTGCTCTTTTTTGAGAATACTCAGACGAATTGACTTTTGTGGAGGTCTACATGGTATACGTCCACCCTTTAAATATTTCCACTCCTCTATTACTGAGACCCTGTGACACAACTACTGTAAGAGCAAAAATGCTTCTGTGGGTCCCGGCCTATCGACTGTTGCTTGATTCGGTGGGGCAGGGTAGGTTGGAATCTATTGAGCCCCATATGGATCATGAGAGAGTATGAACTTTAGAGCCTCAACATGTACAGCCACAGTGCACTGTGGCACAGATAGCACGTCATTGTTATCTTCTCCTATAGCGCAGATTTCAGCATCAACCCGATGCCATCGAATCTGGCGGTTGCATATATGCTTCTGAAATTATGGGTTTGTAGAGAGATAACTAACCTCAACATTGCGATGTTCCGAAACGAGCCCCGGAGGCTATCTCTCGATAGGTAATTTCAAGGACCGTGGGGGAAAAAAAAAGGAGATATAGGCATGAATCTGCTAAAAATGGAGAGGATTAGAAAATACACCCAGAAAGAGACAGAGATTCGAGGCATAGAGCGTCAGGCTCCAGTCAAGAACCCTAACGGGTAAAGTGATTGATGTGCTAAAACTCGAACCATTTATTGCGTCTCATCATTTCAAAAACAAAATCACCCCAGAAACTCGATTTCCTCGGACTTATCGAATCCAATTAGGCCAGGGACTGGCAGAATGGCCAACCCCCAGCTCTCTTGGCATACGGCAAGTGGTCCCGAGTGGGGAAGGGATCGAGGTGTTAATGCGTGCCAATAACTATTTTAGAAGTCTCTTTGAAAACTTAACGGAAAAAGAGAAAAATTCATATTGTTCTAGTCAGCGATACTATGGCAGATACTTCAGACTCCGCAGCCGAAGAAAAGGGGACGTCAAATGATGTTGAACGGCTCGATACCCAGGCTTCCTTCGAGCCCCCTCCGATGCGGCCCTGGCAGCGACGATTGATCGTCCTATCACTCTGCTTGTCCTTATTCTTGGGTGCACTTGACATCACCATCATTTCGACTGCCCTCCCGAGCATCGCAGCACATCTTCATGTGACGTCTCGGGAATACGCTTGGATTGGAAGTGGTTATACCCTGGCAACAACCGCGTCCACTCCAGTCTGGGTCAAGCTTTCCGACATCTTTGGGAGGAAGCCAACTATCATGGCTGCAGTTACCATCTTCATGGTAGGCAGTCTTGTTAGCGCGTTGGCAAGTTCTAGCACTTCACTGCTCGCGGGGAGAGTAGTGCAAGGGCTAGGTGGTGGAGGATCGATAGTCCTTGTGACTGTTATCATTGGTGATATTTTTGCTCTCGCCGATCGTGCCAAATACTACGGTATTACTGGAATTGCTTTTGCGGTAGCGAGTGCTATCGGGCCGGTGTTGGGTGGTGCATTTACTGATGGAATTGGATGGAGATGGTGCTGTGAGTTCTTTCCCAGTTTGCGTGAAAGTTAATCGTCATGCTGATAATCCAGCAGTCTATATCAATCTCCCTTTTGATGGGATAGTTCTAGTGCTCCTCTACTTCAATCTCAATCTCAACATTGAGAAAGAGTCACTGACTGATGGATTATACAGTATAGACTGGATGGGGTTCCTTCTGATCATCGGAGGGACAATTTGCTTCCTTTACGGGCTCGAGGTTGGTTCGAGTGGGCTCATGGCATGGCGTTCTGCCACAGTCATTGTCCTAATCATTTTTGGTGTTCTTATAATGGCTTTATTCATGATCTGGGAGGCCAAATTCGCCAAAAGCCCACTGATTCCGGTTCGGAATTTCCAGAAACGAACATCTCTCGCCTCATTTACCGTCGCATGTCTTCATTCTTTCGTGTTCATCTCGTTTGACTTCTTTTTACCCTTGTACTACCAAGTGGTTCTTGGGTTCAGGCCACTCATATCCGGAGTCACCCTTTTTGCCCTGATCATCCCCATGTCATGCGCAACGTTCTGCGGTGGTTTCTTCGTCAGAAAGACAGGGAACTATCTGGCTATGATATTCACAGGAACAAGCCTGTTGACCCTTGGCACGGGCCTTTTCATCAACTTCGGCACCAGGATCTCGTGGCCTAGGATCATCGTCTTTGAAGTCGTTGCTGGTATAGGAGCCGGCCTGCTTTTCCAAAGCCCTATGATTGCATTACAGAGTCATCTACGACAGGGGGATATCGCTGCAGCAATGTCGGCGTTTGCCTTTCTTCGAAATTTGAGTACTTCAATTTCGATCGTAATAGGGACAGTACTGATCCAACAGACTATTGGAAGTGGCAGTTTGACTACTGTGATAGACCACGGGAGTTCAGGCGCTGCGAGTAGAAAACAGTATGTCTTGGGATTGCGAAATATGTGGATCTTTTACACTTGTACGGCCTCTGTCACCATTTTTGCCACTTTTTTCATCAAGTCGAAAATAGTGAAGGCATAAAATGAGCAAGAACAACTTCCAGAGAAGAGTGTATAAAAGAAGATAGCAATGGAAATTCAATTCAGCTATAAAGCAAATCAAGAGACCCTCATTCCAGTCGTCTATCAAACCCGAGATCAAAGCTTCAAGATTCTCTTCCAAAAGCTCCTGGGTGGTTTTGCAGCAGCAGCATCTGTTACCTTGGAGATTTTTGCCGGCTTAGGGAATGGGATATTTTCGCTGAGTTTTTCATTAAGTTTATCCACCTTTGCCGAGAGGTCGAAGAACCGGTCACAAGAGCACGGAGAGTTGGACGTACACTCGCTGAATTGTTCTCTATGCTTCATGGTCGAAAAGTGATGGGAATTGTGTCTGGAATCTCTGTCTTGGCATTCACCACCGCGCTCATGCTCCTTAGGCAGCACCTCATGTTGCATCTGCCGGCTTGGGTCCCGCTTTGCAGAAGCATAGGCCCGGTCAAGCTCACTGTCAGAGAGTTTTGATATGGCGGCATCGATATCGGTGTCTTGGAAGGTACGCTCTTTGTAAGCATTTGCTAGCTCAAAATAGAGATGCGAAGCCTCTGCACAGACTCGGCCCATCTTTAGATGAAACTCCTCCATCTGAATGTAATCCTTTCCAGCCTCTATTTTTTTGATCTCGTTCTCTATAATATCCAGAATTCCTGTCCTTATGTCATCTATCCGTCGGATTAATGACCGGCAGGTATGCTCGTTCTCAATGACAGAGGTGAGTACATCATGGCTAAGCTGGGATAAGTCGTATTGTGGAGGGCTGTCGTCGTAACAGGGCACTGTCTTCGATGCTTGACCTTCCATCACTAGTTCGGGGATTATCAGGGATGATTCAACAATTATTGGAAAGAAAGCTTTCGTATCAGCGGGAGAGGAGATAGCGATTAGAGAGGAATTTGAGATTGTGGTTTAAAATAGCAGAAGAGAATTTACAAATCTTGGCTTTCCTTTCTTCAGCCGCTGCCCGATATAGATCCGAGAACTACATAGTGGCCCGCGCGACCAAACTAATTTCTGCTCTACTAAGCTAGAAAGACTCCGCATATGTGTCGCATGCAGTAGAACGCGATCACACACTAGAGTTGAGCCTGGTCAGAAGCCGTTATTAAGCACCGTTTGTACGCCGTTTCTCACCACGTTGGGGTTCGTGAGCTCAACGTGGTCGGAGATTTGTGCATTTAATTATGGAGCCTATACTATACTAACTTTTGGACATGCTGCTTCTACCGGTATCTATGTAAATTATTAGTTAGTCTTCTAATACGTCTTTTCACATGTCTTTCCAAGCGTCCTTTGACACGTCCTTTAACACCTTATTTTGTACCTTTTTCGTTAATATGAACAAAGATCTTCAAATTTATGACCGCTAAGACCAATACGTGCAGGTGAAGGCTCATCGTGGTCAGAAATAGTAGGGTGGATTTCTGACCACGCTCAACTCAACCCGCGGATGGCCATACTCTCCCCGCAATCATCTCCAATTCTCGAACGCGAACCCCACCCACTCAACTACCTCAATATGAATATGACCAAGACGCGCAACGTCGCGCACTTGCATGGCCTCCGAATCTAAATGCCTCCACCCGTGGTAAGCTAAGTAATCAACCTGAAAGATTAATCTATACTCATCAACCCAACCACAGACTCCATCTCCCTTTCGCCTATCACGCCGCCAACCCCCGACGCGTCGCACCGCCGGGCCACAGTTTGCCAACTCGCCTCGGTTTCTCTTATCACAATCGACCCCACAGAAGAGCAAGAGTGATCTTGAAATAGTCGATGACGACGCGCCGCCGTCGACTACTCCTGTCACCCGCACCCCAGCTCAACCACAACATACTGGTACTCAACCGCGTCGGCAGCGAGACGTGATCGAAGACTCGGATGATGGCGAGTGGTTGGGTAATGCAGATACCCATGAGAACGGGGTCAATGAGCTAGCCGAGGACTCCATTGATAGCTCTCCACCTCTTGGCCAAGAAATACCCGGGCCCCTGGATGCCGAGTTTGACGCGCTCTTTGCGCCAACCAGAGCCGGTAACAAACGACAGCGGCTTTCTGCAGGAGGGTCTCGGATTAAGAGCCTACACCCACACCGAAACCCAGAAGAGAGACGTTCACCCTCTCCTGAGTCACAAGCTCTACCATTTGATCCTCCTCAGACACCAGGTCCCCGGTTGTTGCAGCGTCCCACGCTGCAAGACGTGAGCGCCCAAGCAACTCCCGGCCCATCCTTGAAACACCGGGTACCATTATCAGGAATAACCAGCAGCACACAAACGCCATTCCGCAGTCGCCCACGATTCGTGCTCTCAACACAAAAGCCGCGGAGCAGTCAGCCCGCGTTCCGAGCAGAGACACCAGCAGCAACTCAGCCAACCTCGCCACAAGAGAGACGTAAACCTGCCTTTGTACTTCCTCGTTCGCCATCACCCAATGCAGCTTTGGAAGATATACCGGCACCTTTCTCACCGTCGTCGAGGACACTCCATCGGCGTGGAAAGAACCGCTCTGGTGTAGCTGGCTATGCGCCCGGCGGGATGGCCGCTGAGGTACGCACCTGGATCCTTGAGATCGGATCTCAGCGGGATCATATTGCCATAAACCAGACAAGTGGAACTATGGGAGACAGTTCATCGGATCTGACTGGGTATCTCGTGGCTGCTCGCGTGCTCCAGGCTAGGCGGGCTGTGCTGAGTAGCTCTGGCGCGTTCTCGTTTGTTAGAGCGGAGAAGGTGGCCATGCCACTGAATGAAGGTCATGAGAAGCGAGAGCTTCTTAATATAATGGTTATGGGGCCTCCACGATCGAAGCCTCCCTCTCAGGGGACGTCATCGCAGGCTAATGGGCCGCGAGCAGGCTTTGTCAAGGAAGGAGATTTATTGGCCATCCATCGTGGCCTGGCATGGCACGTCGCGTTTGACGAGTATCAGGCCTTGGTACCTGTCAAAGAACTACAAACAGGACCACGTCAAGATGGTGACGTCGAGCAATGGTTAATTGCTATGGAATGGGACCTCATCGAGGAAGCTATGTAACAGTTATGCACACCTACAACTTTATGGCCGATATGAGTTATGTTCAACGAAACAGCCGATCGAAATGGATTCAATGCGGCTACGACATTCATGTCTATTCTCTATAACAGGGGGTATATTTTCGATGAAAAATCAAATCACAATGTCTTCACACCCGCATTCATTACTCTTGAATAGCCTTGAGGGCATCCACGGCCACATTGCAACCCCAGCGCACCAGCTTTAGCTCTTTCTCAGCGACAAGGTCGGTCTTTGCGACGACCTTGCGGATGAAATAGATCAAGCCCTTGGCAGCTTGAGGTGCTTCTTGGACACGCAGGAAAATCTGCATGAGAGGCGCCTCGTCCTTGGCATCATCGGAGCTAGACTTGCTTGATTTTTTCTTCTTCTGTGCCTTCTTGGTCTTTTGCGACTGCTGGATGATACTGATGATCAAGAGCTCGACGAATGTTTTGGTCTTGGGCTGGAGATAGGCGAAGTTGAGGTTCTTCAGGACAGCTAACGATAGAGTTCCATCGGCGATGAGCATGCCGTACATCTTGGCCAGATTGACCACAGCCTTCATGCTAACGCTGGTTTCTTCATCATCGGCGTCGAACTCGGTTTCTTCCTCATCGTCACCTCGTTCACCCATCCGCTTGAAGATGTTCCAGAGAGCGAACATGAAGGACATCTTCAGACGGCGGCCTGACTCTCCGCAAAGACGTCGTGCAATCAGAGTGTAGTAGGGATTGTGGGCTTCTTCCTCCATTGCGCAGTGCAACAGAACACGAGGAATCTCAAATTCCTGCGCACGCTTCAGTCGAAGCTTGAGAAGACGAAGTTGGGCATCTTGGAAGTCTGTCGCAGACATTATAGCAACAAAGATCGAGCGACGCACATCCGTGTTCATACGGTGGGCTCTGGCCAGGTCTGCCAAATCCGGCTCGGCTTCACTGTCATCCTCCATGATAGCATCGGCATTCTTCGTCTGCATACCAGACAATTCTTCGCGGGCAGAGACTAGAGGGTCTTCCCTCCAGCTAGCACCTACGAGCCACCACTTGCCCTTCTTGGAAGAGTCGTGGATATCCGAGCGAGTGATGTTAATAGGTTCCGATGCACGGATCACACGAGAGTTATTCAAAGAGCCCAAAATCTTGCGCATTTTGGTAATGTGCTCCGAAGTCACACTGGCACCAATTCCAGACCTGACCCGGTTGTTCTTGAGATCGGTGATAGTTTCAATCATGAACTTGGTACGGACAGAGAGGTTTCCATCGCCGACCTTGGCGATGGCGGGTTGAATCAGCAGGACAATGTCCTTGAGCGCAGATGGATCATCCTGGCGCAGTTGAGGACCAGCGTCTGTTCAAATGTTAGATAAGTCATGGATCAATACAATACAGGATATCACATACTCCGAATGATCTTGAGCAGGAGCTCCGTGTTGGTCTCGGTGATCTCTTGCAAGAAAAGGCGGATGTAGTCAAACATCAGAGGGTGTCCAATGACATGGAAATTGTACAGCTGACACAAGAGCGAGACGAGATTGATGTACTCCTTGCCCTCAAACTTTCCACGTTCATCACCTCCTGCATCCATGGCCTCCACAATCTTCTGAACAATCTCAGCGCCAAAGTCCATACCCATGATCTTGTACACTGCAGCAATAAAGCCAGCGTGCAAGACGATAAAAGTATCGTTAAGAGCGGATCTCTCGGCAATGAGACCCATCAGTAGACTTATGAGCATGGAGGTGACATTTTGTCGTGGATGCTCTCGGTAGAGCTTCTCAAACTCTGCAAGAATAGATACCAAATTTGCCTCGGACAGCTTGTTCAGGTGTCCTTGGGCCCGGCGACGTAGTCGAGTAAGGGCTTCACTCTCGGGATCACCACGAGCTCGTAATGATGGCGGAATGTATTTCTGAGGTGCTGCTGTCTCAGTCTTGGCCACGGGTGCCACATATGGGTTTTCACGTTTCTTAGGCGCTGCTTCCTCTTCCTTATCGAAGCCGTCGAATTCGCTGTCTTCGGCATCCTCATCTTCACTCTCCGAACCAAAGATTTCCTCGTCCAGATTATCCATGCCATCGTCACTTTCAAAGTCCTCCTCGTCTTCGTCGTCTTCGTCTTCCTCTTCTGAAACTTGGGCCTGGCGCTGTAACGCCTTCTGTCTCTTGCTTTGAAGCCACTCATCGGCTTCCCGCTTGCGCTTCTTGCTATCATCTTCAGACGCCTCGCCCAAATCTCCCATCAAATCCTCTAACCCGTCCTCGGCGAATGCCTTGGGAAGCTTCTTTCCTTTTTTGAGTCCGAGTTTCTTCTCCAGAGCGGCAATTTCGGCGTCATCCTGAGCGAGCTTGGATTTGACCGTTTCGGAAATATGGGCGCCTCGTGGGATACTATCAGCACCGCTGTCCTCGTCGCTCTCCTCCTCTTCGGTTTGCCCTTCATACTCGGCACTTTCATTGTCGGTCTCCTCGCTCACTTCGAGCGGCCGTTCCGATTTTTTCGTTATGGCTGACTTAGAGATTGACGGTAGCTTTTGGGCTGAAACTCGCTTGCTGTTCGTCACAGCCGGTGTATCGTCGCTTGACGATTCCTCGTCCAAATCCACATCAAAGTTGTCATCATTCTCTTCCTCTTCCTCATCATACCGTTTCTCCACAGGTCTTCGTTGGAAACTCTTCTTCACTGGCACTGCGGCGGGTTTCCCGGACTTCTTATTGCTTCGCTCAGCCTGGCGGCGTTCTTTCCGGTTTGCAGGTCCATTGCGCTGGCGCTTCTTGTCGCCATAGGTATCCCTGATCCCCAGTTCCGCGCGCAAATCACGCGGCAGGGAGGTCGTATTGTGATGGGGACGTGGCATGGTGGCTATTTCCTGGAATTGATCGCGCCGTTCAGTCGAAGAAGAGGCCGATAGCCTGGCGGTGAGCGAACTTTTTTCAAAGTGCCACACGTTTTGCCCGCCAAACCGCAGGGCGGTGACCCCCACACAGCGGCGTTTCCTCTTCCCCCACGAGACTCCCGGGCATTGCTGGCCGATTGGCATCGCGACTACTTCAGCTTGCACGATCGGTCAATTCTTGCGCGCCGGGCTATTTCACGCAATTCCAAGATGGCCCCGCACTTGAGCAACGAGCAGGTGAGTTTTTGAATACTTGGCAGCTAAACTGTGTGTCCCGCACGTTCGGCCACGAGACCACCTCCCGGCAGTAGCGCCATTGCTAATATTGCTACTGTTACCAGTTCTTCTCATCCCTTACCGATCTCCTTGCCAAAACTTCCCAGAAGGCCCGTGGTTCAGTCTTCCTCTCACAGAAGCCTCTCATCGACGGCGTCTCTAACGCTCCACCATCCATCCTCATCCGTGCTACAGACGGCAACACCAATGCTCCAAACCCTAAGTCCGAAACCAAGGATGGCAAGATCACCAAGAAGTCATCATCGAAGGATAAGATCAAGTTCTCCACAGTTGTGAATGCGAATGACTTGGAGGCATTCTACACTCGTTATGCGGATATTTGCAAGGCTGGCATGACTGGCTTGAAGAAGCGGGACCGCAGCAAGCGCAAGGCGAAGGGCAAGGGTGGAGCTGCAAAGGCTGCAAAGGCATAGATGTGATGACTCTCTTTGTTTTATTCACGATGATGCTTAAAGGCCTGCGTGGGGTGTGATATCCGCCGATATGGCTCCATTCATCTTGCATTTCCTGGCGTTTACTGGTGGCCACTTGTTCTCATAACCTTTGTGTTGATGATCCTGTTACGAGCTTCTCAGGTGTACATACGGCACTCTTTCTTTACAACTTCAAAGATTTATCTTGATCACACAATATCTCACTGGAATGATCATTTTCCAGGTCATAATATATCCATTTCACTACAGTAGCTGGACTGGACTATTGCCTATCCTATAATAAGTGGGAACTGTCCTTTACCCTCTTCCACGTGGAACCCCCACTTAACTCCTGCGTATTCCTTCCTGGGGCTTGCATTGACCGGGAACTTGCCCTTGACAGGACCCATGATCGAGACCATACTCGTCGTATCCTTGGTCGGCTCCTTCCAGACTCCGCCAACGGGCACGATATCGTACCGAAGAATAACCATGGCCACCAAAAGCAATATTTCAGAGCTAGCAAAGTGCCTGCCAGGGCAAATGGTTGGTGAAAGACCAAATGTCAGAAATCCGCCCGCCCGCCGAGAATAATCCTTCTCGCCAGAGTTCATAAACCGACGCTCATCGAAAGCCTTGGAGGTATCACCCCAGACCTCTTTGCGCTGTGCCATTGGAATCGACGGCATGCTGACTGTATTGCCGGCCTTGAGGAGGTACTTATCCGCAAGAAGAGTGTCTTTAGTAACGACACGTGTGGGGGAGGAATTCGAGCGGGTGCGAAGAATCTCCTGGAATGTGGAAAGCAAGAGAGGGCAGTGCTCCCGAATGGCAGTCAAGTCAATGCTGTGCATGCCATCGACAGTCACCGAAATAGCATTCGCCTCAATTTCCTTTCTTAACTCGTCGAGAAGCTCTGGTCGGTAGTACAGGTCGAAGAGGCACCAGAACATGGCAGGGACGGTGTTCGATACGAATGCAATCAGCATACCGACTTCAAGCTGCGAGTACTCCTCGAGTGTGAGCCCACCTTCCATGGCAAACTGTAACCGCACAGCTGTGAGCTTAGATCCCTCCTTTTGGCCACCTTCTTGTGAGTACTTCAGAATGGCATCGGCAACCTTCTGGCGACCTTTCCACGGCTTTCGTGCTGTTAACCACGGTAGCGTGTTGGCTATGAGTGCGCCGAGGCCAGTTTCAAAATCCCTGAAGGATGCTTAGTATAAAGGATCCTGTCTAAAAGGACAAAGATCCACTTACCACCACGCATCTTGGACTGCCTTGTCTTTGTAAGGGTTCATGGGGCCGTATGTAGCTTCCGTACTTGCGGCCGTGGTGGCATCTTTACACCACTCGTACAAGTCGAAAGTGGATGAATCGCCCAACTTCTCAATGAAGGGCTGAATCAATCGGATCATATGGATATTCATCAGATCCAAAGGCTTTCCAACGAGTGTCGGGGTCATGGCATGCATAATCTTGGGGCCAAGGCCCTGGCCACCAGCGTCTGTCTCCTTGAGGAGATCCAGAGTCTTTGGGTTCGAGATGCCGGAGATGTTTTTAGCACTGAATAACAGCAGTGGCTCAAAGCTGAGGGTCTTGGAATTGCGCTGCACTGCCTGCATCAAATCTGGCGAAGTGATAACATAAAACTTGGTGAAGAGCATATCCAGGCTTATGATGGGTTGCTCAGGGTGCTTCTTGCTGTTGGTTCCGTTAAATATCATCGTAACTCCATCGGTTCGGATGATTTGATGAGAAAACCTACGCCTGATTACCCCAGTGTCCGACTCCATGCCACAACATGCCGAACATATGTCCCAGGATCGGGATCCCGCTGGTCACGAACGGTGGTTCGCGAGGATCATGCCGCGAGCCATTGAACATGAAGTATCCCAGCGCCACGACGGCCCCGAGGATCAGAAGCTGTGTTGTATCGATCATGGCGATATCTTGAATCTGGATGCCCCTGATATTCGACAAACTACAGAGAAAGGGATGATGAACCTTTAAACTCCCGATGCGGTCGATATTGCGATCTGGTAAGGTTGTCCCGCTTCTGAAGCTCCACTTTCCTTCTGTGTTGAGAGAACCGAGATTGGTGGCTTGATCAGTCGGCCAATCAGTCTACAGTTTGAGGTCAAAGGGATGTCTCCGCCCGCAAACGTGGGTGCGCTATCCGAAATAGGAAATTTGGGGGTGGCAGGGTAAACACACGCTTCCAAGTTCGCATCCATTGGGATAGCAGTCTATTTTAAGATCAAAAAATCCATTGGCCCTTTAGCTCATAAGTGGGATCTTTCTTGGGTGGGCAACCTTCCTAGTCGGTGGGTTCGTTGGGTGGTTTTCCTGGGCAATAATCGTGTCTGAACGCGGTTGTATATCCCAACCTACCACTTGGCCCAAGCCTATTTTCTGGAGATGGGAGCTCTGGACGCCTAGGTTGGTATCCAGGTACTTGGCCATAAACCCCGCTGTTGCGTGGTTTTATTCGGCCATAGGGCACAAAATGGATATGAAGACATATAAGGCTGTTGACACTGTTGACACAAGATATCTAATGTATAGGAATACGTGCTGTAGAGATTCGTATGTATATTGATAAAAGAAGAATCTTTAGGTAGTTTCTTCCAAGATTAAATTATCGACTAGGTAATGGCTGTCGTAGTGTGTGTAGTGCAAGAGCACTCTTCAAGATGATACATGCAACGCTATGATACAAAAGAAACCCGCAGAAACAAAACCCATGCCCAATGTATCCTCCATGTAGAAACCATGCAAGTCAGCTCGGGACAGTCATCAAAAAAGTACGGAAACAGGAGGTAATCGTGGTGTCATATGCAATGAAAGGGTACACATTAATCAGGAGTAATGCCAAAAGAATCACAGAGAACGTAAAAAAAAGGAGTCAGGGGGCAAGGATCTCAGGTAACCTAAGTTGATCAAGTTAGTCAAGATCCCAGGGATCCAACTTCCTGGACATCTCGGCGTCTTCATATTCAGAAGAAGAATCGCGCTCCAACGGGAAACTGAAATCATCTTCAGTTTCAGTGACGGGCTCTTTATTAAAGGATTGGGATCCTGAGCTGGAATCTCTACGAGTAGAGTTGAGAGCAGGACTGATGACAATGCGAGCCGCAACGTGGAGCAGGATGATGAAAAGGTGGATTGGCGGTACCAACACAAGCGACAAAGCTTTTGTCAGAAGAGAAGAAGCATGGTCGTTCGGAGGAGGTTGGTAAATGGTGGAAGATGGCGGCATAGGGGAGACAGCACGTCGTCTGGTTGCCTGTGCCCGACGACGGAATTCAGTGCTCATATGGTGGAAATCTGTGACTGGTGACGGAGCACTAGCAACGGCCACTTTGTTGCTGGAAGGAACGCCCAGTGACGGCTTCTTTGGCGTATCTTCTCGAACTATGTACTTTGGCATCCTGAGTTCCGGCTGCGAAGAATCGTTGACGAGCCCCTTCGGCGAGCGACGAGTATTCTGTATGTCCATTCCTGAAGGAAGGCTACTTCCAGATGACTCAGCCACAGGACCTTCTTTTGTAGAGAGCTCAGCCACAGAGGCAGCAACAGAAGTTCCTGGCCTGGATGTAGCATCAGGATACTTCATAGAAGCTGAATAGGAAGAGTGGGAGTCCTGAAACGAGGGAAGATCGACAGAATGGAATGATTCCGGTGAAGATGCAAAAGAGCTGTCATGGTTTGGTTCTGAGCCAGATTCGTCGGTTGAAATAGGGACAGGTTCTGAGATGATATCTTGTGATATAAGAACTGGCTCAGGAGTTACATCTGCCGCCGAGGCTGAAATTTCAGTTTGTATAGAAGCATCTTCGGAACTCGGAATGGCTTCGGGATGAGGCTCGTTTTTAATCTCCTCCAGAACCTGTACCTGGGCAGCATTTGAGGTTGCTTTGGGTCGGCTAGCACTAGGAGTATCTTCCGGGACAGTAGCCTTTGTAGCTTCTGGAAGTGCCGACTGGCCCTGCAAGTCACCTGCAGAGGGATTTTGTTCTCGCATAGTCACTGGTGGCACCGCGGTCATTTCAGCAAACGAAGTATCCTGAGACTTGGGAGTATCTGGTGGTACTGAAGCGTCTTCAGGTTCATTAGCGTCCTTGGAAATGGGAGATTCGTTCATTTCATTAGCACCCTCAACCACTGGCTCATCGGTGGCAGGCGCAGATTCATCAAATGCCCGAGCCTCTTCCTTAGTTTCCGGTTCTTCGGAGGCAGGAGATTCATCCAGAACAGGGGTAGCGTCGAATTTCGCCCGAAGACTAGTGAACGTCTGCGGCGTCTCCGTGACGGAGCGTCTGGTTGGCTCTGGGTTGGAAGAATTGCCGGAATCACTGGCTAAGGTTGGAGACTCATCACCAACAGGTATAGCTTCCGATGTCGTGCTGCTTGTCCTTTGGGGAGTTAAGATACTATCGTCCGTGGCAGCTTCATCTGTGTCGTAACCAGTACTAGCGGAATCCAGCCAATCCAACTTGCTTTCAAGATGAGAACTTTGGTTGCTTCCCGAGAGTAATGGAACGCCCTCTGTGCGTTCCTTTGGTTTCCACGCCTTCTTGCGCCGTGGTGCCATGGCTTGCTCAGGCAAGTCGACGGTAAACGCGCGCTTGAAAGGACATGGTGTGACCTCATATCGGAGTACAGTCGGCAATGCAGCCTTGAGATCCTCCACCAGCGCCTTATCCTCTGCAGTCTCATGTGGTAACTCGATGCGATAATAGGTGAGAGGGCGAATGCGCAATACGAACTTGGACACGCCGTCCACGCACCAGCATTGGGAGTTCTTCAAGATCGCACGAACGACATTTCCGCATTTCAAAAACACGGTCAAGCCTCTTTCTAGCCTGAGGGGTGCAGTTGCGACAGTTCGTTCGGTGGCCGAGCGCCAGGGGAGGGTCTCGATCGTATCAACGGGGTAGTCAAAGTCGGACGGCGCGGAGCTCGACGGGATCGGTACCAGTGCTCTGGGCGCGAAATGGACAATCTTTGCGGATGGATGATAGAAGATGACGTTTTCCGAGACATTTGGCGCAACCGAATCGCGTTGCGCCTGCGGGTTTAACTTCGTGGGAAGAGTAACCGCGCGGCGAATCGACTGTACCGGGCCCGAGGACTCACACAGAGGCTCGGGCATTGTCAAGGCAGTATTCAGGACCGCAGTAGATGACCAAAAGGTGGTAGCATCGGGAACCGATCACCAGGAGGGCATGGTGGAGGACAAGGCGCCCAGAGTTGAAGATCATGGCTTATCTCCCCCATCATTCGCGCGGCTTTGCGCCTGCGGGGACATGTGAAGCCTGCCTCAGGCACTAGTTGTCAGGTGATCGTCCATGACTATGGCGGCCGATTCCAGCGACCAGAGACCACAGACCAGAAACCCTGTTTTAAGGCAGGCACTCTGGTAGAATCATGAAGTAGACCAACTACGTACTCTGGCAAAATGTCACCTGCCCTGATTTTCGGTGAGTCAAATCTACATAAGCCTATCTTACAAAAAGATGACTGGAAAGGTGCCTGAAAGATGACTAAAACGCGGGACGGCTGAAATGATGACTGGAAAGATAGTTGAAGGATGATTGACAAATTGGCCGTAAAAAGATGGCCAGGACCGAGAAAGGCCTAGTAGTGGTGAGATTCGTTGATTATTATTTCTACGGTAATTAGGATTAGGCCTGTAGTGCCTGATTAGGAACTTTGTCTAATGAGGAAATTGCTTAATTAAAGGCATCATGCCTCGGCCTCAGGCATGAGAACAATGCCAGGGCGGTCGATAGGGCGGTCAAGTAGGTGTCCAATAATCAAGGGGGTTCTGGTGGTAGCCGCAATCCGGGTTACAGTCAGCATAAATAAATAGGTGCCTGCGTGGTTGATAACTTGAGCTTTCTTACCCTTCGGGTTCGCCAGAAGAACCAACAAATGAATACCCCGAGAGGTATACCCAGCATGGAGAAGATCTTGACTGGGTCCAACTTTGGACTCAATGCGGTAATCCGCGGCTTTCAGCTCACTGTCGTAGGAAGTATGTCCCCACGTGCCATTTCTCTTCAAGCTTGAATCTCATCAAGGAGAGCTGTTTCTCTCTGGAGGTTTGAAGTAGGATTGCGATTTTCTCCTTCCTCGCAATCCCATGACGAATTCTTGCTCAGATGCCCTCCTCACAGCCCAAAGAGTAGTCAATTGGCGCTTAATCTATTTGATGAACGAATTGTTGCATAATGCTCAATGCTAACGTGATGCAATAGCTGTCCGGGCTCTGCAAAACCCTGATCTCTTCAAGTCTGCGCATTTCCGTCGAGCTGCCCGTGCTGTTGCCGTGGGAGTAGCCATTGAGCTTATCGTTCAGCTCAATGTAAGTCCTAAAAGCTGCAGTCTTTTAATCGTCATAGGTGGCTAATAGGATTTCCAAAGATAATCGCCCTTAAGTTTGGTTTGTATATCCTCTCATGGATAATAAACTTGGACCAAGCAACGTGGGATGACAAACTCCTGGACGGCATGAAATTCATGTCCAACTCTGTGCTCCAAGTGCCAATCCTCTTGATGACCCTAATGGGATATGTAACTCCCACCCTAGATGAAATGTTGGTCATCATTGGCTTCAGAATTTCACTACTACCATTTCTAATTGAATGTCCAGTTTCATGCAATCCATCGAGTGGGTTGACACGACCTACGTCCACAAGCACAAATCTGAAAGCCCAGCTACTCTGCGTGCTATGTACTACCCTAGCTTGGTCATGTACCCAACCAAAGGCGATGCCCCCTCACGACCAAAGTCAGAGGCTATCATGATGTTTGTCCATCGGTATGCCAAGAAAATGGGGATGCTTTTTGGACTCTACCTGCTTTCTTATTTCCCTGTCATTGGTCGATTCGTGATGCCCGCAACAAGTTTCTTCACTTTTCGGAAGCGTGTTGGCACAGCTCCTGCTGCTGTCATATTCGGCGCGGGACTGATCCTGCCCAAGGCATATCTTGTCAAATTTCTTCACACCTACTTTGCATCGACAAGTCTGATGCGCGAGCTGGTGAGTTCGAACGATATCCCTTGAGAAGACTCAAGGTTCAATCTAACAATTCTCAGCTTGCGCCGTATTTCAGTCGCATCAAATTCACGCCCGAACAAAAGCGCCGCTGGGTTCGTGATAGGGAGGGCGTTCTTTTCGGATTTGCCTTTGCATTTACGGTCATACTCAAGATTCCATTCATCGGTGTGCTCATGTATGGAGTTGCCGAGGCATCTACGGCCTATCTTGTCACCAAAATCACTGACCCACCACCAACTCCTGCAGAGAGTGAAGGCTTTGCGGAGAGTCAAGTGACCTGGAAAAATAAGCATGACTTTCTCCGTCTACCTCTTAACAACATCGATAAGCTCAATATTGTTACAGACGAGGATGAGGCCAAGAGTAGCTCCTCGACTCCTGGAAAGAAGTTCTCGAACTACTCTGCGACTCTATGAGAGACTACACTCGAAGCTCAAGACCCGCATTTGCGTAGGATGACTTCTACGCGGAGGTCAGGATTATTATCATAGCTGCGGCTATCAATCTCAGTCCCCCAGACGATCGCATTGTGAAGATTTACCATATTCCAAGTTCTAGTCATGCATTTGATCAGTGCCTCCAGAGATTTTGTTGAGGGAGGACATCAAATCTAAAATAGGTGTATGGACAGAATGCATCTGCGATCTAGTTGGATGAGTTGTCTAGGATAACAGACTACGACAATATAACATGAAGTAAACAGGACACTGCTTCAAATATCTCGAGTTGCCTCGTAAAAAGGAGGGTAGGCACTACTTATACAAGAGAGACCTCCAAATGCTCAGGATCTGTTCAGGGACTTTTGAGTCGGTTGGAAAGGAGCACAGCTGCATACAGAGAAGAGAGAAGAACAGGCCGCGTCATTCAGCATGTTGAGAAATCGAGAGTGGAGCCACGCTGCATGATGAGCCAAATCGTATGCAAACTTAACTCTACGCAACTTTTGACAGATCTCGGCGGACTCCCGTACGTCGATCTGGTCCCCTTTAGCAGATTCATGGAGACTTCCTGTACTTCAATTCATACGATAACCGCCGAGTTATTGCGGAGCCCAGCAGCGCAACTCGACCCTGCACATGCAACCAGTCCTCTGGGCCTTCACCTGCTCTGCTTTGAGATGAATTTGAACGACTATATTCCCGGCTCTGTGTTCGAAGTGACCCGCAATCCTGTCAAGATTGAAGGAAAAGAATACATCCTTCTAATCTTGGGGGTTATCTGATGCTCAGCTGCTGCCGAGGAAGGTTCACCAAAGTATGGGACTTCTATCAAGATCATGAAGAAAGTCCACCAAAGCTCAGATCAAGCACCAGCTGGGCATATGGGAATTTTCCAAGCGGTCCATGGCCACGAGTCCTCCCAGGTGGTAGAATCTTGGTATTGTTCTGACTGACCAGATTCAATCTGACCAGAATACAAACTTGCCAACCAGAGCACTTTTGTTGGTGATCTTGACGGGCCCCGGGATAAGATGTTATCCGAGCAAGCCATATCCGCCGTTGCCTTTTGTAAGGCTGGTATAGATCATCCAGAGATCCGCTGTGTTAATTGGACAGGAGTCAGCGCCAAGACATTCAACACTGGAGCGGAACGTGTTCTCGGACATATGCATATCTATGGATAGCGTTGTATCTAACACAGACTAATGCTTGAAGAGGGAGCTTGATAAATCAGGGTCCCGCATTAAGGCAGAGCCGCCATCAAGCTCCTGGCCACGTCAGCTCTATCTCTATGTCAGTCGTGTTGAGCATCGAGAGGAGAATGGAATTGGACTCTTGAATCCTCCCAAGGCTTCCAAATGTCTGATCGAGTGCACGAAGACGTACTTTGATGAAAGGACTAGGATGCTCAGTCAAACATGATAATGTCTGCTCCATGCACTTGCATAGTCTGGGAGAAGAAAATTGAATCATGTAGTTGAAATTCAGAAAACTGCTGTCTCCAAAAGAAAATTGCATGGTCCCACTCGTTATGGATATCCCTAGTTACGCATGCTTTTCGTAGCGCGTTTCATCACTCCTCATAATTCACTACGAGGGTTATTCGGAACAATCTGGCTACGTGACGCTTGAGCAAAAAGCTGAACCAGGGGCTTGGGTCTCTTCTTGGATCTCCTATCACTTAGGCGCCCTCGGAATAGGCAGAGTAATCTTATAAAGCCTCAAAATATCCTTGTGCGACTTTTGTTTGAAGAAAGAATATTTTTCAGTTGCAGCAAACCCCTTGGAATTATCTCCAATTTCTCTTCCTTTATCATGAAGCTTTCTATCTTCAGCACCGCGTTTAGCGTGATAGCTTGCGCGGTTGCTACAACGCCATCTCACTCTCAAGCCAGAGCCCACGTCCGCCGTGGTGGGGATCATGAGACGCAAATCCCCGGTTTCTTCACTGGAAGTTGCACCCAGGAGAAGATGACCATTCGTAAAGAATGGCGGCATTTGTCCAAATCGGAGCAGAACAAGTTCCTCGACGCTATTCAGTGCTTGATGAACAGTCCGGCCAAGTCAGGGCTCACGGCCACAACCAGCCGCTTCAATGATCTCCAAGCTCTTCATCGTGGCATGACAAATACCGCCTATGCGGATATCATTCACCATTTCGTATGTCTGCCTTAATAGTCTTGGTATATCCTCTGCTAACAACCCAGTAAAGGGCCAATTCTTGCCGTGGCATCGCTACTACATTCATTTTTACGAGACTTTTCTCCGTGATGAGTGTGGCTACACTGGCTCTATCCCGTATGTCAAACCCATACTTATTTAGAAGAATATGCGCATGATCTCGTATTTCTAATTCTTCAATTTACCAGGTGGTGGAGCGAACAAAAGGACGCAGACGGTGGCAACATGTGGCAGTCTTCTATGTGGGGAGAAGATGCCTTTGGAGGCAATGGAACTGGCTCTGAAAACTGTGTCACTGATGGTCGCTTCGCGAACTACACGCTCCACATCGGTCCAGGCGATGAAGACACCGACTACTGCCTACGTCGCGCATGGGACACCGAACATGCAGTTGCTAATGCCAACAGCACCGCTCTCGATATGTGCAATTCATACAATACGTACTCTCCTTGGTGGGATTGCATTTCGAACATCCCTCACAAGGGCGTACACACCTATATTGGTGGAGTGGTATGACTTCCTATTTCAATCTACTGAATATTCAATTATCTGGCTAATCACCATCTTGCTTTAGATGTCCGATATCAAGTCGTCCCCTGGTGACCCTATTTTCTTCATGCATCATATGTACATCGATCGGGTCTGGTGGCTGTGGCAGAAGCAAGATCCTGTCAATCGGCTGTACGACATCAGCGGCCCTACCTTGAACCAAACGGCAAATGTTGAGCCAGCTGGCGGTTGGCAAAACGCCACTCTTCATTACGAGCTTTCATCTTTCAACATCAAGCCAAACACGACAATTGGTCATGTGATGAACACCGAGGGTGGCTACTTGTGCTACAGATACGACTAGTCAGTCAAGTCTATGCAGAATTATGGGAGGAGCTCTGAACCGCGCCTATCATTGCAGTTGAGTGTAAATGCTGGGTTGATCTTTAGGCTGCTCATTTGCTTCCATCAAGAGCTCGGATGGTCGGAGAAAACTATGAACCGCGAGCAAAAAGTACCCGGAGGCAGTTCTTAGAGCTGGACAGGATCGGGGGTATACTATGTGTCAACAAATCTCTGATGTAACTTTGATAGACTAATAACACCAAATATAATTGGATGAAACTGCAAAGGCCGAATCATGTCGAGGACTGTGCGTCTGGAGAGATAAAGCTATCGGGGTGGTAACCACGTCTGACGCTTTACCCCTCTGCGGAGAAGCCCAAGTCCTGGTCCTTATCTCTGGACAATCCCCAACTACCCCAATCCACGTTTCTTGTCTTACCAACCCCTCAATTATTCCTAATAATCCGAGCTTTCTTGTTCTTGTCAGAATAAATCAATATTATTCTCTCAAATCAAAGACACAATTCGCTTCAAGATGGGTATTAAGGAAATTCGCACCGCTCTGAAAGTTGATCTCAACAAACATGCTCGCGAGCAACCCGGTTTACATGTAAGTTTAAACTTGACCCCAATCTCGATACTAGTTTCCGGTAGCTGACTGTTGGTAGAACCGATGGCATCCTGATAGTATGTGAAGCTTGAAAGACACTATCACTCTCAAATTTAGAATTCCTAATGAATATTCCCTCTGCTAGTTCCGGCGTGTGGCAAAATTGCCAACAATGAAGTCGTCAAGATCGAGTGTCTGGACTGGACTGGTGGACAAATCAAAAACAACGACTCTGCCGATGATGTTCGAGATGTTGATCTGACTGAGATTCATTACTTGTCTGGCCCTTTCGACGTCGAGACCGCCGAGCCGGGAGACGTCCTTCTTGTTGAGATCCAAGATGTCCAGCCGTTCCAGGACCAGCCCTGGGGATTTACTGGTATATTTGCCAAAGAAAACGGAGGAGGCTTCTTGGATGAGCTCTACCCCAAACCGTTCGTTGGCTCTATCCCTTGGAAGTCAAGCTTCTAATGATAAATGGTGCAGTGCAAAGGCAATCTGGGACTTTGAAGGCATCTTCTGTTCCAGTCGTCATATTCCGGGAGTCCGTTTTGCTGGGTTGATTCATCCCGGAATTCTCGGATGTGCCCCGTCGGCAGAAGTGCTAGCTGAATGGAATAAACGCGAAGGGGAGCTCATCGCGGCTAATACCATTGATGGTCGAATCGTTGCACAGCCACCTCAGCCTATCAATACTCATGCAGGAAGCGCGGCAGAAGATATCAAGGATAAGGTGGCAAAGGAAGGAGCCAGAACAATCCCAGTAAGCAATGATCAACCTGCCTCCAGACGGATGCCTATGACTGAGAATATTATTAGGGTCGCCCTGAACACGGCGGTAACTGTGACATCAAGAACCTCTCCCGCGGGTCGAAGGTGTATCTCCCGGTCCACGTCCCAGGCGCCAAATTCTCAGTTGGAGACTTGCATTTCTCCCAAGGGGATGGCGAAATCTCATTCTGTGGTGCCATCGAAATGGCCGGTGTGATTACACTCAAATTCTCCGTCATTAAGAAGGGCATGGCGAAGATGGATATGAAATCGCCCATCTTCCTACCGGGCCCAGTTGAGCCACAATTTGGACCGGGACGTTTCCTTACCTTTGAAGGTTTCTCGGTTGATGAACACGGTAAACAACACTTCTTGGATGCCACGGTCGCGTACAGACAAACTTGTCTACGAGTGATCGAGTATCTCAGACGTTATGGGTACTCGGACTATCAGATTTACCTTCTTCTCTCATGTGCTCCAGTGCAGGGACACATTGCCGGGATTGTGGATATCCCGAATGCTTGCACCACCCTTGGCGTGCCGATGGATATTTTTGACTTTGACATCAGACCCGAAGCTGATGCGGTGAAGAGAGATATGGGAAGCTGTGCCTTTGCAAGCAAGTAATATTATGCCAGGTAGCTAGCTGTCTGTGTAAATGAGGTTTATTTTGAGCTTTAAAGCTTGGATCCCTCGGTTCTAATGCAAGTCCACTCATTGTCCTTGACATCTTGAAAGTCCATGACCCTATCCGGACCACCAAACCGACCTTGTGTAGACTTCCAATCTCGTGCAATGGCGATTTCCGGTCGCCATAGGACCACCTTTTTCAACTCCTCCTGCAAGTTCCCTTCCAACGCATCGGCAATAAAACCACCGATCGACGGCATCTGCATAGCTCCATTACCAGAGCCCCCAACAGCCACTAACAGAGAAGGAAATTCTGGATGTCGATCGATCAAGAATGCTCGATCAACCGTGTCCGCATCCCAGCAGATTCTAGCGAAAGACAAAGGTCTATCTGCAAGATGAGGCATTGTATCCTGCAAAAAGCTCCTCGCACGAGCTTCTGCTTCCAACGGAATCTGTTCTTTGGCAAATGGTACACTTCTCTTTTCCCCAAGAATTTTCGGGGTTTCGATAAAGTTGCAGTATCCAGGATGCTCATCGCATATCTTGAGTTCATGCTTATCCTCATCAGGCTCCATGAAGAACCCCTTCGCGACATTGAAGAGGACAGGCAAATTCCGGTATCCTTGAGCCTCCTCGGCAGTCATAGAGATATGACATAGCGTCCAAGCCGTGGGCCGTAGCTGCTTTTTGAAGTCAAGCAGCTGGTCGGACCCGGCACCGGCCGCCAGAATAACATGATCGGCATGGTGGATAGTACCGTCTGCAGTTTGGGCACCGGTTACATCCCCATTATGATAGGCCAGAGCCACGACTTTGCCGTGAGGAGTGCCCGTCGTAAATTTGACTCCAAGTCTTTTCGCCTCGGTGTATGCAGATATCATGGCCTTGCGAGCATGTATCCATCCTGCATCTTTGGGGCTGAACCATCCCTTCCAACCAGGGAATTTACCGGTCAACACACCAGGCGGCATTGTTCTGCGAAAGTCTTCCGCAGTTTTGAGCGTGACAAAATCGCCTTTTGCCGAGTCAATCTCTCCCTCTAGAATGTGCTGGATAATTTCGGGTGTGCTCCCCGAGACTATGACGCCTGTCTCATGGAAGTAGGGAGAGAAGACTGGGTCTGTTTTCCAACCCTTTAATGCAGCTCTAGTGAAGGTAGCAAAGGCGATGCTTCTAGCATCCTTATGCGAGTCTATCTGATTGTCAGTATTGTGTCCAGTACGGTGTTGTTATGTACTGACCTTTCACCTCCTTATGCTCCATAATCTTATTGACATCGTTGCCTGCAGCAATAGGTGATGGCACCTCGAATGGATCGAGGACCTGAACATTCTCATACCCTCTCCGGGCCAGGTGGAGGGCAGTCGAGCAACCCCACGTCCCAGCGCCGATAATCAGAATTGAGGACTTCGCAGTCAACATTGGTGGCGTCATTTTCGCTGTAGGGCGCGCGGGGAAAAGAAACAAGTTGCGAACTTAATTGAAGGCAATACTAGAATCCGAGCCGAGCAGGATCAAACAGACGATTCTAAGAGTAGTCAGTTCTTATAGATGCACTAACTGCCTCGGATAAACCGACCGGGTCCAAGCTTATTGATGGCTGGGGACATTTTCATCGCGTGGACCTTCCTACCCTCAAACCTGGGGTAAGCTTCCCGCACTGACCGCTTGGAATCCTTGCGCCCTTATCACCGATACACTTGACATGATCGCCTAACTACGAGGTCATTCAATGGCGGCATCCGGTAAAAGCCGTCGCTTGGAGCTTCCATCACTCGTTTACTTTCGATTTTGGCGTTATCATTACCAATAGCAAAGCAGCGATCGCTAGCCAGTCGGCACAGCCCGACCAATTGGTAAAATTATGAGCGTGTTTCTGGATATCTACTAGATGACTGTACTACCTGTGAGTCAATCTATAAAATGCCCCTAAAACCCCATACATTCTCTGTAATCACAGACCCTAAAACATATCAATCAGTTCAATTTAAGCCATGGCCTCTGGAGATGACTTCTATACCGATGTCCCTGGGACGGTCTATCTAGTTGACGGTGAGATCCTATATGTATTCAAGTCAACTTGAACCAAAATGGGTCTGACTTGATTGGATTTATAGCGTCGCGTACACTCAACGATGCCGCACATGCTGGAAACCAAGACATCCTACTTATACCACAACCATCTGCCTCTCTTGCAGATCCACTCGTAAGTAAAGATACTCCGTTGCCATTGGATACATCAAGACTTGACAACGCTAATCATGTACCAGAACTGGCCTCGTTTCAAGAAGTTGTGGTCCCTCTTCTTGATATCAGCTTATGCCTGCGTATTCTCCTTTGGCGAGAACAATTGGGGCGCATCATGGACCCTAATCTCAGAAGATACAGGTGTTAGCTTGACCAATATGAATGGTGGCAGCGCACTGAACTATCTCCTCCTGGGATTTTTCAACATCATTTGGATTCCAACGGCAATGAAGGTGGGGCGCAAGATTGTCTACATCTTGAGTCTGGTCATCCTTCTGGGTGGCAGTGTATGGGGCGGATTCTACCACGGGACGGCTCAATACTACATCATGCTGGCAATTCAGGGTATTGGCACGGCGGCTTATCAGGCTTTGATTCAATTGACAGTAGGTCCTTAAATGATTGTATGAGATTGTGCGAGTGAAGAAATGCAAGCTAACCGTGTCTAGATTTTCGATATGTTCTTTACCCATGAGCGTGGCCGTATGGTTGCAATCTACATCTTCTTCCAACAGCTGGGCTCCATCCTGGGACTGATTCTGGGAGGATACATCAGTGATGGTATTGGCTGGCGGTGGTCCTCGCCAATTGTCGCAATCGCATGTGTATGCATTAGGTTTCACACTTCTCATTTCCAAGTTACCTTGATCCTAACTGTTCTAGGGTGTTCTAATTTTATTATTCATCTTCACATTCGACGATACCATGTTCCCAAGATATCGGTTCAACCAAACCTCAAACCTCTTGCACTCGAACAATAATACCGAACCAAAAGAGCAGCTTGCAAAGGAGACTCAAAATGAGCCTCCAATTTCCGAAATCGACAGTCACAGTATTGGAGATGATATTCCACCTCGTTCATACAGGCAAAAGATTGCTTTAGTCCATTACTTTTCTGATGACAAGACAACTTGGTTCCAATACTTCCGTCGTCCATTCTATCTTTTTGCCTTCCCCAATATCGTGCTTGCCGGTATCCAATTTGCTTTTGGATGCACGGCGGGTATTGTCTCTTTCAACACTATTTCGGAGATCATGACAGATGCGCCTTACAATTGGAGTGCAGGTTCTACTGGACTTATTTTCCTGGCTGCACTTGTTGGTAATTTCCTAGGGTAAGCACCCCTCCTTCATATGGCACTTCATTCTTGACTAACCTGGATTATTATTAGAATGGGTGTCGGTTCACTGTCAGATTGGGTCGTCCTCGTCCTGGCCCGCCGGAATAAAGGTTACAAGGAGCCTGAGATGCGTCTCTGGGTCTATATTTTCCCATTCTGCTTTGCCGCGGTCGGATATTTGACCTATGGCTGGGCTGCCACCAATGGAGATCACTGGATGGCCATTGCTGTCGGCTTGTGTTGTCTCATCGCGCAACAAGTCTCGATTACCAGTTTGGCAACAGCATATGCCATGGAATGCTTCGACGGGGTATGTTCATTCTTTCTCTTCATCTCTGAGCCCCGTCCCTTGCTAAAATTGTATTTGTATCTAGATTTCTGGTGAACTCGTTGTCGTACTCGCCATCTGCTCGTCCTTGATCAACTTCGCCATCTCGTATTCCGTGCAGCCATTCATCGACAGCACATCCTATGGATGGACATTTACCTGCTACGGTATCCTCGTGACTTTATCTGTCTTGATGGGCGTTCCCATGATTATTTGGGGGAAGACATGGCGCCGGAAGTGCAAGGCACGATACGAACTCTTCCTGGCGGAGACTCGCTCCAGTACACGCTAAGGAGCAGAAAGCTTTACAGGAGAGCAGACATGATATTGCGTTTCCCCGTTATGCGCTCAGGTATACCTTATGCTCCCCTTGTTCCAGTGTCACTTCGTTCTTTATCACGGTCTCATGCACTCGATATTTATTTATGGATTATCCTACTGCCTTTCACCCATCCATCTCAAGCGATTTAGCTATATCTGCGGAGAATGATCCAGCTTCTCGGGAATCCTGTCAGGCTATACGTTCGTGTGCTGGATTTTTCCATCGCATCTACCATCGGAAAATGAAAGGGTGAATATTTCTGAAGTCTTGAGTTGTATCAATGATGTTTTATCATACATCAAAAAGTAGAAAGAGTCACGTCGTGAATCGTTAAAAAAGTTCTTCACGAGAAGAACTTGCGAGCAGCAGCCTTGTCCTTGGCATCGCGGTCCTTGATAGCATTCTTAACCTTGGCAATCTCGTTGGTGATACCAGCATCGGTAGGAGCCAGCTTGGTAGCCTCCTGGAGATCCTTGAGGGCCTGCTCTTCCTCCTTCAGACCCTCGCGGGCAAGAGCGCGGCGGAAGTAGACCTTGGCGAGATCAGCATCCTTGGCCTTGGCGGCCTCAGCGACTTGGAGAGCGTAAGAGGCCCAGTTCTGAGCCTGCTGGTACTGCTGGAGCTTGTTCGCGAGGAGGGACGAGTTAGAGTGCAGGGTAAACCGAAGGGCCTTCATCTGCTCGCCCAGCTCTTTAGGGTCGCTGTCGGCGGGCTCGGGGAACTCGTTCAGGTATCGCAAACCCTTCTGGTACTTCTCCAGACCAAGGTTAAGCTCGCCCTTCTTGAAAGCGGTGTTACCGAAGCCCTTGAGGTCAGAGGCGATCTTCAAGGCTAGCGGGGCCGTCAGCTCCTCACCCTGGTGGTCTTCGGGGAAGTCCTCGTATGGGTCACCCGTGGCATCCTGAACGCGCTTGTCGGCATTGGCCCAGTCGTCACCGGTGAGCTCACCACAATCAACCACGGTCACGTCGGTCTTGGGCTTGTCGGACTGGGTTGGCATGTTCTCGATCTTGCGAATGATGCTTTTGCCGTTGAGCACCTCGCCGAAGACGACGTGCTTGTTATCCAGGTGGGGAGTAGGGACGGTCGTCACGAAGAACTGGCTGCCGTTGGTACCGGGGCCGGAGTTGGCCATGGACAAGAGGAAGGGGCGGTCGTGCTTGAGGTCGAAATTCTCATCGGGGAACTTCTCGCCGTAGATGGACTCGCCGCCAGTGCCGTTGAACGCGGTGAAATCACCACCCTGGATCATGAACTGCTTGATGACGCGGTGGAAGATAGAGCCTGTACAAAGGGCAAGTTAGCGTGGGGAATTGTCGCGCGATCACTGGGTGAAGGGGAGCGCTGCTTGCGACGTACCCTTGTATGTCAATGGCTTGCCCTGAGTGCCAATGCCCTTCTCGCCAGTGCAGAGGGCTCGGAAGTTGTCTGCCGTCTTCGGAACAACTGATCAAAGCAACTAAGTGTCAGTAAGGATTTCGATTTCTGTTTCATCTGTCGCGGCGAAGCTCGTACCATCGTTGAACTGCGCAAAGAGAAAGTTAACTTGACAGGCCTTCTCGAGCCACCACTGAGAACACTTACCAGCTCAAAAGTCACACGGCCGGCCTTCTGGTCGCCGATCTGGATGTCAAAGAAGACGCGAGGACGCTCTATACGGCGCAGTCAGCAGCTGTCAATTCTCACTTGCAACTCGCAGAGCGCGCAGGCGGGTCGATCGGTGGACCCCGCACTGTGAAAGGAGGGGATCTTACGGGATTCCGCCATGTTGAGAGGGTAGTGGGATGAGGGTGTAGAGTCGTGGAAGTTGGAAGAGAGAGGTAGAAGAGTAGAGAGAGAATTGAACGATACGATGAACGGACGCGGAGGTGGAAGAGAGAAGTCGCTGTGGGGTTGGATTTTTGGGCGGCTCCCTCCTGCGGGCGGTTTTTCTTCAAGAAGCTTCCATGCTCGGCCCCAAAAATATACTCAACTTCAACCTTTCAGTGCAGCCTCCAATCAAGGAACATGTACAATGCCGTAGGATTCTGATGTTTGAATTGATGCCACCTCTGGGTATATGCTAATATGCTAATACGCTAATATCTATGTACACGAACGCCAATGGACCGGTCTATGCCGCTCTCATCTATGCCAACAGTTCCGCGGGCAACTTAAACTCGAAGACGTGCCTGGTCTCCGAGTCGTCCCCGTTCTCTTTGTCTTTGCCCTTGTCGCCCCCTTCCTTCTTCGGTTCCTTGGGTTCTTTTTTAGGGAGATTGGTATCGATCTCAATTGTAACCTGTAAAGGGAGCAATGATTGTCAGTATAACTTCGGTCGCGGCGCAAAGGTTGGAAGCCAGATAGGCACATGTACCGCCGCATCTTCACTGCGGTAGTCAACACCCACCGGCCCGTCATTCTTGAGCTCCACGTCCATCATGGCTTGGAACACGCCGTTCTTGACCCGATCCGCCACGTAATTCTCGCGCATCTTGTTGTAGAAGTGGTCGTAGAGCTTCCGCGCGGTTATGGGGTCGGCCGCGTCGTGGAAGTCAGGCTTGTTGCCCTTCTTCATTTTGCCGTACAGGGTGAATTGGGAGACTGGTCGAAGATCAGCAAGAGGTCAGGAGAACTCTCCTCAAGTGTCCGATCAACATACCACAGAGCACTTCTCCTTCGATATCCTGTACGTTCTTCTTCCACTGGGCAAAGAGTCAGCACGAAATGCGCCGAGCAGATAGATGCGAAGCGCCAAACGTGGGAGTCCCTACTTGTGCGCCGTTCTCGTCTGGCCAGAATTTCGCCTTCAACACTTTGTTCACCAGATTCTCCGCTTCCTTCTCGGTATCATCTTTGCCGACGCCCGCGAATACTAGCAATCCCTTGCCGATGGACGAGATCAACTCTGAATCGACCGTGACCGATGCCGATTTCACTCTTTGAATGACAACTAAAACGAAATCAGCTCCAAGTCATTTGTCATCGAACTGCAGTCATATTGATGCGCACTTTTCATCTTGTCTTCGGTCTTTTCGGAGGATGTCTGGAGTTTAAAAGGAAAGTTAGCCACCGAAAGAGAACCCCACAGGATGACATCCCTCGGAGAACCGCCCGCGCACTTACCCTCCTCCGCACTTGGATGGAGGAGCCGATCTCAGCCAACGATCATCGACTGGACAATTGGAGATTCCAGCAAGTTCCTGATAAGACACCCAGTTTAGCTCATAGCTAAGGATTCAAGGAAACCAGAATATTGTCAAAGTGCAAGTCCACAGCTCCTCGCCCTCACGCCGCAACCTTGCTTCCGCGAGTTTGGGGCCTACCGCCTTCCTTATCGGGCAACCTCGAAGCTTTCCACTCGAAAGGACGACGAGAAAGCCGATACCACTTGGTTTCCGCCATTCTGAGCTGTCGTTCTCAGTGTGACACCCCGCAAAACACAACCTCCACTCTCACCTCGATCGATTGTGCTACGCCCTCCCCCCTGGTAGCACGCGCACTCCAAGTCCGCCCCCACCGCATCGACTCAACTCTCATCGCTCGTGGACGGGAAACCCACCCAGTCCACGCCCACCACGGGATCACCATGACGTCCCGAAAAACGCAGCAAGAAATCGATAAGACCTTCAAGAAGGTGACCGAAGGAATCCAGACTTTTGAAAGCATCTACGAGAAAGTCAAGGCCGCCACAAACCCCACGCAGCGCGATAAGCTGGAAGAGAACCTCAAGCGCGAGATCAAGAAGCTACAAAGGTTCCGTGACCAGATCAAATCATGGGCGGCTGGCAACGAGGTCAAGGACAAGGCTCCGCTACTCGAGCAGCGGAAGGCCATTGAGACGGTAGGTCTTGGACCTCTCTGCGGGGGGAGTGAGGAAACTGGGGTAGAGTCAACGACTAATGAGTTCCGAAATAGTGCATGGAGCAATTCAAGGCCGTCGAGAAGGAGATGAAGACGAAAGCTTACTCCAAAGAGGGTCTCTCCGCCGCGTCACGACTTGATCCGAAGGAAAAAGAAAAGGTGGAAGCTTGCGACTTCCTGTCGTCCATGGTCGATGAGCTCCAGCAACGTATCGAGGCCATGGAGGCCGAGGAGGAGACATTGCAGGCGCAAATGAAAAAGGGCAAAAAGGACTCGAACAAGGCCAACCGGATGGCCGATATCTCGAGGGTAACGGAACGTCATAAGTGGCACGTCAACAAGCTCGAGTTCCTCAATCGATCGTTACAAAATGGCAACTTGGAGGTCAATCAGGTGCTGGATCTCAAAGAGAGTATCAAGTACTATGTTGACGAAGGGCATAACATTGACTACTCCGGAGAGGATGAAACGCTGTACGATGACTTGGATATCGGAGAGGAGATCGAGGCCCAGTTTGGCATGGGAGCAGAGAACGATCGCGTGTCGTCTCACGATGCCCAATCCATTCAGGATGACGAACCAGAACCGAAACCTAAGCCCTCGAAAGCGGATCCTACATCAAATCGCCGGCCATCTACACAGATGAAGTCGCCTCTCCCTGTTCTTGCTACTCTGCACCCGTCTGCCTCGTCTAGTGCCACCCCAAGCATGAAGCCAGCCCCATTACCGACTCGTCTACCTGGAGAAACGCTCAAGTATGCTTCTGCTGCGGCCGCTGCGGCGGCCAGCGACAAGAGTGGAGTGGGGATTTTGCCCCTGCCCCCACCACCAGCTGCCAGTCCTGCTTTTTCGCACGTCCTCCCCGCCTCCAAGGCATCGTCTACAGCTTCGCCCGTCGTTGCGTCCGTACAACCTGTCGCTAAGCCAGCAACAACGGCTGGGCCATCCGCACCACCCGCGGTTTCGGCATCCTCATCAGAAGAGGCTGTGCCATTGGCAGTGCGGACTAAGACAGTGGCTGGCGCAGCAGCCTCTGGTGCATCTTCACCTGCGCCCACACCTGCGCCCAAGGCAGAGTCCATGAAAGAGAAGCCGACGACGAATGGCAAGATGACACCCAGGGAAGCAGTTGAAGGCGATGAGTCGCTATTCCACTTGCCTCCCGGTCTGCAAGAACTGATCCAATCCTTTGAGGTGACCAAGGAGCGCGCCACGGCGAATCCCACACCCGCAGTACAACGCCTTCTTGCAACTTCTCTCACGACGTGTCCCGAACCCGGGGATGCGGAGAAGCCTCGGCATTACAAGCCACAAAATCCCTACAACACTCCTCTTTACTACCCTCAAGAACCTCTCTCGATCTTCGATGACCCCCGATTGTACGATACTGGCCGGATTGATACGGATACATTGTTCTATCTCTTCTACTACCGACAAGGGTCTTATCAGCAATACCTCGCCGCCAAGGCGCTGAAGAATCAAAGTTGGCGCTTCCACAAGCAATATCAGACATGGTTCCAGCGTCACGAGGAGCCAAAGAACATTACGGAGGAATTCGAGCAAGGCACCTACCGGTTCTTTGACTACGAGAGTACATGGTTAGTCCCGTCTTATCCTAGCTTCCCCATCTCCCCACACCATCAGGCACGTGCTCACCATTTTTTGCCCGACAGGATGAACCGGCGCAAGGCTGATTTCAAATTTGTGTACAAATATCTCGAGGACGAGTTATAATCCGTCCTTTGAACATGCGTGCCTGTACTCAAATTGCCCCCGTCTTTTCTGTGGCGTAGGCGTAGCAGCCTAAATCGAATTCCCGAGCAACGGCAAGCCGCCAGACTTCTTCTGCTTCTTCCCCCTCCTTTTCATCCACTCTCTTATTTTCTCTCTCTCTCTCTCTCTCCAATCTCTCCTATTGGCGCTCTGACCAGACGGGGGCCCCTAGGATGGGTCCGAAGACTTGGGCGCGAATCCAAAGTGGACATGTCATTGTCATAGAGGGACGATCTCGATCTACCGGGGAACCCGCGCCGTGGGAGTTTTTTTTCATCCTTGGATCATGGATTATCCGGGGTATCTTTTGTTTGCGTGTCATTGTTGGTTTTTTCCTCTCTTTTCGTCTACTCGACTATTGTTTCACAGGACCGGCATCGGGGCAATGAGTACAATGAATTCGGGGTGTGGCCTCGGGGAGAGACCATGGGAGTTTTTTGTGTGTGTTTTTGAGTCTATTACAGTATTCACCCCCCTTTCTGGGGGGTGTTTTGCGTGAACCAATCATACCACTATTTGTGTGATACATTATCACTTCCACTGCGGCTGGTTAAGTGCCTCTCGTACTTTTGGAAGATACGTCTTCTGGAAACTAAGCTTGCCCCCCCCCTGTGATCGGCATTGTACTTCGCTGTCTATAATCGGCGATTATGACTACCTGGGGTAGGTAGGTAGTCACCGTATCGGGGACACCCCCTCGGTCCCCTCTGCAGGCATGCGCCCCAGATGAAGAGCCGCAGGAGGTAAGCACAGTATGCACTAGCCGTATCGCTGCGGGTAATTACTACGATAATGTACGGAGTATAGTGTCCTACTGTATGGAGTAGGTATCCACTGTAGATAGGAACCGGGCACCACTGTCCCGATTCGGACAAGCTCTTGTTGATTTGTAGCTCGGTATATACGTGGTTCCTACAGGAGCACAGTAGTACTGCTGCAGCGAATCCCGTTGTAGCAAAGCAAGACCCACGGAAGTCTTCGATGTGTGGCCAACTCGCTTGAGATGTACAAAGTAGTCTGAGGCAGTCACGTCCTATCCTGCAAGACCCAAAGCAAGCACGCTCCTCATGATCACCAGCAACGGCACAACAACTCAGTGGGTCGGGTCCAAAGTACCATACAAACTATGGAAGGAAACACTACAGTATAGTCAGAGTACTCCGTAGTTATTGTAGGCACAAATAATAAGAGCGGCCCGAGACCCCTCGAGGGGGGAGGCTGTGACGAAAAGCCTCACTGGAAAGTACCTTTCTATAGGAACGGATCATGGTGTTCCCTGTTCCCCGGGGGCTTGCGCTTGTGCTTGTACGTTGCGTCTGCCCTCTCTGGTGCTTTGATCTGATCTGCTCTGCTCTGATCTGACGTCCTGTCAGTATCGGCTCTCGCACCTTGCTAGCGTGGGCGTGCACAGCCAACAAGAACGAGCATCCTGGGCCGTGACGGGGACGCTAGCGTTGCGGGATTTTTTCTAGAAGGGTGCAGGGATTAGAGAATACGAAAAAGCAACCAAAGACAAGACGGGGAACTTGACACTTGGAAGGGGGAGACTTAGACTGGGAAAGGAAAGGAATCTACGGAGTACTTGAGCTGGGCTGGGCTGGGCTGGGTAAGCCAGGGGAGTGCCGGGAAGGAGGGGCGCTAGACTGGATGGGGACTGCGGAGGCTGATGTTGTATTGGTTACTGTCCGAGGCCATGTTACGTACTAGGGTGAAAGTTATCATTGGTAGACTTCCAAGAGAACCAGTTTGTTCTTTGTCCTCGGGGGCAGAAGTACGGTATTCTACTACTCGAGACGAGTCGAGATTGGGAGTGGTACACACCCGTTTTTGTATGCTTTTTATTCGCATGGTAGAGTATTATTATTTTGCTCGAGGCATTTTCCGTGTATTTTTGTTTTTCTTGTTTGTTGTTATTATCTCATCGGTGGGCGATCCTTCACCCCGGTTGTCAGGTTCGGGGGGACCTTGATTGTGGCTCTTGGCGATCCTCCCAGATGGGCGATCGTGGATCTTGTGCTGTGGGCTGGTTGGGTGACGGTGAGAAACGGGTGGTGGTTCGGTCGGCACCGAGTTTCCGATAGAAGGGACGGAGGAGGATGTCCTCGTGAATGATGATGAACCAGAACCACAGAACCAGACAATCCTCGGATGCGTCATTATCGTAGGGCTGTGGTGGTAGTCTCAGTCTGAGATCCTGGAGATGGTTAGCATATCGTTAGCACATAGGTAGCTAGCTGCTGGTGCCCTCCCAAGGCAGACAGGCAGTGCGCTGAAAAGGACCACACTGCAGCCATGCCAACGCCATGCAGGAAATCTGAAACGAAGGGCCTTTCCAGCCCTCTCTTGGCCCTCTCTCTCTGGCCCTCTCTCTCTGACCCTCTCTCTATGACCCTCTCTCTGACCTCCTCTGAATTTGGTCTCTTTTGGCTGATCACGCCAAAAAGAAAAAAGGAAAGACACGGGCTGGGGGAGAAGGGCCAGATCATCAGTTGGCCGAAGCAGGATCTCCCCATCAGCCTTCTTTTTTCGGATGATTTCGTCGACCCACGCTAGAAGGTTTCCAGAAGTTTTTTCAACCGCGCTAACCACCGCATCGATGATCGGTTGCCAAGCGTGGTGAATGGTGAATGGATGAGTGGTCCGTGGTGGGGTTCACGGGAGGGAGGGGGGAGGATCGAGCGCAACCTTGCAAGTATGTCTGACCGCAACTGGGAAGGATGCAGCTTATCGGAGACGAGGATTGGCTGATGCCGGCTCGGTCGAGGGACTGCGGTCATGAATCGGGATCGTGAGTGGTCGAATCTTGCAGGAATGGCCTGCGTTTTCCTTCTTTGGTGGCTTGTTCGCCAGTTTTTCCCCGGCCCCCTCCCCCCCTTTTCCTTGTCCGAGTGGTGATGACGCCAATCACACGAGGGCTACGAATGGGCAGTGGAGTTCGGGCCTGCCGTGAAGACGCTAAAGACGCTAGAAGGATTCCAGAAGGCGCAGGGAAGTCAGCGCTGGGATGAGAAGAGCCGCTAATGCACGACCGAGGATCCGTTTGGTGTTTGCAGAAGAAATCCCGCAGGTGATGATCCTGTTGTGAATGACGCTCGAGGGCGGGGCTGTGTAGAGGGAGATGGCCAGTGATGATGCATGGAAAAGCCAAATCACAACCGATTTCACCGTCCCTTCGTAGTAACTGGGGTGGTGAGCCGTGCTGAGACCAGGTGATGATGGACTTCGTGTTGTGTGGGTTGGGATGGCGACTGGACGAGGGGAGACCAAGCCTGCATCTGCTAGTGTTTCTCGAGCCGCAGCATGGAATGTTATGGTTCTGATCAATATTCTCTTTGAACCCAAATACCAGCCTGTCCACAAGATCTCATATTAACTCCGGAACGCCTCTTGTTTTTTGTTTTTTTTTTTTCCTCTTCTCCCTATACTCCATACGACCAGCCCAGACTCCGAGTAAGCCCTCAGCGCTAAAGATTGGCTTCACGAAGGATTCGCACCAGCGTCTCACGATGGTAGGTCAATCCTCCTCCACTAGTGCTCACTAGCGGCCATCTCCCGTTCTTCGAGAAACTCGTCTGATTATCCTCCGATTTAAAACTAGACTCCTTCCTCTACCTTGGCCTCGCCTTCTGTAACCTCAACTACTACTGCCACGACCACCCACCCCATCCTCATCAACAACTCCAGAAACCACAACATGCAATCCCCCTTCAGTTACTCAGACTCTTCCTCCTCCTCCTACTCCTCTTCCCCAGGCGGCATGGACTTTTTCTTCTACGGGGCCCCACAACCCATCTATGAACCCGCCCTGTGTGATCTTGATACCACGGCCAGTCCCTTTGCCGTCTCCGAAGTCACCCCCGACGCCGCATACTCTTTTACCTCCTCACCGTACATGTACTCCCCCCATGCACGATTTCCCGCACATCTATGAGAACCCAGTCTCCACCAGCGTGCCCAGTTCCGCAAGCAGTACCTGTGGTAGTACCTGCGGTAGCTCCAGATGGACCAATACCATGGCCGAGGAGGTGTCCATGCCCAACTATCCACTCACCTCGGACGACTCGGGCCCAGACTCGCCCTCTACTCAATCCAAGTAAGTCAGAACACCTCCCTCGCTGTCCTAGACATTGATCATCCCCTTGTATGCATTCCCGACTAACATATCTCCCCCACCTCCGTCAGACCAGCAAAGCCCTTTGGCTGTGACCACTGCGGCAAGTCCTTCACCCGCTTCGCAGACCTCAAGCGCCACCAGACCAGCGTGCACTACCCCGTCTTCCGCAATTGCCCCGTCGAGCACTGCTCCCGCAAGGGCAACAATGGTTTCCCCCGCCAGGACCATCTGGTCGAGCACCTGCGCTCGTATCACCACCTCGATGTGCCGAAGCGACGAGCCCTGAAGCGTTCTGCCAAGGATGCTGCGCTCTAAGGGCATTGCACTTGAACCTCGTGGGGCCATTGACATTCCCGCGAGGGTTACGATTTTACGATTTTGCATTTGTCGTGCTTTGTGCGATTACCCTTCTGTTTTCGCCTGGATGGCGTTACCTCGTATTTGCTTTTGTTTTGTTGGCTGGTGGTATCGTCCATTGCCTCTCTGCCTTGATGTTTACACTTGTATGTATAGACTACAGTCTACATCTGCTCTGTCCTGTCCTGTATAGAAGATTCTTGGCCGTTTCTTTTTTACTTCTGTGTATGTTTCTATGTTTTTGAACGATTTGAATGGAGGAATGCTTTGCAATGCTATAGACGGGATTTTATGGGGGTTTCCTTTTGTGTTAGACGGAGTTTTGTCTTTTTGGGTACTCCTCCACACGATGGAAATGATGATCAATGAACGCAATCCATGAACTCAATTCAATTCTTACCCTTGCCAACTGTAGCGTAGTCCTATCTTGGTTTAGTTAGGCTAGCCTGCGTTGTGGTTGGATACAACTAATTCTCATTTGTAATTGAAATCTTACTGTCGGGCTCGGTTGTAGCATAAGTGGAGCTGGACATGTTTACTTTTCTCGCGAAATGAGGAGAATTTTGCATCGCGCGGGATTGAACTTAGTCTAGAACCCCTCTTCAGATTCTAGAATCTATGGCATTGAGCCACCCGTATAAAGCATCCAGGGTTGGTGTTCCTGCTTCAGCAGTCAGACAAGTCTAACCGAACACTACTACAAGCATAATTCACCCGGCATACTACAGAGATCACACTAGCTAGAGATAACAATATGGATTTGGGACAGAAATGCAGTATCAAAAGCTAGAGTCTAGCAAGAACCGAGTAACTTTCTCGTTCCTGTCCCCAACTACCCCAGGTCCCCAGCTACGCGTCCTCGGTCTCGCCCGAGCCAAGCATGCAACCAACCCTGCTCCGAAAAATTCAATCTACCCCGGTTCGGAGGTCACATCCAATAGTACGCCACGCCATGCTACCCCTCTACTGTACCTTTAACCCTATTTACGTCATTCCCTATGCCAGCCCCTGGCCCAGGCTTTCTCTTTCCATCTTAGTGCGTATACCTTGGCTGGCTTTGCTCACTGAGTAGATCTGAGTACGTCTCCGGGTGCCCTGATTCACGGGGGTCACTGGGCAGTTGTCATCCGTTTGGTCTTCATACGTTCTCAAATGCAGTCAGGATCCGGGATTTGCGACCTCTCAAAACATGTATTCACAATTTTGAATACTTTGATGACACCAGTCTTATCTCGGCGGTCCCTGCTTTGTATTCTCCGTGTTGCCCTTGACATAGACTCCATTCGGCTTCTTCTACGAGGTACAGAACAACATCACAAACATCCTGATAACTATCTCTCAGCCAGTGGCCATATCTATGTAGCTGTAACAATCTTGTGATCCTGTCGTCATACTGGGGTGGTGCACTGTACGTGCTAGTCTCGCTACAGCAACAAGTCAATGAAGCAATACATAAACTGACCTCCAATTACTCCTAACATCCCACGGCGGCATTAAGTAGGACAACATCTTACGTCGAAAATTTGCTGGCTCCTGCTCGCTCCATAGCCTAGCCCTGCCGTCACAATGCGATCAAGACCAGATATACTCCCGACTATCATGATCAGGCTACGGAGTACTCCTCTCGTCATCAGCGATTCCGGCGCTTTCCCGCCTCCGAGGTTTTCCCGAAGGAATATCCAACCCCCTCCTAGCCCCGCCGATTGTTTCCTGCATCCAGAAGTTTCAAGCAAGTAGCCAAGACTGCAATGACGGCGCTTGCATTGCATTGGCTGCAAAAAGTTAGGTTGTCGACTCTCCGGGATCGGAGAGCGAGATCTTCTGTAGTGTCCTCTGTTGTTTCCGCGTCTTTAGGATTCTTATGCGTCGGCGTAGTTGATCAAGATCTCAATAAAATCAGTCTCGACTCCTTTCTTCGCCGCAGCGGGAGAAATAGAGAAAGAGTTAGTGATATCAGTAGTGGGTGGGTATAGCCGCGCCGCCAATTGCTCGAGGAGTTTCCTGGGGTTGAGATAGGCGGCAACCGGGGATAAACACTGGCCGCTCTGGCTTGGCAAAGAAAGTGGTAAGAGGGGTATACCACTGTCTTCGCCTGTAACGACGACAACGAGGTCATCCCCAGAGACGAGGTTATTGCGATTCAAAGCGGCAGAGGGATTAATAACCACTGGGTTAACAGTGAGTATTGTTTCAACAAGCAGGAGTGCGGAGTATTTATCTCATGTACAAGGCGCGTTAACGAGGGTTTGAAGAGATCAAATAGCCGCCTACCTATAGGTGGTTAGATTACCCGAATACGAGACAATGAAGACTGTCAAATATGTGGCGCGTTAATACGAGGCCGTATCTCGTCCATGATTGTGAGAGTTAAGCTTCTTTTGGATTAACGGGTCCTTACATTCTGTCACAACAATAGGGGGTTAATAAACGCTAAGCCTGATCAGCTCGTTCCTTGCCCCACTTCGATATTTGTTTTTAGCACAGATTTCGCAGATCAATGTCGAGCTTGTCCGTTGCCTGACTGTCTGGCTAATCAGGGGCCGTCTCTCCTGACACTATGTGCCAAAGACACAGCCTAGGGAAGCTTAGCTAGAGCTTGATACACGAGCTCTCGATCTAGCGAAAGAATTCATCCCGTCAATGTTGAATGCCTAATCGTTTGAACCGAAGTGAATAATGACATAGAGGTATAAATATCTGTACAAGTTTCATTCTCCTTTTTTTTTTTTTTTTTTTTCCTTTTTTTACACAGTCTCATTCTCAAATTCGTTAATCCCTCCTCAGTACAGCATCAGCTTTCCTGTCAAACATGCATGTTATTTCTGCTCTCGTTACACTCGCCACCTGCACGGCAACAGTGGTCGCGAGTAGTCGATCACCTCTTGTCCAGAGAGGACTAGAGTACTGCGCAATCGTCAACGCCCCTAGTGGCGTGCACTGTCGGCGGACACCAAGTCTTAGTGCCGAAATTGTTTATACCATGCAGAACGGCGCAACTGACGCATACACCTGTTATGAACGCGGAGATTGTTATGAAGGCAATTGGTATGTGCATTCGCAACGCTCCTTTGCAAGTCACTCCTGTCGGGGGGAAATCTAATATCCGTAGCACCTGGGATTATGCGTCCGACTTCCACTGTTATGTGAATGGCTATTTCACGGATGGTAAATGTACTATGGGTAAGTATGTTTCATATACATTAGCTTTTCTCAATGCTCACGTATTATCTATAGCATCTCTCGGCTCATGTTCTGCATGTTATCCCAACTGCTAGATTTGATGTCACCTGTGGTTCGGAACTTTTCGCAAACCTATTTCCGCCGTTTTGTCAGGGGTTGGATAAATGGAGGCCTAGCAACCGATGAACAAAAGATCTGCAACAAATGATGATTAGACTAGATTGCCAGGGAGGAAGCATCGGTTCGGAGACAATATGGTTGGTCACGAAAGGAGGCGAAGGTGCTCAAATTTTGGAAGAGAAATCAAAGGTCATTCTGTTAAAGCGACATTTTGGTCGTTTCTCTTAGAAATCACCGAAGCTCCAGAAGGCCCAGACACGTTAGCTCGACCATGTGAAATCTGTGATCGGCCTCTTTGAGTCGGTTCTATGCGACTCAAAAACTAGTACGTGATCCTGATGGCACAAAGTCCTCACTTACAATCGGCCAAGTCAGAAGTGCATGGAGGCTGAAGTTTTCATCAAGCGAGAATAGGGCGATCAACTGAAAAGACTCAGGCGAAGCTCCGGTCGGTTTCAAATAAGCATGTTATTAGTCTGGGAATATCGCACAGGCCTTTATACAGTAACCCATCTAATAGAATATTGTATTTGACATCACTGTTTCCCCCGGAATTCGATCGCCAAGAGGTGATACAGGCGTCATGCTAAACATCAAGTTTCCGGGCGCAAGTGTAACCCCTCAATATTGGTGACTATAATTTTGAGCCTCGCGGTCCTTTAACTCCTCGTGGCGCGAATCCATGTTTGCTCCCTTCAGCCCAAGGCTGCCCAATGCTCGCGAGGCTTGCTAGTAAGTTCTTTCCTTATGCAGGTAAATGGGGACGCACTGGCTGTCATAAGCCACGTAGTTCAGGGTGTTCGTTCGACTCTTAGTACGGTGATCATCCAGTAGGGCATCATTTTATTGGCTTATTCTCACCAGCTGGAGAATTGAAACATCCCCTGCAGTCATTCCGAGGTTTTTCACTTTCTGCTCTAGACTATTCGGACTGTTCAGCTAGCCACAATATGAATTTTATTTCTTCATAGGAACCCGACCTGGGAAAGACAGAACGTTGTTGCTTTTACAAAAGGGCGCGTTAAGCCTCACCCCTTTACCCAATTAGTTTTCCCTACTTTTTGCAAGAGGTTTTCACGAATATAGGCACAAAATTTCGATTAAGAACATGATGAGATAGTGCGGGTAACAGTAGTACTCCGATTGAGCAGTGTGATATAAACCTCAAGAGTGAGTTCCTAATGGGCATACAATGAAAGTAGGCACATGAGAAATTTAGTGGAGTTCCCGTAGCGACGGGGTATGTAGTAAACCATTCGTCGGTGCTAAGCTAATTTAAGATAAAGGACGAATAATTGGGAACTTGGGGCGGGCTAGTGCCTAATGCAGGTGCGTGAGTTCCAAAGTACATAGTTGCAGAGCATCGTCTATTACCTGTCACAGGGTCTTTAGTCACGCATCGTGGAGGAAGGAACTATCGTATCAAGGTTAGCTACCATTTTCTGAGCAATCTAATTGTTATTAAAGACTAGCCCTTACTAACACGGCTAATATTGAAACTTAAAAGTCTAGTCGTTTATAAGAGAATATCTCGTATTAAGTGCTCCTTAGACCAGTGCTACGTTAAGACAGGTCGCAAATAGCTTGACTCCTGGCTAGCATAGTCATTATCTTTACTTCTCGGTCCTTTGAGCCTGATCGCCTGATTCTAGAACCATTGAACAAACAATTCATTGCAGGGATCTTCGGCAGAAATTACCTCCCTAATTTCGCTCAACCCCGGTTGCATGCGACCATGTCACAAGAATATCTCATCACAACACGACTATTTACTCGACCGTCGAATCTATTCCCTAGACTGATATTTCACTCATACATAGTTTGTGTATTCGAGCGACGCTAATGAAGCTTATTCACATATACAGCTAACAAAAATCAAGCCACTGAGTGGACCGAAAACTCGGGCTGAAGATGGCGGGGACGACGAGCTTGAAAAACTATTTAAGCTTCGTCTATCTAATTTCACGAGCACCTGCTAAAACACAAACCATTCTCTTCTCTCGACAATATCATTCATACAGATACTGAGCAGACATGGTCAGATACGCGCATCTATTTATTCTTGTAGCTGCCGCAGCAGTCGCTATCGCTTTTCCCCTCTCCGATGCGCTCACTGCAAGAGCACAAACCTCGTCCTCTATCGACCAACTCCTGAACCTCGTTCCATGGTATCGTGCCTATAACCCATCCATTCAAGACCATTTCTACACTCCCGATCTCAATGAATGGAATAACGCCATCCACAACCTCGGGTACCAAGCTGAAGGCATAGCATGTCGTATCCACTCTACTCAGGAGTATGATACGGTTCCATTTTACAGGACGTACAACCCGACCGTTTACGATCATTTCTACACCACCTCGAAGCCAGAGCGGGACAATGCTATTGAGAATCTGGGATATCACGACGAAGGTATCACAGGCTACATCTATCCAGAGCCTTTCCCTTTTGCGGTCCCACTCTACCGCCTGTATAGCCAGTCAGGCACAGATCACTTCTACACTATATCCGCGGCAGAGAGAGATAACGCTGCTGCAAACTTGGGGTACAATGAAGAGGGTATTGCAGGTTACGTGTTGCCTCCACAGTAGCCCAGGCCATGGTTATTACTTGAAGGAAGTGGACGACCTAGCTATATTGATCCGGTGGTAATAATGTCTCAGGGAATAACTTTTGAGTTTTCTAAGTTGCTTGATTTTTGTTTAATGAATCGTCTGCATTTTCAGAAATTGTTTTCTCTGACCGAACTCAGACCTTTAATTCGTTGATTTATTCAGCCAGTTTGGTCATGTTCAGCCATCTGCTTGAGGTGTGCCACTGAATATTGTAGGCAGAAAACACCTTCCTTTGGCACGTAATGCGTCGAACTTCTTACTGATAACCTTCTTAACTCGCTAGCTACTGCCATGAATTTCTAGGCTTTTATCTCATACACCCTCGTAGCTCCTGGGTCTCGTGGAGCAGTTGTGATCAAGTCTTGCGAATGGCTTGGTATTGCTCCACCGAGGACGGATTTCCGCAAACTGAAAAGTCATCTTGGAAATAGAGCTAGATCTTGGACTTCCTAATTATCCAACATCCAGATCCTGGCCTCCTCATACCACCGAAAATCAAGTTGCTCGTAGCTTCCTCCGTGGCGCAAATGAATGCGTCTTTGCAATAGCGTCAAGCAAGCGACTTGACCGGGCTACTCATACCGATAATTCATGAGACGATCGGCCTCCTAAGCAGGCAGACATTTTGATATTAAGACAACTCCAAGAGCAGGAAGGATCTACAGTTGGTCTCCGCTTCGTTAGGATTGGTGTATTAACAAGAAATGGGAAAACACTGTTGATGTTCATGTGCCCTATATATGTAGCGTGTACTACGCACCACGAGCCTTTTACCCTGTACGGATGGAACGCCTGAGCAAGCAGACCTGGGCTGCGCCAAGTGCGCGCCACAATCCTTTAGTCCATGCTAGCATGTAAATCCCTCAGATCCACAACGAGAAAATCACACTTCACAATGCATGATCGAGGAGCCAGACCTGACTATCCTACATCCCTGTCAAACTCTATTCCCAGGCTACATACGACTACGATAGTGTTTGTCTTAGACCACAAAAGCAAAGATCAATACCAGAAGTACACACCGAGAGTACACCCCAACTCCAGAATCTAGAAGCTAGAATCCTTCCATATTCAAAGTTTGTCATAAACTTCAGCATCAGCTTAAACCCCGCAATTCGAATATCCTCCACGGCTCCACCATCTCAAAAGGAAGAGAAACAAACAAATAGACAAAGAAAAAGGAAAATGAACTTTCCCAATAAACCTATCGTTTTGTATTTCCCATCCTTACCCTTCAAACCGCAGACCCATCCTCCACTCCCTGTAACCCTCCCTTCAATCCCTCCCAAACAAGACAGTTCCCCTCCAGGTCCTCCGCCCACTCCTTCCACGCCCCACCCTCACCACTAGGACCGCCATTTAACAGCCGACAAATTTCCTCTCCCTGCTCAATAATTTGCACCGCAAACCCCTGCTCCAGGTGCCATCCAACATGGCAATGTAATAGCCACACACCCGGGTTATCAGTGTGGAACGCTAGGACTAGGTGTCCACCCGCTGGGAGTAGGGCTGTATCGCGTTTTGGTATAGTGCTGGCAGTAGCGTAGGGTAGAGATGCAGATGTTGGGACAGTGTAAAGGCCAGTTCCTTGGGCTAAGAGGATGAAATCGTGGCCGTGTAGGTGGATTGGGTGTGGGATCGGGAGGGTGCTTTCGATTATTATCAGGACCCATGTTTCTGGTTGGGGGACGGGAATGCTATTCGCTGGTAGGGGGATAGCGGACAAGCAGGAATTGAAGCTTGGGAGTAGGTTTGGTCTGTGACTTGGGGCCAAGGTGTGCAAGGACCGCAGGGTTGGCTGTGTCCAGTTCATGGAGAAAGAGTTGCCATTGAGTTGCCAGCAGTAGAATGAGTTGGTCTTGGATACTGTGACAGGGAGAGTCTCGCTGTAGAAAAACTCTGACGGGGTGAGGCCGAAGGGTTGGGAAACCATTGGGATAAGATTTGAGGGATCTTCGTCACGGCAGCTGTCGGTAAAATTGTGCGCTGTAGAGTTGGGGATTATAGTAGAATTGATATTTTCCTCGTCATAGTATATAATTCCGCGAACATTGTCGGCGTTGAGACTCTTCGAACAGGAGAGCTGGGGGATGGCTCGGAGCCAAAAGGCATTGCTTAGAGCAGACTGATTGGAGTGGACAATAACATCGTAACGTTGACCTAGGCCAAGAGTCAGATAGGTAGAAGTTAGATGGTGCTTCAACAACGACGTATTGTGCTACTTACCAATTGCAATATCCAAAACAGTCGTTGTATATGGTTGAATCGGAACCAAATCCACCGCAATCACGATCAAAGAATGATGATCGATACTAAACTTGAAATGCGTATCACAAGCCGCATTTCCCAGCCTTAATCGATAGGATTTCCCTTTCGTAAACTTCATTTTAAATCGCCGTCCAGCCTGATCCATGCCATCATCCCCAAATACATTGGTCCCATTGATAAGCCCATTATCCACCGTCGGCGGACCAGACACTTGCACCGTATCCCACAGCTCATCCACCGTCCTCACGTCCCAGTCAGTCAATAGGATTGTTCCCTTATCCTCGTCGTAGTTTGCACTAGCCGGCCCGTTAATGATAATCCCGCCAAAGACACCTTCCCACGTCTGGAGTCCCATATGAGAATGGTACCATGTCGTCCCGTACTGCGTAGCTCGCCAGCGGTATGTCATGCTCTGACCCGGGGCAATGGGACACTGCGTAAGGGAAACTGCCCCGTCCATGGGGTTTGTGTTGAGTTGGCGAATTCCATGAAAATGAAGGCTGGTGCCATTGTGGATGGAGACTGGGAGATTGTTTCGCAAGTGGACGATGACCGTATCTCCCCAGTCAACTATGATGGTTGGCCCCGGAATTGTGCCGTTGATAGTGAGGGTCCATCGTGAGCGGCCGTCTGGTGCAAGGTTGGCTTGTGTTACGTCAAACCAGAATTCTCGGACTACGCCTGTATCGGGGACTGTGGTTGTGTAGTCAGTGTAGATGTCGTTATCGCACCATTGTTGTCGATTATCTGGCGTATTTCCGGTGCATGCGTTTGTATTGTTTATCTCGAGATTGGTTGGTAGTAGAGATGAACTCTCTTGGTACGCCGAGCTGGCAATAGTGGGCGGTCCAATTGGGGGTATGCATGTACTGCTTGCTTTCAAGAAGTTTAACAAAAAAAGATATACTACCCTCATGTTAGCAGCGGAGTAGTGTGTAAACAACACATAGGTCTTTACAGTATTCAAATACTTGCGCACATTTCCTACAACTGCCGAATAATGGCCAGACTAATCAGGCACCCACTCAGTACAGCACACCCTCGATCAAAGCAGGTCCTGCTGACGCTGCAATAAGCCTGAGGACCTTTGATTTCGATGCAATGTGGGCCGAAATGCCATGAACAGGAGCTATGCAGGTCCCCGGCGATGCGTTCACTCCGAGCAAAGGAAAATGGGCCACGAACAGAGCATCTGCACACGGACGACTGCCTGCTCTCGTGGAAATCTCGTAATATCCAGGAATGGGCCAGGCACACATCTGCCTCCGATGCTGTGAAATGTAATCCCCGATATCGTGTTTCACTGGTGGGTTGACTAGGTCAATTGGAAATGTAGCTCCTAGGTGACAAAAAGCAGACATGCACAGAGAAGTCAATTATAGGAAGTATGACTTCCATTCGACCATTTTCTAGACATAACAACAAAAATAAGCATATTTCATAGCTCCCACAAATCCAACCAAAACGCCCATCATCCCAAAATCCATAAACACCATAAAAATAGTACAACAACAGTACATTCAACTCAACCCTCTTTGACAGCTCCCAAATCCCTAAACTCCCTAAAACAGACTCCCACCGCTTTCCCTGCCTCATCAAACCCAACCCCCTCCTCCAACAACCTCACCTTCTTCTCCTCTCGAAACCCGCCCCCAGCAACATGCTTGCTGACCCTCCACTCCCCCTTATACCCACCCAACGAGCCATCCGCTGCCAGCACGCGGTGACACGGGACCTCGGGCGCGAACGGGTTCGTGCGCATCGCGTTGCCGACGGCCCGCGCGCTGGAGTTGAGATAGGTTGCTAGTGCGGAGTAGGTGGTCCAGCGGCCCGGGGAACGGAGAGGAGGGCGCGGTAGACGCGGCGGCGGTAGGGGGTTAAGGTTGGGTGGAGGGAGATGCGGTGGAGGTGTTTTTGGAGAGTTGGTGTGTTGGAGATGGAGGTGGAGGTGGATTTGGAACTGGGCTTGGGTTTTGGTTGTGTCTTTTGGGGGAGTGAGCGTGTGCTTTGCGGGGAGAACAGGTGAGGATGCCATTTTGGGGTCCACTATGGTAGAGCTGAGCACTATGTGGTTTGTAGCTTGAAGTTGGGTCGGATGCGGTCTGGTCCCTGGGAGTGGTTAGCTTATCGCCGATACGAATCTTCGTGGGGTAGACGCGTCTCGACGCGTCGGGCACGATGGCACTTACCAGACAAGATGGGGAGAGTTTGGAGTAGATAGTTGAGTATTTGAGAATGTAGCAGGAATGGAGCAAGCTAGAGGTTCAAGACAACTTTTTATGTAGAAGTCAAGGCCAGAGCGAGGAAAGTAAGTTGTTGTCAATGTGGCCAATCAGCGTTCCCGACGGGCGCCTCTTACCAGGTTCCGAAGCAGATCAGATCTTAAGGAGGTTTAAGTATGACTCTTCATTTGTAATCCACTTCCTGACTTCGTAGATGAGATTAAATTAGCCTATAGAAATCATGTCTGATAGTTTTATGCGATCGTCGTTCCTGGCATAACTCGTAATAACTCCAACCCCCTCCAGCTACGGAGTAATTATTCTTCTTACATACTTTGACCGTCCCCTACTCCACGGAGAGTGTCAAACTTCCACCTCACCCTCCTCTCGCTCAAAGGCGATCCACATGCTCAGCAGCAGCATTATCAAGCTTAGCCGCCGTCACCGCATCCACAGGAATTACGTTACCAGTCTCAGGGTCCAAGACACTGTTCTTGCGGCTAGCAATGTCCATCATACCAGGGTTCTCCTCCTTGAGACGAGCAAAAGTCTTCTCCGCGTCCCAGGCCCAAGGCGTCTTGGCGGCGAAGAGTAGATCCATGTCCTCCAGGGTGCGCTGGTTGCTCTCGGGGTACAGAGCCCACACCATGGGGATGGTAATCACGTTGCTGGCCGCGAAGATATACAGGGTCTTTTCGCCGATGGAGCTGAACATGACCGGGCACAGAAGAGTCTATAGGAATTTAGTTAGTATCATAGACATTCTCCATGAGGATCAGGGCTCCAGATTAATCACTTACCAGCCATCCGTTTCCGATACTCCAGCCGACAACTCCCCAGGCATTGCCTCGCGCACGCACCGCCAGCGGGAAAATCTCGGCCGGGTACAGCCATGGCACAGTCAACCAAGTAGCACCAAAGGTCGATGTAAAGATAAAGATCATCGACGCAGCCGCCGCACCATACGACGAAGCCGAACCCACGTTACCATCAGCCTTGGCATTGATGGCAAGGCGAGAGAATCCACCAGCAAGGAACATGGCGATACCCTGCACGACAGAGCCCCAGTACAAAGTCCAGCGTCGTCCAATACGATCCAACGTAAACACGCAGACAAGCGTGGCGAACTAAAAAAAGTCAAGTTAGTTTGGCCGAATCAGGGATGCAAAAGTGCCAGCATACCATGTAGAAAATATTATTCAACCCGCTGATCCACTGACTCTTCGTAGAGTCAAATCCAGCAATACTAAAGATCGTCGGTGCATAGACAGTCACGCCAGCAATACCAACCCATTCCTGCATAATCTGCAGCCAGATAACCAACTGCACTCTCCGACCAATGTGCAGGTCACCAGACTTCCAGCCAAACAGCATGGACAGGTAAGAGTTGCCGTGGACAAGCGTCTTCTCCATCTCAGCAATGCTCTGGATATCCCGGAACTCAGCCTCGGCGCGAATCTGGTCTTCCGGACCGCTGCCACGCAGACGCTGCAGGACGTATCGTGCTTCCTGTTCGCGGCCAACCTTGACTAGCCAGCGAGGGGACTCGGGGAAGAACCAGACAGCGGCAAGCAGGATTAGAAGGAAGATAATCTGGAAGGCGATGGGGAAGCGCCAGCGGAAGGCGGATTTACCGCCGTCGATGAAGGAGAGGCCGCTAGAATGAAATGGATGTTAGACCTGTATTCCCTTCGATGCGAGGTAATTGGAGAATCGGGTGACATACAACTCGAGCCAGTAGGCCAGCACAACACCGAAGATATTCAAAGTAAACTCGATGGCAATGAATTGTCCACGCGAAGTATGCTCGGCAGTTTCAGTCGCCCAGACAGGCACAATTGCATTCAAAATACCAGTGCCGATACCGTTGATGAAGCGTGCTATAATCATGATCAGCCACTGAGATCTCATCTTTTTCTCTTCATCCCTTGCAGGTCCCTTCTACTTACCGCAAATCATCCAATTATGGTTCTGCGCCGAGCACTGCAGACTCGCACCCACTATGGCCCAAACTGCACCTGCAGCAATTGACTTGATTCTCCCCATTCGATCACCCAACCAACCACCCAACAGAGCCCCGAACAACGTCCCCAGATAATACACCGAGACAATACCGCCCTGTAGCAGGGAGTTGGTCACCACTGGTGTCAGCTCGCCGTCCACGTCTTTCGTATACCCGAATTTCATCAGGTCGATGTAGTCCTTGGCGTTGTTGACGCCGGACATCATACCCTGGTCATATCCGAAGAAGAGGATGGATAGTGCAGCGACGCAGTTGATTGCAATGAGAAGCTGGCGCTTCTCCAGTTTGTGGACAATGTTCCACGAGGGGATTTTGTCGCTCATTGTGATGATATGGTGTGTGTTGGATTATAAATGGGCATAACCTGTGCGAGGACGGGAGTTGGGTCTGCTGGTGAAAGTAGGAGTTGGAGAGTAAAAGGATAAAGCGGATTCCAGATCTATAGAGTCAACTCCAGACAACCCCACGGGGTAATGAAATAGAATGAGGAGAGCAGCACGTCTTGCGACATCCTGGCGGGTCCCATCGCACTATTTAAACAAAGCTCGACTCCTCCCCACGGCGCGAGTCCGAGTCCAAGTCCGCTGGGAAACTTCCCCAGGAGGATCGGCCAAGAGTCACCTCAAGAACAGCAAGGAGTCGCATGTGGTCAGATCTGGTTACATTATTGCGGGACAAAGCGACTTGGAGTCGGCGATAGGCTGGGCCTTTCCCCATCTTCCCCACCCGTGCAGGGAACAGTACTGGTGTTTACTCGGCACTCGGGAGAGGAGGTTCTCGGGCTTTTAACCGGGGAGTATCAGGACTCGGCGATACGAGCCTGGGCTGTGTAAGGATTTCTCTCCCTTCTTGGCCGGCGCACCCTGGCCGGATAAGTAGATCTGCACCAGTTGCATCCATCACTCTGTCCGAAGCGCGACCGCCCACCTTTCACAACAGTCCCTTCCCCAGACGACGCTCGAAGCGCCCTGCATAGAATTACCCGGCGAGAGATAATCAATGCCTCTTCCAATGCCGTCATTGAGCCCCGTCGACTAACCCAATCGGGTCTTTTTCGACGCCAACCGGGAGGGCGTACGGGATGAAATCAGTCATCCACGCCTACCGCCGAAGAACCAATAACCACCAACCGGTCCGACGCCACTGCCTCCACCCGAGAAAACACGGAGCACAAAGTGTCCCCGTGGAGAACCTCCAGATTTTCTGTCTGACGCGGACTTCCCCTCTCGGCAAGCCGCCCATCTCGGAGTCAATCGAATCGCTCTGAAACATGGCGAATCAACGGACGGGACAGACTGGAAACAACTGACTCAACTTTAGTAGTCTTATGCTTCGCATTTTAGACCTTCTTTTGCATGTCACATGGTCTGCATCTACATCTCCAATGAGTATGGTGTGCTGATGTACTCCAATGATTGACTTTTTAGAGAGTGGGACATCCGAATATCTCCAAATCGGAGATTCGCCGAACATCCCCTGATCGTACTTCTCTTTCCCTGGAAAGTCGTTGCATTAATTAACCGAAGGCCAGACTCAGACACTTACCTCTTAAGATACCAATTTCTTCCGAGAGAGAGATCGCGTTCGAACGGCTCGACTACCGGTCTACTGGTTTCTCATTCAAAATTCCCACAGACGGCTCGTTGATAGTCACACCAAGCAAGGACTTGCCGAGTGCCGACAGGGTCTAGCCATGGCTGATGACAAAGGTGTTGATTTGACGGGGCAAACTGACAGAATTGTTATACAAGCTTGATTGTGTTTATTTGTATTACTCACATAACCCGTCATCGACTATCTACAATTAAGCTTGTTTGCCTAGCCTTGCAGGGTGCATGTAGCTGAGAGCACCCTATTCCTTGGAGGTCAGCAATTAGCCCACTTTTCCCGATCCTTCTCAGCTAATAGACTCGGAATCAGAAATCCGAAACTAAGTAATCAAAATCTTGGTCTAAAGACATCTTTATTAAACGTCTTACTAGTCTACTAAGACTAATAAACATGGCATTCATCCTCAATAGAGTTTGACCAAAACAGTCGGGAGATCGTTCGTAACGACACACCAATCATATGACCGAGTAAATTTTCCTAATTTTACAGATTATGAAAGAAAGAGATGTAGAAAGACCCATTAAAAGAAGTGTTTTATGACTATAAATCCAGGCCAAGCCTAGGTCACGTGATGAATGTGGATTGCACCAGATCTCTCCTCTTCCTCCTGACGGAAAGAAAAGATCATGATGTCATCCAATCTTAACAAGCCTTGGACCCAACAAGTTACTATCCCATCATACGATTCTAGAATCACTTTTCCAGCTCGCTGTTGGAATTGACAATTTATCAAAGGACGGTGCCTGTCTGCCTTTTCAATGAGATGGTACAGTCAGCCAATGAGTGCTGCCTAAAAACCCTCAAACCTTAGATGAAGGCTAATCCCATGCACAAAGGGAGCAGGACTTGTGGTGTTTATGGGTCCCCTTGCCACCAATAGTCTTCCTCATTTCATCTCTCATCTTCTTCCATCTTCTTGGCAACTCCCTTTCCATGCCTTCTCCACCGTCAGACACCTCGTTCCTGATTCTTCCATGGGCGGTCATCGCCTATCTACGCTCGAAGAATCGCCAGTACCAAAAATGGACATACCGTCAAGCCTTGATGAATACGATTCTCAAGGTAGGCCTGCACAAGTACATCTCTCTGAAACGAACACCCTCCATCTCCCTCAAACCCGGATTTGAGAGGAAACGATTTATCCTCATTGAGCCTGCAGGACCTGAGTTGTATTCGGGCCTCGCATTAGACGGAAAGACCAAACCTGAGGCTGTCGGGGCAACCTGGTACCCCAAACTTCCTACCCCGGATCTCAGGCTCCCCGAAGGCCAGCATGTCGTGCTCCAGCTGCATGGTGGGTCCTACATAACAGGAGACGGCCGCACAGGGTCCTGTCAATTCATCGCCAAGAACTTTCTCTCATACACCCCGAGTCGATACGTGCTATGTCTCCAGTACCGGCTAGCGGGCACCCCAAATGGACGTTTCCCCGCTCAGCTGCAAGATGTCATCACTGCATACTTCTATCTCCTCGGCACTCTACATATTCCAGCCTCGCAGATTATTCTGAGTGGTGATAGCGCCGGGGCTAATCTTGCTTTGGGGCTTTTGCGGTACATCACACAATTCAACGATTCGTCTCTTCTTCCCGCGCCAAAATGCACATGGCTCTTCTCTCCCTGGACCAATATTCCCGGAGCAACAGACTTAGATGCTTGGAACGATAGCCCCAACTACAAGACTGACTGTATACCAGCATCTTTTCCAGGCTGGGGTGCAACACTCTTCTTGCAGGATCTGGAAATCATCAAGTCAGTTGAGGAGCATCTCGCTCCGATAAAGCATCCGTTTGCGTTGCCGTCACCTATGCTGGTCGTGACTGGAGGGAAGGAAGTGCTGCACCAAGAGCATCTGGAATTCGCTGCAGTCTTCAAAGAGCTGCCAGAAAATGAGTCTCTAGTGGATTGCTTTGTGTCAGAAACAACACCACACGATCTCTTCATGATTGCGTGGATCATGGGTTTCAAAAAAGAAGCTCGAGAGTGTGCTGAGAAAGCTGGGGAATTTGTCACAAAATTTACGTCTGTCGCCAATGCATGAAGTCTGTATAATAGATTATTCACATTCACAAACACGGCTAACAAAAACTGTATCTAATATCCGCTATGCGACATGTATCAATCTCATCTTTACAACATCACTTCAAATTTGGTTGAACCCATCGCAATCTCTCCCTCTATTTGCCGTGAATGAATACTCGCTTCGCGAGTGGCTCGAATGTCTTTTCACGGGGAGGTCCCGCCGGTTTGCCGAACACAAGCTGGGCCTTCAAACTCCACTCGAGAGAAATATTCCATGTCTCGGAGACTCGTGCGTCAATCATTGGGTTGTAATGCTGCAGGTTGCACCCCAGACCCTCGGCTTCTAATAGTGTCCAAACTATCCCATGGCGGAGTTAGCGTCAATGTCCAGTCAACACCAGGCGAAGGCGACTTACGAGCAAACTGATGCATGCCACTCGAATGGTTGGACCCTGTAATTGAGTGTCAGCTAATGTTAGCTCCATGATCAATACAATATTTTTTGTAACAATTTGAAATGGCGCACATTCAGGGAGTTTGTCAATCAGCATAGGCCGCAGCTCCCCATGACGCTTCAGTGAAGCAGGGTCCTCGTAGAACAATACCTAAACCAAAAATATCAGCACATGATCACACAAGTCTAGTTGACTTATTCACAAACTCACCGTTCCGTAGCCTGCTCGGAAAAGAGCAATCCGAGGCTTATACAACGTCTCCAGTTGTTCAGGAGGAACAGTCGCAGTAGCAATCTCCAGCGCAAGGTCCCACAATTTCTCATGCTGCTCTTTAAGAAGAACCAACATCCGAGCACTTTGGCAGTTGAATGGACTGGGTGTGTGCATAATGACTTCAGAAATAATCTCTTCGATGCGTTCGTCTGAAATTACGGATTCGTTGGTGAGGGCGTAGATGGACCGTCGGCCCTTCATCCCTTCGATGGAAAATGCAGTGATAGTAGACATGTCGAGCAGTATGTTGGGCAATATTCTATTTGAGAAACTTTCTTCGTTATTGAGTTAATTCAGACTTGATTGTCAATGGAAATATGAATGCTATCTAGACTAGAGAATTGACTGTTTATATAGTAGCTAACTTGCCAACTGTATTGTCGTGATCGGAGACACGGAGCACCGACACGGAGTCCCGATCCACAGACACGGGAACGGACTCGGGCCCCAACGATGACAGCCCCCAAAGCTTGGGGGGTATATTTTGATAAGCCATTAGAGTCGGTCAATCAAATGATGAGTTCAAGGGCAATTTTGGGTTTCGGGTTCGGTCAACGGGAGAGAAACGGACCGCGTCTGTAGGCTAAGGCATGACTTGGTTAGCTATCCCATGCTCCAGCCTGTGAAGGCGCGGAGCCGGACGATTCCCGCTCGTCGGAGTTAGTGAGGAAAGCCAGGGTCGCAAGGTTCGTTGATGATTGGGCTTTGGTTGTATCAGTCGCTAGAGCTCTTTTATAGAGAGCGACTTGATCGCAGTAATGCTCCGGTCATTCCGTTCAAATAAGCTTGTGCTTGAGCTTGCGCCATGGGCGCTAACCCATCAGGAAGGTTGGCGATGAAGCGGCTGAAACGTGGCAGGGCACATTAATCCTTAATATCCATCCCCTGGACCAATTCAAGACCGCTTGATGGATCTTTTCAGTTTATGGCCATGTCTTTCGGTCACAGTTGCAGTACACTTGAATTGGCAAGGCCTTCAGCGTGATGTAATAACGCCGAGAAACGTTCACTGAGTGATCATAATTAGTCTCAGTGTCAGGGTTTATAGGTAGAGACATGCCAATGCTGGAACTTGACATGGACATCCTCTGTACGGAGTATGTTTAAAGGGGATGTTGCTTCACAAGGTGGCCGAGTGTAGCCGAGAGGGGGTCAAGCGGAGGCCCCGGTAAACCAGAGCCCGCCGATCTCAAGCCCGCGGGCATTGGGGATCAGTCTGGGGCATCATCTTTGACGAACTAACTCGAAATAGCGACGGGAGTCCAAAAAAGCTGCCTTTCCCCGGAGTAGCAAAAGGTCTGGCCGGGTGGGTGGAGGGCGGAAAAGTTCTTTGGGATTTTCCCGAGCGACCTTCTGGCAGGTTTAACTATTTAGAGAAGTATATGTGGCGGAAAATATTCTTGTGATTTCAGCGATACATTTGCATGTAGAAACATAAAACCACCAAGGCCTAAGCTGACTGTTCTTGTATCTCCCCAATCAAAATCCCAACAATTGCCCAGTTGAATCGGCATCACCAACCGGTAAACGCGGTGCCTTACCGAGTCGACCCGAGCGCGGCTTACATAACCGCAAATCGAACGGCGAATCTCAAAATACCGCAAAGCTCAGTCCTCACCTTTCCCGTACCTTTAAGCCACCTCTTCTCTCCCCTTGTCCTCCACCCCCTTACCTCCAGGCCGTTGATCTTGGAGGATTGAACGGTTTCTGCGATTTCATCCTCTTTTTTACGTTCTTCAATCGCCATGTTCCGCACCGTCCTGCCCCGGGCTACGCCGCGGGCTGCGCTCCGCGCTGCCGGCCCGAAGGCTGTCCCTTCGACCTTCATCACTCCCCCTATGGTCTTCATTGGCCGCTCAAAACGCGGTTACGCCTCTGATGCTGGTGAGTTCGAGATCTGGATGTTGTTGAGCAATGATCGCAGCGAAATATCCGCGCTCCCTGGGTTTTGCGATAGACTAACTTTGCCGGCCTCGCCGGGTTTGCAACAGCTGAGCACGATCTGGTCATCATTGGTGGCGGTGTCGCTGGTTACGTCGCTGCTATCAAGGCCGGCCAAGAGGGTCTGAAGGTACGTCGTCAAATTACCTCCAATGAAGGGACTCTGGAATTTCTCCGGTGGTCTTTCCGACAACAGCCAGGCTGGGACACGTCCGTTGCTAACCTCTGATCACATTGAATTAGACTGCCTGTATCGAGAAGCGTGGAACCCTCGGTGGTACCTGCTTGAACGTCGGCTGCATTCCCTCCAAGTCCCTCCTCAACAACTCCCACCTCTACCACCAGATTCTCCACGATACCAAGAAGCGCGGTATCGAGGTCGGTGATGTCAAGCTCAACCTCGCCCAGATGCTCAAGGCCAAGGACCAGTCCGTCGAGGGCCTGACCAAGGGTGTCGAGTTCCTCCTGAAGAAGAACGGTGTCGACTATATCAAGGGTGCCGGTTCCTTCGTCGATGCCAACACTGTCAAGGTTGACCTCCTTGACGGTGGTGAACAGACCGTCCGCGGCAAGAACATTCTGATTGCCACTGGCTCTGAGGCCACCCCCTTCCCCGGCCTCAACATCGATGAGAAGCGCATCATTACCAGCACTGGCGCCCTTGCCATGGAGGAGGTTCCCAAGAAGATGATTGTGATCGGTGGTGGTATCATCGGTCTGGAGATGGTATGTCATATTATCTTTACTCGGTCGCTCGGAGAACATGATCACTGACTTTTTGCTTTTCTTCCACTCTCTCCAGGCCTCCGTCTGGTCTCGTCTCGGTGCTGAGGTTACCGTCGTTGAGTTCCTCGGCCAGATCGGCGGTCCTGGTATGGACGCCGAGATCGCCAAGCAGGCCCAGAAGATCCTGGCCAAGCAGGGCATCAAGTTCAAGACTGGTACCAAGGTCACCAAGGGTGATGACAGCGGTGCTCTCGTTTCCCTGAGCGTCGAATCCGCCAAGGGTGGTAAGGAGGAGACCCTGGATGCTGATGTCGTCCTGGTCGCCATTGGCCGTCGCCCCTACACCGAGGGTCTCGGTCTCGAGAACATCGGCATCGACAAGGATGATCGTGGCCGCCTGGTCATTGACCAGGAGTACCGCACCAAGGTCCCTCACATCCGTGTGGTCGGTGACGTTACCTTCGGCCCCATGCTGGCCCACAAGGCCGAGGAGGAGGCCGTCGCTGCCATCGAGTACATCAAGAAGGGCCACGGCCACGTCAACTACGCTGCCATCCCCAGCGTCATGTACACCCACCCCGAGGTCGCCTGGGTTGGCCAGAACGAGGCCGAGATCAAGGCCTCCGGCGTCAAGTACAACGTCGGCACTTTCCCCTTCAGCGCCAACTCCCGCGCCAAGACCAACCTCGACACTGAGGGTGTCGTCAAGTTCATCGCCGATGCCGAGACTGACCGCATTCTCGGTGTCCACATCATCGGCCCCGGTGCCGGTGAGATGATCGCCGAGGCCACCCTTGCCGTTGAGTACGGTGCCTCCAGCGAGGACGTTGCCCGGACGTGCCACGCTCACCCTACCCTCTCTGAGGCCTTCAAGGAGGCTGCCATGGCCACCTACTCCAAGCCCATCCACTTCTAGACTTATATTTCGTGATGCTGTGTTGTGATTCGATATCCTCCAAACCCCCTCCATGTACTACTTTTTGGACTTTTAGCCTAGCTCGGCTAGCAAACTACATGTAGAATTTCATGTAATCATCTTCCTTTGTTGTTATTCTCTTGTTTCGGAAAAATAGACACTCTTAAACACTCTTTAAACATCCGTTCTATAGACACAGTAGCTCAATGGACGCGGTTTGCCTGCGCCATATATTTGTTGCGTGAGGATGATTTCTGCATGCCTGGCTGGAGGCCTAAGGTACCCAACTGACGCCGTTTGCCGTGCCAATATCTCGCTGCTACTACCAAGTCGAGATCACAGCAAAAACTGCAAAAAATATAAAAGAAATATCTCCGAATAGGGGAATCGAACCCCTGGCTGCCGTGTGAGAGACGGCGATGTTAGCCACTACACCAATTCGGATGTGCTTGTTGAAGGGCCTGCAAATTTTGGATATATGGAGCTGCAGAAATTTTCATCCGCCAAGGATCCACAAGGCAAAGGCGGCTGCCCGCGCTAGTCTCGATTGGCAGACTGAACAAGCATCACCTCCTTGAATTTATGTTGAATTGAGATGTGCTAGGAAATACAGGAGGAATACTGATACTTAAAGGCAGGAAGAGGAATATATTCAGAAGTCTTAACTCCATTCCCTAGGCCTAGGTGGTTGAAAAGACATATTGGGATGGGTAGTTTTCCTAGGCGCGTCGATATATAATGTTCTATACGCCACAGGTGCCTCTGCCTGGCTGCTAACACTAGAGCAAGGTGCTTATTTGCAATCCTGCAACATTTAAACGCAAGCGCCGACTCGGTGATCTATCTGGATGATCGGGATCATATACCTGAATACCCTTTATGGAATTATCCGGATGGAAAGTCATGCTGGCAGGTTAACCCACCCGACGAAAGAACACCCTCACTCAGTACCAAAAACGAGTGGAAATTATCACAGGCCAATAAAATCATCATTGTCGTATGAGCCAGTGGTAAATGATGCCTAAATCTACCAGCAATGAACGGTCGCTACAATAGAATGGATGACCCATCATTCTTTATTATCTCTTGTATGCATACTGCGCAGACTTGATTAGGTTCTCCTAAGCGGGCTCACCCGACGCGATATACCTAACTCGGATACCTCTGCGAGACTTGTGAAGAACCCTAGGCAGAAGTTCTTGGTCTGTCTCTCTGTCCTATCGTATAGCTATAGGTAATATGCATCCTGATATAAATCTCGCGATGCGCACCGCGTTGAGTTCAAACGTCCTTAATGGTCCGCAAGTATTGTAGTCGCATAGCATTGTCTCAAAGAAGAAGACCGGACTAGCCCAGTTCGGCAAGCTCTGCGAAGAAGCTTTGGTGGGCGCTTCGCCTTAATGTGTGGTACGCTAGCCTTCTTTGGGTCAGATTTCACGAAAGCCCCACTCTGTGCCTAGTCTAAGGCTCAACGCTATGCTCGATATGGGCTTCTCGTATTAGAGTGTGACCAGATTTCTCAGCCCTGCGCACAGCACGATATAAAGGTGGGAGGAGCCTGCTATTTTTTTGTTTTTGGTAATCTTGCAGGTGCAGAATCCGCTATCACTATCCGCGTGTTGTGCTATAGCTACATTGGCGTTGCCCGGCTGGCACCATGATTCTGATATACAAGAAGATCAAGAAGCACAACCAAAGGAAAAGGCTTGAAGCACAAGATGCGGTGACAGCTGATACTAATATTGACGGGACTGCAGTCCCTGAAAGCCATGCCGTTGGCAAATCCAAGGAGAAGAATAGTATTTCACCAGAGGAAGTCGCCGAAAAGAAGCGACGACGTACCTATCGATGGAAAATCATTCTAGGCCTTTTTGCCCCATTCTGTCTCCAGTCGTTGGACACAACAATTATCGCATCTGCGCTTCCTTACATCGCGGAAGACTTTGGTAGGCGATCACACGGTCAAAGAGACACATAGGAAACCATCAGCGCTGACTTTCTCATCACACACAGATCAAATAAGCCAGCTAAACTGGATTATTTCATCCTTCAACTTAACTTCTGCCGCCTTCCTATTTTTCTGGGCCCAGCTCGCCGACTTGTTCGGCAGACACAAGACACTTCAAGCGGCGATTTTTGTCATGGTGATTGGCTCAGCAATCTGCACGGGCGCCCCGACATCCAACTTCAGCGTTCTCCTTCTCGGCCGTGCGTTGCAAGGTATTGGAGCAGCAGGTGTCAATATCTCCATTCGCACAATTCTGGCCGATCGAGTTTCGCTTTCGGAATATGCGCTCAACTGGACTATTTTCGCCCTTGTATCCGGTATTGGATTCAGCATTGGCCCTGTCATCGGCGGCTTCTTGACTACTGCTTCGTGGCGATGGTGCTTTGCCATCAATCTGCCCATCGGTGTTGTTGCGATGATCGTGGTCGTTTTCGTCCTTCGAAAAGAGCTTCAGGGACCCCAAGAGCTTCCACAACTCGAAGGCCGTGACATGTCGACGGGCCCCCGTCGCTTCGTCGCTCGTCTGATGACCATTGACTATGGTGGACAGATGCTTTTCCTCTGGGGATTTGGGCTGCTAATTCTAGCCCTGACTTGGGCTGGGGGCAACTACTCGTGGAAATCAGCAGCTGTGTTGGCTCCGATTATCATCGGTGGGATTCTGGCTATTGTCTGGGTCATATATGAGCGCTGTATGGTGCCGGGCTCTGTGATGGCTCGAGCCTTGCCGAGCCAAAAGGCTATGGTCCCGTGGGAATTGCTTTCGCAGCGGGACGTCGGCTTATTATTCCTCGTCAATGTCTCTATTGGCGTTTCCATGTTTGCGGTCATGTATTTCATGGACCTATACTTCGCTCTTGTTGAGAAGCGGAGCTCAAGCAACGCAGGAATCTCCCTGCTCTACTTTTTACCCGGCTTGGGTGGTGAGTTGTGCTGTTTCAAAACTACTGAAGACAAGCTGTACTGATTTCATATGATACAGTGGGCGCCTATATGGCCATGTTCTCATCTAACGTCTGGCCCCGCCAGACCCTTCCAGCTCTCCTCCTAGGCAGTATCACCTCGTCAGTTGGCATAACTGTTTTAGCCTGGGCCGTTCACGCTGCAAAGACCAATGTCATCTATGGCATGATGGCACTAGTCGGCCACGGCGTCGGAATACGAATGAACCCAGCGTCGCTGCACGGACTAGCTTATTTCCCCACCATGACTGCTCAGATTTCGTGTTTGGTGTCATTCGCTGTTCCATTTGGAGGTCTTGTCGGACTGACTATAATGTCGACGGTCTTCACCAACAAGAGTGGGGAGAGTCAATTGGATCCCCAGCGCGGCATCATGTGGGCATTCATTGCGATGATGCCTGTCATGTGGCTTTCAGTATTGTTGACTACTCTCCTTGGAAATGTGTGGATTCGAAAGGAGGGGGGCCATGAGGTTGTCAACGGGGCTTATCTTTGGAGTTTCGTTACAAGGAAAAAGTTGGATCGGGAGAGACGAGATCGGGAACAGGAGCATGATCTAGCAGGTTTCGGTGATGAACGGAAGGAGGATGGACATATTGAGCAAGGGTTGAGGAAGACTGATGCGACTTCTCCAATGGAATAATGATGCAGTCTGGATTTGAAGGACAAGCTAGACAATGACATGTCATTATATCTCAAGATTCTGAAGTTCTCCTAGTGAATGCTTTGCAATAGAGCCCATGACATAAGATTCCCATGCGCCCTCACGCCATGGCTTTTCAAGAAGAAGATGGATAGCTCTTTGGCGTAGTGTTAAACTTGGAGCGTGTTGCGCGACGTAAAATAGCGGTTGTATAAAGCTGTGCCGAAACGAGAAGAGAGGCAGCAGGCCAGCAGCCTCAAGCGACTCTTCTCCAGCGTTGCCATCATACCGACTAAAAGAGTGACCTGCTTTGAGAACCGCTTCTGTTAACTCGATGATCTCGCAGAAATCCTTGTCTAGCGGTACTTCACCACTGAGATCGGAATCATGTCGGCTAAGCTGGGCTGATAACTGTCGCTGGTGAACTGCATCAACGGCGAGGCTGATGCCGAGGTAATTCACTCGGAGCAGAGCGCAGCGGGCTGTGATTTTATCTTCTCTGTTTGTGGGTATTGTAATAAATCTTTGATACCATGTGTCCAATTGGGACTTTATGGTCTGCCGTGTTACCGCAGGCAAGCTATTCAGGCTCACTGCATGCGCCCTTGTGTCCGTTCGAGCGGATGTCACGCCATGACGCCATACCATAACATCGTTCTTGATATTGACAAGGTCATGATAAAGTGTGTCCAAGTCATAATGAGAGGCTGAAGATCCCTGACATGTCTTCAATCTCTGGAGCCGTGATGAAGCGTTCGAGTGCGACCAGTCTAAGTCGAGCCACATCGCTGCGACCATCTCTATAAAAGCCAGCAGCTGTGTAAAAGACTGTGCTTGTCGACTCATACCGAAAATAGTCTTCAAACTGGCCGTATTTCTGAGATGCATAATCAGGCCGGCCGCGTTGCCTTGCATAAACTCGAACATTATCAGAAGCAAGAAACATGCAGGGATAGTTTCCAGCGATCCCAGATTGCCTTCCGGGACTGCTTCAAGTCGCGACCTGAAACAAGCAACGGCTTTGCCGTACTGCTGAAGCGCCACCTGATATAAAATGTTTGTTTCTGGATCCATGGAAGCCGAAAGCTCACTCGCTTGATATCGCCTACTCATGATGCCATTAGCAATGACAGCGTGGCGGATAGCAGGATCTTGGTGGCTGAGTTGAAGAAACGGCGGAGTCCAGCAATGCTTTTGAAGCGCCGCCGCAAGCTGGGTCTCGGTAGCATTATTGAAAAATTTGAAGCCCTGAGCTTCAATTTCGTTGGCAAACAGAGAGCGAGGGGCAAGAGTGAGGAAGGGGGAGTTGCGATCAGCATGGCCACCCAACCGCTGGCCAGATGAGGGGTCGAGGTATCCATCGCATATACGCCCTGTTCTGCGGCAGGTATCGCAAATGGGCTTTGTTTCATCACATCGCTTGTGACGAATCCTATTACCGGAGGTTAGTTGATGTTAGACGAAAGTTGAATGGGAAAGACGTACTTGCACGTGCCACATCCAGTCCGGTTTTTTGGGAGCACTGGCTCGGCGTCTCTTGCTTATGTGCTCCTTGGTGTCTGACATTGATTCATAGGTGTAATATAAACTAGCTGATGCCCTTGAAGCTCATGTAGTTCTACGATGTTCCATTCATAATCAGCTATCCAACAAACTTGGCGTGGAGTCAGTTGACGTGTCTTCCGTAGGCGCGCCAATCACCGAAACGGAATCCTTTGGCCCCCACGGCACAGTCTCAACTCGCTACGCTGTGTATATAGTCTGTGGTTTTGTATAGCCGTGGATTCATTACCAGGGCTTCTTTACCCTTCTACTAAAGGAGGAAAATCTCACTGGAAAATAGTGGGGTACAAGGAGTGTTCATTGTCAGCTTAAGCTTTTGCCATAGCGTGTAATCTATTTTGTAGTTATTTGTAGCTATTTGAGCAATGATTACACAGTTCACATTCCTCGATGTTATCATATAACGATCTCGTGAATGCCACACATGAAGAATTAGATTAACGAACTTCGTGGCTAAGCCCCGAATGCTAGGGGTACAAATTCAACTCTGGGAGACCAATTACTGAGGATATGCTGCCAATTACGTGGACCTTAAGTGTCATAAAACCGTGGCTTCCGACAATTATTACCAAGTTTAGCCACAGATGACCGGATCTAGACGATCTCGCCAAAGGAGGTACTTGATTTGGCAGCTGGAATAAGGGTTGACTGGGGCTGTGGCGTTACATCTAACAACTCTCCATTATTCTTCATCTCTAAACGAAAGTATTTAGCATTTTGCCAAGATAGCGGACAAAACTGCGCTAATATGCCATAGGCAGCAGCATGAGTCTACAGAGACCCTGAGATGTATAAGAACTGAAGACAAGCGGGTTTATATTCTCATCATATGCCCTGGGGAACCAGGATTTTTTCCAACCGCTTCTATGGGCTCAAAACTCCTCTTCCTTGCTACTCTTCAGCTTCAGGCTTTTTTGACATTCGCAATGTACCGCCCTGCGGAGTGGGATCGCCATGATGAGATCATTATGGCCTGGCCATCGATTGAGAACGACGCCTACGCGGACAAATGTGGCAGTCGTGATCTAGCAGATGTCACGCGTGATATTTCAACCATTGCTGAGGCAGTCGCTGAATTCGAGCAAGTCACTCTGTTGGTCACCCCGGACCGCCTCCAGGAGGCAAAGAAACGGTTCAAGCATGATGCAGATGGCATCTTCATCCAGCCCGTACATGATTACCCCAAACTTGATCTTTGGATGCGTGACCTGGCGCCGACTTTCGTTTTTGATGGATGTCACCTGGCTGGAGTTGATTACAATTTCAATGGCTGGGGTAACAAGTTCCCCGTCAATGCCTCCCAATCCCTTGCGTCCCAGATCGACGACAACATGAATCTCACTCGAATTTCTACCTGGCTGGTGACGGAGGGCGGCTCACTTGAGACCGATGGAGAAGGTACTCTTCTGATCACCGACAGCTCAATCATCAACGAGAATCGCAACCCAGGAAAGACCCGGCAACAAATTGAGGGTGAGATACATCGAACACTTGGTGTCACTAAGATTATCTGGCTTCCGGGTGTCAAGGGTGGTGATATCACAGATGGCCATGTTGATGGACTTGCGCGTTTCGTTGCACCAGGAAAGGTTGTCATCAGCAGACCGAACACTCTTGATGACAGCAATTTCTCCAAAGTCTTTTCGGACGCCCGTTCCATTCTCGCTAATGTGACGGACGCTCGTGGCCGCCGGCTCGAGGTTATCGAAATGATCGAGGCCGACTTGTATTCGCTTGGATTGGACCGAGGAACTCTTAAGGACATCGAAAATGAAAAGGAGGATTATCCTTCATTGAGTTATGTCAACTGGCTACTTGTGAATGGTGGAGTTATCTTCCCCCAGTTTGGAGACAAGAAAGCCGACGCCGCAGCGCTTAACACGATCTGTGGGTTGTACAAGGATCGTCGGGTGAAGACTGTGCGCCTTGATGAGCTACCATTCTTGGGTGGAGGTATACACTGTTCCGCCCAGGAGGTTCCAGCATAAAGGGTCACAGCTTGACTAAACCGAGTGGTCATCCCACTTAACCAAGACCTAGATCCAAGCTGGTATAGAGAGGCATCGTTTTGCCAGCTCAATTGACTGTATAGTATTTTCACGGCGGAGACGTCTCTATGTATTTATTTTCTAGATATCTCGTGGGAAATTCCTGCTTATTGTCATTCAACATGATGGATGGTTTTGATTGCAACGACCACATTCTCATTGCTTATACTATCTTAGTAGAATTACGATATTCTGGTTTTGAGTAATTCCCCTCGTGTAGCTTAAAGGCTACACTAGTATGAAAACAACAGCGTGGGTGGCTAGCTGGCTGAGGGACGGGCGGACGGCTAGCTGCTGTGCCGAAGGAGTGTCTGTATCAGTTTTAACTATAATGATACCCTCTGAGACTTTAGAGAGGAGAAAACAGAGACTGGTATATACTAAAACATAGGGCATCATGTTCCAAATCGGGCCAAAATTATCGTGCTGAATGGTGTTGTGATACAAGGCAGGCGGTTATCAGGAATGAAGCCACAATATCGGAAATAATTCCTGTATTGTATGTATGAGAATCGAACTGATTTCCAATCAATTTGGACTTCATGCTGTACACATATCGCCTCTGATATCTCACCAGAAAGGGCAATAAAAAAACCTTCTAAATTACAACAAATAGCTAAATCTCACACGAGGGGGACGATCAAGGGCGAGTACAGACAAAATCAGATATGTACCTGAATGGTATTGAGAAGTTGAAATGAGGGTCTCCAAGCTCTCCCTCTCTTTCTTTTCCCAGGTGGAGAGGGTGTGAAACTAGCTATAAGAGTCCATTTCCTTGAGCATAGGGAGATACACATTATTATACCTCCCTAAGGCCCATGAAGTGAAATAAAACTTGTAGTTCGGATATCCGATCATGCTTATTGCAGGAATATATTTAGTCACCAATACCTGATTATTCCGAAGGATAATGTCAAACTCACCATGTGTTATTAAAAACCCCCTCCACATCCTCCTGGTACCACTCTCCATTTGCCTGCTGCCGACTCATAATCAACTACAACACAACAGTCAGTATATATACCAATTCATGAAGAGAGATCTTGTACCTTGAGTCCCTTCTCAATGGCTTCCTTACACGGATACCGTGCATGCATCAATGCCAAGCACGCCCAGGCTGTATTCACCACCTGGCTCTGCTCATGCTGGATATACTCTTCCACCTCACAAGAGGTGTAATCCTCACCCCAGCCTCCATCCTCTTTCTGTGTGTGGAGTAGGAACTTGCAGCACTTGCGGACGGGGTCGCTAGTCTGCCATGTCTGACCAACCAGTTCGAGGCTCTGCATTGCAAAGAGCGAGGCATAGGTGAAGCACACTCCCCAAGACCCATACCAGCTCCCATCGGGCCGTTGTGCACTGATGATATACTTTATAGCGCGGCGGACGACCCTATCGATTTCGGCAGACCGGTAGGTGGGAAAGTGGCGGCGAAATAGCGCCAGGGCCGTCACGACCGCCGTCGTGCATTCGGGATACGAGTACTCAACCATGATACGGTCAAAGACCTCCGATGCGTTAAGATATTCAAGCAGACTGCTAGCGCGGGTGCGTTCATAACTGCTAAATCCACCGCCAGGGTTTTGCATGAGCAACAGGGTGTCGACGCAATCCTGGAGACGTTCATCAGAGATAAGTTTGGCAAAGTGGCTGCGATGAATTAGCAATCAATTTTATCAAAAATAATACAATATGAATCCTACCACTGCTCCTGAAGCATCAGGACGGCCTTGAGGCCCTCCGCCGCGCAATCGGACACAACATAGCCATTGTCTCTGGTGCTGAATGGCCAGCCACCCTTCCGCGGCTGGCGATAGGGATCAGCCAAGTCTTCCCTCAGTTGAGATATATCCAGGTATTTAAGGGCGTTTTCCAATGATGAACGGAACTCCAGCTCAGTGCCTAGACCAGCCTCCACAATCGCCTGGATGCTGAACGCTGTGTCCCAGGCCTGGACACCATTAGTGCCACTGCAGGTCATCCCATTTTCTCCCTTCCACATATAAGGGGATATCTTCTCGCGGTGACGAGTCATACGAGCGCTATTAGCACCATCAGAGTGCCACACAGCCACCATGTGAAAGGCTTTGTTGACTGGAGCCAAACAGTTATAGGAGGTATTCTCATCCTCACGTTGGATCAACGCGCAAACTCGCTTATTAGCCCATTGAACAATCCAATCTGGCCGAATATATTGCTCCCAGAAACGTAGGAATACATTGGCGACACGAAGTAGCGCGGTTGTTGGCTTTTTGAGGTCAACGGGGGCCACAAAGTTCCGATATCGCTCGAAGGCGATCTCGTCATACGATTGCGTATAGATCTCACGGCGGAGGCTAGTGAGGAATGGATTCAGAGGTTTTGTGGCTTTATTTGCATAAAGATACGAGACGGGAAGATAAACCACGCGGCATTGAACCCACCAACGCCATGGATGGAACGGAACCCAGTCAGGAAGCAACCTAGATTGAGAGCCAATGTCATGAATTGTTCAAAAGAGATAGATAAGGATAAACCCGGAAGAAAAGCATACCAGAATTCAGGGGGGAATCGGGTTCACTCCGCTCCAACTGTAAAGGTTCAATAATGCCAGCCAGACTTTACCCCACTGAGGGATACCAACTGCGCCTCCTATACATTTGATGAGTCCAGCCCTGGTATAATATATAAGCAAGCAAAGGCTTACCTAGGGCATGGAGGCGAGCGCGAGCCTTGGTGACCAAAGGGTGCGTCGGCTCGAGACCCAGGATTCGCAATGTGATGTAGTAGAGGGTTGTTGCAAAAACTGTCGAAGCCCCGGCAGAATGCAAGCCCCAACCACCATCTTTGTTTACCGTGCTCATCAGATAGCATATAATCTCGGTCTTCCACTCTGGGGGAATCTCCGTCTCGGTAATATACATAGCGATCACTATGCCAGCCAGCAAGAAGCTAGGACCACCATACGCACAGCCCCAATGACCATCATCCAGCTGGAGACTCTGATAGAACCGGAATCCATTGCGAGCGGATTCTTGGAAATTGCGTGGTGTGGGAAGCCGCGGTAATCCCTAGACAAGTGAGCAAGCAAAACATTACACTGCATGAAGCACTACACACCGTGGGCAGTCCAAGAAAATATTTCTCAGCCGCGGACTGCGGTCGCCGCGTGGACGCGACCTCATCGAGATATCGCCATTGGTGAACACCTGCGTCGACGTCGAGTCGCCATCGCCCGGGATCCGTCGGTGCAACCGTCGACATAGTGAGGTTAGGATTGTAATTAGATTCAGAGGATTAGGGCCTGAGGATAATTACGCCTATTTATTTGTCACAAAAACATGTCTCTTGACAACATCTGGCGTCTATGGCGTATGTCCGGTTCGCCCATGAGGTTAAAGAAGTTTAAGGGGAAAGGGACACGGTTAAACTACAGTAGCGCTAGCGCCACTAAAGCCTGTGACCCCCAACGGCGGCCAATGGCGGACACCGACCATTTTCTAAGGCTTACAGCGACCGCTTTATTACTGACCGCCGGGGACCCTGTCACCTGATTTCTTAGGCCTATACTTATCCCAATTAGGCAACGTAGGCTGATTTGAAACGATCGATGATGCGACGTCATTGAGATATGCCACCTTCTGAAGGAAAAGCGTATACGGCTAGGTCAGCCTGCAAATGGAATTAGCCGAGCGGTGCAGCTACTGTTGGAGATTATCTAGAACCCAGAACCCGGACAGACATCCTCTCAAAGATCGTATCCATGAAACCATTCATTTTGCTTCGAATGCTGCTCAAGTCAGGGATGGTCAGATTGTTCCAGATTTATACAGATTACCAACCTCGGACGAATCTACAAAGAAAGTATCAAATCGTATGCCTTGCATTGACGAATGCTTTTCGAGCTCTCATGATCAAGATATCAAACCGATTTTTGACGAGCTAAGGGGCTCAAGTGATTTGTCTTGGGAAGGATTCTTTAACTGGGAAGACCTCTATTAATTAATCTTGTCGCTCCAGTTATCAGAGGCCTTGAAGTACTAGTATGTTAAGATAGAATCTATGTGCAGGATAGAAGGTCTATTAGTTAGTCAAGTCAAGAACGAAGTGACAAATCGAATTGGTGGCAATACTGTTTCTTGAGGCGCTCGAATGGTTCCTCTTAAATTATACGATTCTTAGCAGGGACCCTTGGGACCCTCTAATTTGGACCTCATAATTTTAAATTGAAATACAGAAGATATACTGGGTGGTACACTGAACGTGAGCCTAAATAGAGGGAACTAGGATATGTAAGATAAAAGAAGACGAGTATACTAAGGACCCGCTTTCGATCTAGAGGCATCAACCTTGATATTGATAGCCTGGACTAACGCGAAAACAGGAGGATAGATGACCTAGACAACCCAAGGTCTGGAAAAGTACTTGGGTGAACTTCATCACTATAGATGCGCGGCTAACTCGAGAGGTAAGATGAGGCGGCAATGCATTGGCCAAACAAGTGATTACAATACTTTAGTAAAATTATAAACTACTCCCTCATTTCGAAGACAAGGTTGATTTCTGATCTGCGTCCAACCCGCCACATGTCGTACACATGGACGTGCATATTTGTTCGAATTTTGATTCATAGAAAAAGACTTCCAGTATGGCTGCTAAGCTCTGTGGTTTGGGCAGCCAAGTAGCTGAAACCGTGGCTAGCAATTCACCGTCTAAATTAGGTATTTGCATATCCTGGTAGGCGTGGCTTACGTAGGCATTGAGTTGCGGGCTAGCGGGCGGCATAACTGGCGACTCTCAGCCGTGGAATGTCCGACCAACCACAACCCCTGCAGGCTTGAAATGTGCAGTTTCTACTACTATTATGCCATCACACTTTCTCAAATAAGCACTAGCGCTAGACGCTCTTTTGAGGCTGAAAGGAGTGCAGGCTTATGAATTATCACCACAGTTTATGTGCTGAAGAACCTTGTAGTCTGTCGACTGGAAAAGTATAAATTCAGGCTATCCAGTACAGGCAACGGGCGCAAATACCAGACGCTTTTCATCTGGTAAGCTCGTTTACAATGCGAACAATTTTAACAGCTGGAGGTAATATCCTCCTGGCTTTGTCTGTTTTCTCACTTACAACAACCGCCGCAACCAAGTCTATAACGGCAACGGGAACGAGTATCTCTTTGCCAACTCTCAGTCCTGTCCATTATGCTCAGACGCCCAGACTGTCCATCGAGTACTATGATTCTGCACCTAAAAACGCCACTGCTCCCGTCGCCATACTTGTCCATGGATTTCCCTATTCGATAGATACCTTCGTCGATGTTGTTCCGAAACTCGAGAATGAAGGCTATCGTGTCATTGTCCCTTCTCTTCGAGGATTTGGCAATACAACATTCTTATCAACGAGTACACCACGCAGCGCAGAGCAAGCTGCCTTGGGTAAAGACATTATCGACTTGATGGATGCTCTTAAAATCGAAAAGGCTATATTTGCGGGCTATGATTGGGGAACAGTCGTTGTCAACGTTGCAGCGGCGCTCTGGCCAGACAGATGCTCGGGAATGGTCGCAGCAAACTCCTATCTCATTCAAAATCGAGAGACAGCCTGGAATGTTGCCGCGGCGAGCACGTACCCAGTCAAATGGTACTACTATGTGTTTCTAACACCCCCGGGGTACAGCTCACTGGCCAGTGATACGAAAGGCTGGGCTGAAGTACTCTGGTCGAAAAATAGCCCCAACTGGACCTATACCGAAGAGCAATTAGAGGCTGCATCACTGGCCTTCCATAATCCAGATTATGTAGATATTGCAACTAACTTCTATCGCAATCGTCTACTTTATGCCCCCGGAGATCCTAGCTATGCAGAGCTAGCGAATGCGCTCGATAAGCAGCCTCTTATCACTGTACCGTCTGTCACACTCGATCCGGATCAAGCTGTCGTTTTTCCTGCTACGAATGGCAGCACTACAGCGAAATACTTCGCGGGGCCAAGGGTGCATCACATTGTGAAAGGCTGTGGCGAGAACATACCACTGCAAAAGCCCGAGGTTTTTGCAAACGCAATTCTGGAAGTGGCACAGCTTGGCAGTGCGCGTTCATAACATCTATCGTGTCTAAATTTGGAACTGAGGAATCAAAATGAAATTTATCCTTAAGCGTCCATCTCTTTGGATATACTACCTACCAGATGAGCTTTATACAAAATCATGGCATCTATAAACCAAGAACATTTGACAGAAGTTCTCTAGGCCTGATTCGAGGGTCGTCTGGGAGAGTCGAACCTCTCTCCTGCTCTAAATTCCATATGATCAAACTAAAGAGAATTCATGCTGTACGAGATGTAGATAAAATCTCGGCAGCTGATTGGTTAGCTTCAGAAATTGATGCATTGAAACCACACAATAGCCAAAATTCGCATGTGTCATCCGCTGAACTACTAGTTAACTAGTTAACTAGGCGGTGCATGGCTTATGTGCGGACAATAAGGAGTACTTATAGTCGGGTAGTTCCCTCCAGGATAAGAAGTTGACAGGCGCTGCTTTACCTAGAGTCGCGCTACGCAGGGTACATAATTGCACAGTAGACAACATAAGAACCTAGGTAGCACCAGATGATTCTTATCGTCCACAGCGCTATTAGCTTGCCTCTCTTAACTAAAGAGAATCCTCTTAAGGCACCTGGTCCCCTTCGTATCTATATAGCCCCTAGGTAAGGTACAATACTGACGGCGAAAATCGCTACGCAGAGGAAGCCAGGAAAGCAGGGGAGGGACGATCATCAATCTCTATCTAGAAAAACCTCTAAGGGACAGGAAGAAGAAGAAGAAGAAGACAGGAGATGGCCTATATAGGCCATCGAACAAAGCAATCTAGAAGAAACAGAAGGAAGAAACCAGAAGACCCTCTGCATCCTGCAATCACCAACATCCTGCAAGTACCAACATCCTGCAAGCAAGAGCAATCGCTGGTCCTGCACCCAAACGCTGGCCCAGGCCAAGGGAGGGAGGAATCTCCATCAAATACCAAATAGGAGATTGTTATCTTACTACGATAAATGGACCAACTGCAGATTGTGGCTTTAATCCTTCCACCCGCTCGATTATTCTTATCGCATCCTATCCTCATCCCATCTCTAGGTAGACAGACGAACTTAGCAGGAGATGGCATAACTCATCCCAAACTACCTGAGAATGTGCGTCCCTAGAATCCTATTCTTCCAAGACAAGAGACTGACTCCTATGTAGAATCCTCATTCTGCTCGGCGAGGCTTCCTACATGCCCCAGCTACACCGTATCTGGGTGCATGGGAACTGCCAGGGCCTCTCACTCGGCTACCTGTTGCTCAACCTCATCGTTGCGACTGATCAATTCACGCTCGGGTCCTTCCAACTGGTGAACAGCACGACGACTTCGGATTTCTTCATCGAAACCCCGCCAACAAGCGACGACTGGCTAAACTTGGCCCAGTTCACCATTTTTTGGGTCCTGTATCTCCTCCTGTCAGTTTCTCCAGACCCCGTCCACTGCTGTACGAAAATCTCGTATATAAAATCCCTGACAAAAGCAGCTTTATCTTGTGCCTCTAGTTCCCATCCGATAATCACATCGGATACAAAATTGGGCTACTAACTGTTTATATTCTCTCCGCCTTTGTTTCCATCATACCCCTCTTCGTTGACACCATCAATCATGACATCTTGGGTCCCCGGGGCAGCTCATACCGCAACTGGGCGGAAGCCCTGTTCAGCGGCTGGCACATCCTTTTCATGAACCCGATCGTCACGATCTTGGCTGCCTTGGTGGCATTCCCCTGCCAAGCGCGCACAATCCGTGCCCTGCCCGTAGAAAAACTGCAAGCACTCAGACTGCTAGGGCTTCTGACTCAGGGTGTCGTGTTTATCTTGGTGGCAATCCCGTGGATGATGCGTGTAAAGTTCTTGGGATTTTCGGTTAGAGAGGTAGTTCACGAGGCATTCTGGAGCTGATACCAGATGGTCAGGTGGGCGGCAGTGGATAATGCGATATTTGCCCTGGTACAGATATCGTTGTTCGTTTTGGCGAGAAATAAGATGGTATTGAAGGCGCCTGATATGGAGATGGAACCACTGTTGAGAGCTGCGCTCGAGCAGTACTCCTGTTTACTGCTATCCTATGAACTACTGGGAAGATCATGATGTAATCTCATCCAGAACCAACCAAGGTGAACTCTACGATATTCGACGCCGGAACGACCAACCGCGGTCTCTCTCCATTATCTGCCGGGTCCACCACTCGTCCAGATATTGAACAGGACAAGGTCACTTTCGTGCTGGCATGGCCCTCCTGCCCACCCCAATTCCACCAGTCGACGGTCCCCCCGTTGTACTGCACGTAGGAGGTCTCCCCAACATGTGCATCACGGGGAATATCCGTCCAGCTCCGTCCCTGGATATACTGTGGAAAATTCCACGATTCCCCCGGTCGGAGAGTGGTGAAATCATCGTGGGCGGTGACCTTGACGAGCACGTCCGGGTCATCGTAGATAGCGTATGCGTCGTTGAGGCTGTCGGTTTCGACTCGCTCGAGGCGTGTTACATTGCGTCGATAGAGTTGAAAGCAGTCTCTTGTTGCAATGGATCGGGAAGCTATCAGGGTGTGGAATGTAATTGCTTTTGCCTCCTGCGATTCCGAAGGGTGATAGTGGAGCTCTCTGATGACCTGGAAGAGACCCTGGCGATGGATCGTGGGAGGACATTGCAGTTCCACGCTGAGGATGGGGGCTCCAAGCCTACAATGCACCTCTGGTTAGATCTGATAACATGAGAATAGAAACATAGGGAGATAGAAAACATACACACGATTTTCATCCTGAACAGGCCCTGGCGATACCCTGGGTACTGGAGGAGAGCGCACACTCCCTACCGAGAGGAGAGTATGCGCTCCCCCTGGTAATACTAAGAGATCTCTCCCCGTCTCAGAACAAAGCCTCAGTTCCTTCCCAAGACATTCCTTCGTCGTCTCCCAGTCACACAGTGCGATCATGCCTCCCAGCCAGAGAAGTTCATACGTCTCCCCCGGCCGTAGCTGCCGTTCCCAGTGCTCTGGCAAGTTAGACCGAAAGGACACCGACTCTCCCGTCTTCAACTCCCAGAGACGTGGAGTGTACTTGATAATGCGGAGAGAAGTAGATTGGACCAGTGACGGGTCGTAATTTGGATCTGGTGCAATCTCGACCTGCTGCATCGTGATACGCTCATTGGCAGACTGGACGTGCCAGAGGAGGACAAACCCGCCAAGCACGAAGCCATTGCCAACGGGGCTCCACTTGAACAGACACGGTCTGCTATCGGATTTCCTGTGAGTCGGAAGTCTCCGGATAGTAAAGAGCAAGTAAGGGGTGCTTTGGATGTCCAATTGCAGGTGGGGGGTATCTAGCCTAGCGATAGATAAGTCTGACTGGTCCTGCTCTCATTCGGGGTTGCTCGACCGAGACAAATAAGAGGTGAGGACTCACAATCGATCGGCCTCGGTGAATGTGATATAGGGACGGATTTGATCTTTCATTATCCTGTACTTGAAGAATTGTCCGTCTGTGAGCGTGGGAGCTAAAGTAGGGTCGTGTCTAGCCAATGTACCTATCTCCCTGGTAGGGTGGTGCGAAGGTTAAGGCGGCGTTCGCGTGTCAGGAACGAACCTAGTTGAGTCATTTTAGTACAGTACATACATTATATCTTAGCCAAGCTAGAACAGGGAAGGTCATGGATATTAGCCTTCCTGAGATCTGGCTAAGAAGGAGTTAGAGGAATGTCAACCCCCATACATTAACAGTTCATCCTCTTCAGTCGATAATAATCCATAGGGAGGAGATCGTGGTATATGCGGTAGTGTATGATAGATAATATGAGGCATGCACGTAGGTCCTGAACGTAGTCAAATATCAAAGTACTCCTATTTTTGCTTACTTATCTCGCAACCCTCTACAGGGCTGTCGGAGGACCGAATTGATCTATTTGGAACCCCCAGCAGGCGTACAATAGTTGTACCTCTATAATGTCCGGAATGGCAAAGACATTAATGCATGGTAGCTTTTCTAGAGCGTCTAGAATGGCGTTGACCGGTAAGATAGAGTTCGCGACCGAGGACGTCATCGCTAACTTGAACGGAGAGGTGTTTGTCGATGGCAGCCGAAATTGCACACAGATTCCACAACCTTGTGGTAAGGACGCAGGTTTAATTTCAGGAACTGTGTTCACGATCACCTCATCAATAAGGTCCACGAAGGTTCCGAATTTTTCCATAAGGACACTGCGGAAATCTGATGGCTGGCGGATGAGAACAACTCCCCCTGACTCTATATGAGGGGCCCTTTTCACGTGTTTTCCCCCAGTAGATGAACGACCCGGAGATGGCGATACAACAAACATTGCTTTATCTGTTAAAAGTGACTGAGTCGGTAAAGGCCAAGGCGAAGACCAGCTTAAATGAAAGGACATGCTGCCAGTGGACATGCTGAATGCAGTACCGGATATCGCAGCTGTGAAGAACTTTTTAGACTGAGGCACTGTCATGAAAACTGTATTTGCTATCAATATCACACCATGTAGGGGAAAGGATTGCTCGACTTAGATAACTACCTTTAATTTGGTTAGGTAGTTATCCAGTACTTACCTAAACAACCATCCTCCACTGGCGTAATCGCAGGCGTGGACTGGTTTGGACAAATATTGAGAAAGTTCATTGCAGTCAGTTGGCTGGCCAGAGGTCCGGCACATAGCCGCCGCGTTGGATAATCATTTGGCTTATCCCAATAGTAGACACTGTCACATGCCTCATGCATTTCAGACTCAATGCGCAGCGGAATCTGACCAACAGTGCTTCTAAATGGGATTGAGGCTTTGAAGTCTTCGGCCTGACCAGGTGGCACAAGCAGGTAAATGTCCGTCCCTTCCTGAAGCACATTGAGCCCTTTTATTGCCAACTGATTTGAAGATGTGCGTAATGACGAACTTCCCTTCATATTGGACAGGCTGCTGCCCGACTTTCTATCCCGATCCACGAATTCTGGACAGGGAAAGAATGGGGGTGAGTCCAGGCGAACGATAAATGCGCGCATCATGCCGTGTTTATCGGCAACATCAGCCTCTTCATCCGTTAAAAGAAGGACATGAAAATATGGTTTAGTGACCTTTTCGGCCTCCAGAATCTCCATTCCCACAAGTGCCGTATTTTGAAAGCCCAGAATGACTGTGTGAAAGTCTTCGCGATCAAACAGGGGTTCTTCAAGTTCTAATACCTGCCAACGACGAAGCTGTTTGCAATGTCGCTGAGCTTCTCCGTAGAATCGGTCGCAGATGCGCAAAAAATCTAAAGGATATGCAGTAGGGCCTTCAGACTCTCGCCTTAGAAGGGTCATAACAAGTTCACCTCCTGCAACATTGGCTAGACCATATGAAATGAAGGTCCAGCAGCTCAGGTCTCGCTGCGGTAACCCCGAAGTTCTAGATCTTAGCTGGCCCAAGTTGACGCAGTAGATGAGTACCTTGAGATGGAACCGTGGTGTTTCTAACTCCACCGGCCATGATTGTGAACGTCTCGAGACAAGATTTGACGGTGAACTTTTGGGGTTACTTGAAGTATTTGGCTCGGTGCTGGGTTGAGGGGCAGCTGTGGGATTGAAGGGTTTTGGCTCAACAACACCATGGGTGATCGGCGTGCGGTTTTTGTCTAATCTTGTACGCAGTCGGTTGAGAGCCTCCATCTTGCAAGGAGCGATGACAATGAAACAACCACTGTCAAAATTTGGAACCAAAACATGCTGAAATGAACATAGCGGACTAGCGTGGTCATGCCTCTGACGAGGCCCTTGCTACTGCCAAGTGTACTAAAATTGAGAAGAGCAAATCATTTCGTGCCACGACGAGGATCCCTCGTATTATTGAGAAGCTCGTCCGCGCACATCACTCACATTGAGTCGTTAGGCTTGGTAATCACCATAAAATCATACAGATTCTGCGAGGTCTTCCAGTTTCTCGAGTACCTCGGATATTAATCTAACGCTCCCAGTATCTTCAACGTGCTCTTGATTCAAACACCATTCAACGGTCTGGCGGTACCGCCGCCCCATCATTAACTCCGTCTCACGAGCCACTTTTCGTAGTGCCTGACTGATTTCCGTGGGATTCATGTCTGGGTGAAGCTGTGGCAGTTTCTCCAAACTGGACCATATACCCACCTCCAGTAGAATGACACCAAGGCTGTAGATATCATGACACATGCTGTGCCGTACATGAGCGGAGGGCTGCTGCAGGTCAGGGTGTACATAAACCCCTATCTCTAGCGGCATACGCCTACGGCGGCCAGGATCAGTGTCACCCTCGCTTGTACGGGCTATCTCAAATCCTACTAGGGCAGGAGATCCCAGGGTGTATTTCATCGGGCCTCGCCCATCATCTTGTTGCTCCCTTGGAGGGTACTTTCCCAAAAGAACAATATTCTGAGACCGAATTGCCTTGTGAACCCAACCTAGAGTGTGAACGAAGAAGATGGCAGTGGCTAATTTTCGCGCGAATTCCAACCGTTCATTGAGGGAATACTTGAGCTTCATCCGCCGCCCATGTGGGTCACGGAGATCCAGAAGCGCTTTGAAGGATATGAAGTTCTCATCACGGTCGATAGGCAATTGGTAGATAAGACCAAAATGTGGCGAGGGTATCGAGTTATAATAGAACCCCAGGCACCGCAAGAGGCCGGTGGTTGTCGAGTCCAGATAATTGAGCGCTGCCACGAATTCACCCAGCTCGGCCTTTTGATGTTCCAAGGAAATGGCCTCTAGATGTTCCATTTGCGACCGGAATTCCAGTAGGATGTTTCGCCCGTGGAGAACCCCTAAAGAGAAACGCGACTCTTGCCGGCGGCTCATAGTCTGGACATGATCAGGTGTCACTAGAAGGGGACCCCAAACGGCCTTCTTTGCAGAAGCAGCTTTCGCTGCAAACCGCTCGATCCGCGTCCTGGTGGCCACGTTTGGGGTCATTGTCTCCTGTGACTCCCCCACAAGCATTACAGCTCGCGCCCGTTCAGGTAGCGCAATTAACCGGAGGTCGAGTCTCCTCGCCCATTCATAAAGCTCCTTTTCAAGTTCTTGCACTTCATTTCGCCGCAGAGACCAAGTAAGCCTGTTGAATTCCCTGGACCAGCGACTCTGAGCCTCAAGCTTGGTCTTGCACAATTCCGCGCTCTTCAACAGCGGCCCGAGGTAAGAAATGCTGTCCTCTAGGATCTGTTCATCCTCTGGGCTTAATCCGAGGCCCGTGGCTCGTTGTTGTGCGAAGTAGTCGTGAAAGTGCTGAAGAATGCGGGCATCGTACTTGAAACGAGCGACCAGTGATTGAGACTCCCTCCCGAACGCGGCGGCGGCTTCCACAGTCTTCCAGATGACTTCGCAACATAAGGCAGCTGTATTGAACGCATCCATCCGTCCGATATGGTTTATCTTCGATAGGAAAGTTGCGGGAAATGGGTAGTGAATTATCCTATGAGACGAAAGCTGAAATAACGGGGAAACCGACGATGAGATCTACTTGAAATGGTTCTCGGAGATTTGGAAAAACAAAACAAAACAAAAGACCAGGCAAATACCCTGCGGCTCATGCAGGGAAACCCCATTGGGTCTATGCGACGCTAAGAGTTTCTTGCTCAGCCTCCTCTTAGCCTCCACACCAGGATGCAGATACGTACCCACTACAACTGCTCACCTTTCCGCGTCACCCTCACGCCCTTCGGCTAACACTCTTCACGTCGCATACTATACGAATTCAGTGGGGATAAACCTCGAAATATGGACAGAAATATGATAGACTCTGAGGCTTTCGAGCCTCTTGACTTGACATCCTTTGAACAGGGGTCTCTTGACTCCAGCTACTCCTTTGCGGGGCTGACTATGAGCACGCGAGTTAGTAAAGATCCCGAACCCTCAGAAAGAACCAATCAAACTGTCGTGGGAATTGGAGTCGAGCAATTCTTTGAATTTTGTTTCGATTCCGGAGTCAGGGTCTATCCAGAAAACAAGTTCGCAAAGGGTCGGTTTCTCGGTTCCGGTGCTACGATGGCCGTATATGAAGGCACCTGGAAGGAGACGGGAAGCCCAGTAGCCCTCAAGTAAGTTTCTATGCTATGGAGGAAGCAGATAGCCCTTTATGATAGCTTACAATTTTTCCATCATCTAGATACTTCAAAAATGCACTGTGGGCTAGTGAGAACATGAAGCAGTCCTCCACGCATGAGCATCGACGTTTGTTAGAAGCCTGTATGCTTGAACTGCGGGTTTTATCAGATACCCGTGCGAGAAATCATGAAAATATTCTCACCCTCCAGGCCGTTTCGTGGACTATGCAAGACGGTGTAATCTACCCGATCCTCATCACAGAATTGGCATGCAAGAAACATCCTACTCTAGCAAGCCTAATCAAAGATCTGTCGCCTTCACTTGATGTTCGGTACGAACTAATTCGGGATATTGTTGAGGGGCTGCTACTCATTCACGACCTGGGAGTGGTATACGGAGACATCAAGCCAGAAAATATTCTGATCTTTTCGTCACAATCGCCTACATCACGTCCAATTGCGAAGCTATCCGACTTCGGATTTTGTCAGGCGACCAATACTTCTCAGCTTGAGGCTGGGGGGACGCCGTATTGGAATGCCCCTGAATGCTTGTATGATGCACCAGCGGACCTTAAAAAGTTTGCATTCACAACTAGCCGGGATGTTTATACACTGGGGCTGTTGATGGCTTATATATTAACGGGGGAAAAGCCATTTGGCGCACTCAGCAAGGAGGGTATCATGGAAATGAAGCTGAGAAATCAAGTGTTCAGAATGATATCCTCAAAAATCAAGAACATAAGGCGCACTCCGGGACCAAAGACCACTTCGTTGGCCCAGGATCTGCTGGACATCGTTCCACAGACAACTGTGGTAAGTCCAGAGAACAGACCTTCCCTGCGGGCAATCCTTGGGTCTTTACTGTAAGTGTACATCATTCGGATCCACTCGAGCAACGTTCTTATGTGAGACAGCCCGCACACCGAGGAGAGGGACTCGCTCCGAGAAGTCGACAGTAAATGGCGCATCAAGGGATCCATTCTCACATTTCGATTTTCGAGGCTGGCATCGAATAAAGGCAGCTGGGATCTCGAATCACAGCTTGATGTGTCGACGCCACCCGAGTTGCGACAGCAGCTTTATGAGCATGCGTTGAATGTGGCCAACCATGGGGGTCCGGTGGACCGAGTCAAAGCCATGGATCGCCTGGGGATGTTCTTCCTCAACGCCTTTGGAACCCCTAAAAGTCTTCAGAATGCCTTCACATGGTTCTGCCGAGCCGCAAATGATGGGTCCGTAAGAGGAATGGAGATGGTTTTCAGGATCGAGAAAGCGACAAAGCACACCCCTTTGTCATTGGCTGCAAGCATAACGACGGACACCCGGGTGAAGTGGGTGATGGCCTGTCTGCTGGGCTCTTTTACGTCTTCTTATAATCCTCGACTCTGTCCAGAGTGTGTAGATATCAATGATATCGACTCGCGTGTGACTGAAGTCCTGAAATCCGCTGACCCAACTATGCTCTTGGATGCATTGCAGGACGACATCGAAACAAATATCATAGCTTTGCGCACCATTCACAACAAGAAGTCAATTGTTGCGGACAAAACGCTACAACATGCTCAAAAGCTCTCGCAAGGCTCTCCCCACATCCAGTCTATCCTAGATGCCGTCTGTGACGATAACGAAAAGGCCCTGGATCGTCTACTCCTGCAGAAGAGACCTCTGCCGTTAGGCTTTCTCGACCTTTTAGTGACAGTCTCGGCGGATAGAGATCGCCGGAGTGTTTTGAGAAGTCTGATTTTGAACCACGGAGCGAATCCCGACACGATCGAAAAATTGAGTGGACGACAAACCACCAGTCTAGAGGATGCCATAATGCGTGATGACTATTGCATGGCTGTAACATTGATAGACTGTGGTGCAGATACAAGCCATTTGTTGGGACAATGGATTATGGACTTCGTCCTCCAAAGGGGTACTCCTACTATGATGCGACTTGTTCTGGGACTCTTCCTCTCTGTCGATATCAAATCTGAAAATGGGAGTTCTTGGCGCACCTCCAGTATCTGCCACCAATTCCTCGACGGGATCTCCGCTGCACTGCCTGTGATGTATAATCAACTGGCTGTGATGTACGATCAGACAGAAACTCCTCCAGATTCTAATCAACTACCAGCGTTGTTCCACGCAATCGCCTTTAACTTCTTGGACCAGCTGCAGGTGCTGCTTATAAACGGAGCTGACCCTAATATTCGGTTGCAAGGAATCACTCCCATTCACCTTGCCGTACGGCTGCTACGCCCCACAGCCGTACTTCTTTTGTTAGAGTTTGGAGCCAATCCAAATTCTCGCAACTCGCGAGAGGGATATATTACGCCTTTGCACGCTCTTTCGCAAGACTCCATGTTCGCTCCACCAGGGATACTCGAAAGAACAAACCAAAGCGCCGATTTCCTTGGCAGACGATGGCACAAGGACGAAGACGACCGGACAGAGCTCATGCAACGGAGATCTTTGATAATACATCTCCTCTTGAAATACGACGCGGATCCGGCAGCTTGTTGTATTGATGGATTCACACCATTAATGATGTCTATGATCAGTCCAGTTCCGGATTCGGACTCGGTTTTTGCATTGCTAGTCCAGGGCGGAATATCGCTCAATGATCGCACAACACGCGGCGAGACTATTTTGCATGTTGCAGCGCGGATGAAAGATGTCTCTTGGCTTCGACGGATTTTATCTATTGCAGGGCCGAAGCTGATCAATTGCCGGGACAATACACTCTCAACTCCATTATTCCTCGCAGCGCAGGATGGAGATGCCCCGGAGGCGGTTGATGTTCTCCTTTCCAATGGCTCTCACGTCGGTATTCGGGGAATACTGAACCTCTCCACCCTTGACATTGCGCTCTTGGAAGGGAACAAGCGCAGTCTCAATGTTCTTTTAGACCATGTAGCAAAGCTTCCAACCGCCGAGCGGCGCCGGTTACTCACTACCAGAGATACTTGGGGAAGGACCGGGATTCACATCTGTCTAGCCTCGGATGACTATGAACTGGCATGCACTTACCTTCGCCGAGTTCTCAGACTGGAACGGTACTTCTCATATCGTTTACTCACGTCTCGCGATTACTCCAACGCCACACCCATCGATTATGCCCGCAAAGTTGGAAATGAAGCAGCCTTAAGGACAATTATAGATCATTTTATCCCGAGCAGGCTTGGCCCTGTCAGATTGTCAATTCTGTCTCCATGGCTGAATCCAGAATTTGCCCCAGACCAAGATCTGATGTTGTCTTCATTAAAGGTATATCAATCGTTGCAAAAGATCTTGAATGAACCAAGTCACGAAGAAATTGCCAGCTGCTATGATGCACCTGAGTTCAGTCACCCAGAAATGAAATTGACAGTTGTAGAGGAAGAATGGGAAAATTTCCTCGAAGAGTGTCAGCGAGAGGATGGAATCAAAAGCAAAAAGGTCATCCAATGCATGAACTACCTCGGCACAGCAACAGAAAGGCATGGGCGATTGAAAAAAGCCCAAGATCTTTATTTTAGAGGATGGACAATTGCGCGTGCGCTGTTGGGCGACCAGAGCGTTTACACTCAAGATTTTGCGTGCAAATTCCTTCGTGTCGCCAAGGACAGGGGAGTTGAAGAATCTGTCAGCGCAGACATAGCAAAGTGGCATAAGCTTCACGGACGCAATACTTTGAAACCAAGTCATTTCGAGTTCTGCCATAGCGCCGAGGACGCGGAAGAAATAGCTTCTAACCTCAAGGTTGATGACATCCTGAATAAGTTTTCACGACAATGCGACCGGCGGAAATGTGGCAAGAGGGCCAAATTTACGTGTCCAGGTAAGTGCATGTCAGCCGTCGTGATGTGCGAAGTACTAACTGCACGACTTTTAGGTTGCAGGCACATTCATTATTGCTCCGAGACATGTCGTGTCGCTGATATGACTGACCCAAAAGTTCAACACCACTTAGCTTGCATACTTGCTGAGCCCATTGCATCTTCTCTGGCACTTAAATTCATTCCTCAAAGCCCTGTGCATAGTTCGATCCGCTCCTTTTCGCAGCAAATATGGGACAGGTTTCGGGAAAGCTGTCCACATGCCCCGGGTGTTTTACCGCCACTGAAAAAGTTCTTCATCATCGCCCTGGACGCTGAGGAGCAACTTGCAACCCCTGTCCACGCCCCGTTAGAGCAGAATACCCTCCTGTACTGGAGAGAGTCGGCGCACGAGGTTCGGTATTCAATGCACCAAATCAGCCCTTGGTTTCCTTGTACGGAGGGAAGAATATATACCTCATATTTGGCTGGACCGTTATGCATACGACGTGTCAATGACAAGACAGGGTGCTCCTCGGATAAAAGAAAGGATCTTACCTTGGGTTGGGGCATAGTGTTAGATTATAATCTTGAGGAACTCGAACCGTTATTTTTCGATGGTTTGAAGGCTAGCAAGCCAACAAGACCAGAATTTTAAGGGAAGCGAAGAAGAGAAAACAAGGGGAAAAAATTCAATAATGAAGAAGGAAGGAGAGAAAGCAGGCAGCAGAAGATCTCATAATTCGGGAATACGTACCAGTTCTAATTTTTCTGGCCTTTTAGCTTCGGTTTCGCCTCTTTTATTCCTACACTTCTTTCACCTCTCTCCGAGCTTTTTGTCAATTTTCTTGTACCTCTCTCTCCTATTATACCGCCTATCAAGTCTTCTAATACACCATTTAAGGATCGTGTATTTCCACTGCTAAGAGACTAAATCCAGTAAGCAAACTAATGCTATTCGAATTTTACTGTAGAAATCGCCGAATCTCCCTCTAATCTAGGTAAATGATCTCTATTATATCCGTCGGGATCCCTGCGGGATCATCTATCTATCTTCTCCTACTTTTATCTTTACCCTCGCTGGCTATCATTCTATTGATTTGGCGGTTGATTTTGCAGGTAGAAGATTATGTAATCCAGGAACAGGAACCTTAATGTGGGGCTGAGTTTAAAAAACTTATGGAACCTGACTGCATGTGCGCCTAAGCGCACAGGAAAAAAATACACTCAAAACTTTCAAAAAGAGCAAAAGAAATGACTCCGAATAGGGGAATCGAACCCCTGGCTGCCGTGTGAGAGACGGCGATGTTAGCCACTACACCAATTCGGATATGCTTGTTGAATGGGCTTCGAATTGTGGATCTATGGAGCTGCAAAAATTTTCATCGCCCAATCTGGAATACAAACGCCACTTCTGGCCTCGTCGAACCCTGGTGTTCACTCGGTAGACTTGAATCATGAAATTAAATCGAAAAGTCTTAGAATGGAAATGGAACTTTTAAAAGGCCCAAATTTCTTCCCAGTGTCCCATAGGAGTCTTAGACAAGGAGCGCAGGAGCTCACTTGGCCTTGCCTTGCTGTCCACAATGGTGGAAATCGCAACAGACAGAATGACGACCATTTTTGAAAAATCTTTGCGTATGATGAATTGAAGAGCATTTGTTCAGGCAAACTGGGCATTGACAACAAATCGAGCAGCAGATGCGAGACGTCCGGGTTTCTTCGCCACAACAATGGCAGCAAATATTACAATCACAGCAATGCGTATATCTTGGGACGTACCCGTACTCGCATCCAAGCACAGAAGGAGGCAGATGAAGTTCTTTTCTCTGTGAATGACAAGGCGATTGAGGCTGTGAGAGGTGACAATGGTCCCACTTCCTGTCTTTGCATATTGGTATCGGTGAAGAATAGTCAGAACAGCATCGGCTCGAGCTCTTAAATCGTATGCATTCGGCTCGCGGGCTATGGCAGCAATGTGTGATATATCTGGGGGGTACACTCCAGTTGCCATTCTGAGTACACTGGGGATGCCTGTGAAAATTGGTTGGGGCCTCGCTCATCCTGGTCGTACTGCTTGCGGCGTGTCAGAATCCCAGCCGTGAAGGAGGAGAAATATAGACGGGAAGACGTACCACTTTCCAGAGCAAGAGGCACATCTAATACAACCATCCGTGTGTGGGCAGCAATAATAGGTGCCTGCCTTTACTTTCTGCTCATGCTGGATTGGTTGTACTCGGCAGTGCATATTATGACAAGGGTCAACATTCTGGTTAGGGTAGGTGGTATGAGCTGAATGATACATGTTTGAGATATATGACAAACGGGTAAAACCTGGGCAAGACGCGCTGATCGAGAGATTTGGTCAGCTTTGGAGGTGCGTAAGTGAAAGTTTTACCGAGCAGCTGGGCTTGCTACTCTTATAAATCCAACGGCAGAGGGTCTCGAACGCCCATGGATCATAAAATGAGGCTCAAAAAGGTACGTTCGATGGATCTGAGTACAAGTGCAACCTTAGACAAAATGCAGTTTGTTCATTTGCTTTGCAGGGACTCATCTTCCCAATCGCTGAAGGTAAGTAAGAAAGAAGTGATCTCGACGGAGGCCTGCAGACTCAAGTTACACTCGGGCAACACTGCCGACCGACGCCCTGACTTTGTCTTATGGACCTAGTCGGTATTCCAAGTGATGAGCAAACATTGCTCAAGCATCAGGTGCAGCATTGTATACCTATTGAAGAGCCATGGGATTTTTAAACATGTATGATTGACCTTGCCTTATCATAAGCCCTATTTATGTACCATCTCAGATGAACAGCGATTCTTTGTCCACCGACAGAACAGAGCCCGAGGAAGTAGAAAGCTCATTATTGTAGGTCATGGAAGGGGTGTATCGCTGAACCCATTCCTTCAAGATCGCGAAGAATGCATCGCAGACAGACTTGACGGCATCTTCACGAGAGTCACCGCAGCATTCGATATAGACTGGCATTTGTTAGAAAGCGTTTCCAAATGGTCATTAGAATATATAGGGAGAGTTGAGAATCTTACACTTCACCTTTGGCTCGGTACCTGAGCCGCGGAACGTGAAGCGCACTCCGCTTTCCAACCATAGAGTAATCATCTGACTGGTTGGGTCCTCCGGCAAATCAGGCTTATGATCAGTCGATGCAGTGTCATATCCTTCGGTCAAATCTCTCCATCGCAAAATTTTGAACTTGCCAAGCTGCATGTCGGGAAGGAAGGAGCCACTCCGGATCCCACGGAATAGCTCAAGCGTAAGCTGGGGGCTGGGAGATCGGAAGTAGTTGTTGAGAGTCTCATGATGGCCAAACTCTGTGAAAAGTTGTTGGAGCTTGCCGAGTACGGTCAATCCCTGTGCTTTCCACTTTGCAGCTGCCATAGAGAAGACCGAAAGAGCGGTGATGCCATCTTTGTCGTAGCTGACCGCGGGGAACATGTAGCCGAGGGCTTCCTCGTAGGAAAATGGCACAGTCTGTCCGGTCTTTTCGAGGTCCTGCGCCACATTTCCCATCCACTTGAAGCCTGTGAGAGTCTCTTTGAATTGAATACCCTTGGATTCGGCCATCTTCTGGAGCATCCCACTCGACACGGTCGTCGTCAGGACGGTGATTTTCGACGTGTCTGCATCGGAGCTAATGTTATCGAATAGATGGGATGCCAAAAGGACCCCCACATGGTTTCCCGTAAGAAGGAACCATTTACCACTAGCATACTATCAGTCTTTCACTGGTTCAATTAGAGCGTGCTCGGAACTTCTTACTCGACTTTCTCGGCCACTGCAAAGCGGTCTGCATCTGGGTCGTTGGCGAAGATCAGAGTCTTGTTTTGTTGGTCCGCCACCTGGATCGCGAGATCCAGAGCCCCGGCCTCTTCGGGGTTGGGGAATTTCACAGTTGAGAAATTAGGGTCTGGCTGGGCTTGTTGGGGTACAATTATGTACTCTTTGCCTTCGTCCATGCCCATTTCTTTCAATAGGGAGCCAATGCGAATAGCCCCTACGCCATGCATGGGTGTATAGACAAACGGCCGAGGTGGATATGCCTCCGAATCCGTCGATGTCTGGGTCATATTAGTTAGTGGCAATTCAATAGAAATTCAGATTTGACCACCTACCGCATATTCTTTGACACGGCGTTGGAAGGGAACGAGAATCTCTTGAAGAGCTTCTCCATTAAAGTACTCCCCAGAGCGCCGGCCTTCCTCCCATGCATTGGGCCAGGGTTCCAGGTTTTCAAGGATTGACTGCGCGATCTCGCCATCCTCAGGCCGGTTGATCTGGGCACCATTGCTGGAGTAGCTGAAAAATGAAGTTTCCAGTCAGTCTTCTGTAATACCTCCCGGGGAATCATCGAGGTCCTACACTTTATAGCCTGGAAATAAGTTCAGCAACCAACTTTTCTCTCAATTGACGGCGCATGTTCCTTACCGTTGTCTTGAGGCGGGTTCTGTTCGATTTTGCAAGGTCTTCGTTAGCGGAACAGATCAATCAGTCTACGTGGTGGGTGATCCATCAGGGCGTACATGGCTTGCAGTTACTACTACGCCTGCAGCAGCCTTGAAGTATTGCACTCCAAAGGCAACTAGGGGAGTTGGGGCCGATTCGTCAACGAATTTAACGGGAATTTGCAGCGCAACAAAAGCATTGGCAGCGAGTTGTGCAAACTTGTGGGAGTAATGGCGCGCATCGTGTCCAATAATGACACCCTTTGAGGCGATTTCCGGCCCTTTGCTTTGGATATGTTTGGCGAGGCCCTGCGAAGCTTGGATCACCGTCAAACAGTTCATGTAGGAGAAGCCAGCAGCCATACGGCCCCGCAAGCCCGCGGTTCCAAATTCAATTCCTAGAGATGGTTAACGGATTTACGCTAAAACAGCCACCGAGGTCGACATACGACTTCGGAGGCGCAGCTCCAGTTCTTTGGTGTTGTTCGCATCCCGGAGTTGTTCTATTTCCGCGCGCGTCTTGGGGTCCTATATCCGAGTCGAGGCGAGTCGGTGAGATCAGGCAACAAGAAATAACAGGAACAAGAAAGGCATAATATTATATACCTGGTCCCACTGAAGCCATATTTCGACCAACGATGAGAGCGATTCCTGTCTAGGTTAGACCTGACCATCAGAGAAAGGACCGAATGGAAATTACCTGAGCCATGCTGATCATGCCATACGTTGGTTGTAGAAGTACTGTTAGTTGGCGGGCGGGCGCACGTTGTCTCTTTGTTTTTGACTCGACAGTCACGGGCGACCGCGGCCGATCAGTCCCCGCTTGTTGACTCCACCTTCCTCCGCCCCTGCGACGTTTCTGATCATCTTCCACTTGGCTTCTTTCTATTATTTTCTCTGTTCTCTGCAAGTCCTGCGCACAACTGAACTGCCTGTCCTCATTCAGAGCCATGTTTCCCTGAATTTGCTTTTTTGGACTTTTGAGACCAACTCCAACTCCGCCGCTCCCAGCCCGCATCCGCCCTCAACGATGGACAAGACTGATTCCCGACCGTCCCGGAAGGACACCATCCTGAGTCGCCGGTATATTGAGGGCCAGATTGCGGACGGAAAGCATGTCGTGATTTTCGAGGGCCGCGTGCTCAAAGTAGACGCCTACATGAAGTTCCACCCTGGTGGTGAGAAACCGATGAAGCATATGGTGGGCAGGGATGCGACAGACGAGATCAATGCGTATGTTTCTCCCCTAGTAGACCCGGTCCTGCGCTTTCCACTAATGGAGTAATGTTTCCTTTGCTGTAGCCTTCACTCCAAAGAGGCTCGCGAGATTATGCTTTCATATCAGATTGGACGAATCGAAGGCACCTGGACCAACTTCCTCCCTCCCATTCAAGGCGGCAAGTTCCGTCCTGACACCGAAGACGCCTGCTCGACCGAGGAGGACCTGTCTATTCGAGACAACTCCAGCTCGGAAGGATCCATACCCCCATCGCCAATCTTCGATGCGGTTGACTCAAATCCCACAATTCGCCGAAAGAATCCTTCGCCGAGCACAGACAGTTCTGCCGTGTCGACCCCTCCAAACGAAGATGACCAGCCGAGGCCACATTTCCTGGATGCTCGTACACGCGAAGAGATCGTGTTCGACACGACCAAATACCCATCACTAGACACCGCGAGCCAAGAGAGTATCAAGCGCAAGTATCGAGACCTGAACGAGCGCATGCTTGCCGAAGGGTTGTTCGACTGCAATTACATGTCCTATTTCGTCGAATGCTGTCGGTACACACTGTTTGCGTCTCTGTCGTATCTCTTCTTGCGCCTCGGCTGGTGGGCAACGTCTGGATTTTGGCTCGGTTGCCTGTGGCACCAACTTGTGTTCACTGCCCATGATGCTGGCCATATGGGTATCACGCACAACTTCCATGTGGATACCGTCATTGGCATCATAATCGCTGACTACATTGGCGGATTGAGTCTTGGATGGTGGAAGCGAAGCCATAACGTGCACCACATCGTGACCAACGAGCCTGAGCACGACCCTGATATTGAGCATATACCCTTCTTTGCCATCTCCCATCGGTTCTTCGACAGTCTCCAGAGTACCTATTATGACCGCAATATGACCTTTGACGCTTTTTCCAAGGTTATGCTGAAGATTCAGCACTACTCCTATTATCCCATCATGATGCTGGCGCGGTTCAACCTCTACCGTCTTAGCTGGGAGTACCTTCTCAAACGCCAAGCTCCAAAGAAGGGTCCCGCTAGGTGGCATGTATGGTTGGAATATGGTGGTCAACTATTCTTCTGGTACTGGTACTGCTATCTCGTGGTATACAAGACCATCCCAGACTGGAGCAGTCGACTGTCATTCATTATGGTATCTCATATTGTGTCTTCGCCGCTCCATGTCCAGATCACCCTATCTCATTTCGCGATGTCCACAGCCGACCTAGGAATCCACGAATCTTTCGCCCAAAAGATGCTGCGCACTACTATGGATGTTGACTGCCCTACCTGGTTGGACTTCTTCCATGGTGGTCTGCAGTTCCAGGCCATTCACCACCTCTACCCTCGCATGCCGCGTCACAATCTCCGCCGTGCCCAGAAGTACGTTGCCGAATTCTGTCGCGACACAGGCATTCCCTACGCCATTTTTACTTTCTATGATGGCAACAAGCAGGTCATCGGCCGGCTCGGTGATGTGGCAAAGCAGCTCCGTATTCTCGAGGAGTGCCGCAAGTCAATTGCGAAAGAGGGTGTCTTTTCGCATACCCATTAAAGCGTTTCACTTGTACTTTTGTACAAGCTGCATATGATAACCCACTTTTTCTTGGCTTCTTAGATCACAATGTCATGTTACAGGGGCTTTGGATTGTGTCGGTATAACGATAAATCAACGTTTTTCTTCATGTCTAGCAATGGCCTCTCGATTGTACACCTGGATATCACCGCCGCTCTATAATGTATGTGCAAAACATGGTAGATAGAAGGAAGAGCTCATTTGTATTCCATGCAAACCATGCATGCCTCTACTACCATGAAAGCCCCCTCAAATGATCAGCCTGGTAACCCTCCTCCTCGAGCGATCTTCTTAGCTCGCTGTTGGCGGCGATTATGATTCGCCCGGCTAGCCTTATTCTGTTCCTTCCGTTGATGCGCCACAGCGCTATTCTGCTGTCCTTGCTCGCCCGATTGAAGCGGCCGACCACCACCACGTCCACCTCTTCCTCTTCCTCGCCCCCCTCCACCACGCCCAATGCCACCTCTTCCTCCACGACCCCCAGCGTAACCAGAAGACTCCCCGCCCTCATCAGAATCATCTGCCGTGGGATGCGGTCTCCTATACGATGTCGGAGCCAGTTCCGGTTGGTTTAAGGCACCACTGCTCGCTCCGCCCATATCATCAGCAAGCTTGTTCTCGAGTTTTGTGAGTCGCTTGGGATCCCGTGATAACATGACCGCCCAGCCTTCGATGGCCTCGTCTGTCATGTTGGTCTCCTGTTTGAGCAAGGTGCGGGGCTGGGAGCGACGGGTTGCAGAGTCTCGTGCGAATAGGGCTGGATTGGACTTGTAGGCGCGGAACAGAGTTAGATCAATCTGCTCGGCTGCTGCGCGTTGACTCCGCGCGATGGCATCGGCCTCGGCGTCTGTGCCTGTCGTGGCGCTGTCCACAGTACCGCCTACATCTGCGACATCGTAGGTATCATCTCGTTCGTCGTCGTCCGAGTCAAAGGTTGCTAGCGCGGAGAGAATTGCAGCCTTGTTGACAGCGTGCTTGCTGCGGTCTGCGAGGACTTCGTCTGCGGTAAGCTCGGGATTGGCACGGCCGAATCGCAGTTTTCCTTCCGCGGCTCCTGACAGACTGAGCTCTGCAATATCGATATCATCGTCGAATACATTCCTGCGCGAAGGAATTGGCTCTGTGCGCGGCGAGGGGATGGAGGGTGGTGTTGGTCGAGGTTCCAGATGGCCGTGGCTGGGTTCGGCGGCTGGGGGAAGTCGTTCAGATCGATCCAGTGATTGGATTTCGGGTGGAAGTGAATCATCTAAGAGGTGTGCGATGACTGTCTCCGGGTTGTCGCCGTAAGTATCCAGTAGTCTCACGACAAAAGCAGACCCCAGGTCCGGGAAGAGATCCTGGACTTGTGACACGAGTGACATCTTGTGTGCATGAAGCTCGTCTGGGATGACAGGGCCTGTTGAGGGACCTTTGCCTTTGTCCACCCTTTTCCGCCGTTGATACCGGTGGTGGAAGGAACTGGTTTCCATTTGGTATAGACGTAGGCCGGAGAGTAGGTCCTCGCCTCGTTTCTGGGGATGGCTCGCGAGATACTTCTCCAATCGCTGTAGCAGATCTGAGCTACACACAAGGTCGGATAACAGAGTTGCCTCCTTCTTCATTCCTGGATTGCCTACTCCCGCACTGGCCTTGAGGCTGAATAGCTGGTCCAGCAACAGAGACAAATTGATGGTTGTCTCCTTCAGTAAAGATACCAACCCTACATAGACATTGGCAACCAAGATCTTGCGTAGTTCTTCTCGGGTGGCCTTTGCTTGATAGGCTTCATACAAGGTATCGAGGTAATCTGACCCAGCCATAAGAATCTGGCCGCAATTCGGCAAAACTGAAGTCAGAATTGTCAAGCGTCGAATGTCTGAGATAACACCAGGGGAAGGTGCTGTGCTAGTCATGGACAATTGCTTGATCACGAGTGATTTTGCCTTCTCTATACTAGAAGATATCTTCTCATGATGCAAGTCCCAGGCGGCTGATAATGACGTCTTCAACGCGGTGCTGGAAGGATAGCAACAACATAGATTGCTCAACAGCTGCCAGCTCAAAATGCCTTCCGGTGGATTTGACAGGCTCAATAAATATCTTTTTGTCGTGAGAAAACAGAGCTTCCGTAATTGTGGAGCTTTAGGTCCAGATTGTAGACTAGAGTCTCCGGCCGCAACAAGTTGATAGAATGAGTCGAGGAAAGGGACCACGGAGAGGTCTTCAGGAGCCGCATCTTTAAATCTTTGATCCGTGACACTCAGTCGAATGCCGAGCAACGCCATCCATGCATCTAGGCAGGCATCCCAGTCGTTAGATGGGACGGTCCTCCGCACTGCGGGGAAGGCACTGGAGCCAGCGGCGGGAACTCCGCCATTGACAAGTTCAAGATGTGGGATGAGAGAGATAGATCTGAAGTGATAAATGTGAAGGAAGAAATCAAATATCAAGGACTCGAAAATAATCAACAAGAAGAGAGCACAACACACATCCCACACGAGGCTTGCCGCAGCGCTTGACCTAACTGGTTACTGCATTTGGTCCCCGAGCGAACGCTGACTCAGCGTCTGCTGAGTCATTCGCATCTTCCCAAACAGGATTAGCGTGCGATAACCGAAGCGCCAAGATTTCCCGCACTGAATCTTTTCGCTTCGCTCCACACACAATCTTCATCGGCCATCATCACCTTACCGAACCCAGCAGTTCAGGTCTTGACCGGCATACCGTCTTAACACCAACAATCAACTCAAGATGTCTTTCCAGAAGCCTGAGAAGGAGTTCGGCGAGGGCCCTGTACGTTGCACCCATACAATAACCGCCCGCCATATCGCATAGCACATACTTCGTCGCCGGCGCATTCTAGCGCGCGAGCATGTCGCTGTCGCCAATTACACATGAATTGCCACTTTCAAGATCGCTAATGCCCTCTATAGAAGGTCCACAAGATCCGCATCACCCTCACCTCCCGCAAGGTCGCCTCCCTCGAGAAGGTCTGCCAGGAGCTGATCGACCGCGCTCGCTCCAAGTCCCTGCAGGTCAAGGGCCCCGTTCGTCTGCCCACCAAGACCCTGAAGATCTCCACCCGTAAGACCCCCAACGGTGAGGGTTCCAAGACCTGGGACAAGTACGAGATGCGCATCCACAAGCGTCTCATCGAGTAAGTTTCCCTTGATTCTTCGATATGGACATGGCGGGGCATGAAAACCGTCATGTGCTGCCTTCATGGTCATGAATAGCGTGGCTAATAGATCTACTCTTTCCTATAGCCTGCTCGCCCCCACCGAGACCGTCAAGCAGATCATCATCAACATCGAGGCTGGTGTTGAGGTTGAGGTCACCATTGCTGCTTAAATGCACTAGTTCCGCAATGGACTCAGGGAGGGTCTCGGGATCGATTGTTTGTAGTGTCGAGCGAATTACCGGCACTCAAAAGCGGTTGGCCGTTTACTACGAGCCCGTGTTGGAGTATTGTGGTAGATACCCGCTACAACCTGAAAGACAAAAAAATGGAAACATCTTGAGAAAATAATGCCTTGAGCCATTGTAGAGGCTTTTAGCCGTCGTAAATTTGTATTGTCATAATAATAGCTAACGAGTTTGGACTTGGTTGCGTGATGTGATGCTCTTTGCAATCTGCCTGACTCCGAAAACGCCCTCATCGCATCTGATTCACTGGAGAAGTCTCCCAACCCTTTCTCAGCAGAAAAAAGAACCCCAATTTTGAACACGAGAAAATTAAGGCCAAATCACGCCTTGGTTGGGTGAAATTCGTGGCAACCTCCATTCGTCAGAACATATGACCTAGAAATCAAAACTGATGAAGTCCTTCCTCGGAGGAACGGACGGGATGACACCGTCCTTGAAATAGCCATTTTCAAGGAAGAACTTGTACATTTCCTCAACTTCGGGCGTGTATTCCTCAGGCTTCCCCTGGGAATCTTGCAGAGTGGTGTCGTCTGGGGGACCGTCCGGGAAATTGATGCGGACGTAGGTCTTGTTGTCCTGAGGGTGGAGGTAGCAGGGGGCATCATTGATGTAATTTACTGGACGACCCTTCCACATGGTGATGCGGTTGGTGTTAGGATCACGTCGAGTCTCACCCTGTAGTTGAGGGAGAGGATTCAAGTCATTGGCGTCGTCGATTTTTATGAATGCCCGAGGGCCAGCATTGACATTTTGAACAGGAACGCCCTGTGGGCCGGCAGGTTGACCAAAGGCTGAGGGCCCGGGCTGCTGCTGAGTAGAAGGGGCGTTAAACGGATTGACTGGGGCAGACGGTTGCCCAAAGGGACCAGCTGCCGGCGGTTGCTGCTGCTGTGGGGCTTGGCCAAACGGTGATGCGGTTTGGGCAGGCTGTCCGAATGGCGCAGTCGGTTGACTGAACCCGCCTGTTGCCGCAGGTTGTTGTTGCGCGGGTCGCTGGCCGAATGGGGAGGGTCCGGCAGATGCACCGAAGCCAGTAGCAGGTTGGGTTTGAGAGACCTGCGTGAATGGAGATGCACCCGAGGGCGCTCCAAATGCACCAGTTACTGGAGGGGTGGGCTGACCAAAGGCAGGTTGGCCGAACGCAGACGTAGTACTTCCAGCTTGCGCGAATCCCGACTGGCCAAATGCTGGCTTTCCAAACGCGGTAGGTCCGCCGCCAAGAGCTGAAGGTTGGCCAAAGGCAGAACCCTGGCCCAAGGTAGATGGCTGCCCGAAGCCTGAAGGCTGGCCGACAGTTGATGGTTGTCCGAAAGCAGACCCCTGTTGTCCAACTGCAGATCCCTGACCAAAGGCCGAAGGTAGCCCGAAGCCCGCGGGCTTTCCCCATCCTGTAGCAGGGGCATTAGCAGTTCCAAAAGCCCCAGCAGCTGGGCCAGCCGGTTGTCCGAATGCTGATGGCTGTGCTGCACCGGAGCCTTGAGCTCCCGAGGTGATATCATTGCGGTTGGGGTGGTCATTTTCACCATCAATAATGTATTTGACAGCTCCGTTGAGGTCATTCAAAGCAGAGTCCATTTGATTTACGGACTCTTGCCACAGGGCCTGAGCCTCCTGAATGGCTTGGTTCATGTTCCCCGCAGCGGCCAGTTCATAATGACGGAGGCGCATTTCTTCCATGCTCTGCTCTCGCTGAGGGCCTCCGAACAGCTGACGAGGAACATTGCGAGTCGGCGCGTATGAAGAGAAGACCCATTCTGGTCGACCCTTGCCAGGGGTGAGATCGAGTTTGATATCGTTGGCTGTCACACCGTAGCTGTGCCTCTTTATCAGTACGGGTTGGATATTAATATATGATAAGGTATACTCACTCGGAGGTTTTTTGGGCCGGTACAGTTGGTTGGCCTAAGGGAAGAAGTGGGTTAGATGGCGGAACAAGCCACAGAGACGGCATCGTGGCAACAAGTGTGACAAGATTCAAAGGGAAATGTAGGAAATTACAAGCCCGAGTGGATGCAGGAGAGAAAGAGGAGTTGGGCAAGTGTAGTAAATGAACAAGAGCAGGTATTTCAGACTGATGTTTAGACTGTTGGGCGGGGGGCAAGACAAACGTCTTCACCATAGTCCTGCACCGGTCCTTCCACGACTGTTCACAGATGGCACCTTGAAGACAGAAAGAAGCTTACCTCCAAATCCACCACCAGAGAGTGCACCCAAAGCGGTTGCCAGATGCTCCGGCGGTGGCTCGACCAGGGTGTTCATACTTGCAGCGATCTGACTAACGATCAGCGACCTTCTTCTCGGGCAATATACATTCTGAGGAACAACTCACCACCAAACTTGCAGCGACCCTGCTGAAAGAACGAGCAGACCACCATCTTGTCGCCGTCACCGCATCAATACGCGCGGATGTTGCGATGGAGTCGAGTCGATATAAGGCCTCGGTGAGGTAACGCGGAATCCCAATCACCAGAAAGCGTTAATCTCAGAGTGTATGAGCTCACAAGTTAATGAATGTCGGATGAGAGAGTGATAGGATGAAGATGTGGTTTTAGGGTGAGACGAGGTGTTGATAAAAGAACAAAGCTGTTTTTTGGAGTTGTCGCGAATCTTATCGGGGGCTTGTTATCGGTATCGTTATCGGTATCGTTATCGTTATCTTGGGCAACTCGATTTCGGTTAAGTAGTCTTCACCACGAATCTAGAAATTGACGTCTGGCATTATTCCTCTTTATGTTCTTCCAGATCTCTCTAAGGGTACCAGTCTTCGTTTTTAAGCGAGAATAGATAGAGAAGACCGAATATCTTGTCGATTTGGTGTCGTTGATTCTGGTCCATGGCTGGCTGGTGAAGAAATATATCCGAATACTGCTCTCACTCATGATCAAGACGGATCATAACCCACGACCACCTGCGCATCTACTAGGGCTCAGGATCAATGTTGGAAGCTATCCAATTACGATCCAATAAGTCTTACGTTTTGTTACTAAAGCTATCTAGGAGCTTCTGACAAGTAGAAGATGGTCCGCCATGGTCAAAACAACAGAGCACAGAACTCCGATCGCTTATTCAATTCTTATGGTCATTAAAAGATTGTTCATCCTGAGAATCATAGAGCACTAGGAAGGGTATACATTTTGTGTTTGGCGCATGCTCTCGCGCAGTGTATCCCAATTCAGCCCGTCCACCTTCTTGCCACCTAAGGATTCCAGTTCAGTCCCAAGATCACTCATCTTCCCTGTGGCCAAGCGTCGCATCATGACCGTATCCTTAGCTCCAGGGAAGGATCTGGCACTTCCATGCAGCAAGGCTTCCTCGAACCAGTCTTCCTCATCCTCTCCCAACGGAAGACCAACAAGCTCCATCGCACGTTTGCTTCGTGTCTGGCCTGCAGGTGACTTGTGCACAAATTGGACTAGCTGCTCGAAGTAATTGCGGCGCTGCAGTTCATCGTATCTCCTCGTGAAGTAGAAAGCCTCCGTCACATTCGATCGGCAAAGGGTCTCAAAGAAAGCTCGCTGGACGTTCTCGGTGGCCAGAGGGGGAGCGTTGGTGAGGTAGTAGGCGATGGCAAGACTATCGTCATGCTTCGGAAGCTGCGGTAGAGTCAAGACATAGAGAATCTCGTCGGGGAAGGTTGGAATAAGGGAGGGTTCAGCGAGAAATTCGATCGCTCGCTGAGCTAGTTAGAATTATCATTGCGCTTCAATGGTGGAGAGGTCAACGAACTCTGAACTCAAGGCGATCCAAATTCCAAAGTCCTTCGATGAAGAGGCGATACTTCTCCGGCAGGTGACAGTCTTGCGCAAAGCGAGAAGCAGCATCTGGCGCGCTGCGACAGTCTTTGAGAATGTAGTAAATCAAGGCCTGCTTGTGGTGGATATCTAGTTCCGAGGAGACAATGTGTTCGATGAGCGATCGGAGGTCGGCATTAGTCTTCGGCGGATAGACCTTGGTCACTATAGTAGAGAGGAAACGGAGGAAGTCAGTCAATGTTATTTAACCATCTATCTGTGAGGCTTTCAATGCCCTTACCTCCTTTGATGCCAGCCAGGCTCAATAGTCGATCGGCAAAGAGCTGGTTCTCGAGTGCCTTGCGATTGGAGACGATCTGGTCAACCACTTTCGCATCGTATGAATATTTCTTGTTAAAGCTGAAAATGTGACTGAAATTCTCCCACTGCGCCATTGTGAGCTGTGATTCTGGAGAAGTTTGGGGAAGCTCGCAGGAGGAGTTGCAGAGCTCTCCCCAAAGGCCTCCTCCGCGGAAGGGTAATATTACGGCGGTAATATTACCAGGCGGTGAGGGCTTTGTTGTGAGCATAAGACAGCACCTTGCCTGTTTGGGCGGAACGTAAACAACCCACTTTCCCGGCTGCACCTCTGTCCATCTTTTCCCCCTCATCTCATCACCATCGCCCCCCTCTTTCCGCCCTACCCCTCGCGCCCATGAATCTGGCGCCGAATTAATCGATCTTTGCGACAAAACATGTCTTCGATCGCAAAGGGTCGGCCCTCGCGCCGCACAGCCGCGCGCCGAAGCTATGTGGTCGAAGAGACCTCCGAATCAGAGGACCCCGGCAACGTCACGCCAACGGCCTCGATGCAAGATGATGATGAAGATGACGACGACGATGAGAGCGAGGAAGAGCAAGATTATACCCCTGTCCCCAATAAGGCGAAGCGCGCATCTGGGAAGCGGTTGACTCTAGAACCCGTCACACCTGCCACCGTGAAACCGGCGCAAAAGTCACAACGATCAAGAGCATCCATTGCACCCGCCGCAGAAGACTCGGATACCTCCCAGGCTGAGGAAACGGACGAGAATGATGAGAATGATGAGGGAGTCAGTATGGCCTCTGTGGTGGCTGACCCAGACTCGCCCTCAAACCAAGCGGCGCTGAAGCGGAAGAGCATCGAGCCTGCAGAGGCTGATCCTGATTCGCCTTTGAATAAGGCATCATTGAAAAGACAAAGTATGACTCAACCCCTCAAGAGTCGTGGCTCGATCACGCCCAAGTCGACAAAGGGCTCACTTCCCACTCCAGAGCCGTCCGCGTCGCCAGAGCCCACTCCAGCGCGTGCGCATCGGGAGAGTGTGCCACCTCTGTCCGACATCACCGAATCCGCTGTGAACAACCCATCTCCATCGAAGCAATCCGAAGAGCCCAAGTCCCAAATCTCGATTATCAACCCGAACTCGACTATTCTCGAGAAGCCCATGGACATTGTGATGAAGTCGAGGAACATGGCGCTGCCGGCGTCAGCGGAGGAACCTGCAGAGCCAAAGCCCCGGATGATCATCCAAAATTTGATTCTGACAAACTTCAAGAGTTACGCCGGCAGACAGGTTGTTGGCCCGTTCCATGCCTCTTTCTCCTCCGTGGTTGGTCCCAACGGTTCGGGCAAGTCGAATGTTATTGACTCGCTCCTCTTCGTGTTCGGATTCCGTGCTAGTAAAATGCGCCAAGGCAAGATCTCTGCCTTGATCCATAATTCAGCACAGCACCCCGACCTCTCGTTCTGTGAAGTGGAGGTCCACTTCGAACAAGTTCTCGACCTTCCTGACGGAGGCAATGAAGTCATTCCAGATTCGCATCTGGTCATTTCTCGACGAGCTTTCAAGAACAACAGCAGCAAGTATTATATGAACAAGAAGGAAACCAGTTTCACTGCTGTGACAACTTTCCTCAAGGACCGCGGCATCGATCTCGACCACAAGCGATTCCTGATCTTGCAAGGTGAGGTCGAATCAATTGCACAGATGAAGGCAAAGGCCGCAAACGAGCACGATGAGGGCCTTCTTGAATACCTGGAGGATATCATTGGAACTTCCAAGTACAAGACCCCTATTGACGAAGCTGCCACGGAACTGGAATCCTTGAACGATGTGTGTATTGAGAAGAACAATCGTGTTCAACATGTTGAAAAGGAGAAGACTGCGCTTGTGGATAAGAAGGACAAGGCTCTGGCATACATCCGCGATGAGAACGAACTTGCCGAGAAGCAATCAGCCCTCTATCAAATCTACATTAATGAGTGTGCTGATAATGTGCGCGTCACCGAGGAGGCCATCCTCCAGATGCAGGAGCTTTTGAACATGGAGCTCGAGAAGCACGAAGGCAATGAGTCGGGTATCAAGGAACTCGAAAAGGCCTACAAGCGTGGCGTTCGTGAATACGAAAGCATGGAGAAAGAGTCGCAGGCTTTGGCTAAGGAGATGGCCAAGTACGACAAGGAAAACGTCAAGTTTGAAGAGAAACGGAAATTCCTCCTGGGCAAGCACAAGAAGCTGGAGAAGACAATGCAGACCAGCCGACTTGCTGCTTCTGAGTGTCAAAGCTTGGTCGAGAAGTTCACCGACGACATCGAGAAAAAGACCAAAGAAACGGTTCAGCTCGAGAATGAGATGAAGGCTGAAGAGGAAGAGCTAGACTCTATTCGCGAAAGTCTCAAGGGCAAAACGCAGGGCCTCTCCGAACAAATTGCTGTGAAGCAGAAGTCTCTCGAGCCCTGGAACGAGAAAATCAACCAGAAACAGTCCGCCATGGCTGTTGCGCAGAGCGAGCTCGATATCCTGCATGAGCGAAGTAATGCTGGTGCTGTTTTGTTAGAGGAGGCCCAAAGCAAGATTGCCACCATCGAGGAAACCATCCAGACCAAGCAAAACGACCTTGAGGAGCGACAGGCCCAGAAAGAGACTTTGGAGGCCGAACTCGCCAAGCTGCAGAGCGACTTGAAGAAGTACGCCGCTCGCGAGCCGGAAGTCCGAGCCCACGTCTCTAGCGCCCGACAAAAGGCCGACGAGGCTCGAGTCAGCCTGGCCAGCACACAGAACCGTGGTAGTGTCTTGACCGGTCTCATGCGACTCAAGGAGTCTGGTCGTATCGATGGATTCCACGGCCGTCTCGGGAACCTGGGAACTATCGATGAACAGTACGACGTTGCTATTTCTACCGCCTGTCCTGCGCTCGACAACATGGTGGTGGAGACCGTAGAAGTTGGTCAGCAATGTATCGACTACTTGCGCAAGAACAACCTTGGACGTGCCAACTTCATTCTCCTTGACCGTTTGCCTCGCCGTGACATGTCGACTATCTACACCCCCGAGAGTGTCCCCCGCCTTTTCGATCTCGTCAAACCCAAAGATCCCAAGTTTGCGCCTGCTTTCTACAGCGTAATGCAGAACACTCTCGTGGCTAAGGACCTCGAGCAGGCGAATCGCATTGCCTACGGTGCACGACGATGGCGCGTGGTGACCCTGGATGGTCAGTTGATCGATGTTTCTGGTACGATGAGTGGTGGCGGTAACCGTGTTGCACGGGGTGGCATGTCCTCAAAACAGGTCGCAGACACCACCAAGGAACAAGTGGGACGCCTGGAAGCGGATCTTGAGGAATTGGAGCGGAAGTTCCAGATCTTCCAAGAGAAGCAACGCAATGTCGAAGCCAACATGCGAGAGAAGACGGAAGAGATCCCCGGGTTGACACCAAAATCCAGAAGATCATGATCGAGATCGACAGTGCCAAGCGCAGCCTCGCAGACGCTCAGCGACGAGTCAAGGAACTGCAAGCGGCGCACAAGCCCTCCAAGTCCGACGAAGCTCAGGTCGCCGCCCTTGAGAAGCAAATCGAGGCTATGAGCGACGAAATCGATGAGCTCAACAGCGAGAAGAGCGGCATTGAAGAGGAGATCCAAGAGTTGCAGAGCAAGATCATGGAAGTTGGCGGTGTCCGTCTCCGTGGACAAAAAGCAAAGGTCGACGGCCTGAAGGAGCAGATCAACATGCTCAACGATGAGATCTCTAATGCGGAGGTCCAGAAATCCAAGAATGAGAAGTTAATCACCAAGCACTCTAAAGCTCGCGATAGTTCCGAGAAGGAGATCAGCCAGATCACGGACGACTTGGAGAAACTTGAAGAGGATGTCGAAAACCAAGCTAGCGATGCTTCCGACTGGCGTCAAAAGGCCGATGAAGCCCAGGAGGCGCTTGAGACTAAAAAGGGTGAACTGAAGTCTGTCAAGGAAGAGCTTGACGAGAAGGTGGCCGAACTCAATGAGACGCGTGCCACTGAGATCGAAATGCGCAACAAGCTGGAGGAGAACCAGAAAGCCCTTGGGGAGAACCAAAAGCGGAGCCGCTACTGGGAGGAGAAGCTTTCCCGACTTTCCTTGCAAAATATCAGTGATCTGGGCGAGGAGCAAGAATCAACGGAACTTCAAACATACACCAAGGACGAGCTGGACGCGATGAATAAGGAGTCTCTCAAAGCAGTCATTGCCGCTCTGGAGGAGAAGGTTCAGAACGCATCTGTGGATCTCTCGGTCATTGAAGAGTACCGCCGGCGTGCTGCTGAGCACGAGTCTCGATCTGCCGACTTGGCCGAGGCTCTCTCATTGCGCGATGCCGCCAAAGCCCGCCTTGATGGTCTTCGCTCAGCCCGTTTGAACGGCTTCATGGAAGGATTTGGCATCATCTCTCTTCGCTTGAAGGAGATGTACCAGATGATCACCATGGGTGGTAACGCCGAGCTAGAACTGGTCGACTCTTTGGATCCCTTCTCTGAGGGCATCTTATTCTCAGTCATGCCTCCGAAGAAGAGCTGGAAGAACATTGGCAACTTGTCTGGTGGTGAGAAGACACTTTCCAGCTTGGCTCTGGTCTTTGCTCTGCATCACTACAAGCCGACCCCGCTCTATGTCATGGACGAGATTGATGCTGCTCTGGATTTCCGTAACGTGAGTTACCTCTTGCTTTACCCTTGTCTATTTCATGTGGACACTAACGAGACATACAGGTTTCAATTGTGGCCTCTTACATCAAGGAGCGGACCAAGAATGCTCAATTCATTGTTATCTCGCTGAGAAACAACATGGTAAGTTCTCTTGTGAATCTACAAGGCTATTGGACATTGACTAATTTCTCGCAGTTCGAACTTGCTTCCCGCCTCGTTGGTGTGTATAAGGTCAACCACATGACCAAGAGTGTAACGATTGAGAACAGAGACTATATCGAGGGCCGGTAACGACTAGAGAGATGAATTTGCATGTTCTTGGTTTTTTCTGCATTCATGGATATAGGTTTCCTGGCTGGATACGGTTACCTCTTGCCTGGTTGTTTCTGATGATATCATGGGTTAGGCGTCTTTGAATCTTTCAATGAATATCTATTCAATCTTCATATTTCTCACCTGTATGCCTGGACTGGAGTACCATTTTTAGACAAACAGACCCCACAATGATTCTCCGCACTGAGCATCAAGTAAAGCTCCTACCAAGCCCACTTTCGGTTCTCTCAACCTCCAACCATGCTCATCGACGGGGTGTGTTCTTTCGGGTGTTACATTGTCTTTTACTCCGCCAGTAAGCCTGCCGATCAATATGTCATGGCGCTCACCCAAACCCCACGGAGCACTGCTTGCCGCCACTCCCGGTCATCCCTGATGCCGTGTGCATTGATGCGGGGTAGCTCTGCAGCAACAATTGGACCAGTATATCCGAGCAATTGCCCTTTTGCCGATCTGCCAGGTTGTATTCTCGGCCAAATCTTCAGCTTCAGGGTTACACTAATCGAAAGGTCGGAGAAAAGGTCGGCGTTTGATGCGCGCTGGAATGTAAGTGCTATAAGGAGGCTGGGAGACGCGATGGACATATCTCACCCACTCAAATTTTCTTCTCTTCTTGCGTGTGCGTGGATATTGAACTGTAGAGAGAGTTGGCTTTTCAAGAAACTTGTTCCCCACATCTAAGATGCGCCTAACCCCGAGACTAGCTCCTATTATAGGGGTAACATTGCTTACAGGTACTACGTTAGCCGCCAAGGTAGACCTATCGCAGTATGTGAACCCACTCATAGGCTCTGAAGGCCCTGTTCCGGGCTCGGGCTTTGGTGGAGGTGATATCTTTGTGGGTGGTGCGCGTCCATTTGGTGTCGCCAAGGTTGGAATTGATTCGACGGCCGCGAATTGGAGCACCGCTGTGCTTAATGGAGGCTGGACACCCGATGGCAATGTTACGGGTATCAGTATGATGCATGAGAGTGGAACTGGTGGTTCTCCTAAATATGGGTTGATATCGCAGATGCCTTTGACGTCTGTTGATAGTCCTGTCAATATCCTTGACAATACAACTTACAGCCAGCCGAGGGTGCGTCGCCAAAACCTTGTCTATGCCAAGAAAATGCTGAGAGACTGATAAGTGTGATGATATCAGATTGGTGACGATATAGCTCGTGTCGGATATTATAAGACCCAGTTGAAGAGTGGTGTCACTGTTGAGTTGTCTGCGTCGCGACATGCGGGCATCATGGAATATTCTTTCCCGGAGGGCGAGAAGCATGTGCTTATTGACGTTTCTCATGTACGCTGCTTTGAGAAGTGCTGATATGCTCGAGTATAAGCTGATGCTAGTTTTGCAGTATCTTCCCGGATCTCCTGGTGATGCGAACGGCCAGTTTTACACTGGAGGAGAGATTCAGATCGAAAACGATGGGAAGACATACAGTGGTTATGGCACGTATGTCGGAGGATGGAACAATGGTGAGTTCTTGCAACTATGCATGGTAATGAGACTAATAGCCATATCCAAGGCGCTCCATTTACTGTTTACTTCTGGGGAGAATTTGCCGAGAAATCGGACAGCACGCGAACATTCTCTGGCGTCAACACGGATCATATGCCTCGGTACCACAACCTTGCAGATGGTGGTGTCAGTGAGCCGGTATATGGGAACAGCACGAGGAAGGTAGTCTCTGGGCCAATGAATAATCGCATTGGTGCACTTTTCAGCTGGAAGAATGGACCTGCCTCGTCCGTCATCTCCCGTGTTGGCATTTCCTCCATTTCCACCGACAAGGCTCGCTCGTACATTCAGAAGGAAATTTCATCATGGAAATTGAATGACACCGTAACTGATTCGGTTAATGAGTGGAATGATGATGTCTTCCAAAAAGTCCAGGTACCATTGGATGATTCCGCTAACATGACTCATGTTCGTTTGTTGTACAGCTCTTTGTACTTCATGCATTTGATGCCATCGGATCGGACGGGAGAGAATCCTCTGTGGGACTCAGGAGAGCCATTCTGGGATGATTTCTATACAATGTGTGAGTATTCGTGTTCTTGAAATGTGCAGCAGCTTTCTGACGAAACCAAGGGGATATTTTCCGTTGCACTGTCAGCTTCTACCATATATTCCAGCCCGAATACTACGAGTCTATGATTCGAAGCTTGATTGATATCTGGAAGTATGGAAATTATTGCATTGGTTTTAAGTTCGAAGCGCTGACATTACACCAGACATGACGGCTATATGCCAGACGGCAGATCCGGCAATTGGAATGGTCTTGTTCAAGGTGGATCAGACGCAGACAATGTCCTCGCTGATGCCTATGTCAAAGGCCTCCGTGGCGCCATAAATTGGACTGAGGGATATCTAGCAATGAAGAAAGACGCCGAGGTGACCCCCTACAACACATTTGACCCAACAGACCTCACTGCCAGCACAAAAGAAGGCCGTGGTGCACTCGACGACTGGAAGGAGTTGGGCTACGTGTCTCAGGACCACAATACCCGGTGCATCTCCCGTACTGTCGAATATAGTCTGAATGATTTTGCGGTCAGCCAGGTAGCTGCTGGAGAGATGCCTGAGGACCGAGAGAAGTATCTCAACCGATCTGCTGGGTGGCAGAACATTTGGGACGCAAGCGTGAAGAGCCTGAACTTCACGGGCTTCTTGGCACCAAAGTTCTCGAATGGAAAGTTTAACAGCAGTGGCTATGACCCGCTCTACTGCTATGACTGCGAGTGGTCATCATACACGTATGAGGGCATTCCATGGGGTAAGACAAAAATCTTTAACGAAAGTGAAACCGAAAGAGCAAGCCATGCTAATCGCCTCTAGAATACTCATTCGTCATTCCACACGACTGTGAAACACTAATTGAATTGATGGGTGGACCTGAGACTTTTGAGTCTCGTCTAGACTTGATGGTAAGTACCGTCAAGCCAGGATCGATTCTAACGACTGATAATGGTGGCTAGTTCCAACCGAACACGTCCGTCCAGAATCTTGGGGCAAATGGCGCAGGTATTACCACGCTGATCAATATCGGGTAATTATTCCTGGATATCACTGGATCTTACAAAAAAAAGAAACCTCTGCTTACCACATAATCACAGGAACGAGCCTGATTTTGCAACACCATACCTCTACAACTACATCAACAAGCAGGCCAAGAGTGTCGAGCGATCTCGCAGCCTTGCGAACCAATAGTATGCAACAGAACTAAAAGTTCTCTATATCTAACACCGCTAATGATTTGTAATAGCTTCAAAGACGCCGCATATGGAGTCCCAGGCAACAGTGATGCTGGTGCAATGAACTCCTGGCTATTGTGGCAGATGCTTGGCATCTATCCCATTGTCACACAGCCCGTGTACCTGATCTCCTCTCCTTGGTTCCCCGATCTGAACATGACAGTTAGTGGAAACAAGACGCTGCGCATCTCTGCGGCAGGTTTGGATACTGGATACCACGTTCAGAGTGTGAAGATCAATGGGAGACAATGGACCAAGAATTGGTTCGGGCATGACGACGTCATGACTAACGGCGGCCACATTGAGTTTGAACTTGGCCAGGATGCGAAGCCGTGGGAGTCTGGAGAAGTGCCACCTTCACCAGGACATGTCCAGCTGAAGTAGCGGTGCATTTGACTAGTCGTGTAGAAAGGATAGATTGGGATTGCACTGATCAATTGAATCCTTCGGTGAACATCCTCGTCTTCGATGTAAGTCTGGAAGCAATGCGATATTTAGCCTCAATTTCCAGCCAACGCAAAGGCAATACCCCATATGGGCCCATGACCTGCATGAGTCTTGCATGAAGGCTTGTCCAGTCGTCCATTCAATTGCCCCGCTCTTTAAAGTCTCAACCCCCTCAGCCGTAGTCTTCCGAGTTGTCAGCCAGCAAAGAGCGCCATTGGAGTAGTGCTGAGAGGTAATATCTACCGTAACAACGGGTGTCGATATGTCCCTTCAACCAATAGTTGCGTGTCCTGATGCCAGTTTCCCGGTTTGTGTTACTAGAGGGCCGATCGCTGCTTTTCAGGGCGCCAAGACCGACGTTCTTTTGACGTCAGCGCGGGACAGGAAGAAGAAGTTGGAAATGCGCTTTATGCCGCGGCGGGTTTTGTTTGCGAGTTATAAGTTATGAGACTTTGTGCCCCGTTTCGAGATGATTCTTCCTCGTCCATTTTGCAACCACTCTCGCAGGACTGTGGTTCAATTGTTTGCTTCGCCATTGTCGCAAGGAGTCAATACTCGGCGTTGATCCAGTCCTCAGGCGTATATTGGACCTGGTCTGATCCACGGGAATAGACATTCGTTTCTAAATCCCTTCAAGATCATTAAACTACCAGAAGTGGTCTTACTGGACCCAATGGTAAGTTCCTGGCAAGCATTCCATGGCCCAATCACCCCAAGCTTGGGCGGGCCCCTGGGCCTCAGAACCATGGCTCCAAATCCAACACTGGAGCTTCAAATTGATCATATACTGAATCGTGTCTCTTGCATCCTAGGCTCCCATTGACTCTCATCTCGCCCCGCGTGACTCGAATGGCTGCCCGAGTACACTCTCCGGCGGCTCGATCGCCGGAATCGTGATCGGCTCCATCTTCGGTACGCTTTTTCTTATCTGGCTCTGGCGCTTCTTGAAACTACCTTGGGGCGGTGACGACGGGTCGGATGTCGGATATCGACCTCCTATTACTCGGACCGCAGCTGGGGACGAGAGAAGGCGAAGAAGACGACGGCCATCCAATGTGGATTACTATGTGGAGAAGCCGCGGAGTAGTAGTTCACGACGATACCGTGACGAGGTACGGCGACCGGCTAAGGTATACTTATCATGAGGCGATAATTGAGGAAATTGCGCTGGGAGGGTGTGGGTATGGTAATGGAGTAAGGATGGATGGATATCGAAAGGCGTTTTAAGGTGAGTTCAAGTCGACTAGTTTTGAGTATTTCTGGAGATTGACGAACAGATCCTTCTATGAACGAGGCACGAATTTTCCAACGAATGATGACGAGATATGGATTGACTGCTATAATTTCTTGAACGGGAGTTTGTTTTCTAAAATTATTACTTCTGGACCCTTGCTATAGGTTCCTACTTATCCTCTTGCCTTCATACACGACTGCCTAGGACCATGATTTTATGTATTGACTCGTGCAGCATGCACTGTATTCCAATATTCGACCAGACATCGATCCTGCAATGCATGTCTAGAGTTCCTAAAGTGAATTTATCTTGGACAGCGACTGTAGGAAGTACAAAAAACTGCGTAACGCGACCGATTAAAATGCAATAGAAGGGTTCAGTTCTAATCGGCTCAGCAGTTGAAGATGAAATTGCAATCTGCATCAACAGTCTTGGCCCAGGTGCGCCGCCGCCCAGCTTCACCGCTGGCATTTCTTCTTAGACGAATGAACGTAGTCAGTGGCGGTGCTTTAGAGTGATTCGTTCAAATTGTTTGCTTAGACTGGATGAACAGGCTCCATAGGGACAAGTAAACGAGCAAGAACGAGCACCAACAAAAACCCAAACACCAAACACCAAACTGCTGGGGACTGGGAAATTCCCTGGAACTTGACCCGTGGGTCTCCGCAGGGTAAGACTTGGTTCTGTACGCGCGGTGATTGGGGTTGGACTTGAAGTGGAGAAAACCCAAACAAGTGGGAGACTCGCTTCAATTGGAGAAGAGTGGTCTCTGCAGAAAACTGTCCTACGTAAGTACAGTAATGCTGTCTCAAAATAGAGGCTCTGGATGTACATACTATTCGTGAGAAAGGGGCAACTGATTACCGACGTGTACACAATGTGCCAGTACTATCGCTTCTTGAATAGTGTACCGGATAATATCGATGTAATTTTACTTTACAATGTTCCGCCCAGAGATTCAGTTATGGTAAAACAACGGGGTAACCACATAGTACTGCTAGATAAACCAAACCATTGTCATTTGTGCAAGACCCTACAAAAGATATGAGAACAGCAGAGTCCAGTCTCTGTGTACTCGTGCAATACTGTAATTATCATATCTGCCCAGGTACTATTTTCCGTTCTCAGTAGGATATCCGGATGAGGCGTATTCTTTTGCTTTTACACGCTCCTTGGTCTTTCTTGGGGGAACGTCTAGACCGGGTTAATAACGGGGCTCGCCACTGGGCCTTTTTTCGACCCCTGAAAGCCGTTTATCGACTGCCGATAGACTAAAATACACCCATATTTGTACCCCACGAGACATGGAAGACAGTATGTAGCGAGTATAATGAATAGCATTCTACCGCCTATGGCAAAATCGCTCGGGGGTGTTCCCTCAGGGTCTATCTCCTGATCAGTCTTTCCCTTTTTCCCAGGGTGTGGTCCACTTTCCACCCCATCCCCTCTTCATCTCCGCCTGTATCCAGCTGTGGATCCTTCTAGTCTTATCGGAGTCCTACGATCAGCCAATAAGCACCCCTACACTTGTGCAGACTTGGCGGTCGCGCCCGCTTAAGCCCAAACGAAGGTGTGTGATTAGACCAAAATTAACACTAGCGGACCCCTGAAGGACCGCCAGGCACAGGACCGCTAGCTACTTGCTTGATGCAGTTTAGGGGCTAAGGTTAGCGTCCGACTTGCTTCACCCTGACTAACGACAATTGGTTAGAAAGGAAGAAATCATCATAATCTGCGTGTAGTTTTCCCCTTGCTGGCCACACAAAATACGTCAAAATACGTACACTCGCCGTGCACCAGGGAAACGCTAGTCCATAATGCCGCACATCCACTTGCTCGTCTAGCGTGGCGTTCCCTTTTCCCCCGAACTTCTCTGCTGAAGCACCCTCTTCTCCATCATCTCCTTTCTCTTGATCTCTAGAGATACCCTGCTGTTGGTGGCCTTTCCGCCTTTCCGATCCTTTTGCCGTGTGATTCCATTCGCACATTCATTCGCTCTTTGATTTCTATATCTCGAGGGTTCAGTATATGCACTCCCCCTTGTCCATTCATTATCGCTTTTTGGTTGGAATTGCCCATTCAGCAGCAGTATCTCAGTATCTGAGGGGGAAACTATAGCCTTGGTGTCTTTTCTATATATTTGAATATCGCTTTGTCTTCCATGATGAAAAACTTCTTGACTGTCGCTGCTCTTGCAGCCCTGGCTGGCTCTGCCGTCGCCCAAACCTCTACCGACTGCAATCCCATGAACCAGACCTGTCCCGCTGACACGGCCCTCGGAACCGAACATACCTGGTGGTTCAACTCGACGCTCGACTCGAAGATTTGGGACATGAAAACTGGTTCGATATCCTACACTAGCGATGCTGCAGAGTTTACCATCTCGAAGGTCAACGAGTCCACCCTTCTCCAGTCCAACTTCTACATATTCTTCGGCGTGGTAGAATCCTGGGTCAAGATGGCTAAGGGTGCGGGTATTGTGAGCAGTGTGGTTTTGGAGTCGGATGATCTGGATGAGATTGATTGGGAATGGGTTGGATATAACACCAGTGCGGTGCAAACCAACTTCTTCGGCAAGGGCAACACGACTACCTACGACCGTGGCAAGACAATCTATATCGCCAATGCAGACACTGAGTGGCACAACTACACAACCTGGTGGGACTCTGACAAGCTTGAATGGTGGATTGATGGCAATCTCGTGCGAACTCTGCTCTACACTGATGCGACTGCCCTGGGTGGCAGGAATTACCCGCAAACACCATGCCAGGTCAAGATCAGTAACTGGCCTGCTGGTTTGAAAAGTGCTGCCAACGGTACTATTGAGTGGGCAGGTGGTTTGGTGAACTATGATGAAGGCCCATTCACTATGAGCGTTCAGCGTATGCGTGTCCAGGATTTCCACACTGGCAAGGAGTACAGCTACGGGGACAAGTCTGGTGACTGGACCAGTATCAAGGTGGCAGGGTGAGTGTCATCACCGAAATATCTTCTGTTACGGATCAACCAACTGACCACCATCTTCTTCCAGCGGAAACTCGACCGTCCTGGATGAGCTCAACAAGCCCCCTGCGAAGACACTGGCCGAGAAATGGGCCGACCTTGGCAACGGTGCGCACATTGGAGTTTACGCTGGTGCTGCGGCTGCTGGTGTCCTGGCAATTGTTGCTTTGGCACTCGTCTGCTTGCGTCAGCGCCGGAAGGGTCGCCTTGAGAATGCTCTAGACGACTCGCGGTACGCTACCGAGCGCACAGAGATGGAGAACTACCAGAACGACTGGAAGCAGAGCGAGTGGAAGCACTCCGGCTACAGCAAGGTTATCAGCTAGTTCCGCTAACACTTTATGTGTTTCTCACTCGTCATGTTTCTGTTTTCATTTCCTTGTTCTGTCTATCATCACGAACGGTTCAACGAACCTTGCTCCCTCTCTGTGTGCGGTGTCCCGGTTTTCTCAGGCACCATCATGACTTCCCGATATGGATGAGTTAGCGTAACTCGTTCTGAGTGCCTTCCTCTTTATGAAGTCTGCCATTGCCGGGGGAGAGTAACTACCTAATGACCTTTTCCATCTTGTCCCAGCGTGTTGCCGCTGTTTCCCACCTGCGCTCGTTTTATGGTGGCCCTTTCCTGTTGATATCCATCCTTCGGTTCTTCGTCTTTTCTCAATCCATCGGCCAAAATCCGTGGGCGTTGTACAGTGTTGCCATCGTCTCCAGCCTTTCCTCATCCTCGGTTTCCTCTATAGGTCTCCTTTTTTTCATACACGCACGATTTGTACATATCTCACCAAGACATTGGGTTTCTTCTTTTGATCTTGTTTTGTTTATACGTAAACATTGCTAGTTTGTTCAACAGGTACTCATTAAGACAATGTCAAGGGATAAGTACCCTTACATCGATAAATCAAATTCCCAGGCCTAGACTGCTAAAATTAGTCCCTGTACGGCGTCCCTGGGCCTCGGCGATCCATCGACCTGTAAGATGACCTCATCATTCAAACAATTAGTTAGACTAACCACGATGGACACAAGCCTGTAAGATTAGCATACTACAGTAGCTATGTATCGATTATCCGTAGACGAAGCTGTTGCTTCAGTCGGCCCGATCGGTGTCCACTCTCCGTCTCCGACCGCTGACTCTGCTCTCGGGCACCGTCAGAGACGGCAGAGGCATCTTGGCCAGCTGAATGTTCCAATTTCCCACACACGACTTGGCAGCGGATCGCCCGATCGTGAAATGATTGGTTCTGCAGCAAGCCGAGGCTCAAGGGTGGATCCAGGCATCGACGAAAAGTTTGGCTTGCCCCGTCCAACCCCCTGTGGCGAGGCAACTCGGTGTCTATGAATAGGATTTGAGCATAATGTTCGATGCTATATGAAATATGAAGATTAGGGCGATTAGTTGAAGGCTGAACAGGAATTGAAAAGCGTCGTGGTTCGTCGTTCATTCCACTCTCCCAAGAATCCAGCTTCAGTTCCAAAAAGGCATCAGCCAACCATATATCTGGTTACATCTCTCTCAACGAATCACTAGTCTGGACGGGCGATCGGAATTGATGGCACCCAACCCCGCCATCTCACTAATTTAGCACACAGATCATCCCTCCTTCTTTCTTCTTGACTTCCATCCTCCTTCTTCTCACACTACCGTCCCATTAGAATCGATATCTCCAGTTGAAAGCCTCTGCGATGAGTGCATCCAAGGAGATTCCCATTCCGGGGCCAAGGGGTGTCCCTATTTTGGGAAATATCTATGACATTGAACCCGAAGTCCCGCTGAACAGCATTGACTTGCTGGCTGATAATTATGGTGAGTCTTCAAGGCCCTCAGTGAAGATAGAATAATAACTTCAACTGCTAACTATTGCACAGGAGAGATCTTCCGTCTCACAGCCCTTGGCAATCAACGTGTCTTCATCAGTTCACATGAGCTGATCGATGAGGTCTGCAATGAAGAGCGATTCGGCAAAATTGTCACTCAAGGTCTGAAGGAAATTCGAAATGGCACACACGACGGCCTTTTCACAGCCAATTATCCCGGCGAAGAGAATTGGGCGATCGCCCATCGCATTCTTGTGCCTGCATTTGGACCGTTGATGATCCGGGGCATGTTTGATGGTAAGGACGGACCATGATCCCTCTGCACAGCTAGCCCTTAACTAATACGCGTCAGATATGTACGACATTGCAACTCAATTGGTGATGAAATGGGCGCGACAAGGGCCCCACACGCCAATTACAGTGACTGATGACTTTACACGCCTAACTCTTGACACCATTGCTTTGTGTTCAATGGGTACCCGCTTCAACTCCTTCTATCATGACGACATGCACCCTTTTGTCGAGGCGATGGTGGGTTTGCTCGGAGGCTCAGCCAACCGAGCCCGACGACCCGCTCTTTGGAACAACTTGCCTACAAGTGAAAACAGCAAGTACTGGAGTGACGTGGCTTATCTGCGGAATTTGTCCCAGGAGCTAGTTGACGCCCGAAAGAACAACCCAGAAGATAAGAAGGATCTTCTCAATGCATTGATCCTGGGCCGTGACCCTCAGACGGGCAAGGGTATGACGGACGAGTCGATCGTGGATAACATGATCACTTTCTTGATTGCCGGTATGATTATGTCGCATGCTGCTGTTGATTTGGATAAACACTGATGATGACTTAAGGCCATGAAACAACCTCCGGCATGCTTTCGTTCCTCTTCTACTACTTACTCAAGACGCCTCATGCTTACAAGAAAGCCCAAGAAGAGGTCGACCGTGTCATCGGTAGACGTAAGATTACAGTGGAAGATATGTCGAAATTACCGTATATCACAGCCGTTATGCGTGAGACACTACGCCTCAAGCCAACAGCCCCTATGATTGCCGTTCATGCCCACCCTGAGAAGAACAAGGAAGACCCTGTCACTCTCGGGGGTGGCAAGTATGTTTTGTATAAAGATGAACCCATCGTCCTTTTGCTGGGCAAGATGCAACGCGATCCGAAGGTATACGGCCCGGACGCGGACGAGTTTCGACCAGAGAGGATGCTAGACGGAAACTTTGAGAAGCTGCCGAAGAACGCATGGAAGCCATTTGGTAACGGCATGCGTGGATGTATTGGTCGTCCATTCGCTTGGCAAGAAGCACTCCTCGTTGTTGCAATCCTGCTCCAAAACTTCAATTTCCAGATGGACAACCCCAGCTACGATCTTCGTCTCAAACAAACACTCACAATCAAGCCCAAGGACTTCCAGATCAGGGCCTCTCTCCGTGAGGGCCTGGACCCCACTAAACTCAGCTTGGCCCTGAGTGACACTGCCGGTGTGCACAAGGATGTGGGTGTCACGGAACGGGAGAGGAAGCCCAAAGTTGCTCCAACCAACGGAAAGATGAGACCCATGCACATCTTCTACGGAAGTAACACCGGTACCTGTGAGGCCTTTGCCCGGAGACTGGCGGATGATGCTGTTGGGTATGGATTTGCTGCGCAGATCAGCTGTCTGGATTCGGCATTGCAGAACATTACCAAGGAAGACCCAGTCGTCTTTATCAGCGCATCTTACGAGGGTCAGCCGCCTGACAACGCGGCTCATTTCTTTGAGTGGCTCAGTGAGCTCAAGGGTGACAGCCTGAAAGGGGTCAATTATGCAGTATTTGGGTGTGGTCACCGTGAGTAATGCTCGTGCAATCGATTCTTGCTCTACAGTCCAACTAACTTTCTTAACCTGCTTTAGATGACTGGGCATCTACATTCCACCGCATTCCCAAGGCAGTCAATGAACTTGTTTGCGAGAACGGCGGAAATCGCTTATGTGACCTTGGTCTGGCAGATGCAGCAAATTCAGACATGTTCACTGACTTCGATGGCTGGGGCGAGACCGCCTTCTGGCCAGCTATCGTGGCTAAGTTCGGCGGTGGCCCCGAACAGATCGTCAAGTCCAAGTCCTCACTGCAAGTTGAAGTGAGCTCAGGTGTACGCGCATCTACTCTCGGCCTCCAGCTGGAAGAAGGATTCGTGGTAGAGAACACAGTTTTGACTAAGCCCGGAGTGCCTACCAAGCGACTTCTCCGATTCAAGTTGCCATCTGATATGACCTACCAGTGTGGTGATTATCTTGCAGTTCTGCCTGTGAACCCAAGTACTGTCGTTCGCCGCGCAATTCGTCGTTTCGACTTACCCTGGGACGCTATTTTGCGTGTCAAAAAGCCCTCGTCTGGTTTGGCACCGCCATCGATTCCTCTGGACACGCCTATCTCGGCCTTTGAGCTCCTGTCAACATACGTCGAACTCTCTCAGCCAGCATCAAAGCGCGACGTCAAACTTTTGGCCGATGCAGCTATCGAAGACGCCGAGGTCCAGGCGGAGTTGCAATACATTGCTTCTAGCCCGAGTCGATTCACAGCCGAGATTGTGCAAAATCGTATCAGCCCTCTGGATCTACTGATGCGTTACCCGTCAATCAAGCTATCGATTGGTGATTTCCTGGCGATGCTTCCACCAATGCGTGTTCGCCAGTATTCAATCTCTTCATCTCCCTTGTCAGACCCATCAGAATGCTCAATCACTTTCTCCGTTCTGAACGCGCCGGCTCTTTCAGGCATATCTGAGCCAGGTAGCGAAAGCCCTGAAGAGTATCTTGGAGTTGCCTCGAACTACCTTTCCGAGCTGCAACCCGGCGAGCGTGCTCATATCTCCGTTCGCCCTTCAAACTCTGGGTTTAAGCCTCCAGTCGATCTCCAGACGCCAATGATCATGGCGTGTGCTGGCAGTGGCCTCGCTCCATTCCGAGGATTCGTGATGGACCGTGCAGAAAGAATCCGTGGACGTCGCAATTCCATCGATGCCGCTGATGTTCCCGAAAACAACAAGCCGGCTAAGGCTGTGCTTTATATAGGCTGTCGCACGGAGGGCAAGGATGATATCCACTCGGATGAGCTGGCCGAGTGGGCTTCACAGGGCGCTGTCGATGTTCGTTGGGCATTGAGCCGCCCTGCAAATGGATCACCTGGAAAGCATGTGCAAGATCTAATGCTTGAGGACCGGGTAGAGCTGGTCGATTTGTTTGAGAAGGGGGCGAATATCTACGTCTGTGGCAGCACTGGTGTTGGTAGTGCTGTACGGGACGTTTGCAAGACTATGTACTTGGATCATCGCCGTGAGAAGATTCGTGAGGCAAAGGAGACTGGGGAGCAATTGGGTCCGGAGGCTGAATTAGGTGAGGATACCGCTGCGGAGCGATTCTTTGATCAGTTGAGGACGAAAGCGCGGTATGCTACTGATGTGTTCACTTGATTAGAAGACTGCCTGTTTCCTTGTCATTGTCCTTTTTCTGCCTGGCCCTGTTTTATGACGGGCCTTTCTTCCAATAATAGCTTGTTGCAATATTCTAAATTCAAGAAAGCTATCCATTTCTCCCATGGCAAATCATATCCCTGTAGTATGAAGTGATGATTCACCAATTGTATTCCAAGCTATACGAATCCTTTCTACCCTGTCCCTTCTATTTCTAATGCTGTCATATTCTACTGAGAAACAGCCCCAGTTTTGTCGTGTGGGGCCTGCCCCATCATCAACCTCAGCAAGTACCGACAGCTTCTCGTGTTGCCCACACATTGGACAGAATCCGGGGGAATGTGGAGGCAATGCGGGGAAGACAGGGAATGGTCGATCCCTGCCCCATCTCTGGAAAAACTAGTTGGGTTGCAGAACAGGGAGAGCTCTTAAGGGGGCGAAAATCGCCCAAATGTTCTCGAAATCTAGGATAATTGATTGCTCTTGAAATATCAAACGCCTTACGCTTTCTGCTTTCAGCCCGACGAAAATCGTGATTTCCCCTCGAGTGAAACCATTAAGCTCCATTATGCCGAAGGAGGAAATACCGGCTGCAAGGCCGTATCTTGTCCACAGGTACCTCGCTGTGCACAATAATTGCGTGTCGTATTCACCTAACCCCTTGATTATAGCCATGCCCACGAGGGCGAGATTCCTGGAACTGTCGATCTTAGTGCTGCCGAGGGCGACGACACGGCATATGGACAAGCTCTGTATCCCGTTCCAGCCGAGGATCCTAACGACCCACTGCAGGTACGTATGAGATTGGTGACCATATTGAACATGGTCAATGATCATATACTGATTCTCGTCTACTCCTCTAGTGGCCTATCTGGAAGAAAAATGTCATCCTAATCATCGTTGCCGTCTATTCGTTTCTCGGCAATAGCTCCCTTACTGGTCCATCGGTCTACATTGGACTCTATAGCAAGGAGTTTGGGATATCACAAGCGGAAGCTTCTGGGTTGATCTCTTATCCTAATCTTGCTTTTGGATTTGGTAGGATATACTCTTTTCTTGCGGCTAATTCGCACGTTTCTGACATGCGTTCTCTAGGGTCATTGATCCTGGTTCCTCTGTATCTGAAGATCGGTCGACGCCCGGTGACGCTGTTGTCAATGTTGACAGTAGGTATAACAGTATATTATTTTCTTTCCATATGCTAATGACCTGGCAGTTTTTGGCCGGCTTAATCGGAGCCTCTCGATCAACATCTTATACGGGATTGATGATTGCGCGAGTATTCCACGGCTTTGGCAGGTAAGTTCGAGATATTCTAAGAATAGAAGATTTCCACTAAGCTCCACCAGCGGGGTTTGTGAAAGTTTGCCCGTACAGCTTGTGAACGACATTTTCTTTCTTCATGAAAGAGGAAAGAAAATTGGCTACTATACCAGTAAGTGGTCCAGTTGATGTCATAGCAGTATAGGAGCTGACGAGAGACAGTATGTCTCTGCCTCGGGTCAACAGGTCCTCTCTATGCAGGCTACATGCTTGCGGGCGGCTATTCGTGGCGACTCTTCTTCTACGTCGAAGCAGCCTTTGCGGGTGCCCTCTTGATCATGGCTTTTTTCTTTGTTGAGGAGTCAACCTATCACCGCAAAGAACAACTAACGACGCCAATTTCTTTGAACCATTCCCCAACAGCACTTGACACAGATGAGAAATTGGAGGATAATTTCCAGTTAGAGAATGTATCATCTATATCGGTACCGCCGCGAAAGAGCTTCTTGGTGACACTCAAACCGTGGGGCGCCATTGATCCAGATGCAGAGTTTATCATGACTATTCTCCGCTCTTTTACTTACTTCCTAGTGCCGGCCGTATTTTGGGTAATTGCAAGCTACGGTATGAGCTCATGGAACATAGGTCGAGAATGGGCATATTTTTGGCTAATTGAATTCTGTAGGACTCTACATTGGCCTGGGTGCTTTGGCATTCAACTACACTTTCCCTCTGAAGATCACTGAGCCACCCTACAACTGGAGTGAGGTAATGTCAATTGACTTTAACCCATTTCCAGCAGATCTGACTAGTCCTAGACGAACTCCGGTCTCATCGCGGTCGCCAGCTTCGTCGGTTATTTGCTTGCTCTTCCATTCTCTTCGACCTCTGACCGACTAGCTGCATACCGAACAAAGCGTAACAATGGAATCCGAGAATCCGAAATGCGTCTACCCGCGTTGTTCCCAGCCCTTCTTCTAGCCCCAGCCGGCTTGATTGTATATGGGTTCACTGCCCAGCGCAATCTTCACTGGATGGGATTCTTTGCTGGAGTGGCCATGGATCAATTTGCGTCGTACTTTTACTTTACTTTTACATTAGCTTATGCGGTCGACTCTTACTATGCGAACACCTCGGAAATGCTTATCGCCATGAATCTAGGAAAGCAAGCAATCTCGTTTGGAATGGGTTCGTATTTGCTAGATTGGATTCTGTCTAGAGGGTATGCGGTTGTGATCTCGGGAATTTTTGGAGCAGTTCTTCTTGTCAACAACCTGATGGTGATTGTTTTCATACTCTTTGGAAAGAGAATAAGGAGATGGACTGCGCAGTCATGGCTGGGCAAGCTACATCAGCGAACTGCGACGAGGGATATGACGCAGTGAGCATAGGCCAATAGGCAATTGGATTTGTTAGCTTTCGCCAACAATCTGATAAAGCAATTTCAACCTGGGAAGTGTCACAGTAGAAGCTTCGGTTCTTGATGAAGCGAATATTCAAAGTGCCTAGTTTCATCGAGTGAGTTCTTCAGCTTTAACACGGGGAGTTGATATAATTATGACCATCGTACTTGGTCATAAGTTAGCGACTAACCTTGGACATCGCAATCTAGTGCGAACTTTTGTCAACCCCGCCATCAAGCCTATCTCCATGCAAATATTTGGGAGTTCTTTCTCCTGCTCTCCACTTATACTTGCTCCCTGTATGATCCTCTGGCAATCGTTTAGACCCAATAAAAACTTCTCGTGCAGTCGCGCCCTCGTGCTCCACCTCTGACCGGAAGCGGCCTCGTCGTCGCAATTCAGGGAGCAGAAAATCGATGATGTCTTCAAATGTTCCAGGATTCGCAATATGGGCGAGATTGAACCCATCAACACCAGACAATTCGACCCATCGCTCTAACTCGTCTGCGACTGTGGTGGGACTACCGATCACCTTAGCCTGGAGCCCACCAACACTGATGTACTCCACGATACGTTTCTTCGTCCATGGCAGGTTATCTGTACCCGGAACAGTTGCCGACCATCTGCGCACGATGGATTGAACCCGAGGCGACTCTGCGAAGCGGAAGTCTTCGTCATCAGAATAACTTGACAAGTCGATCCCAGTCCACCCACCGAACAGAGCCAGTGCACCCTCGGCATCTGCATACTGCAAGTACTCCTCTCTTTTCGCTTCGGCTTCCCCGTCAGTCGCGGCGACAATCACATTGATTCCAACAATAATCTTCAAGTGATTTGGATTGCGACCTTCCTGCTGAGCGATCTTTCGAATATTTTCCACGGTTGCTCGAGTGGCCTCTGGAGTCTGGCCACCTATGAAAATCGCCTCTCCATGCTTGCCCCCAAATCCATTGCCTGCTTCGGATACTCCGGCTTGAAACAAGAACGGAGTTCTTTGGGGTGATGGCTCGCAAAAGTGCGGGCCAGGAACTTCGAAATATTTTCCCTTATGATTTATCGGGAGCACGGCGTCACTTGCGATGTATGTACCAAGTTGACGGTCGGCCAGAACGGCATCATCTCGAAAGCTTCCTTCCCAGAGCTTGTAGAGCACTTCCATATACTCATGAGCAATTGCATATCGTTCGTCGTGGGGGATCTGGTCCTTCAGTCCATGATTTCGTGCAGCACTGTCCAGGTAAGACGTGACAATATTCCACGCTAACCGGCCTTCGCTGAGATGGTCGACCGTGGAGAGTCGGCGAGCGAGCGCATAGGGCTTCTCGTACGTCAAGCTGGCGGTGACCCCGAATATCAGATTCTTTGTCACGGCTGCCATTGCCGGGACGAGATACAGTGGATCATTAACCGGAAACTGCGCACCTGATGCCAACGCAGGGACCACGTTGGCAGGGCCCTTGTACACATCGTAAGGGCCCAGTGTATCTGCAATAAACATGGCATGGAAGCCTGCTTTATCAAGCAACTGTGCGATGTCTGTCCAAAAAGAGAGCTTCTTGTACTGATCGGTCTTGTTCCTCGGGTGCTTCCAGAGCCCAGGTGCTAAGTGTCCAGGAGTGTTCATAACAAAAGCATTCAGAATGATCTGTTTCTTAGTCCCAGGGAATTTTTCCCTATCACTGGTGCTTTCAAGATTATAACCCATATTGTGTCAATAGTTGTATTTCTTATGGACGGTTGAAAGAAAATCACCCAGGTTTCAGGTCCTTGAGTTCCGGCATCGGGATCGGGGCATGGCTGGTATAACACTCCTTCCAACGTTACCAAGACAATCTCGACATCGCTATTGTGCGAAGGCGTTATCATCTCGTTATCCCCAACGATGATTTCAAATTAGTTTACACAGCCCTATCGGCCGACAAGACATTCTTGTTCTCAAAGCTGTGGGGTAAATCTGTGGCGTGATTTGGTTGTGATTCGACAGTTGTTTTCTCGCCATCGCGTCGTGATTGCACGCAATCCTGACAGAATTACTTCCAACACAGGCATGTTATTGGAAAGATGAATTTTTTTTTACTACTACTGTTGTTTCTTATCATCTCATTGCCTTGTCTCTTGACCAATTGGTCCTATCGCTCTCTTTCATCATCGAACATAACGCAATTGGGTATACGTACGACGTGATAGGCATTAAACACATGGCAGTCCGTCTAGCTGCACGGTTCATTCCGCAGGATTTTGGCTGGACCCTGAACAGCATATAAGAGTTTGCGATATAATGGGGACTGCAACTGATAATCAATTCTGCCAAAATAGCAGACTGGTCTGGAATCAGTGAGCCAGGATGTCCAACACGATTGACACGGCCAAATTGGCCTTGATCTCCCAGGGATCGGCATATGGCCTTCTCATCGGCCTCAGTGTCGTCTTCTGCGGAGTAATTTTAATTGCGCTGAAGGTTCAGAAAGCATATCTATCTGAGGATTCTGGCAAGTCAGAAATGTTCATGGTGGCTAATCGATCAGTTGGCACCGGCTTAACAGCTTCCGCTGTATTCTCATCATGGATGTGGATCAATGAGACAGTACTAGCAGCAGCAATGTGCTATCGCTACGGTCTAGCTCTTCCACTGGTATGTGCTTCTCGAGGTGACAATACGTTTCATGAAGCTAACATGTGTATAGTGGTGGGCCTCTGGTCTTTGTTTTCAAGTTGCATTGATGGCAGCTCTGGGCGTGATGGCAAAATTCGAGTTCCATATGCGCATACGTCTCTGGAGGTTGTCCGCATGAGATATGGAAAGATTGGACATATTATTTTCATTGTGCTGAATCTTGTGAACAACGTCTTTGGATGTGCCTCGATGATCATGACTGGGTCACAGCTGATTTACGGTGTCTCTGGGATGCATTTTGTTGCAGCTACCATTCTTATCCCGCTTGGAGGTACGGCTCAAAATATACCCTGATCTTATAGATCGGCCTCTAACAAGAAACAGTGGTGCTCTATACCGCAGTGGGAGGCTTGAAAGCTACTTTCCTCACAGACTTCCTTCACACGGCCATTGCGCTAATTCTTATCATCTACTTCACAATTGCGGTCCTCACCAACTCTGCCGTCGGTGGCTTGGGTGGCCTGTATGACAAGGTTGTGACTACTGCAAGCGAAAATTATATTTCGGGAAACTATGAGGGATCACTCCTTACATTCAAGTCAAAAGGCGCAATTATCTGGAGCCTGATTCTGAAATTTGGAAACTTAGCCCTAGTTGTTATGGTAAGATGAGATCACTGATCACCGATTTTACAAGCAGCTTACAATCAAAAATTCAGGATACCGCGTTCTGGCAAAAGTCTTTCGCAACCGAGGTCCGGGCCACTGTACCGGGCTATAACATCGCAGCAATCTCAGTTTTTGGAATCCCATGGGGACTTGGAACTGTCATTGGATTGACGGCTCGAGCGATTCAGAATACACCCATCTTTCCAACATATCCCGGCCCACTAACTTCCACAGAAGTCAATATGGGCATGGTGATGCCTTATGTCCTCAAGGCTCTTCTTGGGGACAAGGCTATCATTGGATTCTTCTTCTTACTTTTCATGGCTCTTACTAGCACTATCTCATCATCGATGATTGCTGTCAGCAGCATTCTGTCATATGATCTCTACAAGACCTACCTCAACCCCAAGGTGACTGACAAGCAACTTGTGCGGGTGAGCCACCTAACTGTGGTCATTCATGGAGTCTTCATCACCGGAATTTCAATTGCTTTGAATTATGGAGGCGCCAACATGACCTGGATTGGTTATCTGCGACCCATCATTTCGTGTCCCGGTATCATCCCGCTGATCCTCACATTGTTCTGGTCACGCCAAACTCGCTTAGCAGCGATTGCGTCACCTATCCTCGGATTCCTCACTGGGCTTGCTGTTTGGCTGGCAACCGCACAGTCCATGTATGGAGCCATCAACATCAACACCACCTCGAATATTTATCCGGCATTGTATGCAGCGATTGCATCTTTCTTCACACCCGGTCTCTACTCTGTCATATTGTCCCTGTACAAGCCTTACAAATTTGACTGGCGCGAGTTCCTGCGCATCGAGCTAGCAGACGAGGCTCATCTTCACGCTGCCTCTGACGTTTGTACACTCAACGAGACCAGTGACGACGAAAATTCTAGAAGTCACAAAGATGTTTCTACATCTATCAATGCAGTGCCAAACGGCCCTGACTCCGCACTAACCAGAAAAAGCGATCTCAAACCACCTGGAGACGAAAAGACTTCAACAGAAACCTGGACATCACCCAGAGCTACTCCCAATCTTGACGATGTCCAACATCCCTTCGATGAGCAAACTTTGAAGGAGCTATACCGCTGGCTAAAGATCGCATGTATCATGTTTGTGGCCATTGTTTTGGTAACATTCGTTGCTTGGCCACTTCCGCTGTATCGTGATTATATCTTCACAAAGTCTTTTTTCTCTGGATGGACTACAGTGGCCATCATTTGGCAATTTGGTGCGTTCGGCGCAGTAGTCATATTCCCTCTCTACGATGGGAGGCACGCAATCGCGACTGGTGCGCGCGGTATTTGGAGATCTACCAAGGAGTTTTTAGACACGAAACAGAGGCCGTGATTTGTGGAATCCAGAAGTTGTCCACCGATGATTCAAAAGTGGGCCATATTTCGCAATGATAGATTATTTCTCTGATTCAACTCTTCCGACTCCATTATTGTTGTTCGTAGATCACGACAGACTCAGCTGTTCTTTGAACGCATCTCACACAACTACACTAAGAAACGAGACTTACATGATCAACCGAACTAATCCAAGACTGGCAATAAAAATTCCATGCCAAAATGGGAGTCGAGGAATGAATCAAGAATCGATGTCTTTGAATCTAATGCAGCGCGCCTTTATCGTTGTGGAAGATCTAACAACAATCCAGCAAAATACAAAAATCCAATACATACAACAGCCAAAAGTATGGCCGGGCTCACCTAGCGCCCATCGTTCGGTCGTGGGCGCCTCGCCGCTTTACCTAGGCGGGCTTCAGGCAGCTTCAGGCGGCTTCAGGCGGCAGTTCACCCACCTGAATATTCTTCACCCGAAGACCGCCCAGGGTGCAGGGCAGGCCGTCAAAAGGCGTATTTGCATACCTTGACACAGGGAAAGATTTCGCGAGCCGCTGGTATAGAGAGCGACGATAGATGAATTATAAGTACGCGCTAGGAGCGTCTAGCAGCAGTCTCCCACTATTCAGCCTCCCCTCTTACCTCGTCCCGCTAGCCTAAGGGTCACTATTCACCCTCACAATAACTAAGAGCAAGGATCAAACCGCTAACTTTACCTTCGTCGTGAATTTCGATAACTATAACAACTCAGAAATCTTACGTGCCGTTCTCCCGAGAACCAAAGAAGACTACCGGCGTGCACTTCGTATCTATAACAAGTGAGTGCCTCTTAACAATGCTTTATCTTCGGGCGGCCACTTTTCCAGGTCTCTAATTGCTTCCGTCAGATTCCTCTCACTATACCCGAAGGCGGTAAATCCGCCCGATATTTAAATCTTTAAGTCGTTTATAGAGTTTATAGCACGTGGAATAAAAGGTCGAATCACGGCAAAGCCGACTGTTACGCTCAGGTACGAGAGGAAGAAGATCAACCAGTGTAGTAGCATTTCACGAAACAACTAAGCATAAGGAAGGAAAGAAGGAAGGAGAGATGGCGAGAGAGCTATCTAAATACTCTGTGGATGCCTTAGGCACTAGGCATCAACACCAAACATATGTGAACCGTAACACCGACTGTCGTAACTATCGACGGATTTCGGGGAAACTTCGAGGCAGGTATAGCTTTTTATCGCGGGCACAAATTCCCTAAAGAGATATCTACAACGATTAGAGAGGTATAATAGCTATCCGTGCCTTACTGCCCACCCAAACCGCTTCCCGGTTTAGGTGCGCCCACAATCCTGACCTTTCCACAATCCTGACCATTTAGTATAGAAATCGTCAAATTTACCACCCAACTAGCTAATTATCAACAAAAAAAATCTCTCCGGCCTGCCTAGCCGCTTCCTCATTAGCAATTGCCCGTTAAATAGATTCCTCCGACCGCTGTGTAGGTTCGTAGCCATACAACTTCTTGAACTGTTTGGCTAGCTTCCTCTCCTCCTTCGCCCTATCTTCTTCTCTCCTGACTACAATTGACCGATTTGCATCACGTGTCGTCAATATCCCAGTTGAATTAAGCAATTTGACCTGCCGCTTAGTGTATTTGCGTTTTATTAGCGCTTGCGCGGCCCTGATTCGCCGAATTGTATCCTAGGTCATCGAAAGCTCCTCCGCCATCTCCCGCTAGTGCGCCATTAACCTCGATAGATTTCGCTGCATCTTATCTAATAGATCCTCGAGGTGTTTAGTAACCTTCGCCTGGTTCTTATATAGTGCTTCAATAGATTTCGGAGGGCTATTTTCAACACTAGAAGACGAGAGATTGGGTGGTGGTGGTGACGGTGTATACGAGCCCCATAAGCGAAGATCTGGTGCGTATAGATTAGGAATCACCAAATCCTTAGCAAGATTATCAACAACCTTACTACCATCAACTGGATAGATTCCACGATCTCTAAAGGATTCGCGGATAATTCGCTGTGTAAACGCCTTCTTGCGAATTGGCCCGATAATCGCGAGGAAATCTGATTTCCCATACGGCTGGCCACCCCAGAAAGCCAGCTCATTATTTATCAACCGAAATTGCTGCTTATAATTCAGGAAGGGCTTTCCATCAAGTGGCTGGCAAATATGCGTTGAATGCGGTATAAATGCAAAGGGGATAATCGCATTATCCTCGCAGCGTTAAAGAAATTCGAGTGTAAGATGCGCGCCATAGCCGTCGAATATAAGAACGCGCTTTTCACCCCGATACACACGATGAGCAGTCAATTGAATAAAATAGCCTAGCCAGGCTAGGGCTAATTTATTAGAAATCCAGCTATTAGGAGATATAGCCGTCATCGTGTCTGGTGAGAGGTTTTCGATACCGTAGAACCAGGCCTCTATAAGATTTCGGCTAGTTCCTTTAAATATAAAGAGAGGATCCATCTGCTACCCATCCGCAGCAATATACTCTAATACAGTGATATTTTCGCCACTCTCGGTCTCAGCAAGGTTAGGGCAAGATGATTTAGCCCCAATAACGTTTCTTGCTTGCCCTTGACCAGGTTGAAACCCGCATTCATCGAAGTTGTATACTAACCGAGCAGGAACGTTATGTAGAACAGTTTCTAGCTAGTCGTACCAGTGCTAAAGAAGGCCTGCATCCTCTGCTTGGATTCGCCTTAGTTCCTTAGTCTTTTGCTTCACAGAGCCTAGCCCAAGGTTTTTTGGTAGACGCTTTATAAAGCCGTACGCCCAATTTTTGCTAACCTGCCTATCCGGCTGGCCCGATCGCGCCAGTGTGCGATTTGCCTATGCGCCTACTACCGCTGCGGTAGGTGGTAGGTTCCAGCCGTACATTTGCACTATCCAGTTAACCAACGCTTTCTCCTGATGGGGCTCCAGGATATTTTTAAGCGATTTGGTAGGTGTAATAGGCGATTTAGCCATTTCGACGCGTCTAGTCAACGTCTTGCGATCAATGCCAAATTCACGCGCAATCTTGGAGATATTCGGCCTTTTTTGGGATAAAACCAATTTACAGGCCTCGGATATGCGAGATTCATCAAAAGTAGTAGATTTAGGCATCGTTGGTGGTTGAATTGGCTAGTAGAAGACTACTGGTAGAAAAATGGTCAGGATTGTGGAAAGGTCAGGATTGTGGGCGCACCCAAAGCGGGAAGCGCTTTGGGTAGGCAGAAAGGCACGCATATAGCTCTTCGTAGAATAAATTCTAATCTCTCTCTAGTAGATTCTACAAGAGCTAAAGCCGATACTAAGACTACCGTCCGCCGAGATAGACAAGGACGGACTATCGCTAAATAACCTTATAGTACTTATAACCTAACTCTAGTATAGGGACTTCCACGAATATCGAGGTCAGCCTATAGATCGAACGCGTATATAGATTAGCGCAGTAATACTACTTTACTGCTTCACCTCTACCAGGACAGGAGAAGTCTATAAGTCAACCGCGCGACGAGCTAGGGCTCGAGAGAGCCAGGGATATAAGTCCGATAAGGAATTAGAAGCCCGTGTAATAGCAGCTTGTTATAAGGTATATATAAAAATTTCCGTATATAGAGAGAAAAAATATTCTAACGTTAACTCTAGTATTTTGTCCTTACTATCAAACGTATAGAAGGAGTACCTATACTTGTACTAACCTACTAGCGGGAGTTTATAAAGGGTTACTAGAGAAAAAAAGAATAGGAACTTCCGATCTGATATACAAAGATAACGTAGCCCTCTTGTTGGATTTTGGTGTATAGCATAAATCTATTGTGCGCACAAAAGACAGAATGTGCCACAATGGTGCGGGTATTAATTATGCGTACTAGTAAAAGCACCACAATCGTGTAGGGTCGATCGTGCGTACTAATCTTAGTACCACGATTATGCAGGTGAAGAGAGACGAATCAGGATAGATCACAATCGACTGATCAGACAGAAGAATCAAACAGTGGAAGGTTGATTCAGATAGTCTACTGTGTCCGGTGATTCTTCCTGAGATCAAAAAGATGTCAAACTTGTTTATTCTAACTAGGAAACAGAGTGCAATTTATAACATGAGGAACATAGCAAATATCATATAAGGAAATCAAGAACATTCGAGGTCATTTTGGAGTATTGAACATTCCTTTGCCTAGTCGGGCAATGTTGACACGATCGTTGAAGATCAGAATCTAGGATCAGAATCTAGGGGTAAACAAGATTAGGTTTTCCTAGCGGTAAGCAAGATAGGAATGCTTAGTAAGCAGGCAGGATTCAAGATGTATATCTGGCCTATAGGCTATACATGCCGACACACCCCCTTAGCTTTTGAAGCAGGTTCAGATAAGGAAGCTAATACGAAAGCTAACGCGTAAGAAGATAGGCAAAATAGCGTATCTTTACTAATATAGCCTAATAGTTGGTTCTGTTAATCGATTTTTAGCTGTTTCGTCTGATTTCTGGTTAGTTTGATCTGTTTCGCCTGATTTCTGGTGTTTCTTGATAGCTTTATTATAGGCAAATTTGAATGTAGGTGATGATTTAGTTGCTCTCTTGAATCGACCTTCTGTATTGATATCTAATTGCCAACCCTCTAGTCTGACTAGCGGATTGATATAAGGGCATTTGTCAAAATCATGTTCGCCGTAGCTAGGAGGTCCTTTGCAAGGGCAAATCCCCTTTCGGCCAGGTTTGATTAGTCGATCTTCGTCAGGTTCTCGTCCCTGATAGGTTAGGTAGGCAATTAGTCGTCTGCTAGGCAAGACGATTGGTCGGTATTAGTCAATAAACTGATTGACCAGTTCGGTTAGGGTAGGTCTCCTTAGGCCCTGAAGGATCGTGTTGTACCAGAAGGTGTAGAAGCCTTGATTGCTATGTTGAATCGTCTCTAGGAAATCGTATACTGGAGATAGTAGGTCTTGGAAGTAGGCAATTCCGGCTTTCTCTCCTGCTGATTAGCTGATAATCCACTTATAGCCCTACGTGGCTAGTTCAGATGATTCAATTAGTAGATTATTTTAACGTTTCATCGTATCCTAGTCGCGTAGGATTTGGCGGTTCTTTGATTGATCGGATAGAGCGAACGTGGCACGTAGCTTAGTAATCGCTTCGTGTACTATTAGCCTATTGATAATCTGTCTCCCTTCTGGCGTAAGGGAGGATCGAATTCCTTGCTTAAGGATCTCGATAGATCGTATATATCGTAGATAGTTAGATCTAGCTGACTTATATTCGCTAAGCAAGATTCGATAGATAGCTAATTAGTTGGAGGTAAGATTAATAAGTCTGATTTGCTTATTAGGAAGATCAGATGTAAACGTGTTCGTAGGTTTCTTGATTGTATTAGATAGATGCGGCTTGGTTGGTTCCTGTATCGGTATAGCAGGAATAGGCAGGTCTGGATTAACATATTTCTATACACTATTCGCTAGTGTATAATCTTTGACAGCTGTAATCCACGGGATCTAATGCGCGTGGTATTTTAGAGGATAATTGAGCCAGGTGGCTCGTAGATCGGATGAATCTATCACTAAGGCGAAAGTGATAGAGAGATAAGACGAAAGTAAAAGATAGAGGCCTTAGCAGAGGCTCGGGCTTATAACTGTTGGATTTTGGTGTATAGCATAAATCTATTGTGCGCACAAAAGACAGAATATACCATAATGGTGCGGGTATTGATTATGCGTACTAGTAAAAGCACTACAATCGTGTAGGGTCGATCGTGCGTACTAATCTTAGTACCACGATTATACAGGTGAAGAGAGACGAATCAGGATAGATCACAATCGACTGATCAGACAGAAGAATCAAACAGTGGAAGGTTGATTCAGATAGTCTACTGTGTCCGGTGATTCTTCCTGAGATCAAAAAGATGTCAAACTTGTTTATTCTAACTAGGAAACAGAGTGCAATTTATAACATGAGGAACATAGCAAATATCATATAAGGAAATCAAGAACATTCGAGGTCATTTTGGAGTATTGAACATTCCTTTGCCTAGTCGGGCAATGTTGACACGATCGTTGAAGATCAGAATCTAGGATCAGAATCTAGGGGTAAACAAGATTAGGTTTTCCTAGCGGTAAGCAAGATAGGAACGCTTAATAAGCAGGCAGGATTCAAGATGCATATCTGGCCCATAGGCCATACATGCCGACAGCTAACGTTCTTTTTTATCTAGGCTCGTGGCTTATAGAAGGTAGCTTTACCTCTACCGATATTATAAAGCCCGTCAACAACTCGTCGATAAGATTAGATTTACCGAAATGTGCTTCGAGTATAATCGATGGTTTGCTAAGTCTTGGGAATAGGAGGATCATTGCAGAGAGCATCTTAGTCATCCAGAAGCACTTCTTCGATATAACCCGTTAATATTCCGTAATATCCCTATCAAGGCCGGGTTTTGTCCGTTCTGCTTAGGAAATAAGAAACTATGTCTATCGAAAAGAATAGTTTAGTTTTTTATAAGCCCACCAGAGTAGCATAATCACGTTGAAGCCTATTTAAGCTAATTGAATAGTAACTTCAAGTATAAGCATCCTGCTTGCTTAGTAGATTTTGGAAGCACGGAGGGATTAATATATCACCTTATTAATACCTACTGCTAGCGGCCTCGACGTGAATCGCCTAAAAAGAGGAAGTATGAACTTGAAGAAACTTCTTGATTAGGTTTTAATAGGAAAGTTTCGGTCGTATACGGTGCTAGGATTGCTTCTTTGTCTTGGTTTGCTGTACCTGTCTTTTTTATGAATGACTTTTGGGTATTGTGACACAAGGCTAGTTAGTACTTAGGGCTTCTGGCGGACTAGAAGACGCGATATAATAATGCCGTTGCCCTATTATTTTGAATTTGACTATAGCTCTACCGCTATATGTACCTGTCGGCATATGTGGGGCCTTAGGCCCAGATTGCTATTTTGAATTCTGCCTGCTTACTAAGCAACCTCCCCTGTTTTACCGCGGAGGAACACTATCTTGTATCCTCCTTTCAATACATCTTTTCTGCACCTTTACTGCTGTGAAACATCATCATGTTTACCCCGCCTGATATATCAGATTGATCCTCAACGATCGCATCAACATTGCCTATCCAGGCAAGAGACTACGTAACACTCCAAAATGACCTCGAATGTTCTTGATTTCCTCATGTGATATTTGCCATGTACCCCATGTTATAGATTGCACCCTGATTCCTAGTTAGAATGAACAAGTTTGACATCTCTTTTATCTCAGGAAGAATTACCTGGCATAGTAGACCATCTGAATCAACCTTCCACTGCTTGATTCTTCTGTCTGACCAGCCGATCGTGTTCTATCTTGATTCGTCTCTCTTCCATAATCGTGGCACTAAGATTAGTGTGCACGAACGATTTCTTCTACGGTTTTATGCACCAGACGCATTTCCAACAACTACTCTTCCTATTATTTAGTCTACAGTATATTAACTATACATCCAAGCATTATCATTCTCACTTGCTTCGCGGGCGCTACGATTGCTACCGAAATAGTCAATCTACTACTGCCGGGTTTCCAAGGCCATAATTTGCAAGCAAACGTCTTAGATAAAGTAAGGCACCCCTTAAGCTTTAGGCTTTGAGGTAAGTTAAAATATATAGTCCAGCGAAGCTACCACATATCTAGTAAGCTGTCCGTAAACGGTAGATGCCTCTGATTGTAGCATTCTTAGTGATAGATTGACTGCAATTCTAGCCCTAACTTCTATCTAACTCATTGATATCGATAGCGAGGCAAAGTATGCGTCGCTAATATATACGAAAAATTGTAATTACTAGCTGATAGTCTATCTTAGCACGGCTCTCGTATCCTGCGATATTTCAGGGACCTCGTATACCTTCTGCTATGCTAAGGAAACCATTTCTGTACAGGGGACTCTAGATGCGAAAGACCTTAACTAGATGAATATTCCTGTAACTGATATACCGCCGCTTTCAACCTCAACCCCATTACCTTCTAATGCGGAAGGTATACTAGCCGATGTTCCGGAGCTGCCTCCACACGAATCAAAGAACGCTGTATTAGCAACTAGATAGACTTGGATTGCCTATAGCTCTTTGGTTTTGCTAGGCTACTTGATTAAGTCATATCATATCTGTTTGGTTAATGGTCGCTCCAATATCTATCTTGCAGTTTAAAGGGGCATGTGTTACGATCCATATGTGTTTGGTTTTTGATGCTAGTATTCATGCCTGGTGCCTACGGCATCCACATACTAGTTAACTAACTATTACATGGCTCTCTAGCCATTTTCCTTCTTCTCTCTCTCTCTCTCTCTCGTGCTTAGTTGATTCGTGGAATGCTACCTTCTTGATTTGATATCCTTGTGCCTGGGCGTAACAGCATGTAGGCATGATTTGTGCTGAGATAGCCGTAGAATATAAATGGAGCTGACTCAAAAGGTGTAGTAAGCGTATTACGACTATCACCAGTCCTCGCCAAAGAGTTCTATAGGTACAGTGGAGACCGTTATTGCCTTCCATGTAGGAAACATTGAGATGCTATTCCAAACCCTAATCACATGATGCGCTAATCCCGATATGGCTATTCTTGTTTTTAAAGATCTGTTCCAAGATTACAGGGTATGCTAAACACGTAAAAAATCGAGTTAGCCGTATGTTCACGTATTGGTACGTCCCTAAATACAGTGACAACGCAAACGTTTGGACACCCTGGGACCCACATTGATTATATAACATTCTGCCGGTCGTAAACCTTCCTCCAGCACTTCATGATATCGATAACTCTCTCAGAAACCTAACTCATGCAGCCCAGTAGGCTCTGGTAAGCACAAAAGTGGGTGGATTATCAAAAACTCATGATAATACCGCGCTGTATACATCTCTCCGTGTTTCTAGCTCCGAGATTTGGAAAGCGGTATGTCACTGTCCTAGACGGTCTGGGGTTGGAGGGTGTCCAAACTTTTGCGTAGTCACTGTACAGACCACTCCCACCGTAACATCGTCACAACTCAAGCGTCCACACGTGGGCTCCAACAGCATCCTAACCGCTGCAAAATGGCACGAAACCTGGCTTGCTGGCAGCGTAAAAGTGCATATGATAGAATACATCAACAAATTGTAATATAATTCCAGCAAAAGTTAGCCATATCACACTAGCCAATTTTGAATAGCAGTTTTGCCTTCGGGCTAAATGCTTGTAGTACATTAGAGCGAGGGATCTGCAACACATCCAACATTGACAATTCCTCCCTATCAAACGTCGTCAGCTCTCTGAAACAGACCACAAGAAATAGGTTAACCCTACAAAATGGCTTTCATGACAGCAGGCGGGTTGCTTCTCACAATTTGACCCAACAGCAGAGGCGAGAATAGGAGTACCTGTAACAATGAAAATTCGTCTTTAGCTGCGAGTTGGAGATAACAAATAAGTAAACCTGAAATTTGCCAGCCTACATTGTATGCCGGTAAGCAATTTCCCAGCTACTTCAAGGCCAAGTGAGCTGAAAATTTTTGCCACCTCGGGTGAATCGCTGCGTTGCAAAGACTCGCAGCACAACTGTTGCCCGACGTCACATTTTGATGGTTTTGGCGTTCCAGTCAACGGAAAGGGATAGGGCGACGCGGTAACCGAAGAGCCCGCTATCAGGCTAAGAGCAAGCAAGACAGAGAACATTTTGGAAAATATAATCTTTTCTAGATCAGTGTCCTTAAGAAAACTGATAAGCTGGGTTTTATGGTGCTTAGACCTTGAAATGCCCTTTTCGTGAACTAGATATAGAGGGGAATGAACTGGATTATTATGCTTAAAAATTTCGAGCATATTATTGGTATTGTAGGAGTCTGAAATATGTGACCTTGCTAGCTTTTTTCTTGGAATGTGTGACCATACCGGCCAAAAATTAGATTGTCTAATATTTTGCTAGATTGCCCCTTACAGGCTGAATTTAAGCTTTAATGTTCCTTTATCTCCCCTCTGGTGGTAACCAGGATGTTTTGTTCTTTACATACTTACCCCTTGTTAAAATGCTCAACGGTGTCACCGCTTGCAATGCCCTAGTAATACTGTAACGTTAGCTAGTAGAACATGTATGTATCTGAAAAACATTCTATCATTCTTTCGAAAGGAACCCAAAGTACCGCCGGCTATAAAAGGTAGCTAGTACGAATTAATATTCTAGCCACAAGCAATATCTTCACTATTTCTCATTTTCACACCATATTCTGCAAAGATGATTTATTGCCGCCTTCTTCTCACGGTAGCAATGGTTTATACAACCGCATACTGCTCGCCTACGCAGCGACATGCGTCGCCAGCTACGCAAACGCACTCAGCCCCACCAGTGTCAGAGTGTAATACCGGGAATCAACTTTGCTGTAATTCTTTACAACATCCCAATTCCCCCGAGGTGTTTTCTCTTGCTCAGTCTCTTGGATTGAGCCTTCTCGATAAGGCAATGGTCGGAATTGACTGTACGTGTTTATTTTCTATCTTAACATGAAGGCACGTAGTGATACAGCGAGCTAACCTGCTCTAGGTTCTCCTCTCGCAGCTGTGGTTGCCGGAGGGTCAAGTTGCAGCCAGCAACCCGTATGCTGTGATAAAACCGACTTTGTGAGTTTATGATATCCTTTACCTCTAGGTTTTCCCGGAAATAGCTAATATTGATTGAAATGAAGAACGGCCTTGTAAATGTAGGATGCGTTCCATTGAATATCGTCTTGTAAAATGAATATCTCTTCATCTGACCTTCAAGGGTGCATAAGGGTGACGAACATGTCTTAGATCAAGATTTTACAAGACTATAACATGATAAGTATTGATGACCATAATATATACAGTACACCTGCGAATGCTCAGTAAAACGGAATCGTTCGTATAGTATAAGTGTTTGAATCCGTTAATATATTCATCCGAATTTAGGTAATTCCGATACCCGCATCCGTTGCAGTAGTGCTAGACGGGCTCAAAGTTCCGTTCACAGGAAGCCAGACAACGTTCAAGTATAAATTCTTAGCCACAATAAAAATCAATCAAAGCGGGTATTGGAATATAGCACAGCAAGACCCTTGAATCAGGCAAGGCGATTAGAGAACGCTAGACATAAGGAAGTACTTTGCTTATTTTTTGTCAAAACTAGAAGCTTAACGATTACACAGGGTAGAATATTGTATAGGACTACCGCGCCCATATAATCCGACGGCAGTAGGTATATCAAGACTGACGTTCAAGAAACCATTTTATTGTGTTGCATCATAGGCCTATTTATTCTAAGTCTATAGATCTTCCTTGAAGCTCGTTCTTGGCGCAACACAAATCGAGAAGCGCTCGTCAAGTCTAAAGGATATATAGAACCAACGCCCACATTTGAGTAGTACTGTAGTACTATGCTACATTAGTTGGACTATTTCTCTAGTCCAAGATCTAGCGGCAAAATTAGCAGTGGTAGCAGTGGTCGCGCGACGGAGGGTGATTCTCAACCGCTCTCACCCGGATTCTCACCCTGTTGATTGCGTGGTCACCGCACTCACCCCTAGTCGCGCGACCATAAAGCAGCGATCATCCGTTTCCCCACCAAGCTAAACTACCTTATTTGCTAGGATTGGCAAATGGTGCGTGGCTTAAGTACGGCTGAGCGGACGGGAAGCCCTGTTCTCCACACCCTATGGTCGTATGTACTAGAAACCAACTCAAACCAAAATATATCCTCTAAAGCCTTTTAATCTAATATATAGAACACTGCTTTTACGTCACGCGACCACGGGGCGAGAAGGTTGAGTACGCAATACACAAGAACAAATCAAAGCCCTCACATTCCCGTAGCCGCCTACCACACGCACGATCTCGACGCTCTATTGTTGAAGCTGCTCCCAGTATAACTCCCAGTATAACTGGTTTGTAAACTTTCGTTCTATGTTCTGTATCCTACAGATCTTTTGCATGATCTCACTCTACAATAAACCGAGGGTTCCAGCCTGTATCATTCATTGAGAGGAACTGAAGGTTTCTAAGGCCGGATAGGGAAAGGATCTTCGAGTTAGGCACAAGATGAATGCGTTTCGCGAGACAAGGACGACAAGGCAGTCACCGGATTCGGCAAAAGATCTTTTAGGAGACATGCCAACTTCTCTTCCTTTTCCACATCACGATAAGAAATTCTGATTTGTTAGATAATCTCAACAAGCCGCCCCAAGTCGTGTCATACTCTTCAGAATCTGGACCAGTTCAATCGGAGAATGAGACTCGTCCTTCTTAGTTTAGCACTTGCATTTGGCGCAACCATTGCCGCCCCAACGATGGAAATGGAAATACTTGCTCAAAAATCAGTGCAGTATCAGGTGAGATCTTCGTATCAATACTAGACTTTCACCGAACGTGGTGGGACTAATGAAGTTGTCATCATAGGATGCGCTTGTTTGCAGACTGATGAGTGCTTGTGCGCGTCGAGAGAGAGGGAAAGATCGATACCATGTGCAGTCATCAGCTTTCAGAAACCTGTGATTAGCAACTAACAGAGTAGAAAGCAGCCAGACTCAGAAAAGTCCTCATGCATCTATGACGATGCTTATCTGGGCTTTGAAACGGCAAAATAAATGCATTGACCAAGCATTTCTCCTTTGCTCGAAGGAAGAGTCAAAGCTCAGTTAATGTATCGTTTCCCTAAGGGATATTGAATATCATGAAAATACATGTCTCCATTAGGTCTTCAAAATGCCCTTCAGCGCCTCTTCTTTTGTCAAACCAGAACCATCGAGCTCTCCGAAGGCTTTCTTTGAGAGCCAAGAAACGGCCCTTCCACATGCGGGGTCCACATAAATAGTCCACAGATAGGAGGTATATATGAGTATTCCGTAGAACAAGGGTATGGCAATGACAAATGCCATGGCACTTCCTCGCTCGAGGTATTTTGGCTTTCCTTGCATATCCACTGGATGCAGTCCTTCTTTCACCGCCGAGTCTCGGTAAATCATCCAAGAGAGAATTGTGCGAATGAGTGTGTTGTGGATCAAATAAATGGGGAATGATATCCGTCCCAAGAAGTTCATCACCGGAAGAGATAGGATATGGCGGGCATCGCGAGAGAAGAACGCTCCAAAAGCGATAAATGCAGTTCCAACAGATATCACATAGCGGTTTATTTCGCCGCCACTGGGGACAAGCAAGCCTGCAACGGAGTTGACGAAGTTGCTCCATGGCATCCAATCTGCATGTTCCTCAGGGAAAGATGCAAGGAACAGCCCGACTAGAATCATGAGCGCCGAGATTGGCCTTGAGAGCATAGACGTTGCTCGTGGGCCGTAGTCTGCATTCAACTCAGCCAAGAGCATTCCCGCATACACGTTTAACTCCATGAGAGCTATTGTATTACCGAGTATTAGCTATGTTTTGAGATTGCTCGGCTGTGTATTTTGTACTTACCTTGGCCACCTGACCAGGCAAACAGGTAGAGGAAAATGATGATCAGTTTAGTATATCGCGGGTGAGTCAGAGTGGTACCCAAAAGGGTAATATAAACCAGCATAGACCCTTTCAAAAAGAATGGGATAGTCCAGTAAGTGTGGTCATATATTCCCACGCCTCCGTGCCAGAATAATGTCAGGTTTTGAAGAAGGCCACGTACTGCTCCCCCAAAGGTAGGCCCCGGTGGCACTGCACCCACTCTGATCCAAAATGAGTCTGTTTGAGCTGCCAATTTATATCCATGTAGTTGACAAACAACCCAACCCACGAATAGGGCAGCATTTGTAGGAGCAACAAGCCTGCCAGTTCGAATAAAGGTACTCTTAGACAAGTTCAGTAGCGCAAAACTGGCATCTCCATTACGGATATGTTTCCTCGTGCTGAAAGAGTTCACGTATCCAGTAATTAGGAAGAAAAGTGCCACAGCCATGCGACCACCGACGATGATTCGAATAAATGGGTATTGGAAAATGGAGACCGGGCCATTTTTCTCGACTGCGGGTGAATTGAGCCAATTTGCAAAGCACGAGCAAAGGTGATATGTTACGACGGTCAAGGCGGCGATGCCTCGAAGACCCTGGAAGTCACATTAGCTCAAGTCATTTGCAGAAACTTCTACTTAGACAATACTCACGTCCACCCAGTTATCAGCTCGTTTCATATCCGACATATCTCAGACTTGCCTGAGGTTGAAGAGCCAGGTGATTGACTGATAGAAACATTTTCTTTCGGTCTTGGACAAGCGAAAATAGTCATATTAGAGATCACAAGCTAATTTCCGAACGCAACACGGTCTCAGTAGCCTTCTCCGTATTTTCTGTCCTGCTTGTATGATTCCGAAAGAGGAAACACAAATTCTTGGCCCGAAATCAGGTTACATGTTGTATTTCAAGAACAGTAATGCCAAAAAAAAGGTCCAAGAGAACACAAGTAATCCTATTGTCGCAAACAGGGTTAAGTATTAAACCATTGTCCCGAAGATTTTCCATGCCTGACAATGTCGGACATAAATTGTGTCGTTGTGTGATAGAACCTCGATAATTTTAAACCTGTGAACTCTCTTCAATCTAAGAGGTCTAATATTTGCCCTTTATGTTTTTATGACGTTTGCAATGTCGTCCACCGAGAGGCCAGGAATGCTTTGTCTGGCGCACACCTCGGAGCTCTCTAAAGTCGACCCCACATTCCTGACGGTGGCCAGCATTCCAACGGACCCTGCCGCACATGGAACCCTTCGAACTCTCTCTTCTGGGCTGAATTGGATATTATGGTGAATCAAACCAGAATTACTGTATAATTTATGTTCAGTACACTTCAAGAGAAGGGCGAGGGTCCGCAATGCTATAATCATGAGACAGAGCTCACCCACACATAGTTACAATACTGGGATCAGATGCTCCTATAAGCTTATAATACGTAGGTCGTTCTGTGTTTCTGTGTTCCTCAGATGGAACTTGAAATTGAAAAAATAGGATGCCATTAGGAATGTCTGACAGTCATGATCTTTCACCACCCTGAAAAGCCTCAATCTCGGCAGTGCCATCGTCCAACTTCATCTTCACAGACTGCGGGACACCGACCTCTTCTCGCATCTTCCAGTACTTGGCCCAAGAACTTTCACATATCGGATCACCACCACAGCCAGCAAAATGAACGATGTGATCTCCAGGTTGCCAGTGTTGCCCAAGCGCATTGTAATCCGGGTATGAATTCATCGAGTGCTGGGACATGCAGGCTGTATGATTCCGAACGATCTCATGGTACTGCCACATGTGTGTCCAGCCGTCATTTTCGGGGAACACCCAATTCTGGGATATGTAGAGTGGTTCGATCCACAGGTCTAGCAGCCATTCGCTCCATTCGCCTCTTCGCATGAGGAAATTACCCACATTCATACCCCAGTAGTCCATTGAAATGACAAAGTTGATATCGTCAGGCTGATATGTTGCCGGGCTGCGGTAGCCAGTCTCGCCACCACCGGCTCCAGTCATTGGGTGATCAAGGAGAATGTTGCGAGCTATTCCTTCTGGTGATAAGACATGATCATGAATGCTGAGCGACATATTCATGATAATGATATCGATGTCCATCCACCAGACCCATTCAGCATCGGGGAAGCGAGCGAAGGCGTCTTGCAAGATGGGAATTTTGTTCCAGTAGATTGGGGCGCCACTGGGTAGGTTGTAGCTGGTCATGTTTGCCCACATGAACTCCAGTCCGTGTTTCTCGGCATAGGTCATGCGATTCTCGTATACCATTTCTTTGATATGTGGCATGCCCAGCATTCGATTATTGCCTGTGCTTCCTGTCACCATGACAATCTTCTTCTTCGAGGCTGAGCCAAATTCCGACGAATGAGTAGGACTCTTAGCTGAAGTGGCCTCTTTGTTGTAACCAACACTCCCCACAGAAGTTCCCGTGTAGAGACTTCCAACGCCATTCGTAACTTTGTCGTAGAAGTTCGAAGACGGGCGCCAGGCTGGCCATTGAAAGGTGAATATATTCCAAAGGAGCTGGGCAGTGGTGGTCAGCGAATCATAACAAGGTAGATTATAATCAGATACTCACCACACAGCTGAGGATGAGAGTGATGGCCACGAAAGGCCGTGTCAAGGCTTTGAATCCCATGTTAAAAGCCCAAAATAATGTCCTGATCGGCGTTAGCTTTGGGATTCAGTAAAATTTCTAATTTACGCACTTTTTGAATGTGATCAACAATCAGTCGTGAGTTAGGTTCGCGCGCTGCAAAGCTTCGACCAACCGAAGGCCTGCAGAATCGGTCGAAGCTTAGCAATAATCAGGCGGTGATGGGAACCGGAGAGTAAGCTTTTATTCAAGATATGATTTTCACTGATTATTGTTTTGATAGGCGTGATCTGATGCATTGAGCTTGTAGTTTATCCCTTTCACCTTCCGTTTCCGGTTCCGGTGCTAACTCAGGGGCACGTTAAGAGAGAGCGCACTGCATCGCAAATCTCCTGCATGAAGAGGGACAGAAATAATAAATGTACCTAGAAATGAATCTCATTCTAGATTGAGGCTTCAATCAATTATAGTCTCTCTTCTTCCAAGTTTTTTCAACGACTTTGTTTTGAAATTTGTGAGTATTTGGCTGTGCTTTGCTGGACAAACCGCGGTTGGTAGGAGTCAAGGGGTGAGCCGTGGTGGGCCGCTTCCGGGCGATTGGACTGGACTGTCCTTGACAATTCAACAACCAGAGTTAATGCAGCAAAACACAAATGCGAAAACAAACTGAAGTCCAAATGCATCCGTTTATCTTGTGCTTACAATAATCCATGGCACATTTTGGTACATTAGAGTCACTATGACTCTCCTGACTCCACAACTCTCCTCCCATTTCCATCTCCATTTATCCACATTGTCCTGTCTCTTCTGCAGTCCCATATTTTCTTGTCGATGTTTTTGCAATCACTACGATGAGCTTCACACGAGTGACGCGCCGAGGTCGTATCCTCTTCGTGCTGTCTCTTGTTGTGCTCTCTATCTGGTATTTGGCAACCCGGACCGGGCTTAAGCAGAGAGCACCCTCAGTCAATGACGTACAAGTTGCATACTCGCACCGCACCAACGAGCATGTCAATTTCTGGCGAGAATTCCAGCCGCTATTACTGGCATATGAGCCGCAATGCATGCCTCCTCGTCGTCTCGGAAATGCGCCTGCAGCTGGCTTCAAGCCAACCGACCCGATCGCTCGACCGGAGCTGTTAAAGATGTCTTCCAAGGAGGTGCTAAGAATGAAGAATGCACACAGCGACTTCGTGAGAGCCATCAATACGGATACACCTGAGTTATCCTATATACCAAAGAGTAAGGGCTTGGTGACAACAGCAGGAGGCTCATACCTACCGGTTCTGGTAGTCTCACTGCGCATGTTACGTCGCACGGGCTCAAAGCTCCCTGTGGAGGTTTTTCTGGCTACACATGATGAGTACGAGGAAAATATTTGCGATAATGTCTTGCCATCACTGAATGCCAAATGCATTGTCATGACAGACATTATCAACGCTGTCCCGGGAGCGGTCAAGATTGAAAAGTATCAGTTGAAGCCATTCGCGATGATATTCTCCTCATTTGAGGAGATTTTATTCCTTGATGCCGATGCCTTCCCAATTTCCAGACCCGAGTCCTTGTTTGAGAACGAGCCCTTCAAAAGTACCAAGATGGTCACTTGGCCAGACTTCTGGGCCTCATCTGCCTCTCCATTTTACTACGAGATTGCATCTCAGGAGGTAGTGTCGATGAATTCACGGCAGTCAACAGAGTCTGGTGAACTTCTCATTTCTAAGAAGACTCATTTAAAGACTCTTTTGCTTTGCACCTACTACAATTTCTGGGGACCTACGCACTATTACCGTCTTCTTTCGCAAGGTGCAGCAGGAGAGGGCGATAAGGAAACATTCATCACTGCTGCAGCAGCACTGGGTGAACCATTCTACCAAGTCAGCGAGCCTATCTGCGCGATGGGACATCGCACAGAAGGCGGGCTTGCAGGATCAGCAATGGTTCAGTTCAATCCCATCGAGGACTACAAGCTCATCCAAAAGGGAGAGTGGCGCGTAAATGGGTCAAAGGCGTTGGCTCCTCATCCCTTCTTTATACACGCAAATTTCCCCAAGTTCAATCCAGCAACTGTTTTCTCCAAGGAACATGCTGTCAAGCCTGCTTTCAATGACGACTGGTCATATACGCGGGCTTGGACAATCCCAGAAGAGACCATCAAAGCCTTTGGTCGTGACGTCGAGAAACAGTTCTGGGCGGATATACTCTGGACTGGATGTGAGCTGGAGACACAGTTTGAAAGCTGGGCAAACAGCACTGGCATTTGCAGCGGTGTGAAGAAATACTGGGACGCTCAGTTTGGATCAGAAGATCCAGCCAGTGTATAATAAGGGTGTCTTTCTCAAAGTGTGAAGCAATGATGAGCATGGGGATTAATCTAATCAGCGATAGAACAAATAGGTCTCCGAGAAGGAGAGACAAAAATTCATATATCATGTCTTCATGTTGATCAGTCGTTGGAGTGCCTTTTCTTGTTTTTGTTATTGTTGCTCGTAATGAAGCAATGTTATGAACACAATCATGCGTCATAAGGCGTCGTTTTCCGCATAATGTAGATCTGGCCGACGAGGACTGTACATCCAACGGCCATGGCAATGGCAATAATAGGGAGATTGACTCGTGCAAACTCGATGCTCCCAACGCGAATATGTTTTCTCCCTAGGATATCACGCCACAGAAGACCAGCAAGCGATGCGCTAAACGCGGTGCTGAAGGCGCCGTAATTAACACCGATGGCCATGCTGTACACAGACGCCCAGAAAGTGCGGTCGCTAATTGGAATTCCGCTGTCGCGATGAATCTGTTGCCATGATTGAATGACCCGGGAAAGGAGGATAGTCGTGCCAATGTTTGTTCCGGCGAACTGATGGTCAGAAAACAGGCGGTTAGTACGTAACACATTCATGGAAATTCCATCGCAGCAGTACTTACGTTGCAAAGAATCACGGACAAAAAGCCCATTCCCCCAATTGCTCCTACTGTCCCTGTTCTGGTGACCCAGTGATCCCATCCATAGGCAAATACAGGCACCCATCCCTTGGTGACGAGTGCCTGGACAAGAACGAACATGGATAGCGCGAACGGAACAAGTGGAAATGGCATATGCGAGACCACCACAGTGACGGTTGGGAAAGTCTCCTGCAGCCACCGGTGGAGGTCTTTTGCAAGAGATACCAGTGTTTGAGGTGAACTTTCTTTTAAATCCGCAGTGTCCCTCTTTTCCTCATCTACCGCAAAAGTGGGTGTCACTTCCAAAGGCTCAGGCGAAGTGTTGAGGGTGGGCTGATAAGAGCTATCCATTACCGCGACGGACACCGGCATTTTTGGGAAGGGTTCATCTCCCGTGTAGTCCAGGTCTGATAGGCGTTTCTCCGAGTCATCATGGAAGGCTCGCGTGCCGCTGCTGCTTTCTGGGTCCCCATTAGAGACTCTGCCGCCATCCATCGAACTGCGAGATGAACCTTGTAGTGAACGCCCCTGAGTATCCGATCGAACACTAGCAGTTTCATGCTGCTCTTGCAGATTCCGAAGTGATTCTTGACGTTCTCTCTCCGCCCTCGCGAGTTCCACTTCTCGTCGTCCCTTAGCGGCAATCTCGCGCGTCTCGTGCCGATGGATCCAGCCAGACGCAAGATCCCAACAGAACATGATAAAGGCAGCTGGCAGGGTGACCCAAAATACGGGATGCTCCGAGCCAGACTGACTTGCGGCGTTTATCGCAAGAAGGGTAATGAGAGTCACGGCCATAATAACCGCGCCAAATGCAGCACCTCCTTTGTCCAAGAATGGATTCATGATTTCTTCGAGGGAAAGCAATTTTCCATGCTCGTTGTTCATCTCTTCCTCTTCTTCAGCGTTGCCTCGTGCGTGGGGGATATTGGGGTTGACTGGCTTCCTATTTTTTGCTTCATCGGAGAGCTCGTGCATTTGAATGGAGTAAGGAATGAGAGACTCATCAGCGAAGATGATGTACAACAGGAAAGGGAATATAACGATGGCCGTGGCTATCACTGGGACGATCATGTTGGCGGTATACACGATAAACTTGATCTCGAAAGCGCCTGCGAGCACCAAATTTGTCGGGTTTGACGAGACCAGGATCGCCGATGCGATATTAGCCACCGCAAACTGGCTGTGAATCCAGGCCCTCGGGTGCACAATATTGCTCGATACTCGGGTCATGTAGGCAAGGAAGGCTGTACCGGACAAGATGATAGGATCATTACCGATAAAGCTGCCTAGTCCGAAGAAGAAAGCGTAGAGGTAGAAAAACAGCCGGTGGCCGACTCCACCTCCTCTTTGGAGCACCTTGAATGCCAGCCATCGAATAAGACCAGACGCGTCAATGGAGATGGCAATGTAGGCAAGCGTTAGGAAGAACGCCATAATATCGATCGGAGAAATGTTGTCGGCACCAATTGTTCCATCATGTACCTCTTGTCGTCCAATGGCAAGAATAGCCAACAAGAAAAGATCGGCTGCCAGGGGAGCAGTGACGAAATTGAGAGGCACATTGATTCGGACGAAGATGCTTCGCTCAACTTGGTATTGTGGATACAGTTTGCGAGAGGGGATTATGCGCAAAGCACTGAGGGTATCTAGCGTCGCGTTGTAGAGCCATCGTGGGATGTAGATTGGTATGGTGAATGGAAAAAGCACGATGATATCTATGCGACGGAGAACACGCGATGAGTACCAACTTCAAAAAAGACTTCTCGGGCTCTACTCGCACTTACTAGTTATCACAAAGACAATAAGAGTTATTATTGATCGCCAGTCTTTGATCTTGCTCGTATCCAGATCTTCGGCCATTGTAAGCCGATTCCCTCCGTTGGGCGTGGAGTGAGATTTGAGATGTTCGATCGGCTTCTGGGAAATTTTCAATCGCGACCGCGAACCAAAGCGCGTCCACAGGCCCTACCCATCACGATCGAAGGATCATAGTCAGACTCTTATTGCACTTGAGCTACTGTGTCGAGGTGTTTAAATACCAAAAAGTCAAGGAATCAAAAGCCTCGTACGTCAGAACGATCGCTCAAATCAGTTCCGCATTTTCTCGCCCACGATATTTCAGAATAGAAGCGTCGCGTGGGCCTAGGTGCTTCACTATTCGGTTGAAGACTCGCCCTAGCTTTGTCGAAGTTGATCTTGGTATGGTGTATCGATGATTTCCCGACCAGCAAAAATGGATCAACGTAGAAAGAGGAATGTGAGGGGCTCGTGTGCTGGATTTCCCATCCTAGACACTCTTGAGAACGATGTAGAGAGATGTTGTCGGCGTGGGGTGGCTAGCGCATTCGAAGGGCTTTATTAAAACTTCCACAGTGAAGTTGTTGGTAGGCTGAGCCTACGAAATTTGTGTAGCCCTGTCGGTGGGACAACTTGGCGCTCCAAGGGCACTGACTGTATCTAAGCCCCCAGTCCCCCCTCCAGAATCGGAGGCAATCAGGATTCTCCGAAAGACACGGGATGGGTTTGCTCCATTTGATTAGCCTAAGGTCGGACTGGAGCAAACTTCGCCCCGTGGAAAAGACGGTCAATAAGCCTCCGAGCAAAGGGCCCAAGAAAAAAGCCAAGACATTTAGCTTCCTCGAGCATCAAAAACCCCGCACATATCAGGCCAGCCTCCACGCATTTCTCGGTGAAGATCCATAGATGTTACACTACTAATGTACTGCGTTGTACTCCGAGCAGCTGGTAAACAGTCAAAGAAAGACGGCAGGATGGGCGGCCTTGATTGACAGATCTGTGGGATATCTCTTGGTATTACTCTCCCCAACCTGAATTTTCTTCAAGATCAACGGCTAACTAACCAACCTCTCTCTCGATAGCCCAAAGCGAAAGCAGCGCCATGCAGACACAGCCACGATGCGGGATGTACAGCCATACCAATCAGGAGGGCCGCAAGGTGCCCGGACTCGTATCGAACGCCCGACCGGCGAGAGTTGGCCAGACGACCATCACGGGAGCACTTCCCATTTCGAGGGACATGTTGGACTGCCAATCGATCGCCGGGTCGCATTCCAATCCAGTCTACCGAGGCTTCTGAAGCAAGGAAAATGAGGCTCATGGCTGCCACTGACCAACCACTACGCAGGGAGGGACGTGCCGAACGGGCGCTACGGGCCAAGTTCAACCCAGGTAGAACGACGCATCACAGCGATAAATCTCGCCCCAGAGCTTCTTTGCTCTTCAAAACCCCCATTCATTAAGCTATTGCAGAATGAGGAGGGCAAAATAGTGTCGTCGGGATTTAGCTTATGACCTTTATATTACTTCCTCTACCTTTGATCCACTTCTAGGGGGGCAAATGACAAGCAGCTAGCAATGCCAGCAGTCCCCTCCGCCATCGAGCTGCTAGGAAACTCCCTTGTACATCGCAGCACCAACATAACCTCGCCCAATGCCACGGTTCAAGTTCTAGAGGTTGTCTGCGCTTGGCCAGTTTCTGGGCAATATGGACCGGGAACTCGAGTTCTGTATGCTCCCTTACATGATGATCATACCCATTCTGCTCAGTGAATAGTTTCTGATACAAGGGACAGCTACTATGCCTCGATGGCAGCCTGTATTTTTGCGCGCAAATTGGAATGGATTCGCAGCGCTTGTTTGGCTGCAGCGCTGCTGTTCCCAGCCGTTGCAGCTCTCCATGGAATCGTTCTAGCGACTCTTCATCGAAATGGTAAGTCGCTATTGGTTGTGGTAGCGGTGAGATTGGAAGAGCGAACCTCTCTAGCGGTTTTATGTCAGTATCTAACTATCTGGCAGGCGCTGTCGATATGGATGTCTATGGCGCTTTCCAATTATGCGCCATTGGGATCCTTACAGCACCAGTGACGGTGCGACTCTCTAAGACTTATTTCAACAACCCTGGTCGCGACATCATATTCCTCTGGACTGGCCTCCTTCTGGCTGGGCTCCTAAGTTTGACTGTGGAGTTTATTCGTTTAGATGCCACAACTTGCCCGCCCGATGACCCAGCCTCAATTGCGTGGACCCTAACGGGTAAATTCTTTTATAACAGCACATGCGGCATGACTTGTGGCGCTGATGGCCCCTTTTCACCATTGAGACAGGACTCAGCGGACAACATCTACGTGATTCCGGTGCCCCACGAGCTCACCTTCAATACAGCGACTCTCCTCGCAGCAGCATGCTGCATTCCTGCTATCCTGTCCCTTGTATCAACCTGGATTAAAATCCTCGAGAAGAATTGGGAGAAAATATCTCCTAAAGATCGACCATATGAGAAATCTGATGAACAGCCTATTGAAGGCACCAATGGAGCAACGCCCAAGCAAATGACTGGAATTGCCAACAGAATACGAGGCTGGCTGACACTGATTGAGATCCCGGTGTTTATTGCAGCCGTACTGGCAATATTGATCAAGGGCGAGATGAATTTCTTCAGTCCTCCTGTCAAGTATCAAACAGAGCCCATACAAAGTATTGGTAATTCCCCCTTCAACTATCTGTCCAATCCAAGGCTGCCAATATTTGGGAGTAACATTTAAGCTAACAAAAACTCAAAATCATAGGCCAATGGGCACCGATTGTTGGTACAGGACTTGCTGTGATCGGCTCGCTGTACCTTTTACTCGCAGCTGACATGGAGGCCGAGGAGAACGAAAGCCAGGAACTAGAGACTCAAGCCCCTCAGTCAGATGGACGAGTTCCTACACAATGCCAAGCATGTGCAAGATGTCATCATCATACAATCTCAAATGAGATCACCGACAGGGACTCGGATTCTCCACGAAGCTCTCAAAGTGAGAGGGACCAACTTAGCACGGAAATTGGGAGAATAGCAACTGAGCCTTCAGTCTCCTCCACAAAGATACGCCGCGCTACTACAAATCAATCCATGAAGTCCATAGACACAGGTGGCAGACGACAAGTAGCTCGGCTTCTCAACCTGGCGAGCAAACAACTCGCTGCTAAAGCACACAATCACATGGAAGATTCCGGATTCAATGCTCAAGAAAAAATGAAATTTCCCGAAATCCCGGGCGAATTCCTTCGGAATGAGAAGTTACCCGATATTCAAAAGGCTTACAGCAACACGCCGCTGCCGCGATCAAGAGCTACCAGCTTTGTTGGTAGCGTTAGGTCTAACTCGTCTAATGGCGAGGGGAGCTCAAGGATACTACAGGGTCCGTTCCGACAATTATCGTTGCAAGTTCCACCTCCAGCACGCATGACTGGTCATCGGCCACACTCGAATACTCTTCCATCAAGAAGAAACTCCTTCGAATACACTATCCAGCAGAAAGGCACAATTACGCCCAGCTGGACTGAAGAACCAGGTAGCTTGGACGGGATGCCATATTTTGAACGACATCCTGCAAGCCCTTCGCCGAACACTGCGCCTACCGATTTTCAGGTTAGCCTGAGTACACCTCCATGTCCTCAAGATACAGCACCCCAAATTGTGGTTTCTTCAAGTAAAGAAGAGCAAGAAGAGCAAAAGGGGCAAAAGGGGCAAAAAGATTTGGACTGAGTTATCTGATGGTGAACCTGGCTGTGTCTATCACGAGAAGAAGAACGGGCTCGACAGGACACGATCCCGAGTAGTTGTCCTAGAAGCTTGTTAAGATGCAACTACGAGCAGTATACATGACACGTGAAGGAATTCGGGATAGAGATACCGGGAGATTCACGAATCGTTGCTGTAAAAATATACATTTTGGTAATATTAGCGTTAAATACGCATGGAACGGAAATTACCAATTTATCAGGAGTTTCAATTCACCATCATTCTAAACTCAAAAACGCAAAACGCAAATAAAAACATAGAATCAAACGATGCCAACTCCCGCGAGCCAACTCTCCGCCATCTCATCAAAGTTGGGACTGTACAACCACGCCAGGTCAAACGACTTAGTGTCCAAGTCTGAAGGGGTAGCCTGAGGATTCTTTGGCATTCTCCGCGCATCAATCTGTGCATTGAGGTCGAGAACTCGGTCAACTCTCTCTTGTCGACCCTTCTGCCAGACTTTCAACCCCTGCTCCAAGTTGTGCTGCTGGCACTTCGAAAGTATCAAGGCATAAATATAGACATCCTCAAAAGCCTGATTGATACCCTGTCCAGCTGTCGGGGGAATAGCATGTGCCGCATCACCAAGTATCACCACTCGAGAGTGCTTAGAGGCCCAGGTGTCAAGCTTAGGTACCATATGGAACGGCCAAAGATTGATCTTGTTCAATGGAATGTTGGAGACGGACGATTGAACGATCTCTGGGAAAGATTCTGCTCCCTCTCGCAGGAATTCAATGCACCATTGCTTGTCGTTCAACAGCTTGTTCCATCCTTCACGGTCCAGCTCAGCTGCGCGCTTCTGTTTCCCAATCAGGACTTCAGATCCATCAGGGAGTTGCTTCGCAATCACAAAGGCGCCATGTTCGGGGTTCATAATCGTCACGGGCATTCCATATGCCTCCGTACCCGTGAGTTGACTTGTCGGAACGGCAGCGGTGACGCCCACCGCATTGGTGAATCGTGGCTCCAGATCCGGATACAAATACTTTCGGACGCGCGAATGGATCCCGTCCGCTCCAACAAGGCAGGCTGCTTGAGCAGTCTGTCCATCTTCGAATTCCCATGTGACTTCGGTCTCCGACTCGGTCAGAATCCGGGTAAACTTCTTGCCATACTCGATTGGAATGCCCTTCTCTTTGACCGCAGTAAGAAGCACATCGATCAACTCGTACCGGTGGATTCGCAGTGCGTCGTACTGGTATTTCTCTCGGTCTCCGAACTCATAAGTGTCGAGTGGTTTGTCGGTGTAGAAGTATAGATTGGTAAATTCAAAGCCACGAGGCTTGATCTTATCATAGATGTCGAGTGCGTCGAGGATGCGCAAGGCATTGGGGGAGAGCATTATGGCACCACCGATATCGAGGGAGGCTGAGCGGGCTTCGTAGATGGTGCATGGGATGGACTGCTTGTGCAGAGCGAGTGCCAGTGCAAGGCCTGAAAGACCAGCTCCGATGATTGCAACGTTGTTTGCGGCCATTGTGCAGTGAGAATGACAAACTGGACCTTTTGTATTTAATTGTTTTGTCTTGCTGGTTGATGAGGGTTTGTTTGTAGAAGTGTGTTGATTTCTATGGCAGAATTGGTGAAATACTGAATGTCTTTATAAAAGCTTCTGTGTTCTCCATGTGCCTTTTCTCATCGGACATCCTGATATTGTCTGATATTGCATCCTGCGGCTATCTCCGAAGATGTATGCTTGTCCGGCTGATATTGATTCGGATCCGGGGATCCGGATCCGAAATTCGGGCCCGGAAGGTACATCCATCTCCCAAGCGGACGAGCACAAACCACAGGAACTTGATAGGTAAACTACAAAGTGTATGAAAACCTATAGTATTATTTCTTTAGATTTCTTTAGATTGAACTGAATATTGAGCCGGTGTCTTAAACAGTGACACTACAATTCCTTTTTCGAATTTATTACAGACAGGAGAGGTATCAGTGAGCATTATCAAACATGAAACATACACAGAGAGAACAACCAGGCACCGGTTGTTTAGCATAACAACCCTCGAGTCGAGAAGTACTCGTCCAACTTGGACTTTAGGTCGTCGCCCTCGAATATCCCCGCAATATATTGATCCGGTCGCAACAAATATGCAGAACCTTCCTTGAGTCCAACTTTGCCATGCTTCTCATCCCAGTCAAAGATGGTTAACTGAACGTGTTTTGTCTTGCACCATTCTTCCAGCCCTACCAGAGAATCACCATAGACATGGACCTGCCAACAGATGTCGCGCAGAGTTGAAAAATTATCTTGTTGCTCAGTTTTGACCCATGGCAGCCGGTCACCCGGTTGTACTGCCTCCGAGCCTTGTGTTGTTTGGTTGAGCATGCGGTTACCTCTGTAGGAGCAGACAAGCTGGGATCCACGTCTGAAAATCTCCATGCGGACGGTCTCTAATCGGGTGACTAGTGGGATAAGATAGGGAATTACCCATGCACGCAGAATATGCGGAAGGAATCCCGAACTTGTGAGAACCGTGAAGCCATGATCCGTTGCGCCGACAACATCTAACGCAAATGAACGCCGTTCCGGTTCGTAGGTATCCAGAAGGGCATTTTTGGCCTCTTCTGTCATTGAGGGGTGTTTGATCACAGTTGCCAGTTTCCATGCCAAGTTGATGGCATCCATGATGCCTGTGTTCATGCCCTGGCCGCCCACTGGGCTATGAATGTGAGCAGCGTCTCCGACAAGGAAAGCTCTGTTGCTGCGGAATTTATCTGCCACACGGTGGTGGCTGCGGTATGTGGAGAACCAATTGACTTTTTGAATCTCGATCTTGGATGTTTTCTTGATTTCTGGGAGCACATCCTCAAAAGTGACTTCGTGTTGAGACTCCGAGATATCGGTCTCCTGGGTTCCATTGGTCTTTGGAATTGTCGTTCCAATCAATCGGACATGGCGTTCTTCGACGTAAGGGAGAATCAAATTGAAAGTCTCGTCGACAAAGGTCAAATGAGCTTCGCCGTTGAACAGCGGACTATCTTGCTCTTCGGCTACAATATCTGCAATATAGAAGAGCGGCACATAAGTGCCACCCTCGTATTTTGCACCAATACCATGTCGAACCGCCGAATGGGCGCCGTCGCACCCAACAATATAGGCCGCTTCGCAGGTAGACTCATGTCCGTTCGCAGATGCCAACGTCGCAGTGATACTTGAGCCATTATCCACGAACTTCTGTAGCTTCGTTTTCCTCTCAACGAAGATACCAAAGGAGTTCAGCCTCTTCTCAAGCAAGCGTTCATGCTCGTCTTGCGGGAGGGTAAGCAGGTAGGGATATGGGGTCAGCCCTGTACCGAATTGTCGCAGGTTGATATGGGCTCTGTGAGAACCATTAACCCATACATTGGTAGCAGGTAGCTGATAGCCATGCTCTATGAGCTCATCAGCCAGGTCAAGTTGATGATATAGCTCTAGAATGCGGGCGTGCACGGCGAGCGCGCGCGAGTTGGGGGCGGGGCCTTCTCCCTGGTCAACAATGCGGATTTTGACGCCCTGGACGTGAAGCCAAAGAGCAAGAACAAGGCCAGTTGGCCCTGCTCCAGCAATCAGAACATCCGTCTCGGGCATTTTTTGGAACCAGGATGCCAAGCCAAGAGGAAGAAAAGATGTGGTCGATCTCGATCAGATAAGATCTATAGGGAGGGAATATACAGTAAGAAGTCGCAGAGGATATCATCAAGATATTTATGGGAAGTGAGGAGACACTACTGTATTGCGGCAACCTGCTAGAATTTCATTGCAATAAGGCTACAGTGTCTGCGTGTTCAACTCGTGTTCGAACTTCGGGCCGCCTAACCACCGACCCCGAGCATTCGAACAGAGTAAAAGATCAGAAAAGTGCCCGCCGATCGGCGCGAGGCTCCATCAAGCCGAGCCTGTGGTCCGCCTTAAGAATAGAATAGTTGTCAGTCGTCGCGGTGCAACGCTTATCCTGGTTGTGCGACAGCAAGTTTATCGTCAAAGGATTCATCGCTTCGCCCTAGACCACCCGATATTACCCGTCAGTCATATGACCGACGTTTGGCCGCCTTATCCCAGATCACACAGACCCCGGCATCAACGTCATGTCGTCAACCAGTGACTCCTGGAACTGATTCAAGAGGTTATCCCATTCGCTCCAGTCCATTGGACTATCACCCAGGAGAAAGTCCATATTTTCAGTTCCGGTCTCGGCCGGGACATTGGATGCATATTGGCCTTGCGGCTCTTGAATCGGAGCTCTATTCGCGTCCACCCGGGCATTTTCATCGGCAATTTGCGCTTCTGTAGAACCGTTGGAAGTATTTAACGCGCTTTGCACCACCGTCGGACAAGGCCTTGGTGTGCGGCCGTGCTGGTTACACTCATCAACGTAGGCTCTCCATGCCTTGACAAACAAGTTTTGGAGAGCCTTATGAAGAGGCATCTGAGATTTCTTTCCCATCTGTCGGACATGACGGCCATAGATACTGCCAACAAGTTCCCAAACTCTATCCTTTTCCTGTGGGTCGGTTCTGTTTCGCATCTCAGACAGCATAAAGATCATAGCATCCCATGGCATGTGATTGACCATGTGCCATGAGAAGCGCTGGACATCGGGATTCGTCTGAGCATAGTCGGCATACTCTGCCATCTTTAGGCAATGCCCAAAGATGACATCCTTCTCAGACTGGGGTATACGAGCACCCGAGTCATGATAATGGCGAGGATGATGCGCCATCAGCCTAGTATAACGACTGGCCGAGCGTACCATCATTGAGGTAGCCAGATGGAGAGGAATCGACTGATCACAATACCTCAGGAACTTCTGCTCCATGATATCTTCCAACTCATCGATACACTTATCCTTTTCGCTCAACGACAACTTTGAGGAGGTCAGGAAATCCCAGGTAGAACCAGAGCCGCCGGCAACAGTGTTCCAGCGATGGAGCCACTTTCCAAACTCATTGCGAGCAAGACAGAAAATCATCTCAGACGGACCTTCCTTCTCGCATGCGGGCTCTGTCATGCGCGGATCAAGGTCACTATCGTTCGCGTTCATTGGCGGTTTGGCGTCAGCTGTGTGCACGAACGGGCCCGCAGCGACTCCACAGAATTGGGCTGACGTCGCGTCTAGAATCATGAGTTGGAACCAGATGCGGCGTCGCATTTCAGTCTCGAAAATTGAGAGCCCATAACCAGAGCCGTCGCGGTGGATGCCAATCCTCTGTGCCATTCGTAATGCAATGCCACTCAAAGACCAAATCGTATATGGATCGGAGAATGCTCGCATCGACAACTAGTAGAACAAAAATTAGTAGATACAAGGCGTTTATGTAGAGAAATATAACCAACCAAGTAGAGTATGAATGCTTGAAGAACCACTGTACTTGATGTGCGAAGGAAGGAGGCATTTCTCAATGCCTGCTGTGCTCCTCGTCGGCATCTTGAGAGAAGCTTCTTTTTGCTCTCGCCGAATGCCTTCTCGACGTCTCCAGCCTGAAGGGATGTCAAGGCGATGCAATAGATAGAAAACATCAACGCTTCAAACTCCTTGCGGACTTTTTTCAAGTCACCCATGGCTTCAAGAATCTGCTGCTGAACAGTTGGGGCATGCACGATCTTCGTCAATGGGTTAACCCTTTCCAGAAACGTCTGCCATAGCTTGAATATGTGTAGCGGGTTGGGATGCAATTCAGCCATGCCTTCTCGCGTCTCATGGCTCAGAAGAAGAGATGAAATATCGTCTTCATCCTGATATGCGTTGTCGCTGTTATCATCTGCTGCATCATCATCTAGGACTTCTGCGGCATCTGGGAGCTAGAAGCCAGCGTTAGAAGAGAAGAGAACACCCCAAGAATGAGTGATTAACAAACCTCATGGCTTACACTCGTCCAGAGAGTACTGTATATGTTCGTATTAGCCAGGAAATTCTAGTGAATTGGCCACGAGATCACTAACTCATCAAGGTACACTGAGTTGCCTTCTTTCATTATCATCCTCCCGGACCCGCTTCGGCTTTGTTCGGCACCATTTGACAAATTCCTGGCGGGGGAAGTATTCTGAACTGCACTTCCTCCAAAAGAAGCTTCTCTGCTGTTCCGACGAAACGACTTTTCGCGTTCTCGAGACGCGCCGCTACTCGCATCGCGCTCCCTCTTGCGACGCCGCGGGGGCGGTGGAGGACGGTAAATACACTCAACACTGGCCTTGGCACAGTTTGAGCATGGCTCTTCGCGATTACATTTGACTTTCCTCCTGTGGCAGACCACGCAAGAGTAAGGTTTCAAGGAAATCGACGGCAAGTCCAGAGGCGTCCGGGAAGTGGCCGCGGAACCATCACGAGATTGAGCCATCTCTACCCCAGAATCCCAGAGGGAGATATGTATCGCATGTAGAAGGGACCAAGCATGCGTGTGAAACTGAAATGCTTCCCACCTCTTCTGTCGATGACACGCGATGTCTCAGCGTGCGCGACGTCAAGAGGATCTGGGGCCTGAGGCTGCATAGGTGGATGCCTAGTGCCTCGCGAATCAGGCCACGAACCCAAGGACCGCCAACAAAGCTCAGATCGCATGTTCTGACATCAACCTCTTAATACAATAATTTGTTCTCAATTTACCCTGAAAGTTTACGAAGTTGCACGTCTGGTCATCATGATTCTTGTACCACACATAGATGCTAATCCCCATTTAAATCGAGTATCTACAGCTGCGTCATCACATTCCACAACTCCGAATCCGCCCATCCCAGAGAGGGCTGATTATCGAACAGCTCCCAAATCAGACTATCATCCCACCCCTCCACAGAGGGAGGTACACCGAAAGTCTCAGTGCTAGGCTGTGGGCTTGGAAGTGCGTTGGAAACCTGGCCAGCATCGTGCTGCAGCACATCTGGATATGAAGATCTCAGCTGGTTGGGCAGTCGTCGCTCAATACTTGGATCTCCAAGCTGGGAGGCGTTGGTTTGCTCAGATACGCCGGCATGGGGATTTAACTTGACCAACGGCGCGCATAGATCGAGAAACTTTGCGAATAAGGCGCATAATTTGCCGATGGATGCATTTGCTTGGGCGAATTGTCGGAGGTCATCTGTGATTTTCCTTATCATTTCGTAATCTCTATGGTCTGATGTCGCAACGACGTTACAAAACAGGACAAAAAAGGGCGAGAGTGGCACAAGTAGCATTGTCCTAGAGACAAGTCAGCTCAGTTTTCGGAGAAAGAGTCTGATAATCGGCGGTCGCTGACCAAGTGAGGAAGTATGGATATGAATCCACCGACGTGGTGTGGCCGGAGGAGAATGCCTCTTGCAAAGCACGAAGCGTAGTTAATGCCTTACGCGCAGCGTAGAGGCACTCTTCGCACACCAAGCGCGATTTGAGCACTGATGACCGTGCGCGAATGATAGTGGTCAAGATTGAGTAGTAGTTAAAGTCCATGGAGAGCCACTCGCGTCGCAAAATTCTCCATGAGCCAGGAAACTCTAATTCCTGACGGCTTCGATGCTGTAGAAAAGAATGTAAGCGGACTCCAGTTTATGGCTAAAGAGACCGACCGACCATTTGGAGATTAGAGTGAATTGCCTGGGCGCGGACCACAAGATCAGACAAAGCATTGGCCTTATCTACATCAGCCATCCCTTTGGTGTCCAGCAGGATGTTCGGCAGGGTGTTTTTAAGATGTGCGAGTTCAACAATGCCAGTTATCATTGGTGTGGTAGGTAAGTCGGGATCCAAATGAATCAACTGCGCTGGCTCGACCTTCAGCTCAGGTAACGATGGGGGCCGCAGGAGAAGCAGACTGAGTGTCTTGTCGAAATAGTAACATGTGTAAACACAGGCGTGTATCTCTTCTTCTACTTCGTTTCGCGGTACGGTGTCTGTTATATTATGATAATTCAAGGCAATGATGACTTTGGATGCCAGAGCTGTGAACATCCAACAGCGTGACATGTTGCCGAGATACTGCATCAATCGTTTCTGTCATGTGTTAGTATTGAATCGGAAAGCTCTGAGAGTATTGGATCTTGACTCACGCCAGACAGGAGTGCTTGTAGCAGTGGTAGACTTGGAGAAGCCGTTAGTGGAATCGAATTTAGCTCCTCGATAGCTCCGGCCTCATATTGTTTCTTCAAGTTCCTGAAATGAGCCTTCAAAGGCTCACTTGATATTAAAGGAGCCAATTTTGATATGCAGGAGAAGGCTTTGATCCACACGCTAATCCGGTAGAACTGAAGTACTTGTTCACTCTCACTGCGGTCCATGATAGCTAACCCCATTCTTTCTAGAGTCTTATCGGAGATATGGTCTGGCCAGACGATGGTTCCCTGAGAATTAGTTTTCTTGTCAGGCCCTACTACAATAAGTATTTGAATTCCCAAGTCATTGAAAGGGAACACACCAGGTAACATCATATACAACAACTCTGGCGTGAGGTCTGGGCGTGTCAGATTGTCTTCAACGCCCAGCTCTTCATAGGTGACATTTTCCTGGCGATGCAAGCCCGGGTTGGATAGTTGACTGACAAACCTGCGCGCCATTTCGAGGGCAGTACGCCTGTCTTGAGAAAGAGCTGGGTTACATTGAAGCTCATTTTCGATGTACTCTCTCGCCTCACTGGCATGTCGCGTGGACTCTGGAGAGTGGCGTTCAGCGTGGGCTTGCGCATGGATACTCTGTGATACCCGACGCTTTCTGTCTTGCTGTTCAGACGGACTTTTCTCGTTGAATGCAGGAACAGCGTAAAACTTTCTCTTGGTAGATGGTCTAGGTGCATCTGAATAAGTTGCTCGTGGAGATGACGGCGCGGTTGAGGTGCCATCGTGATTCGCATTACTTGATGGAGGTGATGCAGATGTTTCCGTTGTGTTTGACCTCTCCAGCTTCGCGAGCCTCTCGGCCAATGCATCGAGGCTAGTCAATGTTAGTTGGTCGACGAGTAAAGATGCTTTCATGGGGGTATGTACCGAGAAACTCGTGGACGATGGACCCTGGCATGACGCGTGCGAAGACATTCAGCCCTTGCATCCACACAATTCATGCACGGATCCTGACGATCGCATTTGACCTGAGCGATGATACAAATCTCTTTAGCATGAGTTTATTAGTGAGATTTGAAGCTAAGTCTAACCTTTCTCGTATGGCATAGGTCGCACTACTTATCCATTAGCTGGGCTTGGTGGACTAGGAAGCTTGAAGGAGGGCCGGTGGAACTTACAGCGGGCATTGTAGAGGCCATTGTTCCGCGATCGACCCTTGGACCTGCACTCGACCCACAATGAATTGTCTCTTGATGTGAAGGCCAAATACCCTAAGCTCGTTGTCTTGCTTGCGATTATTGTGCTTGGGCTTGTGGAATTCATGTTGGGAATGAGACTATCTGGTGAACGCCAGCCTCCTGATCGATCTCGGATTCCGAAAAGCCGGCGGCCGAGCGAGTGGGGTTCAGTGCTCGGAGGTTGCCGATGCCTAACTACAGAGTACAGAGAGCAATACTACGGAGACGATGGACGTTAATATCAGTTGAAATAAACATCGTCAAATTGGGATATCTCTGGGGGAATCCCTTCATAATATCTTAGTATCTCAGAAGAACTGTATAGACCTCACGTCATCTGCGGGTCTTCGGGGAAATTTTTGTGTCAATGGAGCTGATCGACAATAAGGCCGAGAACAGTTACAACTTGCAAGGTTCACAACTTCAGATCTATCAACTGATGCAAAGTTCGGATCGGTCTCAGACATATTCGATCACGAACTTGCTCTGTCAACACCTTGAAGGCATCTTAAAAGTATACCGATTTGGGAAACTGTCATGTCAATCTTGCGCATATTTTCTGGTGGCCTTTAAGCGTCCAAAATGTTTTGTTTGTAATGATGGAATTGTTTATTCGTGGTGATTCAATTAGTACACAGTGCTTATTTACTTGAGGTGCTCTTCATAGGGACACAGTCCCAGAATAGAGAGATAAGGAAAGGGAAGAGAAGAACGAGTGTATCAGACATCCCGAGTCTAGCAAGGACAAAGAAAAGAAAACGCGCCCTGTGGGCATGGAGCATGCAGAGGAGCTGTTGTGTGTGTAGGGGACCACATTCAGCGAGGTATTATAATACAATATCGAAAGGGAAGGGTTGACGAGTCGAGCTTATCACGAGATCAAAACCCAAAGAAGGAAGAAAATCTGGACGAATGTTAATAACCGGCATCACGTAACTAGGAATATGGATGTACTCACCATCAGGATACCAAACATCTTGGCAATGAGCCAGCGATTACCAGACACGCGGGTCCAATATTTCATAAGTTCTCGCTGGGCGCCTTGGACGTTGTCCACAACGTCCTCCGTGTTCGCATCGATGCGTTGAATCATTTCGGACTGTTCACTGACCATTTGTGCCAACTGGCCGAAGATGCCACCCAGTTCGCTAATAGTCCGCTCAATGGCTTCGATGGCCTCTCCACGAGCCTGGACGTAGGAATTGCTAGATTGGGCCTCCTCCATAACTAGGAGTTGCTGATCTGACTGCATTGATGATTGTCCCAAAGGTGAAGGATTTGAAGGGTCCAAGGTCAAAAGGTCGGAGGAGTTTCCTTGATAGCCTGGTTGAGGGGTTCGGCGGCCCGAGGTGTTGTATAGCGGTGAATCAGAGCGTTGCGAGTCGAGAGCGGACTGTGATTTGGATGAGACAGAGGAGACAAAGTTCTCGGTCCTTGTCCGAGAGGCCTGGATGTTCTTTGTCCGGACTTCAAGAACGTCCTTGAAGGAAGATCCGACGTCCGCAAGTTTTCCCTGCAACATAACGACGACCTGATGCGTAGTCAGTTAGCATTTAGTCCGCGCGCTCTTTCTACCAGATAGCATACTCACATTGTCATTGTGTTCTCCTTCTTGGTCTGTCTTCGACCGGCTCGACTTGGGATGTTGCGCTTGGGTCAACGCAGACAAGGAGGCGATCTGTTGGTTCAGCGAGGCTAGGTCTTGCTTGATCACGTATGTCAATTCGGAAATCTCGACGGGTCGGTCGTCGAAGAGCGTTTTTCGCTTCGCCACTAGATCCTCAGTATTAGACTAGATTCAACGACAGATCTGGCCGCATTGTTTCGGCGGTTCGTCTTCTCAAGACCAAGCAACTCACACTCTGCCAAACGCTGCAATTTCGCGGTCGTTCCAGTGATGCCCTTTCCAATATCCCGGGCCGTCCGCGCAAACTCCGATCGGCCTCCCCTGCGATCTTGCGCACCAGAGGGCGACCCATTAGCCTGTCGCCTTTGGGCGTCCGTGAGGAGCGCCTGTCGCTGGGTCCCAACTTTAGAAGCGCCGAGTCGTTTCTGGGCATGGCCGATGATGGCGCTGAACTCGCTCGTGCGATCTTGAATGGACGGTCCGGTCATTCTGAGAGGGCGATGTAGGAGATATAACCGAGTGAATCAAAGGGCCGTTGCCTTTCGGAGATCAGAGGAGGCGTGGGTCGGTGTGGACTTGGCCGATGTTTGGCAACCGGGGGGGGGGGCCAAATGGATCTCTTAATCGATAAGGGGGAGGCGTAGACGTGTCCGGTTGCAGCAGTGAAGTGGAAGATAGGCATTCAAGGAATGGCGTGGGGTCAAGCAAGCAGAAGCCAGGGCAATTTTCGCATGAGTCAAAACCTCAGAAGAAGGACATCACGATCATTTGATCCTTGCTTGCGAGCCACCGAAATCGAAACACGTCGTGAATCGCGGCGAATTCGATGGTTATCACGTGACCGCGGTCGGTCCCTCGTTACGTCAGCAGCACCGCCGCAACCAAAATTAGATCCAACGGACTGTCGGACGAAGTACTGTAACCCCAGACTTAAAATCAGGGGAAGATTCCTTGGAACACCAAATTTCCAGAGCTTCAAGGGGTATCAATATAATTGGCATTGCTTCTTCTTTCAGCTTGCTTCTCAACCTCCGGTCATCTGTGTCCATATTGTCCCATTCTGGGTGGATACACGTCATCTCCAGTTTTGTACATTAATCTTGTTTCCCGCCTGATTCCAGGTAACCGATCTCATCTGATCGGCGTCCGCATTGGCACTCGCAACGTTGCTCGCGCCACGCCGTCCTCCCTCAAATACCCGACGGTCCCCGTCTGCCTGCACGAGCTTAGGAAAGCATCAGGGGGTCGTCGACCTTGCGTAATAACGACCGCGACGCGGAATCTCCACGAGTGGCCCAGTCAGGCAGCAACCGATGCAAGAGTCTTAGATCTGCTTGACCACAATACTCGACGCTTTTATACTAAATGGCGGACCATAATCCTCCATGGCATGGCCGGGGGGTCCAGAATACGTGAGTAACGGCCCCGATGTTCCATCACTTGTCCTTCATCACACAAGCTCTAAGACAAACATCTTCTATTCAGTCCCTCCGCCACGAATAGTCCCCTCTCACCAACAAACCCGGGCAGAGTTCCCCCCTCCTTCGAACGGAACGTCAATCGCCAAAAGACCCAGCGCTGGGTTCAAGCGAAGCAGTATTCATACGATGGTGGCGACTGGGGTGACGATGACGACGAAGAAGAGGAGGAAGAGCCACCCGTGGCACCTGCGCCTCCATACGCCACGCACAAGACGGGCAGCACCTCCGAGTTGAGCTCCAGGCGCTTGTCTGGACTTGGATTTGGAACTGAGGAGTCTCGCGCCAGTCCCACCACCGAAGTCAGGCCACTTCCCAGTGCTAGCGATCAGAAGTCACTGCCTTTCATTCGACCGGCCGATATCTACAAGCGAATGCGCGAAGAGCGAACACCACAAGGTGAAGCTGCGAGTTCAGGACGTCCATCAGAGCCTCAGAGCTCTATGCCATCCGGTCCTGCCTCGACTCAGCCTGTGGTGACTGGTGGCAATGGCACCATGCCTGGGAATTCAAACACCTCACAAACCACTCAAAATGTGCCCTCCATGGCACTGCCAGAGTTGAAAAGAATGTCAGGATTTGGTGCCGACTTCCTCGGTTCCACTGACCCAAGCTCCCAACAAAGTGCAAGCTCCGAGTCCCCGGAGGCTTCGCTACATCACAATCCATCGCAGGCCTCCCAAGACTCCCAGGCCTCTCAGGGCTTCACATCGGTGGTTCACCAGGCCTTCGACGTTCCAGAGACTCCCAACTCCACTGCCGGCAGTGTGGTGCGGTCAAACAGTGACGGAAGTTCTGTCATTAGTCCAGTAATCAGTCACCGTGCCGTTCAGGACGACAAAACGCCCACGATTCCTGAGGAACCCGCGGAGTCTAGTACCCCCACCGACGCGCCCAAGGAAAGTGCGGACCAGGCTCCATCCTTCAAGCCCGGTCATCGACGTGACATAAGCCTTCCCGAGAGTGACAATAGCCCTTCAAGAAGACCTGTGGTTACGGACAGTCAGGTCCCCTCCGCAGGGCAGGCCGAGATGTCATCGGTCTCGCCGGGTCAATCTGGCTCACCGGAGAGACCGGCCGACGTCCCAGGCTCCCTGGGCACATCAATCCCCTCGAGTACGACAGCCGATACTTTCGTCGCACCTCTCAAATTTGGAAGCAATGGTACAATCGCATCTGAAGGCTATCGAGGCGAGATTCCTACAATCATTCCTGCAAGTGCAGGCAACTCGCCGCAGGACACTGACAACGATCGATTGCGTGAAGAGATCATGCGTTCGCTAAGCCGGGAGAACTCACAGGAGCCTGAGCCTGAGCCTCAGCCACAGGCACCCCAGGATGGGTCTATCCCGCAAAATTATGAGAAGTACTGGGATGATTCGGTCGGACCGGGTATAAATGAAGTCCCGAGACCATTGGTCTCAGAAACCCACCCCGACTGGACTAACACACACCCTCTGGCTGCCCAGGACCCATATGCAGCTACGCAAACGCCTGTTGAGACAGTTCCATCAGCCAACGCTGAGCCAAAGAGGCCCCGATTGGGACGGCGTTTCTCGTGGGAGTCGGCCACGTCCGATGAAGAACCTGCGGCACAGTCTCCCGAGACAGATCACATGGTTCCTTCTTTGAGCACAGCTCTGGCTGCCCAGCCACCCGAGCCTATCGTTGAAAACCCAGAGCCCATAGCGGAGAACCTGCCCAGGGATCAGCCATTGACTGCGGGCGAAATTCTCGACGACACTCAGCGCGTTGAGAAGCCCAGGCTTTCAATCGTACCCCCAATCCCACAGACAAACTCTCCACCGGAGGAAATCGCGATCCCCACCGGTGGTCAATTAGCTGAAAGGGAAGTGTCTTTGCCAGTCGGAACATCAAAGGTCGATGAAAACAAGCTGCAAGGTTTCCGCGATATACTCAACAAGACATCTCCTGCGGAGCGCATCCGAGCCTTTGACCAAACTCGAGAGCAATTCGCAACTCTAGATACGGGTATCAAGGCTTGGCTTGAATTTACCGTGCATGCTCATCCAGAGCATGCCGATCTTGTTCATTCCACTCAGACTCTATCGTCTGGCTTCACACGGACCTCGCCCACGACTAGAAAGTTCCCCAAACTCACATCTCTCGGCAATCTTACCTCCAAGGAGGAGGGGGCTCCAGCTGGTGCCGGTCATGCCAGGCGCCCATCTGGTCACATTGGAACCATTGTGACTCGGCAAAATGTCGAGCAGCGTGGCAAGGACCTTCTTCACACGGCTGGCACTTTCAGTGGCAAGGCAGGCGAAGCTGCCAAGGGCTTGTTCGCTAAGGGCAGGAGCAAGTTCCGACCCAGCGGAGACAAGGTAGATACGTGACCTCATTTCCTTTTTGTCATTCTTACTTCCCCTTTTGGCGCGGGTCTTATTCTTTCATTTTGTGTGGACAGCGGGCAGTCTGGCCTTTCTATACTTGATGTTTCCTTATCATTGTTGCATACCACGATGTAATTCCTATCGCTCTGGCATTGGATTCTAGAATGTGACACGAATGATGCATTTGGTTTTTTTTCTCTTCTTTCGGCTCTTCTCTCCTCATTCCCATTTTTATGATTCTTTTTTTCGAGCCGTTCTGATGTTGGTAATGTCTGTAGGTTGACCAATCGGCTCCTTCTGCTTCACGCAGAAGTTTGCAATTACAATTCTCTTCACTCTCAGAGTCAGGTAATTCGGATTCCTCCCATGGTAAATCCTCCTTGCGCAACTCTGTTGTGTTTGGGAGTCTTCCCATCTTCAAGTCCAATCGGAATGACAATCTCTTTGCTGGCCCTGCAACTACAATGGACCCTGCCTCGTCTCTGGAGGGCTCTGCCGATGATGAGCGTGCGGGCAAACGACTCAAAGCCAATGGGTCAGTGGAATATGGACCGTCTGCAGAGACAGACAAAGGAGACTTTCTTGGACAAACTAGCAAGACGCATTCCTCGTCTGCGGATGTCGACCGTCGTAAAAGCGGAGGCTTCCCTGGACAGTCGCAGTTTGCATCCGACCTCGAGCAGGAAATGATCGCGGCACTTGGCCTGTCACCCGCCGAACCCCGTCCTCAACAGGCTTCGACCTTCGAGCCGCGCTTGAGCCCAAGTGCAACTGTCGCTTTGCACTCTGATGGCCCGCGCAGCCAGCCCAAAGACGAATTGAAGAATGACACCGGCAGTTGCTTGACTTGTGCCCCAGCTAGCGAAGAACCAAGCGAGAAGAACTTGCCAGCTCTTCCTATCCGGCCCCCTACACCTCCCACTGTGTCGAACATGAAAGATTCATCACTGCCGAGTATTCCAGTATCCGAGACTATGCTCCCGTCAATCCGCCCAGTGTCTGAAGAGAATGCCAAACCTACTTTACCCAAAATAGAACACTTCTCGATCGACCTCTCGACCCAGGACGTCCCTGTGGAAGGAATCTCACCAGAGGTGCTGCCAAAGGATATCTCGTCTCCAAAGGAAGAGGAACACCCGCCAAGTCTTCCTCCAAAAGATATGCAACCCAGAGGCGTTCCCTCACAGGGCGTTGTGTCTCCGAAGCCAAGATTTGCCGCACGGCAACTGTCCGTCTCCACACTCGGAGTGGATGAGCAGAGAGTTGGCCATCCTCCTGAGGGAGAAGTAGACACACCTCCTTCACCACTGCAGCAACCTGGGAAAATGGCCCAGGATGATATGCCAGACCACCACGCATACGACCAATCTAGCTCCAGAGCTCTGGTATCCGATTTCACTCTGCCCTCACTTGACGACGTCGCGCCAGGATTTGGCTCAACTTACCCACACCGACCTCCGACCTCTGCAGAAATCCTGGAATCAAAGCGCAAGTCAATCAGCGGTCTGCCTCCCTCCACGCCAGCCGTACACAGCCCGCTCCGGAATGAAGTGAGGTACTCTCCAGGAACTCGAAGCAGCATCTTGAGCTTTGGTAGCTTCGGTCGCCAGAGCAATAACAGCAAGGGCACGCGTCCAAATACTCCCGCCAATGAGATGTCAGAGCACGCGGCATCTGGTGATTCGAGGATGGACAAGTTGAAGAATTTTGGAAGAAGACGCCGTGCGTCGGTGGGTAATGCGCTCTCTGGGCTTCAGGATGGATTTTCGAAAGAACTTCAAGGTCTTCAAGCGCGAGGGGCTGAGAGTGAGTCGCAACCGAAGGAGGGTGGCCAGAAGAAGCGGGCCTTTAACAGGATCAGCGTATGTGATATCATCGAGACAAAAGCTTCATACTATCTTATTAACCATTTACAGGGCTTTTTTGGTCGCCAACAAGAACCCCAGCCTGCACAGAGCAAGGCCTTCGATTTTGGTGCTGATAGACCTGCTCCGATGAAAGCCCTGCCAACGGCTCCTCAGAGCTCTCAACCACAAGACTCATTCAGGCACAACGGCAACCTTACTATTGACCCCGTCGACAAAGACCTTCCACCCCCGCCAGTTTCCAAATCTTCATTCTCCTCAGTCGAATCGTCCAATCACGCTCGTGACCCTCGCCAGTGGGCCAGCCTGCCCCTTCCACCAGTCACTGCGACCAATCCTATGCTAACTAGCCGATTCTACTCATCGTTCCAGTCTGAAGAACCTCCCACTGCTACTCAGCATACTCGCACAAAGAGTCAGCCCATGCTGTCCCCGCCGCCATTGTCACCCATCGGAGGATCCGATTCCGACAAAAGCAATCAGTCAATTCCACTATCCGATGTGAGCCAAGTAGAGGAGCGCACTATACCCCAAGAACACGAGCACGAAGATGCTCAACCCCCTGTACCACCAAAGTCACCCGAGATCCAACCTCAGCCCGAGCAAGACCCCAATCTACCAAAAGACGTCTCTGACGTCTCCATCTTCTCAACATATCCCCACCGAGGCGATGCCCGGTTGGTCAATGAGACTCATGAACCCGTCGAGCTCGCAGTCACGCACGATGACTCTAGCGAGGAAATCATCATGTCCCCGACGTCTTACCCAGGACAAGAATGGACGCCGACGGATTACTACTAGCGAAAAGTGATCTGCCGTTTGTTCAGCGACCATACGATACCCACTTTTTTTCTATTTCTGCTGTCTTTACTGATACCCATCTTGTGCCATACTGGAAAGCAGTCTATGGTTTCATTGACTGTAGTTGCGCTGCATGTAGCGTATAGTGAAACTTCATGCTTCTTGTGTATTATCATTCGTTTGATGTAACTAAATCTACGCCATTGCTAGTATTCGAGCTAGCGCTGTACACATGTTTACTCCCAAAGAAATCAGTACTTGCTGCTTGGAAAGATCCTCCTCAGTAGGAAAGGAACTAGAACGAGTACAAGAAAGAGACGCGCTACAGCGTGTTTCAGGCGAGGTAGACGAGCTAATAGAAAGCTTGCAGTATCATTCAACCTCAGTATGACTACTTCCAGTATCTCCATTGTATCGTAGATTTAGGCTAAACCTCTGCTCGTATTGGTACTTGTTCATAGTTAGTTAAATAGGCGGTCATTCCTTCTCCATATCTTCCAATTCCTCGCAAAGTCTCAATCCCTGCAACTTAAACCACCCGCTAGCTTCCCTTTCCCCGCACTCTCACAGGTGGAAGCCCAATTCTCCGTTCCCCAATCTCACTCCTCCACTCTTTCCCAGCAAGATTTTCCACCATGCGGGGAAAGTCAAGCTTCGGGGTGACCCCAGCTTCATGCAGACTTTTGCGGAGATCCTGAAGGACAATACCAATCTATGCGCGGACATCTCTGCCATCTCGGGTATAGCCTCGTCAGGAACAATATGAGCCAGGAGATTTTCCGTCCATCTCGTTGACGGCGTTTCCCAAGCCATTGGCGAGGAGCAATGCCTTGCAGCAGTATAAAAGGACCATACTCGGTCGCCCTGGGGATCCTTCTTCTGCTAGTGGATCCCACCGCATAGCAGGAAGTTGGCCCGCCATGCTCCGCTTGTACATTGCAGCTCTATTCGCGCTCCTGTGGCACGCTGCCTGCGTCCACAGTGTAGCCATCAACCACGTCTCTCGCCAGGAATGCCAGGCCTCGGGCAATCACTGTCCCCAGGGCACTATCAAGGTCTCGGCCTCGGACAAGCACGCAGACTTTACCACCATCCAAGCTGCCATTGAGTCTCTGCCAGATGACAATTCCTCCCAGACCATCCTCATTCTGGCTGGCTCCTACAAGGAGCAAGTGAACGTCACCCGTGCGGGTCCCATCACCCTTCTCGGCCAGACTGATGCTTCTACGGACGCTACCAAGAACAAGGTGACCATCACCTGGGCTGCCGCGAACCAGGACAACACCGGCCAGAGCGTGGACAACGTCTACTCCAGTGTCCTGATCGTCTCTCCTACTCTCGATGCCAGTCTGACTGGCTCGGGCACGACAGGCTACCCAGTGCCAGACGACACCCCCTTTGGCAACAAGAACTTCCGCGCATACAACATCGACTTCACCAACACCTGGGCTGACTACAGTGATGGGCCCGCCCACGCATTGAGCTTCAGCCGTGCCAACGGCGGCTTCTACTACTGTAGTTTTTACTCCTACCAGGACACAGTACGTACAAAACCACCCACCAAGCCATCCTTCCATCAATCCATCATCCATCTATCTATTAGATGATAACACCACCCCTTCTACAGGTCTACGTCGGCAAACTCGGCAACGCGTATTTCTACAAATCGATTCTCGCCGGCCAAACCGACTTCCTCTACGGCTTCGGCACAGCCTGGATCCAATCCTCCGACGTACTCCTCCGCGGGTGCGGCGGCGGCATCACCGCCTGGAAAGGCACCAACACAACCTTCACCAACAAATACGGCATCTACATCGTGGACAGCAACGTGCGGGCCGCAAACGCCTCCGTCGCCCCAAGCATCGTAGGCGCCTGCGCGCTCGGCCGGCCCTGGAACTCGCAGCACCGGTCCATTTTTGCCCGGTCATACGAGGACGCCAGTATCAGGGCTAGTGGGTACATTGACTGGATTGTCTCTGGGGTGGGGCGGAATGAGAAGGGGATTACTCTTATGGCGGAGTATGAGGCGTATGGGCCCGGGTTTAATGCGACGGGGCGTGCGGCGGGGAATGTTACTACTGTGTTGGGGAGGAGTGGGTTTGAGCCGTATAGTGAACCGAGTAAGGTGTTCCAGAATCAGGCGGGTGTGTTCGGCGATGTGCAGTGGATTGATTGGGAGACTGTTTATGCGAAATAGAGATGGGTATGGTCACTATGATGATGATGGTTCTATTACGTGGTCTAGGTTGCAGTTTACCTAGAGTATAAAGAGAGTTCTTGCAACATGGTGCTTGCTTAGATATTAGCTAGGGTGACTAGTAACAAAGACTAAGGCAGTGTTGGGTGTCTTCAGCATGGAGCAACCTTTGTGAAATCAAATCTGGTTTGCAGAGAACTTGGGGGCAAGAAAGAGAGAAACGACTTTAGAACAGAGCCGTCCAACACAGTTGAGAGCCAGTTGAATAGCCAAGTTACTACTACAGTAGAAATACTACAATGAAAAGCGATTACAATGCACAACAATCATTAAAATCCCTCCATGACTTGACTAAGTACCACTATTAACGACATACATACACGTAGAGAAAGAAAACTTGAGATCTATCAACTCGAAAGCAAACAGATGTCAAGGGGTAAAAACACACAAAAGTCTATGATACGGGGGGGAAAAACAGAGGGCAAAAAAAAAAAGACAAGAGACCGAGCCTTTTTTTCGTCCCAAACGGTATGCATGTCCACAGACTGGTCGAGACAAGAAGAAACACACAGGATCCGCGTGGTAGGATAGAACAAGAGGCACGACGAGGGAGAAAAATGGATGGGGAAATAAGGGATAAAGGAAAAAAGAAATTATTGACCTCGGACCAGGAGCGAGTCAGGAAAGATTAACCGTTTGGCGAAAAGGAGAGAAACGGGTTAATAAGGTATTTGTGCAGAGAGCGCACATCCTTTACTCCTCCTCCTCGACCTCCTCGGTGCGGGCACCAAGGGTGTAGCGGACCTTGCCTTCACGGTCGGTCTCGAGCTCGATGGCCAGCTTGGACATGTGAGCGATCATGTTCTCGATCTTGGTGTCAGCCTTGGAGCGGGTCTTGCGGCCAAGGTTGTCCAGAGCGGGAATGATGGTGAGGATGTAGTAGACGACGGCAATGATGACGGTGACACCAATGGAGTAGGCCCAGATGACAACGACGGTGACAATGTCGACATCGTTGTTGGTGGAGAAGGTGGCGGAGTCGTGGGGGGAGGTCTGGTGGAAGTCACCAGAGAGCCAGCCGAAGACACAGAACAGGGTAGCGAGGACATCGACAACGAAGATGGCGATGACCAACTGCCACGAGGGCCAGGTCTTGCCACCACGGGTAACGAAGATGAGCCAGTTCTCAGTCAGGGCAATCTCAAGGAAGAGAATCTCCTGGGGAGAGCCGAAGTTCTGGATGATACCACCGTCGCTGAGGAAGAGAGTAGCGCGAACGATCCAGGTGGCGGCGGCCAGAAGGATTCCGAGAACGACGGAGATAACCCAGATCTTAGGCAGCTGCCACTCGACAGGACGGGCCTCGAAGTGAGCGTTATCGTAAGCGACGGCAATTGTGGCAAGATCGGCAAACAGGGCGATGAAGACAATCAGGTCAGAGCGGACAGTCTCATTAATGATGATCATAGAGGTAACCAGGTAAATCTCAAGGTGCAGGCAAAGAGCGATACGGTACTGGATGTAGGCCTTCATGCGCTGGAAGATCTGACGGGCCAGCTTGATAGCATCGACAATGGTGGACAGACCGGGGGCAAGGAAGACAATATCGGCGGCAGCCTGGGCAGCCTCGGTGGAACCCTCGACGGCAATACCACAGTCGGCCTTCTTGAGAGAGGGAGCGTCGTTGACACCGTCACCAGTCATGGCAGTCAAGTGACCACGCTGCTGGAGCATCTCGACGACCTGGTACTTGTGCTCGGGGAAGACCTCAGCGAAACCATCAGCCTTCTCAACGAGGTCGTGCTGGGCAGAGCCGGCGAGACCACCGTGGATCAGACGCTCAGAGTCGTAAACCTTGGTACCGAGAGCAAGCATCTTGCAGGTCTCCTTGGCGATAGCGATAGCGTCACCAGTCAACATCTTAACGGACAGACCAAGAACCTGGGCCTCAGCGATGGTGTGGGCAGTGTCCTCACGAGGGGGGTCGAACATGGGGTACATGCCCAGAAGCTGCCAAGGCTCACCCTCCTTCTGGACGGCGACACCGAGGGAACGGAAACCACGGCGAGCGAACTCGGCGGCCTTGTCACGGTAGAGCTTGGCCTCCTCCTCGGAGCACTCAGACATGTTGAGGATAGCCTTGGGGGCACCCTTGGCACAAATGTAGCGGACACCATCACAAGTGCAGACAGTGGTAATACGCTTGGAGACGGGGTCGAAAGGAGAGTACTTCTCGGTAATCCAGTTACGAGCGAGAATTTCACGGGCCTTGGGGTAGCGGCGGAGAGTAAGGATAGTGACCTTGTCAATGGGATCAAGGTTCTTGACGTTGTGAGACGAGGCGATAGCGGCGACAGCCATCATCCAGTTGACATCAACACCCTCGGCGACGTAGGGCTCACGGATAGACAGCTGGTTAGCAGTGAGAGTACCAGTCTTGTCAGAGCACAGGATGTCGACACCAGCGAGGGACTCAATGGCAGTGAGCTTCTGGACGATAGCCTTCTGCTCAGCGAGGTAGGCGGCACCGACGGCGAGAGTAGTGGTGGTAACGACGGGCAGACCGACGGGGACACCGATAACGAGCAGAATAAGGGTGTAGCGGAGCAGGGTGTTCTCAGAGTCCTCAGGGGTAGCGATCTTCAGGTGACGGAAGAAACCACCAATCCAGGCAGCGAGAATCCAGAACATGACGAGAACGAGCAGAGAGGTACCGATGTTGTCCATGACAGCCTTGAAGTGACCAGAGTCCTTGGCACCCTGAACCAGAGCAGCGGTCTTACCGACGAAGGACTGGCGGGCAGTAGCAGTGACGATACCGTAGGCCTTGCCGCGCTTGCAACCAGTGGTGTAGTAGCAAGTGTCGGCCATGTACTTGTCAACAGCGAGGGACTCACCAGTGATGGCAGACTGATCGCAAGCAATCAGAGAGACACCCTGGTGGATCTCACGCTCGTCCTCATCCTCATCCTCAGCCTTCTCCTTGAGGGTGTCGTCCTGGGAGGTAACAAGGTACTCCTTGTAGGTCTCAAAGTTCTCGGGCTTGGAGTAGTCACAGATCAGACGGACATCGGCGGGGATAACGTGGCCCTCCTCGACGATAACGATATCACCAGTAACCAGCTCGCGAGCCAGGATCTCTTCCTCCTGACCGTTGCGAACAACCACAGCGCGCATAGCAATGTCACCCTTGAGAGAGGCAACGACATCGGCAGCCTGCTTCTCTTGGTACCAACCAACGAGAGCGTTGAGGAGCAGAATACCACAGATGACACCCAGATCGATCCAGTCACGCAGACCAGCAGCGAGGACGACAGCAAGTTCCATAACTGTAGAAATATACGCGTTAGCAATTGGGCCCTCCAATTGACGCGTTCCAATGACCCAGGGAAATCAACTCACCATACAGAATAGGACCACGGAAGTAACCAATGAACTGAATGAAGATGTTGGTCTTCTCAGTGACCAGCTCGTTCCAGCCGCACTTCTTACGGCGAGGCTCGATGTCGCTGGAGCTCAGACCGGAGCGCAGCTCGGTGTCGAGCCACTCATCGGGGCATTGCCAGCCCTCCTCAACACCGTCACCCTTCTTGGCCCAGAACTTCCAGAAGGGCGCCTTCTTGTCGTGAGTGCTGAGGGCGCCAGCACTGGAGGTGGAACCACGGCGGCCATCGCGGGCAGTCGAGATGTAGCGGTTGAGAGCCGAGTACTCATCGAGGTTGCCGTCGTTCACATCGGCGTCGCGGTGACGGTCACCGTTTTCGACATCGGGAGCATAGGAGATCCTCCGCTCCGCCATTGTTGCTGCTGCTTCGGCTCACAAAGCCTTCGGAACCCAACGATATGAGCAGATGGCAAAACACCAACACACAATGGCAGGTATGGCGTGAGACGGAATAGTCCTATGGGGAAGGAAGAAAAGAAGGGAAAGAATCGGAGGGGGGGGAGGATGCTGAGGAAGTGGACTACTTTATAATACCTTTGGGATTGGGGGTGGGCGGGTGGAAAGAGACGCGCGAGAGAGCGAGAGTCGTTGGAGGGAACGGGAGTGAGTGTGGATAATGGACCAGCTTGTGTGAGGGAAATAAAAAAAAATAATTCAAGAAAAAAAAAATTCTGAAAGTGTAAAAAATGGCACGAAAAATAAAAAATAGGAAAAAAAAAATAAAGAAAAAAAAAAAATACGAAGGGAAATATTCCAGGAAGAAAAATACCCAAACGGGGGCAAACTGGGATACGACTGGTTACTATGGAGCGAGGGTCTGGTTGCTAGGCCAAAGCATGTAACCCAATACAAGACAGTACATCATTACATACAACATCAACACAGCACCAAGTTATAGTGCCGAGGACTCCTCGGACTACTTTCTTGTCTGTGATCTTCCTCTCTTGCCATTCAGCCAAGACTGGCCTCCAAACTTTGTAAATTCAAACTAGTAGCAACTAGCTATCCTCCATCTCCGATAGAGGATCTCCCTCTCTCGGATTCAATCTTCGTCCACGGCCAGTCCAACGGGGTCAGCACGCGTCGCGCAGACTCCGGCAGGCCTGGCCGAGAGCAGCCACTGACGGTACCAGTCGCGTCTCATTGGGTTGATCGGGTGGAGCAACTTCCCCCATCGAGTATAGTCAATACATGCATAACACATTCAATTACCCATCGCATACACGAAAAAGACCCGCGACGAGCACCAAAGAAAAAACTCTTCGCACTCGCTTTGCGACCGGCACTGTTCTGCCGAGTGGCACCCCACACTGGCACAGATGGTCTTGGTACACTCGGTACACGGCCAACTCGCAACATCGCCCTGTAGTCCTGTACCCTAACTGTATGCGACTGTATCCCCACGATACGATCTGTACCGAATGTACAACGATTTCCTAGCCTTACCAAGTGCGGTGCCCCAGCTGCTCCCAGCTTGACTATGCGCGATTTTCTCTGGGGGACGTGGGAGAAGGATGAGGGGAGGGTAATTTCCATCCCATACTTCCGAGACTTTTTCCCTCCCAAGACAAATGACAAGAACAAACTAGAGGATTTGGCACGGTGCGATTCCAATGGAAAAAACCGCTCTACCCGAGTCTACCGTATACCAAATGTACAGTATGTACTACAGTACGTATGTCGGATAGTTTGGGTTATGATGTGCCCAGGGATGCGAGCCGGAGAATTGGCAAAGAATTCAATCCCGCCCGACCATACCCATACTAGTAGTTATTGTATGTATACATCGTGAACTTGCAACTCAGATATGACCATCGTAGTAGTCTACTAGTCTAGTCCTGGAGTTAAGGATCATCTTACAGGAGCATCTTGCTCTTTTCAGCGAGATGGCCCGAACCTTGCCCATTTTCTGATTTCCTATGCTGCCGCTTCAGTCGCCCTGATACTGGACTTCCGTATACTGCATTTTGCCCCTGGTACCAATCTGCATCTGGTCTTGGAACAAGGTCAATTCAAGCAACAACACCAAAAAAAATTTCTCTAATGACGGCATCGATCATAATTTTTTTTTCTTTGCTACTCTGGGCCACCGTGACAATAGATTGATCACGAAATCACACCCCAAAGCATCATCGGTTAGTAAGGGGCTCCGAAAGCAGCCAAGACTATTCAGAAATGTATGCCAATGCTGGAGGTATTCAGAGTGGACGTCCTCTCTCCTCTCTCTCCCCCAAAGGCTCTCGGGGTTCAACACACTCTGAACCGTCCGTACCGTACAACCCCGTATCTTATTTACGTAGCATCTGTAATATCCAGAAACACACACAGAGACCACCGACAACCGATCAGTCCCCTCTCTTTGGCTCGTTAGATTACCATTATGTCACTGGGCTGACTAACTATTCTCTTCAGCGTTAACTCGGATAAACCACAAGTTAAACCCTCTTCGAAGTCTTCGCCCTTTTCTTATCGACACATCCCCGCGGAGCTTAGCACCACCCACCCTCGCCCCAACTGCCTCCTTCGTATCTCACCAACCATGGACGATCGCTACTCTCCACGAGCCAGCGAGGCCCCAAGGCCGGGTCCCAGAAGCGTCATTTAAATTCGGCGTCCGTGACTGGCCGACGCGACCGGCCAGGTCCCCGCCCGCTAAAGCCCGGCTAGTCAAGAAAGACCGCGCATGTATCGAATCAGAACATCCCGGTGTGTCCGCGATGATTTCATCGCCTGTGCGGATCGGCGCCCTGCGACTCTCAGTCGATACATGCCTTTCTTGTTGTGTGCTGGTCTCTTCTCTTTTTGGGGGGTTTCCCCTAACCTTCAGTGGAGTGATGTCTTTTTCGTTGTCTATGGAGGGAGCTAGCTCGCTGGCGAAAGGCGCATGGCTCGGTTGGCCGTCGCCGTGACAGCATAGATTGTGACACACTGGATTAGCCCTCGCACGGGAGGTCGTTCCTATTTGAGATGGTCTACGGAGACTCGAGGGGTGATGGAAGTTGACCGAGGTGTTGCCCATAGACCAACTCCGTCATAGCGTGATGATAATATCACCAAATAGAGAAGGCTGGGGAAATGCCAAAACCAGAGCCATGATGCTGTCATCCTGTATCCCGTACATCATGGACGGAGTACGAAGTACAGTTATCTGTATATTGTCCAGTCTAGGTGGTCATCCGCGCTTCACACCCAACGCCAACAGGGAATAATCCCGGTTCGCATAAGCCCATTCCATACACCACGACGACAACAACCTATCGCAGGTTCGCAACTGTAGGAAATGATGCCAATAGTCGATCATTCCGGGGATCCTCTCAAGGACGTAAGCACAACGTTCGATCTCACCTCAAGCTTCCTGCATCCTGCATGCGCGACGATTGGCCCATCCACCCAATCCCGCAGGGCCAGCTTAACTCAAAACTACACCACCCAGCATCCCATCCAACAGGAAACTTCCAATCCCAACACACATGCACCCCGGGTTTACGGTTGACAACTGTACTGGACTTATCTCGTCAGAACTGCCCACTAGCAAGGCCAGGCCAGCCCTGTTCTGTTCCATTATCCATAGCTCTGTCTGGAAGGAGCGGGATAGTGCAGACGCGCCGAGTTTAGACTCGAGATTGGCATCGTGCACGAGCCGTCTGGAGGAGGGAAGGCTCTTTGACAAAGTACGTACTCCGTCACTACGGAGTTATCGTGACATATCATATTGAGCTTGTTCGCCACCGACCAATTGGTGAACGAGCTCCTTCTCAGACACACGAGTCTGAAGTATTGCATGCCTGATAAATGAGGCTATCCACGGCCGCATGTCACCACCCAGCAGGTCACCATCCTCAACACGCCCTCTCGCTTTCGTATACGGCCGTACTACTGTACTCCGTCCTTCTTACTAGCATCCTCCATCCACGACATAACTCCTCCGTAGTTACCTTCATATCACCACGGAGGATTAACGATGGGCGCCGCCCTGTAGCTCGGGCTACCCGAGTAGGTATCCCCCCCCGGCGCTTTCCGCGGCTGACGTGCCGTGCCAGGCAGGACCAGCCAATTGCGGGTTATGTAGAAGGATCATTGAAACCGCGAAAGGGGGCCGAAGCTCGACAAGAGAGCCGTCAGAGACTACAGAAGCAGTCCAGACCATGGACTTTTATCTGCATCACGCCGAACAGGGTTGTGTATACTACTTATTGTTCAAAACGTACTTTGCAATAATGTCTCACGATACCCCCTGGCTTGTTCCTGGAACATCTAGATAACAATACCAGCTAATGACTACTCTAACTTCTATAGATTCATGGACTCATCGCAAGCAAGAAGAGCAGTCCAGGGGGGCCAGTCTATCTTCAACAACCCGCTATTTTCCCAGTCTAAATGGTTCGAGCTTAGCTCGCAGAACCTAATAAGATTGCGCAGGGTGTCCTCCACACCATCCCCCAAGCTGATAGTTCAAACCCGCCTCCTAATAATAACCGCCCCCATCACCTCCGTCCAGTGAGAGATGCGAGACGAAAGGTGTCGAGCTCCCTTAGCTCCTGGCCAGAATAAACGAATGTGGGCCAATTCCTCCTGAATCCGGCGGATAGAGAAATTGTGCCAACGTGGGAAAGTGCGTATCGCTAGGCACTGCTGCTGCTGGCCCTCCCCTTGACTTAGAGGAGAAGATTACTGGTTAGTTACTGTAGTAGAGCGTGCAATTTTGCAGTACAATACTCATTAATGGCCAACGCTTCGTCCCTTACGACCCCGTGCGAGACCATTCGCGAATTGAGTTATGATCCTTTCCGGGGGATTCTCGCTGGTTGGCGCGAGCTAGGGACGGTACCCACGTCAGCCAAGCCTTTTGTCTCGCGCGATTCTGGGGGGGGAACACAGTAGACATAGTTGGATGTTCTTCATCCTGCAGGCGTGGATATTTCAATTTCTCAGTATAAGGGAAAGGGGGGTACGATAGGTGGTCGCGATAGTATGGACTACGGAGTATGCTCTCCTCTCCGTGCTGCAAATAAGAAATTTTCCCGGCGATAGTGTAAAGCGGGCCCCCTCATCGCGAGGCTCGTACATGCTACATGCAGCGTCAGCGCGAAAGTGGGGAGCTCCATGGAGCTGCCAGACTGATTACAGTAGTAGGACTAGGTTGGACTTGTCCATGGGCCAGCACAGGAAGATGAAATAGGATCAAGACAGGGTGTCATCGATGTGGTGAATATATTGGTTCTAAGCCCTGGAACCAGTAAATGCATGGGTAGCCCGGTTGCGGCACCAATTGGAAGACGTTGATTCAAAAGGACTGGGCGGTGGATATATCGAAGCGTTGAGAAAACATATCGCGAAAGGTGTACCCCACGCGCGAGCCGTGGAACGGGGGAGTGGGCAATGTTCCACAAGGCAGGATATTGTGTTGGAGGTAGATTATAAGGTTGAACATGGAATTTTATTGTGTGGGAAGTGTTGCGACCGTTGAGAGTCGAGACATGGATAGGGAGTCCTTCCTCGTCTACAGATACAACCACATCATCGGCAAAAAGGTGGTCGTGCGACCGTGAGAGATACCGTCATCATCGAGATCAGCATACAGAACCCCTGTACACCCCGTCGATCGGCACAAAACCCGTGATTTGCCTTACGGAAGGGGACGGTGGATCAGACTCTGTCAAGGTTATTTAGGACATTTCTCGGCCTCATGTTTTTTGCCTCAAAGGCGACGAGTACTTCCTCACGTGGGAAAACCTTACCTCCCTGGTCTCCAGGAAGTATCCGGGTGCTCCGACCAGGATGAGCAGCCAATTTAGGGCGCCAGAATCGGATAGTGTATTCAGCCTTGGGGCGATCGCGCCGCTGATGTCGTGGACGTAATTATGCACTCAGTTGTCGTTGACAAAACGCACGGAGGTACAGTATGTATGTACTTCGTACTTTCTGCCTTAGATCTGTACAGCATACGAAGACGAAGTACATCCCGGGCCGGGAGAGGAAGAAATCGGCTCCAGCACGGGGCGCCAATATGCAGCAGATTGAAAATGCCTCAATTCTAACCTCCTCCAGACATCCAAGACCGGCGGCGAGGGTCGTGACGGGGCCCCGAACTAGGTCTTGGGGGTACAGTATGAGTGGTGTGGGTTTGCCACGGCGACTCGGCCATGTTTGACACCACGAAACTCCCACGCTCCATTCAGGGCCAGGGTCAAGGCCCTTTTCGTGACCCTACAGAGGTACTGGCAGTCTGCTCATCCGTTGCCACCCGTTGCACCCGCACAGAAAGAGAAGGTCAAGACAAGAGACTCGCGAGCCGGGGGGGGGGGCAACCAAAGGTACGGTGAAGACTGAGAACCCCCAACATTTAGCCTCAAATGGGCGATTTGATGATTATCACAATTGCTCAAAGCCAGAGTAATCTGGAGGCCGCTGTTCCCCAGTGGGGACTCCAGGACTCCAGGACTCCATACTTCTCGGGGTGGACTCTTCCTTGCCAGTCCATTGTTCGTTTCTCCATCTCCCATCTCGACTTCAGTGTTCACCGGCACCGAATCTGCCTTGGACTGGGTGTGCTGCTGGGCCTCGAGTGGAGCCAAGCTAGCAGTGCGTGCGCGCAAGCAAAACCTCCAATGGAGTCGGTTGTTCTCGATGTCTTCTAGAAGCCTTCTGTCTCCGGATCCATGGATGAGCTGCATGGAGGCTGACTTTTTTTTCTCGCGCTCTTTGCTGGTTCCTTCTCTGTGCTTTGCGGTCGTATGTCCATTATGCACGCCATGGTTTGGCGCTGATAGGCTCGGCGTACTCGGAAATCGGCATTCCCACTTTTGGGGGGGGAATTGCCTCTCGGGCAGGGCCCATCAGGTCTCCAAATTGGCAATTTGGGGGGACGTGCTCGAGATAAGAGTGAAACTCTCACGTCATGGGCTTATCGATGCCGTTTTCGCGAAAGCGCTACGAGTTCGCCAGCCTGCGAGTCGCGTCTGATGGCCGTCATCGCCAGGACTATGCCTGAGCTGGTTGGATTCTCCTAGCCCAGTTAGTCTACCGTAGTGAGTGCTCAAAAGCTTCCCAAACAGGGAGGATAAAATACGGCAGTTACCACCAGCACGACTGCTTATGTAATGTTGTATGGGGTCAGAAACGGTCATTTATCGGCGTATGGGGTTTGGTCACGACAATACGGCCGGAAAGGAACGAAATGCCCAATCAGGAAAAGTGTGAAAATAACAGCCATTGACCAATGAAATATCGTCAATCTGGCTGAGTCAGCCTTGCCCGCTGCCGTTTTTCCCGCTCGCGCCCAGGGGAAACGGGCACAGAAGACTAGACTAGACTACTGCTTGCACCTACGCAGCTTGGACATGCCCTATCCACCAGCGAGCTAGGAAATTTGACAGAAACCCTTTTCAGTTGATCCCATCCGTCAAAAAAAAAAGTCAATTGACCCTTCAATTCTCCGTGGAAAACACCCCCATCACATTCTGCACGTCCGACAAGCAGAAAAAAAAAAAGTCCATAGAAATCAAAGAACCCATGAGCAAATCATCTCATCAACAGCTCGCGAGAGCTCTCTCTCCCCCGTGTTCGGCCACCAGGGCTCCTTCCAATAATCAATGGAGACCGCGCATCACTACGATCCTCCACTCTCACCCCCCAAAGCAATTCTAGGACTAGGGCCAACACCATCGCTCTTGGCTCGCACCACGCAGCCGTGTACCTACCTTAGCGGCAAGAAAAGAGGAGCTCCGATTCCACCAATTCCAGCAATCAGACGCCCCAGTTGCGGTCAGAAATGGGTCCCGGGCCATCTGAATCAAACCCTCACCGGTGGGCCAGAGGAGCATCGTGAAGGGGGGCGCCCCACTGGACGATCGCCCGCCTGCCAAATCGTTGCTTGGCTGACGCGAGCCCCGTTCTTGTCGGCCTCCAGTCTGAGGTCTGCTTGCCGACCCTGCCCGTTTGGGAATAATCATCGTGAGGCATTTTTGACTGGGGCGTTATCGTGCAGAGAGGACGAGGTGGCATTGCGCTACGACGACGGGATTAATTGGATCTTCATCGTTGTTTGAACTGACAACTGACATGCGGAGGAAGAAATTCGGGGATGAGAACGAATTACAGAATGCGGAGGAGATGCGATGCTTTGCTTTTCTTTGGCTTGCTTTTGCGCATCGTCGGCTAAATACTTGCTATGGCGCGGAACGGGCGCGAGTTTTTGATTGAAAGGTTGTCAACAATTGACGCTTTAAACGTCGGTATTATTAGTGGTAGTTCGAGAGAAACGACACATCCTTACGGATGCACAAGGCTGAGGCATCCCTGGTCCTGCCTCGACCTGGTCTGTATACACTGTGCACTATGCAAAGCGCATAAACCTCCTCGTTGTCAGTATACACTGTGCACTATGCAAAGCGCATAAACCTCCTCGTTGTCAATAGCTATACATAGCACTCCGTCTAATTATCTCTCTAGCTAGGCACTAGATCCCAATCTACAATAGTAACCAGCACTAAAACAAGCCTATCACTAAACCAGCTGGAAACAAGCACTTACCCCCCTTTTCACCCCCTCAACATCGGGTTCGCCAAGCGATCCCAGCGTCTCCATCCCAGGTTTTCCCCAGGGTTCACCATCAGCAGCCCATGGAGAAAAGAAAAACAAAAGCAATAACTACACTAAAGACCGGTGAAGAGGGCTGACAGCGTCTCGACTCAAGCCTCCCGGCGTCTCGAACTCATTACTCCAGCGAGACACCGAGAAGAATCGAAACAATGCTCCAATGATAATTGCTTGACTGCTTGTTACTAAGAATGCACTCCGTAGTAAAGTTTCCATTGCGGTTCCCGCGCCTGCAGGGAAGCTTTAAGGTTTGAGGGTTCGGACCATCCAGCGTTGCTGATGTGCTCGTGGCTAGACTGGCTGTACAGGATGTATACAAACTCCACGTAAAGTGTAAAACTGTACAGAGCATGCATGTCCTCCCTGCGAAAGAACTGGGCAATTACGGACCACGGACTCCCTGCACGATGCAAGGAGATGAACGTGGTTAGCGGGTAGCGGTTGGTCGGCGGATCGGTGCTACGGTGTAGTGCGAGGCCCGAGGCCGAGATGGCCATGTTCATACAATAACTACAATACAGGATAGGGTATGGATTCGGGATCATCTGGATGAGAGATTAAATTGATGGTTTAGCGGTGTTGTGGCGGTAAAGATTCGGCGGCTTATTCGTATCTGCATCACTGCAGAGATTGTTGCGTGACTTTTTTCCGTAATCATCCATTTATTCCGTCCTAATCATGACATGACTCGATAGATAGTTAGTATGATGGACAAATTGGTGAGTCAAATAGCTGACTCCATAGTTAGTTAGTGTACTCCGTACATAGTGAATCATCTAGAACGGACTAATTGGAGCGTTCTGGCAAGAGGGGCCAAGGAATGGAGAACGGGGCAAAGATGGACATATCCTGTCCCAATCAGTGCGTACACAGTTCGCTCACCAGCTCACCGCGACAATTTTCCTTCTTCGAGCTCATCAACATGGCTCCTGCATAAGCCGCCATCGTCATCGATCCAACATAAGGCCATCACAATACTAATTTCATTCATACAAAGTTCGAAATACTTCATACCCTGGTCGGCAACGACTCCGGATATCGGCCGTCCGTGCTTCTGCGCCTTTTTTCCTACTAGTCCACGCAGTGATTTTCGATTATTCAAGCCCTTCCCTTACGTCCATTACCTATCTAGCTTGGCCTTGCCACTATTGCCCCAGAAGATCCCCATTGGCGCCCCGACGCCGTCGTGCTTTCGGCAACTTTGCCTCGGCCCAACGTCAAATCCAGTGAAAAAGACGTGAGGGAAAAAGAAGGACTTCGGCCTTAATCGGTCGGAATGCCGAATCTCGAAAGGCCGACGCGGCAACGCGGCAGCGCGGGAGTCGGCACCGGGTGATAGATATGGCTAACTCTTTACGACACGTTGCAGAAGGGTTTTTCTACGTGTTTCTTCTTGTGTGAATGGAACCGTGGTTGTTAGTCCTTTTTGTGTCTGATTAGTGGTATGTCGCGGATTCGCTAGGAACACAATGCACCTCTGACGTTAGCGCTTTCGGAGTTATTTTGGCTTGGGGTTCGGCTAAATTGTCGAGTCCACTGAAAAATTTTATGGTTATCAGTGTGCTCGCGTGAGACGGACACCCGCAAATTGTGGTCAGCCCTATTGTGGCGTGTGTCCTTTTTGGGAAACGTAGAAAATGCGATTCTCGCTTTCGTACTCGGACTCCTGGGGGTGGTCAACTGTCCAGTTCTAGGGTTCTTGGGGTTTGGCAGCTTTGTTTTGAAGGCTCCGAATAGGGTCACAGTGCTGACAGTGATGTGTTCGCGTTGTGCTTGGCTGCGTCAAATCCCTGCGCCGATCAACAATAATCAGAGTCATCAATGGAGTAGATTGATTTACGAATAATAGTGCACAAAGAAATTGCTCTATTGGTCCTTCTATCCGGGTCACTGCGGATAATTTTCAATGACTGAGTTTGTCGACCGGCGTTTCTGACTTGCCGATAGTCACGCTTGAATGTCTTCAAAGTACACTCCAAATCCCGAATCCTCCGCGCCAACAGCTGCTTCATAGTTCATCCAGCCGCAAGGTCCAGACTACTGCAGGTACGGTAGATGCCATAAAGCAAGCCAAATCTCAAAAATGTGGGCAGGCCCGTCCCGCAGGGATCGTGAAGTCGAATGTCAACTAAAGAACACGTACGATGAAGGCACACTACAGTACAGTATATTGTAATTGACGAGTCAGGATTACCTACCATAGCGAACATCTATGATGAATTCAATTCGCCAAAGTTAGAACTCAGGAGCAAATCCAGGAACAGGGTCATGATCAGAAGCATGGCTATGATGACATCCAGGAATGGCCAAAACAAAACAATTCGACGCGTTGGGGGATAAATGAGCCCTCCAATCGCATCGCGAGTAGTGACATTCCACAGTGAGGCCACATGCTACAACATACTGTACAAAGTTGGCTTGACCCCTTTTTTCGGCCCTGGATCGACAGGAGAACAAGCAGAGTGTACATGTTTTACCGCGGGCCAACAGTTGCGCTGCTTCGAGCTCTCGAGGGGCCATAGCTTGCTAGGACCCCCACACGGACCCGACGGGATGCTCGCAACGGGCAAGGAGTGAACTCTTTTTTCGGTGTGGGCGCTGTAATAGCGCGCATCACTATTAAATCTGGGCGGATTGGCTTGGTCCGGGAATTGAAAACTGGTATTTTGGCTGGGGCTGGGCTAGGCGCTCTTTGGGAGGTTTCGTGTGTCGCGCTATTTGTTTCCTGTTTATTACTTGCGGATTACTGAGTGACTCGCTGCAGGCGAATTATTCCGTGGTCATGGTATATGCGAAGAAGCATGATCAAAGGTGCATGTACAGTGGCTCAATTATGCTTATGCAGGTACAACTGTAAAGCGTCCCGTGTATCCATGGTAGAAAATAGAGCCGCCATGATCGGCGGGTCTTTCTCACTGTGCTGGTCTCTAAGGTAGGTAGGCCGACTCTGTCTTGCGTACGTGGAGGTAAATCTGGAGTGTTTATTGACGTCAATGTGGTAGACCTAGTGTGTCGTGCTTGACGAAAGCTTTGTTTTAATTGAAACTACATTCGTCGTTATCAGTACAGTGAACATAACATGTACAAACTGTATACCGGCGTACGTCTAGTTCGGATCCCGACTACCTAAAACTCTCCGTGATGTGATGATCGGTGTTTCGTGAACGACCTACCGATCCCACACCCTAGCCCTTGGCTTGGGCCAGGACGGGGGACGGGGTTATGACGAAATGATGCCGAAGGGATATGTCTGTCCTGCTATTGTTGGACACGTGAATGATTAGTCTTCTTTGCGGTGAGTACTTAATCAGCTGCCTAGAAGACTGTGATTTGCCGCTATAACAGAAGGAGGCTGTGCCGCTGTGCAGCAGGATCTGTTCTTGTGATTGCTCGATGCAGATCGGGACTTACGAACAGAGGCATCAGAGCTTCGTACTCTCTGATTTGTTCACTGGTATCCGTATAATATAGCAATTGCACTATGTGTCTTGGGACTTGGCACCCTGCCTGTATGCTAAGTAAGACAGGGATATATTTGTTGAGATCGTCAATACTGCCTAGAAAATTGCACACTGAGGGCTCTATAGATAGAGTTCGCCGTGAATACAGAATCTTGTTAGATTCTTTTCTCCAAGATACAGGGAGACAGACATGCTAAAGATACACTAGTCCATCCTATATCTGGATTTACAGTCAGCGTGAGCCAAGTATTGAGTTCCTGTTCCACCCTAGCTCTTGGCTCAATAAATAAGTATCACTTGATCTCAATTGGGATTGCATCAAAAAGGGTCATCGTCTGATCGACGAGCCTGTCTTGGTCTACCCCGGATCTTCCAAATACAGACTTTAGTGCCTCTGAACTGTTCCTTAATATTGCCTTGGCAGTAAATATATACGCCCAAAACATACCTTGCACCAAGCAAAGACAACAAGCATCCAATTACACTTGTCCGACTTATCGCCATTGTGGCAATGAGACGCCCAGTTTCAAAATCCGACGCTGCAACATCCCTACGCCCCAATCCCTCCGGGCAATCACTCTTGGCGCCAATACTGCCCCGAAAGAAGATCATAGTCGGCGATCGACTTTGCATCCTCTTGGCTGTACTGTACTCCATGCTCCGGATACATGGCTGTCGTATTTGAGATCACGTATGTACATCTCGTCTTGTAATACTGTACTTCCGGATTCCGCTACAACTACCCCTTGATTGCCTGTCAACTTCATGCACAGGCATATCAAAGGTGGTACCGTACAGGAATGTATTGCATATACTCATGCACTACAGTATCCTGGTATCATTCCACCCCTCCCCCCCTGAGTATAACGCCAATAACACACCGTGCATCCCTCCCGCATTATTGTCTTGGCGGGCATTTACTTCTCGGCGCTCTGACACAATGCGCCTCGCTCCTCCCCTTTCCCCAGAGATGATCAATGTTGCATAAACACGGAGTCCGGATGCCGTACGGTACTGTCACTATTGTTTTCCCCCTGATCACCGTGGGGCGGGATGGAGGGAGCAGTATAGCGAGATAGATGTCAGCAAGGGACGTCTAGATAACTAAGTAACATCAATTAGGCTTATCTTTACGAGAATTCTATACGTACTGATGTTTCTTTCTTCCCGTGTCGGATCTTGGCGGGGGCTGTACACTGTGCCTAGCATGCAGTATATACATACTGGAGTTTACTAGGGCTTGGACGTGGCCGGTAGGTATGGTGTATCTCGTTGCCTCTTCGGCGTCGGGTATGGACCCAAAGGATGTGCTATGGTAGCTAGATGACTTTGTTTGTACAGCATTGATGTACGTCGCTCAGAGGATGGCAGGTTGTTTCATCGAGCTTCTGTACAGTAGTCGTAGATTTTGTTTAACTGCCGGTGCTGTTAGGGGTCTTGGATGATTACTATTCTCGTATACAAGGATTGGATCTTGCTAGGTCATTCGCTGGAATTGGGAGTATCACCATTTTTGCTTGATGACCTAGTGCCAACGTGGCTATTATTGAGGAAATGAAGCGTATAGTCATCGATTTTGGAGGTCCCCGGCTGCGGTTTCCAACGTCTGCCCTTTTGGGGTATGTTGCTTGGGACATATCATTTTGAACCAAAGAGTGAATATCTAGAATAGAGATGATGGGTGATTTACTTCTACAACTTATCTGTCTTGTCATTGGCCGAGCAGGTACGACTATACCTTGGGTGCCATTTAGTCTTTGGTGTCGGGAAGTAACCTCACCAATGTTACAGTTGTGATCTTATGATTTAATGTCACTTCTTTAATTGGAGACCAGAAGCATTTATCTTGAAAGTGATTGACGAAATTCTCGGCTCGGGGCATTGACTGTGCCTTGAAATATTGATGGGTATTGCCCGGGACGTTGTTGGGTAGAACTGTATAGGTCATCGCGCACAAGAAACGCCGATATATATCTCGACTGACGCTGCGATCGAATTTTTAAACAGCAAACCTGCATCCTCCAGCTACAAGCATTACTCAACTTTGATACGAAGATAATGCTAGTACCCAAAACTAGTATTTCAATTCTCCAATCTAGACTATCGCTGTCAACACTGCACACACAATCCGGGTTTCTCATGGAACCGCGTCCGTACCAAAACGGCAATATTCACATCCATCGAGCTCCCAGATAACCTTCCAACCAAACCACTTCCCACATACTCCCGATTGTGTGGTAGAGTACTGTAATGCAGCAAGGGATAAACAGTGAAATCATAAGATGGAGCTCTCATCAAAAACAGCAAAGTAAGCGAGCACCCCCCAAGCCCCGTGACATGATCCATCCCTTGCAAGAATGACAAAGTTGCCAGGAGCAACACCCGACATGCCAGCTTAATACGGATATGTACACTGTCTTACAGTACATAGACCCTGACTTGAACTCCCCACGTGGAGATACTGTTCCGCCAGAGAATGCAAGGAACAGCCCACCGTGCATGCTGCATCTCTAATCTTAAAGTCAGATCCGATCTGAGCAGAATCCATCCAATAGCTGGACGATCCGTTCGGAGGACAGATGAACGAGATACATAAAAAAGGACGAGTGCAGTGTTTCACGAATCTCAAAGATCTAAAAGGTGATCTTGATGCCCACAGTACACGGAACAAGAGTACCGGGCATGTGTTTCTCAATGGCGAACTTGGCCCGCCAACCTGAGCAGTGACCTGGCATGAGTACGGCGGGATCAAGACGTTTCAGGTCTGCTACTGTACTCTGGACCTGTGCGTCTTCGCTCATAGCGAGATGGAAGCCGCCAACTACGGCGTGAAGGGGTACATCGTTGCCGATGAGGTCGAGTGCGTTTTTTGTGGTGTTGACGACGCCGGCATGGCTGCAGCCAGTGAAGACGACTATTCCTTTTCCTGTGGGAATGAGTCTCGAATTCGTATCATGGGTAGGGAAGAATGCCTACCTTTAATGTTACAGGCGAGGAAGCGTTCGTCGGCGATGAGTTCATCTGAAAACCAATCGTTTTCCTCTGGATCGTATCGCACTGCGTTTTTCAGGCCCGTCTCGTATGGCGTGAGTCGTGGAATTTCCCCAGAGATCAAGAACATGTCGTCTAGGACTGTGTGTGCCTGGTTTGACTTGCTCACGACAGCGCCGGCATCAGTTAGCTCGTCAAAGGTAGGATCTGCCTCGAGAGATATGATGTTTTCAGGCAGAGCGATACCCCGGTAGACCGGTCGATCTGGGTGTAGGTCCACGATCAGGTCATCCGAGCGGCCATGACTCTGTTTAGCGTCTTTGATCATTCGAATAGCCCGGCAAAGACCACCTGGTTCAAGTCAATATCAAAGAAAATGACCCATGTTCTCGCCACAGCAGCACGGCCAACAGTCTCGAGCAGAACCGACCTGAGTGATCCCGATGCCAATGCGATAATTGAATCACCTCGACCGAAGCAATATCCGGCCGCAATCGCTTCACATTCCTTTCCCACGCCTCTTCTTCCGGGCCCGCATCGAACAGCACAGCATGCTTTTGGTCTCCTTTGGTCGCGGTCTATATCGTCACACCACCACCCTCATATCATCGGGCTATGTATAAGCCAGTCGTCCCGTCGCAAGAGGCAAGAGCGCATGATTCATCTTACCACTAGAATCGACAATCCATGTGCCGAGCAGCAAATATCCTCCATGCGCATTTCTTTGCAAGCACCCCCACGATCGGTGAGCTTATGCTTTGAGTTCATCCCGATTGTACCGAGATTCCCAGCTATCTGGACGGTATTGGGGGCCGGCGGGGATAAGGGGTCGAGTTCATTATCGATGATGATGGTGGCCTCGAGAGAGTCTATTTCTTGGAGATTGAGGGTGTTCATTGTGAGGGTTGTGAAGATGGGAGGATGAGAGAGAGGGAGGTGTTTGGTTGTTACTGTAGATGCTGGGCTTTAACCCTTTGGATATAAATACGTCAGCCTGAACGAGTGCCGCGTGTTCCGATGTGTTTGTTCCGCTGGCGAGGGATTCGAAATTGGTATTGACTACGAGGCTGAACTGTTTTCCAATGCTGATTACCAGCTGGGCTGTGGTTGGTGACTTCTTCAGGACCAGCTGAAAATGATGGACACTGTCCAGCGTAGTGGGGCTGATGATGACCCCCGCGATGCCCGATGGTGTGAGGTCTAACTTTGTATAGACCAAAGTAAACAGACCACGGAGGAATTAAGATGAGCGATGTGCACCAGCTCGATCGGGATCCACGATCTCTGATCTGATCTGATGTGATCTGGAAGATGCATAAAAGCATTAAAATCCGGAGGCTCGGCCATCCGGTGGAGCCCCCCGAAAAGTAAAACGCCCGCGATAATCAATTGACTGGACTGTACAGTCTTCTCTTCAACTCCGCAACTCCACACTTTTTGCAATCGCGGGGGGATTCGAGCTGGAGACCATTTCTCTGTGACTTGGTCTGATTGCCGGTCAAGAGGCGACCGCTCATATTGTCGATTCACGATCCCATCCCTGTCCTCTCACCCTCCCTATCCTGATTCCTCCTCGCCCTGCCTCGGCCAGTCCCGCCACCATGCGCTTGTCTCTCGATCGCCTCGTCCTCCTCCTTCTCCTCGCCCTCACACCCGCCAACGCCATCGGCTTCTCATGTATCAAAGTGGCCTCCGCCCTGGTCGGCCGACCGAGCCACCTATTCAACCTCTTCCAGACCGAAATCTGTGAACGGGGCTGCCAACCGACCATCCCCCACTGGGACCTGTGGACACGCAACAACAGCTTCGTCCCCGCCGTGCGCAGCCTCATGAAACGCATGAACGTGTCCCACAAAGAAGAAGCCCTCCTAAAGATGGGCGACGATGTCGCGACCATCATCAAAGATCAATGCGGGCCGATGCTCGGGGGGCGACATATTTGCTCGGACCCGGTCACGCTGGCGGACTTTGGCAACTGCTTCAAGCGGTACTTTTTCAAGGCGTCGATCAAGCATATCCCGATTTTGTTACCGATGGCGTCGGATGCGGCGTGTAAGGAGCAGTATCAGTATTTACAGGGCAATGAGTTGTGGGATGTGACTATTCCGAATAACATGCGCGAGTATGCGAGTGTGTGCAATGAATTGGAGGCGAAAGCGAAGGAGGAGGAGGAGTCTACAGAGGAGGCTACGACCAAGGAAGCAGTGAAGCATGAGGAATTGTAATTTACTTTCTATATTATACAATCTGATAGATATTTTTCTCAATTTCTTAGTTCTGATCGGGTTCTTCCCCCGTCAGCCTCGTTCCATGCGGATTCCTCGTTGGGCCGAGTCCGACTCCGAGAAACCGCGCAAACTCCGCGAATGACGACAGACCAGATCCATCGCTGATCGAAACTCCGCACCGCTGACTCTCTCACACACACACACACTCTCTCTCCTCCTCATCTTCTCCTGGACTCGGAAGGAATCTTCCAACTCTCTTCCTTCTCTTCTTCTCTCATCGACCCATTTCTCATTCGCACCATGCGCTAATCGCATGCATCTTACCAAAATCCGATGGCGCACACGACGCTCCTCCGCTCTCTGCGGCTACCATTTCCCCCGGATCTCATGCCCGCAGCCTCTGGCGCCCTCTACCCCGTCGCTTAATCCACGCCGGCGAATTCCAGCCCTTCGTCCCTCCCTCACCAAGCTCATTAGGCAAACCCATCCCCGCAAAGACCTACACCCGGACCCGCAAATGGCTGCGGCGACTAGTCTACGCCTCCATCGCCACGGGAGTCGTCTACGGGGTGGACTCGCAATTCTACGCCTCCTCCCTGACGAGAACGGTCCGGACGTTCGCCGTCGGTTCACTCGTCGCACTCGACTACAAGATTAATTTTCGCCCGCACCCGCCGCTGGCGAGTTCCATTGCGGCGGTGCATGCGCGCAATGCGGAGCGGTTGTCGGACCTGCTACGTCACAATGGAGGTCTGTATTTGAAGATGGGTCAGGCCATTGCGATGCAGTCTGCAATTCTGCCACCGGAGTTCCAGGCCATGTTTGCGCGCATGTTTGATGATGCGCCGCAGAATGAGTGGAAGGAGGTGGAGAAAGTGATTCGCGAGGACTTTGGCAAGTCGCCCGAGGAGGTGTTTGGAGTTTCCTTTGATGGGGAGCCGGGGAAGGGTGTTATGGAACGGAGGGCTCGGGCGAGTGCTAGTGTCGCGCAGGTGCACTGGGCTCGACTGGCGGATGGCCGTGAGGTGGCGATTAAGATCCAGAAGCATGAGATTGTGCAGCAGTTGGCTTGGGATCTATGGGCATTCAAGTAAGTCTTGCACTCTTGCTCAATTAGCAACCGGTGGAAAATCCAAGACTAACAACCCTCATAGAGCCGTCACTTTCATCTACAGCAAGCTCTTCGACATCCCCTTTTACAGTCTGGTCCCGTATATCAGCGAGCGTCTCTCGCTGGAGACGGATTTTGAAAACGAGGCGACTAACTCGGAGACCATGGCCCGGCTGATTGCTGCCGAGTCTCGCCTGCGTGATCGCGTGTATATCCCCAAGGTGTTCCGGGAGCTGAGCTCCAAGCGAGTGATGACAGCCGAGTGGATAGAAGGTGTGCGACTCTGGGACAAAGACTCCATCACTCGTACATGGCGTGGTGGCTGGCGACAGGGTAGTCCTGGATGCCACGGAACTCCGCTGGATCCTCCAAAGAGCAAAGCAGGATCCCAGAGTGGCGGAAAGCCCGAGCGCAACCACTGGAAGGGCCCGAACAATCGTGGCGGACTTGGCGTCTCTCTTAAAGACGTGATGACCACCATGGTTGACCTCTTCTCGGCACAAATGTTCCTCTTCGGCTGGGTACACTGCGACCCGCATCCAGGCAACATCTTCATCCGACGCAAGCCCTCTGGCAAGCCAGAGCTGGTCCTGATCGACCATGGCCTGTACATCCACATGGACCCAGCCTTCCGGCACCAATACGCACGCTTCTGGAAAGCCCTGCTGACCTTTGACAATCGCACACTCGGCGAGATCACCAAGAGCTGGGGTGTCAACAATGCCGACATCTTCGCATCCGCTACACTCCTACGCCCCTACCGCGGCGGTGACATGTCCACGCAGCGCGGCATCGAGGGACTCAGTAAACACGAGCGCGCCGAGCGCCACTACGAGATGCAACAAGCAGCCCGCAAGGCCATCCGTGAGATTCTCGGCGACGAGAACAAGTGGCCCCGCGAGCTGATTTTCATCGGCCGTAACCTCCGCATTGTCCAGGGTAACAACCAGTTCCTGGGCTCACCGGTTAACCGGGTGAAGATTACAGGGATGTGGGCGTCTCGCGCGTTAGTCGACGCACCTGATCTACCGTTATCCGAGAAGATACGCAATTTGGGCAGACATGTCATCTTCCGGATCGTCCTGTTCTCGAGCGATATATTCTTCTGGTTCACCAAGATCCGGCAGTTCTTGCGGTTGGGCGGTGGGATGGAAGATGACATTGAGGCGCAGTTGCAGCATATGGCGCAGGATATGGGGGTGGAGCTGAATCACAGTGTGTTTGAGGGATAGGATCCCTCGCGCTGGTCGTGTTTCGCGGAGATGGTTCGCCGGAGCTGGATTGTTTATGTATGTGGAAAGAAGGTTGGAAGGCCGGAAATGGATCTGGCATCTGCATCTGCATCTGCATCTGCATCGAGTGATGCCTGCGTCAGTGATAGAATGGATAAAGAACTCCTCTCATAGAAGAACGGAAAGAACATTGATAGAGATAATGCATGGATGTCTTGACTATGCAATTTTGAATATCAGATATGGATTGAGTATCCAACCATACTATACACACAGCCATATCAACATCAACATCAATATCAAAATCACCCACAACTCCCATAAACACTCAGCCCAGACCCCAGCACATCCTGATGCCCACTCCTCTTCCGACTCAACGACCCCCTCGTCTCCCTCCCTTCCATCTTCCTCTCTTCGGCCTGCTCATCCCCACCTCCATCCGCAAAGTAAATCCCCTCCACACCCCCCCTCTCCCCCATCAAATCAACCAACCGGCCATACCGCGCTAAATACGCTGCCCCGGTATCCGCCCAAACCCGATACTCGACGACCTTCAACACCCCCTTCCCACCAGCCCGGCTAATCCCCGTCCGGGCCATATCAACGCCCTCCCCATCACCAGAACCAAAATCACCACTACCAGAACCACCACCACTAGAACCGCTACTAGCGCCGGCAGTATCACTCACCTCTTCCGCAACAGCAACCCGATAGATAAACGTCTCATCCCACCCCTGCCCCGTAGCCTTCCACGTAAACCTTCCCCGGCCCCTCAACACCACCGCCATACACGCATCATCCACCAGCCAAGCCTCCTCAGGCTCAAAGGTCATCCCGCTGATGGTGAGGTACTCGCACAGCAGCTCGAAGTAGCGGGCTACACCGTCTGTGCCGGTGAAGGAGCGGCCGAGGAAGGGGGCTAGTTGGGGCAGACCGTGTTCGTGGATTGTGGGGAGGGGGTCGACGGTGAATGTTGAGAGGAGGGTGGATATGTAGGTAGGTGAGGTTGGTGGGGATGTTAGGGCTGAGAGGAGGGTGTGGATTGGGGCGAGGAGGGTTGTCCGGGGGGTCATTTTGGATATTTGGATGTTGGATTTGATGTTTGGATATTGGATGATGAGGGTGTGGGGTATGAGGAGAGTAGAGATTTGTCTAGAGGGTAGGATTATGTTTATATGTTGTAGAGGAGGTATGAAGTATGAAGTATATTGGTGGTGGATGGAATGGTGGAACTTACATAACAATGACGTTCGGATAGTACCTACAAATTATACGAAGAACTATCATTCGCAATTTTAAATGTCTTGTACAAGACAAGGGGAAAGGTATTACTTTCAAAGTAGATATCTCAATCTATGGCTAAGCCAAATCGAGAGATATTCTCTCTCTCGAGGTTGATTGCCTCGCGGGCAAAAAGCCATGGACCGCAGCAAATAGACACATCAAAATCACGTCCCCCCAAAAGAGCCCGCATCAAAACTCCAGTGCCGGCCTGCGTAGAGAAAGCAAGGGTTCACGAAAACGCATCGAATAGGGAAACTCCATGATTCAAGAGAAAAGAGATAGTAGAAAGATGTAGAGAGAGAAGGGAAGACCTCAGTACTAGGTCCGAGGAAAAGGGACATTTCCTGGTTCTTTTCCACAGAAGCATGAGCTCTCCCTTGAGGCCTGTTTTTAGCAGCAAAACTCGTAGATATGGTTGAAGTCATATCTCCCGCCTCGCGGTTCAATCACTGGCGCCAGGACTTGCCGCAGTTCACACAAGTACAGAACAGAGTCATCGGTTCATCAGCACTGCGAGTCTGCGCCTCAGTGTAGGTCACCTTGCGTTGGCCACACTTGCCGCACTGCAAACTAGTACTGATACTGCGCTCCGGCTGGCCCACCATAGCCTTATCCATGTTCAACTTCTTGATCTTGGCATCAGCCTCGCGTTGCTCTGCAGACCGCAACTCGTCCGAGCTCATCCGCACAAACTCATCCGGCGTAATCTGGCCCGCGAGCACGCGGGTGCGCAGGTTCGGGTTCGACTTGTTCTTCAGGTTCTGGAATAGACTGCGCATCTTGGTCCGGTATTCTTCCTTGGTCTCGGGGCCTAGTAGTTTGTATGCGGCATTCTCAACGGCACATGCCTTGGCGAGGACGGTCTTGGGCGACTCCGTCGAGCCTAGACACAGCCCGTCGTACATCAGCCCCGTGCAGCTATCGCGGACTTTGTTCCCCGTGACAGCCGTGTCCACTTTGTCGGCCTTCCATGTGCGCTTGTCGGGCGGCACGGACAATTGGGACGCCTTATCGGACGGGGGTCGCTGCCGCGGGTGTGGATGCGCCGGTGCCATTCTGCGCTGGCCGTGGTGAACTCGAGCCCCGGCTCGCTGCTGATGCGCCGCCTTGCTTTTGCTTGCTGACTTCCACCCGCCACTTGGAAACGATCTCGCTCGATAGCCGTGCTACCTCGGGGGACTTGTGTTGTTTGAATTTGTTGACAATGATACCGATTCGGGTCTGTCGTAGCAGGTCCTCGGTCGCCTTGACGCCTTGTTGGATCTCCTTGAGCATGTTGAGAATCGTGGGCGCGGGCTCGTTCTGCGTTGCGGCCTTGGTCAAGGCTTTCGCCTTGGCCTCAATCTCTTTGGCATCCATGGCCGCGGCGTGGGGAGGTGGAAGAAAGGCTCGCGGTCGACTCTAATCGAGCAGATAGGGTGTACCCTTGTGAGGGAGGAAGGTGAAGCCGGTCGCAGCCTGCATAGAGAGTCCGGTTAGCGAGGCATCCATATCCTTCACAGAGTAAAATCATTGTCGCGGAGTCCACGGAAGTCCAGCCTCAGTCGCAGCCAGGCAATGTTGCATGCGCATTTCTGTCGAGAAGTGCAATCCATTGAAAAAGCTCCCATGAACAAATTTCTTGCTCGCCGCTAGCCGAGAAACTGTCCAGACTGAAGTAGCTCGCAATCTCCAAGTGGCACGTGTCCACCTTCCCAGTTCGCTCATTAAGATCGCGGAGACTGATAAAAGTCTAACAAACGGGATTCGATATGCCGCGCTTCTTCAGAACGTTTGCGATCGCGGGGGAGTGGTGTGTAGGGCGTGGGCAGGGTGAAGAGGGGCATTTTTGCGCGGGCACTTACCCCAAGAGCACACTCGAGAATGGTGTGAGGATGTAGCGAGATGAGTGATTCAAGGCAGACAAAGAATTGAAGTGTCAAGAGGAGAGTCTACGTCGCGAGGGAGGAGTTGAGAGATTCTTGAGAGGCTCGAGGCGTGGGAAGCTCCGAGGTTGAATGCCAAGACGTGGATTCCTGATTTGGTAATTGTTTCACTTCATCAACAAAATACTACTATTCCGTGTACAAAAGAGCTAGCTAAAGTGGATAGAAACTTTACAAATGATCCAGGATAGCAATATTGAGAAAGACAGAGATGTCTAAGGAAGAATTGGTCGCCAAGCGAGGCCTGGGGGTGTATTCACATCTATATGGAGAACCTCCTGTTCCCGTACCCTCCCTAGACAACGGAGCTCAAAAGGGCTATGCAAATGACAAGGGTGAAATCAATGAGGTTTATGTGCAGTCGTCATCATCAACAGGGTATATGAAGTAAGGGGAAAGTTTTGGGAAAGAGGGCATCGGGGTCGTCAATCAAAGCTCCCGGCACTGAGGGTGAAGATGAAGTTGCGAATCCGAGCAAACCGTCTCAAATGAGACAGGACGCAACGGTGCAGGACGCTGGGGCGCGCACCTTGAGGCGCAGTGAAGGATGACACCAGGATCCGTCTTTCGTGGATAAAAAGGAAATCAAGAAACCTGCAATCAGTAGTCCACGCGGGATCTACAGACCGGTCTTGCCCAGAGCTTTGGCCAGCTCATCAACGTCCTTGTCGGCCTTCTGAGCCACCTTCTCCTGCTCGGCGCGATCAGCTTCCTCCAACTCCTTCTCGGCCTTGGCCTGAATTTCCTCCTCTTCCTCCTCTTCCTCCTCTTCCTCCTCTTCCTCCTCTTCAGAGCCCTCCTCCTCGAGCTCATCCAGCTCATCCACACCCCAGCTGTCCTCAGCGTCTTTATCGGTACCATGCTCCTCCTGACGGGCCTCCAAAAGCTCGCACAGGTCGGCAATGTTAGGGTCCTCGTCCGAGAAGATGTTGCCGTTCAGCTCCACACGGCGCAGGCTAGGGAGTGCGGTCTTGGCAGCGTGGGTGAGAGCCTTCACACCCTCGGCCTTAATCTCGTTGTACTGCATGCGCAGGGTCTGGAGCTTCGGGTTCTTGTTGGCGGCCAGAGCCTGGGCAACCTTGACACCACCACGGGCAGAGAGCAGGCAGTCACCAACACCCAGCTCAACCAGAGCGGGCCAGCCCTCCAGAACGCTAGCCAGCGCAGCAGATCCTATAACGGTGAAAGTGTTGTCCTGCAGATCCAAAACCTCCAGGGCGCTGCAGTGGCGAAGACCATTCTTGAGCAGGTAAGAGATACCCTCCTGGCGGATACCGTTCTGGGTCATCTTGACAGACTTCATGCCCGCAGCGTGCTTCTCATAAGCACGAGCCCATGCCGCCATACTACCATTCTCCAAACGGTTACGTCCGCAGACAATGCTTTCCAACTTGGCAACCTCCTTGCCCTCCTTGCGAGCCTCTTCCTTACGCTCAGCAAGCTTGCTCAGAGCATCGGCAATCAGAGTACCAGCGGCGGGACCGAGACCATTGTTGTTCAGGATAAGGTGGCGCAGAGGAACGTGACGCGACAAGAAATCGACGAGGGGAGCCTGCGTGTTGAGACCGAAAGCATTGTCGGACAAGTTGACAGTGTGGACGGAAGGGATCTCGAGAAGGGCATCCAAGAGGGACTTCAAGGCAGGAGGAATTTCGGACAGGAGACGCGAGGTGAAGATATCGGCGAGCTCGGCGACTTCGAGGCTCTTCTGGGTCGCGATGACGGTGGCGAGGCGCTCCGAGGCACCAACACCCAGGGTGTTACCGCCAAATCGGATCTCGGTGTAGTCGGTCGACTCAACAAGAGGCTTGATGTGGGCATCGATGTCCTCCGCGTTGTCGAGCTTGAGACCCTTGCCCTCGAGGGAGAAGACCTTTGGAGGGGCCATGGCGGGGTAGCGTGTAGTTCAGGGGAAACAAAGAAATCGGATTGGAGAAGTGGGGATGGGACTAGGACGGATATGGACCGTGAGAAGAAAAGCAGGAGCGATGAAGATCAGGCTCAAAGAGTGACAAAAGTCCAAGATGTCCAGGGAAGGGCAGAAGAGGGAGGCTAAAAAGGAAGACAATTGGGGATGTTTTTGTCGATAACAAAAAAAATCAGTACGGCCGGCGGAAAGGACCACTTGCGCTGGATTAATAATATTGCGATGGTCTCATCACCGTTGCTCCGACATCTTTCGTCCTTGCCAGCCGATCCTTCTTACACTCATTTACTTGCTCGTTGCTGTCCTATTGCACATACTCAACCAACAAAATGTCGTGGCTCTTCGGTTCCTCCAGTGGTAAGTTTGAATCGCTTCGTACCTGCACACCCGCGGATCCGCTATTTAATGAACACTGGCGCAATGCGCAAGGGCGAATTGCGCCAATGAACCAAGCAACCTGTTCCGCTAACATTCGCCCCTGAAAGACAAAGCTGCCGCTCCTACTGAGCCCAAGGCGCAGCCTGCCCAAACCGAGAAACCTAAGGTGCGTTTCTCCCAGAGATATTGTCGCATCGAGGAAAGAGCCCAAGCATTGACTGACTCTACCCTTGCTATATAGCCCTGCTGCGTCTGCAAAGATGAGAAGACCGCCCGCGACGACTGCATGCTTTTCTCCAAGTCCGACGATCCCGCCAAGGAGTGCAAGTCAATGATCGAGCAGTACAAGGCCTGCATGCTGGGCTATGGCTTCAAGGTCTAGACCATGGCGGCGTCGATCATCGTCGGATTGTATAATACTGCAACTGTATCATAGCATTTGGCATCTACTGGCTGGAGTTTCTTTCTTTTCATTGGCGGATATCATGGGACTCTTCGTGCCGCAAGCAGTACCATGAGAACCCCTTGGGCTTATACTGTACTTTTTTCATGTTGGATAGAGACCAGAATTAGAACTACAAATACGCCATCTCATCTCTAGAACAAAACAACTGGATATCAGGATATCAACGGGGTAATGTGACAGGATTAGTCTAGCAACACAAATTTTCCATGGTAATACATTGATGAATGGGGTATCACTGAAGGCCCATGACCTTCCAAGAACTACCTTAATGCTTCTTCTTCCGGTTCTCCTCTTCAGCTGCCCGAAGGTCAATTTCACGACATTGGACCACCAAATTCCACATACACCAAAGGTAGGCAAGTCCAAACCCGGCCGCACCGATCAAGGCGTTGAGGACCACCCACAGATCCGGTTTGCCGGCAGGTGGAGGCACAAACGCTTCCAGAATGTGCCAACCAATCATGGCCAGGTAGAATGCTAGATGTAAGAGCTTGCTAAAGATATGCGGTTCCAGCGGAGCATCTTCAGGAGAAGCCCTGCTTCGGAAGATCTCAAATGAAGTTGGAGGAAGACCCATCAGATAGGCCCAAAGCAGAGTCATGACAATGTAAGGCAACCGCAGCTCTTCACGACTCAGAAGCGGATACATGGTCCATGAGCCAAGGATATTAGCCCAGCCAACCCACGCGCGGTTTTGTTTGCTGAGGCCGCCGTCACCAGCCAAGGTCAGAGTCATGGGGAGTAGAGGAAGAAGCACGCTCTTCTCATGCACTTGGAAGGAGAAGAGGAAAAAGCCCCATGAGACACAAGACAAAGAAGGGAGGAGGAGGGAAGCCCGAGGATGGCGGAATATGATGGCACATGGGACAAGGATCGAAGCTAGTGTAGCGCCGAGAGACGCACGTTGGAGCAGAGAAGCCTCGAAGCGGTGCAGCTTGTAGAAAGTGTGAATAGCGCACCAGGCATTGGCCACCTTATCCTCGAACAAACCACGGGCGAATGGGAACACGCGGTGGATAATTTGCGTCGTCTGGAAAAGTAGAGCATAAGCCACGGAGTTCTTATCGAGAGCAATCGGAAGGCCTTGCAGCAGCGGAGGCTGTGGCGAAGACGCAAAGAGCTCTCGAGCCTCCGCCTTTGTAGCGCCATACAGAAGCGGGGCAAACAGTAGGGCGAACGCGGCGAGTGTAATGAGAGCAATGTTAAGAAGCCGAAGGATACGAATGCGCGGGAAGACACAGACGCCAAGGAGATAAGCGAACATGACGGGCGCGTAGTATAATGCCATCTGCTTGAATCCCAATGCGCCGACAAAGAAGATACAGGCCCACAGCATCCGTCCAGCTAGTATAGCATCCAGACTTGCAACCATGAGGCCCAGCATCACAGTATTGTATTGGAAGTGGCCATGATCGATCAAAATGGTCGCCGGTTGGAGGAGGATGGCAACGAGGGCGATTGAGGCGGACCACGCGTGCACCCCGTGCATGCGGGAATAACGGCGAAGGAAGGTGACGATGGCTGGGACGTAAACGAAATATTCGGAGATGAACACGGTGGCGCGCATGTAGACCTTCAAGTCCGATCCCTCGATTCCCCGGGATTCGTCCAAGGCAAACCATGCAGGGTCAAAGGCCGAACCACTGCGTCGGTTAGCAGGCGCGCCATTGTTAAAGCTCAGCAGCCAATGTAGGAGAAGGAAAAACTTACATCTTACCGCATAGCCAGCTGTGGTATGCGGTCAATGGGGGATAATCCAGGCCCCAATACTGCAAATCATAGAGATACCATTTGGCCATTGGCAGATGGGTAGTGATCTCCATCCAGTGCCTTTGAGCCTCGAAATCACCGTGCATTGGAGGAACATTGAACCCTATGCTTCGTTAGACGCGAGAAGAACCATATCACAAGACCGATTATCATACCAGAGTAACCCCACAGACTGACAGCCCAACGGAAGAGGCCCACGGCCATGAGCGTCAGAGGCAGGATCAGCCATTGCGAGACGCCAGCCCGTGCCGCCCACAGAAATGAGACCAGTGGAAATGCAGGTGATTGTTTCCCGTCTCCCACATCCACGATCAGGCTGTTGTTCGAGCCCGGTGCCGTCGGGTTCTTTCTCTTCTTGCGGGGGCGATGCGAGGAGGGAGTAGGAGGGGCCATCACGATCGTGGCCAGGTGGCTTCAACACGGCCCATTGACTTCGAGAGTCGAAAGGATGGAAGCACGCGGCACGGAGGAAGTCCGGAGGCGCGAGAAGCTTGGGTTCAACAGACGTTCAAAGTATAGAGACCCGCGGGACCAGTCGACGCAGGAGGATCAGTACGGGGGACCAGAAGTACTCCTGGGTGACATGTCAAGTGCCGCTCACAGGGCAACACGCGAGTGGCAGAGAAGTTGCCCCGAGGTACCCGCCAAGTCTCCACTTCGTGTCCACCGCATTTGCTGGGCAGTGCCTGATTCTAACCTGTTTAGGCAGGCGGAGAGTGTTTCTGCCAGCCTCTGATTTTTTTTTCTGCAGATTTTTTTGCTTATCAGGAGCTTCCCCCAGCCACGCATCAACTTTTTTTTTCCTTCCTTCTTCATCCCTCTCTCATCTACCTTTTCTGCTATCACTTGCCTGTGTTAGCACTCTCTCTTCGAAGCATCGTAATCCCGCTTCTATCTCAATAAGTACATATCTCCCTTCCCCCTCCCCCCAACTAACTGACGCAGCTGCGTGGGTTCCGTACTTTCAAAGTACTTCAACAGACATTTTAAGTGGGCTTTTCACATCGAGGGCTGTGGGCTTCAAAATACTGCACATCTTGTGGGCTCTGTGGGACATTTATATTCCTCGTGGGTTTCATATCAGATCAGTTGCGTATCTGTGCCGGTCTCTGTGGGCTTGAACTCTGTCGGTTGCGGGTTACTTGTTGGGCATCTACCAGCTGTGATCAGATCACTCCTGGCTGTTTCTATCTCCTGAGGGTTTATCACTTTTTCCTTTTCACATGCAAAAAACTTACACGGGTGGCTATTGAGGGATTTGTTGGCTCTGCCGCACACAAGAAAAAAAAAAAAACACAAAACCACAAACCACTTGATATTCTACCACTGTATGTGGGATGTGAACAGACCCTAGGGCCTCTTTACACAGTTGCTAACGTGATTTGCTCTCTCTCCTCTAGATCACAATGTCGAAGACCAAGGTTTCCACCAAGGTTGACAAGAAGGCCTCCAAGGCTCTGTCCAAGGTCAAGGACGCTGGTGTCACCAAGGCTGCTGCCTCACCCGCTTCCAAGTCCAAGGACGTTGCCCGCAAGGTTGCCGCTAAGGAGGCCAAGGGTTCCAAGAAGAACAAGAAGAAGGAGCCCACTCCCAGCTCCTCCGAGTCCGAGTCCGACAGCGATGAGGACATGAAGGATGCTTCCTCCTCTTCCGAGAGCGAGAGCGAGGACGAGAAGCCCGTCAAGAAGGAGACCAAGAAGGTCGAGAAGAAGGAGGAATCCTCTTCCGAGGAGTCTGACTCTTCCGACTCCGAGTCCGAGTCCGAGGCCGAGAAGCCCGCTGCCAAGAAGGCTGCTAAGAAGGAGGAGTCTTCTTCCGAGTCCGAGTCCGACTCTGAGTCCGAGGATGAGAAGCCCGCCCCCAAGAAGGCCGAGAAGGTTGCCAAGAAGGAGGAGAGCTCCGACTCTTCTGACTCTTCCGACTCCGAGTCTGAGTCCGAGAAAGAGGCCCCTGCTAAGGCTGAGAAGGCCGAGAAGGTATGTTTACATATTGCTACCTGGGGGTTCCCCCTTCGTGATCATATTACTGACCTGTATTCTCACGTTAGGAGTCCTCTGACGATTCCGAGTCCGAGTCTGAGTCCGGCTCTGACAGCTCCGACAGCTCTGACTCCGAGTCCGAGGCTGAGGAGAAGCCCTCCAAGAAGCGCAAGGCCGAGGAGGAGCCTGTTGCCGTTGTTAAGAAGTCCAAGTCCGAGGCTGCCCCCGAGGGTGCTTCCTCCAACCTGTTCGTTGGTAACCTCTCCTGGAACGTTGATGAGGATTGGCTCCAGCGCGAGTTTGCCGAGTTCGGTGAGCTCACTGGCTGCCGTATCGTGACTGACCGTGAGTCTGGTCGCTCTCGTGGGTAAGTTATTATACACTGTCGTCTCCCCTTCTGATTATAACCAGATTCTAATTCTTGCCTCCCCTATAGCTTCGGTTACGTGGAGTACGCCAGCGCTGCCGATGCTGCCAAGGCCTTCGAGGCCAAGAAGGGTGCCGAGCTCGATGGCCGTACCATCAACCTGGACTACGCCACTGGTCGCCAGAACAACCAGCAGCAGGGTGACCGTGCCCAGAGCCGTGCCAAGAGCTTCGGTGACTCCACCAGCCCCGAGAGCGACACTCTCTTCGTTGGCAACCTGCCCTTCAGTGCCTCCGAGGACGCTCTCCGTGATGTCTTCGGCGAGCAGGGTACCATCCTGGGTATCCGCCTGCCCACCAACCCCGACGACGGCCGCCCCAAGGGCTTCGGCTACGTCCAGTTCTCGTCCGTCGAGGAGGCTCGTGCCGCTCACACCAACCTCCAGGGTGCCGACGTTGAGGGCCGTTCCCTCCGCCTGGACTTCAGCACTCCCCGTCCTCCTCGTGAGGGTGGTGGTGGTGGTTTCGGTGGCCGTGGCGGCGGTCGCGGTGGATTTGGCGGCCGCGGTGGTGGCCGTGGAGGCGGCGGTGGCTTCGGTGGTGGCCGTGGAGGCCGTGGTGGCTTCGGTGGCCGTGGCGGAGGCCAGGGTGGTTACAACAAGGCCAGTGGCGGCATCCCTGAGTTCAAGGGAAAGAAGGTCACCTTCTAAGCTAGGAGCCTTGCCTTTGCTTTGTTTTTGCGACTGACATGATCATCGTTTGCACTTTTTCTGCGTGTAATGTGGGCCGGGGGTTCAAAAGTTATCTGTATGCTTGGATAGTCTGCGCATTAGGCTAAATTGTAATTTCATACATCTCTTTTATTCAACTCACCTTCCATATAAACCGTAGCCTATCCTCTAGGTCTATATAGGTGGTGCCTGTACTGGATGGTCTGTCCCACAGGAGCCTCCGTCATCAAGTGAATACTGCCGCCTTCCACCGCCCAGCTTCCCCGCAATCTGCCTTTGTTATCGGCCTCGTCATATACTTTCGACGGATTCGTCCTGTACGGAGTATTGCGATCGCGAATGCATCCCAGTAGGTTTTTCACTTTGCCTTGTCCGATTCAAATTAGGTTTCCCTTTTCCCACTCTTACTTTTCTTCCTTGCTTACTTCGACATCATTTCTTTAACCTTGATCGTCTATTATATCATCACCTCTCCTGCTTGCTCTCCTAAGCTTTTTCCCTCCCCCCTCGCATCCCCATCGGTGGTTTCCGTCACGGGCCACTAATCACCTGTCCCGTCTGCTGATCACCTCATCATCCACTCTTCAGCCCACTCTTTCTCTCCCCCCCCCTTTTCTTCTCTTCCTCGCTGTCCAAGTTTCTCGCCTCTATACATTTATTTCCATATCGCAACTCCCCGTCTCCTGCTTCCTCTTCTTTACTGCTCTCCTCTGCCAAGGCAACCCAAGGCGGGCTGCGATCCTCGGCAGCCAAAGGTCCAGGGTTGGGCATCAGCGATGGGGGTGGATCGCCGTACAGATCTCCACTTTGATAAGATAACCTCGTTGATTGTCCTCGTTCCCCACGCTTGACCGCTCTTGTTCCTCGCACCGAGTGGGCTGACTCCATCATCCTCTCCCTTTTATCATCTCCTCTTCTTATATTCTCACTTACCCCCCTACTCTACCCTTCTCCTCCCTCCTCCGGCTCTACTTTTCCATCCGAGGCCATGCAACCAAATCACTGCGACCTTCTTGGTCAGGTGCGCGAGCCTAGAGCCGCAAGTCAAATGATGCGCGATGGCCAGCCGCGCGACCAACATGGCCACGGTGGTCAGCCCCGGTCGTCTGGTGCAAGACCCATGAGATCAGAGGGTATGTTATAGCCCCTTTTATATCCAGTTCATGCGTGGTTTTATCTTTTATTTCTCTCTCTCTGCCGATCTGATTTCGTCATGTATAAACTGTTTCGCTTCACCCCCTGTACTTCGCAATGTACTCACTACGATATTACATAGACTCTTGGATCGAAGTATCATCCCAGCCCTCCTCCTCATCTCTGTCCTCAGCCGCGACAAACGACGATATTATCACGACGGGACTCCGGGTGGAACATCGCGAGGCAGGCATGTATCAGCACCGCAGTCGTCGACGGCGCATGCAGCATCTGGCGGCCGTGGCCACCGCGCAAGTGGATTATTCGTCGCAGGAGGCTAGTCTGGCGAGTAGTAGCCAGGAGGAATATGAAGAGAGTGAAAGCGAGTCAGACCCGCCGATGAGCAGCTCGAACGAAGATATCAACCGACCCGCCCGGTCTTCATTGCTGCCGATGCCCCCTTCGCCCCACTCCGACGAAGCCGATAGTGACGATGAAGACGATACCTCTACTGCCTTGGGAATGGGCATCAGTCCATCACCGTTTGTCCCACAACCGAACGTTTTCTCCCATCCACCTCCCAGGTCCGACCCATCATGGACTCGTCCCACCGAATCTGGACGCTCCCAGCCCAGCGTCTTATCAAACTCCAGCCGGCGCACTACGATCCGTCGAGAATCCTACCCAAGCACACGAGGATCTCGTCGATCCCAACAGTCCCAGCACAGCCCTTACAACATGATCTCGCCTTCTCATCACGCGGACCACGATGCCGCTCTCCGCGCCAGTCTCTCCACTCTGTTATCTTGTGCAGCCGCCGCCCGCGGACTCCCAAAGACCGAATCTCCGCGCCTGCAAACCGGTCCTCCCTCATCTGCAGCCCCGCCAGCATCGTTCCGGCTGGTCGGCGAATCTGTCGCAATGGGCGATGAAGACAGCGGCGAAGAAGGCCCATCCTCGCCCCAATATATGGAGACCAGCCCCTCAGTGGGTCCGCCCCGCCGCAGACACCCCACGACTCCAACCGGCCCATCTGTCTCCAAAGCAAAACGTCGATCCGCTTCTCCCAAAGACCGCAGTGTAGCGAAAAAGAGTCGTCGCGCCAGCCTGTCCGAGTCAACGGCTCCCGTCAGTCCCACTGTCATGACGTGGGTCATCAGTGCGGGCGTCGTCGTGCTGTTCTCTGCCATCAGCTTTTCGGCCGGATACATGCTTGGCCGGGAAGTTGGACGGGCTGAGATGGGCATGATGGGAGATGGCAGCGTCCCCGCAGCACGATCGTCAGCTGCCTGTGGACAGGAAGCGGTGCGAGGCGGTCTCAAGAGACTCCGTTGGGGCACTGCTGCCGCTGGATCAGCTAGCTTGGCTTGAACAATCCAATTAGGTCAACCTCTGCCTAGCCATGAAATATAATGGCCTGATAATGAGTTGTTACGACAATGACGGGAGATGATGGCATACAACCCTGCTCTTCCCTTTTCTTATCTCATGATATCCTCTCTTTCTTGTTGAATTTCGCGGGAGAACAACACCCGTTCCTACCTCCCCTTCACCTATCCTCTCATTTTTCTCTTCACTTTTCCCCATCACTGATGACCCTATGTTGATTCGACAATCCTGTTTTCCTGCAGCCAGTGCGTGTCCCAGGTAATTGAGTATCTGATGAGTCACGGCCTGCCAAAACTTGGGTGAATATTTTCCATGCTATCCCTGGTGTTGTGGCGTTCTGCTTTTCTTAATTTGCATTTTGTTTGGGGCTGGTTAGTGACGGTGCTTGAGTTGGTTCTGGTGGTGATGTTATATCGTTGAGTTCGGAATTTATACCCTTTTTGAAGTGACTTTTTATTGAGCCGGTTGTATTTTGTTGTAAAGGCAAGGTAGATATAGATACGGGGCGTTACAATGTTCATGGAAAGGAGGTAAGCGTAAGGTGATCAGGGCTCATCAGCCACTCTTCTGGGATAATCTATCTTGAACCAGTTTGTTGATCAACTTGGAAGAATGTCTGACTGAAGGATAAACGATTGAAACCTTGGCTCATCCGAGTTCACGTGCTCAATATCAAACTCTATTGATGGAAATTCCTTTATCCTTATCGCTCAAATCACTACCAGCCCAAACAAGATCAACCCATCTTCATCAGCAGGGATTCTAACTTTACACCCACAGCTCCCTGACTCGCGCGACTACAGCACTGACCTTAGGTGAGAATATAAGCACTAAAACGGCTGGAAAATAAACTGATCCGTAGGAATCTCTCTTGGCCTAAATCTAGTATCTTGACTGGCTGTACATAAGTACAGAGGGGCGGGGTAAACAGGGGCAATACGACATGGACATGGGTAATAGCATCGCCTCATAATTGGTGGAGACAATAGGTTTTTGTCATCTGAGCGCTAATAGTCACCTTTAGGCCCTGAGGAATTATCCATTTAGCCCTTCAAACGGCTTCATGTCGAGGAATCATTCATCTACACTGTACTGACTTCGAACATGTTGTGTTAAGCTGTTCTCCGGAAAGCTTATGTGGTGGATCACTCCCGTATAATGCACGCGCGCTATGATAGGCCCCGTCAGTCTAGCTTAGAGACAACAATAATTACAAGCCCTTCTGGCTGTTTATGTTAAGGCTCGGGGCGGAAGGCCCCGTCTCGGCTGGACCCTTGGGCGCTAATATGTCATGTGGGCGCTGCTTTGAATGGTTCATGAAGACCTGTGAATCATTATGATAAGAGTCATGAACTAAATATTGCGATAGAGAAGCATCAAGCGCAATGGCAAGAAGCTGCGACAAAGAAAGGGCTTGAATGGAGTGATGTGAGTGGTCCCGTTGCCTCGCATAACTTCGCTAATAATATCACAGTGGAACTGGGGTATGTTAACGTCCATAACCGATCATTAGAGGCACTTATGGGAAGACATTATAGGGAGAGGAATTTTGAGAGCTAACATCATCCATTTCAAGCGAGATACCGACCCTGTTGCCATAATACTGGCAAGCATCTTCCTTCCCTCGGGAAGCACATTGACTGGAACACCGAGTTGATTTCGAAGATGCGGGCAGATTTCTGCTTTCAGTGTGATGGACTTGAGTAGGAGTTCAAAAGGATATTCCGAGATCTGTCTGATTCTGCCCGGTACCAATTTGCGACTTTGAAGTTTCATTTGGGTGGTAAGAGTCCTTATTTAGAACAAAGCTGAAGTCCGCTAACGCATTTTGCAGCAAATGGGTTTCCCTCTAAGATGAATCAAAGCCTGGACTATTAATTGCAAGACATCATTTTTCAGTATGAAAACTCGCAAAGAAATTTATCAACAGAAATCCGGTATGACTAGGTTCAAACACGAAATGTTTTGCACTAACAACTATCAGAAGCATTCGTGCTAAGACTTTAGAGTCTAGCGAGGCATCATATGTTGTGCAAGACATGATTCCTGATTACCGAGCCGCTCTTAAAAGTCAAGGCAAGTCAACAATGCGTTTAGAATGAGGGGATTGAAAATAGAGGATCGAAACTAATGGACCAAAGGCCCCAACAAGGCGAAAGCTCAGTACGACATAGTTCAAGGCCAGATTGAGAATGGGACACTCTTCCCCAAAGTCATCCGTGCAATGTCAAACAGCATGACAGATGTATTTCGGAATTCTTTCGACGAAATGGCGATTATCACTGGAGAGGTGTCCGAGCGCATTGAGAACGATGCGGATGCAGCCATATATCAACAGGAGAAAGAGAAACAGAGCCACGATGGACAAGAGCCACGAGCAGATGCCTATCGTATGATGTAACCTCAAGCTTTGTGGTTGGTCACTGAGAGAAAACACATAAGCAAGCACAGGAGGGTCGCACTGCATGCTTGCATTGAGTCCCGAGCGGTTCCTGCAGGTACGTAGATCAGCGAAGTCATCGAGTTACTTATTAGGCAGTAGACAGAGTGGACATGATAGCCAAAAGAAAGAGAACCGATGGACGAATAATCAGGCGTAAAAATGATTTAGCATGGCTGTCACTATAGAATCGAGAACGGTAGCATTCGGATATCAGGGGTAAAGTTATCTCAAATACCCTGCCTTGTTTGAGACCAACTTAATATACTAACTATAATATAATAGATTGGATCCGCCCTGATGGGGCTGCACCATTGGATCTGCACGGGTCGGCCCTCGCCAGGCGCACGGAGTCGGGGTTATGCGAGTTTGACGAGATATGGGTTGCACGGATTCCGATTCCAGTTGCTATATCTCTTCCCATTAACTTTTCTTTTTTAAATGCTAATATTGATGTAATATGACCTCAGGTATAACGGCAGCGCTATAGTCTATTTAGTATAGGTGCTACCAGCTGCAATCCCGACGTTGTGGGATGTGCTGCACTCCATACTGGGCTGTATGTAGGTGGCCTTATCCTGTCGCCCGTAATTCCAGATCACCTTCACCAATAGAACACTCGCCTATTGCAGATCCCACACCCCTGCCAAACCCGGGACCAATTCAAGAGTTGCGCTTCCGTTGAGATTGAGGCTGGGTAAATGAGATTAGTGAATTAGCTATTATCGACCACGAATTCCAATTCCTACTGCGCGAAATATCAATGATCGCCTCCTCTCAGGATGGTGATTTAACCAGGTAATGGGTAGTACTAGATCCTACTGATGCAACTGCGCTGCAGTCTCTCCCCTTCCTCTCCTCGCCCCTTCCCGTCCACGCAGGGACCACCACGAGTCATTGCGCTCGCGCGATATTCCTTTTCCTGGGTGTTATGCATGTCGATCATATTGCTAACCCCTGGGGGTTCCCGGTTCCCGGGTTAGCAAGGGCCCTGTTACTGTAGCACTTGCGTGGGGATGGAGCGAGCTAAGTTGCTCTGGGCTAGTCGGGGCTGGGGTAGGATCCGCTTGGGAGGATCCGTGTGGATCTGGGATTCAGGGTTGAGGATTGAGGGGTAGTACCTGGATGTAGTGCGACAATAGTGATGCAGGGGTGAGCGTTTTAAATTGGCGAGACTGGCTAAATTAGGGAGGAGGCTCTAAGACGTCTCGAATCGATTCACTGGTACTTGGTTGGTCGTGTCAAGAATGATAGTGAGGAGAGGAAGAGTGATATTTGGGGATAGTGCTAGAATTAATACTGGAGATAATGCAGATGAGGTCGTATTGAAGGGAATTTGTGTATGTCTTCGTCAGGGTGAACGATTTTGATCTGTTACCTCACTATATACAGTTCATCTCGAGTACCCTAATTTCCTAATCTTCCACATCCCATTAATGTGAATCCCAATCCGCAGTACTTACTCATGTCCCTATTACAATAATGAAAATCCCAAATGACGTAGACCCATCAAACTCCTCGCTAATCCCATCGCTGTGGTACCAAAATGACAAATCAACTCGAAAAGAGTCAAAGACAAAGAAAAAGCAAGACTACCTTGGTAGTCGAGTGACTTGCTGCCACTGATCAAACATTACATATGAAAAAAAGCAAAAAGTCAAGTCAGGAGATCCCCCGCTCGATGGGGCTCGTGATGTGGTCGTGCAGTAGTGTCCATCATTGCGAGGACGGTCGTAGATCGACAAAGATTTGTAATTTGAGCAGAAGAAGAGAATGAAGTCAAAGGATCGCGGGTCGTGTATGTATCCGATGATGGTCAATGATAGAGTCGAGATTGAAAAAAAAAAGGGAAATGAAAGAGAATGTAATCGGATCAGGTCCGATGTTAGGTAGTCGCCTCCGACCGTCGACGATTCCTCAAATCCTCACCGCTAAGAAAGCGACGCAATTTTGAGAGTTTGGAGACAAAGCGACAAGGTAGTTCTGCAGCGGCACCGTTAGTATAAGAGGTGGAAAATGAATCCGACAAAATCAAACAAATGAAAACGTACCACTGCCTCTCCGTGGAGAGAATGGCGGCTGCTCGATCGGCTGTGTTGTATAGGCCGAAGCCCAATAGCCCGTGTGACGGTAGCCCGTGAAGGTACAGCTATCAGGGTTGTACTGCGGCTGCAGGGCTGTGACATGCGGGTAGAGCGTTGCAAGCGGGGAGAGTAGCTCGTCTGGGGGTGGCGAGCGCCGGCTATCGATGCTTTCCCGGGTAGTCTGTGAAATATAGAAGCAAAATTGATTAGGTCAGGTACTCCTGGGAGGGGAAGGTGGGAGGTTTCGGTGTTGTCCGAACGTACATAGAGTTCGTAGTTTGTCTTGTAGATCATGGTGGGCGTGGAGAGTGAAAGGTATGTATCCCCGGGATGTATGTATGAGGAATGCAGAGGGCGACGGAGACCGCCGAGACAATAAGAACAGCTCGCGTGGGTAGAGGAAGGTGTAATTGATGCACCGAAGGACGAGTTTGGAACAGGGCCAATGCAGGCTATGTTGCAGCTTTTCGAATGACCAGGTACTAGGATTCTAAGACCTTAGCAGTTCGGAATTCGCGATGCAGGTTGAGATATTCAGATGCAAGATGCAAGCGCGATGGGGGCTACATTTAAAGAAACGAGATTCAGGACGGACATGGGGGCTGTGACTAGCGATCCTCAGCCGCAGGTTCGCATTTCTGGACGGGGCTAGTCAATATCCATAATAATCATAAAAGGTTCTGGTGGTGAACTGTAAAAAGCGACCAGGTAGCCGGGTAGAGACAAGCGAGATGCGAGCATCGAGACCGAGACCAAGGCCGATGATTGGATATGCGGAAGGGGCTTGGGCGTAAGCGTCGATGGCAGCCGATCTGTCGGAGAGCCCGAGAATGGGACGGGGATCAGGGAAGGTTGATTGTCTTTTATTGGAATGATTTTGAATTATTTTGAGCTGTTCCTATTGGTTGGTGATCCTGGTTCCTGGCGGTGCGAAGTGGGGGTTAATATAATGTAATCCGACGTCGTATATGGAAAGGGCTATTATTGGGTGTTTGGCCGGCTATACGAGATCTGATCGCAGAGTCATGGAATCATCAGTCACTCGAGATGTTGGAGTCAGATTAGCCTCGCTGGTAGGGTCTTGGTAGGGCATGCGACAGTAAGGAATGGCTACTATAGGATGTGCTGTACGGAGTAGAAATTAGGAAGTAGGCACATCCCTGCCGGGGCCGATTGTACGAATTGGCAACAGCAGCCCCAACACATCTCGTTTTCCCCTTCCCCCTTGCAGCATTTTGCAGCTGGCCACGTTATGGAGGGTGTTATCGTGGCGCGCAAGTATGTTCCTCCCACGGGTCCCACGTCACGATACCGGGATTTGGATTTTGGGTTGGCTACTGTATCATCTGATGATGATGATGATGGGAAGAATTAGATTTGGGCTAAGAATTAGGCCTACCATGGTCACGATAGGGTTATGGTCGCACCAGGCACCATCATAACTAATGATTCATTGTGATTATTAACCTCATTATCGTACAATATTTACTATTATTATGATCTGATTTCATTGTGATTTCACCTTTTATCGTTTTCCCCTCGCGACGGTTCCTGAATTAGGCATGTCATCGTTATAGCCGTCGATCCCAGCCCTCTAACTTTGATAAAGAATTACAGATCACTCTAAACCCCTTTCCGAGCGCCGAGATGAGGTGAGATATGCGCCCGAACACATCCGGGGGCAGATTCTTGCCTAGTCCAAGAGTCAGAACTATGCCAGCTAGTTCTTCCTGAGTAAGGTGGGGCGGTGTCAGGAATGTTGCACAGGTCAATCGTCGCGAGGCGCCCCAGAGCAAAGAGTTTATTCTCGACGCATGCCCCAATTCTAAATCTCCAATTCTAAATCCCCAATTCTAAATCCCCAGTCCCCAGCACGCATGGCTCCAAGTGTGTTGCAGCGACCGAGACCAAGATCTAGACTTGAGGTCTGGCCTACCTGACAGGACCAGGTGCCTAACACCGGAAGATGGCAAGACGAAAGGATCTAGCGATGCGAGAATGCCAGTGTGTAAGATCTGTACAGTATGATTTGCTCCTACTCCGCTTTTTCGGCATACACCAGCCACGCGAGGCATGACAAGACTGGACGGATGGAGAAGCCACTTTTTGCAAGAGACGGAGATCCTCGATCTCCACCCTCTCTCAAAGTCTTCCAAATCTTTCCGGTTCCAACTTGCAGGCCCTGGCCATTGCTCACATCCTTTTCACTTTATGATTGCCATAGTTAGTAACTTAGTGGACGTCCGACCCCGACTATTGGGGCGCTAATCGGCACTGATCTGATGCACGCGGCTGATTGGCGAGAATCAGGGGCATCGGTGCTGCTAGTGCACAATCTCATTGTCGAGGTTCCACTAGGGCAGGTGGAAGTCTAACTTGGTCGAGGAAAGCGTTGGTAAAGAGGGGAGAATTGACCAGACCCAGCCAGGACAAAGCGGGTCCAGAGACTCGCGACTGACGGAAAAGGCAGAGATAGGCACAGACAGACAACAAACAAACAAGCTGACATCATCAGGCACGCACTTCGCACGGACCAGGCACCGCCTCAGCCACACCCCCTTGCTATTTAGGGATAAGCGCACGAGCCACACGCTCGGCCACACCGTGGCTAGTGCACTCCTTTTGGGCCGGGCCAACCGAGGCAAAAAAACGTGAGTTTCCTAAACAAACCCAAAAACAGAGTTGATCGACCAAATTCTCTGGGGGGAAAAATTTAAATAAAATTCAAAAAACCTTAGGCGGCAAAAATCAAGTGTGGCTCAAGCTGCTCCTGTGGCTTGACCATTTGTCGCCCTACTCGATAGTTTCCTCATACTCAGATCCACACGCCGTCAAACCCCGAACTAGTCCGCCCTTGATCTTCAGATGTGATCGTGTTTGGCATCACACACCCACACCTACCCTGATGGATCCCTCCCTGCCCGGCCTGGCCGCCTCCATGTCTCCGAAGAGCTATAAGGTGTCTTCGGCCGCCACCCTGACTTGATGTTTTTGGCATAGCAGAGCTTCCCTCCTACTACTCTAATCATTATCGATCAGTCGATTTTGTTGTTGAAAACGATTGTCATAGCTCAAGCTATAGCTAGCTAGCTTCACCCCAATTCTGCTACGAGCAACTCATTATTTTTCTCCCAACACATGTCGAGTGCCGACCATGTCACTGAGCATGCAGGGTTCCGGAAGAGAGTACTGGGAAAACTCTCCACGTATGGACCTACGCGATCATTGCTCGCGAGAGCAGCATCCTGCTACAAGTATGTTCTTCCGATCTCCCTTCAAGCATTTCTTATTCTTCTTGTGTTTCGTTATTGCCTTGCCCGCCCCGCCTACAATCCCAATATCATCATACCGCACTAAATCTATAGACAACATACTCTATATCCATGTCTATATCACACTACCCAACCCTCCATATCCACATCCCACACCCATAACATGCATTCTGAGACCACTCTCCCACCCAGGATCAATCGCGCTCGACGCTGAACGCTCCTACGATAGGCGCGAGTCGTGTCCCCCAACCCAAGACGAGGGCATGGTCGATTTAGAATCAACTCCCCTCCCAGACACCGAATTCGGCCGCCTCGACACTACAGGCTGGTACCCGCACTACAAGCAATGCGTCCACTACTTCCTCGAAGCCGGCCAACACAATCCAACCGTCCAATCTATCGCCGCATTCATAAACATCCGTCTTCCCTTCCAACGAACCGAAGATCTAGCCCAAGAACAAGAATTTCACTCTCAATCTACCCCCTTTATCTCGCTACGACCATACGTCCGCCGCCTAATCATCACCGCGCAAGACTCCCCACCCATCATGACAGCCTTCTTCGGACCAGACTGGCCCGCCGGCGTCGGGGTCCTTTACAAGCAGGAGCGCACGAATTACCTCTTCACGGCGAAGAGTAGTGGTTGGGCGCAGACAAAGGCTGCGTATGATATCCTTCCGGACGAACAGGCGCCGTTTTTGCGGCCGCTGCGTGATCCGGAGGAGGAGGAGATTCGGGCTGCGGAGGCCAGGTGGAGTGAGTGGCTTGCTATGGAGGACTGGATGGTTGGTGCCAGGAGTCCGTGGTAAGCCAGGTATTCCCACCTTTCTTCCTGAGGAGGTTGGCTGGTGGTGATCGCCCACGCGGCACAAGGGTTGAATTCCCGGGGGGGGGGGAAAGGGAACTATGTCTTTCCCTGGTTCACCCTGGAATCCGGGATTGATGATGGCACCAGGGACTTGGTTCCTGGGGCTGGTTATGAGACATGACTTTTGATTTTTTTTTTATATTTATTATTGGTATTTTTCCTATGTGGCTCTTTTCATTTGTTGATGATTCTTTTTTTTCTTTCCTATGTCCTTTTCCTTTGTTTTTGCTTTTGTTCTTCCGTTCTCGTGACGAATGATCGTGATGTGACGGCTCCAAAAGGGATTCGGCCTCGTGCCGTCTGGCGTATTGTCCGGCGTTGCAGATAGTTACTTTTATTTATTTTGTTGTTACTGGCGGTGGATGTTAGTCCCTCGTGGAAATTACCAGTCCTTTGATGATTTCGGAAAATTGCCCATAAGCATAGCCCTGTTGACAGGTCTTTATTGTAAATCTCCTAGCCTGTATCTCGACAACTTGTCTAATATACTCTATATCCGACCATATCTCCCTGTACATCCGGCTTGACGTGATCGCCAGAATGACAACTGATCGTCGGCGGATCGCCTGTCAAAATCAATAATTGCACGCCGTCACAGGCACAGACCAGCCATGACAAATACCTGTAATAGGTATAGCGTCAAGGAGTAGATCATATACATGATTGAGATACAGGTATTAATAATCCTATACTCCGTACTCAGAAGTTAATCTAACTAGTTAATCTAGTGAGTGCGAATCTCGTTCAATCATCCCATGATCCCCTTGAATAGGGGCTCTTCTCGCCTGTCCTTGATTATTCGATACTAGTTAATCCTTCGCACTCCAGTCCTATTCTATCCCCTTGTGAATTGTGACCGAAGCTAGTGCCTTTTATCAATAATAACTTGGTTGAGAGTCGTATCATCATGCAATAATGAAAAGTGCTATCTTACCTATCGCGGTTTAGCCCCGGTCGATGATCGTATCCTCCAACTCCACTTTCTCCGTTTCTGACTCAGTCATCTCAGCCAAGACGTGTCAACCTGTCACTGTGGATTTTTGCTTTTATTCACACTACTGTGCTTTCAGCCTTTCATCACTAAGATTGCCCGCGATTTGTTTTTTTCTCCCTGCACATCCCATCTCCACTTCGTCGCTCGACTCGTCCTTACCAATAGTTTCATTCTGGAAGCCCCCGATCGCCCGGGTTCTTGCGTCGTGACACATCCCACGTCCAGGGAGTCGGGTTCAGCGCTGCCAGAATCAGAATCAGAATCAGAATCAGAATCAGAATCAGAATCAGAATCAGAGCCAGAAGCAAAAGCACAAACAGAATTCGAACTGCCGTGCAGAAATAAACGAAATAAGCCGACGTCGGAAATAAACAACCACTAAACATCCAAAATGACCCAGTCCATGCCTCCATCCCCAGCCGAAGCGCCGTGTTTCTATGAGCACACCGCGCACTCAATCATTCCTCATCTAGCGCCTCAAATGCCCTACTCAAGCTCACTTCTCCGACGTATCCAACACGCTCTCGCGTATCCCTCATCCACTGCCAAGATCCTAGCGACTTTCCCGCCAGGATCAACCCCTGGATCATCAGCCCCTGGATCATCACCACCCCCTTGCCCCTCCACGCCGTGGCTGGCTGCGTCGGTGGATCTGTTCCGCGGCCGCGAGACCCAGATCATCATCTACTCCAGCCTCGAAGCGGAGCGCACTTCCCTCCGGCTGATCGACCCTGTCACTGTCTCCCCGAGCGACGTGTCCAGGTACTCGGGTTCATCTTCAGCTGCAGCCCCTGCTACCGCTGACGCTAACGCAAGGTCGCATCCTCATGCGAGCACTAGTAGCCATGCATCCGCTTCTGAAGAAAAACTTCCCAGCCCGAGCTACACCGTGTCTAGCCTCACGGCCACCCCGGCTGAACTGAACACGGCCCGGGCCCAATTATTGGCGTTCTTCGCGTATGTTAAGGCCCATTTGCTGCCCGAGTACCTGGCATCCCTGTCAGATACGAAGTCTGGGCCTGGAAATCTAGCTTTAGCCTCTGCAGGTGTCGCTATAATCCCAGCACCAGACCCACGCACCTTCCTCATCGGCTCTTTCCACACAGGTCTCTTCGAGCTACTGCTGCAATCCGGAAAATTCCCCCGCATGGATGGGGGTGTGAAGGGACCCGTGGATGCTGATCCGCTACCTAGCCTGCGGGTTTGTCGCTTTGATAACCCGCCGTATTACAAGTATTTCTTCACGCGGGCTATGTTTAGTCCCGGTGCGACAGAAACCGAGAACCCGCTGCCAGCTGGGTATAGGTTTAATGATCGGTGCGGTCGGGTCGGCGTTCTACCATCGCAGTTGGATCTTGTACAGAGCCGGACACATATTCCCCGGCCGCGGCGGCAGTTGGAGACACTGCCTAGCGTCGCGATTTACTCTGATACCCAGCCTTCTTCCGATGTGGATGTGACGCCTGAAGACCCTGGCTCAGTTCCGGTCAAGGAGGCGGGCGAGGATGAGATGCCTATTGCATGGGCATTTTTGGGCGTAGACGGTGCTGTCGCGACACTACATGTTGAACCTGAGCATCGCGGACGGGGACTGGCGCTTTCCTTGTCAAAAGAAGTGATGCGACGGGGGATGGCTGCAGAAGGAGTCTTTGGAGCGAAGAAGCTTGGTATTGTGGATGAAGAGACGAGGGCTTTTGTGGAGGATTGGGTACACGCCGAGGTTGCGGGGTATAACAAGGCGAGTAACAGGGTTATGGAGAAGATTGGGGGCACGATTTTGACGACTGTTTTGTGGACGGTTATTGAGCTTCTTGATTGATTTTGATAAAGGTGGATTTGAATAGATATAGGGAGCACGCGGTGGCTCATAGAATATAGACAATGATGACTGAGATCGGGCTTTGATCTAAGGATGAGTGCATATGACTGGCAAAGATTTCTTTTAATGACTGACTGATCGTGTTTTCAGCCGAGTACCAGGAGGTCCTCCCTAGGTTGGTCTGTGATTACTGTTCAAGCATTATCATCAGCTCCGTCTCGCATGTTGCGCAAGTCCGCAGAAGCGACAAGATGACGAGACCTACATGTATTGGAATCAAGAAATTGACCAATAGTCACAAATTCATTGATCTGACAAAGCAGACTCAAACTCAAGCATCAACGATGACGTTGGGCGGTCTCCGTGGGTTCTCTTGTCAGTCTAGTTGATATAATAATCAAAAATTGGTCATGTTCTCAGCTAAACGCCCAGCCTTGGCTTCTACGCAGCCCGCCCGTGATTTCGCCGCGTCGACTTGAATCAACTAGAGATGTGTTCTCGTAATCAATTTCCAAAAAAAAATGAAAGGAATAAATCACCTCCATGGCTTATCAAGCACCGCAGATGATATACTTCGGGTACACCTTTCACTTCATTTGAATCTGCAAGAGATAACTATAAATCATTTGACACCCCAGCTGGCTCTATGAACGGCCAATCTCACTAACCTCCGGTTTGGAATTATTCCAGCTACTCTTGAATTAATCTCTCACGCATACTTAAGATGTCTCAATCCGTCTTGGTCATTGGTGGCTCTGGAGCCCAAGGAATGCCAGTTGTGAAAGGTGAGACGCATTTATCACAAAATTCTCCATTTTCACTGGCTAACGATTTGTAGAACTATCGCGACAGTCACAGTACTCCGAAATTAGAGTACTAACGCGTGATTCGACCTCTGAAAACTCCCAGAATCTAGCAACCCTTCCTAAAGTTTCGCTTTATATTGGCCAGCCCGACAACGAAGATGACCTCAAGAGGGCATTTACCGGAATCGATCTCGTCCACGTCAACTTGAACAGTTTCGCTCTGGGAATCAAGAACGAACTCTACTGGGGAATTCGCATCTACGAAATTGCCGTTCAATCCGGTGTGAAACACTTAATTTGGTCTTCATTGGACCGGTACATGGTAGACACAAATTTTAACGACGAATTACGAGCCGGCCACTACTACGGGAAAGCCTACGTTGAACAGTGGCTCTCTGCCATTCCACAGCGGAAGGAGTCGACACGATGGTCCATCATGACCACGGGGCCTTACATCCAAATGCTCTCTGAGCTACTACGACCGCGCATTAGCGATGATGGAACGTATATCTTTGAGGCGCCCCTCGGAAATGGCCTTGTCCCATTTGTTCATCTCGATGATTTGGGTCACTACGTGCACTGGATATTCTCCAACCCGGATGAGTCTGCTGGTATGAATGTCAAAGTTGCTATTGAGCATGTCTCGTACGAGTATCTTGCAGCAACGTTTACAAAGGTTACTGGGAATGCCGCCGTCTATCGCGATGTCACAATCGATGAGTGGTTCACTGCTGGACCTCTCAGCGACGTTGCAGACGTTAAGCTTGGGGCAGATAAGGGTCAAGGCGACCCAACTCTGTTGTCCTACCGGCAGAACTTCACGGCTTGGTGGAAGCTTTATCAGCGTGCGGGGGAAGACCGGAATATACTCAAGCGAGACTATGACTTTTTAGATCGGATCTTCCCGGGAAGAGTAAGGACTGTTGAAGAGTGGATGCGAAAGGTTGGGTATACTGGAGCTGCGAGTTCCGTGCTCAAGACTCGTTGAGTATCTCAGTCAACGTTAGAACTGGGGGTTGCTGCTTAGCTTGCGCTTTAATACACACTCGAGTTTTTAGAACTCTTAGAAAGTTTGGTTAATTGAATTGAAGTTCCTTGCAACGTCTAGACATTACCACATTTTTATGAACCCCAAACGAAACAAATGAAGCTGTGGGTGACAACACATCTTCCATCCAACCACAATAAATCAAGCTCATAAAAGTTGTTTAAGTCTTATGATTCCACCACAACGCTAGGTAACGGTAAATTTGGCGACGAAAACGGCTACACTTGAAGCTATTTTAAGCGTCCTTTTTACCAGAATCCTAGTCATCGAGATCGCACGTGATGTACAGAAATCTACGCGACGACGCGCTGGCTTTCCTCCTTCGGCTTAGGCCGGCAGGCCCTGGAGAACCTGATTCTAGGTGTCGCTGCCCGAGACGTTGCCTTCTAGCATGTCCCAAAGAGCAGAACTATTCGACAGTTCCAGTAATGTAGTGGTGATGCCCGTGGGATATGGATGCTTTCAAACGGTCGCAAGTTCCTGCGGATCTCGTCGATCGTATTCACCCGCGTTGGCTATTTGAGACATGGTTAGTGACCGGCTTGAATTATCTCATGAACAATGAGTTACGTCTTTGAATTAGCAGCACCTGCCTCTCCACGTGTACGTCCAAGGCTCTGGGAGGTATCCATCATAGTGTGTCGCATGTGCAGTACGAAATCGTAATGGAGGCTCTGGTCCAAGGCTATTCCTGAAATTAGGAGAATCAGAAATCTACTAAACTGCATCAGCAAGAAAAACCACTTAAAGAATTACAAATGACTGAGTACCTGAGACCCACCAGATTGCAAGACCAGTGTACGTTTGTTCCTCTTTAAGTTTGCTGTCCATGTCGGCCTCGCATTACCCCGTCGTCCGAAGAGAGACAACTCGCCCACTGTCGAAGTTCCCGGGGTGGAGCTTTCCGACGTTCCGTTGCAGTGCAGTATTAATGGTAAAGATACTCTGAAGAAAATCGAGGCCGTGAAAATATTTCCATTCTTTGGATACATCGCCCGGCCTTTTCACTTTGCTCTCGATATTTTCGATGCTATGATATCCGAGCGTTGGCCAAGATGAAGGACAAAATGTACTCTCATACCTCACACGCCCTGGACTCTTCCCTGCTCACCGAGAGCTTGACAGAGCCAACTACTCAGCCAGGGACCTCTAGTAAAGTGTCGAACGGAACCCGAATAGGCCTCACCTTCGGGGGCTTGTACACAGAAAACTGTCTTGCCAAGATCTGGGACGTCGCATCACGATATATTACAGTATGTCTTCCCTAAAAGGCCATTCTCATGAACCTACTTTAAGACTCATGTTTCTCACCATGTTACAGAAACTTCCCGGTGAGTACCCGGAAACCGTTCCTAGTGACGGAGAACAGAAAGGTCAATACAGCACGCGAGAAGCTCGCTTTTGGACCTGCGGATTCTTCCCGGGGTCTCTATATTCGCTCCTCGAGCGATCTTCCCGGTTTCCAAAGGCCTTGTCGCTACCTGCACATGTGGATACGTTCCAACTTCACGATCAGCTACTGATGCTCTGCCGGGAGTGGTCGGCGCCGCTACATTTCATGGCCACTCGACGGGATACACATGATCTGGGCTTCATTGTTCTTCCGAGTCTCCGGATGGACTGGGAGTTGACGGGGAATAGGAAGAGTCTTGAGGCAGTTGTTACGGCTGCAAATAGCCTAGCTTCTCGGTTTGATGAACGCGTCGGCGCTGTGCGGAGCTGGGATAAGATGCACAGTAAACGGTATGATATCGATGACAGAGAAAATAACTTTCTGGTCATCATAGACAGCATGTGCAGTATGAACGCCCGGCCCCGTGTTGTGTTTATCGCCCATGCAAGATGCAAACCACTCACTAATTCTTGACCAGATATGGATTTGCTCTTTTATGCCGGCTACCATTCGCGGAATCAAAAACTCATTGACATTGCCACGGCGCACGCTCACACTGTGCTCCGGACCATCGTTCGAGAAGATTTTTCGACTTTCCATGTGTGCAATTTTAACCCAAGAAATGGGGAAGTGCAGTATCAGCAGACCCACCAGGGTTATTCGGACAATTCAACATGGAGCAGGTAAGTGGCTGTTCTGATCATGAGCGTTTGCACTGCTTTTCTTTCTTTTCATTACAATACGATAATTCTGACCAGAGTGTGGGATTTGTGAATTTAGAGGTCAAGCGTGGGCCATCCTAGGATTCGCACAGACATACGCCTGGACGAAAGACCCCATTTTCTTGCACGCAGCAACCAAGCTATCGGATTACTTCCTGAAGCGCCTCTCGGAGTCTTCACACTGCCATCCCTATGTGCCGCTCTGGGACTTCGACGCACCGGTTGAAGGCGGCCAGGTTCCTCCGCGTGACACGTCAGCAGCCATGATTGCAGCGAACGGGTTTCTCATTATGCACCAAATGCTGCATGGAAGAGATGGGACTGCATACCTAGATGCAGCAATTCGCATTGCGGAAGATGTTGTGGCTCATTCACTGGCGCCTGAGCAGGCGACCATCCACATAGAAGGGGACGGTAGGATCGTTGCACATAGGACAGGATTCGACTCTATCCTTATGAATGCAACTGCTAATAAGAACAAGTATGCCCTCATGCCTTACTGGGATCACGGGCTTGTGTATGCAGATTATTATTTCCTGGAGTTCGGAAATAGACTGTTGCGGATGGGGCTTGTTTAGATTCGAATTTATTATACATATCGCGCGACCAGTAGTGATATTGCTGTGCAAACAGAAAACTACATTTACAGAAAACTACATTTACAGAAAACTACATTTTCTTTGAAAATAAGCGACTTAGGATCTTAGGCTACTTTTCGACAATAGATAACCTCCAATGATGGAAAATTCGACGGATTTTGATCTTTGAACTTACTCTCATTCATGAATCACGCGGTCACCACGTCATCAGCCATGTCTAGTTTCTCCTGGAGGAGTTCAAGGGTTGGAAATCAATAAAATGCCGAGTTGCACCTAAAATATGTGCATTAAGTCTGATTTCGTGTCGACGAACCAAAATATCGGTTTGACAAGGCCCACAAAATTCCCACCGTTTGGCTTTAGGCAGAACGTGTAAGCCAGAAGCTCCTCCTCTAAGCTCCGATGCAACAATATTGGCTAGAAATCGGGTCGGCATTTACCCCACCCGTAGAGAAGCTCCCGCTTTTGCATCAATAGATCATCCCCGGCTGGCACTTAGTCCGCTGCCCGTTACACTAGTTAGGGGTTCAACCCATATGGTCCTCGATCCTGCTGAATGGTGAATATGAAACTCTCGGCCAATAATTGCGATAGGGATATATGAGATAAAACGGTGATTATTCCCCGTCAATACCTTTTGGGCTCGAATTATTTTGGATACCCTGCCAGTAACCGTGAATATGGCGACTGTGTCCTCTTGCATGCCACAAGGGAGATTCAACCCGCTGGCTAGCAATCCCTTCCGCACCAGGGAGGAAGTAATTGCAGCATGTCATGGCCTCTTTGAACCCTTGCTACCTTTCTTCTCCCCGGGAAAAGCACGAGTACAACTGGACGCCTCAGGATCCACCTGGGACCGTGCGGCCTGCGACCTAGAAGGCTTCTCCCGACCTTTATTTGGCATTGCACCTATGGCCGCTGGGGGGGTGTCATTTTCCTACTGGGATCTGTATCGAACTGGGCTACAGAACGGGACGGATCCGTCCCATCCCGAGTATTGGGGCAAGGTTATAGACATGGATCAGCGCCATGTAGAGGCAGCAGCCCTCGGATACGGCTTGATACTCGCCCCAGAGCATTTGTGGGACCCGTTGGAATCAAAGTCGAAGGACCGAGTAGCAGCATGGCTGCAAGAAAGTCGAAACACGAAACATGCCAACAACAATCACAAGTTCTTTCGCGTTCTCGTCGACATGGGCCTTGAACGAGTGGGAGTCAGCGTCAATTGGAGCCAGACGGAGGAGTATCTGCAGGATCTGGAAAAGTTGTATATAGGGGATGGCTGGTATCGGGATGGAGGTGACGCCGGAGACATGAGGCGGATTGACTATTACAACGCCTTTGCCATGCACTTCTACGGTCTTGTTTATGCTATCCACAGGCCGCAAGACACTGCCCGTGCACAACGCTTCCGTGAAAGGGCGCGACAGTTCGCACTGCATTTCCTCCATTGGTTTGCCGACGACGGGGCTTGCGTTCCATACGGCCGCAGCCTTATCTACCGTCATGCCGTTGGAGCCTTTTGGGGAATCCTGGCTGTGGCTGGCGAAGAGGTTCTGCCATGGGGCGTACTAAAAGGCCTGTACCTACGCAACCTACGATGGTGGGGATCCCAGCCCATCTGTCGCCTGGATGATGGGCTTCTAACATTGGGATATGCGTACCCCAACCAAATGATCACTGAGCGATACAGCTCCACCGGCTCTTCATGGTGGGCTATGAAGGTATTCGCGCCACTTAGTCTGCCTGCGGACCACCCGTTCTGGGCGGCCGATGAGCTTCCAATGCCCACTAGAAAGGCCGTTGTTCCATTATCCATTCCCGGTATGGTGTTTTTGCACCACCCGGGACATACAGTTATGCTCGTTTCAGGGCCTGGTACCTCCCTCACTATGAGAGGATGTCCAGAGAAGTACAGCAAATTTGCCTACTCGTCGCGATACGGCTTCAGTGTTGAGAGTGATTCACGAGGATTTCCTGTGGGGGCATTCGATAATATGATAGCCTTCAGTGACGACAGAAAACATTTTCGCGTACGGGAAACATGCGACGACGTCCAGTTAGCTGGTGATATTCTCTTCTCCCGGTGGCAGCCATGGCCGGATGTTTCGGTTGAGACATGGCTTATTCCACATGAGCGCTGGCATTTCAGGGTCCACCACGTTACTAGCCCCCGGCTTCTATGGACGACCGAAGGAGGATTCGCGTCACCGAAAACTGATTTTCATGCTGATCAACTATTCGAGCATGAGGAATCTGCCTGGGTTGTGGGCGCTTCGGGGAACTTCAGTGGGATCCTTGATGCTTCCAACCCGCCTCGGAGAGGCCGAGTGACCTCACCACATGGGAACACTAATGTCATGTTTCCAAGAACAGTTATCCCTCAGCTACTCGGAGAGGTTACTCCCCATTGCCCGAGGGTATTTGCGTCTGCAATTCTGGCGGGACCAGATGCTTCGAACCTGAGCAACATCTGGATACAACCACCTCAGCTCCCGACGGTTGAGGTATTGAGGGAGAAAGTGGCCAGGGACGGAATACCTGTGGAGATCGTCTCGGACGTTCTTCGGTCTCTAGTATAAATTTGTCTGACTCTTTCCCAATTCAGTTGACGGATGGTTCAAGTAGAACCAGCTGTCCTAGCGCACGTTCAATGCTTTTACTCGGCCTTTCGGTTTTAGTGTGATATTCCATATAAGGTAGTGTAATTCACCATGTTCTTCTCCAGACAGGATTGATTTCCACAGAAAAAAGGGCTGAACAAGGGATATCGGATCTAAAGTATCGAATTATAGACAAAAATAAAATCAAAAACCAATGGCTCCCTGATAGTAATATCACTTGGTCTTGAGATATGTGCACTCTGTGTATATCCGTAAAGATGAACGATAGTATTCTGTCCTTCTTGACCCTTTCAAGGCCTCTTCATTAAATCTCGTTACATCCTCCAGTGATTCCTGCAGCCTCGTCAGGGCATGTGGCTGGTGCCTGCTTATCGAATGTTAAAGCAGAAAGATTATCACTCTTGAGCTTCTACAGTACCTCTCAGGAGAGACCTTTGTAGGGATCTATTCACTTGATCGCCGCCCTTGCACATTTGATAGACCTTCAAGGAAATTCCCCCCTCTCTCCTTCTTCATGCATACACACTCTTATGATTGTGTTGCTTCTTCCTTTCAACCTTGAGCGATTTAAATCATAGCAGAATTGCTGCCCAACGCACCACACCACACAATTTATGTTGGCTACATAAACATCTCATGATAGTGCATAACGTTTCCCAGCCCGACGCTGTTCGTATTAGTCACCAGATACCCCGGATCTCCAGAGTATCTGGCCGGAGCCCCACAACGATCGCTCCCGGTATTGGGCCTCGCCAAGCACGAGCCCCTTATTCAGTACACTGATCCCCGGCGGGCCAAAAGCCCGAAATTCCGCTAACACGTTGGAGAATGGACCGCTACCTACCGCGCATTCCGGGGCCAGCAAAGGGACCTTGAATCTTCTGTGCACGCGAGCAGCTGGACACTAAGGCCGCGACACCCTCACGAGCCGTTCTGATGTATTTCCCCCCTCGTGCTTTATAGTCCCTAGCCAACCTGGGCTTTATCTTATATGGAAGGGATTTGGCTTCACCTACCCCCGTTCCCTCTTCCATCTATACCAGTTAGTTTCGATCAATCAATTGCACCCTAGACACAGCGGTTAATATCTATATCCAGGACTTCCTACTATCTATTGGGCATCCAATCATCTCATGATGATGTTCCGTGTCCACAAATCCGACGTCCGCGGCATCGAGGGTGTGACCCTGCGGGAAACCGACCAGCGAACGCGGCTCTGGTGGCACTACCCCGGCTTGCGTTCCCTGAATCTCCTGTTGCTGGGTTGTATCGTTTGCGACATGACCAACGGCTACGATGGCTCCATGCTTGGTGGCCTCCAAATTATCGACCGGTGGCAGGAGGCGCTGGGCCACCCGAAAGGCACGCGACTGGGCACCATTAGTAACGGTACTCGCTATGGACAGCTCGGAGCGCTCCTCGTCGCGGCGCCCATGATCCAGCGGTTAGGCCGACGAATGCCCATTATTATCGGGTCGTGCATCCTGCTGGTCGGGGTGGCACTGCAGGCCGCATCGATCAACTATGACATGTTCGTCGTGGCTCGAGTACTGATCGGCTTCGGAAACACCATACAGAATATGGCCTGTCCCATTCTGGCCTCTGAGCTTGCCCACCCCTTCCAGCGCACCCAAATTATCGGTATCCAGAACTCGACAGGATCGCTCGGCCAGATCATGGCCGCTTGGATCACCTATGGCACCTCCTTTATTGCTTCCTCGTGGTCCTGGCGTCTGCCCTCGCTGCTGCAAGCCGTATCCTCTGTCTTCCAGCTGGTCATGATGTTCTTCACGCCAGAGAGTCCGCGCTGGCTGGTGCATCGTGGCCGGCGTGAGGACGCATACCGGATCCTCGCTAAGTACCACGCGGAGGGGGATGAGACGTCCCGGCTGCTACAGTTTGAGATGGCCGAGATCGAAGCAGCCATCGAGGCCGAGCGGGTGCAGGCATTGACCTCGTGGATGGAGTGGTTCCGCACGTCGGCCAACCGATACCGGCTATTCATCATTATGACGTCCGGATTCATTATCCAGTGGTGTGGCAATGCGCTCATCACGTACTACATCCACCTCGTCCTGCAATCGATCGGCATCACCAGCTCCAAAGAGCAGCTCCTTATCAACGGCGGCATCACCATCAGTGGCTGGGTATGGGGTAACACGTGGTCGCTTCTGGTCGACAAGATGGGACGGCGGCCGTTATGGCTGATCGGCATGGCGGGCATGTTCGTCTCCTTTTTGATGATCACCGTCTTCACGGGGGTCAACACGGGCATTGACTACACCAACACGGGTCTGGGCAAAGCCACCATCTTCGCCATCTTCCTCTTCGGATTTTTCTACAAGATGCCTGGTTGCATGGTGCCCTCGTACGTCGCCGAAATCGCGCCCTTCGACCTCCGTGCCAAGGCGTTCGTTCTCAATGGCTTCGGCGATGCGGCGGCTAATATCTTCAGCGGGTATACGAATCCTGTCGGCCTTGCGGCCATTGGGTGGAAGTACTACATTGTTTGGTGCTGCGTGTTGATCAGCAACTTTACCATTATCTACTTTTTCTACCCGGAGACCAAGAATCTCAGTCTCGAGGAGGTCGGCCAGCTTTTCGATGGGCCGTCAGAGGGCCCCGGGGCAACTAAGCTGGCGGCTCAGGAGGATGACGAGAAAGAGACCCGTGTGACAATGATCGAGTGAAGGATGCCGGTCATATGGATTGGGGACTGTTCTCCCCAGATGCCTGTGTAGCCAATCCATGTTTGTTTTCTACGTACGAAGGGCTACAACGGTTGCTTACTAGCAGTTTGAAATTACTGGGAGCCCCAAATGGGAATGGAATCAATTGAAATTGCCTCTGCCCTCCGCACTCCCTATCAAGTAGTCAACGTACTGTACTCCGTACGTAGTCCTAGTCCCAATCCCTGTCGGAACGGAATTGGTAACCGTCAGGATCCCGCCGTATTGTGGGTCCCGACGGCACAATATACGAGTACCCCTGAATCCTGATCGTCGCTCCTTGTCAGCTGACATGTACAACGCGGGGAAATTGCGGGGGCGCTGCACTGGCGCTCCTCGAGAATTCCCCGATCTCCGGGCCGCGTTCCCTTCAGTCGCAGCCTCGCCTGCGCTGGCGGAGGACTTAAGCCCGATGCCCGGTTTGCCTCGTAGACCAAACTACTTCCCCACACCTCGCTGACCAGATCAAAAGATCAAAGGAGAGAACGGGAATGGGGCAAGTGTCCCGGCCGCCTGAAGCAACAATTGTCATCGGCGTGGAAGAGGAGGGGGTCTCGGCCGCTGACGATCTTCCTGCCTGTCAGTCGTGTCGACGGAGGAAGCTCAAGTGCTCGAGACAGACGCCGTCATGCTCGCAATGTCAGAGACTTGGTGGGTCCAGACCTCAGATATCACGATGGACTGTCGGGACCAAAGCTAACCCGTATTCCGAGCCCAGCATGCGAGTGCATCTACGTGACCAAACAGAAGCCTGGCATCAAGACCGGCGCTATTGACAGCCTCAGCCAGCGACTGAGTAAGAGAACCTCCCGTAGCCCCTTCTTCTTCTGCCTACAGATGCGCTGACTGAGAGACGCACGATATTTTTTTTAGGTGTGCTGGAAAGAATCCTGCTCGACGAATCTGGCAGATGCAGACAATCTCTCGCTTTCCTAGACACTGACCCGGACCATCTCCCACCATTACAGGTCCAGACTCCTAATCTAGACTCCATCCAGGACGTTCACCAACAGCACCGGGTCTCTGAGGACGCAGTCACGGTGTCCGACTCGACGGGCTCTCCGCCCCAGGTCAGCAACAGCAGCAGCACCAGCCGGAAGAGGCGACGAACTAATGATACACATGCCGATCACTGGGATGAGGAAGACGGACCACCTTTACCGTCTCCACCACACCTCCTGGACGCCATCATCGATGTCCATTTCCGTACAGTACATCACTGGGTCCCTATCCTTCACGAGACTCGGTTCCGGGCCCGGCTACGAGATGCCAACGAGAGACGCCAGTTGGCAGTGCTTCTCCACTCGCTTGTCGCGGTTGCGATCAAGTATATTGAGTTGGATAAGGCGGGCCTTGACCGGGAGGGTGCCGAGAGGCAGATTAGGGAGTCCAGGAAGATTGTGATGCTCCAGGCCATGCAGTCCCTGTCAATCGAGAACATGCAGGCAATGGTCTTTCTCGCCTTTGACTTTGTGAGCTGTCTTCTTCTATAGCCTCCCACCGCGTGAGATTCTCTATGCGGAGCCTTCTGCTGACCCCTTTCTGCTGCAGATGGGATGTGGGCATCCCTCTAAGGCGTGGCCCATCATCGGTTCCCTGACAAGAACGGTCGAGTATCTGCAGTTGACTGTTGAGCCTCCAGACCTACTCTCGCGAAAGCAGCCACTGCTGCGCCCTCTCACGCTGCTGTCATGGCCGCGTGACTCGACGGAGGAAGAGGGGCGGAGGAGGCTTTTCTGGAGTGTGTTTCTCCTCGATAGGTAATACAACCCCGTGAGACCTTTGACTGCGAGCATTCTGATTGACAGGACAATTGCAGGGTTTGCTCGGTCACTTCTGGGTACGCATTTCGGATTTCCTATTGGTTCAACAGGTCGTGCTCTAACACATAGCCCAGGTGGCGCACAAGCCTGACCTTGGACCGCATCCAACGACGACTGCCTTGTAGTGGAGCACCATGGGCGCGCGAGGAAGCAGTCTCGACGCCCTTCTTCGGGATATGGAACAAGTCCATGGCTGAGATCGGCAAGTCGATACCCGACGTCCCGACGCTTTATGAGTCGTCCTCCAAGGTCCATGAATACAGCCCTGGCAGTGGCCCTGGCGGTGAAGGCAGTGATCAATTGGACACAACAAATCTTGGAGCGTTTGCGTATTGCATAGAGGCCACCGAGAACCTCAATCAGGTTACGTCCTTCTTCCTGCAGCATAGCATTGATTTTGGGAACAGAGCGCAGGTCAAGAACTGGCTGACAAGGTTCAAAGAACTCGATCTACGGCTTGTCCAGTACGTATCGGTCCTCCACCCTCTCTACGTATTCTTCGAGATCTATATTAACGCCCGAATACATTAGTTGGAAGACATTTCTCCCCCACCAATGGAATGACTCGGATGTCTCCCGCGACGTGTCGGTTGTCAAGATGGATCCGAACCTGACCCTGGCACACCTGACGCATAATGCCGCTATGATTCTGCTGCACCAGCACATCGCCTACCCGCCTGCCACCTGGTGTGACGTGGTCAAGCTGCCTAGTGCCTGCAGCGCGGAGACGTGCCAGCTCGCCGCCGTCGAGATCGCCTCCATCTCCTCCAAGTACCTGTGCTATATGGGAGGCATTGTCAACAGTCAGTTCGCCTTTTGTGCCTTCGTCGCCGCCCGCGCTCTCCTGGTACAGTGGCTCTCTGTTTCGCGTGGGACGGGAGTCTCTCTGGCGCCTGAGTTCTTTATTCTTGTGGACAGCTTGAAGGATATGTCACGCCGGTGGAGGGGCGCCTACGGGAGAGATGGGGCCGAAGTCAAGGGTCTCGACGACGACTATAACATGGAGCGGCCGGGTGGACCGGATCTGATGACCAAGTATGCCAGACAGCTTCTGTTGATGCACTCCCAATATACGACGGGCCTAGATGTGGGCGTCTCAGTCGGTAATTTGCTACTGGATGCCAGTCTAGATGGCCTTCTGAATCGGCAGCAGCAATTGCCCAGGACGGGTGGTGCTTATCCCCCCCGCGAGACGGTGTTTCCGCGGACGCCCGGTATGGGGCCAGGAGGCCCAATACCCGCGCGTTTTACTCCTCTCATTCACTCGAACGGCTCTCTACCGCGGCCATCAGCCCGGCCACATCCACCGATCGTGTATGATCCCCGCGGTACGCCCGTTCGTCCCGATGTCGCGAGCCCGCGGCGGCAGCAGCCGCAGCAGCATGATGCTACACAGCCGCAGATGCATTGCGCCTCCAACATGGCCAGGGCAGGCGCATCGAATATGATGGGGGCGAGTCCCTCTTCGTTGGCAGCAGCGGCGGGGCTCTTGAGCTGGGGAATCGAGAATAGCGGTAATGTTGCCGGTGGTGGCGAGGATGAGGATGAGCTGACGGCCATGTCGCATATGCTGTTGGGTCAGCAGTTTCTCGAGATGGACCGTGTGATCACGCTAAATGGGACCGACTTTTTTGGAACCGGGTTGTGTCTGGATGAATGATTTGAGACAGCGTAGTGAGATTATGCCACCAGACCATCTGAGGCCAATACTCGGAGGTATCGCTTTTGTTTGAACCTGTGCGCCTGTTGTACATGCCCTACCCTACCTGTGCTGCCAGCGGATACCTTATTTTTTGATTTGGTGCGCATCCAGAGCGAAAAGTCTCGGTTTAGCATGCAATCAGACTCCTTGTGGTAAACTTCACTCTGATATACCTATCCTCCGGCCTGCTGGGGACGCTTCTCTCTGGCCAAGAGCTCCATGAATGATCGGGCGGAACCCCCACGATGGATGCTGCTATCCTGCTTCTGACAATATCTGAAGTATTTCGTGACCAAAATGGCAGAGGAGTGAAATATTTGAAAAAAGAATTGTTTGCGTAGATTAGAGAAGTAACTAACGGTGCTAAAATAAATGCAGAACTACCCCTTGCGAATCCGGGATGTCTACACTGATTGTCTTCGCACTGCTGTCCACCAAGACCGTTTCCCGACTCGCTGCTTCATCCACAACAGTCGGCTGGCCCTGCGCGAGATCATAGTCGTAGCTTGTGCCTGCATACGTGATCCCTGTTGTAACGTTCGCCCCCGCAGCAGCCAGGCGCTCTACCCGGGCGCCATTCGCACCCGCCGGCACAGCCAGAGTCACGTTCAACGCGGGTCGTGTACCGACAGCGGTAGAAATCCACTCACGCATATTGAGGATGACTACACGTGGCAGTGTCTTTCCACCGTGGTCGTACAAGACATAGGCTGAGACACGGTCGTCATTGATGGTCTGCAGTTCGAGCGGGGCAATGACGGTGCCAGGCGCAGATCCGATGGCTGCATTGACCATGATGTTGCCGTAATATGGTGGATTAGTCGTGAGAGTTCCGTTGGGCGTCCATGCAGCATACGGGGACGTGACGGACTGATGGAAATGGGCCCGAAGGATGCCCTGAGAGGCTGCGTATAGGGAGTAGTCCACGACCCAGAGGGCCGATCCGAAGACGTTACTGAGCCCGGTAGCGCCGCCGCCGCTCAGACTGTTGGTCTCGCCAAGGACATATGGGACGGTGGTAAAGTTGCGCAACTCCGCTGCGAGAGTGACATGAGCTGCGAGGCTCCGCATGATGGAGCTGTGATTCATCAGCGTCCCCTGCAGACTGATACCGGGATTGGTGGCCGATCCCATGTAGCTGCCGGAAAGAATAATGTCAGGGTCGAAATGTTGGAAAAACTACGTTTGAATAGGCCAACTCACTTGTGTACCGAGATCTGTCTGATATCATGGCGCGAGTCCTGGCCACCTTCGAATGCCGTCTGAGCTGAAAAAGGTTTCCCAAGGTCAGTTCCGCCAAAGCTCGGGGCAAAGAAGCCACTCGATTGCTTCACTAGGTGTGGGCAGGCACTGGCCATCACATCTGCGACGAGTTGGCTGCCTGTCAGCCATTCCTCCACATATTCGTCCACAGTCCAGTTCGAGGGTCTCCGGAAATAGTTCATGTAATGATCCGGCTCGTTCCCGACCTCGAACATGAACAGACTGCTGCCGAGAGCCTTGCAGGTCAGTTCTGTCTCGATTTTGCGTGTGGCCGTCCCGGCGGAGCCGTTCATGGCGAGATTTATACCAGGAATGTACAGAGTGTTGGGGAAGGTGCCGAAAGAGGAGAAGAACGAAGGGCCCACGTAGATGGGCGGCCGATGGTCATCAATTACTGCACCGGGGATATACTCGGGGACGGTGAGGGACGCATTGTAGTGGATATCATCTCTGGGCGGGTGTGAGAATTCCAAGCAAGTCCATACAGCGTTACGAGGGCAGCGCATACTGGGTATTTCCACCCACACGAATCACGGGCATCAACCCTGTCATACGACCCAGGTTCAACAAGAGATTTATCGAGAATTGGTTGGGCTGAGATCGATTCCCTTATTTCAGTCGCATCAGACGCGGCAATCCTGGGATGGTTCAATGGGAGACAAACCTGCGAACCATGGAAAATGACTGTATTCAATTGAAAACGACGTAAAGTCCTTTCCAATTGGAACTGCTCCCGGGGGCGCACCAGGTGTCAGCTGTGCGTGAATGGTCGAGAAGCATTCAGAAATGTCGGCGAATGCTAGAGAGACGAGTAATGGGAGCATATTGGTCTTCATGGTGTCCTTGATGTGCGTAGATCAAAGCCCGTCGGGCCAACATATAGTACAACTCTCTAGGCTCCACGTTCTCTCCCCCCATGTCTGCCGACGGAGGGATGGGGAAAGGAATGGCCGAGGACCACATTTGACAACACCAAGAGGAAGCAAGGTTAGGACCGGCACCAGATAGCATCTCCGTCTCTCGCATGTGGGATAGGAATTGTAACTTCCAATGGGAGGTCATGGTTGGGGTAACGGGCTGCGGGTGATTGTGTCTCCGAGCATGGTATCCCCGCATAATTCAACTCACTGTTCTATACTGTATAGCTGTCAAGCAAAATACCCGTCAGGAACTAGGAGCCAGGGCCGATTCAATGCTGGGTGGGATTGTATAAAAGTCGTTGCGCATATCCTGAGTGGGAGCGGCCAAACCTCTCTGTAGCTGGTAGAGTTGGCTTCATTCATCCGTTGGCACTTCCATGACGATGTTCACAATGCACATCCTCAGAGCCCCCCTGCCGGGATTTTCCCATTTATAGAGGTTTGGCTGTAGTTCTTAAATCTCATTCCCAGGATGGAAATTTTCTTTTTGTCCAGTCTTTTACATTATGACAATGGGATATGTCCGACGTTATGCCTAAATGGCAGGGACAAATAGGTTACACACATCTTGAACTAGATACATGGCCAGTAGTAAGGCCTCCATCGCTGCCGTCAACAAACGGTCGACATTAATAGTCACGTCGCCTTGCATCAGAACAATGCACATAGCTGCGCAAGCCGGGCTAAGAATGACCCGGCATCGTTGTTCACGGAGATCCGGGAAAGCTGCAACCCGCTGATCTGAGATCCACGAGGCCAAGAAGGTAGAAAACTGGCGGAGGCATCATATTGTCGGATGCTCCTGATCGCTGCGTGTTCCAGTTTCACGTTTGGTTTCACGCTGCGACCTGCCAAGTTGACCCATCATGACGAAACATCCCCAGACAGTCGTGCTCGATGGCTGCAAGCTCGAAGAAGCCCGGCGGCGTCTACAAGACGGCACTGATCGAGCCCTTCAGGCTACACTGGAGGTTCTCACGAGAGAAGCCGACACGTGGCTTACACAGGGCCCCTGGTCCGTTACCATGAAGAGAACACTCGGGCCAAGTGGCGATGTACACGATTATGTTAGCCAGGCACCCTACTGGTGGCCCTCGGACTCACCAGACGGTAAGCCCTACGTCCAGTACGACGGAAAGAAAAATCCGGAGGTCCTCAACTACACGGACCGTGTCTACTGGGAAAAGGTGTTCAACTCGTCCACCATTCTGACCCTAGCTTGGCTCTACACGGGAAATGAAGCGTACGCAATACATGCCGGCAATATCTTGCGCGTCTGGTTTATTGCGCCCGAGACCCGTATGAACCCGAATCTCAACCACGCCCAGCTCATTCCACACGCCAATACAGGCCGTTGCATCGGTATCATCGACTTCTCCCAGGCCTACACCAGCGTCCTCGATGCTGCAGCTATATTGGCCAGCGGCGGTGTCGGATCGAGCGGCCACTTGAGGGCTCCTGGCTGGTCTTTCGCGGACGTCGAGGGGTTCCGGGCGTGGAATGTCGAATTTCTCGAGTGGCTGACCAACAGCCCATTCGGTCAAGAGGAGCGTTCCCAGCGCAACAATCACGGCAACTTCGCGGCCATGCAGATGACCGCGATTGCGTTCTTTCTTGGCGATGCGGCCCGCGCTCGCGCCGAAGTCCTTCGCGTGCGGGCATCTCTTAGCGAGACCATCGCCTCAGACGGATCGCAGCCGGAGGAGCTTCGCCGGACTCGCAGCTGGCACTATTCAACCTTTAACCTTCTCGCCCTGACGCGTCTCGCCTGCCTGGGGCGCAAGGTCGGGGTCGACTTGTGGGCGTTTGTAGGGCCGGGAGAAAAGGGGAGCATAGCGCGTGCGGTGGACTTTTTGATACCTGCGGCAACGGGCAGCCAAGCATGGGCATTTCCCGAGCTGTGTTTCAAGGCATACGCTGCGGCTGATATCATCCGGGCGGCAGCGGATGCAGGCCACGAGGGTGCGAGGGAGGTTGTGGGCAGGATACAGTTGCCTACGCGTGACTTATGGGTCCTGAGACCAGCTCCAGAGCAACTTGATGCTGTCCAACCTTGATGAGCCCTCGAAGTGAGAATGCTCTGCCATTGTTGCACAACAGTTGCTTATTATCAAGCTCGGGGATGTCTGTCAACTAACATATGCGGCACGCTACAGATGACTCTTTCGAGAATCATTCTTGCAAAACGAGTTCACTTCCAGAGCTCTTCGGATTGTAAGGTTTTCTTGTCGAAGTACAAGTCTACGCGACGACTTGAGAAAGTTATAATCTCTCAAGACGGGTCAACTCCCATTTTGACAAGCTAAAGTGGGATCATGAGAGACATCGTACCATAGCAATCAATATTAATGGCTAAGATTAACCATGGAGGATGTACTGTACTGATCAAGAATAATGTATTCCTCGCCACTTCTGATAAACGCTGCACCCTGATTATTATATTTCAAGCATATCCAAACATAAGAAGCATCTAAAAGTCTAAGAGCAGAAACTATTTCAAGGCTGAATCACACCCAGAGATAACTGGATGCTAGGCGGACAGTGTCTTCATAGCTCGCTGCATAATCTCATTTTGAGACTTTCCTAACCCTGACATCTTCTTCATTAAGGAATCCTGCATTCAAACGAATTAGCCTCGTTCTGACACCATTTTGTGAGGGAGATGACCTACAAACGCAGTCTTAGGAGCGAATGTTGACACAAACCAAGTTACTGTCGAATTAGTTCCTTTCCAGAACCAAGGCTTCGTTGAGCTGGCTGTGACATGGTTCACTACTGCATTTGCGTAGGAGTCTGCGTCCATACCCTTTTCTGTATTTCTTGGTAAGTTCCCAGACAAAGTGAGGAGTTCCGGTACAAAATGCAGACAAAAGATAGAACCTACCTATATGAGCTTTAGCTCTTTCCTGTAAAGTCGGCTCCAGTGGTTTGTAGATTGATTTTTCCTCAAGCGTTGGCAACGCAACAATGTTGGTACTGACTTGGCCAGTCACAACTGTCACCACTTTGATTCCGATGGGCTCAAGCTCAAGACGCAGCGTTTCCGAGTATTGGGCGAGTGCGGCCTTTGAAGCGTTATATGCGGACATAAAAGGATATGGCATAATGCCGAGAATGCCTTCATAGCAAGAAGTGGTTAAGACTAAAGACTGGATAGATTGCAGGCAAAGAGTGAGGGCGACTTACTTCCAATATTCACGATAGTACCCTTCACAGGGAGCAGTAACGGGGTGAATTGTCGAACCATTTCCATTGGGCCAAACACATTCACATCATACATGCTCTTTATATCAGAGATATCGGTATCTAAGGCGGCCGACTCGATCACTGTAATGGTCAGAAAATTGTGCGAGTTTCAAGGGCCAGTTTTCTATGAGGCAACACATACACGCTCCCCTAAAGGCACGATGAGTATTTATCCAACAAATTATGTAGGTTTGTGGCCAATCTTAGAAACTCACGCATTATTGACAAGTACATTCAGCTTTCCACCAGTACGCTCTTTAATAATATCCTTTGCTGCTGCGATAGACGCTGACTGGGTGACATCAAGCTCGAGGACATCTATACCCTTGGCAGACAGATTTTCCAGCTTCTGTGCGGATCTAGCGGTCGCAAAGACTCGGTATCCTAGAGAATCTTAGTATGAGGTGTCGTGTCATCCCTATAAAGCAGAAAGTCTAGATATACCTTTTGATAAGAACTGGAGACTAAGTGAATAGCCAATTCCCCGGGGGAGCACCTGTGTTTTGTTAGTCCCCTGCAAGAAAGCCCGCTTTTTCAGATAGGCTTAATCACTCACCCCGTGATTAGGACACTTTGGCTTTCTGTAACCATGACTTATGAACGTATGAACGAAGATGGGTTTGAATATAACGAAGAATTAAAAGGACGTTGTTGGTGCGAGATATCTGTCGGGTTGAGTGCTTGGATTTAGAACGTGGATGTGAACTTAGCAAATATCAGCATGTATTGACCATATATAGTCCTTCGAGTTGTATTTACAATATATCTCAATTTCAGATCAAATACTCGATTAATAAACTTACCCTATCTCAATTAAGGTTAGTGGCAACCCCCTGGTAATGAAAGCGGCGCTAGTTTACTCTGGGCTGCCGAGGCATTATTCATCATCCCGTTCATTCATCAAGCTGGGGTCTTTTCAGATGACTGATCGAAAATTCGGTACTCCTTGACTAATTCTCGTAGGATTTTGTTCGCGTAAACAAATTCACAGGGACCTCAGTATTTTGAATCGTCTCAATGTGCTATACCAAGGCTTATGCTATACCAGGGCTTACAAATGGGAGATGCAGTTGCAATCTATAGCCAGAGCGTCTCGGGGTGATTATCTTCTAAAATCCAGGCATAGCATTATGCAGCATCATACCCGAGGACATGTATCAAGCAGGGCTATTATTCCGCATGGGCCGTGGTGGTCTCCTTTCCTCCAGATCTTGAAAATAGGGCAAGGCCTCAGCGGCCGTCATTCGGGAACCTGGATTCACCTGCAACATGCCCAAGGCACAAATATTCAGTGACGATTCTGAAAAACACAATAAGCCCCGATAGCGAGCAAGATGGCGTTCGGTTTCAATTCTCGAGCCAATTACTTTGCCGAGGACAAGCTCCAAGCCAACCACGCCACAGGCCCAGTAATCAACGGCTCGGCCGTGTGTCTGCCCCTCGACTTGCTCTGGGGCAAGATATGATATAGTACTTGGACGGTCATATGGAATCCGGGTTCTATCCGATGCACAGCCAAAATCTGTCAACATGGCTTCGGGCGGGTCATAGCTTTTCACCAGGATATTGTCTGGTTTTACGTCCCTGTGGCATATGCCATGCTCATGGAGAAATGAAATCCCTTCTAAAAGCTGACTGAAGAATATAGATCGACCCACGTGAGACACGTTTGATGTGTAAAGCGAGCGGAAAGTTGCGTTCAACAGAGGAGAAATAATGATATATTCGTCTGTGATATCGTTGACAGTCGGCTTCCACCTGTCATCAAGGAAATTTCGAATTCGTTCCTAGATACGGTTAGAATCGCATCAGAATTGGATGAACATAACGTGGATTGTCATACCAGCTCGACCGATGTTCTTGCTTGTCGGTGGCAGATCTCGACCGCGTTTGCAATGCGACGCTGGTATTCACTATCAGAGGCAGCCCTCAGACACGACGCGACAACGAGATATGCCACTCACATGAGTCAACTTGGAAATACGAGAGGTCATCTTAATCTCTCGATCCACAGCGTACGAGTTAATAGACGACTTCAAAATTCGTTTTGCGGCTGCTGGTAGACCGGTCCTAGCATTGACTACCATATACACAACACCATACGATCCTCGCGAGATCGGGTTCTGGAATATCCAGTCCCCAAATCGCATTTCGTGATCGCCAGGCAAAGAGAGTACCAGCGGATTCGCATCGTTGTGGAATATGCGGAAGAGTTCGGCCAGTTCCACCTGAAACTGTTCCTCTTCCTCCGGTGTCCGGGGAAAGTAACGCAAAGTGAAAACGCATTCTCCGATCATGATACTGTTCTTGAGTTGGATGCTGCGTTGATCATTTCGGTATATATCTCCGTCCATCATCACAGCCTCTCCTCTCTTATTGTCGGCGATGAGAAAAAAGCCGCCGGCTCCCTTGACCCAATTCAGTCGCGCATGAATACCAGCAATATGATCTTCCTCTGAGTCTTGATCAACCCAACGATCCTCAATAGTCAGGAGGAGATCTACGCCTCTATTTTTCAGTGAGTCGCGGCCCCTGCCAATTCTCCACCCAATCTGGGCAAATTCGGGCAAGGTACCCAGCGAGAGGGTGAAACACTTTGTAATCCTCTCGCTAACAACAGTCTCGCCGATGAATTGTTGATGGTAGGCAGATCCCGACCGGGCGGTTGCTTCTATAGCAGATCGTGCCACTGCATTCATTGGTATGAGCATTGCAAACCGGCCCAAGTGATCGAGATTGTCATCTGGGGCAGATTCCAGATTGTCGAGCTCCATCTGTGCCCCATAAGGGCCTTCGAGAAGTTGGGCCGGCTGAGTTGACATTGCTGTGACTGTGGTCCTGTTCTATTTGGGAGTGTCAGTCAATAAATAGGGATCTGAAATTAATTATAGAATTCACATAGCCGCTACGAATCCATATGAAACCTGGAGCTGGAGAGGCACAAGCGCTTTTCGACACTTATCAGCAAATGGGTTCTGCCTGTTTACCGCGCGCGATAGAACTGGTTACGAGACCCACTCCCAACTTGAGGCATGAAGACGAATGAGTGAGGCTCAAGACTACCTTAATTATGACCAATGAAGTTCTGTAGTTATTAGCTATGTCTAACTCTAACGAAGTTCTTATTGAGTGAGATTTTATTTCAAATCAGGTAAGCACAATGTATTGGCTATCCGAAATAAGAAGATCAATCGTATGAATCGATTTTCATAATCAGCTATTCATCATCCTTCCAGTCATCTCGCTCGTCCTCGAACTCTTCAATCTCCTTTTCACAGAAGGTTGATAAAGATCTCAGTTGCATAAAGACATGGTCAATTCGAGACCCACAGGCATTATAGAAAACCCCTCGATTCCCAACCTGACTGTCTTCAATAAGGCGATTCAAAGTAACAAGTAGCTGGGACAGCTCCCCTATTATTATGTTCCTCTCTTGCTTGTCGAAGTTGGGCGGTGATACATGCAAGTCCTCTAATAGATGCTCAAGTTTGGACATCCAGGCGACGATGTCAGTCTGTAAGTCATCATTTGTTGTCATCCTATCAATTTCCGGCACATTCAAAGTCTTGAAGATATTCTCAAGCTGGCGGCTCATTTTGTCAACTGCGGGAGCACCCCTACTTGGCGGAGAAGCATGCGGCACAGGTAGCCGGTGGTCCATCTGCACGGAGGCGAGCTGACGTTGACGCTCTTCAAATTCCGTCTTGCCCACTATCCTCCGAGACTCATTGATGGCTTGAATGCTCTCTGGTAGTTTGAAGTATTGCCCACTTTGCCATATTGTGTGTTCCAACACTGGGGGTTTCGCTTTCTGATATCCCGCTCCTGGCCGTAAAGGCAGTGCAATGAGACCTTGGGGCGTAGGATCAGGTATTTCTTTGGACCCAGGAATGATGCCTCCAGATTCAGATTCAATCGCTGGACCTTGACCCGAATCTGGTGGAGCTATTGGTCCATATGTCTGCGGTCTAACAGAATGCATCAAACCATGCGAGCCGAAGGCGGGGGGAGGCTGTGATATGGTAATGCTGGCATATAGTGCTTGCACTAGTTGAAACACATTATTATTGAACTGAGATGCTTCTTGCAGAATTTCATCTAGCCTTTGAGATTGACGGATGTTGTCTTGTTCTATGCGGTCGGTAGCGGACCTGAGCAGGCTGAGTTAGCCCTCACATTTATAGGGTACTAATATAAAACTTACCAGATAGAGGTACTCAGGAGCAGGTTGATAGCATCGGTGTGTGACTGCAGCTTAGTCCGATATTTACTCAAGGATTCGCCGCGTAGATCCCATAGCACTCTCTTCCACTGAACCTTCAACGGCTTCTTGGCCGGTTTGGACGATGATTGTCCCATGATACCGAACTGATTTCCGATCTCAGGACGTGCAAACTTCGTTGCTGCTTCACGGTACTCTCTTGTGGCATTATCGAGTTCTTCTAATGTTTCAAGACAGGACTTGATCATGTAGCCCAGCTGCACATGCACCTGCCCTGTATTATCCCCGGGTTTCGTGGAGGCCTTTGCCAAAATGAGTTCATGATCTCGTTTGAGGTGATTGAGAGCACAGTAAAGGCCGAATAGAGTATCTTCAAGCTCTTTCAAGTCGCGAGACGCCTTTTTACGCCCATCCGTGACGGACGAGAACAAGCGATAGGCGATTTGAGAGCAGAGAATGATATCGCCGACTGAAAAGCCGAATGACATGGTGGTTTAACTCAATCGATATCCATATGAACGTTGTGAAGTTGAGCCTTGGATCTTACCCCTCTACAATGTGGGGTCTGAAATCTGGCTTTTTGCATCTGTCCAACTGCATGAAAAGGATGAAGGTGGAAAGCCTTCGTGGGTGCGGTCCAACACTAGCGCCCCGGGCAACGCAGTGACCCGTGCTTGAAAGACTTAGTGTCAGCAGCTTCAAGATAGGGGATTATTGACAAGGCTTATCTTTATCGAGATGTTTGCCCGCTGGCAAGCCGTGAAACCAAGGCAGAATGGCTGACAGCGCCTGGATCAAAACAGGCAAAGAGCACAGAGCACCGTGGACTCAGCCAATCCTATGTTTCAACCCTCGTGTTCGGGGAGGGTGCTTGGGCGTGTCAATTGAGCCTCCAATTTAACCCCTCATGTTGACAAGTTCTCAATAATAAACCCCAACCCATTCATGAACCACGGCTAGAGTCGAAGCCATAACAACATGACTGCCGCAGTAGAAAGCGAAGACCAGTTTATCAAAGTCGTCGTGGGAAAGTTGAAGTCAGAGAAAGACGACGACAGTCAGAAAGAACATACATTTGAGATTAATGTCACTGGCGAGCATACACTTGAAGAACTTTGGTTTACACTTGAAGGTCATTTTTTTGCACGTCGAGAATGTTATGTAGACTGACTGACCTCTGTTCCTAGAAAATGGATATTCTCCACCCGATCGCCTGAAACAGATCGGCGATGGTCGATTGCGAGACAGACACGATATCAAATCAGCTTTTTACCCACACACAGAGTTTGAGATTGTCAGTGACAAGTCCGCGGCAGATGAAACCCACATATACATTAACGAGTCGCTCCACGCTGCAACAAGTCGGGATCAGGATGTCAAGTTTGATGTCCAGTACGACGGCCAAGGTCAAACTTTTCTGAAGATTGATGATGGTCTTGAACTTGTATTTCACCGAACAGTGCGCATGCCAGATGATGATCGCCTTCATTCTCTTCCCGCGTCTGTAGGGACTTTCCCTCTCTACAACACCGAGGACTATGCGGACAGACTACCCGAGAATATTCTCGAGAAAGGTGGACTATTTTTGCCGATGTGGCAGCGGGAGGCTCTATGGATTGGGCTCGTCCGACCAGCGAAGTTTCGTTACAAAGAATCCATGAATCGGATTTACGCCATCCGGGTCTACGTGGGCCAGATCAATGCCTTAACGGGTAAGAACATGATGGAGGAAAGGGGAAGTCAGCGGGACCAGGATTACCTTATTTTTCCGGGGCAGTCGTGGATCGACGGCATTTGCGTAGCACCTGGGGTCGTGAGGCAGTTTGTCGCCATGCCGTGTAAGTGATTGACAGATAAGCTCTAGATGCAGCTCATGGATCACTGATGCATGTACCAGTGGGCTCTGGCCACACTGTCGAAGGCCAAAAGACCGGAGAGGAAAAACACGGCGGCCTCCAGATTGAAATCATCCCAGAATACCAACGGAAAGCACAAAAGTGGCTCGTTGCAACAGAAGAGGAAGCTCTCAAGAATTACGGACTATACCTCGATGAATCAAAGACTCCAGCTGAGCTTGGCCTGAAACCTGGTGCCAAGGTTCGAGTCTATCCTTCACCACCTACTTATGGGACACCGGTAGAGGTTGGGGACTTGTTCAGGAAGAAAGGGAAAGATACCCTTGGTGTTGCATATCTTGAGGTCAGACTCCCTATTCAATCAAGCACCGGGAAAATCTAACTAAGCCATCGACAGGCGTTCTACTATGACTCTTTGGACCTTTCGGACTGGGGCGGCGCTCTTAGAGGCGGCGAGGTATCAGATGATTGGGGGTTTCTTGGAATAGACAAAAAGGCTCGTCGAGAGGTAAATGGCGGTATGCCTCACCCGACTACCGATTTTTTAACCACCCCTACGAATTATCACGATGAGGATTATGACATTCCGGTGGACTTTTGTGTCCGTTCGGCAGCTGACCACAGTTCTCCGAGAAGGCCTGGGCAAGCAGTGACGGATATTCCAAGACCATCTAAAAAAATGCCTCCAACGTCAACAAAAAAGGGTGGTCCCGGTAGGGGACGTCGTAAAAAGATACTCCCAAGCTCGAAATTTGGAAAACCCCAACCTAAGGTATTGAATGTCAAGGCAATGGGGTTGGCGGCTGGAGGAAAATTGGGTACATTACTCCTTTTGTTTTCTTGAAAGCGCATCACTTTATTTCCTTTGGACTAGCCTTTGGCTAACATGATACACAGTTCAAGACATTGTTGCTGACCACAACCCTCCGCAAACGTGGAATATCAACGCTGCACGTCTGATCAATATTCACATCTTGGATCCTGTCAGCTGTGAGTCAGTGACACATATTGTGCCACCGCCTATTCCAATGAGTGCCTATGAGGCTATCCTTGCCAAATTGCCTTTTTTTGTCGTCTCAGAACAAATTGATAACCGCCTCGAGGGTGGTGATTTCGACAACGTCAAGTCTGTCAGTAAGATGGATGAAACAAAGGGGATTGCTTCCGAGCCCTCGTTGGATCCCAATCAGCCCATTATGTGTAGTAGCTGTGAGAAGAGACTGTGTGATTGTGTGTATGTGACAGTTTCCTAAGTATTCCCTCAATCGTTCTAGAAAGTGATATACTAATATGGAGTATTTTTTCATAGGGTCCGACCGTGCGACCATCAATTTTGCAACATGTGCATCCGAGTAGTAGAGTCGGCTATGGAAAGCTCCGGTTCGAGTGGCGCACGTTGCCCTCAATGTCAAGAAGAGATATCTCGAGTGGCAGGCTTTTCTGCACCTATGAATTTGCCTGGAGAAGAAGCGATTCGTACCAAGATGCCAGTGCGGGTTCTCAAGATTGAGGACGGTCGGGTCAAGTTTCAATCTATCAGACAGACCAGAGTCTGACAGATTTCCCATTGTTGCAATTGGTGATTGCTACTTTGTATCAGTGTTGTGGACGTTCTTTTTGAGCGCGATAAGAGCCCCGTATAGTTCCGATCTCCAGAAAGCCAATTATCGCAGTCATAAATTGCAATTCATGAGCCAATCCATGCCTTCAAATTGGATTTTACCATTCACGCAATGCTTTATAGCTCAACAATTTCATATCTGTACCATGCTTCCCATGATTCACGCCAAAACTTGCAAACTGTAAATTTATCATTGTCGATCCGGCCCAAAAGGGCTTAGCGCTCCGATAATCGGTTGAGCCACAGATAGCAGTCATTCGAGTCATTCCCAATTATTGTGGTCCTCCTTCTTTCTACACCCAACTTACCCTTAATCCCTCGCCAATTGACCATACTTGAAGCTGCCAAAATGAGCAATACCAAGGGAGTCGCCGAGAACATGCTCTGGGGAGGCCGTTTCACCCGTGAGTGACTCCCCTTCACACCTGATTAACTCCCACCGCTCCATTCAAATGATTGACTCACGATCAATTGAATCACAGAGGGCCTCGACCCCCTCATGGTGCAGTACAACCAGTCCCTGCCATATGACCGCATTATGTGGAAGCAGGATATCGCCGGCTCGATTGCCTTCGCCCGCGCCAACATGAAGACCGGTATCCTGACCGCGCAAGAATTCGCCGAGATCGAGCGCGGCTTCAAGCAGATCGCCGAGGAGTGGCGCACCAACACCTTCGAGGCCAAGGAGAACGACGAGGATATTCACACTGCCAACGAGCGCCGCCTTAGCGAGATCATTGGCAAGGAAATCGGTGGAAAGCTGCACACTGGTCGCTCGCGCAATGAGCAGGTCGCTACTGATATGCGCCTGTGGCTGCGCGACGAGCTGCGCACCCTGGACGCTCAGCTCTCCGACCTGGTCAAGGTCTCGATTGCCCGTGCCGAGAAGGAGATTGATATCATCATGCCTGGCTACACCCACCTTCAGAAGGCCCAGCCCGTCCGCTGGTCTCACTGGATGCTGTCGCACGCGACCGCCTTTGCCAGCGAGCTGCAGCGCCTGCGGGAGGTGATCCGCCGTGTCAACCGCAGCCCGCTCGGCTGCGGTGCGCTGGCTGGTAACCCCTTCCAGATTGACCGCGAGGCCATGGCCAAGGAGCTCGGCTTCGACGACCTGCTTTACAACTCGATGAACACCGTCGGTGACCGTGACTTTGCTATGGAGACCATGCAGTGGGGTAGCTCTTTCATGCTCAAGATTTCTCGCTGGGCTGAGGACTTGATCATCTACAGTAGTCTGGAGTTCGGCTTCGTCCGTCTTTCTGATGCTTACTCGACTGGCTCGTCGCTCATGCCCCAGAAGAAGAACGCGGACAGCCTGGAGCTGCTCCGTGGAAAGTCTGGCCGTGCTTTCGGCCAGATGGCTGGCCTGATGATGACCATCAAGGGCCTGCCTACTACCTACAACAAGGATCTGCAGGAGAGTATCGAGCCCCTGCTCGACCACATCAAGACTGTCAGCGACAGCATCCTGATCGCCACCGGCGTGCTGTCCACCCTGACCACCATCCCCGAGAAGATGACCGCCGCTTTGGCCCCTGAGATGCTGGCCACCGAGATTGCCGACTACCTCGTCCGCAAGGGTGTTCCTTTCCGTGAGGGCCACCACATCTCCGGTCGTGTTGTCCAGCTCGCCGAGCAGACCAACATCCCAATGGACACACTGTCTCTGGAGCAGTTGAAGACTGTCGATGCTCGCTTTGATGCGGATGTCCAGGCCTGCCTTGACTATGAGCGTGCCGTTGAGCTTAAGGATGCCATTGGTGGTACCAGCAAGCGGGCTGTTCTGGAGCAGACTGCCGTGCTGAAGAAGCTGCTGTAAATATACAAAAAAAGGTCTATGAGATATGAGAGACATGGAGGTGTTCACAGTTGGACGGATATTATGAAGAAAATATGAGCGTTTTCGGGTGTATGTTTTGGCTAGACAAAAAATGACATTATTTCCTTTCTCTTTACTACAAGACTTGTATCTCCGTGAGTATCTTCTAACAAAGAAATCAAGAAAGCATATGAGAAGAAAAGAAGAGATAAAACAAATCGCCGTGCAGCATTGGAAAGCATCCAGCATCATCCAAGAAAAAGCACTCAACACCAACCATAACCCTCACCCCCTCCTAGTATTACCCAATCCCATAGTCCCAGCTGGAGATTTATCATTATCGTCTCCCTTCAGCGATACACCCCCAGCTTCATAAGCAGGCAGAGCCTCACCAACCGGCGAAGCACCCACCATCTCAAGAACAATCTCAGTCTCAGGCTTCAATCGCGTCGCACTCCCACTTTCTCCCCCATTACTTACAGACCCATTCACCCGCCCAGGACTAGACCCGCTCCTCTGCCCGATCTCATGCGTACTCCCACCAAACGTCATAAAACTCATAACATGTTCCCGTCCCGGGTCACCAACACTCCTCTTCCCCTTCCCCCCACGCTCCGGATCCCGCACCGTCGAATACCGGTCCAGATTCGCGACTAAGACGACGCCATCCCTAGTAATCACTCTCCGCGCGGTAGCACGACTCATGAGCGTTGAACTACAGTTCTTATCAACAGCGGATCGCGGGCTGGAGTCACCGCTGTTACCACCGCTCGACGAGGACGGGGAAGAATCCCATGAATGTCCCGGATTAAGTGAACTTTTGTTACGTCGTCTTCTCTCGGGAGGGATGTTTATCAGTTCTCTTTGTGAATGGGCTGCTAGTTCTGCACGTTGTCTGTAGAAGCCCGTATCTGAGAGTTCGGCGGCGTGGGATTCGGTTTGCGGGATGGAGCCTAGCATTTCGTTGGGTGATAGTGCGATGGAAGGTGCTGGAACTGGAATTGGCGGGGGCATTCGGAGGGGTGGGAGTCGAACGAATCCGCCTGATGAGGTGCTAAGGATTCCCGAGCTGAGTGTTGAGAATTCCGATGGATCGGGTGAGAGAGTTGGGGCATTTAGGCTTAGGGCTGTTGTTGAACCGGGGGTTGAGAGATTGGATTTGCTTGGTGGTGAAGTCGGTTGGATGCCATGGTGGGATTCTGTCGAGCTGTTAGTTTAACTGCTACTTCGGAGTTGAAGAGGTTATTGGAATGCTCACCATTAAGCGGTTTAGTCGAATTGGTGTCCAAAAGAGACAGTTCTGTCTTGGAGACTGAAGTCATTTCCTGAGTATGCGAGGACTTGCTAGATGGAGAGCGCCGCAGATGGACTGTATACGATTTGCCATGTCTCTTTCTTCGTCGTCTGCAAAACCAGAAGAGTAGGATGATGATTATCAGGGCGGCAATTCCTCCGATTACTCCACCGATGATGGGCGCTTTGCTGGAGGACTGAGTACTGTTCGACGCAACCGCAGCTACTGACGATGTAGCCGTAAGAGCCGTGCTTGAACTCGAGGGTTCCGTGCCAGTAGCCCCCGTGGTTGTAGGGATATCTCCCGAAGACACTGACGCCGTTGTCGAAAAAGACGTATACGAGACAGTAGTATCAGTAGTATCAGTAGTAGAAGACACGGGCGAGATGGTGCTTGTGCTTAGACTCGAGGTTTTCGACGTCGTCGAGCTTGTTGGACCCGATATACCCAACGAGTCCAAGGTATCGTCGGGACAGACTCCCGAAGTGCAAGGATCACTCGCACAGCAGCCACGGAAATTCCCAACTGAGCAGACATAGTACTGTTTTGATCCCTGGCAACTCGTATCATCACGACGAGCTAATGCCTCCATCTTGGAAGTAGGTCCATCCAGCAGACGGTATATAGCTGGGAACACGATCGACGTGCAGAGTATTATGATAGTAAGCGATTCCCCAGATTAACGGCGCAGAAATGACTGACAAGGAAGGAGTCCTCGACGATGGAAGGAAAGCAACCACGTAAAGCAATAGTACTAGATAGGAATGTGTCTGCCAAAGTCCGCAGACATTGTTACTGACAGGGGCAGACTCGATACAGTCATGGCACATCTTCAAAGACGATCGGTTTCTTTGTCCTTCAAGTCCTAGGCCCCGGGGTTGTGGTGGCGGAGGCTCCAATAATAGAATTCCATGGATGCAGAACGGATCAGGGCAGTGGGTTCTTTGTGAGGCTGGACCCTGTCAGCACCTCTGCTATTGGCTCGAGGATAACTATACTTACTTTGGCCGTCAGCTCAAACACCTCCCTCATTGAGAGGCACAAAATAGTACTTCGTGTAGTGTTTGAAAAATGTAAGAGAAGTGCAGGATAGATAGTCCTGGAGGTCGAGGAGTCTGAAGGTGAGGCGAAAGGCCTTTGTTACTCGAAAGGGCCAATCGTACACCTGGGAACAGGAACCAGTGTTGAAAGATAGTGCTCAGGAGTGATGGACAACAGGAGTACCGAATTATTGGCTTGGCGGGCCTTTTTGGGGCTCTTCTGTATGGTCATATTTTTGTCGTTGAAGTTCCGGTTCGAAAGTAATACTTATCGAGTGGCGGCTGGCAGGCCAGTCAACGATTTCCAAAATAGAACTCCAACGCAGGACAGAGGCAGTAGAAAGGTGACTACAAAGTTTTTATGAAGGCACTGGAGTGGAAACAAAAAGAAAATTTAAAGGATATGAGAGAAAACTGAGAGATAAAAACTCAGTACACCGACTCTTCGCCTGTAAAATAAAGGAAATCAAGGAATATGGCTATACAGGATGGTAAATAACACACAGTCAAATAAGAAACATGCTCTTTTCATGGACTCCTTCCTAGACGCCACGACAAGTCACCTAGCCTCATTCCGATAACCAGGGCATGGGGCCAGGAAGTTCTTTGTCGATCGTCTAAAAAAATTCCGCGGTATTCTCGCCTCTTCTCAGAAAGATACCTGTTCGGTGACAGGCTTAGTAGACACGCTTGAAGGGAGGAACGGGCTTGCACTCGTTCTCATCCAGGGTCTTGGCCTCAACGGCACGGTAGCCGAGCTCAACGTTGCCGTGGGACTTCTTCTGCCAGGTGAGGGTGTGCTTCATCCAGTTCTCGTCGTCACGCTCGGGGAAGTCCTCACGGGCGTGAGCACCACGAGACTCCTTACGGTTGGAGGCAGCGAGGGCGGTTTGGGTACTGTTGAAGAAAGAAGTTAGCTAGGCTTGTCCACTTATCAGGATGTCAGGATTGTACGTACGCGCAAGTCAGCAGGTTGCGAAGCTCAAGGGTCTCAACAAGATCGGAGTTCCAGATCATGCTGCGGTCCTTGGTGCCAACCTGGCCGTACCACTGGTCAATCTCGTTCACACGCTTGACACCCTCGTCCAAGCTCTCCTGGGTACGGAACACGGAGACATCAGTCTGCATGGCCTTCTGCATGGCGCTGCGGATCTCGTGAGTAGACTTGGGGCCCTCGGCGGTACGAGCGAAGTCAAGGTCCTTGATGGACTGAGCACCCGCGTCGGAAGAGAGCTCCTTGTGGGGCTTGCCGGGGGAGGCGATGTCACGGACACGGTGGGACACGGCACGACCGAAGACAATCAGATCGAGCAGGGAGTTGGCACCCAGACGGTTGGCGCCGTGGACGGACACACAGGCGGCCTCACCACAGGCGTACAGACCGGGGACAACCTTGTCATTACCGTTCTCGTCGACGTTGACGACCTCACCAGTGTACTTGGTAGGGATACCACCCATGTTGTAGTGGACGGTGGGCAGGACGGGGATGGGCTGCTTGGTAACATCGACACCGGCGAAAATGGAGGCGGTCTCGGAGATACCGGGCAGACGCTCGTGGAGCAGCTCAGCGGGCAGGTGGCTCAGCTGGAGGTAGATGTGGTCCTTCTCGGGACCAACACCGCGGCCCTCACGGATCTCAAGGGTCATGGAACGGGACACAACGTCACGAGAAGCCAGATCCTTGGCGGTAGGAGCGTAACGCTCCATGAAACGCTCACCCTCAGAGTTGAGCAGGTAACCACCCTCACCACGAGAACCCTCGGTGATCAGGCAGCCGGCACCGTAGATACCAGTGGGGTGGAACTGGACGAACTCCAGATCCTGGTTGGGGAGACCAGCACGGGCAACCATGGCCGTACCGTCGCCAGTGCAGGTGTGGGCGGAGGTGCAGCTGAAGTAGGCACGTCCGTATCCACCGGTGGCCAGGACAGTGTGATGGGCCTTGAAACGGTGCAGAGTACCGTCCTCTTGGTTGTAAGCAATAATACCACGGCACTCACCGTCCTCCATTAGGAGATCGAGGGCGAAGTACTCGATGAAGTAGTTGGTGTTGTGGCGCAGAGACTGGCCGTAGAGAGTGTGCAGAAGGGCGTGGCCGGTACGGTCAGCGGCAGCGCAGCAACGGTAGGCCTGGCCACCCTTGCCGTACTCCTTGGACTGACCACCGAAAGCACGCTGGTAGATACGGCCATCCTCGGTACGAGAGAAGGGGCAACCGTAGCCCTCAAGCTCGCGGACGGAGGCGGGAGCCTCACGGGTCATGTAGTGAATGGCATCCTGGTCACCCAGCCAATCCGAACCCTTCACGGTATCGTACATGTGCCATCTCCAGTCATCCTCGTGCATGCTATTTCTCTGGTCAGTTGTATGCACTTTGTGGGGGGAGCACGTGCCAAAAGCCAATTGGGGAGCAACCTACTTTCCAAGAGCAGCATTGATACCACCCTGGGCAGCGACGGTGTGAGAACGAGTAGGGAAGAGCTTGGAGACACAAGCAGTGTTGAAGCCAGCCTCGGCCAGACCGAAGGCAGCACGCAGACCAGCACCACCGGCACCAACGACAACGGCATCGTACTCGTGATCCTACGCCAGTCAGAATTCCACTCCAATTCACTTTTATCCAATTATAGCGGTCCTTTCAGCTTACAATGACGGGGTACTTCTCGGAAATCAAGCCTTCGGCGGCCTTTGCGCGCAGAGGGCCGGGGGTCCAGAGCCGAGCTACCGAGAGGGTGGATGGTTAGTTCCAGGATTGAGGAAGCAATCAATCGGTCGGGCGACGTCTATGCATACCAGCGGGCCGTGAAGAAGAGAAGAGACGTCTCTGATCCCTCAAAATGCGGGAAACCTGAGACCAAAAAAGATACTCGTCAGTGATCCATCGCGCCGGGCCGAAAATCGTTCCTTCGTCGGCTAACTCACCTTGTTGGCGGGAGCCAAGCTCCGCGAGCCCAGGAAGCTCATGATGACGGGTCAGAAGAAGGATAATTCGTCTAACCCAAAGACAAGAGTATAACACCGGTCGTCGGTGGGAGGTAGGGAGGAAGGGACAGGTGGAATGGGGGAATAGTGCTGCTTCCAGGACGATTGCTCTGTGATCGGGTTGCGGTTGGCAGTTTGCGCTGACATAATCATCTTCTCACTTGCCGACGGGGAGGACCGGGGCCGAGACAGCCAATCAGATTGTGCGCAATGGAAAGCAGCACCCCAAAGCCTCGGGCAGCCGGTCGCCCGTGATTGGCTCCGTGCACGTGACTCGCGATTCGTTTTGCCGGCCGTCGTAGTGGAGGATCGGGATGGAACGGCAAGGTGGGCGATGTGCCGAGACGACCAGCAGAGGACTGGCACTGATAAACAAGACGCCAAGCTCTTGAATCTTCTGTGTCGATCCTTTTACTCGGTCTGTAAAGGTCCCCAAGGGCCCAATCCCATTTTACATTGTGTGACGGTCAATCAAGACGTCGTTCACATTCAATATTACGTGTAGTCACATGACACCACGGATACTACTCCGGCTTGTCGAACTAGGCGATGGAAGCTAGCAACGTAGAGTTTCAACCATCTTTACAACCTTAGTACTGATGTTTCTGTAATTTGCGCTCAATGAGCCTGGGGATTATAGATTCGTCCACATTGAGAGCTTAACCTGCAAATGACAAAATAAGAGTGATCGTACAGCCCATCTGCCACGCCGATGCAAGAAAAAAACAGCTTCCCTCCCTAGTTCTAGTTGTACTGCATGTACGTCGCCGTCGAGTTGAACTTGAGGTTGCCCTTGATGACCTTCTCCACCGATGCCAAAAAGTCCTTCTCCGTAGCCACCTTTCTCCGCGCCCGGATGGCAAACATACCGGCCTCAGTCGCAACACTGCGCAGCTCCGCACCAGTTGCGTTGGGGCACAGGCGAGAGATCAATTCCCATCGAATATCCCGCTCAACAGACATGCTCTTGGCGTGAATGCGTAGAATGTTGGCACGTCCCTCGACATCTGGCAAAGAGAATTCGATCTTACGATCGATACGACCGGGACGCATCAGTGCCGGGTCGAGAGTAGAGGGACGGTTAGTGGCGAACATCACCTTGATGTTACCACGGGAATCGAAGCCGTCGAGCTGGGTGATCAGCTCCAGCATAGTACGCTGAACTTCGTTGTCGCCGCCAGCACCGTCATCGAAACGAGCACCACCGACAGCATCAATTTCGTCGAAGAAAATGATGCAAGCCTTCTTGGTACGGGCCATTTCAAACAGCTCACGGACCATCCGAGCACCCTCGCCGACGTACTTCTGCACCAACTCGCTACCAATCACACGGATGAAAGTCGCGTCGGTTCGGTTGGCAACAGCACGAGCACAGAGCGTCTTACCAGTACCCGGAGGACCGTAGAGCAGAGCACCCTTAGGCGGATCAATACCAAGGTTCACAAATCGCTCTGGTGATAGCAATGGCATCTCAACAACTTCTCGTAACTTCTCGATCTGCTCTTTGCATCCACCAACATCACCATACGTAACATCTGGCTTATCTTCAACCGTCATCATCGTCACACTAGGGTCGATCTTAGGCGGCAGCGGTAGCATAATCTGGTATTTATTCCGGTCGACACTATGACACTCCTATGTCAGTATGTCTATTTCACAAAGAAACCGGTACTTGAGGTGTGAGATTTGCGACTTACCCGACTCGCATGCCTTCCTCGATATCTGTCGGACTGACACGCTCTCCTAGGTTGACAACGAACTTGGCAATCTGTTTGACGTTGATGACATATTTGCTCTTGTCCGAGTCCTTCTCATCTTGAATAATCTTTGTGCAACGAGCAACCTGGAGTGGTTGCTCTTCGGCCATCCGTTGTCGGTCGGCGGCGACATCCCAAAGGTGTGGAGGTGCGAGTCCGGTGTCGGATTCCTAGGCGCGTGTGAGCTTCGGGGAACTTCAAAGGGGGGTCAAACAGCTGGTTCTAGTAATCACCTTCACACCGATCTTCTCGTTGACGCTTGCTTGCTTGTCCTTGATGTCCTTCTCGAGCTTCTTGAGGGCGTTTGCGTAAGGGGCGGCACCGTAGGTCTTGAGTACTGCGATGTCACTGGGGAAGACGTCAGCCACAACCCATCGTCGCCAACCGAATTCTGTGTTCATTCGGATCGGGTATATCCAAGGACACAAACCTCTCTGTGAGGGGGGTAATCTTCTTCTCCGGCTCTTCGTCATCCGCGAAGTTCTTCTGGTACTTCTCCCAGTTCGAGCCCGTGGCGCTAGGCATGATGCAGGTGTTGACAGCCCAGGGCTGGGGAGCTAGGGAAAGGACAAGGGCAAGATACTCAAAGAAGAGAAGATGTATAGATAGAAAAGAAGACTGAGCACGGTTGGATCTTCAAGAAATTGAAGAGGGACGGGCAGACAGGTAAAACGCGGATGGATGGGTTGGTGATGTAGCAGAGAGCTGCGGTGGTCGAAGCTCAACTCACTAATCAGCGCCAAGCTTCATCACCGCCCCAGAACCTCGCAGAATTTCCCTGTGTGTCCCTCCACCAACGCTACCCCGATCTCCTCTCTTGAATTAATCTACAGGTTCCATTTGGATTTTCGACAATCAAAATGGCAACCACAATGGCTCAGGGAGCCGTTGGCAACACCACCTTCAAGGTACGGCTCGCAAAATCCTCATGTGTGTGGACCAGTTGCTGAACAGCGCACAGGACAAGGAGAAGCCCATGGCAGTGCGGCAATCCAACATTCTCGCAGCTCGGGGTATGTCGACGAACTCCAGATGTAGAAGAAGCTTCTTGCTAACGATTCATAGCCGTCGCCGATGCCATCCGAACGGTATGCAGATCCGCGATATTCGAAAGCACACAGATGAGGGGCTAACGGGGGAAATAGTCTTTGGGACCCAGGGGCATGGACAAGATGGTAGGTTGACCACCTCCTTTACTCCCCACGATTGAAGACGACTTTTAACAAGTGGCATAGATCCAAACTCCGAAGGGAAACACCATTATCGTATGAAGCCTGCCTCCCTCGTGATGTCCGCTCCGACTAACACCCCCCGCCCCAGACTAACGATGGAAACACTATGCTGCGGGACATGAGCGTGATGCACCCGGCTGCCCGCATGCTGGTCGATCTCAGTGCTGCACAGGATGTCGAGGCCGGTGATGGAACTACATCGGTTGTCGTCATTGCCGGGAGTCTGCTCGGTGCTGCTGAGAAGCTGCTCTCCAAGGGCATTCACCCCACCGTCATCTCCGAGTCCTTCCAGCGCGCCGCCGGTGCCGCCGTCGAGATCCTCCACAACATGTCCCGCCCTATCAACCTCAACGACCGTGCTACCCTCCTTCAAGCCGCCTCGACCTCCCTCTCCTCGAAGATTGTCTCCCAACACTCCAGTCTCCTGGGCCCCATGGCTGTCGACTCCGTACTGAAGATCGTGGACCCCAAGACTGCTGATAACGTTGATCTGCGCAACATCCGAATTGTGAAGAAGGTCGGCGGTACCATTGAGGACAGTGAGATGATCGATGGCTTGGTGTTGAACCAGCCCGTGATCAAGAGCAGCGGTGGTCCCACGAGAATTGAGAAGGCCCGGATAGGTCTTATTCAGTTCCAACTGAGCCCGCCCAAGCCAGATGTATGTGTTCAGAAGTTGAATTGGCATATTGAACAGTAGACTGACCCCTTATGTAGATGGAGAACCAGATTGTGGTGAACGACTACCGCCAGATGGATAAGATCCTGAAGGAGGAGCGCCAGTACCTGTTGAACATGGTCAAGAAGATTCAAAAGACCAAGTGTAACGTGCTGCTGATTCAGAAGTCCATCCTTCGTGACGCTGTCAATGACCTGTCCCTGCACTTCCTCTCCCGTCTGAAGATCCTGGCCATCAAAGATATCGAGCGTGATGAAGTGGAGTTCCTGTGCAAGACTCTTGGTTGCAAGCCCGTTGCCAACGTCGACTCTTTCACCGAGGACAAGCTCGGTACCGCTGACCTCATTGAGGAAGTTCAGGCCTCCGGTGCCCGCTACGTCAAGGTGACCGGCATCAAGCAGCAGCCCAGTGCTGTCAACAACCAGACCGTCTCGATTGTTGCCCGTGGTGCCAATAGCCTCATTCTGGACGAGGCTGAGCGTTCGCTCCACGATGCTCTCTGCGTCATCCGCTGCCTGGTCAAGAAGCGTGCTCTGATTGCTGGTGGCGGTGCCCCAGAGGTTGAGGTTTCTCACACGCTCGCAATGCGGGCTCGTGAGCTGACTGGTACCGAGGCTATCTGCTGGAAGGCGTTCGCTGATGCCATGGAGGTTATCCCCACTACCCTTGCAGAGAATGCCGGTCTCAACTCCATCAAGGTTGTGACCGACCTGCGTCACCGCCACGCACAGGGCCAGCACAACGCCGGTGTCAGCATCCGCAGCGGTGGTGTCAAGGATGACATTACCGAGGAGAACATTCTGCAGCCTCTGCTGGTTAGCACCAGCGCCATTGAGCTGGCTGCTGAGACGGTGAAGATGATCATGAGAATTGACGACATTGCTCTGTCGCGGTAAATAGGTTTAAGGGCCGCTGCTCTGAGCTGTATGATGAAACGCGAGGTGTTCGCGACGAGTAATTTACTACCAAAAAAATGGATCCAATTTTGCATAGACCATCACAGATTGTGCAAGGTTCTGACGTGTAGTAGTATCTATTGAGTCGCAAGTGTCAAGTAATCAATCATCGGTAACTATTCTACGATTTGGTGGTCGCTAATATCGGTGATAATAATATCTAAGCCTTGCAAAGATCTTCAATAGTAGATAGTATGTCCCTCTATAAGATTCCTGAGACTGTCTCGCCCTTCAATCCGTGGCATCGCTGCCTAGCTGAGTCAGCTTCAGGGGGCCTGACGGGACCAGAAACCCGATTTGAGGCTCGAAGGTTGTGTTGATAGCTTCCACATATTCCCCACCTCTGCATAATGGGGGCATCTCATGATTCTCATCAGGTCGTCTATCCACAATGCCCCGTCGCTGTCACACTAAATCTCGAAAAGGATGCATCCAGTGTAAAGAAAGACACGTCAAGGTCAGCATACTAATGACCGCCACACCAAGCTCTCAGACCTCGGCCGAAAATGCCAAACCAATCCACCGTAGCAAACTATATCCACGATCGCTAACAAAATCAACAGTGTGATGAGCAACGACCAACTTGCAGCCTTTGCATAAAGCGGGAGCTAACGTGCATCTATGTAACTCCTCCGCCCAGGCGAAAACATCCTGTAGATCTCCCCGAAGACGGAAAAGCAAAGTCTACATCTGGCACGTCGAGTCCTCCCCCCGTCTCGCGGCTACCTAGGCTCGAGGAAATGAGGTTATTCCACCATGTGTTTATGGTGACCAGTCTCAGTTTCGTCAAGGACGAAGTTGACCGCGAGTTTTGGCAGTCGGTGGTTCCTCGGATTGCGACGGGTCATGACTATGTCATGGACGGATCGTTAGCGGTTGCTGCGCTGCATTTGGCGTCTTTGGAGCCTGATCATTCATCTCACTGGCTTGAGACGGCTTTGACTTACCAGAACTCCGCGATAACCGGGTTGAGTCAGCACTTAGCGACTAGCAAGCAGAATTATGAGGCGTTGTTCAGCTGCTCCATATTCAATCTGATTTTTGTGACCGCATATCCAGGCATCTATGGCGATGGGAATCCTGTTGACCCGCTGAGTGAGATTTTGACGATGCGGTCATTCTTGAGCGGTACTGCCTTTCTGTTCTTGCAGATATATCACGGCGAGGAGAGGACTGCTATTGATCCTTGGGTCCGTCGCGATAAGACCAAATCGCCGATATCGAGAGACAGGCATGCGAATTCATATCACATCCTCCTTCTCATAAGCCGATACTAATATCTACCTTCTAGTGAGGATCCAAAGATGATTGAGCTGCATAAGTGGGTGATCAATTGACGTGTTCTCAGTTGTACGAAGACTGACACTATTGCTCGGAACAGGACAACCTTGGAGAAACTCCATTCATTACGCATTACTATCGACACACTGCAAAATCCCCACCAAGAGATCTACCGAAGTACTCATGATCTACTCCTGAAGGCCATTGAAGGCTGGCCCACCGAGGATAGCATATCGTGGCCTATCGAGATTGGCGATCCCTTTTTGGACCTGGTCAAACAAGGCCACTGGATGGCTCGTATCATGCTTCTGTTTCACGGGTTGGGCATGCATCTCATGTCACGGAAGTGGTTTGCAAGGGGCTCGGGACGGAGGCTGGTCTTGGGTATTCTGCAACCGCTTGAGGGCAAAATCCCCCCTGAATGGGTGGACATGACTCGGTGGATCAGGGAAGCAGTGGATATTTGAGACGAAAACTTTATGTATTTCTAGGAAATAGATTTATGATATGGGACGGTTGCTGTTACCTGCCATGGCCTAAATTAAATGGGCGGTTTAATCTCATAACCTGCAGTGGGGTTGGTCGTCCATCAGCAAACATATATATTCCTTCACCCAGGCCTCATCGAAGGACCTCGAACTTCGACCAGCTACCTGTAGGTAAACCCACTGGAATGGAAGCCAAAAAAGTCTCAATATTTCCATGGTCTCATTTGGGAGATGGAGAAAGCCCATCCTAGGATCATGAATTCTGCTTCGGGGCGTAGGTTTACTTTCGTCCCTGTTGTAGCTCTGGATGCACAGCGACGGACCTGTCGGAATCATCAAAAACCATCCCTCAATTATAGCAGAGGGTCTTTCGGGTGTCTTGGCTTGAGCCGATCATAGATGAAAGGAATGTGCCACTGCTAGGCCGCAATTGGGACTGAATAAACGCATACCAAACCCGTTCGGGTTCTCAATAGCGGCTTTGTTTGTTCGCCTCAAGCTGGACTTCCCGCCCGCCGAGGCAGAGACCCTCAGGTCATGTAGTGCGATGAGAAGAAGGATCATTCTGTAACACCCGCAAGAGTGTTAGTATACTTTGCTCAAACTTGATCATTCCATCATATATTCACAAATTCGTCTGTATGCTCTTCTTGTCAATCGCTTTTTGACAGAATCTGCCCCATTGGCCAGTCGAGTGGACTATTCGTGACTCGGCTCCACAGTTCCGCCGATAAGATCGTCCCCCGATCGGGTGGTACTCTGAGCCAGCTTACCAGTGATACCCGAAAACACTCACGATCATGGGGAAGCTCGATGATGAAGGGGTCCCCGAGGCTGTGCCGCTAACTCGACAGCGGTCGGCCTCCATGGCATCAGACACATCCTCCGATTCGGGTCTCTCGGTCGCCTCCGCGGCCTTCCTCGATGCTCACAAGAGCGAATTCGCGGCTGGGGTAGATGGAAATGGGGAGGAACAACGATACCGGGACTTGGAAGATGGGGAAGAACCCGGGCTAGACGAGCCATTCCTCCCGTCTAGGAAGACCAAGTCGTCATCCGGCCGTCGCTGGTGGCTGTTTGGACTGCTCCTATGTGTGGTTATGGCCAGCGGCTGGATCGTTGCATTCGTCTTCTTCCTCGTACAGGGGCGGCCCGATGTTGCGACGATTTCCTCCCCCTCTGCGGTTGAGGTGCATGAGCCGGACTCTGCGACCGGTGGTACCAGCTATGGAAAGCCGGTGACACTGGAGCAGGTGCTGACGGGGCATTGGTTGCCGCAGTCTCATGCGATCGCGTGGACTGCGGGTGCCAATGGCGAAGATGGGCTTTTGATCGAGCAGGGCGAGCACGGAGACGGATACCTGCGCATTGAAGATATCCGCAACCGCAAGGCCGGTTCTAGTGGCTCTGCGGCCAAAGTCTTGATGCAAGAGTCGCATTTCTGGGTTGGAACCACATTTGTCATGGCGTCCAAGATCTGGGTGAGTCCCAACCACGAGAAGGTTCTCGTCTTGTCTGATTACGCATCGAATTGGCGGCATTCGTATTATGGGAATTATTGGATCTTTGATGTCGCAACTCAAACAGCCGAGGCCTTGGATCCAGATAATCACACCGGTCGCATTCAGTTGGCTTGGTGGTCGCCCGAGTCTGATGCGGTTGTGTTTGTCTGGGAGAATAATGTGTATCTGCGCAAACTTTCTTCGGCCAAGGCGATACCTGTCACGACGGATGGCGGTAAGGACGTGTTCAACGGTGTTCCGGATTGGGTGTATGAGGAGGAGGTTCTGTCTGGCAATGGGGCCACCTGGTGGTCGTTGGACGGCAAGTTTCTCGCGATGTTGCGGACCAACGAGACCGACGTCCCCGAGTATCCTGTTCAGTACTTCCTCCACCGACCCTCGGGCACGGAAGCTCCAGCTGGGCTGGAGAACTATCCTGAGGTGCGGCAGATCAAGTATCCCAAGGCTGGCACTCCCAACCCCATCGTCAGCCTTCGCTTTTATGACGTGGATAAGCACGAGCTCTTCTCTATCGAGATGCCGGAAGACTTCGAGGATGACGATCGGATCATCATTGAGGTCGTCTGGGCACCTGAGCAGAAGGTTCTGATCCGCGAGACGAATCGTGAAAGCGACGTCGTCAAGATATTCCTGGTGGATGCCAAATCCCGAACTGCCAAACTGGTTCGCTCGACTGACGTTGCTGCTTTGGACGGTGGCTGGGTCGAACCCTCTCAGTCAACGTGGATCATTCCGGCCGATCCCAGTAATGGCCGACCGGAGGCCGGCTACATCGATACTGTGATTCATGAAGGGTACGATCATCTCGCGTACTTCTCTCCATTGGACAGCTCCGAGCCGGTGATGCTCACCTCAGGCAAATGGGAAGTGGTCCAGGCTCCCACCTCAGTTGACTTGAAGAAGAACTTGGTCTACTTCGTTGCAACCAAGGAGGGCCCCACACAGCGACATTTGTACCAAGTCAAACTTGATGGCTCCGATCTTCACGCATTAACCGACACTTCGAAGCCAGGCTACTACGGCGTCTCCTTCTCGGACGGTGCTGGGTACGCGCTCCTGAGCTATAAGGGTCCCGCAGTTCCCTGGCAAGCCGTGGTCAGCACACAAGACAGCACCATGAAAAAGGAGATTGTCATCGAAGAGAATAAACAGCTCGCGGAGAAGGTCGAAGACTTCGCGCTTCCCGCGGAGGTATACAGCACAGTGACCATTGATGGGTTCGAACTCCAAGTGGTTGAACGGCGGCCACCGCACTTCAACCCGAAGAAGAAGTATCCTGTACTCTTCCATTTGTATGGTGGACCCGGCTCCCAAACCGTCGACCGCAAGTTCCTTGTCGACTTCCAATCCTATGTCGCCTCCAGTTTGGGGTATATTGTTGTTACCGTAGACGGTCGCGGAACAGGCTTCATCGGTCGCGAGGCTCGGTGCATCGTTCGCGACAACCTGGGCTATTATGAAGCGCGCGACCAAATTGAGACCGGCAAGATATGGGCCAAGAAACCTTATGTTGATGAGTCCCGGCTGGCTATTTGGGGCTGGAGCTTTGGCGGTTTCATGACCTTAAAGGTCCTTGAACAGGACGCAGGCGAGACCTTCCAGTATGGCATGGCCGTAGCACCGGTGACGGACTGGAGATTTTACGGTAAGTCGCTCTCCATGAAGTTCTTTCCTCGCACATTAACCATAGTGGATTGACTAACCGCTTTAATCTCCGGAAGACTCCATCTATACCGAGCGTTATATGCACCGCCCCCAGAATAACCCTAGCGGTTACGACAATTCAACAATTAGTGACGTCGCTGCTATGGGAGAGAATACTCGATTCCTGATAATGCATGGCGTGGCAGACGACAACGTCCACTACCAGAATACGCTCACGCTGCTGGACAAGCTGAACTTGCAAAACATTGACAACTGGGACATGGTCATGTACCCAGACTCAGATCACAGCATATATTTCCACAACGCGCACACTATCGTCTATGAACGTAAGTTTGAATGGAGTTTGTTCAATGGCAAGGGTTATGGGCTAACATTCCATCGCAGGCTTGTCGAGCTGGCTCATCAACGCGTTCAATGGCGAGTGGCACCGCATTGCCAACCCCAAGCCCGTGGAGTCATCCTGGAGGCGGACCAAGCGCTTTGTAGCCAGTCGACTATCATTTGCACTGTGATTTTTATTCATTCATCCACCCTAGTGTTGGGGAGGCGTCATTCCGGAGTAGCATACATTCTATACAATCCAATATTATACTCATACGATGGAATCACGAGCTCAAAAATGATGCATATATTCATTCAGTTATAAGTAGAGACGCTAATGCTAGTATTTTCAATTATGACTAGAGACACAAATGTGCGACTGATTGTGATATGCCAATGCAGAGCAAACTGGTATATGAACAGGGGCAAATGGACAACGCTTTTTCGCAACAAAATAACACGCTATGAACAAGAGAGACAAGGAGAAATATGTGCACTGCCATTAATGGCTGAAAACCTGGCCAGACCGCAGGAAGTCCTCTCGCATGATCGTACTGACATCCGAGTTGCGATACTGCATGAGATCTTCACGATGCAGACCACGCACCTGTTCTCGACCGGCAGTCGAGATGGAGCGTGCGAAAGATTGTGGCCGACGCTGACCTCCGAAGGAGACCCGGAAGTTTTGCGGGGCAACGAGGCCCGGGGAGCGACTGCCATGCGAGCCTCCGTTGGAAAGCACCGAGTGGCGCGGTGCAAAGACGGGCAGACGGGCATGGGATTCTGTGTCTGTGGAGAGATTGCTGAGGCTGAGGGCGGAAATGCTGGAGACACCGCGAGTGCGATTGTCTCGGAGGGGGAAGTTGGAGACGGAGCTGTAGACGGTGGACATGTTTGACATAGCCGATGAGCGCCAGGAGTAGACGGCGCTTGGTGGGATGGTGATGATTTCCTCTTCTACGGCTGCCCTGTGTTCGACGGCCGTTGCGATGTCTGTGGGCTCGACTGGGTCGCCAGCGGCTCGGCTGGCCATCATCTTGGCTGACTTGCCGATCCAGAGCATCTGTTCGTGCTCGCGGAGGTACCGGTCACCACTGAAGGATTTCTGCACGATCTTGCGAGTCATCATGCCCAGTTTGCGTCGTTGCTCGCTCTTGGCGTACATGCGGCGAGTGATGATTTCGACTTCCTCTGGGGTGGGCGATGAGGTGAGGACAGGTGCGGGCTCGTTGTCGTCACTGTATTGGCTCCATTCTCCGAGCATGGCTAACATGGATATCTGAGCCTTTGCGAGGGCTTGTGCATCATTGGGTGCGACCACGGCACTGAAGCGTGAGAAGTCATCCGGGTCACTCAGCACACGAAGCGAGGCACCAACGTCTGTGCAGACAACGGGGGCTCCGGTGAGAGCTGCTTCGCCCAAAGCCAGAGGGAGACCTTCGGACAGAGAGGAGTTCAGGAAGAGCCAGGTGTTTTCGAGCACCTTCATGGGATCAGCCGTTCCGCGCAATGTGACTCTACCACGAAGACCCTTGGAAGCGATGATCTCCTGGCACTCGGTGGAGTATGTGGGAGCTTTGTCAATGGCACCGTAGATGTCAAGATGGTAGTCATCAAACTTCCACTGGTTGATAATGATGTCGGCCGCCAGGAGTGCAGTCTTGATGTCCTTGGCATACCACACGTGCGACAGCATGGTCACTGTCGGGCGTTCAGACTTGATCTCCTTCACAGGAGCAAACTTTTGCATGTCAGTGATACCATTGACAACCGGGTCAACCTTGCGACGGAACGTATTGCGATGCTCAATAGTTCCCTGGCAAGTGCCGATCTCAACTTCCCAGCCGGGGTTGAAGAAGTCAGCACAAGGAAGAATGATATCCGCATGGTGGAGGGTCAGAACGGAAGTGATTCGCATCAGACCAAGAAGGGCATTCCGGACGAAAGGCGAGAGTTTGCAGAGAGCAGACGAGAGGCAGAGATTGGTCTCTCGCCAGCTGATGGCATGATCCCAGATCTGCAAGGTGCAATTGCGCTTGATCTTACACACAACACCGTAAGAGGCACTGACACTGTGATGAGACGCTTGGAAGACATTCGGAATCTTGTCTGGAACAGGGATGGAGAAGATGAAGAGGTAGCGGTACCACAGCTCCAAAGCAACATCAAGAGTTGACAAGGTTGGAAGCTCGGTGTCAAACCATTGAGATGATGGGATGGTGTTTGGCATTTCTTGCGTGAGCCAGAGATCCCGCCAGCTCTGCTTGACCATATCACTGTTCCAGACTTGCGACCAGTGACGAGATTCCTGGAAGTATGTGTTGAGGTTTACCAGAGCCCGAGTTGCCTGGTGAATATCTGCCTTGGAGAGATCAACAGCTCGCGCGCCCTTGACAAGCGCCGTGAGAATGGGAATGAAGTTCATCTTGATATCGAACTCGCTAGCGGAAGTGACATTGTCAACCTCGGAATCTAGCTTGTTGCTGAACAGCCCGTGGGTAGGTGTCAAGAAGTCCAAGCCCCACAGGGGAATCACCTTCAGTGACTGGATGTTCCTCTCCGTCTGATGCTTAGGAATGCCAAAGTCATTCGCGGACTCGCAAATCATATGCCACTTGATGGTACGTAGGGAATTGATCATGTCTCGTCGACAGGCAGAGACACCACCACCCTCATTAGGCCAAGTACCGTTGTCTGCAGCCATAACATGGAGAGTCTTGTCGGTATCAGAGCTGACTTCCTTGGACCGCGTGGTGACAATGGCGTCACCTCCGGGACCAAAGTTGAAGAAATCGCTGAGCTTGACGGCAAGGGGTGTCCAGCTGGAGATATTATTGTCCAAGTCTGCACTGGCCATGACTGCATCGGCACGAAGCTCCATATACTTTCTTGCGGCTCTGAGGTTTCCCCAATCGCGACTGCGCCAGTAAGGGGAAAGAACCTCGTCTTTGCGAAGAATACGATCATCCATCCAGCGAACAATGATTCCGTCAAGGTCATTTCGATCCTTCCAAGCTTTCCACATCAAGGAGCGAGATCGGGACGTCGAGACAGTAAAGCGCTTTTTGTTCAACCCAAGTAGGCGGGTGAAGACATTTGAGCGGAGGCTGTCAACGAAGAAGAAGGGATTGTCATGCACGAAACTGGTATAGTTTGGCTTAGCAAGTACTCCCAGGTAATCGTGCTCAATCATAGGCGGCGTTTGGACTTTCGTTCCATTGATGGTAGTGAAGATGGTCGGGTGGAACTTGTGATCATAGAGCCAGCGACTCTCGTACACATCACCAGTGGCCTGTTGGACGAAGGTAGCTTCGGTGACCTTGGTATGCGGAATCCAGCGATGTTCCTTGTCGCGATGACGGCGGGGAGGTGCACACCAAGAGACATTGCAAGTGATGTGGGACAATGAGAACTCAGCTCGAAGCAGTTCATCTCCAAAGCGTGGGTTCTTGCGATAATGGTACTGGAACCGAATGAGATTACCATCTTTCATGTATGAGCCCTTATCAACAAGACCCTTGGAGTTGTACTGAATGCTTTGCAGATGGTTCTCGCCCTGGACACAACGACGTCCCAATGGCATGCGCGCAAGCGATGCCTTGCCGAGCTTGAGACCCTTCTTTGCTGGTGCTTGATAGTCGTAGTGGTACTCATTGAGCAGTTTTCCGTCTTTGAACTCTTGCTTGATCAGGAGCAGCATCTCGCTCGAATAGCTGCTGACATATTTGAGTGTTCTGGCTTCTTTGTCCTTGGGCTCGGTCTTGTGCTCGCCGGCGTATTGGTAGACTTTGAAGCCTCCATCAGTTTCCTGGTGCCTGAACGCTGTGAAGGTTCCGTCAAGTCCTTGAATGATAACTCTGCTCTTCTTGATGTGGATGGTCATTCCCTTGGTCTCTTCCCAAAGTTGCTTGACGTTCTTGCGACCGTGGAACAAGAAGAAAGACAACCCAAAGTCTTGCACAAACTTGGCGTAGATCCAGATCATGTTGAGCAGGAACACGCTCGGGACGCGAATCACTGTGGGCAGAGTCTTGGAGACGTGGTCAAACTCTCTTTGAAATTCGGGATCGGCGACCAGAGCGATGAACACAAACTTGACGATAGATCCCAGCTTGTGGTAAACGTAGCTGAACGGTGATCTGAGCAGAGTCAAGGGCAATGGCAACTTCCGAGGAACGTAAGAGATGAACTCAGCGGTCTCGGGCTCCTTGGGGATAGCGGCCTCGCCAGTTCCGTAGTGAGAGTAATCGAGGATACTAATCGCCGTAGCCGCTCCAAGGTTGCATCTCGCAACGTGAGTGTCAAGATCGTTGGTGTCAAACTGGCAAAGACTCTGCTGGAGCCATTGGCGTTGGGTCTCTGGTAGCTCACAGGACTGTCCGACGCAGCGATCCAGAAGAATCTTTCGTACTTCTACAGGTAACTTGTCCCAGTGAATGTCTGCTTCAAACCCAAGACACAACTGTCGGAGAAGTTCCTTCTTGGCCCACTGCACGACAACAGAAGTATTGGCCTCTTCTCGCAGTAGCCGAGCCATGGTGTGGGTAACTCCGCCCGAGACGATAGCTTCAGCCAGAGCTGCATACTCGTGAGGAACGCCCATAACCATCTCGGCGACAGAGTGGACCAGTGTCTCCGCAATGATATGGCAGTTGGCGCTAATGTCAAGTCGCTCATCATGTAAGCCTCTCACGCTGATTGCTACCTTCAATTGATTCCCGGTACTGCAGCTCAAGGCCCGAATACCAGGTCCCATAGAACCGTGCGGCACAAGCTCCAGACATATTTCTCCAGTCTCCCATAATGAAAGAGCTTGATCAATGATCTCCTTGGAGTTGGGAAAAGCCTCTTCGATTCGAAGTTCATGCCTGCGAGATCGCATAACATTTTTGATTTCAATGCCTGGGTGGACAGCCGGATCAACTTTGAAACGGGAATCGGCTGGCAGAAGCGAGATATTCTCGAAGTAGCTCTGAAGCTCCTGCTGGGACCATTCGGGGTCTGCCCAAGGCGTAGTGAAAGCATGGAAAGTCCTGCCCAGTTCAACGGGAGAGTCAACCTCGTGAGGCATTCCCATCTTCGCATTGAAAAGGGACAGAATGGCAACAATCCAGGTGGCAACTCCAAGGCCAATGATCTGGGAGTACAGAAACTTAGGGAAGCAGACCTTGAGGGCAATTCCAACAGGCAACCCGACGGTAATGCCAATCAGAAGCGGTTTTAGGGCATGTGGACCAGTGAAGATCTTGGTATATTGGTACCAGATGAGACCACTGTAGGCAAGGACGTAGGAGAAGAAGACGGTCATGGCTTCTACTGATGACTGGAATGTCCAGATGAGAGCTGTCGAGAGGGCAAGACTCCACACATGCCACAAGAAAAACCTGAACAGGGTTCGCCAGTAGACTTTTCGACGGAATTGAATGTTTTTCTTCTGCGAAATACGAATGTCCTTGGCTGACTTGACGGCGGCGGGGGCATTTTCACCGATCGCGTCGTGGAGCTCTTGGGCCTTAGTGTCGATAAGCACGGCGCCAATAAGATAGTATGCCAATGCAAACCCGACGGCCATGCGATTGGCATCGTTCACAGAGGCTGTCAGTCCAAGAAGACGGTCACCACTCAGCAGTTGCACCCACTTGTCGAGCAGAGCAATGATAAAGTACAGGATACCGCAGCCAATCTCCTTACTTGATTGACGCCAGTGGACGAAAGCATTGTGTAGACGCAGGCCTTTCTGCGAGCTGCGCAGAACATCGAGAGCAACCTTAGTCTGGATGTTCCAGCCAGAGCTGAATGGAATCGGTCGTGGAACGTCTGCATGACGACAGTACCAATCCAAAAGGAAGTTGGTAGAATCCCAGTCCCGAGTAAGTTCCTTGACCATCTGATCAGTGGTTGGCCGGGAGAAAATTCTACGGGACTTTTCAGCCATGATATCGTTCAAAAGAGCCTCTCGCGCTAATTTGAGAGCAGCAGGGTCACTCATGGTGCCGAAGACCTTTTCATTGTTGTTTCCATGAACGGAGATGTACCACTTGCGGATCTCAGTATCGTCGGTGCGTCTGATAGACTGATACCAGGTCACCCATTTGGCAGCCGTGGATCGCAGGCTGAGTAAGAGGACACCAATGAAGAGGTAGATGACGGCCAAGTAAATTGCCGAATCGTTTCCTGCGAAAGTAGTGATGATGGGCGACAAAGAGAGGATCGGAATACAGAGAATAATTGCCTTGCGGCCCGACAGGAATGTGGAACCGGGGTAGCTGAAACTTGCGAGGGAAGCAAAAGTCGAAAAGTAGATCGTCAAGGCAATCAGATAAAGGTAGAAAATTATACCCGCTCGAGGACCTCTGACGCTGGAAATAGCGACAAAGCCGATCAAGCCTCCAGCGACTGTGAATGCAATGCCCGCAATGAGCCGAATCAAGACGAACATGTTGGCTGCAGCAAAAGCCATTGAGATTAGGTAGTATGGTCCGCCGCATGCGATCCATGTGCCAATAGCACCAGAAAGCAGCAGGGAAATCATCAAGGCCATTGTCGCACTATCTTGTTCTTGATGCGTCATGTAGGCAGAAAGATACAGTCCTCGCCCAATGATAGTGAGCAAGATGATGTCAATAAGGGCTGGGATAGCAAAGACACTCAAGAACGTGAATCTCTGATATGGTCGCATGGCCTTCGCTTTGTCGTCTGGATTCACGTCTATCTGAGCACCGGCGTAGGCTGTTGCCAGTTGTGGAGCGCCATTGATCCAGTTTGGTGGTTGATGTTTGGAATAGTAGGCTCGGAATCGATCAGATAGAAGTTTTCCGAACACGCTGGGATTCACACCGAAGTAGACTTCACATCGTGAGCCCAGAGCAAAGGACTCTGCAAATGCGGCGGCCTGGTCCGAGTGTAGGTTGAACAACGGGTTTCTGTCGGTTACCTCGGCATAGATTTCATCGAAAGCATCTTTCCTCGCGGCACAGAAAAGCGAGAGGGCCAACATATCAATATAAGCATCGACTTGACCTTCCTGTAAGAGATCGCAAATTCCCGCTGTGATAGTTGCCAGATCTTCCTCGCGATGTTGCTTCAATACTTGCATGAAGACTCGATCAACCTGGTGGAATAGATCAAGAGACGCCGAGAGCGAAGGATACGAACAGCCTTGCTCTCCATACCAATTGATTCGAGATCGAATCAGCTCCTCGGGGCTTGTAGAGCCTTCGAGATAACCAACTGTGTTGAATTCTTTGAGCTGGGCAAAGGAGGGCGCGTCTACAAGCTGCCGTCGAATGTAGGCGCAGATATTCTCAGACAACTCGCTATTGGAATCCGTAAGTGACAAATGCTGCAGAAGCAGTAGTCTCTCCTCTGGACTGAGGACGTCGATATCTTGAACAAATCGACGTGGAAGTCTGGCATTCGGAGCCAAATCCTCAGACCATCTTGCCAAGGCCACTTCCATTTCACAGCAAACATGGCGGGAAAATCCCTTCGCAGAGAGAAAAGTATGCAAGACTGTTCCGGCCAAACCTTGGGCATTTTTGGAGACGAAAATCTCAAACTTCTCCTCGTCTTGTTCGTAGACTGCCCAGAAACGAGAGTCCGAAGTCTTTCTGAGCCCAGAGTCTAGTGCAAGGCTGACCGTCAAAAAACCATCCGACGCTAAATCAGACAGATTTTGAATAGCAGACAAAAGTTGCGCATCGTCGTTAAACAGCCCCAGATTCTCGTGGAAGTTGCGGAAAAGAAGACTAAGACTTTGAAGTTTGGTTGCTGGCAAGGGGTGGAGAAGTTCCAGCGACTTCAGGCGTTGCTGGGACTGGAGAATCTCTGCGAAAGCCATTGGAGTAGGGTCAGAGCCCAGAGGAAAGCATCCCATGCTGGTATACTCTTGCCCTGACATCGAGACAGACAACGGGCTGCCTTGTGACTTGACCTGTGCCACCCATTCTGGAGGATCTCTGAGGCGTAGAACAGGGCTCTCTGGTGACTTTGTCTCGCTCTCCTCCGAATCAAGCAAGTTGTCAATCGTAGGAAGAAGTGGCCGAAGCGTATCCCACCCGCTTTGAATGCCGGAATTTGTTGAAATCTCACGATTGGAGCGCCATTTGTCATGAACTTTCATGATCTCGGCTTCCTTCAGCCAGCCGAAAGCCGGAAGAGGCTCCGTCGTTGGTGTGTTTAGGTCGGAATCTTTTAGAGAGGCCTGGGAGCCTATCCAAGAAATTGCACTGTAAAAGCTGCACCACTGGATCGATCTTCGGACAATGGCGTTCGACACACCAACGTCGTTGTTGATAGTCTCCCAGGCCAATACCACAAAGTCTCTCATACACGCCTCGGAGACAAACGCCTTGATGGTCGATTGCAGAGGTTCCATTTGAAAATAGTCGCGCTTTTCACCATTTGGCATGATGCTAGCATTGCGAATAACCAGTCCAGAGACAGATCCATTTTGCAAGGCCTTCCTGTTTTTCAAAAAGTTCGGTGGTTGCACTTCCAGATAGACCGCCAGCCCGAGTGCGCTGATTGACTCAAACAACTTGGCGTGGAGAGACGGGGTGAAAATGTCCTCCCAGTTGGCGAACAAGATACCGGAGAAGGCACTGTCGTTAAAGTTGTTGGCAAGAATGGCTTCGATCTTTTCAATTGCGCTCATGACAGTCTCCTTTGAGGAATGGATCTGCGCAAGATCAACCCTGCCTAGTATCTGGCTGCGATCGCATTTAAGAATTGCCTCTGCAACGCCATCCTGGAATGGATCCACGATCAAAATATCCCACTGGGCCAGCAACTTTTCCTGGGATACAGTTGGTGGCTCATTGAAGCTTCCCAGGTATACTCCAAATGACGAGGGCTTTGGCGAATGTGTTGAAGCGTGAATCAAATTGAGTTCTCGGTTCGCCAGTTGTCGAAGACGTTGGGAGACATTTGAAGGAATCTTGTCGGGCAATGTTCGTGACTATGCAGCGGATACGCGGGATTAGCAAAATCAGAACGATACGCCATCATGCTCAATCTCCGGAGTCAAACTAACCTTATAGTATCTGATGATCCTCGCAGTAACAGACCACAAAATGTTTGCGACTCCAATAGTAGTGCAAGCCAATAAAACTCCAATCATGAACTGCACTTGATCAGCATTCTGGTCGCTTCTGTGTATGGCTTGAAATTGCAACATCACTTCCACATGAGTGGAAAAGTAAAGGCAAACTTACAAACTGCCACCAGTGGTTTTTCATCCCATCCCATTTCACGGGATGAACGGAGAGGATTTCAGCCATTGTGAAAGGTCTGCGAAAAGCAGAAACCCTCAAGGAAAATGGCCTAAATGTAAAGACAAAACGAATGAATATGGCCAAGTTAGACAAAACCCATCAGTGATCGATTTCGCACTCCAGTATGCTTTTACAACATCGTCCGGCTTTGATCCTGATGGAGTTTTCCAAGAGAATGACAAGAGCCAGAATAGGTCTGCTAGATCAAAAGTAATGGGTATGATTTGAGGGAAGAGCAGAACAGTCAAAGGCAAAAGAATCGAGTGTCCAAGTTCAACTTTAGTTGACGGCCAAGACCGGCACACGACTCCTGCGACTTGCCTCCACCGAGGAGACAGCAAAGACAGCCCGTATCAGCCGCTCGCTTTTTCTTGACGCTTTGAGACTCGTAGAGAAAGAAAGATGGTCCGTGTCACCCTTGGTGCTTGTGGTGAATTGCAAGGCAAAGGATCCAGGCTCAAAGAGCAAAAATAGCAAGCCACACAAAAGTCCCGTTTGATGCACGCCTAAGAACACACTAAGTTATGCACCCAGGATGAACGATGAGACACGCAGTGGAGACCATCCGTGGAGCTGCAGCTAGCAGGTCCCCGGTGCCATGTGTACGGAGTGTGTGTGGCAATGGGTCCCTAGTCTTCCATGCGATCAGTGCCGTGGTAGCATTGCAGGCTCGGTGTCCGTGCAGATAGATCGATGGACGCTGGGCCATGTCTAATCATGCGGTGAACCAAGATTCGCTATGTCGCCCAAGTTTTCAGACTCATCTGAATCTTCTGAAGGCATTGGTCTGCATATCCTCTCGGGTATTCTGCACATCATTTCTCATTCGCGAAATTGACGCATGGCGAGAGACACGGGCCAGGAGTACAGTATCTCCATGGTGCGTTGGCTTGACCGATCCACTTAGCTGAGCGACATGGTATTGTATGTAGAATATTGGTCGCTACGGGGCATGTCTTTTTTTCTTTTCTTGTTTCTCTTTCTCTTTTTGCTGTGTATTATTTTCCACGCGAATTGATTTTATTTTGTGATAATTATATCAATACACACAAAGTGATGTTATCTTTTGATTATTATATCATTCGCACGTAATATTATAATATTCTTAGCGCTGTGCTGCCAAGCTGACCATGGTGATTTGCCGAACTTAGCGGGTCAGTTTTCAAATGGTATTTTTGCAATATGAAAAATACGATGAGTATAATTACCCGAACAGTGCGTACGGTACCATACCAGGCACAATTTGGCTTCATCCACCTCATCATGACTTTTCCCCTGTTGACTGTCTCCACGCGAAGTTCTGGACCTGTTAGAATCCTGGTCGATGCATCGAAAACCCCGCGCCAGCTGGACCCATGGCCCCTTCTCGTCTGATGAGCCCCAAAGTGGGAAGGGGCTTAGGCGGGCCCCTAAGCCCTTTTCATCTAACAACTCGGTGCCGAGCATTAGGAAGACTGTGGACCGTAGGAAGTCCGAGGCGAGGGGTGCTATTCTCGGGGGTTTTTACCTGATAGACTACGGCTTTTGCGATGTCTCAGCTGAAAAACTTCATTTTCGTTTCTCTTCATCATCAGTTCCTATTTCAGACATTTTTTTCGCTTAGAATTATTGTTTTTCTGTTTCCACATGGTTCAGATGCACCTGGGTGCGAGAATATCACAGAACTTTGCAGCTCCATCCCCACCACGAATGCCTTAGCCCTTTGTAAAATAGCCAATCGAATGACTAGGAAAAATTGCCATCCTCATATCGCCATCTCTAGACCCCAACATGTACTATGGTCAGCTTGACCTTACCGACATCCCACGCCCTTGGGGGGATCTCGATCTGCCCTATCACCCTCGCCGTCAACTTCATTAGCACGCCACCTACAATCCTGATAGAAAGTGCCGAGTAGGATGAAGCCTATGTGGAGATTATCCTTCGTAAAAGCCTGTAGCCTCAGCCAGGAAAGCCGATAGGTCTCGACAAGTCTGAGTCGGCCTATCTCCAGTCTATAAAGAGACTGGTGAATCATACTTTTCCTGGAAGTAAGATACAAGTTAAGTTACTTCGTCCTGCATCCCGCCCCAGTTTTACTGTCAGTCGTTTCTCGTGCATGGTGCGTTCTGTTCTCTCGTTTTCAGACCTGTACCCCTGGTTTCTATCAGCATGGTGCAAATTCCCGCGTGGGCCGTGAAGATCGGCTGCTTCTACGGACTTATAACATGCGACACTCGTCCCGGTGTCTGGCCTGATCATAAGCCTCAAGTCATTTCTTGGGAGCCTCCTCGTCCATCTCACACGCCTACTACTACCCATACTACTACCACGAGCATTGTTGGTGGCTCTACTACTACCACTCTGCCCGAGGCCACTACATCTATTCCCTCGTTGACCACTTCTTCATCTTTGTCTGTTTCTGTTACTGTATCTTCTTCCTCTTCCCCCGTTTCTTTAACCTCGGGAACTAGTGGCATTGTTTCTTCTGTTGAGACTGTTTCGCCTACTAGTACCGCCACTCCATCGACCTTTGCCACCTCCCCATCCGTGTTTAGCTCTTCGAGCTCTGTAGACTCGAGTTCTTCGACACAGGGTTCTCCTTCGAGCTCACCGGTCAGCTCATTTAGCTCCACTCCTGGAAGCACGTCAGTGAGCCCAGCTACTTCTCCGAGTGCCACTGCAAGTGGAAGCCCTTCCTCGAGTCCAATTGCTTCATCGAGCCCTCTTGGTTCTTCCACTGTAGCCTCCTCTTCCTCCCCTGGAAGTTCGGCATCTGCTAGTTCCTCTGCTCCAGCAAGCTCTTCTGCCCCAGCAAGCTCTTCTGCCCCAGCAAGCTCTTCTGCCCCAGCAAGCTCTTCTGCCCCAGCAAGCTCTTCTGCCCCAGCAAGCTCTTCTGCTCCAGCAAGCTCTTCTGCTCCGTTGAGCTCGTCAACTCCTGCAAGCTCCACCGCAAAGCCCACTTCCACCCCCGTCAGCTCCTTAACCCCTATTGGGTCTTCATCAACCCCTGCATCAATTCCCGCTACAAGCAAGCCCAGCTCCAGCCCTGCAGCCTCGTCTTCTCCTGTATCTTCGAGTACCCCTGTCACATCGCCAACTATGTCTTCCACCGCAGTCTCCATCTCGGCGTCTGCCTCCGCTACTCCTGTTAGCCATGCCTCCGTCGCTGCTAATATCCTGGTGATTGCCAGGGACACTGCGTCCGCCGGTGTTGCCTCTTCTGGCTTGAATTCCTATGGTATTCCTTTCACAACTCTGATTGTTCCTCAAGCAGGTGTTGCTCTTCCCGCCTTGAACACCAGTACCGGAGGAAACTTCGGTGGAATTGTTGTTGCATCCGAAGTCAGCTATGATTATGGTGCGACTGGCTACCAGAGTGCTTTGACAACCGATCAGTGGAACCAACTGTACGCTTACCAACTTGCGTATGGTGTTCGTATGGTTCAGTATGATGTTTACCCCGGCCCCAACTACGGTGCCACCGCTGTTGGCGGTGGATGCTGTAACACCGGTGTTGAACAAGATATCTCTTTCACCGATATTAGCGACTTCCCTACCTCCGGACTGCGAACTGGAGCTGGTGTGAGCACTGAGGGCCTGTGGCATTACCCGGCTACTATCAGCAACACCACCTCCACTAAGCAGATTGCTGCCTTTGCTGCCAACTCCGTTACCTCGACCGACACCACTGCCGCAGTCATCAATAACTTCGACGGCCGTGAGCAGATGGCCTTCTTCATTGGCTTTGACACCACCTGGAGTGCGACTTCCAACTATCTTCAACACGCTTGGATTACTTGGATCACTCGCGGTCTTTACGCCGGATACCGTCGTGTGAACCTGAACACCCAAATTGATGATATGTTCCTGGAGTCCGACATCTACTATCCCAACGGTACTACTTTCCGCATTCGAAATGAGGATATGGATAACATCCGTGACTGGATCCAGACCATCAACGCCAAGATGAACGCCGGCAGTACCTACTTCCCCGAAGTTGGTCACAACGGAAACGGCAACATCGAGAACTCTTCAAACACCGATGCTGGCTACACTATCTGCAACAAGGGTGGAATTGAGTATGACTCTCCTCCTGACACCCCTCTTGAGTTTGAGAAGCCCCTGGGTACTGGTACCAACCTGTGGCCCAAGTCGCCTACAACTTATGACTGGACCACCGCCTGCACTCAGCTGGACCCTCTCTTGCTCTGGTGGACTACTCCCGCCAACCTCAATAGCTTCGGCTCTATTTCTCACACCTTCACTCATGAGGAGCAGGACAATGCCACCTACTCAGATATATTCAAGGAGATCAGCTTCAACCAGGCTTGGCTCAAGCAGAATGGCATTGATCAGTCCACCCACTTTACCGCCAACGGTATCATCCCCCCTGCCATCACTGGTCTGCACAACGGTGATGCCCTTCAGGCCTGGTGGGACAACGGTATTAAGAACTGCGTTGGTGACAACACCCGTCCCGCTCTTCTGAACACCGAGAATGAGATGTGGCCCTACTTCACTGTTGTCTCCACTGATGGCTTTGCCGGTATGCAGGTCAACCCTCGCTGGGCAACCCGTATCTACTACAACTGTGATACCCCCATCTGTACTCTGAACGAGTGGATTGCTACCTCTGCCGGTAGCGGTACTTTCGATGACCTGCTCGCTACCGAGAAGGCCGATACTATGCGTCACCTGTTGGGTCTCCACCATGACCCTTACATGTTCCACCAAGCCAACTTGCGCAATGCCGATGCTGATCCTATCACCATCAACGGCGTCTCTGCCAAGTACTCCATCTTCCAGGCTTGGGTTGAGGTTCAGGTCCAGGAGTTTGTCCGCCTTGTTGAGTGGCCTCTTGTCACTCTCAAGCACGCTGATATGTCCGCCCAGTTCCTGGCTCGCTACAACCGTGATGCTTGTGGCTATGCTCTGAGCTACACCACCAATAGCGGAAAGATTACCGCTGTTACTGTTACCGCCAACGGTAACACCTGCAGTGAGCCCATTCCCGTGACCTTCCCCAGTGCCCCATCCAACACCCAAGGCTTCACCACCGAGCAGTTGGGCAGCGACCCCACCACTGTCTGGGTGCAGCTCTCCGGTTCGCCCGTTACCTTCACTCTCTCCACCCCTATAACTCTGTAGTAGGCAGGGTCGAGTTTTATCCTGGACATCTGCTATTCAAAATGTTTCGTATTGATTTATCTTGTTTCGAAGCTTTGCTATTATTTGTGAATGAATCTTCTCTAGACCTGTTATGAGGACTCTGAGTTGTGATGGAAATTAATATAATTCAAGCATGCTTTTGATCCAATCAATTCTTCTCCAACATGAAAAGTTCAGTCCCTTAGTTTTACATTATGGTGCCTTTGGAATGACCTGCGAATACGAGGTGCCTCGTATACTTGCCGTAGCTTCGTCCTAAGACCGAGACCTGATTGAATTGGCGGTCTGACCCGCAGTTGTCAGCAGGAACAAAAGTATTACTCTGCAGGTCCAACACATGTTATGTATGATGCACGAATTGTGTCATTTGATGGCTTGCTTACCCCGCCCGAGTAGAATTCAATTCCTCCTCTGATGTTTTTTTAACTTTTGTAAAAAAAAAGTGGTTGCAAACTTTTACTGAGTCCATTAGAGAGTTCTGGATTCCCAGAATGTCAATAGGGCTGAATTCTCTACTGAATTGGGCAGAATCCATATGAAAGCCTCCTTCTTGGCTATCAACTAAGCTAACATCCTCAAGGCAGAATTGACTTGCTTATTTTGGGTTGACACGATGTCCTAGCATAGCATCTAGTTGAGCCATTTTCCATCACCCACTAACGGCGACGCCGAAGTGTTGCCCCTCTCTTCTTGTCAGGTTCGTTGTCCAGCCGCAAATTATGGAATGACTTGGACACCTCGTGCCTTAAGGCGTGGCTTCACGAGGTTGTACAACGAATAGTAAGCAATGGTTAGAGGTAAAATGTCGGCTCCGGAGGGCATCAACACGAACGCAGTTGATGCACCCTGGCCTCGAGCGGCTCAACTAGGCAGGCTAGCAAGATGGTCATCGTAGTCCAGTGTCCTAAATTGGGCTAGCAGCTATTGCATCTGGAGGATTAGACCATCCCGTGCGAGTTTCATTGGCGCTCGGAGATATTCGCAGCCACCAGAGTATGACTTAGGACTGGGCGTTAAAAGTCTCCGGCCACGATCAGTCGATGAATCATCACAGTACATGCGTGGAAGCGGGGGAGACGATGCTAGGTACTCCGAGGGAGAATTTTGGCGAGCTGGTTAGAGATTGCGACATGGCGACATGGCGACATGGGCTTGGGAATAAATTTCATCCAGCTTTGAATGAAATGGGCATAGCGTGAGTGACTTGTCCTCAAGGGGCGGCTATAGTCGATCTTGGCACGCCATTGATGTCCATTTCCCGGGTCGTTCCAAGATGCCATCTTTTCGTATTGAAGGAGCGCTATTATTTGTAGATGCCGCCCTAAGGAGCGGGTGTGGCGTTCGGGGATAACGGATAGGGAAAATCATGCGATTGGGTTCTCTAGGACGAGATCAGAATTGTGCAGGGGTTTTTTGCTGGAGAGTTTGCTTTTTGCCTTGTTACATTCTAGCTCCTAATCCCGGAGTTTACCACTATTCCGTGGTTGTATGTTACTCTTCTTGCAGCCGAAAGGCTAAGGCGTGCATACTAGAAAGACGTGGATGTGGGGAGCAGGGCGGGAGGTGCATCTCGCACGAGGCAAAGGCAAGCGAGTAAGTAAAGGTCATCATTCCAGCCTCACAACTTACACAAACCATCAAGAACCAACAATCTAATCCACCCGTCTTTCGAAGCTGGGTGCAGCACTCACAGCACTAATGTACGAAGTATGGAGTAGAGTAATTGCTCTTTACTGGGTACATACATCAGATGATGTGGATCCCTGTCCGGGCCTCTCGTCCGGCAACTCAGGGCCGAAGTCGATCGGTTGCCAAGTCCTAAGATATAGATTTCCTAAGCAAACTTGTTAACGCGAAAGCCATTCCGGGCATTAGCGTGCTTTAAGTTCCGAAAGACAGCTAGTTAGTGGAGCCTCAGGGCGGTATTTCTGGGTATATTTGAAACCGTTCTATACGGAAATGTAATATTACAACTGTCTAGTGAGTGTTTTGCAAAACGGACGAGCTTCTCCAAGAAATGCGTCGTCATCGCTTTTAGTTCTTACTAGTCAACCGACTAAAGCAGACAGCGGTCCCACCAGATCAAGAACCTGCCTTGCTAATTTGGGCGCTTGCCAGCGCATGCATCGCCTGGGATCGGATCATTGGCCGGGTTCCAGATCCCCAGCCAGAGAATAATATGGGCCATGTTAATCATTCTGATTCTTCAGCACTTCGCGCGGGTTGCAGATTGAACCCTCCAGGGACCAGGGACGGCCCAATGCTGCCCTGTCAAATTTAAGGTGGGCGCTCGGGGAGTACCGTTTGTCCCTGAAAAGGCTGGCTGAAAAGGTGACTGCTCAACTGCTTAACCTCAGTGTAACCCATAAGGCCCCTTTGACTCACGCCTCAATTTCAACCTCGTCGGCTAGGAAGACCCATTTGATGCATTTCGACTGGCATCGGTGGCACTGGGTGCTAAGGTCTTGGCAAACAGGGGTGGATGCTGGACGGTGCGTCTATTCTTGTTTTAGTGGTTATGGCAATTATGGCAAGACTCTGCGCCCGTCGCTCGTTTTTTTTTTTTTTTTTTTTTTTCCCTTTTTCTTCCCCGCTCCTTCTTCTGCTTTTTTCTTTGCTTTGTTTCCAACTTCTCATATGATTGCCCAGGAAGTGTCCAAATTTTGGATCACTCTTAGCCTCTCGTACTCCGTCCATGCAGGGGAACTATACCGTAGCCTTGACCTCCCAGGTGATACTACTCTACGTGCTTGGGATCTCCAGATAGTTACAGTAGATTTGATACCCTGTTTAAGCACTTCATATACGTTGACATGGTCGTTGCCTGATTCAACCACCCAATTTATGGCCAGTTACGATCGGTTCACACACCTCGGTAGATCAACATTGGTTCCACCACCTTAATTCCTGCCCTACCCGGTCCCCGAATGGCCGAGATTTTGTTTTTCTCTGGCAGGAAGCACCGATAATTGCTTGCTATTCTCGGTCGCAATTCCTGACTGGCTCTAACAGAAACAGCTGCAGATGTGGCTCAGTTAGCTTGGCGCTGATCCCTAGGCTCCCGAGTTTCCCTTTCACATTTTCCCTTTCTTTTGCCATTCCTCAAGCACGCTTCGCGCCTGTTCCGGGAGTCTTTTGACGTACCTGAAGCGGTATTGCAGGCAGCTAAGGTATCAGATCAATCCTTCACATGGTAATATCTAGGGCTCTGCAATTGATATTATTGTTGTAGCTGTGCCTGCCTTGAACGATCGCCACAACCTCAGCCCCAGAACCCTGCGGTCTGGGCCCGCTTCCCTGGGGACACTCCTCTTTTGCTCTCTGAGCTTAAAGATGCCTATCACCCACAAGCTTGCTTGATTTACTTGATATATGTACATCACCTTTCTCCGGTGATCTACCTCTTGTCTCGCGGTTGGCCCCTCCTTGACTGTGCTAATCGGCTGCTGACTCTGGCCGCGGAATTGCGTTAACCTCCGAAAAACACCATCTTTTCGATTCCACCTTTACTGTTCGTTGCAGGACCGCAAAAATGGACAAGACGACAACAAAGTCTGGCTGGGCGGCTTGGACCGCCAAAAAGAAGGTTTTTGTCGCCTCTATCGTTGCCCTTATTATCGTCGCACTTGGTGTCGGACTCGGTGTTGGTCTGGGTGTCGGTTTGAATAACGGAGGCAGCGGAGAAGGTGAAGGTAGTGGCAGTGGAAGCGGCGGCACTGGCACCGGTGGAAATGGAACTACCAGCGGCAACGCGACAGTGAAATGGCAACCAGAAGTGGGTGTCAAATGGCAGATTGAGCTCCTCTATGCTCTCAACGACACTTCGGTGGACGCTGAAGTCTACGATATCGACCTCTTCGACAACGATAAGTCGATGATCTCGAAGCTTCAGGGCCTCGACCGCAAGGTCATCTGCTACTTCTCTGCCGGGACGTACGAGCAGTGGCGCTCTGATGCCAATCAGTTTCAATCCTCCGACCTGGGTAGCGATCTTGCTGACTGGCCGGGTGAAAAATGGCTCGACACAAACTCCAATAGTGTGCGCAAGATCATGCAAACCCGTCTTGACCTAGCAGTGACCAAGGGTTGTGATGGTGTTGACCCCGACAACATTGACGCCTATGACAACTCAAACGGGCTCAAGTTGACAAAAGATGACGCAATTAACTACGTGAATTGGCTCGCTGGTCAGGCGCACGGTCGCAATCTGTCCATGGGTCTTAAGAACGGTGGCGCCATTATCGATGCAGTCATCGACAATATGCAGTGGTCTGTCAACGAGCAATGCGCTCAGTATTCAGAATGCGATACCTATGCCGCATTCACGGACGCCAACAAGCCTGTCTTCCACATCGAATATCCCAAAGGAGATAATACCAATAACAATCAAGCCGTCACCACTTCGCAAAAATCCTCGGCTTGCAATGCTGCCAGTGCTGGCAACTTCTCCACTGTCATTAAAAATATGGATCTGGACAATTGGGTGGAATACTGTTGACGATGATGTACATGACACGCGACTCCTTTTTATGTGCCTGCCTTTTCGAACCTTGACCACCTGTATTGCATATAACAATAGGATAGTTCCTGCTCGCCTAATTAACCGAAAGGGTTCGGTTCTATGACGCTTCTAGCGAAGTACACGAAAATCCACTAAGGAATTCATTCTCCCATAGTTACTCCGTGGCGCTAGACGCTTTGTCAGATTCATCTTGGTATATGTTACTCTGCTTCAATTGCCGTTTCGGCTTTCAATAGCGTCCTGGATCTTAAGCCTCACGATTTCCCGTTCTTCGTCGCTTAGTGCTTAACGAAGGGGAATTGACTAGTTAGTTACGAGGCGCCGACCATGTTGGTCAGCATCACGGCCGTAAATTGGGGTTTAGCGTCTCGTTTTCGCGAGTTGTCACCAGCCGTGGCTGATGCGGTCCAATGGACGAGGGTCTCCCTTTGGCGTGCCTAGACTCCTGGCGTGACGGGTTTGGGGGCTAGTGATACGTCCTGTAAGCCGGGTGAAAGACGACAGGACTATCGCCCAACCAAAAACAACAATTTACGGATGCCTCCGGAGACCAAGCGAAGCGATAATACCTACTTCTTTCTCCTTCCGATTCTGTAGAGTTCGGTATTCGGCCGGGAATTAGTATCAATAGTGTCTTCATAGAGTGAGGTATGTGCACCCGGCTACTCTCCGAATGTTCTAGACAATGGATACGGCTAAACATCCGATGATGTTTGTCATTCTTGGCATTTCTTGGCATCTGCAAGGCTCGAGGCGAGTCTCGCGAGCCTCATTGGTTATGTTTTGCGGAGATGGTCGCAAGAAGCGCCTCAAGCCAGTGTCACTTACAAATAGATGCTGCATTACTTCGTACCTTGGAAATTACAAGTGACGGTGTAAATACGCCCGAAACTTTCAAAATTTTGCAGAATTCCAGTGCGATGTAATATATGTAAAAATAACTCCGATGGAGTAATCTTTTCAAAGCCGCTTATACTATGAGCGCTCACCGACCAATGGTGTTGGACATATCAGAAATTTTGTTTTTGAAGATCGGAATATTAACTTTGATCGCTCGCCCTTGCATGTCGAGGTTGTGACACCAAATTGACTCAACGAGAAGCATCCATGAAAGCTTCAGCTTGCACACGAGCTGCAGGGGCCGAAAATACCCCAACCACTTGGAGCTTTTCAAGTGGCGAACCACTAGTCACCAAGCCATCACGGGGACTGTCATGCCCTTAGCTCAACACTGCGATCGGACTTTTTTCGTTACTCGAACTAAACTTCTAACGAGTTTTGAGGGCCCAGAGATGGAAGGAGTCTATTATCCACTTTGGCGATCTTGTGCTCCAAACACGGGGGCACTGTTGCACGATTTGGGGTCGGTTAGGAAAGTCGAACACTCTAAAAGCCCTAGCCGCTTCATATGTGACCCATCACTATTCCACTCTACTGATCTGCTCCGAGGCTGGGTGGGTATGAAGAAAAAGTCAATCGCCCCAGCCAGTGATCGCGAGCGCTAAGACCAGGCCCCTCGAGTGGCTCCCGAGTGGCTCCCGAGCGGATCTGCCCGGTTCCTGACAACGATCCATGGCTGTCGGTGTTTATTGGTCCACGGTGATCAGCTGGGGTTATCCATCGGTGAGTCTTCTTCACACAACTCCACTGCTCCCGTCGTTGCTGCATCAAGGGGCCGATTCCTACCTGAAGAGTGCTGGATCGATGCTCGTGAAACGACCAAGTAAATTTCCTCGGCAGAAGCAAGTCGCATGATTGGCTATTTCGTTGTTCCGAATTTTCTCTTTTGCCAAGCCGTTCCAGATGAATTGGCCCCACGGCGAGATCGATCTCGATCGGCTCGGGTATAATGTACTCCCAAGAACATGTCGCCATTCGTAAGGTTTCGATTGTAAGTACTTCTGGCGCAAATTCTGGCTGTTTACTTTAGGTGGTGGTGAATATAGTTGGAACGGTCTCTGCCAACCACGTTTTCGTGTATCGTTGGCACCCTTTACCATGGTTGGAGGCGATTGGCAAAACCTTCTGAAAATCCGGTGACAGGCTGATTCCATGGTACCCTATTACTCAAATATACACTGTATGCTCGGTGATCCTCCAGGTGAACCAGTTCGCGCCATGCAGGCCATATGCTTCTTCCTGCACCAGCCTCTCTATCGACCCAGAAAGAAGCCCCATGCGTTACAGAATTCTGGGTCCTCGTAGAAATTTTCAAGGATCGGCAGAACAGATGACTCGAACAGGTTCGACCGGGAATGCACAATCAAAGGATTGACAGTGAGCTTCTCCTGCCTTTCCCTAGCCCTGCTCCGCATCGCGGCTGGCTCTGTGGGGTTTTTTCGAGACAAGAGATGGATCGAAAATCATCGAGGATTTTCAGCAGGGTTACCGCTCCTGTCTGACGTATCTGAAGTACGCCACGAGGTGGTGGCTTCCGCTCCTGTGGATCGGATCAGCAGGGGTTGGGGATGAACTGGGTTACAGATTCAAAATGCTCTCAATCTACTGGATCAGAAACTCAGAATTGAGTGTTGCAAAGGAGAAATTCATCTTGCAAATACGCATGGTCACGTTAAAGGCCGAGCCGCTCAAAAATCCATGCTATACTTGGAACTAAGACAAGGGCCGGCTTGCCAGCCGTACTTTCGAAACCAGCAAGTGGAAACCCAGTGTAACTTTTTGACACCCTCTTTGGCACATCATGATCCCTTGACTTGGACCCTTTCTCCTCGTATGCAGGTGGTCTGTTTCCAATTTGCCCAGGATATCGAGCAACTCGGTTCCATCGCAGCGTGGTGCCGACCCATTATTCTGGTCCCCACTGCAAGACACTCAGAGCGGAATCTTTGTCATGTACCACCGTGTTGTCTCAGACCTTTCAAAATCAGTTGGGGTTGTCCGACCTTTGCCGAGGAAAGCGCGCCCGGAGCTTCTAATTGCAGGAGTGTCTGTTGATATCATATTATGTATGTCTTAACAAAGTCCTTTATTAAGGCACTCTGTGTGCAGCTCAACTTGATACATGATGTTGCAATCCCTCTGTATACCCAGCGCAAAGGAAGTTGCTATTTTGGGATCGCCCAAGCGGAATCTCAAAGCATTGGATGCTGTCGTACAGCACATCCTGCATGTTAGTGTCTGGCCCCATACATAACAAATCAGAGTCGCTCTCTTGAAAGAAAATTTGCCAGGACTAGTTCTAGGAAGGAAGGTGAATTTTCCTTCTGCCCGAATTCGAAAAACGTCTGGGCCTATACAGCCTTGCATCATTATGACCTGATTACCTGTACCCAACCAGATGCTTACCAAATTCTGAGACCAATACGACCAGATTGATATCGAATTGATGCCGTGGTTAGAGTGGAACCCACCCCAGTCTAAAACGCCACGGGTATACTCTTCTCTAGGTAAGTCATGATCCGGTTGTTCCAGCTCGGACTATACTTGTAACCGTCGTTGTATCAGGTACGGCGCAGGAATGAAAATTACAACAATACTTACACGACTCCACTTTACGAAACGAGGTAGACTACATCCGTCCTTATTTTTCCTTTGTCGCAATTTTTCGAGCTACAGATTTCAATCATTTGGATCTCATATCGTGCTTTGGCCTCTTCTTTTCGGGTTTTAGCCGCTGATAGTCTCGGTTCTCTGGGATTCGGATGTAAGGAAAGGGGCGGTGAAATTTTTGACCGTGGCGGGCATTAGCTTGCAGGGCTTGTAGAAGGCAGTTCTCTCGAACCAAATTCTAAGGTGCATAAAAGTAAAGGGAAAAATGCGGCTGAGCTAGAACACGAATGCACAATATTCGATACCTCGTAACGCAAAGTCATGACGATGACATGTCACCACAAAGCGAGCCTCATGCCGCCATCAAATCAACAAACTCGGTCCACTTTGACCCAAAGCTAGCATAGTAGTCCGTGCTAAGATGGGTGATGTAAAGCTCATCAACCACCTTACGGGCTTCTTTCACCAGACTGCGCAGCTTAGACCCCTCCTCGGTATCTGGGACTGAGTGGATTACCGCACAGAGCTGGGTACGGTTGCTTTCCGGGATAGCCGTGAATAGCTTAGCTCCCTGGCGTTCTTGGAAGCTGCTATATGTCCCTTCAAAGACCACGGTTGAGTCGGCAGATGCCAAGTAGCGAGAGTCTGGGACAGCTCCAGGGTTGTGCACCACCTGACAATGGTAGTTAGCATCATCAAACTCGCTTGAAATTCCCAGACAGAGCACTTCGGTTGTCAATAAGGTAGCAAGCTAGAGTAAGGACCAAACTTTTCAACCCGAGAAAAATAAAAAAAAATAAGAAATGCATAAGAAATGCAGGGACTGATGAGATCATGAGAGAGCCACGCGAAGAAATGACTGGGGAATGCAAGGGGGCCATCAAAAAAAGGCGGAACAGGAGTCATGAAAATATCAAACGTTAGGAGATATTTGCAACTTACAAAGCCATTGGAACCAAACCCGTTTAGTTCCTTGACCAAGTCCGTCAGATTTTGCAAATAAGCGAGCGATTGGGCACTGTATTGCTGGGGTGCTTCATCGATGAATATTCCCCGAACGGCCAAGTCCGGGTTCGACGATTCAGTCGGCCACGCGGCGTATGTTCCGATATCCTTGCGCACTAAGGATATGTTGCGCTGTGCATACGAAGTGTGGACATAACCCAAGAGGCGGACATTTGCGTAAGATGTGAGAACAGGTATTTCACGAGTATAATTGGCATCAGGCAATGAGTTCGGCCCTGGGCCGTTTCCCGGGTTGATTACGACGGTAAAATTGACATCGGGATGAGCAGAGATCCTGGTGGCGTTTTAGCAAAACGACATTTTCCTTCTGCAAAAATTTATTCGATTTGATTTAGAGCAAGGCAAGAAGGGACCGCCATGCGGGGGGGCAGGTTGGTATCAGCGCGGCACGACATCAACCATGCCCATGGATGTGGCGGGCTAACCGGCTGCTTGGGATCGAATATTACCTTGAGGATCGGGGCAGTGATCGTAAGAAGGGGCTGGGCTGGATGGGAAGGAGAACCTACTCTTTCTCCAACGGGGACCATGCTCCGGGGGTAGGGTAAACGTAGAGTGGCACGAAGACTTTGGATTTTGGACCCATACTGTTTTTCTTGTTGAGAGTGGTGACCACGACAGCCGGTATGATCGCAGCACAAAGGACAATGAAAACAATTACGGCCAAGAGAATTCGAGCTCGTTTGGACCTAAGGCACCCTCGCCTGCTCACGTGCTTCTCGTCCGTAGCCATGGTAGACATCGTCAAAATAATAATGGGCTGTGGGAACGGTTTACGGAGAATCAATTCGAAGGGGAAAGGTGGTTTGAAATAACGAGAAGTGGATTCTCCGAGATCATATTGCTATGAATCCTATGGTACCATATATTCCGACTAACATAAGGCCAAAAAGCCTACATCTGGTAACGTTTTATTGTACTAGCAGGGAAAAGTAAAACAGAAAATAAAAATAAAAGTCACTCAGGTCTAGCCCTTTAGTGTCGTTGCGCCGCCCCAAAATAGTCCAGGGCGGGTCTCGACCATATGAGGTGCAGTGGGATATGACAGTAGATGAGATGTAGCGAGGAATACAGTTGTAGTATGATGCGGTCACTAGCCCGAGCTGAGGGTCCTGGACGTGCCTTCACGGTGGAGGCGTTTAGGGCATTTGGCCTTTGGAGGATGATATCCCAAGGCCCGGCCGCATGGCTGGCCCACTATCCACGGGGATCCTGCCTGCCTGTTCTTTGGTCTATCGCGAATTCTTCCACAGTTCGTCTCCTCTGGATTCTAAGCGCAGACTTCTTGGACCCTGGCTTATGCGAGACTCTTTCAGCTTCACTTCTTCCATTTTTGCCGGTGGTAAGGCGTCTCTGATTCCCCATTCGTTAACCAGGGTATGACACAATAGTTGGAGATAAACGAGCACATTCTGAGGCAACAGGGCAACGCAGGGTCTTTTCCCCGGTATATAAATCTTGCTTTGTGCACTGCTGAGGATCCACGGCAGACCTCAGTCATTGTTTCAAAGGTTTATAAAAAGCCTAGACCTTGGCTTTTCTGCCTTTCTTTGCTCGGGTGGCAAGACGTTGACTTAGTGTTGTGCTTTTGATCCCCTCGTCCGGACGTTCACTGATCGCATCCAACTTCACAATGGATAGTCGTCGGCGATCAGATGCAAGCACTCCCGTGGAGAGTGATTCCCCATTCTCGGTGGACACTCCTGCCACAGAATCTTCTGTTCTGTTCGACAATCTTGATGAGCTGCTACGAAGACTCCCCCAGGAAAACCAGTATATCCTCGTCACTGGTGGCCTGGGATTCATCGGAAGTCACACCACATTGGAGCTTCTCAAGGCTGGCTATAATGTGATTGTTATCGACAATCTCAGCAACTCTTTCGAAGTCGTGTTTGATCGCATCAATCTTTTGGCTCGCAAGTTCCACGACAAGCATGGATCACCGATGCCATCACTGCGGTTGCATGCGCACGATTATCGTGACACATCATCCCTTCGGGATCTTCTCCAAGAGTATCGACTCTCATCGAGGTGGGGAACTCCGAAGTCAAAAATTGCCGGTGTCATTCACTTTGCAGCATACAAGGCTGTAGAGGAGAGTATCAGGCACCCGCTTAAGTACTATGCAAACAATGTGAGCGGTTTGATCGACTTCGCATCAACACTTGGTGAATTTGGCATCAAGACATTCATCTTCTCCTCTTCAGCCACTGTATATGGTACCCTCGCAACTTCGGGTCTGCCTTTGAAAGAGGAACTCTGCGTACACAGAGAGGAGGTCTATACAGACCACAAAGGAGAAGCGCAAACGGTCCAGCCAGGGTGCACAGGAATCACCAACCCATATGGACGCACTAAATGGATCTGTGAGACTATCCTTGCCGATCTTGCTGCATCAGATCCCGAGTGGACTATTGTCGCCCTCCGCTATTTCAACCCTGTGGGTTGTGATTCGTCTGGACTCTTGGGAGAAGACCCTCGACAAGCGCCCACCAATCTGCTCCCTGTAGTCGTCAAGGTGATGACGGGTCAATATGCGGAACTTCAAATGTTCGGAACCGACTGGGACACAGCAGATGGCACGGCCATTCGGGATTTCATCCATGTCACCGACCTGGCTCGGGGACACATTGCTGCCCTCAGCACTGCAAACGAAGGGAAGCTGGCCGAGAACTTCCGCACATTCAACCTCGGTACAGGATCCGGCAACTCTGTTCTGGATGTAGTCACCACCATGGAGACAGTCATCTCCAAGCCAATTCCTCGGAAGGCCGCAGGTCGCCGCGAAGGTGACGTCGGTTCTTGTGTTGCGGTCGTTGACCGTTCTCAGAAAGAGCTGCAGTGGAAGACTCAGAAGTCACTGAAGGATGCTTGTGAGGATATATGCAACTTCCTGGATGTTAGTGGATTGTCTTCATGACTGCAGTAAGCTTTTTTTGTTTGATTATTTTCTTCCCTCTTTTACTTTTGTTCCTTTTGTCCCTGCGCCGGTTCTTAATATTCCACTCGCAGAACTGGCGGTGACTTGGCAGTGTTGTTTCGGCTACATAATGTTTGTGTCCTGATATTAGCATGCTGACTAGAGATGCATTGTATGAGCAATCTTTGAGTTTGTACTTATCATCTTTCCACTTGGCGGTCTTGCTTGTATGTTGCCGAAAATGAGCGTATCTGCATATTCCCCAACTATTCCATCCAAATTTCATGGGCAAACTTTATTATCCAAGAGTCCATTGTAAGAAAAATTGCGTAAATGTTTGGCTTTCCCATATATTGGATTCAGCCCTGGAGAAGGACCAGCAACACGATGCTGAAGTTGCAAGATCGGACAATTGCACTTAAATGCCTAAGGCATGAATACATCACGTGATGCAAGCAAACATAAACCGATGTTGGCTTGGAGGAGATCCGAGTCGAGATAGACAGTATTGGTAGAGAGTCACTCGCTGATCCTGAAAAATTCTGATCTTCGTTAAAGTCTATTCAAACAAGGTTGGGTGATCTCTCGTGACAGAAACAATCTAACTATGCGCGACTGGACTGAAGGTCACGTGAACATTCCGGCTTGGCATCAAATCCGCGCCGCAGTTTTCTGCCATTTCGCGACAGCATAATCAACATCTTCAACTCCGCGCAACCGGCCCTACAGAAAGTCAAGGTGTGCATCGGAGTGTCCAGTGAGGTATTAAAACATAACCCCTGGCTTTACACCCGGTCAAATCCCCACAATGATCTGCAGAAGTTGCCGGACCACCATGCTCTCTCGGCTACCACAGACGCATGCCGTGTCATGGACCGTATCAACAGCTGCTCGCCAATTGCCTGCTGTGCGCAATCAATGTCGATTCTACAGTGACAAGGCTCCAAATCCTCCTGTTGCAGCCACTCCTCCTTCCTCTGCTCCCCGCCAGACCACGGTCGGCGACAACACCGCTCCCTCCGCCATCTCCTCCGCTACCCCCGGTGTCTCCCAACCTTTGAGTACCCCAGAGGGCGTTCACACCGATGCGAAAGCCAACACTCCTACCAAGTCTGTTATTGAGCGCCCACCGAGTAGCTGCCCGGCCGGCACAAAGATGAACGGCCTGAACTATTTCAAGAACAAGCCGGACATTGTTGCCAAGGAGGATTCGGAGTACCCAGACTGGCTCTGGGACCTTCTTGGGGACGCAAGCAAGCAGTCGAAGACCGATAAGGGTGGTGTTGACCCGAGTAGTATGTATCCCGCGCCAATAGAAGAGAGAGTGCTTTCATCTAACCTGCCTACCCTATCACAGCTCTGAACAAGAAGCAACGAAAGCGTTACGAGAAGAAACTTGCTGCTCGCACTGGTCCCCTTGCTCCGAAGATCCCCGCCCACCACCACTCTTACGATATCACACCCGCATCCTACAACCGTGATGCACCCTCGGAGGATGCTTTCTCTGACGCCACTGCCGGCCTCGACAAGCGCCAGGAGGTTACCCAGAGCGCCCGAGACGCGCGACGGAAGGCTATCAAGGAATCAAACTTCCTGCGTGGCTTGTAAACTACAATGACCTGGCGTTGACTTTCTAGATGTGCGGCATTGCCTCCCTCGCCATTCTAAATGGCCGAGCGCTTTTGCACAAGCGGCCATCTATGAGACTGTGGATATCGGAGCGAGCAGCCCGTGAGGCTTCCGACATGTATTATTACATTTTTCATTTCTCGAATGTGCTATATATATTCAAATGATATTTATCTATTTTATGGATGTACACACACGTATAGACTCATCTCTAAGCGACAGTCTGAGGGACTGTCCACTCCTTCTCCTCGCCCTGACCGTTCAGCCAGGGCTCACAAGCCTCCCACAGGGCTTTGAATTCGCCATCACCAATCGCCATCAGCCGCTCAAAGGATTCCTGGTCAATGCGCTCGAAGAAGGCAAAGTTGCAGGCCAAGAACAGGTCTGCATAACCCGGAGTCTCGCCCTCAAAGAACGGCCCCTTCTTGCCTTCCTGGCCTTTCAGCATATTGACGAGCACCGCTGCCTCAGTCTCCAACTGCTTCCACAACTCATCGATGGTCTCTTGATCGGTCGGTCTGACCTCGGAGAGTGGTTTTCCAAAGAACTTTGACCGGGTCTCAATGAAATACTCCTTGCCTCGCGGATCCATCAAGTCTGCCACTCTTGGAACGATCAGAGAGCGAATGGCCGGACCCATGCAGCTCGCGATCTTGCCCACGGCAATGTACAGTGCATAACTAGCGTCACCACTGGGAAAGAGCGGTCGCGAAGGGAAGGTCTTGTCCAGGTGCATGATAATTGGCTGCGAATCCATCATCGCACCGTGGGGGTTCGACCTCACTGACGACGTGTGGATGATCATGGGCAAGGTATACGGAATACCCGTCTCATTGGGACCGAGCGCGAGGCCCTTGGTCAACGGGGCAATATCGGGATACGAGATCCAACTTTGCGTGTATGGGATACCCTTGAAGTTTAAGACCGCGCGGACCTTGAGGGTATTAGGTGACCACGACTTCTGTGCTCCTGATAGATTCGTCCTCTCTTAGCATGTTTACCATAGTAGCTGAAAGGGGCGGGGCATAGTCAGCGTACCGGGAAGTGTGGAGATGATGTCAAAGAACTGAACGGGCTCTGAGTCTGCCATTTTTGGAGATGTTTTCTTAGCAGGATGTATGTCGATAGAGTATTTGATTGAGCTTGTATGATGCTAGAGGATTATCTTCAAAGCTCGCCTTCAGTCGAGGACCTCAGCGGTTCTTATAACAAGCTCAACCAAGTGGGGGCGATGTGTCCCGCTCGGATTTCTGATTTCTCAGCAAGTCTTTGTCACCGAAGATAGTTAGCCAAATGTGCGCAAGTTGAACATTCGAATGCATTGTTTCGTCCCCTAGCCCCGAGGTGAAACCTTTTCCCGTTGTCCGAACCCTGTCAAACTCTTCGCCTGGACAGGGCTCCTCGACGCCATGACGCGTTCGAACCAATAGTTCGCCCCGATTTAATACGGAAGCTGGAGTGCAAGAGATAATTAGTGCTATAGGCGTGGTAGAAGGGGGCCTAGCAGTGAAAAGAGTCAAGAAGTTGCAAACGTTTAGGTGGGCCTCCAGCTATAAACGGAATGAGGAGCGAAAACTGTCCAGCCTAGCCAAAGCTACGATCTCACCGATGGAGCCGGGGTCGATCATGGCAGGACACCGCACGTGTCTCACTCCCTTAATTTCGCACCTGACACTTTTGTGTGTTTATTCTCAAATCTTCCTCTTGACTCGCGCCGCCTCTTTGCTCATACAAGTCGACGACGGTAACGAGGTCGCATTGCGTACGTCGAGCCGTGAAGCGGGGCTGCATTATCCAATCGGCGCAACTCGAGTCTACAACATCCTTGCGACGGGGCATAGCAACTGGTGAGGACGCCTTACCCCCGATTTTAAGTCGATCATTCCGATAGGCGGCGATTACGAGGTTACGAGATGGAGAATATTGACAGCCTCGTCGAGCGAGCGCGGGACCTCACGGTGCAGTTAATGGACGAGCATTATGTGGACAAACTCCACGAGACGGTAGATTCCCACCTTCAAAAGATCTATCAGGCTATCTGTGCATCGGAAGCGTCAAAGAATGATTTCCTCAAAACCGTTCAGAACGAGTCGGGCCCTGATAGCCCGCCAATTGCGGAGACACTGGCCTCGATAGACGCCTTCCGAGACTATATGCAAGATGCCACTTCTTCCGCTCAAGCACCTGTCAAGGAGTTGGATGAATCTGCTCCCATCTCGAATTATTTTGTGTCTTCGAGCCATAACACGTACTTGACGGGTAATCAGCTATATAGTGATGCCGCTGCCAGTGCGTACACATCTGTAAGTGGTTAATTCCACATGCAAACCTATCATCAACTTGGAGAATTCCTAGTTTCAAAGTGGCAAAATCGCTTGACAAGAAAAGCTCATCCCTGGTGATATAGGTCCTTCTTCGCGGATGCCGCTCTGTTGAGATTGACGTCTGGGACGGAGAACTGAAGGAGCCAGACTCGAGCGACAGTGAAACAAGCAGCGATAGCAGCAGTGCCTCAGATGATGAAAAGAGCGGATCGTCGGATACCAAGACCAAAGAAAAGACCAAGTCTAGGAGCGAAACCATACAGCAGAAATCCAAGGGCCTAACGCACGCAGTTTCGACAAGATTGAGCGATGCCCTGCGCCGCAAAACAACAAAGAAGCCCGATTCGACTTCCACGGTCTCCAAGAAAGATGTGAAAGCAACCAGCGATCAAATCTTTGGGGAACCTAGAGTTCTCCATGGACATACGCTGACCAAGGGGACGTCATTCCGCAAGATATGCTATGCCATCCGTGACAGCGCCTTTGTCAAGAGTGATTTGCCCGTGATTGTCAGCTTCGAAGTGCACTGTTGTTTGGAGCAACAGCAAATCATGGTTGACATTATGCGAGATGCTTGGAAAGGGCTTTTGGTGGAAGTTTCGCCCAACTTAGCGGCTGACAAGCTGCCCAAGTTAGTGGATCTGAAGCGGAAGATCCTGGTTAAAACCAAATCCATGCCTTTGACCACTGAACCCAAACTTGAAACACCACCCGAGGCGACAACTCCCGAGGAATCTGTCCCGCAAGCTGCGGGAGCTCAACAGCAGAAACCGGCCAAGCCGATCAAGGTTCTTGAAGCTCTAGCCAAGATGGCCATCTACACTAGAGCATTTACTTTCAGTCACTTCGACCAGCCAGGTAAGATATTTGAAGACATCTGAAGAAGGGTGTAGGGAAATCTAACGCTTCCGATAGAGGCCAAGGTCCCCGGCCATATCTTTTCTCTCTCCGAGAAGGCATGTCGCGATGCTCACGTCGATCATCGCGACCGGCTATTTGAACACAACCGCTCATCTTTCATGCGAATTTACCCTTTCGCCTTCCGCATAAACTCATCAAACCTTGATCCAGCTTTCTGCTGGCGACGAGGAGCTCAGGTCGTAGCTCTCAACTGGCAAAACCTGGACAAAGGAATGATGCTTAACCACGGCATGTTCACAGGCACAGCTGGCTGGGTATTGAAGCCAGACGGATATCGAAGCGCTGAACCTACTTCAGACCTCATCCATCGCCGCACGCTGACTCTGGAGCTGGAGGTCTTTGCGGCTCAGGATTTATCATTGCCGCCTGGCGAACATAAGGAGAAAGGGTTCAAACCCTATGTGAACTGTCAACTGCATGTCGAGGAGTCGGATGGTCCTGTCCCTGCTGGTCGTGATGATGCTAGCTCCGACTCTGAGAAAAGCAGCTTCCGCCGGTGTACTAAGAGCTCATCTGGCATCAATCCCGATTTCAAGGGGCAGAAGCTAGTCTTCCCAACCGTGACGGGCGTGGTGGAGGAGTTAAGTTTCGTTCGGTTCGTCTCTCTTTTCTTTTCTTTTCTTTTCTTTTTTTGGGCTCGTTGGCCTCCCACGCTCGCTGTTCTCCCTTATCTTCCAAACTTCTTTTCAATTATTCTTCCCTTCGCTTCGAGGTTCTCCCTTGATCCAATGTTTGCATCCGTATGCCATTGCCCTATCTCTACAATATGCAAGAGGCGGATGCGTATATCACGCAGACTTCTCTCTGCAATATTTTGCTTTTTCCTCAGCCCACCAGAAAACCCCACGCCAACCTTTTATCCCAACGGTCTGAGCTCGCAGAACCTGTCTCCTCGGCATGTCCTTTTCAAGCCACAGCTGCATCGTTACCGTGGAAATAGACGCACAGCACCGTTCCCTTTCTCCACACTCGTGAATCTCGAAGAATGTTGCCAAATTGCAGATGCCCATGCTAACTCACGTCACTTTGCATCTAGGTTCAAAATCAAGGACGACGAGATCGGTCGTGACTCCTTGGCTGCTTGGGCTTGCATCCGGCTCGATCGACTGCGTGAAGGATATCGATTTGTTCATCTCTACGATTGTGCCGGCGGAAAGAAGGGGGCAGTTCTGTTGGTCCGTGTTACGAAGCGGGCTTCGTGATGCGCGGTAATAGTATGATAGATCATCTTGTTAAATTTCCGAATGCATCGTGCTCGCGTCTGAGCTCGGGGTTTGATAGTGTACTTGCTTTGAGTTTTCAGGCATCCATGCTGCTTGTTGCACAACGTCGATGGAAACGCTAGTGAGTATCACGGGCCTTGTATCTTCAAACGATGTATGCGCCTTCACCATGATTGTACTTTCATCATATGATCTTTGGACTTCGATCTTGGGCATGTTTTTTGAATACCAAGGATAGGGCAAATTTCATGTAGTGGCAGCCCCGTGTGCCGGAAGAGAGGTTCTGGATTTTCCCTTAGCTACCAGAGAAGGGCGCCTTCTCGCAACCTCGGATGGAGACCAAGTATACTCAAGACATTGTCTCTTTATTATAACAATAGAATGCTACAGACGGCCGAGCCATTCTATACAATACTAAACCTGACAGAAAAAACCTAATTCAGTGCATGCTGAATATCATGTGCGGACTATGTGTTGCAAAAAATGCCGCTTGTTTTCCCAGGAGATCTTCTATCATGAAGATGGGACAAGTATGTGGCGAAGTATGCTAAAGTCGATGAAATTGTCTTGAATCAGTGAGCTCTTACAAAGACCCCGCCTGATGGAAAGATGCTTCATTCATGCATTAAACCTCTTTGAGACCGTATCAAATTGGGATACATTCCTTTGTGGGCCATACCGCTGGTACGCCCGCGGACTGATCCAAGAACTACAAGTTGTTGAATACGTCACGTTGGGAAACGATTTCGAAGTGTCAGCAGTAAGAACAAACTGCTCATAGAGTATCGACCGAGTCTTATGCCTCGCTACTACCATTCGCCAGGGGCGCTCTTGTTTTCGGGGGAGCCGAAAAGTGCTTCAATCAGATGACATCAACGGAAACGTTCAGAACTCCCTATTAAGTGGTCATTCGAGGAGAGAGCTCCGATTCTTGAAGAATCATGTCGCACATGTTCAGTGCATCATGTAATGCGAAAATGGTCCGTTGATATGATATCACGGCATTTACATTCCAGCGATATCAATGTGCAGGGCAATTTTCTCGCATCATACATACTGCGTGAGATCGACCTTTGCTAATCGCACTATCCGCAACAGATTGTAGTGTAGCATGGGAAGAATATGAGTGGTGGGTATGCGTGTCATGCGTCCTAAGCATGAGTCCAGGAGCTGTTTTGCCGACAGGACATGGTGCTGTGGTGCGAAAAGGATATCGAGTGTCGCTATGAGACAGAATAAGACCGCTGGTCTACTTAGGACTCGGGTTTTGATTTTATCCTGGTAAAGCATTTTGCAGTGCAATTATGTATGAGGCTCATGTCTAATTAGATGTACATCCAGGCTTGGGGCTGAATACCCTGATGCTGAGGCTTGGGGTCATCTGACATCAGCTCAAGTTTTCTATTAATGTAAGTTTTCCTGTTCATCATTCCGTAGAAGTAAGGGGCTGCTTATCCGGATGGACCCGTAAGAGTACGTAGTGCCACAATCTTCCAACGTAGGTCATTAGGCTGGTGGCCACCTATGCAATTCGTCGGACAAACGGAGAAAGAAGTACATGATATCCCTGGATGCAACCTTGAGCATATGCGGTTATGTGCATTGAGTGTGCGGTAGAGGGCCCTGGCCGTCGTGCGTCCTACGTAGCTGTGTCTGTGTTTCTTTCGCTATGCGCCGGAGGTTTTGCCGGGCCAGCATCCTCGTGTGCACTTTAAAACACATTTTCCATAGAAGAGGGAAAGATATATGCAGACCTTTGGAATAATTTAGTCGCCGACCTGGCACCTATAGCGGATACGAAGCGCGAAAGAGGCAAGAACGTGGATAATCAAGCGCTTACTGCGACCTGGAGTGAGCGATGCAGCCTTGCAGCAGGCCCAATTCATGGTACAAAAGGCAAACAAGAAAGTTATCCTGCATCATGCGCGCCATCAAGCCTCAACTGCGGCACCATTTCCCACTGGAGCGTGGCCATGCAGCAGCTTTCAAAATCCGCTTGTTGCCCCAACTCCCTGGCCGCGGGTGACATGTGGGCCCCATTAGCCACTTTCCAAACCTTGGAATTTGGGTGTAAGAGCTGGGAAGATAAACTGTCGAGCTACTCGAGTCTACCGTGCGCTGCTGTGTTACGAACGACTATTGCGGAGAGCCCTGCCAAAATAGAGATTAAGCCAGTTGAGAGGGGCAATGAACATGCCAAGTAGAAATGCATCAGATTGATCGACATTGGCAGTGGAGCAGCAGAGTCAAGTGCATATCCCATAAAGGTGATCGGTAAATGCTCCGATGACTGAAGCGTGATAAGCATGGTGCGAGCGCGGAACGCAACGCGACAGGCCTGGAGCCTGAGACTGAAGGATACATCCACCAGCCTAAAGGATCGACGTCAGCCATCGGATGTAAGATGCTAGGCTGAGTCGATAAAGATGTTGAGCTCGCGGTCAAGGCGCCGGAACAAGCAATGCCTCAATATCCTGGTTGCTCATCTGTAGTCTGAAGATCATAATCAAGTTTCCTTTATCTGGGGAGGAGGGGTTCACGGTTCACGCAACAGAACAGCACTTGCTGTTGACAGTTGGAATTGGCATGCATCGCCAGCGACTATTGGCCGATGGCGGGGCAATTAGCCAGAGGTGGGCGAACCAGCACAGGCAGACTTGGTCGATAAACCAATAATCGGCCGTCATCGAGTCCTCCATCGAGTGTTTGTGAGCTATCGCAAGTGATTGGGCCCCTGTCAGACCCCCACGGGCAAATCATTGACAGGCGCGAAGGCGCTACTCCAGACTGGGGCCCACTGGGCGCACCGAAGTCGACCGAGCGTGACCCATTTTGGCGATCTGCCATGGGGTTGCAGGAACGATACGTCAACTTTCTCAAAGGGCCAAAGACCGGTTCAGATTCACCCAACCTATCACCGCGCAGGTTTAACTCGTTTTAGGATTCGGAATCCTGCGAAAAGACACGATTCTGCCATCCGATGTCGCAAGCACCAAGCTCTTCTGGCTTCGACGGCCGCGATGAGGAAGATCATGCCCCGCGGGAGAGGCATATCCATCACGTCGATACTTGCAGGACAAACAATCGAAGAGCGAACAACCTAAACCCGGACTACTCGGGAGGAGCCGATAGTACAGCTGATTGGCTACTAGCGAGGAGTGGCGTGAAACCAGGGCCGATAGCCCTGTGTGCATCGGCCCTGAATCCCTGCGCAAGGTCAAGCCATCGGCCACAAGAATGGGAGTCATCAAATGCCTTTGATTGCTTTGACTGGTCGATCGTTGAGAAACGAGAAAGCTTTCTAAATCGGAAGACTTGGTCTACCCATCAACGGGAACTTCCGAATCCACATCGCTCGATGTGCACCTACCAGAGCTGAGCTGAGTTTTATTTTCTTTGGGTTTTGCCCAATCCAATTACCCGATAAGATTTTTTTGGTTGCGATCGCGGGGGCATGGCCATGAACCGGCTGTTTGTCTTCCCCTTTCTGTTGCCGTGCCTTCGTGCCTTATAAGGGCTTGTGTGTCCGGCTTGTGAAGGTGGAAACGCTGAATGCACACCAGCACATCCTTGAAGTCAAACTCGAGTTGCCTTGACGCATTCCACTACAACAAAATTTCAATCCCGACGTCCTCTTTCCATCTCCCTTGGGATAGGTGCCGACAAAGAGAAACTCTATTGACTCTTCATCACTCCTCTCTCCAACAAGATGACTGAGTCCTCCTCGTGTGGTGCCTCGGGGTGCTCGAGCTCCTCCGTCAACAAGGTTTGTCTATTGCAACCAAATCATTTCGTTGCTATCTGTATATTACCTTTGGCACTTTATGATATCTAACATGTGCACTAGATGCCTGGAGTACGGTGTCCAAATTGCGCAGCAAAGGGCCAGGAAGTTTGGGTCATTCCCGGCAAAAGCTGCCATGTCTGCCACACTCCCTGCGCATGAAGTGACCCTGCTTCTTTCCTGTGCAATTTCGAACTCAAGAAGCTTTAACACGGCAAAGACCGCTTCTTTAAGCAATTTAGCGGTTTGGCATGGCGTTCATACGGCGTTTCAGGTCCCGTTTCTCAGACCTCTCATGCAGGCGAATGAAGCTTCTTACTGAAGAGGCATATGGCGGATTGACCATATACTTGATGGCCGCTGGGCATCAATCATGATTTATTCTGGGCTATCTGCAGTTGGTCGGCCAATAACTCTCTAATTACGCTACTTTCAACTGTAATGATGAACTTCGGCATGTATTCGAACGACTAATGACTTGACTCACGGCTGTTGCTTTTGATGTACTTTAAATGACATATCATTTAATAAGATACTTTTATCCCTCTTTTTAGCAAATATCTCTACAAATAGAATTTAACTCGATCTAACGCGGACTCTGCCCATCATTGCTTCTAGAACCACCTGTTCGTACTTTTTTGTGTACTTTTGTCAAAATGTATACCATGCCACGTGATGAGGGGTTGTCATGGCCCAGTGACATCACTCCTCCCCCCACGACTTATGCATTACCACGCCAGACCAAGATAACCAAGGGTGATCAAAACTGCCAGTACTACTACCACTGCCTCCTTGAGTTCTTCTTACACGATGACAGAAAATTACCCGATCGGCACCCGTGCCGAAAGTGAGCGTCTCGTGAGAGACTGGGGTTTCCAACACGTCTATACCTGGTCAGACGGGAGGTTTGTCTCACTGCCAGGTCCCTTCAACAAGCTTACTTACCATATTAGAAATGGATACTACTCGCCTCATAGTCACGGAGGTCTCACGACACATTTGATCCGTCGAGGCACCTTTACCGTTACATATCCTGAAGACAATGCAAAGTTGCATAATGGCGAAGTCAAGAAAGAGACATTCGGGCCTGGTGCGCGAATTGACGTTCCAGCCGGGAAGGTCCATGAAGTCTGGATTGGAGATGAAGGGTGTGAATATGTGATTGGTGAATAGATACGAAACTCCCAAGGAGTCTACAGCATTTACATTGAAACGAGGACTTAAGCTCTGTATTGTCATCTACTGGCTCGAAGGGGTATTTTTCATTGTTGCGGTATTTTGATGGGTATTCATCTCAAGCTATCATGTTGTTTTGGTCCTTTCTGAACCATAAATACCGAACTGTATCATGACTCTCTAATGTAAGAAGCGGAAGTCGACTCTATAGAAAAAGGGTCAGTAACCGTGCTCTCAGTTTATGTTGAAAGGGAGAGAGTTCATCAACTTACCTCTTGTTTCCGAGATGCTTGTTCTCGACGACATAACGCTCTCTCTCTTCGCTGGTCATGTTGTCCCAGATAGCAGCGTTTTTCCTAATTGATGATAGTAAGAATCTGGAACAATGAAAGAGCACACGAAGAGGCAAGAACATACTTATTTCGCCACACATAGTAGTACTTCGCGACGATAAACATCACCAAGCTCCACGCAGCAATGGCCATGAGCACCTTGTTGCCGGTGCGGTAGTATGGCTTGTCATTCTCCCGGTAGATCTATAACTTGCGATTAGACGATCTCCCAAGTTTCTCCTATTCAACAAGGGAAAGACTCACATTGTTACCAATGATGTTGCTCACTTGCACCATCATATTGTACAGTGCAGTAGCAACGGTCCGTGTCCGAACGGTACCAGCATTACGAGACGTAATCGCCACGAGGATTGCATGTACATATGGCATTCCAAGCAACAGAGTCAATACAGCCCATCGTGCCCAAGCACTGGCACCCTTGGGGAGAACTTCCAGAGCAATGAGTAAGGCAATGGCCCAGATTTCGGCGCCGACGCCAAGAAGTAGCCGTTGATTGAAACGTTCCGAAATCCACGTCCACAGCAGCAAGTTGAGAATGAAGATTACCGACGCAGGAATGGTGAGCAGGTTAGTATGGAAGGTACTGAAACCCAGCGACTTAAGCTGCAGACTGATGTAGCTGGTGGCCGGAACATTTGCGATCATCCAGGTCAAGCCGAGGATATAAATGACCCACATGTCGTAGTCCTTGAGGGCATGCCACAGCATGCGAGGCGTGACGGCCTGGCGGTTGTGCATACCTCCTTTGCTGGGGTCGTCTCGAAGGATACGGTTCACCATGATCTTCTCCTCACGCTCATTGAACCAACCCTCCTTGCCACGGAACCTTCCAGCGGTTTGGGTTGGGGAGGGAGGCATCCAGAACGCTGCGATAATGCCGATGACACCGGTGATCAGACCCTCGAAGGCGAATAGATATCGCCAACCTCCAGTGCCGTCCGATTGCCTGATGTGAAGGAATCCGAAAGCTAAGAAGGCGCTTACAATTGAGGTTCCTTGGTAGGCGACCCAGAAGTAGCTGAGACGGATGGGGAGCTCCTTGGATTTGTACCAGAAGGAGAGGAAGAGGATTGTATCAGGAATGCTGTGATAGTTTAAATAATTAGCACGCGGTCTCGGCATGCGATAACTCTGGGTAAATAAAACATACAATCCGCCTTCCAGCAGACCTAGCAAGGCTCGAGTAACGAAATAGGTGGAGCGGTTCTTTACAAATGCCTGACAAGCGGCAACCAAACTCCATGCGACCATCTGAACGGGAATCCAACGGTCTGGTCCAAACCACTTGGACAGTAGCTGCGAAGGCAGCTCCGCGAATAGGAACGTAAGCAAGAAGATAGTCTGACCGGTGTTGTAATCATTTGTATTCATGCCAAGGTCACCCAGCATGTTATCAGATGTGGCTTGAACAACATTGCCGCGGTCCAGTTGTAGGGCAAAAAAGGTCACACAGGCGAATGTGCAGATACGCCAGTCAATCTGGAAAAATTAATGTCAAATCTTTCATATTTCAAAAGAAATCACCTATAAAGGCTAATGAACGGCATACCTTCTTCACAACAGCCTTTTCTTCCTCTTCTGTCCATTCAAAGTCTGGATCCCAGCGATGAATACCTTCATACTCCGGGATAGGTTTGTAGTACCTCGGGTCCTCTGTTGTGTCAAAAGCGCAGTCAATAGACTTGATGTATCCTTGACGACCGCTAAATGATGAGGAAGATTTTGAATCGCTTGTCGAGGAGACCTGAGGCACAACCTTCGTGTCATAGTCCTCGGGGCTAGCCCCGAGGTTCTTTGCCTCCTCGATTGTCATCCTGAAGAAGACTTTGGATCAGGGATAAGATCTGCGTTCACTAGTAATCCCAATCATTGCGGACGTGGAGCTTTAAAGGTGAACATTTTGACGAAGCAGCCATCCCAGCCCATTAGCACGCCATTCTGTGGCAGACGTAAATCGTATCTATCTCTGCGATGACCCACTGAGGGGGACATGCCATGAGTCGGTTAGATTTGCTGCAGGATGTCGTAGTTCTCAGCGAGAATAGGAAGGTGTCCAATAACTGGGCTCGGTCGGAAGATTCAGCAACCTGCGGTACCTGTGGCGCCGCAGGTCCACAGCACAGGGCAAGGCGAATAGTTGACCTAGTGGACATTGATGGTCGAATTGCCTCGGACTGATGCCGTGACGCGAGGCCTACGGGGCGAATAGCGCTGGGTCCGAGTTCCTCCAAACAAGCAGCATGATCGGAGAACAGCAGAGCCATTGAAAAAGTCCAGACTCGAGGAGCTAACAACAATTATTCTAGCGATCGTCGATCTTGGGAGAATCACGCAAGACGTGATAAAGTGACGTTAGGTGGGACGAGTCGTGGGAGGGCTAAAGAACCCACAACGGCAATGTTTTAGCTCGACCCCACTGAGCATCCACCGTGTGAGCTACGTGCAACTAAAGGACGATTGACTCCGACTTCGCTTGAATAATGGATATGTTGGTGTATAATAGATTGAGGTTGAGAGCGCAACCCTCTTTGATAGTGAGGAACAGGGGTCGCCCTGGTATTTGGGACTGCCATGCTGATGTTCATTGGCCGGTACAGCACTATAGGAACTCCTGGGCAACTACATTAGGCCTCATTTTGGTCTATCAAGCAATAATGCGTTGAGCTGAAATTGTCAATCTACGAATTAGGTTCATGTTTAATCAGAAGTAATATGTCTTGCCTAAAACATCCCCATCGAGTGGTTGAATGCGAATGCGATTGTTGTTCAAGTTGCGCGAAGACAGTTGTGTATCACGCCATCTGAGGGGTAGCGAACGTTGAAACCAACAAACCAACAACATCGCCAGATCGGACTCTGTACCAGATTAGTTACAGTAGCATCCCCCTTTCCCACGTGCCTGTAACATAGTTATGCTTTTGCATTTCCTTGTTCCGCATCCTCGAACGTTTCCTTGGTGGTTGTACATAATCAGATAAGCGACATCCACCTATCATCACGCCATTCACAACTCTCATAACGACGCTATACACCACACAGACCACACGTCAACAGCCAATGTCAGCAAGTTCTTGCCGACAACCCGACAGCCGACAACCCGGGAGTGATACTCCTGGTAGACACTGATTGCGACAGGGCCCTTTTGATGATCAAGCATCTATCGGGCGAAAAAATCAACCCCGCAGTCATGGCGCAATTCGTAAATCCGGAGTCACGGTGCCGAGACTATGTATATAGGCACGATGCGGTCGCTTATTGTAGGACTCCTAGAGAAGCAACACTAGAATACTACACTTAGAAGCACAGGTGCTCTAGTTCAGGTCTGTCGAACTATAGAAAAACGAAAACAAGCCCTACTTCGCTCTTTATACAATGGCCCCGTCAATCACAGAGACAGTGGCCCTGCGTGCTCCAACATTCTCCGTGCCTTTCAAGACTGACGCCGGGCACAACAAGGAGAATTTGATTGGATACAAGTACGAGAAGGAGGCCGAGCTGAAGGGTACAGACAAGCTGCCGCCAGCGTCATTCCCAAACTACTTGCCTGTCTGGGACAATGAGACTGAGAGGTAGTTCAGACCATATCGCCCCAGTCAATGATGGACAATAACTGACTGCATTTTGATAGATATCCTCCTTTGGAACCATTCGAGCACTATGATCATGGCAAGGACGCCGATGCCACGTTCCCAGATCTGCTCCCCAAGGGCCAGGCCGAGGTAGACGAAATCACCCCGTTCATCGGCTCCGAGATTCATGGAGTGCAATTGAGCAAGCTCTCCAAGGCTGGCAAGGACCAGCTGGCCTTGTACGTCGCCCAGCGACGGGTCGTTGGTATGTGATTTCACACGATCCTCAAAAATCACATCAACCCAACCGATTGACCACTAACCACATCCACGCCATATCCAGCCTTCCGTGACCAAGACTTCGCTTCTCTCCCCATCCAAGAGGCCGTCGAATACGCCGGCTACTTCGGCCGCCACCACGTACACCAAACTTCCGGTGCACCCAAGGGCTTCCCAGAAATTCACCTCGTCTTCCGCGGTGCCGATGACCGCACCGGCGCCAAATTCCTCGAGCAGCGCACAAATACCATCACCTGGCACTCCGACGTAACCTTCGAGAAGCAGCCCCCCGGCACGACATTCCTGTACGTACTGGATGGGCCTTCTACCGGCGGCGATACGCTCTTTGCCGACATGGCCCAGGCGTACAAGCGGCTCTCACCTGAGTTCCAGAAGAGACTGCACGGCCTGAAGGCGGTGCATTCGGGGGTTGAACAGGTCAATGCCAGTCTGAATGGGGGTGGTATTGCCCGTCGCGATCCTATCACCTCTGAGCATCCTATTGTCAGGACGCACCCAGTTACGGGGGAGAAGGCACTTTATGTGAATCCGCAGTGTGAGTGATACTGATCCATAGTAATGTGGGTGAGGATGATGGGCTGACAAACGTCGCAGTTACCCGCTATATTGTTGGGTATAAGAGGGAGGAGTCCGATTACCTCCTGAAGTTCTTGTACGACCATATTGCTCTGTCGCAAGACCTGCAGGCTCGTATCCGTTGGAAGGCTGGCACAGTTGTTGTGTGGGATGTGAGTGCATTAACCCATTCCTTTGGTTTTATGATTGCAATAGCTGACTTGTCTAGAACCGTGTGGCTTGCCACTCGGCTGTCTTTGATTGGGAGGATGGTCAGAGACGTCACATCGCCCGTCTCACCCCGCAGGCAGAGCCGCCATTTGAGACGCCATTTGAGGGCTAGGCAGGAGTTTGCAAGAAATCTGGAATGCGTTGATGTCATGACACTGTTTTTATAATCATGATGCTTGAGTCCATAATACACAGACTTGTTTCCCGGGATACAGAAGAGCAAGTCCATGTAGAGAAAGCCCTTGTGAATGGTGTCGAAAAATGTCGTAATCTCATTCGGAGTTAATAATTGCAGGGACGTGTTCAATCGATGACTTTCTGTTTTTAAGTTGCTTGAAGTCGACTGAATCGACTGAGCAGCCCAACTTGCCATTCATTGAACTTCCTTGCCGTCGGAGGTAGCATCTGATTGCTTTCCTGAAGGGTCTCGGACAAGGCTTCATACACCATTGAAGGTAATTCCAGCTCTTCCACAGACAAAGGCGATGGATTCCCAACCTCAGGAGCAAGCAACTTGTCAACTTCTCGCGTCTCCTGGAAAAATACCTTCATGGCTTGCTGGGGGTTGGCGCTATGGCCTGCACTAGAGTTGGAGTATCGGAGATCTGGGTTGAAGACCCAAAGCTAAAGACTTTGGGTTAGTCTCTGGCCGCTTCATTCAAACGGCAGATAATTTGCGTACCAATAATCCGCTATTCTGTCCGCAGTGTACAACGAAGCGCCGGGCACTTTCTCTCTCGATAAGCTCGAGCAGTTGTGCAGCAACGATAATTTGCGTATGATGGCTTTGCCATTGTTCCCCGTCTGATTCGGGCCTCGGGATGTTGGTGTTCAAAGAGACGTTCGCTTTAAGGAGTCGCCAACCTCTCGCCGATGGATCTTCCATGCCGATAATTGCGTTGCACTCTGTGCATTCCAAAGTTCTTCCATAGGAACCTAGCAGAGTCGTCGTTTTCGCCTCTTCTTCATTACCCTGCAAGACGTGTATCGTTAGCATTTATGACTTTGGAGTGCAAGCAAAAAGTAGACATTTAAGTGAATGATCTAAGTCTGGTCGCATTGAAGTTTCAGGTTCGAATTTCAATCCACTTAAGTATGAACATGAAGACGAGTGCAAACGCGGTATGTACCTCTTCATAATCATGAGAGCTCCACTGCTCAGGAGAAACATGAAGAGTCAATCTGTCATAGAAAACGAAGAGGGTGCATCAAGAGCCCATCGGCAAAAGCAGCAGTTAGAACAAGACATGACAGGCAGCGACCGAGAGCGAAATCCATCTCGCGAGAGAGAATAACTGCTTTCAATCACCCTGTGACATGAACTGAACCACTTACCACCCTCGTCGACAAGCGATCATGCACAGTCATTGATCTAGGGCAATAGTATCGGAGGCCACAACATGGTCACGAAATGGTCTCCTTCTGGTTGCCCACGTTGGGGAGAAGGGGAAAGAGGCTTTTACAGTCGAAATAGAGAGGGTATTCACAGTGAAAAATCAAAAGGGGCATCCTGGCTGAATCGCAATCAAACATACGGAAAGCTTACCTTTTTCAGATTCATGCAATCTGCTTCTGCGAGCAAAAATGTGGCCACGTCGATAAGAACAGTCCCTGGAATTGCTTCTACGTGGCTAGAAGCTCCATACCCCTTAATCTGAGCATTCTGATCCTCCAACTTAAGAGCTGCGGCGGCTTCGGTCTTGGGATTGTCTTCATGGGGGTCAGGCTTATGGCAATGCCAAAAGTCCATCATCTCTGCCCAATTTCCACTCGGAAGGTCCTTCCAGAGCCATCCAGGTAGAACAGACTGGCCACTCATTTCAGCAGACTCTTTCAAGAAAGGAGTGTCGCATTCACGACATCGAATGCGTGTCAAAGATGACATATCTACTGCTGTCCAAGGGACGTGGTCATCAATAAGCTCATCCCGGGGTGCTAATACCGGGTCACTGGGGTCAATATGCATCCTGACTGAATAATCATAGCTGGAGCTGGCAGGCTTTTGGGGGGCTAGAGGCAGCTGTGTTGATATTCAAGGTCCGCCTCGTCGTGTCGGTGACGCGTGCCGGCAGCTTGATGGTCTCTGCCACATGATCAAATGGCTCAGGGAGTGAGACTGTGACAGATTTGCATGATTCTGACAACTGGATCTCCGGTCGGGTCCCTTCTAAGGTTGGGGTTTGAGGGAGCGAGACATAGAGGGTGATTTGGCGGATGTTGGGTAGAAGCTCGGCGTGCAGGTAGAGGGACACGTCTGCATCTTGCGGGGCCGATGCCGTGGACATGTCCACACCGATTCAGCTTCTAAGTAAGGAGGATGCTCTCAATCCTCGACACTCGAAGGTGCTAGCCTTTTACAAGCGAGGGTGCGTGTTGACAATTGGTTGAGATAATCGCAAACGGTGCAAACAAAACGGTTGGTCACGTGGACAGCACGTAGCCTGTTTGTTGCCAAGACCCGCCCCTTGTCGATCATGGACTCGTGGCTCATGGAGAGCATCTCCTTGAGAATCTGTGAAATTTCCTTGGTCATGCATCTCTGGGGAAAGTCTTCTCAGGAGGTCTTGACGGTTTAGGCTTTCCGATTCCTCGAAGGCCGTAAAGGAACAATAATCATCCTGTTACGTCGGCTTTGGCTCTCTCACGGGTCCGAGGCTCTTTCCAGCTTCGAACTCCGGGAAGCTTTAGCTCCATACAGCACCCTTCTGACATATCACCGGAAACAGACGGTTCCAAGTTTTATGGGTGCTTCGCAGATCCCGACCCAGCTTGCGCAGGGTGTCGGAGCCAGGTTGATACATTAGCGTAAGTTTCGGATATCGGCCATATCCCGGACCCGGGAGAGTTCTTTCTATGCCAAATGCGGCAAATTTGGTAGACGACACGGATGTCCATCCTATGCAATAGTCACTCTTTGCGTAACCAACCACCCGGAGTCACAATATGATCTCGCACACTCCGATCTGATAAATACACAAGTGCCGCCCAAGCCTTCTACCGTATTCATAACCAGTTCTCTGCTTCCAGTATACACAAGTCCCGATTGTAAATATTCCTTTGACTTCGATCTCCCCTATACTACGATATGGGATCACTGCAACAGAGTTCTTCATCCTTGGAGGTACCGAGATCATCTGTTTTTCTGGTCGCGCCCAAAACTAACTTGGTATGATTAGGAGGCAAGCCAGCAAGGCAACCCTGACCACCTGGGTATACGCAACAGTTTCGAGGGGCTGGTTGAGGAAATCCAGAAGTTGGGCGAAAATCAACCCGAATCCAGAGCACAGGTGACAAGAGCGATACAACAATGTCGCTCATTAGAGGCGGATATTTCCAGACTTCTGTGTGAAAAGCAGCATCTAGAGGAAGTGAACCGACAGATGCAAATAGTGCTATCTCGGGAGCGGGGGGATTACGATCGACTGCTACAGCGGGTTGTTGAGCAAGAGGTCACGCTATCATGTTTTCAAACAACGTTTCCAACATTGCAAGAAGGGATGCGTGATCTCCTCGGCGCTTGGGAAAGCATTGGGACATCAGGCATTTATAATAACGTATAATGTGGTTTTATTTGGCGAGTTTTCTGCTTTGCTAATGCGATCCTCTGGGTTCCAAGCAACACTTTCATGCCCATAAGAAGTGGTAGCGTATTCAACTATCGTAATTAGATAGACTGATGGCGCACCGAGTACTCCATCCATGGCCTTTAGGATACTGACAAAGGACATCTTCATTTTCATGAACGATGATCCATGAGGTGTCATGGAAACATGCGAAGCCCGCGTCAACCCAAGTCCGTCCTCAATGTAGAATAGACTCGTACAATGAAAAATTTACAAGGTAGTGCTGAGCGAAATGAAGTTAGTATGTGACGGACGAATAGACCAGCAGAACAACATCACTACAAAGCAATGCAAGGTCTCGAATTTAATCTTTGATTTCCAGGCACTCTAGGTTACTCTGTTTGATCCATGGAAGTAATTGAGAGTGCGGAATGTGACATTCCAGCCCATATAATTCAATCCTAAGAAAAAGCCCATGCTAGGATTGAATGTAAAAACATGGCATATGAAGATTCTGATCTTTACATTCATCAAAGCCAGATTCTTTTAGCTGATTGTCGTGCGCAGTGACAAGCGGGCAAGTTTCAGCAAGGTATAGTCTATTTCCAGTCTATCGCACCGCCATGTATATTTCAGCGAGAAACAGCTTGCAAAATACTTGTAACAGCGTGCTAGGAGCCTTCAAGGTCCATTCCTTATTCCAATTTGCGGTAGAAGTTTCCCAAGTGTTCCCTGATCCCTTGTAGTTCTTTCACCCGGATCTCTTCATTCTCCTTGATCAGACGAAGGTGTTCGCTTTTGAGCTCTTTGAATTCATCCTCGAGCTTATGATGCCAGGGGTATAAGACGCAGACTTGGAAACAGAGGGCTGAGCTAGCGATGACGAAGTTTGTCAGTGAGAACCCGCGTGTGATGATCATGATGGCCGCTATGGTATACAATTAGCTATGTGATGCCGTATCCAGCGAGCCATTCGTACGATACCTTTGACTCAATGTCTCCCAGTAATTTTTCTTCGAGATATTTGGATCAAAAGTCCGTGTTTTCGTTTTTCTGCAATATTGGTCGCAACTCCAAGGTGATTGAAATCGAAGTGTATCAAAGACAGTTGACTCGCGTTGAGCTTGGATAGGAGTTCAAGGAATGTTTGCCCAACGACTCCGTAGTAGCACAATAGAATATTAACTACAGGAAATATCACATCGACTTCTTATGGCTATTATTCAACCGGCGTCTGGTTCAAGTGAATTGGTATGCTCGTTCCTGACCTCGGCGTCGGCAAGCTTACGGGTGGCACGCCCCACAACCAGTTCTCGGATCCGAAGATGAGACCTGATTCGCCATTGCAGAGCGTACGGAAATCTCTCGGCCTTCAGCATCTACCACAGTCATTCTTATCCAGTAAATGACTTCAAGGCGGGTCAAGAAACGGCCAACTAGACCCCACGTAGAAGGTTTGCCCAATCTGAGCCGCCGTTCGGATTGGAACATGGAATCAACTCTTCCAATGAGACTTGTCAGCATCGCATCCGGAAGCACATCCGCAATCAACCCCACAATGATCGTTCTTGAAGTCTGGGTGAGCCCCCTTTCATCGATTACCATTAAATACGCTCCCTCACGATGAAACTCGCGCCCCGGCATTTGCCGCACTGAACTTGCGCTCAAGGCCGAAACAACATCCTCCCCGGCCGTATATACTCAGACGCACCCCAAGATTTCCGTTATAAATGTTTTACCGTCAAGTTTACAACACAGGCCGGCGCTTCGTTTGTGCTGCAAGCCCCAGAATCAAGATGCCGATCCGAATGTTTAATGACGCTGCTCCCAACCCCTTCCTTCTCAACCGCTAGAAACCCCACGAAGCTCGAATTATGCGACGCGGACGATTGGTGCGAATTTCATACCACGCCCGCACCAGGCAGAGAAACAGATCCTCTGGATAGGTTGTTCGGATAGCGACTGCAAAGAAACAACGACTCTGGACTTTCTGCCCGACGAGATGCTCGAGCATCGCAATCTCGGCAACATGATTATTGACGGCGATCTATCCTGCGAGACCTCGGTAAAACACGCAGTCGTTGATCTTCGGGTCAAACATATCGTCGTGTGTGGTCATTACGGGTGTGGTATTGTGAGAGCGACATCGAGGAATGGTTTGCCAGGCCCATGGTTGAGGTGCGTCTAGTTTTGGGCCATACAATGCCGGATTTGGACTGAATATTTGACAGAGAGCTTGATTCCCTCCATGCGAAACACCGGCACGACATCGACCGACTACCCGTTACCCAACGCGATAGATCCTTCGTCGAACTGAATATATTGGAACAATTGCGTTCTTTACGCAACATCTCGGAAGTGGCCGATGCGATGAGGAGGGGACAATTGGATTTACACGGAATCGTTTATGACCCAACAGTTGGGAGGGCACTTTCATTGAACGAGGCTGTAGAGGAACCATGATCAGGGTGTTGCTCTATTTCGCTTTTATGTCTGTCTCATTTCCATGTACCGTTCAAACCATTCAATATACCACATTTTTTTGTTTTCCTGAAACTTGAAGTGTTCTTGCGTGCCGCAAACTCCTGCATGTGCTTTTCATTTGGCATTCGCACTAGGCCGATAGTGCCTTATTCACCACATCAAGCTCCACCAGACGTCTCCATGTGAGCAGAGTCCGCGGACAGGCGGTAAATTTTCATCACGTCCTCTAGCATCTTCTCGAAATCAATGTGCAGGTCTCTGAGTAGGCCGTCACGTAGATCAAATACCCAGCCATGAACGATTGGGTACTTGTTATCGCGATAGCTTTGTTGAACAGCGGCAGTCTTGATGACATTCCTGCACGACTCAATCACATTGAGTTCGACCAGGCGGTTATATCTCTGGTTCTCATCTTCGATTTTGTCAAGTTCTTTCTCGTGGAGGCGGTAGACGTCTCGGATGTTTCGCAGCCAAGGATTGAGCAGGCCCAGGTCGGTCGGTGTTAGCGCGGCTTTGACGCCACCGCAATTGTAGTGACCGCAGACAATGATATGCTTTACGCCCAGGTGTCGCACCCCATAATTGACTACCGACATAACATTGAGATCGATGTTGGGCACGAGGTTGGCAATGTTGCGGTGAACGAAGACCTCGCCAGCCTCAAGGCCCATAATCTCGTTGGCGGGGACGCGACTGTCGCTGCAGCCGATATATCTGGAGGGTGTGAGCAATTGGACAAGCAGAGGTGATGTATAACTTGAAACTGGTCCTAATGTAAGCCGGACGCTGAGCTGACCTACAGGTAGTCTGGTGTTTGCCCCGCTGCAAGCTTATCGAAGAAGGCCGGGTCCTCGTCCTTTTTTGATGACACCCATTTCTTATTGTTCTCGAATATAGATTCGATTGACGGTTGGATATGCTGACTCATGTCGATCTCTGGTGAGTTAGTTAGTTAGAGTGAATTGGAAGAATCAGAGACGTGTGGGTGATCGAAGAGAGGAAAGTTCCCACTAGCAACTCGTGGGGCACTGTGACGTACTCGAATGGCCTGACGGTCACAGATTGGTTACAGCGGGATGCGTATCGGCGAGCTTCTCAAAGAGTCGTTGGGAAAGTTTGAATTGGATTACGATGCTGTAACGTATTTTACAGCGGATCAAGAAGCACCAAAGCACTTCACCTCCCGAAATCGGGCGGGTCACTGACAGAATGACCGAAACTGCCTAGAAAAACCATCATTACGTGCACATGCACTAGAACATACTTAATTCGCAAAGAAATTAATAGAAGTAAGACTAAACGATAAATATACTTTTGCGGACTTACTGATCGAATAGGTACTCCCTTGAACTAAGCATGGAGGTTGGGATGCTCAATTCCATCCGCGAAACTATCTCGAGTCCTTCGTCCCAGACATATTCTGAAAGAAGAGTGGGGACAATGCCGGAAGATATTCATTTATGGTGTCCTAGAACAGGCAAAGCTAAGCAGTGCATTTCCAGAGTTGTCCTTGTGTTTTTGGATTCATCGATTTCGGTTCTCACTAGAAGCACCAAGACTCAGTGACCAGGGCACGTAAGAACTTCAGGGTATGCTCATAGTCGTCGTGCATAATGTCCTCTACGAAACCAATATATCACTCGTCATTTGAAGCATTCCAAACATACTATCTAGTTTTTGATTTTGTGATTGGCTGCGGAGAATAGGATCAAGGCGGGGTACTTCAAGACGAGCACGATTGCCAGAGGTTAGAATGTCTTCATCGGCCAAGGTATGACCTTGAAGCCTCTCCATGCAAGCCAATAGTTCTCATGAGATCTCTTGACTGCCAAAAATCCACCTTTAGCGCAGCTATTACTGATCCCGCCTTCATCCATCCTCGGATTGTCAAATCAAGGGAAGTTCCGTATATCGGAGATCGGCTCTCCAAGGGTCTAATACGAGCCAAGAAGAGAACGAGACAACCGATCATCGGCTGAAGTTAACAGTTCTAAAGCTAACGAGTCCAGCCTCAAGAGTTACTTTCCAAAGATCGAATCTCCAAAAGCTAAGCCACGTTCACAAAATGGCCCAATCATCCGTCTTCCTATTTCCCATACGCGAAGTCTTCAACGATCGCGTCAAACTCGTGCCATTCAACCCAGATCATCACAGCCGTACATTCTTCCACCTCTCATCCTCCCATCCAGAACTATACACACACATGCCCATGGGTCCATGGACCTCAGAAGAACAATTCAAAGCCGAATTCCACTCACACTCCCAAACATCGCTTCTATCATTTTCAAATCCCACCTCATTTGCATTCGCTATCATCGACAAGACTCGCCCTCCATCTGCAGATGACCCAGAAGGAGAGCTTGCCGGCACCATCAGCCTAGTGCGAACATCAGATATCCATCTCTGCACGGAAATCGGCTTCATTATCATTTTGCCACCTTACCAGCGTACGCAGGTCGCAAGGAATGCGGTCGGGCTAGCGTTGCAGTACAGTCTAGAGGGCTCTGAAAAAGGAGGTCTTGGCTTGCGCAGAGTTCATTGGCGAACTAGTACGATGAATATTGCGAGCGCTAGACTTGCGGAGAAGATGGGGTTTGAAAGGGTTGGTGTTGTGCCTTGGCATATGCGATTTGTGAAGGGGAGGCTTAGAGCGAAAACAGGAAATGGCAAGAATTTGCCTCCTAGGAGTGATCCTGATGATTTGTGGAGGGATACTATTGATTATAGTATTTCGTGGGAACGGTGGGAGAGCTCTGCGAGGGAAGAGACACAGAAACAGATAGAATTATGAGAGACTTTCCCCTGTCGTTGTTGAGGATATTTCACCTAGAGGAGTATCCATAGCAAAATTTTCGATTTTGATGCAATTTCTGGATATAGGGTAGTTGAATTTTGTTTAAAATCAAACGCGGATAAACTTGACAATGCCAACCAGTGTCATACAAACCCACCCCACCCACTGAACTCGTCGGCAAACTTCACAGCTGCCTTCAAGTAAAAGCTGTCATGATCAGTCCAGGTGGATGCACATTCCTGCAGTGCCCGAAGAGCCTTGACATAATGGGAATCAGTCGACTGTTCCCCCTTAACAGCTTGCTTCGCAGTCCAGGCCCAATCCCTTCCCTTGAGATCATAGCCACGAATCTTGTCCATAGTGATCTTCGGGCGCATCTGCGCGATGAAAATCGCCAACGTGATAAGCCACCATTGGCGAACGAGGGGAATTTGGAATTTGGCGGGGATGTAGGGCAAGAGAACACGCACAGCGTGGCTGGTTGTCAGTACGTGGACGAAGAAGAAGTCGTATGTTTCAGTTGAGTCAGTGTGCGTGGCGACAAACAGTGCGGCGGCAAGCTCCTGGCTCTCACGGAACTGCTCGATTGGATTTTCGATGTTCCATGCGTTCCAGTGGTTAAGAAGGATATCTTCATGGCTTTCAAAGAGCTTTTCAAGATTGTGGTCGCCTGGAGTGGCGAAAAGCCCATCGAGCTTCTTGTCAGATCGGACTTTCTCGATGATCTCGAATGGTGACGTCGAATGGTAGGATGCCTCGACTTGTGATAGCACGGGGTTGTCAAGATACTTGTGCATCGTGTTGTAGCAGACCGAAACCAGTCCAAGGGCTTCCATTGCAACTTCGCGGCTGGACATTTCGTACGCGTAGGCAAGATGGATCAACGGATGGCCGACTACTTATTGTGAGTATTCCGGTGCATCTTCCCAGAATGAAAAGGTGAACATACGGTCAGTCATAAGAGAATTGAAAAGGGGCTCTTCACCAGAAAAAAGATACTCCGCTACAACCTGTTTCCAGTCGTAGCCAAGCCGGACCATTTCATCTTCGAAGAAGTCCACAAAAGCCTTTTGATATCTGTTCATTCAGTCTTAGCAAATGCGTGACGCACAAAGCTTGAAGACATACTCTCGTCGCCCCAAGTGGTCTTTCCAATCCTCATTGGTGACTTCCGCTGGTGAGTCATCCCATGCGACCAGCAATTTGGACTCTGATTCATAGACCCGAGTCAGATCATCAGCATCCGCGCCCAGTAAATACGCGGCACTGAGAAACTACAAGATGATTGGGTCAGCATGATCAGTCAAGGCGAGAACGTAAGAAAAGAAACAAGAGGAATCTCACATGAGGAGCATGATTATGGAATTTTCGGTTATTAAACAAAATGGCATGATTTGCATGATTGAGCTTGAGCAGGTGCTTCAATGCCCTCGCATTCTTCTCCTGGGCGTTCTCGAGGTCATGGCTCTTGACTGGGGGCACATTGATAGCTTGCTTTTCGCCCCAGGAGAAGAGCTTGAGAGATTTGAAGGACGGAACTTGGAACATCGTTGCGTTGGTTTAATGGTGTTGCTGTGCTCAGTTATTTGGTAATGGGGAAGTTTGAATTGGCCCGACGCGTGGAACCCCGCGTTGTGTTACGCACTGATTGAGCCTTGGTAAGAAGAGGATAACACAGCTCCCATAAGCAAAGGCACAAATCAATACGAGTTCGTTTATGATTGTGTCAAAATCAGCCTATCGTGAGTTCAGCGGAGTTGGAGATCTGCTGTGGATTGTTGGGAAATTAAGGCCTTAGGCAAGAACTATCAATGACGTAATACTAAATTCGGCTCTATCACGTGTCATGCTCGAAGTATATACGGCTTGGCATATATCCAGAAGGGCTATTCTGTCTCAGTGCTACTAAACAACCAGCTAGTGAATATCTCATTCGCTAATATTATTGCTACAAGAAGTATTGAAGGTATTTACGCCTTCTGTTCGACCATAGGAATTGGTGGGTGATCCGCATGTTCACCGGCCTGTCCAGCAAGCACTTCCACCTCAATTCGGGGTCCAACGTAATTCTTGCGACCGTCGACAATCCAAGTGATCGTGGAAATGACAAAGACAATGCCAAAGGCGGCAACACAGTAGTCTGTTTCTCGGTTAGCAGAGAAATGTGAAAATTGTGAATTAAAATGGACCACATACTCATGTTGCTGCCCGTAGCAGGAAGGTCGGGAGGGAAGAGGAACAGAATGGTCGTCAAGGTGACGTAAACCAGCGAGATCTAACACTTGTTAGAATATGTTCGCCAAAAGGTAACCATGATATGCTTACGATGTTCAGGATCCAGCCAAGCCAGTTGGGGAGGGCAAAGGCCCGCTCGGGAAGGGTGTTGCGTCCACGGAGACAGTTGATGGCAATGGGAATACCATAGGCCAAGTCGAGCATGACGACTGATGAAGACACAATGGCATTGAATGCACTGTTCCATGTTAGCTGCATTCTGCATCGCGATGGAGGAGAAAGTCCAATTCTTACCTGCTGGAGCCCAGGAAAATGAGGCCGAAAACGATGACGAGAGCCAGGTTAAGAATCAGCGAGTTCAAAGGCACCTTCAGCTTCGGGTGGACCTTTGAGAAGAAACCTGAGAATGGAAGGCCGCCGTCTCGTGCGAAAGCGTAGCACATGCGACTACTAGTCGTCATGATGGCAGTTGTGGCAAACAGCATGCAGACGAGGGGGAAGCTAAGGCAATGGTTAGGATAGGGATCGGAGTACTTCGAAACCAGGTCACTTACATCAACAGGCAAATGGCGCCAGCGTTGTTTTGGGTGGCGTGCTTCAGGATAGCCAGGAGAGGGCCGGCGGAGGACTCGATGATGTCGTTGATGTTACCAGCGACGAACAGCAGAACGATGAGGAAGATGGTTCCAGTGACGGTACCGATACCGACGCAGGCAATCATAATCTTGGGGCCCTCCACAGAGGGGTTGGGGATTTCCTCAATCATGTGGGCGACGCCATCCTAGACCCATGTCAGGTTTGCTGTCAATTGGCGTATCGTGGGAGGAGAAACTTACGAATCCAGTCACACCAAGACCACCTTGCAGTAGCTGTATGATTTGTTAGCATTGAAAATACGTTTGGTTTCAGCAGAAGTTACTCACTCCGAGCAGCCAGGCGATACCATCAGGCCATCCAGTCTCGTTAAGGAACTCGCGGAAAACGAAGCTAATTTGGTCAGCTTTCATTTCCACCTGTACTCATCGTGTGTCAAGACTTACTCTCCAGAGTTAAAGTTCGGCGAGGCGCATGCGAGAACAGTAATACAGATGACGGCAAATCCAGTAAGCGACCAGATGACTGCCGGGTGATTAGTTGAGAGCTAGATATGCAACACTAGAGCACCCAGGAACTCACAGGCAGCCTTGTTGAAGTGAGGGAGGATTCTGTTCATAAGAGCGTTGATCGCGAATCCAACGAGGTTGTAGGCAACGTAAATCAAGAACTGGTGCCAGCGCTGGGCTTCGTAATCCTAGTAGTAGACGGTAATTAGCGATTGTTCAACCGAGTGAGTATGCAAGGTACCTACCGGGTTCATGAGAGAGATGACTCCCAAAACCAGCTGGCTACCGAGCAAACCGCCAGTCGCCACCAGGGCAACCCAGCCGGAGCAGTTGATCCAGCCCGTGATCCAAGACAAAATTGGCATCCATCGCTCCCAAGAAACTGCATGCTGGTTAGTTTCCACTGATTTCATGGTCGGCTCCAAGTTGAATACTTACTAACTGTGATGACAAACTCGGTGTAAGTCAAATGCATCAGCTTATCATATAAAAAAGGGCTGTCTTGACTTACCAGCAACCCAATGGTATTGACCTCCAGCACTATTCTCGGGGTTAGTCATGCCAAGGAAATTGTGAACCAACACAGAGTGAATTCAGACACTCACGTAGGATAAGCTGAAAGGAACTCGGCAAGAGAGGCTGCCATGCACAGATTGCAGATACCAGCAGTGACCAGGCCTGAATACGAGAAGGTCAATATGGTTGCTGGGTTTCACTCGGCGTCAGGAGTAACTTACCCCAAACAACACTCACGCTACCTCCAGAAGGCAAACTGAGGGATAGACTAGCTGACAGTGCGGTCCAAGACTGTCAAACGAGATTGTCAGTTGTCAATTCTTCACGCTCAGAGATGAACGTCGACCCGATACATACATTGAGAATCGCAAAAGCAAGACCCAGCATCGACCTAGAAAAGACATCCAGATGGTCAGCCCTGCGATGCGGCTCCGGCACATCCGAACCCGATATACATACAGCAAAGAGAATTGCCGCTTCAGCTCAGCCTTGTGGCCCATCTGAGCCAACTGGGTATCATCGTCAAGGTATTTTTCGTCCATGGTGGGCAGGGGTGTGCTCTGCAGACGTGATTGCAGTGCAGGTTGAGAAGGAAAAAAGGACGATCTGAGATCTTCAAAAATAAAAGAGAGAGGACAGACGTGGAAACAAATACGCCGATTCCGGTATGACAACCGGGCCACATTCGAATCTCACCTTCCGCCCGAGTCTGCCCTCCATTCTCCACGCCCCCGAACAACGCGGGGAGTCCAGCAATCAAGCGGCTGTTAGGTAATGGATTTGGGGTAATGGGCCACCGCATATCCAGACCCTGTTCAAGCCAAATCCTGAAATGGGTCCAACAAGGCCCTGGCGGAGGCGATAACATGCCGGGCCCATCATTGGCTCTCAGCACCGAATCGGCCCTTTCGGCCACTCATCGCGCAGGCTTGATGCATCGGGTCGATCAGGGCGTTGGCCCAGCGCGGTCCGACAAAACACGGAAACATGGCAGGTATCGTAAGCCCCAGAGCTTAACCTGATTGACCAAGCCTTATTGGGCCTTGATTTTCCATTACCCACCGGGGAGGGGGGGGGAACTCACACATTATGTTCGGGGTACATCGTCCGGTTTTTCCACGCAACAACATGGGGAAAAGATGCTGACAATTGGCTGAAGAATTATGACTACTGCGATGCTACTCTGGGGAAGAGGACTTGCGACGGGCAGCAATGACGATGGATCTCGAAATTATCTCGCCACATGAACACTGACTTGCGCGAATAGGATGTTGCCCCTTGTACCTCCGTATCTTCCTCCAGATACGACTGGGTCACTGGTGGAGCCGTGGGCCACGCCCAGAAAGAAGGATTGCTATCTCTTCTCAAATAATAATCTGACCAAATCTGCCTATGTAACAGATAAGGGGGGCATTCTCAAATTCTCACCGGGTTACGCAGGACGCACGACAAAGGGGCTTTCCAGACCGGAAGCCGAAATTTGCCCAGGGACAGGCCCTCTCGGGCAACAGGATCTGTGATACTCGGGAGCTAGACCTCTTTCCGTCCAGCGCCGTGTGACTAGATTCTCGGCAACCATGGACGAACTTGTGCCAGACCTGCAGGACCGCAATGATCGGCTTCTTCTGGAGGTTTGCCTCTGGATCTGGCCTCCGGGATCTCCGAATAAGCCACAAGCCACACAAGCCGCCAGCGCTGGTCGGAATAATTAAAGTTGATCGCGGGTGCCACGTTTGCCACGACCTTCCTGCCGCGGTAAGGCGAAGCTTACAAAGCTGATTATTTTGCGAAGCTTATATCCAGCAAGCCTTTGAAAGGCTTGAATATCCGGCTCGATCCAATTGGTCTACGACCTCCCTATCCGCCGCCGCTGATAGATCCAAATCGCTTTGTCAAAATTTTCAAGCATACATTTCTTTGGGCCACATGCTCGTATCAAGCAATCTTCTGGAATTCTTCATGGCCTGATGTCGAATGGCGCATTCTGTGGGGTAAAGTAGCGAGCTGGAAGGATCTTTGTAGCCAAACTTGTACCACCAAATATAGTAGTACTAGGGGAAGAGAAGACGACTATTTAACTAACATTAAGGAGGGTTCCATTCATCCGACGTGACTCCATTCCCCAGCCCGAGATCCCCAACCAAATGGGGCTCTAATATTTGTTGATGCACAATAGTCACGCCAACTAAGCCACAAACCCACAACGAGAATACCATTTGCGACCGTGGACTGTGATACGATCACTATGTAAAAGCAACCCTCTTCATCCCGAATATCCAATAGTCTCGGCATTTACCCGAACCTTCCGAGCTCCAACCAAGCTCATCATGATTCCCCGGCGAATACTCAGGCTCTAACCCACACCCCGGAAAAAACCGACCCACCCCCATGGAGTAACAACTAGAGCTCGTTGGGGTCGGCGATACCTAGCCAATTGAGGTCCATTTTCATCGCCGAGGCTCCATCTCAAGAGACCTGCGGTGCGATAATCGTGTGGCTTCTGCCTGATGCGGATGTCTGGAGCAGATATCTGGAGTAATGCGAGGGGGAACTGACTTGGCATTACTTGATTCTCGATGTTTTTATTTGTGTTCGAATGTAAATTGTTTCTCATATTTGGGTTCTCTTTGTAACCGCTAATTTTGGTACAAAGGGGATATCTGCGAGGGCTAGTTTCACTAATAATACAGACAAGAAAGGAAATACTAAGCCTCGATCACTTGAGTGAGACCAATTACTTAGAAAAGAGCGATAATAGCTGCGAAGATAGCTGCGGTGATGCCAACAGAGCTGCTGGCGAGCACATTTGCAGCATTGCTACCAGTTTTGGTAGCACCTGCAGCACCGGAACTCGTGGTGGTCCCGTTTCCACTGGTCGTAACCGTGCTGTTTGACGCAGTAGACTGTGTGGCGGGGGCATGCGAGTTGAATGCGATCAGGTTGGACGTGAAGAGGCTGAGGGCAGCGACTTGGTTCTCGATGCTACCGTTATCATCGTATGTCTTCTCGTACCAGTGGGCTCCACAAAGATTCGAGGAGCCTCCGGTGCAGGTCTTCGCGGCAGCGGTCGCGGAGCCTTGCAGCAGTGGTAGGATCTTCGATGAGGTGTAAGGGGCAACTACAGTAATCTGGGCAAGACCCTGAACAAAGGTGCCTTTCAGGATTTCCATGTTCCTATCGCAAGTTTTGGCGGGCTCGCAGGTGATCTCGACCATGATGGTGCCATCGTCACTGTTATAGCCATGGGTAGGGAAGAACTTGGAGGTTGCGTTCAGAAGACCATCGAGGCCAGACTTCCACTTAGACTTTCCTTCTGTCTACGTGATTGTTAGCAGGGGATCTTGCAATCTCAATCTCTGTCTTCCATATCCTCCAGAGAGTGTCACAGCTTCCCAACTCACCAGGTTGTACATGTATGCAGCGCCGGTCGTGTAGACACCATAATTGTAGGACCATTGGTAGTCGTTGTGGTCGGTACAGTTCGTCTGACAAGTGGTCGAGTCCGCAATTGTCCAGGTAGCATTTTTCAGCAAAGGGGTGGTGGCACTCCAGTCCCAAATCTTCTCTGCCCAGTCGGAGTAGGTTTGATTGTTGGTGAAGTGTGCTAGACGAGCAGCGAGTTCAAACAGACCGCCATTGGTGATAGCGTTCTTGGTGGCATAACCAGCCTCATAAGCCCAAATCTGCCAGCGCATGCCACCGTCACAGCTATCCTCGTCCCAGCGACGAATCTGTTCGTTGAACACGTTCTCCGCCATGTTGATCCAAGACGGCATCGAGGATTGCTGAGGATAGTCCAGCTCGGCTGCGGTCATGGCAGCGAGGGCCCAGACCATTTGGTCATCGTTTCCGAGATACTGGCTATAATTCGAGGGGAAGAAGTCGTTGTCTCCGCGTTGCCAGTACAGCCCCTCGCTCACGGCATCGTTATTGGAAGCGTCGCCGGTGTAGTACCAGTATCTGATCAAAGCATCAAAAATGACACCACCCTCGAACCAGCCGCCATCCAATTTGCCGGGGATGTTCTTCGAGTCTCGGTCATCGTAGAGCGACATGGTGTTTTTCGCGGCCACGCCAGCGGCATTTTTGACGGATGCTTTCTAACGTCAGTTTTGATCTCAGACGAAGAAATTAGGAGATAGTCCGCGGAAGACTCACTCTCATCGTTGACATTGAGATCAATGGCAGTCGCGCTCCCAGTTACCAGCGCGACCGCAAGGGTCACCTTCCAGTTAACCCCACGCATGTTCGAGGCTTCGTTTGCAGGATCTGGGGGAGGCAATGCTTACGAGCCTCCGAGACCGATAGGGGCGAGAGCCATGTTTTTATGTGCCGGGTCATAGCGCGTCTCGTGCTAAATTTAACGACTCGGAGGGTTTTCCGGTCTGGAGGTGGGGGAAATTGCAATGTCCTAAGCCAGACAATGTCTCGTTTGGTACGGTCGGAAACCCTGAAATCGCGACTGAGGCTCTGCTAGTCGGTTTTTCCCCTGTCAACAAGGCGAAGATGCAGTTGTGATTGGCTGTAACATGGGCCTCCAGTTCGGCTATTCCCATTGAGTACTAGCAATTATGTCCACAACCGCTGCTTATTGGATGAACGATGACCCCTGTTTGGCCGGGACGCTACTGCGATAGCCCTCAGTCATCCTTGGGGTTCGTGGAACTGACCAAGTACATGACGGTGTCTAGGGTTTCATGAACAGGCGCCCTGAAGACTCCCTGCATTTATGGCATAACCATGAATGTTTCTGGATGTCTTTCAGTGCCAGACTTCGAATTCATGAATATCGGGAGCACTATATATCTCGTCAGTTCAAACCGGGGGTTGCAGGGCAGTATTGGGACGGTGAGCCGGTCATGCATTGAAGGCACACAGCTCTTGGTCTTCCATCGTCTCATGGTAGTACTCATTCGCTGTGGCTTGAAGCAATCCAAACAACTCGATGTGTGTGGAGACTGGAGAGTCAAAAGAAGAAAATAGATTGAATTGCAGGAGATGACGGAATATGACAATGTTGGACGCCTGAGTATGACAATGTTGGACGCCTGAGGCAGCTCATGGCCAATTCATCTACAGGCGAAGCGACATCATACTATCGACATCCACGATAGTTTGGCAGCTAGTAGAGCTACTGTAGTTCCATAGGTATCACCACAGCCGAGAATCAGGCTCAAAATAACACTGTGGAACCTTCTATTGTTTGCCGTCGACAGAGGGCACAACCCCATCTCGGGGGCCAACCAGCCTCGTGGGGGCCATATTGGACGAAAAATACACCCACAGCACCAATGCAGATATCAGTGAAGACAGCACTGGTGATAAATTTTGAGCAATCAAAGAGCGGTACTTTTTCAGCGCCGACAGGGTAGAAGAAGTAGCCCTCGTCGCTTTTTCGATTTGAGAGGAGTCGGATCATTCAGATCTGGCTGCAATGGTCTCCACCTCACTGCACATCACTCTTTCTGGCCCGTCAGACTAGGGATACGATACTTCTCTATTGGGGGCAGATCATCCATAGCAAATTCGCCTTTAAATGGGAATATTTCCCTTTTCATCAGCAATAAGCTCTTGATTTTCCGTAAGCTTGGGCAGCCTGCCATACCCCATTTTACAGGTCGCCAAACATGGGATCAACAACTTTTCAACTGCGATCCATACGATGGATTATTCCGCTCATGGCTCTTGTCACATTTGTCTTGACATGCCTAAGGTTTTATTATCAGCAAGCCCATGGGATCAAGGAAAGCTTGGATAGCCAAATGGTTTCTGATGAACAGAGGATACAAGAAGAACAGGAGATCTTGAAGGAGCATCAGTTCCAAGAAAGCATTCAAGACATCATGAATGCTACATTAGGGGTACATAATACAAAAACAGATCCCTTGTTCGCCGTGCCGTTTTCGCTAATATGGACATAGTTCAACAAAATCTTGGCTATCAACATGCCGAGTCGGACAGACAAGCGCGACCAGTTAGTCCTGGGCTCTTCAATTACTGGGTTCGTGATTGACTTTATGGATGGAGTGGATCCGAACGACTTGAATTCCAAAACTTATACATATGTTCGTTACTGAATCCTGTGGCCGAGGTTGATCTTGTTGTTAACACCATTCTAGAACTGGAACTATGAGCATTCCGCCACTGAGTTTGCCTGTCTTCGGGCGCATCTCAATGCAGCCCAACGGTATGCGCAGAATCCATAACATTACTCTCTTTCATACCGGCTAATACTCTGCTAGAATTGTCCAACAGGGCCTGCGCACTGCTCTCGTACTAGAAGACGATGTTGATTGGGACATATCCATCAAACCTCAACTCCAAACATTTGCACACGCTGTCCGATCCCTTCAAGGCACAACTCAGACTCTCGCAGAGTCCCCGTATGGAGACGAATGGGATCTCCTCTGGCTAGGACATTGCGGTGCCTCATGCAAGACCGAACTACCCTTCTACATGATTCCAAACGACCCAACTATACCTCAACCGAGCCACCTCCCAAATTATTATCATGGTCCGCCGGAGAATGTGAGACCAGATACTACACGACTGGTATGCACTCAACAAGACGCCGCCTGCACACCTGCCTACGCCATGAGCTACCGTGGTGCCCAGCATATCCTCGCCGCGCTATCAGTCAACCCATCCGGTTTCGCTGATCAACTGCAGACAGGCGACCAGATCGACATAGAGCTTGGTCGCATGTGCAAGAGTGGTTTGCTCAAATGTTTTGCGCCGTATCCATCTTTGTTTGGAACGTACCGATCTGCAGGGTTACCTTCGAAGGGGACCGATCAAAGTGGGCACGACAGTGAAGCGCAAATGGAGCCTGCTACTAGCTGGGGTCTGGTGTATAGTACTATGCTTAATATTAAGCATGTTCTACAAGGCGAGCATGTCGTTCATGCAACATGGCCTGATGTTGAGAAACCCGTCATTAACCCAGAGGATATACATTTCGAAAGTGGGTATATGTACACATACCGACCGGAAGACTATCCAGGCCCGGCTCTTATACCTGAAGAGGAACCCTTCGATGAAACTGTCTTCTCAGACGAAACGATATCCACGGATGAAGCATACTCGATCAGTCGACCACACGCAACGAGAGGGCCGCATCTAACGAACGAGCCAGTATCTCAAGATCCATCATAAATGACTTGTTACACACAAAGATTAAACAGATTCAAGTATAATATCATTCTATTCAGATTCCATCAACCTATAAAGATCGGGTCTACCTTCAATAAAACTGAAGGAGTTTTCTGGGTGTCACTGAACATAATTTAGCCCCCACATCTACTAGGTTTGAAGTCTCTCTGTTGCCACATAAGTTCTTGGGATCGCCATGTTTCCACAATCCGATGTTCAACTCTTCCAACGAGAAGCACATTCATTCACGGTTTTTCATGAACAGTTTGCTTTCCCTGCTCTTGTCATCAACTCTGGTTTTGTTTGGTCATGTTTCCCGGCTGTTTAACTAGTCAGTGGGTTACTACTTTATGCCGGTTCAGCCGGCATGACCCGCGCTAAGAATAGACTAGCCCAGATGATAAAAGTTTTAGCGAGACAGTCTCCGATATTTGGAGTTTCATCCTTCACTTCCAGCTCCGAAACTCAGGCTCAATGTTCTACGCTTCATATAGCAATCTGAGCAGTCTTTATATCTGTCATAGAGATGTCAAAGGCTGTTCTTCGACTCTATGAGTCAGTAATTTTAGCGAACTCCGAACATACGGAGATAATACCCACTTTAGGATTCTTAGGGGTCAAGGGGTCCTCAGGATCAATTCGTCGCGCTCTATCCCATTCTGGGGGAGTTTTTCCGGCCAAGTTACAGGCTTATATCCAATAAAACCATCCCAGCGGGCCTATTGGGTTGGTGAACATGGTAAGCTCACTTTTTAGTGGTTCTGATGCATGCGCAATAGGGGTCTGAGGGTCATACGCGAGGCTGCACGAGAAAACTTTTTGGATGCGGCTTAAAAGACGTGCCTTATTTATTATTAGTCAGTCGCCAGCACATCTTCCTCAAGTTCTCATCGAGATTATATCAGTTCCCTACCTACACAAATCCCTCCACTCGTACTTCTCTCATCTCGCCAGAAATCGACAACCACATCATGCGTCTCTCCCTATTTCTGGCGTCGGCACTTACAGCCCTAGTCGCCGCCGACAGCAGCAGCACAACCAAGGGCATCGTATACCCCGACTGGAGCATCACCATCCCCCGCTACGAAAGCACCGCTGCCAGCGTCGCAGGCATCAACGCGCTTGCCACAACATACGAAGTCAAATGTCTCGACGGCGCAAACACACTCAGCTGCGACATCAAGACTCCCTGGACCATCATCCAGGGCCCCGCGACCGCGAGCTTCACGGGTGTCTACACCGCCGATGTTACCGGGAAGAATGGTGTTACCGTGACTCGGGAGTGGAAGTGCGAGTTGAAGTCTTACACCGAGTCTGCTTCGTGCAGTATGAGTTATCGGGCTAGTGGTACGGTTGATGGCACTGGGTATTCGACTTCCACTTCTTCTTCGAATAAGAATATGCCCACGAATCAGTTGACGAGTGCGGGAATTCTGGTTACTGGCGGTATTGCCTCGTTTACTGCTTCGCAGGCGACTCAGACTCCGTCTGGTGCTGCAGCTGCCCCAGTTAAGGCGATGGTTACTGCTGCGCCTTTTGGAGTTGCCGCGGTTATTGCTATTGCTGGTATGCTTTAGTTGGGTGAAGGGTAGCTTGGGTTGAACATGGAATTGAATACATGGATATTGAATAACAAAATAGTCATCTTGGGAATTATAATCTATTTTGTGGTTGATTCAATGCACAACAACTCAGAGAGAGAGAGAGAGTAATATAGTTCTACGAAGCACTGTCGGTATTTCCTTTTCCTGGATATCAGTTATGAGGCTTGGCCCTTCCGAAGAAGTAATTGGAATTGATATATTGGAACACTATTCGAAGTACTTCGAGGCAATGTTTGGATACTTTGCATTCTCGTTGATCTCCACTGGGCCCTTAGAAACATAGCTAGCCCGATGATCATTAGACTCACGTCATGCGTCAGGAAAGTCAACATCTATGGTCCATTCGTCTGGTAACACTACATTAGGCTTCGTTGAATGCCGATCTCTTGCGCGTAACGTTTCTGCAGCTTTAGCTGTCATATTCGGTTTACTTATTCCAAGTCCACTTACACTTCCTGACGGAAAGATGTACTTAATTCTGCAAGCCCTCGAGGTTGCCGTACAGTAAAAACATTACCTGCCTTTCCTTCTAAATAGGGGGGTTTCGGATAAACCATACATGACTCAGGAAGATTAATCAATGCTGTTAATGTTCATATCTCTTGTCATTGGAAACTTTACTTTCAAACCTTCCGTCGGGATCCCCCCGCCGGTGAATTATTGCGGCGCCCGATTGACATGTTCCACATGCAATACTTGGCAGTAGAAGAGTAGCATTTTCATCTGAATGTGCTCAGAAGAAAATACAAAGCTAATCTACATTTCTACCCAACTCCTTCTTGACAATATTCCATACCTATAGCATAGAGAACTCACACTGACTTACTTGTCTTGGGCAGAGCATCCAAAGTGGGTCCCATCTCTAATCTAAGAAACTTTCCCAAAAGGTAATAGCCGAGGCACAACTCCGTTTCGCGATTTGCCAACGCGTCCATCTTCTTCCCAACGACCCACCCCCCGTAAAGGCATTGGCTCAGAAAATATCTACCGAGCACGAAGATCGCCCCAACGAGCTGACAGCAGACTGTCCGGACTGTCCAAATGGAGACTTTTTTTCTTCGTATCCGGGCTTCAGCGGAACAGCATCATTCTTATAAAGAGGGAGAAAGAGGAAGGCTAGATCATCGGTGATCACGATTAGCACCACCTCTTCCTGAAGAGAGAACAAAGGCATCTCCACGCGCCAACATCACAAACCCCCCTCGAGACATCATCACTCGCGCAAACCATCAGGAGAAAAGAGCCAACATCTCACAAAACCTACACCCTCCTCCATCCACAATGCCACCCAAACCAGCGCCCTTCCCAGGCTTCACCCCACTATCAGACCGAATCTACCTCCGCAATGGCAACGCAACCACCAAACCACCACCCGCCTCGCACCCAACAACAATCATAATCTTCGGCTGGGGCGACGGCATGCCCAAACACGTCTCCAAATACGCCGAAGGCTTCCACGCCCTCTACCCCTCCTCGCGCATCCTAGTCGCCATCTCCAAAACCCTGCACGCCTCCAACCAACCCCTACACGACCGCATCGCGGCCATGATGCCCATCATCGACACCGTCTTCCCAACGCCAACGGGCGACGGCGGCGCCGCCGAACCCGAACGCGTCCTGCTCCACGCCATGTCCAACACGGGTGGGATCTTCGTTGCCGCCGCGATGGTGGCGTACCAAGAGCGGCACGGCAAGGACAAAACCATGCCGCACGAGCTGCTGGTGTGCGACTCGACGCCGGGCGGGCTAGTGTTCTCCGCGCAGGTGGGCCGGTGGTCGCGGGCGATGGCGGTGGGGACGGCGAAGATGTTTCCGTGGCCGTTTATCGTTACGCAGGCGCTGTGGTGGGCATTTTTGTGGGGGAGTTATCTGCTCGAGGTGATGAAGGGGTCGGAGGCGTCCGGGGTGTGGGCGAATCGGGTTATGAATGAGGCCGAGGTGACGAGGCGGGAGAGTAGTCGGTTGTATTTGTATTCGAGGGAGGATGAGATTATTGGGTTTGAGGATTTGGAGGAGAATGTTGCGGGCGTGAGGATGTTGGGGTATCGGGCTATTGAGACGGAGTTGTTTGAGGGGTCGCCGCATGTTGGGCATATGAGGATGCATCCGGAGCAGTATTGGAATAGGATTGCTGGGTGTTGGAAGGCTGCGGTGGGTGTGGAGTGAGTTTAGAGAGTGTGCGGATATATATGGCTGTAGAGTGTAGAAGAAGGATTGATCTGTATTTAATCATAATGAATAGATTGGCATGGTATTTTAGAAAGATACATCTCCTGGTGCATAAGTATCTAAAAACCGTAGAACGAGATCTCAATTTCCAAAGCAAACGCTGCTTGGAATATCACTGCGAAAAGAGAAAGATGAATCAATAGCAATATGTAGCATGATCATATCTAGCTACCGCTTAGACTCCCATCACGCCCACGAAATGGCCTCCATATCCTTCGGTATCGCCCATCCATGCGCTCGGCAAGCGCGAATGTAAGCAGCAACCGCCTCCCCAACCGAGTAATCAAACTGTCGACCATGTGCCAGTCGTGCTGGTTGATCACGGGTGCAGATCGCGAGGCGCACCTGCAGCAAAAGACTTTCAATCGAAGTAACCGCCGACCAGCCCGAGTTGGTGAGTAGTTCCATGCATATGGCCCCTCCAGCCGTGACGTGGCCGCCACCACCAAAGGCAAGCTCGAGGAATCGCGGGCGAATGACGCGGACGAATGGAGGATCCATGGGGAATTGCGCGGGGAAGCGAACTTCCAGAACGACGCTGGTGAGCTTGGCAGTCTTGAGATCTTGAGCAAGAGGAAGGGTTGGGTCGAAGGTGTGCAGCTCGACGATCCACTGATAGACTGTTCGAATCAGAGAAGGATCCACGTACCATCCCAGCTCGTGGAGTGGTTCGGTTTCTTGAATCTTCAAGGTTGCCTGGAGATGCCGCTGGAGAAGGGTTGTAGCCGAGCTAGTCGCGTAGGCGGGAGGTGAAATCAGAGGCAAAGAGTCTTCCTTCAAGGTGCCTGGGATGAAGTCGGTTTTGGGGACAGTGCTGACTTTCTTCTTCTTGAAAGATACGCCGTCCGGTTCATGCTCCGGATCAGACAGGAGAATCGTGAGATCCTCCACGTCAGTTCCGATGCTCGCTGCATCATCGAAATAGCAAACATCCATTGGCGTGCCCTGGGAATTTCTCTTCTTCTTTTTGCTTTTTTTGCCGGGTGAGATGGTCAGACCTTGTCGACGCTTACTGCTGAACGCAGAGATGGGGATCTGCACAGGTTTTCCATGCGGACCTTGTACTATATACGCGGAGTCCTGTTCATAGACAGCAGACGGCACAGTCCCCTCCCACAATCCGGGCAAGGTAGAAGTGTTTCCCACTTGCACAAAAAGGTATCGGGGCTGAATCCAGTCAAGCTGGGTCACCACGTAATGTGGGGAGGCTGACACAAATTTCCCCGGGTTGTTGACGATTTCATTCAAGGATACCATGGACTGGATCTTCAACTTGCTTTGAGGCCAGCTGCAACCTCCTATGCTACCATAGCCGGCCGATGTATTGTAAAGGTTCGACAAGTATACACCGTTGCCAAAAGCACGCCCATGTACAATCTCCCTGAAGTGCAAGCCTTCTCGGAGAATGCTATGCCAGTTATACAAGGGGCTGCCATGCCAGGCAAAGATTGTGGGATATGCAGATTTGGTGCGTGCGGCCTGTTCGCTGACGGCTTCCAAGAAACGTTGCTCTTTGTCAGGCGCTCCTTGGATCAACCGGAATTGCAGGAATCCGCTCATATCGGATACCAAGTGATCCGCGTCCATGCCATCCTGCAGAATGCACGATCGATTGGAGGCTACAATCCATCGAAGTAGGTCCAGAGCGCCCGGGCTTATCGTGTCCTGCCATGAAGAAAGCAACCTGCCAGACTCACTAGGACCCAGGAACGTTGACATGGCATCAATACAAGGAAGAGCGTCGAGGAGCATGATCATACTGCTCCGTTTGTTTTCCACTGGGATGTCGTCAAAGTTCGTGTCATAATGGACATACTTTACCGGTGTCGACACCGGATAGTTCCCAAGGACGTCAGCTTCATTTAGCTGCACGCCTCGAGAGATGGGGCGCGAGAGTGTGACATGTGCAGAGGTCTCTCCAACATGCTGCACCCTACAATGCCATGCGACGTTTCCGTTCACAGGTTCATCCGTGTTGGAGATGAATATCCAGTTGCCAACTCTCACCTGGGGGACAAAGTCGTGGGAGATTTCCATTTTTGTCGTCGATAGTGTAGCCTGATAATATTTGGTAGGCCTCGGGTCGCTTTCTTTGATACTCGTTGGTTCAGGGTTCTGTGGAGCAAATCGATTCCCGGGTTGAGAAAACTGTGTGCCGGGCAGCAAAATGTCCGGAACAATGAGCCCGAGCCCAGTTGGAAAATCTTCCAGACGACCAGACTTGGCCCTTGCATAGGCTATGGAGACCAGCATATCAACAACATATGGCTGAGTGCGAATCTCGTATTCCAGACTTGGTCCCATGCCCAGGGTAATATACTGAAACAGGCAAAGCCCGTTTGAGCACACATAGGGCTTCAGCGCCTCGAAGGTGTCATTGGTTTTGCAATGACACACGAGACAAAACTCGGTGCATTTGACGAAGTGGCGTAGAAGGAATAGCTGGGCGAGAAGAGGGAATGAGATATTTGGTGGAGACCGCTTCATCTCGGCCATATAATCTGCCTGTAGGAAATTAGGGGCCGGTGTCATCCAGGTATCCTCCAGGGCAAACTCTGGCGAGTTGGCATCATCGGGACCGATAAACTTCCCTTGGCTGACTTGAAAGAATTTTTCTGCGCCGGTCCATGACAACCCGTATTTCAACCGAACCCTCACAATATGAAGGAATCGTTCATTGAGCAGCTTGTCCAGTGCCGTCCCGATGAATAACCCTCGTAAGAATGGGCCTGTGTCATGGTCCCCATCCATTGACGGTAGGTTATTTGTCTTACCCATTCCTTGGAAAGCTCTGATGGTGCTCGCGCGCGAGGGTTTGTAGGAATCGCATAGCCCAACTCGCATCTGAATCATTGAATCGCCGCCGACGTTGAGGTCCTCCATGGTCTGATATCGACTGTAGCGGGTCAAGAGAATTAAATACTCGGTAGGGCGCAGATTCCACGCGCTCATGGCTTCTTCTGAGATTCCCATTTTGGAGATACGCATGGCCGCCGACACGATGATGGAGCCTGCTGTATCGCCATGATATCCCACCTTGAACCCCGCGAGCTTCACAGCACGGAGATCCTGGCGGATCTTCTCTCGTACATTGGCAGGGCTTGGAGCCGTAGCAAATAAGATATCCTCATCCTCTGTCCAGTCGGAGGGTTCCAAGTCGTCGCCAAACTCTTGGTCGCTCGACATTACTAGGTCATCCACATCGTCGGAAGACTTTGGGGTAGGACCCTGAATTGCGTCCGAGACGACGCGGTCCAAGGTCGACAACACATCATCAATGGACAACCCCTCAAACTGGGTGGCAACCTCATCGACGGCCTTGGTTATCTCTGCGGGCACATTCTCTGATGTGGAGTAGACAAAAAAGGCGTGGGATGAGGGGTAATCGTGGGGATCTGCGTGCTGGTTAGTCCTGTACAGTAGATGGAGACCCACCGATCCCGAGCTTGGTGGAACATCGAACATACCAGCGACGATCGCTTCGAAGCGAAAGGTCTCTCCTGATTCAGGACTGGTGTAGGTGAAGGAAATTGACCCATCGCCTTCACCAGCCCTGACGCGAGTGAGGTGTGTGAATCGGCCTGGGGTAGTGGCTTGATTGAGATCCCTCTGGAAGTCTTTGGTCGGCATGGCGATCAAGTGGTCTTGGAGGGACCCAAGGGAAAAGATTAAGTCTTTGAGAAGGACATGGACTTCATGGGTGGAGGGTCAAATGAGGAAGATCCAGGAGGTGGAAAGAGTGAAAGGAAGAAAGAGTGGTTTGAAAGGAAGTGAGAGAGTGAAAAGGGAAATTTAGAAGTCGAGGTGGAAATGTCAAGTGAGCCTTGTTCAGAAGGCGCTGAGGCTGTGGGCGCAACAGTGACGAACATTCAGCCAAGCTCCACACCCACGGGGATTGGGGCCTGGCTTTTAACCCCTTGAATAAATTAAAACCCAATCGGATCGGGGCAGGGAAGGAGAACATGGACAGGGAGAAAGAAGCAGGGCTTATGATTTAGTATGATTGCATCCACTGTCCCCACATCCAGGCTGGGCCAGGCAACCGAGGAGGCTCTGAGGGCTCTGACTCAGGCCGCTACTGAGAAGGTTACCTATAGTTGTACTTCGGGTGGTCATAGCGCTGGACTTGTCTCATCGGTACAGCAGCCAGGATCCCGTCAACTGTCCGATTCCTTTTGAGTAGTTGATTTGGTTCAATCCAGTTTTTTAAGGTTGGGCCCGCGAGAAATGCTCAGGACGACCCGTGGATCTGTCCAGCCTCCATCACGTGCACACGTTATAGATGGGCATTCTCTGAGTAAAGAACCCGGGTTGTGGGTGAAAAAACGCAGGATATACCAAGTTATTCAAACCATCCATCAGAATCTGGCTTCCATTGAGCTAATATAGCTTCGTCGCCTAGTCGTCATCGGTGATGTATACACAAGTATCATAAACATTGTAATCGATCGGTGCAACAACAACATATACCTTCACATCAATCCCTCCAGGAATTGAATTTTATGTATTTAAAAGACAGCAATGATCAACTCTGTACGCCACAAAGCCAAATTACCGTCACTTCACGAAGCAAGGGCAAAGCCCTGCAGCAAAACATACCTGCCCCCACGAGCCTAATCAAACGCACCGTGACGAGTAGTAGAATGACAAGCTACACATTTCAAACACCTTCCAACTTGGCATAACTTAAGGTCTACATGTATCAATGTCTAAATTGGTAGCGGATCACACAAGAACGCGCCAGACAAGAGCTAATCAATGACGAGCGCGCCATCTACTTTGCAGCCATATTTCTCTACAGTCTACAGTCTACATACTGTGGTACCATAGTAGATCGATCATCCCATAAATCAAAGTCAAAGGCATTCTACCAAGCTTGGCTGTATCCACCCTCGTGGCCGATTTCATCCATCTCCGTGGTCAGGGAATCTCGCATTCCCGGGACAGGAGCTCTTTGGAAATATACGTCAGCCTGGAATGATGGGTGGTCGACTCTCTCCTACGGGTGAGGAGGAGGATTTGAAGGTTTAGGGTTGTATAGATAGAGGTAGGGGTGGGATGGTAGTATAAGAATGCACCCTGGGCTAGGATCTAGGTTAATGCATGCTTTACTTACACATCATGAGATCACAATCTGATATTGTATACTCGTAATGCTTTTAATATCCAGACACTTCATCATCTTATATTCAAAAGGCAGGGAGACCTTGTTCGAAGAATCGAGGCATAGGGCATACAAAACCCAACTCATCCAGGCAAAGTCTAGCCTTAAACCAAGCAAGTAAGAAAATCATCATCTACAAGTCGCAACGAGATTCTACAAATGTGTACAAACATACTAATAGAGATGTCATGTGTACTCAATTCATACATATATCCCAGTATTGATACAAGCGCAATATACAACACCAAATATACAGACCAACCAAAACTCCCAGCCAGAATGAAAACGCCCACATCCAAAATCCCAATACCATTTCATATGCAAATGCAAAGTCCCCACAAGCTCACACAAACAACGAACTATTCGGCGACAGAGTATCCAGCCCCGACTCCCCCACCAAAACAGGGAAAAGCCGACGAATCCGGTCCTCCAACAGCGCCTCCTCCGCCTCCCAGCGCTTCACCTCTTCAGCCTTGCTCTGTGAGCTACGGCCACCGAACCAGGATCTTGATTGGCCAGCGGTCTTACCCTCGGCTTGCTCTTTACGCGCCTGGGCGACTCGCGTGGAGACCATGGTCTTCCAATTTTCGAGACCGACCTTGAGACATTGCGCGCAGCGTGTGCGGGCGGGCTTGTCTTCGGGACTGGTGAGTTCGAGCATGGTTGACTCGGCGATCTCGACGGCGTCGCGGGTCCATGCGAGACCGTGTTCTTGCGATGATGACGCATAAAGGATCTCGCCGATGTATGTCATCACGCCGGCCTCGTCGCAGGCGGAAGCTGCTGTGCGGAGGGGAGGTGTGTCACCGGATGGAAGGGCGGGTGGATACTCGGGTGGATTGAAGATTTTCTTGAGAGAGGTAACGAACCCAGTGATGGGGTCATTGGAGGCTTGCGGTGATAAGGGTAGGGAGAATGGAGAAGTAGAGACAGAGGGAGCAGTGGTGGGGAGACTGCGCCGCGCCTTCAGGACGGATGTGAACAGGGAGAGAGCGGTGGGCAAGTTACCCTGGCGGGCATTGTGGACCGCCAGCGCAGTCGAGACACGAAGGATGTTTTCAGATGGCAGATCAGTACCGTTGTTCTTCAAAACGCCAGTCTGAAGGTCCACAACCTTACTGGCGTCGTTGTCGAGGCCACCCGCAGCAATGTCTAACGCCCACGTGTACATATCACCCGCGGTACGGCCGAGACCCTTGAAATCAAGCCAATCCGCATACGCAAGCGCGGCATCAAGTTTCTGCCGCGTACCAAAGCCCTTGGTCGTCAGGACCTTTATGTAGAAGGTCTCTGGTGGCGGGGACGCAGCCTCGCAGTCTTCCTCCTGGGGGACCTTCTTCTGGCCCGCAGGCATCGGCTTGGGCCGTGTGTTCGACGGACCCACGACATACTCCGCCGGCGCGGAGATCTTCTGCTTGCGATCCGTCATCCACCCGTCCAAGTTCTCCGCAGCCTTGGCCGCACCCATGAGAGCTTGGAAATAGCCACGGCGCCAGTGCTCGCTCTTGGCAGAGACATCGAAGCCCGTTTTCCCCACTCCCTCAACAAGGAGTCCACCTTCGTCTTGTTCGACGATACCCTGTCCTTCACCGTCGGTGTTTTCCAAGCGCTCCAGCAGCTCGCGCAGGTACCCTGCGACCATGGGCCAATTGGTCATCAACTTGCCAATGTGCTCGGGGTGCATCATAGCCTCAGCAGAGCGCAGACACCAACGGCTTTTCCAGGTCCATTCCGACGGCGTAGGCCATTCATGCTCAATGTCCTCTTGGTACAAACCGAGCTTGATGACCTGGAAGAGAACCAGGATGGCGTAGAACGACAAACCAATCTTCAAGCCACGGGAAAGACGCTTTTTAAAGTGCGCACGGCTTTCGGTAGAAATCAAGCGCCCAAAGTGCTGGCGCAGGTGGATGGAGAGCGGGGGAGAGAGCGAGTCGGTGTCAACTGTGATAGGAAGGGTAGTTGCGGGCGGCCTGGCGGTGGGGAGAGAAGCAGTCGGCTGCGATGGGTGAATGGTTGGAGCCGAACCTTTGGACCGGGTGTCCGAGGAGGAAGCACCGGTCGGAGGTGGCCTGGTATTCGACCGATGGCGGATCGAGGAGGCAGCATTGTTGGTTGTTTGAATGGAGATGGTCATTGACGAAGTTCCTCGAGGACCTTTACCTTTCCCGTTTGCACTGTTTGCAGGGTTTGCTGCCAAGAAAATGTGGAAGAACATACACGATAACGCGTACTAACTGGCCAATTGCGGTCACAATTCGGAGTACAGCAAGGTAATTAATTGGGCCTCATTCAAACTACTTATTTCCATGGAATTCATCCCAACACTGCCCTTTCAGACATAATGTCACACTGCCACATTCTAAGCAACCAGATCCCGATCGATTAGCCCGTTGGCCCTTTTTGCCCTTGTCCCTCTTATACTGGCACCAAATACAAGCCTTTCTCTGATCGAAATAAATCCGCCGGTGGTTTAACCCAGGTACTGCAGGTACTGGTATCGGTACTGGCGAAGGTGCAAATGAAAAGAGCTTCTGGTAGAGCTTCCTCCGAAAATCTAGTTGGCTAAGTCGCTCCTTAGCCGAGGCCCCCTGCTGCTTCTTGTAGGTAATTTGAATGCGAAAGGCATCAACGATTGCAGCATCGAAAAAGAAGAAGAGAAGCGGGAACCAATTACGCTCACTCTTCCGATGACTCTCATAAGAAGCCCTATACCGATTTGCAATATCTTCACCACCCATGTGGTGGATGCAGTCATTGATAGCAGTAGGAATCTCCAGCTCCTTGACTATCGCCTTAATCTGCTCAAAGCGCTTGAGGGCCATATAAAGCCGTGGAGTATGTAGTGGCCCCGCTCTCTCATCCTGCTGCCAGTAGAGATCCATGCGTGGCGATATGTGAATAGCCATATAGATAAGAATGCCAAAGAAGACCTTAATCTCTGCGGTAGTGGTGTCCTTCCACGTACGTCCAGTAGTAGTTGAATCATTCGCCTCCGCTCGCTTTCGCTGCGCATATGCGTTGGCAGACTGGCTGATGATTTCGAAGATCTCTTCGCTAACAACGTGGGTGAAGACCGCGTATGGGCTTTCTAGGTCTAAACCACTAGGTAGGTGTAGCTGTGGAGGTTCGGAGGAAGGTATTAAGGGCCCAGGCCCCTGGGAGAGGTCTTCTTGGGTAGGCAATTCGGCGGCAATCTCATCATGCTTGCGCTTGTGTATAGTCGTAGTAGAGTTGTTTGTAGCCATGGCAGAGTGTATGGCAGGCTATTAGGGGATTGCGCGTGTAGAAATGGAAACACGCGTTGATGACTGAGCAGACAGTCGAGCCCCATTACTAACCTATCCAATTTGGAGACATCGGATATTTTAGTTAGCTAATCTATTGGCCAATAGTTAGTTAACTAGTTAGTTAACTATAACACGCTAACTAATCCAAATGCGCTCATTGTCATTCCCAGACGGATGAGCCTTCATATGAGGGGATACAGTACACCAACTCGTCAAGAAATCCAGCATTGTAGTCGAGTGTGAAAATATGGCGAGGCAAGGGAGACAGGAGAAGGCGAATCGAAAGATTAGAGACGGGGAACGAGACCTACATTACGCTGCACAAGAATCAGAACGCACAAAGTTGCAGTAAAAAAAATGCGAATTTGAACATCTAATTTAGGGGAATCCAATTGCAAATAAAAAGCAAATAGACATCTCTATGGGAAATGTAGCTCCAAAAAAGAAAAAATAAACAAGATCCATCAATCAAATCATCCAGCAAGGCCAGTCACCCATTTACTGGGACTTCTCGAAGAAGCCCTCGCTCTCGAGCACAAGAATGATCTCGTGAACGATGCTGCGAACAGACTGCTTGGAGCAGTCAACAACGAGGTCAGCCTTCTCAGGAGCCTCATAGGGGTCATCGACACCAGTGAAGCCCTTGATCTCGCCGCGACGGGCACTGGTGTAGATACCACGCTTGTCGGTCTTCTCGCAGTACTCGAGAGGGGTGGCGACGTGGACGAGGAAGAAGTTGCCAGCCTGGGAGACGGTGTCGCGGGCGTACTTCCGCGAGTGCTCGTAGGGGGCGATGGGGGCAGCGATGACGGCGGCACCGGCGCGGGTCAGCTCGGAGGCGACGAAGGCGATGCGCTGAATGTTGGTGTGGCGGTCCTCGCGGGTGAAGCCCAGCTCGGAGGAGAGCTCGTGGCGGACGGTGTCACCCAGCAGCAGGGAGACGGAGCGGCCACCCTGCTGGTTCAGGGTAACCTGCAGAGCACGGGCAATGGCATCCTTGCCGGAGTTCATGTAACCGGTCAGGAAGATGGTGAAACCCTGGGCGTTGCGAGGGGGGTTGGACTCGCGCAGGATCTTGACAACCTCGGGGTAGGAGAACCACTCGGGAATGTGGGCGCCGGTGCGCAGGCGGCGGCGCAGCTCAGTACCGGAGATGTTCAGGGTCTTGACACCCTCGGGAACCTGGTCGACGGGGCGGTACTCGTCGGTGTCGGGCAGGTAAGTGACCATCTGGAACTCGACGACCTCAATGCCGAGCTCATCCTTGTACTTCTCGACGGCGTGCTGGGCATCGTAGGGGCCGTAGAAGTCGACACCCTTGGAGTTCTTACCGGGACCGGCGTGGTCACGGCCAACAATGAAGTGAGTGGCACCGTGGTTCTTACGGATAATAGCGTGCCAGATGGCCTCACGAGGACCACCCATACGCATAGCCAGACCGAGCAGACCCAGAACGGCCATGCCGTTGGGGTAGCGGGGGAGGAGGGCCTCATAGGCGCGGACACGGGTGAAGTGGTCAATGTCACCGGGCTTGGTCAGACCGACGACGGGGTGGATCAGGACATTGGCCTGGCGAGAGCGAGCCGCGCGGACGGTCAACTCACGGTGAGCACGGTGCATGGGGTTGCGGGTCTGGAAAGCGACGACGCGGGACCAGCCCAGCTTGTCGAAGTGGACGCGCAGCTCGGCGGGGGTGTCTATCGAGCGATTAGATTAGTATTCCGCTGTCTTGATGGTCCGCGCTTGGCAGGCCCGGTCCTTAAATTGCACTTTTCAGTCCCAATTCGGGCGGGAGAAAACATACAGCGCAGACCGACATAGTCGTAGTGGTTCAGCTTGTTGACAGCCTCGATCTTGCCACCAATGTACAGCTCCTTGATAGTCTGGTTGAGGTAAACGATAGCAGGGTGCTCGGGGTCACCGCCAAAGACGAGTTCACCCTCCTTCTTCCTAGAATCAGGGGGAAAACGAATACGTCAGCAACCAGATCCACTAAGAAGCACGAGCCGCCCGTGGGCACCCTCATTGCGTAAGGAAATCAAGACGTGCGACCACGGACGCCGTTCAATGCCAATGCCAATGCCAATGCCAATTCCAGTCGGTCACCGGTCACCAATGTAGAATCGGAGACAGAGCGGCGGCAGCCTCGTCCCTTTCTAACCCGAAGGTTCCGTCTAGCGGTCTCTGCACGCCGGGCGTTGCAGTTGTGCCAGGGCATCTGCGGGGATCGGCAGCGGACCTCCGAACCAGCCAAGACAAAGCAAGCAACCGCCACCCCTCAAGGAAAACCAGAACATTGGCGAGAACGGGGAGACCGGGTAGGGGTTTCAAACTCACTTGTCGGGGCGGTAGATATCGTCAATGGTCAGGATGGCCAGGTTGCGGTCATCACGGAAATCGCGCAGAGTAATGCGGGCGCCGGCATTGAGCTTGTGCTCATCAACGATCTGCTGGGTCACGTCGAGGGTGATGGGCATCGAGAAGACATTGCCATCGGCAAGACGGCAGTCCTGGCAGACACTGGACCATGTGTTAGCGAGGTTATTCGTGGCCGAGCAAAAAGGAATGGCTCGAATGCCATTCCAAGCGCCTCATCGCATCATCTTTATGGCAGGAGGGGCGGAACAGGAACGTACCGGTCATAGTCGGCCTGGTTCATGAAACCTGCGCGAGATCGGCGTCAGCAATTTACATTTTACCCCTCTATTCATCTCCGCCCGCACCCCCCAAAAAAGTAAATTCCACGCCGCAGGAAGCAAAGAAACCACCGAATCAAGGAATTGACGGCGCGTAATGGATGACAAATCATTCAATTGACACTGGGAGAACTTACCCTCCAGAGGAGAGAAACCACCGTTCATGATCAGCTCGAGATCGCAGAGCTGGCGCTCGGTGAGGACGACGGCGGGGAGGGACTCGGCCTCGGCGGCGAGCAGGTCGTGGCGGGGAGCATCGCGAGCGAGCAGGTCCTTCAGGACACCACCGTGAGGAGAGTTGGCCATGATGTTATATGGAAGAGGGTTGGAGAATGGAGGAGGAGGAGGAGGATGATAAGAATTGGACAGGTAGAATGGTCCAAAAGAAACGAGAAAGGACTTTTGAGATGTTCCCCGGTAGAATAATATACAACCCAGAGAGGCAAACACGGGGAGGAAGAGGGATGAAAGGGAGAAAAAGAGAAGAGAAGAGAAGAACAGGAACAAGGAACAAGAATGAGAAAGTGCAAGAACCCGGGTCCCAAGGGCCTTAAAGTGGTTGACTGAGCACGACAGCGCAGAGAAGCTTCCACGCATTCCACCCCACCTTCCAGGACTTCGTACGGAGGACAGGATACTGAGTACCGTAGGTACTCAGTATCCGACAATACACATACGTACTGGTCCCCTCTCCTGCCCGAAGATCAGATCCCATCCAGGCCCTGGCCACCACAGGACTCGTCAACGGTGGAGCCCCTCGAGGTCTTGGCTGGGTCCATTTCATCCCAGTTCATCCAGCCAGGAGGCCCGCTGCCGGGGAACCCAGGGCACGGCGAGTCTGCGACGACTATCAATTTCTTGACCAGGGCCTACTGTTTCCAATTGACCTCGTGGCAGCCGTTACTATCTTGCGTGGTCGAGGTTTCAGACTACGGTATCTTGACGAGGATGATAAATTCGGCCCCGACATTAACGTATATGTACTATATAGACTCCATATACTCCTAACACATATACCACCCTAAAACATCTAACTAACTACAGTATGAAACTATGACATAGTCACCATCTTCCAATAATCCAGGCCCGTACTCGTTTATGGCGGGGATTTTCAGGGGGCGGCATTTCCTCCGGGCGGAGTCCGTCATAGATCCCTGAACATTGAACAGGAGAATTATTCAGGGGGAAATAGTCAATTGCACTGAAGTCTTTCTGATCGAAATCACCGTTGATACTACACTTCAAATATACAGCCAGATCTACTCCGTACAGTATTAATACTCCCGCACCGATCTATACCGATCATCAGCCTTGAATGCCGAAATAACGTGATCAAAGCCACCCAAGAAAATTTGGCAACCTGCCGGCTTTCTGCTCTCACGTGACCATCACGCAACCTCCGCGCGGAATGTCGTGATTGACATCGCCCAATGGGGACTAGTGGGCTTGGCCTTGACATTTGGGGTCAAATGCATTTGGGGATGACGAGTGGAAAAGCTTGTTGTGGATTGGTAAGACGGTAAAATTGGAGACGATTGGGGATGGGTTTTGTAAAGGGTATAGTACATACTATGTACTAGTTATAATGGATACTGGATATTGTATGTCCGTACATCTCCACGGAGATGTATCTGCTCTTCCGTATAAAGATGGACTGCGGACTACGGACTCTGCCACATATACACTCAGACATTCGCCAGACATTCCAGTCCTTCGTGCACGGAGTATGTATAGATGTGCTACAGTGACAGCCTTAGATAGTTTCATGCCTTAGGATTGGTCTCCGTCTATAGTTTTGTATACACTCAGACATTATACCCTACAACTCTTGCAATAATACGGAGGATACCTCCCAAATCCAATAGATATTCTTCTGGAATCCCAGATCGGCCCTGACTCCCTGACTCCCTCGCATTAAAAACCGTATGTACATCGAGGATGGATCCATTAACGATATCGATATCTCCAAGTCCAAGTCCGAGTCCTAGCCCTACACTACTAAAACTGTATATACATGTTGCCCAGTAGGTATAGCGTTTATTCCTTCATATTCCCATTCTTCCAAGCCCTAACACCTCTCATCAGTCCTCACAAGTAGGTCTGTACTAGAATAGTTAAGTACCGCACTGCTAATAACTCCCCCAACTCAGCTAACCACCGTCCCATTGCGCAGCGTGATAGTCTTCTTCGCAAAGTCCAGGTTATACGATCCCATCAACTCGAGCGAGGGATGGGTCGCGTTCGCGTACGAGTCAGCTAGATACGTGTCGATCTGCCCTTCGGACCAAATCGCGGATGTAAGAGAGCCCGTCTTCTGCAGGATGTACAGCACTGCTACCTGAGAGAACTCGATGACCTCGCTTGGCACGCTCTTGCCGGTACTGTTGCTAGAGCTGGTGCTGGCATCCGTCTTGGCTGGTATGGACGTCGCCGTCGCCGTGGGCACAGTGCTAGTCGCACTGTGGGTGGCGGTGTTGCTGTTGTCGTAGATGATTCCGTTCGAGGTAGCCACCGACCGCGGGGCTAGGACTGGAGTGGGCTCGGTCGAGTCGAGCTCAGACGACAGGGCAGTACCCTGGTCGTCTGGAGACTCGGGGAGATCTACGGGGAGAGAAACAGCGCGGCGGGATTTGCTGCTGCTAGTCTGGACATCGAACGAGACGAGGGCATTCTCCGTCTTGCAGGAGACGTTGTTCATGCTGAAAAGCGCCATGAGGGTCACCGAGTCCAGGGCGATGTTGAATTTACTCGACGACGCACTGAACACATCCGGCAGGGCACTGCCCATCGTAGCGTTCTTGCTGATCATGCCATTGTTCACCACCGACGTGACGCAGCTGCTGTCTCCGGATACCGTGCACTGAGAGCCCGTGTACCCGTTTGAGCACACGCATGAGCACTCCGAGCCACCGGACACGCTCACGCCGCCGTTTTGGCAGGGATTCGTGCTCGCGCAGGAGTTGGAACTGTTGTGGTTCTGCTTGGGAACCGCGACGAGGAAAACTGGGAGTAGGATGGCTAGCACCACGATGATGAAGAGTAGGACGGATAGCAGGATGAACCATTTGCGAGGCATGCCGCAGCATTTCCGGGCGGGTCGTGTGGCATTCGGGTCCTCGTCGTGAGAGTGGAGAGGCTCCACGTTGCGCAGACCTGATCGACTGAAGAAGACCGGCCACGAGCTGCGGCCTTCTGGCGTTTGGAAGCCTGGGCGGGGGAAGGAGGTAAGGATATCGGATATAGAACCAGACCCACGCCGGCGGCCTGGTTCACCTGGAGAGAGAAAGAGAGTCAGCATTTCACTTGTAATGGAGCCGTGTATTCGATGCCCGTTTCTTGATATACTTACCCAATGCAGCTTTAAAGTCGGCATCTGCGCCCAACATATCACATCGACTGGCGGTCTTGCCCCGGTCGAGATTGGAGGCTAGCTTGGTAGCGCGTCGAATCAGATCAGACAGGCTGGACAAACTGCCGCGTGCCTCGGCATCGCGGACAGCGTTCATGTTCAAACGCGGAGGCTTCTTGCCACCGGGTCGCTTGTCACTCATGGTAGGTGCAGCCCTTGGCAGGACCTCGATCTCCTTCTCCAAAGCTGAATCGTATGCCGGGCGATCCTGCTGCTGCGCGAACCGTGGTTTCTCAGGGTCCACGCAGGACTCATCCGATCCCGTCGCAACAGATGTCCGGAGGCCTGTGCTTGGAGCATGCAAAACTTGACTGACCGCAGTGCCGATGGTAAGCCCACCAGCGGTCTCAGCGGCTGTATGCTGCCAGTTATACTCCTGCGGTTTCGAGGATGGCACGTCGGGGACGGGGTTGACCTCAGAGTTGGGATTTGACTTCATGATTGTGCGCATGGTGGGCTTGCCACGCTTGCCGAGACTAGCATTTCGGACGAGAGTGACGTTCTCTTCTTGATGGCCATGCTTATTGTTCTCATCGTCCGACTCATTATCCAGGTATGCGCCGAAAATCTCGGACTCGGGTGGACCAGAACCCCAGCTGGATGGAATCGCGCGGCTAGACGCCAGCGAACCTAACGTCTGGCGGGGGTTGGAGAGTTCCTCTGGGATCGGAGACACCGCAGATTTGCGATTATTTGGTGGGGGTGCAAGACCTGTACCACGGTGTCGAGAGTTCTCTTGCGGGTAAGGCGGTTCAGGAAGTGGAATTGGCGGCATATCCGGGGCATCAGATGAGCCGGAAGCTGTCGATTGACGGTGGAATAGCTCGTCCGTGGCGATGGAGATGCGAGGGGTCAAGTCGACGGTACTGGTTGGACTCGCAGGGCCGTCATGCGTAGATGACCGTGGTCGCTGCTGGTGTTGCACGTAGAGTGGTTTGGGGTGCGAGAAAGAGCGAGCTGGTAGGATGGGATAGACCGAACCCACCTCGGACTCTACGCCACTGCGTACAGAGTAAATTGAAGGAGAAGGAATTTGCGAGGGAACCTCGCTGGGACGTGGTGGCCGGAACGGGGGAGGGCCACGGGGAACCAGATATCTAGAATACTGAGGATTCAGAGGCTGAGGCTGTAGCGGCCGTGGTGGAAGACCCGAATCAGGAAGAGGCCATTGCGTCTGATGGGCAAGATTCCTAGCAGCGGGAGATGGGCGAGATCCTGAAGGAGGAGGAGGCCTGGGCATGGGAACCGGCACTGGCACTGGCGGCGAGGCTCGAGTTGGACGAACACCCGCTTCTAGCAACTCTCTGGCTCTCTTTACGGATCCTTTGCGATCAGGTCCTGTTGAGGGATTTGGGTTGGACCCACCGCTTCCAGGAGGATTCGAACTCATTGATTCTGGCGTCTTGGGGTCTAGTCGGTAATGCGAATGGAAATTATGCTCGGAAATGTCGTAGTGACGAGTTCAGATGCGAAACTGGGGCTTTCCGTGGCATGAAGTAACACGCAAAGGGTCTTTTGAGGTCGGACGGGAAGAAAGCGAAGACAGTTCTCCTGATGATGCACGATAGTGAATGCAGTGAGAAATTCGAAAGACTCGATACCCTGATCGAGGAAGAAACGAATGTAGATGCGAGAACGCGAAACGAATGGAAAGAGCTCCAATATACTGCAGTTCTGCAGCGAATGCCTTGTCGAACGATACTCGAATGCGAATTCGCAGAAGCTAGAATTGAGGAGACGAGCTTGGAATCCACGGGTCCAGGCTGGCAATCAAAGTCACAAAAGAATGGAAGGGCATTCAATGCCTCTGGTATCTCAGTCAGAATCTTGCTTCAGACAGTCCACCAAGGCATTGTTTTGGTTTCAACCAGGCTTGACATGAAAGGCTTACCACAAAGTCAACAATGGAAGACTGTGTCACGATGGAAGGAGAGGAACAAAACGGAGTCGCCAGTATCAAACCGGCGATGTGTCAAGCAGGAGCCTGGAGAAGGGTGTTATTCATTGTGTTCTGCCTGGCATAACCGGTACTTTCGGTCTGTTCGACGCGGGCCATGGGAGATGTCGTGTGCCCGACTATAAAGAGGATTTCTAGGGTTTTCTTGAGGGAAGTCGATATCACAACTTACAGCAAAGTACCGAACTAGGAAAGGGAAGAGCCTCAAGCTCCTCGAAGGAAAAGAGAGCGACACGGAGGGCGAGGGAAAAGAGGAGAGAGAAAGAGGCGTGGAACCTCTCGACCCGTCGACCAGAGTCACACACTCCTCTCTGGAGTGCAGTAGAGCCATCAACCATTAGCCACAGAGGCTAAACACTACGAAAAAAAGCCTAAGAAAAGCAACCAGAATGGCCCCGCCTGACACCAAAGTCATCTAGCTCAACCCTCAATTAGATTAATTCCTTCAATTTCCCACGAGGCGCCGCCGCAACTCCAGTGGGGGGAGAGTGGCCCTCGCACCCAGAGCGACTCCGGGACTCCGTATTACTCCCAGTGTCGTACTATCATCCCGCCGTCGTGTTGGTTCGGACCCATTTAATATCTCGCGATATTAATTCTGCTGGTCCGAGTCCCGTCGTCTTCTCGTATCTCTTGGAATGAACAAAGAACAACCAGAGATTGACCTCCAGGCTCCCGCAACCAGGACATCATGCATCCTGACTGAACATAGTCACATACCAGAATCCTTCAAACCAATCCCTCCATCACCCAGCCCCCTCTTTCTTGCATACTGATGGGTGCATTGTGAATATCCCGTGTCTCCCAGGGATTGGTTTCAGGTCGCTTCACCCAAGACGATAGCTGTCAGACTTCGGCAGGGGCTTAGTAGCCAGACCGGATGGGTCCGACTCCGACTGGATCAGAAACCAAACGAGAAACCTTGCGCCGAATCAGAGGTGCGCAATGGCATTCTGGGGGATGTCGTTTGGGGCCGAGCACAGCTATTACAGCGAATCGAGTCCCGAGCGATGTTGAGGGCGTTGCACCAGTGGGGTGCGTTCCAGGAGTTAGTCTCCGACGCTACGTCTCAGGTTGAGGGGCCTCGCTTAAAGTTAGCTCCTCCTCCTCCTCCTCCTGCCGTTGATGACTTTGATTGGGACTGTTTACTGTCCTTTGGATGGGATCATTTATATACCTAATCTCACGTTTGCTTACTATTTTATGATTCATGGGCATAGTAATCCGGTCGGGAGGCAATAATATTCCAATCATTGCAGGTCAACAAGCATCCGACTAAGAGATCATTCAGTACTTCTGCTTCGGCACTTTAGTCTTGACACAAGCGATGTCTCCAACTTCAACGCCACGCCTTAAACTCTTGTCTGGCTGGCGTCGGAGCTGGTCGCTTCGGGAAAGAGTCGGGACTGAAAACATGGAAACTTGCTAACGGCCGGCTAGGATTACCCGACTACAGTACGGTTCTCGTTGACATTTATAATTTCATCCACTTGGGGAGCAATTCTCAATCTATACTCGATGGAGTAGAAAAAGGGGGAGAGCCATGTCTAGAACGGTCCGTATCCTTTTTATAGAACCAGTTCCTACTATGACTTCAATATAACCTCGTGCTCCGGCGCCAGTCGGGACTATTACTATGTACTAGCCTACTAGGTACGGAGAAAACTGAATTCAGTATGGAGTGCTCCGTATATTCCTGTTCGCTGACACCCACCGTTCGTGACGACGTGGAGCCCTTGAGCTTGACAGGATTTCTTCAGCCCCAAGCGGGTCACACTGCATGATTTTGAACCTCCCCGAAATTGAGACTGTATTTATTATTGTGAGGGGGGCTGGGAGCAGCGGAGTACAGTTGACATTACCACCGAGTACTCCATCCAGATCGAGGGGATCCAGAATGGTCCCCATATCGCAACCGCCGCAGGGTTGAACTCGTGCATTCAATCCCAAATTTGACCCACTCTATGTATCAGTCGATGCTCCCTTGGAATTGTCGATCCCCAAATTGGTGCGGACCTGGGTAATCCTCTCTTCCAATGCGCGCATTTCCACGATCGTGCCCGCCAGATCGGGCACTTGGGTCTGTATAGCATCTGTAAAGGACTTTTGGGCGGTGCGCAGCGACGGCGGCACTAGGATGCCGTACCAGTAGATAGGATCGTCGGAGCGGAACTTCTTGCGAACTTTCTTGGTCTCTTGAGGTGCTGGAGGCTCCCCATCCTTGTTAGCATCTTGAGATGCTGGTGTGTTGGGCTCGCTTGCGGGCGCGACAGTGTCGTTGATTGATACTTTGGTCTCCGGAGGCTCTGTCGATGAATTGTCCTTTGTGTCGGTCTCGTCGGAGTCCTCCTCAGCCGGGCGGTTATCAACCTTCTCTAGGTTAAATTTATACTCGAATTCGTCCGGGCGACAGCTGTCGGCGCCATCCTGCTCCTCCGTACTGTCTTTAGAAACGGCCGCTTCGGATGAGGCATGAATAGATCTGTTAAATCACAACGCATTAACAATTATCCAATAGCTTGAGTATCCAAGCTCATGCTCACATCTTTCGAGTAGCCTTCATCCGCTCATCGTAATAGTCTGCACCATATCGCCGACCGGGAGGACAAGTGTAGTTTGCATGGGCCAGGGAAAGAAAGCCCTACCCGTGCCTTTAGCATCATGCCATATTGGGGCCAAGCCCTCCGGAACGAAAAAAAAAGGGTCATACCGAAGACAACTGCTTCGCCAGTCCTGACTGCAAATTCTGCTGTCGATCCAGCAGGTGCAAATACCGTTCAAGCAGCACATCCAACGACTGCATCAACTCCGAGGAAGCTTCCGCAGGCTTAGGCACAGGGTCGGGGGCCTCCGAGTCTGGACGCGACGGCGGTGGTGTAGGAAACTGGGCCATGATATGATGGGGAAAGAGGTAGGTAAACACCTAATCCCCTCTGTTCAACTGTACAGGCTAATGTGTTGATGCAGTTGTTGTGGGGGACGCGATTGAAGCAGAAGAACCGTGGAGCGCAGAAGCTCGGCCCCGGTAACTCCGTCATTGGCACCTCCGAACGCAAAAGAATTTCCCGCCCTGCGCTTCGTCCGGGGAACATAACTCTCGGTGCTCTTCGCCACTTCGTTTCTGCCGAACCTGAACTCGGTCTGCTGTTTATCCATCGTTGATTTGGTCATTATCGGCGTGGTCTAAACCCTCTCGTTTGGCCCAGAGCGCTTCGTGACTGTGACTGCGTGGGAATCCTGAACCGCCACCTCCGTTGACACGGTTTATACCCGTCGCTGTGCGCTTCACCTCGTAACCTACGAGTTCTCTATCGGTGCTTCTCGATCCTACCCGTCAAGTCTCCCGCCTATCTACCTTACTTCGTCATCCATCATGTCCGTGGCCACCTTGCAGCGTGACACCGCGTTCCAGGTGCGGTCTTTGGTACGTCTTGTCGGGATGAGATATCAGACTCTCCAAGGCCATATCTTCCCATCAGCCTCAAGGGTCTACGGTTATGATCGTCCCAGGAAGCTAACAAGGTGTCTGATACCATACAGTTCCGCTCTCTCCTGCGCCAATCGTCCCAGTTCTCCAATTTCAACTTCCGCGACTACGCCCGCCGCAAGACGCGAGACTCATTCCGCGAACATAAGAACGAGACAGAGGAGCGTCGGATACAGGAGTTGATCCAGGATGGCTTGCAGAACCTGCGTATGCTGAAGGTTAGTGGTTGAGTTTCTTGTTGGGGTCGCATTGAGGGGTTTCTTCGGTGGATAGGTGATGGCGCTCAAGGCGTGCGCCACACCTGGCACCGAAGCATTCCGTCTCGTTAAAGCCTCAGCATATCCTTGGTGATGCTTCACGTCAGAGACGCTAATACTTTTTTACAGAGGCAAACGGTCATCAGCCAGTTCTACCAGTTGGATAAGTTGGTGGTTGAGGGCCAGAAGACTGTAAGAACTTTTAGATCGTCCTAAACCGCCTGTTTACTCAACTGACGCCATTCTTCAGGGAAAGGAGACGGGAGATAAAGGAGGCATTGTCCGGCAGAAGGATACTGGGTATGTACAATCATCCCCACCAGAGACATCGCGCTCCTTCCGGCCGTGCAAATGCTGACGTCGAAACAGCTGGGACTAATTCTTCGATTGATGATCAATTTGGAGGACCTGATTGGAAGCGACTGGAGGAACTGCAATTATCTCATCTCGTTGGACGAGTAGTCGACTTACCTTGGCCAGCAAAGTTGAACCAGATTCGTTTTTCTCTGTATTTATAGTGCGAGCGCAGCCACTGTGGGCAAATCCATTTCTCCCGAGTACCCAAATAGAAATTCTCCCAGTCTTTGTTTTGCTCTGCTCGTAAATCCCAGCGTTAATCTGGCAGCTCGTCGTACGAGTCTTCCTCATGCGATATCATCACGTGACCATTCTGACGGGGCGGACAGCGCCATCCGCAAAGCAACGCGACGGGATCAACGCTACGCTCCGCTCCGCTCATCTACTCTCCAGCTCCCCACCCTATCGCGCCATTGTGCTGGTAGTACTTCGCTCTACGAGCGCAATCTCTTCGGCTCTGGAAGTGCGCTAGGAATTGCAGGGTCGCTCATCATGCCATCTAACGTATGTCCATCGCCCTACATGGCCACCCCGGTCCCTATCCATCCTGTCCATGACAAGCTACTTCAACCCGGTGGATACTTGAGGGATGCAAGCTAGTCCAATTGACATGATGAATCTTACTAAATCTCGATACAGTTCAGAGCCTCGCGCTCAGGGCGTCACCTCGACAACGCTAATCGTTCCCGAACCGGCCAAATCGACCACGATGTCTTTGAGGGCCTGCCTGTCCGCCGCTGGTCGCGCCAGCCACACACCATCTCCCAGGCACCAAAAAGCGAAGACCCCGAGCTAGGTGATGGTCCTGGCGGAAATACCGCGCTGCCAGAGCTGCCCATGCCACGAGACAGTCAGCTTCTACCGGCCATGAGTCGGGCACTTTTGCGCGCTGCGCGCGCAGGCTGCATCTACATTCGCCCAACTGGTCGGGCAGTTGAAAAGGAGAAGGAGGAAGGGACAGATGGGGAGGATCAGGGTGCAACCGTCCACATGGCGGATCGCAGCTTCACGAACCGCAAGTGGACGACCCTGCCTAAGCATTTGGAGCCTGCGGAGGTGGAATTTCTGGCGAAGAGACGGCCTGGGTTGTCCTCGCTGTATGGCAATGGTGCGGAGGGCGGCGCGATACCGGGCCCCATGAGGAAGACCAAAATCAAGAGAACTGATCCTGCGACTGGTAGCATCTCTATTTACGAGGTTTGGGTGCCGGAGGGACATCGCATTGAGGGCGAGATCACCGGTGACGTCCAGACTATCGCTGAGCAAAGTCAAGTTCCCGTGACGGCGGAGACGCCCGCTCCTGGAACAGTTGTGGAGGGCGTCGGCGTCGTCAATGCGGAGGGTGTAGTTGTTGCCGAGGCTGGCTCGGCTGCTGTCATGACACCTCCCAAGCGCCGACCGCCTCCTCCGAAGCGCAAGGGTAAGGGCATCGGCAAAGGCCGGAAGAAGAAGGTCATGTTCGCACCTGGTGAAGGGGCCGATGCTGCAACAGTACACGGCGTTGCTCCTGCTGACGGGGCTGTTGCCGGCGCCAGGGAGGGTGAGGATGCCTCGCGAATGTCAGTGGACCAGTCTGGTCAAGATGAGGATGAGGATGACGGTGAAGAAGGTGACGAGAGTGACGAGGGTGATGAGTCCATGATGGACGCAAAGACCCCAGAGACGCCCCAGGCTGCACCGAGCAATGAGCTCGTCGAGCAACCTGCCGCCGAGACTCCTGCCGCCGAGACTCCTGCAGAGCAATCAAACGATGTTGAAATGGCTGATGTTCTTCCCGCTACACAACCTCCAGCTTCAGAGCCGGCTGTTGCTGCCGAAGAACCACCTCTCCAGCCACCGACGGCATCTACAGTCCAAGCTGAGACCCCTCCATCAGATGCTGAGGTTTCTGCTTCTATCTCTGCATCTGCAACACCCGCCGTCTTTGCTGAAGATGTTAAAGTACCAAGTGAGCCACTTTCACAGAGTGCATCATTAGAGCCGCCCGCTCCTACAGAATCTCTTGCGGCTGAGGTCCAATCAACAACCGAGCCAACTCCAAAGGAAGAATCGCAAGCCCCAGAGTCTGCTGAGGAGGAGAAGCCCGCTCAGGCGACCACCGACATCACGCCAGTCGAGATCAAGCCAGAATCAACACCGAAACCTGATGAAAGCAGTATCCCGGCTCCCGTATCTGCAAGCCCTGAGAAGCCCGAAGAAACACCATCAGAACCTCCTAAGCAGCCAGAAGTGGAGCAACGAGTGGAGGAGGTGTCTACACCACAGCCCGAACCAGTAGTTGAAGAATCGGCACAGCCCTCAATTGAAGAGTCCAAACCTGCTGTCGAACCGCTTTCGGCTCCCGAGGCCACGGAATCCCAACAGGCTCCAAGTGCGTCCGAGCCTGTTCCCGAGGCAACAGATATCAAGGAGGACATTGAAATGGGAGATGCGCCTCCCGCAGCGGAAACTATCCCAACTCAGTCCCCTGTCAAAGAACCATCTCCATTGCCAGCTGCACCAGTGGAGACCGAGCCTGAAACTAAGTCTGAGCCCGAGCCCGAGCCCGAGCCCGAGGCCCGCCACAGCTCAGACGGCGGAACCTTCTGTGCAGGACCCAGTCGTACCTGAGGTCTCAGAGCCCACAGTCCTGGAAGCGACACCCGCATCAGAATCTCAACCAGAAGAGCCGCTGGCACCACTGTCAACCCCGAATCCTGAAGCCGCTCCTGCAACCGAGCCCGAGGCAGTTCCTGTCCCCGAGCCCACAACAGAAGAGCACAAGCCTCAGGTTGAGGGCGCGGCTGAGGAGACGAAGGAAGAACCAGAGGCTGCTCCCGCACCAGTGTCTGAGACTTCATAGCTCCCTTATTCCCTATAGACAGATGATCTATATTGTTTCTACCTGTGTACAATGAAAGCATGGATGTCAGTTCTGCCTGTTTGGATTATTTCTTACCTGTTGATCAGTAATGTACTTATTTGGATTCTTTTGCGGGCTGGGTGGCGTATGGCTCGGCGTTTACAATTGATCATGGTTTCATTATGTGTACTATTCCTCGGTGTATACTCAAATTGGTTACCAGTCTACTTAGCATGAGCGCAGAGCGTTGACGCAATCTGTAATGAAGGCGGCGATTGTGGGCTTGGTCCAAATGGAATTTCCTCTAGACCTGACAAACAGTGGACACAAACATCAAAGAAGTTGCTTGAGTTTAAAAGGACTCCCGCCCTCTGCTTTTCTCCTTCAGTTTTCACTTCCACTGGGCTTCTTATTAAGATATTCTCTCCCCAGTCTTTCCAGCCGCTTCAATATATATACCGAGATCTCAACCACCGGGCTTGACTACACCAAATACCATCCATGGACACATCAACGCTGCAGTCTGGTCAACAGACCCCTGCCAGAGCGGCTTCAACTCAACAACATCCTTTCCCCGAACACAGAGGCTGGAGGCTTATCGAAAACCTCCACATGCAACCAATGCACATCCAGGCAGTCAGCGAATGGCTCGAAAGCAAATGATAGCTGCTAAACCCTCGGCCTATCAGGAACGAAACAGTCTCAAAATCATCTGGGGACTGGGCGGGATCATTGCATCGAACCCGCGGGTACACTGAGATATCCCGTGTGACTGGTACTGAATTTTCATCTTTTCTTGCCCGCAAGGAATGACGGCTGATTATTTCAAGTCCTAGGGAAGCCTGATCCGTTAAGGAATGGAGTTTACTATACTCTCTGGCGATAGAAACTTTTGAGTGTTTGAAATTCCACGCTATGCATCCCCAGAAAGAAAGTGATCATCATAGCATTGGTTCTGAGAGCAAGCGGAATGAACGATATAGTATTCACTTCACAATCACCTGGGTAGCTCGCTGGCTAAACACTTCCAGCGAAGGTTTGGAAGGCCCTGGTGACTCGATACGCGAGAGACTATCTGAGATGGCAGCTTGGTAAGACAGTCCTCCGGTTGTTGAAAGACGCCCATGCCAATGGTTGTCGGTTTCTAACATTTTCTTTAAGATGTAGAATGGTACCAGATTCCTCGCCCCGGACAATGACTGAGAACGGATGGTCGGTCAACGTCACAAGTACTTATCAATCGATATATATCACGGGTTAGCACCGACTCCGGACGATATGGGGCCAACCAGGAGGCTAACGAGTCTCTTTCTTTTCCGAAGGACACACCTCAACAACCAGGTTCACGCTTCCGGGAAGAATTTGACCAATTTGGAAACCATTTTTATATCACAAATCCCTCTGGTACCGGTCATCGTTTGGCCTGTGGTGACCCATATTCCAGTCTCCAAGGCCTTCTACGTTCTAATAAATTGACCCGTCTCGCCGGCCAAGCGCACTGTACGGAGAAAGTTGAATCTTGCGTCGGCTATCTATACATTCTCTTCTCGAGAAAGCCGTTCTTCTCACCAAAGACTGAACAGGCGCGTCAAAGTAAAATCCGGCATGATCTGCACGAGGCATACTGGCAGCTTGCGTGCCAAAGCCAAATACCTCACAGCATTTTGTATGGAACAGATCCCAGAAATGTCATTACTTGCATGCTTCACGATGTATATCCTGACGGATAGATGAAGACCCAGGCGGGTCAAAGGATGTTATGAATCTTGCAGCCGGAATTCCCTCGCGGCAAGTCTTCGCAGCCACGCTGAATACACATGGTTCTATCAACACTGAATGAGATGGTGCAGAAGAACTCATGTCCACAGAGGAGATCATCTCTGCTGTCTAACGAGCTTGCTTACGCTCCTCTGGAGACAACTTATCTCTAAGGACCGTGCTCTATATTCGTAACCAGGCGGGACACACAAGTCTCTCTCCATCTCAGATACGAACGAGAAAGTGCCGAAAAGCTCGTCCTCTCAAAAGACGAGAAGATATTTGCTGTTCGACAACCTTGTTTATTTATACTCCTCTGGGGAAAGCATACTTTGAAAGAACGCCTGCAAAAATTGGGGGACAGAGGATCTTACGGACCCGTCTCCCAAACGTCGTCTTCCTCCTTTCGTACTTGTCTTCTTCAGGCTCGGGTCTTTATTGAGCAGTACACTGTACTGTTCTTTCTCTTGGCTCCTTCCATCGTGGTGAGACCGATCTCATGAGCACCTTCTACATTCAATCTGCTAATCTGCCCGAAGTTCCAGACATGGTCGCTCATATATGAGAAGCAGGCAGTCATTTCCATGACTCTCGTGCGCCTCTCCGCCCACAAACATGCTGCCAGCTGCTGATTTGTCCTCCATTGTATCGTCTACGAACAGACCGTCCTGGACTGAGACTTCCGGGATAAAAATACGACAACTCGCGACCTTATCGACGAATATATTGCGTTCCAATCGACCAACTACGGCTAGGTTGAACCAGAGAAGGGTGAGATACGCAGTAAGGAGGCCGGTGCAAAGCCCAAGCTAGACGTGATCCTATGATCTTCTGGCATATTATGACTGGGAGAAATTGCTTGCAGCCGCCAAGAAGTCAGAGAGACTGGACATTAAGAGCCTTAATTTCCTAACAAATGAGCGTGCTAGTGTTTTCACTCTCTGGTATGTTGATCAATTGATGAAACTCCAGCCTGCTATGATTCTCTTCGCATCTACTCGGGCTATGAAGAAGGACGACTTCCACAGAAAAGGAACACCCAAACCGGCAAACAGAGATTCCTATGGCCGGTATTTTTGGCCTTGGGAGCTCGGATTCCGCTACTGCTAGCGGTCCCTCGGGCAATCTTCACTCTACATTTAGCAAGTACACCCTCATGGTCTCTGGTGCGACAGACCTGGACTGCAGACAGGTGTTTGCCGACTTTATGCCGGTATCAACGATGCCATCGAAACGTGACAATAATGCAACAATGCTTCCATGGTTCCTATTCCAGGATCACTTCACACAACTGGCAAACCAGAAGTCTCCCCCTATCTCAGACATGATCTTTATGAGACATGGGGACAAAGAGAAATATTTGTTTACATTTCCTTGGCAAAATCAAATATTTCTCCTCTTCAAGGGGTTTCCATTCTTCATAACAGAAGATGATAATATCTCGCAATGGTATACATGTTTGTACCTGAGAACCAGAAACCCAAGAGAACCGAAGAAAAGCAAGCTAAGTTTCCTGAATGGAAGTGCCTTCTACGTGGACCTTCCTGCTGTAGGGGAAAAATGAATGTAGACCCGGTTTCACCAGTCCAAAGATGTTGAATTTTCCAAGGTAATCTGTCTCAATTAGGTATTACCTACACACAAGCTGAGCTTAGCCAACGCCCAACTCAGTCAGCATCGCACATCCTCAATCGCTCAAGGCAGTACAGAACCCAGCAATCGTCAACCATCTCACCGTCGCACCCGGAGCAAAGTAAACGTATCATCCTCGTAGGCATGAGTGCATAGAAGGACATGAAAACGGCAAAATATTGTGGAAAAGAGAAAGAGAGAAAGAGAAGAGAAAACATAAAATCAATTCAACTGGAACATTGAAGACGAAAGCCACGACGCAAGCAAATAAAACAGCATTTCAGGCGCCGAGAAACAAGAATGCCAAAAGGGGAATTAGCTAAAAGTCAAGAGAAAGGGGGTGAAAGAAGAAAACGGGGGACACACTACCAAAAGGCAGTGATTGTGAACATTATGGTGTACAAAGCGTAAAAGGCGAGTTTGATCTGATGACCATGGTCGAACCTGACATGACGCTATCTTGATATCCATCATTGAGGGCCTCGGAAGGAGGCCAGGAAGAATCAAATCAAGACACCAAAACAATCGAGCTCGAGGTGAAGGAGGTTGCGATCTGCGCTGAGACGTCAAGAATGCGAGCATAGTTGCACGGACGGATCAAAACCGAGGTCAAGATTCTGAATATCATCATAAAGCCGTTGCAGGACGTGACCAAAAGTACTCAAGAAAGGCTTTAGTTATTCTCCCCCCTCACAGTACGCACAACGCTTTTCGCGGCCTTCTTCACGCTGCCCTTCAAGCTTCTCTTCGCCTTAAGACCGGAGACCGTGCTCGACTTTTTGGCTTTAGAAATGGGCATTCGAGCTTTGACTGGGCTCTTTGTTGGTGCCTTTCTTCCGGCAGGTTTGCGAGGAGACTTCGCCTCAGTCTTCTTAGCCTTGGCAGGTGACTTCTTGGGAGACGAACGACCAGTGCCCTTAGCATGCGCCAAAATCTTCTTCTTGGTCTCGGGAGACGGCCGCTTAAGCGGTGATGATCCATTTCCTGATGAGGCAGCTGTTGCCTTTGCAGGTTTCGCTTTTGAACGGGGTCCATTGCGAACCGCAGCCTTGACTCTTGATGCGGCCTTGACTTTGGGCAGTTTAACGTTCTTGGCAGCCTTACCTCGGCCGGTGGCCGCCACGGCTTTGGTCGTCTTTTTGGTTGCTGCTCCCTTTCCTCGTGCGGTGGCTTTAGCCACGACCTTCTTGACACCTGCTTTGATCGACTTAGGGGTCAGCAGCTTGCGCTTCTTTCCTTTCTGCGAGGTCGTGCCCTGTGCATCGGCCATCTTTCGCTTCTTGCCAATAACCTTCTTGGTTTTCTTCTCGGCACCCTGAGATTTCTCCTCTAATTTAGCTCGCTGATCTTTATCCTTTGGTCGTGGACCAAGGATTCCTCGGCAATTATCCGATCCACAGCGACACTGCTGGACATTCTTGTTCGAGTAAGGACTGATACAATTGTAAGTCACGGTCCCGATCTAAGCGTCGAATAATAAAGAAGAGACTTACTCAAAGTTGTAATCGTAACTCAGCTCCTCCCCAGTCATGATACCTCGATCGCCAGCGAAGAGAGCCATGCGTGGTTTGCCAGCGACAGTCCACTTTTCCATGCGGCAATTAGGCTCGCAAGAGTGGTTGACAAAGCGAGCAATGGAACCTCGAGTAGCGTCAATGATCATGTTTTGATCAAAGTACATCAAGTAGTAGCACTAAAGCCCCCATGTCAGCGTCTAGCTAGACAATTGCTGTAGGGGAAATACTTACCTCATTGTTCTTGTACACTGATCGCATCCTCCTTTCACACTCAAACTGTGTGATAATCTCTCCAGTGTATTCGACGATAATCTGGTTTGGTTCGAAGGTACGATTGCTCCGGACACCGTACCCACGATCGGCTGTCTTGATCACCTCGACACCGATGTTGTACTTGCCCCCAGCCTTCGTCCTGTGCTTGAGCTCGTTGAAATTCCGATTTCCGCACTCTGGGCCGAGTCTACAGTTGCCACTGTCACACTCATAGAACATGTAGCGGTTCTGGCAGTTCTCGTCGCAGCCAGTCTCCTCCTCGCACATGCATGTAGACAACTCCAGCTTCTTGTTGGCTTTCCATTCGCTAGCAGCGTCCCCAACAAAAACATCTAATGCACGGTTAATTTCATTCTTATCGAAATCGATATTAGGCACGGCAAGAACTCACTCTTGTTTGTCTTGCGCCATTCGTCCGGCTTTGGTTGACCTTGTGGAAGCGGCGAGAAAATGTCGAATGGTACAACGTAATCTCTGCCAATGTTGACTATGCGGGCCCCAGTGAACATGGGCATGGGAAGCAGACGTCGCTGTGCGGGGACATTGCTGGCCTTCGCAGAAGTTTTGCTGCGACGCTGCTTGGGAGGCGAGTCGGAGGGTTCTTGCCCCGTGTATAACCCGTGCGATAACCAACGCTTGGGCTTGTACCGAGGCGGGGGAGCTGGGGCAGTCGGCTCTTCTGAATGAGTCTTTGTTTCTTCTTCGCGCAACTTGGATAAGTCACTTTCAGAGACACGGCGCTTCTTCGCGGCAGGTTCAGGTGCGGGGGCAGGTGCATCGTCCTTGACTGGCGCAACGTTTCGAGGCCGAAGGCTGGCACGTCGACCGACTTCCTTGCCCTTGCCATTCGAGTCTCGCGAGCGCTTGCCCAGAACACTGTTGGCACGGTCTAACAGATCTGACGCTCTATCGACAAGGCTCAAGCGGGTTGAGCGGCGCACCGAATTGCGAGAATCGCTCTTTGGCGTTGCTTTGGCCTTGGGTGTCTGTGCATCTTCGGCCAAAGCCTTTTCCACGCGCTTTCGCAGAGTTCGCTGTTGGAGCGAAGTGGCCATATCTCCAGCTTGTGGTTCCTGTGAAGACTTCGAAACTGGTGTGTCGGGAGCCATTGGGTGACCGTCGGTCATAATTGTATCGTCGTCGGGGAGAGCGGTGCCGTTGAACAAGGATGATTCCATCACGGCGATGCTGTGTCGCAGCGAGGAACGAGTTCGCTTTGCCTGGACAAGGCTGTCGACATAAGCCTGGCTAGTCGAGGCAGCAGCATCATCATCCTCGACGGGTGTAGCCTCCAGAGTCTCAGCCGCCTGTAATGATGCGCGTGCCACACGTGTTGACCTCCGGCGGGGTGCGGGTTTCTCCTCAGATAACGCGTTTTCATTATTGCTGGAGGTCTCAGAGCGGCTATTCTCTGGTGTCAGAAGCTGTTCTGGTACGTCGAGGCTCATTGTGTCTTCCGGGTGGTCGTGCGTGGGAAGGTCGGTGATTGCGGGAGTCGCGGACGTGGAGATGAGGGAGGATAAGCGCGCCATGTTGGGAAAGAGGTGCCGATATCCGGCAAAATACAGTTCCACAAGAGGAGAGGACTGCCTTTCCTTAAGATGGGCGTCGTGGGCGAGGAGATCGTGGAGGCTTTTGGTTGTATCAGGGGTGGGTGAAGGTAGGAGGATCAGCAGCCGCGCGCTTCTTATCAATTTAGGGCGATGCGGATGTCTGACGCGTGCAACATCAACACTCGACTTCGGTTTTCAAACCAGCACGAGTACAGTGGATAAGTGGTATTGATTCAGTTCTTAGAGAGGTATTGTATGACAATGGGAGAAAGGGGCTGTATATAACAGGACAATCCAAAGGGCCTGGATGTGGAATGCGAAAACTCCCTCATAACTTTCATCCCCGCAGAACGCATTCGACGCGTGATTTATTGCACTTGAACTATGCACAATTGAATTCTATTCAGCCAGGTCACTTTGGGTATTTTTGCCCATTCTAAAGATTTCAGGGACGCAGATGATATAGGACGAAACAGGAAAAATAGGAAAAAGGCCGGAGAAAAGGACTGAATTGTAATTCTTCAGTGGTACTCCAAAACGCTTTCAACCAGCGTGGAACGAGCACTCTGAGGGTGCGCAGAAGTTTATCTTGAACAAGAGACCCGAGCAAAAGAGAAACAAGGAGTATGTTGAAAGAGACAGGTGGATGAGAGAGAATGGCTAGGATTAGCCAGTGTGAAACGGTCATAATGACACGAAGGACTGAATAGAACATGACCAAAAGAAAAGGAAAATCCAGAGAATGTCAAGGGCAGGAGAGTAGTTCAGTCCGCCAAAATGTAGTCAACATAAAAAAGAAACATGGCACGAAGGGTATGAAAGGTAAAGTTTAACAGTGAACAATTAAAAATCCGTATATGGGAACTCTCCCAAGATTAATAGAAAGATGGACTTAGGTGCCGAGAAATGCAAGATCATATCGTCGTCTTCACGGGTCGTTAGCACGGAAATTGAGGCAAAAATGCGGTAAACACTTTTCTTTTCGGTTCAGCGAAGGTTGTGGTGCATGGATTAGTCCTGCCGATGAGGGCCAACATTTTGCATCTCAATTCCCGCCTGAGACTCGACATCGCGGGGGAGGAATTTTCGCTTTTGCATGGCATAGCGCTGGTCTCCTTCTTGGTAGGGACGCTTGAATTGCATGTAGGTGGGCGGGCGAGGCCGCCCCAGAACGGCGATCCAGTTCTTGAGGACGTTGCCTTGAGTGAATGGCCGATGACGGTCCTGCTTCTGGAACTTGTGGGAGTTGAGATACTCTCTTGTGGTCTCACCACGGCCAACCAAGAACAGGTGGTATATCCATAAGGAGGTCGGGTAGGGCACCGCAATGATACCGAAAATAACCATTGCCCACGGTACGCGCCACTTGGAAATGGCTGCCCCAAAGGAGATTCCTTCGCGGTTCATATAAAGCAGAATGTGCGCAAGACTGGCTCCGATCAAGAAAAGGGAGAGAATCGTACACGAGCTGACAAAGGCAAAGAAGTAGCGGTAGTTGCGCCGGCCAACGCAATTGTTCAGCCAGACGCAGTGGTGGTCGAGTGTCTCCACACAATTGTCACAGACTCGACAGTGATAGCAACGAGGAGGTCGCCAGATCGCACAGGTCTTGCAGTACTTGACAGGTACGTCCATGGCAGCAACATCAGACGTGGCCAGTTTGACCATGACCCAGTCATTTGTGGGCGGGCCAACAGCAAGTGGATCGTCGGATGTACCTGAATGAGGCATCGGGTGAACGTTCCGAGGCATAATTCCAGGATCGACCACGGAGGCGTGCACGAACGAAGAAAAGCAAATATAGAACACATATGCAAATAAGATGGGGATTGCGGGAGAAACATTGTGCCACAACCAAGGGGCGGAGAACCCAAAGAACAGAGCTGAGGGAACTACAACCAAGAACCCTGTTGCGATATTGATCGGCTTGTCTCTTGAGTTGAGGAACCGGCCACCGAAACAGAAGAGGGTATTGCCAACAAAGTACTCCCAGTTCTTGCCCAGATTACCCCGTGGCAATTGCTTCTTAACATCCATTGGTCCCGGAGATGAGCCAGCAGAAGACAGTCGCTCATGGCCTCTGGTATCATGACTGGAATGATGATGGTTATGTGCGGGGCCCTTATTCTGCAATGACAGGAAAGACAATGGTGACTTGGGCGGCACCTCTTGGGCATGGTGTCCAACATAGTTCGCGCTGAGGTTTAGGTGGCCGGGACGAGGTTTGTCTCTTTGATCTCGATCACGAAGGAGCTGGACGCTTTCACCTAGACTTCGAACCGTCGTATTGCCTGTTGGGCTGGCATTGGAGGTGTTTCGGTCGGGAATAATGGGATCTGTGAACTCTGTTCCCCGTGATGGAGGCACTTCCATATCCACCTGTGGAAGCGATCCTTGTTGCATAGTGCTGTTCGAAATCAAACTCCGGCGATTTTGACTTGTTTGGTCGTTCCAATCATCGGTCGAGGATACCGTCCCCTTGGTCATTGGCCGTCCTCCTCGGTGTGCCTGCAGTCGCTGCGAGCTCATCGGCCGAAAGAAGGCCTGGGCCGTAAGAGATGGAATGTGCGTTCTGCTCAGTCGGCTTCCCGAGCTACCAGGTCTCTGACTGGACGCAGCCATCGAGCTCCGACTAGGCGGCGGAGCACGTCTGGAGAGAGAGGTACGCGGTTGGACCGAAGGTGGCGGCGATGTATAGGACGGAGCGTTCTCCCCATCTTCTGACGCAACATCTGTGACTCGGGACGAGATTCCTCCAACAGATGGTGGTCGAGGGATTCCTAACACATGCTGGTTCGTGTCGCGGGTATCGGGGCGGTCTACGGAGTTCGCCATGATTAGATAGCAAAGGTATTCGGTTGGGCTAGCAGGCAGTGCGCGCTATCATATTTCGTCTCAGGAAGCTGTACTGAAGAGGGGTAGCAGTGCGGCGTAATCGAGCTGAGTTGTGAGCTTCAAGGCAGATCGGCGGCGATTTCAAGGAGTGGGATAGCGAGGATAGAAAGGAGCGACGAGCGAGTGTGGTACTGATTTTGAAAAGCGACTGGATAAATTATCCAAGGTTCTAAAGCATAAATCAGCAAGGAGCTCCAGTAAATCCCTCCTTGAGGGGACAGTCAATTCCACGCGTAGCGAGCTCGAAATCTGGGGTTCCAGGTCGAGCCCCTGATCGGGAAAACGCAATATGGACTGCACACCCACCTCTAGCATTGACGGAGATCCCCAAGGTAAATCCGTGAATCCAAAACAAGTGGACGGAGGCCAATTACATCAAGACCACAGAAACAGCCGTAGCAGACGTCTGCCCGAGTGAGAGGAAACCAGAAGTCAGAACCGCAGAACGCAAGGCCCATCGTGCATCCGCAAATTGCTCGAACCGGCGGCTCGATGAGTCAGCCACTGAGCGGACGGATAGTCACATGACCTGGCAACATCATTCGATGCTCACGATTCTCTCCCACCAACCCCGTCTCCAGCTCTCCGCGAATTCCAACCTCCACGCACGACCTGCTGCAACCATGTCTTCGATCGCTGCTATGGCTTCCCGCCGGGCTCTGGCTCGCCAGCCCATCTTCCGCGCTCCCCCGCGCCGCTTCATGTCCTCCAAGGTTGAGGAGGCCAGCCTCGACAAGGCCCCCAAGCGGGACCCTGAGCTCTACGTACGGCTTTCGAACTGCCATTGATCTCTATTCGACCTCTCATTCTAATATTTATGTGTTCAGGTTCTGCTCGGTGTCATGTCCGGTGCTTTCCTGCTCGCTGGCTGGTGAATAACCCCTCTCCCACATCAATTACCCGACAGTCGTGCTCCTTGTGACGTTATTACCGCTTTTTGTGAAGCTACACGGAGCGATAACCTGCATTTATAAAAGCTGAAGCTTGTCAATTGTTGAAATTGCAATTAGCTAATTATCGGTGTCTTTGCGATATCAGGTACTTCGGCAGCAAGCCCACGTCCGTCAACTCCGAGAGCAACGTTCGCATTGGCGAGTCCGCCATGCCCTGGCACGGCGACGCTGCCGATGGCAAGGTCTACAAGTACCAGTACCACCCCCACGGTGACAAGAACCAGCCCCTCCGCGCTGCCCCCAGCGCCATGAACACCGTCATTGTTCCCAACGTCACCCTCCCCGAGGTATGCGACTCCAATTCCCTCGCGAGCCAAGTCGCGATCTCTACAGTGTTTGCACCCGTACCGTGTGGGCACTTGCTTTCGAATCTCGGCGAATTGGCCCAAGGATACTTTTCATCGCTGACCAATTTGTGCTTTCTTATAGGACCTCCACGAGAAGTTCAACAAGTACGGCAAGGAGGAGTGGGACTACTAAACGGCTTCCGCGAGGCCCTTTAAAAGATGGTGCGAGAGCGAATGGTCACTTATACGCGAGTGGCCGGCTGCTGTATACTAGGACTGTGATGACGGAAGAGGAGAGTTGTGGGTGGACTTGCGATTGCGATTACCGAAGATTTGTGCATAGTATCCGTTGTTCAGATAAAGAGTCAATTGGGAACCGGTCTCTTCATTTCATTTGTCACAAGTTGTCTCATTCCGTATATCGTCCGTTTGATTCATATGTGTTCTGATAATGGCCTGACCAGGACGGTCCAGCTTTTCGGGAACTCTCGGGATCCACTTTGTCCCGAAGCCACAGTACAAGAGCTAAGCTACAATACTAACAAGACGATTGGACCACTTGATCAATAGAAACGCTCATATCACAATTGATGTTGTGCAGCACTCGGAATCAACTAATCACGATGAAACGAAGAAAATAGCTATAAGTTTTCATGATACATGGTGTGGAGTTTTCTCGTCCCCTCTCCATTTTAGCATCCCCGCCTCAAACAAAGTGCTTATTTAGTGGCTTCATACCCTTCACTAGCAGGCTTCGCCTCGGGGGAGCCAGAGCTCTCCACGGAACGAACGTTGCCCTCTGCCACTGAGGCAGGGCTCTCGGGTGGGATCGAGTCCTCTGGCTTTCCGGAGCCAGTCTCAGGGTTCTGTCCCTGGACATCGGGGTGAGGAGGCGCAAGTTGACCATCAATGATGGGGATCTCCTGTGCGTGTTCAAGCTTGGACTGAGACTCGTACCGGGTCTCGAACTTGACCTTGCCCTCGGCGCGAAGCGAAGCGACTACGTCTTCGGGGAGAACATTGCCGTGCTGGTCACGGTATTCAACGCGGGCCATGGAGCCGGAGAGCTTGGGCTCGGTGACCGCAGCCTGATCTTCTTGTTGATGTTGCGGGGGGATCTCGGCCGCAGGTGCTTGTTCCTGCTGCTGGTGCTCTCCGGGCTTATGGATCTGGGCTTGCTCAGTCGGAACGGTGTTCAAGAAGTTGTTCACATCAGTAACGTATTGACTCAGCTGTTGGTGAAAGTTCGTGTCAGCCAAGGTGATCGTCGATAAATTTCTAATATCCTCGGCGTGGAGGCCTCCACTCCGGTACACTTACGTCGGTGTGAAAGGTGTTGCAGTCGAAATCCCAGCCATCCAGAAGCTTGACCTTCTGGCAAGCACTCTGGGTCCAGGGGTTACCGTAAATTAAAGGAGAGTAAAGAGTGAAAACTGCAATGCTGAGGATCAGGAATCCGGTCATCAAGACTTTGCCAATGGCAGGCTTCGATGCGAGTCCGAGGCTCTTGATGCGGTTGGTGATAAAGTCAAATTCTTGGCAGAGCACCATGATGGCGAAGTAGAGAGCGGGTAGGTAGTGATGTAGGAAAAGCTGGCGAGCCATGAGGTAGAATGGGAAATAGTGGAAGAACCATCCAAGAACGCTGGTGCCGACCTCGTAGTCAAAGCGCTTGAACGAGACATGACGGTAGTCATTGCAGCTGCGCTGCCAACGAATAACCGCGATGGCCTTGAAAAGGAAGTAAATGCCAATGGCAGCGGTCGATGACCACCAGATAAGTGGGTTACCCAGGAGATAGATCTGGCGGTTGTCCTTGCCCCAGAAGTTAATACCACGGAGGAGAGTGGGCCACGAAGGAGGCCGAGAGTCCCAGGCGTGAGACTCAACCAAGCCGGCGTTGGTGGTCCACATAACCTTCTGCAGCTCCCAGAACTTGCCCAAGAAGCCAGGGTTACGGTAGTTGACCTTCTCAGCATCCGCAGGCATCATGGGGTGAGTGTTGGACTCGATATACCAGATGCTGTTTGGCAGAGTGCCGCCACGTGCGCAGGTAACCTCTTGCTGCTCGAAGCCCCAGTCGGGAAGCTTGACCTTGTGAGAGAACAGAACACAGCCAGTCATGACGTGCACAAGCCTGAACTTGGTCTGGATAGTGCGCAGGCGCTTCTTGGCTTCGGCACCCTCGGACATTGACTTCACAATCTCAATCTTGAACAGATCATTGGCATCACCGGGGAATCCTTCGTATCCGTAGGCGGAGACCTCGAACTGCCAGTCGGCCTCAGTCACGGGCGGGCGTTCATCGTGAGAGTGGACGCGTCGGTGGGTAATTTCATGGTAGAGACGGACAACAGCTCCGTCCTCGATGAAGCTCACGCTGGAGTTGTCCCAGGCAAACGGCCCCTCAATCTCACCATAAGGACCCAGAGGCTGGGTCTGGTTCTCCATGACGAACACGTTATTCTCATCCTTGTGGGGATAGAGAGTAATCTGCTGCTGCTTGCTACCGGTGGGGTACATATGATTGTGGGAGTGCAGGTAGCCACCCTGGGTGTTGTGGTGACGAATACTGACGCGGGAGCCAAAGGAAACGTCCGCCGGTACGTCCTGCATGGACTTGGAGTTCAAGGTAGCCTGGAATTCTGACGACATGAAACCATCGCCTTCTCCGGGGTTGACCAGGCAAAGGAAGTGGATACCAAACATGGCCATATAGAAACCAAGAGGAATGACAATAAGACAGAAGACGCGGGAGAAGAAGTGCTTGAACCATAGTCGCTAGATCCATCAATGTTAGCACCCCAATCATAACGAACAGTATACGTTATGTCAAGAACATACCGGAGTGACTGTCTTCGCATCGCCGAGCACGACCCAGAGCTGGAGGACCGTGAGGGACCCAACCCAGGCCATGGTGAAGAGACCAACCCACTTGATGCTAAGAGTGGCGCCGAGCGAAACACCAGTTGCCGCCAGCCAGAACCACCATGGGCCCTTGAAAGCAGCAGCGGGACCCAATTCCTGCTGGTTTGTAAAGCAGCCGAAAGTCAACGCAGTCAGAGCAGTGAAGAACACGAGAGGCGAGTCCAACAGGATCAGGCGGGATTGAGTGGTCAGCGCGTTGTCTAGAGTTCCAGTTAGAGATGTTTGAAGAGTAAATATGGTGACACTTCGGGAACCTACCGAAGATCACAAGGCCAGCGCCCATGACAGCGGTTGAGGTCCGGCAGCCGGTCGCCTTGAGGGTCAGGAACATGAGGGAGACTGTGAGGACACCGAGAATCGCAGGCAGCATTCGCATTGCCACGTATGGCACGCCGGGCTCCAGATAGTCCTTGCCGATATCCTTGAAGTCGAATTCTCCATCGAATCCAGCCAGCCAACCAGCCAGCGTGATCAACAACTTGGCAAGTGGCGGGTGGACATCCATGAAGAACTTTCCTTTGATGTACTTGCTAGCGAAACCACCGAAACTGGGGACACAATGCGTTAGCCTCAATCTCTTGCCAATGGACATGACTCGGCAGCGGTTTAACATACTGGACTTCATCAAACACAACACTGCTGGGCTGATAGATGCGGAACAAGCGGACAGCGGCCGCAATCAACGTCACCAGCACGAGCAGTTTGTAGTCGGAGGCGGGGAGGTTGAGAATGTCATTGTCTCGCACACCGTCTGAGGCGTAGTTGGCAACCTTGGCCGGCTTTCCACCCTTGGGGTTTGGCGAGCGACTGCGAGAGCGCCGACCGCGACTCTGCGGCCGCACAGCCAGTGTATCCTTCGATTTCTGGCCCATTATGGTTGGAAGTTGTCCGCGGATGCGCAAGGGAGGAGGATCGTAGGGGATGGGCGGAACAGTCGAGGATCGAACGGCAGAGACTAGACGAAAAGAAAAAAAAATATAAGACTAGTGAGATCGTGAATGAGTCGCCAAATTAAAGGAATTGAATCCAAAGGGCGCAATAGCTATTGAAAGCTGCTATGACGGAGCTCTCAACAGCGCGCAGCGCTTCACCACAACGGTAATGGTGGGATTGAGATTAATGATCGTAGACAGTGAGAAGAAAAGTCCCCATTACAGGGTAAGTAAAAAAAGAAAAGAAAAAGAGGATGAAGAGAGTGTCGAGAAGAATGGACGGAAACGTGCAGAGGTCCGTCTTGAGGCCAGATCGACGAGCGGAGCGGGCAAAGAGAGACACGCCAACACAACGTGAGAGCGCTAAACGGGCCCCTTAGAATTTCAGCCCCAAGACCCGAGGCTGACATCGGCCCATGTATTTTACGAGGCCATCTGATGGAATAGAGCTTACATTATATGTTTATCGATCTATATGAAGCGTGTACAATGTGACTTATTCAATTTTTCACCACCTTAAACTGTACCTCAATCCCTCAAAGTTTACGGAGCATAGAAGACCGATTGAAAGCGGAGAAGCAAAGCGCAGCGTACACAAACCTCGCCGCACGCGGGAGAGTTGCACAGCCACATCACTGGCCAGAACTGTGGCTGGTGTGTAACAGCTGGTGTGGCTAGTGAGATGGCGTAGTCAGCACCTCATGAGGCCCGGCCAAAGGTCGTCGCGAAAAGGTGGTACTCTCTCTAATCGCAACTCCGTCAACCAGTCATGGAGTCGTCAAATGGAAACACTCCCCTTCCGGAGGACATGAACAAGGCTCCAGAAGGTCTGGTCCTTCCTCCCAAGGATATTCGAGGTTCGTCTCCCTCTCTTTCCCTCGCGAGAGAATGCTGCTAACCGTGTTTTCCAGCGATTGTTGAAAAGACCGCGGGCTATGTTGCTCGTAATGGATTCGTCTTTGAAGGTGACAATACCCTTTCTGATCCATCAGATAAATCCTAGGCTAATTGTGAAACCTTTTTCATCCAGATCGTGTCCGTGAGAAGGAAAAGAATAACCCTAAATTCTCCTTCCTGAACGCCGGCGATGCCTACGAGCGTTTCTATCAATGGCGCCTCACCGAGATCAAGGAGGGACGTGGGACCGCTGTCTCGGCAGGACGTCCTGGCGAAGCTGTTGCTACTGCCGAGCCCGAGAAGCCCAAGGGACCTCCAGAACCTCCCGCGTTTCATTTCTCCGCGCGCATGCCTATCATCAATGCGCAAGACCTAGAGGTGGTCAAACTAACGGCGCTGTATGTCGCCAAACGAGGAAAGTCCTTCATGACCGCACTGTCGCAACGTGAGGCTCGGAATTTCCAATTCGACTTCCTCCGGCCTCAGCACAGTCTCTACCAATTCTTCACTCGTCTAGTTGACCAGTACACCATCTTGCTGCGACCCGAAGGGATCGACGACGCCACCACCCAGCAAAAGCGCATCGCTGAACTTGAACATAACGTGAAGAATAAATATCATATCTTGGAGCGCGCAAATCAACGGGCGGAGTGGGTGAAATACCAAGAGCAGCAGAAGCATCAGAAGGAGGAACAAGTAGAACAAGAACGCATCGACTATGCTCAGATCGATTGGCACGACTTCGTGGTGGTCGAGACAGTCTTGTTCACGGAAAGCGACGACCAAGCGGACCTTCCACCGCCAACCTCTCTCACGGACTTACAATCCGCCTCCTTGGAGCAAAAAGCTGCCATGTCCCTAAACCCGCTCCGCATCGAGGAGGCCATGCCCACCGACCTCGACAACCCAACCTACTATAATGCCTATCCTGCCCAACCCGAACCTTCCTTCCCCGTCCCACCACCTTCTGTCTCCCCTTACCCAGCCCAAGCAGCGGCCCCATATCCGCCACCCGCGGTGGACTATGGCAGGCAATATCCACCACAACCAGAGGCACAGCAAGCCCGCACGGAGTCGCCCGTGCCGGCACCGGGTCAACCTCCCATGCGCATTCGCTCGGACTACGTGCCTCGGGCCCAGGCCCGCCGCCAACAAGCTGCGGGTGCCACTGCACTTTGCCCGAACTGCCACCAACAGATTCCCGTCGCCGAGTTGGAGCATCACATGCGCGTCGAGCTGCTCGACCCGCGATGGAAAGAACAGCGCGCCAAGGCCGAATCCCGCAGTGCCACAACCAACCTGTCCACTGTGGACGTCGTCAACAACCTCAAACGGCTCGCAAGCCAGCGTAGCGATGTGTTTGACGCCTCGCTTGCGCCCGATCCTGAGGAGGAAGCGCGCCGCAAGCGCATGGCTATGGGTGCTGCTCCAGATGGCACCCTTCCTCCTGGAGTGTCTGCGCAACCGGGTCCGGCTGTTGGCCCTTCAGGTGTGCCCAGACCCCAGAATACAAACATTGAGGACCAGATTCGGCATTTCCACCAACTTGCCAAGCAATGATCTCGAAGCTTAGATCGAGTAATCTGATGATAATTGGTATTTAGCTCATCTGCGAAAAGAGTTGCTGTGGCACAGTGTTTTCGAGGCCTTTTTTTTTCATTTCGCGTCTTGATTCGCGTCTGGAGTTTTGGGGCGTGCTTTCTCTATACGTCTTTACCAGTATTCGGGTGGGAGAATGGATATGCGCCTTTGTACCATAGCTTTACCACTTTTAACGCTACCAAGATTTTGTCTCTGGTGAGCTTCATCTATCAAGTCCTAAGGATTCCGTTGCGATGTCTCCCTCATGATTTTCCTCAGTGCCTAAGTAGTAGTTCAAAAGGGCCGGTTCAGTGTAGGAATTTTGTGATACTAAGTCGACGTCGAAAGCCAGCTATGGAGGAAGGTTCGCTAACGCAACTATGCACGGATCCAGCGAAACCTTACGTAGACGAGCCCATCTGGACGCTTGGCCGTGCTGCGCGACTAAACAGTCGGCGGCATATGACTTCGATTGGTTTTGTAATTCCATGTTGATTGGGTATCTATGAACATCGTGATATGCAAATTCTTGTAGAGTAGGCTGGTCTCCCTCGGAACGAAGTGCAGTGAACGGACACTGAACATGTAGCATGAGACATGTACCATAAGCCTGTAAGTAACTATTCGGCCACCCTGGCCTTGCGGAATCCTTCCTTCTTCCGCCGTCTTTCTTTCTTTTCCTGTCTGCGCTCCGCCTTGGTAGCCTTGCGACCAAGCTTCTTGCCACTCTCGCTTCGGGTAAAAGTCTTGTCTTTCTTTGACTTATTCTTCCTTTTCTCTGTTTCGAATTGAATGAACTCTTCGCCATTTTTGAACTCTTCAGCCGCTTCATCGGCTTCCATCTCTTCGTCGGAATCGTCAGCTTCGGCACTGGACTGGGCAGTAGACGGAGCTGCGCTGGGGACACCCTCGGGTTGAGCGGGTGGATCCTGTACTGGCGTGGAAGCAGCCTTTTTGGCGAGCATTGCGGCTTTGATTTGAGCCCGCGCGCGCTCTCTGGCTTCGCGTTCTGCTCGCTCCAAATCGATCTTGTCATTCCCAGCCTGTTCAAGCTTGTCAGTGGTCTATCAGATCTGTAGCTTAGAGGACACTAGTTCTCACCAGTCCATGCTTGATGAAACGCCCTGCGGCAGCCTTGTCGAGGACCATGGTACGCTGCTCAGGTTCGGTTTCCAGCGCCTTCATCTTATCGAAGTATTGTCTCACACGCGTGATTTCCCGGAAAACGGGGTGCTGCTTTGCGTCCACTCCCCGAAGTTTTAGATAAGCTATGAAGAGGTCAGTGATGCCTTCCGAGAAGATTTCGAAAGTCAAGCTCACAGAAGATTAATGATTCGAGGGCATAGGTTGTCAGGACGTGGACTTTGGCCTTGTCCAAGATGGGCATGTTCTTCGACATTTTGTTCAGAGAACTGCCCAGCAACGGCTGCAAGGCATCCTCCAGATCATCCACGTTGTCATCCAGCTGCTCTAGCAGCGGTAGCAAATCTGCCGTATCCATGGTGATGTAGTTGTTGGTGTCGACGAAAAGTGCAGCAGGAAAAATTAAGACCGGTATAAATGAGGCGGTGGGGCAGGCGGTGGAGATCAGCGAGTTCCATCATTCGCGCATGGCGCTGCCGCGTTTCAATATTTCCTCGGCGCGCAACGAACAGAGCTACCAAGTGCATGTGAGGGCTTTGGGGTTCATTCGACCATTACGAAACGCAAAATGCCAATCTGAACACTCCATAACTCTCTTAACCCACTTCCGACTGGTCTTCCCGGACAGAGCCTCCGCCCATCATTATCCGACTTATCGCTCGGGGAGACGTTTTCCCCGAAACACCTTCAAAGTGGTGCTACAAATATTCGGGCGCCGCCCGCTATGGCGCAGCGGTGTGATAGACATTTGCCTTCAATGCCAAGTACGATCAAGTGGAGGATCTACGACAAGATACCTATCAACATGGGTGCAGGACGTCGAGGATATCTCTCGGGAGACCGAAACTCCTGGTCTGTCAGGGCGAGTGCACATTATGGGTCTTGGAAACGCAGGAACATTCATTGCTCACTCGCTTGCGGCACGACAATCTCCTCCTCCGATCACTCTCCTTATGCACCAGGCCTCGTTCTACCATGCATTCCGGCGGAAGAAGCGGAGCCTCGCTGTTAACTACAACGGCCTCGATGATAACAGAACAGGCTTCGATGTCGAAGTTTTGCACGATAATGTTTGGCACAGGGTACCTTCGAAAGAAGAGTATCTCGAGGCCAAGGAAAATCCAGATATTATTGAGGATGAAGAAGCTGTGCCCGAGGGGGAAGAACATATCGAATGCTTGGTTGTCTGTTGCAAGGCTTATATGACTGAGAAGGTGATTAGAGGAGTTCGTCACCGACTGAGCCCGGATTCGACGATTCTTTTTATTCAAAACGGCTTGGGCATCATCGAGAAGCTTAACAAAGAAGTCTTCCCGGATGAAAAGAGCCGGCCGCACTATATGCAAGGCGTACTCACTCATGGTTTGAAGAAGCAAGACTCTTACAAGATCGGCCACGTGAACGTTGGGTCATTGACTCTCAGTCCGGTGGCCACTGGCAAAACACCGCTCATTGAGGCCGAGAACGACACACATTGGGCTCCTACAACAAAGTACCTGCTACGCCTTTTGACTCTCACCCCTTCTCTTGTCGCCACTGCCGATACCCCAGCCGGCCTTTTGCAATATCAGCTAGAGAGACTGGCCGTTGGTTGTGTTCTCAGCTCGCTCGGCGCAATCCACGATTGCAAGAATCGCGAGCTCTTGTACAACTTCCCCGTCTCCCGCACTATGCGACTACTTCTCCTGGAGATCTCCAGTGTGATCTGTGCTCTTCCGGAGCTGCGTGGCATCCCAGGGATTGAAGATCGGTTTTCACCAGAGCGTTTGCGCCGACTGGTCCTCAACGTTGCCTCAAATCGCCCCGAAGACACTAGCTCGATACGGAACGATTTACATTACCAACGGAACACCGAAATTGATTTCCTGAATGGGTGGATTGTGAAGCGTGGTGAGGAACTAGGCATGAAATGCGTGCTGAACTACATGATTCAACAATTGGTGCAGAGCAGGATGTACATCATCAATCATAGGGAAGCCAGCGCGGTCCCGATCGACTTTGACAATGTTATCCTAGCTGGTGACAAGGGAAAGGATGATTAAGGCATTAGAAGTGCTTTGATTCTTCGTGCCTTAGCGGCATCATGTTTATCTTATTCGTGAACATACTTTTTCAGTTCGACCTGAAGGGTTATGGATTCTCTTCATCACAGGTCAATGGCCTTCAAGGCGTTTTCACAGATCTCTTTGATCTGGGCCCATCGCCGCAACAGCATCTCCGCCTTTTGGCGATCAGCTTGCACCATGGCATTCGATTGCACTGCGGTCTGCAAGGAGTTCATGGTTGCATCCGCCTCGGCAGCATAAGTCCGAATCCATCCCTTGATGATGGCTTCCGACTTCTTCTCATCTACTCCCTCAGTCGAGCCTTCGAGAACATGGGTCCTCCAATCCTCCTCATTCATGTACACTAGAGCCGCCGCAACTTCGGTGCGGTAGCACACCCCTTGGGAAATCAATTGGTAGTTACTGGCGAAATAATTAGCGTGTACCATACTTGAATATACCAAATCGGAAGTATTTTGGATAAATCTGGTCACTTACCCGTAGTATTGGTTCAGCCACAGCTCCTCTTGCTTCTCGGCGCTGTTCAGATCGCGGAAGATGATGTCGTCGAGGTAAATGCAGTCAGAGTCGTTCTTGTGCAAGAAGAACCCATCTGGAAATGCTCATGGTCGTTAGCTCGATCTCTAAAAAGGGTGCAATAGCAAGAAAACAGTGCTGCCTCACATTCTGCCAAAAGGAAATCATTCGGATGTGAACCATAGCTCATGTAAACCTCATCACCCTTCTTATAGTCTTCGGTCGCTCGCAAGGTGTACCCATCTTCATCGAATTTGACATCACACTGGTTCCAAAGTCAGTTGACCCTCCTTCTGAAGAACTCCCCAAAGGAGACGAGGTAAAATCAAGGCGTACCTCAACATCCGAATGATTGAAGTAATCGGCGAAAGGCAACATGGCCATAGCATCATTGCGGTCTTCGGGCGGTTCCTGGCCCGCGCCAACCCAGTAGAAACTCCTCGTATTAAGAATGAGCCAATGATACGAGAAAGACCGCCAATCAGTATCAGGCAGTGCAGCGGTGACATCTGCCCACGCCTTGCGCAGCCGGAGCTCCTGGCCCAGGAGAAGATTCCGATGCTCACTCTCATACTTCTTGAAGGGACTTCCCTTATCAATCGAGTTCCAAGTCCCAGAAATACAAGGGGGAAGAAAGTTGGGCTGGTTCGTAGACCCGTTCTCTTGATCACTGGCCTCGCTGTCAGGCCAGGGAAGGCCACCCAGTACTTTAGGCCACAGTATTGGCAGGCTATCTTCAAAATCTTGACGGGTAGGCCAGGCCTTGCGCCATAGGTCGTATTCTGCCAACTCTTCGTCACTCCCGTGGGTAAAGTATGCTGCCAGGATAGTCTGCACGGCAGTTCCTTCGGGGAATTGGTTCTTGAAGGATGAGGGGATTTTGTCCATTGTCAGGATCACGCTGGTTGGAACTTGGACAACAGCTTCTCCTTTCTTCATGGGGTGATGTCTATCAGCTTTTGTCTTCATATGGTGCCTTGGTTGGCGAGGATTGAGGGTTCCTACCTTGATTTTTCGAGTGGCTATCATTCCCAGACCTCGACCTGGAAAACGGGCTGGAGCGACGCCAAGGGCCTCAACTCCACGTTCCATGGCCCATTCTGTGAAGGCCTCGTGGTCCTCGCCGGGCCACCACTCTGGTCGTGGCATCTTGATCAGGCAATCGTGGTTTTGTCAAGGGACGGGCTTAACTGTGGGCAGTTTAGTATATGGAGCAAGGGCAAGGTTGTATTGGAACCAACAGAAGGCAAGGATAAGTTGATCGGATGTACTATTATTATTCAGGGATCCCTATCCTTGGAAGATAGTGGCCATCATGCAGGAATGAAGTTGATTCCGAGTTCTTCACTCTTCACACTAGTAAGTTGGTGATGGTCAACAAGTGAGGGCTGCCGATGTGGAGCAATTATCTGTTATCGATAAGCACTGGCTATCGCCGATTACGGGAGCCCACAGCGTCCACTAACGCTACCATCTCGGATATCAGACCACTCCATCACTCTGCGACTAGATAATCTTCGGTGTTTTACTGGACTTGGGGATACATGATGTCGGTTCTGGGGAGGCGAGGAGCTTGCGAGCTTCGATCTTTGGCTACTTCCCGCTCACCATATTCCGCGAACGCTTTGCGGCCCTTCTCCATTCTCAACCGTCCGCAGCCAAATTATCCTGGCCATGTCCCATTGACTACTATTGAGCGTGGTGCTTTGGCTATCGGTTCAGCAGTCGGGTCTCTGATCAACCCACGGAGAGCAGGTATGGCAATACCATCTGAGCTGACAATTAGAAGCTCCATCGTCCCATTCGTGCCATTGGCAGCTTCCTAGTCTACCCGAACTACAAGCCCATCCATCAAACTAATTCCCCGCTTCAGACCTAATTGCAGCCCTCGGCGAGGCCACCGCTACTCCATACTTTATTTACCGTCTTCGAGATGCAATGCTCTCCGATCCCACCGGCCGACGTATCCTCCGCGATCGACCCCGCATCACCTCCGAGACTCTCAACATGTCCTACCTTCGCACACTCCCCGAGAACTCCGTCGGCCGCACATACGCTACCTGGCTCGACCGGGAGGGCGTGTCTCCAGATACTCGGGACAACGTGCAGTACATCGATGATGAAGAGTGCGCCTACGTTATGCAGCGGTACCGCGAGTGCCATGACTTCTACCACGCGGTGACGGGGCTGCCGATCTTCGTAGAGGGCGAGCTCGCCCTGAAGGCGCTAGAGTTCCTGAATACACTTCTGCCCATGACGGGTCTAAGTCTGTTTGCGTTTATACGAATGAAGCCTGCTGAGAAGGAGCGCTTTTTGACGCTGCATTTGCCGTGGGCTGTGCGCAGTGGGCTGGGAAGTAAAGAGTTGATTAATGTGTACTGGGAAGAGGTGTTGGAGAAGGATGTGGACGAGCTTCGGGCTGAACTGAACATCGAGCGACCACCAGATCTGAGGGAAATCCGGAAAATGATTCGGAAGCAGCAGAAGCAGGAGAAGGAGAGACAGCAAATGTCGAGTTGAGAGCTTTATGCTCGCGAGATGCTTGTGAGGATCGTCTGTTCCTGGGAGAAAGTGTACGATTATAGTTGTTTGTCTGTCAAGAATATCCCCCAATGCAAAAAAAGGAACAATAGTAACGTCAACAAAATATATCCCGTCCAAGACGAGGTACCAGACCGTAAACGCCTGAAGTAAATTTTGAAGACCCCGAACAGGGTATCCAAAATGCGATAGGAAAATCAGGGAATGATCCAAAATTTTGGAAACACAAAACATTGGCCAGGGCTAAGCGCGAATCATGAACTGCCACTCGTCTCTTTTACAGATCGAGCAGATCATCATCGTCATCCCAGCCGCCTTTGCGCCGGCTGATCACAATCTTGTGTTCCTCCTCCTCTTTGCGCTGGTTCTCAGCCACGGCGTTCAGAAGCTCTTTCAACTGTTCCTCGGTCACCTTCTGGCGGATCTGGCCGGTCTGGGCAAGCATCATGAGCCGTTGCTCGATATCGACGGCACGCGACTCCTTGACGAGGCGGATGCGGCCGAGGCGATCGGCAGCAGCGGGGTCGAGGATCTGGTTCATAATGGCGGCACGGCGGTCGGCTGTGATCACGGTGGGTGTTAGTTCGTTGTTTGGGTCATAATGAAGTCGTAAATTATATTGAGGGAGACCGCAGCAAAGCGACGAGTCTCAATGACCTTGTGTCGCCCAGGTCTCGCGGGATGTGGACAGTCGGTGAGGGGAGGTTATGGTCACCTACATTCAGCTTGCCTGCGTTATAACCGTTTATTAGTCTCACTCAGGCCTTCCTATACCGTGGGATTGGCAACTCACCTCCTCTGGTCTTCCTGGCCAGCTTCTTGGCTAGGACCTCCGCGCTGGCCACCCTGCTGCTGCTGGAGCTGCGCAAGGCGAGCTCGCCTGATCTATGTGATTGTCAGAGGATGGATTCTGCCGGTCATGGGGAGAAGATGCGAACCTCTTCGAGTTCTGCGTCCGCCATTGTATATGTTGGTGCACGTGAATTGGAGCTTTCACGGTTTATCGGAGGGGAACTGTGCTTAAGCCCTGGGCGTGGGAGAAGATTGGATTTGGTAACCCCACCTTGTCCGCCTGAGGCTGCCACGCGGGGGGATCATCCATTCGATGTAACTGTACAGTATCTGGTTATCTATTCTGTGAACACTAGCGCATAATGGTATTGTCAAAAACCCGAGTGGTAATTTGTATGTTTCCGTTTGTACAATATGATACAAGCCCCCGTTTTAAAGAGTGTAACTTTAGGGAACGCAGGCTTCATTGATGCAATACACGCACAATATATGATCATCCAATTTAATGAATGACATGCATCATTGTCGGGGCAATAGGTAGCGTTCCTCAGCTTAGCACAGGAATATACAAGCAACAACTTTAGTGTTGTGACCGCCGAGGGTTGGCGTATAGGATCTAAGGCCCTCGTTGCGCGGAGAGGGGGCGAACAATGAATCAAGCACGTTTTACTTAACTCTAAGTCCACTGTTCACTTAACTGCGTATATAGTGCTAAGTTAGTGATGCCAACAATTGTATTTCTCTGTCTATATTACACGGGAACAAATTCGGCCGAAACAAATTAGACAGCCCCAGAACTTACTCTGAACTATATCATTTTTAATGTTTCGAACAAAAGTCACCACAAGAGTAGCGCCATTATTCATACAGGTCAAACTAATTTCGCTTCTAGGTGCTGTTTCCCGAATGGATAGGGCAATCTTGAGGCGTTAGATTGAAGGTCTCCGCGGCCAATATAGAAGTGCATAGTATAAAGCGTACAGTAGGGAATAAGGTTAAGCGCAGCAAACTTCGATAACAACGACTAGCCTCGGCAATTCGGGAATAAATATAACATAAAGGCAATACTCTGTCTTCTGTTTCGGCTTTAAAGGGATTGAACGATTCTAGCAAATCTTAACCATCGGCTTTAGTGACAGTAACTTCCAGCATAACTAAGCCATCAAATTATATTATATTTTTGATCGAGGTAGCGTTCGTTCAAAAGGGCGTCCGTTTAGGATCATTTTCGTTCAAGATACTATTAGTTCAGCATACTGTTCTTTATGACAATCTTCATTCGAAATAATGTTTGCTTACGACCACGTTTCATTCAAGATATTTTTCATTCAGCATGATCTTCGTTTAAGACAATCTAAGTTCGTCAGATTACAAAGTTCGTCAGATTACAAAGTTCGTTTGGCATCTCTATATTCTCAATGTTTACCTTCTTTTTGCCAGATCATCAGCCGAAGTGAACAAATTCAGGTAATCATGTAAAAAGTCAATATTCACAGACTGTTTATTCCACGCTTTTGTGCTTCTACATTTGCTTCCTGCCTACAATAAACTACCTATGGCTAAAGTATCATCCCATACATACACAGACAGCGCGGTTGTTTTTATGATGACCAACTCAACGTAGTCAATAGATACAGTTAGAAGTGAGTAATCTATTTTATTGAGAATTAGCAGACTGTCCATATTCCCACTTGGATTGGGCATGAGCGGCCAAGTAAAAGATACATCAACTTTGATGAAGTTAGACTCGATGATGTCACTCTACTATTCATCAAATAGCTATTCAATCATATACCTGGGAGTTTTTGAACGTGGCTAATCATTTAGTCTTCTTGGATGTTAGGGCCATCTATAATAAATATCCTCCTGCCACCATCTTGTCATCGTAGTACATTTTTCCTGTGATCAAGTCATTTTACAACCACTTTCTTTGCAAAATGCCAAATTCTCCCTTCAATGCTTATCGGTGAAACTTGGAGCTACTCGCTCCGGGGATGCTGTGACCCCCGAATACTTGTAAGCATCCACTAATGAGAACGTGATCTTAAGAATAACATTCAAAATAGGCTGTTGTGCTTATCTATTTCTATGCTGTATCTTTGGAAAGACGACTTCGCGGTTTAAAAGAGAGAAGGAAAGCCATTTTAGCGTTGATGTAATACGACGAATTTCCTTCTTGCCAATAATGACACCGATCATACGATTCTAGTGTTGTTTATTTTCATTACTTACCGCTTGTGGGCTATACTGGTTACCAGCCATGATGCAAAGAACTAAAATTAGGAAGCGCTTCCACATCAAAAGCTCGCCCTTCGGAGATTTCGTGGAGTCTGTCTGCTGCACTTGCTGTATTTTGGTGCAACAGTCTCAAGTCCAGACTAATAATCAAGAGGGATATAATTCGGTCACTCCAATGAATTACTCGGCGAATTAAAGGACTTGAACTACATTATCTAGCGAGCCTTATGGCTGACTATTCCGAACTGAGAATATGATCGATTTTTTCTTCACGGACAAACAATATTGAAATAATTTTAGCCAGTCTCATCGGCTTGTGATTTCAAGGCCTAGATGTACTGCTTACTCAGGGACCATCTATCACCACATACCGAACGCATGTGAACCACAGCGCGTGGAGAGGATACCAACCGACGTAGCAGATCCGATTCCGAAGCATGATTTATGTCAATTAGAAACTCCCAACATTCTCTCACCGACAAGTGCCGTGTAACCACCCAGATCTAACGGGTGTAATTTACTCGTGCTGAGCTGAACATAAAGCTTGGGTTTTGCAATCTTACACCATGGTCAGATTCAATATCAGACGGGATGACTACAAGCGAACTGCATACCGTGGAATTTCCATGATTTTTAATGACTTTCTTTTATCCATACTGTCGGGACATATCCTTCTGTTAGAACAAACTAGCGGCGACTCATTGCTATCGACTGATGGATAATCTACCTTCCTCGGTGTACGTATTATTGCGCTAGGCTGAGGCTCTGGCGTTGTGACCGCTGAGTGCCAGCGTACGAGATATGTGATGTTACAATTGTCAAAGAGGTTGTTCAGTCATTGGATATTTTGACAGCTTGTTAGGGACAGCTTAAACCCTTTCTTACATAGCTGAAATCAAACGGCGGGCTGCAAGCCCTAGATACTGAGGGGACGACTTCGTACAAATTGAAGGATACCTAGTCCCGATTTCAATCGTTATCAAAGATCGGGAACCAGAACAACAATTTCCATAACAATTTCAGTGTTTCAACATGAAGTGATCCTCTTGTTGTCTCAGTACTTCGGGACTGGGAAAGAGACAGTCAGTCCAGCTAGGCGCATATTATACAGGAAGAACTGCCCCCTAGATAGGCGAAGGACTAGAGGTTACCATCAGTGCTGATCAGTAAGCTAGATGAGAAAAACGATATAGAATAATGTCGCATGCCAGTGCTTCAATCCATAAATATCTCCCGTTTCCTTCGGAGGCGCTAAGTAGGAAGCGAGTAGAAATGTATCAAATCTTCATAAATAAATTTAAAATCCAGTTAGAACAATTAGGTTATATCAAGTATATCGACCTCGAAGAAGAACATCCTAGCAAAACGCATACAGGTTTGGTGTTCCATAAATATATTGTAGAAGTATTGAGTGAAATCGAAGACTGTAAATTGTAATTCCACTTTCTAAGCGTTAGATAATCTCCCTCTACACCAACACCACCCACTCTATATCCTTGCAGGCGACGTAAGTGATTCAAAATACATAGACTCAAGTGGAAACAGCTACAATAGGAGACAACCTAAGTGTAGCCCCCAGCGTGCTTATCCGACAACCTCAAAGGCTTGCGACACGGTAACCTTTTTACTGATTCCCTCAAATCTAGTTGTTGGTTGTTCGGAGCGTATACTAGAAATAGAATGCTCATGGTGTTCGTCGGGACCAGCGGCAGTAGAAATAAGATACGCTCGATCTTTCTAGCTAGACAAGAACAGGCTTTCGGAACTTTTATTGGCGACAGAGCGACTGGAATGCGTTTGCCAGCTTTCAAGCTCATTGTTTTTTAAATAGACCCTTTCCGTCGTGTTGCTTCTCATATTTTTCATTGTGGTGAAGAAATAGTTCATCGCAGGCAGGCAGGCACAGATAAGGCTAATTGCCGCTTCGGCGTTGCTATAGAGGCCTAGTGATCAGCAATAAATTCGCAAACTTATCTTCAGAAAAAAGCAAATAAACACAATGAATCCAGAACCACGTGGTATCAATCAATCAATCAATCAACACTCTATTAACCTGATGCAGCTTAACTAGTGGCGTAATGGCTATGCAGGCGTTTCCTGTAGCGGAAGCGAGAGTGATCCGAACGCTAGACCCGCACATGAAACAGTGGATACATACAGTAGGAAAACGGCGTATTACCACGTGGTATTTGTCGTGTTGCTCTGTGTTACCATGATCACCAGTCACCAAATACTAAACCCTGTAGCAAGTCCTCCAGCACCAAGAATCCCGACGACTCGCATTTTCTTGGCTAAGGTCATCTGACGTGACCAGATCATTAGGACGGGCAAGTCTAATATCCATAAGTCACCAGCGATGCTAATGACGGAGTTGGCAATAATAACCTTCCGCTAGTCAAGGCACTTACCGCTACTGGAGGTACCCAGCTAGTATGCCGAGATGGGGTCGCAGAAGAATATCTTGATGAAAAGCTCTGGAACATAATAACACAGCATGACGCCAACGCTGATGTATATAATTTTGACCTTACGGCGGTGGGGAGCAAAAACCCTCCCCATAACTGATAGAAGGGCGATCTTGATAATAAAAACCATAGGAACATAAATAAGCGTGGTCGTATAGAAGGCCTGGTTTCGATTTACTTATTAGCGTGCTGAAAGAGGTGCCAGTATATCTCATTCACACTTTTTGGAACTTAATAAACTCGGTTTCAGGGACATCCCAGGCATTGTATCCGCCACCATAGGAATTGACTATATCGTAGTTAGCAATATCTAGACCAATTTTTAGGATAGTGGGTGCGCACGTATAAGCATGCATGCGCAGAAGGCCATGAACAACGCCCTTGAAGAAGTTAACAGTAGAATTAACCGACCGAAAAGTTAAGAAAGCCAAAAGGCATCTAGCAACTGCGAAATCTGTTGAATATGGCAGTCAGTATCCTAGCATAGTGAAATGGGGATAGTTTCTGCTTATAGTCTTCTGCATTAAGGCTCTGATGATACTGAGCTTTGATCCATATCTATATAACGACAAATATCGTGACGACTATGATGCACAACATTTGCGTCACCAGGTTCACTGTGTGTAAGATATCTGTAGGATGTTGCGGCGGCACTGCAAGCTATGCCATTCCCGTAGTTCCAAATCCCGGAAGTCGAGGTTCTAGGTCGGCTATTTAATGTAAAAGCAGGGAACCGATATAATACTCTGAAGCAGCACCGATAGTTTCACGCAAAATGAGCAATTGAGATGGTCTAAAGAAATTAACCTAAAGCTACAGAAAGATACTTCATTACATGGTATATCGTGAAATAATTTGTATTAAGGAATGGGTCTGTCGCCTTGTACAGACAATGCTTATTTCTGAGATTGTCGTGAGCTCGCCTATCTTGATTGTGGTTCGTCCAGCGAAAAGCACGATAGGAATGAATTTACGGGTAGACTAATTACCTAAGTACGGAGTTACCTGATAGCTAGAAAGAATTCCGAAGGAAGAACTAAGTTCAACGAAGGATTAAGTCTAGTGGGTACAGTGCGGGTACAGCGCCGGAGTGCAGGCTTATTATGTCGAAGATCGTCTAGACTACGCTATAGAGCGGAGCGAAGCCGAGCAAATCTTACCGTAAGACTTTATACTAGATTAATCACAAGAGACCTATAACCAGCGGGCTAGAAAGTTTATCGTTGAGTACGAAGGATATCTAAACGAGATTGGATTCTGCCGAAGGCTTTTATACAAGATTCGTAATTCGGGGTCCCTGTATAGATAGAGAGAACAATGAGAGAATGAACTAAAATAATATATTCAGAAACCATTCACACCTAGAACGGAATTTATCCTTTGGCCCAGGTATACGGAACGAAGATGATCATGTCCTAGTCTGTCGTATCGGCAATACCTGTAGCGATGACAACTAATAAATCAAGTAACTAACTACTACTTCGTCGCCCACATCTTCTTCGTCATGTATCTTTATATAGCATCGCCATATAAAAGGTACCTACTTCCTAATTCTAGTCTTCCGTATTTATCTTAGTATTTTTACCAAGTATGACTAGATTTTCTATAGTAATATAATAATTCTATAATAAATAGTATTATATCCAAGAGTAATTTAGGAGTTTAAGGTTAGAATTAGAGAATTAAAATACATTTTAAACTTCCTCGTTGTGAATGTTTTCTTAGAGAAAAAAAAAGAGGAAATTATTTCACCCTTCTAAGTCTAAATTCCTTTTTAAATACTAGAGGTAATTAAGGGAGATAGATAACGATCTATTAGTAAGAAAGAAGACAAGAAAATTTAATTCTAATATATATTTATATTCAATAATCGAATATACATTACTATGTACCTTTCATCTGGTGATACTATATAAAAGGTACATGACGAAGAAGATGTGGGCGACGACGAAGTAGTGGCGGACCCACAAAGCGAACTGATGGGAGGACGCAGAATGTAAAACTGGAAGGGACGGATATGGTTCAGGATCGTTCGGGGCGGCGCGAAGCCTAGCGAGACCAGAGACCCACAGCGGGCTGGAAAGATTATTGTTTGAAATAGGATCCCAAGTGGCTTTTATTCAAAGCTTCGCTAGTCGGGTTAAAATGCCCAGGAGTAGCTTCAATATATTCTAATAATGCCAAAGGGAAGACTAGCACTAAAAGGAGGAATTATTCCCTTTACTAAGTGTTCCTTTTCGCTGCCTCTGTCTGAGTGATACTAAGGATTGTCCCCGATTTTCTGTAGAATTTCCTAGCCGAAGTTGCATTATTGTCCTAAGTGGAGCAGTAGAGAGTTGGAATTTATGATTTTAGCAATTCCCATATGCGATGAGAATACCTTCCGTACTGTATTGAGCTACGAGGTAAAGGACGACGGTCGAGGTCGTCCAAAGTAGCCTAGGCTTCCCAAGCTATGAAATTTTGCATATCGTCGAACAGTCACCCAACGGCTCGATCGTACCAGGAATTCTCATTTGACATATCATTCTTGGCTGTAGAGAAAAAGCCTACATTGCCTCGACTTGGTAAGGGCAAGGGAAACAGTACGGACAATCATGTATTTACGGTAGAAAGGATCGACTGAGACCAATTTATCAACTGGAATGAATTGATATAAGCGAGATCCCGTGTGGCTCGGTGCAGGCCAAGACCCCCTCCGAATGTGTGAGGAAAGGTTTGAAATAGCCACACTCGGGGCCTTCTACAAACATTTCATCTCTGCTCTCCCCCTTTCCCACGGTGCACTTTGTGTAATTCTCACTATGCCTTTTCTGCTTTTATTCGCAACATCTCTAAAACGTAAGATGACGTGAGTTTAGTAGGCAATCGTTCCAAGGACACCTCTCATCTGTTTTATGAGGAATTTGAGTTGTCGGCACAGGTGAATGTAGAGCCTATAGAGATATTAGTTGATGATTGGCGCAGAACTATGAAGGTAACACATATACCAATAGTTCCATCTGCGTAGGCAGCTTTGATTTGAATGATGACGCCGTAGGTTGCACCGACAAGGATGAATATACCGAGAAGAACAATTCCAATGTGGAGGAAGAACTTGACCTTCTGCATAAGAGATCCCTTCAAATAATGGCCATGGTCGTATAGCCACAGGAGCCCGGGGAGCGATATAGCGAGAGGAGCAAAACAAAAAGATCCAACCAATGCAATCAGGTAGTTGAAAATAGGAATAGCTTCTGCGAGAATGAAAGAAATGGCGCCTAGAACAACCGTACAGGCAAGCCAAGTCCCCCAATGAATCACCGAGTTTGCCTGCAAGTGACGAGTCTTGCCTAGGATTCTGACGAAGAGGTATTTTGCTCCAATCTAAAAACCATATTCAGTTGAGATCACATAGAGAGGAGACGGAAATTTCCTAACATGAAGATAGAGCGTGGCGCTCACAATTAAGCCCAATAAAGCGACGCCGTAGGACACCATCTTGATCGTTTGGCCCGCGCTCTGGACAAGAGCCTTGTTAGTTCACACTGATGGAAGTAGATTAGGACTGGGGTAGATGACAATCACACACCCCCAATGATGGGCTGGCAACCCATTGCCCACACCAACGGTAAACAACCAAGCTAAAAGCAAGATACGACGCCGTAACCAGCCCCATGCATGGATAAAGCGCTTTTTTGTAGTCTTTCGGGTTACGCATCTCCGAGATGACGGGGAGAAATGCGCTCGTACCGGCGGAGGAGACGAATATCGTGCTTGACGCGACCATACCGGCGGCGAAACCTGGATTGTTGATAGCCACATAACCAAGATCGTAGGGGCCTGTCTGGGGAGCAGCAGCGGGCCGGTCCCGCGTGGTGACACCAATGACCACAATCAGCACAGCAACATAGATGGAGATAAAGCCTGCATACGACAGCCAGCCAACGTGAGTGAGTTTGCGAATTGAAGCGGTCGCGATCACTCCTACCATAGCGATGAAGGACCACCAGACTGTACATGCGGCATGGTGGGAGAGGGCATTCAGGGCGGTAGACACGCCGACTATTCCACTGCCAGTGACAAGAACATAGCCGATAATGAACAGAAGGCCGGTGATTTCTTTTCCGACGACACCCCCAACCACCTCCGCCATATCTGCAACAGAGTGGCAGTGAGGGCGACGCAGGCGAAAGTTTCCAAGGATCACGAAGGCATATGTATTGAACGCGCCCCAGGCAATGATGCTGATTGCACCACCAACAGCACCAAGGGAGAGCAGGGCCGAAGGGATTGAAAGCACACCTGTCGCGAAGAGAACTTTCACGAACAGAATACACGCTTTGAACCAGCCTACATCGCGAAAACTTACACCATCTGCGGTTTTCTTAAAGACTTCAAGCTCTTCAGCTGAGTCTGAAAGGCTGGCGTGCTCCGCATCCGTGGACGCATGCGCTTTTTGCTCTTTCTCTGTCATTGTAGGAGGTTGGAGGCTTCTGGAAACCTCGCCTGAATAATTCTGAACCTGAAGCAGAGTGGAAGGCAAGATCGAAGCTTCTGTTTGTGATGTGGACCGACCGGGGTGCAGGTCTGCACTCAAGAGCACCAATTGGAACCCCTGACCCTCGTTTATAAATCGACAGAGGAAGGGAAATTTCTCCGATTTCGCTGTCTTTTTCTTTACTTTATTGATTGTTTTCTCCATTCTCTTGGGTGGTTGACGGGATTCCCGGGTGGGACCAGGAGACGCAGCCCACGGAGCTAGCGTATGCACTTGTACGGAGTAGGGCTCCTGATATGCTCGAAGCTACTATTCTCCACATCCCAGGTTGTCCGTTCTCCACTCAATATGGACCCAAGATGGGTCCTCTGGGTCCTATGGGTCCTCTCGTTCTCTCGAATCAGCTCCTCTTGAAGTATCAGTACATCTTTTCCAATTGTTCTTCTTACCCCTCATCCCTCCTGAACCTTGCCGTCTTTGGATTTGTTTATGGCATCATTCTCTTATCCCCATCAATTAAAGAACCTCTCATGGATCAAGGATATCAACTTGGAGTTGACGTCGGTGGTACCTTCACCGACATATATGTTCTCTGTCCTCACGGCCAAACCGTTCGAGCCAAGGTCCCAACCACAATCCCAGACCAAAGTATTGGTATTCAAAATGGCATCAAGAAAGCGCGAGATATCCTCAAAGCTCAATGTAACTGGTCTGGGAAGTTCCAATTCATCCACCACGGCACCACAACTGGCACCAATGCTGTTCTGGAGGGCAAAGGCGCGCGTACCGCTCTTGTAGTCACAGCGGGACACAAAGATATTCTGGCACTGCGTCGCTCTCAAATCCCAGGTGGCTTAGGTGCCTGGTTGCACTTCACTCCGCCAGAGCCCATCGTTCCATTAGAACGGGTAGTGCAGTGCAAAGAGAGAATGTCGGTCTATGGAGAGCGTGTCAAGGCCGTCGATGTCGAAGATCTTCGACGGAGCCTACGCATTTTGAAAGGACAGGATCCCGAAGCTGTTGCCGTTTCCCTCCTCAACTCTCACAGCAATGATTGTCATGAGCGAGTGGTAGAAAAGGTCATCCGAGAGGAGCTCGGCCCCGGCGTAGCCGTTATCTGTTCTGCCGATGTGTTGCCCGAGCCAGGAGAGTACGAACGCACAGTCACGACCTGTACAAATGCGCTAGTCAAACCGGTGGTCCAGACATATTTGCGAAATCTTGCTGATAAGCTTGCGGTCGAAAGTGATATGATTCGAGTACTCAAGAGCGACGGTGGATTGACCAGCTTGGATCTGGCGGGAGAATTACCGGTCACTATTCTCATGTCAGGTCCAGCCGGAGGTGTCACAGGAGTAGCAGACGTCGTGGCTCGAGGTACCCCTTACAAGAACCTTATTACTCTGGATATGGGTGGGACGTCGACAGACTGCGCTCTAATATATAACGGCCAACCTCGGCTTCGACGCGAGACCACTATTGACACCCTGTCTGTTCGCTCTCCTGCTGTCGATGTTCATACTGTTGGGGCTGGTGGAGGCTCTATTGCGACATATATGGAGCTCACCGAGACGTTGCGGGTAGGCCCCGAAAGCGCAGGCGCATCACCAGGACCTGCATGCTATGGAAATAAAGGAGATCAAGCGACGGTAACGGACGCGAATCTAGTTCTGGGTTATCTACCCAAGACCTTGCTGGGAGGAGACTTTGTGCTGGATATGAAAGCAGCTATTCCCGCTGTCGAGAATATCGCCTCACAAATGAACCTACCCGTCTCCCAGATTGCTGAAGATATCATTGCTCTCACCAACGAAACCATTTACGGGGCATTACGTCTTGTGTCCGTAGAGCAAGGATATGACCCTCGAGAATTTGCTCTTGTGGCTTTTGGTGGTGCTGGACCTCTACATGCGAACGCCGTCGGTCAACTACTCGGGGCATGGCCAGTGATTATCCCTCCATCACCGGGCATCCTGTGCGCCCAGGGCGACGTGACTACAAAAATGACCCTTGAAAAATCTGCCACATTTATTCGGCTGGTGTCCGATACGACCTCGGCCGCTGTTCGGGACCAGTACGGTGCCTTAGAGAAACAGGGCCGGGAAACCCTTGAGAGGTCTACAAGTGCATCATGGACCATGACATGGAAGACACAGTACCAGGCCGATCTCAGGTACAAGGGCCAGGCGTTGACGATCACGGTTGATCTGGACGCAGATGAGCTAGCTCTCAGCACTGATGAGTGGCATAATGTGCTCCGAGAGAAGTTTGACCGCCAACACCAGCAGCTTTTCACTTACTGTCTACCTGACTTTGAGCTGGAGTTGATACGACTAGGAGTGATACTGATCGATGACTCCCCTGTTGTTGATATTCCGCAGATTAAAAAGGCCCCATCAACTAAACCCTCCCCATCGGCAAAGATAGGGGAGCAGACCATCATCGTAGAAGGCGAGCAACAAAAGGCTATACTGTGGGATCGCTCAAAGATCTCTCAGCAGGGTGTGCAGCTAGCCGGGCCATGCATCATTACAGAGATGGATAGTAACACATTGATTCTCCCCGGATATTATGGAGAGATAGACAGTGTGGGTAACATTCTGATCCACCCATCTGGCAAGTCCAAGGATGCTACCAGTCATACAGTCCAGTCTGCCAGTGATCTCGTCAAAAGTACTCCCCTTATTCCCACCTTGATCTCTGCAGCACTTGCCTCTATCCGAGGTGAAATGGACAAGATGATGTTACGGTGCAGCATGTCACCAGCTATTCGCGAACAACAAGATGAGTTCAATGTCATCACAAACAGCAAAGGTCAGATGCTGGTGGGTCAGTTTGGGAGTTTTATCACCCAGTTCCTTGATGTTTGGAAAGGCACCATCGAGGAAGGCGATGTGTTCATCACCAACGATACCTACCAGGTGCAGGGGGCTATCAGCCATCTGAATGATATAATTGTTCTGTTGCCCATCTTTTACGACCATCAAATCATTGGCTGGGCTTCGCAGTTCGGTCATCTAACAGACGTTGGTGGTATGGTCCCTGGGAGCATGTCTATTAACGCGACCTCAGTGTTCGATGATGGTGTTCAAATTCCCTGCCTCAAGCTCTACAGCGGTGGAGTCATGAACTCTGATCTGGTGGAGCTTTTGTGCAGAAACTCTCGTCAACCTGATTGGTACCGATCCGACCTAACAGCCATTGTGGCGGCATGTACTATGGCCGCGAGACGAGTTTGCGAGCTGGCTACCCGTTTTGGCTGTGAGGTTTTCCTGGCTGCCTCTGACGAGCTATTGCAACGGAATCGTGCTGGAATGGCAAAGATCATCGAACGACAATTAGACGACAAAGAGAGCAAGTTTACTGACTTTGTGGACGATGACGGCCACGGAGTCGGGCCTTGGGCTCTCTGCTGCTCTATGAAAAAGATTGACGGTAACCGTCTGCGGTTCGACTGGGATGGCACTTCACCACAGAGCCGACACAGTATCAACTTTTATCTCTCAGAGACCATGTTCAAGATGTTTATCGGGTATTATCTCATCGCGGCTGCTGCGCCAGGTACCGTCATCAATGATGGATTCCACGACCTGATCGACGTACATATTCCCGAAGGCACGGTGCTCAAGCCTGTCCGGCCTGCACCAATCTCTTGTCGCACTCATCTCATGGGCCGTACGCTCGATATCATTCAAGCCCTGATCGGTCAAAAGAACGATGCATACCAGGCCGCAGCTGGATTTAGTGACTCGCCCCACTTCTTTTATTCTGGCTTCAAGCCTGATGGCGAATGGTTCCAGCTTTATCAGATCGGATTCGGGGGGGTTCCTGCACGTCAGGCCGGCGACGGTCCCGACTGCCACTGTCTTTTCCCCGCGATTAAGTCCATCCCCACAGAAAGCATTGAGCTCAATTATCCACTGCGTATTGAAGTCAATGAAAGTGTCGCTGATAGCGGTGGTCCTGGGTTCTACCGTGGCGGAAATGCTCAACGCACGGAGTATCGATTCTTGTGTCGTGGTGAATTTAGTTTGCACGATGATCGGTGGTTCACCAAGCCATGGGGTCTGAAGGGTGGCAAACCAGGTCAAAGATCACGAAAGACCCTATACAGGTACTCTAGGTCGGCCGAAAATCCCCCTATTGAAATCTTGCCCTCCAAATGTGACCATATCCGCGTTGACGTCGGCGATCTTCTCGAGTGGGTGACATGGGGTGGAGGTGGCCTGGGCGATCCTCTGACGCGACCTGCTGAAAAAGTGGCCCTCGAAGTCCATCGCAAGCTAGTTACAGTGGACGGAGCCCGCAACGGATATGGTGTTGTTGTGAACAGCGACTTTACGGTAGACCATGCGTCAACTGAACGGCTGCGGGCCAAGCTGCATCTGGAGCGTGCCCAGTGGGGGAACTTCCGATCTACGATCGCGGTGGAAGTATCGAAGAGCTGCGGGAAACATGTCTTGAAGAGACGGGGCTTGCCCCCCTTCGCCTCAATGGGAAGTCGAATTGTATGGGCCTCATGTAGGGAGGGAGTATGTCAAGACATGGTACGCCGACATGAAACTTCAGAACCAGTGGAAGATTGATTAGAAAACGCATGCTCGAAGAATGGATTGTGATGGGACGATCATCAAAGCCGCTTCTAAAGGGACTATTACAAAAACGATGGGAAAGTAGTAGAGTAGAGCAGCATAGAAAGACTTGGTGCAATTCTACTATCTGAAGGAAAATTCTGTATTTGTCATAAACCAAGCTCCAGTACCCATCCTGCTTTGGAGGTCTTAGTAAGAGGGATTGTTAGAGTAATATACCACAACAGACTGGTACTATATGCAGACGGCGAAAGATGGTTATTCTTATAGACTGATTTATGATATACCGGTGCAAGTTGGTATAATACTGAGATTGCGAAGGGAGAAAATAAGCATGAGCTGACGGGGTAGTCCGAAAGCTGTGCATTCAAAATCCATTGAGGCAGGTCTGAGTACTTGCACAAAGATAAGACCGCAAACAACTGCAGTTTCCACCCTCCTCGGGTTTACGATCCCTCAATTCCTTAGGGGAGGGTTGTTAGTCCATCAACGAGCGTCACACCAAGGCTAGCCTTGATGAATTGTTCTCCGTTCCTCGTCTAGGTGGGACTTTCTTTCTGCCGTGACAGGCCTGTACTCTCATCTCTATCGCTGCTAGAGGCAATGAGACGAGAACCGAGACGAGGGCTTGCATCGGCGTTGTATTCGGCGAGGGGCTGAACGTAGATGGCAAGCTGTTCTTCGAGTTCGTAAAACATTTGATCCACTTTTATAAGATTTTCGTACATAGCGTCCCTTGCACCCTGTTACACTCTGGAACTGTGTGAGGACTTGTCCATTGGCGGTTAGCGGACAGGATAGTATTTCCTTCCTAATTTGCCTAATTAACGCATTTTCTCGCGAAGAACTACATTCATTCCTTGTCGGAGCTTCTTCAGGAATGCCTTTCTCGATAAGGAGGCTTTTTTGCTCCGCAAGAGCCGTCTCTAGTGTATATACTCTGCACATAAGATAGTCACATGGAAGATCTAGGGCGAGCTTCCCCAAATACCCACCTCATTCGGTCCCAAACGCTCCGGAATTCAGAACTATAGATGCTTGTCAGAATTCTTGTCTCGCAGAGAATGGAACTTGCGGTGAGCGTGCAGACATACCTTGTATAGACTGACTCCAAGTCCAAAGAACGTAAGCTCGAGCTGATACAGTAGAATCCGAAACAGTTTTCGGAGTACCCCTTAGACACTCAGACTTCCTTTCCCAATCACCCAACCTCAATAGCGCTAAACTAAATTCGGTCAGGAAAAGACCCACCATCTCTTCTTGATGGCTCTCAGGTAGATCGCCAAAGGTACCGTAATGATAGGTCCTGGCATTGAGCAAATCATACGGAGTACATGCCGAAGCGCCCCATGGGTACAATCCGGAAGTCAAAAGAGAGCCCCTCTCGACACACGTAATGTTTCATTCACCGCCCAATGAGTCAACATTGAATACGGTGAAGTCTCCACAGGCTGATCAGTAACGCTCCCTGGGGACAATTCCAAGCCGCTTCAAACACCATCAGCTATCCCCAACAATGGCTGGCTTCTTGGCTTTTGTGCGATACTCATATCTGAAAGTTCTCGTTACCTTTTCAAGATTCCTCATCAAATGTTTCACATCGTCGCCAAGTCCGAGACCTGACTTGTTGTTACAAATTCCGTCTCGTGACCAGAACCGCACTATCAAAGTCCATGTCTACAAGCCATACGTGGAAGACGCTGGAAGCTCAAAGCCCGCTCCCGTTCTAATCAATTTATATGGGTCGGGCCTCGCGATCCCTCTTCATGGTCTTGATGACGATTTTTGCCGATATATGGCCAAAGCCACCGGCTACGTGGTGCTTGATGTCAATTATTGTCTAGCTCCTGAGTACCCATTCCCCGCGGCTCTCAACGACGTTGAAGATACTGTAAAATATATTCTTGATCACCCAGACGAGTACCAGGCCTCGCAGCTCTCTGTGTCCGGATTCTCATCAGGCGGCACTCTCGCGCTTGCTGCCTCCACAACACTCCCCCGTGGAACATTTCAATCACTTATAGCGTTCTATCCTGCGACAAACCTTTTGCAGGATCCAAGTTTGAGGAAAGCCCCAGCGCCAGGCGGGAAAGACCGCTCGACCTTCTGGACAAGGGTCTTCCGAGAATCTTATATCAGGGGAATGGATCCTCGTGACCCAAGAATCTCGCCCGCATTTGCCGATACATCCCATTTCCCAGCCAACATGCTTTTTTTTACGGGGGAATTGGACGCTTCGGCGGTAGAAGCTGAAGAATTAGCTGGGAGAGCGATGAATGAAGAACATTCTGACAGAGAGGTCATAATTCGGAGGATGAAAGGCTGCGGGCATGCGTTTGATAAGAAACTCACCGGTGAAATGCTTGTGTCGGCCAGAAATGAGGCATATGAACTCGCTGCCAAAACCTTGAAGAAGGGTCAGGAGATCAGTTTTTCAATTTGATTTTGTACGTAGCTGCGAGGGCGACGGAGAAGTATATGTGGATGACTTTATTCGATTTACCCAAATTTTATTTGATGTTATGCAGATTGCAATGGTTCTAGATTTGAACCGCGTCTGTTCTCTATGAACGATGGTATTTACGGTTATTCGCTGGGACCTGTAATTTATAACATACCTGTAATGCCAAAACGTCCCTTTTTGACCATGAAATTGTCCATGAAATTCTGTATTAGATTTTCAGCAGGTTCCTTATATACTTTGGGCGCCATATACCGTGACTCAGTGACTAGTTTGATAGCGGTAGAGAATTGGTACGGGCGATGTGGTAGGAGGGCCTCGAGGGGTGTTAGGACTTTTGCGTAACGTAATTCCCGCTTGACCGGGACACCCGGTTGAGCGGGACACCCCATCCAAAATCGCGTCTTCCTACTTACATACTAACTTCAACCACCTACAATACCACCAATTCGCACTGAATCCTCGCAGAAACTAGTCAATCAAGAGGGCAAGATTCTATTAGCCCTTAATAATCTTAAAAATGGCCGTGTCAAATCTATTCGCGCAGTAGCTAGCCTTTATGCAATACCGAAGTCAACACTGTATGCGCGCGCTGAGGGCCGAATTGCACGCGTCGATAAGCGCCTAAGTCGCTATAAATTGACTTAATTAGAAGAGGATACGCTTATAAATAGATTCTCTCTATGGATTCGCGTAGAGTAGCGCCTAGGCCCGCTACTATTGGAGAGATAGCGAATATCCTACTAGCTGCACGCGGTAGTCAACCTCCGCTTACTGTTGGTAAGAACTGGCTAACAAAATTTGTTGAACGTCGCGATGAGCTTCGAACACGCTACTTAGTACGATACGACTACCAGCACGTATTAAACGAAGACCCAAAAGCTCTACGAGCCTGGTTTGCGACTGTACAACGCGTAATTGACGAGAACGGGATATAACTAGAGGATATCTATAACTTTGATGAGACAGGCTTTGTAATGGGCCTTATATCCTCGTAGAAGGTAGTTACGCGAGCTGAATTCTATAGTCGGAGACGTCTTTTATAGCCAGGAAATCGCGAATAGGTTACTACGATCGAAGTAATTTGCGCAGACGGCTATTCGCTACCGCTATGTGTGATTTTCAAAGGCAAAGTTGCTATTGCTAGTTAGTTCGATAACCTACCGAAAGACTAGCGATTTGAAGTCTTAGCTAATAGCTGGACTACTAATAAGATTGGCCTACGCTAGTTATAAAAGCTCTTTATCCCGTTAACGAATTCGCGCGTACGTGGCCGGTTTCGCTTATTGATCCTCGACGGGCATAGTAGCTATCTTACGCCTTAATTCGACCGAATCTACGTAGAGAACAACATAATACCTCTTTGTATGCCTGTATATTCTTCACATCTACTATAACTACTAGATGTTAGCTGCTTTGTAGTAATTAAGAGAGCGTATAGCCGTTTCGTGAGCGATCTTACGCGCACAGGATATAACTATATCGACAAGTACGATTTCTTAGAGAATTATCAACACGCGCGGCTAGAAGCCTTCCAAAAGCCATCTATTATTCAGAATAGCTTCGCAGCTAGTGGTCTAGTACTAGTCGATACAGAAAGAGTACTTTCAAAGCTTAATATCTCTATCCGAACGCCTTCACCACCGTTAAGCCGGCCAAGCAGCAGATCTAGCTAATTCACACCAAAAACGCCTAGAATAGTGATTCAGCTACAGAAGCAAGCTTCATTGCTAAAGGATCTACTACACCGGCGGTTAAATACCCCTCCGAGCCCAGTCAACACTATAGTGAATCAGATAATTAAGGGCGCCTATCTATCCTTACATACCGCTGCATTACTCACGAAGGATAATACGAATCTACGCGCAGCTAATGAGAAGGTAGTCAATAAGCGCAATCGGTCGCATAAGCAGATACCCTGCGAAGAGGGTTTGACCGTCGAAGAGGGCCTACAGCTAGCTCAGCAGCTAATTCAGCCAGTAGAAGCTGATAAGGTAGTATCGCATGAACAGCTCGATCTGCCTAATCAGCCGATTCAACCGGTCAGGAGGGCTCCGCCTACCTGTAGTGGATGTGGACAAATTAGGCACAGGATTACTTCATGTAAAAATCGTGTTATCTAGTTAAATTAATAGGTGTTGGTTGGGATAATCGATTTTGAAATTTTCTAATGGGGGTAGGTGTCCCGCTCAACCGGGTGTCCCGGTCAAGCGGGAATTACGTTAGTCACTGTATATAAGCTGTAATGACGTTTAAGACCTAATTTCTAGCCCCTAGGTAGTCAATTCAGAGACAGCTTAATTCTATTCCGAACAACTCCTGATATAATAGTCGATGACCTTCGTATATGAAGGTTAGAATATATCGTACTACGCAGAAGTTCTGTTAGGATTGAAAATATCTACCTTCTTGCTAATTTCTTTACGACAGTGAACCACCAACCATTCGCTCATGCAACTAAATAGGACCTCTACATACGAAGATTATATTTGCTTATTACACAACCTCGTATTGCTTTATGATCTCTCGCATCCTGACGTTTCACTCTCTTTCCTGTTTGAGAGAAGAGACTCTATATAAATTGGGCCATAAGGAGGAGGCTTCATGCTCCTCAAGAAACAGTCTCTGTTGCAATCTGACTTAGTGCTTTTCTCTCCTACCTAGTTGACAGGCTTACTACCCTACAAGTAGTTAACCCCAATAACACCAACGTTCCGTTTGTATCCACTCAATATGGCGAAAATGGTATGACGTCGGAACCCTAGAAGATCTTTGGCTATGGTGACCTTAAAAGAGTATGAAATTTTTCACAGAGAGACCCGCAAAGTGGCTAATAGAAATGCATAAAACTCGTAGTCCACGTAGGAAATATACACCATCACCTTTGCTTTCGTAGATCTGCCAAACCTGGCCAATAACTTCAGAAAAACGGAGAATGCTCCTAGGAGCGTCTAATTTAAGATATGGCAAATTATCAAATTAAGCAGTGTCCACTACGTACATCGCCCGTAAAGGGTAAGATCGCTAAGTCAGTAGCAAAATCATGACGCCAACGCTGTATTGTTAGGATGGAAAATGAAAATCTGTAAAGGAAGCAATCATACAGGGATCGAGCTAGCGTGGCGCGTTTTATTGAGCTTGCTTACTCAAGTCCTCTCTGGGTGGGCTTAGTAAGCAAATCGGGATGTTAACTTAACGTAACGTAACTTAAGTTAGTTCACGGTTGAGCGAGCCACCCGGTTGAGCGGGCCACCCTAAAAAAACACTATACTAAACGCGATTTTTCAAGTCACAATATATCAATAACCAGAACATGTTTTTATTAAATTTTCAATCTACTATAACTCTCTAGTATTAGAAATAGTTTAGTATAACTGATATATTTAGAAAATAATTATTTACTTATATTACCAAAAATACGCCTCGATCGAACGACGAGGATATATATATCTACATTACTACACCCCGAAATATTTCTAGAGCCTATAAAAATATCCAGTATAATATATTTAATATTAAGATACCTTAAGACTATATAATTCGCCTTCGACGTTGAAGTATGAAGTTGTGAAATATTGCATTTAGTATAGTGTTTTGGGGTAGCCCGCTCAATCGGGTGGCTCGCTCGACTGGGAATTACGTTAGGCCACAGCTAATTGCTTAGTAAAGCTAGAGAGATACACAAAATATCACATTCTCCATAGTATTGTTATCCAGAGTGTAAAATACCACGTAGTATTGCCTCCGAAACAGGAGCCAATTGTAATCTGGACTTCGTACAGTTTGAGTACTCCATCGAGTGGTTGGCGATGGTTCCCAGCCACACGATCTATGGTGAAACACTCTGGCGTCAACATTTGACACCGAGTGGGGGTGTGGGGGTCCCTGACACAAGTCGCGTCCGAGGTAAGCATTTCACTCGAAATGGTTTGCCGAGCAATAATGAACTGAGAATTAGATACTGGAAAGGATATGTACGGAGTACAGCATGTACTGCGCTCCGTTACGGGGGTGGGGGCAAAAGTTCAGATACAGTACTCCGTACGTACGTCCGTACGGAGTTGTTGTAAAGGAGTGTACCCAAGAGACTAGGATGACGCCTCGCCACGTACGACCCTCAGAGACAGATCGTACGAATTACCCGACCAACGAAGGATTGATGAACAGTACGCGAGATCGGCTGCCAGATTTCGGCTTAGTCGCGATGGAATACCGAGATGGTCTGGTCTACTGTACTAGGGTTGATTAGGCAGAGCCTTAGCGGCTTGCGGGTGGCCAAAAATGCCGATTGGCGTCTACTTGACCCTGGCAGATTGGAAGAATATCGTAGGATATCCTGAACAAAGAAGAAGTGAGATGTAATAGTCTTGAAGATATCTCACTCAACTATCATACTGTATGATTTCGATCATTCGATATGCTCTGTCCATCCAAACAAACTGGATTCGTCACTCTGCACGTTCGCGCGGGCCGATCACCTGCTTCCGGTGTGATCGCATGACTAAGCGCCCTGGTTCGCCTCACTCTCCAACAAACCCCCCGATCTCTTCGCCTCTTGCTCGCCATCGGTGGAGATAACACCCACCGGAGTCTTGGACCCGTCTATTCTCTCCTTCTACAATTCCTTCTGTCGGTCCTTTTAGTCGTCCTCTGCCTCTCCCTCCTCGACCGCCACTGTCCGCTTCCCTCCAATCCGAAACCTCCCCGACCCGAACGCTTGCGGGGGTTGCCTCTATCCTTCAATCCCGTTGCTTGCTTTTGGTGAATGGCTTCGGAGATTTGCTATATTCCAGAGTGCTTCTGGGCTTGATCGATTGTGGTGACAATTGAAGATACAGACCCTGGCCATCGCAACTGACATTCCTTCAACGCCGTTTACGTCACTCAACATGGCCGAGTAAGTCCGCTGCAGGAAAAGGAGATCCGATGCGATGAGATTGCTGATATTCAATGCCAGTTTAATTGCCTTTCAAACATACCATCATAGTAATCTTCTTCCACCGTCCTCGACCATGATTCCGCGCCACGCCCATAAGCGGTCTCTGTCCTCCGAGCATCGGGCCCTCTCCCCCGATAGGACTGTGATCAAAGCCAAGTCCACGACTAATCTTTCCGACGTCGCCAAACAGCAGCACTCCAAGTTGGAAGAAAACAACTTTAATACTCTGCAGGATCCACGACTGGTCGTTCCCTCGGGAGTTTCATCTTCATCGTCATCCTCTCATCATCCCGACTTGAGCAATGAAGTGGCCGCCCTCAGTGTGAAGCTGATCCAAGCGATCAACAACCAGACTACGTTGGACGATAACCTAGTTGCCACGCGACAAGAGCTAGAGGCAGCACTGGGCAAAATTCAGGCTCTGGAGTTTCAGAATGAGAAATACCGACGAGACATTGCTGAGAAAGTTTACGTCAAGAAAGCCGATGCAGACATCGAGCTTATGCGGTTGAGGGGCCTTCTTGCAGAGGAGTGTGCCCAGCGTTCGACTGCCGAAAAGGCGAAGAAGTCGATTGAACAGGAGCTGGAGACTCTCACTGCTGATCTTTTTCAGGAAGCCAACAAGGTATGTCTTTTGGTTTGCGAGTCTTTGCACTTGCCCGGAGGAGCCGGAACTGACTGTATTCTTTAGATGGTTGCCGCAGCTAAGATTGAGCGTGAAGCGGTTGAGAAGAAGAATGAGCAATTACGCTCGCAGATCAAGGACACAGAGTCGCTTCTTGCATCGCAACAGGATCAATTAACAGAACTCAAGTTGGTTATGCAAGGGATGCACCTCTCCAGAGATGACTTGGATATTCGCACGAATGCCTCCACAGCGCCTCCATCCCCGGCTGGCCCACCACAATTGTCAGGCTCTTCCAAGCAAGAACTTGAGTTTGACAGCGCTGCTGCGCCCACTTGTAGCCGTGAAGAACTGACTCCCGGGCCAACTTGCAACTTCCCTGACGTGCTCCGTCTGATTTGCCGAACTGATCTGCAGGCCTACGACGATTTCAGAGAGTTGATGACGCTTCCACGGAGCTCGAAACCACCAAGTCGTGCGGGCAGCGGATCTTATGCAGGTCTGAATGTCATGAGCTTGGCGGGCTTTGCGACCGGCGGATCCGCCTCGACCACTTCCTCGCCTACCAAGGGTGTCACCCATTCCCCGAATGGGAGCCTCTCTTCGCAGACTGGCTCGCATATTCCCCTCAAGGAGACACGTTTCTACAAACGGGTGCTCATGGAAGATATCGAACCGACCTTGCGACTCGATCTTGCTCCCGGCATTTCTTGGCTTACCCGTCGTACTGTCTTGAGCAGTATCTGTGAAGGCACCCTTCTTGTGGAGCCTGTTCCTTCAGCGAGCAAGAAGTATGAATTCCCTTGCTCTGTCTGTGGCGAACGCAGACCTGGTGCCGAGAACGAGCGAACTCACCGTTTCCGAACCTCGGATAGCGAAACCGCCCAACGCTACTCACTGTGCATCCAGTGTCTGGAACGAGTTCGCTCATGCTGTGAGTTTACTGGCTACTTGCGCCTGATCCTTGACGGACACCTTCGCGCTGGAGATACCGATGAGGAGAAGGAGATATGGGACGAGACCGTCCGTTTACGAGAACGCATGTTCTGGTCTCGCATCGCAGGTGGCATTGTTCCATTGGTCACTTCGCCCGTTGAGTCTCATGGCGTCTCTCCTGAGAATGGGAATGACCAATACCTCCATCCAGCAGATAATGCCGTCGTGGAGTCGGAAGTCGTGGATGTGTCCCAAAGGACGGAGGTCCCTTCTGCAACCCTCGTCCGGGATCATGACGTGGCCAAGCCCATGACACCTGACCTTCCACGCCTCGATCAGCAGGGTATCGATGACTCTGCAGATGAAGCGCTCCAAAGGCGCAGCTCTGTTGCCTCTGACATCAGTATATATGAAGAGGCTAATGCGGACGTCGCAGACGGAAGCGAAGAAGTCGTCACTGAGCACCTACCGGCTACTCATGAAAAAGAAGACACCGATGCTAGCTCTGACAGTGGAACTACTGTCATCGACCCGCACACGCCTACTCATGAGCACAACGACTCTGAAGTAAAGGCCGGCATCACTGAACCTGTTGTGCAGCTGCCGACGTCCACTCGTGGACATGAGAGCACTGAGGTCGATGTCAACACCGTGGAGACTGTCGCTGAGCAGGTTCTGTCTACGCACGAACCAGAGAAGAGTGGCGTCAGCGAAAGCAGCTCGTAAGCTGCGCTGATCCCGTTTGAGAATCAATGAGTACGACGATCACCCGGCTAGCCCGGTGTTTCATGACCTATCTGACGCATTGCCTGCATACCTCATCAAAGACGCCGATAGACACACATATCTTCTTCTTCCGGCGACGCTGCATACCCCTTTAATTATTCATGTTTCCCAAATTCCCTCGGATGCATTCGCATCTATCTTCTTTTTCATTCTCGTCGATATCCCCCTTGATATGATATTCAGCAGCGCGCTTTTCCTCCATACCTGTATTATTAACCTTTTACCTTCGCATTCACATCCTTATTCTTATTATGTATACATACTAATGTTGTTCCCCTTGACCCTCGATGCTTTCCTGTCTTGATCCGGCTTCAGAGGCTTGCTTCTCGTTTCACATTGCTTTGTGTGATGTGACTTTTGGCTTGGGCGTCTTCGAAATGATAAACTAGTTGAGCTAGAATGAAGCTGACTGTGGATATATTCGCACCAACCATACTATCCTATCCTATCCTCACCTTGGTTCTAATGTACAGTCGATCTTGTAATCTGAAGGTCACCTGCCCTTCCCTCAGTCCCCAAACCCGATCCACGTGACTATCTGCACCGCCACAGCCAGGGGCCAACCAATCAGCTCCCTGCAAATTCCATCGGAGTTTGCCTGTTGGCCCCGACTGACTCAGCCAATTTCATTCCGAGTCTCCACCCCATACTTTTAATCTACTCAATTCCTCCTCCTTCCTCCAGCAGATTCCCACGTACACCGTCACACTCCCTCTCTCACACAAATCCCACGCCAAAATGCCTCGCCAACAACGCCGTGCCGCTCCCACTCCTGCGCGTAGCGCTCCCACCCGCCCTACCGCGGCCCCTGCCCGGCCCGCGCCTGCTCCCCAGCAGTCGCAGCCTCACTCGACCGCTGCTTATCCCCACCAGGCCGCTCCTCCCATGCAGCAGGCGGCTCCTGTGCAGCAGAGCTCTGGCGGCGGCTTCCTGAGCCAGGTCGCTTCGACCGCTGCGTAAGTTCTTCCTCTGCATTCTGATATCTTCAAACCCGAACTCGAAGCCCGAACCTCGGGAATACCGATCGCCTCTGCCTCCCCATCCGAGAAAATCCGGGGTCAGACCGATGTTTGGAAAATTCGCCGCTAACCTCTGTCTTTTGCCTGCGCTGTAGTGGTGTCGCTGCCGGTCACGTCGCTGCTACCGGTATCAGCAACGCCCTGGGTTGGGGCTCTAGCTCCCACGCCGCCCCCGCCGAGCAGGCTGCTCCCGCTCAGAACCAGGCCATGGACAACAGTCTGTGGCAGAGCAACGCTACCCAGCAGTCCTGGGAGAACCCTGCCTGCGAGACTGACATCCGCAACTTCCGTCGGTGCATGGATGAGAACAAGGGTGATATGTCTATCTGTGGTTGGTACATGGATCAGCTAGTACGTGTTGAGACTTCCTTCCTCCCCCCAGTAAATATTGGGCAAGGTACTTGTTTCAGAGAATGAATTGCTAATAACTGCTACAGAAGGCTTGCCAGGCTGCTGCCAAGCCCTACTAAGCGTATTTCCTGGCCTAGGCTGGAAGTTTGTCGAAGAGGGTTCTTGAATACGGCTGCGCTATCTTCATTTCTTTTTCTTTATCTTTTGAAAATACACGAGCAGTGGTTCCGCATGGAATGGCTCTGTGGATGTAATCATCTTGCATTGCGACTTTGATATCGCACTCTTGTACTCTATACCATCTCTCCTCGTTATTGAAATCAAATCATTATCTGTGGTCTGCGTTCCCCTGAGCTGATGGCATGAATTGTCCACTCGGGGGTAGACCATGGGACAAACGAAGAACTTCAAGACGGTTTTTTGATAGTATTGTTTCTACGTAGATCCGGAAGAGGATATTTCCAAGGAATGCCTCTAAGTCGAGCATGGTCGCCTGTTCTTCTACTTTGGATTTGGGAACCGGGGCATGATTCAATGTTCAGTAACGCTATTCAAATTGTAGTTCGCCACGACGCCTGTGCAAAGAGGGAAGACACCAAATCACGAGTAAGAAGATCGCTTGCTGAGTCCAACATTCACTGCTGAGCCTCTTGCAAAATGGTCAATCTCAAGGTTAATCGTCCTTGCGATTCTGATCCCGCGGCTCAAAATTCAGCTAGATGAATATCAATCAGCACAAGCTCAGCATATGACTCGAACGCAGTGAAAGACTTACCTGATTTCCATTGTAAAACTGGCTGTCATCACGTTCATTCTGCTGATCATGCAGCGTGCGGATATTCAATCCGCCCGTTCGTGGCCGTCGAGTACCCTCAGAAGACGGAGGAGTAGACGACGATGCTTGCGTCTCACTTTCCGGCGCACTTGAGCCATACCCAATGAACGAGCCCACTAGGCTAGTCGCCGAGCTTGCAACGGACGAAACCACATTATAGACGGCAGAGATACCACGTGCGGGTAAACCGGCTGCCGCGGATGCATAAGCCTCCGTGTAAGATGCGACAGGGACCATAACCAAGTTTGCAGTTGAGCCGAGGCCTAGATCTTGGAGAGCCTGGGATTCTTCGGACATGGAGAGCGTGCGGCTGGGTAGGGGAGTGAGGACGTGTTTGAGGTTGTAGGGCCGTTTGTCCTCGGTCATTTGCTCGTCCAGCCATGGACGTACGTCATTGCGAATTGTCTGCGTGGGTGTGAAGCTTGATCGGATGGAACGGCCATCGAATAGGCGTACTTGCAGTCGATACTGGCTGGGAGGGCCTCGGGGAGCTCGCGGCTGAGGATGTGGCTCCTCATCTTCAACGGTAGGCGCAGGGGGCCTACTAGTGGCTGGTTTGGCTGGTTTTTGAGACGTTGCCGCTTTCTTCTCTGGTGCCTGTGCTGGTTTCTTGCCTTGGTCTTGTTTCCCTGGCTGGGGCTTCGGGGGCGTGGGCTTAGGTGGTGCCTGCTTGACTGATTGGCTCTTGGACTGTGTGCTTTCTCGTGACTTATTTGGTGTAACGCTTGAAGCGGAGTTTGTGCTTTGCGGTTGCTGTCTCTGCGCCGAGATCATAGTGGCAGCGGATGGGTAAGTAGTCCGGTTTGAAGGCGACGTATTATTTACGGCAGTTGCGTTGGCTTGTGGTTGCTGAACAGGAGTCGGAGAAGGGGCATTGTTTCCATCTAGTACTGCGAGAATTCGGCTCTTAAACTCGTCCTTCGATACACCGGGCAGCAGATACTCCTCTGGCTTGCCATTCCTATGAAGAACGCGATTAGCTCTGGGCATTGTACAGACACATGCTTCATGCGCCACAAAAACACATACTTGATCACAATAAGAGCGGGGAACTCGGCGATCGGACAGAATGAGCTCAGGAACCCAGCTTCCTGCGTTCCAGCAGTGAGGCGCAACGAGACCGATTTGTCGCCGAGAGCTTGCGCAACCTTAGGAGTAGTCAGCACTGACAGGTTGCGACTCTGAGAGTTGACGTAAGCCATGAGCATACCTCATTATCTGTGAAATACTCTTCTTCCCAAGTCGAGCTCAACTGGGCATCATCTGCACGCCAAACACGATTAGCTGTGGCTGGAACCTCTGGATGCGGGGAGATACCGACCTCGGACAAAGCAAACCACTGCCTTGGCCTCCTTCACAGCGAGAGCAATGCCCTCCTGCAGTGTTCCCTCATAGAATACAGTCATGATCGCATGCCGTTGAATAATAGTAGGTTTGTCGTGGTGTTGTTGAAGCTCCAAGCTTGATTGTAGTGTAGCCAGATAGACTGCGGAGAGCAGCTCGGGGAAGCCGGACAGGCGTGACCGCCTCCGCCTGCCGAGACCCAAATTCGCGGCTGCTGCTCACTTTCTCTTTTTCTCGACTACGCCGATTCCCAATTACGCCCGGGACCTTTTTCGACTTGACCATGCGGTCGTTATTTTCAGTCCTTCAACGGACTGCTCCGGCAGCCTGGACTCTTCCAGTGCGTAGTGTGCGGACTAGCGCCCCTGCATGGAAGGTGGACTCAATCTGCACGAGATGCCGGCTACAGCAGAAGCGCCAGTTCTCGAAGTCGCGGCAGCTCACTGAGAGTCTGCTGAATGTCGACCACCCAGCAAAGCTTGTGCGGGTTAATCAGAAGCATGGCCCAGGCTTGATCATTCTTGGTTGGTTATATTCAACTTGCCGCATTGAAGCGACGCTAACTTACGACCTCTTTTATACAGCTCTGATCCCTATCATTGCCTTTGGCCTGGGCACCTGGCAAGTTCAGCGTTTGGACCGGAAGACAAAGATGATTGCCAAGTTTGAGGACCGCCTAATCAGGCCTCCGCTTCCGCTGCCGCCACGAATTGACCCCGATGCGATCGCCGAGTTTGATTACCGCCGTGTCTACGCTACTGGTCACTACCGTCACGACAAGGAGATGCTGGTTGGACCTCGCATGTACGAGGGCGAAGATGGATTCCTGGTTGTGACGCCTCTTGAACGTGGCGATGGCCAAAGCACGGTGCTGGTTAACCGGGGCTGGATCTCTCGAAAGTTGATGGCCCAGAAGGACCGGCCGGACGGGCTGCCACAGGAAGAAATCACCGTGGAAGGACTGCTACGAGAGCCGTGGAAGAAGAACATGTTCACGCCGGAGAACAAGCCCGAGGAGGGCAAGTTCTACTTCCCAGATATTAAGCAGATGGCTGAGCTGGCCGGCAGTCAGCCCGTGTGGATTGAAGAAACTATGGGTAAGATATATGGTCCTTAGAGTACTGTGACAAGATGCTAATCTCTTCTCAGTGCCCGACCTGATCGAGTCGTATGATCGTATCGCAAAGGGACGGCCTCTTGGCCGTGCCGCGGAAGTCAACTTGAGAAACAATCACGCCCAATACATCTTCACCTGGTGAGTCGAGCCCATCCAGATCCAGACGAATAATCGTCACCCGTTGCAGCATTCGCTTATATCGTTTGCAGGTACGGCTTGTCCCTAGCCACGTCCATCATGCTGTGGATGGTGGTGCGCAAGAAGCCCAATGATGCCCTGCGTCGAGTGCGCCAGAACCGCAACTGGTCATAGATTTCACCCTGTCAGCTTTTCTTGCATATTGCATTGGCGTTTCCGGATGTATGAGTATCCTTTTGCGTTGGTTTTAAGGCATTCATGGAGGCATGGCCAGTCTCATATCCTGCTGAAGCTCCTTGGGTAGATGCTTCTGAGCTAAGGAAAATACAGTTGTCGAGCTATTAATATGACGTTGTCTGAGAAAGTCAGTAGAATTCAAAATGCTGGAGTTGATGCGGCGATTGCTTACCTCCTCATCAAGGTGGTCACATCGCTCTCATCGATGGTTTTACGCCCAGCATGCTTGGAATACGCAGCCAAATCCTGGCTGACTTGTTCAAAATACCATGAAGACGCCTGTTCTATCGCCGCCAGCGCGGCTTTGTTGATTTTCGCCTTGGAACCAGCTCCCGTGCGGGCAAATTGACTGGCCAACTTCTTGACCACTCCGGCAGGTAAATTCGGGACGGGGATTCCGTGACGAGAAAGCTTCTTCTGCTTTCCATGCATGGGAAGTCCTTCGTCCCGCAAGCCACCCCCAATAATCCCAGGACTCTGGCTCGGAGATGCTCCTGGTGCGAAGTGAAGTCCAAACCCAAAGCCGCCAGCCGCGAGATTGTCATCATCCGGTGGCGTGGCAGGGCCTGGCTGTATGTCGCCTGGAGATATTTGAAACCCGGTCATGTCACCAATGTCCTCTTCCAAGGGCCCTTCACCCACAGGGTTTGCGTTTGGCGATGGAAAGTTCATGTCGAAATGAAACCCACGCAAGTCCTCGGTCTCTCCCCTATTTGTGAAATATTAGTCCCTATATGTAACATAGAAACATGGAATGCCCTCTCTCTCGCATAAACTTACCCTCGATCGAAATCTACCCCGCTGATCATCGTATCATCCCCAAAACCGTCATCACCTAGGATGCCGGTCTCGTCTCCAGCATCAAAATCGCTCTCTAGTCGGGTCTCTCCGAAGTCATCGCTCATCCATTGTCGTTCTTGATCTCGAATGGCAAGATCTCTCCGAGGGAACTCGACAGACTGATAGGTGATATCATCGTCGTCAAGGGCGATCGATAAGCGGGGCGGGGGTATATCCGGACTGCCTTCTTCGCTGCCTTCCACACTTTCTTGCATAGGAAGAGAGAGCCGTGGTCGCTCCAGTTCGGGCTCATTGTCCAGTTCCTCGATCTCATCTATCGGCTCCTCCACGGGCTTCACTTCCTCCCGAGGCGATGATTGAATCGGTCTGGACACGGGTGCGAGTGCTGGTATCACCAAGCTTGTCAGCTAAATAACACGAAAACAAAACGATCACTCGTGGAATGCGCATACTTCTTCCAAGATTCCTCAGGACGTCGAATGTGGTCTCGCGCTGGACTCGTCCGCTCCGTCGACGATCGCGACCAGGTGTGTTCGCGGCACGTTGCTGTCGAGCGCGGAGCCCATATGGAGTCGATGGTGCCATGGAAGCCCTTGGTCGAGGCGTGTACCGGGAAGCAGATCTTTGTGCGGACGGTGTGGATGTCGTAATAAGGCGACTGGGTGTGAGCGGGTAGCGCGTATGACTCGGGAGGCGCTGGAGCTGTGAAAATCAGTTAGCAAGGTCGTCCATCTTCTCCAAAGAGTATAAACTTGCTCCAGTCAATGTGGTCTCGCCAGAGGGTGTATTGGTCCCAGCTGCCGAGTTGCCCACTGATCGGCGGCTGCGCGGGTTAGGAGTCGACATCTCCGAGATTGAAAAAGGACAGCAACTAGAGAATACAACTCCCAGGTCTCTGGTATTTCTCAAACCTGCGGTAGATCTGCAATGGAGACGGAACTTAGAGGCAGGCCTCGCTGGTTGAAGAACTGCGGAGTTGGCGGAGCGCGTGTTGCAATAACATTGCGGGCCCGAATATGATTGGCCACGGCTTATCGATAAGGCCTGCTTAATCAGCCGCATTGATTCGGGACTTTTTTTTGCGACGCTCGATTTGAACTTCTTGAACAGCGCCAATCGAGCTTCAAGGTCTCTTGATCACGAAGAAGCAAAGCTATTACACATTATGACCGAAGCAGAAGCCCCAAAAGGGCTTTCAGCCAAGCTCGACAAGAAGCGTAAGCGCCAGGCCGAGGAATCAAACAAGCAAGGCAAGCCCGAAGCTGCGCCTGCGGCCGCTGGCGGAGACGAATCGAACAAGAAGAAGCGCAAGAAGAACAACAAGAAGGGCAAAAAGCAGCCTGAGCAGGATGTGAAAACGCAAGAGCGCAAAGGTGGCGTTGACGAGTCCATTGGGAAGATGGATGGGCGGTTGTTGGCCGATTACTTTGCTCAACGGGCGCAGAAGCTCGATAAAGAGCTTTCCGCGGTGGAATTGAGTGATCTTTCAGTGCCCGGTGTGTATTTTCTTTTTGTAAATTATTCATTAATGACTATTTCGGGTCACTGACTGTTTTCAGATTCTGCTTTCCTTGACACCACCTCGTTTTCCGATTCCAGGACTTTGGACAAGCTTCCCGATTTCCTCAAGGTATTCAGCCCGAAGGGTGTCGACCTTTCAAAGGCGTCAGAGAAGAAGGGTACTCCTCATACATTGGTTATTTCTGCTGCTGCACTCAGAGCTGCAGATGTTGTTAGGTATTTGCGATCATCTCGTGGACTCTCAGTCGGTCCGTATATTGGTGCTGATAATTGGACCATTTAGGGCACTTCGAGCATTCCAAACCAAGGAGGCCATTGTCGGGAAATTGTTTGCCAAGCATATCAAGCTGGAGGAAGCGAAGCAGTTCCTCGAACGTGCACGGTACGATACTTCGGTCGTTTCGACCACACAGCAAAGCTTGTTCTAACTGGGCTTATAGGACTGGAATTGGGGCTGGCACACCGACTAGGATATCTGATTTGATTGAGTGTGGTACGTATGCTACAACGGATGTTTATAATGTTGTATTTACTAACCTCGGTTCATGTTCAGGTTCTCTCAAGGTGGACGAGTTAGAGCGTATCGTCATTGACGGGTCCCATATCGATCAGAAGCAGCGCGGTATCTTCGATATGAAGGAGACTCATCTACCGCTGTTGCAGCTACTGACTCGGCCGGAGCTGCGCGACCGATATGGCGCTTCCAAAAAGAAAGTGCAAATCTTGATGTTCTGATTTCTTCGCATGATTTTCTCTATAAAATATTCCATAGGGCGGGGCGTTAGTGTATTTTTTGAATTGACAATGTACACCAAATTTCATCACATCACTGGACAGCAGTTGCTTTGTTCACGAAATGCCTATCGCCGCCAAAAAGGGGACCCTACAGATGGCATATGAATGTAGTATCCGGAGGCTGACGTTCATAGAACATCTGAATGCCAACCAGTATGATTGCGGTTGGCATTCAGTATGATTGCTGTCCCATTGAGACGTCATCGAGTCGTACATCTCTTTTGGGCCATGAAATGCAGCGGAATTTATAGCATACGGTTTCAAGGCTCACCATTCGGCAAGGACCCGATTTAGAGCCAAGAACCTGCCAAAGTCAATCAAGTCGTAAGGTACAAGGATGGCCAGGTTTTGGTCCCAGAAGACTACAATGCGTAGCATAACTATTTCCAAACTAGAGCTTAGCAAATTGAAGAGATATTATCTTGAGTCTACCTTGTAAATATACTACGGTAGCTTTCAAGCATTGTGTCTTCCCTTTATCCTAGTCCTCGGCCCTTGCTATGGCTATCTCCCCATTGAACAGCATTACACTAAATCGCCAAGCGCTGCCAGCACACTACCTCAACTTTTGCTATGTCCCTTTGAAGCTTGCCCAGATCAATAATCAAGCATGGTGATAGGGCTGGGTCTAGTGGTTTTATCTCCTCACAATATGTTTTCTATATACTGTACTTTCTAAGCCCCGCCCTTCTCCCGCCTCTGGTCCATTTTCGAGACCTCTCATACTAAAGCCCATGAGATCAGAGTAAATACAGTTTCATATGCATGCATACATTAGAGTAACTATATAGAGAAGGCACATATGTAGTGATACTGCAGCAAGGACACATCAAGAGTGGAGAACCTGCAGATCTCTTCCCCAGAAAACAGATTACCCGATCAGGTAAGAGGGTGATAACCCCTCACCGCCTCAGGCGCAGCCGGCAGAATCTAAATTTCTGACGAGTCTCCGCCCAATTTTTTTTCGGAGTGGAGCTTTCATTATTTTGCGATTTTCTAATTTTCATTTATCCAATTTACCTGCCGAAGATTGTTTTGGCGGAGGACAAGGCTTATCGTCTCACAAATTGCATCTATCCTTACTGTCTCACTAATTTCACAATGGGCGACAAGAAGCGCAAGCTCGCCGAGGATGCCCCGGCCGATGAGGTCGCTCCGGAGGGCAAGAAGATGAAGAAGGAGAAGAAGGACAAGAAGGAGAAGCGCAAGGCCGAGAAGGAGGTAGAGGTCGATGCCGTCCCTGAGATCTCTGTGCAGGAGAAGAAGGAGAAGAAGGAGAAGAAGGACAAGAAGGACAAGAAGGAGACGAAGGAGAAGAAGGAGAAGAAGGAGAAGAAGGAGAAGAAGGAGAAGAAGGAGACGAAGGAGACGAAGGAGAAGAAGGAGACAAAGGAGAAGCGCAGTGCTGATAAAGCCAACCTGGACGAGGAGGCTAGAGCCGCGAAGAAAGCTGCCAAGAGAGCCAAGTACGACAAGAAGACTTCTAAAGAAGACTCTGCGACGAACGGAGACAAGAATGAGAACGAGGCCGACGCTCCAGCTACTGCTGATGCTGATGCTGATGCAAGCGCTGAGACCGCCGACGCCGACAACAACGTCTCACAGAAAAACTCCCGTTTCATCTGTTTCGTCGGTACGTCCAAGCCACCCGGGCTCAATCGCGACAACCAACAAAGATATGCTAACAATAACTGCTTGGCTAGGAAACTTGCCCTACTCCGCAACCCATGAGTCCCTCAGCAAGCACTTTGAGAAGAACCCCCCGGCCGAAATCCGCGTCGCAACTAAGAAAGAAGCCCCCTCCAAATGCCGCGGTTTCGCCTTCATCGAATTCGACAATTACGATCGCATGAAGACCTGCCTCAAGCTGTACCACCATTCCATGTTCGACGATGGCAAGTACCCGCCTCGCCGGATGAATGTTGAGTTGACGTGAGTCGATCCCGTTTCCTTTTCTTTTCCCTCATCCTCCTTCCTTCTCTGTGTGTGTCCCACTAACAAAAATCTACCAGTGCCGGCGGCGGTGGCGCCAACTCAGAGCACCGCAAGGCCAAAATCCAAGCCAAGAACGAGAAACTCAATGAGGAGCGCCAGCGCAACGCAAAGGAGACTAAGAAGGATAAGAATAAGCATGATAAGGTTAAGCCCGCGCGTTCCGGCGCTGCGGCTTCCGGCGCGAATGCCGTTGCTGTCGATGCTGCTGCTGAAGATGACCGGTTCGCTGGTATGCATCCCAGTCGTCGGGGCCGGATCTAGATGGTATCGTTCTAGGGGTGTTGGGTGATGTGGTGGTCATGGCTGGCCTATTGGACTTTGTGGGACTGGGCCTTGGTTCCTGCAGTCTGTGGTCGGTCGCTTCTTTACTTTTTGTCTGTTGTTTTCGTCTGTATATGCTGGGATGGGGACTGGAAAAGTCTGTTGTGCTTTTTATGATTTTGATAGAAGATACCATTTGCTTGTCTTCTGTGCATGGTGAATGCGATATTACGAGCATATAAGCATGAAGGATGCTCGTTTCGAGTTTCGAGTTTGGATATTTCCAGTCTTCAAGTTGGCATGTGTGTCCTTGTAAATTCCACTAGATCATGGTATGAGCTCTAGCGATATAATGCGAAGATCAAGTGAGCGCAGAGAATAGACAAGATTGTTACAGACTACCTAACCTAGCTCTATAAGAATATGAATAAGCCCATACCCAAAAGGGAGGATGTGTCATACTATCCGAGGCATAGTTAACACTTTCTCCCCCAGCCAATGACCGCAAAGAAAACAAGGAAAAACACAATGAGATGAGAGAAACAGAAGGGAACAAAACGAGTCAATGGATTCATCAAGCAAGGCCCAAAGAAAAGCCTCTGGCTACCGGACGCCGTATTAACTATAGTATTATTTCATTATAGCATACGCAAAAAGAGGGTGATGGCCCCATGCACACAGCACCTCTACAAGATCATGCATCTGTTCTTCCTCCCGGACTTTGTGAGGGGACGGGGGTTGAGAACGGCCCTGTAATGGAGAATTCAGTTAGCACTGTGTTCGTACAAGTCCGTTCTTCGCGGACGATCAATGTTTTCGATAGACGAGTCGTGGAGCTGTGAGGTGCAAGGGCTGGTTGCTTACCGGATAGCCTCGTCGAAGACGCTCTTCAGGTTGCGTTGGGTCAGGGCCGAGCATTCGAGGTACTTATGTGCGCGGATCTCCTTGGCCACGGCCAAGGCTTGCTCGTACGAGACGGGTTCCATCTTTCGGGAGCGCAGGGCCTCGGTTGTTGCGCGGTCATCGCGCAGGTCAAGCTTGGTGCCGACCAGAATAATGGGGACGTTAGGAGCGTGGTGTTCGATTTCCGGGAACCACTGTAGATAACAAGAGTTAGTCGTATGATTTTCCAAGTTAGAGCATGAGCATGAGCATGAGCATCAGCGTCTGCAGGTGTTGGGTTCCCAGTGCCGATGTGCGATGGGCCAGGTTGGCTTGGTCGTACCTTGGCTTTCACGTTATCGAAGGATGGCGGGCTGACAATCGAGAAACAGATCAGGAAGACGTCGGTTTGCGGGTAGGATAGCGGTCTGAGGCGGTCGTAATCTTCTTGTCCGGCGGTATCCCAGAGTCCCAAGCTGATCGGCCGGCCATCGACCATCACACTGGCCGTGTAGTTGTCAAAGCTGTAGGGTGGGGCATCAGTAAGGTGGACTTCCCAGGGTAACTCCCCATTGATGGATGAGGAGACGGGGGGGCTGAAGAGAGACGGACACGGTCGGGATGTACTCTCCCGGGAAAGCATTCGTTGTGTACGAGATGAGAAGACATGTCTGTAGATCATCGAGAATCGCGAGTCAATTAAGGCGTTCTTCCATTTGAATTTGCTGCATTTATGTGTTTCGATCGGAGGCGCGACGATAGCAGTTTGGAAGTTCGGGGCTGAACATGTCCCGGGGGAGTGGGAATGCTTCAATACTGACTTTGCCGACAGCACCATCACCAGTCACGACGCACTGTTCCAAATTGCCGGGTTAGCTGGGCGCAATTCATCCGACTGCATGGAGCAATTGCTCACCTTGAGCGATTGAGTAGCCGGACCCGTCGCCATGGTTGTGTGAAGTTATGTACGAGAAACAAAAAAGGGGGCGATAAGGGGCGGGCGGTCCGAATGACAAGCGATAACGGGAAGGGGAACCCCCAAAGCGCCAGAAGAAAAGGAGAGATGTTGGGTCGAAGGTTCAAATGTCCTGGGATGAGTGTGAGCTTCAGGAGGCTTTGGGGAACGCAGCTGTAAGTTGGAGTTGGAGTTGGAGCTAGGGGCAAAAGAAAAGAGGGGAGGAGGGAGGGTGTGGAGACGAATGGGAAGATCTGAATCCTTCAAGGAGGGGCTGAACTCACCCGAGAGAGAGATGGGAAGAGTTGGCGAGAAGAATGGTGAGGGTGTCTGGAGGTTGGCGGAGGACAGAAGAGTAGGAGGAGGAGGAGGAGGAGAAGAAGAAGGAGAGGAGAGGTAGTAAGTGTAGGTACGACTCTAGTCTGGAGGAGACTAAGGACAAGGCCAGTGTTAATGAAAGCTGATCGTTTGGATCGTTTGGATCGTTTGGATGGAGTCCGTCCCCACTTCCATATTGATCTCTTGCTCAAGGCCATTCATGGCCATTCGCTCGGACAACACAAACTGGAGTAATCTATAGTGGGCTCTTTGTTAGCCAACCAAAACCACCTGGAGAGGGATATACTACCGTCTCCTCCGTACAAGAAGTATCAATCTACGAATCCAACCTTCCGATTGCTTCCCAGCCCCCGAGATCATCCCAACCACCCTTATACTCCTCCTATACTACTACCATACGTTCCTCCCGTGCACTCTGTATCTGATCCTCCAGACTAGCGCGGTGCGCGGTGCGCTGTGCTGAGCCCTGCTAAGACGAATATCCGTTGGCTACCATGGCTCCCGTCCCGATCCCCCCTGCACCAATCGCATAGCCATTCAATCACGGGCAATGCCAGGGCGCCTGCACCGCGCCGGTTTGGAGCGCAACGAGGGCATGATAGGATGATCCGTCGTAGGCCTTTGCGCTCCACGCGTGAATTGACTGTCAAGCCTATTTTTATATCTCGCACGGGCTATTATTCCATCCATGGAGGACCATAATATTACTGAGGGCTAGAATTCTTTAGACAGGACAGAGTAGAAAGTATAGACCATTGCGAAGTATAAGGCGCCGTGCGGTATTCAGGACAAGTCCGTTATTGGTGGATTGAGTATATACTCCGACAAACCCACTCTCTACTCTACTCCTGCATAGACAGAGATCTCATGTATCCACATCAACACAAGAAACGGCAAAGTACAGACTCGTCAAGACCCGTCAATAAGCAGTCCCCCGATCCTGTCACAGCCGCGACACGCCCCGCTCGCCATTCAAGAATGCCCCCGCCCGCATCTCTGCAGGCTTCGTCAGCAAGCTGGGTAGTTTGGAGGCGAATTCGCGGAAGTAGGCGCTCTTCACATGCGTCGCGATAGCAGCTTGGTCCTTGTATCTGAAGTAGGCGCGTTCGTTAGGAATTTCTGGGTTGGTTGTACAGTACTCCGTCGTGCGGGTAAATATGCCGAGGCACGACGGGATGAGGGGAGGGAAAGGGATTTAGGATGGCAAGGCGCGGTGGCAACGAGAAGGTGAACTGATTGAATATCAAAGAGGCCACCACCTGTAGCGAAACTCACCTCTCGACAATGACAATCTCGTTCTTGTCTTGGACTTTGACCGCGTAGTAGACCAGGGTGTCCGGCTCGTGTTCTTGAACTTTCTTGACGACACCGGTGACGAGCGCGGCAACCTATGGAAAGAGACATTGCACGGTTAGATTTTAGCACCCGTCATCAAATAATCAACGTGTCGAACCTCTTCGAATTTCTCTGGCTTGGGGTAAAGAATGGCGACGTTGTTAATCCCGGACATGGTGGCGCTGATAGTTGATGAGCACGTTAGTGAATAATGCTATTTGGAGTCCATCCATTGACGGAGACTAACGGGGAGATAGATATTCGTAGACTGGATTGTAATTGAGCACCTGGAATAGAATGGAGGGAAAAGATGCGAAGTGATTTCTCTCGAGTCTGTGAAATAGGCAAGATGTGTCAGATTCCTTAACCGGCAACCTCGGCCAGAGTCCCAGAGTCGGTGGGTCCCTCACGGAGTGATGAGGCGATCAGATCGGGGTCTCCAGATTGTCTCCTCTCTCTTTTTTCAGCTGCATGTCGGGGATTTTCGAGGATATGACAGATGTGGCTCTTGGAGAAGCCATGCAATAGAGTATGATAGGACTTGAAGAATATCTCAATCTCGTATAGATTTGCGTACCGTTATGAGCCATGCGTCAGGCTAGAAATAACGGCATTGCTCTCTACTGTTCAGAAGGGAGCTAAGTTGTGAAACTCGGACGATGCGCCCGCCATAACCTTAATCATGGTTTCATCCATGGACGCTGTCCTGCAAGCAAGCGGATTACAAAAGATACATACAGTAAAGATTTGAATGCTAGCTCCATATAACATCTAGCAAGGTAGAACAGTGGTTGTAATTGATCAAATAGATTGGTATAGCCGAATAGATTTTGCTCGATGATCCCCCATTCATAGGACAGGATCGCCTTTTGTCTCCAAAGTATTGAATGAGGGCATTGCACTGTAAACCCGGTTGAGGGATTCAGTTCTGAACAGAGCCCTATTTCGGATGGATATAGCCAACACTTATAGCACAGGGAATACGGGTCAATACCAAGGATAGCTGGTCTACCATGAATCACTACAAACAACGGTCTGATGTGGATACTCAGATGCTCACCAGATACTAGATTCTGACTAAATAGCAGAATCGGACCGACAGCTCCCCACACAACGGGCTGACGTATCTTCAAGGGGTTAACGCTGAATAGTCATCACAAGTCCCCGGTATTTAACTAGCATCTCTAACCCTAATTAAGGTGCAGGACTGCTTGGCCATTGTGGAGAATCTACCAAGTATGTCTACTATATAGAGCTTGTTTCATCTTCCACCACTCTGTATCAATACAGTACTTTATTCTCAAGCCAGGCACATTGGACCATCCCAGGATTTGCCGGATTGTGGCTGGGGCTCCAATTACGTCTTCCGTCTCCGGCCAGGAACAGGGTGGACCGGACCACTGGACACGCGGGCGGTCGCTACCCAACGTCCCTGAAGGATCTCTTGACCACATCCCCCTCCCCAAAAACTTATATAGACCTGGTTGGTCCCCACGACTTCTGGTTCTATCAGCACAGAGGATCTTCAGTTCATCACAGTATCCAACAAAGCCACACAGACACAGACCCTCCCAAAAAAGCAGGCTCCAGCATTCTATTCCGGACCCGCCGCGCTGTGACGACTGACCTCGTTGATCGCCCCCAACTTCCACTCCCCACTGCCAAGCAATCGGTTTCTGGGTGTCATTTGATAATAATAGCTCCAGCCTGTAGTGGCTTGGTGGCTTGTGAATTTCCCTCCCCTCCTGCTAATATCCTACAACCCTTCCTCGTGAAGACCTCTCCGTGTCTACAATGTCCGACACGGCCCTTTCTGAACCAACGGCGCTCCCTGCGCTCTCCGATGCGCCTCCATCCAGTGCCGGTCGCTCCTCCGGCACGGCGGCACCACTCGACCAGCCGCCGCCACAGGCCGCCATTTCCGATGAGCTCAAGGCTCGTCTGGACAAAGTGTTATACTCCGAGGTGAGTACCAATGGCAGCCAGAGACACGCGACACCAGTCGCGCAGCAACCAAGAGCCTTGCCCCTTTGTGCTAACACTGTCGTTTCCGCATTGTAGATCGGAATCACCACTCTCCTGGCTCGATTGAAGCAGAGCGTGGCCTCTGCTAGGGTACGTCATTGTTGATAAACCACGCGTCTCCTCTTCGACCGAAAAACCGAATGCGCTAATGCACCGACGCACAGGATTTCTCAACCTTTTTGAAGAAACGAGGTGCCCTGGAGGAGGAGCATGCTCAGGGGCTGCGGAAGCTGTCTCGTGCCGTTAACGATGCTGCGCAACGCACCGAGAACCGACAGGGCACCTACAGCTCCAGCTATAAAGATATACACCGCCTGCAAGAGCGCATGGCCGATCATGGCTTGCAATTCTCCGTCTCCCTCCAGCAAATGGCCGATGATCTGCACGAGCTGTCGACCAATATTGAACGGGGTCGCAAGCAGTGGAAACAGACTGGATTGGCGGCAGAGAAAAAGGTCATTGATGCTGAAGCTCAGTCTGAAAAGGCAAAGGCCAAATACGAGTCATTGGCGGAGCAGTATGATCGCGTTCGAACGGGTGACAAGGCCGGTGGAAAGTTTGGCTTGAAGGGTCACAAGTCGGCGGCTCAGCATGAAGAGGATCTTTTGCGTAAGGTCCAGCATGCTGATAGTGACTATGCTTCCAAGGTCCAGGCAGCCCAGGCGGCGCGCCAGGAATTGGTGTCTACCCATCGGCCACAGGCAGTGCAAAACCTCCAGCAGTTGATTGCAGAGTGTGACTCGGGGTTGACCCTACAACAGCAAAAGTTTGGTAAGTTGGGAGGTTCTCATCGCGTGCTTACCTATGGTTGTTTCCCGCCAATTAGGTAGATAATGGGCTAATACATTGCAGCTACCTTCAGCGAGAAGCTGCTCCTTGGCCAAGGTCTTTGTGTCAGCCCTATGAAGGCGGAGAATGGAGCCCTTGTCCCGAAGAGTCTGGCCGAGGTGGTCCACCAGGTTGACAACCAGAAGGACTTCCATGACTTTATCCTCAGCCACGAGGGGAATCCAGGTGCCGTCAGCGGACCAGAGGTCAAGTATGAGCGGCATCCAACCCTAGGAGGCGGCCCAGCCGTAGCACCAGCCGCAGGCCCGCCGTCTCAGACGAGCACCCAAGCCAAACAACAATCTACCTTGCCCGGAACTTTCTCTCAGCCCACCATCGCTTCTCCAGCTAGTCAACCACCCCAGAGTAGCACAGATCGTTTCCAACCACTTCCCTACCCAACACAGGGGGAGCCTCTCTCGGCACCTCCGTCACAAGCACCGTACCCCGTCTCCGGTCCCCCTGCTCACGAACCTGCACCAGCTCCAGTTCACCCTCCAGCGCCAATGATGGGTGGTTCAGCTCCCCTGATGCCAGGTCCCCCACCAATGGACCGGGCTGCTCTGCAGTCCAGCCTGCCACCGCTGAAGCCAGTGTTTGGCGTATCTTTGAATGACCTGTATGCTCGAGATGGAACCGCGGTGCCCTTCATCGTCTACCAGTGCTTCCAGGCCGTGGAGCTCTTTGGTCTTGAGAACGAGGGTATCTACCGTCTCTCCGGCAGTGCCAATCATATCAACCATATGAAGGCAGTCTTCGACAACGGTCAGTTCAACTTGGTTGAGTTTTTTTCTTTCTGTGACCTCTATACTAAATGATTACATGTCCAGATGCCTCTAAGGTCGATTTTACCAGCCCGGAGAACTTCTACCATGATGTCAACAGCGTGGCAGGCCTTGTCAAGCAGTTCTTCCGGGACCTGCCTGAGCCGCTGTTCACTTCGCAGTTCTACTCCCAGTTCATCGATGCTGCTCGTAAGTTTCGAATCATGCGCTGCTTCTACATGTAAGACTGACAAGATGACTTTTCAGGTATCGAGGATGATACCCAGCGCCGCGACTCGTGCCACGCGCTCATCAACAGCCTTCCCGATGCCCACTATGCCACTCTGCGGGCTGTCATCCTGGTAAGTTACTAGTCATTGCTCATGTCAAGAACGAGCCATACTGATCGCATCGCAGCACCTGAACAAGGTCCAGGAGCACTACACCTCGAACCGCATGAACGCCGGCAACCTGGCCATCTGCTTCGGGTATGTTACTAGCTTTCGTCTCGGTTTTATATTGTAGCTAACATTACGATAGACCGACCCTGATGGGCGCCAACTCCGGCGGCAACATCGCCGATGCAGGCTGGCAAGTCCGCGTGATCGAGACAATCCTCAACAACACCTTCCAGATCTTCGATGACGACTAAATCATTCGCCCAAGTCTCATCAGACGATCACAAGTATCTTTTCTTCGGGTCTCATCGTCTCTCTTCGCGCCGTGATAACCCCGAGAGCAGTCTCGGGTTCGGTATCACCATCTAGTCTCTTGTTCCAGGATCCCCCTATGTCTTTTTCCCTTGACATTCCCGAATGTTGTTTTCCCCCGTCCGATTCCCAATCACGTTTTGATCCCACCGCATGTCCCGTCCCCGTCGTTGTGCTTCCAGATCTCCCTGAATGGCATGTGTCTGCTTCACTCTGCTCATCTGTCTCCTGCGCATGCCGGGTCGAGCGTAACTGTGTAATACACGCTAATGCCCCCTTGCTTTTTTTGATTATTCTTGTACATAAACACCCACTCTGTTTCTCCGTATTCGGCGTCCGCGCCTGTGTGGGACTTGCTTAGTTTCTTCCCATCACGTTAAATCTACGATGACCCATTCTAAATGGCATTTCTTGATAATTGCAAAAAAGTAGCGAGTGGATAGGTTTTGTACGCGTCGCCGGTTTGTCAGTCGCCTTGTTCTTTGGTCTATCCATACTCCAACCCTAGAACAATGATGGTCAACTCTACAAGCAATAGAGGTAAAAATGGACTGAGCCACGGCACTCAATATGGACTATAATACATGAGTTGGTAGATGCTCTATATGACTGGCTAGATATGACAAATTTATAAGTGGACAAGATAAACGCCCCAGGCAAACATCAGACCGCGACTAATGTTGCCAATCCCGCTCTCCAACAAGGATACGACGTGTACCCGGGAGATGAGACAATTGATAACCGTTAACACAGGGTGGAGAAAAAGAGAAAGAAGAAAAGGGGGGGGGGGTTCAGGAGACAGGGGGCTGCCCGGTCTAAAGACTACCGCCACCAGGTCCCATGTTCTTTATAGCCTCGAGACGCTCCAGGGCAGTGAGACCCGGGGCAAAGGCTGGGTCGGTGTTCAGGGTCTTCATATCAGTTGCCTGGGTAGTACCCCAGATCTGCCAGTCGGCGTGCTTGCCGTGCCAGATAAGTTGCTGGATAACGACGTACTCGACGCAATCCTGTTCCTTGGCGGGGGCGACCTCTCGTCCGCCGACGAGAGTGGTCATGGACTGTCTGGAAGCTAGACGGACGACCATCTGGCGGATACCGGAGTTGGACATGTCGGGGATTTTGACGGCGCGGTCTGCCATGACGCGTACGCCGCTGAATTTTCTGCCGACTAGTTTCCAGACGATCCTCTCGTTTGCGCGGCGGTTCTGGATTTGGTTGGTGAGTTTTTGGGCGAGCTTTTCGCAGCAGATGCGTTTGATTTCAGGGATGTTTCCACTGGGGTTTCTTATGTTAGAGGAGGTGGATTGGAGTGTGCGGGTGCTGTTGAGGGTTGAAGGCTTACTCGGCAAGGTTGGAGTACATCCGGGTGTACAAGGTCTTGGCGATCATTTTTCGGGGGATGCGATGGAAGATCTTGAAGAAGGGAATGGTGATGGGTCCAATACGGGGCTTTTGCAATTGGTCTGCGATGAAGGGGACATTAATTAGGTCCCTCTTGCAGTACATCAGAACACTGGAGTCAGAATTAGCCAACGGGTACATCCTATTTTCTTGTCCTGGTCCTCGTGTCTGATTGTCCAAGCGAACAAAGCACAATTACGACAAAATTCCACAACTCACCTGGCGTAACCCTGGAAGACACTCTTCAACCAAGTCCATTCCATCCGGAGCCGGTCCCGCGGTTCCTGGAAAATCGAGGGCATGTCCTTCCACATCGGCCGCACAAAGGTACCCGGCAGCAGACCAATATCATTCGGCAGCTGGTGCATCATCACATCCTTTGCACGGGACTTCATCGACGGTTGCGCAGGGGAGCTGGGCTTGAAGTTTTGCGATCGGTAGGCCCATCGTTGCGCCGCCGCCGAGAAGGAACGGCATTGCTGGTACTGCGAGCCGGAGGCGAAGGACTGGGCGATCAGGGAGATAGGTCGGGCGCTGGGGAATATGGTGCCCACCGGAAGACGCATGGAAGACGCCATTGCGAGCTGCGACTCGGGGCCGGAGGAGGGTTTCTTGATCGCATCGAGGCGGAGAAGGAGAATCTTGGAAAATCCGCGGATGGTCACGTGCTGTCTCCGCGATTTCGCAGGCCCCAATTATTGATGGGAAGCTTGTCGACAGCGAAGGGGTCCTCGCTGAAACACGATACACACACCTCTCCACTCCTCCTTTTTGAAGTTTTGCAAAATTTGCGCTACTACTTCCTTGAACCTCTCATATCTTGCGGTCCGATATCACTGGTTCTCCTCAACCGGGTGCTCCATACTCGGTCCCTACGTGAAATCATCCACCGATTAGGGGACTCGGCCTACTCGACACGTCGCGTGCTTGAATCAAACCACCTTCACTCCTTTTTACAACAACACAACACCACCAATATACCTCTCCAAACGGATCCTGCGCGGCGGCCGCATATGCTGCGACCAAGTCTAAAGGCTGGCTCCTCTCCGTAATGCCTCACCACCACCATACTCACCCCCCGCCCAAGCAACCAGCCCGCCAGACCTGAACCGAGCGCGAGCGCCAGCGCTCATCCCCCCCGAGCTCCTCCAGACAAACCATCTGCCCTCGCTGCAGGGCCATTTTCTCAAAGAAGTGGCGTCTCTAACAACCCCGGCCGTCGTCCCGCCGTCCCCGAGCTCCGACACATCCCACACCCCGCTCGGCAGTGATGCGGGCCAGACTACGTCTTCACCGCTGCATCCGCGAGTAGCGGTGATACTGGGCGTTGACCGCAGATGGCACATTCCTCTGCTGGTATGCCGGGCATTGAGTACCCTGCCTGCGGCGTGGTGGGGGCTGCGGTGTGCGTTCACCTTCTTGGCTGAGCTGCTGCATATCAGGCCGGGGATGGGAAGGGAGGGCTGGGCGGCGGCCATTGTCGGGAGTGTGGGACAGGAGTGGGATGTCGAGAGGAGGTTTCGGGTTACGGAGGTTGCGCTGGCAATTATGTGGGTATGTAGAGCTGTTTTTTATGCTTTGCGCAATTGGAGATCGTGTGGCTAATCTTTTTTGATCGGCAGTGCTGTGCATCCGCATATCTTTCTTATTTCTTTGCTGATTGTATGATGTCTCGATGGTGGGTGATCCCTTCTATCAACTCGAGCTGTCTATATGCCTCGGTGCTGGATCTCAATCGCTTACTGACCTCTCTCTCTCTGCTACAGGCTTTTGAATTACACCCCGCCTGCCGTTGTAATCCGGCTTTTGACAACGAACGGGTTAATTGCATATATCACTTCATGGGTTCTCTATCTTTCCGGCGCATCTTCTGATCCACGACTTCTTCTACCCGCCTGGATCTCCATTACAACCGTACGTCGTGACCCCAACCATGAGACACTCACACTCAAGCTTGAGGTACCTAGTGACCATGACTACTAACCCTTGACCATCATCAAAACCCAGACCCTAACATTCGTCTACCACGCAACACAAAACCACGCCACAATCAAACGCGAAACAGCCGCCTCCTTACTCGTTGTCTCCGTCGCCAGTTTCCTCAGCATGTCCTCGCTCCTCCTCCAGCTCCATCTAACCCGCGAGAATGAACCCGAAGTCCCCGTCTTCGTCATCACCCGCAAACTATGGGACTGGGCCGTCGCCATCTTCCTGCGCATGCGAGTCGCGGATGGTCGAGCCGTCGGTGAACTATAACTTTGTTTTCATCTAGTGTCCTGCCTTCTCTTCACCTTCTCACCTTTTCCCCCGGACCACACCCGGACTCGCTTCCCCTCTCCGTGGGGCTTACCTTCTTCTTCTACCACTTTTCGGAGTTATATTGCTATTATCCCTTTGATCCCCCCACCCGCTTTTGACTTGCTCTCCATTAAATCCATTTTAAGAGACGGAATTCCCAGCCAGATATATTGGTCGTGTCTGTCAATGAAAACTGCCACGGAGAAAAGGGGGCGTGAAATTGGGCTGGATTTGTATATTCTCGGGCGGCTTCGATGGTTATTTTGCGGATTTGATGGATTCCCCGTTTACCTACCTCAGCACCTCATCCTACCCTACCCCGTACTCCCTTCCGTGTCCAGCTGGACTAGCTTTTTTTCTTTTTGTACTTCATCGATCTTTGATAGATCTAATTCTACTATTTTGATTCAACGTGACCTCCTATCCTTGTAATATAACTCCGTAGTTCTTGAGGGGAAAGACTACTAGATCTGGTAGCCAGTCCAAGTCATTATACTCACTTTACGAATTGTGCTACAGGTTCTAGGTGGTTCGGCAAATTCAAAGAGCAGTTCATGTTTCATCGTTTCCAAGATAATACTGCTCGACATGCAAGAGGCATGAAAGGAGCGAGAACAGTAGGAAGAATAGGGAAGACGGTAGAGACCGACAAGGCCGAGCGCAACCAGCAACAGAGCACACCCCGTATTCAAAGGACTGGATCTCCTCGAACAGCAACCCAGACAACTCAGTCCAAGTCCAGGGTCCAGCTAAGTACCCGGACCGAACCAGTGACAGGGAACTGTCGCTCCAGAACAGCAGAAGGAAAGGAAGAAGAAAATATGGCAAACACACAGGGCAAAGTGGTGAATGAAAGATAAAAATTCAATAGAATGAGAAAAAGCATCGTCTGTCGATGCAGATATGGGTATCTACCAACGCCTCGTTCCGTCATGATCCCGTTCTTGGATAAGAATAAAAGTCGAAAGGAGATGAACACGCTTAACCCTGTCGATCATGCTGAATCGACATCGCCGAGGACATCATGGGGGTGGAAAGCGGGGTAAAAGCGTGTCATAGCTTCTTGACAAGGCCCACGTCTAATACGCCAGGCACAAAGTGGTGGGGGACAGAAAGCAAGAGATTTGACCGATGGATTGGGCCGGCTTGGAGCACGGCCGGCGGTTTAAGGGGACACATGGCGTGCTTCCTATTCCTACCGCTCACAGGGCAACATAGACTGGGAAGAAGGGACCGGAACAAGGCATGGTGACGGGATTAGAACCCATGGACCTGGAGGGTGGTGAGTCAGATATGGATTGCATATAGCAACGGAATAAAAGGAGACGTACCTTGATGGTCTTGGCATCCAGCTCGAGGCCTTCCTTCTTGTCGGTCAAGAACTCCTGGACATCCTTACGCTGATCTCCTTGAAGCTGAATCACCTCACCCATCTCAGTGTCAGCGACGATGGTGCCATTGCAAGCTGGACGATCATTAGTATTTGATCTGAGTAACCCGCTAGTGGCAGCGACGATGGAAGAAGAGATGGAACATACCGAACTTCTTCTTGATGACCTTCAAAATCTTCTTCTGGTCAAACTTCTTGGGAAGACCCTGAACAGTAGTCAGAGTCTTACGACCATTGCGCTCTGTACAGGATTAGCATGTGGCTCAAAGTGATGTGCTCCGTCTTGGCGCCAGACGCGGCGACCGTGACGATCAGCGACCGCGGGGTAGGATTGTGCGACATACGCTGAATCCGTATATGGATGTAATTCTGCGACTGTTTAGTCTCGCCGGTGTCTTCGTCGGCTTCGGCGAAGGGGTCTGTGAGACAAGATAACATGTCAGCCTTGGTCCAATACTAAATCTCTACCCCGCCGCAACACCGCTGGACGGTGAGGCTGAGCCACGAGACCCTTTGACCAGGCAGTCCAACACCACAGACAACATTCAAAGACTCCGTCTCTGGTGACAGAATGTAGACTTTGGTGGAGGCCCAGCCTGGTGTGTCTGTCTGGGGAGTGTGTTTGAGGCATGCTCACGCGCCCACAGGAGTAGGGGGGAGGTGGCGACTCACCAAAGGTCTTGAGGTTTTCGATGGACATAAACTCGGCGTATGTCCTGGACGGATTTAAAGTGGGTTTTTGTAAAGAGCGCGAAGGGGGGAGATTTAGTATCTCTTAAAAAGATGAGTGATCGGAGCGTGTGGAGAGTGAAGAGTCGGAGTGAACTGGTTGAAGGTCGGAGAAGAATCAGAAGGAAGAGAGCGGCAAAGCCTTTTGAGGCCTGTGGGGGGAAGGCGGTGTGTGACTAAGCGACCCCTCCAGGTTTCTTTGACTCCAGACAACGCATCTCGTAATTTACGATTGGCAGGGATTAATACCTCTAATTATAAATGAATGAACAAGAGCTATAGAAGATGGAACCCAAAGACCCAAAGATTTACAATATGTGTCATTCAAAATAGAGGGAGAACGGCGTAGAATGTTGGCGGTTGTAGAGACTGACAGCCTCTCCAACGGCTGAAGCACAGCCACGGGTGTTATCGCAGGGTATAGACAGTGCTGCCAAAGAAGGAACGATGGCCATCGCACAAGAATTGTCCTAGAATAGTATTACACGAAGAGAATCCACTCGAATATCGGTACAAAACGAGCCAACGAGTGTGGACGGCCACCACGACTAGGTATGCCGAGTCAACCAGGGCCATTACCCGTTCCTCTAGTCGACAAGACACGACTGCATACAGAACAAGATACAGACGTATTAGGCTCGTTGTATTGGTAACAAAAGGTATCACAAGAGAGTAGGAGGCTTAAGGGGAAGGCGAAGGAGCCGGGGGAGCGGCAGCGGAGCCCTTGGCGACCTGCGGAGGCAGGAACAGGGGGAAGTAGGTCTGCAAGGAACGGTCAGAAGACTGGTGAGAGGGTAATGGTGGGGTATAATAGTGGATGCACGTACAACGGCCAGCGCCATCACTACAGGAAGACCACGAGATTAGTTTGGGGTTTCGACAAGATGACTCGACGGGGGAAAAAGAAGACATGGGCCGGACACGTACAGGACATGAAGACAGACATGTAGGCTGGGGTGGCAGCGTTCTTCTTCTGCTCGGGGGACTCGGCGAGCCAGGTCTGAAGCGAAAAGACGAAGGAGACCCTGAGAGGGGGAGAGTATGGTTAGTGGGAGTTATGGACCATTTTCACTTGGAGCATGGTACGTACCAGCCGATCATTCTGTATCGCAGTGATCGTTAATGAGGGATTTCTATACTGGTCAATTGGCCGGTTGAGGCTCACCTGTTCCGCATGAACATCTAAATATAATCGCGAGTCAGCTAAAAAGGGTTCTCGATGAGCACGGGATCATGATCCACCTACCGCTGCCATTGGCATCGTGCTCGACATGGTACCTGTCGCAGATCTTTGTCAGAACATTATAACCCTCTTGTATGTGCGCAGACCCCTGGACTCCGCCTAGGGTGATTGGTGAGGTCTCGCGTACTGGACATGTCGGCATCATTGGTGCTCTTGGGCGGGTCGACGTAGGGGATCGCTGCGGCGTGGTTCAAGGTTAGCCAGACGGAATTCAAAAAGGAAACGTAGCAATTCGTAGATTAACTCACCGAGATCCGCGCGCCGCATATCCTTGGTTGACGCCATGATTGGAGCTGTGGGATTGATGGTGGTGAAGGGGAAGGAGAAGTCGTGAAGCGGCAACCCCCAAATGCCAAGACCAGTGGCCCAGTTGGGCTAGACTCGACGCATGGGGAACTCCGAAGAGCGGAATCGTGGGGGGAAAGAGATAGGAATGGAGAGAGATAGGGAATTAGATCGCGTTGAGTGTACAATTGTGAGATTTTTCGAGACGATCTCGTGTTATGGATATCTATGGTATACATCTCTGTAGCAAGGTATACAGCCCGCGTTACGAAATCGAATCTACAAGTCCTGGGCATCGAACTATCCGACAGCGATCCGCTCGAATCTGGGGACGATCTCCCATTACACGGGGGAGTCGGTGAGCGCGGAACTCGATTTCCCTGGGCTTGTTTGAGCCAGCCATGTCCTGTAGATCGCAGATCGATGCATGATCTGTCGCTTGTCTATTCGCACTAGAGCAGGAGGGACAGACGTGGACAAACGTCCAGCACAGCGAAAGCGATAGGCAACCCAGATCCACTGATCCATCATCCAGCATATCAGACTGTGATCGGATCCTCCCTCCTTGCATTCGGCATGGCCAAGGCGACACGGCACACTGCATGCGACCACATCACCAACCGACCCGGCATCTCCGACGGTATTCTCCCCGTTAGGAATTTCCGATGGAGGGCTGGATGGTGCCACAGGAGAGGGAGGAGAGCAACGGGTAAAAATATATTCGCCGTATGACTCTACTGGAGTCGCGCATCACGTGTGGTGGCCACGGATGGTGGGCCGATACGGAATGTGGACGCGCATGGGGCAATGTTATTGAATAATAATATTGAAATAAGGGAAGGATGTAGTCGCTACGAGGACACAAGCTGACAGCAAGATCCAGCCCAGCGATAAGCCGAACCCCCTCGGGTAACTGGAGGGATTCGCTGTAGCTGCGCCGGGGGCGTAAGCGGAGGAGATTTGTCCTGGTCCAAACCCCGACTAGGACTGTGCCTCAAAGACCGAGCGACCGGGAGCCATCCCTAATGGCCGTGAGCTGGAACCTGTTCATATGTAATTTGAATGGGCGGTTCGTGCTTTAGACACGGGCGTGACCGGAGTTAGATCCGGATTACTTAATGACAAGATAGGTGGAACTATCAGGATCTAGCAGAGAAATGGCGAAATGTTAAAAGAAAATGATGGCGAGACTCTCGCTCGTGAGTTTATTCGCTTAAAGTATGGAGTAGGTTGCTCCGAGGAAGACGTGGAAGGCTATTCCCGAATCTGATTTGTTTCTTTGATGCACTTGACTACCGGAGCATAGCCGGCCTTAGAAAGTCTTGTCTTAGGAGTTCAAAGCCAGTTTCCAGTTTCGGAAGGGAGATGCGACGGGGGTTGGGCCATACCTGCTTGGAAAGGATTTTATCAATCCTAATGCGGTTTTCCTATCTACTTTTTGGGGCTTACTTAGTAAGTGTATATAAGCAACTAGTTAAATAACTAACTTAATTAGTTAAGTTAACTAGAAATGGATACAAGTACGGAGTCCAGGAGTATTATTATTATTGTTATTATTATTATCTTGTTATTATTCTTGTGCTACTCTCTCCGGTGAATATAATATCATAGGCCCCGTCGGGCGTCGGGTAAAACCGAGGGCAATTTAGGCTGTGCCACCTAGACGACTACGACTTGCTACTACTTGCCTACCTAGGTATGTATGTCCAGTGGGACTCCATAAGTTAGAGCCCCCAAAGAGAATTTGCATTTAAGATCTTAGAAAAAGGAGAAAGTTGAGTTTGGAGCTGGATCTCCTACTTGGTCTTTAGATTCAGACTTGTTGGACTGCCGCTGTGCTGTACCTACTGTATCCGTCTATCCGCCCAGTATGAAGCCAAGGGGAAAAAAAGCAAACAGGGCCGACAATTAGGGAATCTTCGATTCAGTCAATTCGACAAAGTTACCATTCAAAGAAAGGCTACTGTACTCCGTACATGGGGCGATCATGCCGGGATAATACTCGGTTCTTTAGTTGCCGCGCCGATCTAGCCGCGAAGCCCCGATCTGACTGTATTTCCGAAGAGAGAAGAATGGAGTACCATACAGAATGGAGTACCATACAGAATGGAGTACTGTACTGTACTCCATAGTAGTTCCGTCAAAGCATCCCCTAAATTGATACTGTGCACTTTACTCTGGATAGTCTGTATCATTAAGTATTATTACACAATCCAATCCACTCACTAGCTCACTACTTAACTGGGGGGTCACCCCAAGCGCGGTAGTTCGGTAATGACTCGGCCCAAAAGGGGGAAAGGGGGTTGGAGCTGATATCGTAGTTAGTGGACTTGTTGGAGGATTGATGGGTGTAACTTCCTCGATCCCATCAATCATGAAATGTAAGTGTATATAGCCGAGGAAAAGGAAGGGTGGCGGGGGAGAGAGACTGGAATCGAGGAGTCCCCGGATCCAACATGCAATCCAAATTGGATCCCATCTGCAGCGTGCTATTGTCTGATGCAGAGGCCGTCTGATTGAAAGAAACAGGGTCTCCATCAGACCATATCTTAGACATGTGGACAATACTCTTTACGATAGTCCCCGTGTAAAATACTATACTCGTCAAGCGCAGTCGATTCCGCCCGTCGATCCCGAGGTGGATCCCGCGGTGGACGTGGACAAGTGGACGGAGGCTGACGGACTCTTGTGACTTACGTTATCGCAGCCCATCTCATCCCATAAACACCCTCGCCCCGATAACGCCGTTCCCTTTCCTCCGATTCCTTGGATCCCTTCTCCACAACTCAACTTCTCTCCAAACTCTCCATTAAATCCACTTGTATACTATACCATTGAACCTCTGCTACCCATTCGGTCATCCTCCAGTCCATTCAAGACCTTTTCCTTCAAGCCGTCTTCCTGCCAACATCACGCCTGGTTCGCCCCGTTGCCCGAAGCATCCTGATCTATTCACTATCGATCAATCTCGTGAAGAAGATCCAGTCCGAACCCGCCGTCATTGAACATTCGAACCCTTCTCATCGAGTATAATTCACCGATCTCACATCTCTCCGCCCCGGTGGCCCCCTTCCGAACCATTCAAATGATACCTTTCGGCCGATTCTGTACACCATGAGCCTAAGATGATCCCCCATTCTTCTGCCGGCCAACCCTGGGGCCACCCGATGCGCACCCTCAATGGAGGCCCCGGACGGGTTGACCTGGCTCAAATGGCCGGCCAGTACGATCCGCCATCGGTCTCCTCGCAACATTCCGTATCGCAGTCGCAGATGCAGTCACAACCGCCGCAGCCGCCGATCCGCCAAACACCCGTGGTCGACTTGACAGCCAGCGGATTTGAATCGCACGACCGAGAACCCCCGCCCAAACGACCGAGGCTGGATGTATCAGGTGGATCGAATCTGGGAGATGCCGGCTCGACGGTGAATAGTGCCGAACCGCGGAGCACGCCCGGGAGTAGCGCTGGACCGCGGCCGCAGCTCTCGTGGCGCGGTCGACCGCTATGGTCATTTCAGGCTGTCATGTCGGAGGTCCCTGGTAGCGAGAATCGAGGGGATGGTGCGACCGCATCTAAGCCATCGTCGCCACCTCCGTTTCCTGCTCAGCCGTGGACAAATATCCCGCCAGAGCGTCAGATTAATACGGACTCGAGTTCTCGCGATGCATCCCCGGTCAAGAAAGTGTCTACAACGCCGTATCGGATCGAGACGCCTTCTGCGGCTCCGATTCTCAAAGGAGACAGTAAGCTGACCGATTCATCTGATTTTCTTATTCCTTGGATGCTGTTTACGACGGATTGCTGACAACCATATCTAGAAGTCGCCGGGTTTGCCCCGTGGACTGGAAACCACCCGGAAGATATCTTGAACGAGCAGACCGCTAAACAAGGCTATTATGACCGTACCCAAGTTTCCCAGAATGAGTCCAACACCGCTCGCCCGGCTTTGTATGCGCAGCTCAAGCACCGCACGGGGCTGCAAATGCTTTCGTCGGTCTTTACCGCCGCCCTTGAGAAACGACAGGACCACAATGCCGTCCATGCTCCGTCGACTTTCAAACCACCGCCACGAGTTACGCTGACCGATAATAAGCGAGAAGCGTGGCTTCGCGACCTTGCCAACTCGGCCGTACCACTGCGCCGACTGAGCCGAACCATTCCTCATGGTATCCGCGGTAAGGTACTGCTGGATCAGTGCCTGGGTAAATGGATCCCAGTGGCCCGAGCCGTTTGGCTTGCAAAGTGTGTAGGTGCCAACGAAATCCGTGCCTTCAAACGCAAAGGCACTAGCGGTGCTTTGGCGGTAGGCTTAGAGGCAAAGTGGGTTCGTGAATGGACGACCAACGTTCAACAATTTGTCGAGGGAGTCTTTAGTGCGCCAAAGTCGAATGACTGGAAAGCAAAGATGACCTACGCCGTGGGACTCACTGCTCGTCTCTTCTTCGAAAACCTCCTTGACCACGATCACTTCCTGGAATGGTTTTTGTCATCCTTTGAAGCGGCGTCGCTGGCAACTGTGCCTGTCTGGCTGCTGATGCTTGGTATATACTGGAACAATCTCATGCGGTATCGTCGACGCGGTCGACGATTAGCAGAACTTCTGCTTGAAAAGCTGCGACAGACTACCGCTGCCAAACTCGATCCCCTGCAACCTCTCGTTGATCGCCTATCTCGTTTCATCAACAAGCTGGTTCATGAGCATACCTCATCGATGATTCTGCCGAATTCATGGGACACATATAAAGATCAAATCTCGTCATGCCTCAACCTTTCTAATAAAGTCGACCGAGCTCTGTTCCAGAGTATTTCGGAACGCAACGTCCGCGTACAGCGACCTCGACACCCCAAACAATCCGCTCATCGCTCTCCCCATCAACGCATCATTCGCCTCTTCGACTCGATCCGCTCCGCCCACGATATCGTCGCAATTTCGTCAGCTTGCCTGGACGCCGTTGACGATCGGGCCGTTCTCGTTTCAAAACTGCTAGAGTGGCTTGCGACGCCGTTCCGTCATGGCATTTGCCGAGTTTACGTCGGCGTTCGCCTGCTGCGCAAGTGGAAGGCCTCGGGAGTTGATGTCGACGAGCATATTCTTTCCTTCCTTTCGCATACTGGGGTTAACAAGAAGCTCAATATGGAAAATGTGTACCATGCCATCTCCGAGCTTGTCAGGTCACAGACATTCTCGGTTGGCCGATACCTCCAATGGCTAATGGCAAAAGGGGTGACAGCCCGTCAGCCCAACGACGACCAGTTAGCAACTGACACTCCTGGCGATATTGGACTAATCGCTCAGCTTCCCGTTGGCCGTCTCCCCGAACACGTTGGCAACCTGCGTAAAACTCTGATGGCGCGGACTGGGTTTTCCATCTCAGACGAAGCCGAGATGGCTACCAATATCAAGATCATGCTCAGCCATCGTCTTCCGGCCATTTTTCGTTCCGCGATGTTGTTGGATACGTCGCTCACCTCATTGCCGCAGAATCTGACATGGGCTGTGAAGGCTGAGATTGCACTTTGGATTCGGCGCGGTGTTGCGGAGCATACCCGTGTGCACGTTAATACCTTACGAGCCATGCTTCCGGGCGAACTCGGCCATTCGGCATCTGCGCTCACGCCTGAAGAGTTCTATATCGTTCGTGATGTCCTTGAGACAATTGGTGATATCTCTATGTTGGCAGATGTACTGAAGGTTGCGTCAAGCTCGGACGATGGCACCGTGCTCGCATCAGTGGCGGACACTACTAACTGTCATTTCGACTCGTTATCTGTCATTGGTGCTACAATGGACCTGTTCCGCAAATTGGTTGATGCGTATGCCGGCATCAAACGATTCGGCACTCCCAGCCTGGATCTGATGTTTTCACTCATTGAACTTGGTCTTCGCATTCCAAACGAGCTCAACACTGTCGCCATCCTTCGCCAGGATCTCTCGCGCATGGAGAACAAGTCCGTTGTCGCTGCTTGTTCGCCTGTCTCGGACCACATTCCAGATAGCTTCGGTGAAGCCGATCCTCTGTTCCGCGAAAAACTGGATCAGCTCTTGCTGTTCGGCAATGTTATGGATGAGCCCACTTTGGACACCATCTTCAACATGCTGGCAAAACATCTGGAATCTGGCGAGGGCAAGACGAAACTGTCAGCTAATGATACCTGTAGGTATCTAGCGCAGTTGCGGTCCTTCCAGCCTAAACATTTTGATGTCATTCTCGCACGTTGGGTCTGTGGACACCTCAGGTCATCCGATCGCTCGGCACTGCTTCGCATTCTTCCGCCACTCATCGGAGTAGGATGCGTGACTATTCGATCGTTCCTGTCACTCGCCAAGAGACTGTCCAATTCTGCGAGCTCCATTCCCAAGGCCGCATATCTGCCCGCCGATCTAGTTGAACTTCTCGTGGCGCACGACGAGGATGGCATGTACCTCGATCTCGTTTCCTACCGCTTCCGGCTAGCGCAGCAAGAGTTCATCTCCAGGAACACCGAGGAGGCTCTTGGAATTGTTTTTGATGCCGCTGCCTGCCTCAAGTCCGGTGATGAGAAACCCGCTCTCAAGTATATCAACTTGGAGTCTTCTATGGTTAAGTTATTGCGAGAACTGCTTGTGCGGAATCCCGACTGCACAAGCAAATATTGCTTGCACAAGATTGACAACCAGTCCCCGGCCGCGACCGTTGTCTTCCAGAAAGCGCTCGATCTCTTGCTTGGGGTAGACTCACAGAAAGAAAACGGGTCGGTGATATCGGCAGTGGAGAAGCTTGCAAACACAACAGACGACTTTTCGCTTCCGCTCTGCCAGTTGAAGCTCCAGGTGCTTTTCCACGCCGACTCTGCAAATGAGGATCGATCCAATCTTGTGGACGCGATGTTCAAGACTGTCGTGGCTGATTCACGTGCGCATAAACTCCACTGGGTTGACCTTGTCGCTTTGATGAGTTCCGATGCTGTGCGTCAGATCCGTGAACGGGCTGAGAAAGAGTTCTTTGCGATTCCGCTCCTTGAAGAGCCGGTGACCTCGCAGAGTGTGAGCTCTTTGGAGAATGCAAAGTTGTATCTCACCATCATCGAAGAACTCGCAAATAGTATTCCCAATTCCGGGGCGCCATTGATTGCGCCGCTGCTCGTTGAGAAGATGGACACCCTTCTGCACAAGATTATCGCCTTGCAGACAAGTCTCAACAACTCCGGTGAGAATCGCAGCGCCACATCGACCGGTCAAGGACGCACCACCTTTGAGCGGTCCCTAGCATTTTGGTTCTCAGCCTTACTACGAATGGTGGTCATCCATCGCGCCTCGTTCATTCAGCCATCTCCCACGCTGAAAATTGGATCCCCTCACGAGCAGTCCCGCCTTCTGATATCAATCTTCTGCGTTGCACTTTCTCGTCTTCCAGGCGACGTGCTCCGCTTCTTCCCCGGCGCCGACTATTTCCCCCGCCAAGGCACTGTAGAAGACTACCGTCCTTGCCCAGGGATCCTGCTGCAGACACATGCGTTGGACGTGGCCGCCTCCCTCATCGACATCTTCCCCGACGAGATCCGTCATCTGTGCGCCCGCTTCCTCAAGGAGAAGTGCCCTCCCTTTGCACCACTCCAGAACGACTCGCGTTTCGTCTACCTACTCGGCCCCATGTCGGATTCCCACCCGTCCAGCATTCTTCAGTCGGCATCTGCCGCGTCCCCCGCGGCCTCCGCATCCACGCCAACCCCGACGTCAGCCAATTTCCCCGCCGCCGCCGGCACTTCTCAGCCCACAGCGTCGAGTTGGTACGGTGGACTTTCCGAGAACTCGAACTGCATAGCGAACCGGCTGCGTCTGCAGAATCGGGGCCGTATTGTCGGTCCGTACCCGGTTCGGCCGTGGGAGCTTCTCGAAGACGCGGCTCCTTTCGTGGGCGTGAATGATACCGCGGTGAACTTGGGCTATTTCGATGCGAGACGTGTGCGTGTCTAGTACGGGCCAAGCGAGATGCGCCGGCTGAAACTTGAAACTGTGCTGCTTGCGTTAGTCTTCTCTCCCTTCTTCCATAATTCTTCGCCACCTTATTATACCTCCTGCTTTTTTCTTTTACTCCTACCGATCATGTTCATTGGTCCTTCAACCATGCCAATGGCCTTCCTTGGTTACCACAGTTTCCGTGCATATTCATATTCTTATTACCAAACAAGCATCAACTTCGGGATAAGACGCATGTTCACGAATCAAATCTTCACCTTTCTTGTCTTGTCCTGTCTTTGTCTTGTCTTTGCATTGGGGTGTATGCCCATTCTTTTGATTCAAGGTTCCCATGTTTGTCGCGTCATGCCCCCGCATTGAGATGCATTTTTGGTTCTCCGGTCTCGGTCTCGGTCTTAATCTTTGGGTCTTTGGTCTATTTAATTCGCTTTGTATATACAGTTCCTTTTTTCAGGCTTGTTTCTTTTGGGGGTTTCTGCCTTTTTTTTGCGTCCATATCCTTATCCACATCCATACCCCGGCGTTGTTTGGGGACTGGGATTGAATTGAATTGAATTGCATTGAATCTGTTCAGGTATAGGTATCTGGCATACATTACATGATGTTGTCTAGTTTGTCTTCTCTGTTGGTGTCTGGCTCGGGAGGACTGGTGTATAGTATTGAATTTACCTTGCATTAAGATAGAGCATGGGAATAACCTGATGATTACGTGATGCGTTCTTGTCTCCGTCTCGGGTTCGGTTCTACCTGGATATGTGGATTATCATGACACTGCGAACGTGATCTACTCAGTATCCACCCGCTAAACATGACTTTCTCCGGTACATACATCTCTCTCTCTGCATCTCTTTCGACATCTCTTTCTACAGCTCTCTTTACCTACATAACTCATAGCGGTGGCCTCTATTAAGAATAACGATATAAAATGGATCGCTACAGTGGCTCTAAGTAGGTGAGTAAATTCTTCGACAACGGTACTAGAGGCTTCCTCTCCCATTTGGTGTAGCCAGCATAGAATCAGAATTCCTTATGCGTGATGTTGCGTGTGAGGAGTATAATACTTCAGGTTGCCAGGCAGCTATATTAAATTCACTATTACTAGAAGGTGTGCCCTGTTTAGTAGCGAAAAGAGAATCATCACATAACCATACTGGCAAAGGAAAAAATGAATACTCGAAGCAAAAAGTCACGCGGGCATAAGGTTCATAGTCCTGAAGATGTCTTGGGCCGTAGCGCGAAGAGAGTTCATGTCGAAGAGTAAGATCTCTCCGGGGTTCCGATTAGGTCTCAATGCGAATCGTCATATTTCATTCACCCCGAGTGATCCGAAGGTCCGGGGAGTTGGGTAGAGAGGGAACGGGGAAAATTTGCTAGTAGAAGCTATTAGATTCTGAGAACGGCACGTAGGTCTTCGACATACCTTGCGCTGTTTCAAGACCGGTTGGGCAAAATTGTCGAGTTCCCAAAGCTCTTTTATACATGCGACACGCCGAGTCGTGTTTGAAACAGACCACCACGATGAGCTACGTAGATAGAAAGAGATGTAGAAAGAGATGTAAGAAAAATCCAGGGGTATTCGAAAGTAGACTGAATTCCCTATTTCGGGTATATCAATACCTAGTTCATCAGGTATATAGGCTACACTAGGTATAGTCTTAAAGACGGTACAAATCGCCACTTGCTGAAGATGGCCACTATCAGCCAACATACTTGGGTTCGGTTCGGTTCAGTTCTTCCCTGATATTCGGATCATGAAGCTACGAATATGATTAAACTCAGTATCCACTCAACACGACTTTCTCCTCTCCATCGATCTTCAACGGCATATTTCAAAGCAACACTATATCCCTCCCGAGTAATCCTAATCCCCATCTCCTCCCTCCCTCTCAAGTACAAGCATCACTCCCAACAACAAACGTCCCATCCGAATCTTCACACCCACACTCCCCCGTACTCGGATCCTCAATACACCCCGTCCCTACCCCACTACTAACCCCCTCCCCATCCCAATAAAACACCCAATAGTCCTCGTCAGCCTCAAGATCTTCATACGCAGGCGCGCTACACGTATACGCACTGCAGGTCCCCTACGGCGCGCCGTGGGACGAGTCGTATTGGTGGTCTGTTTCGAAGACGGCGAATGTTTGGGTCCCCGAGACCCGGGTGTTGTGGGAGCATTCGGCGGCTTGGATTGCTGTTGAGATTTTGGAGGCTTTAAGAAGGGTGTGTTAGTTGTAGTATTGGTTTGTTTGGGGGTGTAGGGTGGGTTACCGGTGCAGTTGAGGGATTTCGGTTTGTAGCCTTTTGTGTTTGAGGTTGCTGGGTCGAGGGTGGCGGTGACGATGATGGGGATTGTTAAGAGAGTGGGGAGGATGGTGAAGTGCATTTTGAGAGGTGGATGTTGCAAACGTTGTTATGATTGTAGTGGAGTGACGATGGAGAGAGTTGTAGGTTGAGAATGGTCGGGTATATGGCCTGATTTAAATGCTCGAGGCTGTCATGAGTATACAACGAAGATATAGTGCTGTTTACATGATACCTGGATATTTAGCCGGAGAATTACCTTAATCGGTATCAAGATTCAAATTAAGGATACGCATCCGTAGTCGGGGGCTTCGTATTAAGATCTTTCAGTAGGTGCAGCCCTGCAATAGACATGTTTCAGGATTAGCTTCGAAACAGCTATGCTATGGAGAAAGGCCGATCTCCACCGTTGCCGATCCACCGGCGCACTTGTTTAACTTGACGATCAGATGATCATCTACAGAAAACCAACAGTCTATTCATTCATGGGAGACTAGAGGTGAATCAGACAAGTTTACCTTCCCCACCGGCCCTTCTATCACTGGATTACTTGAAGGGCCCCATCCGAATAAGGACTTGATTGATGTCAACGTCAGCGTTTCATGCAAAATGAGTCTGTTTGAAAATGTCTTTTCCGGGTCTATTTTATCCTCTACGTGGACACGGTACTTGACCGAAGGCAAGTCTAGACCCTGATCGATGGCTACATGTACGTGTACGGCAAGATGTGCAGCTGAGCTTCAATATATTAAATCAGAGTCGTAAGATCCCGGCCGCTAAACATGTGTCGATGCAGACAGATTGATAACACTCGAATTCGGAACGCACAGAAATTACTCCAGCGACATGTGTGTCGTAAGGCTCGTTGCATTCTAGCAGAAAGTTGAGAGCCAACGTCGTAGAAATGCTTGGTCTCGTGGATGACGAACATACCGAAAACCATATTAATCTGCAACTCTTGAGCAATTGTAAAATCCAGTCTCGGTATTGTTATGCATTGATGTTCATGTCCATAGCTCTGCCTTCTCAACCTGGAAGACGCCCGTGAGCTCTTTTGAACAACACCCACACCTTATTCGATTGCCAGATGAGCCATCTGCTCGGATTCTTTTACTTCGGTTTGCTCCCAAACACTCCAGCCTATAATCCTTTGTCAGATATCGAAGCCCATTGTATCATCAGGCTCAGATATGAGACTTACATTTTGCTGCCAAAAATGCTTGTTCCTGCAGTACATGGAGGATTTACCGAACACGGTAAGTTAGATATCCCATGAGGCCTTCAGAGAGCAGAGTTCTATATAGAAGTGCCGCACGTTAGCGGAAGGTTTCTCGGTCTGGGACCATACAAACCAGGTGCCACGCTTCCAATCAGCTTGTCATGGTCTTTGTATCATGGCATGCCCGACTCTTGATATTCCAAGTCTGAGTATCATGTTCGAGAATAATAGGCCGCGCAAACACTCTCCGTGTGATTCGAGTATACCAAGTCCGGTCCGTGTAGAGAATCTCTCTTTTTATGTCCTCTTCCGTGTGAGATAGCGCCAAACATCATCGGATAATGTTTGCACGTTCTTGACTCCCTGGTGTTGGATATCGGTGATCGTGGTGACTCGTGGGTGAGGGTGAAGACAACGTTACCTCTTTCTCGGAGTGCGTTAAGTATTCTCGTATGCAGTATTGGGTGCATCCAATCTGGTAGACACTAGCGTCAGCTTATAAGTATAGCGACGATGAACTGACTCACTTGCAGCAGTCTGTTCCGAGAAATCCTCCAATGAGAACACTCCTTCCTCCAGGACCGCAGAACGAGTACAGTTATGACATATCTCCAATGAGAAAACACCCATTCGTCTCCGTCCTTCAGCGTTGAATCGGCTCCGACAGACCGGTAGTATTGGTGGGCTGGGTGTATCTTGAGTACCGGGGGAACTCCACAGGTCTTCTCGCTTTAAACAAAGCAAAGCAGAACCCGTGTGATTGACTGTTCGTAGATGACCTTTGTGTGAGTATATACTTGGACCGAGTAAATCCCGGTGGCAGGTTGTTAGCAATGGTCGAAGGGACCTTCCAGGAACGATGTGATATATGATGTTGGAAGTTGTCAGAAGATATGTTCCTATATATAGCCAGTGGAGGAGGTGCGGGAAAGAGAAGAAGTTGGAAGGAGGATGTGGATGAGGTGATGAGCTTTATGGCGCCTGCAATGAACTAGTTTGTTAGTTTTGGATTCTGTGATGGCTGTTTGGGAGGGACTTTCCATAGAGTAGAATCATATGGGTCCTTGGAAAGCTCCTGATTACCACTTTTTTTTTCCCATTTTCAAGGGTAAGCCTACGAAAAATGGATCTAGAGGAGGCTTTCATACTACTGTGGGATAGATTACATCAAATCAGATCAATAAAAGTAAAGGAAATTCATTCGACGAAAAAGGAGTATCTCGTATCGTTCAAGCCATTTGGATCGTCATTCGTGAAAGTTCATTCTGCACCATTTGCATCATCTGCACCATAGCTCAATATCCATTGAGCACTAGATCTGGAAATCATCCAAGTCTGGGTAGACCTAGACGGACTTCACCGAAACATTGCGCGCCACGGTTCCATTCTGCGAACCACTGGAATCAGTACCAGTCACGGGCTGGCATCCATCAGTCTCAACCAGCAGAGCCTCTTTCTCCTGCTGCTCGTCTTTGATCATCTGCTCGTTCTCCAGGGATCGAATGACATCCTGTAAATCCTCCTCGCTAAGTCCACGACCCAGCGCCTCACGCCGCACATACTCCTCAATCGAGGGGCGATTCTTGGTGTGGGACTTGGCCTCCACGGGTTTCTGGGTAGGACTTGCGCAAGTACGGCTGGAAGTGGTACTGGTAATGGAATTGCTGGGACTGCGAGTCTTGGAGCTCTCCTCCACGGGATTGTCGTTGCCCGAAACAACGGGTTTCTTGCTCTTCTCCGAGCCCCAGACTGGGGCCGAGTCAGTGCCCGAGCCGAGTCGAACTCCAGAAGCGGAGACAGAGCGAGAGCGGGATCCAGACTGAGACTGAGATCGGGATCGAGAAGGGGACTGAGAGCGGGATCGACGGAGAGATTGAGAAAGGGAGCGGGATCGAGAGCGAGAGCGTGAGTCGGCCTCGGTGGCGGAATCATTGTCGGTGACTTCGTGTACGGAGTCTGCGAGTGCGTTGACGGTGGAGGTCTTCTCACAGCCAGACTTGAGGTCCTCGTTGTTCTCATCATCATCAGAGTGGTAGACACGGATGAGTCGGGGGGCCTTCTCGGGAATCTGGGGATTCAATGGGACACCTCCCACAGTGTCGTTCCCAGGAGACTGGTCGACGATCTCCTCCTTTGGGGTGTCATTGGGTTTCATGTTTCGAGGTCTCATCGGTCCCGATGTCTGGCGTTGGTCAAAGCCTTGGCCGTTCATGTAAGGCGGCGAGGGAGGGAATGCTCCTTGTCCAGGCCAGGGTGCGCCGTTGCCCATGGGGCCGGCTGGGCCAAAGTATCCGTTGGGGGGACCGTTCATGCCGGGCTGTGGACCGCATGGCCCTTCAGGGAAGAATCCATTCGGGCCTGGGAAGTAGCCATGGCCTGGTGGAGTCCACTGAGGCTGGCCGGAGACGATGAAAGGTCCGTTACCGTTGCTGATGGGAGGACTAAAGTGGTCGGGAGGTGTGGGATGGCGGACGAAGGGAAGCTGGCCATTGAAGCCATTGAAGCCGGGGGGAGGGTGCCCGTAGTATCCATTGGGAGGAGGAGGAGGGAGGAAAGGAGGAGGAGGAGGGAAGAAGGGTGGGCGAACATCAGCGTAGATGGGTGTGGGGGGGACATATGCAAGAAGAGGAGGCACGTTTTCATGGTGGTTCATTGGTGAGTGATGGACCTTTGGGAAACCGCCGCGGAAGCCATTGCGGTGGTTGAAGTTACCACTGCCATTGTTGAAGTTGCCATTACCGTTGCGGTGCTGGCGGTTGTTGGGGTTGTGTCGCTGGAAGTTGCCAGCGCGAGAAGGTCCATTGTAGGGCTTGGAGCGAGGGAACCCTTGTCCAGGACCTCGGAAGGGACCCTGGGCAGGACCCTGCAGGAGAGGGCTACCGTCCATGTCGAGAAGGTTCAGGTAGTACTTGTCGTCTTTTTGGAAGTACTAAGAATGAGGTGTGAGAATTGAGTAAGATTCGTGGGGGAGGTGAGGAATGGTGAAGGAAGGAAAAGAGAGGAGGAGAGGAGAGAGAGGAAGATAGAAATAGGAGGAGGAGGAGGAGGAGGAGGAGGAGGAGGAGGAGGAGGAGGAGGAGGAGGAGGAGGAGGAGGAGGAGGAGGAGGAGGAGGAGGAGGAGGAGGAGGAGGAGGAGGAGGAGGAGGAGGAGGAGGAGGATGAGAAGAGGCAGAAGCAGAGAGGCAGCACCTGGAAGGCAGCAGCAGCAGAAGGCAGAAGGTGAAGGCAGAAGAAGAAGCAGAAGTGAAGAGGAGGAGAGTGAGAGCAGCAGCGTGAGAGGCACGTACCTTGATGGCGTCTCGGCAGTCGTCGACAAAAGCAAACGTGACTTTGGCCACGTCGGTCCAAGTCTGGTATCCCGTCTGTTGCGATTCGATCGAGTAGACTTCCAGTGAGCCACGACCTTCCAGCGCAGTCTGCACGTCCTGCGCCGTCACGGGTTGAAGAGAGCGAAGCCCGAGACAGGCAGTTCCTATTCAGATGTGAGCAACTCGGTTTATGGGAGGAAACGGACAACCAAATGATATACTTACTTCGTCCTTTGGCTCGTTCGATTCTTAGCATTCGACCGTGGAGAATGGTAGATTCGTCGCTGGACAGAGCTGCATTTGCATCTTCCACTCGCTAGAAGAGATATGTGATAAGCCAAAAAAGAGCCCTTCAATACAGAGACCAAAAGGACCAGAAAGAACAAGAAAGGAGAAGAATGGCCACTTACTTCAAACTGTACAAAGGCACCGGGTAATCCCTTCTTTTTATCTTGCTTGATCTTGACATGACAAGCACCAAATGATGTGAATACCGACTTTAAGTCTTCAGTCAGAGTCTCGGTCGGAACCTTTGTAGATAGACTGCAGGGCTAGTTAGTAGAAAGTCTTATAGCAATATATTCAGATGGATCTAGAACGTACTTTCCAACAAAAATACAAGCCTCAGGAGGGAACAAGCCCTGCGCGTTCTTGGCCGAAGGCGCTTCCTGCAGGCGATCATTGCGAGGGCACTTGGGCTCCGTATTGGGAACCACAACCTGGAGGGCCATGGTGGAAGTATATATCAGAGCGCGGTAGAGAGTGGTACCGGGTATAGCTATATCGGTATAGGTATGGCAATCACAGCGAAAAAAAAAGAGGGTGTCAATAAGACAATGAACGTATGAACAGGGACGAAGTAGATGGGAGAAAGAAGATGGATTTCTGAAAGGACTAACGAAGAGCATATAGTCTCTGGGTTTTTTCCCACTTTTCCGCAATTGAAATATCTTCTCCGCTACAGATTGAGAGCCGATCTCCCAATGGAGTCGTGCCCTGGCCCTATTCTGGAGAGCAAAACTTGGGGACCCAAGAATAACCGTGGCTGGGTCCCGGGGGTCGACGACCAGACCGACGATACTTTGACTCAGAGCCAAAGCCTAATCGGGCCATCCATGGCTGGAAGAAGGTCATAGTAGCATCATCTTCATGCCTGGTGAATTCTGGTCTCTCGGGCAGAAGCTCCAAATAGACCAGGAGCTTGGATACTTCTGCACCACAAACAGCTTCCATGGGTCTTGTATAGCATGGTCACAGTGGAGGGTTGAAGGGTCTCGGTTATACAAGGCAGAAGATTGACTTTGAGTGTTCCTGAACTCAGCAGATGATGGTTTCATTCAGCTTGTTCAAGCTATCGTGACGTCCAAGGTGCGTATGGTAATAGATCGGGTTGTCTGTTGTAGATGATCCATGCTGCGGGCAAAGTTATATTAGAGGAAGGGGGAGTACGCCAAGCTGGACGTATCCAGGGTTATTTTCTTCAGTTCTCTGGTTTGATTGACAGTGAAAGTCATTCGGCCGTCCATAATAGTCGAGCCGCAGTTCTTCTTGTCAGTGCCGACGCCCAACGGAGGCATGCTTGACCAGCGCAACCTTGGAAGGGTCGTTTAGCGAGTAATTTGGCGAGTGAGGGAGAAATAGAAATGAAGAGCAATAAGACGTATGCGGATTATGGGAAATCAACAAGGTAACACATACTGAACAGATGAATGTAAAAGCCATCACTGTACAAGGTTTCCTCCATAAACCCTATCTTGGGAGACGCCACTTGCAGTCCCTGAGTCTAATTTTCCAAGAAGTGGGCATTGCACCAGGGTCTTACGTCTGTATATACATCTTATGGACTTGATTGGACACTAACTCATGTAACATTGGGTCTCAGGGTGTCAGACTGGAAAATGGCATGGTCTTTCCACAGGTAATGTCTTTATAGTGGTCTGTCTAGCGCTTTCTCTACGCTTCTTTCTGGTGTCATTTATGTCTCTTTGCTGGTGATTGTTCAAAACTATCTCCAGTCCATTTTCAAAATCTCTTGAAGCTTGAAAGGGAGGCCACTGTAAATACTCCAGTCCGGAGTATTCAACCACACACTCCTCGCTGAGCCCTCAGAAGCGGTTATCTTATCGCGGCAGATCACCGCGCAAGTCTTCACGCCACCTCGGGACGCCGACATCATCTAAAATCATCAGCTCGTCCAGCTCCTCCCTCCTCCACACCCGTGACTCCCGACTCCTCAGATCATAGCTGCCCGGATTCGCGATGATCCCAACGCGGAGCTTGGCTGCACAAGGCGGCTTCTTCAAGCGGAGCGCCGAAGAATTCAGCCGCCTCTCTAAGATCGGTTAGTGTCGCGCTCTTCTTTCCCCGTTCGCTCGACCAGCAAAGCTAACTGCGCAATGTCTAAACTCTCCAGCTTGGAACACCGAAGCCCTGCACACTCCGACCAAGCCATACGTCCTATTGAACTTTGAAGATGCGTCCGAAGTCGAAGGATGCAAGACTATGGCCGACCGCGCCGTCGGCGGATACAGCACGGCGAGCTTGGACTTTGAACCCGCAGATCCCGCTTCAAACACCCCAGCACACGCGCGCTTCCATGGCAGCATCTCCACCAAGCTACCGGCGAACTGGCGCGTCGAGAGAACTGGTATGTTTCCTGTCGTGTATCAGACAAGGGGGGGGGTCCAGAATACTAATCACTCGGGGGGTTACGAATAGGATACGCTGCGTTCCGCAACCGAGACCGCGGTCTCTGGCTCTTCGGCCGTCTCTTCTGGGACGTCGATCCCTACGCATACCTTGCTCTCCGGATCAAGTCCGACGGCCGTCGGTATACCGTGAATATCCAGACAGACTCCATCGTGGAGACGGACATCCATCAACACAGATTGTACACCCGGCACCACCGTGTCCACGGTCAAACACCCATGCGGCAAGCCCTGCGATCCAGAACCCCCGAAGACTCCGATGCTAAGGAAGCGCTACACACACAAGGCATTCCCGATGCTCTGTCGGACTTCCCGCCCGAATCCACTATCATCTCCTCTTCCTCTAGCGCTACGACTGCCGGTACGACGGGATGGGAGACTGTCATGTTGCCGTTCAACTCGTTTGTCCGGACGAATCATGGGTACGTGATGGAGCCGCAGACGTGTCTGATTCGCTCGCGGGTGAAGAGTATTGGCATTGGTCTTACGGATCGTATTGAGGGACCGTTTGATCTGCGCATTCATAAGATCTGGGCTACGAATGGGATTGGCGAAGCTGATATTGAGGAGGAGCGGCGGATCTGTGGTGCAGATGCGTTGCCCATCGATGAAGGCGTGAGGTCTGCCTGGACGGATAAAAAGGCCACGAAGGAGGAGGATGGTCAGAAGGGCTCTGCGACGAAAGAAAAGGGTCTGAAGGGATTGAAGTCCGAATGGGACGAGTGATTTGCCTGAATATCTCCCCTCAAAGCGTTTGTATATTATCTTACTATGTATCATCCTCGTGTTCAGGATATTCGAACATGTATCAACCATTGGACATTCATGGATCTTTTTATTCATTCGCTCGTCCTCGATACCATTTCATAAAGACATCCACAGGGACAGACCTTCCGTCAACCAGACACAACTCCAAAGTATGTAACAAACCTCAAATGTCCGCTCTAGTTACCTCCAGTAATTCTCTCCCAGGCCTCCTTGTACTTTTCAGCAGTCTTCTGGACAACCTCATCGCTCATACGAACACCGTCCTTGCCCTTCAGCCCCTGCGAGACCAGCCAGTCCCGCAGGTACTGCTTGTCAAAGCTCGACTGGCCCTGACCAACAACATACGAATCCTTGGGCCAGAAGCGAGACGAGTCGGGGGTCAAAACCTCATCAGCCAGGACAACCTCATTCGTCTCCTCGTCAACACCGAACTCGAACTTGGTGTCGGCGATGATGACGCCCCGCTCGAGGGCATACGTGTGCGCGGCCTTGTACAGCTGCACAGCCAGCGAGGCAATGGTAGAAGCGTAGGGCTCGCCAACAATAGCGGCAGCTGCGTATAGACTGTGATTAGCTACGACTTTGCTAGGAAGCGATTGTGTCTGCGCGCGGACGTACCCTGGTCGGGATGGATGTTCTCATCATGCTCGCCTAGCTCCGCCTTCGTGCTGGGTGTGTAGATGGGTCCATCGGGGAAGGCCTCGCTCTCCTTCAGACCAGCGGGGACCTTGATGCCGTGCACCGTGCCGGACGTCCGGTACTCCTTCCAAGCGGAGCCGGTGATGTATCCACGGACGATAGCCTCGATAGGGAGAATGCGGAGCTTGCGCACCTGCATACTCCGGTTCTGCAGCTTGGGGCGCAGCGATTCGGGGATCTGGGGAGGAAGGTCGAGAGTGAGGAAGTGAGTGCGGAGAGTGGGAATGGCCTGCGTGAGGATCTGGAACCAGGTCTTGGTGCAGAGGGTGAGCAAGACACCCTTGTTCGGGACGCCCTGTTCATAGACAATTCGTGAGCAATTGCACAATTGTGGTAGTGGTGGCATCTTAGCCTCGTACATTCTCCATGATCACATCGTAGGCGGAGATGCGATCGCTGGCGACGAAGAGCAGGGTCTTCTCGTCGACCTCGTACAGGTCGCGCACCTTGCCCCGGGCAACGAGGGGGAGAGCACCTTGCAGGTCAAAGGTCGTTATAGCTTCCGCCATGGTGAATCGAGTCCAATTGGGAGTTTGAACGAGAGAAAAGAAGAACTCATGCGTCATTCGCGGGATGCATTTTTTGGCGGGGCATCGCCGATCGCGGCCTCGCAGCCTCAGGCAGTTAAGTCGCCAATCAACTCCAAACGCGCGCCTGCGCACGTCGTTGAGCTTTCAGAATTCAAAAAGAGCTGGGATAGTCCGGAAAATGGACCATTCCTCGGCATAATGACGCGCTATCTGACACCGTGGAGGATCTCTCTGCTGTGCCTGATAACTGTCTACACCGATGGGCTCGTTCCCAACTCGTCCGCCATCGATGTGCTCTCCTTCCTGACCGCAGGCCTATTCCCTTTAGATCCCGCCGATAAGCAATGGGAGAAACACTACCTGCCGCGCATCACGGAGATCGAAGAGGTCCTGTCAGGCCATGAATCGTCCGTACCTGGCCGATCACTATGGGATCTATTTCTCAAGAAGATCTGGTCGCTGGACTCGCTAGATGCGCTGGAGGTGTTTTTCAACGACGACCTGCCCTCCTTGCTCACAAAGACACGCGAGCAGTTGATCCAAGATCGAGACAATGGCCTTGCACCGGAGAATGAGGGGATGCGGTTGTCGCGGAGCTCGCCGCTTGGTGCGTTCGTACGCAGGGCGTATCTGGAGTACACGCGATTGCAATTTCATGATTCGGTAACGCTGTGGTCTGGTTTTGTCAAGTATCGGCTGCCTACGTACAATATGTGGGCGAGGAGGAATGCGTCGGACAAGCATTCGCCCGTCGATGTCAATCTCCAGTTGCACGGCTTCAATTCCAGTGCTCACTTGACCCATGTGGTGTATGGGGATATCGAGGACGATGAAGAGGACGAGGGCCTGGTTAGTGTTAAGGATGCGGAGCGGTTGATTGAGTTTCAGATTGGGGAGCTGCAACGTACGTCTCTCGTATTGTTTGAATCTGCTTTTCTTCTAGATACTGACGGCATGTAGGACTGGGTGGCAGAGTTCCCGAGGAGATGAGAGCACAACTCAAGCGTATCATGACCTCCGATTCAACCGCTCCCGTACTCATGTACTATTTGCAGTGAGCATCTTCCTTATATGACTTCAGGTCTGGATCGAACTTGAGCTAAGAAGTGACAGATATCTCGACGCCTGGCGAGCGGGTGACTACACATCAGCGTTCGACAACCTCCACCGATATTTCGACTACACCATGCACAGCAACGCCGATCGTAGCGCTTATCAATTTGCGCTCTTGAACCTGGCCATCATCCAGGCGGACTTTGAGTGCTTCAGTGAAGCCATCTCTGCCGTGCAAGAAGCCGTCGCGATTGCTCGCGAGTCTCATGACATGAACTGCCTCAATTTCTGTATGAGCTGGCTGTACCATTTCGGCAAGGCATTTCCAGAGCAGATGCGGGAGGTACAAAATAGTGGAATGCTGGGTGATGAAAAGGAGGGCCTCACCTTTCTCAAGGCCAAGTCGAAGGAGACTGAAATGTGGTCCCTCATGAGCACGACGTTGCTCAGCGAGGCTAAGCTGGAGATGCAACATGTGGGTTTTCGACGTTTGTCCTTCGCAGAGTCCGTACAATGGTGCTGACGACTACCAGGGAGAGAGCCTCGCTACAATCGTCGAATCATTTGTTCGAGCATCCCATATCAATATCACCAAGGGCCTTGCAAATCCCACCGGCGCATACATATTGCTCCAAAGCGCCATGTATGCACGGATAGGTATGGCTTCGTGGATCGATGTAACACTGGAATGGAGCTGACCACCTGACTACAGGCGCCACGCATCTTGCATGGCTAGACACTGAAGTTTTCCGCGAATGCTACATGGAGGGCCATCCGTACGATGACTTTGTGAAGCTCACGTATCGAAATTGCCTGATCGTAAGTCACGAACCTCTACATCAGCCTGGATGCGGGAGCTAACCTCGCATGGATAGCTGGCACAAAAGGGGAATTACAAGGAAGCATTCGCCCGGATGAACAAGGTCGAGCCAGAAAGGCTACGGGCCTTCAAATACAACAACTCCTGGACATACTATTCCGGCCTCCTCCAGCTACGACGCCAAATCAACCGGTAAATGACCCTTCTATCCATGTTCCCCGTCATCCCAATACTAACATCTCTCCAGTGACGACAAGGTAGCCGTCGAACACATCCTCGCCCAACTACAAGCCATCCAACTCCTCGACTACGACATGCGTCTCCTCCTCGCCTTCCATACCATCGAATTCACCCTCCGCCAAGGCGACACCGGTCGCGCCCTCCGCATGGTCGAACAAGCCGCAAACTCCATGCAACCCGAAAACTTCGACGTCCACTCCCAAATCAAGCTCCTCTGCCTGAAAGCCCGCATCCTCGAGAAATCCGGCCATCCACAACGCGGCTTCTCCCTAGCCATGCGCGCCGCAAGCATCGCCCACCGATCCAAAGTCCTCTTCGACCTGTGGGAAGCCATCTGCACCCTCGCCGCTGTGCTGCTATCCCTGCGCGAGTTCGAAGCCACCGCCGAGCTAGTCGAGAGCATTATGCCGCAGATCCTGGAGGCGGAGGACTCTGCTCTCACGGCGCGTGCGTATTCGCTCCTTGTTGATGCGAATATGGGCGTTGCGGGGGAGTCGTGGTCTCAGCAAGGACCGGAGCGTACGTTGGCTCGAAAGGAGTATGTTAATCGTGCGCTGGGGTATATTGATTCGGCGTATGATGCGTATGAGGAGATTGAGGATCTTCTGGGCCAGACGGAGATGATGGCTAAGAAGGCCACCGTTATGCATTTAACGGGGGATCCGGTCTTGGCTAATGACTATGCAGCGAAGTATCTGGATCTGCGTAAGCGAAGGGGTGCCGAGATATGACCGGCTTCTGTATGAGTAGTTGGTGATGTGTATCATGTAAGGACTTGGCCTGGTTTTGTCCCGCGTTGGGCTTAGCTGGATAGCTGGATTTGCAATGAATAACATGTCTAATAATATCAATCGAGGTGCTCTCTGTACAAGTCATTCAATCCGAGAAGTTCAGTATGTGACCATAGAACGTTGGGTAAAGACCACCGGGATAGTCGGGGCTTTCATGGTCCGCGTGGATATCTATTCCGCACACCACGGCTCTACAACTCTACACCGGAACACTACAACCACCTTGTACACAAACCTAAACCAGTCTATTCCGATCTAGGTAGACACTCAACAAAGGAAAAGAGCGAGAAGGATAGAATACGACAAGCTTCACTTCATTCCATCATCCGGATTCTCTCATCCCCGATTTGCGGACTCGTAAGATCCCGCGGAACACATCTGCGATAGATATACATTTGAACCTGTGCACTTCAGACCAAAGATACGATCTCCCAAACACGCATTGAGGTTCGCACGCGAGCTTTTGGGTGGGTTGTTGTCGGTTGGAGAGCGATTGGCTTAGGTAGCCTTGTCCTTGTTGTGGTAGTTGACCTCGGAGTTCCAGCTGTGTCATGTTAGCGGCGTGTCTTGCACGGATGACAGCAATTGTCCGGGATCAGAAGGGATGACGGGAGAGTATAGAAGGAGGAGGGCGTGGAGATGTGCAAGCTCAAGCTTGACAAGGTTCGGGGTATGGGGCGTGTGCCAAAATTTGTGTCTCATGTAGGTGCGGTTCCAAACTTACAAGATGGTCTGTAGGAGGGCAATTAGCTTCTGTGCCTCTAGTAGCTCGGTCGGCAGAGGATAGAATGGACTCACCTTGTCACCGTCGCCCCAGGGGTAGTTCTTCACGCGGATGTTCTGGTAGGGGTACTCGGTGCGCTCCTCGAGAGGAGGCATGTGCTCCCAGTGCTCCCAGTGCTCGTTCCACAGGCTGTAAGCGTTGAGACCACCACCGATCAGGCAGGGAATGACGGCGCTGTACTCAATTTTGTCAGTAGTGTCCTATGCGGCATCTCTGCCCGAGGAACCGAGTCCGCTAGTCCATCGAGAAAAATAACATACAAGATCGACAGCTTGCGCCAGAGGTCTGCAGAGCCATTGAGTCAGTACGAAGCACTTGTGTGTATTCCAACCCTTAAAGGACAGTATTCCATGGGCTATAGGTGCAATTGGGATCTTCACGCACCGCTGGTGGAGGCGGCGTGGTGCTTGACGGCAGCACGCTCGCGGTTGAACTCGTTGTCGACGATCCACGAGGGCTTGGCCTCGGTGGAGTTGAGGCGGCGCTGGGCGACCGAGCGGGCCTGCTGGGAGGCACGCTGGGCAAAGCGGGCGATGTTGCGCTGGGCGAACATGGTGGTGGTTGTGGGTGGCTGCAAGTGGTTTGCTGGAGGGGAGAGGAGTCGAAGCATGTCGTACGTTGAAATCCGAGCCGCTTTAGTGGACTCCCGTGATCCCCCGGCTTATGTAACCTGATGTCACTCCACCATCACGTGACACTCAATCGACTGCACTGGTGCGAGCTTCCTGGAGCTACAGAAAGACGCTGAGATTGAGTCGACGCGTCTGGTTCGGGGGAAAATCTTGCTTCAGGTGCTGAAGGGTATGCGCAGTTGCGTTGCGCAAGTCGCCGGCCATGGGGTTTCGCATCACGACGTGGAATGGTAAGTAGCTTGTCTCTGGTTTGAAGGACTGGGCCCTGGCTGTAAGAGAGGTGCTGACCAGCTATCACAGTAAATGGGATTCGGTATGTAGGGTTCCTGTGGAGAAATCAATGTAAATGCTGAACGAGTCACAAGGAACCCTTTCTCCTATGAGCCATGGAGAGGAAATCGAACCTTTGAGGTGAGCAGTTTAGGTGCAATTCCACCGTACGCCTTCCCTGACAAGGTCATAGTCCATGTTCGATATCCTAGAATCAGATATCGTGGTCTTCCAGGAAACAAAAATCCAACGGAAAGATCTCCGGGATGACATGGTCCTGGTACCGGGCTGGGACTGCTATTTCAGCCTACCCAGGGTCAAGAAGGGCGAGTGTGGCCCTCTAGTAATGCTCCGCGACAAGAGCTAATGCAAAGCAGGATACTCTGGAGTCGTGATATACACGCGCAATGCGACATGTGCGCCAATACGTGCTGAGGAAGGCATCGTTGGCGTTCTATGTCCACCCAATTCATCAACCCCTTTCCGCGATCTGCCAGAGGATCAGCAGATTGGCGGATACCCGACTCTCGAGCAGCTCAGAAGACCGGCCGCTGTCTCAGAAGACTATGACTCGAATGCCGAAGAAGATGAAGACAGAGCGACCGACGAGCCCATTGATCCAGCAATTCTGGACTCGGAAGGACGGAGCGTCGTACTCGAATTCCCGGCCTTTGTGCTCATTGGAGTATATTGTCCAGCTAATCGTGACGAAAGCCGCGATACTTTCCGGCTGAGCTTTCTCAATGCCCTTGATGCTCGAATCCGGAATCTTGTCGCGATGGGGAAGCGCGTTTTCGTGACGGGTGACATCAACATTGCCAAGCAGGCCATCGACTCCGCTCATGCTCTCGAGGCCATTCGCAAGAATACTTCAACAGAGGAAACCTATATTTCTGTGCAATCTCGGAGGCTGTTCAATGAGTTGCTGGACGATGGGAAGGTCGTCGGACCTCGCGAAGAAGGCAGGGAAAAGCCTGTGATGTACGATATATGCAGATCCTTTCACCCAGACCGGGCTGGGATGTATACCTGTTGGGACACAAGACTTAATACTCGGCCGGGCAATTTCGGGGCGCGTATCGACTATGTGCTTTGCAGTCTCGACATGAAGGACTGGTTTGTCGATTCGAATATCCAAGAGGGCTTGATGGTACGTCTGCAGGCTTGCGTTGTTGGCTGATTGTTGCTGACACTGTGATACGTAGGGGTCAGATCATTGCCCTGTTTACGCCGTCTTCAAGGACGAAGTACCTCACAATGGAGAAATGGTACACATTCGGGATGTGTTGAACCCACCAGGAACGTTCAAAGATGGCGAGCGTCAGCAGGAGTACTCGTCCCAGTGGATGTTACCTGGGTCTGGACGCTTGTTACCCGAGTTCGATATCGACAAACGCCGCAGCATCAAGGACATGTTCGCCCGCAAGCCAGCTCCCAGCCTCTCTCGGTCGTCATCCACGAGCGGTGCTATTGACCAGACGACCGCAGCTCTGGACGCAGAGCCCGTCGCAGTACGAACAGCCATACCGAGCGAAAAGTCTTCCATCGCATCCATCTCCACTCAAAATTCTTCCTCGAATACTCTGTCCCGCAAACGATCACAGCCACTTCCAGCAGCGTCCGTCAAACGCTCCAAGTCTTCAGCCACACCATCTGCATCCACCGCTGCAGCAGGGCAGAAGACACTCAAAGGATTCTTCAAGCCAAAGTCCGCCGAGGGCAACAGGCACAGCAAGCCCTCTGCGGACTCGACAAAGTCCAGTTTCCCACCCAGCTACGATGGAACATCATCACCTACAACCAGTGCACACACGAGTATCACCACTAACACCGCAGGAGCCACCTCCCAGCCCTTCGAATCCAACACCAATACCCAAGTCCCTACAGCAGAGATCCGTTCTACGCAGTCCTCACCCAGCGAGTTTCAAACAGACACCATCATTGATCCCATCGTCAGCAAAGAAGATTGGAACAAGCTCTTCACCAAGAAACCCGCTCCCCGCTGTGACAGCCACCAGGAACCATGCGTTAGCCTGACGACGAAGAAGCCGGGCATGAACCGCGGCCGCGCATTCTGGATCTGCCCGCGTCCTCTCGGTCCCAGCGGTGAGAAGGAGAAGGGTACACAATGGCGCTGTCCGACCTTCATCTGGGCCAGCGATTGGAACTCGAATCCGCAAGGAGAGTGATTGGGATTCATCTACACCGTTTTGCCGTTTAACAGATACCATTTCTTACAGTCAATACATCTCAAGTTTCCATTCCTACTGTTGCTGTCCATTCTGTCTCGTAGAGCTAGGCTGCTGGGGTGCCTCAGGCTGTAAGAGTGCCTCAGATTGGCAAATTCCCCGTTTGGGAAGACCAAGGCAACGCTGGGAGGCGGGGCACTGCTGCCTTGGAGGGTGGCTGGAGAAGAGGCTGGAAGGGGGGTGTGGCTTTGGCTGGTTGGGGGAGAATCATCGAGGACAGTTATCGCAGCACTCAATCAGGGCAAACTTTTGCTGGGAGGGTGTGTTGGCGTACTTCTTTAAAATGGAGGCGGTACGGAAAGCTCCAGTTGTTTGCTTGATTCTATGGGATTCTATGGGAGTCGCCCAAATAGGCAACCAGCGCTGCTGCCTTGGAGGGCAAACATCGAGCGTCAGTACCTGGACGTCGAGGTGCATACAAATTAAGCTACGTGGGGGTGCGGGGGTACATACCCGCGATGGGCGGCAGAGAAGTGGGTCCCATTATGGGTCCACCACCTCCTACTATTCCTAAAGCGGCAAACGGTTGCCTTGAGGGCTGGTGTTTGCTTGAGTTGCTATGGCGATGTTTTGTTTAGGGGGCTGGGAGGGGATGCACCTGGGCATCGAGGGTGAGTAGCATTCGACACGAGGCTATGGACGACCAATGCTTGCGAGCATGTTGCTCTGGTATGGGAACACTGAAGGCTTTTGGGGGAAATGGGGTTGTATACTATAGTTTTGTATGGAATTAATTGAAATTTCTTGTTCAGTGTATTGGCTATTTTGAAGTATGATATCTACTATGTAGTGGGTCCTGTCATACTGGCAATGGCTATGTCGATCCCCCAGATCTGCATGGACTTGGCATGATCCCCCATTCCATGTGGGGTACCACGTTACACTACTCTAATTCAGCCCCAACGTCAATATGCTTAAATCTGATCTTGCATTAAGCATTATCAAGTTGTAGTATTAGTTACTCAAAAGCCAAAAACAAGATCCATAATTAAAAAGTATTTCTGTTCATTCTCGTACTCTGAATCAGGGGAGGGCCTGTTCATAGTGGGTATAGTAGCCAAGCATAGCTCAGTCATAGCAGTGTGCCAGCAGCGCCCCCCCCATCATGCCCGTTCACAAACAAGACACCCAAACTGGAAGGCAGCAGTGTCAACAAGGATCCATTTGTTTCCTGGGGACCCACACCCCCCAAGTCTGCCATCGTCGCGGCGACCTTGGGGGAGGCACAAACAACCTACGAAATTCTTCGCTCTGGTTGGCTCTCTGAAACGACGCTAGTGAACAAAGCCTCTCCAGGACCCCCCAGGAAACACTTAAATACTTCTTCTCCTACCTCCAACTCTCCTCTTTCTTCTCTTCACCCCTCTCCTCCCTTTCTCCCGTTTTCATTTCATTCCCAAGTCTGCCTCAACTCCTTCGTCCTTGACACTTTTCAGTGACAAATTTCCCAATTTGAGGATGGCCTCAGCCGCTGCCAGCCCTACTTTGGGGCCCATCGAGCTAGAGTTCATCTCTTACCTTAGCATGATTCCCTTTCATCGAGCTGGTCAAATCCTGGATCTCTGTCCGTCCGACATGTCATTCCATGAATTCGCAACGTTAATCATGGATGCTTTTCCCGACAACTACCTCGACAGAGGACGTCCATTCGTTTCTGGCCATCATGTTGAATTCGTCGATGGTCGTCCGACTGCTGTTCCGGAGGAAGGGGATCACCCCACAATTGCCCCGATGCAAACCCTTCCTGGCCCTTCTTACAAGCCCCGAGGCCGAGGTGCCCGTCCTCCTCCGAAGCAACTGCGGCCTCTGAACAGTTTCTTGGCTTTTCGTGGCAAGTACCAAATTTACTCTGAAATTATCTTATTCAATACTAACAAAACACTAGCTTACATTGCTACGGCACTACCTGCCATTCCACAGAAGAAAAAGTCCATACTCATTGCGCAATTTTGGAAGGACGAGCCCCACAAGGGTCAATGGAGTCTCATTGCTACGGCCTACACCACCGTACGGAACAACTTCGCTGTTTTTGAGTCCTCCGTTCCCACCTTCGCTGATATAGTTGCACGCAATCTGTTTGGGTTCCCCCCGCTGATCTCTATCTCCCCTTGCTTGGGTGGAGGGTGACTCTAAATCCACCGACTTTCTCGAAGATTGCGCCTCCCACTGTCTTGACAATGGCTCCACTGAACTTGGACGACGTTGTCGCCTTCTGCCAGCAAAATGATCTTGCCGATCCCCTGACCAACCTTTCCTGGGTACCTGAGAACGATCACTTCTCGAGTTTGGCTGTACAAATGGCTCGTCAGGCTAAAGACCCTCTCGACTGGATGTTTAGGGACGAGATGATCTACCTTGAGTTTGACGAGCTTACCTTGAACCAACTCTATGGTGACGATATTGCTGGATTGGACCCAACCTCCGATCTCCCGCCGATGTGGGCGCCTTGGCTTATCCATCATCCTACCTCTACTCCTCCCAATAACTAATATCCCTTCAATCTGGTTTAACGACGCCAACCCAACATCCAAGAAACTCCTGTGGCTACATTGACTCTCCTCTCTTAATACTGTTGCCCACCATCCCATGTTGTTCGCCCATACTGAAATGATCCTGGTCCAATGTCGCCCGCCTCGTCTCTGCCGTCATGGATTCCTCTGTTCTTCTGCGGGCTTTCCAATCATGCATTTTCTTCCCTGGTGTTCGTGGTCGCCGTGATTTGAGGGGTCTCCAGTCGTCACGTCACCAGTGGAATATCTTGCTGATTCATTTGAATTTTTCTGTTTCGTGCCACCCAGGACACGCTAATGATCGAAATGAGACACACACAAAAAAACAAAAAAGCAAAAAAAAAAGATCAAAACCCCAAAAACCCTACAAAAAAAAGTGAAATACACAAAACATTGAGGAGAGAAAAACTTGTTTCCATGTGCCTTGTAGACTTTGTAGAACATGTTCATTGTTAAGATTTCGAGTCTGGACTTTGTAGATTTCGTACGAACTCGAGCTGTTGAAACCATCACTGCGGGCTTAGATTTGGCCATGCAGGAATTGCACTCCCATGTGCAGGAGTGTATGACGTGTATACTCCGGCATTGGAGATTACAGGTTCATCCTGTCTTGTCGAGGATTACGGGCCTTTCTTTGTTGCAAGGGGGACTGTGCGATGGAAATGGGATACGGGCGGGACATGAGATTCTTTGTTCGACGTTGATGCCAAGACTGTCGATCGGCGGTCCCGGTGGGTCTGGTGGATCCAGTGGATGCGTGGTTCATGCAGCCACCGGAAAGGCGCTTGGCTATTTCCGATCTCCGGGTGCAGGGGTCTGGCTGGCCGCATGGACTGTGCGTCGAGTGGGAATTCAAGGGTCCGAGGGTCGAGGCCCAAGGACTGGTGGTTGGGCCGGGGTTTGCGAGAAGGAGTTCCGGATTCGAGGCTTTCTACATGGAGTCGAGGGATTGGGTGTTGTTGGATGGAAGAGGAAGGATGCCGACCGTGGGAGCTTGGCTGGTCGCACGGACGGCGTAATCAGGGGCTGGATGCACGAGCACGGGCTTGCGAGACAGACTCGGTGAGACAGCAATACGAGTTCAGGAGTGTTTCGGGGATAGGGGGTTGCCCTACGAGTCTTGTGGACAAGGGGTTGCTGGATGGAATGACTACGGAGACACAGTATAGCTGAGAAGGAAACAAAAAGTCAAGAAGGACCTGGATACATTTCGCTAATCACTCAAGACAAGAGCTACTGACAGGCAAATGGAATGAACAACATTGGAAGATGGGAACAGACAAGGCCCAAGATGGATTCCAGGATATACACGGTCGGGGACGGAAAGCCAAGCACGAGAAACAAATGGCAAAGGAGCAGGGGCAAATTGGGAAGAGACACAATTATTCCTCCTGGTATGAGATCTTGCGCATCTCGCCGAGGCGTGTACGGGCACGGGCAAGGCCGTTCTCGAGTTGGAGGATCTCGACCTGTAAGACAAGTAAATGGTCAGCACATATTAAGAACAAGGGATTGAAGGGCGATGAGAAGACAAATGAATGCACAAAAGCGATATGGAAGGCGGGATTCACGAAAAACACAATAAAGACATACCTGTTGCTCCATCTCGCGAACCTTGAACTCGTGCGAACTCAGTTTGCCGTAATCCTCTGCCTCTGCGTCTCCACTGTGCTTCTCCTTGATGATATCCTGCACCTGTCGGACGAGAGCGCGGCATGCCGCACCAACAGCCTTGCTGGCACCTTCCAGGCGATCCTGAGTCTTGCTCATAAAGGTAGCCTTGACACGGCTGGCAGCAACGAGCTGGGCGGTACTAGCGGCAACATCGTTGGAAGCGACAATGAGCTGCTCGGGAGAGTTGCGGCCAGAGATGACGCCGTCCGCAGTCTCGATCAGTGTGTTGGTGGACGTGGCGACAGCCTTTGCAGCGGAGATCAGGCCCTCCGTCCAGCGGTTGTTCTTCTTGTAGAAGGCAGTACGCGTCGAGCTACCACGACCCTCGCGAACAATCTCTTGCTGTGACTCTGTGGCGGCCTTGATCAGCTCGGCGATGGCGTTGGTCACAGCAATGGCAGCCGCCAGGATAGCGTCGTTGATGCGCAGCTCGTACGTCGAGTAGCCATCACGAGGCTTGTTCTTGAGCTTGGCCAAGCGTTGGGCGGCGGCGTCGATGGCATCGGCGGCCTTGAGCAGTTCCTGGTCGACCAGGTCGCCCAGATCACCGTTGGTAGCGATCTTGCTGCTCTTGGGCTGGAAGGACTCGACCATCTTCGATAGCGCCTGCAGGTCTCGCTGGACCTCCAGGTTGTTGTTGATGACCACATCAGTCTTCTGCAGTGGCTCCATATTCTCGAGACGGAAGGATTGTAGGCCTCGGAAGAAGCGCACGGTGGCCTGGGCAGACTTGCGTGCCGCATAGAACAACTGATCGGAGCTCTTGTCGTCATTGGCGAATCGAGACAGACCCTTGGTGTTGCTCAGAGTGTCAGCAATAGAGCCCGAGAACACGGACACGGTACGGATGATCTCTGCGTGGGGACTGTTGGGACCATCGGCAATAAAGTTGTTGAAGGCAGTCGAAAACTCCGTTGCAGAGGCCGAAGCCTTCTCGATCTGTGACAGCACATAAGGTGGCGAGGCATTCTGGTTACCAGCTTGCATGGATGAGTCTAGCTCGTAAAGAGCATCATCCACACGCTGCACACCAGTCTGCAGCACAGAGTCGATGATATCGTTGATCTTGGCCACAGTACCGTGAAGCACAGTGTCGATCTGGCTGTCCAAAGCGTGGTCGACATCACCTTGGCTCTACAGGAGGACAGTCATTGGTTAGTACAGCAAAAATGGTAGCGTTCTCCGAAGAGTACTTACCAGCTTCAACTCCTCGAGCTCCATCAGAGCCTGTTCCATGCCAGACTTGTACACCTCGATCTCCTCATCCTTCTCGGCGAGGGCCAGGTCATGGTCTCCCGAGCGCTCGTTATGGCGGCTCGAGATATCCTCAAGTGCCCGGGTTTTGTTCTACACACTAATTAGTACAAGAAAGGAACCGTATATCTCGGATAACAGATACTCACCCGCAGAGCCTCCTCGAGATCAGCCATCTCACGGTTGTACTTGGACAGCATAGAGGAGATCTCTGTACCCTTTGACCGCTCGGCATTCTCAGCACGCTCCAGAGCCATGCGAAGCTCCCGCTTAATCTTCTCCAACTCGTCCTTGTTGGTACCAGAAACACGGTCCTTGTCATGCAGAGCACGATCACGCTCCCGGATCATATCAGCCAGCTCCAGGTTCTTGGTCTTGATCTCACGCTCCAGCTTCTCCCGGCGATCAATGGCCTCCTGTGCAGAAGCGGCCTTGAGCTTCAAGCTCTTGGTAGTCTGTAGAAGATCCAGGTGCTCCTGTCGCAACTGAGAGTACAGCTTGGCCAGGGCCTCGTACTTGGTTCGCCAAGTATTGACCTGTTCCTGCAGGGCCCGGATTTGTTCATCCTTGGACGCATTCTGGAGGTTTATGTTGGCGTTCAGCTGGTTCATCTGCTCCTCTAGATCCTTGACACGGCGATCGTACTGTTGCAGCATGAGCTGATCACGCTCGTACTGGGCACGGGCGTTGAGGTTCTCCTGCTCCAATTCGGCGAGGCGACCCTGTGTCTGTGTCGAGTATTGATCCCGGAGAAGCTGTTCCTGTGCCAAACGCTGCTGTTCGGCTTGGAGACGCTGCTGCTCCTCAAAGTCACGCTGGGCCTGTTGCTGAGCAAGCATCTGCTGCCGTTGCTGTTCATCCCATTGCTGCTGCAGACGGGTTTGTTCCGCCTCGTATTCTTCTTGCTGGCGCTTGGCCTCGTTGGTCCAGAAGTCGCTAATGGGCTCTGGCTCGGCAGCCACCTTAGGTGGAGGTGAAGGCTGATGCTCAACTTCCTTTGTCGGACGCTTTGGTAGGGCTGGGCGATCCTCATCCTCACCAAGAAGGCTTGGTGGATCCTGTGGCAGCTTCGGGACAGTGATCAGGCTGGTCAAGTAGCGCAAGTTGGAGCATTCGTAGTAGAACCGGACAAGGCGGTGGTGCTGGGCATCATAACGGGCCCGGAGTGGCTCAAGAGCTTCATCGTCTCCAGTGGCTGTAAGAAAATTGTTAGCGAGGGCTTCATTCGAACTAGACTAATCGTCCATCGGGTGTCCATACTTGTGTGCATGGCTCGCAGCATGCTGGTAATGAACTTGTAGATACCATAGCTCTCCTGCACGAGCGGCACCAACGCGGAGATACGGCACTCATTGTTAGTACCCGACTGGAAATGCGAGAAGATCAGTTTCTGGAAACCATCAATCTGATCCTGCAAAGTCATCAGGTCGGTAATAGTCTCGTATCTATACCTCGGTCAGCAGCCCTTCTAACCCAGCAACGAGAGACAATACGTACCCCTCGTTCGGATCATTGATGGTCTTCAAGCTAATGTATTCCTCATACTCGAACAAGCCTGCATCCGTCAGCTGACCCAAGCTTCTCCCTCATGTCCAATTGCGCAGTGTCGGCGTACCATTGAATTCAGGGTGATTGCGGTGGAAGTTCAACTTCGACTCGAGGAAGAAGACGTATTCGCGAATCAGGGGGGCATATCCTATTCCAGCATTGTCAACATTCACATCCATCTTTTGCCCATCTTCTCCTCGCAGACCAACCACGCCACACCCCGAGAGGGACATGCCATACCTCGAACACCGTCTCCTCCGACACCTCTCATCAAGCTATCAATCCAGTTGGAGTGCTGCTGCGCTTCGCGCACGACAATGGGGTGGCCCTCCTGGAGAACTTTGTGGATCGTGATGAGCGCCTTGAACGTCTGGATCTCGTCGGCGAGGACAGGCTGCCTGCAACGAGAAAGCACACAAGTCAGTCATATACTCCAGCAGACATCCTGTACTCATCCACTTCATCTGCACCCCAGAACACATACACTTTCATGCCCGCCCAAAAGGCCGCCGACGACTTGTGGTCCCACGTGTACACAATGCAGCTCCGCACATGCTTGCCTACAACCACCAAAGCGAATCAGTTGAACCGAACTTGGACGAACTCTGGCGCGACGCTATCGCCGCGAAATCCAATCGACGACGCAATGGGTGGACGTACGTTTAGGTGCGGTTTCCTCTATCGCAAGACGAACAGTTAGCCTCATCCCGCTCTCTCTCCTGAGCCCAGTACCGGTAACCCCCGGGAACAAGTAACTCACCAATGCTAGTAGCCTTTCGGATATTAATGGCCAGATCGGCCTCGGTCCTGTGCGATTGAAGTTATTCATCTGCATCTCACGAGCGACAGGGGGGAGTCATGTCTTACCGACTCATGGTGACAGTGGTGCGATGCGGGACGCGGATTGCGGACTCAGGGGAACCAGGATGGAAAAGATGCGTGGTTCACAGGCAGATCCCGAGTCCGGACAGCGCAGATATGGCCGATTTGAAGCTTGCGCCGACCGGGGGGAAGAGTAGGAGCGTGGGGGGGAGAGAGAGAGGGCTTCGAAGTTCACAGAATCCACTGCACGTGGAGAGCAATGACGTTGGGCGAAAGCTGGCGCCTGTCGGTCTTGGCGACACATAAGCCGCCCTTTTCATTCATCCCTTGGTCCATAAGCCCATCCGCCATGGCTACTTCTACTTGGCTGGAGGATTGCGGATGCCGCGTAAGACTCCTGCACGCAGCAGGCAGCACTGATTTGAAATGCGTGTATAGTTACTATGTTGCCACCGAATATAAGTTATCTTCCAAGACAGCGCCCTGAGTAACTCCCAAGTATGTCGCATTGTCGCTGGGTTCTCGGAGCTGCACCGTCGGGGCTGCTCGTGGTCCGTGCAGTCCCGAGCTCGAAATCTTCCCGCTCGCAGGATTGTTGTTTCTCGCAGACCTCCAGCTTACCTCAATCACTCTCCTCCTACGCTCGGACCGTTCAAAAATATACTGTGCAATATCAATGCTCAACTCTTGACACTGCCATTTTGACTCTTGTTTTTTATACCGAGTCGTGCCATACTCTACCCTGAGCATGCGGGCTCGCACTCTTTCAGCCGCCGGGCTGATCGTCACGCGGACTCCCTCAACCTCCGTGTGCTCCCAATGCCTTCGCGATGACCTTCGTTTGACCCAGCCTTTCATCCAATCCCGCAAATACCGCCCTAGCCGCAGGCAAGATGTCTCCTCGTTCGGCGCAGCAGCCACCGCGGCTCAGGCCATCTTCAAGGGCCTGCCGAAAGCACCTCCGGGCGTCTCAGTCGACCCATTGCGAATCGTGGGCAAGGAATTGAAGTTCTTGAGTCATAACATTCGCCAATTACTGGGATCAGGCCATCCTGCTCTGGACAAGGTGGCCAAGTATTACACTCGCAGCGAGGGAAAGCATATGCGGCCATTGCTGGTGTTGCTGATGTCGCAAGCCACGGCTCTCGACCCGCGCAAAGACCTCACCAGGACACCCAACACTAAACCCGTCGATATCTCTCTCAGCCCACTCTCCATCCTCGAGGATGCAAACCCCAACACGGACCCCTTCGTGCCCAAGCCGGCCAAGGTTCAGAACGATTTCATCGGCAATGACAACATCCTGCCGAACCAGCGCCGGCTGGCTGAGATCACAGAACTCATCCATACTGCCTCCCTCCTCCATGACGATGTTATTGATAACGCGGAGACCCGCCGTGGCAGCGCCTCGGCAAATATTGAGTTTGGAAACAAGATGGCGGTTCTGGCGGGCGATTTCCTGCTGGGTCGGGCGTCTGTGGCTCTGGCCCGGCTGCTAGACCCGCAAGTGATTGAGCTCATGGCAACTGTGATCAACAATCTGGTGCAGGGTGAGTTCATGCAGCTAAAGAACACTGCCAAGGACGAGGCCAAGCCAGAGTACTCAAACAACACTGTGGAGTACTATCTGCAGAAGACCTATTTGAAGACTGCCAGTCTGATCAGCAAGTCTTGCCGCTCTGCTGCAGTTCTGGGTTGCAGTGCCCCGGAGGTCGTCGAGGCTGCGTACGCCTATGGTCGCAACCTCGGTCTTGCATTCCAGTTGGTGGATGATATGTTGGATTACACACTTACCGAGGCTGAGCTGGGCAAGCCTGCTGGTGCCGATTTGGAGCTGGGCCTGGCGACTGCTCCACTCTTGTTCGCGTGGAAGAGCAATCCTGAGCTTGGTCCCATGGTTGGCCGTAAGTTCAGCAGAGAGGGTGATGTTCAACGGGTAAGCAGTCTTGTCATGCTTGCATGGTTCGCGTTTTCCGAGGATGTCTGATTACTAATTATCTCATAGGCTCGTGAGCTTGTCTACCACAGCAATGGTGTGGAGCAAACCCGTGCTCTGGCTCAAGACTATGCCGACAAGGCCGTGGCTGCGATCAGTGACTTCCCCGACAGCGATGCCAAGGCTGGACTGATTGAGATGGCCGAGAAGACCATGAAGCGACGGAAGTAACGAGGAAGATCTCCTGTACTATTGTAAACATATCTTTGCTTTCTTTTTTGCAATTGTTGAACCCCCCTTGGTTCTGGGTACTTCCGACCTGAAAGTGTCGTGTATATCTACGTTTTTCTTTTCTCTTCCGTTTTAGAGGCGCAGCTTTAGAATACATAGCAACGACTGAACGGATCTCAGTTTTCAGATTAATTTCATCATGAATCTCTCATACTCTTGCATAGCAGTGGCTGCAGGTGTCCGAGTATCAAAAGCGTTTCTGCAGGGCTGGCGTTCCTGACAGCTGGTCGGATCCTGCGGGGCAGGGCGGGTACTGTTACATTATACACATACATTACAGTGTATTTACCTGGAGATGTGGCTGGAAATGATCTTAAAATACACAGAATACTAAAACCAAACTGTATTTTAATGATCACCAGACTCCCCCCAACACCTCCGTCATCCCGGCGTGCTTTGGGAAGCTGCAACTCCACTTCTTGACTTGTTCTCCTCAGCCCGCGCTCTCTGCTCAGCGTCCCCATCAACGCACTCATTTTTGCTTTTCCTTCTGGAGCCGGTCTCTCATTGTCTCTCACAAACTAGCCCTCTCTGATCGGGACATAAGTATCCCTTGAATTATGGAGCTGTTGGCCCTCCCGCTTTGATCGACTATTCCCCGATCGACTGGTTCCCCATGGGTTCGCTCGGCAGCTTCCTCGTTGTATACATCTTCGGGGGCCTCACATTTATCCCGCTGGTCCTTTCGCTGATCTTCCTCTATGCCTACCTGACCCTCCCGAACGCCCCTTCTCCCGACCAACTCTACGAACAAGCTACCGACGTGCTGCGTCAGCCTACCGATGATGAGCATAGCCTGAAGTCTGGTACTGACCAGCTCGCCGAGAAGTTCCATCGCACTCATGATTCTGAAGTCGCTACTGGGTACTTTGCTGTATGCCGCGAATATGTTCCTGGTGGAGTAAATGGAAAGCCCCCGGAGAGGACGACGCCTGCGGGGAGGTCGTTGCTGCTGAAAGCCCCAGCGTCTATCAGGCTATGTACCGGAGTTTGTTCGACAGGAAGCAAGCGCCGAGCATTGAGCCGGCGAAATCGAACGGGAAGAATATCAAACGCGCGCGGAACGTGTTCTACATTGTCCTTCGGTATGCAATCCTTGGAATCGGTGACTTTTAGTGTATTGGAAACGTGGACGTACTGACGAGGATTGGCGCTGCCACAAGACATGGCCACTTGATGCTTTACGACGATGCGAATCAAGTTGAAGTTCGCTATGTCATCTCCCTCTCTCATCACGACGTTACAATCCAAGGCAGCGAAGGGGATATCCCTGAGGGCGAATTGTGGATCAAGCGCAATGCTATCTGTCTCTCGCGGCGACTGGATTCGCTCGGAGACCTAGGTGGCCCGACGCCACCCTTCTTTTTGTTTTCTGAAAACTTGTCGGAAAAGGAGGATTTCTATCTGGCAATGCTCCGGAATCAGTCAAAGCTTTGGAATTCGGCGGACCGGCCACCAAAGCGTCAGGAGTTTGACGTGAAGCATATCGTCTCGCTAGTTCAGCGCCTGCATTCTTCAGAGGAGCAATTGCAGACAAGATGGATCAATGCTTTCTTTGGCCGCCTGTTCCTTGCCTTGTACCGAACACCCGAGTTGGAGGAGTTTGTGCGAAGCAAGATTGCCAAAAAGATCTCGCGCGTAAACAAACCGAACTTCATTAGCAAGGTTGGCCTGCAGAGGATTGATATGGGTGAAGGTGCTCCTTTCCTCACGAACCCCCGGTTGAAGGACCTGACCGTCGACGGAAATTGCTGCATCGAGGCAGATGTTCAATACTCGGGCAATTTCCGCGTGGAGATCTCGGCCACGGTGCGCATTGATCTGGGTCAGCGATTCAAGGCGAGGGAGGTAGATATCGTGTTGGCCGTGGTTTTGAAGAAGCTGGAGGGCCATCTGCTGATCCGGTTCAAGCCCCCTCCTAGCAATCGATTTTGGATGTCCTTTGAGACCATGCCGAGAATTGAGATGGATATTCAACCCATTGTCAGCTCGAAGCAGATCACCTTCAGTCCTATCCTGCGCACTATCGAGAGTAAGATTCGAGAAGTGGTGGCCGAGAGCATCGTTTTGCCGTTCTGGGACGACGTCCCATTCATGGATACTCGCGACCAGGCCTTCCGTGGAGGTATCTGGCAGCGCGAGACTCCCGAACCCAATACCGAGGTGGACATAACTGATGAAGTGGGCGACGGGCCGGCGACGCCTAAGAGCCTTGGTGGAGAACCGTCACTCGAAGCTCTCAGGTCCAAGGACGACCGAACAATGAGCATGCCTGTTCTTTCCGAGTCGAATCCCGCCAAAGCCAAAGTTAAATCCCGCAAGGGCTTGAAGCCATCGGTTTCGGACTTGCCGAACGTGTCAACCGCTGCTGCTACCGGTGTCGAGAGATCTGAGAGCATGCCATTACCCCGTGCCATCCGATCTCAGACCTTCTCACACGCTGCCGACCCGGTGGTTACGACCGATAATGCCAATCAAGTGGTGACAGAGCCTAAGACTGACGAGAAGACCAGTGCTACTAGTGCCATGATTGAAATCTCAAAGCGCTCCCCGCCTGCGTCGCCGAACCGGACACCAAGCAACTCTCCACCCAGTGGAGGCATCATGATGCCGGAGAATGCAATTCACAGTCGAGGATCCTCCATTGCTGATTCCATCGATGGCCTCAGCTTCTACGGCGATCATGGCATCCGAAGCTCATCGTCTGCTCGTTTGGACAATAAATCCTTATCTGGACCCCGAAGCTCCCGAGGAAGCTCTACCACTTCCCTTGGTAGCGATAAACCCCGTCGGCGGAGCACTATCGAGACATTGACCAAGTCGCTCACGTCCAACATGCAGTCTGACGAGAAGTCCATCGGAAACATGACTATTGGGTCAGCAACTGCTGCCGCGAAGAAGTGGAGTTGGAGTGTGTTTGGCAAAAACGACTTGAACACCGACGAGACATCCCGGACCCCGACAGGGGCCTTGAACGAACCCATCGGCCGTGGACATCCACATCCTCCGCCGGGAGCGCCTCTACCACGGCCTGACAAGTATGCCTTGAAACGCAATTCAGGGACTTTGCCCAAGCGCAAACCCGTGGGAGTACCACCATCTTTACCCGAAAAGTCTACCACGAGCGACACTCGACCTTTTCCTCCGCTTCCTCTGCCTCGTAGGAAACCCATTCCCCAGCCTCTCCACATCGAAAGCACTCCCGACGATGTGCTAGTTGTCCAAGCGCCACATGATTCTGCACCGGACAGTCCAGCTACTGGCGAGCTGGAACTGGAGGAGGCTTCAACTGGGCTGTCTGCCCGGGAGAGCGAGACCTCCAAAACCGATACCTCTGGAGCGGATCTGAAATGGGACGACGAGGAAGATGTCGAGTCTTTACCCCCGGTGGATCATACGTTGTCTTCTACTCCGGAAAGTGACGAGGCCTTGCCTACTATTGAACGTGTTGAAGTCTAGTCTTCGTGATTGCAGCGGATATGGCGGCCGATAGTGGTCATCTTCGGCAAGGAGCGTTTTTGTACCACCTTTAAGACTGCCTAGCCTGTATACCTTATAAACTAGACATTAGTATACACGAGATAGGTAATTCAGTCTGCTTTCGAATACCCCTAAATTTCTTTTATATCTCTTTCTACATCTCTTCTATAGCTCTCGCTAGCTACGTAGCTTATCGCGGTAGCCTCTATTAAGAATAACGATATACCTCTGGTCGCTATAGTAGCTCTATGTCGGCGAGTAGATTCTTTAATAACAGTACTAGATAGAGGCTTCTTCTCCGGTTCGGTGTAGCCAGCGTAGAATCAGAATTCCTTATGCGTGACATCGCGTGTAAGTAGACTAATATTTCAGGTCACTAGGTAGCTATATAGCTTAGTTAGGCAGTTAATGCTGTTAAGTAGGGGTTTCTGCCCTTCGAATTTGATAAAAACGCCATTTACCGAAGGAAGCTACTCTCAGCTACTATAGGCCGATACCTCTAGAGTGGATCTAAAATAGGACGACGAGGATGGACAAGATATTGAATCTCTATCCCCTGGGATTATATTTTATCTTCTACCTTAGAAAGTAGCGAGGCCTTGTCTACTATTAAACCTATTCAAGTCTAGTCTTCGTGATGACAGGGTATCCGAGAACTAGGAGATGAGCTAGTCCCGGTCCAGTCTGCAGCTTGTATGGCTATTTTGATTGTTGGAGTTTGAAATAGGGATCGGATGGGACACCTTGTCATATATTCTCATGGATATCTTTTGGGCGTCTGAGGGGACTTTCTAATCCCTGAGAGACATGCTATGATGTTTCAGACGAAAGCAATTCATGGCTTATAGCTGTTGTGTGATTTGATGTATATCCATAGAAGTTGGGTTCACCTGGACTATATCTCGCTGCGCATGGCACGAGAAGGATTTGTATACTTGCAGTACTTATATAACTTCAAGGCAAAACAGGTCCCGACGACTGGCAAACTTGAGTGCCCACTGGTCATTATTACAGGAACATGCAGAGACACTCGTACTTCGGATTGATCTCAATATCCATTATATAAAGTGACCATTCAAGGTATAGTACTCGGGACTTGTGCAGACATCCAGATTCGTTCCGACATTACTACTCAGTGAAACACGCTCATGGATGTCACACATCATACCGAGAATGACCAAACTACCAGGTACGGTGGATCAGATGTTATGTATTTCCAGGGACCTACCACCTGCCATACTTCTACATCGTTCCATCTATGGGGAGCAAGCACCCCATCCAGGTCTACCAAAGGGCGCTGCAGAGGAACAACTCGGAAAATACACAGGATCCTAGGGCAACGAAAGAAAATAATTCCAGTATAAAAGACACGGAAAGATCGCGCCGGCCGTCTCGGTCCCGCACATTCCCTCCACTTCGTACACATCCAACGGAATAAGAAGAGCGAGATCGCACACGATTAACACATATGTTGAAGAAAGGCCACTACGAACGGTAGAGACCCATGTATGGGGGGGGCCAGCACGACGAGGAAAAGGAATGCTGTATCAATTACCAAAGACCACCTCTTCTTTAGATGGCGTCGAAATCGCCGCCAGCATCCTCATCGTCCATGTCTCCTTCCTGGATCTCCTTGGCAAGCTCTCGCTCCCGCTCGCGAGCTTCCTGGGCACTCTTCAGCTCCAGACGGTGCTGGTTCATCGGGAATCGCATGGCCTATGGATGAGAAGAAAAGGCGATATTAGCATTCATCCAATACAAGCAACACTCAAGTACAGAAACGGGTACATACCTTGACACTCTCATCGTGGAGAGCCAGACAAGCGCGAATGCGCTCGTGGAACGCCTCGCCTGGTTCCCGGGTGGCATAGATGTCACCGACCTCCTTGCTCTTCATGTAACCATGCTCGTGATCCAACGTGGCCTCGATGACACCATCTCGAATAGCCTTAGCCACAATGTACTCAGCTGACTCCTCGCTATCCAGACCCAAGCGGAGACAGATATCCCGCAGGGAGATACGAGAGTAGGACAAAGACATCATGCGAATACCGGTCTTGATCACGTTCTGGCGTAAACGGAGGATCAAAGTGTAGGTACCATCCTTACGGAAGGTCGAGCTATGGGTGTTGACAATGTTCAAGAAACCATCCAAATCTCCGACGCTGACGGCCTGGGCCAGCAGGAAGTATGGGTGCATAGCCTTCTCCAGAGCCGGTTGGCGGAAAATTGCACGGTCAGGAATATCGCCCATCAGCAGCTCCACAACCACAAGAAGCTTATGAGAGGCCTGATAGAAGCCACGGGCAACATTGCTGGTAGGAGACTTGCGGGTGGCGCCAATCAGGTGGCTGTGGGCTTCGGTGTACTGCAACTGAATGGCACGAATCCGACCAAGGTAGTATAAGTACCGGGCAATCTGGTTGTTCGATGCGGCGGCCGGGAAGCGGTTGTGCGAGATCAGGAGATCAGCTTGGGTGATGTGGGAGGTAGACAGATAGTTGCGGAGGAGCAGAGTCATGACAGTGGCCTGCGTATCGACATCTTTCCGGAGAACAGCAGTCCGCAGCGCAGCCAGCAATGGCTGTCGGATAGTAGTCACGGTAGCTGCAGGCGATGGGGGCAGTGGGGCAATCTGCTCGAAGAAGAGAGAGTAATAAAAGTACACACGAGCTGCGAGAGAGTCCAATGTCCGGCGATTGACCGCTCGTAAGCGCTCAATCAGCTCCGTCGAGAACTTGGCACCCTTCTGGATTTGTCGCTGTTCGAACAGGTAGATCTGCACCAAGATGGACAAGTAGGTGTCTACCTCCGGCAGAATCTCCTTGGGGGTAGCCTTGGCCTTCTCCGAATCCACCTCCATCTTTGAGCTTGCAGGGGCATTCTCAAAGGCATTAGCCTGGTCAATGGCACCGAGAAGGAACGAAGCCGCAGGGCTAGAAGCCGGGTATGTGTCCACAATCACTTCAGCGAGAACCTCCGGGGTGATGTATTTCCGCATCGACGATATCGACCGTAGGACGCGAAGGGTAAATCGGGGATCGAAGTGGGCGACGGCTCGCTCGAGCAGAGTGAAGTTGGTCTTGATGTCTGAAATGACAACGGAAGGTAAATCATTCGCAATTAGTAAGTGTATACATGAAGAGCTTGAGATTCCCCTTCATCGACGAGGAGTAACAGGTCAAACCCACCTTGGATAGCCTTGGTCGTTGGGTCAACCTCAGGCTCGGCCTTCTCTGCATCATCGTCCTCCGCACCCTCCATCGTCACATCCTTCTCCTTATCCTGACCGGGCTTGCCGGATGATCTGGAACCCTTGGTCGGAGGCACTACAACAGTCATCTTCTCGTCACCATTCCGGTCCTTACTCGAGTTGAAGGAGGATGTAGGCGCACCTGCCGTATCCTCTCCCATCTCAACATCCTCGGAACCATTCACGCCATTCTCCGCCGACTTCGATCCATTCGCGTGAGACTGATCATCCTCCCCCATTCCGGTGTTCGATGCGCCCTTGGCGGCGCCTTTCTTTGCCGGGGCCGACTTGGCCTTGTTGGCGGCGGCACGGGTCGTGGGTGCGGCTTTATCTTTAGCACTCGAGCTCTGGGAGTTTGAACGTGCCTTTTCACCGTTAGCAGATGAAGAGGTGTCGGACTTGTTGTTTGATCGTAGAGAACGCCTCTCGGCAGGCATCTTTCCCAAGCTGTTAGGAGCTCAGCTGAGCAAGCACCGAAGCTTCGAGAAGTAGGGGGTGGGTAAGAGCAATATAGAGCACCAAACAACTATGCAAAGCAGAAGGGCAAGTTTTGACGGACCGAACTGCCTAGGGACAAGGAAATGATGGGGTAAAACAGGCAGGGCGAGTGATTGATGAAGTGGATGGGTGATGTGATGTCAAGAGACGAGGACGGGCGCAAGACACCGGCAGAGCAGTGCTTAGTCAGGGGAAGCTCACACGCATTCTTAGATTGGCAACTCGCAAGGTCTCCGATGGGGCGCTAGCGGAAGAGTAGTGGACAAAGACTGTAGTGATATCGCCAGTTGAATGAAATAGAGAGAGTTCCGCAATAGCTTCAAGAAAAAGGAATAATTCACCGAGACATATCGTTGAGGAATATCGCTAAGCCACGCGATTTGGTGCCGCCGTGGAGGCCATGTCGTCTTTGAGCCTGAGGCAGAAAATAAGCTCCATGAACAGGGCCAAAACAACATCGCGGGATCTACGAACGCCTAGCGATTACAGCTTCAACACCCCCGCCACCATGACGCTACTCGACTCCCACTTGGAGCAAATTGCTCTTTCATCAAGTGCTATTGCTGAATTACCGTGCGTACTTTCTTATCCCTCAAGCAGATCTTCGTCCGTCGGCTTACAAAACAATTACATCCAGATTCCCAGCGCCCCGCACCTTCACGAACGCGCTACTAGGCTCGCACGACATCACCGCCTTAATTCGCGATACCGAGGTCCATGAAAGAGCACTGTTCCAGGTTGACCCTTCGGCAAAGGCCCAAGGTGCACAAAGACGTGCTAACCGGCGCGGGACAACATTCCCTGCTGAGTCCGAGACCGAATCCATGGCCAGTCGTATCTACTCCGCCCGGAACAACCGCAACCAGTCGGCTGTAGCTCGAGTCTTGGGCTCTGATATGATGGATGAAATCAAGCGGTCAGCTGGTACATCTACCAGGGGTCCACGAGGAGAAGTCAACATTGAGGTCTTGCTTCGTGGAGCAGAGATTCTATGCAATGTCTAGTAAGTCTACCGTAACACCTTCGATGACCCCCAATCTAACCGATTGATAGTCCCGTTGCAGGTGCACAAGAGAAGATTGCTAGCTTGCGCTACCGCCATGAGATGATTGCCGAATCGATTGTGCGGCTAGAAGACCGCGTCGCTACCAATACCGCGGAGCTGGAGCAGATGCGTCACTCATACGGAGATGACGAGGATGATTATGCCCCCATGCCTGCTTCGCAAACAGATATTCCCGATGTTACCGACGAGGACATTGAACGTGAACTGGCTGAAATTAGAGAACTGGAGCGAAGGAAACGTGCGCTAGAGGCGCGAGTCACTGGCATGGATCGCGATCTCGGAGGTCTCATGGGCTGAACTGGCGCTTGACTATGCTCTCTCTTGAAAAGATCCTTGCGATCTTTGAATCATTAATTTCGCCCATGACCACCCACGTCTTAAGCTGAAATGGCCAGAGGCGATTTGGGAACGTCCCAGAGCAGATCCCAGAGGAGATCCCCAAAAGGACGATCATATGTCGTGTCAGCTTTCCACTCGAATGGTCATTGGTCATCCCCATGGCTCATTTGGTGCTGTACAGTACGGGTGCGCAATACTACCCGCACTCATGGGCTTGCTTCGATGATGCCCAGGAGGGATGAATGAACCCCCACACAGCGGTATGGCACTTTCGAGAATCGCAACCTCTATCCACAACAGTCCAGGCTCCATACACCTGACGTTAGACTATCTTGTGCACTTATTTGGAGCTCTGGGTATCCAACTGTTCAGCAGTGTGCCTGACAAGATGTCCCCCATCTGATGAGTGCGATGATGGCTCCGAAGAGCCTTTAACTAGTCACCCATGTTTGACTTTGATGATTGTTGAGATATACAATGGAAAATTTCTCTTTTTCAGATATATGATATATCTCCAAATCCAACTTGTCTGGAATACACTCTAGTTTGATGATAGTAAGCCAACGTGGCAAAGAAGCCATTGGGTTCTGGCAACACTCGTGCATGCCTACTACCTCTGCAACTTTTGTATCGGTAATTAGTTCTTTATCAGAGTGCTTGAACAGTTCATGTATTGTTATTTCCTCTTTCCAGTGAGTTCTCTGCCAAGGCCTGTGAGCACGAGACTCCGTATAGCTTTGGGGGCATACCTCTTGTTGAAAATCGACCAAGATCTCCTCCATTAAGACCAACTAAAGTCTGCAAGAATAATTCGCCCAAGTAGTCTTCATGGATTATTCAGCGCAAAAGTTGTGCGCGTAAAATCCAGTATAATTCGACCAGGCACCGAGTCACCGTCGAAATGTTCGATTGAGTCGCCCGGGCGGATGCCAAGACTGGTCTCCCGACCTCATCTCTCCAGCCCAAATTCCACCCTGCCATCAGTCCCAGCCATCCCAGGCTTCTTCCGACCCGCTTGCGTGATAAGGAAGTGACCTTCGTCGGGTCTTTGTTCTTCATTTCACACGAATACTCGGGTCAACCCATACCAGCCTCCCCTTTCCCGGTCCACCTTGCCCGCCTTCACACGCCGATTTCCAAGTCCGTCTCTGTGGTCGCAAATATGGATGGTGCTCAAGGCCAGCCAGGCCAGCAGCAGCCGCAACAGCAGCAGCAGCCCATGGTACAGCCACAGCAGCACTCCAACTTGATTCGAACCGATCAAGTCCAGAAACTCCCCCACCTGAATGACCAGCAGAAGGCGCAGCACACACAGTTGGTGCGCAACCTGTGGGAGGCGCTGAACACCCGTGATCCGCAGAGTCATGAATACCAAACTGCGCATATGAAGCTGTCACAGCTGTCGCAGAACTTGATGAAGGGTATGCGAATGTTCCAACAGACCCGACAGCAAGCGCTCCAGCAGCATCAAGCCCAAGCCGCCGCCGCGGTCGCCGCGCAACAGCAACAGGGCCAGCCTCAGCAGGGTCAGCCGGTCCAACGCACCCAGTCCAACAACCCGCAAAACCTCACCCAGTTGCTCCCCCAGATCCAGGCCAAGGTCAGCGCGCTGAACTTCTACCTTCCTCCGAATGTCACCCAGGAGCAGGTTCAAAACTGGATTCCCGAGGCTCGCCTTCGATATGGTATCGCGCTACAGAAGCAGGAGGTTGGGCGGGCTCGGATCACAGACTTGCGCCAGCAGTTTGCGCAGCGACAGGGCCAGGGCAACATGACACAGGAGGAAATGCAAGAGTTCAAGACTCGACAGCTCGCGGCCGAGAAGCTGTTCCGGGAAGGTAGCGAGTTCCTTGTCAAGTTCAAGGAACAGCAGGAAAGCTTCAAGGCCCAGCAGTCCGGTCAGCAGATGAGTCAACAACAGGGACATATGACGGGCGCACCTTCAATACAACAGCCTGCAGTTCCCGCAGGAGCAGCAGCGAATGTGGCCGCGCCGCAAGCTGCTCCTCCAAACCAGGCCGGTGTTGCGGCAAATGCTATGCCTGGCCAGGCTCCAGCTCCAGCACCCCACACCATCAACTCGGCTGTAAATGCGGCTCGTAGTCAAGCTGGACAGGCGATGTCGCCGTCAACATCACAACCAGGGCAGGTACCTTCTGCGTCCTCGGCCGGTGGGACGACACCCGCGCCTTCCAATGCGCAACCACCAGTTCAGCGACCCCAACCACCATCGCAACAGGGCACGCCCGGCGCGCAAGTGAGCTTTAGTCAAACCCCAAATGCGGATGGATCCACGCCTACTCCAACTGGACCACCCCAGCCTATGAACCAAGGACCCCCTCGACCTCTCTCACAACAAGCCGCGATGCAGCAAGCTGCCAACTACAACACCAGCAATCAAGGTCAGCAGCAGAACCAGCAAGTCAACCAGGCAGCAAACAATCAGCAAATTCACCCTCCCGGCTACCTTACCAACCGCTCAACAGAAACCCCCAACCGCAGCATCAACATGGTCATCCCCAAGAACTTGAACGTCTCAACTCCCGAACCAGTCCCGATGCCTAGCTCTCGCCCCACCTTCTCTGGCGGTCCCAGCCACAACCAGATGGGTGTGATGGGCCAGCCAGCCATCCAGAAACACCCCGGCTACGTGCTCGAAGGTGAGGGTCAGCACGTCCTCAGTAAGAAGATGCTCGACATCCTCGTTCGCCAAGTCACCGGCGGCGGCGAGGGTGAGATGCTATCCCCGGATGCAGAAGAGGTAAGCAAGCAAAACTGAACCAATCCTGAAGCGAGAATAACCCCCAAACAAAATATAAACAAAGACTAACCCCCCATCCTCACAGTTCATGCTTCAGATGGCCGATGACTTCGTCGACGACGTGATCACCCAAGCCTGCCGTCTGGCCAAGCTGCGCCCTACCTCGACCCTCGAGATCCGCGACATCCAGCTCGTGCTGGAGCGCAACTACAACATGCGTATCTCCGGATTCGCAACCGATGACCTCCGCACCGTCAAGAAGCCCCAGCCCACCCAGGGCTGGCTGCAAAAGATGTCTGCCATCCAGGCGGCCAAGGTCACCCAAGGCCGGTCTGAGTGAGTGCTGTCACCGTCACGACAAACCGAGGACTCAACAACAATGATGCTCCCTTCAATTCCTTCTCGCATCATTCGTTTCTCTCGGAATCACTCACTCACTCCCCGTTTCCTCTTGTTTTTTCCGGTCAACATTTTGCGTTTGCGGGTGGCTGCGGTGCTTGCGGATCTCTCTATTTCCAAACCTCGAGAAGTCCTGGCGTTTCAAATTAGGCAGAAGCAGGGGGATCAAGTTTTCACGTCTTTCCACCTTTACATCGTCATTCCTCTTTTATTTCGCTCTTCTCCCAATGGGTTTCAAGGTTTCTAGCTCGGTTCGACTACGATCAACTTTGAGATATCCTGCTTTGCGTGTGTTTCTAGGGGCGGGACGCGGAAGGGGGGGCGACTGGCGTTTTTGATATTCCTTTTCTACTGCTTTTGGACTTGGAAATATGCGAATCTAGGGAAATGGAGATACATTGTAATACAGTAGCAAGTTCTGCGTTTGGTAGATTTGCTTCGATTAACTTTCTATAATTGTACGAAAGCGTTTCCAGGGTATGTATGCATGGGGAATTACTCGAGAACTCACGCTATTCGATACGATGGTTGGTTGCCACAAGAACTATTACTACGTTTCAAGGGGAAGTACTTTGGATTCTATCTACACGACATTTACAGATTGACGCATATACAGCAATTACCATTACCCCCAAAGTAGGGATCGCGCATCATCTATGTGCCATTCAAATGAAGGCTTCTACTGTATAACCTATAAGCCTAGTATATAAGCATACCATCTACAAGTAAATCTACATCCAAGGAAAAGAGAGAAAAAGAATCACACAGAACAACTGAAAGCCCCCAGGCTCAAACTTCAATTCTAGTATCACGCTCACGGGGTGTGTCTCTGATATTCAACATGAAGAAACAACATACATATCACGATTCTCTAATGGAGCACAAGCACAAGCACGATCCAAAGAAAAGGGGGACACGGTCAGGATCAGACGGTCCAGTCAAGTACATGAACATGAATAGGAAAGAAGTAGAACAAGAACGAGGACGAGGACGAGGACGAGGACGAGGACGAGGACGAGGACGAGCTAAGCCGAGGGTAAAGTCGGGAGCTGGCATGACAAAGTGGTATAGTGATTGGTACAGGGTATGTAGTGATTCTCACAGGGACAAATTAAGCAAAAACAGGATAATAGGTACGCTAAGAAAAGAAACGGTTCCAAGGATGGAGTTGTAGAAAAAGGAAAATGAAAGGGAAAGGGAAAGGCATGGTGGAGGTGAGTCGGTGAGACTGGATAAGGAATGTAAGTCTAGGAGAAAATGAAAGACATCGGATGCATCGCTTGTAAAAGAGTGAATCGTTGATAGTTCGCAAGACACAGAGTTCAGTGCAGCAAGGGGATTATCACCGGCGCTTGTTCGCGAGGTAGTCTTCGCCTCGGTCAATTTCCTTGCCCTTGGTAGAGGTTGGTGGGTGCTCGTCGGTTGGCACGGGAGGAAGATCCTTATCAGACAATCGACGACCCTGTCGGCTGTGCGAGCTGTGACCGCCGACGCTGCTAGCTTCGCCAGCTTCATCAACGATGGGTAGGGTAGAGGTTGGGCCGGGACCGGCTGCATCTGCGGGATCCCACACAGTGGCCAGGGTGCGAGGGTGCGTCACCGATACATCCTTCGCCGCCTCCTTCTCGGCTGCCTGCATGGTGCGCTCGACAGAGGAAGACCGGGACTGACGCTTCTCATTCACTACTCTAGCTGAAGCCTGCGACTCACGTCGCCGCTCGGCTTCTTCTTTTGACATGGTAATGCCCTTGACAAATTTCACAAATCGATCTCCATAGTTCTCTGGTGGAATCGGAGAGATTTGAGTCCGATCGTGCGAGAGGCCCTTGAAGAAATTCTCAATCTTCTTGACCATACCGTAGTGCGTGAGACAGTCAATGATGCCAAGATAGTAAATCTCGTCGCCAAAGGAACCGTCCTCGCGGGTGGCGCGGAACCCGCCGTCGTCAGAGTAGAATTTGAGATTCATTTTCCGCGAATCTAGAACCTCTTCTGGCATCTTGGCCGCGGATTTGTCCAAGGGCACTGGTCGCTCACGCTTGATCAGCATGCGCAGTTCACGAGCCTTGCGTTCGTTCTCGAGTTTCGACGGCGTCCGCATCAGCATGTTACCCTTGGCCTCCTCTTCACGATCGCCACCGGGTTGGAAGACCTGAAGCGTCTTGTCACGGAGTTTCTCTTCGTTGCCGCGCTCAACATCGTGAATGCCAACAAGTAGGGAATAATCCATGATCTTGAGCTTCTTGAGCAGTTCCACGTCCTTGGTTAATTGCTCGATAAAGTCAAATCGTCGTTCAGGTCCACACTGCAGATGGCGATCTCTCCGAACCCAATTCAGATCTTTCATGGTCGCCCGTGGGTTCCGCTCCAGATCAGACTCCTGCAGATCACGGCCAACGGTCGAGCCTTTCAGATCGAACGTTTGGTGAATATCGCGGTGTGGAGGGAACAGGTTGTTCATAACGACGAAGTGGATCTTGCGGCCGTACGCCATCTTCACTCGGTGTAGACCGTAGAACTGCGAGATCAAGGTGTTGGGATTCTCTTGCACATGATTATAGTACAGCGGCAAGATCTTCCGCAGGAGCTTGTGCTCGGAATGGTGGATGGTCTTGATGATGTATTTGTAGTCGCGCGAGAAGTAGAAGAAACTGCCACTCTTCCCGGGCGAGCCCAGTTCGGACAGGATATACTTGCTGGTCAAAGACATTAGGTAGTCGGCAGGATCGATGTTGAACTTTGCGCGCAAGTGTCGAAACACCCACGGCGCATAGTCCTTGAATTTGAAGTCGTATTTTGCGGAGGGGATCAACTCGTTGCCGGTGCTATCAATGGTCAGTCATGGAAATTGGCGGGAGAATATCACAGAGTTCAGGACGCGGGTGGCCATACATATCAAATGAGAACTTGTGTTTAGCGTCAAAGTCTGCGGGGGTCAGCTCCCGGTCAACCTTTGCATTGATCCGGGAGACCGTAAACCGGATACCCGTCAACATGTTGTATGCGGTAACATAGTTGACGTGATTCTGGTCAACTTTGGTACCGACTATCACTCGTTCGTCATCATCATCCTCGCGCCGTCGCCGTGATGCTCGCTTTTGTTTGATAGCCTCCGCCCAGCGAGCGGCTTCCTCATCCGGTACTGTTTCATCCACGGATTCTGACTGTGCTCTTGTTGAACGTCGAATCAGGCTGAATGATGTGCGGCGCGTTCCGGGCGAGGGGGGGGAGAGTCGGCCGGTAGCGTAAGCGATATCTTCGCCTTGGTCGCGGCTGTTTCGCCGACCACTGGGGGCTCTTGGAACTTGTAGCGAGTGTCGATGCCGCAGACTGGACTGCTGTGATTCTGGCATGAGGGTAGGATCGGGAGAGGAGGGAGCGGGAGGGGAGGAGTAGTGGTGATGACTGGAGTTTGGTCCCGGTGTCAATCGATCCGGATCTGGAGAGTGACGACCGGTGTCATCGGAATTGGGAATCTGCAGTAGGGAAGTCGATGGGCTTGTAGCCCGATCTGAGACTGCGGTTTCATCTGCGGAGGGGCAGTGAGAATCACCGTTGACCATCGTCTTCCCCGGCGCAGATCGGTGGCTCCAGCTCGTAGTGCTACCATTGACCTGTTGATTTGAAGTCGGCACCATCGCAGAGCCTGCTCCAGGTCCAGCATCCGAGGGTTTACGATCCAACATGGCTGATGGCCGAGCATTGTCTCGGGGATCCCTGATGGAGCCATTGCCTAGCGAGTGCATACTGCCGTCCTTGGAGTGCGGGAGGTCGCGCGTATAGGAGCCGATGCTGGAGCGGGTGCCATTCAGAGAATATGCGCTACCGTTCTTTAGATTGGTGATCACTGGGCGATCATTCTGGTGGGAGTCGTGGTTTGCGTCGCCGTTGGGCCAGTTGGTCCACAGGAAGGTGTTTCCGACGGAGCTTTTGTCGTGAGACTTGCGATGTGGAGATTCGAACGAGCGGGGAGGATGGGTCGTGGTGGTGGTCGCCGTAGCCGTCTGGTAGGATTCGCTCGAAAAGGACGGCATGATTATGTTTGGGGGTACAAGAGCGTGGAGAGGATTCTTAGGGACACCGGGGGGTGGGCGTGACGTGAGCTCTGCGTGGGCCGGCAACCCGAAGTGACGGCAATGAGCCTTATTGGTGGAGAGGCACCAAGATTGAGAACCGGACCGCAAGCCAGCGGATCAGAATGAGAGGAAGGAGCAGGGGAAGACGGTGAGGTTGGACGAATGGTGTCGAAAAAGTTGATCTCTACCCGGAGATGGCGGCCAGGCCAAGGCGTGGCAAGATGGAGGGTTTTCAACGGATAAACATGATCGGGGTTCACGGGGAGGCTCCAGCGTTTCGGGAGAGCGAAGACAGCAGAAGAAAGAAATTGGCGGAAGAAGGGATGTTCTCGATGAGATGGTTGATGTTGAAGACGGGGGGAGGGGGGTGCTGAAGTTGGACGAGTCGAGTGGGTTGAGTGATTGAGTTGAGGTCGTGATTTGAGGGTTGTCGGGGAGAGCGAGCGAGCGAGCGAGAGAAAGACGGGGGGGGGGGGCCCAGGGGACCCGGCGTAATTACGTTGCACGTCGGTATGGATCAGTCCAAGTTACCCTCCTCCGATCTCCACAGCTCAGCTGGGCTGGCTCCTGCATCATTATTTAATTACTCTGCCAGACTGACGGTCCGTATTTGAGCACGTTATTTGACCAATACTTGTACGATGGGGCTCTATGATCAATCGAGAAATATTGCCGGAGCCACGTAGAAAGACCTTGAAAGAAGACATGTGTAAAGATCCTTTAAAAGAGAGAAGGCCGAAGCGTACTTAGCTAGACCTTTTCCTTAGTTTCTTTTCCTTAGTTTTCGAACTGCTATTGTACTAGCCTACAAGGTGCTTGACTGTATGAAGTCTGGTTCGATAAAGACCTACGAACTGGCCGTAGCGAGTACATCCAGGCATCCCAAGTAACTGGAACCGTTCTTATCTATCGCACCCTCAAATCAATATCATCCCAAACCAGGTTCTTCATCGATCCTGTCTCCAGATCGATGCGACCGAACAAAAACGAACAACTCCATAAACTCCCTGGACCATACACGGGATCTCTCCCGCCGACTCGCCCTTTTATGCGAAGACTTGTACAGTCTAATGAATCCACCCACGGGCCCTCGACAACTCAGCGACCGCATGGGAGGGTACCGATCGGAGACAATTGGAGCTGCCCCTCCAATATCTGCAAGGAGGTTTCTTTTTCGGTGACGTACTGGTAGCATACCCTCCATTCTAACTGGAGAAGGAGGCATCATGCAAACCATCCATAGGGCTACCCTGGAGTTTATTCACGGGTGTATTGCGCCAATTGTCTCTGCCACATCTTGGAGGAGGTATCGTGGATCGTGTCCACTGAGGTTAGCCTGGATAGGGTAAGGAACTGGCGGTGCCTGACCCAAAGAGTGGCGCAGCAACTTAGTTTTTCGCGCGACGAAACCCTATGGAGTATCGTTGGAAAGTGTGGGCTTTGAATGATTGTAATTTTGTGACTATCCTCATACCTCGAGAGGAAAATTTTGAGTCGATCTCATACAAGATCAAGGACTTTGTCTCTGCACTTGAGTATTGGAAGATCACGTATAGAATAGACGTTATTTTGACCAGGAACCTCAGATTCTTCCCGTTTCATGCAAGCTAGACGAGCTCCAGGAATGGCGCAAGAAAAAAGTAAAAAGAACCAAATCCATGCAGAATTCCCAACTCGCTCGAAATTGGTCCGAAAGCCTTAAATTGCATCCCCATCACGTGCACGAACAGGCTTAAATTGGCGGCGGCCTAAAATAGTTCGTTTCCGGCTTTTAGTCTAGGAGATCGTTCACCTGACAACACCGTAGATGTTTAGGGGGAATAACCGCTACCGCTTAAGCCAAGATACTTTATTACATCCAAGAAAAAGTCTCCGACACTCTATTATCTTCATCTCCGGGGTGCTTCTAGAAGACAATCCTCAAGGTCTGGTGCTGTACTACTGTACTAGTTACCAGTTCCGCCCCTGACTATACTCGGCTTATGCACTTTTATTCCAAAAATAACCGCCTGCTCCACATTCAATATTAATATCCGTAGCCTTCGTATGATATGCACTTGGTAAATTTTGCGAGGGATGACTATGACCACCCTTTTAAGTATATGAGTTTCTAGATGGCTTTCTAATCGTTTTCAGCGTCCAGAGCCAGATCTTAGATCTTATAACTGAAAAGAGCAGCGTCGGACAAGAACAGGGCTGCAGCAATAAGCTCAGCTATAATTAATCAACAGCAGCATTTTCGAAAATATACTAAAATAACGTATATGATGATATTCTTACACTATCCCTGTGAGGCTCCTAGGTCGAGTTCTTCGCGCAGTCCGCGAGAGCGTGGCCTCGTACTTCTCATGCAGTGACGATGCAAGAGAGTGTTTGAGAGTTGGGAGAAACCGCAAGCAAAGCATTAGACTGATACTGCGGTACATTTGATGATCCCATTTTGGTGAGAGGGACTTCAACAGGACAGTACTAAATACTTAGAGCTCTCAAGACTAACAGCAATGCAACGTCCACAGCTTCAACTTGCAAAGCGAAACGAAACAGCTCTTCTAGTGTACTGTCCTCCCATTTCTATACTTTCCATCAAGTCCGACATCTTCTGTACACCCTAGGACTCCTGTACAAACCCCCACACAAGCAATCCATCCCCAATCCTAACCTCCACCCCAAAGTCTACTATACAGCAATAGCTAAAAGGATCATCGAACCACGTCCACAACCAGCAAACAAACCCTAGCAAGGACTCGCCAGATCCCAGAAAAAAGTACATACACTACAGTACTCCCTAGCAACATGTTAACCGGAAACGGGAGACCCCACCAATAAGACCTCACACTCCCCAACTAACTGACCTCTAACTTAGATACGGAGATAGATGGATGACTATTGACAACACATTCCCGCGCGGCGAGGCTGCTTATCACGGCGCGTGTTGAAACGTGCCAAGCTGTGGCTGTGGCGGTGATTATTACTGTGCTGTGCTAGGGTCCTAGGAGTGTTGAGGTTAGTCAGGTGATCCTCTCAACTAACGTAATTCCCGGCCGTCCGGAACACCCCTAAACACCATAGTAAACACGATATTTCAGGTCGCTATATATCAACAACAATATATAATATTTCTTGATTTTTGGTAGGATAGTTCCTGGTAATGCATTGACTAGTATAGATCCATCAATAAATAGATTACATAGTTATTTACATATATTACTAAAAATACACGCCGACAAGGTGATGCATATTTATATATTAATATTACACTACCTCAAAATAGTTTTTGACCTGATAAATATACTTAATGTGACATATTTGATACTTGAATATCCCTTCAACTTATATAAACCCTTGTGGGTTGAAATATCATAATCTGAAATATCGTATTTAGTATGGTGTTTGGGGTGTTCAGGACGGCCGGGTGTTCGAGACGGCTGGGAACTACGTTAACTGCCAAGATTACAGTACAGTGTGTTACTGGACGGATATACACCAGACTCACACCAGACCCAAGGTAGATCAGATTCATTTACATAGAAAGATTGTTCCGGTAATATACCCTTATTTCTTCTCCGGGGAGGGATCAAATTCCCATGATGAAGCGAACGTCCTTGATTGAGATTTAGTTTGACTACGGAAGAACCCAGTACCCAGTATTTCGACTACTGATCCAGCAAAGACCTCAACTCATACCCATCCCTCCCATGAGCGGCACCACACACACAGCCTACAAAATCAAAACAAGGCACAGAGCACGGATCAAAAGAGATTCCAATTCAACCAGAGTCTCCCATAGAAACCGGACAGAAAGACCACGGATTTCGACAGAGAGCACGGGGGAAAAGAGAAACAAAAGACATCGAACCAAAGCACAATTTCCCCATTGAACACAACCCACCGCAAGACGCCATCCTTTCGACTTTGGAGGTAAAAAGACAAAGTCCATCATAACAAAGATATTCCCAGAAAACAAGACAGCGCGGAGTTAATAAAAAGAAGGGGAGCAACAAAAAAGAGTCCATCAAAACCATCAAAGCTGTCATAGCCAGAGCCAGAGGTAGAGTCGAGTCACCAAGATCGAGGTGTCGATAAGAGGGAGGGGGAGAGGAGGCAAAGAAATTACAGCGGAAGAGAAAAAATAGCACCATAGGGAATCAAATCGCCCTCCCGAAGAAACAAAAAGCGCACGTGAGAGAAAAAATGGGAGGACTACAGTGATGCTGATCCTCTATTTCTTGGGGGCCGCACGCTTCTTGGCTGCGGGTTTGGGCGCCGCTGTGGTCTTGGTGACACGGCCAGACTTGGTCTTGCCGATGACCTTGGGCTGATCAACGACCGCCGGTGCCTGGAAGGACAAGGTTAGTGAACTGAGGATCAACGAGGATACATCGACGTCACGGTTGGTTGGTGAGTTCAGAGAGAGAGAGACAATAGGGCTACATACGGCAGTGGTCGTGGTCTTGCGGGCCTTACCAGAGTTGGCCTTGGGCTTGGCAGCCGTGGTCTTCTTGGTGGTGCTAGCCTTCTTGGCCGCAGAGGTCTTGGGAGCCGCCTTGGTGGCAGTCTTCTTGGGAGCAGAAGTAGTCTTCTTGGTGGCAGCGGCCTTGGCGGCGGGCTTTTGTTGAGGTTGTGAGTAATTTGGACGATGATGAATTCGCGCCAGCGAGTTGAGATTGCTTACCTTGGCGGCGGCGGTGGTGGCCTTCTTAACAGCAGGCTTAGCAGCGGGCTTGGGGGCAGGCTCCTTCTTGGCCAGCTTCACGGGACCAGAGGGACCTATGAGGGACGCGTCAGCATACGATCAAAACACAAGAGTAAAGACGAGGAGAACCCCGCGCGCTCTTGCAAGAACAAACAACATTGACACGGGATGACAATGAGCTGATGACAAGCAATGCGCGCAGGGAATCAACCGAGATCAATTGGGACTTACCCTTGGGCTGAGTGAACTCGCCCTTCTCAACACCAGCCTTGATGGCCTTGTTGAACTGGGCGTCAAAGGTGGCCTGAGACGCGACGTTGATCTTGTTGTTCGACGACACATACTTCTTAATGGCCTGGCGGCTATCATGGGGCAGGTGAGTCAGTACGTGCGTACGGAAGGGAGTCAAAAAGCAAGAATCATCACGCGCTGGTCCGGACCGCGGGAGGGCGATCAGACCAGAGCGCGGCGACGAGATGTTGCGCGCAACAAGTACGTACCTGGAACCATTGCGCTCTTTCAGCTATTGACAGAAAGGCCAGTTAGCAATGCAAAAGAAGAATTAAAAGCCATCCCCATGGATGTGGTGGCTGCATGCGAGCCTCAGACCGGACGTGTCACGGTCGGGCGCGCGACCCGAGATCACAACAAGCCGGGCGGGGATGGTGATCTACTCACGTTGACAATAGCATCCTTGATCATATCTATATGAATAAAATCAGCAGACGTTCGCGACACCAGCGATACCTATTTTAATTTTACGCGATGGGGGACGCGTGCAGGATCAGAAGAAACATACCACGGTAGGAGGCGTGAGCCGGAGCGGCGGCCTTCTTGGTCACGCTGGTAGCCTTCTTGGGAGGCATGGTTGGGGAGATAAAGGGGGTTTGGATTGTGTGTGTTATTTAGAAAGAGGGTGGAAGGAGTATAAGCAGGAAGACCTGGAAGATTTTGAAGAAGAGAAGTAGGCGTTGGGGGAAGAGGAGAAAGAAGAGGAAGAAGAAGCAGCAAGCGGAAGGGTGGGAAGAGCAGCGGGGCATCCGCGATTTATAGGCGGCGGGTCTTGGGTGTTGACACAAGATCACCCTCTCCCCCCGGGCGCCTCTCCCATCACACGGGTCTTTTTCCCTCGTCGCGTTTCTTTTTGATATTTCGTACTCTGATCATCTGCTGTTGCTGGACTAACTACTCCTTTCTTCGTATTGACAAAGTTATCTTGCAGTGACTCTGTGAGTCCTCTCGTTTCTTTACTATCTCGTTGCTGACGCTCGCCTTGCAAAATGGTTGGCGGCGCGCATTCCCCCAGATGGCAGACCAAATTGACGAGGGGGGGACTCCATTCTCGCACCTTTGAGAGACAATCGAGTCTGCAATTTGCAATCTGCACTGCGTCTCTCCAGACCAGTGCGTTCTTTCTATCTGTAGAGATACTCTCCTGTCTCCTCGGATGGCCAGAAATCGCGCACTCTATCCGGCAACCCAATCGACCAGACGTACTTCAACAGCACGATGGACACCAACTCTAGATTCTCTTTTTCCGGTACGTAGATCGTCTATTTCCCCCATGATCTACCAAAGGGGCTTTTTTTGTCTTCTTTTCTCTCCCTAGAGCTTATTCTGGCATGGACACATTCCACTGGAACCGGAGGGGATCGACCAGCCCGTGGAACTCCTTTCCGTCTTCGCACAACACTGGGAGGCAATGATAATACAATCATGGAATCCAGATCTTCCCTCCTGTGTGAACCTAAAAAGCAGAATATAGCCGAGAACAGCTATCCACCAGCTGTAAAGATAGGTGTTGGTCCACTGCTACTCGTTTCTTGCTCCGAATCATGCCTGGGTCAGTATGTACCCAACCGTAGTCCGGTCGATGATAGAGTGGACCAACCATTAATCGCCCTGTGAATATATAAAGTATCACTACAGTAATAATAGGTACTCTAGTACATGTCTATCATCGTGATATACTTCGATTTCAGATGCATCCGATGGGAAAAAGCTTCCCTCCTTGCGTGTTGGTGGTGCCTTGAGGACCTGCAGCCGTCACGAGGCACATGCGTTGGCACCCCCGCTGGAAAGGGAAAAAAGCCTGGGCCACTTGGTCCATGGTACGCCGCAGTGACTCGATGATGTCGTGACTCGGACTGGATGTACAGCGCAACTTAGCAGATTGGGGATGGCCCTCGATCGGTCTGGTGTTGTGGTGGTTTGTCTAGCGGAGGGGAGATGCTGTGGCTTGCTCAAACCCTAACTTGGCTGCCATCTTAACTGACCGCTTGCTCTGTTGCCCGTGATCATCATCCACGTCTATTGGCAACGTGATCATAACTACGGGGAATTTTAATACTTGATGATACTAGTTTAGCTATTGATAAGACATAGTTATTACATTTGACGTGATATTCTTTCTATTAAGCACTATCCATACAAGTGAAAGCTATACTCGTACAAGGGTGGTGGCAAATGGAGGGCATCACGGAGGGGGTAACTCGATATATATCCTAGGTTCTCAACGGCCAACCGGGCATCACCACGAATCGGCATCCTACTTCCCCCTTAGATCACTAGATCAACGATCTCGAGCCAATAGAATCAAATATCAAGGTGTATTTTCTACCGTTCTGCTCCACTGATCGCTGAGCTCGTTGATTGCCCATCCACTAGTACGTGCCCCAGCCTGATCTGCCCGTCGTCGGACTTGAATCAACACAACTGCTGGGATAATCTACGGGCTATCAACACCTCAAGCTACAATAAACAACAAAACATAAACATTTACAGCTAAATCAAGACCACTTGAAAATTCTTTACGTATTCTAAATCCCAATTCAAGGACAGAAATCGACTCGTAAGCACGCCGTGAGGGGGAGATCACGATGCCTGATCCGGCTGCTCGCCCGCATCGAATCAAGGGACTCGATGGACGAACGACTGATCCCACTCCACACAATGCTCTTCTATCCTTTTGAAACAGATAATAAGTTGCCCATGATTGATTTCAATCCAGGTTTACGACCTTTTAACAATTTACAACATTCATGGTTGGGATCACTGGTCTTTTGTTGGTTGCTCATCCTCGGCAGCATCTCGCTTAGCTCTGGTCAATCTATACAACTGCACCACTTTGAACTCCACCCTTACGGCCACCACCAAGGCCGCAAGTGACCAAATTCAAGGAATACGAAAAAGAAATGCTTGTTTCTCACATATGTCATGATTTTTGTACAAATTCAGGATCCGTGGGAGTAAGGATCAGCCGAAAAGAGTGGATATCCTTTGTACCACGTCGAGGACATGATCCTCTGATCCTACACGCACAACCGCCAAGAGACATGTATGGTTTATGTAGATGGATGGGAAATCGTAAACACCACCTGTTTATCTGGTAAAAAATTTTGATTTTCGCTGGTATGAGATGCTAGACTCCATGCCATGGATCAGGGTAGTCGGGATGGCCGGATGGGAAGTCACTGTCCACCCGCCGACCGAGATCATGAAAAGCGCACCGCCATTAAAAAAAAAAAAAAAAAAGACAAACCGGATAACACCAACGCCTAGCTCGTAGAGAGATCGAGAAAATGAGATAACGAAATTTTATCCGCCTGGACGAGGAAACCCTGCTGGAATATCCCAGTCGAAGGGAATTGACTGCCGCGTCGTAGACCCCCTCATGTCGCAAAGCACCCACCGAGCACCGAGAAACTAATTCGCACCACGAGGCTTCGCCTTAGCCTCCTTCTTAGCCTTGGCCTCGTCCTTCTTGCGTTTCTTCTGTTCTTGCAGCTTCTCGTCGTGTTTCCGCTTGAGAGTGGCCTTCTCTGCCTCCGTACGCGCGACCGGCTTGAAGAATCCCTCTAACCGCGACTGCTGCGCACTCTTGAGGTTCTTGGTCAAGCGCGCGGCACCATTACGCACGCGATCCTCGTTGAAGCCCTTGTCCGTCACCAGGAACTGCACCAAACCTTCCACGTCCGGCGCCTCCCACTTGAAGTCGCAGTCGGGGTGGTTCGCGTCACGGACGTCCGGGTTGGCGAACAGCTCGCGCGCGTCCTGGTATGGCCACTCCTCTGGAATCACGTATTTCTTCTTCGGGTCTTCGTTCATGAACTCGATTACCTTTTCGAGGGTGCCGTGTTCGCGGATCAGGGCGAGTGCGGTGCTCGGGCCGACCTTGGGGATGGGCTCGAGATAGTCGCATCCAAGGAGAATGCAAAGGTCAATGAACTAAAGTAGTCAAGTCGTGGCGAGATTAGCACTTTGAAATATAGTTTTTGCAAAGCCTTGCGAACTCGTGGGTCAAACAGCATACCTGCTTGCGGTCCATGTCAAGCCCTTCCATCGCCTTGTCCAAGTGAATCTCCAGAATGGGCTCCTTCCGCTGCTCACTAAACGTCAAGTGGCGCAACAGAATCGGTGCATCGAAACACAACGTATCCATATCCTCGGACGCAGCGGCATAGACCTTGCCCCCGCGCGCCAGCACAGCGCACTGTGCCTCTGCCTCAGTCGGCGCATCGATATAGGGAATGCCCATCAACTTCAGCAGCTTCTTGCACTCGGCGTTGTGCTCGCGGGTTACCCGCACCGTCCGCCGCGAGAATTTCTCGACCTCCTCTGCGGTACCAGTCTCCTTGGCTTCCTCGTGCGCTTCGGTTGCTTCCGCCTTGCGTGCGCCACGCTTGGCCAGTTCGCCGGACTTCAGCTTGGGCGGGGCTCCGTCGAAGACGTACAGTGGCTTGATGCCGTTGTCGACCATACGTAGGGTTCGGTAGAACATGCCCATCAGGTGTGAGGTCGTCTCACCAGACTCACTCATGAGCTGCTGGCCTTCGGATCGCACTGCAATAAGGAAACTGTAGATACTCATGGATCTGTGTTACGTTAGTGGTGCTCCTTCGTTGGACTGTCGCATCACAGATTGTAGACGTACGCGTCCTAAAATTCAAAATACCCAGATTGTCAGTCATTGATAAGCGTCGGATATTTTGTATTTTGCAATTTTCGACTCACAATCGCGACCTTGCGGCCGAAATGGTTCTTGATCTCACCCGTCTTGACCGCATCGGGGGCATTCTCGGAGATGACCTGGTAGAGATCTAGCGCTTGGTTAGCAGATATTCCGAATTGGAGGTCCATGAATTTCACACACTCTTGATACCCATCTTGGCAGATTGTTTGGCGGATGCCAGTCACGGTTGAGAGTTGCGCAGGACTTAGTTCTCAAGCTCCCGGAGCTTCCCACCACGAGAGTGACGCGCTCGCTGTTCAAACGCGCGCCGCCATTAAACCAAATGGGGTTTAGCGTCTCGAACCACATGACCCAGGAACACTCCGCAAACACCTACACGTGACCGGCGCCGAAGCAGGCCCATTAATGCCTCAGGCCACAATCCTATCGGTCGAGAACCGGAGCCCCCCAACCCCGCCTTCCTACTCCCGGAGTCTGCTTTGCGGGATGAGGTGCAAGTTCCCAGCATGAAGCGGAATCGCATCCATTTTGAGGCCAATGGCGATGCTTCGCCTCCCTCGCCGGGAGGGGGCTTCACGCCGGAGGACCAGCGACAGGCGCATGTCCCGAAGATCTCCCGCAGGATACGCGCATGCACGGAATGCAAAAAGCACAAGGTTCGTTGTGACATGAAGGCAGGTGAGTCGACATGCTCGCGGTGTCGGCGCATGGGCCTGGAGTGCGTTGTCAACAAGAGCCTCCAAACGTTGTTGGAGGATGAGGCCGAGTAAGTTAGCCCTAACTTCGGTGTCCCTGGAATCTCTCCTATGGGAGGTAGGAGTACATGTTGCCCTACGATTTCAATGCTAATCCTATCACTATGGATAGTTGGAAGACCATGATCGAGCTGGCAATGACCGACCTGCTTAGGAAGTCACAGCTCCCAGAATTATCATACTATCAGGCCGGCGGCGGAGCGATTGAGACGCCTTCGAAGAAGCGGGGGCGCAAAGACTCGACGGTATCGGTGGATGAATCTGGCCATACCTTCGGACATCACAGCAAGAACAACTCGGCGGATACTACGTCAGGAAGGTTTACCGGGTCTAGCTCGTCTAGCTATGCCTTTTCTCAACAACAGCCGCAGTATAAGATCGATCGTGAGGAGACAAGTGCGACTTCGCTCGTGACGGCTCCTATGGGAAGTTTGTACGAGGTGACGCAGCTCAGCGAAAACCGTGAAAATTCGCCGAGCGAGGATTATGCGCCGGACCAGGCATTGGTGACCGATTTTATTTCGCGCGGCGTGGTTGATCTCCAGGAGGCCGAAGAACTGTTCCATCACTTCGATCAGGTGCTCAACAGGTACCTCTGGGATGGGGCATTGCTAGCACATAAGGACTTGACTTCCGCCCGGAGATCATCGTCTATGTTGTCCGCTGCTATTCTTGCCGTGACGGCACTTCATATGCCTAGCAAGGAGCGAACATTCGATACTTGCTACACAGAGTTTGCAAAGCTGGCCTCTGAATCGATGCTTGGACATCACCATACTATGGACGACATTCGGGCACTATGTATTGGGGCCTTCTGGCTTGCCGATGTGAGCTGGAAGCTCTCTGGCTACGCTGTTCGCATTGCGACTGAGCGAAATGTCCACCAATTCTTCCGGAAAGCTGTACAGGGCTCTCCTGAGCACAAGGAACAAGCCAGATTATGGTACCTTCTATATGTATGCTTGATCGATATACCGCAAAATCTGCTCTAGATTGCTAACTGCATCAAGACCCTTGAACACCACTTCTCGATCGCTTACGGTCGACCTCCCATCATCCACGAAGACCCAGCCATCACACAACACAATACGTTTACGCAATCACCCACGATATCCCAAGGCGACCTAAGGCTGCACAGCCAGGTTGATCTGTTCATAGTCCTGACCCGTATATACTTCGCATTCGGTCCTGACGTGGACCTCGAGGTTCCTGAGAGCGAATTCCCAAAAATCGACCAGTATGATCAAGAACTGGGAGATTGGAAATCAGCCTGGTTACCGCGTCTTGGTATGTTACTTTGATGATCGATTCGATCCTTTTACTAACTCAATATCAGCTGGGAGTCGACATGTCGGTGCATACCCTTACAAAGCCGTCTACATGCACTATAACTTTTCCCGACTGCAGTTGAACTCGGTCGCCCTTCGAACATATCATTCTTCTACCACTTCCAAAGCCATGTCGCCCGAGCGCAGGAAACGTGCCAACATTGCCATTGAATCAGCGATCGCCACCCTCCAGGTGGTTCTAGATGAGAAAGACATCCAGCGCGCTCTGGTCGGCGTGCCGCTGTACCTCCACAGCATGATTACATTTGCGGCGGTATTCCTTTTGAAAATCGCGGTCAAGTCATGCTCCAACCAATGCGGTCAAGGCCAAAGCACTTCTATCTCCTCAGCAGGTCTTGTCATTGACATTCCCTACGTGCGCAATCTAGTGGGGCGCATTGTCGATGTGATGGTGTCTTGTAGTCAGCGAGCCAGCGAGCGTCATCTGAGCCACCACATTGCTCGCGGTCTGCGAAAGATGCTCACTGGACTGGAAGAGTGGGAGAAGCGGAATGGCACCCAGCAGTCAGGCGGGCCCACGCCCCAGTCGGAGACATCCTCGCTGTTCAAGCCGGTCATCATCCCTGGCGCTCAAATTCTGGGTGAGCGAGATACGATCTTGAACCATCCCCCTCCGCTCCTGGGCGTGGCACCACTATCTGCGGAGCGTAGCAATGGGTTCGATCCGGGTCTTGGGCTGGCTAAGCACGAGCCGGGCCTTTCAGAAGGCTCGATGGATCCTATGATGGCGGATCTGTGGGGATTTGACGAAGAGTACTTCCCCACGGGCGTGTTTGATTTCTTGCAGAGTCAGATGCCGGCGTGATGGAGAGCTGTATTGCCATATGCTGGTTGGCACTGTGTATCTTCTTTGGATAACCCCTTGTACATAATGATCCGGACTGATGTAGGATAATTATAATTGTCCAGTTGAATATAGGCGATTACAGTCTCTAGAAATACAGACACAATAATGGTTCTCGTCCCACTTGTATCTCCCGCCGCATATACTTGCCCCATGTGTGCTGGCCTGAAATCCGGCCCCGGTAACCCTGCGTATGCCGAGTCTCCCGAGTACAGAAAAGCACACGAGCACCGAAAAAGTCCGAGCCGGGGACCAGACACCGAAACAAGGCATACCAGACTCGGGCAATCGATCGAATGGTTTAGTGTAATGACATCCCCGCCTCGCGGCGTCAGGGACCCCAGATCCTTTCCGCGCTGGCTTACGCTCGGTGATTTGCGCGTCCCACAATTGCCGAGGTTCTCCGACGGCTAGCGCATATTTGATTGAGCTCCCCCGCAACAAAACCGACAGATAACTTCGTTGTAGACAACATTCTCCGCTCTCATCTTTTCATTTTGTTTGTTCTTATATTCTTGTTCTTGTGAGAATGATGAATCGCTCTGTTCTACGCGCGGCTGCGCGTTCGCTCCAGGCTGGTCGTCCCGTCGCTGGTCGCCGGTATGCTTCCTCGGCGGTGTTTAATTGGGAGGACCCCCTCGCTGCGGAGGAGCTGTACACAGCAGAGGAGTTGGCTATTCAGGACACTGCGCGGCAATATTGCCAGGAACGGTTGATGCCGCGGATTCTGGGTGCGTATCTCCAATTGACCGACCGCGTTGCGGTGTTACTTGGGCATTGATACTAACAGTGACCTGGTACTGAACAGAGGCCTACCGCAACGAGGACTATGACCGCAGGATCCTGGAGGAGATGGGCGAGCTCGGCCTTCTGGGCGCTTCAATTGAGGGATACGAGTGTGCTGGCGTGAGCACCGTGGCCTCGGGCCTGATCACAAAGGAGGTCGAGCGCGTGGACTCTGGATACCGATCAGGCATGTCGGTGCAGAGTTCATTAGCGATGACGGGTATCTACGAGTTCGGTACGGAGGAGCAGAAGCAACGGTTCCTGCCTGGCCTGGCCAAGGGCAAGCTGTCTGGTTGCTTCGGTCTGACGGAGCCCAATCATGGCTCCGACCCTGGCTCCATGGAAACCGTGGCCCGCGAGCACCCGACACAGAAGGGCACATACCTGTTGAGCGGCAGCAAGACCTGGATCACCAACTCGCCCATCGCGGATCTGGCGCTGGTCTGGGCCAAGTTGGAGTCGACGGGCAAGATCAAGGGTTTCATCGTCGAGCGCTCGCGCTGCCCGCCGGGTACCTTCGAGACCCCCGCTATTAAGAATAAGACCGCCCTGCGTGCGTCCATCACTGGTATGATCCAGATGGATGACTGTCCCGTGCCGGCGGAGAATATGTTGCCCGATGTCGAGGGCCTGACGGGGCCGTTTACCTGCCTGAACAGTGCTCGTCTGGGAATTGCCTTTGGCGCCATGGGTGCCTTGGAGGACTGTCTTGCCCGTGCTCGGGAGTACAGTCTCGAGCGCAAGCAGTTCAAGGGTAACCCACTGGCTAAGTACCAGCTGGTTCAGAAGAAGCTGGCCGATGCGGCTACGGACGCTGCTTATGGCACGCTGGCTGCGGTACAAGTAGCTCGTCTGAAGGATGCTGGCAAGGCCACGGCCGAAATGATTTCCATGATTAAGCGCCAAAACTGCGATCGGGCTCTGGCCAATTCACGGATGTACGTTTGCTTTTTTTTTTTGCCCGGTTCATGTATCTTCCGATGGCTGGTCTTGAGATGAGACGCTAACTTTCTGATCCCTACAGCCTCCAAGAAATATTTGGTGGTAATGCTGCCAGTGATGAATACCATATTGGTCGCCATGTGGCCAATCTGTTCGTGGTGCAGACCTACGAGGGTCAGAGCGATATTCATGGTAAGATCTCTCCGCATCGTTGCATGCCCAATTTTGAGACTGGTTCTTTTGGGCCGAAAGCTGATTATTTTCTTTTTCTTTGACAGCTTTGATCCTGGGCCGGGCTATTACCGGCAAGCAGGCCTTTGTTTGAAGTGGTATTGGGTTATCTTGTACTACGTCTTGCATTTCTTTCTTTCTTCCCTGTACTCAGGGTTATAAACTTGTATAGAATCTTCCCAGCGTGGAAGAAATCGGAGCGCGGATTCCTTCCCCATCAGGACAAGGCGGGCGCCTCACCCGCACGTGACATCATCCGAGGGGCTAAAAATGAAAAACTGAGGCATCAACTTTGGGCATACTGAACTACATATGATAAAAGTAGATGTATCTCGTAAATTGGACGTCTGACGAGTATGAGGGACGCCTATACATGGTAAATTACATCCGGAAACAACCAAATACAGACCAAACCAGCCCTACGAGACCTACGAAGGTCCTCGCCAAAAATACACACGGGGCGGGATGTGTCATGGTGTGGCGCGTATTGGTAATACCCATCAGACACCCGCCCGCCCACTTTCCCCCTCTTTCTTCTTCTTTCTCTTCTTCCTTTTCCACACAAAGACGTAACCGTACGTGGAAACAGCCTGACTGATCCAACTGTGGCCCCCCTCCTCCTCGCTGACCATCCTTTTTTCCTCCCGCTCCAGTCTTCCCTTCCCTCCTACATACCACTTCAACCCGTCGTCATGGCTCTCAAGCGCATTAACAAGGAACTCACTGATCTCGGCCGGTAAGGATCTGCCCACCAACCGAACACCACCACCCGTAACCCCTCTACGGGTGTGGCCAGCACACGAGCGAGAAACTGGAGAGAGACTGACATTTTTCTTCGTTCGATAGGGATCCCCCGTCCTCCTGCTCCGCTGGCCCCGTTGGAGATGACCTGGTATGGTTTCTTGTCGTTCTTCGTCCCCCTCGTTCTTGACGGTCGCTCGCTGCCAAGTGAAGCCTTATCGTGCCGTGGGGCTGAAATGAGAGCCCCTCAAAAACGCAGATAATGGGATCGGTCGAGGGATGATGTGGATTTGATGATGATGTACTAACAAGTGATTTTTTCTCTCTATAGTTCCACTGGCAAGCAACTATCATGGGTCCTGTAAGTCGATTCATTCTATTCCTTCAATCGGCTGGCTGCGGAGGGGCTGTGGAGGGGCTATGCAGCCGTCACCAAAAGTCTTTCCATCGCAGTCCCAAACACAGCACGATTGACGATTCTGGTTTTTGGTATCATTCATACTAATATGTCTTTCTACAGACTGACTCGCCATACTCCGGAGGTGTCTTCTTCCTCACCATCCATTTCCCCACGGACTACCCATTCAAGCCGCCCAAGGTCAACTTCACCACCCGCATCTACCACCCCAACATCAACTCCAACGGCAGTATCTGTCTGGACATCCTGAGGGACCAATGGAGCCCTGCTCTCACTATCTCTAAAGGTGCGTTGAATCCCAATTCGCCGAATCAAAAACTATTTTGCCACACTCGGCGCCAAGACGAAAAATCTCGTTGCTAATTCATATCTCTCTCTAGTCCTGCTCTCCATTTGCTCGATGCTCACAGACCCCAACCCGGATGACCCCTTGGTGCCCGAGATCGCGCATGTCTACAAGACGGACCGCCCCCGGTACGAGGCGACGGCTCGTGAATGGACACGCAAGTACGCTATTTGATCGGCAATTATTCAACAAATCTGCCCTCCTCCTTCCTTCTGTGCGACCATGACTCAAGTCTAACCCCCGTCGCCTCTGCATCTTCTTTTTATTACTTCGTTAGATTCAAATCCGCGAAGCCTGGCGTACCGTGGTCGTAGAAACTTTGTGATGGTTCCAAATGCGTCTTCGTCGTTTTCTGCGTCTTCGCCGCTGTTTTATGTTTCTCTCTTGCCTTGTGTGTGATGCGCGCGCACCGCTTTGCTACGTCTAAACCCATCTTTGCGTTTCTCTCGTCTGTGTGTGTTAATTAACTGGGACATGGCATATTCCAACGATCATTATGACCAAACTCCTCCTGCATATGGCATCTTCTTTCTTTGAACCTCGAGGCTTCTCGGGGGGTCGTGGTTTTCACGAGACCTGTTCTCCGATTCGTCTTTGCTATTTTTCTATTCGGCAAGATCAAAAAAAAGGAACCGGATCATCCATGAAAAAGTCCTTTTACTTTGGCGACAATTGCCTTGGGGAATCTCATGCTTCGGCCAACAGAATCCCCTGCTTCGTGCGAACCATCGATGAACAAAAGGCTCTTTTTACTTGTTGGAGGGAGACACTGGGACGCTAAACGCTGGGTGGAATGGGATTGAATCGAGGAAATGATATTAATGATGATCTGGAGAGTGCTGTTGGGGTTGGGCTTCGTGTCCTGGATGTGCTGGATTAGGCTGGCAGAGGAGGGCTGTTACGATTTTCTTTCTTGTCGTCGATAGCAATTACTAGCACAATCCAGGCAGGCCCGTCTCTGTGTGATGAACAATTTTTTTGTAGATTAAATTGGGGTGAAAAGCCCAGAACTGGACAATTTATGCCTAATAGACTACTTTATACTGGGATTAGATATCAATATCTTCCCAGAGTGCTATCAGTGAAGTCAGTATAGCAAACTTCGGACAAAGAGAAATGCAATAGAGCACTCACGATAATCGCCACGTCTGATTCGTCTTCTGCGAAAGAGAGATTTGGTCAAGCGAAAGAACTTGATGAACTGGTATTGTAGAATCAACCATTGAGGGACCTGATAACCGTTCGGGCCACGAGTTCTCCAGGTTCCAGCCAAGCTGATTCAGATTGTCGGGATCGCTCTTCATCTGTGTTACAACTCGAGTCCGCCAAACCTTGTAGATACTTATAAATATACGAGAAAGGTTTCCCACGTTGGCGACGATGACAAAGTTCACCATACCGAAGACCACAGCCGCGATACTGAAAGCAGTTTTTGTGTTGCTCATATCGATATTCGGAATCGCCCACACCGCGGCACAGAATGCCAGAGGAAGATAGAAGATGCTCACATACGTGAGCAGCTTCACATTTTGGCTCAGCCGATTTGTGTTTCGGGTCTCGCTCAGAGCACTCGCATTGAATAGCCCGTCGCGGCGACCCTTGACAGTCTCGACCGTGTCATCTATCTGGCGCTTGATCCCTTCGAGGGTGCTGCATGACTGATATTGTCGATGATGCTGCTTCGGAATTCCTGCATACAGGCAAGAATCCAGAAATACTTCTTGGACGTAGACAGCTGGTCGCCGTCAAATATAAGTTTGATGTATTTCTCTGGATCGATAAAATCTTCTCGGAGAAGATCCGCGATGTAGTCCATCAGATTTAACCTTCGAGATGCGAGCATGGAGTATGCTTCTTTGATGATCGCGACTTCGCCGACCTGGATCTGGCCGATTTCTAGAACGGATTTCCATTGCCGAGGAAAGGTATTGCGTTCTATAAACATGTTAAACCACCTGCGTGTCTCGGATAGGCATCACACGAGTATTGTCCCCAACTGGGAGGATAACTTTGGACGTAAAACCTTTTTTCCACTCGCATAGCCATCCTCTGTTACTACAAGGGTGGTAATTGCACTGCGGCGAAACCACGGAGCACCAGGGCGCACGTAAAAAGGATCAGTCTTCCAGAACTCCTTGTTCGATGAACCGAAACGGTGGACGATGATCTCGTAGAAGGTGATATGGAAGGCGCGGGAGGCATCAAGATAGGGATTGATTCGGTCACCCCTGGTTCTTTTGGTGCAGTTCATATGGAGTTCGACGGCTTCAGCAATTGATGCATCTGTGACGCCTCGAGCGAAGTCTTTGGATGCAAAGGATAGTGTACCACCTGTCATGTCAATACAGGGCAAGATCTCCTTTGCAGTGTTATTGTTGATCGGAATTCCTGCCTTTGTGACCGCCGACAGCCCTCTGCAAACGATAACTCTTCGCCATGGTGCAACAAAGCTCTTTACCTTTACCAAGTCTTTGAACATGAAGACATAAACCTTAATATCTGCAAAATCTCTGCTCGCTGTTCGCTTCAAGCAGCCTATTCAATCCAATCTATTTGCACGTATCTATCTCATCTACTTTAACATCACGTAGGGACGTATCGTGGATGGGTCCCAATCTGGTAAATGGATGGCGTGGCTGAGATCGGAGGAATAGAGCGTGCTCACGAGTGTGCTTGGATAAACACTTTTTGAGGCGAAATCGATCGGGGTAACTTTGGCAGCCTCTTCGCTAACAAGCAAATAGCGAACTGCGGAATAGGGGCCATCGGTAGCGACAATAATGCTACCAACGACATCAGAGCCATCGCTAAACTTGGCAGTCACTCGTTCACCCGCAGGGAAGTAGTCGATATCGACTAGGGACTTTTCCCAGTGCACGTCTTGGCCTTGCAGCAGCATTGCCCGGAACTTGTCGTGGCGAAAGTGAATAGAATTTTGTAGACTTGATCTCGGTAATAAGGGCCCCGGTCGGTGTCCTTGGTTGCGACATGCGGATCAACTTGGGCGTCTTTTACTTGAGCCAGAACCTCGGCTGGCACGAGGTACTGCAGAGGTTCGAGGCCCCAATGCAATCCCATACTCCAGTCGCGTTTGCGGACCGGACTATTGTCTTTCTTAAAGTGAGGAATGGGATGTCGGCCTAATGAGAACTGTCAGCTACTTGAGACCCGGTCCAGTCTATCGGTCTTTCACATACCTTCTTCAACCCATGGGCCAACGCCAGACCAGTCGAGCCTACCACTTCAGTGTTAGTGAAATTCTTTCGTTAGAACCTGGATAGTTACTTGAGTCTTGCACCTTCGTCGAATTTGCATCATGCTCATACCTACTCATTCTCATGCCAGGGAAGGCGACAACGATAGCTAATCAGATATGTCATTGCATTTTACACAAGTAGCACAGCAAAGGTAGTCTAATATTTTTCATAAGTTGACCCCTCCAACCTCTGGCTCTCCAGTCCTTTTAGGGACTTTTCTTTCAACATTTCGATTCGTCCAGCTCAGATAGCTCTGCCACGCCACGCCAACACATCCCGAAAACACACTTCGGAATTGAGGCGGTATGTACATGAAGCTGACGATAGCCACGCCCGACCACACCTTCCAACCATTCACGATGCTTGTGGGGAGTGCGATTTGTAAGCGCATGAGAGTTTGTTCAAATGATGCGCCAGATAGAAACGATTGCATGGTGAAGAAGTAGGTGTTGAAAATGGGTGTATAGATTGCCTGTTGAACAAGCACTTTGGTGGCAAGCGACGCAGCATTGGAGGTGAAGTTGAATCGACGATGTAGAAACATGAACCTGTGGCGATTAGCACAGCATTAACAATACATGATTATATGCCTCTGTACACACCATTCATAAGAGGGAATGCTGGCGACAATGCCGACAGTTAAATGCCGTATTGTCCGCCAAGGGTCATATCCCCGTGTCTCTTGACGCTCATTAAAGCTTCCATTGTCTTCATCATCAGCTGGCTCGGGTGGAAACAGAAACTGTGCACTCAAGTCGCTACACAACCAAATACCTATTGATGTGCATATTTGTGTGGTATACGGCCGTTGACCCTGGATTTTCGAATATGCTTCGAGAATAGGTCCGATACCACTGTGTGACAGTAGCCTTCTAGCCGCACCCGAGGCCGGTGCTGAACTTGCCTGGCGTCTAGATGAACATGGATTTGGCCATCGCCAAGATTGTGACTTGAGATAGTTTCGATTTGCAAGGGGTTGCGATGAAGATATGCCTCGCTTCCAAAAACACGATGGATAAGGTAGGCGCAAATTCAGCAGCCGGAACATCCTCATTGTGAAACCGACAATGGTTCGTGGTATCCGGGTTGAAGCGACCATAAAATCTTTTCGGAACTCGGGCATGCCTGGAAGATCATACAGCAAGTATACAGCTTCCAGCCAATCGGCCTTCTCGGGCCCTGTCAGGGCCCGCAAGTCGGCCCCGCATAAGCTTATGCGTCTCCCGTAGAATTTGCAAATATCTTGAAACTTTGCAGTTTTTGAAAATAGACAAATACCGCAAATAATTTCGAAGGTCAGAGAGGATAGATGACGAGGCAGATATGTAGACCAAGAGTGGTCAATACAATACATTCAAACTGCATTATCAGTCTAGCGATTGTATTACGTTCCAAATCCTCTTGTTTCCCAGGTCCCTGGGTTGGCCAATTATACAGTGTCTCTTGAAAAACTGTGTATTGTCGAATATCTGAAGCAATACAGTACATACAGTGGCAGTGCAAAAGTTTGAAACTATTTCTCTTACTGCCAAGACTTTTCTGCCAGATAAAAACTCACAATGCAGCCAAATTTCAACCACAGCAGCCTGATATTTTGTATACTACGCCTTCTGCCTCAAGATTACCTATACCCTGTGAGGCGTCGTACCGATAATTACCTAAAATATAACGGGTCGCACGTTGGAAGTAGGGTGTATTGGGGGTAGGTAATAGGCAGTGAGCGATAGGCGGTGAGTGGGAAATAGTTTCAAACTTTTGCACACCCACTGTACCACTCCAGTGCCACAAAATTTACAAAGTGCCCCACTACCAAGAAAGCCACAGCCGGTGTAATGTAAATACGTTTAGTATTGGAGAGATGCTAGAGACTCTGGGGGTTTGGTTGTTTCATACCGTTTATTTTACTATATAGCCCGTAACCCTAGGCCCCCAACAAGCCTTACCGTTGCTGTCGCAATCATCGGCCTCATGATTTCTTCGTTTTATCTTGTTACAACCCCCAACAACTGGTTGACAGATCTCAGCATCTGTGCAACTCCATCATCCCAATGGACTCAGAATTTCAAGATCTCTCGCCGAACGCCCAAATTTCTCCAGCCAACGAAGCTACGAGTAAGGCGTCTGAAGGGTCGTCGGGCTCTTCTCAGGAAAGACCTCACCCGCATATCCGGAGCTGTCTATTCTGTCGATCTCGCAAAGTAAAATGTGATCGCCAGAGGCCATGCGCCAACTGTCTGCGTACGGGGGCGGAATGTGTCTATCCATCGGGACCAGGCAGAGCTCCAAAACGACCACGTCGACCTTTTGACAAGCGTGTGCTCGACCGGTTGGCGGATCTCGAGGCGCTCGTGAGACGCCTGGATGCTACAGAGGCTGGCGGCCGGCTAGTACGCGGCTCACCACCAGAGAACCCTGCCACCAACTCGGTAACAGAACTGGTAGATGGATCCAGTCAGATAGAACAGCAGTTCGGTCGGCTTGTGATTGATAATACGCGAAGCTGTTATGTGAGCAACATTCTATGGGCAAGTTTAGGTGATGAGGTGTGTTTCCAAGTTTGATGCCAGGGAATTTACCATTCTTCGTGTTCGACTGACTTTGTGAAGATCGAAGAGCTGCGCGATTTACTATATGAGCCAGAATCGGAGGACGAAGATTTCGATGCGGCCACGGTCTCGTCTGCTGCCGATACCACGACCTCCCTCGGCTGTAATGCGGCGATATTGGGATTTCAGGCGCTTGCACAGTCCTTGAGGGCGTATCATCCACCGCTATCCCAGTCAGTGGCACTCTTTGAGATATTCAAATACAGTGTCGCTCCTCTGGTGCACATTTTCCACATGCCAACCCTGGTCGCGTCTTATTGGGATGCCGTGGCATCACCTGAATCTTTGAACCGCAATACCGAGGCATTGTTATTCGCTATCTATTACTCTACTGTGATCAGTATGGAATCACACCAATGCGAGGAGGTCTTGGGCTTTCCACGAGCAGCAGCAGTCAAACATTACCAGTTCGCAGTTGAACAGGCCATGGCTCGCGCCAATATCCTCAATACCCAGAGTGTGGTTTTGATCCAAGCTGTAGTTCTCTTTTTATCAGCTTTGCGCAATGAGGATGCCTCGCGTACCGCCTGGTCTATGACCGCACTCATCTTCCACATTGCGCAAGTCATGGGCCTGCACAGAGACGGAGCCTCATTTGGCCTTCGTCCGCTGGAGACTGAGATACGGCGACGTCTTTGGTGGCATATATGCTTGCTAGATATCCGATCGTCTGAATATCATAGCTGTGAGCCCATCGTGCACCAGTCAATGTTCGATACCCGGATGCCGCTGAATATCAACGACAGCGATCTGACACCGGACATGACTGTACCACCTACTGAGCGGGAAGAAACCACGGAGATGACTTTTTGCCTCATTCGATGTGAGGCCATGTGCATTGTATGGAAGACAGGTTATGTCCCACCCGGCATGCGACGACCTGGTCAACCAGCAGAGGGACTGTCCCTCCCTGAGCGTGCTTCCTTAGCCAAAGATCTCCAGCTACGGCTAGAGGGGCGCTATCTCAAGCACTGTGATACCTCGAGACCATTTTTCCAAGTTTGTGTGACTGTCGCACGCCTGATCATCGCTCGAACTTGGCTGGTGGTCTATTACCCACTCCGACAGAAAGATGATGGGGCAACCATGCCCAGCCTGACTCGAGACCAACTGTTCACCATCTCAATTAAGATTCTAGAGCTGTCATCCGAATTGCTCACTAGTCCTGCCCTCGCGCAGTGGACATGGCACTCCAAGACCCATGTCCAATGGCATGCAGTGGCTTTTGTTCTATCGGAGATATGCTCACGTCCCCCGTCGCTGGACTGCGACCATGCTTGGGAGTATGCCCAAACCGTCTATAATCGATGGGAGATGAAAGAGAACAAAGGTAATCTCTGGCGACCCATCAAGCAGCTGATGGCCAAGGCACAATACGTACGCGAGATCCAAAAGAAAAGGACATCGGCTCCGAAATCGTACTGGCGAGTAGCCGGCATGATCGCAGTATTACCTGGCAATTCTTCTCCAGAGCCCCTTGCGAGTAGTAGTTCGGAGACCAGGGCAGCCGTGAACCATGAGACTATCAGTGACACCACTACAGGCCTCATTGATCCAAACTGGGCCCTGTCCACAGAGTCGCTTGAACCATTTCCGGACAATTTTAGCGGACCCGATTTGCCCGATCCAGGCCTCGAATATGCATACCATGTAGGCAATGACTATATCCTGACGAATTTTGATGGTAGCCAGATGGATATGGCATTTGGTATCAATGCGTTCACGCCATGACAATTTCTTCGAGATTGGCTGAATTGATCACTGACCCTGGAAGAAGAGCTAGATTCAATCTCGCCACATCATGAGGATTCCCCCTGTATCTCAATGCTCTTAATTCTCTTCTCCAGATGTATTTCCACTCCCGCATATCGAGACACTATACCCCTTGAGCACGTATGCAGCGAAGCCAAAATTTTCTTCCGAACATAGCGCAGAGGGCTCTCGAACGGCTAGTCTAGCGTTGTACTTTAATCACTCTATATCGTCAAATGGTATTTACAGAGCAGATCAACAAGAAAAATTAACTTCCTCGTCGGACTCGGAAACTTGTCATTCCACGGATGGCCGAGGGCGACTCACGACCAGCAGCGAGAGTAATCAGTAGGCAGCCGAGTGCCGAGATGGTGACTTCGGTCAAAAAGGTCATGATTCCTTATGCGGCCAGTCAGCTGAAACTGAGGTAACGAACAGATTGAACACACGGTCACTGTGTTCGTATGGTATATTCCACCCTTGACATTTTGCGCGCAAGAGAGCGAATCGTGTACGGCGGTGTTTCATAACAGATGATGACATAATATTCTGCCGGTCAAAATATTTGTCTGTTGCTTCAATTACATGATAATATTTCATTTTTTGAGTTGGTCGATGGATTTTTATTACAATTTCATATGAAGGAACAGTCGGAAAAGATCTCATATCACTTTCTTGGCGTTTTATATGCAGGCAAAGTTCTCACTGAGGGCGGAAGACTAGGCGGTAGAGCGGAGATGGTCGAAGACTTATGAAACACCACAATATTACAAATTACGCGCTCTCAACACGTAATCTTCGAGCCTCATCGGGCCAACCGCATAAGCTTGTCCGATTCTCGAGGACCCACTTTTGGCGCTCGAAGTAAATGACCGATCTGGCGATCATCCGGAGCCTGCTTTGTCGCAAGTCGCTATCATTGCCGCCTCGGTGAGTTGCAGGGCCGATGGGATTCAACGCATAGGGGACATTCCCGCTTACAGAGCCTTCTTATGATCGGGTGGTGGTCGCCGTTCTTACACCTCTATGCAGTCACTTCGTCCACGCAATTCATTTTTGCTCCTGTTAGATCTCCCCATCTTCAAATTCATCAACTGTGTCACAAACTTTGCGCGCAATCTTCTATCCTCCTGCCATGTCAGCCCCTCAGACACATCCACCATTGCCAGCCGATGAACCGAAGGATGTAGAAAGTCAGTCGAATTCAGAACCAAAGCGTCTGGAACATCCGCTTCTATATGACGCGACACCGCTCACAGTTCTGGTTGATTTCGATGGTATTGATGACCCTTACCTGCCGATGAACTGGCCATTCCGGAAGAAGGTCTTCACAACGTTTCTGTATGGATTCACCACCTGTTGGATCACATTTGCATCTGCCGTCTATTCCGCGGCACTCAAGCAAGTGTCGGAGAACTTTCAAGTCAGCAGGGAAGTGGCAGCATCTGGTGTTAGTCTGATTGTGTTCGGTTTTGGACTGGGTTCTCTCATTTGGGCTCCACTCAGTGAGGTATACGGGCGAAAATGGGTGGTGATAGTGGTGCGTCTCTATAATCTCCTTTCTAGAACGAGATCGAATCCGGCTAATGATCCCTAGCCGTACTTTATTGCAGCCATATTTTCTTTTGGAACGGCGACTGCAAAGGACATTCAAACTGTTCTCATCACCCGATTCTTCACTGGCCTGTTTGGAAGCGCGCCCATTACAAATACAGGAGGTGTCATGGCGGATATATGGCCTCCTCAACAGCGTGGCATTGCCGTCGTCGGCTATGCTATGACAATCGTCGGCGGACCAACACTTGCCCCCATTATTGGAGGCGCCCTTACCTCAAGTTACCTTGGATGGAGATGGACCGAGTACTTGACAGGCATCATCATGATGGCGCAGGTTGTCTTGGATGTCTGCTTCTTAGATGAAAGTTATCCCCCAGTGCTGCTTGCCTACAAAGCTCGTCGGCTACGCTTTACAGGGAAGAACTTTGCATTGCATGCTAAGGTAATCTTATATCCACATGCACCAGTTGCTTCGAGTGTGTCTGACATTATATAGCAAGAAGAGTGGGATCCCTCAATCAAAGAGCTTTCGCAGAAATATCTTGTCCGCCCCTTCCAAATGCTAGGGACGCCCATTTGCCTACTAATGAGCCTCTACGCGTCCTTTGTATATGGTGAGCGAGCTCGGTTGCCCGACTTTGACCTGTCCAAAGAGTGAACTAAGACATTTCCTTTGACATAGGCATCTTGTATGCCAACCTCGAAGCCTTCTCGGTCGAGTTTCAGGAGATCCGTCAATGGGGACCTGTCGTCGGTAACATTCCATTCATCTCCCTTCTAGTCGGAATTTTCTTCGCTGCCGCGGTCAACATCTACAACAACAAATACTATTTCAAAAAGTTCAAGGCCAATGGCAACAAGGTCGTTCCTGAGGCTCGACTACCACCAATGATGATCGGAGGATTTGCATTTACCGCCGGTCTCTTTGTATTTGGCTGTAAGTTTGAGTGACACTGGATGCGTTTCGAACGTGAAAGAGGACTGACATGCCGAAGGGACCTCATCACCGCACATCAACTACTGGCCTTCAATAATCGGCATTGCCTTGACTGGATTTGGATTCACAACCATTTTTCAGGCGGCGCTCAACTACTTGGTGGACACTTTCACCCGCTTCAGTGCTAGTGCCGTTGCTGCCAATACCTTCCTTCGTTCAATGATGGCCGGTGCATTCCCGTTGTTCGTCCTGCCCATGTATCATAACATTGGTGTCAACTGGGGAACCACAGTATTTGGTTGCTTTGCAGCAATTTTGATTCCTGTGCCGTTTCTGTTCTTCATCTGGGGGAAGCGTATTCGTGCTCGCGGAAAGTGGAGCAAACATACGGTGTAGTACCTGGTTTGACTAATGTTTACTTGACCAAACTCAGGGATGTGGAGTTATAGAATGTATGGCCAGCTCATAGGAAGACCGGGGAATAGTGGATTCTCCAAGAGACTCAAAGTGACAATTTCTCCTGTTCATTGGTCTTATACAACGCAATAATAAGTATTCTCCTCCTTAAGACAAAACTTGAACTATATCACATTGAATCCGTCAATTTCTAGAAAATTGAGCTGCATTCTTCCACTATTCCATATCAAACTTACCAGGCTGAGCTTCTCTGAGCTCCGACAAGTCAAGCTTTCCGTCATCTTGAGTTGCATCACCTGCTTTCCTGATCATGGCTTCTGTAGACTGAAAGTATGACATGGTCATGCCAATCGGCATGTTCGCAAAGATCTTCGCACGCCCATTTCCCGACGAATTCTCCCTCAAGGGCTTCCAAGAGACAAAGATAATGAGTCCTATAACAATATTGTCTTCCGTAAGGGTTTGGTACCTTGAAATGACCAATCTTGGTGGCCATGTCAACAAGAGGTAGTCACTTTGCGGCTCGAATCCCTGAATCGATCACTGTTAAGTATTGTAGCGGTTTAGTTAAATAAACGAGCCTCTGATCTTAAAAGCTCTATTTGTATACCTTGGTAGTGGACTACCAAGCAGGCAAGTTTATAAAGTAAACGAAGCAACTAAACTTGGATTAGGTTCAGATCACGTAGTACTGGCAACATGTATGTTGGACTATACATGAATTTTTCGGGCAATGACCAAGACTCGTTAAAGGAGATAGTGTGTGCATCAAAAGAAAATTATTGCGGACCACAATTAATGACCAGGTACCTCATCAGGGACGTGCATTTTTCCCTTCATATGTGCATCGGACGCCTCCGTACAGTAGCTGACTTTCACCAATCCAGCACTTCATCAATGACGCTGAAACCGACCCTACATGAGGATCATAGCCATTGTCAAGGTAAGGATGGACAATACACTGAGATCAATTGAAACGTGCAAATTTGCTGCCGTATTTGTGGCGCTAGGGCTAGAGCCACCTGTGGTGGTCTGTGTCCCGCTTGTAGCAGACGTGCTGCTAGAGGCCGTGCTGCTAGAGGCCGTGCTGCTAGAGGCCGTGCTTGTCTGACTAGCACTCGGCGTACCGAGAATACCACCTTGGACCGTGGCTGGTACACTCTGACCATTTGCATTAGAAGCTGCCGATTTGAATGCATTCAGCGTGTCTGAGCCACTAATGTTGAGGAGAGAATTAGTTGGTGCTTCTCATACTTTGTGGCTACTGATATACTTACGACGGATTAATCACACCAACCATGCCAGCTGCACAATGTCCAACTTGGCCGCAGTAGAACCAGATCGGATTTGTATCATTAACAGTCAACGACCAGACAGGCTAAAACATCAGAAAGTTATACAACCTGAAACGATGCTCATGAAATTACCTTTCCGTTATTAGCATTTGCCATAAATCCACTGAAGAAGCTAGTATCGCTCAGAGGATGGCATGGGTTATTAAAAGCGGCCTCGACAACTGAGTGATCGCCTGGATAGAAATGGAACTCGACTACGCCCCCCTTAGGAACGTGGATAGTGTCAGGAGTATAGGTAAAGCCATTTTGACCAACATTAACTGATTGAGTGGCAGAAGCTGAACCACTCGCAGTTGAGCTCGCAGTTGAGCTCGTAGTGGCCGTAGTAGTGGTGCTAGAACCTCCTCCTCCATACTGGGCACCAACGAGAGGGAGGCACAAAAGGGAGAAAGTGTACAAAGACGCTTTGATCATTACTGCCACTCAATTAGATGAGAAAATACTGGAGGCAAAGGTTTGCGTGGAAAGCCCAGCGCTTAATTTCAAAGTACAGTATCAGGAGATAGGTTTCCTTTTAAAAGGTTTAAGCTGGGGTGTATGTGAAGTACCATAAAATTCCAAAAGTTTTTCGAATGTTTGGAACGCTTTAGTATACCCGCGGCATCATCGGCGTAAGAAAGCTAAACCGAGGGTCTAGGCAGCTGATTACTTAAAATAGATAATGCGGTTCGCGGTCACATTGAATGAACCACAGAACGACAGAATGTGGCTTTTCCTATCTCCGGCAAACTTATGCCGACCGATTATTCAGGATAATATTTTGACGTAGTTCGCCAACTATGGCTGGCCATCCTGGGTGCGGCGTAGCTGACTAAGATGGAATCATTTTCTGGAGGCGGAACTGGAAACAGGTTCTGATCAGAGTTTGGTACGAAGATGGTCTAGACCGCAACGTTTTCAAATGGTAAAAGCGATTGGTGAGCCTCGCTATCTTGTGATGTGGTGTTCAATGAATGCTAGAGCCGCACATTATGGAAATATTTATTGGGGAACTGATTGACTGCTCCTCGAACTGCCATCTTTGGGTACTGCGAACTGCCATCTTTGGGCACTGTTTAGTAAGTCATGACGCCTAGAGTCAATCGTTTCGGCATCCCTGGCCGCTCTAAATCACAGAACACTTGCAGCATCCCCATCCAGACATGGTGGAGGAGCGGAGATATCGTATAATACTTATTTGCCGAGATATCACAACGGGCGAGTATGGTTCAGGTCGTTCTCCTGACTACCAGCGGTACACACAACCCTTGCTCCCCAATGGCGACGAAATACGTTTGTTTTTGTCCTTTTACACCCTTCTTTGCCCTTGCCCAGTTGCAAACATTCGTGCCACCCGGGCAAAATGGGATCACCTATACTGTTAATGTACCCCAAGCCACCGCGTCTTCAGGCTCTGGGCCGATCTTTTCCAACTGAAGTCCACAAACGAGCTTCAGTGGTTTGCTTGGGGCCAGGGCGCTCTAATGCAAGGAGCGAACATATTCATTGTCTATGCATCTAGCGACGGAAATAATATTACAGTCTCCCCACGACTCGGCGTGGAGCATGTTATGCCACTGTATAACCCCAAAGCTCAATTATCAGTCTTAAATGGCAGTGGGATCAGTAATGGAGTTTTGACCGCAAACATCCGATGCGATAGCTGTATCACCTGGCCCGGTGGAAGTGAAGATCTGAGCAGTTCATCGAGTCCATGGGTTTGGGCAGCGAAATATGGGAGCCCCCTCAAGACAAACAGCTTAACGGCGTCTATTAACATACATGACGTTGAGGGGATTGCAGCTATAGACCTACAACAAGCAACCGGTGGCACGTCTGATAACCCGTTTGCGACCTCGAACAATACGAACCCCTCGAGTTCATCGAGTTCATCGCAATCGATTTCGACTGTTAGCACTGGGTCAGTTGAAACACTCAGAAAGGCCCATGCTATTATTATGATACTGGTCTTTGTTATATTTTCCCCTTCATTTGCTCTGATGCTTCATATTATTCCATATTCGAAGATTGTCTATGTCCATGCTTCGTTCCAACTTTTTACTCTTGCTTGGCTATTGCCGGGTTTGGAATTGGGATCTCAATGGCAAGAAGTCTTGGTTTCATAGGAACGTATCATCCAATTATCGGGATGGTGACCGTCCCATGCCTTATCCTTTTTCAGCCCGCGATGGGCTTTCTTCAACACAGGTATTTTCACAAAACTGGAGGCAAGAGTGTATTTGCTTACTTGCATCGGTGGCTTGGTCGCTGTCTCATAATTCTTGGCATTATTAACGCTGGTCTAGGTTTTCGCCTAACAGGCATCGGCCTTTCGATCGCTCCTATTGGGGCAGTTGTCGCATATAGCGTGGTTGCTGGAATCATCGGGCTAGGGTACGCCTTAATTGTTGTGCTTCTGCCTCTCAAAAAAAGCAGAACGTCCTCTTCTCAGTAGTTCCTAGGTGCTACCTCAGGTGCTGGGGATAAGGCATTGCGTGTTCAGAATAGCGATGTATACAAGCCTGCGGCTATTGAATTCTTTCTATGTGATATGATATATTCCATCGTGCTCTCCTATCATGCCCTCCCGTCCGGCCACGAGAGGGGCCAGTTCTTCTACTCTCACTCGATTTCCACTCTCACCTGGCTTCAATTTCTATGCACCACTTTACGATTATGAGAAAGCGTGGTGGCTTCTCGATTTTTTAGCTCTTAAAGAAAATTAACGGGTACACTCTTGATGTATCATGAGCAGGGCACGAGAGGGAAGCAGACGGATTACAGCTGTATACTCTCCTGAAAAGCTATACCGGGAAAGCATAGGTTATCATGGATGAAAATATCGGGGTCTAAACTAGCGCCTAGTTAGAATGTGGAAAGGGAGATCCCTTGGTTTCATTATCTGATCTCTTGATCCATATACATACAGCATCCTAGAGGTGGGTGACCACAAACGAATCCTAGCTAGTCCGTCCAGAAGAATAAAAATGTCGGCCAATTAATTCCATTTTCAATGGATAAAGTACGTCATTTGCTCGGCTATAGGAAGTGGCCTCCAATCGTCGTTATTTGCATTAGGGCGAGCTATTCGTTTCTGCACCTCTTCTTTGGTTTTGGTCAAAATCTTCACTGCATCCTTTGAGAAGAGATGACCAAGACCAGACCAGACGGTTGTAATCGCGACGGTGAATCTATTGCCCGGTCAACTCCGACCAGGATTTTTCAGCGCACCCAAAAAGGAAAGATGAGACTGGAACTCGGGCGGGAAAGGAGGGTGGGAGAGGGGGCTACGTCGGTGATTCAGGGGTGTTCAGGGCATTTAGGTAAAGGAGATGAATAGTAAAGCGGCAAGAGGATCAAGCCTCACTAATTCTATCATCAACAAGCAACAAACAAAAACAAAAACATACAACAGATGGCCGACCTCACCTAGCGCCCACCTTTCGGTCATGGGCGACTCGCCGCTCTATTCAGGCGGGCTTCAGGCGGCTTCAGGTGGCAGCTCATCCACCTGAATATTCTTCACCCGAAGACCGCCCAGGGTGTAGGGCAGGCTGGCAAAAGGCGCATTTGCATTTCTGTGTATAGGGAAGGATTTCGCGAGCGGCTAGTATAGAGAGCGATAATGGATAAATTATAAGCACGCGCTAGGAGCGTCCAGTAGCGGTCTCCCACTATTCAGCCTCTTATCTTACCTCGCTCCGCTGGCCCAGTAATTAATACTTACCCTTATAATAACTAAGGTTAAGGATTAAACCGCTAATTTTACCTTTGTTGTAGATTTCGATAACTATAATAACTTAAATCTTACGTGTCGTTCTCCTAAGAACTAAGAGAGCCTATCGGCGTGTACTTCGCGTCTTTAATAAGTTAGTGCCTCTTAATAATATACCGGGCGGCGACTTTTCCGGGTCTCTAATTACCTCCCTTAGATTCCTCTTACTATACCCGATAGTAATATTATAGGACGTTTAGATATCGGTCAGGTCTCGAACGGAGCAGCTGGCTAGGGTTATATTACCGAGACTTCGGTATTATGCCTTCGACCCTATACGGTAGGTTTTAGCGCGGCTATCACTTACGTTGCCGGAGTTATTATTAATATCTTGACTCTATATCTAGTGAATGCTAATAAGTGGTATTAGGGTTTCAAGACTAGCTGCTTCTATGCTGGTGTTGGCATTCCTTTCCTGATTGGTATATGGCTGCTTCTTCCTGAGACTAAATGGTACGAATCAGCCCTAACTCAACGTCTACGTTGATTATGAGCTCAGTGAATATAAACCACTAACTCATACGCAGATGTTCTGCCACCGAGCTCGATGAGCTATTTGAACGTAAGATTAATCCGATTCATTTTGCAAGAACGGAGACAGCGAGTCAGCGCTTGGTCAGGGCTAATAACAACGTTTAGAATAGGGGTCGGAGAGCATTAAAGATGCTATGGAATACCACAAACGTGGCACGTCCACGAAGAACGTGGCTTTGTTTTTGGAACGGTAGTAATTCCTTCATAAAGAGTATTATCATTGAATATTACCCAAGCGTTTAGACAAATACGCTCCAGTAACATGGATCTCAAAGATGACAGGCTATCCAGAATTGCCGGTGAGCCTCGGAGTGTACCTTGAAGCAGGGTCTTGGATGAACCATTTCTAAGAAGCGACAGATGGGGTTGTCAGGTTGAATAAGTATATCGATGCTGCCACTGCGGAGCGTATATCAATTGACGCCAGCTTTTTCCGCAGCTGCTTGCTCTTCCGAAGTAGCACCACATGCCAACGGACCGTCATCCAAAATCGTAGAACGACGCACATCTCTTGCCGTCATATGTTCCGTGTAAGGATTAGCACGATGCATGGATTGTCTGAAGATACCGTCAGCAATGCTTTAATCCAAGCAAAACATTTGCAGGCTTACCGATTATCCCACCACACCATGTCACCGCCAGACAGCCACTCCATACTAAAAACATACTTCAAAGACAGACCAGTTAGCAGCGCCCAACGACGGGGTGGAATTGGGCCATGTACCTTGGACTGTGTGCAATGGCCAATAAGCTCCCAAATCAGCTTCTGACTCTTCTCCAAATCTATGCCCAGGACTCTCTTAGCATGGGCTGCGAGGTACAGTGTTTTGCGACCATCGGGGGCTACTTGTACAAGCCGGTGGAATGCCGGTGGCTTTGCTGCCAGTTCATGAGGCATGGGGTTGCCGAATACAGCCGGCGATGCTAGTTTTCGAGAGTGCCAAAGGCTAAATAGTCCAGTTAGCGCGAATTCCAGATAGCCAGCCTGGGCCGCGAGAATACACACTCATGCTCAATTACGAGGTCTTCAATCTGATCTTTCTTGGCCTGGGAAAGATCACTGTAGGCCCGGCGCATGTCCGCAAAGTGAGTCCAAGATCCACCCTCCACAGGGCTCCCATGGGAAAGAAGAATTGAATATTTTGAGCGCTGTTGATGATATGAAGAGTCCTGGAAGACTAGTCAGATTTATTTAACCCCCTGATGAGTTCGCACTTACTGTATGCCACAATGCATTTCCCAGACTGTGATGATAGCGACGACTGTTCAATTTTACCAACGAGCCATCCAACTCGATACTATAGTGGTATTAGGCCGTAGATTCGTGCGGTGTTCAACTCGTGACTTACTTGGCCACATCGAACAATAATGGCTCCCCCAGACGGTCATTCTCACGTCCATAGAAGAAAGGATTGATTTCAAGCTTGTCGCCGAGTTTTTGTGAGAATGCAATGTGGCGAGCATTGTTCAAGCCTGTTTTCCGAAAGATCAATACTCCATACTTGTCTTGCAAAGCGACCAGCTGATGTATTGTTAGCCGGGTTGTTCTGCAAGAATCCGGATCCATGACTGACCTGGGCCACAATAGTGTCCGGAACAGGTTCGCTCCAATCAACTCCAAAAACCTCAGCGCCGAAAGAGCTATCTTCCGATTGGAAGACTGGCTTGATGCTGAGCGGGCCTTCTTCGATAACGTCGGCGCAACCCGTCCGGGGAGGGCAAGTATTCTCGTATTGGCGAATGTACATGTGATCTAAAGACATTACAAAAATTCGTTCCCAATCGATGTTATCAACAGTGCAAGCCGTATCTTTTTAAGTTTCCCTTTGAAGCTCGGGCTCAGTAGGGCAGTGATAAGATTGCCTATGCGCGGCAGGACAGCCGTGCGGCCCGCAGCCGATGACTCCGATCGCCGCGTCCGAGTAGATAACGGCGTCAGTCATGGCATAACGAAGCGCGCTGTCTACAACGCCCAATTGCACTCAACTTCTCTGTAGACGACAATGACAACCGCAAAAACCGTCCGCATCACCGTCGGCCCGCACCAATTCCTCGCGAATTTCGAGTCGGCTGCGCCCAAAACGGTCGAGCTCTTCCGTTCGCTCCTCCCATATCGCCAGAAACTCATCCATGTCCGATGGAGCGGCGAGGCAATGTGGATTCCGTTGGGCGAGACCGACTTCGGGATTCCCTTTGAAAACCATACAGCCCATCCAGCTTCCGGCCAGATTCTCTTATACCCGGGAGGTATTTCCGAAACCGAGTTTCTCTTCTGCTACGGCGGCGTCTCTTTTGCAAGCAAGATGGGCTCACTAGCTGCGAATCACTTCTTGACGATCATTGAAGGGAACGAGAACCTTCGTGCCCTCGGGGAATTGGTTCTTTGGAAGGGTGCTCAGGATGTGTTGTTTGAGTTGATCAATGACGAGAAGTAAATGAAGATCTGAATAGAACGTGATATTAAAAAGGCAAGTGGGAACTAACTACAAGTATAATATATAGAAATCCTCGGTCGGTCAAGCTATAAGCATTCCGTTCATGTTCCATTCGGGGTGGTCGCCCGTTTCGCCGAGAAGGCTTCCCGCCCAGTCCACACCGGAATCATTCATGAATTCCAGAAGAGACTGGAATGCCAAATCGTTTACTTCTTCGGTAGTTTGGGTATTGTCGTGGTCAGAGGCAATGACAAGAGAAGTGGCATAGCGAACAATGCCTTGAAAGTCACGAGCGAAATGGAAAGCCGCGGTCGGACAGACACCATCGAATATTTCCAGCACAAGATGGAGGAGTCTGGTCAAAATGGCACAGGAAGATGAGGGAAGGCGCGTGGTACTCGTGTGGAGGCTTTCAGTTTGGGGGCATATCTGAAGATTTTCTTTTTATGGAATCGGAGTTAAAACATAGAGCATTACCCAAAGAATAACGTCGACGGGGGTCCCTACCATCGATAATGCCTCTCATATAGCAAATGACTAAGAATGTTGCTGCAAACGTATATGAAATCCAGGTCGAGTCCACCGCATAGTAAAGTCGGCCGATGGATCCGGGATCGGCATGGAAAGGGCCATCCGGGAAGCTTGAGGGACTCTGTGAATCCAGTCGCCAGACAAAGTCAGCCCCGTAGGCTGATAAGGACAGTATCATTTGTGCAGCTGCTGTCAGACTAATTTTTAGTGGCTCGCGGGGTGTTGCCTGTATTGAGTCTGCCGGCGGTTGTGATGGGGCAGAGAGTAATGGTGCAAGAGAGGCGCTGTTTAAGGAAAGCCGATACCACTATGGCAGTCGTCAGTTGGAGAGAAATTTTTTCCTATTCACAAGGTTTCGACGTACTCGAAGAGAGTTGAAGGGAAGTTGGTTATGTTGAGATTCAGTGTTTCCTGACGGTGGTCAGTAATAGAAAATGATATCGGAACACTAACATACGTAAAATAGGAAACCAGGTTCTAGCCAGGCCCGTTAGCAACGCTTTGTGTCTGAAGTATAGGAAGACAACGGTTACCTCTCCCATGAATCCAATTCCTTGTTCAACTTCTGGAGACTATGTGCCTGCAAACGACGCCCCGAAATATCGCCACAGCTGCACATCGCTCGATAAACAAACCCCACGAGCTCCACAAGTGCAGTCACCCGAACGTCCCCCGGGTACTGCGTCCTGCTGTGCGAGCTGAAGGTCTGGGCGACCTGTACCGATAAAGCCGGATCAACCGACGCAGGAAGACCTGAGGTGAGCATTAAATTGAAGTTGCAGGTAAGCAGATTGTACCATACTCGCAGCCGGCTAACGTCGTTTTTGGAAGGATCCTTGGTGTGCTCTCGAAATGGTGCTATAGCAGACCGCTCGAGACCCAACAGAGTGGCATATCGTAACGCTAGCCCCAGAACAGCCCAGGCACTGATCTCGTTGTATCGACTACTGGGCGAGCGAGACAAATTCTCGCCACTGTCAAGCTCATCTTCATCCTCTCGAGTGGAAGGCATCCACTGAGCATAGAGAAGAAGCACCCTGATGGAATCCAAGGTCACATCTGACGGGGTAGGCCGGAGAAGCAGTCTGGAGACTGCCTTATCAAGCAAACTTGTGAGGTTGTTGAAGCTCGGATGAACAGCATCCCTTGAGGCTCTTCTTTAGGTGATAAGTGTCAGTCTGCTCGGGTATTTGGATGGGGCCGACTTACTGTCGAATGTCATTATTCCAAAATCGGGTTCCAACAGAGCATATCGCCAGAATCAAGGTTGGGGAGTGGCGACCCGGCTCATGCCACGAGTAACAAATGTCCTCGTCAAGCACAGGGGCTGAAGGATGACAGTGTTGGAAGAATCTGGACGTCGGAATCAGTCCAATTTCGTTTTGTCGAGATAGGGTGGGGAAATACGCACATATCGATCGCATGTTGCGACTCGTGCACTGAAAGCAGACCCTGGGATATGGGATCAAAGGTGTTTGCAAATATTGGCTTCGCCAACGAAGTCGGCTCATATTCCGTTTTTGATTCGTCTGTTGCCAGCGCGCCTAGCGATCGAAGCGTTGCAATGGGTGCGCCCAAGTCAATGCCATCCACTGCTGATCCAGGAGTGCGAGACGCGCCAGTTCGGCTTGGTGAGATTGATTGTTGCGGGCTCTCGGCGATCAGGCTGTTATTTTCTGGTTCGGTATTTCCATTCTTCACCTTGTCCGGCAAACCCGGCTCGCCTAGCAAAGAACCTCTTTCTAGCTCGCGAATTCGGGCTTCATGGTGATTAACTCTGTTGAATATCTCAGCTTCTGCCTGGTAGATACCAATACGATTGACTTTACTGCGCGTGGAGCTCTACAACCAACTGCGCCAAACGTGAGGGACTTTGTGTCACATCTAAAGTGGGCGGTCGGTCGGTTTCAAAGGAACAAGTGATGGACAATTTCTGGCATCGCTTGCATGGAGCCTGCAAATCAGCTGCCAGAGAGGGTGGCAAGCACCGCTGCTTCCTAGCGCGACACTAAATTTCAAGGACTTGTCATTGATTGATCGCAGATGGAACTATTGTAGGGACAATACCCTACCTGTAGGCAGGCACGAGAGATGCGGCGCACCTTGGCTGGGCGCTCATCATCTGTGCTAGGATTGTCGGTTGATAATCTGGTCGGAACATGAGCCGACATATTGAATCGAGTGCACCGGGCGAAAGTGGAGAGGAAACATTCGAAACCCTGTCAACGTTGGAGGGATATTCCAACGCTGCCTAGGCAGCTTATCAGGCTTTATCTTCGCGCGGCTGATAAGCGTTTGGAACAATGATTGGCTGCTCACCTGATCTATACTTCTACACTGTATTGACTTCGTTTGGCTGGATCAACGATACAGTAAATGGCCCCAAGTCTTGAATTCGATTCTAAAATATGGAGAATGGAAAACTTAAAGCGCTTTTGATAGCTATTCATCCAATGCTCGCAAGTCGCCCAGGTAAAGGATTTCTGAGCTAGCGACCAAACACCAGCACTATGCGCTAGCACATTCATCCTTTCCACGTTGTAGGCCATGTTGGCGCTATTCATATAGCCAATTCGCCACGCGGTAGGGATCTTGATCAGTACGGGGCGATTTATGGCTTAATTGGCTTGGTCCACGCTTTACATACTGTCCGTCCCGTACCTTGCCCACTGCCTTGCCGTTTGCCCACATCACCTTACCCCGAAGAATTGTATACCGAGGCCAGTTGACGAACTCTATTCCTTCATAGGGAGTGTCTGCGGGGAAGTCTGTTAGCTTGACCACACAGCAAGACTTAGATCAATGCCACTCACAGTCGACATTATGATGCAGCATGGAGTTATGTAGACGGAAAGGTGTAAAAGCTTTTTCCGGGTGCCACTAGAGTTGCAATGAATGGTTAAAGAACTTTCATATTGCTTAAATGCATGGTAGCTTACAATCACAAAATCTGCGTCGGATCCTGGCATCAATGCCCCTTTCTTGGGATATAGTCCGTACTGTACGCCGGTCAATTACGCAATACACTTCAGATTGTTTCAACCTGATTCTTACCAATTTTGCAGGGTTGGTGGATGTCAACTCCACAAATCTCTGGGGAGTGATGCGACCAGTTGCTAGCGCCCCGGTATAGAGCAAGGGCAGTCTTGTCTCCACGCCAGGGATCCCATTTGGAATGAAGCGGAATGCGCCCTGCTTCCGCTCCAATAAATTCTTCAGGCCATGACATTCGCTAATTGTCTCACCCTCCATACTCTCAGGATGTTCAAGGACACCCGAGGGCTTTCCGTGGGGGTGGTCGTAACGGAATGGGCAATGATCGGAGGAGTAGATGGTGAATGTACCATTTGAGAGGCCACTTTTGGTTAGTCAGTATTTTCTCCTTCAGCTCGAGAGGATTCGGACTTTACACAAAAAGTTCTTCATGATCCAAAGTACTCGGTGGCGGGGGCGGAGAGCAAATCATCTTGCTGTTTTCAAAACAGGTGGGTGAATGAAAGCGCTTCTACAAAACAACTTGGTAAATAGGCCACCGAGTTCCAATTTTGCTGATGGACACGGATACTTACTAGGTCGTTCCAGGTCAAATGGAAATACTGAGGGCATGTTTCGGCATAAACAGGCAGGCCCATTGTTTGTGCTTGGCGAACGTTGGCTGCACCAAGCTACTTCCATTAGAAACGGATTTCCATTTGGATAATCGGTGTCAACATACTACTGATCCAACATGGACAAACAGAATGGGGTTCTGAATCAGCTGCGCAAGAGCGATGGCTCGCGTTGTAGCTTCCCCCTCGACAATTGGGGGTCGTGATAAAGCGTGGTAGTAAGGCGCTGGTTAGTTTTAGCAAGGGAAGGTAAGTGCACAGACTTTTTTTTCTTTTTTCTTTCCATGAGCACATACCGGCCATTCCTTTTTCCTCGAGCTTTCCTATATCTCTATTAGTCTCATTCTGATCAACATTGGGCCTCAACCTTTTTTTTTACCTGTGAGCCACTGAATCATATCACCATTCTCAGCATGTATCATCTGCAAGATTAGCATGGCTAATATTCAAGGCACTGAAAGAACACACCGTAGTGATGGCGTTCTTCCTAGCTTCAAACATCACGTCCAGCAGTTGCGAGTCGGTCAGCCGCTGGGTATCGTAAGTCAGGAAGAGCTTGCAACTGCTGATCCCCCAGTCTTTGACCAGAACAGGAAGCTCGTTTTCGAGAATATCCTGATCATTCCGAACGATGATAATATGGAACGCATAATCCGCATAGGAACCTGTCTCTTCAGCCCGAGCATTGTATGTTTCGACTACCTTGAGCAAACTGCGATCCTCTTCCGCGCGAGTTTGAGTTGCAAAGGTGATAATAGTCGTGGTTCCACCAGCAATAGCACTTAGGGACCCTGTTTCAAAATTGTCGGCGCACTCTCCCCCAAGGCCATGCGGTCCTGTTAAAGATGATGTCAAAACCAGAAGTTGCACGTTTTACGATGGATATGACTTGATAACATACCGGTCTTCAAATCTTGGCATAGGTGGACATGGGCATCAATGCCTCCAGGCATTACATAGGCCCCTCTGCACACAAAGAAAGGGTTAAATTCTCTTTATGAAGCTCCAAATACGACATACTCAGCATCTATGACCTCCGCCCCAGATAATTCATCGTCAGCGAACGAGTCAACAAGAGCGCGTATCTTTCCATTCTTAACGCCGATACAACATGCACTTTATTAGATCAGCCTCTTTGAACTACCTCAAATATGGACAAGCTGGGTACCTAATGTCACTGGCAGTTACAATGACTGCATTGATGATAATTAGATCAAATATCTTGGCCATTTCGGGGGTTGCGGATATAGAGGACGGTTGGTCAGTGCGATGAGTTATAGCACTGTTGAATTTACGGCCCATGCGGCCTGCCAGCCGATCGGGCTGTTGCCGCGTCTTATCATGGCCGCGCACGATAAGGATCGTTATCATGGCTCTTCAGTCATGGCCGATGGAGATAAGGGGGATATACTTTGGCGTAATCGAGGATCCGCCCGTGGCCCTTATCTGGCTGTTTTGAATTGGTCAAGGTTTTGGCTTAATATCTGGTTAACTATATCTTGCACACATGTTTATCGCATGGCAGCGAGGACGCCTTTGGCCTTGCAGCCGAACAATGGGAATGAAATTATCCACATTTGAAAATTCCCAACCCCGAAGGGACGATCCAAGCCTCTTTTACGATACACTTTTGTAATTTTATTGATGGTACGTTTAACTAAATGGAGCGACTATGACTTTCCGAAGGTTGCCCACGAGGAGCTGTCAATTGATGAACTTTGCATACTATCTGCTGAAAAGATTCTAGTTACAAATACCTCTATACTTGATGCTTCTCAGATATTCTCAGAGATCTTTTTCCAGGTGCTCTTGGGCGGTTCCTAAGCCAGCGGGTATTAGTTACATAACTTGCAGCGCCAATATGAGTGCATCACTTACGTCGTCGGGTATGGCAACCGAAGAACCAGTCACAAAATCCATCTCAGTATAGCCAATCATCTTCGATTTATTCCAGAACTTGTAGCCAAAGTAAAGCACGGCGAAGAATGGGAGAGGGAAGTATGTGGTGATGAACGAAGAGACATCAAAGGAATGGACTTCATTGAAAGTTAGTAACGCCGATCAGACAAATGTAGACGCACACTCACTGAAGGCACTGAAGCCACCAAAAATCATAACCATGGTAGTAATTGAGATTCCATCTGAGAGTATCAATAGTGAGAAGGATTCCAAATGTTCGATGTCATTGGGACACTTACAGTAAGACAGATAGGGTTGTAAAGGGGCCCTGTATGCCAAAGTCTTGCGGTCAATACCCTGCACCTTCAAACCTTTGTGCCAGCGAATGCTGGTCCACAGAATACCGGTCCACGAGATCATGCCACACATGGCGGTCATATTCGAAACTTTTGCAGAGTTAGCTTATAAACCTGACCTAGCTCTTGATGGAAAGGGGTTGCCCTCA